ATACACTCAAGTGTCAACAATAAGCAGTGAAGATTCTTCTCAATACTATCACATCTCCCTCGATTTTACATTATGTATTTTTTTGGCCGAAAGATTATTTCAGAACTCAATCCCTTTTGGTGTGCCCTTAAACCGAATTTTAAACTTCTCTAAAGAGGTGATAAGTTAAGACCTCAGCGGCGCTAGTCTGCTTCGTGCGAACTACTTCTCTGTCTCATTGCATGTTAAACCTAAGATGTTATTACTTATATATCAATCAGAGATGCGAGCTTATTTTGTAGAGCAATGTCTTCACTTTCTCTTCAACTTCTTCATTCTCTTGTGCATCATCTGCTTCAAATTTTTGGAAGTCTCCATCACGATCGATGACGTCATGTGCCCAGCGACTGATATTATCTAGTAACCAAGACTCGTAACAGTCCCAATCATAGCTATGGCCGTTTCTTTCGTCCCAGGTCAATGGGCATGGCCTAAGCACCACTGAACCCTTCACATCAGACAATACTTTGAAACATCTTTCACAAAATGTTTTTATGTGTAGTGTCTTGACATTGATTTTTTCCAAGGAGTCCATACGGGTCTTTAACTCCATTTTTAAATTGAAAGCCCCAAGGTTCTGGTACCTCCCTAAAGAACAATACTTGTGGCAGTGCTGTTGTTGTATATTTGTTTTTAGAGATGAGAACTTAGTTTAGGTACCACTTTCTCTATAACTTCGTCATTCTTTACTGCGTATTCCTTAAACTTTTGGAAGTCTTCATCATAGTCGAAAAGGACGTCCTTGAAAGGAAAGCAGCAACGACCATTCCAGTAACCGTTCTTCATGCAACAATCTCTGAGATATCCCCGTGTAAACAAATCTTCTAAGCAGTCCCATTCAAAATATCTGTGATCGTTGTCCAAGTTGCAATCCCACGGTTTAAGTACCACTGGATTTTTCATCTCAGAGAACTTCTTATTGCAGCCTCCACATTCTTTTCCTTCTGGTAAAGTTTTGGCGTCGACTTTCTCTATTGAGTTCATATGAATTTCTATCTCTTTTCTGAAGTTGAAATACTTAAGATTCTTGAACTCTTCCAGATCATCGAAATCGTGGCGCTCTTCATACTCAACAACCCTTTCATTCCACTCACATTCGCAGCAATCCCAATGAACAAATACGTGACTATCGTTTTTGTATTCTGACTCACTCCGTTTAAGCACCACTTGATTATCTTTGTCAGTAAACACTCTCTTGCAGAATGTACACTCTGATCCTTCGGGTAGATTTTTGATATCAATTCTTTCCAATGCGTTCATGCGCTTCCGTGTTTCAGCTATCATAACCCACCTATTATGAAATGTGTCCGACCAAGTCCAATGGACAATACACATTTTCTCAGCGCAACCATAATCATATTCGTAATATATATCGTACAGATAGTAGCTATCGTAGCTATCACAGTCGCTATCGCATCTTGTATTGTAATCTTCTGTCTATTAGTATCTTTCAAAGTTTGTCAAATGGAGCATGCTTACCTTCGTGGTCGGACATTTAAGTCGTTGGTTTACATCCAAATGCAGAAGCATTGTGTTTATATACCTTGCCTTCACAGACTTATTTTGCCACTGAGTATTTACCATGCACTTATTTGCCACTGAAGACGCCACTCGTGTGCGGCGCTGAAATATTATCGATCTACATTATTTTTCACTCGTGTTTGCATGAACATTGACGGTGCAGGACTTATGTTCTTTTCCGTCTTATCTATATACTAGTTGGATTTAGGAATATGTGCAGCAACTATTTAAAGAGCTACACAATCCAATGTGAAGGCAAGTGACCTTCTTTAGTGCTATAAATCAGAAATGAATGTCTTTGTAGATTGTTATCTGCATCTAAGGTTAAAATACGAAGGTTGTGCAGGTGTGTTTCACGTACCACTTCACGTTAAGAAGGGTTTTGCTGTATCTCTCAATTGTTCTCTTCCTTTAAATTCCGGGCTATCTTAACGTCTACGTGTGGGCAATAGTTGTAAACAGACTGTATGGTCTCAATGATCTTCTTATTTGGCTTTCAGATTGTGTACACACGCTTGTATCCCAAATCTTCGTGGTGCGATGTAAGGTGATGGTCATGGGAAAAGTAGGTTATTTGAGCCAGCCACATGGATTGATTTCAATGGACTAGGAGTCATTTCCTTGCCAACTTGATCTATTGGAGGGCTACTGCACCACTATTTACGAATTATCCATCAATACGCATATGCACATTCGTACACTCCTATTGACCACGTCAGTCGCCACCACTTGCTTCGATAAATAGAGACAATTTCCTTGTTTTCGATAATTCAATATCTTTCTCTATCATCATGGATATCCTTTTCTACTGTATTATGTTCCTCATTAGTTCGATTCCTTATCCTTTCATTTTGCGTTTACCGCACCCTTGGAATCGCATCGGCTTTTGCTTGTACGCATTGTGGCATTTTGATTTCATGCGGGTTGGCTTAAAAAGACGCTTCGGAGAGTGATTTTAGTGCGATTGGCATAGAAACTCAACGGTTGAGGTCAAATAGCCTATTGTTAGAAATAAATGTGACTTGCTTCATATCTGTAAACCATTATAGTAAACTTTCAATTTTGTTTCTGAATGACAAGTCAGTTTCATTGTAGTATTTACAATTTGTTCACACTCCTGCCTCTTCCAAGAAATGCGAATCTGAGACATGTCACAAAAGAAGTTTTTACATCATTGCACCTGAATGATCCTCAATTTCTTGTTAGTTGTAATATTTACACCTTTTCTTCGTTTTTCGTACTTGCTTCCAACTGCATGCCCGGGATATTGTCCACTATGAACAAAGTAATCAAGCTTACAACACCAGTCCAAGCAAGAAGGGAACTCCATGCGCCAATCTGGAACACTAACTGCTTGCATTGTTCATTGGTCCAGTCTGCGATTTTTCCACTGAAAGCAGACTTGGGACCAACCAAACTGTCAACAATAATTCCACATATGCCGTGAAGAAAAAAAGAGAGACTGTGATTATCGATTCCGAATCTCGCAACAGAGCGACAGATGGTAGTAGTGAAAATGGAGGTGATAACGGCTACCCATGGCCAGTAGCAACCACAGGATGGAGTAATATCAAGCAAACCTATGACAAGTCCTTCACAAGCAGATTCAAGTGAGAATTTTCTCCTAAGTAATCTTTCAATAACCGAGTGGGCGAAGAAAGCAAGGATTGTGTTGAGTATAATGTAACATGTTCTGCCATTGAAAGCCAAAGTGCTGGCATTAAACATGAGCCATGCTGCACAAACAAGCGTGGCGCCAATAAAAGACGAGTTGTCTTCGTCATTAGTGATTCTGTCTTTGCCCACTTCCTTTCCTCTACGACCAAGGTACCAAGAGTACACAAGCACTGTAACACCAGAGGCAAGACGAGCAGGGCCTCCGCCAGCGAAGTCCAACCCCAAATTCAGCCAGTGGTTTGCACCGTAATTCCACAAAAGCACCCAGATACACCCAACGATAATAGACGGAAGGGAGCGGCCTCTTTCACCGACACTGGCCAAAAGCAATTGCGCAGTGGGAACGGGAAAGAACATCTCGAAGCAAAAGTTAATCACCGAAGGCATGGCTCCCTCCAATGTCTTTCCTTCAATCAACTTGGATTCCGATCCTGGCGTACTGCCCACGGAGTTTCCCAACAAAAACCAGAGCACAATCACGCAATTGGCAGTCATGTACTTCTGGAAAAACGTGTCCGCCAACTTTTTGCGCTTGGGTCCCTCGTAAAGGAATCCAATGGCTGGTGTTATCAATAACACCCCAAAACAGCCCATCAACACAAACATATCGCCTGTGGGGCCAGGTCTGGTCTGAGCTTGGAGATTGACATCTCTTGTCTCCATTGGCATAGAAGAGATATCCATTGGAGAAGACTTGACGTCTATATTTTGGAAAGCGAGAATTGACCGTGTCGATAATGTGGTTTATCAGAAATCGTCAACGTGCACATTGAGAGAAATTGTGGGGAAAACGATCTGCGCTTCTAGCCGTGATTCAAGCCATTGGAGAAATATTGAGAAGAATGTTTTGATCCAGAGATTTATATAGGAATAAGGAGAGATGTCGTATTGTATTTAATATCTCATCCGACAAGTTGGTGTTGTTACTTTTTTTGTAATCTGACGCGCGTCGAACATATTGTAAATGTTGGCTAAACTTTACATGGAATTGAGAATTACAGGATTATGTTTACATGCAAAAATATAGTAGAGCTACAAGGATCGAGAATGGGCTAGGCTCAAAGATTATGACGGATATCCGTGAGACCATAATGTCACCAGGTAAAAAACTGTAAGCACTCAGTAGCCCTAGATAGAATTCACACATTACGAAGTATCTTAGAGTCCGTATCTGGTTCCCCTGGCTAACATAGTCTTTGTAATGATGAATATAGAATCCAGCTCCCCGAAAATGCCACTTATGCTTTCTACAACAATCTATGGCGTGTTGCTCCTGCTAATTCCGATTGACTTCCAACAGTGGATACTGGTCCGAGAGTCAATCCTCCAGGATTTCTACCTTTTACAGCAGGTGTAGCCCTTTGCGCTAGTTGAAGTCGTATATAGCAACGGTTTGCGGCTAGAAGATGATGGCCGAAAGTTCATCTACTCGTTTCAATGTTCCAGACCGGTGGGTCGTCCATCAGGAGCCTTATTATTGCGGCAAAGAATTGGGAGATGCTACAGGTTGGTACAAACGAGAAGTACATGATGTGAATTATGTTTCAGCAAGCGGTACTGATGGCATTTTGCTTTATCACATAGACTTGAAGCACCCATCGTCTAAGCGTGCGGATTCGTTCTTTGTACTACTTTTCATTTTTATCTTGGGCATTCTTGCCTTGGATCAACAGCTCTTTGAACCAGTGTCGAATTACCACTTTGCATTGGCGGCAAACATAATTTAGATAAAGGAACTGGGAGCTGTGGTACGGTAAAACATGTAGGCAGACCATCAACGTACTGTCTTGCTTGTAATTGAGCATGCTGATATACCTGATATTGCTGCAGTATTACTTGTGGCTCTCGTTGCAGTATGCTACCTGGTGGTATGTAAACTGGTTCTGTCATTGTATGCGGAGTCATTGGTGGCATATGACTGTACAAGGACATTGCCGGCGGAGAGTACTGGAATTGTTGCAGGGAATAGGATGGTGTGTAAAGAAAGTTCGTCACAGGAAAGTATGTTTGTGCTGAATAGGCTTGGAAAGGCTCGCACATAGGCAACCTGGTCATCCTAAAACGCAGTCTTAAAATCAGATAGGCATTGGGATCAAGTCGGAGATGGCTTAGAAGTGGATCCTTAGACGGAATTTTGCCTGGCAAAACTCCTTCCATACGTTCTTTTATTTTGTAGTAGCAGACTAAGTGAAGCTTTTCATTTTGTGTCGTAGTGAGTGAAAGTGTCTGTTTCACAAGCCCATTGGGAAGCAAGTTTCTGCTTTTGTCAAGCTCATAATAAATGAGAAAGGGCCCCTTAACCTTAGATGGCAGCCAGCTTCTTCCATCTGTCCATCTCTGCATGCCGCCTTTTGTTTGGCACCAGACAAAGATAGTACCCAGCGTAATGCTTAATCGTTCAAAATCATTTAGACGTTTTCTGCGTTTGGAAAGCAAATTTTGGCAGGTGCCTTCTAGAATCAAAAGAGCATCTTCTAGCGTAAGAACCAGACCGTGGTACGTTTCTATGACAGCCGTTTGAGGATAATTTGGTATGATGGACATCAATGAAAAAAGTTGGATATAACAAGTGAAAAAGTCCAAGCTAATTAATACCTAGAAAATGTTAAATAAACTAATACAAAACAAGTGTTGTGGAAGATAGTCAACATGGGGCCATACTCATTTGTCTTGATTAAATGTCGATAAAATATCTAGCCCAGTATCACTCTGTGACACAGGAGTGCAGTGCATAATGCTAAGCATTGCCGCCCGGCGTATTGCATGGTATGAAAGAGATCTATACCGAATAAAAATGGGATATATGAGCCACAAACCTGCGTACTTTCAGGTGCATATGCACAAGCGCAATTCATAAGGAAAGTGAATCTTGACGCCGATTTTAGTCAGACCGCCTTGCCCACTTCGTGCCTTAGTTTCGTTATCTATTGATCTCCCTAAATTGACTTTCTGCACTAAAATCACCGATGTTGGCAGTAGATCTTATCACTCATATAAACAACCACAAACTAATTCTACATAACTTGACTCCAGGATATCTCTACCACCACATCTTGATGTATGGCCGAATTTTTGATGTCCATCTGTGTTCGTAAAGCCAACTCTATGAGCTGAGCCAAATATGAAATGTCTATTACTTCGCTCTTTCGGCCTGGCAACTGGATACTTTTTAAAATGTATCGGCAACTGAAGTAAGGAGCAGTTTAATCTAATATTGCATTCACCGGGTATGACAATGGCTTCTCCAAATAATTGAATATTAAGATTTGCTGCTGGTATTCTATATTTTATATTTACTGATTTCTCTGAGGTGTCGGTTATGAGCATTGTGGGAGAAGTCTTTATTATTTGATTATTACGTTTAGTGCAAAATAAAAATATACATATTAGATTTCACTGGGGCTCTTTGAAACGGTTGTTTCTTCATTGCAGTTCATACTAGGCATTGGTAAATCAGGCTCTCATATTTACTTGTCTAAAATTATGTGAGTAAGGATCAGAACAGCATGCACTTTCTAGAATAGTTGGTGCATGAGCGACAACAAAGAAACACACTATTCACGGTATGCATCATGCACAACAAAAAGACTTGATCTTGCATACTGGCAGCCTCATGCAAGTTGAATTTTGTGGTACTTTTAAACGAAAAGGTTAACTCTGCAGGGACGACGAAAATGAACAAATCACACTCGAGCTCATAAAATTTCCTGAAACTTTTCTTAGGCTTGGCTCTTACATTGAAACCGTGAATTACCATTATGATATCAGAGAATGCATTATTTTGTTGTCCAATACCTTGATTTCAGAACCCAATTTCATAGGATGTGCATCGAAACCAACTTCAATAAGGTATTGAAAAGCTTCCGTACACTTTATCCGGAGCCTCCGCGACTTTTGCGTAACATGGCTTATTCTTACAATGCCGTATATGCTGCAACTACGAACTAAATATCTCAGATTTATGCACCTCGGCAACACTTAGCATGTGCAGATGTTGAGACTTGCGTTGTTGGACCAACAAAAATAGTTAGCATATGGAGTTTTGTTTATCATTCGAGCTTTTATGTCTCTCAAGGGCCAATACGAGTTCGGAAGGTAAAATAACCTATTCTTAAACCGCACAGTACATACTAACTTTTAAATGATTCTTCATTCCGTAATTTCCCTAACTTTATTCAAAAATTTTATAGTGCAAGGTGATTCAGGATGTTCAATTAGGTCCCCGATATGATACTAAAAACGAAGTGAAAAGTATTGTCTATCTGACAAAGAAATAGTCTCCAAAGCCATCCCGAGTATGTATGGTGAGGGGCATTTCTCAAGTAAGATCTCCGCAACTATATGCATTTCACAGATAAGTTGGAGGACATGCAAAACTCCTTTTTATGATTCCGAACCAAAATTAGTAAACTCATCATTTTTTATACTCAAGTAGAGTTTGAAACAAAGTCAGCTTCAACTCTCTTGCGGCAGATGACGTCCTCAAGATGACGGAAAAATTTGTTTATTGATTACAGTATCTGCCCATCGGCCTTTGATTCCAAGCATATTATCCCCGTTATCTTTCAATGAACAAACACATGATTTGTCCTACTTTCTTGAAAGTTAAATCTGACGCTAAATTGATTTTGTGAAGCTGATCGAATACACAACTCAAGAGCCTGAACACATAATGGCTACGAAAGTCTTTTTGTCTGAGCTTTCGCATTCAGATCAATTTGACAAACAAAATCTCTGACCTAAATACTGGTCTATGCTATAAAGCACGTTTTTCCTTAGGAATATAATCCTGTTGAAGGTGTCTTTTGTGGTTTCTTCACTGATAGTTTTCTCTACCTTCTCTCAAATGTCTTGCAAATGGTACCTTATATGGAATGCACCTCCACTTTAAATCACAGCTGGCTAAATAGCATTTGCAACTGTCTGCGTCGCTGGTACAAAAGTCGCATATAACCATCCTCTTCCTCCTCATCGTTTGCATTGGCCCACTCAAATAAGTCCTGGTAGATACGTTTATACACCACGTTATCCATACTGAGCTCAGTTTCCCGTATACGGGCCTGGAGCACTGGACAGGCTTTCACTAAAAGAAAAGCGCCTTGCGCATGTTGGCGACGCTTGAGTGTGACTATAGGAGACATGTTTGTGATTTCAGTAAGAAAGCAGATTTCGAGTACAGACAATTTGGGAAGGAAATTGTGATGTAATATGATGGGAAGCAGACGATTGGTGATGCGTGGACATCCATTAAGCGATAGTTGCTCAATAGAGCTTCCCGCATGTATTGCCAAAACCCAAAGGGAATGGTCTGAAACATAACATCCTGCAAGACCGACAGTTTTGAGACGCCTGTTCCTGGCAAAGAGCGGTGTAAGAGAATGGCCCGTGACTAAATGGCCCTTGTTCTTGCGGCCCAAGTTGACGCTCACCAAGTTTCGGCATGACATGGCAATGGCGTAAACTCCAAAGTCTGAGACTTGTTCACATGCTCGGAGATCAAGAACTTCAAGGTTTGGACAGCGGTGAGCGACTTCCATTATGAATGAATCGTCTGTGACTTCAGACCACGCCATCACCAAAGTTTTTAATGAGGTATGCAAGAGTGATTCATCCGGGCGTAGCTTTGGACACATAAATATTTCGATTCGTTGAAGTGCTGAAGAATCAATTGTCTGGGCCAAAGCATCAATAGCCAGTTGCTTAGCACTAAACAAACGGCTGAGGATACATTGCCGCGGACGAAACATGCGTTCCTGAGAAACATAACTCTGGCTTCGAACAAACTGATACAAACTTCTATCTTTGGTAAATACAATCCGAGAACTTAAGAGCTGAATGGCCACTGTGTTGAAGAGGCGGTTGACTTGCAAGCATGTAAACAAAATATTTCTATCACAGTGATGCAGTAGGTTACCCAAGCTGACATTGTGAGGAGAAACGGTGTTTGGGTAGTCGGCATACTCTATGATTTTGTACACCAACTCGGGAATATCGAACACAGATGCCGTACGTTTGTAGGTATTATTGGAATGCAATGGCTTGCGATTAAAATCAATTTCGTTAGCATTGGAGATGTTGGAAGTGGTGGAAGAGTGTGGTTTCGCAGATGATTTCGAAAATTTCTGTTCATGGTTAGTAAAGCAATATTCTTGAGAACCTGACTCTGATAATTTGAGTATTTCAAATCCAGTTCTGGCTCAGCAATGGATTACAATACCTGTAAGATAAATTGCAAAAGCATATTGAAGAGAAATGAAATGTAATTGACTAGTTTGGTATGGCGAATGCTTACAAGTTATTCCCTAATTGCACCCGCTGATAGGCATGGTCCTATTACTTTTTTTGTGCATTTCGCTGATATTGCTTTTACTTCTTCGGCTCTAATTCCGCTTTTTTGAAACCTCCTATTCACACCATGCATGGGGACTTGTTTTACTAAGCTTGGGTGACCTAAACGTGAGATCTAAAATTTGCATTGGTTCTTCTGCCACGATTCATCTGTTAACGACCTTTAGCCAAACGAAGATGAGAGAAAGCATCTCTTCCAAACTCATTATTTTGCGTAAATAATTACAATAGTCGTATCCCGGGTGATACTTACGAGTTTTGAAGCACATACTCCTTCCTTCCTGATGTACACGCATACGCATATGCATGCTGTGGCTAGTGACACATCGTGTATTGTCCATACATGACTTACCAAGCAAAGCGTTGACACTACAGATATTAGTAAAGAGTGCATTATGTATGTAGCGAAAAATTTTTTACTCGGCGTGAATGGTATTGACTTGGTCAAAACAGAAAGAATAATCGTCTTCATCTTTTCCGACTGAATTACTGATACTTCATTATTATTGAATTGAGCAGTTAGCTTTACAATGAAGCATTCTCCATTACTGCTTGGTTCGATTCAAGTCCAGAGGCTAGCAACTATTGTAATTGATGCAAGTTGAGGAGGTGTTTAGGGATGCCACTAGGAGGATAAACGTTCCACAATTTAGCAAGAAATAACGTAAGATAATATAGATCGCTCTGCAGATCATGTCTGGGGAGGACGAAGATTCAGCCCGAGTCACTTTGACCGAGAAATGCAAACAAGTCCCATCGGATGAAAAAGGATTCTGAACAATATGAGTAGGAGATTTCCCATCTTGACGAGGAAAAGATGTCGCATGCTAAACTTGATACGTTTAGCTGAAATATCTGAAATTGTTTCCTAGAGTACAAAATTGTCAATTGACAAAACTTTTTTTTCAAATCCGTTTTCTAGAATACTTCGCGCATGAGCGAGTGCAAAATATTATTCAATGCATGCATGACGCACGCTAATGATATCGATCGTGCATACCTCCGCCTCATGCAGGTCGTGAGTAAGTGGTTGTTCAAATCAGGGAAGTGCCAACGCTGCACAACGCTTAAATAGAATACACTACACTACGGGGCAACCCATCATCGAAAGAATCAAAGCCATCTCGTCACGAAAGTGATATTGATCTCATCAGGAGTAATTTGTTCTCTAGGAAAAATTGAGTCAAGGGTTCGAAGTATTTTTAAATTGTCGTTCCCCTATGCAGCTGAGTGGAGTTACAACTGCCACAATATAAGAGGCTTTGCAGGAACGCAGAAAGTCTGTGGCATCAAATGGCTTAGTTTGCAGTCTCGTAAACTTCTGCAAAATAGCACATCTGGGTGTCTTATTTCATGCACCTCGGCAAGCATAGGCAACCCGGATGAATATGGAACTCAATGGATGAATATTGAGCCTGGAATTATGGCGCAGTCCTTTTCCTTGATTGTCCTTCGATAAATTCAGGAAATGCTTACAAATTACTATGTAATTACCGTAGGTATCTAAGGAAGCTGTAAGCTAGGACTTGAAAATATTCAGTTTCAAACTACATCGTTAAAATTACCTCGACTTTTATAAGTACAAATCACCCTAGTTCCTATAAAGAAGAGATGGAGAAACTATAACAAACGCCCATGAAAAAAAAGTAAACGTTTTCTGCAGTTTGTTAGCTCCTTTTTTCTTTTTTTTTTTTTTTTTTTTTTTTTGCTCTGTCTAGCTATCTTTCCATTAGAGTCCTTTGTCTTCACCGGAGGTTTGACTTTTGGTTTGTTATAAGAATTCCACTTTTATACCAGCTTATTTTCCAGTCTAACACTTCTGCTGGCTTTTTCCCTTGCATTAAACTGACGACCTAGTGCTTTGCAGTCCTCACTTTCAAAATTCTACTTAGATAAATCGACTCCAAGACCTCTCCAGTACTCGAATATCATACTTGAAGTATTGCTGGAGACTCTTGACTTAATATCACAAAACTCGGTCATTTCAGATTTGGGAACAGCGGGCAAATGTGGAATTTGGGATCAGAAGCTTGTATAATGCATAAAGTTTTGGGCATGCGAAACATGTTGAGCAAAAATGGGGTTTATTGTTTTATCTCCCCACTTGCCCCTTCATAAAATAAGTAGGAAGAATCGTTTCAAAAGGGCAATTTTAAGACTTCTGGTGTATGAATTTATGGTTCGTCGTCCTATATTGCCATTCACATGTTCACTTTAACCCTTTCGCTTTGCACGAGTACTTGAGTATTTTTAGCATAGAGAGATGGTTTTTTTTCTCTCATTAGCTCTCCGAAACATGAAGTTCCATCTCTATTGATTATTTATGACAGTTGACGCAACTACAAAATTCCTTTTATTCTGTGTCCTGAACCCATAATATGTTGCTTGTGTGTCCAATCCCTTAAGGGATGAGATTTTCACTTATTCTTACATGGAAATCAATTCAGGTGAGAACGAGAGATGACTCAAGAAATACACCACTTGCTGTTCTTAACGTTGCTGACTCAAATCAAAGGGTATTCTCTTCTTATTTCAAGACTTCCAATTTAAATATGAAGTGCAACTGTCTATCTACCTAGACAACTAAGTTGTTTAGGCAGCCTGATCTTGTTCGATGAAGCGATAAAGCAATGTCAAGCCCTACCATCTTTTCTAAACCAAGAAAGGGTACAAGGTGAATGGAGTTTAGAGAAGTAAATTCCAGTTCCAGAGTCAATCACCAAATGCGATGTCTGGAATGAATTATGTTACTCATGTTTGAGATATTCACCTAAGAAGAAACATTTCTATTCCAAGAATACATAGCAAAAATACTTAACTTGGTTGAATACTTCTAATTACACCCTTGATCACCGGCGTCCTTTCTTACGAATTGATTCTAGGTTAATACTGTTGAAGACAGTTCCAATGTAAACTGTTCATGGATTAGACCACATTTTGAACACCCGTTAACTGTAGCATTTTCCATTTCTTCCAAAGAAGCTTCCTTCAAAAAAGGTCTCATTTCCTCTTTGTATTGACTTACACGTGTCAAATTGCTCACTTGAAATCAGCGCTTTCATTCAGCCCAAAGTGACTAAGACGCCATTGCATTCTTTGCCAAGAATCACTTGGCACTTAATTGAAGAGCAGGTAATATTTTATCATGCTTTTTCTTGAAGCAGTACATGAATATCACATCCTGGATCTATATCTGAAAGCATTATATCATGTACAGCTGCTTCTCTGGGTGGTAGTAATGAATTCTTCCGGCTTGTCGTATACTTAGGCCCGCTTGGCACAGACTTACGAAAGAGCTGCCACACGATTTCTTACTAATATACACTCACATCCAAATACCACATTGTACATGTACATATGTACATCTACCAACCAAATATACTGTACTTAGCACATATCATTGTTGGCATAGCCTCATAACATGCGTGTGTAAGCTTCTGCAATGCGGCTGGTGAGTAGTGTTTCTTTCTTGCCGTATATGCAGAGTAGTCGGCTTAACCTGCTTTGATCCCTAGCATCAGTGGTTGAAAACTTCCGCTTTCGGGTGCTCCGGGAAAGCCAATGTCTAAGGATTGCAAGAGCGTTGGATTCAAAGAGAAATTTTTATCAAGTAGCAAAATAATAATCAAATGTGCTGCAATGGAGAATAGAAAGAAGATTGATGTTTGACTTTGGAAAATATACTGATAGTGGTAGACCAGTAAAAAATTTGAATAGTGTTTATGGATTGCAATCACATCTTGGAGATATTTTTTTTTTCGAGAATCGAGCGAAAAGTTTACTAAAAAATACATAGGCTTTCTTTACTAAAGGCCTGAACTATAGAAATCTTTTGAATAGGCTTTGGGCATTCTTGAATGTTGGCTTGATGCTTCGTTTTCTGCATGTCATTCACATAATAAGCACTTTCTCCTACCGTCATAGGCCTCTCTCTGGATCCAATACATAGCCATTCAAAGTTAGTTAAGGCTAGGGACAATGTAAGTAATTGATTCCAAATTTTCTAACAGTACTTCAAATTCTTCTGTCAACTTGGTGTTAGAGGCTCAGTGGTATCATATGAGCTGGAAGAAGATGATTCTGCGGATTGGGGTAACATTAAGAGATATGCTACCTCGGAATCGAGTGCTAATGCCTGCTTGGAGACAATCGAATGAAACAGTTTGGGCCCATGAGACAGAAAATATTGCATGAGATATGGTGGAGCACGGGTAACACTGCGCATTAGATTCTTGTAGATTTCTCTGTAATTAATAGGGTAACCCACATATTTGTCACCAAGCAAAGATTTGTTCATAGTTTGATAAAGTGTACTACCTTCCGTCAAGCAGTAAGTATTGTTGACCAAGTCAATGATTGCTTTTGCCATGTTTAGCAGGTTGTAACCCACTAACTCAAAAAGAAAACACGAAGAGTATGCTATGAATTGTTTTATTTTGAAAATCTCGGTTTTCATATCGAAATCATCATTATGAGGGATTCTGAATTCTTGAGAATAGACCATGAAATCCTCAACCGATGGCTCATGCAACCTCCATTCCAATACACACATGACGTGGAGTTCCATTTCTCTAAACATTTCATTGGTACAACTGAACAGAAACCCGCAAATATTAATTAAAGCATTTAGTTTGGGCAAACGGTAACGTTTTGTGAGCCCATAAGCTTGGTTTCTGGCCCTTGTACCCATCTTCATGGTGGAGATGTTTTTTTTACCGCTTTTCTCAGAGCCCAAGAAAATGAAACAATTATTGCAACCACTAATTTTAGCCGCTATGGTCAAGCATGCGACTATGGAGAGCTGTGCTTCATCTGGCAGTACTATGATTTTCAGGCAGTATCTGTCAAAGTAATGCACAGCCTTGTAAAAGATGAATGTGGGAAGTTTCAATTTGTTCAGCACCATCAAAAGGTAACCGACCAAGTTACTCCTGGTTGAAGAGTTGAGAAATGGCTGGTTCTTATACCTTGTAAGACTGAATGCCGAGTAATCTATAGAGTCTCTCATACTGGCAAGAATTTCTCTCGAATATTCTGAAACAACTCTTTCATGACACTTCACTTCATGTTCGTAATACTTGTGATGATATTCATATCGTCTGTCAATAGCATTTTCGCTTTTTGGGGCCTGGTTGGCTCTGATTTGCATTGGTAAGTTTGTGTGCATTTATCTTTTGTTCACACTGTAAATTTAAGGTACCAGAATGCTGCTAAAGTGAATTTTGATCAAGATCTCGAGATGAAACATCGCCATTGCGAACCAGTAATCCGGACATATTTGAAAAAAAAAAAAAAAAAAAAAAAAAGGAAAAGTGCATTACAATGGTAAAAATTATAACATTTTACTATGCACTGTGTAATCTGTACGATCTATTTAATTCATCGTGCATGTGGCTATTTCCTAACTAGTTCGCGGATATGTAGTGTTGAGACGCCTTCAAGGAGACCATGCAGATAATATTTTTTGGTATGCAGATAACGTTGTGATCGGAGATGCATAGCCCACCTCTGTCGAATAGATGTTGACTTTCGCGATTTCCTCTTTGGGGCCACCTTTGCTGAAGAAATAAGAATAGCATGATGTATTTCCTCTCCAATCTCAGACCCAACATGTCGCAAATCATTCTGTACCATCCCCCACGACTGCATACTCATAGATGCCTGTACCTGTGTAAACGAATATGCATATAAATTCTGGAAGCTACCTCGCAGTGTAAATAAACGTTTGTCGTCTAACCATGCATCCGTGCCCAAATTGGAAGTGTCAGATTCGAAACCGCAGTGCATGGCTCGTGAGTTTAGCTGGATTTCCCATAGCGAGTTTTTCCGAACAGAGGCCCTGATAGTTTTTGATTCTATAAAGATTCTGAACATTCAACGATTTTGAGCCTATTTGCGATTGTTCTCTCATGTTTCTTGACAGACCAGTCCTCAATCACTAGACTTTCAACTCATCTATTCGATCTTCAGCGTTTTCGTGTCCGAAAATATTTTTTCCCCACCCACAGGACTATTGTTTATGCAACCTTGTCCTTTTACCGATCTCTTCATGCATTCTTGCAGGTAAACTAACCTTGAAGTTTCTTAGCTTGCGTGACGCATGAGTCAGAGACGCCTAAAGTTCCTGATTTAAGGAGAGCTACCAAATACCCTTCTTGCATAGCTGAAATAATGGCTCCCCACTTACCTAGAAGATTTCTGCCTCTACGAAGGTCCTAAATACGAAGCTTTCCATCGGGGAAATTTCTGTCGGCATTGAAACAGAATTAAGAAACAGCGACTATACTTTCGAAAGGGGATAGAGTCTTCAATTCTCATCGTTACATGAGATTATACAAATACTGCTTTTGCTAATTTGCTACATATATGCTTGCCATTCACTTGAGTGATTCATAATTCTTGTCTACGTTTCTTGTTAACAGGTATCTCGAAAAGTAGTAAACACAAGGTCACAGCGTCTTCAGCCCTTTTCTGGAAGGAAAACTTTGCAATTCAGAAATAAAATATTCCCCAAATCTTCCAATATCCTCAGAAAAACTTTGTCGACTAAATCACACGTATATGGACCATATTTTGCCTCTGGAAAAGTGAAGAAGAACCTGTCTGATGATCCCTATCTCTTCTGTATTGAGATCGAGTACTTCATCAAAGATTGGCATTTCATAGAAAGGTAATCCCTAGTTTCACGCTTCAAGGAACGATTTTGTTCATAGATTTTAATCTTAGTAAGCATCTCAATATGTGGGTTTCGGTAACTTTACTCTGCGGTAAAGCTGTGTAATATCCGATGCATATGCACCTTGGTCTGCAGTCTACGTGTTTGAAGGCATATGCATCCGGTTACTCGAATGCTTCTATCCGGTAAGGCTTTACGAATTTGTGCAGCCGAGTTTTAGGGCCCGAAGACGATTCCTCATGTTTGAAAGGCAAGATATAGCCCATCACTGTCTACATGATAACTATACGATGTATTGACTTAGAACATGGCCTTTTCCAAGTGTCAATGCCTGTGTCTAGAAGATTTCTTTCTTTTTTTCTCCAATCGACTATTTTAAGAATATACGAGTGTTACGTCTGTTGAATACATGCTTGGGAAGATAATAATTGACTGTGCCGGCAGAAGGAGCCCGCTATGCTTTGCATTCCAAGCATACCATCTGCTCACTTATTTTACATTACCTCGGCTGCCATTCACTCAAAGGTAAGTAGAATAACATGTCGTGCTTTACCGAAATGATCAGAAGATGACATGACTTTTCTTGACCAGGGGTAAATTTCATATCCATGCGCTATGAAAAAGTTGAGCATGATTCCTATACGAAAGCTTAATGAAAAACTCTTCATGCACGGAAGTTTCTTTCGTGATAAATCCGATTCCAAGTGTTTAATGTTGATGACTGAGATTGACTTTCTCTTCCTCGAGTATGCTTCCTGTCTATTTCGTCATGATGATCCTTAAATTTCATATGGTCGCTCAGCGTCACAGTTTTCCAATTTGTGATGCGGCTTTTCGTGTTTTGGCTGATAAATAGAAATAATAGTCTTTTTGAAAAGCCTATGATTATGACTTTCAACTATGAAGCAGTCTACATATGGAAAAACATTCACGCTTAGGGTGACTTTTCTTTTGTGCTTCCCTCAATAGAGTTATTTTCTGGTCCAATGAGTACTTATTGAGTTTCCACTTTCTCGTCTCTATTGAGATTCCGTTGTACACATGAGCATATAATTGCATTAAGCCATCTTGAATCATCGACCTCAAGCAATTCTCTGTGTTTCGCTAAAAGAGGATCTTTAGAAATTTGAAGCGCTTAGATGTTAGAAACGAAGAGCCCAAAGAGCCTTTCCTTGCTGCTGTATTGGGTCCAGGATTTTCTCCAATACGTAGGGTTCGTTCCGTCTCTAAGCCTCTGAATCCCAAAAACAGTGTTGTCAAGCATGCGAACCGTATTATGAAGTGTAGTTTAAAATGGCTCTCTGGTCTTCTTTTCCTTCTAATTATTGAAACATGCCAGTCTGTACATTTTCAAGAATTACATAGGATGTCTTATTATGTGTCTTGCGCTTAATATCCCTGTGGAAAACATTTGAATTTTTGATTCGACGTAGAATATTGAAGCCCAAAAGTTTCTGAGAAGAATTCCCACTAAAGTTGGCTATTGCAGGTACACTCGAATTTTTGACCAATTTATCAGAATTCATTTACATGGCGCTCGCTCCCGACTTCCTTGTATTCCATGACAATCTGAAATTTTGCGCAGTCGGTCAAATTCTTAAGAAATCCTATTTAAGCAGTCAAGATGGAAACACATCTACAAATTACTTAAGATATACTAGAAGGAAAGTCAACTTCATGTATGGAAGAGAGAATGACACAAAACATTTATTATTTTTCATTGAAGTGCGATTTTGCAATGAGATGTCTAATCTCTCATTTTGTACAAATGAGGAAAAAACGTTCGCACTCATTATTTTTCCTCTTCACTCTAATTTAACCATTGCTTGATGAAAGCAAATAGGGATTGTGAAGGCTCGGTAGAATTTGACTCAAATTTTTACCAACATCATTATAAAAGAGTTTGAGGTGTGAAGAGGTGCCAATACATCCAGATCTAGATTTTCAAGGTTTCATTCAAAAGTATTGGTGTGCTCTTGAAACGTGTTTTTCTTAGCTACTAGGCAAAATCTACAATATTATTTCAGTTAAGTGATCTTAATACAAACGTGAGAGCAAATAGTTCATAAATGCCGAAGCTAGATTCCAGATTAGTAAAGAAAGAAATTGAAAATTGACACAAGAGTAATAAAAATGGAAACGTGGTTGAAATTAGCCCCTCCAGTCACTGATATTGATGGAATAGGCCCAGTGGCTATGGGCTTGGAACTCGCTTTTACCACAGAAGGGTTTTCGTGACTAAACACGGCTTGTGTTACAGCTAGAATAGACGTGGTAGCACCTTGCGTCGTTGTAGAAGTTGAGATACCAGCTGGGTAAATATACTTGGATGTATCGCTAGCTTGAGATCCACCTTCTGGAAAAATAGAAGCAGGATTATCTGTTTCAGTTGATAATGTTACTTCACTATAGCCAGAAGAATGTTTTGTGGAAACGTAAGCCGCAAGAGTCTCCGTTTCAACTTCAACTGAAGTTAGTGTTTTTATTTTCTTCGTTGAAAAGTAGTCAGTGATGGGCACAAATGTGCTTTTTGACGAAGTAGTTGTATCTTCATCCGAAGTGTTATAGTATCGCGCATAAGAAGAGTGTGATGCGCTATCAGAACTAGTTCTGGTAGTGGACGCAGAAATATCAGACACAGGAGATGGAGTTTGGGAACTGGAAGAGGTGAGTGGTGACTCCTCTGGAAATAGAGAAGTCACAGTAGTTAATAACCCTTCAGTTGTAGTAATAACAACCACGCCAGACACAATTCTTTCTGTCCCTATTTCGGTCAAGGTAAAAGTGGTTGTATACCGTGAACAGACTGGGCATGAGTTGGAAACAATGTCAGGTATGGTGGTAGAAGAAGAAGAAGATTCAACCAGAAAGGTGACTTGGGACGAGCTTTGTTCGTGACTACTACTGGATGATGAAACAACAATGCTCGAGGAACTAAAGCTTGATTCGGAATTGAAACTTGACAGGGTGCTAGAAACTGACAGCACACTAGATTCAACAGAGCTGGAACTGTAACTTGAGCTAGATTCAAAACTCGAACTTGAAACTTCACTTGAGCTGCTTGAACTTGATATTTCACTTGAGCTACTCGAGCTTGAGATTTCACTTGAACTGCTGGACCTTGAGATTTCGCTTGAACTGCTTGAACTTGAGATTTCACTTGAGCTCGATATTTCGCTCGAGCTACTTGAACTCCTCTGAGGCTCTGGAAAATCGAAAATTGTGGGACAATCATTGCAAACAGATGGACTGGAAGCTGAAGGTGGAGGCTGGCTATAGGATACGTAGGCCAAGATGAAAATGCCCCCCGAAAAACCTCCACTCAGAACCAGAATGTATTGCTGCTCGTAGCCTTCGCCCACGTTGAAAGTGAAAGTGAAAAATCCAACATCCACAGTCAAAACGGACCCACTGATAGTAGCTGAAAGTACGAGAGTAAGAAACCCTATTTTGTTACCGTTGCCCCATCCGACAATAGTAAATGTATTTGAAGGCATCAGAAGCCCAAAGCTGACTTGCGACGACGATGTCGAAAGATAAATGGTTTGCGAAGACGGCAACGGATTAGTACTCGCCTGGTCGATAATCAAGAGGGAATCCTGTCCGACGGAATAGCATCCTGTTCCCTGAACTTTGGACCGCTGATAAAAGTTCATTTGGTACAAACATATTGTACCCTCGTTAAGAACCGATTGTCCCGTTTGGCCAAAAAAGGCATTTCCGCCGCTTCTGCTTACACTCTGTGCGTAAGTGATCGTCCCATAATTTTGTGGGACGGTCACTAAGCTGGGCCAGATGTTCATGGTCGAGCCTCCGGTATTTCCAATTCCACCCATGTAAATGTGGCCGCTGTTGACAAACGCCGGTCCGGTAAAGCGGAAATCGCAAGCAGAGGTTTCACTTGCGGCATTGAGAACCACATCTCCGTTATTGGTGAATCCCAGGCCAAAAGTCACAGACATGCCCTCATTATTTCCAGTGTCGATGACAAACAACTGTCCGTTTACGGTAACAACGCCATCAAAAGTGTTACGAATGTAGCCGTTTCTATTGTCGAAAGCTAGATAGACCCCTGGGTCGATGTAGAGATCACCAAAATGATTAGCATTTCCAACAACGTCGAGATTCTCGCTCACGATGAGCGCAAAGATAGTTGAAGCTAAACAAGCCAAGAACAAAAAAAAGTCCGACAGATGCATTTCTGGCGGATTATCGGCCTTCACATGACCACATTAAAGTACTTTTTGGCAGAATTTTTTTCATTCTAATTTCTCTATCGTCTCCTTTTAGACCTGCAGTGTGCCTCAGTTAGATGCGTTAAGCGACGGTGCATAATTCGTATCTTGCGTTTGTCGCCTAGCTCGTAATTTAACTTAAATCCAAACAGCCTATGTTTGAACGGCTAGGATCTTCTTGGATGAGTGGCGACTCTTTGTCCTATATTTTGTCAAGGGCGAAAGCTCGGGTAAATTGACTAGGCTATAGCTTGGGTGTAGCTTTCTATAGCTTGTCTATAGCTTGTCTATAAATTCGACTCCACCTCACACAATGATGCACGTTGCATTACCCGTTTTACGGCCCGCATGAACTTCCCGTTTAGAATCTCCCTTTGAAGAGGATCCATTAGCCACTCAGCTTTAGTGTTTTTCGTTTCCTTATCTTGGCTCCAAAACAGGCATTTCCAAGCCGTGCGGCTTGTGCAGATAAATCTCCTCTCTACACATGCGCTCACCCCGACATTAAAGTTGAACCTAACTAGCCCTGGTTTTTAAGAGACCCTGACATGGAAGGAAAATCAGATAGAAATTTATTCGAACCCAAAAAGATGTGTATTTTCAGTGGGTGTTCATTTTTCCCAAAAGCAAAATGGCATGAAGATTTGCTGTCTCCTTTACTTTCGCCGGTTTAGTAAACACGATGTGTTAATTCCCCGCCGAATTATTATCGAAGCTGTTCTTTCAAACGACCCGTTCAGGTCTGTGGTTACCTCCTTTTTTCTTTATTTTTTTTTCTTGCTTTTCTGTTTCAATCAGGCTTTCAGACTGTGTTGCAGTCGTTTATGCCTAAGATTGTCTGGGTGACTTTTTGATCCATACCATCCACAATCAATGAGAAAGCTCTTCGTTTTTTTCTTTTTTGCACCCCTTTTCCTTTTGCCCGTAAAGTTCTCGTAACTAACTCCATGCACCCCCACAAAACTGACCAATTGTGGCTGATGCACATTCAGCCCTCGTGCATGTGTCTGTTCAACATTGACTGGACATTTGGAGACTGAGCCTCATCCAGAATTTTAGATTCCTTAAAGGACTCTTAACAACAGGGGTTTTGCTCATTTGAATGATGTGCATATCGTCAAGATCGGATGTGCCGTAGGAAGGATTACTCTTCGCATTTCATTACTCAAACTTTGTAAACAATTTCTCGTCTCGTGGAACCAGACCATCTTCTGTTATTCCCTGAATCCTCTTCATTATTATATAAAGCTACATTACTGACATTCGGGTCAAAGTTGAATGCCCTTAAGTTTGTAAGCTTAAGAAATTTTGACCTCTCAGGGCAAATGTCCTTGCATAAAATAGTGCATGAAGTGGAGTGTATGAAGGAGAATTGGAGAACTTGTACATAGATTTCGTTATCGCCATCGTATGTGCTATAATCAAATTTGTCTAGGAATATTGCAAACATCTACAATAAAGTTCTGGATAGCGGGGTTAACTTTAACACTTTTTGCATAATTTTCAAGCATACCGACATCAAGTGCCTATTTTAATTTATCTAGAGGCAGAATATATAGTATTCTGTTTTGTACATCTTCTCCTATGGCCCTGAAGTCCCATTTTCGACATTTAGCTTTACATTTTCAATCAAACTTAACAAATTAGAATTGGAACCGTGTCTGGTTGATAATCAATACCAAATAGAATTCATTGCATGTACATCTACTCGCACTTGCAGTAACTAACAATTCCCGAACGAAAACTATGGTCCGTCCTAGATCATTCAATCTTCGCCCTCCAAGAAATCAATTTGCAGTAGAAAACCAGAACTATGTGCACAAACTTCAGAATTAGTACCTTTAAAATCGGAAATTCGTACACAGGGAAACCAGAATTGGTCATCTGATGGTTCTCAGTTTTGGTCTAATATAACCTCTCCTTTCTGCGAATGTTTGTATTGACATTCTCTATCTATGTAGTTTTAATCAATCTGAAAAATTGTAGACAACAATTCCATGAAGCATCTTGGACTATCCTCAACAGCGAATTCTACAGAAGTACGAAGAGATCGGGTACTGAAGGGTTAAATTAGCCAAAGATGGAAAGAACATATAGCAGGATACATAATTATATTCCCTCTTAATACCAAATGGAAGAGGACCCTCGCCTGGATCAGTGTAGTACGCCTGAATGATTGAAATTTCATGTACTACTTTTGAAAGGCGTATTGCATGCCCATTTTATTTCATTGTGTCTCTGTAAATTACGCAAAATTTTTGCAAAGCGAATTTCTAATTTACTTTATGACGGATTTCGCTCTATCCACGAAATGTCATTTTTCTCTGTACCGAATTTACGTTTCCATTTGTTCAATTTTTGATTTCTTAATGTTCTCTTCTCGAAGTGTGAATTCTAGTGTCTTGAGGTGGGAATATCGATGTAGGTGTATGGACCACTATTTGGGATTGACTGTAACCTGTAGTTTCCAAATGCTTAGTATTTTGTGATTCAGAGAAGACATAAGGATGGTCCTTGAAAGCCATGAAAACTCATTCTAAGCATTTAATCAACTCTTTTCGGCTCATATTTAACCTGAACGAGTTAGAGTATGAAATCTTACAGCTTCTTCCCTCCAAAAGTTGCTAGGGATTTCCATTAGGATGATTTGAACTTTTATAGCATTTCGAGTTGAAAAACAAATTCCACAATTTCATTGACATTGTGTTAGCTTTTCAAAACGCAGTACATGAAAGCTTCTTGTTGAATTCGAAATTATTCACGTCTGTATTTCTCAAATCAGGAACCGACGAAATAGATCTTGATAAATAAACAAAACATTCTAGTTCATTTTACTTCATCATTGAGACCTCGATCAAAACGAATATGAATTTTTATTTAAACCTATAATGTAATACATCATCAGAAGAATAGAAGGTGAGAGAGAAAAGTAGTAAGATACGAAGAAACAATCCTGAAGAAAGGTAAAGAGGCAATAAAAGACCTGGCGTCCACCGCTTAAAAAAGCAACATGGCCAAAAACGAAGCAACGAACACAGATGTGCTCTTTTGCAAAACACCCGCACCGGCAGTCACAGAAACAACAGGAGCAGTAGAAGATTGCGCAGATCCGGAAGTCTGGGAACTGATCAAAGTGGAAACCTCATAGGCACCCAGCGATGATGCTACAGTCACTTGTGAATTTGGTGACTCGGGCGAGTTCTCTGCTGCAGCGGTACCTTCAGGGCCAGCTGAAGTTGCGACAAGGTTGGCCTGTCTCACTTCAGAAGCAGTGGCATTAGGTGCCTCTTCCTGAGGTGTGGCAGAAGCAACGACAGTGGAGGTATACTCCACACCATTGACGTCAGTGGACACCACTACACTGCCAGAGGTAGCTTCAAGCTGTGCGGTCGAGCAGACAGTAGAAGTATACTCCACACCATTAGCATCGGTAGACACGATGACACTGGTCAAAACTTGGGGTTCGTTGGTGGGACTGACTGTAGAAGTGTACTCCACACCATTGACATCAGTAGAGACCACCACACTGGTCAAAGCTTGTGGCTCTTGAGTCGAGCAGACCGTTGAGGTGTATTCTACGCCATTTGCATCAGTAGACACCACAACACTAGTTGAAACTTGTGGTTGTTCGGTGGGGCTGATAGTTGAGGTGTATTCCACCCCGTTGGCATCAGTAGAAACCACGACAGTAGTCAAAGCCTGTGGCTGCTCAGTAGGTGTGACTGTTGAAGTATACTCCTCGCCATTAGCATCAGTAGATACCACGATACTTTCAGTTGCCAGTGCTTGGGTTAAGCTTTCGGAGTAAACCGTCGAAGTGAACTGGTCACCGTTTACATCTGTAGACACCACAACGCTACCGGTCAATGTTGTCTCTGCACCGTTAGTATCAGTCGAAACAAACGAAGTGGTATACTGGGTGCAAACAGGGCAAATTGTGGAAATAGTCGTGACGGTTGAGGCGGTGGAAAGAGTAAGAGCAGCAGATGTCGTAGTTGGCTGTGCTGATACATCAGAAGCAACCGGAGTTTCTGGAGAAGCCTGAGAAGAAGCTGGGGCTGGAGCATTTCCAGAAGGTTCCACGGCTCCGTTAGTGGACGCTGAAGCTGGCAAAGTACCTTGACCGGTTGCCAGAGGGTTCTGTGATTCAGGACCTGTTGTGTCAGTCTGTGCTCCAGGTGCAATGGCATTGGTCGAGTCAACAGGGACAAAAGTGCTGGAAGGACCAGCCTCTGATCTTGTGGAGTTGACGAATTCAGTGAAGCTTGAAGAGCCAGCACCGCTTGAGGATGGTGACGAGCTCGATGGAACGCCTGCGCTAGCGGAAGACTCATGGATGACAGAGGAGACTTCAGACGAACGGGAACCTGACGAGGAAATGGAACCAGAAGCCAAAGCTGAAGCGTGAGAAGATGATTCTGAAGCATGAGAAGATGATTCTGAAGCATGAGAAGATGATTCGGAAGCGTGAGAAGATGACTCGGAAGCGTGAGAAGACAAGGTTTCAACAACAGATGGAGATGCGACGGTCATCGTGGTCAATGAGCCCTTCGAATCTGTAGTAACTCTGAGAACTTCTGCCATCAACTCAAACAATCCATCAGGACCAGCAGTGGAGATGGTAGTGGTGTACTGGGTACACTCGGGACAGTCAGAACTACCAGAGAAACTGGAGATCAGCACGCTGGCAGAGTGTACTGTAGAGTTGGTTAAGCCAGTCGCCAGAGAAGCCGAGGAATGGACTGGAACATGGCTAGAGCTTGGTGCAGCAGAGATGCTGGGCTCTCCGCTTGATGCATGCGATTCACTAGAGCTCGTGTGATGGCTTGAGCTGAACTGGCTGCTTGCGCTAGACCTATGGATCGAAAGAGGCTTCGAACTGGATTCTTGGCTCGAGCTAGATTCGTGGCTGGAGCTTGGCTCATGGCTAGAGCTTGGCTCATGGCTAGAGCTTGGCTCATGGCTAGAGCTTGGCTCATGGCTAGAGCTTGGCTCATGGCTGGAGCTAGATTCATGGCTGGAGCTAGATTCATGACTAGAACTAGATTCATGGCTGGAGCTAGATTCATGGCTAGAGCTAGATTCATGGCTGGAGCTAGATTCATGGCTAGAGCTAGATTCATGGCTGGAGCTAGATTCATGGCTAGAGCTAGATTCATGACTTGAACTAGATTCATGGCTAGAGCTAGATTCGCTTGCTGATTCAGGAGAGAGGGTTCTTGTAGTAAGGGCTCCTCTGGAGTTTCTTGTAATCAAAATGAGCTCAGCTTTCAATTCGAACTCACCCTGTGCATCGGTAGTAGAGACGGTAGTCGTATACTGGGTACATCCTGAGCATTCAGAGGAGCTAGGAGCTTCTGAAATCGACAGGCTGCTTAACTCTCTAGAGCTTGACGGGTTGGTGCCCAAACGGTGGCTCGAACTTGGTTCCGAGCTAGATTTTGCAGAAAAACTTTCTGATGAACTTGACTTGTGGCTTTCACTAGCTGTAGGTCTTGCCAAATCGCTTGATCTTGATGCTGGAGCCGCAGACGACTCGCTGCTAGGTCTATGGGAAGAGCTCTCACTAGAAGCAGGTTCAGAACTGGATGAGCTATTAACAGGCTTTCTAGAGGCAGAGCTGGAACCCTCTTCAGAGCTAGAACGAGAAGGTTTAGGTACAGAACTGGATCCTTCCTTTCTTGACTCGGCACTGGACAGTTCCAGAACCAAACTAGATTCAGAGACTGAGGCAGAATGAGAAACAGAAACAGAAGACTCTGAACGCACACTAGAGCTAGATTCTGGACGTCTAGGGGCACTAGATTCCGAAGATTCGGACGATCTTGGTCTTGGAGCTGAACTGGATTCAGAGGACTGGGATGATCTTGGAGCAGCACTGGATTCGGATGATCTTGGTCTAGGAGCAGAACTGGATTCAGAAGAGGCAGAAGACCTTGGTCTCGGAGCTGAACTGGACTCGGAAGATGCAGAAGATCTTGGTGCAGCACTGGAAGATTCGGACGATCTTGGTCTTGGAGCTGAACTGGATTCAGAGGACTCTGAAGATCTTGGAGCAGCACTGGATTCGGATGATCTTGGTCTTGGTGCAACACTGGATTCAGATGATGCAGAAGATCTTGGGGCAGCACTGGACGATTCAGAAGATCTTGGTCTTGGGGCAGAGCTGGATTCAGAAGCGGCAGACGATCTTGGTCTTGGAGCAGAACTGGACTCGGAAGATTCGGAAGATCTTGGTGCAGCGCTGGATTCAGAAGATCTTGGTGCAGCACTAGACTCAGAAGATCTTGGTGCAGCACTAGACTCAGAAGATCTTGGTGCAGCACTTGATTCGGAAGATCTTGGGGCAGCACTGGATTCAGAAGATCTTGGTGCAGCACTTGATTCGGAAGATCTAGGAGCAGCACTGGACTCAGAAGATCTTGGTGCAGCACTTGATTCGGAAGATCTAGGAGCAGCACTTGATTCAGAAGCTGCAGAAGATCTTGGGGCAGCACTAGATTCGGAAGATCTTGGTGCAGCACTGGATTCAGAGGATCTTGGTGCAGCACTAGACTCGGATGATCTTGGTGCAGCACTAGATTCAGAAGATCTAGGAGCAGCACTTGATTCAGAAGCTGCAGAAGATCTTGGTGCAGCGCTGGATTCAGAAGATCTTGGTGCAGCACTAGACTCAGAAGATCTTGGGGCTGCACTTGATTCGGAAGATGGGGCTGCACTAGATTCGGATGATCTTGGTGCAGCACTTGATTCGGAAGATCTTGGGGCAGCACTTGATTCAGAAGCTGCAGAAGATCTTGGGGCAGCACTAGATTCGGAAGATCTTGGTGCAGCACTGGATTCAGAGGATCTTGGTGCAGCACTAGACTCAGAAGATCTTGGAGCAGCACTTGATTCGGAAGATGGGGCTGCACTAGATTCGGATGATCTTGGTGCAGCACTTGATTCGGAAGATCTTGGGGCAGCACTTGATTCAGAAGCTGCAGAAGATCTTGGGGCAGCACTAGATTCGGAAGATCTTGGTGCAGCACTGGATTCAGAGGATCTTGGTGCAGCACTAGACTCAGAAGATCTTGGAGCAGCACTTGATTCGGAAGATGGGGCTGCACTAGATTCGGATGATCTTGGTGCAGCACTTGATTCGGAAGATCTTGGTGCAGCACTAGACTCAGAAGATCTTGGGGCTGCACTTGATTCGGAAGATGGGGCTGCACTAGATTCGGATGATCTTGGTGCAGCACTTGATTCGGAAGATCTTGGTGCAGCACTAGACTCAGAAGATCTTGGGGCTGCACTTGATTCGGAAGATGGGGCTGCACTAGATTCGGATGATCTTGGTGCAGCACTTGATTCGGAAGATCTTGGGGCAGCATTTGATTCGGAAGATGGGGCTGCACTAGATTCGGATGATCTTGGTGCAGCACTGGATTCAGAAGATCTTGGTGCAGCACTAGACTCAGAAGATCTTGGGGCTGCACTTGATTCGGAAGATGGGGCTGCACTAGATTCGGATGATCTTGGTGCAGCACTTGATTCGGAAGATCTTGGGGCAGCACTGGATTCAGAAGATCTTGGAGCAGCACTAGACTCAGAAGATCTTGGGGCTGCACTTGATTCGGAAGATGGGGCTGCACTAGATTCGGATAATCTTGGGGCAGCACTAGATTCGGAAGATCTTGGTGCAGCACTTGATTCAGAAGATCTTGGTGCAGCACTTGATTCAGAAGATCTTGGTGCAGCGCTGGATTCAGAAGATCTTGGTGCAGCACTAGACTCAGAAGATCTTGGTGCAGCACTGGATTCAGAAGATCTTGGTGCAGCGCTAGATTCCGAAGCTGCAGCAGATCTTGGAGCAGCACTCGATCCAGAAGACTCAGACAGTCTTGCCGAGTTCACATCTGAACTGGAGCTGGCCCTAGCATTTTGGTCACTGGAAGATGCAGAATTCACGGCAGCAGCCCTTCCGTTGCCTCCACCCACTGCTCTAGGAGATAAATTATGCTCTGTGTCTGGGTCTTCTCTTTTGTCTCCAGGACCCGACCCATCTGTTCTTTTGTCATGCAAAACTCCGCTGATGGCATTTTCGCGTTTGTGAAGGCCATCTAGGTTTGAATTTATAACGAGTGCGAACACACTAGTGACAAGCACTACCAAACTTAATAGCAAGCCAAAAGCTGATCGCATTCTTTGGCTATTCACATTTTCATACTGGCAGCTCTACTCCTTTAAGTACTTCTTGAGCTGAACGTGGCTGCTTATGGGTTTGGCCAACATGTTCAAGATTAAACGACTTTCCAAGGCATATCGCGCATGGCCGTTACCCAAACATGCATGATGCATATGACTTGCAGATACATCAGATCTACAGTTGTCTTTGACACCTCTTAGCTCTTTTTCACATCTTCTTCACACCCTTTCCTATCGGATGAGACGGTGGAATGTTGGAATTACGCGCTAATTATGCTCTTTTGCGGTGTGGATCCAAACCTACGTCCCCCTCTTGACAATTGTTTACGAAGTAGTTTCGTGCTTTCAGAGGGGGGATGTTGGTATGCAAGTGTTTGCAGGAAAGAAGGGGTCCGAAGGCTACAAATCATGGTACCATCCCAAAATCAATCTGCACCAGCCATCTGGTCCAAACATCCGTACGGATAGACTTTCCTTTCTTTCTGCATTGTATATCTTCATGGCATGCAAAGGCCACATCTTAGACTTTCTTGTATCAGTTTAATTGAGATCGTTCAGACTATAGCTGACTAAGAAGGCTCGAAATGAAAATAAGACATGAGTGGATGTTTTCAGCTCCTAGAAACGCCCTTTTGCACTTTCTGCTCATGCATGGGCTACATGAAGATCTATAGAATTATAGTACATGCATGCTGGTGCAGCTCTCAAAAGAGGTATATTTCCAATGATATGTACACCTACGGCTCCTTTGTCTCTTTTCCGGATACGATGACGTCGAAGGCTTTAGTTCGATAGTGCACAGTCAAGGGTTTCTCTTTAACTGGTCATTATTATGGGCCTAGCCTCATAAGCCTCTTTTAGTGTGGCATTGTCTTTAGCTCCCCCTTCAAAGAGCGAAAGAGAATTTGTGTAATCCCGTAGTCTCCGGTTTGGTACAACTTAGGACAACACTTAAATGTTTTGAACAAGTCCTATGTTACAAGTACCAAGGCCACTTAGTTATTTTCCAAGGATATTTCTCTATATCTTTGGCTACTAATGACATATTCTGACCTGTCCTGGTCGACCCACTTGCACTATTGGCATTGATCCAGACTGGTGCATAACGTTGCATATGCATGTGTCAGTGTCCCCTGTGTTATACTGCACAATGTCTCACGCTACATCAACACTGGCTATCTCGGAAAAGATGGCTCAAACTACCGTTGCAAGTATCGCTGATACTCCTACTTTGATATGAAATTATCGAGTATTTTTAGCAAGACACGAACACAAAAGAAGAGAAAGGAAATAATGACATCAAATGTTGATTAAAAAAGTTCACTTTGCCCTCATACGTCAGATTGCACAAGTGGCATACGACGTATGTGGCACCAGTCCGATAGGTCTTTTTTTTTTTTTTTTTTTTTTTTTTTTTCCTGCCTGCTGCTCCTAATCCGGTAAAAGCTAAATACTCATTGAAGAGTTTCTATAAAACAACTGGCTTTGCTCGACCGAAACTCTGTTGACGTTATCATAAACATCACCACCGGCAATATCTGTACCTTGCAAAGCGGACATGTCAATTCTCGATGGAGATATGTTGACACACTGCACAAAATACTATATCTGTGTCTGTTGTGGGGAGGTAGTACATAATGCAACTGTGCGTGATCTCGCTAAAAACTCCCCTGTATCTTCAAAGTAACCTAATGAGAAGAAACCACAAGGGGCATAGGTCGTTTAATTTTCGCGACTATCCTGCAGTTATATCTTGCAGTAAGTCTCTAATTGGATAGTCTCCTGAACAAATGTGGCCCTCCGCGTGGCTGAATCGGTTACATTATGGTTATGAGATTTCTCGAGATGGGCCCACCATCTAAAAACATCTGTCTAAGCTTCGGAACAAGCTTACATTCAGAAATTTCTTGTACGGAGAATAAGATCCCGGATCGCTCGAAATGCTTTTGTAATCTGTAAAGCGTCGTAGACTCTGCTTTGCTTTTTTTATGAGCTAGTGGCTTGTCCGAAAACTCCTTTGGGACACGCATTACTTCTCATAACCGGAAACCTACTTTCCATTATTGGATATTTGGCTGCGGCAGCAGAAAAACTTTTACTAAGTGAGGTGAGTGCGCTCTTTAAATCGCTCAAACACTTCAAAGGCTTATAAGCAAAACGGGAAGCCTCCTACCGATTCCGTGGGAATTCGTTGTAAGCAAAACCTGATCTTGACGTGCTTCATTAGTCTGCAATCATGGAGCACCAAATCCCAACTCTTCTCTTAGTCTACAATACCGAGCCTCGGTGTCTGTTAAACTAGGCTTCGCTTATTATTACCGAAAGGACCATGGTGAGAAGGTTTTGAGGGCTGCCATGTCTAATTCTACCTTTGGTTAGTAGTAAAAGTGGTCTATCCGTATTCTCCGGTTACGAGCTTTCGTACATTTCCGGAACGGACAATGCAACATCTCTCATCGACGCCATGTCTCAAAGGGTTATAAATATTTCTCCTTTCACCACAACAGTTGGCTGGTAAGTTTCAAAACGGCAACTTCATGCAGAAAAAAGTACTAGGAGCCAACTAGTGAAAATTTAGTGATCGCCCATCTAGGTCAAGGGCCAGTACGATAATAGGAGTAATGTTAATTCCAAGGGGAAGAAACCATCCGCTCTCAAAAAAATCTTCTAAAAGTCTGTAAGCTGGGGCTGGCTTTACCTTCGTATACCAATGACCTTAAGCATTAGTTGTCGCATGATTGTCTAAATACGTAATCCTTTAGTTATGCATTTGCACTAATGCAGTAGGTAAAAAATATTTTTTGTTTTGCATGAAGCATATTGACGACAAACTACGGATAAGCTTTAGTTTGTGCTTGAGTAAATTTTTTTGTCGGATGAAGATGTTAATGGATGAACTTCGAAACGGACAGAGTGTTTAATATTTCGACTCGACGAAATCACTCCAGCTAAAATCTCCATGCCACATTGACACGTTTTATCCCATTTTCATCTACGATTTAGTATCCTCAGCTCACACTAGACACATGAGTTTTCACATGGTGGATTAATGGACCAATAGATTCCAAAGTAGTTGACAAATACTATCATTTTATTCCATGTCAATGGAACAAAAGAGTCTTAAGTCCAAACCTCTGCCTTTCAGAGTACTACGATCATTGTAAACCACTTTTCTTCATTATTTATTTCCTCTTGTCCTAAAATCCATATCCCGAAGCCCACAGGGCAGAATTGAAGATAGTTATCTATTCAACTTACTAAAATTTTGGGAACCCATGTCCCCCAGGTAATTCGAAAGCCTTCTCCGTTTTTTACGTTATGACAGATTACGAAACCTTGTGTGAAACTTTGGGAAATGTCTGTAACACTAGACGCTCTATATTCGAAGAAAGCATAAGGTGTCTCGCAACTATGTTTTTACAAAGCAAGGTTCGATTTGGGGTACGTTTAATGGAAAAGAAACCTCGTGAAATTCTTTGTAGGAAAACTTCTAACAACTGACCAAGTTACTGGGAAAGAAGTGGCGCTGTTACTTTTAAAGTCGCAATCATCCATTACTCATCTTTGGGAGAAGTACAACAGCATTTGTTCGTCCAAGTGGTACCAACTCAGTTCTGGCATTCACATTGTGTCTCTGCCTCTGGCCAAGCTTCCTAATCTCTCCAGAATGGATATACGAAAAACATAATAATCAAAGTCTCATTTACTATATTCTCGACATTTTTACACCAGTCCAAGGTGACGATTAGGAACACCCGGAAAAATTCTCGTACTTTCTCAACAATATAATTAGATCAATTGATGGGGCAACTTAAACTCTCCTTTTATTATACACTAAGCCTGGAAGGTATTCTACATCCAATCGTCTCAACTGCTCGTGTTCATTCATCCAGAGAAACTGTGCTAAATCAATTATTCGACATTTATCAAAACTTGCGACGATGTTAGATGTGTGGTTATAGATTTCTATTGTTGGTGTTGCATATTTGTAACTTGATTCAACATTAAAGCAAAAGTAACGTTTCAGGGTTGACTTCGGACAACTTACATGTATACAGTTGCCCTTTTAGTATCCTGACACATTGGACAAAGTGGATGGGCAAAGAATCAGTCAAGAAGTTCATGTACAATAGTTGAAGGAGATGATGGAGAAGAACAAAATCTTGAATCACAGACTCTTGTTCGTTTAGATGAACCGTTCACAATTTTGTCTAAGATTGAAATCCTTCGTATGGACGAACAGCTTAGACTAGAAGATTTGACAACAAGAGATCATTTCAATGTTCAAAGGGCCAGGCAAGGTACCGAATGGCCTAGTATGTGATCCCAATTATTCCGTTCAAACGGGAAAGAGAATTTCCAAACGGTGGCTGTCTCCAATTAAAGCGGAAAAGAAGTCCTTTTTGTTCCCTGTTTGACTTTTTGTCAGTATGCTTTTTATATGAACATGAAGTAACTTATAACCAGAAGATTTGCATATTTACATTCCATTGATGTAGCTTTTTTGCTTTACCCAATAATACCAAGGGACGTTTTCGCATTTTTGAAAAACTATGACATAAAGATACAAATGATGAAAATAAAACATGTTGAAGAAATATAGGCTTATCATTCTTCAGAGCCTATTTTAATATAAATGACTACACAATTGTAATGAATTTGAGAAATAGATTTTCCTAGAATCGGGATAGCTGTGCGATGTATTGTCAATGGACATTTGTCTACCGTTTGCCTACTACTATATGTACACTCTACACCTTAAAGTTCAAGTGAGGTTGTTTTTCTTAAAACTTGAAGCTTTGTAGTCAAACATGTAATATGAATGAATACGACTTCGAATTTGTGTCCATACAGATTACAGAATATGCCATGGTGCAGAATTCCATGAATCGCACTGCCTTTAAGAGTCATGGGACCAAGCCATAATTTAAGAATATTGTATAGGAATCCCCATCGTTTCATGAAAGTTTGGCCGAAAGAAAATAGAGATACAAAGAAACTAAAGAAGTGAAGATATGTAAGCCAAGCTGGAGTTCAAATAAATACTTCGCTTATTGTTAACTTAATTAGACAACATAGTGTGTGAATATACTGTTGCGACTTTAGAACCAAGAATCAGCTTCATTTATCGACTTTTGTTTCTTTGCACCTTCGCTATTACCAAGATGCTGGTGTGTTTATTTCTACACGTACGCTTGCTGAGTCCTAGATATCACATTTATTAGTCATTTTCTCGTAAACAAACTCGTTGCAGTGTCGGAATTTCAGATTCTCTCCACGTAGGTCACTTCCACTTTCCCGGTAGACTCAATTTCGTTTGATTCGGCAGTACTATTTGAATCGCCAGTGGTGCCACCTGTAGAAATAGTCTTATACTCTTTCCACTTGCGAGGAGGAACACCTGCTTTGTACATCTCGTCGATTTCATCATAAGAACGACCGGAGGTTTCAGGCAAGTAGAGGTAAAAAAAGAGGAGAGCAGCAACACAGCACCCGGCAAAAATGAAGTTGATTGTTCCACCCATGTTGAGTTGGTCAGGGTTCACCATGTAAGGAAGTACAAAGGACCACATGCACATCAAGGAATAGTTGATGCAAACACCAACAGAGACTGCTTTTGCTCTCAAACTTGAAGTTGGCACTTCTGTGTTGATGACATACGAAATGGATCCAATTCCGGAATTGTAGAAGAAGTTGTACATGGTCAAGAATGCAGCAGCTCCAGTGACGTAACTGTGAGCCTTTGGTATACTGAGCGCAGCAGTAAACACGTTCAAGATGCCCAAGGTAATCATACCGGAGATAGCCACGAAACGTCTTCCGAAACGATCAACAATGAAGAACGACACGATGGTTCCTGAAACGGAAAGAGCTTGAGCACCGACACTGATTTGGAAAGACCGATGAACATTGAAGCCAGCAAGTTGATAGTAGTATGTTTGATAAGAGGAGACGTAGGCCAAACCAACCATTGGTTGGAATACAAAGGCGGAAATTGCCACCATAGTTCTCTTTCTGTTCTTCTTGTCAACAAGCTCCTTGTAAGAACCAGCAGCAGCCAAGGTTCTTGCCTCCTCGATGTTGGCCTTGATGATTTGCAACTGGGCCTCGGGCATTCCGGGCTGAGTGTAGATTTTGCGAAGACAGCGCAAGGCCTTTTCGTCGTTGTTCTTTAATGCAAAGTGGTATGGAGACTCTGGAAGAAACCAGAAAAACACAATGGTGCTGCCTGCAAAAGCCCACTGGGAGCAGAAAATAGCACGATATGCGGACCGGTCCAGCCGTCCCGCCGTCTCGTTTGTGATGATCGTGCAAACAAATGGACCCACACACATGGCCAAATTGGCACATGTTGTGGCTATACCTCTCAAGGCCAATGGGGTCAACTCTGCAATATAAGACGCACCCAGTGTTTGGATGACACCCAAGCAGATGGCGTTCAAGAACTTTCCGATGAAGAACACTTTGATGGAGGTGGCAGCGTACTCGATACCAATGAAGGCAAACGTCAAGGCCACAGCAACCCAGACCAAGTACTTACGGCCCACACGGTCAATAAGTGCCGAAGAGATGAAAGAGCCAAACACAAAGGCCGCATAGGGCCCGCCCGAAATGGCAGACTGCCAGTTTCCATCTAAAACGTACTCCTCTTTGTAGGCGTGGCCAAAGTCTTTTCTGAAGGTGGGGATGGAGATGACAATACCTCCAGCCTGGTTCTCGTATCCGACAGTGATCATGGCCCACACCATGATGGCAATGTAGATGCATGCTCGGGGATACAACTTTGCTGCTTCCCATTTCGTGTACAGATGCTCCAACTTCAGTTGCGCCTGCGCAATTTTCTCGTTGTCGACCACTTCGAGGTCGGCGTGGGTTTTTTCCAAAGATGCCCTACTCATGGCGATTCACTGGAATAGATGGATAGATTATAGTGGTTAGAACAAAATAGGTTAGGAACTGGCCACATCGCCGCTTCTTATACCCTTTGATGATGCATACACTCCGCTCACAAAAATATGTCAACATGTGGGGTAGATGTACCTGTTTCCAGAAAGCAAGCGGCGCAGAAACATCGCCGCGAACTCCGAAGTGGTGATATCTCAGCCTTTAGCATGAAATTAGGCTCCTGTCAAGAACCCCAGGTTTTGGATGTTCCTGCAGCCGTGCATACGCCGCGCATTCGAAATTATCTTCTCCGCATTCCCCACAATCTCATCCGTATCTCAAAACCAGTAAGTCCGACATGAAGATAAGATGTGCGATAAAAAGAGATACAAGCAATAAAAACGGCGCAATAAGAGTATTGGTCTTGATCCGAAGAACATAGCAGGCTAACAAAAAACAACAGAATCAAAATAGAAAAACAAAGAACACGGAGTAGCAAATTAGGTGCGTAAAACCCTCATCCATGTGGCTGCGGGGCTTTAAGGGCTCATAGCAGATACTACACCTTGGCGCAGAAATGTCCATGCGCTACTCCTCTACAATGAAGAAGAGAAAAAGAAAATGGTCTTGGTTGGGAGCAACAGCTTGTAGAGTAGTGACTAGTGATGTAGGCCCAAGAAAATTGGACCCTTGTTGGGAAACCACAGTTCGCAGGGACAATCCACCGTGGAAATGCCCAAGTATGCAGATAGCCTGAAGTTCAGAAAAATCCTCTATACCAATTCACCTCAATTGTCAGTTAATCAAGCAGAATCTTGTCAATCAAGCAGAATCCTCGTTCGTAAGTAAAAATGCACAAGCCTAGTATGAGTCTAATTTTTGAGTAATTACGTTCGAAAAATAAATGTAACCTTGCGAAAAATAAGAGGTATCCGTTACTAGACAAAAATTATAGTGAGAATGTAACCTTGTAGTATTCTGCCCACCGCAGTATGATTTGTCCAAGCTCTCCACTAACACTATCCAACTCCATGTCAGACTCCATTACAAATTTCCATGGTCTCTCCACTTCACATGGCTTGTCCCCTCTCTAGTTTCAGTTCTGATCATGTTTTCTCACAAGGCGTTCCAGAGAATATTGTTCCGGACTCGGCGGTTGTTTCCCCACAGAACACTCTGCATTTACGTATTTCAGAACCACATTCAAGCGCCAGATGTTTAGTGCGCTTTGCATGTTATCATTCAGGCATCAGTAATGGAACATCTCTGTAAAAGAAGTATAATGTCTCGTAGCGTAAAGTTGGTCTATTATCGAGTCCATTTGGTTTAGCCAAGTTTCTATGAACCATGCATCTCCATATTCATATCCATTGGAATTCCCGGCTGATGTGAATTAAAAAGATCTTTTAAGGCAGATGTATTTTCCTTATCATTATAAGGAAAACATGGAAAAGTATGAGGATACAACAGTTAAGATGGAGCCCCAAAAAATCAAGACTTTCAATGATTCTATAATGTCTATAATAGGTGCCTCTCATTATTAATACGGCTTTCCATGCTTTTAGGTAATCATCAAACTTGAAGATTATGTATATTTTACTAACTAGGTTGATGTTCATTCTGCTGGAACTTGAAGTTTATGTATTATCTCAGGAAGCCAACAGATAGCTTTTCCAATGCTAAATCCACTTGTTCCATACCAATGACCACTAGATCACATCTGTTCGTAACCGGACTTTTGGGTTCAGAATGAGGCTAAGATCCTTTTGAATTTGCAACTTAGCATCCATGTTTGCAAACAATTATTATCTTTGAAGCATGCTCCATGATACATGACAGTTATAAACGTCTGTATCAACGAAAGTCCAGAAGAGGACTAGAAAAATTATGTCTTGCCAGTTGTACATTAATGCAAGAATAACATTTCGACGATAGACGATTTCAGATCTGACGTTATAGATCAGGTTGACTCTTGTCTGATATTGGGTTTGAAAATAAGAATAACATTTTCCTAAGTGAGTATGATTTCAAACATACTGATGGATCGTGGCCATTTGAACAGTGAACAAACAGTTGAACCAGAATCTTCGTTGAAGATCAAAGCGACAATGCTAGAAAATGTATGGGTGAGAATCATGATGTGTAAAGACCATCTACCAGTTTGAAATAGTTAGTGTCTATCTTTAAAAATTTTTATACCCTATAAACGAGAAGAGTTTTTCGATCTGAGGATTTGCTTCACAACGTCGCAGACACAGTCTTCCAAAGACACCCACTTGAGGGCCAAAACGTTTCTTGTAGCTTCGTTACTGGTTTTGGCCAAAGTAGCAATATCGCTTGGCCCAGAACCCGGAGTTCCGACGGGGATTTTTCCGGCCACCTCTGCCACTTGCGAGTTAATGATGTCTAGCATCATTTGCACACTGAATTTCCCATTGGTCATATAGAGCCTCTTTCCGATAAGTTTGTCATCTTCAAAAGCAGCCAAGTGGCCCTTTGCAACGTCTCTCACATCAACAAAACCGCCCTTGTCGTTATCGAACTTTCCGTCTGATCCAATTTTCAACAAGTTATTGATAAGCTCGTTGGAAGTGTTGAGAGTCTCGCTCACCTCGTTTTCAAATGCTTGCGGACCAAAAACATACACGGGGTTGACAGTGGTCAAGAAAGGGAAGGTGGGCGAACGTGCATACTCCCAAGCAATCTTTTCGGCAAAAGATTTGGCGCCGTAGTAGGCGTCAATTGGATTTTTCACCGCATCAGCGTAACTGATATTGTTGAAGCTTGTTTCGTCAAAAGAAAGCTTTGCATTCTGCTCGTCTTCGGCAGAGTAGATGGCCGCGTCACTCGACGTGACAACAACTTTTTCGATCTTCGATCTACCCGAGTCAATCTGTTTTCTGACGGCCCGCATGATGTTGGTTGTTCCTTTGATGGCAGGCAAGATCAAGTCTTTTTCCGGGTCGGTGGTGTCGTAAAAAAAAGGCGACGCAGTATGGAGAACAACCGATATTTCTGGATGTTTGGCGAAAACATGATCAAACGCATTCTCCTCTCCAATATCGGGCACTAGCACATAGTGGAATTTGCCAGGGCTGATGGAATCACAATTTGCCTGGAGTTTTTCGCCTTTTGCGTCCAGTCTCACGGTTCCAACAACCGCGTACTTTTTCTCAATGAGAATCTTGACAATGTGTTGTGCGATGAAGCCAGAGGCACCTGTAACAAGAACTGTGGTCATTGGGTGTTGGATGGGAGAGATTCGGAATCAGATATATGCCTCGCGTTTTCACCTTCCCGATTGGGAAAGTGGGTCCCGATAAGCCGTTAGTCACTTTTATCTACGCTAAAGTTGAACAGACCCGATGCTAATCAATTTTTTTTATGCCTAACCGTTTGGATGCGATTGTTTCTGCGCTTTTTGTTTGCGTTTGCTTGTATGCTTGTTTGTTTCTTTGCATTGTTTGCGTTCGTCGTGTTTGCTTAATATAAAAGGTTAGTCAATGTACCGATTGAAGCAACTGCAAAAAACAGCCATCTTGTGGAAGAATAAGCCATCTTGTGGAATCAGCTAATTTGGTAGGTTCTCTTTACCCTTTTCGGATGCCTCAATGAAACCAGGGTCCTCGATATAAATACTAGACAAATGCGGCTTCTGTCATTCGCCCGCTAAAGTTCGCGCATATCTTATCTACTCCATAATGTATATTCCAAAAAAGTACGAGGAGAAGTCTTGGGAAAAGCTGAAGCAGATCATCCAAGAAAACCCGCTTGCAACAGTCATAACTACAGATGCTGATGGGAACTTGATGGCAAACCACTTCCCGTTCTATCTCAACGAAAATGCTCAAACGGGAGAACGTTTTTTGCAAGCGCATTTTGCCAAAAAGAACCCCCAAGCGCCCTCGTTGAAGGACAATGATAACGTTTTGGTGATATTCCAGTCTCTGAGCTCGTACATTTCGCCTTCGTACTATCCGGAGAAGAAGAGAACCGAGAAGTTTGTTCCCACGTGGGACTTTGCCACTGTTCACATTTACGGAAAGCTGAAGGTGGTGGATGACACAACTTTTGTGCGGGCACAATTGGACAACTTTTCCGACCAAATGGAGAAAGACAGACAAAGCCCGTGGAAAGTCTCAGATGCCCATCCGCCTTACGTGGCTGCTTTGCAAAAGGCTATTTTCGGCTTGGAAATCTCCATTGAAAGAATAGAGACAAAGTTCAAGTTTGAGCAGGAAATGACCTCGGAAAATGTCGATGGCGTGATACATGGCCTTGCAGAGGATGGGAAAAACGAAGTCTCCCACATGGTTTGTGAAGCTAATGGCAGAGAAACCCTCACTTGTCCACATGCTAAAACTAAAGCAGAGTCTTCGTGCTCCTTAGCATGAATTACTATCCTCTTTTCTCGTAGTGGAACCATAGTCCTGAAATGCCTTTGTTATAGAAATGCACACTAATCAATGCACTAACCGAAGTTAAGGATCCATGATATGCTTGTGTGCTGATGTCAGTCGCATGGAAGATGGATAATAGAAAATTTACTCAAAGCGGAAGTGTAATTGGGAAGTTGCACACATTTGTGGTGTCATGGAATCATGTCATCGACAACGAAATTGACTTGACACGAAAACGTCCCAAGTAGTCTGGCAATTAAAAGTAACATGCACAATTGCCCGCCGGACAGAACAAAGACAAGCAAGAGGAATATGATTTGATAAACATTTAGCAAAGGTTCTAAGGAGTTGCGCATTGTCAGTGTAATTATAGACTTGAAATTCAGATGTAGAAAAATAAACTTTAGAGCCAAGCAAAGCTCGCTCTCCCAAAAGCATCATAAAAAACTTTAATTACGGATGATCTGTTGGCTTCGCGGTAAAGTTTGGACCAAAAAGAAAAAAGAAGAAACCACAAGCCATCTAGTTCAAAACCATTGAAGATAGATCTAATGAACACAGCCTACTAAAAGCAGATCTACCGAAGTCAAAAGCTCCCAATACAGTAGAAGGCTTAGGTTTCGTATGCAGTGTCTTTTATAAACCTTCTTGATCAAAGTCTGGTTGGTTGAATACAACTGCTGATATGCGCAGCTGATACACTGGGCAACCCATCTTGAAACTCGTAAACTTTCAATTCCAGGCAAATATTGAGGCAAATATTCCGAATATACAAGATTGTTTGAATATAGTGAGACCAAATATGCGGCGCGCCAACATGTAAAGCAAAATAACAGCCGATGCAGATACGTCAATCGAATCTCATTTTTGTCACTGTTTCTTCGTCAGTGGAGTAACCAAAAAAAGTCGAATATACCCGTACAGTACAACGACATAAATTTGGAAATACGGACTCATTTAGCGCATCACCTGCAGAATAAGCGAGACTTTTATAGATGCATAATAGAGCTACGTAATACTGCAGACGTTCGAAAAATCGAAGCGATTACTACAGCCAATGGAAACGCTCTGCAGATAATAAGAGTCCTTGCAGTAAAGCAAGACAAAATGGGGGTTTCCTTTTATTCCATGGCCTATGGGTACCTAAGTGAAGATAGTATTAGTCTCCAGGATCTCCTCATATTTTTCGAGAATCCATTCTCCCTTAATTTTGGGGCACTCGCTTGTGACTTTTAAGTGTTCTATACATGTACCAGCATCTATATGCAGATCAAAAACCTCCACGTACTATATACAAGGCAAGCGGCATTCGGTGCCGAGTTACCGATGCATGGTTATGATACAACCGATTTCGGCAAAAAAAGAACTGAACATCAGATCATAGTCGGAAACTTCGCCATAATACGAGTATAGGCAAAATTAAAGTGTTGTATTTACATAAAAAATAAGTTATTGACCACCAGGATGGAAGATCTAGATAGATACTGTAACTCCAATCAGACTTAGATTTCCATTACAAAAGCATACTAACTTTGAATGGATGGTGGTCTCACTTAGTGCCTAGAACAACGGAAGAATTGTTCAAATTGCCAAGAAAAGTCCTGCAAGGGGCCTACCAGCCGCATTAGAAAGAATAGAAAGGCAATAGTTCAAAGTCCATGCATTATACCGACGCCGTTTGCATAACTGCACGGCTATAATGCGATTCATAAGTTGTCTCTACCCTAAGCAACACTTACACTATTAGTAGGGTTCGACATATTTGAAGAGGCCAGGTATAAGTGGTCAGAAGCTAATAGCGTGGATATTGAACTTGCCATGATTAATACTATAATTTCGGCGACTTTCGGAGATGCACAGGATATAACATTTAGATGACGCGATGCCAGCATATTTTGCCGCCCGTGCTTGTTCTACTTCCTTAGCCTGGGCGGGGTCAATTAGTTCATTCAATATGGCAAAAAATGAGATTTGTTCGAAAATAAAGCTTCCGAGGAGGAAAAAAGGAAACCTCGGATTACAAGCAGAGAGAAAGAACGCATAAAGGTGGACTTATCTTGTTTCAAGTGACGCAGTTCTTGCACCACAGTAGATCCAGAATTGTATGATTAGCACTTCTACGAGGGCAAAAAGCTTAAATTTAATTTTTTTTCAGTAGATCTCAAACACGAGTGTAGCCATATGAGCAAAGCAAAACTGATGACTTTAGGAGTGACTTTGTTCGAGTCGAAATTTCATCTTGGTCAGAAGGTACGTATTGTCATGCGCAGACGCCTATTGAGCATAGGCGAGGATGCATAGCGCCATGCTGTTAGAATTCTAGCACCTATGGAATTCACAAGAGTCCGATCCTCCAGAATTCAATATAAAACGGCAAGCGACCGGCCTTCTGAAATTGATTAATCAGCCATCATGCTTTTGCAATTCATATTCCAGCTTTTTGTTTTGGCCGAATTATCCAGAGCCGCATGCTCGCCTTCTAAGATCATCAAGTCAGGTTTCAATGTCGTTGGTTACAAATATGACTTGTTGTCAAAAGAAGGTTGGGATAAAGACTACCTTGTCAGTGGATACAAGAAAAATGGAGCGTTTTTCTCTACATCGGGAATCAGTGACATTGCATTCAAAAACTTCATTCCAGGTCTGACCATCATCTACGACAAACTCTATGGTCAGCGCATGACCATTTCCAACTTCACCATCGAATTGACTGGACACTTTATTCCAAAAGTGACAGGCCGCTACACATTTAGCATTACAGATGCTGACGATGGCGCTGCCTTGTCCATTAGAACAGACGGCGTCTGCTGCGATGATGCTGGAAAAATCACCACCGATTTTGCAATCAGTACTTTGCGTGGATATGCTGGTGCTGGAGATGCAAGTCCAACCACTGCTAGTGTTGATTTGATTGCGGGAAAGGCTTATGCTATGAAGATTGTCACTTTCAACTGGAACGGGCCACTGGCATTGAAAGTGAGTTACGTTGGGCCTTTTGGTATTAAAAAGAGCGTTTTCAAAGATGTTCACCAGGTCAAATTCGAATCCCAGAATTGTACGCCATCTACATCTTCCACTGCAACTCCTACTTCGAGCCACTCATCTTCTGCTTCTTCTTCATCTTCTGAGGTCACGTCTACGTCTGAGGTGACGTCGTCCTCTGAAGTGCCTTCTTCTCAGGCCTCTTCTACTCAAGCGTCTTCCACCCAGTCCTCTTCGGTTCCCTCCTCGTCTGAGGGACCATCATCTTCTTCAGAAGTACCATCTTCCACGGAAGCATCTTCTTCTACTGAAGCATCTTCTTCTACTGAAGCATCTTCTTCCACTGAAGCATCTTCTTCCACTGAAGCATCTTCTTCCACTGAAGCATCTTCCTCCACTGAAGCATCTTCTTCTACTGAAGCTTCTTCCTCCACTGAAGCTTCTTCATCATCTGAAGCTTCTTCTTCCACTGAAGCTTCTTCTTCCACTGAAGCTTCTTCATCGTCTGCAGCACCATCTTCATCTCAATCTTCGTCATCTGAAGTCCAGTCATCATCTAAAATTGTGTCTTCCTCGTCCGAGAATCCATCTTCGTCCACCGAAGTGCCATCTTCTTCATCTGAGGTTCCATCTTCTGCTACGTCTGGAACATCTTCTGGAGTATCTTCTACTGAATTCTCATCTTCTCAACGGTCTCTGGGTAGTAGCTCCAGTTCTCAGTACTTCAACACAACTTCTTCTTTCTGGTCTACAACAAGCAATTCCGCTTCCACAACTGCCAGTGAGTCATATTCAACTATTCCATCTGGATCTCAAACCGCACCATCTGGTTCCCAAACTGCACCATCTGGTTCTCAAACCGTTCCATCTGGTTCTCAGACCGCACCATCTGGTTCCCAGACAGTTCCATCTGGATCTCAAACCGCACCATCTGGTTCCCAAACCGTTCCATCTGGTTCCCAAACCGTTCCATCTGGTTCTCAAACCGCACCATCTGGATCTCAAACCGCACCATCTGGTTCGCAAACAGTTCCATCTGGTTCTCAAACCGCACCATCTGGTTCTCAAACCGCACCATCTGGTTCCCAAACCGCACCATCTGGTTCTCAGACAGTTCCATCTGGTTCTCAAACCGCACCATCTGGATCTCAGACAGTTCCATCTGGTTCTCAGACAGTTCCATCTGGTTCTCAAACCGCACCATCTGGTTCCCAAACCGCACCATCTGGTTCTCAGACAGTTCCATCTGGTTCTCAAACCGCACCATCTGGATCTCAAACCGCACCATCTGGTTCTCAGACAGTTCCATCTGGTTCTCAAACCGCACCATCTGGATCTCAAACCGCACCATCTGGTTCGCAAACAGTTCCATCTGGTTCTCAAACTGCACCATCTGGATCTCAAACAGTTCCATCTGGTTCTCAAACTGCACCATCTGGTTCGCAAACAGTTCCATCTGGTTCTCAAACTGCACCATCTGGATCTCAAACAGTTCCATCTGGTTCTCAAACTGCACCATCTGGTTCGCAAACAGTTCCATCTGGTTCTCAAACTGCACCATCTGGATCTCAAACAGTTCCATCTGGTTCTCAAACTGCACCATCTGGTTCTCAGACAGTTCCATCTGGATCCCAAACATACCCTCACACTACTACGCTCACAGTTCCCACTGGCAGCTCCCATACTATTCCCGGAACCTTTACTCCCTCAGAATGTTCTGACACATGCACAATAATTGTTGTTCCATCAGGATCGCAATCCATTCCGGGCACGCCTGTGGTTCCAACTACCCCAGCTATTCCATCTCAACCTTTAACCACCATTACAGTCCCAACATGCAGCTCCTACACTGAAACAGGAACATTCACCCCTTCGGATTGTGCAGAAGTCAGTACCTGTACTGTGATTGTAATTACCAGTGGAAGTGCTTTCACAGAGTCTACCGCTACTCCTACTGGTTCTCAAACTGAATTGACCCATACGGAGGGCACATCGACTGAGGCACAAAATACTTCTGGAAACAACCTCACTGGTTCTCAAGTCACTCAGACTGGCTCTCAAGTTACTGAAACAGAAGTTACCCATACAACTGTCACGATCACCTCTTGTCTGCAAAAGAAATGTGAGACGCACACTTCTGAAGGTATCATCTCTGTGATAACCACTACTATTGGAAGTCAAGAGACCATCTACACCACGATCTGTCCTTTGCCTTCGCAGTCTGTTCCAGGTTCTCCAGGTCAAGAATCCAATGCCGTTCCCTCTCCAGATGTAAGTTCAGTTCCACCTTCCGGAACATCTGGTTTTGAAACCACCGTTACGGCATCAGGTTCTGTTCCTTCAATTGCTCTTAGTTCATCTTCTGGTGTATCGGTACCTGCCACATTCGAAGGTGCCGGAATCAAGAACACTTTCAGTTTCTCGCTTATGGCTATCGCGGCAGCATACTTGCTTTAAGTTTCATACATAGACATCATTTTAAGTTTTAGGACTTTTCCTTCAACTCATCATTTTTTGCTTTCAAAACCGTTTCCTTTTTTCTTTTCGTTCATAGTTAATCAGATTTACATGTGCTTTCATCTAACATTCTTAAATCCGCATTGCAAGATATTCTAATGTTGTGTCTTCTTCCTGCCGGAAGGCAAGACTTCGTCAATCGTTCAAACGCCATTTCCCTCAGATTGCTGTTCCCTGTAAAGCATTGTTTTTTTGAAGCCACTGATTGGCCCTAATTTCACTATGATCAAGCTGATTTGTTAACAATGCTACTTTCCCTTTGTCCTGTAACCCTGTTCTGCTAATCTCATCACAAAATTTTGCGCGAAATACTCATGCACAATCTATAAATTAGAATAAGCCTATGCAGATAAAACCCTCCTTTGCATAATTTTTGCATAATTTAAGCGCTCCTGCTGCACAATAGAAAATTAGCGCATAATAGTTGACGACATACATATCAGGGACATTAGATGACCACTTTGTCACTATAAACGGCAGATTTCTTCGCTTGTTCTCCTACAGCAAATTTTTTATGCCAACCTTAGTTTCCTTCCAAAGTTCGAAGTGTTGGGACCAAAAACAAATCTTGTTTTTGCTTCTGTCTAAATGAATTCCCAAATTCGAACAGAGCCCATCTCAAACAGGAGTCACCTAAAAGATCTTGGTAAATGGGGAAAACTTTAAGTACAATGAGGAACTAACAATGGACTTTTTAACAGATCCAGCGATCTTGAATTAAATCAAGGAAAAAGAAAAAGAAAAAGAAAAACTATTGTCCTGGTTAGATTTGGAATTCGGCCTCTTTCATTTTGCGATATTCTTTCTTGGTTAGCAAATCGCTAGATTTCAATCAAAGTGGGAGATTGCTTCTCTGGAATTTCTTCGAAATTGAGATTATATGGCTGCTTATTCAAGGCATGGGTCGTAGTTTTCCATGTCCGCAAGTGCTCTTAACACAGTCAGTCATTCAATGAGTGGTATATTTTCTTAGGTTTAAGAGAGGGCTGCTGGAAAAATAAGCATGGCAGAACATAAATAATCATACTGGCGCTATGGACGATACGAAATTTCTTACACATGCAACCAACACTTCAACCCAACTATCCCTGACCCAATGAATGGCGAAGTTAGTAAAGGATTTCTGCATAGAAGGAAGTTTTCGTTCGCATGTGGATATCGAGAGTCTTGCATGTGAAGGTTTTGATGACTTACGACTATTCGAGCAGGATTTTGCCACTGCCCAATGAGGAAAGAGATTTGAAGAAGAAAGATTTATTAGGTTGTTGATTTGCCCAAAAACTCTTCAGTACAGTCTTCACTTTGTTTAATGGTATGATTCCCAGCACTTTCTGCAAAATTATCAATGCACAATATTACACCGATAGCCACCAGATTACGAAAGTAATTTATGTGATGTTTCACCCAGAGAAACCAGTTTTCAAATTGTAGTTTTCCTAGTATTCCTTCTAGCTACACCCTTCTTTGTAATGTAAATCTTCGAGATATCTGGGGTCCGCAGCAAACATATGCGCGAGAAACACTTTTGCTGCATGCACACCAAATGCGGGGACGCACTTTGACGCAGGTCAGACAAGACTTCAAGGACGAGAAGAAGACGTTATTGCAGTGGTAGAATTGCTCAGAACTAGGATTATCTGCTCTTGGTACTTGTATTAGCTAGTTATGGTGTGGCAAGGAAGAATAGAAAAACACTAGAATCGTAGGTTTCCAGGAGCCACACATGTGATTTTGTCTTGAGTTCCCCTCCATATTATGAGAAATGTATGGTCTCCAGTTCATGTGATTTTGGCCAATTTCATAAAACTATAATAAGAGCTAGGCAGCCCTAACTCCATCTTTCCACACTAAAGATGCTTTTACTGGAATTGAAAACCGCTTGGGACTCTTTTTCCTCGCATTTGAGTGACAATGTGTTTCTCTACTATGCGGAATTATTGATACTCACTTTAGTCGTTTACCACACTTATCGTACCAGCAAAAAGTGGTATCTCCGCAAAAAATTAGGTGCTGAGTCTGCAAAGTGGCTCCAGACCTCCTCTGCTGGATGGATCAACAGTCTTCCGATGAGGGAGATTCTTGATGCCAAAAGAGAAGGATATTTGCTCAGAGAGCTCTGGAAATATTGGCACGATGACGATGAAAACTTTATGGTCAAGGTTGCTGGTACAGAAATGTTCGTTACCACAGACCCTGAGAACTACAAAGCCCTTTTGGCCACGCAATTTAATGACTTCAAGTTAGGTATTCGCCATTCCCACTTTAAGCCTTTGTTGGGAGACGGTATTTTCACCTTGGACTACGGTGGATGGAAACACTCGAGAGCACTTTTGAGACCTAATTTCTCAAGAGAGAAAGTGGGCCACCTCCACTCTTTGGAGACACACCTCCAAGTGCTCTTCAAACACATTCGCAAACATAATGGCAAGCCCTTTGACCTTCAAGAACTTTTCTTTAGGCTCACAGTTGACACGGCCACCGAATTTCTTTTTGGACACTCGGCAAACACTTTGGAGGATGAGTCAATTGGCATTCATAAGGAGGAAACGTTTGAGGGAGAAAAAGAATTCTACGACTGCTTCAACATTTCCCAGGCTATTTGTGCCACCAGAGCATGGACACAAAAAGGTTATTTTTTGACCATTCCATTTTTGTACAAGGAGTTCACTAGATGTAACCGTGTTGTGCACAACTTTGCCGACTACTACGTGAATATGGCACTCAACATGTCTCAAGACGAGCTTGAAAAGGAAAGCAACGATGGATACATCTTTTTGTACGAATTGGCCAAAGAAACCAGAGATCCAAAGGTTTTGCGTGACCAACTCTTGAACATTATGATTGCTGGCAGAGACACCACCGCTGGATTAATGTCTTTTATCTTTTTCGAGTTGGCCAAAAGACCAGATGTCTGGGCCAAACTTAAGGCTGAGATTTATGAGCGTTTCGGATATGGTGACAATGTGCGTTTCGACGAGATCACTTTCGAAACATTGAAGAAATGCACTTACTTGAAGAATGTGGTCAACGAAACATTGAGGTTGTACCCAAGCGTTCCTGTCAACTACCGTCAAGCAAATATAAACACCACTTTGCCTAGAGGTGGTGGCCCAGACGGAGACAAGCCGGTCTTGATTGAAAAGGGAAACGCCGTGGGATACATTGTTTCTGCTACCCACAGAAATGAAAAGTATTATGGAAAGGATGCTGCCGAGTTCAAACCCGAAAGATGGGATGACAAGAATTTGAAGCCGGGTTGGGCATACTTGCCATTTAATGGTGGGCCACGTATTTGTCTTGGCCAACAGTTTGCAATCACCGAGGCTAGTTATGTTGTAACGAGAATGATCCAGGAGTTCCCTAACATTGCAGACCATGATGTGGAACCAGATACTTATCCACCGAGAATGATTTCTCAGTTGACCAATTCGCTTGCAGCTGGGTGTTACGTCTCCTTAACTAAGTAGTTTTTAGTTTATGCTTTTTTGAAGTGGAGTGTAGTTGTTACTGAACAATAAAAACGAGTGATTTTGAGACTTCTGGGTCTGAAAAGACTGGTCAAATGAGGCAGCAATTTGTTAAAAGTGTAATATTATAACTTTGACAGGTATTATGACGTCTGTAAATTTCATCAATCAATTTAAATTGTCAATTCCCCATTGATCTGAATCTAACATTGACTCTACGATAGAACTTCACCACGAATAGTTTGACTTTGAAATTCAAGTAAATATGATATCGGACAAACAAAAATCGTTTCCGAATTAAACATGAAGATGACAGATTGATGACGTTTGTTTTCAGGCTGAGATAAAAGAAAGAAAATCATGATCTTCCAGACCTGCAATGAACATGATTGAATAAAAGATTACTAGCGGAGCTTGGAGTCACATTAGCTTACATGCGAGCTGATACAGATCTAAGTAATGGGTTTTGCTCCGGAATTTGAGGAAGCATTTACTGATGTTACATGGGCAATTTTAATAACTTAGTTGGATTAGCGTCCTAACTTTTCTTCAATGATGCGCTGATGAGTTTGAATGTGACTGAATTAACAGGACATCCTTTCAAGACATACGACTGGAACTGGTAATAGAACGGCTAGTAACTCAAGAACAGTATGCTTTTTGACCAACGTGTCTAGTAACTAACGTTCTGTTTTTTCTTCTGGGTATATTAATTGGATTATTGGTTTCCCAGGTCTACCGTGACTATCCTTTTTCGTGGTCTTAGCATCCATGTATTCATGTCTGTTGATGTGTCTTCAGTCATGTTCTCTAAAGCCCAGATGCTTCTTGGGCAGACCGTTAGTATCTAGTCCATTGCATTTAATTCGTTATCGTAGCTCTCCTCCAAGTACACAAGATTAGTTCCTATTGTATTCTACTTTCACAAATCATTGCTCTACAATACAATTCCAAGTCTGAGTCAATACGCATGCCCAAGAATCCATACATATACACTGAACTAACATGTAAGCATCACAGCCAGCTAAGACAGCGGCTGATTCGCCATTGGTGTCATCGGAATCGACTCTGTATGGCGGACCTGGCCCAATTCTTGCTGGTCAAGCATATTGTCGAAAAACGTGTCCTTGAGTTCTCTCCATCTTGTCAAATATGTGGATAGCGTCACCAAACATGCTCCGCTTAAAACTTGCAAACACCACCACAAAATGGATGTGGGAAACTTCCCCGTATAGAGCCAGACCACCACAAGGTTCAAAATGTGGACGGTCACAGCAAAATCCCACGCTAGCTTTGACCGTCCCACGATAAGAGTGACAAAGAAAACACAAAGAAGCGAGTCAAATAGCCAAAGTGCAAACAACGTGAGACCCATGGCATTGTCGGCCTCGATCAATTCCCACGAGAAAACCCAGTCCACATTGAAATCGTACCCATTTAGCAGAGATACAAGATAAAACACAACCAAAGCCGTCAAATAGTAGAAACACTGTAGAATAAGAATCTGAAGGGCGATTTTCAGCGGACTCGAAGCAGCATTGTCGGACCTTAGAAGCTTATAATCGCTGAAAAACATGAAATGAATAGAAGTAGTGGAGCGGCTATTATCGGAAAGATGGATATCTTTTGTCTAGAGACCACATTGACATATGAGGCTAGTCACGTGATGGGATCGGTCATGGGTTGTTTGGGAATAAAGTGCGATAATGATTCGAACAAAGTCAATATAAGTCACCAACTTCTACAAACGAGCTTTTAAAACTGAAGTTTATGTTACGCAAATCTAATATCATATTGTATATTTTGATTCGTTGAGTGGCGCCCATCAATAGTAATTCTGGTAGAATTAGGCGACTGTCTTTTCTCTACAGATAACAGCAGACGCCAACAAATATATCAGACTACAGCCATTCCAGTTTCGCTTTTCCTGAATTAAATGTATTAACCACTATGTCTATGCATGCATTCTACTTTCTCTTGTTTTTCCCGCCTTTGCTGTTTCTGGCCTTTCCTTGCGTCTTGGCACGGTCCACCTTTGTCTTTTTGTACATGCGGCCGCCGTCACTTCTTGCTTCGAGCATCTTTCTCTTTTTCGAGTTGGGCTTGTGCTTGTCTTTGGTCAACTGCTGCATCACCAAGGACTGGCGTTTCTTTTTCTCGGATTCAGACTCAAACCACGTTCTTCTTGGTCTTGACTGGATGTCCTTACCGTATTTTATAAGATTGTCGGCCTTGGCCAATTCCATCTCCGCAGCCAAAACTTCTTTGGCCAGTTTCTCCTCCTCCAAAACCTCTTGCACAGTATCGTTCTTTTCCTGAACAACATTATGATACACCTCCACTTTAGGCCAGTCCACGTTTCTAGACACGGCCTTTTGCTGAGACTGCAGCTCTTCCAAAGATTTCATCGCCGCCTTGACAATGTTTCTGTCTGCAGCAGCTTCTCCGACAAACGTAATAGACCGACCTTCTCTTCCAGCTCTTGCTGTTCTTCCGACTCTGTGCAAGTAGATCTCGTGCGATTTGGGCATGTCGTAGTTGATAACCATTTCAATCTTTGGGATATCCAAACCTCTCGCAGCCAAATCCGTACAGATCAAAACAGGCACAGTCAAGTTCTTGAAGTCGTTGACATTGTTGAGACGCTGTTCCTGGGTCAAAGATCCATGCAACTCAGAAACCTTCATACCCAACAAACCCAAGATGATTCTCAAGCGATGTGCTGTTTCCTTTCGCGACACAAACACAACTATACGGCTCTGCTGGGATGGATCGACAGACTTAAGCAAGTAGTACAACAATGCAGGCTTCATCTCATCCTTTTTACGGATACGCACAAACTCTTGCACCAACTTGTTGGCTGCAGCTTTGGGTGGATCGATCATGATACGGACAGGCTTGTTCAAAGACAACTGGATCAAGTCCTGGATCTTGGTGTTCATTGTGGCAGAGAACAACATGGTTTGGCGCTTGTGTTTAGGAATCAACGTCAAAATCTCCGTGAGCTCGACCTGGAAACCTTCCTCCAACATACGATCAGCCTCGTCCATCACCAAAATCTCCAATGCGTCCAAGGAAAACGACGCGGAGTTACGAATGTGGTCGATCAATCTACCTGGCGTGGCCACCACTATATCTGGTCTGGTCTTCAACTGCTGTTCTTGCTGCCTCAAATTCAAACCACCCACAGCCAAACCAAACGTCAAGTTGTTGACGTATCTTCCGATCTTTTTGCCCACATCGCACACTTGGATGGCCAACTCTCTGGTTGGCGTCAAGATCACCACTCTCGTCGAAGCCACTTTAGAAGACTTGTAAAGGAGTCTTTCGATGATGGGGATCATGTATGCAGCGGTTTTACCAGAACCTGTCACGGCACCGGCAACAATGTCCTTTCCCAAAAGAGCAATGGGGATCGAGGCAGACTGGATGGGCGACGGCTTGGTGTATCCCAAACTGGCCAATCCTTTTAACACAGGACGGGCAAGGTCGAGTGACTGGAAAGACTTGTGTGCTTGATCAGACTCGGCCTTTTCGTAGAACTCGGCTATGGCTTCAGCCGAGTCCTCGTCGTTTTCTTCATCGCTCGAGCTTTTGTTGTCTTCCTCCTCTTCTTCGTCTACAACTTCTTCCTGTTCCTCTTCAGAGTTGTCTTCCTCCGCACCCATACCGAAACCGTCCAAAGCCAACTCATCTTCATCGTCGCTGTTGGCAGCTTCGTCCTTCTCTTCTTCATTTTCATTTTCGTTTTCGCTTTCTTCTTCTTCTTTCTCGTCTTCCTTTTCTTCTCCGATAAGACCAGACAAACCACCTCTTCTTCTCAAAATCTCGTCCAAATTGACATCCTTCTTTTTGTTAGCCGGGGTCTCCTCAGTAACACGGAACTCCCATCCGTCCATGGTATTGGTGGTCTCAAAGCCATCCAAAGAAAATTGGAAATCTGGATTGAGATCCTCTTCTTGCTGTTCGACTTCTTCTTTTTTGTTCAGCTCCAACTCAGGCTCTGAGTCCGAGTCTTGCACAGGCAATTCTGCCTCAGAATCACTATCGATAGTCAAGATTAAATCTTCTTTGGGCGTTTTCGCCTTTCCTTTTCCCTTGGCCATTATGGTGTATAATAGATGGACTCGATGAGCCTTTTTTTTTGCGATGCCTGACATGCGCCTGCACACAGTGCCACCATATCTATTCATTACTAGTGTGGAAATATACATTTATTTACATACACGTCACAGAAAATGAAATCCGCTCAGAACTGTGGCCAACTCAACCAAATCGTAATAGTCGTCTTCATCGTCGTCATCGTCTTCGTCGGAATCCATGACTACCTGGCCAAACTGGGAGTCTCCGAGCGCAAGTAGCTGGGTACTTTTTCTGATCTCTACCAAAGATTGGATTTGAGCAAAAGTTTCGGCAGAAAGCTCTCTCTTGTCTGTGATTCCCTTTAACATTTTGAGGCCATCTAGCCAGATCGCCTTATTATCTTGCGAGTCAGTGTAGAAACTTAAAAGTGCCTTGTGGTTCCTGTCCAAAAGCGTGATTTTCTCGTATGAAATTGTACCTTTGACAGACACCAAGGACGAGATTTTTTGCTGGTCCTCTTCACCAACCAGGTTTCCGATTTTTATCGACTTAAATCCCGCAATTTGCTTAAGGTCAATCGCCTGCGACTCCATCTCTTCAAATGACGGTTTCAAAGAGCTGATTTCATCGTAACCCTTGTAAAAGATGGATTTTCTGTTAGGACTCAAAAGAATAAAGTAATAATTAGGGCCGTCTCCAGATTTGCGATGTCCCTTGAAAAGATAATCAGCATGGGCTTCTGTGTGAACCCACGAACCTTTTAGTAACTGGATTGCTCTTTGCTCGCATACAAAATCAAACACTTCTTGAGCCAAAATACGGTCAAACTCTTGAAACCGAGGTGCCCACGTTGAAGATATGGCGGCCTTATTCTCTGAAAACTGGCCGTGCCTAATCTCGTCTGGTGTCCGTGCAGTGAACACTTGAAGACAATCCTCAATGTTGTCATTTGTAGCCAAAGAGTGCTCCAAGAAATCGATATTAACCACCAACATTTGCACAATTCCATCAATGTCCTCTGTCCTTTCCACATGGGATTTAGTCTCCTGCCACAACACCAATGCGTTATTCATAGAGTAGTAGATCATCAACTCCCACGAGAGAATGTGCACATTGATATGAGGGTATTTTTCCTTATTGTCGAAAGTGCTTAGCCAAAGGTCTGTGCACTTGGAGATGAAAAGGTATAAAGGAAATGTTCGTTTGTGGTCGCTCATCATTAACTCTTCGTGGAACTTTTTCTTAAAGGTCATAACGGGGTCTTTCAAGAAAACCTTCAAATCCATAGCCAACAAGATGCTAAAGTTGTCTACGACAAATTTGCGAGGATTGGAAGTAAATCCTGCCTTGACGTACTCCTCAGTAGATGCCGGGGTTCCAAACTCGTTCAAGGACACGTCCAAATAGATAAACAAATTGTTCAACATGACCTGGTGAGATTCTAAGGACAAGTCGAATCTCGTTTTTCTGAGATACTCGTTCAAGTTGAAGTAGCTCTTCTCCAAAGCAGAAATGGCTTCTAAGATCAGGGCATCTGTGGTCTCAATCAAGTTGCCCACGGTGGAGAAGAACTTGACGTGCTTGAGACGGCCCGCAATGGTGATGATGCGGTCGTAGTTTGTCCGCAAAGCAATATTTATGAGCTCAGTGACGAACTTGATAGAGTTGAGGAGGATTTTAGTGTCGGACAAGTAAAGCTTTTCAGTAATGACATCGATTGCATCCAAGTACGTGATGAGACTCTTGTAAAGCGGGAGGTGGATGTCGATGGAATTGTCTCCAAAATCAGGGGGGTAAGGGCCCTTGAAAATGGTGATCAAGGCGATCTTCAAGATGGCCTTGTATGTTTCCGTGGACATTTTCGTTGACACAATGGAAAACAACGAGTTGAACAAGGTTTCGTCCAAGATCTCCGTGTATTGTGGAGAAGTGACTTCAGAGCCAGACACAGATATGCAATCAAGAAGTTTGGCGAGAACAACAATCGAGTTCACTTTTTCCTGCTTGTCCTTGCCAAGAATGTTGGCCTTCAATGTGGCCAGGTAGCTCAAGGATAGGTCCACATCGAGTTTCGATTTGGAAACACTGCTCTTGCTCAACAACTCGTTGAGCTTATGGTTTATCGACCGAGACGATTCGGACATGGGCCGGATGGAAAAGGAGAAAAGCGGGCGAGATATACGAGTGCGGCAAGCCTCGAGATTCGAAAGGGGGCAAAAATCAGCGAAAGAAACAGCGTCCGACGAAGGTGCTAATTATGCTTATGAAGAAATATCGCTGGCGCCCGATTTAGACGCAGATGGTTTCGCGGCTGAAATTGGCGAAATTAGCAAGGGCACCCTGCAGGACGCATATACCCGGTTATGTTCAAATGTCGGGCAATGATCTCCGCCTAAACGTCCATGGGCCGGCCAAAGCTCGCCTTAGTTGTATTTTTGACTTTCGGTCCTGCTTTTTGCCTGCCGCTATGGATATTCGTTCGCAGCTTTCAGATTGGCTGTGGAGAAGATACGAGAGGTGTGGAGGTGCCAGCATATTTCCTGCAGGTCCCAAGGCGCTTGGATACATTGTTAGCACTGGAGCGGTAAAAGTTGTTTCTTTAGTGCAGGCCGCGGGAAAATTTTGATTCCAGATCAACGGCACAATAAGCTTCTGGATGGTTGCAGGAACAAAAAGAAAGAAGACAAAAACGATGGTTGCTTCGGCTGATCTAGAAGCATTATTGACGGGCCAGTATCATTAAAGGTTTTTTTTTTTTTTTTTTTTTTTTGCACGAGATTGAATGTTGGGGCAAGATGGAAATTTCACCTGGGCGCAAGCATATGCAAGCAGGAGCCTCGCCTAAGCAAACTCGCAAGGCAAAAATAGGCCTTATTTCAAAAATTCGTAATTCTTCAGAGAGATGAAAATGGACCATAAGTTGGAATAGTTTGACAAACGACACAACAGAAAAGGACAAGCAGCACGACAATGAGCACCAACGTCGTACATGTTTAGCTTGCATCGTCAATGGGTCTTGTCCACGTAGCCATAAATGGCCCACATAAATGGCCCACCTATAGAATCTGTATAGTAACGCAAAGAAACGCTCTACATGAAGCGACAGAAGCTTTTACGCAAGATAATGATCTGCAGAAGACGGGTGGACATTGTGCATACTGTGTGTGGAAGGATCCGCCTTACTCCCATTTAGTAAATTGAACGTGCAATATCTACGTCTATTGTTTAGAGATCCATTCCAGTAGACATGAATTATCTGAGCTATTGGAGGTGTAAAGTCCCTTCGTTTTACGTAACCACAGTCTTCTAATATACATTGAAGTGACCAATGGCGCTTTCACCATTTCACGAAAGTTACAGAGAATATCGTTGATGAAAACGTAAATTAAGGTGGCCGGAGTAAGCTTTCAGAGGCATACTGAAGGATTGTTTCACTGGGCCTACCAAAATGAGGAGACAAATAGCAAAGAAAGCTTACGAAGCAAGCAATATAGCGACTTAGTATACTGACAACCAATATGCTTCACTCGAGGAAAAACTAGACTTTTCTCTCCAGCAACTTGGTTAATCTAAGTACATAAATCAAATCCACGTCCGTTATTCTAGTGCTTTACGTATCGGAACTCTCGACCAAGATGCCTTTGTGTCTATGCCATCCAGTCTTTCTATCATTAATTAGCCCTTAGCTCAAATTACCCTTAGCTCATTACTCTCAGATCCATCCAATGTTTTTCACTAAACCAAGCTGGGATTCTGCTTTGAACATCTCAAATGTTCGTTTTCAAATAAGGTTCCTCTCCTCTGAACTCTGTTATAGAGTATTTTGAGAAAAGTCTATAGTGAGCGTTATGAGTATATCTATATGCTTTGCCAATCTATTTGAGCTGGGTCTTTTACACGTTTCATCTCTTTGTCGTCTCTTCTTGTTCTTCCCATTTCCTATTTTCCTCCTATTTTCCTCCTATTTCCCATTTTCTTTCTTTTGTACTGCTTCCTTCGTTCTTCTCTTCCTACATACAAATTACTACACCTGTTCAAAATGCGCTTCTACTACTCTCAACAAACTTAAACCATGAACTTTGCCGGAGTATGTTTCCCATTCCATCTCTATCATTCTTTTCTAACAACCAGGCCTTGTCTTTCCTAGACAATTCCGCATTCGATTGGAAATCTATAGTCACGTCTCTTTTGGTGGGCAAGTATGCTTTTGAAACTTACATCAACTACAGACAATACCAGGTGTACAAAAGAACGCAGCCACCAGCGTCAATCAAGCAAGAAATCACACGTGAGACTTTCTTGAAGTCTCAGGAGTACTCTCGTGCTACCAAGCGGTTTGGTTTCTTTTCTGATGCGGTGGAATTGGTCAAAGATCTCGCCACCATCAAGTTTGACCTTTTGCCGCGTCTTTGGGGCTGGACTGGCTCCTTGTGTGTTTCGTTATCCAAGGCATCGGTGATTGGCCGCTTTTTTGGCCCTGGAATCATGTGCCAATCATTGGTTTTCTTTGCTGTCACCACTCTTATTTCGACATTGGAGTCTTTGCCCTTTTCCTACTACAAGACGTTTGTTTTGGAGGAGAAGTTTGGCTTCAACAAGTCCACTTTGAAGGTCTGGATTACTGATCTGATCAAGCTGACTTTCCTTCTGATTACTTTGGGCACCCCCGTCGTCTATGGATTCTTGAAGATTATTGACTACTTTGGTGTTTCGTTTGTGTCTTATGCCTGTGCTTTTGTCTTGGTTGTGCAACTTGTTTTCATGACCATTGCTCCATCGTTGATTCTTCCGCTTTTCTACAAGCTCACTCCTCTTGAGGATGGTGAATTGAAGACCGCAATCGAAGCCTTGGCTGCCAAAAACAAGTTCCCTCTCTCCCAGTTGTTTGTTATGGACGGATCCACCAGAAGTGCTCATTCGAACGCTTTTTTCGTCGGCTTACCTTGGAGTAAGAAAATTGTCCTTTTCGACACGTTGATCGAACACAACTCTACCGAAGAAACTGTCGCCGTTTTGGCCCATGAAATTGGCCACTGGAGATTGAACCACTTGCCTCAAATGCTTCTTGTGAGTCAAGCTTCCGTTGCTGTGACCTTTATTCTTTTCTCTGCGTTCTTGACCAACAAGTCTTTGTTCCACTCTTTCGGTTTCTCGCTGGTTTATCCACCTTTCATTGCGTTCACATTGTTCAACTACGTCAGCACTCCCGTGAACTGTCTTATGCAGTTTGCCAACAATCTTTTGGTGAGAAAGAACGAGTACCAGGCCGATGCCTACGCAAAGGAACAAGGATACACCGAGGAATTGGCCTCTTCTCTTATCAAGCTTTCCACTAAGAACTTGAGCTCTTTGAATACTGATTGGTTGTACTCTGCGTACAATGATAACCATCCAATTTTGGCTGATAGATTGAGCGCTCTTGGCTATGTTTCAAAGGAGAAGGTGGGGAATGTCAAGGTTGATATTGACGAGTTGAAGCAAGAGTAACTGATAAAGATTGTATATAAGGTTGAAGTACCATGCAATAGGCGATCAATACAGCTCTACCACCCGAGTTCTTTGGATCATCAAGTCCTATCATCAAGTCCTTTCATCAAATTCTTTGGTATCATCAAGTCCTTTGGATCATCAAGTCGACTCAGTCATGCGATCATCCCTCTCGTACTTTCATACGTCTCGTCAAATACAAGTCGCTATATTATATTTCTTTTCTCTATACCCAGCCCTTCCCATCATGTACTATATTTTTTCTTATACTCTTCATAGGAGACTCGCATCTGGACGTAGCCCAAATGGATTTTGCCAATGAAGTGGTCTGCCAATCTCCGGTCGCTGTCCAACCGAGACAAGTAGGCGCCACAAACCTCACACACCTGCAACTTTTGCTGCGAGAACTGGCCTATGTTTTCCGTGATGGTTTGCGCTTTCTCGGCAAGAACCTCTCTTTCTGCCATGAGCGACTCCAATTGCACATTCTGCTCCAAAGCCTTTTGGATCTCGTTGCACTTGCCCAAGTACTGGATCTCCTGCGTCATGAGGCCGATTTTTGTGTCGAGCGCATCCAACTCTTTGGTCACCTCGGCGATCTTGGCTTTTTCTTCCGGCGTGTGCTCCAACCGTCGAAGTGCCGTGGCTATGGTGAAGTCTATCTCGCTAATGTACTTTTGCAAGGTGGTGTAGTACTCGTACTCTATGTTGGGAAACTTCTCGCCTTTCTGCTTGGTGCGGTACTCGTACTCGAGCTTGTGCTTTTCCAAATGTAGCATCGGACACTTGCCGATGTTGAGTTTTGTTCCGGCAAAAAGATCGTGGGGACAGTTCCCCACCAAAAATGCTTTGCACACTCTGCTGCTGGTGAAGTCAATGTCTTTCCGGCGGACTTGCGGCGATATGAGCGCCTCTTTGCCCATAAGCTGCTCTAGAAGCCTCCGCTGGTCATCTGCCATAGTAAGGTGTTTTGTCTAGATGATAAATGACGTACATGTAGGCTATAGCTCTGCGCAGAAGAACGCACCCGTACATCCCGTTTATTGGGACACCTGATATCGTGAAATGGGTCAAGACCTAATTATTGGTGCTAGGTGGGAGGAAGAGAAGAAGAATGAGGAGAATATTGCAGCTAGTTTTGTGCCAATCGGTGTTGTATATCCCCCCGTTCAAAGACACTACTCACTTAACGTGACTAGAACGATTGATGCTTCAATATTCACCAGTTGATATTCTTTGGGCAAGCCTCTACCTATCGTCATCTTCTTTAGTAGAAGCTAACTTCACATTTTCTTTAATTTTCATTTTCTTTAGCAGAACCTATTTCTTGATTTTCTCTTAGTAGAACTTAAAAGTAGATGGTCCTGCATTTCCATGTCACCGCGCATCTTGGCTCCAGTCGAAGCTTCTCTACATTAGGCCAAAAGAGAAAGTCGACACCTAAAATCTCATCCTACCGCCCCTTTGGAAACTCGCCTGAACATGAAGAAATACCAGCTTATGGGCCGGAAAAAGGTGGTTTCGCCCGTCAAAAGAGCGAAATACCCTCTTCTCCACTTGCACTCGCTTCCATATGAGATTCTCTTGCACATCTTTGGCTACGTTGCTGAAAACGTGTCTGACCTCCTACTGTTGGCTTTGGTATGCTCCAAGTTCAATAACCTCGTGAGCAAAAACTTCTTGTACCATTCTATCTGCTTCCACTCCACGTCCCAATTCCTCCGTTTTGCCCATGCACATTTACCCCAGAAAGCATCACTTTCGTTGAGATTTAGCTCCAGTGCCCCAAGCTCTCGCATAAATTACATTCGCTCGGTCCATTTCGTCAATCCTCCGTCGGATGATGTGGCGACGAGCCTGACGCAAATCGCTGGAACGTACAATGTAGATTGTCTGAGCCAAGGGATCTCTGCATACCAGAGTTTTGTATCCCAGCTCAAATGCTTCCTCAACGAGGCATACGGGTTGCAAGAAGTGAAAATCACAGAGATTGCTCCTCTGTTCGAGTTCCCAACAGACATTTTGCAAAGCTTCTCCAGCATAAAGCACCGTTTCCGATCTCCAAAGCCCACACGAACTTTGGCGAAACTAGTGCTCACTGCACAATCAGGGTGGAACATCCCGTTCAAGTTGGGCCATATTCTACTATTCTTGGGTGTTTTCGACCAGTTTGTGGAACTCAAGCTCAACAACTTTCTTCTCAACGAGGCCAGACTCTCTGCCGAGAATCTTCCAAAACCAGTCAATGTCGAAGCCTTGGTTCTGACAGCATGTATATACACTGATGGAAGAAGGCCAGGACAGAAGCACGAATGCACAGACTTATTTGCCAAAACAACGTCTTTGCTGTTGCAGAATATTCGCCATGGCGCAGATTTGTCGCTTATTGACTTCATTAAGCTGAACGACCACTTGCGGCGTCTTAGTATAGACATCAGCTCATCTATTTTTTACACTATGGACCAATCGGATCAGGCTTTGAAGTTTGATTTTTCCAAGTACAATAGCTTTTTCAAGTTGGTGTGTTCTGGACAAGGTGGCTACCGCAACTTGAAGGAAATCGTGCTTACAAATTTCGACTTGTTTAATAGCTATAGTCATCAGCATGACGACAAGAAATTGAGCTGTATTGAAGAGGAAGACGAGGAGGTGGATGATCCATGGGTGAAAAAGGCCCCTAACGCTTTTGATCAGTTCCTAGAATACTTGTCGATGGTTCCATACTTGACGATCATTGTCAAGGAAGCTCCCAAAGTCATGCACACATGCAAGAACTGTGGGTTCAGTGTGGAAGAGGAAACCAAGAAAATATCCAGTCTTTTGCCCCACGAATGGGCAATCATTTTGGCGCCAATCTTGAAAAACCCACTGTGTTCGGTCTTAATCTACGATTACTCGTTGCGGACACTTTTTTCAAGGGGAATTGAATGAAGAGGGAACAATACATAGATGACTTGAGCTGGTATCAAGCAATTAGAACGCATTACATTAATTACGAATCTGAGTTTCGATACAATTTATGCAATACTGACCCAAACGACCAACATTGAAAGTAGTTTAGCAGACCACAGCATAGTGAGGCCATCTCCTCCTATTTTGTTAGTAGTTACTTAAATCAAGAGTAGGAAAAACATACCATTCGTTGCAGGAGGGGATTGCGTTTTCCCCGATGTCCAATTAGCGTTGATTGGCTTCCGAAGCTCGACCTGAGGATGTTCAAGATAAGTTCCTCCTTGCACATCCATAACTTTATAAGGAGACACCGCATCCACGCCTCTCACCTCCACTAATTTTCCCCGTTTTATATTGACCCGTTTCTGAATAAGATTTCCCGCAAGGGAGATTGGGAGGCCTTTGGAGACATCTATATTGGAATATTTCTCAGCACAGCGGGGACTGGGTCTCGACTGCATTTTTTTACGTTCGATATCTTGTGTCTTTGATAATTCTGGAAGAGAAGCCAACTTGCTCTGAAACTGGGTGAAATCACGCAACAACTGGATATCTTTGTTTGGTAAAACTTTCGCGAGGCCATAATTATTCGGTTCTTGTGTGAATTCGTAAACAAGACCGCCACTAAAAGCAGCGTTCATTTCGTCTGAGTATATGGATGCAACCTCATCAAAGGCTCTTGGCTGCACATCGTTGCATCCATACCTAGGTATTAGTAATTATTCATGAAAAAAAAAAATTGGGACTTGCCGAGAAGTGGCCATACTCTGAAAGAAAAACTGGTCTGGTATATTCCAGATAGTCACGGGCTAAACTATCGTATCCGCTAGTATGGAAAGTCTGCTTCCCACACCATTGGTAAGAATTGACACCATAGAAATCCACTGCTTCAGCAGGATCCTTATCCACACATTCTAGATATTTCGAAAGCGAAACCCGATAAGCAAGATCGTCTGCAGCAGAATATCCTACCGGTATCTGACGATGAAGGTTATTCAGAATGTAATTTTTTATATCTCGGATCATAGCCTTCACATAGACAGGCGAATGAGTAGCAGATAATTTGTCATTGACAATTTCATTTCCAGCGAAAAAGGCCAAAGTGTTATTATAGCCTGCAAACTGTTCTACAACCTTAAACACATTGCTCAAATACTCTTCATTGTAAGTTGTCCAAGGCTCATATCTGTTGAGATGGAAATTGGGTAACGCAGAGTTCACATCTAGCACTAGATATATTCCAGCAGTTGCAAGAAGTGACATGCATACATCATGGTCAAGATGAGAGTTCACAGAATAGACTCGAATAGTCTACAGTCAGTAAAAGGAAAAAAATAAGCACAGCTCAAGTTAATACTTACGTTGACTCCCAATTTCTGGAAAAGAGCGATATCCCTCGCGCAAACTTTCGGGTTCGAAAGTGGATCGAATTCGTCTGTGAAACCGGAACTTCCTCCAGGCTGGTAATCGACGCCCTTAATGTAGAACTGGAAGTTAGTTGGAAATGTTAGATCAAAATGAAAATCATAAACAAACAGGTTCACCAGTTATGCTGTCCACAAAGCTTTTGCCTACGATAGTTATAGGATTTATCCAAGCTGATACAACAGCAAGAAAGTATAATAAGAAAAGGATGTTCATGTCACAGAAATGCAGAAATTGGTACAAACTGCGAAAGTAGTTAAATGCGAAAGACTTAAAGAAAAGGGCAATACTGAAAGAAAGCCAATTTTTATTTCTACATGATCTATTGGGGACACAGTTTATATATATATACACAGAATTGAAGTAGGCAATTTGTCACCTTAAACTTCAAAATCACGTCAAACACAAACATAGAATCTCAATATAGACTAGCAATAATAACGTTCAGAAACAGCCTGTGTGGCGTAATGGTTAGCGCATTTGACTTCTAATCAAAAGATTCCGGGTTCGAGTCCCGGCATGGGTTCTACGCGGTTTTAGCTCAGTTGGGAGAGCGTCAGACTGAAGATCTGAAGGTCCTGTGTTCGATCCACAGAAATCGCATTTCTTTTTACTCTCCAGATTTATCTTTTTTTTGCACTTTCAATGTAAAGATAGCAGCTACATATTCTCCATATCAAAAACTCTATTCAATTATTTGGGTCTCAAACCTCAATATACTTTGTTACAGAAACCATGCCTCTATCCCTGTTCGCCCAACTCACATAACTTGGGGAATAATGCAAAAGCTCTTCAAAAGCAGGCACGCGGTCTTGAACAACGGGATTTCCGGCCTTGTCCTTCTCTGCCAACTGGTCCAAGTCTCCCCAATAGCACTCGATGTTGACTCCCAACTTTTTGGTTCTGATTTTTTCAGACCATACGCTTTCGCTCTCCACAATCTCAGGCACCCACTGGAACCCAATATGATAAGGCTTGTCCCAGTTGAGTTTGTTCAATTGCAATTGACTGATACCGTCCATATCCTTGAAGACGGAATTTCCCTTGGAATCCCTGGAAAATCCTTCAGGAACGCCTGCACCAATGACGGATGAACTCTTATTTTCGTACTTGTCTTCATTGTAGACAATAACAGTTCTAACTGGAGACCGCTTGGATTCCATGAACTTAGTGTCTGAAACCTTGATCACAGTGTTAGACATGTTGAAATCGATTTTGCAATTTCTATTTCTTGGCACGTTGATCTTAAGCTCGCCCGTCAACAAACCGAATGGAGAGTCCGACACTGAGGAAGAATCCTTCAAAACGTCAATAGACAAGTAATCTGTCAAGTTCTTCACACCAGGGACAAGATGTGGAATCAATGGAGTCTCGTATGAATAGAGCAGCATACCGTCGCCGAGTGAATCGATACTCAATTCTGTCTTGGAGTCTTTGAGCGATGGCATATCTTCCAAAATATCCTTGACCACATCCATCAGCCTAGCACTAACGGTGACAAGATTGGTTGGAGGCGACGTGTCCATTGAGATGGTCTCCAAGAAACGCAACTTTAATGGGTTTGCATCATTAAAAGCATCAGTAATATTGACAGCGAAGAATCCGTACAACAAAACAAGAGATAATGCCAAAACGATAATTCTGTTCAACTTAAAAATGAATGGCAAAAATGGAATGGACCACACAATAACAAAGATCTGGATGAATTTGTAAATAAGGTTTTGTGCAGATAAAGACTCTTGTATAGATTTGTTGAGACCGTTTAATATGAGCGATCCAGAATTGAAAATGATCAATGACGAAATAGGAACAATAACGAGAAATTGTACTAACCAATCGTAACTGAAAGATTTTGTCTCATGAACCTCACAATTCTCGCTAAAACCAGACTGCAAGGAAAGGGACGAAGAGGGCGCAAGAGAATCATCGTCGTCTTGGGTGCCGTAATTCAGCCCATTAGAGCTCAACAAAGGCTGATGTTCTTCACGGGAAACTTTCACTTTCTTTGAAGGTTTGAAACACCATCCTAAAAAGCCGAGGAAACATGCCACAGCTTGGAGCAGAAACAAAATGGGAATGAAAAGCTCACCTGTGTGATCGTCGCCAAATTTGTTGTGTGAGAGCTTAACCGTAGACCACAACAAGAGGATCCATGTAAGAAAAGAGGACTCGCACATGACAATCAACTTTTCGTCGTGTTGATGGCCCTTGAATGACTTGAACACAAGATTGAGTCCGTTCAAGACAATGTAATTCAAAAGCAAAAATAACGAGAACAACGTTGCCACAAGAAGCCCAATGGAACTATTGACCAAGAATGGGTTGGATGGGACAATAATCACTTGAGAGACAAAAGTTAAAACAAGAACAGAAGCCACCAAAGAGAGGGGGTACTTGATCGCATTGACAAAGTTGAAACCCCAGCCCTTATTGCAGCGGAAAATGATGAACAAAAGAAGCAAAGAAGCCACAGGCACAACGACCAACAAAGCAATATTTGCCGAGACAACCTGTGAAACAGAAAACACGACAAAGTGGTTCCAGAATGACGTGTATAGCGCAAGGTCTCTTTTGCCTGCCTCTGCGTGCACCTCTTCGTCCAAGTCAATGGTCTGAGATGAAACGTGCTCAACAAAGTCCAAAGAAGAAGACAACATGTGCCATAAGGACTTGATGTTGGTGTTCTGGATGCTGTCACGTGTGGTGTGGTAAATGTCTCTGGGTTTATAGAAGGCCAAATCGAGACCACGAAGCCCAGCCTTGATGTAAACCGAGTAGTCTGTTTCGCTGTGAATAAGCCTATTATTGAATCCTTGCTGGAACAAGGAGGACGCAAAGGGGAAGCGCACCGAGGAAAAATGGCGCACAATGCCGTAGTCTGTGCCTCGGAACAAGATGGCTTTTCCGCCGGCGCCCGTGCCTTCCAAATTCAAAAAGTAGGCAATTTGGGAGAACCACGGATGGGCCAAAAACGCCTGGGCGCCGTACAAGCCAAACTCCTCGTTGTTGTTGAAGTTAAAGATGATGGTACGCTTTGGTTGCGCCACGGAAGAATAGTGTTCAAGCAAGCCAAGCATAGAAGCCACACCCATGCCATCGTCTGTCACACCGTAAGATGTGGGGACAGAGTCGTAGTGTGCGCTCACCAAGAGCGCTGGCAAGGACAGGTCGGAGCCGTTGACACGAACAACCAAGTTGTTGCTCTCGTAGTAGGAGACAGAGTCATACGACAAGTACTTGACGTCGAACATCACGCGGCGCGTGCCGTTTTTGTCGGTGTCGAGCTCCATGTACGGTTTCTTGGCCACAAGCAGCGCAATGTGCGCCTCGAGGTACGCGTGCACCTCGTCGTTGCCCTCCGACGTGTATGTGTGCTTTGTTCTAGCAATCTTCTGGAGCGACTCCCACAGACGCAGCAAAACAGCCTGTTCGTGCTTGGAAGTGGGCATGTCCACCGAGAAATCCAACAGCGAGTCGGCCCACGACAAGAGAAGCGTGGCCGCGAAAACTAGCGCCACCAAAAACGTCAAGGATGTCTTTCTGTAGCCAAAAACCGACCGGAAAAAGCGCACAAACCACTTGGCGCGCAGTGGCGCCGATTGCGCCAGCTGGCTTCTGGCAGGCTTGTGAGCGCTGGGCGAATTGGGAACGCTCGGGTTCTGCTCCGAATTCACGCTGGCTTGAGGCATGGACTTTGGTTGGTGTTGTGAGATGGAACGGGATAATTTAGTAGTGAGGGCCGCGACACCCGTACCTCCACAGCCAGCCGCACGCATCCAGCCAGCATGATAGGTATTTAATTTACCTTGTTTCGTATGAATAAAAATTTAGAGACTGTAACGGGAAGTTGGACGTATGCGCTTCAAGGTTATTTTAGGTGTTTAAAGTTTTTTTTTCCTTTTTTTTTTCTGTTTGGTGAGTTTTGAGTTTGGGTCCAGTTATGGTGTAGTGCTGATTAATTAATCTAAGATATGTGGGCAGGTTATAACTATAGAAACCCAGTGCCAATACTGCTAGGAATAATTGCAAAAAGTAAGCTTTATTTTGTAACGAGGCAATTTCAAACCATGGCAGTTCTTCCACTTACATGTCACCGCAGTTGTTTTTAAGAACCGGTTACAACAATGGTAGGAGTTATGTAATTGACCTAGTGCAACTCTAGTTTGAACTTCATTGTCATAATTTTCCCTATTCCCTATTTGTTCCTATTTTCCTATTTTCCTATTTGTTTCTATTTGTTCCTTTTTTCCTATTTGTCCCTATTTGTTACCCTAGCTCATTTATTGTAGCTGCATGATCCACCTCGCATACCATAGATTATACGACATGAGAAAACACTCATACACCATCCAGCCAAACCACAAAAAGTCTAATTCCAAAACAGAGCAAATCATTGATCCTTCCACTATATCCCCTTTTATTCCCCTTTTTTCCCCTGCATTCCCAATGCTTTTTGCCGGCTACGACAGCACACCCGTACCTCCAAACCTTCGCATGTCTAGACCCAGCGCATTAGTTACCGTATAATTATCAATGACTTTTGCTCCATTGAAAAACGATCTCATTTTGAGAGCCGCTCGTGGCGAAAAGGTCGAGAGACCGCCCGTGTGGATCATGGTATGTTCATCCAGTCTTTTGTGCACCGTTTTTCCGAGGCTAACTTTCTAGCGCCAAGCAGGCAGATATTTGCCCGAATACCATGTGGTGAAGGGAAAAAGAGACTTTTTCGAGACTTGCCGTGATGCCGAGATTGCTGCCGAAATCACCATCCAGCCCATTGAGCATTTCAACGGTCTCATCGACGCTGCGATTATCTTCTCTGACATTTTGGTGATTCCACAGGCCATGGGCTTTGAGATCGAAATGATCGAGGGGAAGGGCCCAGTTTTCGTGGACCCGTTGCGTTCGCCCGCAGACTTGTCTCGCGTTCAGATGAAGCCAGACATTTTGACCTCGTTGGACTGGGCGTTCAAGGCCATTACTTTGACCCGTACGAAATTGAATGGAAGAGTGCCTTTGCTTGGTTTCTGCGGCGCCCCATGGACTTTGCTTGTGTATATGACCGAGGGCCAGGGCTCCAAGATGTTCCGTTTCGCCAAACAATGGCTCTACGAGTACACGCAAGAGTCCCATAAGTTGTTGCAGGCCATCACAGATGCATGCATTGAGTTTTTGGCCCAGCAAGTTGTTGCAGGAGCTCAAATGTTGCAAGTGTTTGAGTCGTGGGCCGGCGAGTTGGGTCCGCACGAGTTTGCCGAGTTCTGTTTGCCATACTTGCGTCAAATCGCCTCCAAATTGCCTTTGCGCTTGAAAGAGTTGGGTGTTGAAGAGAAGATTCCTCTCACCGTTTTCGCAAAGGGCGCTTGGTACGCTTTGGACGACTTGTGTGAATCCGGCTACGACACCGTCTCTTTGGACTGGCTTTACAAGCCGGAGGATGCTGTGAAAGTTGTGGGATCTAGAAGAATCACCTTGCAAGGTAACTTGGACCCTGGAATCATGTACGGCACTGACGAGGTGATTACGCAAAAGGTCGAGCAAATGATCAAGGGATTTGGTGGAGGAAAACAAAACTATATCATCAACTTTGGCCACGGCACCCACCCATTCATGAAGCCCGAGAAAATCGAGCATTTCTTGAAGGAGTGCCATCGTATTGGCTCCCAGTAGACGTTGCCATGTTTAAATGCAATCACATTTGTAAATAGTCAAGCGTACTTTCGAAAGGACACTACTTCTTTCTGCTGGAAGAATATGGTCTTTCCGTATGGGCAAACACGTTCTGGTAAAATTGCCCAATTACTAGATTAGTACATCAATACTCCCTGATACAAAAAATAAACTAAAAATACGTTGAAATTAGTAGTTTTGCCACATGCTGGCTCTGTTTCCATAGACTAAAAAACAAAAAAAAAAAAAATAATGATACAAAAAAAAAAATTCTCAGCTTGTTATCGCCCTCCGGTAAATCATTAGCCGCACATAATTTCAGTAGACAATACCTGCTAATTTACCAAAGGTAAAGTAAGCCTGAAGCAAACCAAACCATGGTATTATGCTCTTGTAGTTTTTCGACTTGTATTTTTTCGACTTGTGACTTGAATTTTGTCTCCCAGGCGTTCAAAAATTTCATTACTCGAGCTTGTTTACGAAGAGGCCTACATTTGCCACCAACATTGCATGCTAGCTGGATTACGGGCGCCACTGACAGAGCCAAGTTTCTATCCTATGGAGTAACAATTGAAGTAACAGAGCATTGCTAGCAATAATAGCAATGGCCAACCAGAGCCAATGACAAGTCAGAGACTTTATTTTTTTGCTAGTTGCAGTGACTAGTATCAATCCCAATCACGATGTTATCATTTTTTTTTATTTTTTTTTTATTTTAATTTTTTTATTTTAATTTTTTTATTTTAATTTTTTTATTTTATTTTTTGTCGCCACTCTTCTATCGCAACTGGTACATATATGGAGTGCACATTCGCATCATATTCCACCAAGGCTACCACAATGTCTTCTTTCACCAAAGACGATCTTTGCATCTACAAGCTCCCTGAAAATGTCGCATCTTCTCTAGAAGTGGTCAATGGGCCTGTGGCTCCCATCAATGTCGTCTCCGAACCTCTGGCCCAATCTCTTCCGACACAAGTGAAAAGTCTAAGCGGGTGTAATACGTGCGGCTTGACATTTGCTCCGGAGGCAGACCAGAACGAGCGGTTGGCCCATTTCAAGTCCGATTTCCACCGCTTGAATGTGAAGCTTCTTGCGCAGGGCCAGAAGCCGTTGACAGAGGCGGATTTCGACCATCTTGTGGAAACTCAGTCAGTGGAGAGCATTTCTGGATCTGAAGACTCCGAGTCCGAAAACGATCCAGAAGAACCGAAGGAATTGCAGGCGTTGCCGACGGTGTTTGAGAAATTGGCCACAACGGAGGACGAGCATGAACAAAATAGCTACATCAATAATCACTCGCCGTTTGTCTTGTTGAAGTCGCTGCTTCTCGAGAACGAAAAGGCGTTTGGTGTATACAAGACGCTATTCTCCGAGGAGACTCTACAGAAGGGCACGATCCTAGAAGACTTACAGAGGTTGCGGCTGGAGCCAGCTAAACTGGGGATATCTGTATTGCTTATGATCGGAGGAGGGCATTTCGCTGGTGCCGTCATTTCCCATAGTCCGAAAAACATCAAGGGTAACGCCAAAAATGCCCGTGAATCAAGGCAAGAGCAGATGGTCCACGTGATTCAGTCCAAAACCTTCCACAGATACACAACAAGACGCAAGCAAGGTGGATCGCAAAGTGCATCGGACAATGCCCGAGGCAAAGCCAATTCTGCCGGTTCCAGTATCCGGCGGTACAATGAACAAGCTTTGCAAAAAGAAGTGAGGGAGCTTTTGGCCTCCTGGAAAGAATATGTGGACAAGGCAGAGCACATTTTCATCCGGGCCAATGGTGCAGCAAACAGAAAGATATTGGTGGGTTACGAAGGAGCTGTGGTGCATAATAATGACAAGAGAATCAAAACGTTCCCATTCACCACGAAAAGAGCCACCTTGTCCGAAGTGAAGAAGGCATGGGCTCGTCTATCGTACTTGGCAGTGGTAGACATTCCAGCAGAGAAGAAGGTGGAAAAGAAAAAAGTGGTTGAGAAATCGCCGTCGAAAACACCGGAACCTGAAAAGAAGTCGCCGTCTGATGTACACACAGAAGAGATTGTCACGCTCATCAAGAAATCCAAAGTGCCGCTTTTGGTGAACTACCTCAAAAAGAACTCGCTAGATGCCAACTTCAAATTGACACCCGAAATGAAGTACGCCAATACGCCAACGCCATTGCATTTCGCTGCATCTCAAGGCTTGCACCATATGGTGAAGGCCTTGTTGGTGAATCTCAAGGCAGACCCAACGCACCAAAACCTGTTTGGAAAAACCGCAGCCCAAGTATCCTCTACGGCTACAGTCAAGAGCACTTTCCAGATTGCTCGAAGCACTCTAGGTGAAGACTACTGCGATTGGAACTTGGCCAAAGTGGGGCCTGCGAAAACAAGCAGTGAAGTTGCAGAGGAGGAAGAAGCAGAAAAGGCACAGCGGCAAAAGGAATCCAGGAAGTTGATTGAGGAAGAGTTGGCCAAAAAGACAGAGCTTGAAATGAAGAAACCTACCTACTCCTCGAATGGTACTGTAGGAGGTGGTAAAATGCCACCCATCTCTTCCACTAGTGGTCTAAGTGATGCACAGAAAATGAGATTGATGAGAGAGCAAAGGGCCCGTGCGGCAGAGGCAAGAATGAAGGGAGGAAACTAATAGATAGAAGTAGAGACTAATCAATAGAAGTACTTAGTTCAATAGCATTACTAAGAAGCAAAGAGAAACTAATCAGTAGAAATAACTCCAGATCAAAGAACTAACAAGAATTATCCGAGTAAACATATCAATAGAAAAGTCTTAAGTATCTGAGTAAACTAAGCAATGCACAAATCTGTGTAAGTATCAAAGTAAACTAATCAACAGAAAATTCCTGATCAAAGAGAAACTAACCGATAGAAGTATATAACTACAGATCGAAAGGAAACTAATCAACAGAATTAGAATCAGAGGAACTAATCAATAGACATTACTCCAAAATCAAACGAGCAACCTAGACGACTTTTAAGGCAAGTGGAGAGAGAAAGAAGGAGATCAAGAGACGTCAAAACAAGACCGCTAGACTACGAGAAAAAGGGAAGTGACCTGATACAGACATAGCACAAAAGTCAACAAAATGAGCAAGTGCAACGTCGCAGAGCACATATTTGGATGTCACAATATTTTCAGAGACTTAATTTCCTTATCTCAGCATGCTACAGTGTTCTATTTTTTTTATTTTTTTCAACCAACTTTTTCATTTCTCGTCGAGATTTACGAGTGTTGTATTAGACAGAATGTGCATGCGAATTTCATGGAATATTAATAATTAATGAAATAACAATTGCCGCTCGGATTTGATAGACGGGCATACGGACGGACGAGGCGGATACGGAGCTAAGACGGCGCTAAGGTTATCTATATAATCGCCGTATACAGTTTTTGCCATACTCGCACCTCCCAAAACAGGATTAAGGTACCAAGAGGCAACTTCTAGGAACCATCTCTTTGTGCTTCACTAGAATTGTGTAGGCCGAATGAGCAACAGAAAGAATTAGATGCAATGGCCAAATGTTGGCTCAGCCAAACATTAAAGTCTTAAAAAATTGGATCTCAGCAGTGTTAAATTTGCCTTACCACATTCACTTCTCATTAGACACATTTCCACAGCGCGTATCTTCGCTGCAGTATTTAACAGGACTTGGATTGTATTGCATTACTGAATTGGCCAATTGCAGAATTGGAAAATATTCAGTGTATTTTAGGTACACCAACGGAAGAGCCGGAACACATTTTCAGGAATGATCCAATTACCCAAGGATAACTACAAATGGTCTGAAAATGGATTAGAAATACGCTTAAGAGAGGACCAATTTGCAATGGGGTTTCAGTGTTTCTCGTAAGTCATGGATCCTCATAATTATGCACGGCCGCTTAAACGGCACCGACACGCATAGGATGGCGAACATAACAAATTTGAGGTAACTCAAGACCAAAGACAAGGGAAAGGGCCCAGACACAAAAGGTTGCACCAGCTGTACAATTACAATGTCACTCTTACTTTTCTCAGCAAAAAAGCTTTGAAATTGAACGTGTAGCAACTTATCTGTCATTAGAGATGTCAAAACCGCACCATGCGCAGCGCTTAAACGGCGTTAACACATAACCACGTCTTGCACGGCTGGGGTATATATATCGTGGATGCAAAGACAAAAAAAAAGGAATTTCAACGTTATTAATCAGAACATTACTCATAAGGATCTTATATCAGGTGAAGACAAGATGGCTGATCCCACGGAAGAAAAAACCACCAAAGCTTACTTTGAAAGTGACGCAGGCGATGGAACAAAACGAGAAGACATGTATCTCGAGGGCAAAGAGCTTATCCTATGTTTCATAGCCATTTTTTGCTCCTTCTTCCTTTTTGCCTTGGACCAAACCATCATTGCCACGTTGTTGACCACGGTGGGAAACAAATTCCACTCTTTTGACAAGATTGGCTGGCTCTCGGCCGGATTCCTCATCAGTATGGCGGTTTTGCTGGCGATCTGGGGGAAACTCTCCATTATATTCGGCCGCAAAATCACAATGATGGTAGCCATTGTCTTGTTTGAGGCTGGCTCGCTCATGTGTGCTCTTGCCAATAACATGAACGTCTTGATTGGAGGAAGAGTGTTGGCAGGTGTTGGAGGTGGTGGTATTCAAAGCGTTGCCTTTATCATCATCACCGAAATTCTCCCAATCCACAAGAGGCCCATGGGGATGGCCATAATTAGTATGGTTTTCGCTGTTGCCTCTGTCTTGGGACCGTTGATTGGAGGTGCCTTCACGTCGCATGTAACTTGGAGATGGTGTTTCTACATCAATTTGCCTGTGGGTGGTGCTGCTTTCCTATTATTTGTCTTTGTGTACAACCCTCCTAAGTCTAAGGGCAGCATTAGAGAGAAGCTCAAGTTGATTGATTATCCTGGAGTCCTTCTTCTCTCATCTGGGTTGGTGGTTCTCCTTTTGGCCATAACATTTGGGGCAGGCGGCCAATACGCATGGAACTCTGCTGCTGTGATTGTTTGCTTTGTTGTTGGAGGTGTTGTGACCATTGTGTTTTTCATCTGGAATGTTCGCTTCTCTAAAAACCCAATGTTGCCGTGGGAAGTGCTTCGAGTGTTCCAGATCGAAGCGTCGGCTTTTGCTCTCTTTGGTTCTTTCGCCTCCTTCATGTCCTCCGCCTTGTATCTTTCCGTCTATTTCCAGGTCATCCACGATGCTGATGCTTGGAAATCGGGGCTCCATTTGTTGCCTCTTATTGTTGCCGTGGTGCTATTCTCTTTTTCATCGGCTATGTTATGCAAGATAACACGCTACGTCAAACCATTTGCTGTCTTTGGTGCCGTGTGGTGCATGGTTGGAGCAGGCTTGCTTTGCCTTCTTGATGTGGATTCTTCAAAATCGAAAAAAATCGGTCTTTTGATTCCCATGGGCGTGGGAATAGGCTCCCTCATGCAAGCCGGTATTCTCAGTGCCCAGATTATGGCTCCCAAGACACCAGGAGGAACCATCATGGCCACTGTCTTGGCTAATTTTTTGAGGTCTTTTGGCGGTGCCTTATCTTCCAACTTGGCTGATGCAGTCTATGCGGCGACATATTTGAACAAGGTCAACGAGAACTTGAAGTACCAGCCCGAAGAAGTAATCAAAGAATTGTCCACAATCGATGTGAGAGCAATTGTGAATTCCACCGCAGCACTTGCGAAATTGTCTGCTCCAGCAAGAAAGTTCTTGAAGGCACAGTTGATGCTGGGCATTAAAAACACATTCTACATGAATCTAGGCTTTTGTGCGATTACTGTTGTCTCTGCTTGTTTCATCACAAATAAGCGTTTACCAAAAGCTGTGCCTCAAGAAAGGGACGAGAAAAAGACAGAATCAGAAGCAGCAGAAAGTGATTCTGTCGAAGCAGCAGAAAATGATTCTGTCGAAGCAAACACCAAGGACGAATCCAGCGCCACTGAATAAGAACACAGAATGGTAGTTTTTATATTTGTAAATATGTTGGTATATGGGAGTTTTAGGGTAGATGTTTTAAACCCGCACATGAACAGAAAACGGTGTAGCTTCGAAAAGAGAAGAGTGACTATAATTCACACGTATACCATTGAAATCTTTCTGTTGTCTGATGTCAATTGTTCAAAGGTATGATAGTAAACACCGTTATTTGGTTTTATACACAGTGTGCGTACTATACCATACTAGGGCTTGGACTTCATTCGACAGTTTCACTTGACTCTGAATCGATTAAATCACCCTTCACTAGGTGAAAGTCACTCGATGTTTCTGCCAGACTCACATGTATGAACACATGTGATTGTCTTCTCCTGTCTCATCAAATAAGATTGAAAATCAGACGGGTCAGACTGAGAGGCAAACCCAAAGTAGAAATAAGAGAGCCTAACGACATACAGAATGTTCCATTTGTGAAGTCCGATAATTCTAGGAACGGAATCTCCGTTTCATGTAAGCTGTGTAAAGCTAAGTCGCATTTTACGCCTCATTTATCCCCGCAACCGCATGTTTCAGTCTTTCTCCTTTGAAAAATTGTATCAATTTCCATCTACAGAAGTACGACGGCCATAAATTATAGGCGGTGTGACTATACTATTAATAAGGTGAATATGGAACAAGTACCAGACTCCAAGAGCAATTCTTGCGTCTCATGGACGGAAATGCAGAATGACGGATATAAGAAGCCAGCGTATCTGGATGATGTTGCACAGTTTTTTTTCCTACTGCTCAGACCTCTCGAACCGGGATCAACATATCTGCAAGTAACATCCCAACAGCCATTAATTGGTCGAAAGTTTATAGTTCGTATTCCAGGATGGAATGTGAAGAAGATTCAGACTGTGCAATATACGAATAAACATCCAGTAATCAATTGTGGTCCAAAACTTCCTCTTGTTTCATGTCTCATCTTGCATTATATCTCATCTTGCTTCGCATCTTATCTTATGGATTATGAGCGACTTTCATAAACATTTCGTTGTCTTGAGTAAGCTTACTTTGCATCTTACATGACTTACTGAAGATGCCGTCAAATAGATGAAACTATCGGCCTCAAATTGAAGGCGACAATAACTTGAATGGCTCCGATACACGGACTTCTTATCATTGGGGATTCGGACGAGAGAGGTGGATATCAACAAATCCATCTCTTAATATTCGAACCTTCGTGAATATGCGCAGACGGTTAAATTTACGCCACACGCAGGGGATGGCAAACAACACATACCTGCCCAATTGAGGGACGAAAAGGGCTCAAGTTAATCAGAAAAAGTTACAAATGCCACCGTACTGGCTCAATCCACATATCTAGGCCCAACAGGATGCTTCGAAATAATAAATTCCCGTAAATGCGACCAACATGTCACTCAAGGTGTCAAATCCGTATCATGTATGACCGCTTAAACGGCGTTCCTACTTATGCCATTCTACCACGGCTGGAGGTATATATATGGCTGATGGGAAAGCCACAAAACAAACAAATCAACAAGCATAAGCTTTAGCCATTGAATGGAAACAAAGAAATTATGTCTGACCCTACAGAAGAAAACGCGCCCAAAGCGTACTTTGAAAGTGATGCCGGCGATGGAACAAAGCGAGAAGAAATGTATCTTGAAGGCAAAGAGCTTATCCTCTGCTTCGTGGCCATTTTTGCCTGTTTTTTCCTCTTTGCTTTGGACCAAACCATCATTGCCACGTTGTTGACCACGGTGGGAAACAAGTTCAATGCATTCGACAAGATTGGCTGGCTTTCAGCTGGATTCCTCATCAGTATGGCAGTCTTGGTGGCAGTCTGGGGAAAACTCTCAATTATTTTCGGCCGCAAAATCACAATGATGGTAGCTATTGTTTTGTTTGAGGCTGGCTCGCTCATGTGTGCTCTTGCTAGTAGCATGAACATTTTAATTGGCGGAAGAGTGTTGGCAGGAATCGGCGGCGGTGGTGTCCAAAGCATTGCCTTTATTATCGTTACAGAGATTCTCCCAATCCAGAAGCGGCCTATGGGAATGGCAATTTTGAGTACCGTGTTTGCTGTGGCATCTGTCTTGGGACCGTTGATTGGAGGAGCTTTCACGTCGCATGTAACTTGGAGATGGTGCTTCTATATCAATTTGCCCGTGGGAGGCGCTGCGTTCCTGTTGTTTGTCTTTGTGTACAACCCTCCCAAGGCTAAGGGTAGCATCAGAGAAAAACTCAAACTGATTGATTATCCTGGAGTTCTTCTTCTCTCTGCTGGCTTGGTTGTTTTTCTCTTAGCCTTGACTTTTGGTGCCGGTGGGCAATATGCATGGAATTCTGCTGCAGTGATTACTTGCTTTGTTGTTGGCGGTGCTGTGTCCATCATCTTTTTCATCTGGAATGTTTGGTTTTCCAAGCACCCAATGTTGCCGTGGGAAGTGCTTCGAGTATTCCAGATTGAAGCGTCGGCTTTAGCTCTCTTTGGATCATACGCCTCATTTATCTCTGCCATCTTGTATCTTTCCGTCTATTTCCAGGTCATTCATGATGCCAATGCCTGGAAATCTGGTGTCCATTTGTTACCTCTTATTATCTCCGTGGTGCTTTTCTCCTTTTCATCGGCTATTGCTTGTAAGGTGACACGCTACGTGAAACCTTTTGTTGTGTTTGGTGCATTTTTGGCCATGATCGGCGCAGGCTTGCTTTGCCTTCTTGATGTGAATTCTTCAAGCTCGAAAAAAATCGGCCTTTTAATTCCCTTGGGCGTAGGTATGGGCTGCCTCATGCAAGCTTGTATGCTCAGTGCCCAGATTCCGGCTCCCAAAACACCAGGAGGAACCATCTTGGCCACAACCTTTGCAAATTTATTGAGGTCTTTTGGCGGAGCATTAGCTGCAAACTTGGCTGACGCAGTATACTCGGCATCATATTTGAACAAGGTCCATCACAACTTGAAGAAACAACCAGATGAAATAGTCAAAGAATTGTCCACAATTGACATTCGGGCAATTGTGAATTCCACTGCAGCAATTTCAAAGTTGTCTGCTCCAGCACAAAAGTTCTTGAAGGCCCAGTTGATGCTGGCCATTAAAAACATTTTCTACATGAGCCTAGGCTTTTCTGCTATTGCAGTTGTTGCCCTGTGTTTCATCACAAATAAGCGATTACCAAAAGCTGAGCCTCAAGAAAGAGACGAGAAGAATGCAGAACCAGAAGCCGCACGAGATGATTCTGTCGAAGCAGCAGAAAATGATTCTGTCGAAGCAAACACCAAGGACGAATCCAGCGCTACTGAGTAAGGAAGCACAGAAATGTGAATTTTTCAATTTGAATATAGTCTCTAGTTGATGGGACTTTTGGGGTATACTGTTTTAAACCCGCACATGAATTAATTAATGCCATGACGCAGCTGCTGACATATGTTTGAGTTAGGGCTCTTTTGTGATTAATATGATTATTAGAATTATTTAGAAGTTTATAGTTATTACCTTTATCATTAATATTATACTTATCAATTAAAATTAATTCTACATCAGTATCTCTAGCATCTCTAGTTAAGTTATATTCAATGAAATCAGGACTAACTTGGATTTCCAAGTCTTCATTATGTAAGTAAAGTAAAAGTTCAAAGATTGAGGTACTACCATGAGAAGAAAAGGTCACTTTTCTTTTAGTTTGGTCTCGGGATTACCATAAACTAAGTACGATGCTATTATATTGTTCAACTGTCTCTATGACAGTCAACATTTAGGGTTAGGCAATCATTTCCTATTTCCGTTCAAAAATTCTACTCACTTTGTGTATCTTATGTTGCATTGGAGCTTCCTTCGGTGACAGTTTCAGTTGGTTCTTTGGAATTGATTAGCTCCCCTTTTAGTAGGTCAAGTTCGCCAGACATTTCTCCCAGACTCACATGTGTGAACACATATGTGATTGTCTTCTCCTGTTTTGTTTTTACAATCAACTTATTCAAGATATCATCACCCTGTATCGATTGATTCAGCACACACAGAAGGATCAAAATGTCTATAATTGGAAAGTGCCGTCCGCATCACTTGCCTTTTAGCGGCAGTGGTGCCATCTAATTCTTTGAATTCTAAAGCGCTCATCCAGCCTGAAGACGGGAGCTCCTCATCTTCTTGAGTGTCCTTTGGTTCAGCTTGAGTTAAATCAATATCCTCACCTGTTCCTTCGCAATCACATTCAATCAAATCATGTGTGTTGCAGTTTGTGTCTGCAATAGTAAACAAATCCTTTAGGTCTTCAAAGTCGAAAATATTCAGGGCCGAAGACAGTTTCTCATCCAAAAACATGTCACTCAAATTGTTTTTCATTAGCTGCCTTTGGAAGATTTTTTCGTCGATAGCACCAGTGGTGAAAAGTCTGTAGATGAAAACTGGCTTTGTTTGACCGTACCGATGAACTCTGGCCATCGCTTGAAGATCCACCAGCGGGTTCCAGTCGTTATCGAAAAGAATCAACCGCGAAGCTCCAACTAAGTTAAGCCCAACACCTCCAGCTTTAGCCGAAAGAAGAAAGATTTTGTGGGTCGGGCACTTGTTGAAGTCAAGCACCAATTTATCTCGCACCTTGGCTGGTGTGCTTCCATCGAGACGGCAATATTGAAGATTGAGTTTCAGAAGCACAGTCTCTAGGAAATCTAAGGTTTGGGCATAGTTTGACACCAAAACCACTTTTTCTCCCACTGTTCGGAACTCGAGTAGAAGAGGTACAAGTACATTGACTTTGCTACCTGTAGTTCTAGATGAAAGTGGAGACGACGATAATTCAGTGTCGTGAAGAAACGAGGCAAAAAGAGGATCATTGTGCAAAAGGGAGGGAGAGTTGCAGATTTTGCGGAACATGAGAATCATTGAAAGCACATCTTTGGTTTCTGATCTCATCACGGAGTTAAACTTTGATGACTTGGAAACCGCTTCGAAAAGCAGTTTCTGGACTTTTGTTGGAGCACAAAAAATTATTACATCCGTTTTTCTAGTTAAGCAGTTGCTGATAATATCTTTAGTGCGCCGGAGAATAAAAGATTTAGTCAATTGAATCAACTCTGCAGACTTATCTTTGCCTTCTCTGATGATTTTTAAATCATGACAATTCACGTCACGAGCCCGCAAGATAGGCCGCAAATAATTCTTCTGAAATTCAGATTGAGTGCCCAAAATCCCGGGGTTAATAAAGTTGATAATGGTGTAAAATTCATTGAGGTCATTTTGGATAGGTGTACCTGTGAGAAGCAATCTCTTTTCCACCAGCAAAGCCAGTAAAACTTTGAATACTCTATTGGAGCCGCTTTTCAAGCGGTGGCCCTCATCACAAACCAAAATATCCAAGTTGAGCGCATCTAGTTCCTTTGAACAAGACAAAGTTTTCTCGTAGCTCATTATTAGCACTTGGTATACGTTATTTTTGCCAAAATTCACTATATCGTCTTTATCCTTTGCTGGAGACACTTGCTTGTTGTTCAAACAAAGAACACCGATGCGATAAGTTCCAAGCCATTTGGTGAATTCACGGCGCCAATTGTCGATAAGAGACACGGGGCAGCAAATGAGAACTTTGGAAGCCACTTTTTTCTGGCCGGGGAAAGGACTCTGTTTGAGCAAAGTCCAGATGACAGTGATGGTCATCAATGTTTTCCCGAGACCCATTTCATCAGCCAAGAGCGCTCCAAAGTAATTCGGCTGGTGGATGCCCAAAAGGCAAGAGTAGACAAATGACACGCCGTCTCTCTGGTGCGGTTTTAGATGTTTAGTCAAGAGTGGATCAACAGAAACGTCATTAGCATTGGGGATTTTCGGAGCTGGAAGAACTAGGGATGGCGCTGCTGATTCAACAACCGCATCTACTTTAGGTGTAGGAGATGGAGCAGATATTGGGCCTGCTATGCGTGGAATATGTTTCTTCATAGGAGCAGAATCTCGAAGAGGCAGCGACACTAGAGCCGGTTTTTCGTCCTTTTGCTGGACGAGCTCTTCCTTTGAGGTTTCACAGTCCACCTCAGCCTCGTAAGTGCCGAAACGCAAAATGCCGTCTGTGTCGGTACTTTTGGAGCGGCCCACGATGCGGTACGTGCCTTTATTCTCTATCTTCAAAACCGACCCACTGTCAGAAACAACCATAACGCCGTCACCTTCCCATGGCTTATGTTTGCGATTCGAGCGTTTCCGCCATTGCACCGTGTAATACCGGGGAGACATTTTGGCTCTTTTAGCGGAGCCTGGCAATTCGGAGTCTTGTTGATGCAGAAGCGGATTGTGGATGTGGATCCTTGTATGTAGTGGATCAGGACTGGATCCATTGGCGTTGTTCAATACGCGTCTCTTGACGGTACTGGAAGGTAGTTGAGTTGGAGGATCGGCAAGTCCTGGTTCTGAGATGGGAGTCTTTTTCACTTCATTGGTATCTGTATCGCCGCTATTGTCTATTTGGGCATTCCCGCTCTCTATTCTTTCTCTGTGCTCTTGCGTCTCTTTGTTTTCGGTGTCTTTGGATCTGGTTTCTAGGCGACGCGTACTCCCCAAACGGCGGGCCGGGCGCTCTGAATCCCGGACAAAGAGACTTTCCTCCGGCGGCGTTTTCCGGATAAGACGGGGCGGCTTGAACTGGGCATTTTTATACATAAGACGAGTAGGTCGCACTGATGAAATATGAAGTAGAGACAGACGAAGCAATACATAAATGGACAGACAAAACCAAAAAATACAGATCTGAGGATACAGATCAGAGAATACAGATCCGAGAATACAGATCACAGAATAATCAAGCGAGAATCAAGCGAGAATCAAGCGAGAATCAAGCGAGAATACCAGCAACAATCATTGGCCTCCAGTCAACAGACAGGCTACACGGGCAACACATTAATTTCCCATTATAATATACACTAGAGGTCCACATCTGTCCCAGTCAAATAGTAATACGCTCTGCTGAACACAAAGGAAAAGTACTTGGGCAAGTTGTATATGGCAAACACAAAAAAGGTGACAAAGGTGACGAGGAAAGCATGCAACCAGATCTTCTCAATGTTGGTCAACATGTAGAAAGGGAAATGGTGGTAGTAGAAATCCCATATTTTTCTTGGAAAAGACCGGGAGTCGGGAGCAAAGTCCTCCTTTTCGAGTTTCAAGGTGGACATGAGGATGTATACTAAATGTTGTGTAGAAGATCGCGATTAGCAGGCTTGGGTCACGTGGAAAGCCATATTTGAAAACTGTAGGGAAACTATAGAAGTCAATGGGCTAACTAGTTAATGGCACAACTGGACAATAAAACAATTGGCCAATGGAACAACTGGCCAATGGACAACCGAGTCGAACAAATGTGGCTCTAGATGTGGATATCTGAAATGATGCCAGCTCGATGGTTTGGTAGCATAAAAGAGTACTTATTTCTACAATAGCGAACATAGTGAAAGTAGAGAAGACGACTAGAGTTTAAGGCAACGCCAACGTGAAAATAGCAAAAAGCCATGGCGAAAGGCCGATTTCATGGTAGAAACCAATTGTACTTAGTAGGACGATGCGCGCATCGCGAAAAGTCTCCACACCATGACTTCTTCGACCAAGGAAATCAAAAAGGACTTGATAGCACATGGCCCGGAGCAGATTGGAGCCGAAAAGTTCTGCGGTCTTTTGAGCGAACTTGCGGCCCGTTTCGAGGCACAGCCGTCAGATGCGGAAACGGTTCTTTTGGTGGATACATTGGCCATCTGGTTTCTCCGAGCCACGCAATGGGCGGGGCCCGAGAACGAGGAGGAACGAGAATGTCAGAGAGGAAAAGAAACAGAAACAGAAACAGAAACAGAACGAGAAACAGAAACAGAAACACGAACACAAACACAAACAGAAACACTAACTCAAGATTCAAGACAAACGAGACAGAGAACCAAAGCCTCTGGATCCGGTGCGCCACATCCAGCCCCCGCAAATCCCCTCGCTCTTTCCTACCTCCAGACAGTCGACCCAGAGCTTCTTACAAGGCTCTTTTCGTTTGTGTGCGACTTCCACCATGCGCGCGGGCGCCTTGCCAATGCCGTTTCGGCGCTTCTTTCGCGCCTCATTCTGTTCGCCGGCCGCGTCGCGCCGCCCCTCCTCTGCGTGTGGCTTCGCGCGGCATTGCAGTTGCCGCGCACCCAGAAGGGCGCCTACGCCGTGCTCGAAGCGCTCTTGCGCGCGCTGCATGCGGCGCGCCTCGAAGTCCGCGCCCACCGCCCCGAATTTCTTTCCCAGTGCGTCGATGCCATGGCCCAGAACGCCGTGGCGCACGCGGCGGCCCGTGCTGCAGCAGCAGTTTTTTTGCATTCACCGCCCGACCAGGCGCTCGCATCCTGGACGCCCGAGCTTGTGCGCGGGTTGAAATCCCCACCGCTTCGGGCCAACGTCGAGGCGCACTTGCTTCCGGCGCTTTTCCGCCCTTATCCGCAGCATTTTGCCCAGTGGGCCGCGTCTTTGCAATTGGACGCGCGCTCGGCTTTGGCCTTGCTTGAGGCCGGGCGCGCCATCGACGCGCATTTCGACGCCGTTTCAAGCGGCGCCGTGAGCCCACTGCAGCTCCGCGCCTGGCTTACGCACGCGCACGCCGACGTTCGCCATGCGGCGCTAGGCGCGGCGCTCGCAGGAATTCGGGCGGCCGCGGCGCCTCGATGGGCCGTCCAGTTGTTGCAAGACGCCGATTTGCTCGAGGCGCTCTTTCGCCATTGTGAAACGCCCTCGGATCGGACGGGGCTACTTTCGGCTCTCCGCCGGCCTGTCTTGGCCATGCGGGACTTTGTCCGCAGGGCGAGAAAGGACGAGAGGGACAGACGTGCGGAATTGAAGAATAGTCTGGATGAAAAAAGCTCTGGTCTGAAAAGGAAGGACGCCCAGCACCAGCTGGCGGGCAGAAAAAAGCTAAAGGGCAATGGTGTCTCCGACGCTATGGAGATCGACCCAGCGAAGCAAGCACAGAAATTGGAGTTCAATGAAGTCACAACAACGAAAAAACAGCTCACAGACGCAGAAACCAGCACGCAGCTCATAGAGACAGAAACTATTGCCCCAGAGTCTACTCCAGCAGAGGTGGAAGACGCCCTCTGCTTTCTCAAAAACTTCATCCTTTCACTTCTTATCCCCGACTCTACATACTCCCAGCTCTGCCTCGCCTTTGATTTTCTCGACATCTTTGTCTCCCAAGGCTTTGATGGCGTTTCTCGGTCAAAAAACTCTCGTCCTCATAAAATGTTCATCATTTTCGACACTCATCTCACAGACCTCCTCCTCAGGTTCACCACGAACAACTACGAGGATATCCGTCTGCATGCCAAAACTTTGCTTTTCAGCACGCCTTTCGCTGTCTTCAAAGAAACAATCCAAAAGCAACCACAGCAAAATCTCCCCAATTCCATGGCGCTTCTCAGCTCAAGAAAAGGTCGTCAAAGTGAAGGTGGAGCGCAGCTATTTCTGGCTGTGACTACCATTTATCAACTTCATGGTGACTACACTAGCTTTTTTGAAACAACAAATGCTCTTGTCCAAGGGTTGAATGCGCAGATTTCGGCTGGTGGTGCCTCGCATGGTTACTTTACCACACTTGCCCTCATCTTTTCATCTTTGGAGAAAGACACACTTCTCTCTCATAAGGACTACTTCTCGTCCATTATTGTATCACTACTGGAGACTATACTACAAATTTGGGACATGCTCAAGTACCTGATGGCTTTAGCCCCGTCGGAAGTCGACAGCGACACAGAAACAGACTCATGGCGTCTAATTAAGGAGTCCAGCTTCTTGCTTAGAACCATAATGGCTCTCAATCATCAGCACGGATGGATTTTCTTGAGTGAGGACCATTTTCTTTCCCTTTGTGATATGGTCATTAGCCAGCTTACCAATGTCACTCATAGAGGGGCATTCCTGGCTATTTTCCCTACTTTTGTTCAAGCTTGTGAAATATGCTTGGACTCGTCGCTTTCTGATAAACCAGAACAATGGCTCCTCTCCAATATAAGGCTCATTGAAACCAAAACGCAACTTGTATCCAGAAGGTCTGCCGGATTGCCCTTTTTGATAACCGGTGTTCTAGATGCTTCAGTATCAGCCCCAAAAACACTCCAAGAATTCTTAAAGATCACTTTTGATGAGCTTTTGGGAATCGCAAATCTCAAACATACTTCTTCGGCTGATGAAAAAATGGATCTTCCACAGGTTCATGCTTTTAATTGTGTCAAACACATTTTCAGTGATTCCGCCTTGGGCTCTGCTGTACTTCCTTATATCAATGATGCATTAATACTTTCCCTCAGCAATCTCGACAACCCGACATGGGCCATTAAAAATGGAGCTGTGATGCTTTTCACTTCTTTACAAGGAAAACTATTTGGGTCCAGCACGGTAACTGATGGTGCTTCAGGAACTAATGCATCTCTTTTTTTCCACAAGTATCCTGGAATAAAAGAGATTTTGAGAGAGAAATTAGGAGCTTCACGCAGCTTGAATCAGGCAAATGTGGTAATACCCATTCTTGCTGTACTCTCCCGGTTGCATACCTTTATCTCCTCTGATCTCAGTCTTGATATATTCATCGACGAACTCAAGAAAACGTTTTTGAAACATCAGCTGTGGAAGATTCGAGAAATGTCTGCTTTACTGATCAGCAGAATGCTTCACGAGTCTCGTTTACTAGACTGCATTTCTGAATTGCTCATTTGTGCTAGCGAAAGTACAAATAATAATGAGGTACACGGAGCCCTTTGTTGCATCAAGGAATGTTTGAAAAGGGTGCCAGAAACTGTCGATTTAAGCGAAGTATCTAAAAGTGTCGAATCGCAATTCCGCTACAACATCTCCACTGGTAAAAGGCATTTTTCTATTCTCTCTGCATACTTGCACATATTGAAGGTTACACAAAGATTGTCAAGAGAAACCGCAGAAACACTTGCAGAGCATGTTTTGAAGGAGATTGAGTTGCTGAAGTATCTGTTGTATCCTGATGGAACCAAGCAGCTCTATTTGTCAAAAGCATCAGTAATTCTTTTGGAATACTACGCCAAAGAGAAAACCAACACTCTTCGCCAGCTTACATGGAAATTTTTGCAAGCGTCTTCAGTTTTCGAAGTGCCATTAGCATGTGCCAATTTTTTTATCGAGCATCCGGAACTGGTTCAGGAACCTACCAGGATGAAAACTCTTCTTGCAAGCATGATCAACGATACGAATTTATGGACTCCTGTTAAATCTACATTTTTGCAATTGATCATATCTTTGGGAGGAACAGTGTCTGATACAATCACGCCCGAAGCCAAATGGCCCGATGAAATGATTGAAAGGTGGTTGGTTATCACAGGTGACACGCAGGACTCAATGGGGGTAACATGGTTCGTGGAGTCTGTTATTAGTTTTGCCGATGACCATCAGCCAGAAGAAAAAATCGAGCTTGCAGTCATGGCCGCTGGTAAATTCATTGCTGCGAACTACAACGTTGTATCGGCTAACGTAGCGAGAATGCAATTTCTTGTTTTCCGCAAGCTTTTCGACGATAGTTCTAGAATCCGCAATTTGGCATCCGCTTTACTCACAGCTTCATCCGATTCAAACATTTGTTCTACGCTTGTGGCAAAAAAGTTCCTCCAAAGCTTTACTTCAAAGTTTGGTAAGTACGCCATCACCATACTTACAGAGCACATTTTCACGCTCATTAACAATTTGAACGATGCCATTGCAGAAAAGCAAAACGAAATGTTTGACGTTGAACGCTCAAATCTTTTCATCAACGAAGTTTCGTTCCACGGCACTCTCGTTCGGGCAATTTTGCCTTACATAGATATCTCGACTCGGGATGGCCAAAGGTTCGAGCAATGTGTTGTCCAAGAAATTCAGAACCTTGCCCATTTCCTTTCTACACATCCCGACATGGTTCAAACATGCTCCTTCAATCTCCATGTCGACACAGCAATCCGGAAAGTGATGAATTACAAAACCTTCTGCACTGGCTTTCCGAGAGTTAAATCGCAGTTGGACAATTTGCAAACGCTTTTAAAGAGTTTCGGATATTTCATTTAGCATGCGTACATAAATTATACGCAACATCATTTCTACAAGAATCCATGTAAGTACATCAACGTATGGTCTATCACTATGAAAATCATGATGAGATTTCGAAAAGTGCTTCTATATTAATTCCATACTACATTCCACTTTTTCTGAATCAAAAAACCAAACTTTGTGACTATCTATGAATCTCTGATTTATGACACTTCATTGTATTATTTCATTACTGGAGTATGCCTTCTACCCTCATTCGCACCCAAAAATGCATGTGCCGGGTAACACAGAGGAAAAAAATATATAAGAGGCAGATTTTTCTTCACAGTTTGTCGCACCAACACTAGCATTTAAGCGGTATGTGAATACAATTAAGTGTATGATGATGAATTATTATCAACGAATTTCTTCACCTGAATCACCATGTGGATTATCAATAATATCAGAGCTTTTTAACCCTGACATACACACCTCATTTTGTAAAACTTGTTACTAACATATAAAGACTTGTTGAACGTGGATCGTTTTCGTAGAGTATCTTCGACTCTGTAATTCTGCTTTGGTCACATCTATTACTGGGCGGCCAAACGAGAAGTGCAAGCGTAAAGAAAGGATTTTAGAGAAGCACATCTTGTTTTCTCTTCCCTCTTGTACACTCTTCTACTTTTCATGGAAGATTTCCCCATTGTCTGCAGCCAATGCTTGGGTGATAAGGAACATATAAAGATGGTTCGTCAACCTGCTGGCGAAGAATGCAAACTCTGTACAAGGCCTTTTACCGTGTTCCGCTGGAATATCCTGCAAGAGCAGAAACAACTGAAAAAGACCATATTCTGCAAAACATGTGCGCAGAGCAGGAACTGTTGTCAGTCTTGCATGCTTGATGTGACGTATGGCATTCCTTTAGAGATCAGAGACGCTGCGTTGAAGATGGCTGGAATTCGCAATGAATGGGCGCCAGCAACTTCAACGCTGAATCGAGAAGTCAAGGCAATTGTGGCGACCAAACTAGAGGCCAAGCAAAAGAAAGAAGAAACGGATTTGGAAAAACAGCGAGAAAAGGCCAAGGCCGTGTTGGAGTTGCTCGCGTCAAAGATATCCAGTGGAGCTATTCAGCCTAAAACCTCCAAAGTGAAGCGGAACGATGTTCCCAATAGAGAGGTGTCCAAGATTGTGGCAAAGCTCCCGTTTGGCGGAAATTTGGATGTTCCTGAAGATGGAACCGCAAAATCCTTTTTTGTTTTCGGCTTCAGCCCTGAAATGCCCCAGTACGTGCTTTCGTCCTACTGTGAAAAATTCGGCACTCTAAGTGCGGTCAAGGTGGTTCACCGGGCCCAATGTGCATACGTGACGTTTCTGAAACGAGCTGCGGCGGAATCTTTTGCCCAAGCTGTGAGTGAAAATGGCTTGAACGCAAACAAAAGCACAGCAGGTCTTCTAATTCTTGAACGGTATCCAGTGCGAGTTGCGTGGGGAAACCCACGGCCACTTGGTACTACCAATGACGAGCATAGTAAGATTTCCATGGTGGTGGCAAAAGTCATGGGCCAATTAGCAGATAAAGACAATGGGGTGAAGCACAATGGAGCGAAAGATAATGGAACCAAACAGAAAAAGAAGACGGAACAAAAACGGTACAAGGCAGCAAGCGAAGACCTTGAGTTGTGATGGGATGGAAATACATGTAGAATAGACTTCGATAATAAAAAGGAAGGAACAAAGATTGTGATGACAAGCGAGAGTAAATTTCAAGATACAACGTTCATGGAGATGCTTGTTCTGCCACGGTTTTCTAACTGAAAATGGGGATCAACGTACCATGACTGAATATTGGTATTGGCCTAGTTTTGAACAAATTTGCAAAAGAAGACATGAACATTGTGTGAAATAGTCCAAATCAAAGTTCCATCGTATAATGAATGTTTTATCAGGCTACATTTATTTGTAGGAATAAAAGTAATTATTTTGAAACGTCAGGAGATGATGTTGTCTGTGATATACATCTAATGATATGACTAATGTTCTTGAAAGATATCTATAAAGATGTATGACATATTCATCTCCATAGTGACGACTTCTGCAAAGACTGGAGGTATTTTATTTAATTACATAAGAGAGACATTGTAGCGTAGAAGAGAATCATCTACTAAAACATTCCAGAAATGTCTGCTTGAAGTTGGCATAGAATCCAAAAACATGTCCGGTCTGAACCTTTCAAAGATACATCATAATACAACTGTTCAAGTGCTCCTGAGCCTGATATTCATTATGATATCACAGTCTAGTCCTTCTAGGAAGATTTTATTCCATAAGGTGCCATGTATAAAATCAATAGAGAATCATTTCCATGCGAGATACATGGGTCGTATAATTACTCGAAGTGAGATGATCAAGTGAACAGAAAAAAGGTAGGAGATTCTGAACTAATTGAATCATTCAGTTCACCAAAAAGTGTTTCCTAACTATGTGTTTTCTAGCTATATGTATCCACTGCCAGATTGCTGTCAACTCACAATTAGCCTTCATATGTTAATTAACGGCCTTGTTAGCCTATTCGCCGTTCTTGTTTTTCGCGCACCTACTACTTCAACACTTAACCTCCAATGCCAGAGTTTTCAGTGCTCTGGCTTTTGCTCGCCGCTCTTCTTCCTGCTTTCCTCCTTCTGCTCCGGCTCCTATATGTGCTTCCTTGTTTCCGACTGGCTGCTGACAATTCGAAGAAACTGCTCACAGGCTCGATTATGGTGCTTCTAGGCTCCGGCGGGCATACGGGCGAAATGCTTCGGATGTTGGCCCCTGTGCCTCTTGGCAACTGTTCCAGAACATGGATTGTCTCTTCTGGAGACACCACGTCGCTCGAAAAGGCACGGGCGTACGAGGAAAAGTTGGAAAAGTTGGACGGGACGTCCAGCTCTACTTTTGTCCAATTGCCGCGGGCTCGGCGCGTGGGCGAGCTGCCGTTGCTGTCTGTTGTGAGTACTGTCGTCTCCATCGCGGCGACAGCGCAGAAAATCTGGGATTTGGGTCCTCCGGATGTCCTTTTGGTCAATGGTCCTGGAACAAGCGTGGTTCTTGCGTATGTGTTGTTCGCCATGAAGTTTTTGGGCTTGGGCCGCACGCGCATAGTGTACATCGAGTCCTTGGCCCGTGTGAAGCTGCTCAGTTTGAGCGGAAGACTCATATTTCCTATTGCTGATCGGTTTGTGGTTCAATGGAAGGAGTTGGCTATTCGCTATCACAGAGCGGAGTACCATGGCATTCTAGTGTAGAGGCGGGGAGATTGGCAATTCACTTATATTTTTTGATGGGACGCTTGACGTCGGGCACATTGCATCAAATCCTCTTACATTAGTATGGAAGAACCTACGAATCTTTGCTCTTCTGGATTATTTCGCCTCTGATATCATCTTGTCTGTCTGTCACATTTGACATGGCAGTTTGGAGAAGTGGAAACGAATGCTTACTGATAGATAGACTGCTGCCCATTCATCTTTGTGATAACGAGATACATAAATGGCATTAAGGCAGTATGGTGGACCACTCACTTTTTCCCATATCGATACCTCGAATGGAAACACCGAGACTTGAACCAATACGCTGTTATTTTCTGAACCTTCAGGTGAAAGTCTCAAACCATTTCAGACCCGACAATTCAGACAGACCATAGTATGCTTAAGCCTCGAGACTAATTATATTGCTAGCTTGTACTTTGATTGTACTTTTACATCTTTAGTACCTTACTTTCTACTTTCTAGGAACCAGGATTAATAGTCGAGTAAATTCCCAGTTTACAGTATCCACGGAACCTTCTTTCCTCCCACCAACCATCTCCATTAACGAAGACAGCCCTCAATAGAGCTGAGTGCTATTTCTCGAAATGGCTTTCTTGAATGGCAGTCTCATATTTACGAATGTACCAAGTAAAGTAGCGTTTCATAAAGTTCATAATCACCATTACGTATTGCAAATTCATTTTGCATACCCCTCTAAGATAAGAATTATAGTCTTATTTCCAAACACCTTCTTAGACTTTCAATCTCAGTCTTGCACCAGTATAGTCCATACAGTTTTCGCACCCATTACTTTTCGCACCCATTACTTTCGCACCCATTGGCATCTTCCTGACCCATTTCGCCAGATGTCTTTTGACGGAATCGTGGCAGAATTTCCGTTCATCGGCGTCGACCGCTTTAATACTGCCGCCCGTACGTTTTTGCTTACTCATTGCCACCAGGACCATCTTGTTGGCCTACTAAACTGCTCTTTTTCTGGCACAGTCTACTGTTCGCCAGAAACACGTCTTCTTCTCGAAGATTTACAGGGATACGCGTCGGTTCTTCCTCGGATCAAGACAGTGGCCTACAATACGCCGATCGAAGTTGATCTTCCGCCTGAGATACAACGCGTCTATGGGAAAATCGTCATTACTCTAATTCACGCGTACCACTGTCTTGGATCTTGTATGTTTCTTATAGAAGGAGAATATGGCGGCTCTGTTCTTTGCACAGGTGACTTGCGAGCGGAAAAGTGGTGGGTTGACAGTCTTGGCCAGCTGCCGTGTCTTGGGCCGTATTTGGCCGGGCTCAAGACCTTAGACAATATCTACTTAGACACCACGTTCGGCTATCGGGGCGAGCCGTACATCGAAATGCCGCCAAATAATCTGGGGGTTCACGTTGCCATCCGCTGGTTGGAAAACTATCCCTTGGACGATCCAGATCTCGTGTTTCAGTTTCGAGACACCGTGCTTGGTTTTGACCAGGCGTGGGCATTTATTCTCAGCTATTTCCGGGCATCTTTGGATGTTACAGAAGATAAGCTTAAAAAGATTATGGCCGTAGCTGCTCGTCATGACGAACTAAACGGTCCTATGTTATCTCAGGCTATGGAGTACTGCAATCAGCCTCTAGGTTGCAAGACAAGAAACAGGCCCTGTTTCGTTGCTGGAAAGCCTCTACTGTCCAAACAAATTGCCGTTCGTATTGTCCAGTGCATAGATTTCAATATTGTGGACTTGGCTGGCTTGTTTTGTCCTCTCCCACTTTCTGCGCTATCAGCAGCAGAAAAGAAGGCAATTTTGAATCCAATAAAAAGCACAAGCGCTGGAAACAGTGTTGTTGAACTTCGAGGGCGTCAGTGGCTTCTTCCTAAAGAACATTTATCCCTTCTTCCTATGGATGTTAAATTGGTTTTCTCTCGGCACTCGTCCTACTCAGAATGTGCTGATTTTGTCTCCCGTTTTAAGCCCAAACAGGTTTACCCATGCTGGTCAACACAAACGGCGTGGCATAATGGGTTTGTAATGGCCCGCCTCTTTGGGAAATATTGCTCAGCTTCAGTGTTCGATTTTGACATCAAAATGACTAGACAATTGGGCCCTTCTAAGAGAGCAATGTTGGGTCTTCCGGTTGCCACTATAGACCGATGGGACGCTGGGGAATGTGAAGAAGAAAAGAAATTTGTAGAAGACGTGCTTGACAAAAGAAAAAAGGAAGGCCAGGCAATTATCAACGTCCGCCAGGTTGCACATTTTCCGGTTTTCTTCAAGGAACGAGGCCAGAAGTCCCAAGACAGTCACAACAAAGCCAGGAAATTACGATTGAATCTTGAGAGTCTAGCAAGTGGTAAAACAACTTCTGCCAGACGCTTCATAGAAGAACAACAACAATTATACTACAAGAGACACTGTCTTCCTCAATACGAGCGTGATTTCGAGGACCCAAGGTACCACAACATGTTTGGTTCTGGATTGAGAGGAACTAGTGAAGCTGATTCTCGAAGTAGTGACAGCTCCCTCGATTTGGTGATGATGGGAACACGTAGCTCTTCTCATGTTGCTGTAAGTGTCGACTCATATCTGCCACAATCAAAGGCATCGAGGGAACTGAACAGTGGTCAATCCATTGTCCTCAATTCTGAAGAGCTCGAGAAACCCACATGTTCATCCAATAAACTTGATATTATGCGACAATCTAGAGCAAACAGCTTTGTTGATGATATGGACGAAGAAATAATTCCGAACCTGTTTCCCTCGCTCGAGTCACGGCTAAATTTACTGATACCAAGTCCCATTGTAGCGTTGACAGACATTACACGCTGCTGTGCAAATGATTATTATCAACGCTTTTCCTCAATGCATTATAGGCACTCGTTCGAGGCCTTAGACGGAGATTCTTGCAAAACTTTGGAACAAACATCGTTCTTCTCCTCCTTCAAGTATGTTGAAGACTCCATATATCTCAGTAAGAGAAGATTCTGAGCTCTCCCAAACTTAACTGTATCTCTACTCTACACAGTGAGTGACCTTGCGAACTCTTTGAAACTTTACATCTCAGTACTTCGATTAATCTATTTTACAGTGGCCCCATGGACCAGGGACAAACCCATGCAAATTGGCAGTGAGACAGCCACGCAAAACATCTTTCAGCCAAACCTCCATCATCTCTAATTCTCCCTCCATTGATGAGAGCACTTGGTACACTTATAGAAAGTGGTCATAGGCTCATCGGCAGAACGAATCTGCAACTGGAAAAAGTATGCTTTGTCATTGCCACATGAGTCGATTGGACATTGGGCAGCAGTCTGATCAACATTATCCCATGCACCATCGCCTCCCAAAACGTCATCAACATCTTTTCTGGGTAGCATTTTTCTCTCGAACATTTGGAAACCGGATATCCTGAATTCGTATGGACAGGTCGGGCAGTACAACCTATTGCAGTTATCCTCGCCCTGTGAAACCAAGAGCATATTGGAGCAGTAGGGACAGAACGAAAGCATTTCCAGTACACTGCTACTATTGATTCACGAAAGAACGATGATTTGAGATGAGCGTGGTCACGTGACACTCTTCAAGAGAAGAGGATAAGGAGGAACAGTGACATTCTACTAACATCTGGGTCATATTTATGTCGATAAACACGTGAAATTTGTCAATCTGTTTTCTTTTATCCTAGCATTGATGGCGTTTAACAACATAGACTCTGTTGCTTGGAAGCGAGAGTCGCGTCACGTGCATCACCAACTATCAACTCCACATATCGTATTGTTCTCGTTCCACCACATGAGTCTGCAGAACGAGCTAGATCAAACCAATGGTCTAGAAAAAGCCAAAATCCGTGCGGCTGAACATGTGTTCTCGCCATCTCCTCTCAAGTCGCCCAGTCGTCGAGGTATTCTTCGAATGGAGCTGAATGACGACATTTCATTGTCTCCAACTAAAACGCCCAATGGACGAGCGGGGTCGAAATCGCCCAAAAGAAAGCATTTGGATACAGTGGGCTCTGCCATGAAAGCTGGGTCGAAGACTGACGCTCTCTTAATTGAGGACTTCGATGATGACGAGACCACTCTTCAAGAGGACTTGGACGAAGCGCAGGCAATAATAGAAGAATCCAAGAAGCAAAACGATGCACCGCATCTACCAGAACAAGGAACTCCAAAACGCAAAAGAGGTAGGCCCAGGAAAGAGGAGACGCTCAAGAAACTCGAACAAGTTGAGTTGACACCTAGAAAGCGGGCACGACGAGCAGTTGTCGAAAAACGAGAGGCAGAAAAAAGAAATCGAGAAGAGAAAGAAGGCTGGCTTTCCGGCGATGATGACTCCGATGATGTTTATAATGAATCTGAAGAGGATGACACCCCGAAAAGAAAAAGAACACCAAAGCGAAGCCTGGCTCTGCCCCGAAAATCTCGAGTGAAGATCGAGATGAAAGAAGACGCTGTAATTGAGAACGTGGGAAGTTCTGAGTCACCATTTTCATCACCGAAAAAAGAAGAAAGAAGAACCAAGAAGGGAAGACCCAGTAAACAAGAAAAAGTCACCAAAAAGGTGCATAGCATTTTTCAAATGGACGACCTCGAGTTCTTCCAGGATAGCATCAAGTCTGAGAAGTCAAGTCCCGTACCTTCTCCGCAAAAAGAAAAGTCGAATCTTTCGCTCAATTTTGAAAACACAGGTAAGAGTTCTCACTCAACTGTTCCAGTCATTAGCGGTATCATGCAACCAGAGAACAAACAAACGGAGCTGAAGAGAATAACGAAGTTTGAGCCCTTGCCAATCCCAGAAATCGACGAGAATGGCAATATCAAAGACGAGGAGTATCTACGCAAATACTTTTCGGGTGTCCACGTTGATTTAGAAGCAGCAGGGAAACTTACCGATGAGAGAGCGTTTTTCTTAGAGGGAAGTGAAGGGTATTTTGAGCAGCACAATCTCCGGTTCCGACCTTCAGCCAATTCCTTAGCCACAAGAGCACCAGTTCTTGAATATGACGAGTTCATCCCAATGGTCAAGTTAGGTGAAATGGTTTACAAAGCAGAAAGAGCAGCGCTTTTCGACATTCACCGTAAATTATATCACCAATGGTGTTTTGAACTCAGCCAAGGATACAGTCTCAACTTTTACGGTGTGGGATCGAAGATCGATCTTGTGCTCGATTTCGTTCAGAATTACATGATTGGATGGTACGAACACACTTTACAAACAAAAGAAGAGTATCCCGTAATTATGGTGGTGAATGGATACAACCCATCAACAAAACTCAAAACCGTCATCCACGATATTGTGTCTGCAATTATTACCCCCGAAATGCAAAAACAACATAATATCCGCATGCCCAAGCACGTTTCGGAAGCATTTCCGTTTCTAATGAACAATTTGAGAAAGATGGCAAACAAGAAAAAAGGCATAGTCAAGCCAGACCTTGTTCTCGTGGTGCATAACATTGATGGGGATGCATTTCGAGACGAGCGGTCACAAAACTTTCTTTCTCAGCTAGCTGCGCTTCCTAATGTGTGGTTCATAACTTCCACAGATAACGTTAATGCAAGTTTGCTCTGGGATTTGTACCGATTCAAGAACTTCAATTTTCTTTGGCACGATGCAACAACATATCAACCCTACAGCACGGAAATGTCATTCAAAGACGTATTGAACATGGGACGTTCCAAGAAATTTGTGGGAAGCAAAGGTGCTCGTTATGTTTTGACTTCTTTGAGCAGCAACGCTCGGAGTTTGTATCGGGTTTTGCTTCAAATGCAATTGGAAAAATTGAAAGAAACCACATCCACAAAAGCTGGTGAAACGGGACTTCGAGGAAATGCAAAAACAGGCGTGGAGATGCGCCTGGTTTACGAAAAATGTTTACAAGAATACGTTACATCTAACGAGATGAACTTCCGGAGCATTTTGGGAGAATATGTGGAGCACAAAATGTGCACACTTACGAAGAACAGCGGAGGAACTGAAGTAGTGTTCGTTCCATTTACTTATGATGAGATGGCCATGATCTTGAAAGACGAGTTTGACGTTGAGCTGAAGTGATAGTCGATAATATGGCATGCATGCATTAATTATGGAAGTAATAAAACTTAAAACAGAAGGATTGAATTTAACAAGGAGTACATTAGAGAATGGTTTCAGGAGCAGATTTCCTCAAGATATGTTAGGTGAAAGTTTAAGTAACTTTGTTTATGTAACCACGTAAAAGTGATTTTTTCAGTTCCATTGCTGTTGGTGTAGTTTCCGTACTACATAATTATGAGCAGCTTTGGACATGGATTTTCTTGATTTTATTTTAGCAGAGAATCGATACTGTTCGACTTCGTCGACTTGGATCGATAAACAAATCAAAATATTTATATTCTAGTTTTGTTTATTTGCATATTTACAGTAAATGTTCGAAAATTAAGCTAGGCGATTGATCGGAATCCAGATCGTCCAAATTAAACGTTCTCCATTACATAGTGCATTGAACTGAGTATGAGTACACTTAGAGATGAAGCATCAACCAAGGATCATCTCAACTAGTCAAGTTTGTGCTAAACAAATCTACGCTTTACTTGAATTAGACGAAATGTATGCACCATCGAAAGTGATATATATTACATGTAGATTCCAAGCTATCCTGTCTAAAATGCTTTCTAGCCTATATTAGGTGACTTCATTAATAAAGCACGGTAGATGTGAATATACTTCGAAAAGTAAAAACAGTGTGGTGTGTTAGTTGAAGTCTTTCATTACAGTTCTGAGTAAATAACGAGTCTTCTCACGTAATGGAGATGAAAGTTTGGAGTTTGTTAGGTGAAGTAAAGGAGATTATAATATTAGAACACCAGTCAAAGTAGTGGGCCTACTCAAGTATTATCAAGTAGCAGGGCAAGACTGGTCTAGAGCACAGCCTTTTCAAGGTTACTTCTCACTAAATTAGGACATAGGTTAACTTCAATGTAATCTCTTGTCATAACACGTTCAATGAGGCCGCTTATTGACTTTCATAAATAAGCTCGCCAAATTCTGGAGCATTGATACTAAATGGGAGCATCCGGACGCGGGCTACATGAAGCTACTTCCCTCTGACAAATGTAGATGTTGGTCCTCCAATATGCTACGATCGGTATCGACGAAATGCATCACATATACTAAATGCCACCAGACACAGTCCCATCTACCATTCTAAGCTTAGCATAATTTTTCTTCGTCCTTTCCTTCCTTTCTTCCTTTCTTCTTTTCCTCTTTCCTCTTTTCTTCTCTTCTTTTCTTCTTTTCCTCTCCTTTCTCTACAGATAAGCCTCGAGGCAGTGCGCACTTTTCCACCTCACCCTTCTGCACCAGCAACCCCAACCAGACCCACCACACCACGCAATTGCCCCAGTGTTCCGCCTATCCGAAGCGGAGTCCCTACCGAATTCACCAAGCAATTGCCACGCGCCTCGCAAGCCTTTGCCACACTCTTTTCCAAAAGCCAGCACCATGCCCCGCCTTCCGGACGGAACCACCCTAACAGTGGGGACACATCGCGTCACCGTCAATGCGTTTCTCCTGGCCGGCGGCTTCTCGCACATCTACCGTGTGACCATGGACCCGCCCGAAGACGGCACGGCCACCGGGTGTCTCAAGCAGGTGATTGTGCCCGACAAGAGCGGGCTAGCCACGCTCCGCAAAGAGGTGGAGGTGATGAAAACCTTGCGGCGGGCCCGCTGCGTGGTGCGCTACTTCGACTCACACGCCGAGCGCCTTGCCGACGGCACCTACCAGGTGTTGGTGCTCATGGAGCTCTGCCCGAACAAGTCGCTTCTCGAGTACATGAACGCCCGGCTCCGCGAGAAGCTCAGCGAGCACGAGATCCTCGCCATCATGCGGGACATTGCGCTTGCCGTCTACGAGATGCACCGCCTCCAGCTTGTGCACCGCGACATCAAGATCGAGAACGTCTTGATCGACGGCCATGGCCAGTTCAAGCTCTGCGACTTTGGCCTGGTGGCCCCGCCCACGCCCGTGCCGGCAGACCCTGCGGCCCGCGCCCACCTAGCTCACGATATCTTGTACCAGACGACGCCGCAGTACCGCTCGCCCGAAATGGTGGACTTGTACCGCGGCGTGGCTATCGACCAGTGCCTGGACATGTGGGCGTTGGGCTGCTTCTTGTACAAGTTGTGCTACTACACGACGCCGTTCGAGGCCCAGGGCGACCTTGCCATCTTGCATGCGGCCTACGTGTTCCCGCCGGTGCCTCCGTACTCGGGCGACTTGAAGAACCTCGTGGTGATCATGCTCCAGGAGAACGCGGCCATGCGCCCCAACATTGTGCAGCTCCTCATGTTGTTGGCGCGGATGATGCACGTCGACTTTGCCTCGCTTGATGTCGAGGACTTTTACCACGCCGGCGAGTACGATTTCCAGGCGTTGCACGAGATGCAGCGCCAGGCGCTCGAAAGACAGGCGCTCGAGCGCGCCCGTGCCATGGAGAGACAGGCGCTCGAGAAGGCGAGAGGCCGGAGCCAGGGCAGCGAGCGAAGCAAGAGCAGGGAGGCCAGAAGCCAAGAAGAACATGGCGTGCCAAGCGGAGAGAGAACCGCCCAGAGCAGCGAAAGAGTTCAAACCGGAGAAAGAGTTCAAACCGGAGAAAGAGTTCAAACCGGAGGAGTTGCCCAAACCGGAGGAGTTGCCCAAACCGGAGGAGTTGCTCAAAGTGGAGGCGTCGCCATTGAAGGAAGCGACGGACTACAGAAGCCGGACAGCCATGATTCGGTCGACGCTCTACCATCGAGCGAAGCCAGCATTGGTAATGCGCCCGATGGCAGCGATTACATCAAGCAGCCGTCTCAAGGTGATAGCGCCGCGGTCGGTCTAGACGACGATGCTTATGGCACGGCCAACGCAGATGGAAAAATCGAGAGCGAGTCCGACGACGATCTTGCGCTTACTGTGGAAGACGTCGAGGTGCGGTACCCTTCCCTCGATGCCCTTGACGTTCCTGGAGAAAGCGGCAAGGACACGATAGTCGACATACCCGGAGTCAAAGCCTCTGTCTACGAAAACGTCGAGGCCTGGCAGCAAGCGCCAGCCTCTCTAGACAAAGACGCAGAGCGCTTGGCTGAAGCCATTTTTGTCTCGCGTACTGGCTCCACCAAGAGCAGAGCAGTTTCCGAAAAGAGCGACACGGAGCAAGTTGTGCCTGTATCGACGGACAAGCACGAGCTGTGGGAGAAGGACCCTTCTCAAGTCAAAGGTGATTATCCGCAAGTGCCAAATGACTACTCGCAGGTGCCAAACGACTACTTGCAGGTGACCAACGATTACTCCCAAAGACCAAACGATTACTCGTCAAGGCCAAGTGACTATTCGCGTAAGCCAAGTGATTTCTCTCAGAAACAAAGTGACCACTCACAAAAGCCGGTCGAATATCCCCAGAGGCCTAATTATTCTCAGATGCCTAGCAATTACTCGCAAAAGCCAAGTGAATATCCAAAGCCAAGTGACTATCCAAAGCCAAGTGACTATCCAAAGCCAAGTGACTATCCAAAGCCAAGTGACTATCCAAAGCCAAGTGACTATCCAAAGCCAAGTGACTATCCAAAGCCAAGTGACTATCCAAAGCCAAAGGACCTCCCGGGAATAAGCAGTGAATTCGAAAGAGACGATCGCGGCCGTCTTAACGAACCCACGCTCTCATTGAGCCCCGAAGAGCAATTTTTCCACCAGAGACTGCGGCTGGCCTACCGTGCGTCAACGAACAAGCGTGAGAGCTCAAATCCATGGGGCAACATGCTTGGAGCATCGGTGTCTAGTGTCCCTGATTTGAGCAAGCAAATGTTTAGTATGAACTTGGAAGCAGAAAAGAATCTCATTGATCTAGCCCATGAACCATCTCCGTCTGTGGTGCCGGTTGCACAGTATGAAGAGGTGAGTTTGCTTGACTTGAATATGGAACCTGCATTACGCTCAGAGAAAGAAGTTAGAGAACCGCAAGAAAGGCTAGTACCAGATATTGAGGCTAAGATGCACGTGGGGCCAGAGATTAGAGAAGTCAAGCCTGAGGCAAAATCGAGGCTGGAACAAATACGTGAGCAAGTCAGGGAACAGATCAAGGCCGAAGCTCTCAAACCAGATGTACTTAGACCCGATGGTCACCCCGAGGTTTTCAAGCTGGAACCAATCAGAAAGGAGCTTCGTCCGGACGCCAAAGTTGGAAGGACTTCTCGCTCTGAGGAGCCTCCACTTCCTCTTCGTCCAGAAGTTAAAGCTCGGGCGAGGTCCAAGGAGAAGAGCAAAGAGAATAAGGACAAGGAGAAGCCTGTCTTCAAGAAAAAACTTGACATTCAGGCCCAGCCTCTTGCGTTTCAGGAGGAGGTGATTGATTTTGCATCGGACGACGAAAACACAAACTCTGAAATGAGCCGTGTGGCCATCCGTGACTCTTTGCGGCGCCCAAAGGGCCGGCGCTCAGGCGACCAAAGACGGAGCGACAGTAATCACGACTCGAAGAAGCGGCGCTCTTTTTTCTCTTCCGATTAAAGCTATCTTCTGTCCACGGTGCAATCGCGCTGATAATAATCAAGCAATGTTTCGATGAACAGAAGAAATGTGCGTCTGCTAGAAGGTGCATGTTTGCATGTCTACATCATTTCCTCTCTTAGCAAGAGCTCATAGACCAGCACTTTTGCCGTAGAATTCAGCTTTATAGGCGAACACTGCAATTTTTGATTAACCGGTGATCTACGGAGTAAGGAATAGTTTTCGCTTCTCAGTATTTAGAAAGCATGTCTACTGCGTCCAACTTCACTTAATAGTCTGTTGAAGTAGTTACTGTGACAATTGCATAGACATACATATTTCATAGTAAGATTATTTGCAAACATTCAACTCTCTGTCGTATTACTTTCTGAATAAATTGGAGCCACCAAAATCTATCCGAATACTGTTTTATTGTGGAGAAACAGCATGTGGATTAGTCATCTCATCTTGCCACTGCGAAGTTTCAGAACTTTGCATGAGAGGCAACTACACCAAAAATGCTAAAAAAATATCGAAAAACTATTCAACATTCAATTCTTCAGCTGAATATGGAACTTCATCATTCGAAATAGCTGTTGAAATAAGGCTTCACAATCGCCAGACCTACATATACCAGGCCCATCGCATACATGCACACCAGCATCGCCAAAAAGTACTCTTAACCAAAGACCATATATCATGCTGGCAGATCCACACATGTTGGCGCAGCTTGTGCTTCTCGAGGCCAAAGAAAACGTTTCTGAGAGCGATGAGTCGGCTATTGGCCAAATTTTGGCCGGCGACTATGCGTCTGTCTTACGCCAGGCCACTGACGGATTTCAATCCAGAATAGAACAAACGGCGCAAAAATACCCGGAACACGACTTGGACACGCTTTTACGCGAGCTTGCTTCCATCATCGTCGAAGACCTTCCGCCGCTTACGGCCCAATTTGTTGGAGTGTGTCTTCTCCAGCTTTTTCTCCAGGCCAACTTCACAGGGCCCGAGCCGCCTGTTTCGGCCAAGGAGATGTTTTTCCCCGCCGCCGACGCCGACATCCAGAAGAAGGCGGCGCGTCTTCTTGATCTCGAAGGCAAAACCGCCTACGAGCTCATGTACGACCCACTTCTGCTTGTTTTGGCGCTCTTGGTGTTTGAGCGCCTCCAACAGGTGCCCCGCAGCGTTTCGTTGGTGCACAATGGCGCCGAACTCGAGAAAGTTGTGGAACACACACAGCAGATCGTTGCCGCAGATGCCGAAGCAGCGTCGCTTCTGTGGTGGCGGGCAAGAGCATTGCAGACGCATCTCAATGTGTTGGAAGAGCCTGCTGACGTTTTGGCCACAGCCACCGGGCTTCTCTTGACCCAAAGCACCGTTGATGCGCTTGTAGGAAAAGACAGCCAGGCAGACGAGAGTCTTCGTCGCCGCGTGCAACTCAGCTATCTCTTGGAAAGCGCCCGCAGCAACGTCCACGCCCAGACAGAGCACTTGGCGCCCAAGTTCTTGCGCGAGGCCGCGGAGGTTTCGCAGATGCAATTTGTGTTGACCGGAGCACGGGCCAAACGCACCAAGTTCCAGACATTCCACACGGCGTCGTTGCTTTTGTTGGCGAAAAGCGCCGACGAGCTGGCGCATGGCCTGGCTCCGCGGGCGTTGCCGTTGGACTCGGACCTCTTGTTGGAGAAGCCGGAGTACGAGATTGGCGAGCCAGAACCAAACACACAAGAGTCTTCGCCCGACCAGCCTTTGCGTCGCACGGTGCTGGTGCCCGACATCGCCGATCCGCACCGGCTCTTCCCCGTATGTTCCACCATCCCCGCCGAGCTCCGTCTGTTGGACCCCAACAACCAGCCACCGCTCTCGGACTTGGACTGTATCCAGTTGCTTCTCCGCGTGGCCACGGTGCGCCAGACGTCGCCCTCAGGCAACACCATGGTGGAGGAGGAGCTTTCGGCCGTGGTGCGGCGCATCGTCTACGCGGCGCGGCCCGCCAGCTGGAGCGTCTTTGGCCGCGCGCTCTGGGAGCGGTCTGTGCTCGAAACAAACTCGTCGCGCACCGTGGAGCGCGGCATTTTGCAGATGACCGCCTTGGTCGAGGAGATGGGCGTCCATGTGGCGACCAAGACGTTTGGCAGTGCTGATGAGGCGCCCGTGTGCGAGCGTCTCCGCTACATCCACCAGCTCCCGCTCATGTCGCAGTGGGCCATGGACGCGGCGTTGGCCGAGAAGTACATGGCGCTCGGCGTGCTCAAGTCGGCCATCGACATCTACGAGCGCTTGCACATGCCCACGGAGGCGGCGTTGTGCTACGCGGCCGTGGACGACGAGGCGGCGGCCGAGCGGCTCTTGCGCGCGCGCCTCGACGTGCGGCCCGACGACGCGCGCGCGCTCAGTGTTTTGGGCGACATCAAGCAGGACCCGGCCTTGTGGCAGCGCGCGTGGGACGTGGGCCGCTACGCCAAGGCCAAGGCTTCGCTCGCGCGCTACGCATACCGCCCGCCGCCTGGCGTCGAGCGCAACGTTCCGCTCGCCTTGGACCACATGCGTGAGTGCCTAGCCGCCAGCCCCTTGTCGTACGACAATTGGTTTTTCTACGGGTGCGGCGGCCTCGAGACGGCCAACTATGAGCTAGCTGCTGAGGCCTTCACGCGGTGTGTGGCGCTCGACGACACCAACTCGCATGCGTGGTCGAACCTTGCGTCGGCGCAGCTCCAGCTCGGGAAAAAGCGCCAGGCGCTCGGCGCGTTGAAGCGCGCGTTGCAGCAGGGCGAAGGCGCCCGACGCCTGTGGCGCATCTTCCAGAACTACGTGGTGGTGGCGGCGCAGTTGGGCGAGTGGAACGACGTGCTCCACGGCACGCGCCAGTTGGTGGAGATGCGGCGCGCGGGCGACGCCAACGTGCCGCTCGACGTGCCGGTGTTGGAGCAGTTGGCGCAGATCTTGGTGGCCGAGCCCTACGACGCGGCGCGGCGCGCGGCGCACTTCCAGGCGGCGTGCACCGACTTGCTCTGCGCGGTGCTTCCGGCGGTGGCGGACGAGCCGCGGTGCTGGAAGATCGTGGCGCGCGTGGAGTTGTGGCGCGGCCGTGCTTGGGCGGCGTTGGAGGCGCACGAAAAGGCGTACCGGGCGGCGATCGCGCGGCCGGTCGATGTGGACGAGGCGGCGTGGGCCGAGGCCGTGGATGCGTGTGCGGATCTTGTGGCGGCGTACGAGTCGTTGGGCGAGCGCGAGGGCAAGCACGGCGCCGTGGTGTGCAAGGACTGGAAGTACAAGGCGCGCAGCAGTGTGCGGGCGTTGATGTCGCGCGGGCGGGAGTGGGAGGGCCTGGCAGGGTGGGAGAAGTTGGAGGAGTTGCGTGACGAGATGCGGGGATGATAGAGGTGATAGAGAGGTGGTAGATAGGTGGTAATGGACGAGATGATAGACGAGATGAGAGAATGGAGTAAGAATAGATGAGAGAATGGACGAGATGATGAATGATAAAATAGAGAGAGAAGAGATGATAGAATAAACAAGGAGATGATAGATGGACGAGGAGATGATAGAATGGAGAGAAGATGATAGAATGGACGAGAAGAATAGCAGACTGGATCTCCACGTAGATGGATAGCCGAATGTAGTGCGATGAAGCAAGACATACCCGACGATGATCTTCTATCATGAATTGCGTAGCACTTAGTAGTCTGATGGCCTGTTAATGCAATCTTAAATATCTGAGACAATAATCCAATGGTCGCTGTTTCCTTGAGGAAAATACATCTTCATCCTTGATACTTCAGATAAACCCCGTTCATTAAAAAGTGTAGTTTTTGGCTTTTATTGTTAGTTACTCTTGAGAAGTCTCTACGCATCGACTTTGGCCATTATGCCATCCATTGATATCATCGCATTAGGTTTTCAATGCTTCATATGCTTATTAGATGAACGACTGTATTCTACAGTAACTCCTGGTTCCTTCTGTAGATGGGGCTAAACGTAGTTGAAGAATACCAGTAAATATCATACTGGAAGAAATCTGAATAATCTTCTCTGCAGTTGAAACCGTAACACCTGAGGTTTTATTCGTTTGTTACTGTTAAAGCTGTTGCAACGCCTCTCCTCATTGGTTCACGAAGAGATAGCTTTAGAGAAATCAGCCTGCTTATTAGCAACTTTTCCACACTATCTACTTCAGGCTTCTGTTTGCTATCATAGACCTTAAGTAAATGAAGGTAGAATGGCAAGAAAAAGCTATGCAGACATCAGATTATTGTAGGCCCTAGTGTGGTTTCTGCGTAGAGTATTTGAGACACCGAGTTTTACTATAAAATATTCAAGCCTCCTCATATGACACCTTTTTACTAGTTATTTGTACTTACTTTGAAATTTATTACGAGGAATTTGAAGGATACATCACTTGCTATCGCTTCTTGTATTTCCACATACCAACTGCCAATTCATGCCAAGGGTATTACATTCTTGTATTATCAATCAAACGTCTCGCAGAATTTGGAAATCTTGCGAGACGGTTTGGCCCACCTGAGAAATTCTTCTTCGAGTCCGGGATCTCGTAGTTCCAGATAGCTCTCTTTGATGCTCTCTTCGGGAGCGATCTTTTCACCGTAACGTCTTGGTATGTTGACTTGCCTCAGGAAAACATCGTTAACCGGGTCAGTCATCCTCTTACCAACAAAAACGCCGTTTATCCCATCATTATCTACTTGCATGAGGTATCTTTCAACTCGTTTTTTTACAAGATTATTGTTTGTAACCTGTAGTTTTGGTTTCTGCTCCACTTTATGATTATTGACTCGCACTTGGATTCGATGATGAGGCATAGCCTCCATACTTTTGGTTGACGAATAGTTCTTGTTTGAAGCGGATTCTTTCGGTAACTCACACAATCTTTGCCGTAGACCTTCGCCACTTTTGTCTTTTTCTTCAATCTCAGGAGCAATCGGAGCCCCGAGTGTTTTGGAAGAAATTTCCGTGTCGCTAGAATTTTTCCTTGATTCTGCTAAGATCTGGTCTGATTGTTGACTTTCAACGGGGCAGTTTTTCTTCTCTTCAGCTTTTAGGACGCTCTTGTTCGATTCTCCGATGTGTGGATTTCTGTCACTAACGTCTTTCTTATCTTGAGTTGTAATCACATTCTCTTTATCTTGCAAAGGATCTCTTCCATCTCTGTATTCCGTCTTACCTTCTTCTTTTGTCGTATTTGGGCCTGGCTGTCTCCTTAGAGGCACCAACTTATAAATCAGCCTTTGAACCAGGATCAAAAAACACAGAGGGTAGAGAGCCACCATAATGTCCATCGCATGGTGCATCAAAGCACCAGCTTCCGGTCTTTCCCCAAGCTGCTTCAAACATGTCCATCCAAAAGTAGCCACGGCAATCAGCAGGGTTTTTCCTCGAAGCCAATCGTTGACGTAGCAGAAGAAAATCAAAAAGTCTGCTACAGTGGCCATGGCAAGCAAAACATTTTCTGTGGAGCGAAGTAGAGCTAGCAGCGACAATCGGAGGGGCGAAACTGGCACAGCATCATGTAAAATGTACCATGAAAGATGGAGCAGAGAGTAAACGGCCAGGGGAAAAAGCTTGAGAGGGGACGCTGGTGTTACAAGATGAAGAAATGCAGACGAGAGTAGAACAAAATTCTCCGAATCTAAGAGATCTGAAAGAGGACTTTTGGAAGACTCAGAGAGCTCTAATTTGAGCGTATTTGAAATCTGACGGAAAAATGCCAAAGATGGAGCTGCCAAAGAGCATGTGGCACAGTATGTGTAGAAATTGGGCCACTGGAAACAAAGAAAAAAGCTGACTAAACAGAGGAAATGGGACCCGATCCAGAGTTTATGGAGCATGTCTACAAACTGTTCCATAAAAAACGATGACCTTAAGGTAATATTCTGGCTTTGCTCTATAAGGCAGGAACACGTGAAAGTAGTTAAAAAAGTTTTGTGGCTGAAAAGTATTATTGGGTGCAAAATGAGAAAGCGAAACACAAAGGTCTGTCGAAATCAACATCAAACAGTTTCAGGCACAAGCCAAAAGTTACGATTTCTTGTATACTTGGACCAATGTTAAAAGGTTATTCGCTTCCTTTTAAGTCTGGTCTATTCCAAATCCTCCTTCTGGTGAAGCTTGAAAACCTTCTTGTCCATCTACCACTATACAGATCGGTGCGATCTCAACTACATGTCTCATTCTAACGAAAAACGGCGCCGGCCACAGAAGAGCAAGAAAAAATCGAGAGACGTGCGTCTCTTCGAGCTCACCCGTCTTGCTAACCGCCACCTTCCTGTGACCATTAACGGTCTTCCTTTGGCCAAGATCATAGACTTGCACAGGGCAAAAAACGAAGCTGAATCATCTCAGAAAACGCTGGAGTCGGGAACGGAGAAGACTCAAGGATCAGGTGTGGATACCAGTGCCAAAGACACAGCTAGCCCCGAGCCTGGATTGGCGAAAAAACTGAAAAAACGCCTATCGAAGAAAGCTCGGGCGCAAATTGCCACCGACCATATTTCCCGAGTTATCAAGCGGGACCCGCTGCAGGCGATATATTTGTCGTTTATGCTTCGGCCGTCGGACCCGGACTTCCCCTTTGATTTGGCGCTGCTCAATTTCAATTTGGCGGTGCCCGCAGAATATCCAGCGAAACCAGCCTCCATCATAGTGTTGAACACCGAAGTTCCGCGGGGTTTCGCTGTCAATGTGGAAAGAGGATTCCGGGAGATTGCAAACATGGCGCAGGCGGCGAGGGGAAAGAAAGGGAAGAACGAAAACATGGCGAAGAACGAAAAGCTGGGCAAGAAAACCGAAAATACCAATGTTGGGAAATCGAAGGAGGCACGGATAGCAACAACGAAGGAAGGCAACCTGATGGAAACCGATGATCTGGAAGAGGATGGCATGTCGTTGGTCGACGGCCCCACTCTATTGTCGCAAGTCCAGACGATGGATAAGTATTTGGAAGATTTTCTCAAGCAAGAAAAAAGACAAACGTTGAAGTTCGTCACTTTCAAAAACAGCGCTCTGTCTGCTGCTACGCCAGAACCGGTTGCTGCTGCTCCTCCTCCAGAAGTTTCCACGGCTTCTGTTCTGAATAAAGAACTAGAGTCAAACCTTCCACCTCATGTGTCTCCCGAAATGTTACGTCAACGAAACCTTGCCACAGACGAACTTACGACAAAACTCAAGGACCACGTAAAACTTTTCAACAAGTCGTCACAAGGGTCTCGCTACAAAATACATGTGCCAATACTTTTGCCTGAAGGTTTGCCCGAACTTTGGACATTCAACAATAATGCGGTGGATGTGTTCTTAGTGGTTCCTCTAGCATATCCCGAAGAAAAGGCAAAATTAAGCGTAGCCCCCAACTTCAGCACCAACCTTGTCGTGGCTAAAAAGCTGGCGCTCGAGAGTTTTCTTGCGCAAAGGGGCAAATCGGTCGTTTCTGTGGTGGAAGAAGCAAAGCAGGCAGAGAAAAACGTCCGTGCAAACACGGACACATGGATTTCGAAAAATACGCCGTCCTTGGTTGGTGTGGCCAATTGGGTTGCCTCCAATCTCCGATCCTTGGTTCTTTCTCCAGCAGAGTATAGTTCATGGACGGAAAACATGCACAAGTTGAGCCAGTAAGTAGCTGGAGGGAGGGAAAAATGAAGAGTTCGAAACGCCTCTTTAATTCGCTCGAAATCAGCCGGTATGACCCGAGCTGTTATGGCTACGAAATAATTTTTTGGTTTACAGGTTACTAGGTTGCTCCAGGGATCATTTTTCGATGCTGAGAGAGGGAAACCTTCTTGTGCTTATATTTGCCGTCGTCTCTCGTTTTTCTTTGCGTCTCCTTATCTTTATTGTCTCCTTGTCTTGTTCTTTCGTCGACATCCGGTGTCGTCTTTCCCTTTTCTCTTGTCTACATTTTTTCTTACTCCATTTAGGGCTACGAATTCCGGCTCTGATGACGCAAGATATGCACCATATCAAACAATGTCCTGGAAAACAGATTTTAGCATTACTAAGCCGCCAATCTTGAAACATGTGCACACCATCCATTATGCAAAGATATAGGTTTCTGCCTGATGCCGCCTCTATACAGTCGAGATGGCATTATTCATGGATATTTTGGCATATTGAGAAAATATCATGCAGCAACGTCACAGACGCAGCAGCAAAGCACAACCACAGACGTAAAATTCACTAGTCCATGATTTTGGGCTCCATTAGATTTGACCCTCTATCTCTGTTCAGTTTCTTCAATGTAGCATGAATGGATGTGGGAGCGGCACGTGACCGGGGTCCCCAACCTCCAAGCCAAGTGAGACGTATATTGCCGTTTCGCGTCAAGGTCAAACAACGTCTTGAACGATAACCACAGTTTCGGCCCGAAATGGAAGGCAGGGAAATCAGTTTCCAGTATGCAAATGAGTGCGACTTGGAGATCCACTGCTCGTCTTTTGGACTTAGTGGCGTCTACATAAAAGTGCCCGGCACAAATGTCATGGGCATTGGATCCACCAGAGGTTTGATCACGGGATCTTCCAAAGGTTCCATCCATTACAATGACAAGGGCGATTTTGAGAACCAGCGATACAAGTTGTTTGCGGTGGTGGAAGACGACGGTATGCTACGCATAGACTTCAACAAGATTGTGTCTCTTTCGTCTCCGGAAGACGATTCTGCGCTACTGGAGGTGAATACAGAAGAAGAGTTGCCGACGCTAGTATTTACCGGCAAGTGTCCCGAGGGCAGGCCCGAAAAGATCGAGCCGTTCATTGGAATATTCTCTTTTGAGAAGGAGGAGTGACGTCATTTGGCTTTTGCCGGGCAGGCGTAAAGAAGCCCATTGCAAAGGAGCTTTTGTTTTCGATTTGGCAGGTCGATGCGTGCATCAGCCTCTGTGCCGTGACATTTTTAGAATATTTTGTATCATACGACCAATACATGTGACGAAATGGAAGCAAAGCAGAAATGCAGATAAACAGACAATAGACGAAGCCAAGAAACGGAGGCCTGTCGGCGAAAGCAATATCGTGGATCCACTTGGTCTTGGTAGACACAAATCTGGCACTGGGTTTCCTTTGAGGCGGCTGAGTAAATACTAGCGAAATATTTCCGAAGTTGTCGATGGCCAGAACAGGATTCGAGATTTCAGGCAGAATTGAAGACCAGAAACTGGTTCATCGGGAATAGTTATGGGAAATGAATGTGTTCTGATACTTAGAAAGGTGCTCGGTTAACTGGGCTATAATACAACTATATGGTGACTTGATTTGAGTTATCTGAACTGATCGAAAAATGATCTGAAGATTGAAGTGATAGAAAAATGAATGATCTGAAGATTTGAAGTGATCGATAATTTAATGATCCGAAGATTGAAGTGATCGAAAAATTAATGATCTGAAGATTGAAGTGATCGATAATTCAATGATCCGAAGATTGAAGTGATGTGAAATAAATTGGAGTGATCTGACACGATTGACAGGGTTTAACATGGCAAGCATATTTTGACATGCTTTGACATGCGTTAACGTGCTTTGAATGTGTGACATACTTAATGGTTCAACACACTTGCCATATTGTCATACTTGCCATATTGTCATACTTGCCATATTGTCATACTTGTCATATTGTCATACTTGTCATATTGTCATACTTAACATTCTTGACCCGATCAGCCATTTGTATTATTCATGCTTGACATTGACCCGATCAGCCATTTGTATTATTCATGTGATCTGACATGATTAATGATTCTACGAGAACCAATGATTAGCAACTTGATTTGCCTAATCTTGGGCATACAATTTTGCGATTGCTAGTCAGTGGAACTTGCTGAACTCTAACTCATTCTTAATCGCTTTACACCAGAACAATGGTTTATTAGACAGAACAATTGATCTATTAGACAGAAAAATTGATCTATTAGACCAGAACAATTTGATCTATTAGACCAGAACAATTTGATCTATTAGACAGAACAACTCGACCATAGTCCTTCGTCACAGACGACGCCTGCGAAATTAATCAACATAGCTACTAAACCTTACAACGCCACTAATTACCAACAAAAAAAAATACCAGTCATCATTCCTACTTTATAGACAATTATACACAGGGCAGGCCTATCCACGGAAGTCGGAGATGGGTCCAGATAAGTGAGGGGAGCAGAGGCATTCGTAACGTGACCGAAGCTTATCTGGCCCTCGGCCTGGGGTTTCCTCGGCACCGGTCTGCACACGTGACCGCATCATCAATGGCCAAAAAAAAAAAAAAAAAAGCACAAGCATTGAGTGGGATGTACGGGTGTGTGCTTTCCCGCCGTCTTTCCACGCTGGCTTCCGGTTCCGATGGACTTGGATCGTTAGCGTAGGCGTCCAAGACTTTTTCTGACCGGCCGTCGTTTCCCTTTCCGCTTGGAAATCAGCTTGTCTGGCCAATAGCCTCGGTTTCGGGGTGCGGGGCGTGTCTGCAGGCACGATTTTCAAAATGCGGAGTGGGTGCAAGTGAATGTGAAGAGGCAATATAAAAAGGTCCAGGGTCGCCACTAGTTTGCGTCCGATACTTTTTCTCCAGCAAAACCTGCTTCTCTGTTGAAACCGCCAGCTGAGAATTTTCGCCAACTCTTATTTTCATTATCGATCTTGCCAAGCCGCAAAGTCCCTGATTATCTGACACAAACACCATAAACCATAAAAATGGATAGATTGAACATGTTGGGTGGGCAGTTGAACCCATCTTCCAAGCAGGCATTGTTGCAAAAAAACCCGGACGATGTTGTCATTGTCGGCGCGTACAGAACGGCCATTGCCAAGGGCGGCCGGGGCAGCTTCAAAGATGTGGGGTCGGACTGGATCTTGACCAAGTTTTTGGAGGCCTTTTTGAAGAAGACAAACGTGGACCCAAAATTGATTGAAGACGTGGCCGTGGGCAATGTGTTGAACCGTGCCGCTGGTGCGTCCGAACACCGTGGTGCCTGTCTTGCAGCGGGTATTCCAAACAGCTCGGCATTTATTGCTCTCAACAGACAGTGTTCGTCTGGCTTGATGGCCATTTCGGAAATCGCCAACAAGATCAAGTGTGGCGAGATTGACTGCGGTATCGGCGCCGGTGTCGAGTCTATGCTGTCCAACTACGGGCCCCAGTCGATTCCTAAAGTGGACCCCAAGTTGCAAGAGAATGAGGAGATGGCCAAGTGTTTGATTCCAATGGGTATCACGAACGAGAATGTGGCTGCCAAATACAACATTCCTCGCTCCAAGCAGGATGAATTTGCTGCTGCTTCCTATGCCAAGGCCGAGAAGGCTGTTTCTTCTGGCGTGTTCAAGTCTGAGATTTTGCCCATCGAGTCGTACATTCGCGAGGACGATGACGACGAAGAAGAGGGTGAAGGCAAAGTGAAAACCATTGTGGTGGACACAGACGAAGGACCAAGAAAGGGTGTTACTGCGCAATCTTTGGGAAAGTTGAAGCCTGCCTTCAAGAAGGATGGTGTCACCCACGCCGGAAACGCCTCTCAAGTCTCGGATGGCGCTGCTGCCGTCTTGTTGATGAGACGTTCTTTGGCCGAAAAGAAGGGCTACCCAATCCAGGGTAAGTATGTGTTGTGTTCTTCTGTTGGTGTTCCTCCAGAAATCATGGGTGTGGGACCAGCAGTTGCCATTCCTACTGTGTTGAAGAAGACTGGCTTGACTGTGGACGACATTGATGTTTTTGAGGTGAACGAGGCCTTTGCTGCTCAGTGTTTGTACTCTGCTGAAAGCTGCAACATTCCTCCAGAAAAATTGAACATCAACGGCGGTGCCATTGCCTTGGGCCATCCTTTGGGATGCACCGGTGCTAGACAGTACGCTACTATTTTGCCCTTGTTGAAGACGGGCCAGATTGGCTTGACTTCCATGTGTATCGGCACAGGAATGGGTGCTGCTTCGATTGTCATCAAAGAGTAATGTTAACGATATAGCAATGAAAACTATTTATTAAATGATCTGCTAGCAAAATAAGCGTATAATAGAGGTGAAAATGACTTTCAGATACGTATTGGAAGCTCAAGGCTGGAATAGCAGGAAGTAATATTCTATGAAAGCGTTGGATCTTTATTTTGTAGCCATCAACGTACATAATGTCCGTCAAAAGTGAAGGTTCGGGCAAGAGTTGGGTCAATTTATCGATGATTTCTGACAAGACCCTATTATAAATGTTGGAAACGATTGATATTCAATCAGATTACATACGATGAACTCTCAGAATGAGAGCGACCTTAAGGTCCCAACTCTGATAAGTGATCTACAACATGATCACTGACAATTTTGATATATTTTGTATTCTTGGTTGTTGATGGACATGGAAAGACGATAGATTTTCCTCAATCAATGTTTTACTATTTGGAGAAAAATTTCAACACGTTGATTTTCAGGTTCATTGGTAGAAGATCATAAAACGTAGCGTTACAAGTCAACCGAAGCCATCAAACCAGGTGGCAAGCACAACAGAGGAATGCAGACAGAAAATGTCACAAGACACAAATCCCAGGATAGAGGTCACAAGAGAAACAAGATCACAAAATGCAAGAAAACATAAGGTAATCAAAATATTGTAAAAATAGACTATCGTTACAGTGTACAACGGTCTGTGTGGACTAACAAAGGGTAACTCTCGGCTATTTGCTAAACTTTGCATTTGTCTTAAAAGGCAATCTATTGTTCGCCTGACATGAAATACGTCATTGGTAGGTCTAGTGTGTCTGGAGCGAAGAACTCTGCAACTGTGGGTTGGGCATTCCGGCATGCCAACGTGTGAGTCTATATTTTCAGACGAAAGTTGCAAGTGACTATTCTTGGCTGGTGCTATTTCTGAAGTTATGAAACTGAGACAATGGACAGAATAACTGTCGTGGAAGCTACTACGCAAAACTTGGAGCATTCGAACGTAATAAGCACCAGTCTACGGGCCTCTCGAGACTTTTCCCATTCCGAATAATTCCGTCTTTTGCATGAACATCTCAACGGTTTTCGCTTCTGTCGTCGGTCGCATAGAACGGCCCTGTTAGGAATAAGCGCACATGTACATAGTTTAGTGCAGGCTAGAAGTCGGTGGCACTAAATACCCCGGCCCGATGGGCCCAGTTTCCGGATTTGGCCTGGGGTGTTTTTCTGCCAGTTATACACGACTTGGCCCGGTTTTTTCGTGGTGGGGTGCTGCACCTGCGGCCCGAGTTATGTGCCTTGGGGTATAAGAAAACAACGGAGAAAATAAGACAAGAAAAGACGAAACAAAAGAAAGAAGCATGCGGCGGCAAGAGTCGGGAAGAGAAAACAGCGCATCCAAACACACCTGAGCGAAAGAAGCAAAAAAGAGCGCATTCTAGTGCAGATGTGTCAAGATAAGCCCCGACCACGTCTGTTCCTCTCGCTTAGATGTCAAGCCCGAAACGGCATTGTCTGCATACACCGCAGGGGATTCCATACAGGTATCTGCACATGCACGAGCCCGTCTTGCGCGCGGCTCTAATTTGTATGCACCACGCCACATCCCACTAGGATAGGGGTAGCGGCAACGGGCCACTTTTGGCGGGAGAGGCAAAGCGGCGTAGGCTGCGAGACATGCAACGGCGCCGAGGACCGAAGCAAAACAAACTGCAGGGGCGGGCGGGCGCTCCGAACCCGGCGCCCTGACGACGCACGAGGACTTGGTCCTGCAGGCGGCAGGCGGGATTGGCTGCACGCGGATAAGGTCGAGGATGCCGAAGACACACGCATTGACAGCGAATTTTCACCCGCCAAAACCGCAACAGCATTTCTTTCGGTCACGAAAAGGTTCCAACGAAAAACACCGCAGCCACAACTGAATCCACCACTGAATCCACAACTGAACTGCAATAACTACCAACTGCAATAACTGTCTCACTGCAACTGTCACTGCAACTCCAACTGTCACAACTGTCACTCTCCTTGACTGCCTAGCTGGCCACAACTGCATTCATCCATCACATCCAATCGGCATGTTTGTTCGGCTCCGCAAACCCACGCGAGTGGCGCTCCTTGCCCTAGCGCTTGTGCTGGCGTACGCCAGCGTGTACTTTCTCCTTTCGACGCCGCGAGACCGGCTTCTCCTCAATCTCAGCATCTGGTACGACAAAATCACCAGCTCCAGCGTGGCGCTCGACACAGACGCCGCCTTCAACGAGGCGGTGCAGGCGCTCATGCAAGAAAACATCAAGAGCGACAAAACGCACACGTTTGACTTTCTCGAGCCCGACTACTCGCCGCCGGTCGAGGTGGAAGTGCCCGAGTATTTTGTCGACGCCAGCGCCGCGCGCCCGCCCGTGCAGCCGTTCGACCCGCGCCTCACGCTCTGGGCGTACATGCACTGGGCGCGCACGCACGCGGGCGAGAAAATGCCCTTCCACTGGGCGGACTGGGTGGACTTGAGCGCGGTGCACAAGTACGTGTTTGTGGCGAACAAGCCGCTGTGCAAAGAGCTCTTCACGCTTGCGCCCAAGGAGGCCGGCGACCTGCCCATGATGCCGGTGTGGCAGTACTGCCACGAGGACGGGGCGTCGCCGGTCGGGCTCCGCATCTCGCGGTTTCCCAGCGCGCAAACGCGCGAAAACGCCCGCCTTTTGGGCAAGCTCCACTTGTTCCACGGCGCGCCGCCGCCGGCCAAGGTGGTGTTTTTGACCAACGGCCACGGCGCGTACCATGTGGATGTGGCGGGGACGAATAGTCTCGACAACGGGCTCTTGCACAACGGCGTCGTCGAGGGGGTGCTCGAAAACCTTAAAAATAAAGGGAACAATAAAAATGAACACAACAACAACAACGACGGGAACAATAAAAATGAACACGTCCGCGCCAACGTGCTCGAGGCATACGGCGCCCTTCTTGCGCAGGCGCCCACGGTGCCGCACGCGGAAATCCCGGCGCAGCTCGCGCTCGACCCGCTGTGGTTCGAGGTGGACGCGGCGCGCGAGGCCCAGCGCATCGAGCAGCAGCCGCGCGACGCCATGGCCGCCGCCTACGCCGCGCTGCTCCGGCACCTGCTCCGCACGCCCAACCCGCCCAAACTGTTCAACGAGGCGCGCTTCCTCAACCTGGACCCGCTGCGGCTTTTGGGCGACCACCACGACTGGCGCTTCTTCGACGGCCTCACGCTCCACACCGACCGCCAGGTGGTGGCGCTCCACCGCCTCTTGAAGAACTACTTGCACTTTTGCCGCGCGCACGGCCTCGTCACCTGGATCGCCCACGGCCTGCTTTTGCTGTGGTACTGGAACGGCATGGCCTTCCCCTGGGACGCCGACACCGACGTGCAGATGCCGCTCCGCGACTTGCACCGCTTGGCGCGGGAATTCAACCAGACCTTGGTCGTGGAGAACGTGGGCCACGATCACAACAGCGACCCGACCAATGAAAATACAAACCACCAAAACGAAAACACAAACCACAATGTTACCTTTGGCGGCATGGCGGCGTTCTTCGTCGACGTGGGCTCCAGCATCACCGTGCGCAGCCGCGCCAACGGCATGAACAACATCGACGCCCGCTTCATCGACATCCACACGGGCCTCTACGTCGACATCACCGGCTTGGCCGTGAGCGACGTGGCCGCGCCCGAACGCTACCACACGGGCCCCGGCGGCGCCGTGGCCAACCGCGCCGCGCACGTATACAACTGCCGCAACCACCACTTCACGCTGTTGGACGAGTTGTCGCCGTTGGTGGTGGCGGGCGTGCAGAACCAGCTCGGGCACGTGCCGCTGCAGTTTGGCGCCATCTTGGACCACGAGTACGGTGTGGCGGCGCTCAAGCTGCGCACATACCGCGGCTACGTCTATTTGGACAGCTTGCGTGTGTGGTCGGCCGAAAGCAATGTGCGCGAGCGGGTCGGGGCGAAGGAGAACAAGCGCGACGCGGCCAACCCGTGGAGCCTCTTGCAGCGCGAGGACTATGTGCGTCTTCTCTCGCACGCGTGGCTTTTGCGCGAGTACATGGCCACGCGCAGCTTCACGGGCTACCACGAGGCGCAGATGCGGCGCTTGCTTTGGGGCCGCGTGGCGGACTACACGGCGCACGCGCAAGAGTACGCGCGCCTGCCGGCCACCAACGCCGCCATGTGGGGCGACTTTTTCATGGGCAAGGTGGCGCGCGACGCCTGGGACTACGGGCGCGAGGTGCGCAAGACGCTCGAGATGGCCAAGTTGTACGGGGAAAGAAAGCTGCTGGTGCTGAAGCCGCTGGCCCCGCCGGCGGCTTAGTTGCACCATCATTTGGCGTCAATGCATCATGACGGGGTTTATAGAGGACTAATACACTAAGACGACTACAGACGAGACTACAGACGAGACTACAGACGAGACTACAGACGAGACTACAGACGAGACTACAAGACGAGACTACAGACGAGACTACAGACGAGACTACAACATCACAATATACTTTATTCTTTGTGATGAATATTTCCATCTATCGCAGTTCTTCAGCTTATTTTCTCGGCTACATCCCTCTGATATCTTGAGGTTTAAAGCTTTCAAAGCTAGTGAGGCAACTAAAGTTACAGCCGTCCATAATAAAGTCTATACGTGATACCTCTAGTGACCATGATATCGCTAATCACCATGATATCCCTAATGGTCTTATGTGATACTTCAACTTGCTCATAGTCCAACAAGTATATTTATCAGCCTCAGATCTGTTTCTCTTATCTTCTTTTCCTTTGCGGGAATGGGCGAAATTCTCCTGATAGAGCAGACCCTGCTGCGTTGCTCAATTGCCTCGCTCGAACCACCTCGAGCGCTTGGCACGACACCTCTAAAACGCTTCTGCCTCCGACTACAGGTTCACCGACGAGGGTTACCGCTGAGCCAGGTCGACTACTAAAGACGGTCGACTATAAGACGAGACTACTGTACGCCAGGAACATTCAGGTCAACATTCAGGTCACATTCAGGTCACATTAGGCCAAATTCACCTGTTCTAATTCCACCTGGTTCTAATTCTTTTCAACACATCTATAGATTAACCTTATTATATAAGAGATCATAGATTAATCTTATGATAATGTATATGAGTTATAGAAATAAGAAAGTATAAATAATAAGTATAATTTAGCTACTAAAATTCTAGCCAACCTGGTCCTATTCTTTCACCTGGTTTCACCTGTCTTCACCTGTCTTCACCTGTCTTTACCCTCCTTACAGAAGAGACTGTCGTTCGAATAAACATGGTAATTCTTTCGGCAACGAACAGATAGATCAGCGAACATTCAATACGAAATTGAGTCTGCGGATTGAATCAGTAATTCACTTTATGTCAGGCTTGTCAATCGGTTCCGTCTGTTCTGCCTTTTCTGTTGATTTATCTTGAGTTCCTTGCATTTCTTCCATTCAGTTTGCTACTCTTGGTGCCATTGCTAGAGTTGAAACGATATATATCCCGACTTTGCTTAAAATATCCGACACTTTAGTACAGCCGGTGAATAAGGAAATGGCTATAGCCACCGAGCTATTCGAATTTTTCATATTGGTAAGCATACACTGGGCCGAGCGAACATCCCCCATTGATATAGCTCCAGTGCTTTTATGATTTCAAATATTTGTCAATTTGACTTACGTGCCAATAAATTGAAAGCTTATTGGATGTCTTGGCCGTTTCAACAAGATCCATAGTCGTTGTGTGGTTGGCAAATCTTCAAGTTTCTGCTGTTTAATTATCCAGCCGTCGGATCTACTGCTCCACACTCATCTTCGTCCGGTTCACCATTTATCGGTTTAGGAAAATTACATCCGCTGGAAATATGTGTGTCAGAAGAGCAGGCCCAATAATAGATAAACGGATCTATGGGTTCTCGTTGTAATGGAAACGTAAACTACAAGTGTTACATATCCAATTTTTTAGTTTGTTACTGATGTCTTGATCGGTTTATTTTGTCCTCGAGCTTCAATCTTTTAGGCGTTGCTTTAATGATATGTGTAACTGAGCTCGTGTAAAGTGACCATCGAATTTATATCAGGCGCTATTCTTTATTAGCAAGCATAGACACTAATTCTGCCTCATGACTTTTCCTTGTCGCTAACATCCTTTTGGAATCTCGATAATATAATGTTTGCTTAAAATCTAGATGAGCTTATCTTTGCTTGCAGTTCAGAATTTTGTTTATGGTGACCATGTTTGGTATCCCGGAGGATCTTCTATATTGTAGTAGACTGTAGTTGAAGACAAGACTGTTGATAACATCTTAAATGGTCGTTTTACTTATCTTGTGGATTGTGCTTAGGCTATGCTGTTTGAACGCACTCAGATCCCTAAGCACTTTGTCGTTATAGAACAGTAGAAGAAAACATATCCTTACCAAGACTTTCAGTCAAGGGTCTCACTGGTTTAAGTTTGAGATGAAGAAATACCAAGTGAAAGTACAAAACTAAGCATGAACACGAAGATCAAAGTTAAGAACTCTAAGGTCAAGAGAAAAACAAGGCTAGTCAAGGAACTAAACATGAGGAAGTATGAGATTCACCTGAGATGAAGACCTTAAAATATTGCTCAAAATGCATGTTCAAAACTTTTGCAAATCACGAACTTGAAATACAAAGAAAAGCTTTAAACCTCCGAAATTGCTAGCTCCAATACACTGCTTGAGATCGGAACGGAAAACTAACCTCACACGATACCCTTACACAGCCAGAGAATCCACATTTGACTGGCAAATCAAGCAAACAAGAAATTCGCTTATCAGATCTACACTGAACCTAACAGCTCGAATTCTGAACAAGTCAGCTCGTTCAGATGTGAGAGCACTGCCCCGAGTCCAGAAATGGCCAAGTCTAGATGCGTACACGACAACAAGCAATCATGTAATTGAGCTCTGTCCCGGCATCGTTCAAGACACGATATAAAACACGGAACAAAGACGAAGATAAGACAAGATATATAAAGACTCGAGATACCAGGTCCGGGCGAAGTGTCATGTCTCATCTTAGATGTCTGATCCAATGCTTAAGCCTGGCTTCATCCGACTTCGTCTGATCTGACTCATTAATGATCTGACTTGTCTGATTGATCTGGTCTTATGAATATACTTGATCTGACATTTGACCAAGTTGTTTTGGTCTGATGGACTCACTTGATCTCTGGTCTGGAGATATTTGACCAAGTTGTTTTGATTCTCGGATCATAATCTTCCCTCGTTCCTGTGGCTCTTTGACAGATGGTTTGTTCCATTCCGAATGACGTCAATGCAGTCAACACTTTTCTATTCTGGTGAACTTCGATCTTACTTGTCGCCCCACGTGGGACCAGATTCGGCTCTACGAATGACTTTGGTTCCAGTGGGATGACGTTTTTCCTGCAACAGAGAAATGTCGTTATCGTCGCGTGCACACAAGCCCCCGGATTTCGTGCAGAACGCAATCCTCGCAGGAGTGACGCATCTCGAGGGAAAACACCGCGCTGGCCAGGGGTAACGTGCCTGTGTGCAGTCTCGAAAATCGTGTTTTTCCCTCATTTTGGCGGCACAGACATCGACGTCCCACCCGTACCTCCGCGCCTAAGGCTGTGTGGACGCGGAAAGAAAAAGAAAACTCGGGGCTGGTGCAAAAAAAAAAAAACCCTATTAACCATCCTGCACACATGGCAGGCTTGGATCTCTTGTGTCGTCGGAAAACCCGAAGGCAAAGACGTAAGAAGGTTAGCGGCCGAATCTGTTGTGGTGCTTTGCGCCCGCGACATTTTCTGCCATGCTTTCTTCCGAAAACCTAGCACCCATTTTCTCACGCAATGTCTCCGGAAAAATCTTTCAAGGCGGGCCGTAGGCTCTGCGTTTCTGTGCAGGATATATGTCGTGTGTCCGGAAATGGTTGAATTTAGCTGAAAATGGCACGTTGTTTGTGTGCAGGCGGCTAATCTAGACTCGGGACGAAATGTGCCCCGCTCGGTTTTCCTGGAAGCAAAAAGCTGATGTGGCCCCTGCTTTGCCACAAAAGCTTAATTATGGGGCCAGACATCAACAAAGTAAAAGAAAAGGCCACACAAAAACACCCAATGCAACAGAATAGACTATGATTCGAAGCAGAATAAATATAGATGACTGCATGGCACGCCTTTCCATAAATGTGGTGCGCCAAAAAGAAATGACTATTCGCGCACAGGGTGCAGGAGATAGGGCGCATGGGTATAAATACCAGTGTCCCCCCTCCCTCGCCAGAGAAATTTCTTTATCCACACATCTTATCACATAATGCAATTCAAGACTGTTGTTATCGCTTTGACTGCTGCCTCTGCTGTTTCCGCTGCCAACGCCTCTAACGGCTCCAATGGTTCCAACGGTTCCAACGGTACCCACCACAGCTCTGACTCTGGTGCCGTCCAAATTGTCGGTGCCGGTTTGTTCGGTGCTGCTGCTGCCGCTGGTGTCGCTTTGTTGATCTAGATGACACACTGATTTTTTACAGCGCATGATTTTTACTTCACGGTGTCGGTATTAGAAATTGGTAATAATTGTCATTTAGGCTGGCGGCCCTAATTTTTTATTTTCTTTGCAGCCGCGGCATGTATTGTTATATTCAATCTACAAGATTACTTTACACTAGTGTAGTACCTCTTGCGAGAGGCTGTGTCGTGAGTCAGGAGACTGTGCAGGCCATGTTGCAATGGCACCGCCAATGTCACGCGATATTGGTTATGTGCAGGCGGAATGTCGCCACATTTTTTGCCCTTCGAGTCTGGCCCAGTTGAATACACGGCAAAATGTCCGTAGTGCCGCCAAGGATCTATCCATGGTCTTTTCGCCACAGTTAGTTGTGTAAACCGGGTGGAGGTTTAGGAATGTCGCTGCTTATATGCAGGATGTCAACAACCCGGCTCTGCGACATGGCTGGTGTTTTGATTTGGGTTTCGGCGGAACCGGACTTGTAGCAACTTATATCCGACAGTGAACACGAGTATCCCGTGGATCCGAAAAAGCGAAGCAGAAATGAATGGAAAATGTAGGTAAATGAAAACAAACAAATAGACGGAACTTGGATGGAAACTGCAACCGTAGACGAGATTACTAGTTTACTTTGCGCATGAATTGGATCAGAGGACAGATCTAAGATCATTTAACTTAGATCTATCAAGGTGGATTATGGTACATTATTGTCATTATGGTTGACTATATGATTGTCATTATGGTCAATCATGGTTGACTACTCGAGTCGTCATCGTGGTTGACTATTCGTCATCATGGTTGACTATTCGATTATACCAGTCATGACAATCATGTCAAAAGTCCATGGCTCTGAAATTACCGTCTATGGCCTTTTCTATTTATGAATCAAATGTTTCTTCTGCCTCCGTTGATTGGAATTGAAATGTTAAGACTGTTATCAGAAGACGGAAGCATTCACACTGGAAATATCGGAACTTACATGAGCCGACCGATTTGCGATTCCTATATTGAGCAATCTTCATTTTTATTGGCCAGTCTAGTTCGGTTCATCAATGGAGGGGAAGTCGGGACTCCTTTAAACGAGCTTCTGATCAAAGATGGCCTTGAGTGGATATTAATACATGGGCCAATTTTAAGATGATAAAGGTTTAGACAAGTAAATAATTGATTTTCCAGTACTTCCAGCACTTATATATGTAATCACGTAAAACAAAAATCTGGTAAAGTTTCAGTTCTTCCAGGCTTGAATTTTCCCGATCGACTCATTTCTGTAGAATGTAATTTCCGTTTGTTCTTCAAGAATCAGATACAGAAACTTAGAACCAAGTATTTCGTTACTTCGCGATATGACCAAAAAACTGCGAATGGGACAGCTTTAGTATTGTGCCCAAATATTTCACTCTTGACGAATCCACCAATGCGATAGAATAGGGGATAACTAATCAAATAGATTGCTGAACCATTGACAAGAAGTTTTCAATTTTATGGCGATAATGCCAGGACATGCCAGGGCGACATTTTTGCAGTTGGCGCGACATTGTTCCAGTAGGCGCGACATTTTGCTGACATGCCAGCGCTTACAAATTCCATTCACAGATTCTGCTATCCAGACACCCATTGATTGAATTAAAGATCAACTCGCGTGAGAATTTGGAAAATAACATTGGTTTTCTCATAATCGCACGATTTAACTCATTTGGTCTACCGACTACTACAATCTACTATTGAACTGCAGAAGTATCAATCTATTGATCAACCGATCTCTTTGATTTGATCTATCTACTTTAATCTTGATCTACAATCTGCTTGATTTGGTCTACAATCTGCTTGATTGATCTACTATCTGCTTGATTTGATCTACAATCTGCTTTGATTTGATCTGCTATCTGCTTTGATCCTGCTCTACATCTGCTTGATCATCTACCAACCCCATGTTTACCGGTCTTGTGGAAACCATGGGCACTGTGCTCGAGTACAACGGCGATTCCAGCGGCGCCACTGCTGTTTTCGGCGACTGCGCCTCCATCTTGGGCGATGTCAATTTGGGCGACTCCATCTCCACCAACGGCGTTTGTCTCACCGTCACACATTTTGACGACGCCCGCACGCAGTTTTCTGTCGGCATAGCGCCCGAGACACTCCGGCGCTCGACTTTGGGCGCGTTGCGTCCAGGCGACAAGGTCAACTTGGAGCGGGCGGTCAAGAGCGACGTCCGCATGGGCGGGCACGTTGTTCAGGGCCACGTGGATACCGTGGCGACCATTGTGCAGAAAGTTCCAGACGGGACCGCCGTCGCCTTCACGTTCCGGCTCCGCGACCGGGAAAACATCGATTTTGTCGTGGAGAAGGGCTTTGTTGCCGTGGACGGCGCTTCTCTCACTGTGACGGGTGTGGATCACCAGGCGGGCGAGTTTTCGGTGATGCTTGTCGATTACACACAGAGCAAAGTGATCACGGCAGCGAAAGTGCAAGGTGATGCTGTCAACGTCGAGGTTGATTACACGGGCAAGGTGATTGCGCGGCAGATTGATATTGCGCTCGAAGGCCAGTTGAGACGGCCTGACTCGGCGTTGGCCCGGTTCATTCTGGATGCGATTGAGCGCAGATTGAAGGCGGCGTGAAATGCCCCGTTATGACATGTTAGAAACACAAAGGATGTGTGTTCACACTCGATGGGCCAGCACGGAATATGGTTTGAATATGAGCTATGGATAGACGGTAGACACCTGAATATAGATATGGTCTGAAAAGCAAAGAAGGTACGTGAGCGGAGTAAAATGAAACACTGGTGCCTTAGTAAATCGGTAGGATTTGCTACTAGACTGTCCTCCAGGATGTGGATATTACAACGGACGGCTATCCTAATCTACAAAGGAAAGTCGTACCCATGTAGCCTAATCTGGACGGCGATGATATATGAAAGTTTGCGGTGCTGTTTCACTTTTCAGATTGTTTTTTTTCTTCCTTGTGGATTAGATTTCCTACTGGGCATGCCAGAGATGGCCAATCGAAGGATCATGCCTGGTATCTCAGGCATGAAGACCTTCGAACTATTGATCTGATTCGGTGCTTGAAATTTTGGTCAGGTTCGGTTTTCCACCTGTAATAACCTAAGCCTGCGTTCTGCCAGACATGATCAGCGGTTGGATATTCGTCTAGTTCTGGCTATCAATACTAGTAAAGTAAAGATATTGCACACATTCACATCCCAGAAAGCAGAAAGCTGACTTTATTGACTCTTGAATACACTTCTACACCTCATCAAAGATTGACAATCTGATTCAGCTGTGTGTACACTAAATTTGATTCAGCCGATTAAGTTTCAAACGAGTCAGCAAAGTCAACCAAACCCAACTAGCTCAAGCATCGGAGACGAACAGTGCAGTCATACCAACAAGAAAAATTAAAACCAAACGAAATCAATGATTTCCACCAAACGAGAAAACTATTTAAGCCAGACAAAAATATTGAGTAAACTACTACGGAAACTTGAAGATGATTAAGAATGTTGAAGATGACTTGTTCATCTGAAAAGACAGAAATAGGAGGAACGATGAGGATTATTTCTCTCATAGAGGTTATTTCTCTCATAGCCAAATAGTCAATCTGAATAAGAAGTAAGATGCATGGTAATTGAACAATTAAATGTCTCATTTCCTACTGGTTTATCAAGTTTCCTCTTTGTTGAATGATTAATTTTATATGGTTAAATTGTTTTCTTGTTTGGTTTATTGAATTTTCTCGTTTGTATGATTGAAAACTGTAGACTGTAATTACACGGCAAATGACTTTTGCCGTCTTAAAGTTCTAGAGAAGAACACAATTCGACTAAAGGATATCTTCTTCGACATCCTTATTCACCAATGGGTTACCGTTTTCGTAAAAAATGAATCTAGTGCTGGGATGAAACAAAGCGTTTGTAATAAATTCTGAATCCTCTCTAAGGAATGAGACCCGATTGACAGCTTCTTTACCGAAATATAAGGCTTCTGCCTATGATTGAAGGGCAAGTTTTGGATTTGTTGACATTTTATAGTACAGCTCTAGCTTTGATTTTAAAGAAACTTGTGTAGAATAAGACCGGATTAATTTGTCAAAAAATGGACTAAACCGATAGCATCGTGAAAGCATGAACTTTCCTACTACTTGTTCGGTATTACACTTTCTCCTAGAACGTTTCATCTGATTTTCATGTATTGCTAGGTGATTGATTGGTGACATTTACTGTTTTTCGCACCCATAGCATTCATGTCCTGAGGCTTCTTCAACACCATTTTTTCCATCAACTCATCCATTCATTTTCATTCTCCATCAATTCCCACATCCATCCATTCTCCATTCTCCATTCTTCATGCTCCATTCTTCATCCTTCTTCATTCATCCTTCATCCATCCTTCTTCATCCATCCTTCTTCATCCACCATTCTCCTCTATGCACGCCGTGGCAAAAGCGCGGTCAACTCAACTACTTACTACTTCACCACTTCACTACTTACTACTCACTTCCACTGCAATGGATATCATCTTGGGCATCAGAGTGCAAGGCGCCACGCTCATCGCCACGTCCAAGGCCGCCACGCGCGGCATCTCCATCTTGAAAGACACCGACGACAAGACCCGCGTGCTCAATCCCCACAACTTGGTGGCCTATACGGGCGAGTCGGGCGACACAGTCCAATTTGCCGAATATGTCCAGGCCAACATCCAACTCTACACGATGCGCGAGAACCACGAGTTGTCGCCTCAGGCGACGGCGTCGTTTGTGCGCAACCAGCTTGCCACGTCGATCCGGTCAAGAAAACCGTACCAGGTGAACGTTTTGATTGGCGGCTACGACACCAAGACGGGTGCGGCGTCGTTGAACTGGATCGACTACCTCGGCACGCAGGTCGAGTTGCCCTATGCGGCCCACGGCTACGCTGCGTTCTACTGCATGTCTTTGTTTGACCGCCACTATCGAGCAGACATGTCTGTGGACGACGGGTTGGAGTTGATGCGCCGCGGCTTGAAGGAGTTGGAGACACGCATGCCGGTGGACTTCAAGGGCGTCTACGTCAAGGTCGTGGACAAGGACGGGATCCGGCCCGTGGACATCTGACTGCACGCGAGAGGCAATGTATCTAGACTTGAATGATGAGTACGGATGCTCCGAAAGGGAGCGGTGCTTGAATGAATGAAGTACTGATGACAATTGAGCTGCGCTGTCATGTAGAGGCTTGGACTTGCGTTGCGTTTACTTGCAGTTGCGTTTTCACTAGGAGTTGCATTTCCATTTGGAGTGCAACTTCCAGTAGAGACTAGGATCAGACCTAGCAAGTTAGAGAATACATGTGTTTGTATGGTATGTTGAGTCTATTTGAGCCAAATTGCTACGATGGTTTCGGACTCATTCGATATGCTGGTATGACCTATTCGATAAGACATTCATGCTTTCTGAAGACAAGATGGCCGAGGATAGGCCGTATGTATAGATTAACCTAAAGCCAGATGTAATCTTGCCCACTTTCACAATGATCATAGAAAGCATAAACGATGTAATCTCTGGCATGGATTTCTTATCAAAATAAATGTAGGTCACATGCGGCTGTGTAAAACGGATCATGTTTAACCAAGACAGAAAGAACCTCCCTTTCGAATGAGAGAAGCCAAAACATGAAAAGAATAGTTATCAAAGGTATGATATAAATAAATAAAATGCAATTAGTATTAGCAGCAAAATACATAGGAGCAGCAATAGCTACTTTAGGATTAGGAGGAGCAGCGATAGGTATCGCTTTAGTTTTCGTAGCTTTAATAAATGGTACTTCACGTAACCCTTCATTACGTGCTACATTATTCCCTCAAGCTATATTAGGTTTCGCTTTAGACCAGGCCATAAGTTGCTCATAATCAGATTACCTTTCTGGTGGAAGATCCAGCAAACCTGCTTGTTAGAGGAGAAACAGTCATAGTCAGCCGCACCAATCAACGTCCTTTTATCTAAAAACTCTCTTGGAATATTTGACCCGTCCAAGTCATTCAATTAAGGAAAGAAACGTTCACCATTTCAAATTACAAGATTAACTCTGAGATCTCAATGAGCTTTTCTGTACTTAGAGAGCAAGTCAATATAAGGTAGCTTCCATTATTGCTTTCGCTGGTTATTCTTGACATATGATTGTGATTATTGATAATTCAGGCTGAATCCTAGAAATCAGGTTGAATCCTAGACCATTGAAATATGGTTGGTTGGTTGAAATATGTAGACTCTATTAGTATCGCCTGCACCTGGCCATATAACCATCTCATGGCGATGCGCCTAAACTTCATGTCTGGCCCTCTTTTGAAAAAAGTTGCCGCCGCCGTCGAAAAACATTTGGGCGTGGCCGACTCGGACGAGACGCTCTCGCGGTTTCTTCTAAGTTTGTACGAGGAGCCGTTGGAGGCGTTTTCTCGGGCGGTCGAGGCCAATGGCGGAAGCGACTTTCCGCCCGCGTTTGTGCACGAGGTTTTCGAGGCGATAAGAGAGGAGCTGAAACTGAAAGAACTGAAAGAGCTGAAACTGAAAGAACTGAAAGACGGACTGAAGAGAGAAGAACAAGTGGAGACAGAGCCAGAGAACCAGGTGCATGAAAAACCAGCGGAAACGCAAAGGGAAAGGCTACCGTCTGAAAGGTCCAAAGACACTGGCACGGAGCAGAGAACTCAAAAGGATCACAACAATCAGCATCAGAGTCATCAGAATCAGAATCAGAATCATCAGCATCAGAATCATCAGAACCATCAAGATCAGCAAAATCAGAATCAGCAAAATCAGCAAAATCTACACGCCCCTGAGCCAAACCTTGTGGTCGGCGCCGTCTGCCGCGGAACCGTATCCAACATCACGCTGTATGGCGCTTTCGTCCGCCTCAACCGGTTCGAGTCGGGCCTCTGCCACATCAGCAAAATGCTGTACGATGGGCGCCGCGTGGGTCTGCCCGGCGACGTTGTGAAGCAGAACCAGGAGGTTTTTGTGCGGATCACAGACGTTGGCTCGGGCCGCCGCCGCAAAATCGCCCTTTCCATGGTGGGCGTCGACCAGACCAACGGCGAGTATGTCGAGGGGCGAGAGTCGGGGCGACAGTCGGGGCGCGACACCGAGTTTGGGCGGCGCGGCCGAGAAATGGGGCGCGACCGCGCTGTTTCTTCAGGCGCGCGCCGGCTCACGTCGCCCGAGCGCTGGGAAATCCGCCAGCTTATCGCCGCCGGCGCGGCTCGCGCCTCAGACTACCCCGAGTTGTACGAGGTCGAGGAAGACCCGGCCGAAAGCGAGGGCTTTGAAGTGGAGATCAATCCGCACGAGCCAAAGTTTTTGCAGGGCCAGGTGCGGGCGCGAGCCGAACCGGCGCACATTCTCAAAAACCCCGAGGGCTCGTTGTCTCGGGCCGCGATGGACGGGCTGCGGTTGGCCCAGGAAATGAGAGAGCAGAAGAAGGAGCAGAGAAAGAAGGAGAAGCAGCAGGGCACCGAAGAGAAGAACAAAGACAAAGAACAGAACAAAGACAAAGAACAGAGCAAAGGCAAAGAACAGGCTCCATACTCCAAGTCTAGAAAAAATGTTTCCAAGTCCGACCTCGCTCAGCTGCGCAAGCGGCTTCCCGTCTACGCCATGCGCGAACAGCTCCTCTCGGCCGTTCGAGACAACCAATTCGTCATTGTGGTGGGCGAGACCGGTTCGGGCAAAACGACCCAGATCGTCCAGTATCTCTACGAAGAAAACTTCCACCGCGGCGACAAGATCATTGCATGCACCCAGCCGCGGCGTGTGGCGGCCGAGTCCGTGGCGAAGCGTGTGGCCCAGGAAGTCGGGTGTCCGCTAGGCCAGGAGGTGGGATACACCATTCGTTTCGACGACCGCACGTCGCCCGCGACCAGAATCAAGTACATGACCGACGGTATGCTTCAGCGCGAGGCGTTGCTCGACCCGCAGATGCTGAAGTATGCGGTGGTGATGTTGGACGAGGCGCACGAGCGGACTGTGGCCACCGATGTGCTTTTCGCTTTGCTCAAGAAGGCGGCGCGGGCCAACCCGGACCTTCGTGTTCTCGCCACGTCCGCCACGCTTGATGCCGACAAGTTCTCGCGCTATTTTGGCGGCTGCCCTGTGCTTCATGTTCCCGGGCGGACTTTTCCCGTTGAAATCATGTACTCGCGGGAACCAGAGCCCGATTACGTGGCCGCAGCTCTTGACTGTGTGATGCAGATCCACGTGGCCGAAGACTCGGGCGACATTCTTGTGTTTCTTACCGGTCAGGACGAGATTGACACCTGCTGCGAGGCGCTCGAGGCCCGTATCAAGACGTTGGGCCGTGCCGTGCCGGAACTTCTAGTTTTGCCTGCCTACTCGGCTTTGCCTCCTGACCAACAGGCACGAATCTTCGAGCCGGCGCCGCCTGGCGCCCGGAAAGTGGTATTGGCTACAAATATCGCCGAAACGTCCATCACCATCGATGGCATCCGCTATGTGGTAGACCCGGGTTTTGTCAAGCTCAACGCCTACGACCCGCGGCTTGGAATGGACCTGTTGGTTGTGTCGCCCATTTCGCAGGCTCAGGCCAATCAGAGAAGCGGAAGAGCAGGCAGAACAGCACCAGGCAAGTGTTTCCGTCTCTACACGGAAGAGGCTTTCCGCACAGAAATGCGGCCAAACACTGTTCCCGAGATCCAGAGACAGAACTTGGAGCACACCATCTTGATGCTCAAGGCGATGGGGATCGATGATGTGCTCCGATTCGAGTTCATGGACCCTCCTCCGGCTCCAACCACAGTACAGGCGTTGAAAGAGCTCTATGTTCTTGATGCGCTCGACGAAAACGGCCATCTCACCTCGATGGGCCGCCGCATGGCCGATTTCCCGATGGAGCCTGCGCTTGCGAAAACGGTCCTAGCCAGTGTGGATCTTTCGTGTGCTTCGGACGTTTTAAGCGTGGTGGCCATGTTATCGGTGCAGAATGTGTTTTATCGGCCAAAGGACAAACAGGCCGCCGCAGACCAGCGAAAACAGCGTTTCCATAGTGTCCACGGCGACCATCTCACTCTTTTGAATGTTTTCCGTGGCTGGGAACAATCAGGTCGCTCGCGGTCGTGGTGTGCCGAGAATTTTGTCCAAGAACGAGCCATGTGGCGAGCTTTTGAAGTTCGCAAGCAGCTCGCGGCCATTATGGTGCGGTTTCGGCTTGATGTCCATGGATCGGACGCCTCTGCTGTCCGCAAGGCGTTTTGTGCGGGCTACTTCCGCAATCTGGCGAAGCGAGACCCCCACGAAGGAATCTTTACTACTTTGGTCGACCAGACCCCAGTGCATTTGCATCCGCTGCTGGCAGTGTATGGGAAAAGTGTGGACTATGTGATTTACCACACACTTCTTCTCACTACAAAAGAGTATATGCATTGTGTCAGTGTCGTTGATCCAAAATGGCTTGTTGAATTGGCGCCGCGGTTCTTCCAGCCTAGCGACCCTAATAACCCGAGCGAACGGCGCAAGAGGCAGAAGATTGTTCCACTCTTCAATCGGTTTGCTGAAAACCAGGACTCTTGGAGGTTAACTGCACAAGTGGAGGAAAAGAAACGGGCCTTGGGGCGTTTGAACCAGTGAACGATGTATTATACAATGTACTATAGATAAATGCATGATAAATTACTAGATAAAAGGAGAAACAGAAATAAAAAAAATTAATTCTTCGAGATCATCACTTGTATGTCATATCGTTTTGATTTCGTATGATTCCTACATTCATAGTCTAACACCTTTGACCAATGGCTTACACCTCCATCATGACTGGAGATGAAAAAAAAAAAAAAAAACAAGACACACCAGCAAGCCTCTCAATAAGACTTGTAACTTTGTAGTCGGACATTAGTTTTTTAGACTAATCTTTTCTCTAGTAGGCTCATATTTCAACAATAGAGTATCTACGCCTGGTAATGACCAATAATTTGTCAGAATATAATTGGAATGGCAGAACAGACTCGGAATCCCTATAAAATGAACTTTAATCTGCCATTGGTTAGTCTACTTGATCTTTCTGATTCTTAGTCATCTTTAATACATGGGTGAATACAACATGTCCAATTGTTTTAAGTGACACATTAGTAGATTATTAAAAGGGAAGAATAAGCACGCCCGTAGAAAAAGAAGTAGTTGAAGAGAAATAATTCTGTTTGTACCCCAGATTCGTGGGTCTATGAAGTGACACAAAAAGGAAAAAGTCCAGTACCTCTCAGAACACCCGTGCACCCTACAGACCCGTACCGCTACAAACACCCGTACATTCTAAACAAAAAACCCATACACCACAAAACCAACACCCGTACACCTTCCTAAAACCCGTACATTTGAGTGTCAAAAACCCATACACACCGAAAACAACACCCGTACATCGCATAGTTAAGCACCCCCTCTGCCTCCGCAGGTTGACATTGAAGAATAACCTGTGTCAAGAGATAAAAAGTGCGAAAAACAAAGTCCTTGGCTGGTGGGCAATTAGTATGCTTTCAACCTTTACCTCCAGAATCATAATATTTGTATGTTTAGTATTGGGATCACCATTGGCCATCAAACCCAGTTCAAAAGGCAGATTGACACTAGGAGACATAGGGGACTTCGATAGACAATTATTGGAGCAGTGTCATGAGAAATGCAAGAATGGCATAGACATATATCTCACTAAGGGGCGTGAAGCGCTGATGGCGAAAATTATCTTGACGGTTAAGAGTGATGAGAATGGCATTCTTCCCGACGAGACATTTTCTTACCAGGAATGCATGACTCCATGTCTAGGCTTGGAGCATGATAAAGAATTAGAAATTCCCAAAATCCACATCCTAAGTGATTTTTTTCATGTATTTAACCATGGGTATGACCCATCAGATCCGGTTTTGCTCGCAATCAACTCTACCATTACGAGAGACATCGGCGACGACGAATTGTCTGAGGGTGAATACCCAGGTGAAGGCTGGCATGATGGTCATGGGTGGTGCTTTGAAAGCACTTGTTATTCTCCTTGGAAGTACTGGCTCTGGGGAAAGATTTCAAATTGGAAGATGATGCCTTTGCAAGCAAAAGAATATATACATAACAGAGCCAAAGCACGCTTGAGTGCTCAGTATGAGACTTAGACAAGATTTTGGTCTTCAAGCAGATATAAGCAATGGAGCAAGAAACAGAAACTACCAGAAACAATTGAGTTATGTAGTAACACTTTAGAAGATTGGTGATGCCATATAAGCGACAGAAATTCGCTTCACGCAAAAGCACCGTTTTCATCAAAATTCTATCACATTTAAAAATACACTCATCTAGCCAATCGCGGACCAATACAGAGTTACTGCAATAAGTATGAATATTCAATTCGAAAGTTTGAAGCAATTCCGAAAAGTGGGGACGTAAATTTGAAAACTGAAATCTAAACGATTGAAGCCACCTTAACCTGTTTAGCCAATTGTGCCAAAGCTGTTTACGGTGAAAAGTTTGTTTTTTGCAATCTTTTTTTTTCTGTATGCTCGTTCTAAACTATGACAGCATACAGAAAATGTGCGGCTGACCACAAATCTTGCAATCTATGGCCCAAATCGGCAATAGCAGACCATAAATCTTATTTTCCATAACAAAAAAGTGAAATCTAACCATCTCTCTCTGGGGTATAAATTAAGACCAATTTCCCTCGAATACGTATTTTCTTCTTCACCTCAATCAACTTCTTCGTTGTTCTCAAAGACAGAAACACCTAATACTGAACTGAACCAGCTCTTATAAAAACTCTCAAAGCACCCTCAACTCTCAGGTTCTTCAGATCTCTAATTGATTCTGAAACAAATCTTACTTAGATCTTCAATTTACCTCCAGATCTCAATCCACACTCGTAGAAATGGACTCTCCATTTTATTTTGCCAAAGGCAAAGAATATCCCGACTCTGAAGGGTTCATTACCGTTGCTAGAAGACGCAAAATGAATTCTCTGAGAAAGGGAATTCAAGTCAGCACTAGAAAACTCAGCTTTTCTAACAAGAGCTGTGCCAAAATTGCGGCTTCAACTAATGTATTCTCCGTAATTGGATTTGGCAACGACGAGCCAACTAAAGAGAAAAAGGAGACTTTCCTTGAAGCTGAAAAAGTCGGCCAAAATAAGGAAATCTCAACCGAAGAAAAGGTCTTGATTTGCTGGAAGCCTCTCTACTCTCTTAGTGAAGTGGAAGTATCTGTTCCCAAGGTAGAAAGAAAGGTTAGGTTCGCTATGAATGTTGAAATCATAGAATTAGAACCAAATGAACCAGAGGAAGAAGAAAAGGAAACCCAAATGCCCGCAGAATCAAACGCGAAGGCAAATATGAAGAAGAAGATGGAAAACATGGACCTAAAGATGAAAAAATTAGACTTAAAGATGAAGAAGACGGATCTTAAGATGAAGCAGATGGATCTCAAGATGAAGCAGATGGACCTCGAGATAAAGAAAATGGACTACAAAATGAAGAAAAGAGCTTTCAAGATACAAGTAAGAAAGAATCTTCCTCCTGCTGGAGTATTACCTCGTCCTTCTTCTAGAGACTCAAACATCGCTTTGGCTAAAGCAAAGGTTGCTTCTGAATTCGAGAGTCTTCAAAGATTGATCGTCCCTCTTTAATTCAAACAAAATAGATATTACATACCTAATACATACTCTACTCAATATGTAACAGTAACACTAGCTCTGTTACAATTACAACAGGAAAGTCGTTCCTGATCAGTTTGGTCACACTGAATACTCATGCACATTCCATAAGTTTTGGTTCCTGTAGATCTAAACTAAACATACAAAAATAATATAGGTCATGCAAAAGAAAAAATAGACACATGCTACGCAAAGTAGCAAACGTGGTTCTATCAATTACAAATTTGCTTTTGTCCACTAATTGTGTATTCTCCATATGGTTTCGATTGAAGAGCAAATGGCGTTTCTCAGGGCCAACTTCATTCTTCGGAATTCACTTTTCGAGCAACTTCTAGTTCTTGAAGAAATCTCGACTGGCAATGTTCAGCTTGGCCTGTTGTCTGTCAAGTCAATTCTAGCCGGTGAAAAGTCTCTGTGAATGAGTGGTAGTGTTCCTTGAAGGAACAGTATTCAAAAAGAAAAAAAAAAAAAAAGCAACCATTCCTATTAGCGGAGATTTATGAATCATAACAAGTGGATTATTCATAGTCAGTATTGTAGTATGAGATATTTTCTCATAATTGTATTAGGTTCTAATGAGTAGTAAGCAGTGAAATTTATCTTCTCAATAGTATTGTAGGATTATATTATATTCTCATCAGTATTACAGTTTGAGATGTCTTCTCTTAATGACTATTGTAGCATATTTCTTCATGGTAAAGCATATTTATCTGGCCTGTCAGTGTGTTCGGAGATGCCCGTTCAGAGATAAGCGGCGTGCATACACAACAGATACTAAACAATCTGTCAAGTTTCTAGTCTTGGCATGGTAGACTAATAAACTTCAATTAAGTTTCGATTACTCTTGATTAATTCGTTTCGTTCGATTAAGTTTCTTTTATTTAAGTTTCTTTTAAGTTTCTTTAATTAAGTTTCTTTAATTAAGTTTCTTTTATTAATTTCTTCAATTATGCTTCTCGATAAGAAATGCCTACCCCATATTCACACCCGTGCACCACACATACCAGATCAACACACCCGTGCACCACAGACCCCACCGCCGCCAACAGCATGGCACTTTTCTCCCGCCTCCATAGCATACCAAGGCAGCAGATAGAATAGGCTATCCCAGGCGGCCGGTCTGCCCGCAAAAGCGAAGTTTGGGCACTGGCGAGGTCACGTGCCAAGTTGCGGGGACCCGGCCCACCATTCTCACATGGGCCCACGACCCAAATGTTTCTTCTGCCATGTCTTTTGTCGTGGATGCCATCAGAAAAGCCCGCACGGCGGCGTCCGACGCCATTCTCGACCGCGTGAGTCTCTACTGCCTGGCGCCCGTGTCGACCAACGCCCGAAGTCTCCGCAAAGAATACGGCAAAGGCGCCATTTCGGCGTGTGAAAACGACAGCGACAGCATTTTGCCCTGCGAGCCGCTCCGCGTGGAACATGGCGAGTTGGTGGATGCAAGCGGCCGCACGCGTTTGCTCAAGGGAATCAACTTGGACGGCGCCATGAAGCTTCCGGTTGCGCCGGCACTAACTTCTGCCGACGGCGACTGTTCCATGACGCAGAATGTGTTTTTCGACGGCGACAGCGTTCTGTTTGTGGGCCGGCCGTTTGCCTTGGACGACGCCGAGGCGCATTTCCGCCGCATCAAGTCGTGGGGCTACAACACCATCCGGTACCTCGTGACGTGGGAAGCCCTTGAACATGCGGGGCCTGGCGTCTACGACGACGCGTTTGTGGCATATACGGTGGAGATTCTCCGCGTGGCGCACCGCGTGGGCGGCTTGTACGTGTTTTTGGAGTGCCACCAGGACGTGTGGAGCCGTTTCTGCGGCGGCAGCGGCGCTCCCATGTGGACGCTCTATGCGGCGGGGCTCGAGCCGACCCGCTTCGATGCTACAGAGGCCGCCATGCTCCACAACTCGCCGCGGTTTGCGTCTCTGCCCAGCGACCTGGACTGCTACCCGAAAATGCTCTGGACCACCAACTACTGCCGTTTGGCGCTGTTGACCATGTTCACGCTCTTCTTTGCCGGCGAGACGTACTTCCCGCACTTGCAAATCAACGGCGTCAGCATCCAGACGTACTTGCAGGACCGCCTTTTTGGCGCTTTGGACCATCTTTGGCGCGCCGTGGTGGCTGGAGTACCCGAAATGGTCGAGTGCGGCTCGCTTTTCGGCTTTGAGCTGCTCAACGAGCCCAACCCGGGCTTGGTGGGCCACCCGGACTTGAATGCGCTTCCAGATCACCAGCAGCTCCGTTTAGATACCACCCCAACGGTTTATGAAAGCTTTTTGTTGGGCATGGGCCTTCCGGTCAACGTCGACACCTACAAGATCTCTGTCACTGGGCCGCAGAGAGAAGGGAAAAAGCTCGTCGACCCACGCGGCCAGCGGGCGTGGATGCTGGTCGAAGAACGAGACGCCTGCGACAAAAAGTACGGCTGGACTCGCCAAGGCTGGCCCGACGGGTGTATTTTCTTGGCCGCAGGCATCTGGAAGTGGCGCGAACACGAGTGGAGCAAGGTGTGTAACCTGTCGCAGGCGGCGAGGATGGAGTTTGTTCAAAACCATTGCCGGTTGCGCAAGCCGTACTACTTCAGCGAGGTTTCGCCGCGGCTTTCGTTCAAAACTGTTGATGAACGGCTCCCGCTGGTGATCGACAGGGACTTTTTCATCAACAACTTCTTCGTCGACTTCTACATGCGACACAAGAAAATGGTGCGTTCCGTGTGTCCTGGGGCGTTTGTGCTTATTCAGCCTCCGGTGCTTGAGCTCCCGCCCAAATTGGTGGACGATCTGCGGTCCATCATCGACGAAAAGACAATCTACTGTCCGCATTACTACGACGGAATGTCGTTGATGTTCAAGACTTGGAATTACCACTATAATGTCGACACGTTGGGCATCATGCGCGGCCGCTACTATAACCCGGTCTTGGGCATTGTGTTTGGCGAACGGGCCATCCGTAACTGCATCAAAAAACAGTTTGTCGAAATCGTCCGCGAGGGAAGAGAGTATCTCGGCAACATCCCTGTTCTCATGTCCGAAACCGGAATGCCCTTTGACATGGACAACAAGAAGGCCTACGAAAACGGCCGCTACCAGTTGCAGACTTCGGCGCTAGATGCCATTTCCGTTGCGTTGGAAGCGCTGAATATGCACCACACTTTCTGGTGCTACACCAGCATCAACTCGCACAAATGGGGCGACCGCTGGAACAACGAGGATTTTTCCTTCTGGTCGCCCGAGGATAGAGATTTGATGTTTGACGATGAAGACGCACTGCCAAGCAGATCGAGCCGAAGAAGCAGCGTCACTCCTTCGCTCAAATCCTTTCGTCTGCTTCGTGAAACTGACGGCTATCAGCTGGTGTTAAAGGCCAAGTTGAGCTACAGAAGAAAACGCTTAGTTGACAATGCATTGAAGTTGGCCTTTGGAGAGTCGCAGGATAAATCCGAATTGCAAGACGCAGAATCCACGGCCAGCCTAACTGACAGTTCGACTTTGATCAGCCTCTCAAGCGACGACCTTCGATATCGCCATTTGAAGAAGTGCTATCCGTCGCCAGATGGGGTTCGTGCGCCCAGCGCTGTGATTCGGCCATATTTGATAGCCACCGTTGGCCACGTCAAGTTCGCCGAGTTTGATCTCAAGTCGTCAAAGTTTACATTGACTCTCAATTTCGATGGTAAAAAACGCGATAAGCTCCCCACTGTGGTATTTGTGCCCAAATGGCACTACCCCTACCTCAACTATAGCGACATCCATTTGACGTCTGGCCATGTGTTGTACAATGAGCGACTTGAGTACTTGGAGTGGTTTCACCAGGAGGAGGACGGAACAATAGATTCTTCGCGGGCCGACGAGTCTCTCATCATCAAGAATAGCAGCGGGAGAATTGAGGACATTGCACCTTCCAGCAGCAGCAGACGTTCTTCCGTGGGGCTGGTTGCATAGTTAATTAGAAAACCAAGGACATGTTTTTGACTTGTAGAAGTTTTTGGAAATAAGTCCTTCGAATCTTATGTCTTTAAAAGTCTAACGAGTCGGCACCACGTTTGGTCGACCGCAACTCCTCTTTGATAAGCCCACTAACAAAAGTAGCAAAATAGTCAATGTACGGCTTCAAGCTTGTTTTTTCAAAGTCCGCAATTCGGGCCGGAGAATCCGATTCGTCTAGTGGCTGGCTTGAACCTCGATCGACTCTTTTCGCTTCCCATGTATCGATCTCGTTCTGCAACTGCGACAAGTTGGGCGCCGTCATTGGATTGAAGCCGTACGTGTCGTCATCGGGATTGCCTGACAAATTGTGTTCTGGGTCGAATGGAACACACACATTTCCTGTTCCAGGGTGGATGCAAAACGGCGACTTCAACAAGTGGATCATTTGCTTCGACACCTCGAGATCCAACCGCGGATACATGTAGTAGAAGATGATTTCCTTTTTGGCGTCCGTGAGCTGGCTCACCTGGATCTGGTTTTTGAGCACTTTCTGCGCCACGGCGTTAATGTCTTCCCACTTGGCTCGCGACGTCGAGACACTCTTCTGCTCTTTCCATTTCGTACGCAACGCATTGCGGAGACTCTGCTCGGGGAGAAACGCAAGGAGAGCCTCCACCAGATTCCATTCCTCTTCCAGACTGTTTCCGTCCGTGCACCACGGGTTTTGTTCGTCCAAAATCACCGCCGGGAAGTGCTGCTTGAGGATCTCAAACGACCGCTCCACGTGCGGATGGTACGGTTTCCGCAACCCGAGCTGCGTGCGGCCCATTTTCTGTGTTCTAGACCCAAGTACGTCGAGATACTCGACAACGGCTTTACGGGCCGACTCGTCTAGGTGGCGAGCTCTCTCATCACTGATCCAGCAATGTGCACCTCTTCTTCCCGAGAACACCCACACCATGTGGTCAAAACCAAAGTCGTCTTTCAACGCGGCCAGAATGATTTTCGTGGCCACCTGGATAAATTTCCAGCATTTGGTGCAAATGTCTGTTTTCGAGCAGCACGTTCTGATCTCGTCGTAGTCGGTCAAATCAATGTCGAACACCAACTCTTTGGAAAGAGGCCGCATGGCACTTTTGGGCAAGTTCTTTCTTTCCTTGGGATTCACCGAGTAGACGGCTCCCACTTCGAAACGCGTGGGATTTGCCGCAACAACAGCCTTTTTGAACTCTTCTGCCGACGCGTAAGAATTGTACCGTTGGTACGCCCCCAGCCGAAACTCGTAGGCGAATTCTCTCATGGTGAAGTCTTTTGTGGCTTTGGGCGAATGGCTCAACCACTGGAAAATGCTTTTGAAAGGAAGAAGTCGGTCGTAGTAGAAAAGCATGTCCGCCGACGAAGGGCGGCCTTTCCCTTTTTGCTCAGGAGGCGTTGCAGTATTTTCTTCAGAGGTCATATAGTGGTTTTGGACTTTTCATAAAAGCGATCTTGAGACGCGTAGGTGAAGTAGTCACGTGATCAAGAATTTTATATATCTATACCGACTGAATTACTTTAGGGGATAGAGGTGGAAGGGCTGTTTACATTTTTAAGTTTCTCTTTTAATTTTTTTTTTTCGAGTTTTTGTAAGGAATGGATTTATTGTAGGCAATATCTGCGATTGAAGATGCGCGTTTGTTGAGATGAGAAGTGAGGTATGTGGTTTCGGTTCTTTATAACTTTTATATAATTTTACCTTTTTATTTCTTTTGCATTTTGAATTTTATGGCTCAGGATGTTTTTTGAACATTGGCGACAGTACTGTATTGTGCATGTTAGTGGTAGTCCATCACTGATTGAATCTTTAATACCAAAAGCAAATGCATCAATTTCTACTGAAGAAGGAAACCCACTTCTACTTGATAATAGTTCTGTTGACTAAGGAAGAATCAGCCTTAACGCAAATTACATCTAGCAACCAATTCTGTTCAACCTGCTCAGACAAATCTGCAATGGCATAATCAGAGCTACATTCATGGAATTTCGACGTTTCATGTTCTTCCCACAGAATTCAGCTCGCTTCATCCACAAGTCAATTATGTAAAGAAATGTGTCATGCTTAGCTTGAAATAGAAGCTCAATTAAGTGAGGCATGGTTAATTAATCATTGAAAAACAGGGTAACTTCGATATCTGCAACTTTCGTTTAGCTGTTCGGTTCATCTCTATTTACTTTTGAAGTACACTTAACATAAATTATAATTATAATTTAACTATTAAAATTCTATTGATGGTGAATTTGAAGATCTCTTTTCGACATTTTCGATATTCTCGTTCTGGCTGAGATTAAGTGGTCTTGCATAATCTCCGTTTTGTGCGCATGTTGGTATGCTAGCCTTAACTATGAGAGCATACTAAAAAGACATGGCATATCATAAATCTTGAGAAAACATGCCCAAAAAGGAAATAGCAGACCAGAAAACTTGCATTCCATACCAAAAATCTCAAAATCAACTTTCTCTAGAAATGGTATAAAAAGGGCCTGTTTCGCTCTTGAATCTGATTTTCTTTCTTCTTCACTTCTTTTTCACAGTTACATCTCCCTTCTATCAAAAGGCTAGATCTGACCACATATCGAAGTACCCAAATCTCTTTCCTTTAAGCTCTCAAATTTTAATAGCCTTCTTATACTTTTTAGGATTCTCAGAAAGATAACTCTGAGAACTATTCTGACAAGTTCCTTTAATCTTCTCAGTAATATCCAAATCTTCAAGCTAATCTTTAGTCCTTAACTAGAAATGCCATCCAACTCTCAAGCTGACAGTATCGATACCGCTGGGTTTATCACAGTTGGGAGAAAGCAGAAAAACTCCACTGCCGAAAACGAAGAAAGGGTTTCAGTAAAACTCTTCGACTTTCTGCAAAGTTTTGCAAGAATTGCCGTCAACGCCAACGTTTTTACTGTAATTGGATTTGGCGAGGAATCATCCGAAGAAGAGGATGAAAAATATGAAAATCTGGAAGTTGATGATGTCGAAGAAGATTCCTCAGCTCCAGAACAGCCAGAATCTGAGTGTTTTGAGGATGACAAAACCTTGGAGCAAATCTTGGACGAAATGGAATGGGAGATCGAACGGGATATCGAAAGAGTAACTACAATTACTCCTGAAATCCCAGTAGAGCTGACTAATTTGTCCATTATTCTTTGGAGACCTACCTATAATCCTACTATTATCCAAGCAGGACCATGCAGAAAACCAAAAACGGTTAGATTTGCCGAGAAGGTCGAGATTTTTGAGATTGAAGAGAAGGACGAGGATCTCAAGACAGATGATACCAGGGAGAAGAACGGAAACGAGGACACCAAAGAAGTAATTGTGAAATCTCATAAACCTGAGGAGAAAATGAGAAAAGATGCTTTCCAAATAAGAATGGCATATGAATCAAAGAAATTGGAGTTTGAGATGATGAAGATGAACTTTCAAATGAAAAGGATGGACTATAAAAGGAAAAAGATGGACTTCAAGATGAAGAAAATGGACTTCAAGATGAAGAAAATGGACTCAAAAATGAAGAAAATGGACTACGGCATGGAAAAGACAGGTGACGGAATGATCATGAGGAAATACCAGATCAAAAACAATTCGTCCTTCTCTAGCCCAGCCAATTCTCGTCCTTCTTCTAGAGATCCCAATCTGGGATTCATGGCTCGTCCTTCTTCTAAAGAGAAAAAAGAAAATCACAATATCCTGTCTCAGAAACTCGTCTCACTTCTGTCTCCTTGAAGCATTCGTTTGACTAAAAATAGAATAGAAAACAAAAAAACAAAAGAATAATAGGAGTACATAGCCCAATAAATACTTGATAGCAAAGAAATTTTGGAGCCACAGCAAAGGAAGTGATTCAAAAAGAAAAATTCAATTCAATATTTTAGAGCTTTCCAAACTTCGGTTACTTTTCTGAGTTGCTGCAGTAAACATCAATCTGAAAAGGTTTCTGTAGAAGGTTAAATAAACGTTACAAATTATTAGAGGGCTTATAGTTGAGTTTACTCAGTTTTTCTTCATCCAGCAATTTCAATACGCTAAGTTTAAGGAAATCTGAACTGAATTTGACTTGTAAGTTGTTCCTAGTGATTAGATCTCATAATCAACTGAAAGTAAAGCTCAAATCCTCAATATCCTTCATTCTTAATAAGAGACATAACACCATTTGTAGGATTACAAATAATCTCGAAACGAGCCAGTTGATATAAGCTTGGTTGCTGGTACCTTCAAACTGGCGAAAATAATCGTATCAAGGCGAACTAAATTGGGTGGTGATAATATATGGGAAGTATGAATGCAACAGTATTCAACTTTTTCGTTTTTGGATGATTGAAAGAATAGCATTTTTTACTCTCAGATGAAATTATTTGAGAGCTCAAAGATCTTAAGAAGGGCAAATCCTCCATGCAGACAGCCAAAAGATATACCTATAAGTTATCTCGCTGGATTTTCTTGCAAAACAATATTTGCACTGGTCATTTAAACCTCGCTAACATGGAAGAACTGAGCCTAAATTAATTGCTTCCTGGTGATGTCTTACAAAAATGAAGTGGTAAAGATCGTGCTGAAAAGCCTCGTGATTGACAGAAGATAAAAGCAAAAGTACCGCTTATAGTCATATCCACTCTCCTGAAAGCAACAGGCTGTGCCCAAGTTTCGGAAAGGCAGTAAAGTTATTGCTTTCCGCGACTTCAAAATGTCACGAGTCAAGAGATTAGGATTCTGTCTTCTTTGAAAATACTTTAATTTAGATAAGTGATGAGTATAAACATTGCACGAATGTTTGAAATATGGCTAGGATTAATACTTGGGGCGTTGGATCAAGTTTTTTCTTTTGGCTGATATTTCTTTTTCTTTTCGGACCAGCATATCTGGTTCCTGTTCTAACCCTCTTTGGCTTGGAGTTGAAGGCTATGCAAGCGAGATTTGGCTACAGTATATTTCTCCTCTTGTCAGATCAAGTCAGTTTCAATTAGTCCAAACACCCAAAGCTAAAGTGCTAATAAGCGAAGTGGGGCCTTTGCTAAATTAAATCATTTCTCAATGCCATACAAAGCTGCTTCATAATTTGATTCATCCACTTCAATAACAGAACTTTCCTTCCTATTCGTTATGAGTTCATCAAATTTTAAGTCACTTATTTCAATTATGTACAATGTAGATTTTTATTCATTCCACCATTCATGCTGCAGAAATCTGCTTGGATCTGGGGGAAAAAGCAATTCTTTTCGAGGAAAGAAGAATGTTCTAGTTCTCAACACGATATTGCTTTTGGCCCTTTCCCTATTTTTAGGACAGTAGATTTACGAGATTCTACGGTCCAGCGCTTAAACGCAAATATGGCATTGTGCACTCCATACACAACCAGGCTGTGATATCAGGAACACATTTTCAGATTTTGCCAATAGGAGAAAGAGGAGCATTGAGCGACAATCAATTGAAAGAGAGACTTGAGCAAAAAGAAGATGTAGAAAAGTGAAAAGGCGCCCAAAAAATGACATCAAAAGTTGGGAGTCAGAAAAAACTTTTCTGGCCCAGAAGTTCAGCTTTGGTGAATGCCGTTCTGTCTGCAAAGCATCGCCGCTCGCTTGGACCTATCTAATGGAGTTCTAAATAGTAGACATACCACACACTATGCTACGCCTCAAATATATATAAGTTCTTGCTTTTTCTCGATGCAACTGGGTCACCGTCCATTCTTCATTACTTGAAGCATCGTTAGTATACACCAACACTTATTCATGTCTTTTATTTTGCCAGATCTTGGTGCTGCTGCATCTTTCTACTTGTCCTTGTACATCCTCTTCGTTCTTTTCATGACAGGCGTCGTTTGCAAGAAAGGTTTTATGACAGTGTACACTTTTTTATGGATCTTCGGCATTATCCGTACCGGCGGCCAGGTTTGCGCTGTCATGTATGCCAAGTTGGGCCTGTCCCACTACAAATTGCTTATAGCGTATTTGCTTTTGGGAGCTGAAGGGTACTTTACGTTGATATTGTCTGCTTTCCAAATTACGTGCAAAGGGCAAATCCGTCAGTTCGGTTTCTTGTGGATTTTGACGCTGGGCCCACCAATTCTCTTCCGCAAACAACTTACTTGGAGACTTATTTTTCATCTCTTGTTGGTTCTAGCAAATGTGTTTATTATCGCAGGCGGATCTATGTTGGCCAAAATGAGCAGAGAACAGCTCCAATCGGATCATAAATGTATCGAAGCTTCAAGAGGACTTCTCTGTGCTGGTCTTGCTATTTTTGTCTTCATGACAGCTTCAGTTGTGGCCTTGAACATTTACGTCTATGTCCAAGTAGGTGCTCGCAACAACTTGACAATTTGCGTCATATGTGCATCTCCATTTCTCTTGGTCAGAGGCATATTTGGCATCTTATCCATTTACGTTGCGGCCATGGATTATTTCGACAGGAGCAATTATACTGCTGGAGGATCAATGTCCCACAAATTGACCATTTATGAATATGTCTTGAGCACCACCATGGAATTTGTGGCTTCATGCTGTTTGACCTCCACTTTGTGGTTTGACAGAGAAGAACAACGTGCTTTTGAAAACCCAGACGAAAACGAGTTGAGTGATTTGGAGGATTGGAGATAATAGGGAAACGTTCTATAGACAGTGTTTAGTCTAATATAAGACCTCGGCAAATGAGAGCATAGTATGTGTGTCTTCTTGGCCGAAAGAGGAAGGCCGTCATCTACAATTTAAATTTCAGCTCTCAATCACAAGACTTACCTAGGCAATAGGGATGTCAAAAGATGCCGCAGGCTCCATTCCTGGCGGTCCTTCAATTCCCCTAAGTTCAGCCCTGCGGCCATGCACCCCTAAACCCGAAAATATTTTGTTTATTATTACGATCATTGTTCAGCTGTATCTGGTGGTTGTTCCTGCAGTGTCCTCTTTTTCTGACAATAGAAGCTAGATCGCCCAGCACAGAAGGAACTGGACCAAGATTCACGATACAAGATTATTCGTTTTAGCAGGGACTTTTATGTTCCAATTGCCGAAGAAACAGAAATGCATGAGCCCGGCCAACTATAAATAGAAGACAGGTGGGGGACAGCTTCCATATAAAGGACCCCCACTTATGGAGAACAATCCACATTGATGTGTATGCACGCTATCTACAAGATTATATAAGGTAAAATTAGGATATAAGATGAATAAAAATATACTTTTGGTATATATCCACCATTGATGGATATATCATATATTTCGTAGCAAAACGGCTTTCGATAGCTCCATGTTGACATCATGTTAGGTCGACCATACAGAGGAACATGGTAGTCCAGACCCCGGTTATGGTAACTTCCAGATAGCTTTGTCGTACGAGATAAAGCCTACTTAAACCTATAAGAAGCCTGGCTTCCGATTGCAGTTGGAAGCCAGGAACCAAGAAGTTATGCTTGAATATACACTACCAGTTGTATTCAGAGCCTAACACATCATTATCCAAAATGTCAGCTGCTTCCGTCGCGAGTGTACTAAGCAGATCATTCAAGTACTCGCCTTTTAGGAGAAAAGTGAGCAAAATAGCGATGCCATGGATTTCAGCAATTGCAAAGTTCGCTTCGGTTTGCAATTTGCCTTCTTGTTCGCTTACCAACTTTTCGTCGTCTCTCATCCATTAAAGTTGAGTACTCACGATCACCTGAGGCCAAATCTTTATGCAATGTGATGGAACTATGGACGAATCCTTGGGCAAATTCCATGAGTCACTTAATCTTGTCGTCTCATCCTCTAAATTTCTAGCAAGTCTCGGATTTGGGTTACCGAGTGTCTAGATCACCGAAGATGCTATATGTAAGGCATTCGGTTATCGCCAACAATATTATATCAATGCCGTGATTTCTCTTCTCTCTCAGAAGATGTCACGACAGGGCCATATCCACAATCTTGATTGGCTTCACTATCGCCGTACGCTCATCTTGAAAGGTGAAGCCTCATGTATATAAGATCACTAATTTTCTCTAGAGGATTATTCTCCAAGGATCATTAAATATCAATGCTGAGCGTTATTCAAGGTGCCCAACCTAACTTTCCTTAATGAGATACAAGCTTATCCATAAGTGACTCCACTGGATTGGTTATCTCTACAAGCAAGAAAATCGGGTGTGCATAGAGCCTACACCATTGCACTTTGTACTTTACAATCTTGAGTACTCTATCCTATATGTAATCCACGTCAATGTTGAGAATTACTTACATGCAATATGCACGTCAAGAATACTCCAGAACAGTTCATCGTTGTCTTACAGAATCTGAAACTACATCGTACCCCTCTCTGTTTCAAAAAGGTTCACCTTGTACTCACGGATATATAAGATCATGTATCCTCTCTGAGATGGATTCCCTTCTCTAAGGATCATCTTTCATCTCCCGATGTATCAATCTCAATCAAACGTCACTTATGAATGTTCACTCCAATTACTGCTACTAAGCCACCTGTCTCCAAATCCTCAGTGGAGGAATCCTTTAAGGAATCCTCTCGTTAGTCTCTGATCTACCAGCTTCAATCAACAGAGTGTATAGAACTGAGTCTACTGCACAAAACACTGAACATTCAACGTTTAAGCCGCATAATAGTATTTGGATCTGAAAGCGGAAAATTGGGGTGCTTTGTAAAAGAAAAGAAAATTCAAACTTATAGTATCATATTAGCCTTGGACCTCTGTAATAGTACAGTGAATTATAGTCATTTTATTTACGAGTTTCCGTCCAGCGCTAAAACTGACGTAGGACATTGTGCAGTCCATACATAACCAGGCTGTGATATCACGTTTCCGTTTTCGCTATTGACGTCAAGAAGTGAAGGGAAAACATTGAAAGTGAAGAATATCGACTGAATCGGACAGACTTGAGCTCATGTCGGTTTGCCAAAAGAAAAAGCCATACAAAAAACTTTGTAGAAAACGAAAATTTTCGGCCCATGAAATCGGCTTCGGTGCAAAACTGGCTTGCTCTTCAAATCTGCAATATAGCGCCGCTCGTATTTGGGCCATCCATCTTTTGGCCATCTGAAATGTGACTTGCGTCACACATGCTACGCCACATCTATTCGAACAAGGTATATAGGCACTTAGCTTTTCTGTAATCGTTAAGAAGTTCAAACCTTCTCATTAGTCTTGCACCGTTAGAAAACACTAAGGTCAACCATTTCATGTCTTTTATCTCGCCCGATCTTGGTGCTGCTGCATCGTTCTACTTGGCCTTATACATCCTCTTTACTGTTTTCATGACATGTATCGTGTTCAGAAAAGGCTTTTTGACAGTGTACACTTTTTTATGGGCATTCGGCATTATTCGTTCTGGTGGCCAGCTTTGCGGTGTCATGTATGCCAAGTTGGGTCCATCCCATTACAAATGGCTTATAGCATACTTGGTTTTGGGCGCTGAAGGCTACCTTATATTGATATTGTCTGCTTTCCGGTTCACATGCAAAGCTCAAATGCACAAGTTTGGATCTTCGTGGATCTTGACGCTGGGTCCACCAATCAGGACATTCTTTTTCCGTAAACAGCTTTCTTGGAGACTCATTTTCCATCTCTTGTTGATTCCAGCAAATGTCTTTATCATCGCAGGCGGATCTATGTTGGCCGGAATGAGCAGTGAGCAACTTCGAACGGACCATGAAGGCATTGAAACTTCACGAGGCCTTCGAACAGCAGGCCAGGCTATATTTGTCTTTATGACAATCGCAGCTGTCTTCCTAAACCTCTATGTCTATGTCAAAGAAGGTGTTCGCAACAACTTGACAATTGGAGTCATGTGTGCATCTCCATTTCTTTTGGTCAGAGGTGTATTTGGTATCTTGTCCATTTACGTTGCAGCCATGAATTACTTTGACACCACAAATTACACGGCTGGAGACTCAACGTCCCACAAATTGACTATTTACGAATATGTCTTGAGCACCACCATGGAATTTGTGGCCTCATGCTGTTTGGCTTCCACATTGTGGTCCAATAGTGGAAACCAAGGTGCTTTGAATTCAGACGAGGAAAAGTGAATGAGGGATGTAGACATGCAAAAGCTATGGACGTTACTCGTTCTACTTTTAACTAATAAGACCTACAAACTACACTACTAACCAAGAAAGACCTCAATCTACGTCAGTAATCAGTAAAAGCGGCATTATTTTGGGCATGCCCTGTTCTTTGAAAAACGACGATCTTAGTATGCTAGCTAATCTTAATATACTAACTTAGAAGGCACAATGGAAATTTGTCTTTATTGATCTTAAGCCTCCTCTTTGAATTGTGCCTGGTCGAACGGTAAGTTTTGGTAATTCATTTGTTTGCTGTTTGAATGATGGGAAGGACTTACGTTGGCTAAAACTATTGAACCCACAAATCATCACAGAAACTCGATGGAAGCAAACCTCATTGCTTTAAACTCAAGGAAAACAAGATTGTACAATCAACATTGATAGGTTCATACAATCATTTACTGGATTTTGACATAATTATGGACATTAGGACGGCTCGTATAACAGAACTAATTTAAATGACGAGAAGGAACTAATCTGTACGATGGACATCCTAGGCCACCGGTCACTTTCGGGATGTGTGTTCTCGCTTTTACTCTAATTTCTCTTCATCCTGTCTTCATCCTGTCTTCTTTTGTCTTCTTTTGTCTTCATTGTCTACTCATTCTGGCTTATACACCAAGCACACGCCCTCGTCGCCCGCCGTGACGATCTTGTCCTGCGAAATGGCAAAGTCAAGCACGCCCATGTTGTGGCCCACGCCCACAAAGCCCTCTGCGCCCGTCCGGGCGTCCCACTGGTAGATCTTGCCGTCCATGCACAGCGCCACTAGCACAGGCAGCCCTGCCACAAACTCAAGGCGTGTGACGGCGTCCGGCACGTGGATGGTTCGGCGGAGGCGCCACAAGGCCGCGTCAAACACAAGCACGTCGCCCGAAACAAGCCCCACGGCCAAGAGCCCCGGGCCCCACGCCAACGCCTCGATCAGAAGCTCGGCCACGTCGTCCTTGTCCATGGTTTTCGCGTGGTGCACCACCTTGCCCGTGGCCAAGTTGAGCACCGCCAAGTGGCCGTCGCGCCCGCCCACGGCCACCACGTTCTCGTGCGCCTTCAACAGCACCCACGGGCTGTCGACGCCGCGGAAGTCGTCGTGCGCCCACTTGTGGAGAACCGCCCCCGTGTACCCGTTCCACTGCACCACCGTGCCGTCCTCGGCGACCGTCACAAGCAGGAGCACGTCCTCGGACGGCGTGTCCTGGAAAACGCCCGCGTTGCACTCCATCGTGTGCACAAACCCCAGCATCTGCTGCTCCACGCTCTGGCCGTCCACGTTGTAGACCCACACCAGGCCGTCCGGGGCGCCAAAGGCAAAGTACGGCAACCGCGGATGCACACACACCCACAACACCTCGTCCACCTCGTGCAACTGGGCAATGCGGCTCCACTTCTGGCCGCCCTTGGACGACCTGTGCACCTGGACGTAGCCGTCCATGTCGCCGGTCACCACAAACAGGCCGTCGCCGCTGAAGGCGCCTGCCACGACCGACTCGGAGTGGCCCGAAAGCTCGCCCACAAACCTTGGCGGCTGCGTGTGGGTGGTCCACATGTATGCTGTGTTGTCGCCGCCGCCCGAAACGACCATGGGCAAGGACGGATGCGCAAACACGGTAAACACCGAGTCCTTGTGCTGGTCAAAGTACGTCCACAGGTTGTTGGACATGTCGATTTCGATGGTGTCGTCCAAGTCGTCCAAGTCGGCGTTTTCGATATCGTTTTCGCCGTCGATTTCAACTTCGTTTTCGACCTCGTTTTCGTCAAACTCGGGCTCCATCTCCATGTCGTTGTCAAGCTCGACTTCCTCGGCAATGTCGCCGGCCGCCACATATTCTTCGTCTGACATGATAAAGAAGAGTGCTTAGTAAGTTTGCGATGGCGATGATGTGCGTGCAGGAGATAGAGAAGAATGGTGTGCTCTGTGCACTCCTCGATAACAGACCACGAGTAGACATGCATTTTGGTAGGCATTGCAAGACCGACCAAGTGGCCATTGAATTGTTCGAATATTCGAACATTCTGAACTTGTATTTGTTCGAATTCTGAACTTTGTGTTGTTCGAATTCTGAACTTTGTGTTGTTCGAACCTTCTATGCACTCCTGCCTTTCAGCTGATAGCAGAACCAATTGGTCGCTTGGACGGGTAATCTTCAGTGATGACAGTCTTGGCATAGGTAACGTGTAGGTGGGTTTTAGGAGGATGATCTTTCCAGGGTCATTCTAGAAAAATAAGTGATTCTGCAAAGGATCCAGAAGTAATCTCCAAACCTATTGAGAATAGGTACTCCCAGTACTCCAGTACTCCTCAGTACTCAATACTCCTCAATGCTTCTCAATACCAAATAGGCATTGTTGGCATCATTTCTTGATACTGGTGGAGAATAATTAATGGTCAATATGCAGTAGACCCTAAGTGATTCTTAACAAGAGGAGAGAGATAAAAAGAGAGATAAAGAGAGAGATAAGGAGAGAAAGAGAAGAAACGAAGGAGATATGAAGAGAAAAGACAGAAGAAAATAGAGTCAACTTGGGATCATTAACATGGGAGGATTATGCGACTCATTATATGCGACTCATTTCATCTCTCATTCATCAGACTTATTCATCAGACTCAATCCTCAATAATGCCGATTTCCTCCAGTCTATCCATTCACAAAATCTCAAGATCAAAGTAGTTTCATAAAGTTTGTAAAAACTAGTTCATGGACTTGGAGCCTTGGCTTGTGTGCACTCCATGGCATGCCAATAGCCTGATCTTCTTTAGAATTCGTGCTGGAATTCCTTTGAACTGTGTTAGTTACTTCATTGGATCTCGTAGATTCATTGTATTTGTGTGGTCTTTAGAATTTTGCCTGTCACATTGGCCAGATTGTTTCTGGCGCAGTTTATGTTCGTATTAGAATGACGTTTACTGGTTCTGCCTTAAAGTTTAGAACTTTATCTTGCAGATATCTTATTTTGCAGGTATTATTTTTGCAGGTATCTTATTTCGCAGATACTTCACTCAATTCAGTAGGGGTCTATTTATTCAGTTTGTTAATTGGGTACTAGATGCATTCATCAACAAGGACAGACAATTAGGTTCTGGAAAAGTCCCTAGGAAATCTCTTTCTATTCCAATGTTACCTTTCGTATCAATTTGCCTATCTGATGACTTTTCTTTCGTATCAATTTGCCTATCTGATGACTTTTCTTAATTTAGGCGACCATCTTGCTATCATGCAAGAGAAAGATTTGGTGTGAAAAGTACCAATTCTGACAATTGGTTCCGTAATTGAAGTAAGGTGTCATACCTGAAGACTGATTCTTCTTAATTGAAGAAAACTTTATTGATAGATACGTGTTCCTGATGTGAATACATCCATATATGATCAGTTATTATATCTATTCAGGCAACGGGATCGAAAGCAGCACATGCAAATCTGAAAAAACAATCCAATACAGAAGAAGTAGAGAATGTCAAAATTTGAGGGTTATTCATCTATTCTGCTATTCTCTACTCTTTTTTGACTCATAGAAGGCTCAAGAAAATAAAAAACCCAGACTTTCTTCTGAAAGGACCTTATTTACCAATAAATGAATGTAAGCTGCTCTGCTCAACACTAAACAAGGCTTGTTATCATCAAAATGACAAATTTTTGTCTGGAAGCTTCTTTTTTAATGATGAATATGTATACGAAATGATGTAAGCTATTAGAGTATGGAATCAATTGATTGATAGAAAACCACGTAGTTTCCTTCAATCGCTCTATTTGGAAGTTGACATGTCAAATTTGTACCTTAGGCTGCTTTGAAGAAACTCTGCTAAAAACCTGAAATATACACCTTTCATCTGAAATGTGATCATGAACCAAAACTTGTATAATTTTCATCTTCAGAATGAGTAGAGGGAGGTTTAATTGATGCATTTCAATCTCACATAATCTCTTGGTTAACGGATTGCCGATTTGTTCTAACGATACAACACATTGACCTACTGGGACACATACACAGCGAGCCACTGGATTTGAATTTATTGGTAAAACATTGAAGTAACATAATATCAAACTAAATTAGGGAAGTCCTCAAGACGTATTTTGATTCACCTTAACCAGAACAAGTCAATCTATGGTCTAGTATGAAAGGCTCAAAAATTTATTCCTTGACTTCGATTGGTCCCGGAAACCTCTTGGCCTCTTCACTCTCGTCAAATGTAACAGTCTCGCCCCATTTATTAAAAGTGTTGTAGCCCCAGTTATTAGTAGTGTAGAACAGATCTCTCTGGTACGGAGCCAAATCCAACCCATCATGGAGTCTTTGCACCAAGTCTGGATTTGAAGTGAAATATCTTCCAAAGGCAACAAGAGTCTTTCCATCATCGACGTCTTGCAAAAGCGTTTTGAATTCCGGAGCATCGTAGGTGTAATTTCCTGCCTTGATCACTATGCCCTTCCAAACAGATCTTACAAAAGAGTTATCGCCGTAATTGTCTCCTGGTGCAATCTCCATAATTCCATTGATTCTAGGCTCCACAACGGACACATAGGCTATTCTCTTTCCTGCTCTGGCTCTGTTTTCGAGCTCGCCCAAAAAATGGCCAAACTGAGCCACTGGGCTGACTCCACTGTCCTCGGCACTCATGCCCTGAAATTTGGCCCATGGCGAAATCCGAACTGCAACTTTTTCCGCTCCGATCTCGTCAATCAACCGGTCGATGATTTCCAAGGCAAACCTCGACCTGTTTTCGATCGATCCTCCATACTTGTCTGATCTCTTGTTGGTGCTGGCCTGGAAAAAAGTGTCTACAAGACATCCGTGTGCTCCATGAAGCTCCACATAGTCCATTCCGGCCGCAATGGCGTTTCTGGCCGCCTGGACAAAGTCATTTTGCACCAAGTCCTCAATTTCTTGCGTAGTGAGCTCATGGATCTGGTTTCCTGCCGTTTCCGCCGCCTTTTTGGACTCTTCGCTCACATAAATCGCAGATGGCGCAATCAATGGGTATCCAGCCTCTTTCATAGCCCCAGGTTGAGCCGTTCTGCCAGCAGGCCAAAGTTGCATCGACACAAAAGACCCATTGGCATGGATCCGGTCCGAGACTTTTTTCCAGGCCTCCACACTTTCCTTTGAGAAGATACCTGGAAAACCATTGAATATTCCCGTTCTGGGAGACACCATAGTGCCTTCTGTGATCATCAATGAGCCTGCAAACCTGGTTCTGTCGTCACAATACTTGTAAGTGAGATCTGAAGGTGCATGGTTTGCCGCTGCTCTTAATCGAGTGGTTGGAGCATGAACAATTCTGTTGCTCAATGTGTGGAGGCCGACTTGAATCGGCTCAAACACTTTGGTGTTCTTTAAGGGCTTTGTTTCAACCATTGAAGCTACAGATTCGAAATGCAAGCTACCTTGCCTTTAAGTAAGCGAGACTATCAGTGCAAAGTATCCGACTATCATGATTTGTTATTGTTGTTCGGATTCTGTTAAATCCGTTGATTTGTCATCTGTGGTCCTGCAGTCGGAGAAATCTCAAGTACGCCGAAACCACAATTATTGCCCCTCCTAGCAATAGAATACAATTTGAAAAAACAGAAAATAATAGATCAAAATTAGAAAAACATTCGAGCGGAGTTTGTTAATTCTCCGTTTTTCCTAGACCCTGGAAATAGACGAAAATGCTGCAGGTACTCATCCACATTAAACTATCCACAGGATAGTTTTAGCGTCTGTGCCTCTTGATTGATTGTGCCATTGTTAGCGAAGATCTTTATTTTTGCCAAGCTTAAAAAGAAATTACAGGGTAGGCAGACTCGCTCTTCCACATAGAGTCTAGTGCTTGTGGTTCTGAAGAAGGTTAATGGATTATCCAAATTGGATTCATATTCACATTGTGTAGGATCAATGGTATTCGGATCCGGCGGCTGGTTTTACTAATCGTTTTAGTAATTCCAACAGCTTGTTACTACATTTTAGTAATCGCTTTTAAGATTTAGTAATGCGGTTGTAAGATTTAGTTATCGCTTTTAAGATTTAGTAATGCGGTTGTAGATTTAGCTACTACACTTGTAAGTTTAGTAATATATGCCTTAATTACAACGTTCAATCGACCACGTAAGCAAGAAATTGGATCATCATAGGTGATAAGCTCTTGGTGTTTTGTACTTGGTGTAGATCTTTTTTGCTTCTGTGATCACGAAAGGTCTACTTCCATGTAGGCCGATTCTTTCAATTGCCACACGACTGACCTTTACAAGCAGGAATCAAGATCATGTTGAAGGGTTCTGGGTCTAAATTAAAGAAGGTTTCCAAACTCGAAGATCCTTTGTATCCGAGCATAATTAGAGCAAGTGGGAATATTCCACTTGTGGAAAAGCTTAACGTTACTATAGCATTACTTTTAGCCGATCTGGTTAAGTTGAGGAAACAATTGAAGCATAAACAGAGATTTTCAAGTTTGAAGAGTTTGCTAGCTTGAACTAAATGAAAGCTTTCAGATAGGATCGAAGCTCTGCAATTGGAGATAAGTCCATCCTGCCATAAAGACATCTTGGTACTATAATCGAATAAGGTTATGAATAGCCTTGATATCACCGACATTAGGCAGTACCTTAAGCGTTGGTTAATCGATTCTGGCATAATTTCATTTATGGCTTGCAGAAATAAAGACGACTGTTGGTATTTTGAACTAATACTTAGAGCCTGTATCAAAAGTTTAATTATCATTCTCAATAATGCCCAAGAGACGCAAACTATTCAACCCGTTATAACTCAATAGCAATTCTCTCATGTAGCATTTCATTAAGCCATACTTAGGAATTTAAATGGACTCCACCGGAAGTAGAAGTCCGAATCCACTCGAGAATTCAAAGTGTACGTAACCAGTAAAGAATCCTAAGCCAAAGGCACAATATCAGTATATATAAACGTATCCCCATCGTATAAACGTTTCTCCTAGTATAATACATAACCCACCGTATAAAACATAACCCATGCTTGACTGAACTCCACCAAATATAAGACATCACCATCATATGAAACACTGCCCATGTAAAACACAACTTATTCGCATTCCCAGATATATCAGATTTTTCCGTCACATTACAAGACCAAAGCACTCATTCCCAACAAAAAGACCAAAAGTGCCTTGGTGGTCACCTTGGCTCCTGCACTTTTGTACACCATATCTTGCATCACTTCCACAAATAATCCATCTTCTGTGCAACTGTACTCTTGGTTCTCTTCCAACTTGTAAGTAGTGTCGTTGCAAGATATACGTGTCGAGCCGTGTGATTTCATCTTGGGTACCACCTGGATGTATATTGTTTCGTTGTCGCAAAGAACACCTTGGTTTGTCTTCAACCTTATTTGTACTGGTGGTTTGGAACCACAAGTAACAGTAGTGAGGCCTTTTGATGTGTTTCCATGAGAATTTGACGTGTGTGGGTATATGTGTGGGTATATGTATGGGAGTGGGAGTGGGAGTGGGTTTGGGTTTGGGTGTGAGTTTGGGTGTGAGTTTGGGTGTGAGTTTGGGTGTGAGTTTGGGTGTGAGTTTGGGTGTGAGTTTGGGTGTGGGTGTGATTTCGGGTGTGAATGTCCTGTCATTCTTGTTGTACTATATTTGTATGTATACTTTTTTCTAGTTTTATATGATGCCGATAAACTCGCATGCATGACAGAGCCGTGCATAAGTGGCGCATGAATGCAAAAGAATGAGTGCTATCGTCATGATTTCTATTTTTTATCCTCATAAGCCTTGTGTTTTTGAACGGATCTTACTTTTAATTGATGTTGTTGTATATTAAAGATCTTTCCATGTATGGATATTTGAGTGTAGGTGGTTGAAGAATGAGATGCGGCTGAATCTGCCTATAAGGTTAAGTCATCCACTCATTTCGAAAGAAGGTTACGAGTGTTTGATTGTTACATCAAAAGAAGTTTAAGACATTATACGGTAAGATTTATGTTTTATGGATGCATTTGCACAATTCTTGTGTGCTACAAGATTCAAAGTATCATAGATGTCTGACTAGGCTGGCTCTTGCTATGCACACCAATGTATGCAAAGCATAGTCCTATTCTTGCCAACTATTCAAACATATCGAATGGCAAAGGTAAATTTTAGCCAACACAGTAATATCTGGTCATACTTTGTTACCGATTCGAAATTTTGGAAAAGATATTTTCATTCAGACTGGTCGGTCTTAGGTCGACCATACAGGGGAACCTAGTCCCAGGCCCGGTCATAATAACTTTCAGATATGATATGTCGTATGAGATAAAACCTAATTACTAAGTCTATAAGAAGCCTGGCTTCCGGTTGTAGTTGACCAGTAGCCAAGAAGTTATACTTGAATACACTACCAGTTGTATTCAGAACCTAACAGCTATCATATCAGTATATACATAACCATAAAACGTATCTCCTAGTTTAAAACATAACCCCAAGCTTGACATAACTCCACAAAATATAAGACATAACACCGTCATACCCCAATGCAGAACACACCTTATCACACATTCCCAGATCACATTATCAGAAACATCATTTCCCATTACTAAACCAAAGCACTCATTCCCAACAAAAAGACCAAAAGTGTCTTAGTCGTCACCTTGGCTCCTCCACTTTTGTACACCATATCTTTCATCACCTCAACAAAAAGTTTATCTTCTGTGCATTTGTACCTTTGATTCTCTTCTAACTTGTAAGTAGCATTGTTGCAAGATATAGATGTCGAGCCGTGTGTTTTCATCTTGGGCACCACTTGGATGTATATTGTTGTATTGTCACAAAGAACACTTTGGTTTGTCTCCAACCATATTGGTACTGGTGCTTGGAAACCACAATGAACATAAGCAGGACTGGTTGGTGGAGCCTCCTGAGACATCTTATGTGAATTTTTCTTCAATTCTCATTTGTGGCACTTTACTTGTATTTATACTTCCATCTACTTTTAATTGGGCGGACAATCTCGCATGCATGACAGAGCCGTGCATAAGTGGGCGCATGAATCAAAAAGAATGAGTTATCGTTATCTCTTTCTTTTTTTATTTCAGTTCTTCATGATTTCTATGTTTTTATCTGGATCTTGCCTCTGATGCTCTTGTTATATTTTTTTTGGGGATCATTCCATGTAGTTGTGTTTTAGGTGGTTGAAGAATTAGATGCGGCTGAATATGCCTATCTTACCTTGTTTTCAAGAAAGTGTCACAAGTGTTCGTCCGTTATATCAATGACAGAATGTAGAACAGGGTGCGGTGAACTTGATGTTATATGGATAAATTTGCACAACATTTTTTGTCGACAAGATTCATAATAACTTAGGAGTTACTCGACTAGAGGCTCCTTTGCTAAACTACACACACCAATGTATACAAACCGCATCTTCTCGATAGTCCACTTGCTAACTATGAATTATGAAGATTAGCCAACACAATAATCTGGTCGTGCTCCGTTACCGATTCGAAACTTTGGAAAAAGAATTTTTCATTCAGCTGTCGGTTCGACAACAATTTAGCACCTTCTATTTTTGTTTACAAGTTTCAATGTTTTCTCAATCCTTCATTGATAATATTGTTAGTGCAAATGGTGAAGATATGAACAACACCTTAACTGAACCGATTGGGAAAATAGTCTTGCGTCGAATCTACCCAATATGATTCGTCACATAAGCATGCAGTGCCAATCATACGTACGTATTTAAGTCATATACCAATACTACAAAATTATTATGTATTAGTTCCTTCCGATTTATATTTATGATCTAGATGGCAAATTGTGTACTGGACTAGGATGACTCTTCAACTTTTGCCGAAATAAGACACTATTAGTGACAGACGGCGTGCATAAAAAGAAAAAACTACGCATCTCGTAAGCCGGTGATCAACTCTTCTCTCGCATACAGAACACTCACAAATACACGGAAGAATGTAATTCTGTCTTCCACCTTTCCAATTCCCATCTTTTTTATCTGTCAGCTCCGTAACTCGAGAAAACTTTCCATTGCTCAATTTCAATGTTATTCGGTGATTGGTCTTCTTTTCTTGGCACATCATAATTACGAAGACGCGGCTCCGAATTTATCATTCACGCATGCGTCAATGCCTACGCCCATAAAAAACCAGCATTTCCCGTTTCAATGATCTTTTAAACAAAAAGAGTTTTGTCTTTTCCATGCGGGCAGCCTTTTTTCTTTCCGTCATCGCCGCTAGATTGGCCTGCGCCGAGTCTTTGAACAAGAGTACAGATGTCTCTGAGCAAATTTCCGGTGTCTCTTTCGGGTCTCCTCCTCAACCGGTCGTAGCTTACTTCGGCTTCGATGGACCGGATCTTCTCATTCCTCCTTTCATGAATGCAACTAATGGCGCAAATGTCAGTCGGAACTTTCCAAAAAACGACTCGGAGTATATGTATACGTCTTTCACGGACGATCCAGTACTTGGAGAACAAAAGGTGGTGGTGAACGGATTTGAGCTCCAAAATTTCTCTTTTGAAGAGTACAACCCAAAGTATGCATATGCGGACCATATAGAGGTTGGTCTTTGCTTAGTCGACCATGAGTATTCTTCCGCTTATGGTATTTCCACCATCGACTCCTTGAAGAGTTCGGGATATATCAAGTCAAGATCATTCTCTCTTTTTCATAACAACAGTGCGCCAAGATTCGAAGCCAATGAAGTGTTGTTTTCCGCAATTGACCATGGAAAATACGATGGGCCGTTGGTGAAGCACAAACATTACTCTTATTATTCTTCGGATGCCTATTGGAAGCATCCGACTCTCGTTATGGATGGTATTGCAGGTTACAATTTTCTGTTATCTGGCCAAGTTTACGCCCAAATAACAGAAAATACTTGGTGGCTTCCCCAGGAATATAATGACCAATTGAATGCGTATTTTGAGGACAGATATGGGTTCAATTTGACCAACGTGTCCTGTCTGATCATGGACCTGACGGAGTACATCTCCTTTTATTTCAGCGGTGTCGAATACCGGGTGTTGGACTCTGCATTTTTTTACACGTCTCATGAGAATGGAACCACAACATGCGTTTTTTCGGGCGTCTTGAAGTATTACAACACCGACACTTATCAAGTCAGTAGAAAACTCTTCGACCACCATTACCTCGTGGTGGATTATGACAATGAAGAAATTGCTATTGCCCAAGCTGCAACCAAATCCAAACCCCAGACAATCGAGGAAATGTCCACAGGCATTCCTCTGGCCACCCCAGCGAAATACTATAGCTACTCCTCGTTGGAAAGAAAGACAGTAATTCTCAGTGACTCGCAGTTCTATTATACAACAACGGCCCATCCAACTTACTCAATGTACACAGGCCAAAGGTTGGGCTGGAGTGCCACCGAGTCATTTTATTCGTCTCAAACGAGTTCTTCCACTCCTTCTGATTCCGTTACATCGGCAAAGCCAACTGCATCTTCGACGGCTAGTAATAGCACAAAAGCCAGTTCTTCGTCTAAAGGAGCAGGAACTCTGAAAACGGCTGGCGCTCTCACTTTTGTTGGTCTTCTTAGTGCGATGATCATGTTTTAGGTGCAATAATGAAATAAAGAGATAGGCGTCAGGAGAGATGCTTTGGTAGTGATTTAATCAGATGCTTATTCGTAGTGTATAACCCTTCAGATCTATTTCCTTCCTTGTATTTAGTAGATGATCATTGACAAAGTCGAGAAAAAATGAAATTTGTCTTGTAATGCTTAGTGTACGGGTGGAATTAGGTGTAGTCGATCGTCTAGAAAGATCTAAATTATCCATCTGTCGGGAAAACCAATTAGCCAGCATTTAGGCACTAATAGCATCTTGTAGTAGAGACATGCAGTTGGCTTTTGTTATGATCAATCGTCAGAGTGTAGATTGGATTGAGCGAACGCCTCCGTTCTTCTTAGAATTGCATTGTCCCAATGGAAAACCACCTTAGTCCATAAGCCTATTGTGTAAGGTTCTATTAATGATTCCACAGTTTCCACGCATGAAAAATATCCAAGATCCGTTTAGTTTCCCGGATCAGTTCTAGTGTGCCAGCATTATAATCCCATTCCGGTGATCATCTCCAACTGGCTCTGGAGATCGGATTCTGCCAACTTCGAGGCTTCTGCTTCCTTTTCGTCTCGCTTCAAATCCTCTCGAAGTACCTTTGCGTCCAAGGCATTTACCTCTTTTCGTTTTTGATCCTTCTTGACCAACTCTGCATGGATGGATGTCACACTAGTCATGTCTCGGTTCAACTTCTCGATATGCGCCTTGGCATTTTTGGACTTTTGTTTGAGTTTGGCTTTCAGCAACGGCTTTTCGGCTCTCTTTTTGCCCACACGGCCCGATCTTTGTTCTGCTTTTGCCATCGGAGATCAAAATAAAAAATATGTCTGATTCTATCTGTATTTGCAAGATGGCGTGTCACGTGCTCCCTCCAACCATGAGAAAAAATGTCCGATGAGCATCAATCGATAAAAGTCAGTACAGACTACTATCAGAATGGTTTCTACACACAATCGTGACAAACCTTGGGACACGCCAGACATCGACAAATGGAAGGTTGAAGAATTCAAACCTGAAGACAATGCCTCGGGCCAGCCTTTCGCCGAGGAATCTTCGTTCATGACCCTTTTCCCCAAGTACAGAGAAACGTATTTGCGGTCGATATGGAGTGAGGTGACGAAAGCCCTAGACAGTCATCATATTGCGTGCCAGTTGGACTTGGTGGAAGGCTCAATGACTGTGAAAACAACCAGAAAAACCTTCGACCCAGCGATGATTTTGAAAGCGCGGGACTTGATCAAGCTTTTGGCCAGATCTGTGCCTTTCCCTCAGGCGGTGAAGATTTTGCAAGATGACATTGCGTGCGATGTGATCAAAATCGGCAACTTTGTCAGCAACAAGGAACGTTTCACCAAGAGAAGACAACGGTTGGTCGGTCCAAACGGAAACACTTTGAAGGCATTGGAGTTGCTCACGAAATGTTACATTTTGGTGCAAGGTAACACTGTCAGTGCCATGGGCCCATACAAGGGATTGAAGGAGGTCAGAAGAGTGGTGGAGGATTGCATGAAGAACGTGCACCCCATCTATTACATCAAGGAATTGATGATCAAGCAGGAGTTGGCTAAGAACCCTGAGTTGGCCCACGAGGACTGGTCGAGATTCTTGCCCATGTTCAAGAAGAAGAACGTTGCACGTAAGAAGACTGCCATCGAGAAGAAGAAGAAGGTTTACACTCCATTCCCACCAGCACAAACTCCTAGAAAGGTTGATTTGCAGATTGAGAGTGGTGAGTACTTCTTGGGTAAGCGTGAAAAACATTTGAAGGAGTTGCAAGAGAAGCGGGCCAAACAGGCAGAAGTTACCGAACAGCGCAAGGAGGAAAGAAACCAGGCGTTCGAGGCTCCTGAAGAGGAAGCGTATGAGAACAAGTTGATCGAGGAGACGGACAAGGAAAAGAAGAAGAAGGAAAAGAAGGAGAAGAAAGAAAAGAAGGAGAAGAAGGAAAAGAAAGACAAGGATGCAAAGAAGGAAAAGAAGGATAAAAAAGAAAAGAAAGACAAGAAGAGACCCGCTGAAGATTCCGAGGAGGGCAAGAAAAAGAGAAAGTCCGAGTAATGGCATTATTTAGCATGCGAGCACCGTCGCACTGTATTTTTAGCAAGTGGTATCCAGAACAGTAGAAGTTGGTGGACTCCAATCGATTGGCTGGACTCAACTGATATTGATCTGAGACCAGTATCCGTTGGCTTGAATAGAAAGAAAATTCATCTGCAAATTGTAGAAGTTAGTCTCGCCTTGACGCTTTTCTCTGTTCTCCAGTACTTTCAGAAGACTCGACTGGTGCGAACGGCTTGATCATTTCCTCTTTAGGTAGGGTGAAGACAACGGCCCATCGAGATTTCTCGTAAATAGTCTTGTGTGCCGTACTGTTATTGTTCGCTGTCCCAAATGCAGTATGTACATAGTCACAAACACCGTCATCTTCAGAGCCACCACCGTTAGCCTAGATCAAATACCAAAAAACAGACACTTCAGCTCATTTGAATACTTAAAAGATCATGTTTGTGCTGTTCTGCCCCTTTGAAACACCTGTACCCCATGTGCCAATTTGCGGCATACCAATGTGGAAACAAGAGTGCAGGAATGGTAAACAAAAAGCGGCTTCAACTCTCAATAAAGCTCCAGCGATAAAAAAAATACCCCCGCAACCTGCCTTTCCTTTCCGGTTTCTCGGTCCAGCATTTCATCTTTGAAAATGTCCAAGATCGACACTCTCCTAGCGACCGTCGACACCCTAACGGCACGATCCGACCGGATCGCCTCGTCGGTTGCCGAAGCCAACATGCTAATCTCGCTGATTCTCCATGTCAACAGCTCCATTGCCAGCGCCGATGGCCAGATCGACTCCATGACTAGTCTCATCAACAAAAGCAACATTTGTCTCAACGAACTAGAAAAACTATACGAGAAATCTTATTACCTCGAGTCGAATCTTCATGTGAACGAAGCGTACATAAGCGAGGCTTCGCTTGATAGCTTGGCCAAGGAGTATGAGTATGTGTTGACGAGTTTGAGCTTTGGCGGCAATGGGCTGCAAAACCTTTTACAGCCAATGCCGCCGCTGCCACAAATGTCTGACCGCGCGCTCAAGAACAAGCTCTCGCTCCTGAATTTGGAATTGAAGCCCATTCGGTGTAAGCAGTCGCGGGTACAGAAGCAAAAGTCCCGCTACCGACTTTCGGCCGCTTACACGCTCAACCCGGTCCAGGAAGTGCGCAATGTGCTGCACAGCTCGCGCGATACCTATGAGTCGAGCGTCATGGACCATGCTAGCGATGCCGAAACGGAGACATCAATGGAAGAAGAGACTGAAAAGAAGGAAAATAGAGGATACAATGCGCGGGAATCGCAGCCTCGATATTTCGAAGACGAACACACACATACTTTGCAACTTTTGCAGCGTCGTGATGTGGATTTGCAGCCAGAGCGTAATTCGCCTCAATTAGAAGCTAACGTGCATCAAGAGCATCTGCTACAACATGGCGACATGCAGCAACATAGACTGCAGCTGCCACTGCATCACAAACAAAACGATATGCAACTGCCATCACGTCAGAAATCTCAGAAATCTCCGCTGCATGCGCATTTACAGCCTCATGAGCCTGCCGCTCATAATAATCTGCACCCACTCCACCTGCATTCGCCTGATTTGCATCAACTCGATCTAGACATGCATGAACCACATCTCCCGCCCTCTCCGCTAGGGTTTGGCTCGCTCGACGTACGCGCGCTCGACTTGGACACGCTCGATGACTATGACTTTTCCCTCCTGGCATCGCCCGGCTCAGAGGATTCGCCTGAGTCGGTTCGCTCACGCAAGTCGTCGCGTGCCCCCAAAGTGGATGACATTGACAATTTCCACCGCTATCTTCGCCGATCGCGCATCGATCTCCAGGCCGCCATCCAGCGCCTCCCGCTTGAGCGCTCGCGCTCGCATGAGTCTGTGTTTCTGGACGCCGCCCCAATCCAACGCCCTACAGCAGAATCCACGCCACGCTTCCATAACCCGACCGATCGGATTGTGGCCGCACATAAGGGCGCCGTCATCCTTCCACCCACAGTGGAAACCGTGTACCTGAATTCATTCGAGCAGCCTCTGGCATTCCGTGACCCTGCGCATCACGACCTCAAAGCGCTCTCACTCAAGTTTCTTCAACCTGAAGCGCCGCCAGTGACGCCAAAGAAAAATAACTTCACCTTTTTCAGTTACTTGAATTCCCCTGCACGCACCGATCCCTCTCCAAGCAAACTGGACCGTGCTCGCCGTGGCAGTGTGGAAGTCCTTGGGAAGTCTCTAGCTTCAGGTTTCCGCAGTTTGGTTGCGCCTCGGAGCGATGCCCTGCCCGCTCAGCGGTCGAGATCATCGCCGCCTGAGAAAATCAAGCAGATGCGTCGTGACATTCGTGAACCAATCTCGGCTCGCAGTGACACCGTGTGCAAACGGCTTCCACCGCAACAAACTGAGCGGCAACTCAAGAACGGCAGCCACTCGTCGTTGACCATTGGACCCAACAAGACAAAAATCATCAACCACGGCCAAACGCTGCTCTTTAAAAAACCCACAGTGCGTCGTATGAGTCTGACACTTCTCCGTGAGGCGCTCAATGACTCAATTCTCTTTTGATCTGTGATTCAAGAGATTATTGAGAGCCACTTGCTGTTCACAAACCTTGTCATCCAAAGGCTTTCACATTCCTCGTCTTCCTTGTGACTAAAGCATATTAATGGAAAAAGTCATTCACTCTCATTTCATTTGTCATTCTTTCGTCTTCTTTTAATTCGTTTTCATTCCGTTCCTACTATATACCTAATACATTAACTGAAGTTGGACCCCTTGCCGAAAAAACTGCCTCCCAGACGGCTCCGATCGATGGTCTCCTCGATCTGCTTCACTTTCAAACTCCGCACAGCGTTCTTTTGTCCACTCTTACTTGCTTTTGACAAGTACGATATCGAAGCCTTCGCTCCTGATGCAACTTTGTACTGCTTGCTCACTGTGACACCACTAAAAGATTTAGTAGACACTTGCACTCCCTGCTTCTCGTGAAATGATCTAAAAGAACCAACCACGGATGGTCTTTTAAAGAGTGGGAAGCCGGCGTCGTCGTCGTCGTCATCATCATCATTATCACCGTCATCATTTTGAATCTTCTCCGATTTTCCTCTGTCAATTTGTTCATTGTCAATGTCTTCGTCCGTTAAAACTTCCTCGTAGCTCCGCTTGCCTCGTTCTTCAGGCAGGTTTATTCGGTTGTACAAGTTGCTGAGGCTTCGGCTTTTGAGCGTCGCCAAGTCTTCCACATCATCATCGTCATTATCATCGCCATGCTGCCGCAAAGACTCTTCCTGAATAGCCATGTAGTCGTCCTCGGCAGTTTTGGAGAGAAACGAAAGCTGTTGTTGCACAAAAGATTCCTCAATCACAATCCGGCGAGGCTCTCTTGGCGTATCTGTGCCGTCTTCGTCTTCAGGAATCGTGCTAGGAGCTGGAGACTCGCCATCCGATTCATCCAATGCAATTGACACCGGCTCATCCTGAATCGATTCAAAAAACGCTTGTGCTCGATCGTTTTTCGCCAACCGTTGGAGCTGCTTGTTAGCCAAGAGACGCTGTTTCTGCTCCTGAAGCTTCTGTCGTCTATACGCCATCAAGAGTTCGTCTTCTTCATCACTCAACTCCACGTCGAACTTGCCAGCCCGTGCACGCTTGGAGAGTCTGTGATTTTTCACGTCATCCATCAACTTCTCCAACTCTTTGCGATCTTTGACACGGTATTGCTCCATGAACTTTCGCCGGACCTCCTCATCGTTGAGCACGAGGTTGAACGTGTTGTCGATCATGCGCTCATCTTCTGAGTCAGCCTGGTCACTTTCATCGACGTCCGCGCCTCCAACACCTTTCCACTCGTCTTCAGATTCTTCAGCCTCGCCCTCGACGATGGCACCCACGCCGCGGCGCTCCAACTCTTTCCGCCGGCGTCGAGCACGAAGCTCTTTGCGACGGATGCGTGCTTCAAAGAGCGCCAACGCTTCTGCTGCCCGCTCGGCCTCTTTTTCAGCATCTTTTTCGGCGTCCATGTCGGTTGTAACCACAGAATTCTGGACTTCAAGCTTGCCTCTTTGGACTGCAGCTGGATAGTCACCATCAGACTCGTCTCCGGCCAAGGCATCGTGCATAGTTGTCGCATCTGCTTGGGTGGATGTTCCGTCTGGCTGCGTCAATTCTGCCTGTGTCAACAAGTCTGTCTGCGATGGTCTATCTGTCTGTGATGGTCTATCTGTCTGTGATGTTCTATCTGGTAGTTTATCTGTCTGTGATGGTCTCTCTGGTGGTTTATCTGCCTGTGAATTATCTGCCTGTGTGGATGTATCGGCCTGTGTTGGTTCATCTGCCTGTGTTGGCTTCACTCGTTGGGTATCCTGCGTCGGAAGATCAACAAACGATGGCGCAGGCCCGAACGACTCGTCGATGGACGTTTCTGCTACGGCAGGCGCAGCCCGTTGCTCCAAATTATCGAAAAGACGGAACCGGCTGCGCTCGGTCGGCACAATCGCTGCCACGTCTAGCGGCAGCGGCTCGCGGACACCGTCGCTTTGGATCTGCATCAACTCGCCATCCTCGTCACGCTCGGCTCCTCCGCCAAACATGTAGCTGTCGTCATGGCGCTCTTCCTCGGCATCCGACTCTACCACCCGACGTGCGCGGCGGCGCGAAGCGGTGTTTTCGTCGCCTTCGAGTTCGTCCTCGTCATCGCCATTGTCATCGTGATCGTCATCATCGTCGTCTCCTTCGTCTTCTTCCCCAACCTCGCTGTCGTTGACAGAGTCGCCGTCGCTGTCGGGAACGCTAGCGTCCGAGTCGCCTGGCGCATACTCCTCGTCTTCCTTCTTCTCAGCCTCCGCCCGCTCGCGTTTCCGAAGACGCCGCACGCGCTCCATCTCGCGCTCCAACAACGTGCCCATTTCCTCTTCCTCCTGCTCAATCTCCTCGAGCAACGCCGCGTCCGGGTCGGCACTGCGCGCCTCGCGCAACTGTCGTGCGTTGGCCCGCCGCAACTGGTCGGCAAGCCGCGCCTCGGCCGTCCGTGCGCGCGGAGGATGGAATTTCAGCGTCGCCCGCATCTGGTCGGGCCGTCTTGAGTACCGCTTCTTGACTGCGAGCCGCTGCTCCTTGGTCATTTCAGGAACGTCGGGCGTGCCCTCTGTGTCGGAATCGTCAAGCACCACGTTCGACTCGGCCCGCTGCAAGAGGCGTTGTGCGTAGTCGTCTATCGGGTTGCGTTTGCGGCGTGGCGCGGGCTGTGTGGGCTGCGTTATAAGATCTAGCACGTTGAGCTCGTCGTACAGATGATCTGCGCTTGGCGAATTGTCCTCAGGCGACACTTCTTTGGTCTCGCCGCCTGCACTGTCGTGTTTGTCGCTGGATTCATGTTTTTCGTTTGCGGTCTGGACATTCTCTCCTAGCTCGTCGCCATTCACTTGGTTACTCTCTTCGTCGCTATCGAGCTCCGCTACTAGGCGCAGAAGCGGGTTGGCTGCTCGCCGCGCAAACGCAGGGGCAATGGGGCGGCTGCGCTTCTGCGTGTAGAGAAGCTGCTCCATTTTCTCGAGCTCTTTTTTGGTGGCGCCCTTCGGGCCGCCCTGCGTGGACAGGTCGACTGCGGGCCCATCGCGCCACTGCGCTTCTTCTGCTTCCACTGCGCGCAATCGCTCGAGGCGCTTCTGCTCCACAAGCGCTGCCACGCGCGCGTCAAAGTCAAGCGGTTCGGCACCAGTTTGGCTGCCATTTTCAAGTGCGTCTTGGCTGCCAAAAGATTTGCGGCCATCGTGGCTGCCATTTCCCACACCCCCACTTTCGGAATCTTCAAAAAGCTTGTCGATTCGCGTCCTTTCGCTGTCGATGGGTTCATGGTGACTCTTTTTGCTTCCAGTGGTTTCTATGTTTTCTTTTCCTCCTTCTGTCGCCTCATTCTGTTCCTTTTCCGTATTGACGCCAACATTTGTGTCCCTTTCGGCAAATTCCATCTCATCTAGCGGTAATTGCGGGAGCCGAACAGCGCCGATCTGTTGCGTCTTGTCCGAAAAGAGAATGGACTGCTCGAAGTCTGGAATAACTTGTGTATCATCGGTGAAAAGCCGTTTTTTGACCCGCTCAAGAATGCTAAGATCAGCCATGGGTTGTGTGAAACAGACGCGTCGCGATAATGAAGGTGATGTGGTTTGATCGCGTGAGTGTTGTCACGTGTCAAAACTCGTAAAGTTTGTGTTCACTCTTGAAAGATTTCCCACACGTGCCCGAGTCAAGTGGAACACGTGCAACATATTACATGCAGGGTCCCTCTCCTTGAAGTATATAAGGAAGTTGATACGCTGGCTCCCACGTTGGGAGAATTTATAGAGTTTTAATTATCACGATTAACGAATATGTAAATGCATTAAGTAGGTGTGTCTATTAGTGAAGAAAGTCTGTTGTTACCCGGATTCAATTCATAAATATATAAGACAGCTACGCCCGCGCTCCAAAGGAAATTTTGTTCTCCATCTTTATGCAGGGACCTGCGGCTCGAGATAAATCTCACACATGTCAAATGGCTATCTGTGGCTAAAATCCCACGACAATTGAAAAAAAGAAAAAAAAAAAAGTGAAAACTATATTCCGTTTAGTGGAGTGAAATGTTTCTATGTTTAGACCGGTCGAACAGTCCTTTTCGTGCACCTTTTCCCGAAATATGACTCGTTTAGTCGTTTGACTCGTTTAATTTATCGACTCGTTCCGCGTGCATCCGTACCTCTGGCACTTTTCACATGGCGAGCCACACCAAAAAAGTGTCCAAAGCATCAAGAAAATCCGCTAAGCTCTCTAGGAAACCTCGTTCTAATTGACGTTCTCTTCAACTCACCGGTTAAGAAATCTTGTGACCGCTTTGGATCTGCCAGTATCTACTGGCATCGGTGTCTATCACGTGCGCTTACGAGTCTTGACACCTGCACACAAGCCTGCGCGCCCCGAAAAAATCTATAAGTATCCCATCTTTCCCTAACGTCGCGACCCAACAGTTTTTCTCTCCAATGCCAGAAACTTTCCTTTTCACCTCCGAATCCGTCGGCGAAGGCCACCCAGACAAGATTTGTGACCAAGTGTCCGATGCCATTTTGGACGCATGCTTGGCTGAAGACCCACTTTCCAAGGTTGCCTGTGAAACTGCCGCCAAGACCGGTTTGATTATGGTTTTCGGTGAAATTACAACCAAGGCTAAATTGGACTACCAAAAAATCATCAGAGACACCATCAAGCACATTGGTTACGACCACTCTGACAAGGGTTTCGACTACAAGACGTGTAATGTTCTTGTTGCCATCGAACAACAATCTCCAGACATTGCCCAAGGTTTGCACTACGAGAAGGCTTTGGAGGAATTGGGTGCTGGTGACCAAGGTATCATGTTTGGTTACGCTACCGATGAAACCGACGAGAAGTTGCCATTGACCGTCTTGTTGTCGCACAAGTTGAACAAGGCTTTGGCTGACGCCAGAAGATCCGGTGAATTGGCTTGGTTGAGACCAGACACCAAGACCCAGGTCACTGTTGAGTACGAGAACGACAACGGTGCCGTTACTCCTTTGAGAGTGGACACTGTTGTTATCTCCACACAACACTCTGACGACATTTCCACCGAGGACTTGAGAAAGGAAATCTTGGAGAAGATCATCAAGAGAACCATTCCTCCTCACTTGTTGGATGACAAGACCATCTACCACATCCAGCCATCTGGCAGATTCGTGATTGGTGGTCCTCAAGGTGATGCCGGTTTGACTGGTAGAAAGATTATTGTCGACACCTACGGTGGTTGGGGTGCTCACGGTGGAGGTGCTTTCTCTGGTAAGGATTTCTCTAAGGTCGACAGATCTGCTGCCTACGCTGCCAGATGGGTTGCCAAGTCTCTTGTGCACGCTGGATTGGCCAGAAGAGCATTGGTTCAATTCTCTTACGCCATTGGTGTGGCCGAACCATTGTCCATCCACGTGGACACTTACGGCACCTCCAAGTACACCTCTGAGCAATTGGTTGACATCATCAAGAAGAACTTTGACTTGAGACCTGGTGTCATTGTGAAGGAGTTGAACTTGGCCAGACCAATCTACTTCAAGACCGCCTCTTACGGTCACTTCACTGACCAAGAAAACCCATGGGAGCACCCTAAGGATTTGACGTACTAGATAGCCACGCGCGACTTAACAGATTAATGTGATGACTCACGACCATGTCAACGCTCAACTCGTTTGACCAAATTTATTTCATATGTCTTTCATTTTCACAATTTTTTATTTCCAAAGGGATGGAGTTTGCATTAATTGGGGTCCTCAACGGACAATTAAGTTAATAGAAGGAATATTTTCCACACATGCTGTAGTGAACCTATGAATGATAAGATGCTCAGATTAGTCCAATGGGCACTACCATTCGAAGTACAGATTAAGTGATCTAAATGAGATTGATTCGCTAGGCGAACAACATCGATTATATTAGAATCTTTGAGACATATCTCCCTTCATGGAATTCTGGTTCAGAATTGTCAAATACCGATAATCCTTTCGATTGTTTATCGTTCGTCTAATCTTTCTATAGAGGTCTATTCTTCATTCTTCTGCCTTCATTCTTCTCTCTTTATTCTTCTCTCTTTATTCTTCTCTCTTTATTCTTCTCTCTTTATTCTCATCGCTCGGCCGTCCCATGGTACTTTTTGTACATCAACCAAGCGCCGCCCACGCCGATCGCCAGCCCAAGCACAATGTCCTTGAAGTGGTGGCGGTAGTCCTGTGTGCGTGACAAGGCAATGTACGCAGCCACTGCAAGCGGAGCCGTCCGCACAAACTCGGTGAGCCAGAAGGGGCCAGGCAACCTGCCCTCGGCGCCAAGCCACAAAAACACGTAGAACATGGCTGCAAACGCCACCAGCAGATGGCCCAGCGGCGTCAGTTTCATGCCGTCGGCCAAATACATCAGCCCAAGCGGCGCTGTGCACACTTCCACAGTCACAAATTCGGCCACAGGGGTTCCGGCCGGCACCACAGCGGGCCAAGAAGTCGGGCCGCGGGTTGGCGATCCACACCTTGAGCACGTCGGTGGTGATGCCGGTGGCGGCTATGGCAAGCACGAGCCCGAGCAATGCCGGCGCTGTAGGTGCTGCTTTGAGCGCAAAGCGGCGGCGGGCCGTTTGGGCTGCTATTATAAGCGCCAGGGGGAGAAGATACGACACCAAGTAGAGTTTTGTGTCGGAAACACGTTCGTGGTAGGCAAAAGGGTGTTGGAGCGACGCGTCGTCAAGGCGAAACTGGCGGAAAAAGGGGCCAAGTGTTTCAAAGTAGGCGAAAAGCGCCACCGTGAGGATACTGGCGGCTATCCAGTCCTGCGCTAGGATGTTCATGGCGGTAAGACAGGTATCTTAAGATGGTCTAAGATGTCTTAAGATGGTCTAAGATGTCTTCAGATGGTCTTAAGGTCTAAGATGGTCTTAAGGTTTAAGGTGTTCTTAAGATGGCCCTAGATGGTCTTATATGGTCCAGATGGCTTAGATGGTCCAGATGGCTTAGAATATTCAGAAGAGTCTAGCCAATATGTCCAGACAATACTTTTTGATCTGGCTCGGCCGGATCTGTAGTTTCAGCCGTGATCAGGATAAGTCAGCAAATTGAGGAACTCGCCGTATTGAACAGAACCAATTTCTTCGACGTTTTTGTGAAACTTTGTTTCTTCAATCGCCTTGATCGCCTTTAGTCGTTTATAAACTCTGTCTTATCTACGCGCTGGCACTATAAGCGGGATGTCCGGGTGCACTATAATAGGGTTCAGCTCGACTATTATTACTATTTCGGGAGAATTGAAGAATCGTATTTTAGGAGATTAGCCTTCATATTCTGAACCCATGGCTGATGAATAGAGTCGACAGATCTGAGGCAGAAGCAAAATACGAATAAGTAGAAACCAATGGAAGAAACGGAAGCCAAGGAAGAAACAAAAACAGAAGCAATGGAAGAACAAAAACCGTAATGGCAGGCAGAATCAATAATAGTAGTCTGGTCAATTGGCAAAGCAAAAGGCTGGAATCTGTGGCGATGGCATGCCCACTTATCTCCTCGGACATTATGTCCCTTTTAGGAAAAAGTGCTCGCTCACATACTGGAAAAGATCATCAGACAAAATACATTGACCAAAATTTCTAGATCCTGGCCGTTCGGAACGTTGGACATATGGTGGAAACAGGATGAATCTCCAATAGATCGGCGAAAATGGCTACTTTTATTGGTTCTGCCAGCAAATTGAATCATGTCTGCAAGTCCGAATTGTGGAGCAGACTCGAAGATGTATTGAGGATACATTAGTCCTGAGCCTTGGTCTCGTTTAAAGACGAATATTCTGTCTTGTCAATGCGCAGCTATTCGACGATTCGGGATAAATCGTTACGATGAAAAATCTTCTTTCCATCTTAATTGTACTCTCACGTTGTTTCGTACAACGTTCAAATTCTGCTTTACCTGCTAAGGTCTATCTTTTTGGAATATTATGCTTATTCTAGGAAAACCTCTATCCTGTTTCTAGTAAGTTGACATTTAATTGGATTCTCTGCCCAAACCCTTTGGGAATCCAAAATTCAGTTTCAAGTGGTAACGAACATGGGCTGGCATGGCATTAAAGACCATGTCAGGTTCTGAATTGATAGTGTAATCCAGTTATGAACTTGTTGGTCCGGCTTACTACATTGTGAAACAAGTTCTTAGCATAATTTGGAGATGCGACATGGTCTATCTGTCGAAGAACGTCCCAAATTATGCAATGTAGCCTCTAAGGCTTACTATCAAGTTCGTCAAGGTCAGAAGTAACAGACATGAGCATGTTTTCGGTCAGAACAGAGAAGCTCTTCCACCTGACGACTAGTCATTCTTCAAAATCGTGTTTGAGCTTTGTAGGATTCATAACCAGCTTCTAGCCTTGCCCTGTTCACTTTATTGCCACTGTGTTTGGATAGATCCACCCAATTGGCTTCTGAATGTAATGCATCGATTCGGCCATTGGAACGTAATGACAATTGTGGTGAATTTCTAATGTCCATTTGTTTGAAGCTTCATTGCATGGATTTCAACACATGGTTATCCTTCTAGAGCAGACTTACAAGATTTGTAGTGTGGGATGGATCATGTGCTTTCTTGGAGAACTACGACTGACCACAATAGTTTGAAGTACTCGTACGATCATTTTTCGTTTTCGTTTTTTTAACCACACTTCGTCTTTCAGTGGACTATAATTCATACCAGCCATACTTTCGCAGGCAAGAACCAGGGTCATTTCCATCGGCTTCAAATTTAATACGCTTACACTGTTTCCTGTTAATTGACAGAGCAAATTGTGCCGATAACTCCGATGGCTCTGTTGTGTATTGTCTCACCTTAAGTAGTGGACCATCTCATCTGACAATATCTTGTTCAAGCAGTTGAACTCCCATCAATATTATAGCGATTTTTGGCGCGGCAGAGTTCAACGGTTTATACGGTCAGGATAAATTTTGGCTTACAGATTCTTTCTTCCCATATTCCTATAGCAAACCGATAAACGAAGGAATATCACTAGTGAAAGCTGAATATAACCCATGAAAGCTATCTCCTGTGTTTGGCCACCTCCTTTTCCAAAATGTTCTTCAAATTCCAGGCTAATTTCCTTTATTTCGTACTGCAGTCTAACATCGGGTGACATGCACGTCCAATTTAAAGCGCATGCACAAGATAAGCGCGCCACATACACATGGGTGATAAAAAGTATTGAAAATTAAATTAAATGCTAACAAATGGGAACTAAATATTATCCGAGCCGCAACTCTAGTGCTTCAACTCCATGTCAGAAGAGTCAGCCTGTTGGGTGACGTATCTGTCAGTGCCAAGCTTGGAGGCGTCAATTTCGTCGTGGTATTTTTCACAAATCTCTTCCAAAGTCATTCTCTTGGTCTCTGGCAACAAGAGCGTGGTAAAGATACCAAGCAACATGAACAATGCAAAAATCTCCATCACGTGAGGCAAGAAACAGTTTGGCTTGTCCTTGGCACAGTGGTGGTTGATCAAAGTACCAATACAAGTCTGGGCAATGATGGCACCAACCTTACCGCAGGCAGCGGAAATACCATGCGCAGTAGATCTGTATCTGGTTGGGAAAATCTCACCAGGAATGATGAAAGTGGTGGTGTTAGGACCGAAGTTCTGGAAGAATTGCGCCAAAACGTACAAGGCCAACTTACCGTGGTCACCAAGCTTCTTGTCGGCGAAACCAAGGATAACGAAAATGACAGTCAAGATGATGAAACCACCCAACTGAATTGGCTTTCTGCCGATGGTATCAACGGTAGCAACGGAGAACCAGTAACCAGGCAACGAACCGGCACAAATCAAAATCAAGTTACCAACAGCAGTGTTGTACAAACCCTTGTAGACGTTCTTGGACGAGGCGTAACCGATAGTCTTCAAGATAACAGCAGTGTTCAAACCCAAACCGTAGTAGGCAACATCCAAAAGGAACCAGGAACCAGCAGTACCAATCAAAATCTTACCGTACTTCCATTGGCCAAAGTGACGAATGAAGTCTCTTGGAGAAGCCTTTGGTGGAGCAATGTCGTGGGCAGTGGCGTCCAAAGCAGCTTCGGCGTCGGCAACCTTCTCCAAGTCGTCGTGTTCTTGCACATCCAACTCGTAACGAGGAGACTCGGCAATGGTCAATCTGTAGTACAAAGCAATGCAACCTGGAACACAGCCAAAACCAATCAAGATTCTCCACATCTGGTCATTGGCCTTGATGCACGAGCCAATACATTCCTTGGCGGTGTTGGCGTATTTCAAGTCGTCCTTGTAGCCAGAAACAGCAATCAAAGCCACGATACCGGCAAGCAACTGGCCCAAACCTTGGTTGGAGAAGACAGCAGCCATGATGGCACCTCTCCACTTGGTGGTGGAGAACTCGGAGGAAATAATCGAAGACAATGGGTAGTCACCACCGATACCGATACCCATGAGGATTCTCATGGTGGAGAAAATGGCAGGGAAAGAGATGGCAGCAGACTCACCAAGAGTACACTGGATAACAGTAGCGAAAATCATGACAATCAACTCAAGACCGTAAATCTTTTTTCTGCCCACAATGTCGGCAAACATACCAAAGGACACTTGACCGATAACGGTACCAACAGAGGTGGACACCTTGATCAAAGTCTGGGTGGAAGATGGAATGGTACCACCCCAGTAGACGTGGCCCAACATGGAAGTACCCAAGTTAATGGCGAAAATATCGTAAGAGTCAGTCATGAAACCGACACCGGCAATCATGATCATCTTGGCCTGGGTCCATCCGAAACCGGCATTGTCGATTTCCTCCAAGGCCAATCTTCTTCTTTCCAAAGGGTCCTCAATGTGGGCAAACTTGCCGACGTAGTCTTTGAAAGCGGTCTTACCGCCGGAGTTGGAAACCTCGTGGGGAGCTTGGATCTCAGACATGGGAATTACTGGTGCTGAGGAAAAATATGAAAAATTTCGGCGAACGTTTACCATTATATATACGGAGCCATCTGTATGTAGCTGCAGGCCCAATTAATCCATCCTTGCAGGCGGCAGACGCACTCGACCAATTTGCCAAAAAGGAAATTGACTCGTGAAACTACGGCCGCGTGGGTAGATAATATTATCTCTCTATATCAACATGGCGATGCTATTTCCCACCGTTTCTTTTTCCCATCTGCCTCCAGCCTGTTGTATAGGCAACAGTGCTTTTCTCTGTTTTTCTTTGACACCTTGGCAAACCCGTCAAAATTCTCCAGTCAAATTATTGCTCGGCGTCTTGGGTAGTGTGACCTTTTGCCAGACTTGGCGATCCCCACGTGGGTGATATATGCACGGCACACTGCTTTTTTTTGCACCCACGTTTTTTGGTGCGCGCACCTACATCAATTAACGCACGTGTGAACGGCCAAACGTTCGCCTCACGTCGTATTTCTGCAGGATGATAGAGATACTGCCTGCATGTGCGTGTCACGTGGTGCGTTTTACCCACCCCAGTCGCCCCAAACGCCGCCTTTTGTTGCACCTAGGGCAAATTTCCCGACCGGTAATTCCTCTTTTCTATGCAAGTTCCGCCGTTTTACGCTAATCCGGATCTAGCGATATGCAACTTTGTCAATGCAATAAACACCCGTGTCCTTTAGTTTAGTGCGTAGAATCTCTTTTAGCCGTATTGTTGGTCTTGATCATCCCAAACGATTCTTTGCTTCCTTTCTTCTACACTGGTTTCTTTTTACGTTATTTTTTCGGACCAATGCTTCTTTTCCCGGTGTCTTCGATTTCTTTTTTGCTCGCTGCAGATTGACAGGGAATTTAATGTCCACTCTGCAATTGGATGCTTATCGTCCAAAGTCTTGGCTCATAAGCTCGTTTCGATCATTTATTTAATTAGTGCTGTTTCTTTTGGATTTGTGTACAGTAGCCATCTACCAATAGCCTTCACTTGCTTTAGTCTTTCTTTTTTTTCTATGATTTTTTTTTTCTTTTTCCAAATCATCCTATGCGGTCGGCTGGGTTCGGAAACGAGTCTTTTGCTTCTACTTTTTAGAAGTAGGCTACGGTCACTGGATCTTACGAGTGTTTTTTTTTTTTTTTTTTTTTTTCGTAGTTGCGTTATCTTTCAGAAATAAGAACCAGGAGGCTCTTTCCAAGTGCTAATGTTCTCTCTGGTTTCATATCTACGCCTCTCTATGTAATTCTACGGGCCCCACTATAAACGTGTTGACCATGGCTTGTATTTTGTTCAACGTCATAACTTGTCGAATCACTTGCATTAATTACGTGACTTGTAATATTTGCTGATGACAATTATTCGTGACTTAATATCCGTGACGAAGTATATGTGACTTAAGTCTTTATTTGATTCTGGTCGTGACGTCTTATTACTGACTTAGTCTTTATGTGAGTCTGGTCGTGACGTCTTATTACTGACTTGTATTTGCTTTTCGGATGTCGAATATGCCTGTTTTCCGAGAGCATTCGAGTTGACTAGACCATTTTATGCCACTCCAGACACAACTAGAATTTCAGCCTGACGAACGCTATCAAAACCGGGTTCAATGTTGAAGATGCCGCAAGATCTTTTTTTTTATTTTTTTTCGCTGATAGTTTCTATCGTTGACCCACGTTTCCTGCCTTTTTTAGTTAGTTGAGCTACTATGGCTTTCATGTCCATCTTGATGAAACTTTCAAAGTCGATCAACTTGGTTCAAACTGAAGCTCTACAATCTTCATAACCTGAAGACTTTTCGATCAACGATATCAGAAGGTGGCTCAACAACAAAACGAGTGTTGACTATACCAAAAACCTTAAACCTCCACCAATTTCATTCAGAGTTCAGTTCAAAGCGGTCAAAGTCAAGCTCCATTTGTTGTCTTGGCTACGTCAGAGTATTTACATAAGGACACGATCCCTGCCTGATCTGCTTTCCCAAACTTAGTCTGTATTAGTCTATTCCCTACGCCCAAGTCTTTCCTTCTCGAAAACAAGCACTTTTTCTCGAAGCTCCTGGAGCTCTCTCTCTTGCGCCTTGAGATGAAGATCCTTTTCGTTATTGTCCTGGGTCAAAAACTCCACCCGGCTTTTGTACTGGCCCACCATATTCTGATAGTTGAAGTTCTCGTCATTGTACTTCTTCATTTGCATGTTCTTCTCATTGTTCTCATACTCAAGCGTAGATACTTGCTTGTGAAGTTTCTGTTCCCGCATCTCGCCCTCATACAACTGGTGCTTCAAGTCATCGACGTCCCGATTGAGCTTGGCCATGTTTTCCTCAAGATAATTGAGTTGATCGTTAGAGTAAAGTTTCTCTTCAAGCTTTTGAACCTTCTGCTTAAGCTCTATGTTGACTGTTTTCAAGCTTTCGTTCTCTTCCACAATCACTAAATTCTCCGTGCGTGCTTTCTTATAGTGCTCATCACTCGAATCCCATCTCTTTTGGACTTCTTGGAGCTCTTTGCGGTTCTCTTCTTTTTCCTTTTCGAGATCTAAAACGTGCTCCCGCATAAGCTCCATCTTGGAGTTTGCCCGTTCCACTTGGCCCTGAAGGTCCGCCACTTTGCTTTCAAGATCTTCTTTCTCTTGTTCAAGCTGGCTGTTTTTGGAATTCAACACTTCGAGCTGCAGTCTATTCTCTTCAATGAGCTGTTTCAAAGCTTCTGTTTGTCTTGCAAACAGATCGAGCTTGCGCTCTAAAATTTGCTTGTCATTCTTCAAGGAATCGATCTCCGAAACTAAACGTTCGTTCGTGTTTGTCAATTGCTCATTTTCCTCTGTCACCTCGGTGTTTTCTGCAAGAACCTCCTCCCGTACACGGGTCAACTCTTCGTTTTCAATCGTGAGCCTCTTATTTTCCCTGATCAACTCTGTCTCCTTCTCTTGCTTGAACTTGAGATCGTCTCGCAAACTCCAAATCTCCCGCTTATGCTCTTCAATTGCATTGCGTTTCTCGCCGTATGTATCGTTCAAGTACTGAAGCTTTTCTTCCAAGCTTTTGCTTTTCGCGTGCAACTTTTCTTCTCTATGTTGCAGATCGGTCAACTGTACTTCCAAGTCGCTTTTGTTTTGGCGAAGCTGCTTGATGACCCGCTCACTGGCCCGAATCTCTTCTTTTACAAGTTTCAACTCGGTGGTTTTCTGCTCTAGTTCTTTGCGCGACTGTTCGTCGTGTCTTTTGCTGATCATGACTGCCGACTCTGCAAGTTCAAGCTTCTCGAAGTACTCCTCGCTCCGTTTTCTGAACTTTTCACTGGTCTGCTCCACCTCTTCCAATCGTTTCGACAATGTTTCGTTCGATACCTTGAACCGGGCAATTTCCCCCTCGTAGTCCTTGACAGAAATCTTCACATTCAGCCTTTTCAACTCATAGAGCTCATCTTCGCTGTCTCGCAACAAAGACTTGAGTCTCAAGATTTCCGTTTTGGATTTATTGAGCTCTTCCCGTGTGCTTTTCAACGTATGGCTCATGTCACGGTATATCTTGGCAAAATCGCCCGATCCATTGGCCAAAGAAACCATGCCCAAACTGCTGCTTCGAGACATTTGCTCCATTGGCGGAGAGTTTGTTCCGTCCGTGCCATTACTGTCCATTACGTTCCCAAGGTTTCTCTCGAGCTCCGCAATGCGCTTTTGGGACTCTTTGTATTTCACCTCATAGTCCGTATAGCTGTTGATCCCTCTCATAGCCTGCAACTTGTTCAACTTCTTTTGAAGCTCAATCGCATAAGCCTCTGCACGAGCACTGTTGGACTCTTCCTGCTGCAAGCGGATCTTCAACGACTTGATTTCCTCTCCTAGTTTGTTGTCGACTGAGCTATTGAACTTGAGATCTTCTCCGTATGCGAGTGATCTTCTGTATTCGCTGCGTTTCAGTGGACTTTCAAAACTATCATTGACCTTTTTCCGCAACATGTTCACCTCCTCCGACAATTTGTGGTTTTCAAACCGCTCTTTCCGAACTGCCGCAGTTGCTTCGTTAAGACGCAACTTCAACGTTGCGTGCTCTTCCATGATTTTAGAGTCCACTTTCGAAACTGGTGGAGGCATATTTTCCTTATCGTGGAGTTTCGCTTCCAACTCAGCAACTTGTTGCTTTAAGATCACGATTTGTTCCAAGTTTTCCGCTTTTGCGTCCGTCAAGTACTTTGACTCGTGCCGCAAGTTTTCGAATGCGTCCATTACTTGTCTGTACTCCTTCAGTTTCGCCGCAAGCTTGTCTTTCGTGGATTGTATCTCATTCAAATGTTCCTGGTTTTTCTTCTTCTCTCCTGCTAACTGATCTTCAAGTTTCTGTGCCTCCTCCAATTTTTTGTTCAATTGCAGGATCTTTTCTTGAGCATCCTTGTGGTTTTTCGATTCGGCAATCAAAGATGTTTCCTTTGCTTTAAGTTCAGATTCCAATTGGCTCACCCTTTTGCTTTCTTTTTCTAGCTTATTTTTCAACGAACGAATTTCCTCAGATTGGTTTTCCGAAACACTTCTCTTCTCATTGTCAAATGCACTCTGCATCTTATTAAGCTCCTCCTTGTGATTCTTTTCAAGCTCCTCCACTTTCTTTTCGAGACTGGTTTTTTTCAAAGTAAGCTCGTTGATGGAACGTTCGAGGTCAGTTTTTTCCGCCTCATGTTTGGCTATTTTATCCTCATGTCCCCCAACGGTAATCATCAAATTGTCGATTTTACTTTGAAGATCATGCTTGAGAGTATCAATCTCTTTCGTTCTTTCGTCTTTGGATGAACTCAAAGTCTTATTCTGCTCTTCTAAATCTGCCACCTTGGACTGCAATTGCTCATGAGTCTGCTTAAACTCCTCAAGCTTTGTAGTCTTTCCTTCCAAGTCTGTTTTCATTTCGGAGAGTTCACGCTGCGTTCTTTCAATCTCTGATTCTGCAGTTACTAACTTCCGTTTCGTCTCCTCGTGGCTCACTAACTTTTCCTCAAGGTCTTTAATGGAACCTTTGGCGAGGTTCAATGCTTCGACTGTGGCATCATGGGTCTTTGTGAGACTTGTAACCTTATTCTCAAACTCCATACTTTTTTTACCAGTTTCTTCAGCCTCGCGTAATTTGGCTTCTAGTTGTTCCATGTTCTCCTTGGAGTTTGTAAGCTCGCTTCTAAGAGTTTCCAATTGACTTTCTGTTTCAGAAAGTTTTCGTTGAAGCTCTTCGGATGTTGACATGAGTTCAGCCTTTTCTTTAGCAAGTTTTTCGCTCACAGCTTTGGTTTCTTCAAGCTCCCTGGAAAGATCGGAAATTTTCGACGACATACTTGTCTCCTTCTGCAGAAGAACATGAAGCTTTTCAGTTGTCTCAGTCATCAACGAAGAGTTTTGTTGAATTTCCTCTTCCAAGTGGGACATTTTTTCTTTTAGGGAATTGTTCTCCTCCGATAATGCGGCTCTTTCTGTTTCGGTATCTTTAAGCTTGCCATTGAGTTTCTTCAAGCTTTCATTCATCTCGTTGGAGTCCAATACCTTTACCGAATCTTCAAGCATAGGTTTCAAATTCAAGAAAAGTTTGAGCCACGGACTTTCGCTTTGGTTTATAAGGCCGTCCAATCGCTGAAAATTCCTTGCAATGACTTGCGAGGCTTGGATCACAGCAATTTGCTTTTTTATCTTTGTTCGAGCATTCTGTCCACGTAAAATACTTTGGAAATTAGTGATGATATTCTTCAAGCTCAAGTCCCGAAGTTCTTCCAACTTGCCAAGAATTCCGTTTTTGAAGAACAATTTGGAGATACCGATCTTGTAGCATTCGGGATCTAGCTGAATGTGTTTGAGAATGAGTTCACAGTTTGTTTTGACGTTTCTCGTAAATACATCAACGGCATTAAGAATCGAGTACCGGGAGAAAAACTCGTCGAACGTCATTTTGTTCGGATACCCGGCCCGTGCTATTCTAATACCTTCTAAAACACCATTGCATCGAAGTTGATGAAGCACCAATTCTTTGTCAAACTTGTTTGGTTTTTTGCTCAAGTTTGGTAATATACAGCGGACAAAATGGGGCTCAGTGCTGCTCAACTGCTGCATTAGGAAAGAAAGTTGCTCTTTATGCTTTTGAGAGACCGTCTTCAATCTGGGTTTCAGACGGCCATTATTCGAGTCCAGAGAGTCCAGGATGCTGAACAATTCGGAAATAAATTTATTGGAGGATGGAGGTAAAAGCGCCAAAAGATTTTCGCTCACAGGGTCAGTATTTTTCTGAAGCCAATTCTCGATATTGTATTCCACCAAGCCAGCATAGTGGTCTATCACAAAGCCCTTTCTAATTTTGTTGGGGCGAAACTTTTTGCTTTCGCCATTGCCCCAAGTCTCTAGTAACTTGTCCATAAAAGTTTCCTCGGATGCTTTTGGCAAAATGCACTGTTCGTCCAAGATCTCCAAAACACCCATGGGCTGTTTTGTTTCAATTAAATCAATGGTGGGCTGCAAGTCCAAACCAAAATCAATGAATTCCCATTGGATATCTTCACGCAAATATTCGCTCTGCTCCAAAATAAAAGAGTGGTGGTTGAAAAATTGCTGCAACTTTTCATTGGTGAAGTTGATACATAGCTGCTCGAACGAGTTTGTGTCAAAAATCTCGAATCCAGCAATATCCAACACACCAATGAAATTTTCGCCAGAAACATCTTCCTCGAGCAAGCTCTTGTTGATGCGTACAATGATGTACTGGAAGATTTTTTCGTACAAATGTTTGGCAAAAGCGTCGATGGTGTTTTTGACTTCCGAAGCTTTTTTCAGTTTTTGCACGTACTCCCGGCCAGCCTTCACTTTTGGCCGGAGCAAATTCCGGGACAATTCCTCCTCCAGCACGCCCAACATGGCAGCGATGGTGTCGATTCTTGAGTCTGGGGCAAAGTTGGCCTGTTCGGATTTCCAGGACGTGAACTCGACATTTCCTAGAAGAAGAATGATGGCCAAGCAGCCAAAAATGCTCTCCATTTCCTCTGCAGAAAAACCCATGATGCCAAACGCTTCTTTCAAGATTCTAAACTCTCTCGCATCGTCGACATTGGGGATGGAAATGGAAGACGCGCTGAGGTATTTGTAGTCCAGAGCAGGAAGCTTCAAGTTGTACTTTTCAGCAAGAACCTGCGGGTCCTCGCCTCTGAGAAACTGGTAGAAGGCATGGTAGTTTCTCTCGTCCTTCAGCTGGTGCAGGACTCTTGATTTTTCCAACAAGTAGTAGTCGATGGTGGCGCCGCTGATGAGCCCCTGCGAGGAGAAGAAGATCTTGACGAACTTGCCGAAGCGCGACGAGTTGTTGTTTTTGATTGTCTTGGCATTGCCAAAACTCTCCAAGATCGGGTTGGCCTGCAAGATTTTGTTGTGGATGTCGTTGAGCGAGTCGTTTTGCGGCGTCAGCAGGATCGACGAGAGGTACTGGATGATTTTCTTTGTGTTTTCCGTCTTGCCAGCGCCACTTTCGCCCGTCACCAAGATGGACTGGTCCTTTTTGTTGGCCATGAGGTTTCGGTAGGTGTTTTCGGCAATGGCAAAGATGTGCGGCGGCAAGCGCTCGTCCTGGCCGTCCAGCGCCACGTGGAACTTTTTGAGCGTGGCCGGCTCGTAGATGGGCAATTTTTTGTACGGGTTGATGGCCACCAAGAAAAGACCCGAGTACGTGTAGATAAGGTCGTCGGAATAGCGCAAGTACAAGTTGTAGATGACGCTGGGCTCGTTCAAGTGGGTCAATTCGGCCATGTCGTTGCACTTGTTGAACTTGGCCGGGTTGCAGTTTTCCAACTGGCTCTGGGCCATTTCCTTAACAACATCTTGGGCGCCGTTTTTCACCGTGACCCGGACGGTGTTATTGGCCAAGTAGTCGGTGATGCAGCCCCGCACAAACACCTCGTCTTTGTCCGGGACCCAGACCCAGTTTTTTGCGGAAAAGTCGTCGTCGCTCATGGGCTGGGAGGTTTAGTGTCTCTTTTCGAATGGGCTGAATGGTGTTGTGGTCACGTGTGTTGATCTTGCCGATCTTGGGTAAACAGACAATGTGCCGGAGTAAACAAGGCAAGAGGTTCAATTTTGCCGGTCGTTGTCTTGGGCTGTTCATTTTTGTTCACTTTTTTCGTTTTGTTCTTTTTTTTTGTTCCTTTTTTTCGTTTTGTTCTTTTTTTCATCTTTTATTTTTTTATTTTGTTTCGTTGTTTTTGTCGTCCCTTATGGTCCATTGCACCGAACGCGAAAGTCTAGAAAAGCTACAAACCGACTCCTAGTTCGAGTTGCTAGGTGATTTATCTTAGTAGAATTTTTGTCTGAATTTTTGTCCATTTTGGTCTGAATTTTCGTCTGAATTTTTGTGAATTTCTGTCTGAATTTTTATCTGAATTTTGGTCTGAATTTTGGTCTGAGTTTTGGTCTGAGTTTCTGTCTGAATTTGCGTCTGAATTCTCGTCTGAATTCTTGTCTGAATTCTCGTCTGAACTTTTGTCTGAATTCTTGTCTGAATTTTTGTCTGAATTTCTGTCTTGAATTTTTAACTGAATTTCTGTCTGAATATCTGTCCTGAATTCTTCTCCTGAATTTCTTAGCGGTTCTGCAATTGTTAGAGAGCGAATTACTTGACAAGTCTGTATGTTTGGCCTTGTTCTCGCCATGTCATTGATTTATCTCTTTGGGACATCTTTCTACAAATGAAATCATAGATGGATTACAGGCGAAGCTTGTGTGTTTATCACATTGTTGAGTACACTGAAGCATGTAGAGATTATGCGTCCTTTGACATTTGGATTGCCGGAAATATTCTTCTCCAGAAAAGGTAAATGGACTGAACACTGATTTACGGAGTCTGTAAAGAATGGATTATCGAACATTGACAAAAGCGACCAGCGATGGCTTTGCAAATCAGCCTAGGAAGCAGGAGAAGAAAGCAAATGAGGAAAACATGACTTTCAAACCTGTTTGCTTTGGCCGATGTAAGCACAAGGCAAAAGTGCCAGTCAAGCCATCAAAGTTATCAGAATTTTCTACTAACCTCAAGGTAAGACAAAACTCTCAAGGTAAGACAAATGTTTGTCGCTACGATTGACACTACTTATACGATGATTGGGTCGACTTTCGCTTCAAACGAATCTACTAATCCAAAGCACTCGATTAGTCCACAAGAACATTTCTTCCTGCAAGCCATTCTGTCAAGGAATCTTGTTTCTTTCGAACTTGGCAATTTTGGATTTAAATTTAACCTTTTCTTTCGAGTTGGCAACCACGCTTTCGAAGACTTCATCTTTGTCAGCAAGAACGAGCTGAGCAGCTTCAAATGTTCTTCTGTACAAAACGAATAATCGACCATAGAAGAGACTGGGCACATCTATCTCCCGGAGTAGCTGGTATTTGGCCTTAATTTTTTTGAGATTCAAGAGGGCTAACCTATATGCCATTGAAGAATCAAGATCATGACTGCCAGTGTTTGAGAGCGTTTTCAGTACTCTCTCACTTACTGACCCGTACTCCATTCGGTTATGAATATTCTGGAGTATTTAGTTTGTGGTTGAAAGTATTTTGGTTTAGTGTACTATGGCATGATGATCGTTTGGTGAGTAGGCTTATGCAAGATAAAGTTAAGTTTAACTCTAATCATGCTCGGGAAATTCAGTCATTTGTCATTTGACATTTGTTCAGTTTATTTGTATTTGTTCCGTTTATTTGTTCAGTTTTGTTCAGTTTTGTTCAGATTTGTTCAGTTTGTTCAGTTTGTTCAGTTTGTTCAGTTTGTTCAGTTATCAGTTTTATTCAGTTGTTCAGTTTATTGTCATTTGTTTATTTGTTCTACGTTGTTGGGGAGAAGCATAGATTAGCAATATAGAGCTGTCTCGGATGTTGGGGTGGTTCGATGTCTGGATTAATCGAGAGCAAGCCAATCGAAGCTGGCAACGAGGGCGAATGGCCAGATCGCTAGTGATCTGTGGTATGAATGATGAATGTATGGTAACGAATGAGAATGCCGAGAGCGAGTGTCAGTAAGCGAGTTGGAACAAGCCAAGGTTACGTGCATGGTTACGCTTTCCCCCGCGACGGCACCGGCAGCGCCCACACCAGCTCTGCGTCGGGCGAGTAGAACTGCGGCTCCGACCGCAACACGGGCGTGGTGTAGGCCAGGCCTGCCAGAGAAAACACCAGCAGCAGCGTGGCCAGCGGCGGCGTCAAGGGGAGCGCCGGCGGCTGTTTTGCTTCGGGCAGAAGCAGCATCAACACGTCTGCGGCGCGGGCCAAGTCGGGCGCGTGGGCCGCCGTGTCCAAGGCCGTCTGGGCCAGGTGCGGATGGCGGTTGGAGAAGTTGTGCACGACGGGGAGGACGCCGAGGGCCTCGTATTTGCGCACGAGCACGTCCAGAAGCGTTGCGGTCTGGCGGAAGAGCATGATGGCCACGTCGCGGAGCACCGCGAGGGTGTCTGCGTCGAAGCCCAGGAGGAAAGGCCCCACGACAGGCGGCGCTGTGTTTTCGTCGCCGGAGGAGGCATGCGCCCCCCGGCCTGCCAGGGAGAGCAACGTGCGGAGGTGGCTGCTGGCGGCCGGCACGCCCAACATGGAGCAGGCCAAGAGGTTGGCTGCCACGGCCACCACCAGGGTCGGCACCGAGAGGAAAAAGCGGTCGTACAAGGACAACTCGCAGAAAAAACGGCCCACGGCGGCCACGGCCGAGACCGTCAGGTGCGGCAGCAGCGCCTGGGCCGGGCGCGAGTACTTGCAGGGCGTCAGCTGGTCCAGCACGCCGGAGTCGGCTATGGCCATCTGCAAGCAGTCCTCCAAGGACGGGTGCGAGAGCAGCCACTCGAGCGTGGACAAGATGTGGAACTCCATCTGCAAGAACATCTCCTCGTCGTAGGCGTGGCGGCACATGACCGCCAACTCTCTTAGCGTGGGCACGCGCAGCTTCTTGTCCTCGTACTTGGCGGCGATCCAGAGCGCCGTGCACCCGACAAGCTGGTAGTGGCGCTTGAACACAATGCGCTTGGCGCAGTAGCGGTCGATGATGTTGACGCAGAGAAACAACGTGGCCGGCTGCATGCGGAACAGCTGGTGCAACTCGATGAGAAAGTCGAGCAAGTACGGCCGCATGTACCACTGCACCTCGGGCTGCATGTCGATCATGGCCGGGTTGACGCTCAGCGCCGGCTCCAACGACGCGAGCCACTGCCGGATGTCGTGGTGGTACTCGCCCACGAGCTTGCGGTTGGCCTGTGTTTCGAGCACCTCGAGCACGTAGGGGTAGGGTCTGGGCTTCATGAAGTTAAGTTGAGTTGACTGTACTAGTTGACTAGTTGGTTGACTAGTGGAGTTGAGTAGTTGAGTTCACTAGTTCACTGTTGAGTTCACTGTTGAGTTCACTGTTGAGTTCACTAGTTGAGTTCACTAGTTGACTAGTTGAGTTGACTAGTTGACTAATGACTAAGTGGTCTTGACTAGGTGAGCCAATGGACGTAGCTGTCCTGTGGTAGAGAGTGGTAGAGTGGTAGTGGTAGTGACAGTTTCTGTCTGTGTGTTCTTTCTTTCTTCTGTTCTTCTTTTGCTTCTGTTCTTCTTTTCTTCTTTTTTCTTCGTCTTTCGTCTTCTTCTTTTTCGTCTAGCCTTTCTTCGGTCTGGCCTTTTTCCTGGCCTGCTCTTCTACTGTGCGCATTGGGGTCTTATAAAGAAAAGCGCGTCGCGGTGCCAGGAGCGTCCTGTACACAACACACCGCCGCGGCCTTTGGCGTTTTGGCCCTGGAACGGAAACCGTGCTGACTTGGAGATTTGGATCGGAAGAAAAGATGTTCGTCTCTTGTGCTTGCGTAGTTGGCTGGTGAATTGGGGATTTTCTTTTTTTTGCTTGTTCGAAGTGGGTTTTTCCTACTTCGAAGGTTCGGAGCGCGCATCCACCTAATCTGTCCGTTCAATGTCGTTTTAATTTGTTTTACGTTTTGTTCGTTTTTCGTTTTGTTTCGTTTTTTCGTTTGTTTTTTCGTTTCGTTTTTACGTTTTACGTTTCGGTTTTCGTCTTGTTTTTCGTTTTTTTTCGTTTTTTTTCGTTTTTCTTTCTCTTCTTTCTTCTCGTCTGTCTTCCAGGCACTTATTTTATGCATTCCCCGCGGCTAGCGCGCCCCGCGCCTTGCATGAACACGAACCTTCTTCTGATTTCCGTTTTCGGCCACGAAATGAGACACGAAACGGGAATGAATTCGAATCGGTATCGATTCAAAATGGACGAAATGAAAACGAAAGAAATTCGCCATGACGGTAATTGTTGATGGTAATTGTTGATGGTAATTGTTGATTGTAATCGTTGAAGGACATTGGATTGTCTCCAGGGTCCATCTGCACAATCTGCCAGATGTGCGTATTCTGCGCAAAAAACGGTGAATGCGACTGATGGACTGACAGAAATACAATGGTGCATTTGCCAGTAATCAAAGACTGTGATAGAGTCTGATGATATACTGATATAAACGGACATTCTGAATTTAAGTCAGATTGGAAAATAAATTTGTTTAAAATGTGTATTCAGTGGACGTATTGAGAGATTATCAGTATTGGCTACATTGTTGATTGCCAATTTGATTGAACGCCCTTTCATCTTTCGAAGACAAGAATTCTATGTGAATATTACATTTTAAACGTTAATTAACCACAATATCGTTTCGCTTGATACGTTCAAATAGAGTCTGCCTTTTAAGTACTTCGAAATACTGCTCGAAAGTCTGCGGGTTCTTGTTTGAGTATATCCCTCGACTTTCAATTTGGTCACTTTTTCATAGCTTGGAAGAAAGTCCGACATCTCACTTCCCTGTCTTTCTTTAGACTAGATCATGCAGTAAACTTTTCATGGTGTATATCTGAAACAGATAGCTAAAAGCTCCAAGCGTGACTAGGTCAATTGTGTCTGGAACAGCAAAGTTTGGTCCCCAAGAACACTGGCCATATCCAATGGAGGAAGTCGGAGGCAGAGGTCATTGCATTTGGCAACTACTTCATAGTTTAAATTAAACATATTCTCTTCAACGGTCCTTAGATCGCCCTTTATCGTGATTATCTTGTCTGGCTATTGTGCCATTTGCTAAAGAGTAGTGGAGCATATCCACGAAAATTGTACCCATTACATATCTTTTGAGACCGAAAGTCTGAGTTTTCTGAGTAAATTAGACCGAGAATAAGAAAACTTTGACCAAGTTAAGCAAACTAAAGGATCCGTAATAGAAAATCTACGTAGATCTCATAATAATGAATCTGAGAGCATCAATATTTTGTGTAGATCACTTAAAAGTCAAATAAACGTGTAGTTTTCCTGTCACATTCAATCTGTTCGGCTTTCCGTTATAGAGTACCCACAATCCATGTCTGTTATTCCCTTCATCATTGCTGTATCGATGTGTTTGTAGGATCAATCCACTCTATCTGACTTCCCTTCAAACTCTTGCTTAATCGGCTACTTTAGCTACTTCTTAGATTTCTGGTACATTCCAAAGTTTATGGTATTATAATTGTGGACTGGCTACGCAGATATGTTTCGAAGAACGTCCTGCTATAACCGTCTTGAGCCAACTGACTATACTTCCTATACCTCTTCCATTACTATGAGTTGTTTCTCTAGTACGCACCCTGGCCCCGGCCGCCCTGGTCGTCCTGGTTTTTGATCGTTTCGTCCACAGAAAGCAATAGCGTGGCTGCCTCTGTAGCCGACAGAAGCGCATTGATTTTCACAAGCGCAGGCTCCCAAATAAAGCTCTCCATGTTGTTTCCCACGGCCTCTTTGTGGAAATCGATACCGTTCCACATCTCTCCCTTGGCGTGTGTGCTGCGCAAGATATTCAAGAGCTCGATTCCGTCCAAACCGGCGTTCTCGCAGAGCTGGCGAGGGATCACCTCCAAGGCCCGTGCAAACGCGCCAATCACCAACTGCTGCTTTCCTGCAACCGATTTGGAGTACTCCCGCAAGTAGCGAGACAACTCCATCTCAATGGCTCCGCCTCCGGCCACAACAGAGCTGTGTTTTATAGCACGCTTCACAATCATGATGGCATCGTGCAAAGACCGCTCGACTTCTGCAATGACCTGTTCAGCTCCGCCTCGCAACACCAAGGTGCATGTTTTCGCCTCGGGACATCCTTTGAACATGTTGTAGCGGTCTCCTCCAATCTGCACTTCTTCGAAAAGAGCACACGTGCCCAAGTTTTCAGGAGCCAAGCTGCTCACAGTGGACTGGATCAGACCGCCCACGGCCTTGATCACACGGTCCATATCTTCGGAGGCAACTCTGCCCGCACAGAAAATATCTCTGTCCGCAAAGTACTGGGTGGCCAAGTCGCCGATAGGCAACTTGGAGAGCACTATGCGAGCGCCGGAGTCCTTGATAGCCTCCAACTTGTTGAAGATGATTTTCCACTCGGCATCCACAATGTCCTGGTAGTCCTTGACTTGCTCGACACGCACCTCGGCATTGTCTTTCTCGGCCTTGAGCTCCAACTCCACGTTCAAACACAAGATTTTGGGGTCATGGAGAAGCTTTGGCTGCTGCTCAAAGCCGGCGTAGGAGAAGGTCTTCTTGAACGCCACACCGTCCACGAAAAGCGAGTCTTCCATGGCTCCGCCAGGCACTTTCTTGATGCCAATCATGTTCTCATCCAACTCGTCGTCCAAGGACAACACTGCGTCCACCACCATCTTCGTGAAGAACGGGGAGTTCTTGCTGATCAATTTCGACGACATGGCGGTGGTGGCACACCTCTCCAAAAGCTCGCGGAACTCTTTTTCGTCTTCTCTGCGGATATGCACTTTGATCTCGTCGATCTTGGCCACCGCCAACTCGCACGCCTTGCGCAAGCCCTTGATGATCAAGTGCGACGAGATGCCGTCCTCGATGAAGGTCTTGCTCTCCTTCAAAAACTCGCCCGCCAAAATCGTCACCGATGTGGTTCCGTCGCCCACTTCGGCGTCTTGCGCCCGCGAAATGTCCACAAGCATCTTGGCCGCAGGGTGCACAATGTCCAAGAGCTTGAGAATCGTGGCGCCGTCGTTGGAAATGGTGGTTTTGCCGCTGGCAGACTTGATCAAGATGTCCGATCCAAATGGGCCGAGCGTGGGCTTTAGGGTCTCCTGGATGGCGAGACACGCATTGATATTGTTCAAGATCTGGCCCTTGCCCTGCGAGGCGTCGGTGCCTTCTTTCAAAACGACAATGGTCGGGGTCTGGTTGGAAAACGCCATTGGAGAGAGAAAGATTGGCGCTAGTGTGAATTTTCTTCGAGCAAGTTGGGCGCGCACGACCGGGCCATGGAGAGGTGCCAACGCTACATGTTTTGGGCGGTCTTTTACGAAGAGAGGCTTGTTGGTTTGTTTTCTCTTTGTTTTTGTATTCTTTTGATGTTCTTGTATTGTGTTTGATGTTTTGTGATACGTTCTTTTGTCGTAGAGGGTCTGTTCGCATATAGGTATTCGCAGTCTGGGCTAGTAGGATCATGGAGTAAATTAAATTAATCTGGGTACTTTGAAATAATTGAAATAAATTTGTAGAAAAATTGAAATAAATTAGAAGTAAATTTGATATTCTGAATACATTTGTATGAATTGATAAAGTTATGAAGTTGAGCTGAATTCATTTGATGGCAGCTCCACTATCATTACGACTCATTATAGTACAATCTTTTAGAGCCAAGAAGGCGAAAGAAATGGAATAGAACGGGAATCGCCTTGAGCACTGAATTAGAATCCCAGGCTGTCCAGGTTTGGCAGACTTGACTGCCTGACTTAATTCTTCTAAGCTAGTCTGCAAAGTAGTCCTTTTCATTGACCGTCACAAAGTGGCATATATCTGTGGATTATAATGGCTTAACATCCTGGATTACCGATACCTTTGCACATTCTATTGGCTCTTTACCTTTCTCTTACAACTTCATCTGCTTTACTTAGCCAGAAAAATTGATCGGCTAGTTGAGCTACTCTAAGCGCAAATCTTCGTCGTACCCGTACCAATACTCTTTGAATCTAAGTAAGCTTCACCTCATTGGCACCGTTCAGATACGTCCACTTTGAAAATTCAATAGTCATCGATTATTTCACCATGATTAATCCATCTCCTCTTGTGATTTTGTGGGACAGTCTACTTTAATTATACATCGATACCTGAGTCCTCTTGATATATCCTAGATTTCAGTCCAGGTATGACTTTTTTCGCATCATTCTATCTATACTTCAGTATGTTGTAGTGTCTAGTTATGTGCACACAGGAAAAAATTCTTAAGTCTTTCATCTCCACCTCCATGCTTAGAACAGCCAAGTTGGGCGGTCGCCAGCTCGAATTCACGAGAAATGTGGCCAGAAACGTTGCCATGAAAAACGAAGTCCATCTTTCCAACAGAAGAGTCATGAGGAAAATCAAAATGGGTAAGGCCAGACCAGCCATTTTCCACCAGTTTGACACTTTGGTGGAACTTTCAGACGGCTCTGTTATCCGCAGACGCTCGCAGGCGCCAAAGGACGAAATCAGAATGATCAACGACCAGAGAAACAGCCCCTTGTGGAACCCCAGCAGATCCGACTTGGTTACTGCCGACCCTAATGCTACAGGAAAAGTCAACAAGTTCAAGAAGCGGTTTTCGCAGTTCCAGACGGCCGAGACGGATGCAGAAGAGAAGAAGGAAGACGACTTCATTTCTTTGATGGGAGAGAATGTCACAGAGGTCCAGGCGGGTGGAAGAATCCACGACAAGAAGAGGGCAAAGAAGTAGTACTTGTATATAGTAAGAACATTCGGATAGTTGGTGTAGAGACAAGAGAGAGGGGGAATAGAAGAGGGTAAACCATGCTCCGCCTACTAGTATTAGTGACTTGTTCCCTTTGCGTCTATTAGATATAAATCTTGCAATAGGAATTCATCCTACTGTGTCAGCGGTCTTAGAAACCGTGGAGGAACATCGAAGATCTTGGTATCCACATTATTCTCCGATGCTTAGAATGAAACTCAAATGCAATAATTACGCAACTTTTGGTAATGGTCGATGCAGATAAAAATTAGGAAGGACAAAGTAAAGGCTGTGCAGAAGGAAAGATGTTTTAGTTTCCAATGTACTCTTTTATGTCTTTTCCAGGAACTCCCAAAGCTCTCATCTCTTCGACACACCATGCAATGTTATCTTTATCGTTTTCCCAAACTGCCCTCTTCAAAATAATCAAGACACAGCCAAGCCGATTGCTGTGATCCATATATACAAGCTGATTAAATTCGTTGGGCAAACCATGCGAGGCAAAATTGAAAGGACGTCTTGTTTCCTTGTATGCTGTGCAAGTGTATAGTTTTCGGCAACTACCAGCATTGACTTTCCTGCTCAAATGGGCAAAGAGCACGTTTGTTATTTTTTTGTGGGCTGGATCGCCATTCTCTAGAGCAGGAAGTCGCAGCACGATTTCGGAGAAAAGCATACGTCCTTTAGGTTTAAGGTCTTCTGTCAGGATGTCCGTATCTCCAGAAATATGGTCATGCAGCAAGAAAAAATCCAAAAGCCGGGCATAGCCATATTTGGCCACACGAACATGGTTTTTTTTGCACATATCCAACGCCTGCTGAACTTTCTGCAGCTTGAGTAGTTTGGCCACTATCGCATCAAAGTCGTCACAATTAAGGCCGCTGGGAGTGGCAAAAATCGCCTTCAAAAGCCTTTCGGCCCCCTTTTCGTTGTCCTGGGTGAGAAACAGCGCAAGTAATGCCGAAAGAGTTTGTCTTTGAAGAGGAGGCTCAAGATTCCGGATCAATTGCTCAAGTAGACTTTTCTCTCCACACTGGCTATAGAATTTTATAAGGAAAGTGATGGTTTCCGGCTGAGAGTCCAACTCTCGAGGAAAATAGTTTTTGACCAAATCCAAAGCAGCGGTTTTCTTGTCGCCGGCCAAAAATTCCATCATTCGCCTGAACAAGCCAATGTGAGCTTTCGCAAACAGAATATCTCCAGCTGCACTTTGGGCCAGCATCACGTCTTTCCAGAGTCGAGTGGCTCGCACGTAGTTTCCCGAAGTAAAATTGGCCGAGATAAGTTTTCCAGTGAGAAGGAGAAACTTTTGGTCTGAAAACTTTGGCTCTATCCGGTCATATAGAACATTGGCAAAGTAAGGAACCCCTCCCACGGGTATCATAGACTCGATGGAGCAAAGAAGGGTATCGTAGGTTATTCTGGATTGGCCAAACGTGTCTATGAGCTTCATTGTGGCATAAGAATTATAAGCCTGGAACATGGGCGAATGTACGGCGAGATTGGCCACGAGGAGATTCAAAGCAGAATTATCCACCTCCAAGCCTGAACTATGGAGACGAAGCACCAACAGAACAGCCAAAAGCGGTTCTCCTGTGTCAAGAGCCTGAGAGATCAAAATCGAGCCCAAGTCCAATGTTTTGCTAGGCGTAAGTTGAAGCGCAGCCCACTGTGTAGAGACATTCTGGGAAAGGAGGCCCAAAGACGCCATTTCTGACACAAACGCCACAAAGACATCGTTTTTCCCTTGGCAGAGAAGAGAACAAAGCTCATCTAAGATCAATGCTGACACCAGCTTGGACTTGCTGTATGTTTGTGCTAGTAAAGAAACCACGGCACGACTTTTCTCTCTGTTCTGTATTATGTCTTCGATCAAGTTTGCGTTTGCTCTTCTGTAGTGGTTGTAGCATTCGTTGGTGGTGTACTTTAGTCTTTTCGGCGTATGTAGAAGATCAAAGACTGTAGAAAGCCGCAGCTCGGAGCTTTGAGTTTCCTGGCTAGGATCTAGCATGGCATCGGCCGAGGACATGTATCTCCTCGTTTTCAGAAGGGAAATTCGTCGTCTAAGGCCCACTTTCGCTGCCAGTCGAAACATGGAGATGAGGCTTGTGGGTCTATTCTCGAGGAGCTGGAAAGCAAAGCTGAAGGTGCTCTTGAAGGTGCTTTGAAGGTGCTTTGAAGGAGCTTTGAAGGAGCTTATTCAAGGGATAGGTTTCTTTGCAGATTGGACTGGAGTGTCAATCTTGGAATGGTACAAAAAGTGGTTTCGCGGTCTTTGTATGATGAGACAAAATGTGTATCTAAAAGTGAGAGATGCGTATTGCGTAGTTCACACACTAGTTATTGAAAGTTGAATTTTAAAATTGTGGATGATCTTGAACCATCGTAAGAATTAAGGACAAGTATAATCTCGTCCCTTTTGATCTTGGCTCCTCACGTTTGACTCTGTGCTCACCCAATTCTTTGGTATTTACGAGATTTACATAGTTCATCTAGTTATATGCTATCCTTTATGTTTCTGCATCCAGAAAGTTAGTAAAGCTTGATTGTCCCTAGTTATGAAAGTTAGATCGTAAGCCACCCATAGATCATCCCTTCACTTGACACCTACTGTCTACAGACTCAGTTAATGCCATAATTCATGAATGTCTATATAATGGTACAGTCTGCTATGCTAAGGCCATACATGACCTTTTCCACGTGTCTTTTGATCACCGGCCAATCTTGCCGCCGCTGGACAAATTCGTAAATTTCCTCTTGCCTGAAGATTCCGTTGAACTTTGACAAGTCAGACACCAACTGGCCAATGGCCTTGGCCTCGTCGCCTCCAATCAAATAGATAGAGCCGATTTTCTTAAGCGCCTGGAACAACGGGTAGATCAGCTTCTTGTTGCTTCGGATGTGCGTCAAAATAAAATCATAGTATAGATTCAAGTCCGAGATCAAAGTCACTGCACCGTCCACAGAAATGGTGCTTCTTTTGAGAACCTTGACAATCACCTGGAAAAACCGTTCCGCCACTTCTTGCTGAAACACTTCCACAATAGACTTTTCTGCTGAGTCGGTGAGAAGATCTATGTTTTCGTCCAAAATCTGAACCACTGTCACTGCTGCACGTGTTGGGCCATCGGGAACAAATGGTTTGTTGGCCGGAGGATTGTAATCTGATTCACTAAGCATCGATAAGTACACAGAATCGATTTCCTTGAAAAGCACGTCAATGCCAATATTCAATCCGTCAGCAACGTACTTATCTACCATACCTTCCAATTTCTTTTTGGATTGGAGGGACGGGTTGAGCACAGAATTCTCGTGCCGAACAACCTTCCGGTTGATCATCTCTTCTTTGTAGAAAATATCAAGCATCTGCACTATCATATCTGCCATGTTGATCAGCTCGAAGAAAATGACGAGCGGCCCGATTGCACTTCCCTTCGCCTTGTTTTCAAAGTATGCAGAAACCTCGTTCGGGTTATAGTCCTTGAGGTATTTCAACGACTTGTCAAAGCCGACTTTCAAATGATCGTTTCCAATGCACTCAATGACATTGATAAACTCTTCTTGCATTGTCGCGTAAAGATCAACAACCACAGCATTGACGGTGAATTCACGGAGACACATGAGTCTTCGTAGTGATGCCTTCGCCTCGTTTAGTATCGTAAGCGCAAGTTCGGGACTAAACACTTCATTCAACGATTTGATGTTTTCGGCAAGGATTTTGGCCCTTGCTTGCATTTGCGAGTACATGGACTGTTGCTCGTCCAGTTCCGGCTTATTGTCGCTGCCTGTGTTGATTGTGAACACTTTTTTGAAACTCGAAAGAAAATCGTTCTTCGCCTCCACCTTGACATGCTTCAAGATTTGCTGTGTGGTATTTTCCTCCCGTTCTCTTACCAAAGCATTCCACTGGGTCATTTTTGTCACGCAAAACGCCCGGAAATTTACTTTCTCTTCGTTCATGTACTCCGACGCAAAAGACTCAAAAGAGCTGTCTATGAGCTCGTGGATCAATGTTTTGTATGACTCGCCGACGTTCTTTGAGGGATTTAGCTGCTCAATAAAATCTGAGGTAAGTTTCGTATAAAGAACGGGCACCGTTTCCAAGAGGAGCCCTTTTTCTTTTGCGGTATTGGTCAAGAGGATGGCAATCTCCTGGAGCTGGTTGGAAATAATCTCCTCACTAATTTTGAACATCATCAGTATTGACTGGGGAAACGTAAGATCAATGACTCGCGAAAGCTCATTAAAAACACCAGAGAGTTCTTTGACAAAGTTGTCGACCTCGGAAATCTTGAGTGAGAATCCCGAGTGTATGTTTTCATTGTCTTTTTCTGTTTCATTTTCATTTTTTTCTTCGGTGCCTAGACCCAATATGTCCGGGTTGTTCAGCATGAAGAAGTCTTCTGCCGAAAACAGCTCCGGCTGCAAGAACTTGACCGACTCGTTGTCGAAACAAGTCTTCTGAAGGAAGAAATCGATGAGTGCCTGGTCATTTTTTAGGCCCACCAAAATCTCGACAAATGAGCGTGTCTTCTCGTAGTCCTGGATATCGAAGTGGATTTCTAGCTCTCGGAGCAAAGCATTCTCAAAGATTTCGGTCAAGTCGGTGATTTTGTTGCGTACAGAAATCCGGTTCGGCTCGTCTGTGTCTATAGCATTGAACTTCAATAGATTGGTCAACATCTGGGCCTGGTCTTTGGGCGAATGGAAGTTTTTGAAGATCTTGAGCTTTTCGTACGGGACATTGAGCAGCAAGTCCAGGTAGTAATCAATGAGACAGGCTCTGATCTTAAGCACCTGGAACTTGGCTATTCGAGGCACTTTATAGATGTGGTTCAAGCACGTGAGCGGGCTTTGGAGCAGCTCAAAGCTCAACTGCGCTCGGTCTTCCTTTTTCACGGGAAATGCCAGGTTCCAGACCCCCATAGCGTTTAGTTTCAGCACCCAGAGCCGAGGATCATTGACTGCTTTGTAGGCATTGCGAGAAGTCAAGGCAAACAGAAGCAAATCCGGAATGTCCAAGTACCACGATATGTTTTCGGCCACAGAAACCGGAATCACCTTTGGATTGTACACATCGATGTCGGAGTTCCAAAGAACCTGGGCCATTCTGAAAGATCAGGTTGTGGTTGGAGATTGTGCAGGCTTTGAGTACGCGATAAGTTGATGGAGGCACGGGTGGAGAAACCAAAGGAGGAGAAAACAAGCCTAACTATTGGTCCTTGTGTGGAAATTTGAGAACTTCATGACTTTCTCTTTCTTTGAGCTATGGAGGTATGGGTTTGGGACGTTGGTGGAGCTGGGGTACCGTGGTGATTTTTAAAGTGTGATTGAATTTTTGTATTTCGCAGAAAAGTGTGGAAAGTAGGTGAAAAGTGCAAGACAGAGATGAAGAGGAGAAAAAAAAACATGTTACAATTAAACACCAAATGTGGTATTGATTTCTATTCTATGATTAACTCTTGTAACCTTTGTGATCTTTTATTCCACTTCGAAGCTGAATGTAAAGGAAGATCTAGTAACTGCGGGAGCTACTAGAAATTGAAAGGATTAAAAAATTTACGAAAGAAAGAAGAGACAATAGGAAATTACATGATCTAAGTTCATATGAGATGTATGAAAATGCATCAGATTCGACATGCCTGTAACATATACCCCATTTTAAAGACCACTAACTATAGTGTTATCTAGGTGATCTAAGTGTACTAGTTAAATGTCAGAACTAAAAGTACAGTGGAGAATTTATACGGGACTTGTTTCTCAACATACCAACTAAAGTCTATGAAATCACTACAGCTATTGTGATACAAGTAGACTTTTAAGTGCACTATTTTCAATAATCCATATCAGTTCCATAATAATATTATCAATTGATTAAATGACTGAAGAAGGTAGTAATTGGAGCTCTTAAAAAAGAGATCAGTTAGTACCACTTTAACTGATAAAATGAGCTAAACCCAAAAGATAAAGAATATTTCGTCAGTTCATAAGCTTCAGAGATTGCATGATCTGACAGTTGATAATTTGCACTTTGATCAACCACTATGTCAACTATTTCCTGAAAAAATCAGTGCCAGATGAAAGAAAGAGTCTCATTAAGTAAAATGGACTCGTGGATCTACGAGGTTCTTCTGTATTAGAGAGAAGGTTACATATCGATAGAAGGAAGCCCATTTCTTTCAGTTTCCTCCATTGGTAGTTACAAATTACTGGACACTTTAGCTGAATCTTGACTTTGAGACTTCAGTTGGTGTAAAGTGACACTGAATTACGTTTGGATCGGTCGACATAGCAAAAAGCTAAAGCAATGACTTTAGCACTGATGGTCCACCCACTAAATGACACTCCAATCGAATCTGGCACCTCCATAGTTTCATTTAAGATTTCTATCTGGCACATTCATAGTTTCGTGTATCTAGATTTCTAATCTGGCACCTTATAGTTCCATGTATTTGAGATTCTTCTTCTGCCAACGGTGAATCCTGTGCGCACAAAAGTACTTATCATCGAAGACCTGCACCACAACTTTTCCATCTAACAACCCGATTCCTCCATTGCATATAGACCCATGTTTCTACGACTACGACCGTTGCTACGGGTCAGACGACATTCGACATTTGCACGAAGGAAAGACATATTTACAGGCAAAGCACACACACACACAAGAGCCAATGAGGCTACAAACATGCATGGCAAGGTCATCGACGACATAATCCAGGGGAAGACTAGGCCGAGAAATGCTGGGGCACAGACCGATCGAACAGAGACACCAGAGACAGAGACTTCAGAGATTTCAGAGACACCAGAGATTTCAGAGACACCAGAGATTTCAGAGACACAAAGAGAGACCGATACACAGACCGATACACAGACCGATGCTGCCAATAGCCAGACGCTCTCCGGAATGATCTTCCGCTTCTTCCAGACCGAGTCCTCCAGATTGCGCGAGACCATGAAAATCGACCAGACGCTAGCGTCCAACGATATCCAGCTCAACAGTGTGAGCGGGCCGCTCCGGCAGAAGTTGGAGCAGCAGATGGACGACTACAGCCGGTTGTCTGTTCTTTTGGCGCACCACGCGCTTTCTGTGCCGCCGACGTTGGCGCTCCAGTACTACAATCTGCTCCCGCGGTGCGATTCGGGCCACAAGAAAACGCTTCTCGGCATGCTTGCGTTCCACAACCGGTGGGCGGACTTTTGGGCGGTGGCGTTGGAGGAAAATGCGTCGTTGAGCGATGTGGAGGAAGTGGTGGAGCTTTTGCACGAGCAATTGGGCCAGAACCACAATGGGCTCGGGTTGTGGCAGGCGGTCGAGGCGGCGCACAAGAGGGCGAGCGGCGCCGTTTGGCGCGCCATAGGCGAGTGTATTGAGTACCGGTTTGGCGTGGGCCGGGCGCAGGCGGAGGACTTCTGCGCGCTTGTTTCGGACGAAGTGTCTGAGAACACAACCACAAACACAAACAAGCACACAACCACAACCACAAACAAGCACACAAACACGAGCATAGACGGAAAGGTTTCACAGACGTACGATGTGGAGATGGCTGACGTGCTCTTTGCCTTTGCCTCGCGGCGCCTGCTTCAAAGGGGCGCGGAGTTGCAGTACGATCGAGTCGCCGCGCGCCTTGCCCGTGTGCCCGGGTCGGTGTCGTTTTTGTGCGGCGGCGTTGGCGAGGCGCGCGCGCAGGCGGTCGCGCGGGCGTTTGCGCAGCTCCGCTCGGGCTTTTTCAACGACGCAGACTGCGCCCACCTTTTGGCGCATGCCCAGCTGCGCCCGCACGTGTACCAGGTGTACTTGTTGGCGTGCCGCAACGCGCGGCGCGGGCTTTTGTGCAACCAGACGCTCGACGCCGTTGTTCGGGCGGCCGTGCAAGTGGGCGACTGGGACTTGGCGCAGGCCGCCGCGCACCGGTTCGTGCAGAGCGTTTCGCCGGCGACATGGGCGCTTCTTGCGCCGCCGCTTGCGGCGCGGGTGCGGCCGCTATTCAAGCGCCTTGCGAGAACAGACAAGTTCCACCGCGTGGCGCTAGCGTTGGCGCAGGAAATGAAAAAACAGACAGACAGGACGGAATCAGACAAGACGGAATCAGACAAGACGGAATCAGACAAGACGGACTCAGACAAGACGGAATCAGACAAAACAGACACTTCTGACACCGACTTTGTCCTTCTCGCGCTCTTGGAGCACGCGGACGCCGACCCGAAGCTCGCGCGCGCGCTCTTGCGCCAGTTGCGCGGCACCGACCGCAATCTCCGCGCCGCGTGCCGCCTCCAGTGGCGCGCCTACAACTGGCTCGAGATCATGCGCTTCGCCCTCCGCCACGGGCTTTCGCCCGCAGCCGCCTTCGCCGGCGCCATGCGTACCTCGTTCCCGCCGGCGCTTGTTCGTGCGGCCAAAGCAAACATGGCCGCAGCAAACCTGATGGCCGCGAACCTGATGGCCAAACTGATGAACGTCGACCTGGCTCCTTTCGACGACTTCCGCGCGCTCTACTCGGCAGCGGCGCCGTCGCAGCGCCGCGCTCTTCTCCACAACATCCAGGCCGCCGCGCAGGCGCTTTCTGTACTAGCGCCCGAAGACGTGGCCGCCGCGCTCAACGTCCTCCACCGCCAGGTGTTTTCGACTGCGTTTTTCCCGCGCTCGCGCACCGGCCGCACCTACATCTTCGACCGCCTCGTCCACGGCACGTTGCATTTCGTGCACCGCCGCCAGCCGGGCGTGGCGCCGTTGCGCACCATTGTCGCGCGCTTGGACTTTGACTGCACCGCCGCCCAGGCGGCGCTCTTTGAGCATCTCGTGCAAGACGACCCGCGCTTGGCACGCCTGGTGCTCGAAACGTATGCGCAGACCCGGCGCTTTTTGCTGGCGCCACTCATCAACGCCGTGGAGCGCGGGCTTTTGCGCACGCCGCAGCTTTCGCCGCGCGCCCGCCTCGAGTGGTTTGGCCAGTTTCTCGAGGCCAAGCGCACGTTGGGCTACCGCAACAAGTTGGCGCCGCGCACCGCCGCGATGTTTGGCGAGGTGGCGTTGCGCGCGCAAAAGCCCGGCTTGGACGCGCTCCCCGCATGGGGCCTCGACCAGGGCGTGCCCTTGCGCGTCGTGAAAAATTGGGCGAAGAGGATCAGGTGAACCTACACCTTGTACATAGTCATCTACTGCATAGTATATCTTTCAACGATATTTCGACAAGCGTTAACTTGCATAAACGGGAAGTACTGTCATAATGAGCACTAAGACTTATGGAGTCACTGGGCCCGTCTCTTTAGCAAATCCCACCCCAAATGAGATTAAATTGAATGATCTTTTGATTTCAGAGCTCAAAGCAAGAGGCTCATTTGAAAGCGAACAAGCGACTAAGAAGAGAGTAGAGGTGCTCACTTTATTTCAAAACATGGTCCAAGAATTCGTGTACACGGTATCGAAAAACAAAAACATGAGCGATGGAATGGCGAGAGATGCGGGTGGTAAAGTGTTTACGTTTGGTTCCTACAGATTGGGAGTTTATGGACCTGGTTCTGATATTGATACTCTTGTAGTGGTACCCAAACATGTGGGCAGAGAAGATTTTTTCACTGTTTTTGAGCAAATTATAAGGAAAAGACCCGAGTTAGAGGAGATTACATCCGTCCCTGATGCATTTGTTCCTATCATCAAAATCGAGTTCGATGGTATTTCCATTGATTTAATTTATTCTCGGCTCAATGTTCCCAGAGTGCCTCTTGATATGACACTTGAAGATAAAAATTTGTTGAAAAATATTGATGAAAAAGACTTGAGATCATTAAATGGAACCCGAGTTACGGATGAAATCTTACAGCTAGTTCCTAAGCCGACTGTTTTTAAACACGCTTTGCGCTGTATTAAGATGTGGGCTCAGCAAAGAGCTGTATACGGAAATGTTTTTGGTTTTCCAGGTGGAGTTGCTTGGGCTATGTTGACAGCACGTATTTGCCAATTGTATCCTAATGCAGTGGGTGCTACGATCGTTGAAAAGTTTTTTACTATTTACACGAAATGGAACTGGCCCCAGCCTGTTCTTCTTAAACCAATCGAGGACGGTCCACTTCAAGTAAGAGTTTGGAATCCTAGACTATACCCACACGACCGTCAACATAGAATGCCAGTGATTACTCCAGCTTATCCGTCCATGTGTGCGACTCACAATATTACTAGTTCAACTCAGAAGGTTATAATGAAAGAATTAGAGAGGGGTGCTGAAATAATGAGCTTGGTAGCTTCGGGTGAAAAAACTTGGGCTGACTTGTTCGAAAGACATTCCTTTTTCCACGATTATAAATTTTACCTATGCATCGTTGCTGCTACACTCGCCGATGACGAAGAACACCACAAATGGAGTGGTATGATAGAGTCGAAGCTCAGGATACTTGTGCAAAAGCTCGAGGTCACGGACGGTATTGCATTAGCTCATCCTTACGTGAAAGATTTCTCGAACTCCTATTTACTTAAAGACAAAAAAGTTGATGAAATACTTAATGCAACTGGGACTTTACAAGGTGAACATCTTCTTGGGACACTTGAGTCTCCTACAAAACCAGAAAAGCCCCCATCTGAAGGAGATTCAACAGAAAAAGCTCTACACATTACAAGGCTTTATATAGGCTTGGACATCAACTTGTTAAAGTCAGAAGTTGGTGGAGTGAGAAAGTTAGATATTCAACACCCATGTTCTGAATTTTACAACTTGTGCAAAGGGTGGCTGACATATGACACCGAGAAACACTTCATTCAAATTAAAAACGTTAAATTGTTAGATTTGCCTAACGATGTCTACGTCGAAGGAGAAGTACGCCCCTCTAAAGCAACAAAAAAACGAAAGAAAGATAGCAAAGAAGCTCAACTAAAAAGACCAAGAAGTGTTACAACAACCCCAGTATGAGACAATGTGTCCTTTCTTAGTCAACAAAGACATCCTCCACATTCTTAAATATATAACTTTTGCATGCTTGGCTTCTCGTAGATTTTTTTTCAGCTGTTATTAATCCTAGCTTTATATAAAGCCAGTCTATGAAACTTTCGTCTCCACCAGTTTCATTATATTGGTAAGCGTAGCATTCCCATATTTCGCGGCTCGGTTCATTTTCCCATACTTTTCCTAATTGACATGAAAGCTCTTGTTGCAACGTAGCATTTCTTAGCCATTTTGAATAATAGGTGCGAAAGGCAATGAAACCGTTTATAGAGCGTCTCTGGGACCCCTTTCTTTTTCTTCTTTTCTGCTTCAGTACTTTTTCAACTTGCAACCTTAATTTCAGAGGAGCGCCAGTATGTAACTCGTCCAATACCTGCTTCAAGTGCATTGATGGCTCAGGTAATTGGGGTATTTTTGTCACTTGCAAAATCCCAACTTCAGGCTTTTGCATATTTAAAGAGGGGATTAAAAGAAAAGAAATGAGATATTTAAGGGAGATCACAAGGATTTCCTTACAAGGCGACTAAACTGTATCAAATTTCATGTACATGATACAATGCAGGTCATAAGATCCAAATTCTGCATAGTTGGCCACCACAGTCTATAAGACTGCATAAATCTCTAGATAACGGCGGTTATGTGTAGATACCCTGGGTGATCAATTGAAATTGATCGTACAACCGGGTGTACATGCTTGCCAAGCTTCTCCCGATCAAAACATTCTCCACAAAATCTTTTGCCTCCTCTTCATTCATTTGTAATTGAAGCCTTTGCTTCATGAGCACACTAGTATTTTCACCGTTGTTGAAACAAGGCAAGGAGGAGTCCTTTTGCATAAGTTCGACCATATTCACTATTTGGTCACTTTCCTCTCTAAGAGCCAAAAAGCACCGCTTGCAAAGGTCCTTGAAGTAAAGGAATAACTCACTATCTAATCCTCCAAGTAGATCCACATACTCCATAGTAAGTTTAAAAGGCGCTGCCTCAAAACCCATACTGCCTGGAGAATTTGATAACAAAAACCCAAAATCGATATGTATAATGTGTCCTTCATTGTCCAACATGATATTTCCATTATGCCTATCCTTGATTTGAAGAACGTAACAAATTATCGAATATGATGCAAGGCTTTTCGCAAAATTCTTTTGTGCTCTGCGAAAGCTCCCAGTCTGGAGTCCCCCAAATAATTTTTCGAAGTAATCTTTTAACGTAATGATTTTCCTTCGGGAGTTATCCCCCTCTGATATTGATAACTCTGTCATGGATTTCTTGATTGAGTGTATCGAAATGGCGTTCGTAATTGTTTCAACTAGACCTGTGTTTGCACTGGTGATTAAAATTTTCATTCTCTTTGTCCATGATGGAATATTTTTCTTAGTCCAGATATTCGAAATCATAGCAATGAGTTGACAAGCGAATGCCTCCTGAGGTAAATCGGATCCATTTTTGGCGATAACAGAGCACAAGTCCCAATTTGGAAGATGCCCATAAATACTTGAGTTTCTTATTCTTTGCTTTTTTGCTTTCCAATCCTCTGCAAGTTTGAAGTCATTTTCTAGTTTCCTCTCTCCTGCATTCGATTCTTTTCCTTTCAATTCATTGATCTTATCATAATCGATTGATTCAAATTGGTCCTGGATTTCAATCATTGACTGTATTATTCTTTCCTTAATTGCGGAAGATTGATCCGAATTAGATTTTCCAGCGCTTTCCAACTGTTGCAACATAACGGCAGCAATTCTCATTTGGTCAGCCCTGGTCTTTGCATTATCACTTGACTGGAAAGAAGGATTCTTTTTGTCTAAAGGGCTGCTGGGAAGTACATAGTTACTCGATTTTAACGATGCTAGGTTGTATTCCAGATTGCTTTCTGTGGCAACCTTTAGCTCGCCCAAATCCGTCTCGACTTGTTGTAGTGCGTCATTATAGTCTTGCGTTTCATCGACTGCAGATTCTGCCTCCAAAGTTGAGGCTTTGTCAGCGGAACCTGAACTGCTTTGAAGAAGCCTTCTGTTCTCAGCAGTTGTCGGGTCGAAATCAATTTCGTCGCTCAAAAATTCCACAAACATGAGAAATGGAACTCTTTCGGCAGAATTAAGAACAAATGCTTCATTGACACTTAACTTGAGAATTTTATGATACTTTTTGTTGCGAGTGCTTGTAATAGGGAGAAGTTGTGGTATATCGATTTCTGCTGGAAGTATCGTTTTGTTCACAATAGATAACTCAGCTCTGAGCGCAGAAAGTCTAGCTTCCTTCGGCAATTGGGACAATCGGAGAGATATGTTTTGCAAAGCAAGTATAAATTTCGTCACATTTCTAGAATAGTTAGCCTTTAACCATCTATGAGGGTCGACAGGTGTTGCAACAACTGGAGACGGAGGAGTCTTATGTCTAATCAAGTTCAAGTTGGCAAGCGATATCTCTGATCCAGATGGCGTTAACGAAGGACGCACATCAACAACTTCCTGCGTTGCACCAAGATCAGGCATGGAATGTGACAAGTGATGCTGCTGTGCCTCCTTCCTTTGGCTTTTCTTTATAACGGAAGTCACGTCAAGTTTCTCCTCTATATTTTGGATAAATGACATATTGTCCATACTCTGCATGGACCGCAATCTCAGTGATTGTCGTTTTACAGTATGAAAAATTGGTTCATCTTCATCACTGGTGTAGATTTCAGATTCATCAGAAGTCAATGTTTGGGAAGATACACGTTTTGAACGGGCATAAGATTCAGAATAGCGTTGTTGTTCTGTCGAAGCTTTGGCTTTTACAATAGGCTTTTCGTCATCAGAATGAGCCACTCTAGATTCCTTCGAAAGTTTCTGATTTTTTAAGGTTAGATTTTTTGTCAAAGTTTTCTGAAAGTTGGCTAGTTTGAACACAAATGATTTTTGTTGCTTTGCTTGGGATTCAATAAGAGGCTTTATGAAGTCATGAATCTGGGGCATCCCAAGTGAAGCTGCAACTGCACCACACAAAACTAATGCCGGATGCAAATTTTCACGGAAATCATTCAGAGTTGAGGGCTTGAAGGGATTGAATAGTATATCCTGTAACTTGTTAACCATATTTCTCACAATCTGAAATGAATAGGAATTCGGGTTGTCCTTAAGTTCAAAAACAAAAGCTTGAAGATTCCAGAAAACTATTAAACTGAAATGCGGGTATTTTTCACTATACTCCAATAGGAAATCTTCAAGCGCCATCGAGTTTGTCTCAAAGGAGACTAGAAGCTGAATCAATTGAGGAATCAAAAACTCTAAGTCATCATATTTATATGTTCTAAGCTTTCGAGTGAGGTAGTAGTATATTCCGATCTCGGACAGGTAGCGACGCAAATAATCAATGCACGTGAAAACATCGAAATCCGGCGAATCGATTATTTTTAGTAAAGCTTCGCCAGTTTGATCCATGTTTATGACTTAAGAGTGATGTTGGAGCTTTGTCGAGTAGTTCGTCAGTATGTGCAGATCGGATTCGTATTGACCTGTATCTATTTGGCACTGACAGGAACACGAAACACTACAACTTCGTTGTAATTTGGAAAGAAAACGGCTAAAATATTGTTGAATATTTTTCTTACTACAAACTTGCGCCACATTACACAATCCGAGTAATCAATGAGTTCCAGTTTTCGAACCACTTCATGTTATCTGATGTGCTTCATTCTAAACAGAACAAAAATGTGGAAACTCGACGTATCTAGGTGGCCCGAGACAAACCTATACAAATTAAGAATCGAACACAAATGCTTAAGCTCTGCTAAGTACCAAATATAGAACAGGATATATTATCCCGCGTAACCGAAATGGCAGATTTCCGATCTTTTGCGAGTGAATCAACGTAGATAGTTTATTACTGAGACAAGAGCACTCTAACATGTAATAGTTATACATGCATCGATGCGTAGTTCTTCATTGAAACGACTTGCAATTCGTGTGTTCCGCCCTTAAAAAAGAAGTATAGATAACATGAGAAAAAAAGGCATCTAACCTGTGTCCGATGGGAGGATCTGGCAATGATTCAACAACTTTTCAACCATGACTTCAGGCAGGTCAGCCTTTACGTCGATGTCTATATCAACGATAAATGGAAGATCGCTCGACCCTTTGTTCTTTTTGAAAAGAGCAGGTGTGAAGTGTTGTCCTTCTTCGTGTCTCTTTTTAGCTTTCAAGCGCTGTTCCTCTTCCACTTTGAACTTTTCATCTGTTGCAGACTTGTGATCTCTTTGGTCCAACGCAACAAGGGTCTTATGCCATAACTTTCTCGACTCGTTGGGAAGTTGGTGTTCAAAGGGTTTAACTTCCGGCTTGTGGGTGACAGCATTCGTAGTATCATAAAATACACTTTTCTCTCCCGAAGAATTCTCGATGTACATTACCTCATTCCACTTACCTGAAATGGTGTACAATGTTTTCGAATCTGCAGTCCTCAGAACAGTACCCTCAATGGCATCATAAGCACCACTAATGAAGCCCTTAGTCTTAAATTCAATATCAGCCTGTAAGCCAGTTTTTTCGCACTTAATAAGCATATGGTCACCCAATTCGTACCTCAATTTGCCAAATAAAATTCCCCGACAATAGATATTTGGTTGAGTTAAAGAGTAGACCTCGTCGTGTTCACCAAGTGTAACGTATGCAACGCCCTCCATCATAGCCGCAGAAGAGTTTCCTAAAAACTTGGACCTTGGAATGATTACGCCATCAGCTCTAATTCGCTTTTCAGGAATCAAGTAGAAATAGGAGGATTCTGGAGGGTGATGCGATGTTTGTTCGGCAAGATAATAGCCCGATGTTCCATCAGGCAATTCACTCCAATAACAGCTAAAAACTTCACCTAAAACTGGGTTCAATGGCTTTTTGACAGCTTTGGGGGCGATATGCCAGCAAGATAAGTACCACTTGACCATCAACAAGAAACGTTGGACGTCATCTGCAGTTCCATTTGCTTCAAGCAATATATGAGGGGTGAAGAATGCATTTGTAATTCTCTCTAGCATAGACTTTTTCTCTAAAATGAACGTTGGCAAAGTTATTCTTGTTAAGTCGCAGCCTGGCCTTAACTGAGAAATAATCCCCATCAATATTGATTGGTTCTCAGTATCTATTTCATCCACATCACCGGCGTTGGCCAACTCCTCAGAGCTATCAGCTTTCGAAGACGACAACGAGATCTTGTTCTTCAATCGACCCAAAACCATGTTGTTGAAATTAGATCCCTACAGAAGATCCGTAATTGCTGTGAACATATCATTATCTGCAGGTCCAACAAACGCGAATCAAAAGTTACTTTGATGTGAGGCAAGAACAAACATAAATGAAACAACGATGGCGTAACAGATGTCGTAAACTTGTAATTAGGTTGCTTAGTATCCGAAACAATTATGAAATCCATAAACATATTTAAGTAACACATTGTCTTAGCCTATTTCCTGCAATGAATGATCTGGAAATACCTCCACATGAAGTTGAACTCCTTCAACTTCTGGAACAACTAAAAGAAACACTACGAATGTTTTTAATGGCAATATGTTCGATGAGGGAAGTTAATCCTCATGTTTTAAGGTTAGAACTTGCCGTCGTTTTTAATCGATTTAAAAGTATTTTGAAATCAGATCCTCACTTAGCGAGTAAACATCTGGATATTCTCATCGAGATCAATTATTTATGCTCAGTGTTACAGGAAACATTCTCTGAAAGGCTTGATTATGAAAATGAACTTCTTAGAATTGATTAATGTTTGAGTGGTGAAAAAACCTCGATAGGGGCATCTGCAACAGAAACATACATACACATGAGGAAGATAAAAGTCAAACATCACTGAAATTACCATAAGAAACATAAAGGTATAATTCAATTTCATCTTTAAGGCACAAACACTTATTAATAGGTCATATCGATTGAAATAATTTATGCTGGTAAGGATTACGTAAAAGGCGAAACACGGCCGACCAAAGCAACGAAATGCAAACGGGCGGGGAGCAAAGCAGACAACATCAAGCGACCGAAAAGCGTAGTGTCAGCCTGATGACACGCATTTCTAGACAATGCACACAAAACAAATATATGTAGCTAGGAGAGCACATTCCAAGGTGTATGCTTATCTACGCTCCAGAGAAAGCTAAAGCTCGTACGAAAGCTTGAGTCATCTAAGATAAATTATGTAATGTCTAGTATGTACAATAGGTAGAGAACGGCCAGTCCACAGAACAGAGAGAAGTGGTTGCGAGACCAAGAGTCCATCCGGAACAAACACAGTCTGGCTCGATCAGCATCAACACTATCATCAAATTGGCCAGTGAACTTCGACCAAATGGCCAGTCTGAAGTTCGATCATGGCCAGCTGAACTCGATCAATGGCCAGTCTCTTCGATCGAACACTCCTGACCAGACCCCGTCCCTCATCCTCTCTCTCTCAAAACCACCGTCTCCGCTTCAGATAGTCGCGTGGTTCCTGCGGCGCCTCGCCCTTCCAACGGCCCAAACCGAAGTAGCGCAAAACAAACTCCACGTCGCCGAACGGCGCCCGGTCGCCCTGCATCACCACCGTGGGCGTGGCCAGCCCTTCGCCGTTGCCAAGCCCTTGCAACACTTTCTGGGCCACCGCACGCACGTCGGCCACCGTCAAGCGCTCAATGTGCTCCACCATCTCGTCCACAGACGTGACCTTGCCCTGGCACTGCACCTGGCGGCCAATGTCCTCCAACGCCGCAAGCTTGCTCTCCACGTTCATGAGGAGCGACAGCACCAACTGGTTTTTGGCACGGCGCAACTCCTGCTCGGTGATGCCGCCGCGGCCAACGTCGGTCTCCATGACCTTGGCGAGCTCGTGGCACGCAATCTGCGCCATGTACTCGGCCTGGTCCACGTAGCACGAGAGCGTGATGCCGAAAAGACCCAGGTCCGAGTACGCGTGGTGGAAGCACAGGCAGTTTTCCACAAACGGATACTGGTTGAGCACGCGGAAGAGCCGCAGGAACATGCCCTTGCCCGGGCCGCCCGCCGAAAACGACAGCCCGCCGCCAAGAAGCTTCTGGAGCGTGGCGAGCGCATACAAGTCCGAGCTCAAGAGGCCGGCCGACTCGAAGGCGATCTGCATGTGCACGAGCGGCGGGAGGTTGGCGTAGCGGGGCGCCACGTACGGAAGCGCAAGCTCGCCGCCGACGTAGGCTGCTGCCTTCTTTGCTTTCTCCTGTTCTGGCTTCTTTTCTGCCTTCCAGTCGCCGAAAAGACTCTGGGCCATTTTCTCCGCCGCAGCAACGTCAACACCCACCATGGCCACCACCGTGCGCTCGGGAACGTAGTAGTCGGCGTGATAGGCCGCCACGTCGCCACGTCCAAGCGCCGCCACGCTCTTGTCCAGGCCGTAGAGCGGCATGCCCAAGCCCTGGGCGCCGTAGGCGCGCGCGTGGAGCGCCTCGACCAAATTCACCTCGGGCTTGTGCGCAAGCTCGGCCAACTCGTACGCCGCCGTGGCGCGCGCCTCGCCCACCTCCGCCTCCAGCAAGAGCGGCGCGCGCACCGTCTGCGCCATACACTCGAGCATCCGCCCGACGTCCTGGTGGAAAACCAGCGCCTGGTACAACACCAGCTCGCGCTGCGCCCCACACATGTAGTTGCCGCCCAACCGCGCCAAAAGCTCCATCATTTGCACGCCCGTATGGTTTTGCGTCGACTTGAACGCCATGCGGTCAAGCATGTGCGCCACGCCGCTGTTGGCCGCCGTTTCGTGACGGGTTCCGGCGTCTATGTATGTGCCCAAGGCCGAAAAGTGGCCGGGCGTCGGGTCGGTCACCACACGGAGCCCGTTGGCAAGCGTGGAGATGTGCACGGGCAGGGCCTGCTGCAGGCGGGAGAGCCGCCGAATACTGTTTTTGCTGATTCCTCGGGAGATGCGGCCTAGCATAAGAAGATGTGGATCTAAAAGTCGCACTGCGGTAGTGTACTAGTAGATACTAGTGGATACTAGTAGTGGATACTAGTACGAAGAGCGCGACTGGATACAGTGGCACGCTTAGTCAGACACGCGGGCCAGCCGCCAGACAGTGATAGGCAGAGACGAATATGAATGAATGGGAGCAAATGGGATGGGGGAAATGGGATGGGGAGAAATGGGATGGGGAAGGAAATGGGACGTTGGAGTGGGTCACGTGGATGGTCACGTGACCATATCCACCCATCCACTGTCTCCACTTCCAGCCTTAAAATCCGAAAGAAAAGACCTTCCCATGGTTCTGTACCCTCGCAGCACTTAGATGATGCCTTTCCTTGCACCCTAGAGAAGGGTTTCGTGCAATTTTCAGAGGGGCTCCCACGCCCGAGGTAAGCTGGTGTACGGGTGTTTTGCCCACTAATGGCCCATGAAGACGGCAATTAAATTCGTGCGTTTAACTCAGTATTTGGCTTGATGACAAATCCCACAATTTAGCGAAAGTCGACGGACACAGAAGCGACCTCATCTCATAGTAAGTTTCTCGAATTGTTATGCTTTCTCTCTTTTCCATTCTGAAGACTCTGTTTCACATGTTGAGCGCATATAGAATCTGTAATCATGTTTCTTCGTGTGCCAGTGCTGTCATAATTCTTCGAAAGTGCTAGAATACATGTAATCCAAATCATAACCACTTTAACCATATCTGAATTTGCGTCCTATGGTTTCTTAGTACAGTTGAGGAGCTCGATTTCCCAAGATCTGAGTTCGGGTGATACATTTTATGGCTAGACTTTTCAGATTAAAACGGACAAAATACACTTCCAAGTCATGAAATCTGAAGTCCAGATGTTTACTTTGATAATTTCAGTTCTCCACTTCTATTTGTCCAATTTACCTTACCAAGTTTAATTTTGTCAAACCTTTGTATTTCCTCCAGTCTATGAAGAGTCGCTAAACCGTAGCTCGTAGAGTTTTTCGAACCCAAGTCGCCATCTTTGATTAGCCGGGAGTCATGTAATTCCGGTTCCAGTAGCTTAATTCTGCTCCTTCATGATGTCGTACTTCACCGGAATACAAGCACCGGCAATTTCGAGAAACGTTCTAGGCGAGAGAAAAGCTCTAGAGGCTTCAACTACGGCAAGCTGCAAGGCTCACTTTATCGACAAACGGTTTTGAAAGAAATTGGCAAATCAGCAAATGTGAAAGCATTATTTCTCATCCGGCAAGCATCAACGCTTGCACTTTCTGCCTACCTGTTCTAGACCGAGCCAAGCTATTTGTTTGAAAAATATCTACAGAGGATTTTCGAGTGGTTAGAAATATCAAGCATAAGAGACGCATCGAATTTCCGAATGCGACAAGTCAGCAAAATAGTGAAGAAAAAGAAAAGGGAGTTGGCGTAGCTATTTGAATGACGTGTGGTTCTATGCGGTTCTTGGGCTAATCTTCTTAGCAATGAAAAATGTATGACCTTGGTGTCTATTTCTGGCACTGCATTTTTAGGACTTCTATATTTTCCTGGAATCGTCGGTGACTGTATTTCTCTTTGTCCCAGACTCGTGGGTGTTGGAAAATATTTACTTCTTCTATTTTGATCAGGTAAATATCGAATCAATGTTCTCTACTGAATCATGGCACGAGAATGCAATGAGATGGAAGAGTCCCGTTCTTGCCGAGGGTAATAAAATATACCGGGGGTTGATATTTTCTGGTTACCGGGAGGTCTAGACGTAAATAGATGACGCCAGACGATGATCCGGGAACCCATGTTGCTTCTGCTACTTCCAACAAGTTCTACCTGATGCACACGTATTTCTGCTTCTTTATTTTTTCACTAATTCAGCCTTCTTTATCTTTTCTACTAAGTGAGTCATCTACACGTCAATAAAACAGGCCTCCGGATGGTAGAAGGTGGGGCACAGCCAGTAGGGTCTTCTTATGCCGTCCCACACGCTGGCGTCGCCCTTTTTCATCGTCTCTGGAGGAACCTCGACCTCAATAAAGTCACACCGGAGACCGTAGTTGGCCAAGTCGATTTCGACAAGTTTTTTGTACACCTCATAGATGACCTGGCGATCGGCGCCTAAGCCGTTGAAGAAGGAGAAAACGCCGTGGGGCTTCAAGAGGCCCACCACGTAATCGAAAAGCTCTAGCATGTCTTGGTAGTGTTCGGAGAAAGTGTCGTAGTAGATGCCGTTGAAATAGACGTTTCCGGCACTCAACAAGGCATCCAACTGCTCCTGCCATCTGCCTTCGAGAATGACCACGTTCGGCTTCTCGTACCAGCCGTCTTCCTTCAACTTGCGGAGCACGTCCGGATGCGCCTCGCAGATGTAATGCTTGGTGGGGTTTTTGGCGTTGATCATGGTGTCGATGATGCCCATGCCGAAGCCGATGTTCAAGATGTTGACTTCCAGGTCGGACGAGGCTCCTTTGAAGAGCGACTCGCAGCCGAGGCGCATGAGGTCGGTTTCCCAGTCCATCATGACGCCATCTTGGTTTTGCTCCGTGACAAGAGCGCCGTCTTTGTACTCGAGCTTGGTGTTGAGGTATGCGTGCTGGTTGTGCGAGGGATCGAGCTTTTCCTCTTTGTCTTTCTTTTCTTTCTTCTCTTCCTCTTTCTTCTCCTCTTTCTTCTCTTCCTCTTTCTTCTCTTCATTTTCCTCCTTTTCTTCCTCTTCCTTCTTCTCTTCCTCCTCTTCCTTCACCTTCTCCTCCTCTTCCTTCACCTTCTCCTCCTCTTCCTTCCCCTCCATCTCCTCTGGCCACTCGTCCTCGCTGAGCACCTCCATATCATACTCAGAAACCTTGCGCAACAACAACTCCGCCCGCACTCCCGCGTCCACTATCTGCTCGTAGATCGGCGTCGCCTTAAACCCTCTGCGGATCAAAATGCATCCTGGAGTGTCGTTGTTCACATCTGTAAGACACCAGCCGGCGCCGTACTCCAAAAGCGCAGCGACAATGTCGCCCACGGTCTCCAACTCGGCGGCCGTCGCATCCTCAGGCAAATGTGTCGCGATCAAGTGCAAAGGTGTGGTTGTGGACTCGGCGTCCTGCTCGATTCCATGCGTGTAGTTGTACGCCTCTTCCACAGTGTAGGTGGCGGGGATTCCGTTGCTCAAGTAGTAACGCACCTTCTCCACGGTCTCGGGGCCGATCGGCCGGCTCGAGAAACGGCACAAGTCGTGGAGGTCTGACATGTTGAAGAAGTAGTAGTTGGATGGAGTATGCAGGCGCGATGCCTGTTCAATGCTTTGCGCAACAAACAGAGCTGTATACACAACTGTGTTTGGAGCTGGTAGACCAGAGACTAACCCAGAGGATTCCTTAAATGAATCCTCCAGTGAGGATCTAGAGTCAGATGGTTTCATAGCATCAGCAGGAGCAGTAGATGGAGTAAACATTGATAAGTGACGTTTGATTGACATAGACATATATGTATCGGGAGATGGAGAGATGATCCTTGGAGAAGGGAATCCATCTTAGAGAGAATAGATGATCTTATATATCCGTGAGAACTACAGAGGTGAAACCTTCTTAAAACAGAGAGGGGTACGCCATGCTCGTCAGCTCCTATAGTTTCAGAATCTGTAAGATAACGATGAAACTGTTCTGGAGTAATCCTGACGTGCATATTGCATGTAAGAGATTCTCAACAATGCCCATCCACACATTTATGGTAGGTGCAAGTGATGATAGAGAGATGTTGGAAAGGAGAGGGTCTAGGAGAGGAGGGGAGATGGGAGATTGGAGATCAGTACAGAGAAAAGAGACGTCCTTTTAGGAGAGACATTATGTTAGGAGAGAGAATTTTTTGATAGACAGAGAGAGGGTTATGACAAATTTATGCCTAGAACTGTGCCTAAGACATGGAGACTAAGATCTTAATACTTAGCGATGCATCTGTATTGCGTGGTCTGGAAACGTAATCTTGTAGCTAGTCTGGCCCAAATTATCTGTGGAAGAATCGTAGAGCTGGTCCTCGATAAGAAGTCTGTAGTATTTGATTTTTTGCATTTGATCCAAGAATCTATCCCAAAGCATCTTCCTCGTCATCAACAGCGTCGTCCATCAAGACATGTGCCTAGGAAATTGGTCAAGAAACCCAAACACAAACCGTAAACCCAAACCCATAAACACATAGACCTATAAACCATAAACGCATAAATCATAAACCACAAATGTGACAAAAGATGTAAATCAGGAACGAGGAAAGATACCCAGGCTGTCTTCAAGCCATCAAGCCATCAAGCCATCAAGCCTCAATCCATCACCAACTACATTTCTTGTCGTCAGCAAGAATGACATCCCGATGGGTCTGGCTATTCAGGTCTGTCTATTCAGGCCTGTCTATTCAGGTCTTCTCAGGGTCTGGCCACCAGTACGACCATACGAGCAGCTAATAACAGTCACCAGACAAAAATAAACCCAATTACGCCACCGTCCATCGTCTCTTCTATTGTTCTGTAGGCATTTGTGGAGAGCCAAGAAGCGCCTGTCTTGTCTGCAGGACGCCGTCACCACTAGCCAAATCCAGCAGAAGGAAGAGGAAAATAAGAGAAGATGTGCATCCGGCTAAGCGAACGGCAGAGAAAGCGGCGTCTACCACAGCAGCACCCGGACCCGCCCGGCGACCGGCATTGGCCGAAGCTGGCGAAGAGGCGTTTGGAGCAGCGGCGCGCGGGGCACGTGACCAGAAGACTCATTTTCGACCAGTGGCGTGACCAAGCAAGACGAAAGTGCCGGACAGCAGCAGAGGCGGGAAAAAGGCGCCAGTGGATCAGGTGCAGAATTGGGACAGACGAGCCGAGGGCCAGGCGGACGGGGCCGGCAGAGGCGGCGGGAGAGGGAGTGGGGGGCCGGTAGGAGAAGAGGTGGGTGAGAACCGGGGGTGCGGGTCACGTGCGCTGCGCTGCGCGTCAAAAATAGCGGGCGTCGAGGCAGAGCCGGCCGGCGACATCCGAGGGCAGTGCGTGCCAGAAATCATACGATTCCCTGGCTATAGATACAGGCATGGCCAAGCGAGGTTGATTTGTTCAAGAAGCAGAAAAAGCCCGGTCCCAACCACCCAGCTGAAAAGAAAAAAGGGCCCTCTGCCAGCGTCTTCTCCCGTTGTTTCTCCCTCTTCCCTCCACCATGTACCACCATGTCAAAGCAGTATAATCCTGGCCAGGTGACATTCTTCAGCGACAAACCCAAGTCCCCCAAAGAGCTCGAGCCGCTCGATCTCTCGTACCCAAAGCTCCAGCCGGAGCTCGACCAGCGCGTGGACATGTTTGACTACGCCCACAACCCGCCCCAGCCCTACGACCAGTTGGCGTTTGCCGGCTTGCAAGACCCGTTGGCGCCCGTTTCCCCTGGCGGCGCCATGGCAGGCGCGCCCGCCTACAACGCGTTTGGCAGCCCGCTCCTCAACATGATGCCGGTGAAGCGCGAGTGGCGCGACGACCAGCCGTCGCTGCGCGAGCTGGCCACGCCCAACGGGCCGCCCGGGAACGGCGCGCCTAATGGCCTTGCCAATGGCGCGCCCCACGGGCCCAATGGCGGGCCTAATGGCGGGCCGCAGGCAGCGGCCGCGCGCCCGCGCACCAAGTCCGCCCACAACGTGATTGAGCAGCGGTACCGCAACAAAATCAACGACAAGTTCACGGCGCTCCAGAACGCCGTGCCCACGCTACGAGTGCTTGCGCGCAAAAAGTCCAAGACGCGCTCGGACGACGAGGACGACGACGACGAGTACGAGTACTCGCCGGACCTCGAGGCGCACGAGGACCTTGAAGGCTTGGAGCCGGCGCGCAAGCTCAACAAGGGCACCATTCTCACCAAGAGCGTGGAGTACATCAAGTTTTTGGAGCGCAAGAACGACCGCATGAAGGCCGAGCGCTACCAGTTGGTGGAGCGGGCTCGCATGTTGGGCATTGTGCTCGACGAGTCCATGCTCGACCGCTACGACTAGCATGGGATCTAGAGTGATGAAAGATGATTGTGATGATTGATTGTGATTGTGAAAGATGATTGTGAAGATTGTGATTGATTGGAAAGATGATTGTGATTGGAAAGATGATTGTGATTGGAAAGATGATTAATTGTGATTCTGACGTCTAGAACAGGTGAGTGCCTAGTGAGCCTGACAGCATTGAGCGAGGGCTGTCAGCGATGCATTGAGATTTATTTTATTGACGTTGATATATTGACCCATATATTGCGCTACGTGACCTAATGGCTGACTAAAAGTCTCCGCTTACCAGATTAAATACCAAACCAGCGAATGAATAGTCAAGAATGAACTATTGTGTAGCCTTCCATCTACAACGAACACTAAATCTATACAGTTGTTCTCGGACTTGACTGTAAGAGGAATTATTGAATACTTATTCTTTAAGAATAAGTTGAATACTTATTATATTATAAGTATAATAATAAGAAGATAACACGTATACCTATGAATCATCAATCTTGCCATCCTCAGAACGTTGTAGTTGGATTTTATCTGAAATGTCTGCAATCAGGTAACGCTCTTTTGCCAATTACTTCCCTTTTAGTTCTTTAGCATTGCTTAAACTAGACTTGACCAGTTCAGCATTTATCTTTTTAACTCTCCTTCATTTGCCTTCTACATGGCACTGCCTAAGCTTGAGTCTTCCGAAGTCTATTAATTGGTCAGTACTTACAACAGTCTGCTGCTCGTTTACGTGAGACTATGTATGGACCGATGTCCTGAAACACTGGCCAATCAATGTGGCTGAATACATCGAGACAGACTTTGTTTTTTGGAACTTTGACTAATAAGTGATCTCGTTCAATGGTCTGTGACAACTCCCAATCTGCGAGTATAATCGATGCCATCCTATACTGTATGCTAGTGATGCCCAATTATATGAAAAAGTACTTACAAGAATGTCGTTCAGTAGACTTGTTGATGATGAAGTTTAGTATCGATCGAGTCTGCGATAATACTCCATGAGACGGAGCCAAAGCTTCTTTTGGTGAAGAGAGAACAATGCTCAACTCATTCGGTCCCACTTCGATTCACCGAGTACGCAAAAGGCAAATGAAGTTCACGAGGATCTTCAAGTTGTCGATTTTCTATTCCGATCAAGACGGTGGCACCATGGAAATCCGATATCTCCCAATTCCGTATCTCCACATATTAGAATCAACGATTCCAGACGTTAGCATGCAGAAGATGTACGAGGATTTCTGTTTCCGCAAAACAGAGACGTGCCATTCATTACACGATTGAAAAATTACGTGCTGCTGTTGATCCAAGATTACCCAAGTCATACCATCACAATGGAAATTCTAGGAGCAATCCAAACACTCTTGGTTCTAGGTCACGACATCTCCAAGTCTTACAATTCCCATTAGGCTTTCAAATCGTATGTTCTGCCATATATCTACCTGCTCAGCCCTTTTAGCATTGTTCGTCCAGTGGAACTTGTAAGCGCATATTCATCATAGGCCCACCTGCACCTCTAACGGCTACAAAGGCGATGTATCCATAGTTGAGAAAAGTGGAAACAAAGCCAGAAAAAAAATCATGAGCATTGCTCAATCCGTCGAGGTCCATTACTAATTCCGTAATTTTCTCTTTTCTCTGCTCTTGTTCATTTTTCTCTATTCCTCTTCTCTTCTCTTTTCCTTCGTTTATGTCGCTAAAGATGGCCTGAGCCAGTCGAAAGCGCGACGATACTGCTTACGTTATGTGCAGTACACGACATCTCTGGCGATGCGCTCATACGATGGCATAAACACGAACGGAGCAAGAGGAGGCAAAACGGAACAGGCCCCACAAACAGAAATGTCGTTCACCCTTTTCTGCCCCGTTTCCCCTTTCTCCCGCTTTTTTCCCGCCTCTCTTTCGCCAACCAGGTCTATCGGCATCTCTATCATAGCCCCAGACGCGCGCACACCCGTGCACCATCGTATAGCCTTACCAACAGTATATATGACATTGGTGAGTCGACAAAAAAAAAATCTCTTCCAGTATCCGCTATGGCTTTGGCAGAGTACGTCGCTTGGGGCTACGCGCAGTTTTGTCTGCTTGGACTTTTGTCCAAAATCGCGCTTTTGGTGTTCACGCCCATCGTGTTCAATGTGTTGTGGCAGTTTGTGTATTCGTTGAGAAAAGACCGGGTACCAATGGTTTTCCACTGGATTCCGTGGTTCGGCTCGGCCATTCCCTATGGTATGCAGCCTTACGAGTTTTTCGAGAGCTGCAGAGAGAAATACGGCGATGTGTTTGCCTTCATGTTGTTGGGCCGTGTGATGACGGTGTACTTGGGCCCAAAGGGCCATGAGTTTGTGTTGAACTCGAAGCTTGCGGACGTTTCCGCCGAAGAGGCCTACAGCCACTTGACCACGCCTGTGTTCGGCAAAGGTGTGATCTACGACTGCCCCAACCACCGGTTGATGGAGCAAAAGAAGTTTGCCAAGTTTGCCTTGACCAAGGACTCGTTCCAGAAGTACGTTCCTCGCATCCAGGAGGAGATCCTTGACTACTTCAAGTCGTGCCTGGACTTCAGCATGACCGAGCGCAACAGCGGCGTGGCCAACGTGATGAAAACCCAGCCGGAATTGACCATTTTGACCGCGTCCAAGTCTTTGATGGGTGACGACATGAGAGCCCGTTTCGACACGTCGTTCGCGCAGTTGTACTCGGACTTGGACAAGGGCTTCACGCCCATCAACTTCGTTTTCCCCCACTTGCCCTTGCCCGCCTACAGACGCAGAGACGAGGCGCAGAGAAAGATCTCTGCCACATACATGTCGTTGATTAACGACAGAAGAAAGTCGGGCGACATCGTGCCAGACAGAGACTTGATCGACTCGCTCATGCTCAACTCCACCTACAAGGACGGCGTGAAAATGACCGACCAGGAGATTGCCAACTTGTTGATTGGTGTTTTGATGGGCGGTCAGCACACGTCTGCCGCCACATCTGCGTGGTTCTTGTTGCACTTGGCCGAAAAGCCAGAGCTCCAGGAAGAATTGTACAACGAGGTGCTCAGCGTGTTGACCAAAAAGGGCGGCAAGATCACCGACTTGTCGTACGAAGATTTGCAAGAAATGCACTTGGTCAACCAAACCATCAAGGAAACCTTGCGTCTCCACATGCCTTTGCACTCGATCTTTAGAAAAGTCAAGCACAACTTGGTGGTGCCCAACACCAGCTACGTGGTTCCAAAGGGCCACCATGTGTTGGTTTCGCCTGGTTACGCCCAGACCTCGGAAAGATGGTTCCCTAAAGCAGATACCTTCGACCCCCACAGATGGGACAACGACTGGGCCTCCTCTGTGTCTGAGGGCGACGCTGTCGACTACGGTTTTGGCAAAATCACAAAGGGTGTTTCTTCCCCATACTTGCCTTTTGGCGGAGGAAGACACCGCTGTATCGGAGAGCAGTTTGCCTACGTGCAGTTGGGCACCATTTTGGCCACCTACGTATACAACATCAAGTGGCATTACGCCAAGGGCCACTCTTTGCCTGATGTGGATTACCAATCAATGGTGACTTTGCCAATGGCGCCTGCAGAAATTGTTTGGGAAAAGAGAGAAACGTGTGTTATTTAGTTCTAGACATCTGACGACTTAGCGTACTATATGTAAGACATCCCTCGTCTTTGAGCACAGTAGACCATGAGGTTCGCGTAAGCTGGATGCATTCGTGTAAAGAAGCTGGATGCATTCTTGCACTGGAATGATTAAGTATCCAGATTTGGAAATACAATTGACTTTTATAGTGGCTCCACTTAGGTGACTATACGATAGTCAAGCTTGCCACGATCCCAGTGTTTTTTCTAGTATACATATCTTCTGTAGCGGCGCAAACTCTTTATAAGAATCCTGGAGTTCATGCAGAGCTTGTATCTGTAAAATAGTACCACTTTCAGCGATCTTTCATTGGCTTGAGCGTTCGTCATGATTGATAGTAAAAATTTAGAGTTTCTATGGGTGGTAATAAAAGCTGTAGGGACCACGAACACTACCATTAATACATCTACCGAAATGTCGCTGATTAAGTCCTTTACACCTTTTATGTCTGTTCAGTCGTTGCATGACTGCAATTACACTGCAGAACTTTGAACGAAAGATTTAGCCATAGCGGAAAATATTTGGCCTAGAGCACAGGTCTATCAATTTTTCACTCTTCTACAGCAAAGTGATTAAGAATCCCGAAATCGCCAATTGTGTCAAGACCTGAATTAGGAAATAATACAGTGTCCATATGCCCTCCTTCCATTTTTGGCAAACTACGAATAACTCAATGTACTAAAAATGAAAATCAGCACGTCCAAAGAAAAAAGACGCAGTATTTTCGTCTCATTTCCTCAGCCTCTGTCTTATCACCTATCCGCGAAAAGTAGTCACTCCGCCTAAAATGTTAGAGTCAAACACAAAAAAAAGACCCCATCATATATCGAGCAGTTCCTTTCCTAACTTTAAAACTGCCCTCTTGGGAAACTTTTTCCGTTACATGCCATATTTCCTTTAAAATTACCCACATATTTGACAATGGCTATCATGCACGGTGTACGGGTGCAGCACCAATGACTCAAGCACATAAGCCAAGCGAAAAAGAAAAGAAATTTCCATAACAGCTGGGAAAAAAACAGTCGAGGTTTCCATGTCTTTCACTCTCAAGGTTCCAGCGTCAAGCGCCAACATCGGCCCGGGCTTTGATGTTTTGGGTATCGGCTTGAACCTTTTTTTGGAAATCCACGTTTCGGTCGACCCGAACGTAGACACATCAGCAGACAAGTACAACGCCAAACTCAGCTACGAGGGCGACGGGGCTAGCGGGGTGCCCTTGCAAAGCGAAAAAAACTTGGTTACTCAGACCGCCTTGTACATTATGCGCTGCAACAAAGTGGACAAGTTCCCATTGGGAACACACATCCATGTGGTCAATCCGATCCCATTGGGCCGGGGCTTGGGTTCTTCGGGCGCTGCCATTGTGGGCGGAATAATGTTGGGCAACGAGATTGCCGGGCTCGGCCTTTCCAAGGAGCGCATGCTCGACTATGCTTTGCTCATAGAAAGACATCCAGATAACATTGCCGCGGCGATGTTGGGAGGATTCGTGGGCTCGTACTTGAGTGAAATGAGCGCCGAAGACACAGAGGCGAAGAACGTGCCGCTCGAAAACATCTTGCCCAAGGAAAGCACGCCCAGCGAGCAAGTCGAAAAACGGCCGCCGCCAAACGCCATTGGCCAGTACTTGAAGTACAACTGGAACCATCAGATCCGCTGCGTCACCATAATACCACAGTTTGAGTTGAAAACAGACGATGCCCGCGCCGTGCTTCCTGACCTGTACTCCAAGGCTGACATTGTGTTCAACTTGCAGCGGTTGTCCATCTTAACCACGGCCTTGACGCTTGAAAAGCCAAACCACCGCATGATCTACGAGGCCATGAAGGACAAGATCCACCAGCCTTACAGAGCACAGTTGATTCCGGGGCTCGAGAGAGTTTTGAGCGAAGTGACTCCAGACTCGAACCCAGGCTTGTGCGGCATTTGCTTGTCTGGTGCTGGGCCCACCATTTTGTGTTTGGCCACGGAAAACTTTGATGACATTGCGCAAAAGGTGGTGGGCATTTTCAAGGAAAACGGTGTGGTGTGCGACTGGAAGCTTTTAGACTTGGCTTATGACGGTGCCACTGTCAGCAGGTAATAGAATCTAGCATCGGTGGCCACACTATAGAATACATAGACCGGATTGCAAAACACGGACGGTTTGTGATGGGATGGTGAATATCCCTCGACGTATCTCGATGTTTTGGCCAATACAGAAAGTGGAGAAATGAGACCACAAGTTTTCGCTTTGTGTGTTTCTGTAATGCCAGAAATGAGACCACAAGTTTACACTTTGTGGTCTTCTGTAATGCCTCAGGCTAAAATCAAGAAAGTGATAGATGTAAGACAGTGTCCTATCCTAGATTCAGAGACGGCATGAAGGTTCGGCTTCACCTGCCAGTGTAGAATGTTCCTTAATAATAATATCCACATACGTAGTCCGTTCCGCCAGAACTGCTCCTTCATTCCTCAATGAGTAAGAGCTGATATCTACAATATAGATTATGAAGCGGAATGCACTGTGAGACTCTTTCTTCAAATTGTCCAGAAGTTAGGCTACATTTAGATCTCTTAAGATGTAATTAGTTCAACTGCAGTGTTTGGATCTCTTCACGTAAAAGTCTGATATACATTCCATTCATCTGCTATCGACTAACCAATTTACATGATTTGTACCTAAAGAAAGTAGTTGACAAAAAAGTGTCAGTTGAGTACACAAACACATAAATAGTCATGCACCATGCAACTGAACACCCGTACATTCCAGTAATAAAAACCCATACACCACAAATATAACACCTGTACATCCTTAAACATCAGTACACCAGAATATTAAAAACCCATACACCAGTATTTCAAGACCCGTACCTCCTTATACTTAAGACCTAGTGCCCCGTTTGGCCCACAAGCCAGGGCAACAGAAGTGTGGAATGAGGCTAGCCTTCATTTTCCGCCCGAAATTTGTTTTTGGAACTCATATGGAACAAATTTCTGCCTTGTTGGGGACATAATATGTGCTTGCTCGCAAATACAACCATCGAGCAGAGCTCTGTAGTTTCATGGGCCCAACTCAACTTCAAGAAAGTGGCGTTTTAGAGTGAAGTCCTTCTTTAAATCGTCACTGAAATACAGTTCCTCTCTTCTTCTCCAGAGATTTGAATCAACCCCAAAAATTGTGTGCGGCACGACCCCAGAGCCAATCACCGATTTCAGAGCGGCTCATTCAGTCTCCTACTGTAATGTCTCTGAACGAACATTTAGCCACGCAGATTCTCAAGCAGGATGCGCTAAGCTCCTCAGGCTCGCAGCCCGTTTATTTGACGAAAGTGGAAGTCAATGGTGCAGACAGCTTCTCCAGAGAGTTTTTTGGCAAGCTCTTGGCGCCTTTGGTAGAAGAGAGCGACTACACGTTGAAGCAATTGGTGCAGCGGACAGAAGACTGTTTCGGGAACTTGCAAAAGGCGCTGGTATTCCGGTCGGTGGCACCTTCCGTGCACGTGGACTACATGCATCTGGTTCCGGACCTCAAGTCGTACAACAAGGACAAGCCCATTCCAACGCGGGTGGTTTTCGACCTTGAAGCGGGCGACTTGAGTTCTGGAGACGCTACGTTGGGCTTCAACACGCAGGACAACCTTGTGGTTGATTTGGGCTACACCAACAACAACTTCAACCACAACGGTGAGCTTGTGAAAATCGGCGTCAACTACAGGCCGTACAAGCCTGCCGAGCACTTGGTGTCGACCATGAGACTCGTGCTGGGTTTGCGCAACCCGGCGTACAAGTTCTTGGTGGACTTGTACTCGTCACAGGACAACAACCAGCAGTGGCAGCAGAGTCTGAGCAAGGCCACGGGAGGTGTTCTTGGCGTGTCATTCTTGAACACGGCCAAGACCGTTTCTGTGTTCGGCGGTTTGGCCTTGACGAAACGGACCGTGTACGACGTCCAGGACGATCTTCTGGAACATGCGGGCGACTTTCTCAAGTCGTCTGCCCTTGCCCGTCTCTCGTTTTCCAACGTGGGCTACTTGGGCCAGCTGTTCCCGGCCAACGGTGTGACTGCCACTGTTTCGAGCGAAATCAGCTCCGACCAGGAACAAGAACCTACCAGCACACGCCAGGCATTTTTCGCCAAAACTGCGGGAAAACTCGACCTCTACAAATCCTTCTTGCGCAACAGGTTCACCGCCCACTTGTTCTCTGAGGCCGGCGCCATCTACGCCTCTGCGGGCAACTCCTTTGGTGTGCACTTGTGCGACCGCTTCTACTTGGGCGGAATCGGGTCCTTGCCTGGTTTTGCTCGCAACAGCGTCAACACCAGCGGCGGAACACAGTACTACAAAGCAGGAATGTCGCTCTTCACGCGTATTCCTTCATTTGTGCATGAAAAACCAACTAACGAAACCAGTCCGTTGCGCTTATATGCTACCGGAGCCGTGGGAAACGTGGGAGACAATCTATTGGCGGAGAGCGGCGCCTGCAGCGCGGGCGTAGGCCTTCGGTACTTTAACGAGTGGGTAAGCTTGGACGCGGGCTATTTTGTGGCGCAGAGACTCCAAAGCAGCAGTGTGGCCGGTATCCGGGACGGTTTCCAGTTGGAGCTTTCGCTTGGAGGGACTACTCGTGTGAACTAGACAGGGGAGGGGAAAGACAGTCATCGGCATTGTGCAAGGCGCAGTCAGAACAAAAAGCATTACCGTCTTGGGAGAGGTCTACTCGATTCCTGAAAGCATGGTGGACAAGAAGCCACAATCTCAGGATATTATGAAGCGAAAATCGCAGTTCTGGTAAATCAAGAAGCGACAATCGCAGTTCTGGGATATCATGGATCCAATCATTCAGGCAGACTTCCTCCGTGGAAGAGGTGTATACAAATATTCGATTAAACGCATACCAGGAGTTGTTGTAGACTTTGAGTTTCAGATATATGAGCCACTCCTGACTACGAAGTCTGGTTGGCTTCCTGGCTTTGTATTCGGGCTAGTTGTGCTTAATGTATCTTACCCAATCTACCTCTGGCCTGTAATCCAGTGTCATCAGGATGCAGATACTATCTTCACAGTTTGGAACATCTTTTTATTCAGAGTATAGCTGGGAAAAAATCACATGCTGGTATTCCAGAAGAAGGAGTGACTTACCCATGGTCTGCTGGTAGGCATGGAAATGGAAGACTGGGCAAGAAGTAGGTCTACTTGTAAAAATAAATTACGAGATGAATAGACAACCTCATATACGCCGTAAAAAATGAAGATGATTTAATTTATGGACCTCAATAAGCAAAGTTGATGATAAAATAAGAAAATTTTAGAAGATACTTCGGTGAATCTTGTAGTTCATGATTTGTGTTCCAAAAGGTTACTTATAAGAAAAATACGCACCAAGGCCCTTGAAGAAAAACTTCATAAAGCTCTGAAAAATTGGGTTTTCCTGAAAAGAAATTAAAATTTCCAACAAGAGAACCACAACCACTTGGAATACTTCCAACATGCATATCAGAGAATTTTTTCATTCAGGTGTATCAGATTATGGCTGACGACTTCTTTCATAGTCGCACCAGTCGATTAGACCAGATATCAGAAGGAGGCTAATTAATGATCGAACACTAAATAATAAAGTCGTGTTGAAGACAACTATGATCGCCTGGTGAGATAATCTCCGTCTCATAATAGCTGAGTAGGAAGACAAAATGGTGTTCACGAAGCACAGCCATCTCACTAACTCAAAGTAGAACGCATTGAAGCCAAAAAATACTAAATTCAATGCCGAAGCCCCACATCTGCTCGTTGTATACTTCTGCTCCTGGCGAGGCTTCAGACTTTGGAATTGCCCGTGTTTCCTGAAACATGTAGAAGTGTGAGCATGAGGCATCAGAATGGTGCGGCTGAGTCTAGGCGTCCTTACAGTTCCGTCAAAAACGTCTGCTGGCGTGATATTATCCAACAATTTTTGTGATTTTGTAGATTCTCGACATTCGCTACCAACTTTACAAATTCTGCGGTGATTCCCTGTTACATGTCCGTTTAAGCATTTTGCCCTGGTTATGACCTTTTTTCCAGTGTGCTCATAACTGGCGTTAAACGAAGCAACGCGCACCTTCTCTTTCATCACCATGGACAATAAAATCATAGAGAACGTTCTATTGACGATAGAACAGTACAAAGGGTCGACGGCGGACTTCAAGCAGGCGGCCGTTCTGGGCAAGTACGGGCGCATGCCCTTTTTCAGCCGCCTTCTCGTGTGGAAGGTTTGTGCGCTCACAGAAACGTTGAACATGCGAGAGTGGCATGAGCGCCTCAGAACGCTGCGGACCGTGTATCACGGGCTCCGACAGAATCGCGAGATGCGTGTGCCGTGGCACGCTCTTGACGACGAGTGTGATCTTGCCGAACCCAGGTCCAGAAGTGAAAGTGACAAACCCAAGTCCAGAAGTGAAAGTGACAAAAGCAAGACTGACAAGGCCGAGAGGGCCCAGCGCAGGCAGCTAGCCAAGACAGCGGTCTCTGCGGACGAGGACCCGCTCCTGCTGGCGCCACCAAGGCGGGAAGGGGCCGTGGACCAAACAGAACTAGACGGCGAGCTTCTCCGGTCGATTGTGCTCGACGTGCAGCGGCTTTTCCCCGGCGAGGAGTTTTTCGTTGAAACGCACCGCCGGCGCCACATCGCCACCATTCTCTACGTGTGGGCCAAGTGCAACCCGCAGGTCGGGTACAAGCAGGGCATGCACGAGATCTTGGGCCTCATCTACTGGAACATGGCGCGCGAGTCTGTGGAGGTGCCTGCCGACTACTCCAGCGACGACAGGGCTGTGCTTGCCTTGTACGACGTCCAGTATCTTGCGCACGATGTTTTTGCGCTTTTCAACCGGTTTGTGGTGGCCAGCGGCGTGGTGGGCGACTTCTACGCCAGCGAGGCGCAGCTCATGCTCCTGGTGGAGCAGTTCAACGCGCTCCTCATGAAGGTGGACCAGCTTGTCCACTACAACTTGGTGACCAAGCTCCGGCTCGAGTCGCAGCTCTGGATCATTCGCTACTTGCGCTTGCTTCTTGCGCGCGAGCTTGGCGACGTCGAGCTGATTTCCAAGCTCTGGGACAGGCTCGTGGCCGCAGACCTGCTTCTGCCCAAGCCGTGCGTGCCCCAGCTCACGATTTTCTTGGTGATTGTGCTCTTGCTCCACATCAAGCGCGAGCTCATGCTCTGCGACTTCTCCGAGGCCTTGACGCTTCTCTTGCGCTACCCGATCGGCGCCAAAACAGCAAGCCACCGCGACTTTGTCGACTCGCTCTTTGACGATGCCTACTTGCTCTACCAGAGCCGCGAAAACGACTTGAAACTCTACGAGGTTGGGCTGCGCCTCAGCAAACGGGCGCTGGGCGGCGTTTCCGTCACGTACTCGCCCAAAGTGTCGTTGGACACGCCACTGCCGCTGCCGCTGCCAATGCCGCCTACGGCAGAGGAATCGCGTGCCGCCAAGATGGCGTTTGAGAAAACAAGGTTGGAAATGCGCCTCAAGAAAAAGGCCCAGCTGATGCTCCAGTAGAAGTGAGCAGCGCACGACCCCGGCGCGCTCAATGTACAACTGGACGCTCTTGGTCGGACAAACCAGACACTGGACATCTCCAATGGGAAAAAGAAAAAGTTCGGCGAAGCCCGTGAAAAAAATCAAGCAGAAGCTTGACGTGACGTTCCGCTGTCTCTTTTGCAACCACGAGAAGTCTGTCATCTGCACCTTGGACAAGAAAAACTCCATTGGCGACTTGCACTGCAAGATCTGCGGCCAGAGTTTCCAGACCGCCATCAACTCCTTGTCGCAGCCGGTGGACATCTACTCGGACTGGATTGATGCATGTGAAGATTTGGCCGAGGAGGCGGAAGCAGCCGGAGTAAACTCGGGCAACGAAGAGGACGACTACAGCGATGACGACAGAAATGCAAAGAAGGAAAGAGACTCGGAGGAGGAGTACTAGAAATAGAAATACACACACAAACGGAGCATATCAGAGAAACGAGCAAGCCCATGGTCATTTCTGACCATACGGTCAGAGGCTCAACCATTCTGTGCATTCATTCATATTCTACTCATCAACTTTGATGAGAAAATGACACACCACCGACAAATTCGGAATTCAACATTGGTTCAAAAGGTTGTTCTATGTGCTACTGCACCGGGCTATGAGCAGCTTAACGATTCAACAGGAAATTAAAATAGCTATTTTCATTAGCTTGGCCAGTCAGTAGTTTGATCTAAACAATAGGTGTGAACAAAAACAGCTCAGACAATACGGACTACCCCTTTATTTCTTTTTACTTGATTAGAATATACTTAGAGGTGAGAGACCATCTTTTTAAATGATGGAAAATAAAAGACTACGAAATAAAATTCGATTATACTGAGGCGAACCATCCTTTCACATCGAGAAACACACAACTTTCTAAAATAACCTGTTAACAGACTAATTAGGAACTGGAATTACAGTAAATGGTCCTAGGAGGATAAAAGTTCACATATTTCACTTCATCCCAAACACAATAGACATTCTTCATCAAGGCTGACCAATTCATGACAGGATATGGTTCGATGACTGAACTTTTCCCAAAATAAGTTAAAGGTCGTTGTTGCTTGATCACTGGTACGGTGTTCAGACACCTATCATAGTCTGAACTGTACTCTGATTGTTTACACTATAAGACGAAATGAGTGATACTGCTATCCTACTCTCAAGGTAATATTTGTCCATATTCTCTAAAATCGTATACTAAATTCTGGCACTACTATCTATGGTTCCAGATTCGACGTGAACCGGCTCAACATCTTGTCGTATGCCTCTTCGATTGCAGTTTGCTCGCCGCCAGCCTCGGGATCGTCCGAGTCCTTTTCTAAGTCCGAGTCCACAGCTGCATCTGCAACATCATCCTTTTTACCGAGGTGAAGCTCACGCAAAATGTGGATTTTCTGCCGGATTTCGTCAAGCATATCCTTGTGCGTTTCTCCACTTTCATCGGTAGAACTGAACAAGTCTTTGAACGAGATGCCCTTCTTCCGTGCTTTGGAGAGATAGTCGACAATGTTGTCGAGCTCAGACAAGTTGATGTCATTGAGTTTCTTGCGGATCTCTTCTCCCGAATACACGGAAAGATTATTGAATACCGATTCATCCTTGTCGTCCATCTGCAGTAGTTTCAACACCGACCCTTCTTCACGATTCAAATTGTTCAAGTTGGTAAGCGACTGCGTTCTGGAAACAGGCAAAGACCCACTTTCTACTGGCTTGAAAGAGTTTTCGTGTACAGCACTGGCGTCTTGCACTTTTGAAAGAGCCGACAGCTTCAATTCGTTTCTTTCGTCCTCCGCAAGATTAATGTTCAAGATGTCACTCGACGTGAAACTTTCTTCCTTGGCCACTAGATCGGGATCAATTAATTTCAATCCACGCTCAAGACTTGAGTCGATGAAAAGAAGTCTGATCAAAGCCTCTTTCCCTTCAATTCCAAGCTCGTTTTTCCATTGCAAATGGAATAAATCGTTGATGGTGGATTTCAACTTCTTCCTGTCTCTCTGTGCCCTCTCAATAAAGTGCACAACTTCAGGAGATTTGATACTAAGTTTTTCTTCTGCCTTGCGCAGCAAAATGTTGTTTAGCTCTTCTGTAAGGGTAAGCTCATGTGGCTTGTGTTCCAGACAAGAATCATCCAGGCCATTATTTTGCACTGACAGTTGGAAGAAATTCTCCATGTTACGCATGGTGTACAATCCGATTTTCTCCTTGAGAACTTCTGGCAACTGGCTAAAGTCTCCATCAACAGTAATCAACGTTCTCGAGTTTTTGAGTCCTTGGATTAATGCTGTAGCGGAAGCTATATCTAAGGTGTTTCCAAGAACGGATATGTACGCCAAACTTGTGCAGAAAGGTAAAGTCTCAAAAAGCACGGTAAGAGAAGATGATGAAAGGTGGTTGTTCTCAAGGTGAAGTCGCATTAACTTGGGGATTAAAGGTAATTTCGAGCAAAAGTAGCTCACTACCTGTTCTTGGCTGATTTTCGTGAGGCTATCGTCGGAGGTAGAGCCAGTAGAGCCTGACTGTTTCGAATTGGGCGAAGCTAATGAAGAGTTGACCGAACCGCTGGAGGATGGCGTTTTATTATGGCTTCGGCCAAATAACTTTGGATTATTAGAAAGATCCAAGTACTTCAAATTGGTCAATTTCATGCAAAGGTTTTCGAAAGTGTCCCTGAAAATTTGACTGAAGCGAATGTTCGTGGCATTCAAACTTAAAAATGCCAACTTCATATGAGGGAGTATCAGCAAAAACTTTGGTGATTTCGAAACCTCCAAGAAAACGTTCATATGAGCCAGAGACAGGAAATCATTATAGCCCAAGTCAAGGCCTCTGCTAAAGTCTGTGAGCGCCCAATGGTCTAGCACAACTTTGAGCTGCTGAGGTGTAAGCTGATTATAAGCCAAGCCCAATTTGTAAGTTTTGAGACACACTGCTTTGCTGATGAGATTCTCGAAAGTCACAAAGTCTGTGATACAGCAACCGGTCAATATTAACTCTTCAATCCCGCCCCTGGCAATAAGGGTAGCCGTAAACTGTGCCCAATCCATGTCCGAGCGGTTTTCTTTGTTGCAAGTCATTCTCTCGATCGCCTGTTCCTCCTGCTTTTTCTTCTTTCTCTTCAACACATTAACAGATAACGGTGGGCACTGGGTGATGTCCAACCTGTTGAGCACCGTATTGCGCGAGAGGAACAAACAGAGCAAAGACCAGCCCTCGCAACTGATGGGCGTATTACGCAAACTCAACTTTTCCAATTGCTTCTTTGCACTCATTGCGCTCAAAAGCTCTTTGAACTGCTCATACGACAAGTTGACACCATCCAACGAAATGCAGATAATAGGTGCAATCCGAATAAAGTCGGCAAACGTCTGGATTTCAATCATGGTCGGGTTCGGGTTGCGGAGCTGCAATATAGGTAAAGGAGCCATTGACCCTTTGGGAATCTGCTTGGCGATCGCTGGGATGGGAAGAATTTCCCGCAAGTGGCAGCAGCGGGTGTACATGAGGTCGAGCGCCATTTTCTTCACAGGAACAGTATATCCCGGTTTGGCCACATGGTGATACATTGGTTTTTCGATACCAAGTGACTCGGCGTGTTTGTCGATAGCAGTATCTTCTTCGTCGTCAGGCAGCTTCTGCTCAGAGTCCGGTTTCTCATCTTCTGGCAGTTTCTCGTGGATTTCCTCGAGTTCATCCTTCTTCACTAGTCCTAACGCGCCTGTGCCTCCAACAACCAACCCGCCGCCCAAACCACGTTGTGATTTCTCAATGGCGAGCTTTTCTGCTTCCGTCAAAGGCCGGATCCGCACAGCACCCGAAGGAAGAACCTCCACGTTTCCCTTTCGAGGATTACGCGAGGGGATCTGCTGCGGAGGATCCATGAGAAACGTCAGCGAATGGAAACAAACACGCTTGAGAGGCTTGGGCTGTTTGATTTCACCCGAACCTTCCAGCAGCAAGGTGGATCTCGAATCCAAGGAATTCTTGTGGCCCAGGGACTCCATTGGTCCCGAGCCAATGCTCATATGGCGGAACAACGACGAGATCTTGCCCTGGGGCTGCGTTCCAGACGACAGCTGCTCGTGGTTGACCAAGCACCCATTCGGAAACATCGTGCTGTTCTCCGATTTGAGGCTTGGCCGCCGCAGGCCCAAGCTTTGGCGCCGGTAGAAGCGAATATAGTCTTCCAACCTCGGATCCAGATACTGCAGCTCCGACAGGTATTGTTTCCTTTCCGGCTCAACCTGAGACGCTTTTGGAGCGGGGCCTGACTTGGGACCCGGTTCCGTCACATGGTCTTTATGAGCCGGGCCCATTTTGTAGTCGTCCTTGAAGAGCAGAGGAGATTCTGCAACAGGCGAGCCCAACTTGGGCGCGCTGCTTTGGCTGACCGAGTCTGAGCGGTGCAATTTGTTCTTCAACTTGGAGAAAAAACCGCCGCCGCTGCCGTTGCTGGAAGCACTGTTGACACTGACCATGCTAGACACACTACTGCGGCGTCTGGTCAGCGAGCGGCGGGCAAAGTCATGGTATTTTTCCGAGTGGATCTGCTCGTCCAGCACCTCCAGAACGGTTGGTTTTGTCTTTGCCGCCGAGTTTTCGTTGGTGTTGGACACAGGCAAAAGGGCCGGAGACGGGGTGGTGATGGGTTTGGTGGACGGGTCTTTGGCCGACACGGCAGAAGACACCAGCTCCGACTCCTTCATGGACGTCAGGCCCGGGCCAGCCACGTTGGAGTCTCTGAGGAACCAGTCGACATCGGCCTTGTCGAAGGTTTCCAAAAAGGCATTGCCCTTTTCGACAACAAAGTCGTGGATTTTGCCCCAGTCCAAGGGTTTCGAGTCTGTTTTCTCCTCGGGCATTGGATGTGCAAAAACCTGGGAATTGGGCAGATCAGACCAAAGGAAAGATCGCCGCTGGTGCAAAGTCGCAAGGACAGCAGAAACTCAGACACAATGGAGCGCTTCAACAAAAAAGCGCAGATAAAGGAGAGGCGCCGATAGTTTAGCGCAGGGGAACTCAGTCAGTATTCGACTGCGGCAACACGTGGCAGATGGATTTCACAAAAAAGGCAATAATTGGGATTTCCGGAGAAAATGTGAGTATTGCCAAAAAGCAGTGGTGAAGCTATCACTTTCTGACCCTATCAGTGGGAGTGTGGATTTCCTGCAGGGAAACAAAGTGGTGTCACGAGGCCTGTAGACGCCGAACCACGGAAGCTTGCCCTTTTTCGCTTGAAAAACACAAATGGGAACTACAACAAGAGAGAGAATGGGCGTGGCTGAAAGAAATTTTGCGTGTGTGGGAAAAAAATTTGGCGTTTTTCCTGCTGGTGTAACTTGTCTTAGAAGAGGTAATTTTACTTTGGCATATGGTTGTTTTTCTTCGCATCGAATGTGTTCTAGTCAGTAGCGTAGCTTATGCAGGGCTGGATGCAGGATTCAATGCAGGACTCTCCACATTTCCCCGCCAGTCATCTAAGACATGAGATGAACAGTGTTCGAGTATTGACCCGATTCCGGCCCTTGTAGATTTGTTTCACTTTGGTATTTTGGATTTTGGTTTCTTTTTTTGTCAATTGACAAATTTGCGATCCTTTTGTTTCTTTGCGATTGCCGTCTACGATTGCTTTCTGGCTCATGTTTTGAGCTTCTTTGAGTATTGGTTGGTTCGTCTTTGGGTTACAATTTTTTTCTCCTGTGCATTGCTTTCTAATTTTGTCCTTTTTCGACTCCAGTATTTCCATGAGAAATAAGCTCCAGCAGTGGATGTTGTTGACATAAGTGCTTCAATAATTTGTTCAACTATCTGCATTCGAAACCCATCAAGTTCCTTGCTGACTGCTAGTTCAGTCGTTATTTTGGCCATTCTGCAATCTCTCATCCACTCGAACTACACGATCGATCAGACATACTTCAAACTCTCTAAATATTTCGTCACTGGGCCTTTACGAACTGGATTGTGATCTTGAGTTACAGTCCAGGGAAAAATTTGTCGAGCTGAGTAACCTGACCACCTACGTAGTTTCCTTTCTGCTGTATTCTCTTCTCCTATTACATTCCACCCATGCCAAACTGCTGCATCATTTTCTGCATCATTCCTGGATTCTGCATCATCTGCTGTGCCTGTTGCATCAAGTTCGGGTTCTGCGCCATCATTTGCTGTGCCTGCTGCATCATCTGTGGGTTGTTCATCATGGACGACATGTCAGGCATACCTCCACCAGCGCCACCGCCACCCAACATGCTCATGGCCTGTTGCATGAAATTAGGGTTCGACTGCGCTTGTTGCATCATTCTCTGCATATTTCCTCCTGGAGCTGGAGCGCCGTTGCCTCCCATGGCTTTAGCAGTTCCAGCCATAGTGGCCATCATGCGCTGTTGTTGCAACACCATCTCCACTTCCACAGCTGAGCAGCCCGAGCCTCGGGCCACTCGCAAAATCCTCGTGGGCTCTTTTGTGAAAAGTTGGCCGTCAGAGTCTAACTCTTGGGCCGTCATAGAGTCCATGATGTAGATCATGTTCTTGATTTTTTTGCTTGTCTCTTCCTCGCCCACTTGGTTCATTATGTTCGACATTCCTGGAATCATCGATGCAATGTTGGTCAACGGTCCCATTTTCAAGAAATTATTCATCTGTGTCTGGAAATCACGCAAAGTGAATTTACCCTCCTTGAAGTTTTCGAGCGTTTTCTTGTGATTCTCATCGTCTTGAAGATTCAACAGTTGCACGTGCTCAATCAAAGATTGAACATCACCAATACCCAACAACTTGGAAATAAATGTCGAGGGCTTGAACACCTCAAAGTCGCCCACGTGCTCTCCTGTTCCGATGAACACAATTGGCGTTTCTGTCGCTGCCACAGCAGAAATGGCACCACCTCCTTTAGCGTGGCCGTCCATTTTGGTCAAAATAATCGATCCGAAATTGGAACTTTCTTTGAAAGCTTTGGCCTGGCCCTCTGCAGCTTGACCTATAGAAGCGTCCATGACCATGATGGTCTGGGTCGGCTGGACAGCTTCACTGATTTGTACCATTTCATTGAAAAGTGACTGTTCTTGTTTGTGGCGACCAGATGTGTCCACAATGATGATGTCGAACTTGTCTTCTTTGAACTTCTTGACACCTTCGTAGGCCACCTTGACCGGGTCTGTTTCCAAATAGGAACCGTAGAACGGGATGTTGGACTTGATGGCGTTTTGCTTCAACTGGTCAAAAGCACCTGCTCTGAAAGTATCAGCACACACCAAACCCACTTTGAAGCCTCTCTTCTTGTAGTACACTGCCAACTTCGTACACGACGTCGTTTTTCCCGCACCTTGCAAACCAACAAACATGATCACATGGGACTCGGCGGCGATTTTCTTTGGTTTCTTCCCGTGCTTGGCGACAGACTTGGTCTGGCTCAACTTTTTCGGTTTGGGAGGCTCTTCGTGCGAGTCCACAAGCCCACATAACTCGTCAAAGACTATTTTCTGTAGCTTTTTGCGTTTGTTGGCCGACGACTCGTTGGCGCTTTTGATTTCAACGGCGATTTTCTGGCGGATATTGTCTCTCAAGCGAGCCACGAGCCGAACATTGACATCGGACTCGAGCAAAGCCGAACAGATATTCTTGATCATGTTCTGGACCTCATCTTCCGAGCCTGACTCCACGGAGCCAAGCGCATTACGCAATCTCGAACCAAGATCAGCTAAAACCATGGCGGTTAGAAAAGAGTGGAGATTTTTTTCTGGTGCTTGGCCAACACCCGTACATCCCATATCCACCCAACAGCATGGCCAAAAACGAACAGAACAATATGGAACTAGAGCAAGCAGTAATGTAGAAAAATATTAGATGGACCAAGGATTATAGAGCAGTAGCGTCGGTGAAATTGTCCAAGGTTGGTCTAAAGGGTTCTGTGGTGTACAGGTGTGTTCAAGAATTAGGTGGTCCAAAACAGAACTGTAGTGGAAGAACCACTGAAATTTTACTATCGATTCCAGTTCGAGGTTCACTATGATACGTTGTGTGTTCTGTCTTTTTTCGTTAGAAAGGTGAAACGCGACATTAGTGGTGACTTGACTGGTATCCAACCGTCAAAAAAATGCTTTGATGTGTTTTCGACAGCTTGTGACAACGACTTTTGCTAGGCCACGTCAAAGCAATTAATGTGGCTACATTGCCTCGACATGTACAGTCAATCTGAAGGCAAGACATAAATGAAACAATAGCCGCATGTAAATGAAATTTCGCTCCTAAATATCACTGTGACTTTCCGAATACAATGAAATGAAACTCGGCAGACATCCTTCCATTGTTTCATTAATTGTCTTTGTGATTAGCTGCATTGATAAGTAATTCCTGTAGATCATTGGACTATTGCGACTATCGAGTGGACTATTATTGCGACTATCAAATAGGTCCATTATTGATTATCCAATAGGTCCATTATTGATCATCCAATAGGGACTATCATTGATGTTTGATAAGAAGCACCCTTGATAAGGATTCACGCTTTAATTCACGTTTTCAATATTTTTTATGCGCTACCCATTAATAACAGGGGCTTGAGCTTCTGTCCAACCTTAATTCTGTACAGAGCGGTCCTGGTTGGGGAGGTGGCATTTTTGAACCCTTATCTCTGCGGATGTACGGGTGTAAGCTCCGCTCCTCTTTTGCGCCTTCTCCACTTATCTTATCTAGCGAGCACTTAGGGGGTCTAAAAAGAAAAGAGACAAAGAAAAACAGAACGAAAACGAAAACGAAACAAACGGAAGGGGAAACGAAAACGATAACTAACAAAAAAAAAAAAAAAAAAACCAAAACGAAAACGAAAACAACGAAAACGAAACGAACGAAACGAAACGAAAATATAAGGCGACCTTCTGGTTTGGCAAAGGTTCTTTCTGCAGGAGCCACGATTGGCGCCAGCAAAAGTGGCGTCTCCGTCAAAGCCTTGGAGCCTCGTGTTTCGGAGGCGCTTATCTCTGGGTGTGGCTCTGGTGACTATCTAGGAAAAGAGTAGCGACGACCTATATACACTACCGAAGCCGTGTCTGCAGTCGGTTTATCTACGGCATTTTGCGCGCCTCTGGCATATCGTGATTGTAGCGATAGACTATATGGGAAACATGGGACGTAGATGCAGGCAGAGGTCCACAGCTAGAGCAACTGCAACGGACGGCTCAACATGCGGTCTATCATCTTCAAGTCCTGCTCCAACGTGAGTCGTGGCAAGTACAGTTTCAAGTCCAGCTCGAACTTGTAGTCGTCCACGTCGTCATCGTCGTTCAAGTCTAGAAGCACGCTGCGGGGCACGTCCGTGTCGGCAAACGGATGTAGCGTGGCGGGCGAGTCGGGCAAGATCGGCGTCGCTTGGGCGTCCAGGCCCGCGTCGCTGTTTGTGTCGGACTGGATAAGGGCGATGTTGATGCAATCGTAGTCGAAATGGGTATACTTGAGGGTTCCGGCGGGGAGATCCAGGCGGTGGTTGGACGGCACTTTGTGGGGTCTTTCGGCTTCGTCGTAGGTGAAGTTGAACATCTTCTCGATGTCCTGGATGGACTTGGAGAAGATTTCCTTTTCCAAGCGGATGCGCTTGCTGGATTTGGACATGATGAAAGAACACAGATCAGAACAGAGAACCGATCAGAACAGAACAGAACAACACGATCAGAACAACACCGATCAGAACAACAGAGAACAGAACAACACAGATCAGAACAATAGAGATCAGAACAGATCAAAACAGAACACCAGAAAAAGACAACAGAACACCAGAAAACACAACAGTGACCACAGAAAAACAGTAGATCACGCCCATTTAAATGACTGCGTGCCCCACCTTCTTGATAAGACATCCTGCAAGCGCAGGCATATTGCGCTGATCGGCGCGATCTTCCGCATTGGAGAAAGATAGCCTGGTCACATGCCATGGCCTGGCTTATCGCACGGCGGCACTATTCTTATCTTGTCTTAGATTCGTTGCTGTTTATTGTTTGGTATTTGCTGCCGTCTTTGCACTCTTTGCTGCCGTCTTTGCACTCTTTGCTGTTTTTTGCTTCTGCCTTTCTTGTCCTTGCGCTTTTGTGTGCTCTGATAACAGCGCCACACCTCCGCCTGCACCTTCCATCCACGGCGTCCGTCAAAAAAAGACTAAATCCTACGCTCGGGCCACTCGTAACCACACCACTCTGTACGCAGGAGAGCCATTTGGCCTTACCCCATTAGGTCCAAGAGCAACGTGTGGATCTCCAAGCCCAAGTTGGTGTTGTCGTCCGTGTCGGTGTCGTTGTCCGTGTCGTTGTCGTCCGTGTCTTCGTCGTCGGCCGTGTCGTCTTCGATCACATACGTGTCGTCTGTTTCGTTGTCGTCGAACTCGTAAATGGTGCCCGCCTGCACCGAAGCGCCGTCCTGCAAACAGCCGCCGGCCGAACCTTCGGTGGCGTCTTCGGTCGCACCTTCATAAGGCACCATTTCTTCGGAGTATGCCGCAAGGCCCTCGGTTTCGCCGCGCCACCACGCCGTGCCCAATATGGCGCCACCCATCATCGGAACAATGTACAAAAGCGCCGGCTGGCCGCGCCGGCTCCACTGCGACGCCGCAATGGTTGTTCCTACGGCAGCAGCGTACGCCGCTACACTGGCACAAAAGTACACTGGCGTGCCCACGCTGCGAAGACGATGGAAGGCAAGCGGCGCCCGCTGCCTGTAGAACTGGGCAATGTCGTACCGGAGACAGAGCGACGAAAGCACGCTGGGCACCACGATGTCGCCAAGCCCGAGAATGGTGGCCGGCCCATCCAAGTCTTTGAACGTGCACAGCTGCGCCTGGGCCCACGAAAGCAACGCGGCGGGCCGCTGCGGGAAGACAAGCCGGAGCGGCGCATCGACGCCGGCCGCCACGGCCTCCATGGCGGTCGAGCCAAACACAAAGTAGACGTCGTAGACGAAAAGCGCCGCAAGCAAAAGCAGCGCCGTGCGGAACGTGCCGGCGCGGATCTGGCGGCAGCCGCAGACGGCAAGAACGCCAGCGACCGCGTTGTTGATGAGCCAGTTGAGCCGCGGAAGGCCGTACGACGAGAGCTGCGCGTTGTGCGCATAGAAAAGCGCCAGCAACGCCACAGCGGCCGGAAATGCAACGGCGAGACGCCCGTCCACAACCACAGACGTTGTGCGGTGCGACTGCTGCGGCCGGAGCACCCGCACGCCGTTGTGGCGGCGCATCCAGTGCTCGTAGGCCTGGAAATCGCCCAATTCGGCGTCGAGTTTCTGCTCGTCCATGTCCTCGGCCATGCCCAAGGGCAAACGGTCCTCGCGGGCGACGCTAAGCCGCAAGCGGCCGAAGAAGAAGCTCAGGTTGCCCGGAAGGCCACAGGCGTAGGCCACGTTGCGCAGCAAGACACCTAGGAACCACTGTAACGTTACAGTGCCGCTGAAGAGAGTGACGGCCACAACGTAGTAGTTGAGGAAGCGAAGAACAGACACGCCAAAGTGCCGGAGCACATAGTCGAGCGCTTTCAACGCCGCCGCCGCCGCGACCACGAGCGCTGCCACCGATTTGGCGCCCAAGACGTCGCTATCCACGCCCAGAATATCGTCTGCGCAAGTGAAATACAACGGACAGTCGTCGCGGTCCGTCACATCCCACAAGGGGCTTTCTGTGTCGTCGCACGGATCCTCGGCGGTTTTGGGTTGGCTAACAGTCGCATAAGATCCGGCAATCACTAGTGCGGTTGCTGACACCACAGTAAGCGCTGCTGCAACGAACTGAGGCGGCAAGGGCAGCGAGTAGATCACGTGGGGAAGATACAAGGCCACACGGTCAGCCAATGAGAGCTCGGCGAAGGTGGAGTTGACGGTGGCCATGGAAAGATGGAGTTGCGACATTGTGGTGATGGGATGGTTTGGCGCGACACGCGACACGCGGCGGCCACCAAGAAGGAAGAAGTTCTGGAATCTGAAGGCCATGAGAATTAAGAGGAGGAATAAAAAACGAAAGGTAGAACGAATAAAACGAAAGGTACAACGGAATAAAACGAAAGGTAGAACCAAATAACCGAAAGGTAGAACCAAATAAACCGAAAGGTAGAATGAGAAATAATATAATTTACTACAATCCAACTCTACTTCCTATAAGTAAATTCCGTATTTCGAAAACTTCAAAGAGAAAAGACAGTTTTCGAATGAAATGGCTTTGGTTGAGGAAATAATGTTGTTGAAAGAAATGATTATCCGTGGGGTGGAAAGTAATGAAATGTCTTGGAAATATGAACAGTGGTTGCTGAAACCCCTTCTTCCTTCAAACCAGACTCGAAGTCGTAGAGAAGGTCTGGGATGAGTAACGTAACTGACTAGACGATTCTTCTTAACATTCATGAGTACGCTCTATAGACTATCAATCGTACAATGCACATGAGAATATAAGACAGGCTTTGTAATATTCTTCTCTGTTGTCTTGAATGGTCTTTCTTGCTATGCTTCCATTCCACGTGAAGGGAATGGTTTATGCTTTCCAGAGACATTCTTTGGATGTTTAGCAGGATTTAATGATTGATGATTTCATGGATTTTGTGCTGCGAGAAGTTTCGTCTTGAAAACTTCAATTTGATGGGATCTTAGTAGGCCTTTTGCTAAATGTGGTGAATATTGAATCAACGAAATGTAGGCCGCGAAGAAAGACTCTGTCTTCTCTTTCTTACCAATAGTGAACAATGGGCTTTGACGCTGAGGAGTTTGACTTCGACATCGCCATACGAAAAATCACATTTCTTCAAAACGTTTCACATTTCAAATACAGACTAACATCTTCACTTGAATAAATCGACTCAAATGACCAATACGCAACTTCCTCTGGTACATTCGGCAAACCATTCAAATGATCTCTAATACTTTATCAAGCCTCTGACTTCACATCTCGCTTATTTGATATTATCAAATCACGCGACATTAGCGACAGGTGATGTTACATAAATGACATTACTTCCACGCAAGTCGCGGTTTCTTCCGGTGTGGCATCTTTTGCCGGCCACTCTAAGACTCGTATTTGGGCCAAAATCTCAGGGGAGCTTCATCTACTGTGTGCAATTGCGGTTACAATTTTTTTTTTTCTTTTTCATCGCAGTCGGGAATGTGCCATAGTATATGCCCAATGCGCCTCATAGTTTAATGCCATATGCGATTGCGCAGAAGGAAGAAAAAACAATTGGAGTACACAAAGCAGGCGAAAACGTGACTTTCTGCCGTTCCTTTCACGCTTACGCAATGTCCGACGCCGTTCATTTGCTATCACGGGAGCAAAGACAAATACAGAGGGATCAACCCAAAAAAAAAAAAGAATGCACAACAGGTCACGCCTGGGGTGATTATTTGCGCGCGAAAACCGACGATGGAACTTTCTGCACGCATGGAACTTTCTGCGCACACATATCGCCTGCGAAAATGATACTTGCTTGAATTGGGACCAAATAAGCGGCGGCTGTTTATTTTTTCAGCCTTCTCCACAATCGCCAGCTGCCCCGATCCTTTGGACATGCGGCATGAGACAATGAGCAACAAGCGCACATCTTTGTAGGCCAGAGAAAGGAAAAGAAATGCCCAATGGGGAATTTCTCGCACGCCTCATTAGGGGTATTCCATGCAGCACCAGACTGTTTTGCACCCTCCGTGTTAGTGGGGGGTCTTTACACTGACACACAAAACGGTGATAGTATGTAATCCAGGGCGCAAATTCCGACATATTCGCCGTCTAATCAAGATTGGGGCGGGCCGGAATTCGGATGTGGCAAGTGCAATGAGCTTTTTCGTAGCCTGACTGCTAGTGGCGGGCCCAACGTTTTAAGCGGAGTGCATTTCTTCGGCTGGATACCTCGTTATTTTTTTTTTTTTTTTTTTTTTTTTTGCTTTTATTGATTCGTGACTTGCACCGACTTGATTACTCCCTGTTTAAATACCACTCCTTAGTGCAAATTGCCGTTTGCAACCGTTTTGCCGTTCACACCTTACCTTTTCTGATCCTGTGGCCATTACTCTTATTTGTGATTGCCATCTCATACACTGGATCCTACATTCTGGTCACACTAGACTCAATCGGATTTCTCTATACTCAGATTGCTTGATAACATATCAGCTATCCTTAGTATCACTCTACGTCCGACCATACAAACCTGACTGTTCCTCATTGGACGATCTGGAAATCAATTTCTTACACCACCCTCACTTACTATCTATTCCGCCTTGTTACAAATTCACTGCATGTCCAACCCCGTTTCTAAAAGGACTCTGGACGCAACCCAGCCCAGCCCCATCAGCGATACTCCAGACAACTGTCTCACGAGTCCAAGTCACGAGAATATCTTTGAGCGGTCATGCACACGAGCCCATCTGATTGCTCGACCCCGAGGCAGTCTCCGATCGTGCAACACGCCCAAAGCAAGGTCTGGGCGGTCCATGTCGGTGGCCTCCAACGCTTCGCTCGGGTCGCTAGGCCTGATGTCTACCTTCTGCAGTTCCGAGGACTACATTGCGCCCGTTTTAGACACCACGACGGAAATCTTGACCGACCCGACCGTGGACTTGAACAGCGTCCTTCTTGTGTGCCGCGAGTGCGGTGCCGACACTAGGGACTGCCGCACGCGGCTTTGTCTGGGCCAGGCGCAATTCAAACCGGGCTACAATTTGTTCCGGCGAAACTCCTCCGCCGCTGGCCAGCGGACGCACTCGGAAAAGCCCGAGCTGGACCCGGAGCTCGCCGAGGGCCAGACCATCAACTTCTACTCTTTTGCTGACGTGCTTGACGGCGAGCAGGACGGCGAGGAGTTTCTGTGTGTGTCTGTTGGAGAATATCTCTCGTGACGACGGCACCACAGGACAGGTCACGTGGCTTGCTTGTGATCTTTCGCAACAGCTGCCCCGCCTGCCATTCTATGCCTCTCTTGATATAGTAATGACTGCCATTGCTGTCCAACAATGCACACTTAATCAACGCACGCACTCATGTAGAATCTGCAAAGAACGATGTGTGTCCTGCATATAAGCGCCGCCGTTCCCGCCATTGTGCGCCTCATGCGTCTGGGTGCTGCACCAGGCGCAGGTGGCAGGCATGGAACTGGAGCCTTGATGAACAAGGCGGACTGAGGCAAGACCACAGTAGTCCGCGGGAAAATAATCTCCAGAAGAAAAAAAAATAAATAAAAGAACAAAGCCGCCATCCGCGGCGCCAGCCCCCTCCCCCGAATGCTTGGTGTTGCCCCTGAGCTTAAATGGAAGTGGGAAAATAAAAAAGCGGCGCAAATGGAACTGGAAAATGGAAAAGCGGAGCAAATCAAGCGGCAACAGGAAAACCGCCCGTCCGTGACCGCACCCAACTTCTCCGCCAGCTGGCGCGACACGGCGCCGTTGCGAAACTCGCGTCTGGGCCCCAAGCGGTTTCTACCGCTGCGTTGTGTAGCCCGGGCATGATATCCCATGACGTATATAGTGCAGGGCTGGCCGTATGCACTCTGGCACCAGCCGACCAGCTCCTACAACTTCTAGCCTCCTCTAAATTGCTGCTGGCAAGTTTGCAAGCTGTTCTTTTCCGACGACGTTGTGTTTATTTCCACGTGAGCGGCGCAGCACCAGAGTCGATCCGAGAAGCCATTGCCAGCTGACATTGCGAAGTTTGGGCCCACTTTATTTTGCCCATCCACCAGATCAGAACACGAACCGCCGGACGAATCCATTGAGCACGATTCGCGGCACAACCACCCGAAACCACGCAATTGAGCTTCTAGCGGACCACTACCGCAGAAGACGGGCGACCAAACCAGAAAGCAGTCTATCCTAGACGAGGCGAAGTGTATCCTAAGCGAGGCGAAGTGTCTATCCGAAGCGACTGGAAAGTCCACATCATGAGCGAAGACGACATCTTGCCCCTGTTGGAGACCCAGCCTGGCCTCATCAACTTCCGCGTCCTTGTGTCGGCCAAAGAAGCCGGCTGCCTCATCGGGCAGAACGGAGCCGTCATTGACTCCATCAGAGACGAGACGGCCACTCGCGCCGGCATCTCGCAGTTGCGGCCCGGCACCCACGAGCGCATTCTCACCGTGTCAGGGCTCGTGGACAGCGCAGCGAAAGCGTTGAGCTATTTCGCCCAGGCGCTTGTCAACGCGCTGTCCGAGACGCCCTTCTCGTACCTGTACTTCCCGCTCAAGCAGATGCTGCGCATCGCCAACGTCGAGGGCCAGACCACTGTGTTGCGCATGATGGTGCCCAACAGCCAAATCGGCACGCTCATTGGCGCCCGCGGCTTGCGCATCCAGCAGATCCAGCGGCAGTGCAACGTGCTGATGATTGTGCTGAAGCTGTTTTTGGCCGGGTCGTCCGAGCGCTTGGTCGAGCTCCAGGGCACCGTGGACAACTTGTACGACGCTGTGCGCATTGTGGGGCGGTGTCTTTTGCTGGGGGCGTCGCTGCTGGAAGAAACGGTGTTGTATGTGCCTCGGCCAAGCAGCAAGGCGGCCGAGGTGCCGAAACCGGCCACGACGCAGGAGACGGTGCTGTTCCGAGACGACATTGTGGGGGCCTTGATTGGGAAGCACGGGCTGCGGATCCAAGGCGTGCGCAAGGTGAGCGGAGCCACCATTGCCATTTCCGAAGAGGACGGCACGGGCGAGCGGCTGTTTACCATTTCGGGGCTGCCGCTGGCCGTGGGGAAAGCCAAGCGCTTGTTGGCGTTCAACTTGGAGCGCGAGGAGCAGCGGCGGGCCGACCACGAGACCCATGCCAGCAATAGTTTCCATCTGGACGAGAAGGGCCGGGAAGACGAAAACGAGAAAGGCCGGGAAGACGAAAACGAGGAAGGCCGGGAACACGAAAACAATTTGGCAGAGAGCCGGGATGGAGATCCAAGTCGCAAAGACATCGCAGATGGTGACGATGGGCCTGGTGAGCTGGAGCCTGCGGATGGGACGAGTCGGGGCGAAGACGACGACCAGGCCGAATCTGTGTCTACTGCCGCATGAGCGGCCCAAAATTGTTGTCAGTCGACTTGTTGACTGAGATGTTTGAATTGCGTGAATTTCAATTCTTATTCTGTCGGCCAAGGCGCCTGGTTGTCGGGCGGTTGGCAACATTGTATAATTAGCAAAGCACTGTAAAATTGTTATACTAATAGAGAAGTACTGGTGAGATGTATGCATGATTCTACACAAGTATCTTGAGCGCTGAAGGCGTAGTTACTCTACTAATTAAGCTTCCAGGAGAAGTATGAAACAACCAATACTGGTGTATGTTCCAGGTGTTCGTCCAGGTGTTCGTCCAGATGTTCGTCCAGGTGTTCGTCCAGGTGTTCGTCCAGGTGTCTGAGAACAGCAGCTCTGCCCAGATGGACTCAGGCAAACACCCAGCGGCACGAGCTGGAAATGTGCTGCGCCAACTGCTCCAACACTGCCGCGTCGTCGGGCCCAAAGCCGTTCTTGTCCAAGCAGTCAATGTCCAAAACGCCCACCACACGCCCGTCCGCCACAAGAGGCACCACAATCTCGCTGTTGGTGTCGCCGTCGCAGGCGATATGCGCCTTATCGGCGTGCACGTCTGGAATCACCTCGGTGCTTCTGTTCTCGGCCGCCCGGCCACAGATGCCCGCGCCAAAACGGATGCTCTGGCATGCCACTTTCCCCTGGAACGGGCCAAGCACAAGCGTGTTGGCGGCCTCTGCGTCGAGAACATAGAAGCCGGCCCAGTTGACTCGGACTCCCAATGCATGGTAGGCGTGCCACACTAGCGACAGGGCGTTGGCCAAGTTGGCCACCCAGTTGGAGCAGTCCAGGGCGAGGGCGTCGTAGGCGTCGACTACAGACTGGAGGGTCTCTGCACGCAGCAGGGCGGCGAAGTTGGAGAAGTCCGCGTGGGCCATGGAAAATGGGGGAAAATGGAAGGGTGAATGTCGAATGTATGCGGCGAACGGCGCGACAAGTGTTGCAGGATTGATAGAAAACGGCTTTTCGAGGTTCGGTCTTTTTATTGGCCTTCAAATCCAATTGACGAGAACAGTAGACGGAGCTAGCCTTGAAACCGTAGGCTCGATTTTTGTGATTTTAAATTTTTTGAACAGGCAATGCCGGTTTGAGCCTTCTTGCGGTATCTTGTCTAGTGCATGAAATCATCTTTTGTAACAGCGTCGAGCAGACGGATTAATTTCTGGTATGTTGAGTTATTTGTTTATTTACCTTTGGTAGATCCTCTATTGTCATCTTAGAGCAGTGCAGAGCACTAGACACCACTGGTCTTCACATGACCTCTAAGAGCATCTTCATGCACCTTCGGGCATATCCCCTTTGGGATTTCCATATGTTACCTATAAAGGACCAGCTAGATAGAGAGTGGATAACTTTATCTAAAATATGGTTTATAGGTAGCCTAGTATGCTAGACTTCCCTTTGATAAGGGAATCTGATCAATGACTGAACACTCTCTTTTGTATTGTTCTTATCTACACTTCTAGTTACGGAATCTGATTGTATGAATGGTAGTTCCTTCCATACCACGCATCACTGACAGGAGCGTTGGAGTTATTTCATTGTGGTATCTGAAATTCTAATTGGCTAGAAGACCAAGCAAGTGGATACAGAATCACAATGTAGGAATACAATTGGCAACATACAGACATTACGGGAACAAGATGCTTTGTAGGATTGGTCTTCGTTAAATGCTAGAATTTGTAGTTTCCATAATAATACAACTACTGGATCACCACTCGCAGAGATCATGTATCTTCATTCAGCTTACGACTCTGTTAGCATTGATTTATTGAAGCGAGCAAACAAAATAGACCCATCTTCACACCTCTCCAACTCCCTCCCAACGGCAACTCCAATTCCCTCCAACTCCAACTCCAACTCCAACTCCAACTCCAACTCCAACTCCCTCCAACGCCTAATTTCCAACTCCCCCCAACCTAATTTCCAATTCCTCCAACCTAATTTCCAACTCCTCCACCTCCATCACTGCGCGCACACCTCGCGCCCGCCCACCGCACATTCGACCAAGGGCGCGCGCACCACCAACTCGCGGAACGGCTCCGTCTCCTCCCACTCGCCGCTCTCCACTAGGCCGACCTTGCGGTGGTACTGCACCGGCACCCGGCGCCCGCGCGGCACCTCGTGGTAGTAGGGCCGCACAAACATCTGCGCATAGTGGCCGCCGGGAACGTTGCAGGTGACGGCGCCCGAAAACGACACCGCCTGCGCCAACGCGGCGCCGGTGTTTGTGTCGACCAAGCCGCCGAGACCGGCCAGAATCAGAAGCCCGCGGCTCACCGAAACCGTCACCTCCACGTTGGGCGAGATGTAGCCGCCCAGGCTCTGCGTCATGTCGATACACGACGACACGGGCACGCGGACGGGCGTGTCTGGAGCCAGAGAAGAAACGGTGCGATTGCGCCGGAGAAAATGGTGGAGATACCACGTGTCGGCGTCGGTGTCGTAGTAGACGATGCGAGACGTTTTGCTGATGCGGAAGCTGTTTTCCTTGTTGCGGAGCAACTCGGCCACGCTCTTGTGGCGGAAGTCCTCGAGGCCCCGGATGAGATACGTCTGGCCGTCGGGCTCGGGGTCGCGCGAGAGCGCATGGAGCTGCGACGCGGCGCGAAAAGCGTCGGCCGCCTGACTGGAAAGGTCCAGACTGGAAAGGTCCTGACTGGAAAGGTCCTGACTGGAAAATTCCACACTGGACAATTCGGCCTGACTGAATTCGGCATGACTGTCGACAGACCTCGGCTGTTCTTTCTGTCCGTGCTGGTTTGCCTCGACCGGTTGTGGTGCTTGCTCTTGTAGTTGGGCCGAATCAGCTTGCGCGGCTGGTTCCAGGGCGAGCGCAAGGGCGACAAGCAGTGCCACAAGAACTAACTTTGCTGGGTGCAAAAACTTCATTGGTGGCAAGGCACAGTGCCAGATCCGCTGGTAATTATATGTTTTGATTGCAGTCGGGCAGACCGCATGTTTTCGCTCTGCCTGGATGCCCATGTCCTACACCTTTTGGTGCTTTTTGTGTCTGCGCACAATTGCATGGATGGCTCCGATCAGAAAAGCGTCCGGTCGGCTTGATATCGACCATTTGGTGATGGGTCGTAGACTATTACCGACCTGACCGAAGGTCAGTGTCGCTGAGTGACTTTCGAATTTATCGACTGACCGAAGGTCGGTCGCTGAGTGACTGGATATTTGTACGAATATTGTACGAATACTGTTCCTCTTGCAATTTATTGCAGATCGGCAGGTCGTGCTGGGTGTTAAAGTGTCGGTGATGTTAAAGGTCGGTGATTGTATGTCGGTGATTGTATGTCGGTGATCTTAAAGGTCGGTGATTAATGTCGGTGTAAAGTGTCTGGTCACAAAATTGTTTTTTTGCCTTCTGTGCTACTATTCTTCTCAAGTTAATGTGACCATTCTTTCTTTAATAATGTCGTGTAAGACGGCGATCTACAAAATAGGAGGCCAATTCGGACCGGTCACCCACTCTCAGTTCAACTCGAGTGGCTCAATTGGCCTACACATGTTCTGAAGTGTCCTGATCGAAGTTATCCAGCAATCATTGATAAGCATTAATCTGTGATGGCAAACCTAAAGATACTTTTCAAGTCGAAATCTATTCAATGACGTTCCATCAACTTCGTATGATCATTTACCATTCAGTCCCAGTCCAACATTGTCAGGCAAACATTTATCCTTGCCATCCGAATATTACTAGGCACTAATAATCAATCTACACGTTAAGCGTCCAAAACATTCCTTGCCAATTTTCTCCGCCTGATCGATCGCGCCGTTGAGTTTCCGCACTGTTTTTCCGCCTATTGGCACCCAAGCCGATCTCGCGCCGATCCCAGCTTCTCCTCATGGTCCACACGTTTCTGCTCTTTCTCCGTCTTCTAGAGTACAGAGGCCTTTTGCAAAACAGACTGCGACATTTGGACAATGACCAGTTGTCGTCCCCAGATGCGGACCTCTCCTTTGACCTCTCGGGCCCGCCTGCCGTAGCCAGCGACCGCCGCTACTCCAACAACTCAGAGCGCACAGACATGCGCCAAGTTGTCGCTGATCTCGCCCGCCGCTGGGAACAGCATGACTCCCTCACACGCCGGGAGATTTTTGGCCAAGAGCCGTTGACAGATGCACACAATTCGAGTGCCATTGAGTATGAGAACCAGAGTGCCATTGAGTTTGAGAACCAGAGTGCAATCGAGTCCGAGAACCAGAGTGCCATTGGCCAGAGCGCAAGTCAATGTCTGCAGAGTGACAACACGAGCGTTGATGACGATTCCACTTCTCACTCTCCGTCTCACTCTCCGTCTCATTCTCCGTCTCACTCTTCTTACTCTTCTCACTCTTCTCACTCTCAAGACTCCAGTTTCCACGAATCCCACGATTCCGGAAACGGCGGCGTCTACGACCCCTACCGCCCGGCGCTCTCGCGCCTTGTGCCCGGAGACGCAATGCGGCTTGTCGCTCTTCCGCCCGCAGCCAAGTTCCGTGATCTGGTTCGGCTTGTGCCTGTGGGCGCTACTCTTGTGCACGGCTTGGAATCGTCACGGCGCTACAAAAATAACTTGGCCGGCGTCCTTGAAAACATGCTTGTGGTGGCCTGCTGCTCCGAGATAATGATGTACGACCTAGACCATCTCCACATGCCCAATAAGAGTCCACGTCTCCGCTTTGATACTCGACCTGCGTTCACGTCCACGGCGGCCCGGGTCATTCTGACCTGGCCCCATTTCCCCCATACAATCAATGCGCTCAAAGTCTGCTCCTCATGGGTCGACGGGCCTGCTGTGGGTGTTTGTGTGGATGACGGATCTGTGCTAGTGTGGAACGCCAAAACGCTCTATCGCGAGATGGAGCGAAACAAATCTGGAAGGCTCTTTGGCTTGCGGCTTGCACCGGATTTCTCTTTACAGGTGGATGCGTCGGCCTGGGGCCTAGACTTTGCATCTGCGTGCGATGAACACGGCTCTTTGCACCATGTGGTTGTGGTTTCGGCCAACTCGCAGAAAGTGACGCTACTCTACTCCGAGGGCAATGGGAAGTTTGCGCATGTTTCGATGGAGGCTCTTCTGCACAATATCCCAGATGTGTCGGTAGTGAAGTATCGCATTCACGAGGGAAAGCATCGGGTGAAAGTGTGTGCAACGTCTATTCTGGGAGAGTTGGTGATTTTGGAGTTTGGGTTCGAGCGGAAGAAGGTTGATGAGAGTGAGAGTGAAGGAAACGAAACTGAAGACGTCGAACGTGGCCCTGATAACCACGGTGAAAGCACCACAAGTCAAGACTCTCATGACCCTCTGTTCTCCAATGTTGAACTGACGGTCTTTTTTTCCACGCCCAAACTCATCCGCCAAACACAGCTACCTGCGGACGGCTGGACATGCAAGCCCATTGCTGCACGTTACTTCAAGCCCGTCCAATCTCTCCGGGCAATGACTGGTGATCCGTCTATCGTTGAGGAAACAGAAATGTCCCATATTCTTGCTGAGCTGCGTATAGTGAATATGACTGCTGATCCAGTAACGACATCTCATGTCGGAGGCGCTGCCCGCTGGCAGTTTTTTGGTTCGCCAGTTCTCACCTTCTCCCCAGATGACACCGAGGCCAAACTTGTCGACGCCCAAGTTGACTACAACCACATGCGTATGGCCTATGAACTTCAGTGTCGCAACATCGGAACTTCATCCAAGTACTCTGTCACAGACTCCCCAGATGACGTTTTTATTGCGATTTCTACAGACACTCGGCTTGGGCTCATGCGGGAGGATTCTCTCTTCTGCCATGCAGCAACCAAACGGCTCTTCACCCTTGACATTCCGCAAAACGAGGACACACGCTGGTGTGACCGGCTTCTGATTACACTCCTCATCCCTGATCTTCTGTGCTTTGTCGCTGCTTCGCAGTCGGGCTTGGTGTCTATAATGCGGCTCTGCCAACACCGTGGTCTTTACGGTATGCGACAGGAACACGTTTTTCCGAATGCCCTCAGCCTTGTGGTGGCCGAACACAGTTTACGTACTCTCATAGGCCTTTGTTGCCGAAACACTTCGCCCAGCTCGGAGTATCCGCGGTTCCACCTTTATGTGGTCTATTCTGACGGTCTTGTGCTCACATACGAGCTTACTGCTGAGATATAGGCGATATCTAGTTGGGAACCACTCTCTCTAGCATGCATGTTGAAGACAATTGCTAAATTGGGTACTGGGTTTTTGCACTTGGTATGGTGTTCGAATATTGAGAGGTCTCTTTGTTTGGACGACTATACTATTTCATACAGACTTTCCATCTTATGAACAGAAAATATGTGGGCCTGGTGCTCGCTGCTTTACAGGATGAAGCTTATAGACTTAATGAACTTACAGTAAAACAAGGTAGAATGTAGCTCACGGGAATGATTAAGAGTGATTGAACTAAAATGTGAATATATGAAATAAAAAGGTTTGTTACTTGCAATTAAAGTGAATCGGTAATGGAATTGGAGAAAAGAAAAGTAGTTACTTTTGATCGCATTTGCTTCACTGTTTGCGGATTTCTTGATAAAATGCAAACGCACCAAAATACTCAAAAACATCAAAAGGTTAAAAAAAATCCAATACCATTGGAAATCAGGCCATCAAGGAGTATATATCAGGGTTACCCTATGCAGCTACTCTGATCGCCTACAACAAAATGTGGACCACAGAAGTTAGGACTTATTGAATTTTCTTATTTTCTGTGCCATTTCCAATGAATACCCCGTAAAGTTTTCATGAAAATTTGAAAAAAGGTACATTCTGATGTACTTAAACTTCAACTGTTAGGTTCTGAATACAATTGGCAGTGTATACTAGTCCGAACTTCTTGGTTCTTGGCTTCTACGACGGGAAGCCAGGCTTCTTATAGACTAGTCAGTAATTAGGGTTTATCTCATACGACAAAGCTTATCTAGAAGTTACCATAACCAGGGCCTGGAATACCTCCAGGTTCTCCTGTAGGTAGACCTAATATCAATAACAAGAATTACAGTGCTTCTATATTTCTAGGATTGATACAAGGACACTTTGCCTACCTAGCCCAATTCCCTGCAACGTACTTCTAAAGTTTTATTTCACACTACTGAACAAAATCAGTTTTACCCTACATTGGTTTCAAGCAGTTCCGGAACGACAAAGTGAAACACTAGCGTTTTTCCCTTTATTTGCGTCTGTTCTTCGGCCCTGGAAAAAGTGTTGATAATGCGTAGAGAAACATAAACTTTTACGCGCACAAGTCGCGCTCCGCGTTTTTTGTTATCGTTCCTATTCTCATGGATTTGCTACGCCTTGGCGCCCAAGCGCGCAAAACAGGGTGGAAGCCTCGGGAAAATGTCGCCAAAGACAAATACAACATGGACGATCTCGACGACTTTTTCAACGACTCCACTGCGCCGGAAAACAGCGATTCAGCGCACCCTGCGAGACCGATCAAAACCTCCAAGCAAGATGCTGTGCTGGCGTCTCGGAGAACGTTGGGCGTGGGAAGAAGGCGGCCCAAGCAGCAACGGCCAGAAACGAGGCCCCGGTCTGTACTTCCACCGAGAGAGAGGACGAAAACGCCGGAGAAAAAACAAACGACAAAAGAGACTTTCGACTTTGACATTCTGGACGACGAGTTGCACGATAGCATGACGCTCTCGCCAATCCCGCTCCTGTCCTTGACGAAACACGAGGCAGAGAAACCAGTCGCTACAGATCTCAAAGCAGGAAAGGAACTGTCAGAACAGTCAGACCTGGACTATGGTTACAATGCCACTGACTTTGATCCCCCAGATCCTTCCCAACTTGAAGATCCTTCTCACTTTGACGATCCTTCCCAACTTGACGAGCCGTCCGATCCATCTCAGTTTGATGACCCATCGCAGTTTGACGATAATCAAGATGAAAAAGAAAGCACAGCTGAGCCTGTGGAAACTTCTCGACCAAGAAAAAGCTTATCTGCTCTTACGAAAAACATGGCACTTAAGCGCCAGAAGCGCAGAAGCGCTCCAGAAAGGGACGCGGATGATGGTTCTCTGGAACCAGAACCAGAACTCCCTTCAAGTGACGGCGACGACACTTTTGACTCAGACTTTAATGACACACAGCCTTCACAAAGCACGCAGAGTACCTACAAATCGTCACAACCCAACGAGGTAATTGTGCAGCCGTCTCCTCTTCCCTCTCCACCACCAGAAGGCCTTCGAAGATCGAAGAGGACGAAAATTGCCCCGTTGGCATACTGGCGCAATGAGCGCATTGTGTATTCGCGGGCGAACGAAGCAAACGGCGACCCGGACAGCACGCTTATAAGCGACATCCGCAAAGTTCCCCTTCAAGAAATTCGGGAGGTAGTCCACATTCCAGAGCCACAAAAGAAAAAGATTCCAGCGCGCCGTGGCCGTCCTCCTAAAAACGGAACAGCTACCAGGGGAAGGAAACCAAAGCCCAAGCCAGAGACGTACGATTACGAGTCAGACCCGGAAATCGAGGGCTCTGAGTGGTTCAAGAAAAAATCGTTGGAGGCTGAGGTATTCTTGAGCGAAGATACAAAAGTCGAGAGAGTCGTAGCGTGGACGCCAGATGGAGGAGAGTTCCAACAACCACCTCCATCTAATAAGGGCCTGCAAGTGGTGGAAAACTTCAAAGTTGCCCCGCTTTTCGACGCCGATTCCGATATGATAGCGGCTGGTCTTTTGGAGTTTCCAGTGGAGGGATTTAAAAGTCTACGAACAGCCGGCGAGTCGCTGTTTATATTCCACGTGGCTAAAGGATTAGTGGAGGTGACGTTGAATTCGGAAAAATTCGTCGTCACTCGAGGATGTTCTTTTGAGGTGCCCAAGCTCAACATCTACAGTCTAAAGAATATCGGGCAAGTTACTGCGAGATTATTTTTCGTGCAATGCCAGCTTGGCACAGCAGAGAAATAACTTGGGCTACAAAATATAAAGTGATTCACTTGGATAGTATCTATTCACCATACGAGCTGGGGAATATTTTTGCGGTTAGGGAAATTAATGTACAGAAGAGATAGTGTCATGCAGTAGGGACAAAGCACCTTAAAACTTCTTGACTTCACAAGATTCGCCATCGTAGTAAGCAATCATCTTGACCTTGAACTCCGAAGCAGCGACACCGAATTGCTTCAAAATCAACGCTTGCGTCACGTCCAACGTGTCTCCCTTGGTGCAGACAACAAATGGCTCGTTGATGAAAATCTTTCCCGACTTGATCTTCGTTGGGATCTTGTACTTGTTTCTCAAGGTCTCCTCCAAGGAGTGCGACATTGGAACATCCTCCTCAATAGGAATCTGCCCGCCTCTGGAGTAAACAATACCCTCTGGAATTGTAAAGTCAATAGGGGCCTTTGACTTGGCTCTGCAGTAATCGGCCTTGGTGTAGGCGTTGAAATATGCCTCCACAGTTTCAGGTGTTTCGTTTGTGAACAACAATCCGGAAACACCAGAACAAAGTTTGGCCAATTTGTGCAAGTTGTCTTTGTATTCCTCGGCAGGAGTATCACCAAGAGCTTTTTCCAAAACTCTTCTCTTTCCCAACATCAATTTGGAACCAACCCAGTCGGATCTGATATCTTGCAAAACTGGAGTTCTCACATCATCTAATTGTAAAACCCACACGTATTTGAATTCATCAAGAGCTTCTCTAACCTCATCAAATATGCGAGCCTTGTTTTCCTTTCCCTTTTTGTCTGTTTGCGCCAAAGTGACGAGCTTGGAACGTTTTGATCTCGGCATTCTAATAAATGATAAATCTCTGTTCTACAAATCTAGATGAGATGAGCACTCCCAGAAACTGAAAATTTCAGCATCACGTGCACACAACAATCTTGAATGCCATCGCGCTCTAATTTGCACCCATGCCTTTGATGTTCGGCGCACATATTTCTCCAGCCTTGAATTTCTCTCTGAGAATTCCATAAAGTTTAGAGACAATCAACTCCAGAAGTTCAAGCTGAATAGGAGGTGGTACCTCATCATTCAAAAATGCATCCACCACCACATTGTATAGCGTCACCATCTCATCAAGAGGTGTGATGCTTTCTCCCATATGAAAAATTTCCTGAAAGTGATACGGATATTTTTGGAAAAGTGGAACTGAATGCATGAGAAGTTTTATCACGGGATATTGAAGTTTGCTTGTAGTGGGAGCTGTCTTAAGCTGAGAAGTGATGTGCAGCTTGTTAACCATCACGTAGAAGGAAAGCGATCGGAGTAATAGTGGCAAGCCAAGATTATCAGTACTCTGTGAAACAGAATTAAAGAGGCTTTCATAAAGATTTTCCGATGAAGATGCCATGATTACACAGAAAGAATCGGCAGCAAAAGAAGAAACAATTGTGTTATCTCTGCTGAGACGCATTAATGAACTAAGAATCTCGTTCATCAGATTGAGACTAAAGCCACTGTATACATCAAACACGGCAATTGCGGTTGCAAGGAGCATCATCTCAAGACTGGTGCCTGCATCAGAAGTCGGACTTTCCCATGAATCAATAAGGATTCTTGGGTTTTGCGTCATCTGCGAAGTCACGCTTGAAATCCTATTCTTAATACCGTCGTTAGTTCCAATGTAGTCTGTGGACAAGAAAAACCTGAGTAAGTGAAGATCTTGTGGATGAAATTCAGGTTTTGCCTCGTTGTTTAAGCTATTAGAGATGCGTGATAAGCTGAGAAAGATATCCGACGTGGAAGAATTCGAAGGGATTTGTTTCAACCAGGAGTCAATACCAGGGATTAGCAACATGAGATATTCTTTGCTTACCATAAACAGATGGTTTTTCTTAGCATGTCCAAGTGGACGAGACTTCAAAAGAGTGCTTTCCATCTCTTCCACCACAACGGTAGCTCCAGATGAAGCGGGAGACACAACCCTGACATCCTTCTTTCCAAAGCATTTCAAAAAAAGCTTCCTGCTTCCTTGATCCGTATCATAAAGGTCTTCTTGAGAAACCAGTGAGCGAGAACCGAACGCAGAATCGACATCAGAAGACTCCTCCAGAACAGAAAGCTCCGAAGGGCTTAAGTGCGAGTACAAATCTATGATTTCCTCGCATGAATTCCAAAGAAAGTACGCAACAACCTTCCAAGAAATGACGAGAAGGAAGATAAACAGCAGAAGAGCGAGAAGCGCCCTAGCCTCATGATGGTATATGCGAGCGCCCAACAATAGCTGAAAACTTTCGTCAGTCTGCTTGAGAATAAGTAAAGGAGTCTCAAAATGGAGAAGAGACTTTCCACCAAGGAATTCTCTTATTGGGTTTCCGTATGTAGCTAGAAACCGACCAAGAATTTCGCCCAATCTCTCCGAAAGGTCAATTGTGACGGGATAACTACCGACAGTGACGCTAGGGGAGAGTACTTTTGAGATGTTGGCTTTATTTTTAAAATGGAAGGTTTTTTGGAGAAGCTCGTCATTAGCTTTTTGCAAGTATGCTTCGAGATTGCTGAGGATAGTGGCCATGACTAGGAAAATAGATAACAAGAATGAAAAGACAGAGTGATATAAAGAAATCGAAAAAGAATTGAAATGAAGAAAATGAGTGAAAAGGGAAGTTCGTATATATATGTGCTGCTGTACTTTGGAGAATGCGTTTTGCAGCACAAAGTTCAGGCTCGCCTAATTGGGAAAACACAGAAATTACAATCAGAAGCAGAGATACAAATTCGCCAAAAAAATAAAAAGAAAAAAAAGATATTAGAATAAAAAAAATAATAAAAACAAAAAAAAAGAACAACGTCTCCCTTAAATTAGTCAATGATTTAATGTAACACGATCGATAACGGAATTATTTCTTTTGCTCGGGTGATTGATTGAAGAAGTCCGTGAAGACTAAACTTTGGAGACATTTAGGGCATTTTAGCCCAATTGATGAAGGTATTAGGGTTTATTTGCATCAAATTCCACGAATATGAGGTGCAGTGTTTACGACAGTTTTTATCACTTTAATTCTTCCCTAAATGATAAGTTTTAGTACAAGTATCTACATCCTTTGCATACTTGATTATATGATTTGTAGATTAGATTGCCACCACTGGAACCACCTGTAATTACGCTAATCAAACTTTTGAAGCGATATACTGATTATCGCAAGCTTAACTGAAGAATCTGATGGCCAGCAGCTCAATTTGTTTCAGCCTGTTTCTGTTTGGCGAATACAAAACACAGTTTCCTCGTTGACTCTCATGTTATTGCAATAGTGTTCCATTGGTTCTTTCTTATCAGTTTGGCATAAGTGACAGTACACAATTGAAAGTGACTTGAATACCACATCGTTCATGATATAGTCAATGAGATGCGACTTCATTCTAATTGCCTACTTTGAACTGTCCCCCAGTGGACGAAAAATAACTTTCAACTTCATATGCTTCATCTTGGGAGATAGGTAGCTCAATAAACAAACTCAAGTATTTTTTGGTACATCTCTCAGTGTCTAAAGCCGCAATGGAAAACCAATCATGAAACATGAAGCAGCTTTGAATTAGTTGGATGTTCCTGAGACGAAAAGCCGTTCAATGACTTGTTAATCTCAGTCACTGAAAACCAGTCATGGTCATTTCATTCAGCCCTTATCAGCCCCACAGCCTTAACATTTACCAGATCTACAGATTTCTCGTTCCCTCTACACTTTTCCTCGTGAAACTGTATTAGCTCCATATGCAAGTTTTGAATAATGAATACATAAACCACACTTCGTCTCTACCAGTCGCCTGGAACAACCGGCTCCTTGGCCAAAGGAATGTTTCTCTCGTACTTGGTTCCGCCCGGTCTGCAAGGTGGAATATATGGATCTGGGTGGGCGTACTCGGCCAATTTCGCCTTTGCCTGCTGGATTACACTCTCCAATTCATTGGGGTCGGAAATGTGTTTGTTGGCTTCGAACTGCGATCTGATTTTGATGGTTTCTCTTCTGTAGGCGTCGAATTTGAGCGACGAGTCAAAGGCGGTTCTCAACGCTTGTCTGAACAAGGACGCAACACGCTTGCTGTTTGCCTCGGTGAAGGGGAAAATGGGCTTGGTCATGCTGAAGAGATTCCTGAGGTTGTATTCGATAATGCTAAAACTTTTATTGGACAGTGCGCGCTGGTGCACGGGTGTGAACCCAGACCTTCACATATGCTCTACAGATTTGTCTAAATCTAATCTTCAGAAACATCAGTACCTGCCCTGTTTTCACCGACGAGTACATTGGCTAAAATAAAAATACATCGTTGCTTTTCGTCGTGCACACTCACTGCGCCACACTCATCAAACTGCCCACGAAAGACAAAATCAACCGGCTTCTCACCTCGTTGATATCCTCTGGAACCAACCAGATCAAAGCACCAAGCTTTCTGGCAATGGAAATGGCCAACCTGGCATTGGCGTACTTCTCTTCTTCGCCGATGTTGCCCTGGTAAACCAAGTCGTAGTCCACGTAGCCAGGCTTGATGCCGTTCAAAACGTCCAACAAGTACACACCGCTCGACAAAGAAGAGTCCTTGAACGATCTGATTGGGCTGCTGCGGCCGCCCTTGGCCACCTGCGCATTGGCCCACTTCAAGATGTCGCTGTCCGAGAGATGTTTACCGTTTCCTAAGCTCGACAATGTGTTGACGATGTTTCTTCTCATCAATTGCCACACAAGGCCCAATGTCAACAATTTGTTACCGTCGACAATGTCCGAGCCATCGATACCAACCAAGGAAAACTGGTTGGCTTTTCCAATTTCGACACCGTAGTTTGTGTTTTCCAACGCCTTGAAACGCGAGAGCTCGTTACCGTTGGCTGGCTTCTTGTTGACATGCTTCCACGAAACACTGCCGGGCAAAACCTTGTCGTATGCTTGTAAAAGAACCAAACCGTCCTTCAAGTCTTCAAACAAGGAAACAATCGGTGGGTCCACGTCCAAGGAGTTCAACCACAAGGTGAAAACTCTGGCTTCTCTCTCTCCCTCCGCGTCAAACTCCTCAATCTCTGGCTTCTCGTTCTCCTCAATTGGATCCAACCCAGGGTAAGTGTTGAACAAGTGAGCGACGAACGCAAGGTTCAACTTGGGGTTTCCTGCCACTAAAGCGGTAGGAGTCAAGTATTTACGCACGCCAATCTTGTCGGCATTTTCCAATACCTGCTCCGCACGTTGCAACAAGTCCCGTGTCTGCAAAGGCGACAAGTCACAGTGGGCTGGTTGCAACTGGTTCAACAAAACGGTGTAGTTTTCTCCGTCACTGATGTCGCTGGAGAAGTTAGATACTCTTCTTTCCCAGCCAGCGTTCTTTAAGTGGTAGTTGAACCAGCGCAACAAGATCTTTTCAGGTGGCAATCTCAAGAATTGCTCAAGTGTTTCATCGTCTTCCAACAAGCGGTACAATTCAGGGTGAAGTTTGATGTCCACTTTCGACAACAAACCACGGCGAATGATTTGCCAGATCAAACCCAAAATCAAGTGTTCTTTACCGTCAATAATGTCTTCAGAGTGGACGTTGACCACCACACAGCCAATGGCCTTGGCCGAGTTGATGACAATGTTGGCATTTTCCGACATTTGAAAGTTATTGAGTGTCTTTTTCTTGACCGAAGGAACGTTCAACACACGTGTATCGATGGTGTCGGGAACAGAGTCATTGATCAACTTGGATAAGACCAAACCATCACGACACTCATCGAAGATCTGGAATGTTTCTGTGTCAAAAGGTAACCTGTCTCCAATGTGCGGATCACCGGCAAGAACGGAATTGATGTGACGCGTGAACTCAGTCCGCTCTTCATCGTTGATGGTGTGGGTGGTACCGTCGGTTTTGCCCCCTATGTACGTCTTGTGGGATGTGTTTGCGGTAGCAATTGGTGCTGTACCCGAAACCACTCTGTTCCGGTTAACAGGCGCATCACCCGAAGCTCCAGCAGTTTTTCCAAACGGCTTGGGAGCAGGTGCTGGAGCTGCGCCATCGGCGCCTTTCAATTTGGCCATCAATTGCACATAATCGTCCAATTCCACATGGCCCGAAGCATCCACATCAACCTGCTTCAAGGTTTCTCTGGCTTGGTCGTAGGTGAACTCGCCCTTCAGCGAAACCGAATTGATGACATCTTTCTTCTCGACCCACCCCTTTTCGTCCAAGTCGATGTTTCTGAAATCCTCAATGATGCTGAAGATGTCCGACTGATCCAAGCCAGGATACTTCTTTTGTAACTTCAACACGTTCATGTTGATCAATCGCTGTTTTGCAGATAATTCTCGAACTTCACTTCAAATCCAGCAATGGCTTTTTGTATTCTGCGGCCTTTTTCTACTTTGCTGATGGAGTGATAGATGTCATGCTTTATCATGTTCGAATTATGGGGGCGGTGCGGAAAACTTGGTATATACACTACTCTACTGCGGACAGAATGGGGTCGAATTAACAGAATGGCAAGAGAGGGCTTACGAGGTTAAGATGGTAAGTGCTGGAACGGAAAAAGGTAAAAAAGTTAAATAGTTGAAACTAGAAAGAACTGTAAGGAGAGAAAAATGAGACATGTAAAAGAGAAACGTGGCTCGATTTTCTACACAGACAAGAGTACCACATTGAAAGTCCGCAATGGAACTTGGAAGTGCCATCTACTAGTGTGGAAAACTCAACGACAGTAATAAATTTTTAGTATGAGTAAAGTCACATCAAAGTGGTCCTGGAACGCTGCAACTTCGGGAATATTCTGATTGCAAAATTGTTTGTCGCTTTTCCTTTTTATTTTATATTTTTAGTTTTTTTTTTTTCTTTTTGAATACACTTTCAGGAGCAGCTAAAAGATAGAATAAAGGTAAGCTTGGAGAATTCCCAGCACCTTCTGTTTTTCACTTGCTGATTTTTGTCCTTTGGTTTTTGTATTCCTAGTCATCATGGTGTTTATGTGTACATCCGTGCACCACACACCACCTTTTGATAAGCTTCACTGGGTTTTCGATTGCCCCAAACAAGGATGGATACAGACTCTCTAAACATAGTCAAGTCCATTGGGTCTGACTCTGTGACATCGACGAAGCCGTCCAGCTTCGAGCAGGAGCAGGCGATTTTGCATTTCGAGCAGCCCAAATTTGACCTCGAGAAAGTGCAATTGCAGTTTGACCTTCGAAATGGCTTGCGCCAATTGCTTGTTTCGAACAATGTCATGTACATTTTCACCTCAACGATAGTCTATCGTATAGACTTGAGCCATCCCTTTGATGTTGCGGAGATAGATCTTCCAGGTTCGCCCGAATCGTCTGTGACGAATGCTTGGCTTCACCCAAGCGGCCAGTTCTTGATTATCCAGGTTAACAACACACAGTATTTCCACTTGCATATTTCATACTCCAAGTTCAAGAGCTTGCCGCGCTTCAAAGGTCTCCAGGCTCGTTTTGTTGTCTTCTCAGAGCTGCCAGACACGAGCTCCACTGGCGATTTTCTCATTGCGACGAAAGATGGCAATGTCTTTGTGGCTATGATCAAATCACATGAACCAGCTACGCAAGGCCTGAAGAGAGACGACAAGTACGTCAAGAACGTCTATAAGACCAAGGGCCAGATCTTCGGCTTGTCTGTTGCTAACAATAACAGTCAGATCCAGTTGTTCGTGGATGGACAGCTTCTAGTGTGGGACTGCTTCGAGTTTGTTCTTGCTGAAATCACAAGGGATTTCCGTCAGGAGCCCACAATCTTGTCTACAGCGCCACAAGACGCCAACACCGTTTTTCTTTCACGCGGACAGAACTATTACATAGTGGTGCCTGAGACCCTTGATATATACTCAAATGACGAGGAATTGCAACTATCCAATACAGAAAAATTGAATGTTGGAGAGGGAGGCATTTTAAACTCAGAGAATTCCTTTATCTCTTCTGCCCATCATCTCATTTTCATGTCAAGCAAACGTGACTCGCTTATTATTGTGAACAAGCTCACATCACAGTCTCCGGTTGTCAAGAATCTACCAACTTTCACACAAGGAACAAAACCTCTAGGGATTGTATCTGATCCTATCGGAAACACCCATTGGCTTTACACATCTAATGAAATCTTTGAGCTTTCCATCACCAACGAATCTGTCTCTGTCTGGTACAACTACTACCAGATTGGAGACTACGAAAGAGCTCTTCGCTTGCTAGATGCAAGTGATCAAAACTCCAGTACTTGGTTTAAGAAAAATGTCGTTATGGTCAAACAAGGATATGACCTACTACAGAAGGGAGGATTCGGCGTTGAAACCTACAACAGTGAATCCTCAGATGGTCTGTTTGAAAATCAAGTTAAGGGGATCCGCATTCTCTCGGCTCTGCAAGAACCGTTTGAGAAGGTGTGCTTAATGCTTTTGAACATGCACTCTAGTCCTGAAAACTCAATCCTGTCCAATATTCTATTGGTCGAATACTTGAAAGTCAAGTTCAAGAATGCGAAGGAAGTTGAACATAATAAATTGCGAATGGTTGTTCTCTCGAGTTGGATTGTAAGGATTTATGTGGAATTGATCCAAGCTGTTGATCGTGAAGCAAGATTACAATCAGACGCAAAAGTCTATGGAGAACATATGGCAAATGGCGCTCATGAGCTGCCTGCTAGAGATTTTTCACAGGAGTTGAATGATCAACTTGACGACTTTTTGAGTACAAACTGCAAAGTGGTCGATTCTAAAACCATCTATCAAATCCTTACTGATATGGACTTCTCTCAAAAACTGCTCTTCTTTGCCGACATCCTCGAGGATTACGAATTTATACTCAACCAGCATATGGACGAAGAACACTGGCTGGATGCATTAAAGGTTTTGGTTAAGATGTACACAAAAGATAGACCAAAGGCATCTGAAATCATCTACAGCTCTTCGACAGCATTTCTTATCAACAGTCCACGTGAGACTGTTGAATTGTGGTTGAAGCTTCCAACATTGGATTACGAACGGCTTCTTCCTGCTATCCTTAGCTACAACAAAAGTGGTAATACCGTTAATTATGCACAAAATCCCAGCATTCATTTCCTCCTGAAGCTCATTAACGAAAAGAGCGTACGAAATCCCACTGTTGTGAACTACTACTTGACTTTGCTTATTTCCTATCCCTCTCAAGAAGATGAACAACAGGCTGTGACAAAAGTCATCACAAAAACGTTGCAACACATAATTAGCGAAACACAATCCAACTCGCGGAAACGGGCTCCATATGATCCTGGATTTTTGTTGAGATTGTGTTTGAGGTTCAAAAGATATCAACCTGCTGTATTAATTCTCATCAATGATATGGAGCTTTATGACGCGGCATTGAAGCTTGCGTTAGATAACAACCTCTCGTCTCTTGCTGAGTACGTTTTGAAGCAATACGACAATAGTATCTTTCAAGATGAAAATGGTTCATCGTCTGCCTTTGAAGAGTCTGAAAATGGGGTTCGGGTGACGACAATAAAATTAGAAGATGAACATTTTGCTATGAGGAAAAAGCTATGGATGACGTACGCCACCTTTTTGATTGAAAAAGTCTGTAATGGAGAGAAAGTGGAAGTTCTTGATGCGGCTAATTTGGAGTCGCTCCCGCCACCGAAAGAAACCAAAAAAGATACTGTGCAATCTATCACATCGAGTCTTGTGAACTCAGTGAACGGGAACAATAAAGATGATGCGGAAGCTTTGGGTTTAAGCAAAGTTTTACACTATTTGCTTCTGTTATCCTTTTCTGGTAAGGAAAGAGCTCCAGTTCTCTCTTTGAAGGACTTGCTTCCTTTATTCCCATCCAGCATTACTATTAGTAACTTCAAGGAGGAGATTGTCAATTCCTTGAATTTATACAACAACTCCATCAACCAGCTTTCTTTGGAAATGCAAGAGTCGGCTGATATTGCAGAAAACTTGAAAAAGCAAATCCAAGACTCTGCTCTCAAAGAAAAAAATGGAACAATCTACACGATAATCGAGCCAGGAGAATCTTGTTCGCTCTGCAAGAATCTATTGGTCGACAGAAATTTTATTGTATTTCCGAATTGCCATCATTGCTTTCACAAAGACTGTGTCGTTCGCTTTTACTTGAAGCTGAAGGGAGATTATCGTTTCAAGAAGATGTTTCAAGCCTTTAGACAAACTTCTACGGTGGCAGATAAAGCCGAGCTCGATGCGATTTTGCTCAAAGAATGTGTTCTTTGCAACGACAAAAATCTCAATACATTGGATGATCCGCTTGTTGACCAGGAGCAAAACAAAGCGGAAATTGAAGAATGGCAATTGTGAAGAAACAGATAATGTGATGATGTAGATAAATGCGCATGTGCCGGCGTGTCTATCGATGTGGTCACGTGCGCTAGCTACAGCGCAGAAGGTTTGGATTTTTTTCTTCCTCATCTCATCGGTCTTTCCTTAAGTATCTTCTACATAGCATGGGTAAAACACAAAAGAAAAATAGCAAGGGTCGTTTAGATAGATACTATTACTTGGCCAAGGAGAAGGGCTATAGAGCTCGTTCTTCCTTCAAAATCATTCAGATAAACGAGAAGTACGGCCATTTCTTGGAAAAATCCAAAGTGGTTATCGACTTGTGTGCTGCACCAGGTTCGTGGTGTCAAGTTGCCTCCAACTTATGTCCTATAAACTCGTTGATCATTGGTGTTGATATTGTGCCTATCAAGCCGCTCCCCAACTGCATCACTTTCCAATCTGATATCACGACAGAAGATTGCAGATCCAAACTCAGAGGACATTTGAAAACATGGAAAGCCGATACTGTTCTTCATGACGGTGCTCCAAATGTGGGTTTGGGATGGGTCCAGGATGCATTCACACAATCGCAGTTGGTTTTGAAAGCTTTGAAATTGGCTTGTGAAAACTTGACTCAAGGCGGAACCTTTGTCACAAAAGTGTTCAGATCGAAAGACTACAATAACTTGATGTGGGTGTTTCAGCAGTTGTTTGACAAAGTCGAGGCAACAAAACCACCTGCCTCGCGTAATGTTTCTGCTGAAATTTTCGTGGTGTGCAAAGGTTTCAAAGCTCCCAAGAAAATGGACCCACGTTTGTTAGATCCAAAAGAAGTGTTCGAAGAGTTGCCTACAGAGAATACCAACAACGAAGCCAAAGTTTTCAACCCGGAAAAACACACTAGAAAGAGACAAGGTTATGAAGAAGGTGACTACTTATTGTACAAAGAGATGCCGTTGGCCGATTTCGTCCGTGATGAAGAGCCAATCAACACATTGGGTTCTTTGAATAAACTTACGGAGCCACCAAAGGATGACAAAGAATGGAAAATGTTGCGCAAGTTGAGACATTGTACTCCCGAATTCCGCGAGTGTATCAAAGATTTGAGAGTCTTGGGTAAGAAGGATTTTAAGCTAATCTTAAAGTTTAGAAAAGAAGCTAGAGCACTTTTGGGTCTCGACGATCAAGAAGAAGAGAAGCCCGAAATTGAGGTGGAGCCAATTACCGAAGAAGAGCAAATAACCAAGGAACTCGAGCAGTTGACAGAAAAACAAAAGCAGAAGAAGAGAAGAGAGAAGAAACGTGCCAATGAACTAAAGCAAAAAGAAATCAAGCGTGTCCAAATGAGTATGCTTACCGATATGAGTATCGGTATTGAAGCAGGTCAATCAGGAGCTGAGTCATTATTCAACATCAAATCAGCAGAAAAAACTGGCCAAATCGAAGATCTTGCCAAAGGTAAGAAGAGAATGGTGTTTACCGAGGAAGAAAGAGCGAAAGGTACCGAAATCGATTCAGGTGAAGAAAGCCACGAAGTGGATTCCGAGGAGGAGCTCGATAACTTGGAGGCCCAATTAGATGGTATGTACCAAGAGTACAAAAAGACAAGAGCTGAGAAAGATGCCAACTATAGAGCCAAGCTTGCTAGAGGTGATGCTGACGATGAAGCTTGGGATGGCATTCAATCTGGAGAAGAGAGTGAAGAAAATGGAATGGAGAAAGATTATGAGATGGATGTCGACTCTGATGAAGAATCCGATGATGAAGAGGAAATTCGTGCTATGTACGAAAAGAAACATAAAGAGGATTTGTCCAAGAATGCAAAGATGTTTTTCGCATCCAATTCTGTGTTTGGGGACTTGAAAGATGAAGACCTCCTAGAAGCGATCACGCCACAGGAGCCTCAAGCCAATGGAAAGCAGCAGCAACTCCCAGTTAAGAGAAGCAGAGAAGAAGTCGAGAAGGAAGATTCTGGCGCGGAGTCTGAGTCTGACTTTGAAATCGTCGAGGCTCAGCCAGAGGAAGAGATGGACTCCGAATACGACTCCGAGGAGGAGAGTATCGGACGCCAGCTCTCTAAAGCTCAGTCTCACAAGGAAAGAGTCGAGTTAAGCACAGTTGAGGCCATGACTTTAGCGCACCAGGTCGCCCTAGGCCAGATGAACAAGAATGATTTAATTAATGAAGGTATTAACAAATACTCTTTCAGAGACAGAGACAACTTGCCAGAGTGGTTTATGGAGGATGAAAAGAAGCACTCGAAAATCACAAAACCAATCACAAAAGAAGCTGCTGCGGCTATCAGAGAAAAGCAGAAGGAGTTAAATGCAAGACCGATCAAGAAGGTGTTGGAAGCCCAAGGCAGAAAGAAGATGAGAGCATTGCGCAGACTCGAGAAAATCAAGAAGAAGTCTGATATGATCAATGAGGACGGCGCCAAGAGTGAGAGAGACAAGGCAGAAGAGATTCTGAGATTGATGCGCAAGTTGACAAAGAAGCAAAAGGTCAAACCTAAGACTACACTTGTGGTTGCATCGGGCAGCAATAAAGGATTGAGCGGAAGACCAAGAGGCGTCAAGGGTAAATATAAGATGGTTGATGGTGTGATGAAGAACGAACAGCGTGCCTTGAAACGGATTGCTAAAAAGCACAAGAAGTGAGCATAATTTCATGTCGAATTCATATCAGCGAGAGTGTATGGGGAATGCATTTATTGTGTAGGAAAAAACGTACTTTCGATGACAATCGTGTATATATAATGCAGAGGCTGCATGTTCGTTGTTGTTCCTGTGTGTACTCCACTTGTACAATCGTCAAGGGCAATCAAAGAAAGGAGCACTTGCCGAAAGTTTAACGTAGGGGGGTTGAATATTTTTCCAACGGGTAGATGGCTCAGCACGTGAAAAACGTTGAAGGAGGGGAAGATGCAAGAGCAGTTGGTGGAGAAGATTTTTTCCGCAAAGAGAAACGCACCGTTACAATTTTGAGAAGTGTGCACCGAATGTAGAATTGTTCACAACCTCAACCAAAATTATTCAAACCAAAGCGCAAAAAATTTTCAAGCAAACGACAGAAATGACTCAAGCTTCACATTACAGTGCTGTGAGTATTACTTGCCACAAATGTCCCAAAAACTCTCTTCAGATATTCGCAATCGTTTGGATTGGATTAAGACCAGATGGGCTCAGTATCAAGATATTTACTGTTAAAAATAGTACCATTTGCTCCATGGTTTAAATCTTCATAACCATATGCTTCGCTCTTTTTCCTCTCTTTTTTTTTACTTTAATTGCGAATTGGTCAAATTTAATTTGGCTAATGTGCTCTGAATAGAAAGAAGAGCTCTATATACCAGAAAATAATGGCCTAAAAGAAGGAAAATGGTTAGGAGCACCAGTGCTGTGCGTATATGACACAACCGAAGATTGATCATTAACGACCAATTCATCTTCAATTCCAGCGCTTCCGATTATCGTACATGCACTTTTTTTTTTCTTTTGAATTTTACCCCTTACGATGTCAGGGTGCACACTCTACTATCGTGTAACCACTGCTTAGTGTACACGACTCTTCACTTCTCGCATTCAGATGATACACCAAAGTACTCTTACTTGCTATTGTCCAGTTCCAATGTAGGCACTAGATTTTGGAGCTAAGTTAAGTCATTGTGTGTTTTACAACGTTATGGCAGCGTGTTTCGTGTTCATCTCACTTTTAAACGGATGAGGAAATTCTCATATTAACGTGACCGACGTAATGCATACGCACCCTGTTCCTCTGAGAATTTTGTTGGTCTGTATACCTCATTTGCTTTTGTTTTTCCCGTTTTCAGAGCTTCTTTTGCTTTACGCTACACTTCATTCGGGAATCTGAATTTTCAGAACCTGGAAGACCATCAACTGCCAACCAGCTTTTTTTTTTCCTTACTCTTGGTCTAACAGGTCCGGGGATAAAGCTTCATCCTCCGGTTTTCTGGACCCTCGCCTCCATCCCATAACGGGTAATTATTTTCTATCTTGTCGCCCTGATCTTTGCATTCTTGGCTGCTATTTGCTACAATTGTTAGCGTCCGTTCCTTACAGCGTTGTCTTCTCTTCACGCTCGATTTTTGATTTCTTTCCTGAGCTTCCGGAAACTTATCTTCAATAATCGAACATCCATTTCCGTCCGTCTTTTGTTCATCACCATCATTAGCATCGAAGCAACTTTCATTTCGTTCCTTTCCTTCCTTTCACGAACCCTATATTCACGTCCCACATCCTCAGTATAACACTGATTTATTACTTTCCAACCAACCTCACATGATAATAATGACTTCCCTCCCGCCAGCATCCCATTTGTCTGTCCCATCTGCTCTGGGCGGAAAACGTTTCCATCGACACAAGCGGTCTGCAGCAATGTCTGGGGACTTTGACGTTGCTAGTCTAGGCATACTTTCACCCCCCTCCCACCGGTTGTCTCAAGGGCTACAGACACACGTCAACTTCCTCCAATCCGCACTTCCCCACTGAGGTTTCTCCGCTACATCAAAGGCTGTATCTGAGTCTGTTTGCAGTGAATTCTTCTCATTCGCGGATTGGCAGTTTGGATGATCAAATGCTTGATAAGCATTTTCAATTTTCAAATAAAGAAGACTTTACTAATAAGCCCGAAAGCGAAGAGTTCCATTTTCCTTCAATTCCTGGGACACCAAAAGAGGTTTCTGCTCCAACCACTCCGAAGCTAATGCCACTTTCACCACGCTGCTTCAACAACAGCCCTTCAAACTTGAACTCCCCTATTCGCCTTAGAAATAAGAAATCAGGATCAATGACTTCTGCGAACACTCCTCGGATGTTCTTGACTGAAGAGACTGTCTTGGATAGTCATAACATTCCCAACGCGGTGATCGATTTAGATGAAATTTTGTATGCTGAAGATCGAGTCGATAGGGAGATTCGGGGGCTGGATTTACACGTGAAAGACTATTCTGAACTTACATCTCCCCCTCGAATCACAAAGCAAGGTAGTCTCTCAACATCTCCATTCTGTGGGCCCACATACCCTAAACAACCGTTGAGAGAACTAGTGGCTGATGCAATCAAAGAAGAAGATGACTTTGAAGATTCAAGACAACCAGAAGATGAAACTCTCACTGAGGCTCCAGAAGTTGCACATCGTCACAGCACACCGCATCTTGTTGAACACGATGTCTTTATCAACCCACAAGAAACATTTCAGGGCGTATATCAAACTCAGTCTGCAAACTCCTCAAACTCGAGTCTTCCTTCAGGTACTTTCATAACCCAGCGAACATTTTCTTCATCTTTAATTGAGAAGACCCCGTCTAACTCTTCTAAGGACTCAAATACCTCTTTTATATTTACCAACGCGGGAACTCCAACATCCAAGCGCTCCAGTGCAAAAGCGACAAGATACCAATCATTTTATGACCAGTCTTACAAAATCTCGAGTGCATTAAAGAACTCCTCCACCGAAAGTGTGCATGTGCTTCCTACATACGTTGACGGCAATTACTCTAAGGACGACTCAAAATCTCTTGGCCATTCTTCAAGTTTTCCAAGCCTTAGGTCCAACGCAAAGCGTTCTGTTCCCTTGCGCTTCATTGATGCTCGTGGTAAACGTGATATGAAACAAAGCTCATCTCCTATCCATTCAAGCAACAAAGTCTTGCCGCTGCAGGAAAATGGCCGGGCTCTGGTTACAGTGGAACATGCCGTCAACATTTCCGCAAAGGTGGCCACCAAAACTGTCGAACAGCCTACAGCGGTAAAACCAAAATTATTGACCGATGTACATGTTCCGAAATTGGATCTCCATTCTCCCTCGAGCATGGTTTCTGATTTTTCGTCCACTGTGGATCCTACTGGCGATGGTTTGACTGACCATTCATCTGTGATATCCAATGTGGAACTGTCCTTGACAAGCAAAGGCTCTGGGGAAAACTTGAGGGCACCTATTGCGATCCATGTGGAAAAGTCAATGGATGCTACCCTTCCCTTGAGCAATACGAGTCTTGAATCTGGCGATTTTGGACTGAAGTCCTTAGGTAGTGGAAAGTTATCAACGCTGCCGTCGACTCGGAATCACCCTATATCCCCACCTGAGAGCCATAATCTTTCTATCCGTTCTCCTCAGAAATCATTAACACTGCGGAAGGATGCCAAGCATGATGGTAAAATGGATGTTGACAAAGAGAAAAAGCATGTCCGCCGCAAATCCGAGATTTTTTCTAGCTGGTTCAGAAGAAATAAACCATAGCTATATCTGACGCTTCTATCTATATAATTGTTTGCACATATGTACCCTAATACTATTTTCTTCACTAACACCGAACAGGCCGAACAGACCGAACCTTCACGAACATATAATCGTAGGTCGTGCGCATAACACTTTGGCTTCCCCCATAACTAAGTCATGCTCAAAAACTTTTACGATAACTTACTAATCAAGTTCAACTCAGGAATAGTCCCTTCTTTTTGTGTCGTTCACTCGATTACTACAGCTACTTTTTAATTCGAGGTAGCAGGGATATTTCAAGTATTTGTGTCTCCCATCAACTTTCATTGGGACAATACATTTTTCAGCATACCCAACCTACTGTAATCTTCCAATAAGTTACACCTGCCATGAGTGCTCAAACGGCAAATCCTCCAACAGAAGAGCCTTTTCTTGGGCCTAATCTCAATATCACACTTGTCTGTCCAGAATGCAAAATTTTCCCCCCTGACTTGATCGAAAGATTTAGTGAGGGTGATATTGTTTGCGGAAGCTGTGGATTGGTTCTTAGTGACAGGGTAGTTGACACCAGGTCGGAATGGAGAACATTTAGTAATGATGATCAAAACGGTGATGATCCAAGTCGTGTAGGTGACGCTGGAAATCCGTTGTTAGACACGGAAGATCTTTCGACAATGATCTCTTATGTTCCTGAAAATGTGAAAGCCGGGAGAGAGTTGAACAGAGCACAATCCAAGTCTTTAGTGGACAAGAAGGATAATGCCTTATCGGCAGCATATGCCAAGATATCACAAATGTGCGATGGATATCAGTTACCGAAGATTGTTCAGGATGGGGCAAAGGAAGTGTACAAATTAGTTCATGACGAACGATTACTTCGAGGAAAATCACAAGAGTCTATTATGGCAGCCGCTATATTCATTGGTTGTCGTAAGGCAAAGGTGGCTCGTACATTTAAAGAGATTTGGGCATTGACTAATGTGCCAAAAAAGGAGATTGGAAAGGTATTCAAAATCATCAAGCGGGTTATCCAAGAGAAGAACGAAACAAACCCAGGTGCTTATTCCCTCATAAAGGACAGCGAGCAAACGACACAAACGTCAGCTGAAGATTTGATAAGACGTTTCTGTTCTCACTTAGGTTTGAGCAACGAAGTGACGAACGCCGCAGAATACATCGCTAGAAGATGTAAGGAGTCGGGTATCTTAGCTGGGCGTTCTCCAATTACGATTGCAGCTACAGTTATCTATATGACCTCCTTACTTTTTGGAGCTGAAGTAACACCATCAAAAATTGCCAACAAGACTGGTGTGAGCGATGGTACTATCAAAACCTCATTGAAAGTTATGTATGAAGATCGGGAAAAATTGATTGACCCGAGCTGGGTTAAAAGCGGTAAAGTGAAGTTGGAAAATCTTCCTAAATATTCCCGTGACTAATATAGATTGCTGGCTACCCAGGTGACGGCGCGCTGTTGGTGCATCACCAGTTTCGCTCACCATATGTAGGTTGTTGAACAACTCCACGTTTTATACTGTTTTCTTTTTCAAGTACCTAATGTCTGAATTGCCTCAAGATTTTCAAAAGAAATTGTATGAAAAATATTATACTGCTTTAAAAGGTGGTTTCTTGATTTTCAACGGCGAGTCTGCCACCAAGGAAATTTTGACAGCAGAACTGAATGGATCGTCTTACCCATTCGAATTGACGGAGCTCCACAGTCTCCAAAAACGTCCAGAATCTGGTTCCATCAATGATAACCCATTTGCTAAGCCCGAACCAGAATTAACTATTGTACCATCGCTTCATGAAGATTTCCGTGTCGTTTTCAACAAGTTTCCTGTTGTTCCTGCTCATTTTATGGTTGTTACGAAGGAGTTCAAATCCCAAAATACCCCTCTTTCGCCTTCTGAATTAGTGGTCACCATGGAACTATTGAAGAACTTGAAGGCGAATGACAAGGAAAAGAAATGGTTTGCATTCTACAATTGTGGTCCAGAAAGTGGCGCTTCTCAGCCACATAAGCACATCCAGTTTATGACGCTTCCAGAGGAATTTACGCCTTATGCAGAGTCTTTGGCTAAGACATCCCCTCATTTTATTCCAAATCAGTTCCAAGAACCATTGCAGGACCCTAACTTGCCGTATGCTCATTTCGTGGCCAGGTTGCCCGAGAATACACTGGAGCTCACCGAGGACCTCTTGGCTATGACATTTGTTTCTTTACTCCAAAGGGCATGTACAGTTTTAAGAGACAATGGTTGTGACCATATTTCTTACAATTTTTGCGCCACGACAGAATACATGATGATCGTTCCAAGATCCTCAGGCAAATACAAAGATATTTTTGGAATAAACTCATGTGGTATGATGGGCTTGTTCTTATGCAAAGATGCGGAATTGGTGAACGTTGTGAAGGAGACGGGACCACTCAATATCTTGAAGGAGTTGGGGTTTCCAAATGTACATGGCCAGGCCAGTACTGAGTATCATTACTAGAAATTGATAACCATCTAACTGCTAAAGGTTTGTCTTCTATATCGGCACTAGCATCCTGACATTACAACTTATAGATTTATAATATCGAAATACGTACCCTTCCTGAACATGTAGAGGGTTTGTTGGATCTCTAGATGCAGTTCACTAAACTATTGGTAATCAGAATTAAGCTAGTGTTTTGACACATCCATAATGGCAAATGCTAAACTGACTTTGTCAGGGTAATCTATTAGCCATAACGGTTTCCATATTAAGGGGAAACAGTGCTTCCAATTTGTACATGTTGAAAAGATAGGCAGAGACTTACGCACGTGACCTAAATGACATCTTAATGTTTAGCGTAACAGAGTCATGTTTCCTATTTAGGAAGTCTACGGGAACCAATCACAACTAGTGCTTCGCGAACATGTAATCGCGAAGAAAAACCACGAAAACGTCTTGCTACTCCACTAAGAAACAACAGATAAAGCAATATGGCTTCTATCACTTCTATTGTCAAGGCATCTGATTGGATCTTGTCAAGACCAACATTGTCGAAGATCGTTACTCCACTCGCAAAGACCTTCTGTGCCTATGCTGGCTACAGAGAAATGGGTTTGAAGTATGTACATTCTCACTCTCATGGTTGATGCCATGAATGTATCCCTGCTTGTTAATTGCCTACAGTGCTCCTTCATTATTTCTGGATACTAACTCTTTTAGGTTCAATGATTTGATTATCGAAGAAAACCCTGTCGCACAAAAGGCCATTTCCAGATTGCCTGAAGACGAGCTTTACGCCCGTAACTTCAGAATGATTACTGCTCACCAATGTGCGTTGTCTCACCAGTTGTTGCCAGCTAGTAAAGCGGTTAAGCCTGAGGAGGACACCCACTACTTGATTCCTTACCTCTTGGAGGCTGAGAAGGAAGCTTTCGAGAAGAAAGAGTTGGACAACATTGAGGTTTAAACTAGCATCAGCTCCTGAATATTCATTAGCACTTATAAACGAGATAGTATTTTTTTATGTTTGTAGGTATTTTCCATTGATTGTCTCTATAAAGTTCCTTATAACTATCTATCAGAACATACCCACTTTATACTTTCTTAATTGTTCTAACACTAAGAAAGTTACGATCGTGTGGGGACCCAATCTTATAAAGGATGGCAACCAACCTCTGAACATAAAACCAACACCTTCATTCTTAACAGCGGTGGTCAAGATTGTGACTGCACCGCCACTCGTTCCCTTGGCATTCATAATTCTGGTCTTAACGACATCTGCTGGTGAACAGACTGTAGTTGCAACCAACCCGGCTAATAAAGATGCACTGAAGTGAGTCGACTTCTTAACTGGGTCCATGTTAAGGGTGTCAACCAAGAGTGCCTTAGCAATATCGTAAGTCACAACTTGAGAAGCGGTCATCAAAACTCCTCTCACTAAGTTAGGTGTCAAGCCTCTGAACAAAGAAGAGATTCCTTCATCTCTGGTAATACGATAAAGTCCATCAAAAGCGTTTCTGTAGTGTCTTCTTTGCTCCACTGGTAAAGTTGAGTCATTCTGCATTCTAATGTTCACGACATCTGAGGGATTACCAACCAAACCACCCAATGCACCAGAAACCATAGACATAGGCAACAAGACTGCCGTTGTTGCAGTTTTGTTGTATTTTTCCTGATATGATTCCTTCATGAATTCGTAAATACCAAATCTGACTGTTGAGTATGTGGCTTGTCTCAACAAGGACGCTGTCAAACCCGAATAGATTTTGAAGAAACCTTCATTTTTGATAATCTGATACACCATAGACACCAAAGACTGACCAGGTTTCGAAGCTGTTTGCAAACGAACTTTAGCCAAGTCTAATGGATGTGTCACTAGACATGCAGCCATACTGGAGGCACCGCCGTACCAAAACCTTATGGTGTTAGTAAGTTCATACTAGTGCAATCTGATCGATAACATACGGATAGTTCACCTTGGTAGTGTTTCCGGACATTTCACGTTGTGGGTGGAAGTTGTTTTGTTTCGTCGAACGCAAAGATTACTCGCTTCTACAGAGTGCATTCAGATTTTTTTCCGCAGAGCATCAAGCCGCATTAAGACAAAGACAGGAAGAGAAGTATGTCAGATTTTTGGATACTTTCTTATCGTCTGAAAATAAGTAACTGACGTTTTGCATTGCTCCTTCCGTATTTACTAATGTCTAATTAAACTATTAGTGCAACCTCAATTGTTGATTTATCAATAGTATGTGATCGGAGATTATCGGAAGCCCCTCTGAGCGACACAATTCCCCACTCTCATATACAGTGCTCAACAGCGGTTAGTGCGACCTGGGTGTCGCAAGTCATGCGTTGAGCCGGCCCTCTATCCAACGAATAATAAAAATATGCTATGCTGTCTTAACAGGTGATTCTATCATTAAGAAAAAGTGCTTGTTAGATTATTTTACATCGCTTTCTTTGGTGCAGTCATCTTCGCAAGAGCTTTTTCCGGACTTAGGAATTTAAAATATTGTTTGCTCACGACGCGAAAGGTAATGAGAATCGTTCTTCTATTCGAAATCAACTTCTGTATTTTCATAATTTACAAAGTATAAAACTTTGCATAGGACTGTCTACCGTTCGTAGAAGAAGGTTGGCACAGTTTTCTGTTATCATTCAAGGCACGCCTACAGGAGAGTGCTAATCACTCGTTATGTACATTGTGCAGGAGATTTTCGGTCGCACTGCCACATGTTGACAGTCCGTCGTTGCCGATTCCACTCTTAACAATACTTAACCATAATGAGTCGTGCTGAAGTTGATTTGCAAATCAGTGTCCGTAAGGCTTGCAATGCTGAAGAAGTTCCTCCGAAGCGGAAGCATGTTCGTGCTTGTATTGTGTATACGTGGGATCACAAGAACTCAAGAGCGTTTTGGAATGCAGTGAAGATTCAACCGTTGCAAAGCAGTGAAATCCAATTGTTTAAAGCATTGATAATGATCCACAAAGTTCTTCAAGAAGGCCACCCTAACACATTGAAGGACAGTTACAGAAATAAGGATTTTTTGTATTCATTATCGACAGTTTTTCCTAGCTCAAGTAGCTATGGTCGTTTGATCAATCAGTATGACCGATTTCTTTTGAGCAAATTGGACTTCCACAGGAATAATCCTGGTTTCAATGGAATGTTCGAGTATGAAGAGTATATTTCATTAAGAACGGTGAATGACCCCAACGAAGGATATGAATCCATTTTGCAATTAATGGACTTACAAGATTCCATCAACGAGTTGCAGAAGCTCATCTTCGTAACTATTCATCAATCCCCAAATAACTTGTGCAAAGTCAGTGCTTTGGTTCCATTGATTTCAGAATCTTATGGTATCTACAAATTCTTAATTTCAATGTTAAGAGCTATGTATCAACAATTGGGCGATGATGAAGCTCTATCCGTATTATTTGAGAGATTTGACTCACAACACTTTCTTTTGAGAGATTTCTACACCGATTGTCAATCAATTAAGTTCTTGACAAGTTTGATTACTATCCCAAGATTAGGAGGCAATCCTCCAAACTTGAGAATTAGTGATGATTCTGAGAATCCATCTACTGATACAGCACCTGTAAGTAATGATTCTACTTCTCACTTATCACAACAGCCTACCTCAAATGTTGAAACTCCTTCACTTCCTCCTCCAGTTGATCTGATTCATTTGCAACAGACAGGAATTTTCGATCAGCAACAACAGTTCCAGCAGCAGCAGCAATACTTAGAAGCTCAGCGTCAGCAACAGTTAGCTGAGCAAGCCGAAAGGCAAAGGATGTTCGAGCAACAAAAGAGGGAACAAGAACAAAGAAGATTGCAAGAGCAAGAATATTTGAGGCAGCAACAAACTCAAGCACAGGTTCTGCGTGTTTCAGAATTAGAACATGACCTAGTCATGTTTAAAAACCAATTTGATAATGACCAGGCATTATTGCAACAGTACGATGCCCGAGTGAATACGTTGGAAAACGAATTGGCGAAAATTAATGAGACCGCCACACAACAAGTCGCGTCTAAAGATGAACAGATTAAAACTTTGGAAGAACAGGTTAATAACTGGGCCAAAAAGTATGAAGCTCTCGCAAAGTTGTACTCTCAGTTGCGCCTGGAACACTTGAATCTTTTGGCCAAATTTAAGAAGATTCAACAAAAAATTAGCAGTGCTCAAGAGTCTATATTGAAGACTGAGAAGGTTGAGAAAGATCTTAAAGCGAAAAATCTTGAACTAGCAGATTTGATTCGTGAACGTGATCGTGCTAGATTGGACTTGGATCGCACAAAAGCGTCTAAAGACCAAGAAATCGAAAAGTTGCAAGCAGAAATAAGAGAATTGAACGCGCAGATGAATGATTCTGGGAAGTTACATTCCACCAATCTCGACACATTGCTTTCCAAACATCAACAGGAAATTGATAGACTCAATGCGGAGCTAGTAGAGAAAGATATGAAGCTCACTTCTTTGGGTGATATCAGTGAGATCCAGGAAAAGTTGAAAGAAAAGGATGTGGATATTGAAATTGCACAAGAATCATTGGATAGTGCATTACAAGAGTTGGCTACATCGAAAAAATTCTATTTGGAACATGGAGTCAAAAAGTTATTGAATTTGTTGGATGTCATTTTGGCTAATAATGTCAGACGTATACAGGACTCGAAGCACGAGTTGTCTTCGCCAATGCAAGCTGGTAACTCCAACGCTTCACCGGAGTATTTGTTATCCGTCATTGATTTATGTTCTGACACTGCGACTGACTTTGCTCAGGCATTCAACAATTTCATTGCAGAAAGTAATGTATCATATGAAGATCCTGAAGATTCCACTCATTCCGAAATCATTTTAGCAAGTTCTGAACTTACTGCGACAATCAATGATTTGATGTTAAATGCAAAAGGTTTGAGTCGGAACCTATCTACCTCAGATGAGGAAAGTCTTGTTAGTCTCATCAGCACAATGCTTACTAGCGCGGAATCCTTCTTCCTGAGTTTAACATCTGATACTTTAGATGAATTAGACAGTGACGATGACAAAATTGATTTTGTCATTGATTGCAATGTTCTGTTTCAACATTCATTGCAAGACGTCTCCTCTTTGGTTGATAAACTTAGAGGCAGAAACTCGTCAAAGCTTATCAAAGGTAAGATCGAAGATGCCGTTGATAATGAGATGGACGAAACCGCCAAGGCTGTCGACTCAGCAACTGAATTTCTCAACAAGCTTTTGCTTTCAGCCTCTCAGTCATCAAATTTCGAAATTCATGAATCTATTGTATCCGCAGCATTATCGATCACAAAAGCTATTCAATTATTGATCATCGCTGCTACCAAATGCCAGAGAGAAATTGTGGATCGCAATAAAGGTAACGGGACAAGAAGGGACTTCTATAAGAAAAACAACAGATGGACTGAAGGTTTAGTTAGTGCTGCGAAGGCGGTAGCTGGTGCCACAAACATTTTGATCCAAACAGCAGATGGTGTCCTTAAAAATGAAAATTCCCATGAGCAGTTGATCGTTGCATGTAACGAAGTGGCTGCATCTACTGCGCAACTCGTTGCAGCTGCGAGAGTGAAAGCTAATTTCATGTCTAAGCTGCAAGATGACTTAGAAGGATCTTCAAGGACTGTTAATACAGCATGTAAGTCGTTAGTGGCTAAAGTTCAGTCATTACTTACTAATGCTGGTGATTCAGACCAATCTGTTGATTTGAGCAAGCTTACGCCATATGAAGGTAAAACTTTGGAAATGGAGCAGCAGGTTGAAATCTTAAAACTTGAAAACCTGTTGGTAGCAGCCAGAAAGAAGCTTGCTGAAATTAGAAAGTTTGGTTACAAAGACGATGTGTCAGATGATGAAGTTTGATAAATAGGATACTCATTTTATTCATACGCGATTATTAGTGTGCCCGTTTCGATTTTCGAAGATATCACAGTCTCGGGTTTTCAATAACTGCCTAATTGTTTCCTTGTATTTTTGTACCGCCGATTTGAATTTTTATGTTTTGAAACCCGCCTCAATGTGCCTTGTAGTTGACTTTTTTTTGCCTATCTTACTCACTCAACCGCCACTTTTGGGGTGAATGACGACGACTGCTCCTACTTTTGCTCTTTGCCCTTTGTATCTTCTTTGCCCTATCTTCAATGTCTATTATAACTTCCACCCTACATTTATTGGGTTGCAACTTGTTTTTTTTTTCTTCATGTGGACGAAATCATTACGATTATGCATACTGCGTGGTGAGTAGGCAAATAATACTTTTCATTGGTATGGCACCTAACATTCATTGTGCATAGACAAAGTAAAAGTGTTTCTTGTTTTCTATCACATTGACACTCTTTTCTGGTTTTATGCCTATAGTCACAACCAGTAGACACGTGCAATTGGAACTGGATGTTCTAAGACATCTCATATCATCAACGCATAGATGCGTCGCACTCAGACTTTATTAGACACTGATCTAACTTACAGCTCGACTGCTTAAAGTCGATTAGGGAGAAAGCAATCCATAGATCTGCTCTGTGGTTAAACAATGGTGACCGATACCAAATCTTTCAACTAAAAAGACACACGCAATAGTTTCTCATGATTTTACCGGGGTAGTCCTGACATTTGTAAAAAATTGAGAAATCGAACGCTATAACTAAAAAATCCCTCCATAAAAAATTGGAATAGACTCGGAAAAGCTCCAAATCCTCAAACCCCCTAGAACTTAAAGATTGGGATGAAAGAAAGCGAAGATCTTGATGGCCTTTGTTAGAAAACTGGACAAAAATTGTGCTCTTGACGCATGCGTAATTTTGCAATAACGGAAATCTCGAGTGCAAATACTTCGAATACGACAGTCATTGACGAGGAATAGAAAGATAATGCGACCACATTACTATTACAGCTCACAGCTCTTCTTCAACCTAATGTAAAACCACTCATGGCTCATATTCTGTATTGCTCATTCACCTATCATGTATATTTGTGGTACACCATACGAATCACGGTGGAGACATTACTTTCCTTCACTACTAAGAATAACGTCTATCAATTCAGTACAGAATCTACGTATTTTAAAAAGTGTGAAAATTTACCCAGGAATGAGTGACCCACAGTCAATTCTTTTCAAAGCTTCATTCAAATATTGGTGAGTGAATGGGTCGATCTCCCACTTTCAATCATCTGATGAAAGATTTTTCTCTTAGCAAGGAAATGTCAGCTAGCAGGGAATGTCGTTAATGCTGAAATAAATCAAACATTTTTGATGAAGGAGTGTTTACAGAGAAATGTGCTAACATTAAAAAGAAAACATTCAAACACTCATAAACATAAATCTTAAGTACTTGACAGGCAGTTGCCACACAGCTGAACTTAAGATTTGTAGACTTCACTTCCCATTATTTTAGGCAGAAATGGTAATTTAAGAAGGCCATAGACAGATTTCAGCAGGAAGTATAGAAATACAAAGGCGTATTCGAAGAGTAGAAGACAGTCAAATAGAGTAAAGATACATTACGAAGACAACTGCCATCAACTACATTATCTGACTCAACTGGTGGAATCACGGTTCGGCAAAGAAACACTCACATAGCTTCAAAAAAAAATTGAAAATCACTAAACAAAATACTCGTAAGGAAGAAAGTGGTATTATTTAAGAAAAAATGTATTTATTCGATGGCTGGGGAAAAAAAGGAGTTAGTCCCATGTAAGAGACGACAGGAATCAACAGAACAGAAAATCGATAAATAACCAAAAAAAAGTAAAGAATCAAAGATCAACCACAAAAATGCAAACACAATAAGAATAAAAATTTAAAATATCCCATGAAAATATACACAAAAGTAAATGTATTAAATCAATTTACCAAGGCGGCTTAACTAAAGATATCATATCAGATACATTAAAGATTCAACTTATTTACTGACTATTCTTGAAAAAACCAAAGATTGAACAAAAAAATATAGAAAAAAAGCTCACCGATCACACATCAATCCTATCAGGCTCAAGAAAGTTAAACATTCACAAGGGACATTCCGTTCACTTAATCATAATTTTTAAATACTTCTATACGAGAACTACAAGAGTTGGTCACAGTAGAGTTTACACAGAATTGAATATTGAATGAAGGAACACAAATTATCATTTAAAACTATCAATCAACTGTTACTTAAACGATATAAATTGATTTCTATCAAAAATGATTCTGTCAGTATATGGTAGTTTTCTCTTTATAGGTTACTGTTACATATATTTCAGGAGGATTGGTCAATTAATTCTTAATTAGCATCTTCTGGTTGCAAAACGAATAATTCAAATTTGAGGAAATCCACAAGGTAAGATCATTATTTCGTTTTCTACGAGAAACATTTCCAAAGTTTCTGAAATTTTTTACACATCACAATATTCGAATATTATAGAAATGAAAATACTTGTTAAAAATATATGCCACTAAATTATGAATAGGGACATTGATAGACACGAAATGATAAAACGCAAATATGTTACTAGTCGATTTTAAGAAGACACTTGTTAATGCACTCATAATCAAACAGTTTGCAATAGCACCGCACTCCTGGCCTCTCGTTGAATAATTTTAATCTGATATTAAGTACATATGTTTGTGAATCAACGTTCTCAAATTCTTTTCTGCATGGTTTATTCACAGCTTGATAATATACCAAAAAGTAACTAATTATTTAACATAATCATAATTCAAATAGAATCTTCAACTAATGACAAACACATAGAAATCGAATACTTATTCGCCAGAAAGTCAAATGAAATTTATGTATTGCAAACTCTACACTCTTAAAGAGAACGGAGAACAGTAATTTAATATTAAAAATTGAGAATATTGTTGTTGACCACTTTTGTTTCAATTTCAGATTGGGATATGTTGGGTATGAGTGGGCTATATATTTTTTGATTGTATATTTGCTGCAGTGTCAAACTTAGTTATGTAGTAATTATGAATCATTAAAATACGATGTGATGGAATAATATGTTAACACTAAGTAATTCTCAGCTTCTTTAATGTACCTTATTAGTGTAATAGGGTTAGTTTGAGGAACTTTGCAAATATATGGGGTGGCAAATGTGAACGTTATATAACATTAGAGCTTTTTACAGCGTTATTTGTGCCTTAGTTTGAAGTGGATGGTTTACACGCTAATGTCAGCATCATATTTTATTCGTGAGTATGAAGAGAGGAACATTTGTATTTCGAGTATTCTTTGAAATATCTATAGTTATATATTGATGTTGTTATTCGCATCACGCTTGTTATGTATTATTTTCATTTTATGTTCCGGTGTTGCTAGTATATTCTAATAGTATCCTGTTACTTGTCAGTGTATGTTTAAATAAACTTAGTAATTTTTCTTGTGGAGAATACAACAATGTGCTGAATAGCTTTGAATTTAATTTTGAATCAATGGTTAATGCAGTTGGTAGTTTTATAAAATACCATGTATAATCAATCGGTTCGCTGTAGAGTTGTACTTGTATGTGATGGATTTTCGTACTCAATAGGAATTTAGCTCCATTCGTATGTATGGAATCATTATGTAGTTTTATGTAATGCTGCTGATTGGAAAGGGTGACATGTAATTTCAGATTCCCAAAGATATTACATTGATTTAATACATACATCTTTTTTTTTTTTTAACTTGTATTTCCGAGATTTTAATTTTCTTTTTGAATGCATTGTTCTTTTAGAGTAGTGAAAGTACGAGTGCGTAAGAATAAATTCAATACGAATGGGGTTTAAGTCCTTTTTTGTGTCTTCGATATAATCTATAATATAGTTTCACAGAATCGAATTATGCCGAATATCTTTTTACATTTTGAATTATTTCGGTAAGTTCAGTGTAAATATTGTGATGAGTAGCAATTGCTGGAATCAGATTAACTTACTCCTGGGTACGGTAGGCAACGTCCCAGATGACAAAGTAGAAATCTTGTTTCGCGCATGTATTTGTTATTGTAATGTGGTTTTGTATTCCAACTCAATACATGGATTCGGGATATACAATATTCCCATGTAAAATCATAGGATGCATTCCTATTTCTACCAGAACCGCTCTCTGCAGCCTAATCCTTTGAGCAGTAAGTGTGTTGAATCACTCAAGTTTATACTTGATAGTATTTTATTATTGACATGTTATGAAAAATTTATTGCTGGATACATTTTTACTAGGTTTAACCATACTAGCTGTTGTGTGAGCAAAGCTGATTGAGTAGCATTTTCTACGCAATCATTAATAAATGCTATTTTTTTTTGCTGTGTCTTCAGTATGGTAAACTAGATCCACAATACTTCTTTCCATTCCAGGTGCTGTAGATAGCTAGAATAATCGAGATATCGGGTTACGAAAGTGTTGTTGGATACTGCTAAAGGTGAGAGATATAGACCCACCACGTTTTAGTACCTGAGTGCAAGAAACTAAAATTTCCGTCAAATACGCACGTATACATTGCGGATGATTCAACATTTGAATCTCATCGTAAAGATTTAACTGGTAAAGTTAAAAGACTAGCATTGCTGATCAAGAATTTGAATCAATAGAGTTGGCTGTATTTATATATATGTTGTTTTTGATCGCATTCACGGAAGTGAAGTGAATGACGACAGATAGGATTAACATTGGTGTGTTGTCCAGTATTGAAACAAGTATGCGTACTCTGTTCTTTGTAAGATTGGCTTTTAATCCTCACAATATCATTGTTTTCGCCAATTTTAGGCAATTGGAAGCAATTCATAGCTCATGCTAGGTCACAGCATCCCAATTCAAAATTTAGCTCCCATACTTTGCTTTTCCCAAGTCGAGGGGCACATATTTGTACTTGATCATATGCTGGATCTGTCTTCTCATGGTTAAGACAAACAAAATGATAAAGTATACGAGCAAAATTGGCCAAAAAACAGGAATATCAAAAATGGAGAAGAATGTAGCAACCAATGACGCAAATGTTAACATTGTTGCATTCAACCAAAACTTGAACTCAGGTAAGCGTCTGATAAATGGTCTGAATTCATCATCCTGCTCACGAGGTTCTTCCCCTCCTTCTTCGAGAGACGACGACATCAGCTCTTGCTCTAAAGAAGGATCGAACTTTGGTGTTAAAAATGCTAAGAACATGTTAAGGAGCGATATTCCTAAAGCATAACACACAATGTACCATCCTTGGGCCACGAAAATCCGTACTAAAAAAGTGAAAAGAAGTACTCCAAATGCAGCCCAACGACGCGTTGTGAATGGTACACTTCTATCAAGAAGCTCTTGAATCGTGACATTTATCTTACGATAATGTCTGAAAGCAGGATGGTCATCGAAATCGAACATGTTTTGAACCTTAGAGATTGTTTCTGGTTCGGTTTTTTTGTGAGAACAAAATTATACTCAAATTCCTGTATATACGTTCTTGGCTAAAGGACAGTTGGATTTCCATAACATACAAATCCTAGAAATGTTGTAGCAGCAATTTTTAGGAATATTAAATGGCCGAATAGCACGGCTTAGTTTTGCGCAAGATATTATAAATAGCAAGAGTAGTTGAACAAATGCTCGGAGTTTATTGCTTGATTTCAGATTCTAAGAAATGCTTTATCGCCGTGGGAGAAGTTTAGAATGATATACTCGCATGTAGGGGATGATCGACAGAGGAATTAGAGTCATCGGTGATATTCATCTCTTTCTGAGACTGTCGATCAACAAATTTCGTGTCCGGTTTCTATTTCAGATATCGTAAAATGTAATGGAGTCTGGGTGTTTGAAGGACGGACTAAAGTGGCGGATTACCCTGACTCGTGGTATTACGTGAAGTTAAAAACATACGACTCAAGTAGTGAATACTACAATTTGAGACAAATTATTGAGAGTGATCGTTTTCAGATGTTAGTATCATCTTTTGAGGCTAGGTTGTAAGAAGGAGTTTAGAACTCAGTAGTTCCACTTTTCAATCGGCGAAAAGAAATTCTGTGACGTTTTATCACTCTTTTTTTTTTTTTGATTCATTGGTTCGCTAATGACTTCGAATGTCTGTGATGTTCTGCACCAGATAATGATTTATGTAGTCACTTGTCTGGTTTCTGTGAAGCGAAAAACTTTAAAGACCAGTGATCTGAAAAGAAGGTTCTTCACTTCGTACGTCTGGCGGAAGAAGAACCGGGCCGGAAACAATCCGAGTAGTTTTGAAAGTTGCAACATGTTTGCAAATCTTATGTGTATTTCTTCTTCTTCTTAAAGATTCTAACATGCATTGAGTTGAGTGCCGAGAAGATTGCTGGCAAAAGAATACAATGAAATATTGCTAGTTAGAAATAAATTAAAGACAGGCGTTTGTAATAATAATCCCATAATACATAGATGATGAACGCCTGGAAATACTCGTCTAAGGTCAACTCAATAGCCGAGCTGTGTAGAAATTAGCGGTCATATATTGCCGGACTGTGTTTTCTTATCGTAAGTTCGTGCAGTGAGTTAAGAAACGATAGATGAACACGAGAGGGGTACTGTTAATATTACAAAAAAAAAAATGAAGTTTCGGAGTGTTATGAGCCGCAATTACGACGCAAAGAATTTATTGTCGCTCTCGATGTCATTCACATTAGTGTTATAAACTTACTATGTAGATCTAGTGTACTACCATTTCACATCTTGTCTATGGCTAACTAAAGCGTTTACATTAACAAATCTGAATGACTTCCTAAATTGCAGAAAACGGAATTGAGGGAATAAGCTATTCTTACACGAGAGAGTGTAAAATTTTGCTTATGTATGGCTCTAATTCGGTATTTCTCTCGTGTAGACCGCATGATTCATCACTATGTGTAGGAAAAGCTCCGCGGTTGGGAAGGGGTTTGTTTGTTTTCTGTCAGACGACAAGACTTTTCTCGCGGCAATCCTTCATCTAAGCTTAGAAACGCACTCTTTGTCTCATATTATGCTGAAACGCGGTATGTCGCGTTTGATATTTATACCATCGTGATCGCCATGTTTTTTGTAAGCAACCTTTGATCACTGTTACTACCCTTGCGAATTACAATCGCGTCCATTCATTTAAAAATCAACGTTAATAATGATCGTTCCAATCGCTACACTCTTTAGTCTTGCCTCCTTTGCAACGGCAATTCCTTTTAGAAGATATGACAACTCTTCTGAGCCAATTACTTCTTTGAGTGCAGGAGGTGACACCACTTCAACTATTGACAAGTATATCACCATTACTTTGGCTTCTACCACCTACACTACTGAAGCTCCAGAAGCTGCATACGAGACTTCAGCACCTGCTTCTTCTGCACCTGCTTCTTCTGCACCTGCTTCTTCTGCAATCACTTCTTCTGCAGAGGCTTCCTCCGATGCAAGCTCCTTACCTACGACCTCCACTTCGACAATCACTACCTTTGTGACTGTCACCGAAGAGAACGGCTCTGTTACCACGGAAGCAGCTATTGTTGAGACTGGATCTTGTGCTCCAACGACCGTTACTGTCACCGTCACTGATGTTCCTTCTTCAACTACATCGGAAAACGTCACCACCATCACCCAAGTTGTTACTGCGTCTTACCCAGTGACTGCAGAATTTACATACAGTGATGTTACCACCACCATTACTTCTTTTATTGAAGTTACCTCCACCCAAACTTCTGTATCCACGATTCCTTCATCTTCGGTGCAAACTGAGGCTCCAGCATCTTCTGCTATTGCCTCTTCTGCCCCAACTCTCTCTTCGAGCTTGTCAAGTTATGTTAATGGAACAAACCCAAGCTACAAAAGACTTAGAAGAGGGTTTAGTTTTGATTTCTGAGTATACCAACTTTGGATTGTGAATCCTTCAAGACGCCCTTATCCGTGGTACTCAGTACTCATTGGATGTTTTGGATTGCCGTCCCGGTTCGAATTCGTGAACTTTCTCAAGTGTTTATTTTATGAATATGTTTTAACTGTAAACACCTGCTATATAAATTAACACAATTCCAATTGTATTACTCCGTTATTAAATTTGAGGGGAAATGTTATTGTACTTGAATTTTATTAGGGATTCTTTTTTTTCGATCATTCCATGAAGTACTCGTCTTGCAAGGAGGCTGTATCGCTTCGCTGTGACGGATGCAGGTGATGGTCGCGGGTTTCATTTTTTTGAACTAAACAATAAACAAACACCCATACCAGCAATGCCTCACGATAGCTTGTCCCTGGAGGAAAGACTTTCCCCAATAAAACTAGCGGCATTTGATTCTGCTTCACGAACACAATCTGATGAGATTCAGAGAAAAGTGAGTGCATCCGCGGATTTGTCCTCTCGATCAGCATTTGGTCTCATTAAGCACCCTCATGGACTTCAGGCAAAACACGAATATCGCAGAAATACTTTGAACCACCCAAGCTCATTCAAGACGCCAGCTAAGCCAACAACTAGAGATGTTGTGACATCTCCGCGTTTGGTGGCACCTGTCTTGCAACCAGATAATACGGACTCTATTGCGGACAGTCCTTCTTATAGAATTAGAAGCAAGCGGGTCACTGAAAAGGTCGACAATGATTCAAATCCCCTTTTAATTGGAAACGGTACTACGAAAAAGACTCAAACTGAACATAACTCAAACAAGAGACCTTCTTCAGGAGAAGTTTCGCTGTCCGTATTTAAACAGTCCAGACTTTCGTCCGCCGGAAAGTCGCATGGTGCTAACACCTCCGATTCATCTTTTCACAACGAGTTGCTTGAACGAATGAATAGTAGCCCTGAGAATATCAATCATGGAGACGACCCTGCGATGAGCCTCACAGAGAAGCAGTTCGGTGACGACCTCATGGAGAATCATGATTCACGGATCCTGGAAAGTAACCAGCCTGGTGTCATTGTGCATTTAAATGATACCCCCATTTATACTGCTCACCAAATGGAGATGTCAAGGCAAAGTCTATTGAGTGAAATAGTGAAGATGGAAGCTAGTGTTGTTGAGAAAAATGACGAGATAATTGAACTTACCAGTGCTGTGAGTAATGCAAAGAATAGAATTTTGCGTCTTGAAGAGGGAATCAACGAAAAACTGCGAGCTGAATCACATCTCAAAGAGAGTGTTCATCTCCTAGATTTGCAAATTGATCACATCAATAAGGAATTTGAGCCAAGTTAAACTGGATTTGAAAGTTAAATCGGCTCTTTTACAGTCTTCCGAGGACAAGCTCAAAGATTTAAAAGAAGGGTTTGATGAGGAAAGACGTACGTTGAATGACACGATTGTCAAACTAGAGGGCCATGCACAGGAACTTGAGGTTGTCCTTGCGGAAAGAAGCCTGGAAATATCTACATTGAAAGCGGAAATTGAGGGTATAAAATTGGAGAAGGAGAGGTTATTCAGAGATAGAGACTCATTAAGTGTTGAACTTGAAAAAATTTTAGCGTCCAATGAATCACTACTATCTAAGCTTAAGGCAGCGGAAGATGAAAGAGAGCATTTAGCCCTGCAGTTACAAATGAAAGAAAGATCATTGTCTGAAAAAAATGATCAACTTAAAGATTTGGACGAGAAATTTAAGGAACTATGTGAGGAAGCGAGTAGCCTACATAACGAAATGGCTAAGCTTGAGACAGAACAGAAATCGAAGGATGAGGAAATTTTGAAAAAAGATCACCTTTTAGAACAACTGAAGGTGCACTGTACGCAACTTGAAGGAGAGATTACTTCGTTAAAAGATGAACTTAAATCGAATCGCGACTTATATCAAAAAGATACTAATATTACTTCGAGTCTTCAATCAGAAATCGATCATTTGATGAAGAAAGTGGAGGATCTACAAAATCAAAACCTTGAGAAAGATCAAATAATCAGCGGAGATACAAAAAAACTCACAGAATTGGTGGAAGAAGTTACGAAACAAAAACAAGTGATTTCAGAGCTCAAAACAAAGGTAACGAATAAGGATGAATCAGCCTCTGAAACTGAACTACTTAGACAAATAGCAAGCCTCAAGCATCAGGTCTCCACTGCTCAACAGAAAACTGATGAAAGAATTCAAGATGTTGCTGAGCAATTATACCATCAGTACTCCAAGAAGCATGAATTGAAAGTCAACCAATTAAAGGAAAAGTATGATGCTAAAATCGAGGACAGCCATCGTGAGCTTGAGCAAAAGCGGCGTGAAATTGAAACTTTAGATAGCCAATTGAAGACTGAAATGAAGGAGAAGAACTACCTTCTTTCAGTCTTGGAGAAATCGGATAGCACTTTCAACAAGTGTACCCCAACAAGAAATAGGTACTGAAGAGTATATTTAAGCCATTTTTTAGAGGTATAGAGATACGCATCGAATAGCACCCATCTGAGTTCAGTTTATAACACAAATTATAATAAAATCTAATTTATTAGGATTGAATATAAATTATTCAGTTGCTGCATAAAACTTGAGCAGTTCGGTTTGGTTATATGGATTGCGTTTTGCCTCATCAAATGTCTCCTGGAGAGCCAATTTCAATTTTGATACGGCATCTTCTGTGATTTGGTAATGAATTGCTATACGACTTCCGTAGGCCTTCACCCCGTGTCTTTCGCAAGCCTTCGTAAAATATTCATCATTTATCTTGTTTGCTGCCAAATCAATGAAGACGAAATTTGTATGAACAGGATGTTCTAATACAATTCCCTGCTGTTCGCAAAACTGACCAATATCCTTTGCAATTCTATGTGTGTCAGGCAATTTGGGAAAGTTTTCCTCTATAGCAACAAGTGCCATCAGAGCAAGTAAGCCACTTTGTCTTATTCCTCCTCCGTTCTGTTTCCGAAAGTGGTTCGCCTTTTGGATGAACTTTTTGTCGGACACTAAGACAGAGCCAACCGGAGCACCTAAAGTTTTAGACAAACAAAGAGAAACAGAATCAAAGTACGAGCAATATTTGGCAATAGAAATTCCTGTCGCAGCAGAAGCATTCCAAAGCCTGGCACCATCAAGATGCAACCGAACACCATTTTTCTTGCAAAATTTTGAAATCTTCTCTATTTCTTCTACAGGGAAGATCATTCCATGCAAAGTATTCTCCAAGCTTATAACCTTCGTGGGGGCAGAATGAATCTCGCCGTCATCTGGTACGAAGTTGGGAAGAATATCTTCTTCCAAAGTGAGGTAAACATTGTTTTTTGGATGAATTGGATGAATCATCGCTTGTGAGAGGGTTGGAATTCCACCTGCTTCATGGACAAATATGTGAGACCGATAATCACAAAGAACAGCATACGGAGGTTGTACTAAATTGGTTCTAATCGCAATTTGGTTCAGCAATGTTCCGGATACGCAGAATAACCCACGTTCTTTGCCAGCAAGGCTGGCTACTTTCTGCTCTAATTTCGTCGTTGTCTCGTCCTCATTGTATACCGCGTCACCTAATGAGGTATTGGCGATTGCAGCGACCATTGATGCAGTGGGAGTAGTAAAAGTGTCGCTTCGGAACTCATTCGCTGCAGGGCTGTTGTTGAAGGGGGATAAATTGATTTTAATTTGTTCAGTCATTGCTTCGATTTTTATGTTCAGTGAGTCCAATGTACGTACAGTGGCGAAATTACGGGCAGGAGCTATCTACCCCAATCAATGCGCATGCTACATAGTTGACTTCAGTTCAGGGATAGTCCATTGACCACTATTCTTCATGTGCAAACCATGATTAAGAAAAGCTAAAAGAGTGCATTAGAAGATCTTGTATTGACTTAGACGTTTTTGATCAGTTGAAGCTTTCGGAAGACGTGATCAGCATACGCCTTCCACGTTTTTTTTTCCTTTATATTCTTAAATAATCATAGAGCTGAAGTCTATAAATTTTGCTCTATTCAATGAACAGTATAACCGTTCGCAATAGATACATCTGTTTTCTAGTCACTTGTTATTAATTGTTTTCTATGCACTAAAGGAGCTGTCTCTAGTAACGTACGTAGCATACTTTATGCGGGGAACCTGTGTGTGAAATACTCTATTTGCGAGTTGGTGAATGTATGAATGTACGATTTGTTTCGTAAGGCCACTGATACGATAGTAGATGCAAGTACTCTTCTTCAAGAAAAATCAAAAATTATGACACAACTCGAACGATAGTAGTTCACGGCCGTAAATATTGTGTTTGGTTGAGCGTTACTCTGAGCATACAAAGTTCAAGTGCTCACACTGACACAAGCAAAACGAGTGCTCTTATATCAATTCAAGCGTTGCCTTTACGGTACATAAGCTCAAAATGTAAAACTTTGGGAAGAGAATTAAAGCATTTTTTATTTTAATTATTGATACATTTCAACATGAAAACGCATAATGCTGCGAATTTTGTTAAAAAGATAAAACCGTTGCGAACAAATCTGGTTGCCATGGCAACCTACAAAATTGATCCAGATCACAAGTTATGAAAAAAGGATAACAATTGAATAAGGTGATCCATAGGATTGATTCTAATATATATCTTATGACTTTATGCTTACTAATCCATTTTTGAAGCATCTTTGTAGATGGAAGACAAATGGAGGAGTGCGAAAATCGAAATTTGTTAACTCAACTCTCATTTTGTTCAATACTACTCCTTATCAGAGCAACTACCATACAGTCATCATACGGCTAATCAATTCGAACGAATATTGGGCGGTTATATTCCTCACACTTTGGCCTACTAGATATCTTGGCACTACCTTCGTATAATCTTTTCAAGAAACCGTTATTACCAAAGAGTCAACAGAAGCAATTAGAAAACAATGTCTAATTACGAAGCAGGAAAATTATACGAGTCTGTCATCGAGGAAGTCATTACAGATTCCAGACAAGATTTTGAAGATTGCGGTATTGATGAGTCCACATTACAAGAATTGAAAAGACTCTGGTGTGACAAATTAAGCCAATCGAAAGTATGCTATTTCAGCTGGGATGAGGAAGACCCAGAGTTACAACATCATGTTCAGCAGAGCATTATGCAAGGATCAAATATGAAAGATGACCCGCTACAGTTGAATACAGGGTTAGAACTACCAAACATGTCGGCCTATAATACTACGAACAACTTGATGCACAGCAATGCTCTCGGCAACCAAAGTGCCAGTAACTTTTCTATGGGCATTGAGATTCCATCTGTTAAGCAGGAGTATAGTGACGAAAATGGATTAATCTTGCCCAAAGTTAATCAAACCGATGGCGCATTCGAGTTTACAGTTGAAATAGACAGCTCGAAGGCAAAAGAAACCATGAACAAATTGAAAAGTATCAACTTAAAACAGACAGATGGGGCAAGCAATGATGATGATGACGATGACGACGATATTTTTAACGACTCGGATGACATAAACTCAGATTTAGATGACGAGTTGGACTCCGAGAAATCAGATGACGAGGATGCCGATCAAGAAGGACAAATAATGCTTTGTTTATATGACAAAGTTCAACGGGTAAAAAACAAGTGGAAGTGCAACCTCAAAGAAGGAATTGCTAATATTGAAGGAAGAGACTTCGTTTTTCAAAGAGCGACAGGAGAAAGTGAATGGTAAAACAAAACAGGGGACGCACGTCACTTTAGATAATTTCGCTAGAATTATCAAGTACTGATATATTTTATACTCTAAAGTAAAATTATAGAAAAAAAAAATATCTAATGGGCTAGTAGAATGGAATTTGAAGATCCATGCGTTCTCTGTCCTTATCGGGGATAGGCAATGCCTCCCCGAATATACAATCGAAATCAGTTAGGCACACGCTCAAGACTTCCACAGAAATATTAAGTGTAGGAACAAACACAATGCACATGTTCTTTAGACTCATTTTGTTCATTGAACTCTGATCGACAACAGACTTCAAGAGTTTGAAGATTGTGAATGATGAGTCGTAATGAATCAGGTCAATATTGACCGGATCTCTCAAAAATTCTTGCATTTTAAGTGCTAAAGCAGATTTCAGTAAATTGGAGCCCTCATTAGTAACATAGACTTGAAATTCATTGTAAGCTTTTTCACCCAAAATGGGTTCTGGAAGTTCCCTCAAAAACGTTTTGAGGAGACCAGCTACCGTGTGCATATCTGGCTTTAATGGAGACAGAAACAAATCTAAGTCGTAAGAGGAATTGAAGGTCTCCTTAAGTTGCCTGATCGTTGAGGCAGAGCCGGAAAGACGAAAAATTCCTTCCTCATAAATCGCTCCCGTCTTATTGAGATAATCCACACATCGATAGCATATAGAAGGAATTGAATGCCCATTAAGGGAATGGTTGGAGAGTTTATATGCTTCTGCAAGGTCCCGGCCAAAAATTCGACGAGTGGGCTCCTCCAAAAGACTCATTTGGCTTAGATAAGCATTCATGCTAGTATCAGCAGTATTCGCATTGGGAGGCCCTTGCGTTTCCAGTTCATTTGAGTCATCAAGTTGAACAGGATTCCGATGCTTGAAAGAGAAAATGCTCCGCATTTTAGCCCTTTTGAGCTCTTTATGATCTTTCGCATTCCAATCCTCGAGCCCGCCATTAAAACCTAAAGTATCCTGTGTTCCAAATTTGCTTGTTGGGCTCATTAGCTGTGTAGGCGTGTCACCTTCAACCAGTATTGGTTCAAGGGATCTCAGATGATATTCATTCTCAACTTGCGAGGGATCGCTTTTGAGTGGATCATTTTCCGTAAATTCCACCATAGCAGCTATCCACTCGTCTCTTTCCTCATCAGATTCAGCGCACAAAAAGTGTTTAGGGGTTGATGACGAAAGCTTGTTACCCTTCGACTTCCCCAAAATCAAGAATGCATGTCGATAGCCCCTTTCTTCGGCAACAGTGTCCGGTGATTGACGACCAATTTGAGCTCCAGTAAGGCCAATTTCCTCCAACAATGTTCCCCCTGGTGAATCATAGATCTCTAGAGAAGGGCCATCGACCTGGCACCACCGAATTTTCCAGGCAGTTCCCAAACTCTTGTAGCGGCGGATCAAATACCCTTCCTTCCTGGCCCCAGATTTGAAATCATCAAGTGGATTGACGAAATCGAGTGAAATGTAACGACAGAAGCGCTGTAACACAACTTGAGGGATACTAGGCATCAAAAAAATTGTATTGTAGTACTCTTGCAAAGCTTGTTTTCGCATAGCGACTTTCAGGGGTGTCGTCGAGCTAAACAAGGACCGTTCTGGTATTGGGGGCAAGCCAAAAAATTCCACAATAGGCCTGATTTCCGAGTCAAAACCCGCTATTTGACTATATGTCTTGCGAACTCTCCACATCTCTTTTCCAGACTCTTTATCTGTGATTGCGAAAGTGCAATTAGGATCATCAAGTTTTTTCGAGTTAGTAGGGATTGTGCTGACAACCTTAATATTGATATTGTAGAACTCCTCTGGTTGGATGAAAAGGGGAATTTCTTCTTCTACTTTTGGTGTGTGTAAAACATTGAAACTAGAGCCTGGGGTACGCGAAGACTTTTTGGGGCTCGAGAATGAATCTGTGGAACCAAATACGTGACTTATTGGAGTCTTCGCCACATCCAAGTTGGAATTGCTTCTAGCTGAATAGCTTGACTTGGAAGGCGAAGTAAAGGAGGAAAAATCCAACCCGTTTTGGAAGTCATACGATCCTTGTGTTCGAAAATCGGATTTAAGGGACCCATTATGTGTGTTAGAAGAAAAATTGGAGCTGAAGGCATCCGGAGTCAGAGGAATTTTGACTTCCTGAGAACTCTCCTTCATCAAAGAGCTCCTCTCCAGAGTCAAAGCGAGAGGTGTGCTTTGAGTTTGGTTGCGCAGATCGTCAGAACTCTTCGTACCAGTAATATTCTTTTGTGGAGACAAAGTTGAATTAGCGAACAGCTCAGTTGACTTCAATGAAGCATAGTTCCTGGCAATAACTCCATGTGCACCCTCGCGTAGCTTTTCCCTGCTGAATTTGGATTGAGAAGTGTTGATGCTCGCTTGTTGTCCCGATTTGTGAGATATGATCGTCGAGGCTGAACCAAACTTCGTCAGGGATTGAGATACATCACTAATCGTACTGGTCATACTTGAGTGCCGAGCGAGCGGACTTAGTAAAATTTCTGGAACATCCTTCTTTTTCTGTAAAGATTCATCGGCAGCGGTAACATCATCTCCAAGTACAGACCTTGTCCCATTGGAGCTTATGATATCAGAATCTGTGGTTTGGAACCTACTTCTGGACAGATTGGATAAAGTTGCCGAAAGTTCATTTTTCATTGTGCTTGAGAGTGGAACGCCATCCTCAACACGACCATTGAAAGTAATTGAGGAGGCACCATCTATCGTGAGGTCTTCATTTGAATTCAGAAATGCTCTGTCTGGTGTGACATTTGTTTCGTTTGGATTCTCGCTAATTTCGTGGCAACTAACTTTTCGGCGTGCGGACCGTTGGGGAACGTCGTCCTCATCAACAGATACGGTTGGCTTTAGCTCGGCAGCCGGTGTCAATATCTCCGAATCTGTCGGTATTAGGATATCGTGCTCCTTAAGAAGCGTCTCTAGTTTCAAAGACTTTGTGGTGAAGTCCGATATGGTTGCATGCAATTCCTTGATTTCAGAAAGTAGAAGGTCAATGTATTCCTCATCTGAAAACCGAGATCTATCAAACTGGGGATCGGATGGACGGATATTGGATCTCATCCTTTGCGATCTCTGTCGTCCCTTAAAGCTTTTTTGAGATTGATCTTCATCATTGACGGTGATATTGGGCCGCATTCTAGCTTCTGTAGTATGTGCTTCGAATGATATTATGGAGGGGCACAGAGACTAGATAAGTGAAAATTGGCTATCTATGCGTTTGTAGTATCAAATCTCACACAGAGACGCTTAAGGACGATGGTTTTGTGATATTAGACTTTGAGCGTCAACCCGATGATAATCTGGCGCATATGCATGAGAACCTCGAGATGTACGGACGTGCGCGTAGCCGTGTATTTTACTTGGTAGTTTTTCTATAGTATGACCTTGTATGCCGTAATAACCTTCTGTCGTCCTCTGGATCTTTGTTGATGGGGCTATTCGGGAATTCCTTAGAGCTTCCATTGTCGTCTAGGAGGTTTCGGAGCATTCGGTTCGTGGCTTCTGGCGGTTGTGCGTAGATATTCAGCTTTTCAGGAACGTACTGATACACATAATTCGTGGGTAAAATAGCATTGGGCATTAAGGATCTCCCAAGTTTAATTGCTTCATTAGCCCATATTGTCACTTCTGTTCGAGGATTCTTGTACGGTACCCATGATCTTTTACATCCCTTAGATAACTCTTTCACGACATACTCATTACCCCAGGTTTGGTTCCACAAGGAAACGTCATTGTCGTCATATTTCTGGTTATTAGTAAGACCAATCAAGTGGGAAAAAACCCCTGAAATTAACGCCCCATCCGAATAGCCACCTTCCATGAAGGAAATGACCTTGCCATTTGTGTGGATTTTGGCAAGCTTCACCACATCCTTGGTGAAATTTGCATAAAAGGAGGTGGGTACATTGACATGGTGTCTCTGCATTTGAGGGTTTTCATATTCGGAAGCATCGAACCCAGCCGAAATGACGATTAAAGGTTTGAATGGAACCGGCGGTGACGGTTTTTTTATAGCCTGTTTGTATAAGTGTGGTTTCGCCATAAACTTATTATATTTGGAAAGCTCAGAAATGTATGTTGCATAATTCAGTTCATATTGCTTTTTTGCCAGGTTAAGAAACTGGTTTGCACGGTTCAAAATGGCAACGTATTTCGTTTGATAATGCTTGTAAAATTCTTCTTCTGTTGACCACTCTTGTAAATGAACGTTCCACAAGTTCAAATCATGGTCCATTACGCAGAGAGAAGCATTCTTAATATTCTCTTTGGTCGCAAAGCCAGACTCGGTAGGATAGGACTTGATGTCATGCAATGAGAAGTAGCCCACTTTGGGGTATGTGGAGAACTTTTTACCGTATTCATTCCTAGGATTCTCTTCATAATCTTCATACTCTTCGTCTGCCTTGCCATAATCACCCGTAAAACCAGCTCTTTCCCAACAAATATCTTGAGAGCCATCTCCATGATGAAGGTCAATATCCAAGATAGCACAATGTGATATTCCGTATTTGTCAAAGGCATACTCTATGCCGATTTGCGCGTTATTTAGTAAGCAAAAGCCGCTAGGTAAGCACGCATGCGAATGATGTCCTGGAGGTCTGATGGTGACAAAAGTAAGGTTATAATTTTCGTCTTCATTATCCGAACCATACAATGAGTCGACCGCTGTTTCAATGGTTCCAACAACTCCTTCTAGGGCTGTAATTGTCTTTGGAGTAAGGTAGATATCTCCCACATTCCAATCTTCGGGAACTTCAAGTTCGTCGCTTTGGAGCTTCTGATGGGATTTTAAACATAGCTCAAACAACTTTTTGGGCCATGTTTCTCCATGAACTTTCCGAACATGACTTGAAAACAAAGATCCTTTCTTCGTAGAGTTCTTTATCGAATAAAAATAAGGAAACATAGTCAATGCTGCTGATATGCCAATGCAAGATGCAAGCAAGCGCTGTGGTCGCTCAAAAATAGTTGATAGGTAGGACTTCGTAACCCACTTACGGCCAAATGCGTGTTCTGCAGAGTACGGCGACAACAAAACAAGAGTTTTGTCCGTCTCTTTTCTGAAACGGGGGCTCTCCTGTTTTATTTGAATGTTGGCGTTGATGAACTCTTCGAAAGTCCTATGGTAGCGATCTAGATCAACATCCACCAACGGTGAAGGCTTCAAGACTTGATCCAAGCTGGGGTCTATTTGCGGAGACTGCGCTCTACTTGAGCTTGCTGAATCGGATTCCTTTTTGAACCTTAGTGCCTTGTCTGTACGCAACCTGGACTCCCGTTTCACCTTGAAATTGGGAATTTGCTCCAGCAACTGTTCTTCTTCTTCAAGTTCCTCAATGTCCACAATTGATTCGTCACGCGTCAAATTCGAGAGCGTTGTGCCGTGGATCACGGTTGTATGATCGATGGACAAATCTTCGTCGCCAGGAACGTCATTTGAAGATCGGATCGTCAAGGTTGTTTCGAATTGAGAGATCAACGAATCCTCATCGCTGTCATGCGCTTGATCTCGCTGCGTGTACTTTGACATCCCGATAAGGTTTACCGACTATATGCTTGGACTGTAAAAGCACCCTGACCAAAAAGGAAGTGACGCAATGTTGAATCGGGAATATCTGGAGATTGCGACGGGCGCAAATTCGGGTGCGAATAGAATCATCGAGCGCTAAGAGACAGGCACAAATGCAAACAAGCACTCTTCTGTGCGCGGTCTCGCAGGAGTCGATCGACGCTATTTTTACCTTTACCGCATACTGGAATTAGCTCCAATACAAAAGCTCTAGACCCTACGGAGAACGGGGATAAAGCCCAGGAAAACAAAAAAAACTAAAAAAAAAAAAAGGCAAAACTTAAAAAAAGAAAAAAAGAGAAAAAAGAATACGCGACAATTCAAACAAAATAAACCTAAAGATCCGGTAAAGAACTATAGTGACTCCGATAGTTTTATATCCTCTACCTCATCTGCGGTTACGGTTAGCATCATCATTCTTTTTTGGTATAATTGCTTTCAATTGATTTCGTCGCCAGTAATGTTAAACTTTGCATTGCACCTATAACACTTACGCCAATCTTGGAGAGTCTCCCACATTGTGCTTTCTCTTACGCAAAACATTCTCAATGAACGCTTCACCGGCCTTGTAAGATGAACGCACCAAAGGTCCACTCGCAACATACAAAAAGCCCATTTCCAACGCAACCTCTTTCCAGTAGTCAAACTTCTCTGGTCTCACGTACTCCACCACTTTCATGTGTCTTTTCGTAGGTCTCATGTACTGTCCGAAAGTCACCACGTCACATCCAATGCCACGCAAGTCCCGCAATGTTTGCATGATCTGTTCGTCAGTTTCTCCGAAACCCAACATCAACGATGTCTTCGTGATGAGCGATGGCTTTGCCTGTTTGGCTCTTTCAAGAATCGACAATGACTGTCTGTAGGTTGCTCTGCGATCTCTGACGTGCGGCGTCAAGGCTTCGACGGTTTCTAAGTTGTGAGCATAGACGTCCAATCCCGAGACGGCCAAAGTGTCGCACGACGTCAAATCCCCTCTAAAATCACCTCCCAACACCTCCACCAAGATCTGAGGAGCCTTTTGTTTTATTAGCCTAACTGTTTCGGCCAAATGTGCAGCGCCACCATCTGCTAAATCATCTCTGTCAACTGTGGTAAGAACGACATATCCCAAGCCCCATCTCAGGATGGCCTCTGCCGTATTCTCCGGTTCCATTGGATCTGGTTTCGCTGGCGTTCTGCTCGTTTTGACAGAACAGAACCTGCATCCTCTCGTGCAAGTGTCACCAAGCAACATAATGGTTGCAGTGGCCTCGGACTTTTTTCCGCCCCAGCATTCGCTGATGTTTGGACACTTTGCCTCTTCGCAAACCGTGGCTAGCTTTAATTCACGCACATCTTTTTTGACGCTATGGAACGACCGTCCCTTCGGGATGGGCACCTTAAGCCACTTAGGAAGTTTGGCTTCCGGGTCCTTCCGAGCAGCCTCCAAGGGATCAACGAAAACATCTGCAGCCTTTCCGCTCACAAAATCTTCAAAAGAGGGACCTTTGTTCAACTCATCGGTAAAGACAGTTCTTTTTCTTCTAGGCGTGACAGCAGTTTCGGAAGCGGACAATGCACGTACAAACGCCAAGCTGTTGGTCTTGCGGATATGCCTAGAAATCATTTGGCTACTGTGGGAGAAGAAAGTACGCTTAGTACGAGAGAGATGCGGATGCACCATTGTGAGCCGTTCCGGCACATACCGCAAGGTTTGACTTCGTTATCTGTGACTCTGTCCAAGAGACTACAAAGGTACAACTCTTGAGCTACATACTGTGGACTGATGCTCTTTTTGTCTTTTTCTCTTTTACTCTTTTTATTATTCTGAACTACTAGAATGCATGAAAAGGGTTCTGACCAATAAAAAATGACTATCACTTACCTTTTCTTGTTGCTGGTCCATCTGTACAACAGACGTCTAATTATGGTATGACTCGATTAAAGAAGGCGGTGGATCTCAGTGTCGCTGAATTCAGAAAGATTGTCCAAGTTGTCCCACCACTTGAACAATGACGTTTCGCAAATCAACTTGAACCATGGTGTAAATACGAGGGTCTCGTCGTTGAACATGTCTTTAAGTTCCTGTTTGCTGACATACTTGAAGTCCCTGACTTCATTGTAGTTGGCATCGATGGTGATTGAATTGCTTGTCTTCAAGATCAAAATGTAGTCGATTTCATGTTCGCCCCATTTGGAACTTTCATCTCCGCTGGCAGACTTGTAGTGAATTCTGGTCAAGAACTCGAACTTGTCTATGGGACAGTCTTGCGCTGGGATACCGAGTTCGTGGAAAAGCTTTCTTTGTGCTGCAATCTTAGACCCGGCAACAGCTGTCTGCAAGTCATTGAGATTACCAGTGCTCTCAGATGCTTCCAAGCCAAGCTCAGATGGGAAACAAAGCGGGTGCGAACAGCACGTATTGGTCCACATGTTTGGGAAAGTAATTTTTTCGTCGGCTCTTTGCTGCAACAACAACTTGTTGTCTTCATTGAAAAGAAAAACCGAAAACGCTCTATGCAATAAGCCAGCATTGATGTTATCCATAATGTGACAGGCCTTTTTTGTTCCAGCGCCCACAGGAGTATCGTTGTAGTCGAGCACAATACACAACTCTTCCATGAGCTTAATCTGCTCTTTATCGTGTCCCTCGAAAAGTTGTGAGTCAACAGTACTTGAACTCTCTGCCGACGTGGGGGTTCCAGAGATTTGCTTCAAGGGCGTCACTTCTGGCCATTTGCTCAAGATATCATCTCTTGAGAGCGATTGGACGAGTTTGGCGTAGTCCGACATGAATATAGGAAGAAGTGTTTGGATTTTTTTTTTTCTCAGCCGGTTGTGAAGATCGCGTATCTGCCGTACGCTTTACGAGATGACTGAGAGGTCTCGTACGCACGACATGGCTTAGATATCAGTAAAAAATTCAGCCAAGAGGCTTTTTTTTGGTAGTAAGCTGGCAGAACAAGAATGTCTAAGGCCGGTAAATTTTCGCCTTTCTATTATTTTCTCACTATTTCCAACTTGTCTTGGTGAGGTTTCTTTCCTTGGCCACGAGATATTCCACCATTAACATTTTCGGCAAATTGCCGCTGCTCCCGCTTTATTGAATGCTTCACCTTACTCTACATGCAAATAATATCGAATTGGAGCTCCAACTTTTTTTTTTCTGGAACTCCAATTTGATTATCTGTCTGCTTTAGACGTACATATTTTTTTTCTGCCTAATGTTCTGCATTCTCGCCTCAGACCTGCATTTTTCAATATACGACAACACTAAGACAACCACTAAACAGGAAAATAAAGAGAAATTAGCGAGGAAATAAAACAAAACAAAAAATCACGTAAAGACAATGAACCAATTGCCTCACCGCTTTGTCTCTGATATCCTGATATTTTCCTTGGGACCTTTTCGTCTCAACCTGCTGAGCTAGCTTCCACAGAAATCTTTTCGACACGCACACGACTTTTGTCGAGAAACATTTAGGTGTCCACTTTCGGTTTTTCAAGATCTGCGCCCAAAAGCTTTAACCGTCTCATACTTAGCAAGCATGTCCACCACCCAACGCCCAAGACGCGTAATCAAGCGTCCAGATGACTCTGCCATGAACAAGGAAATTGAAGAATTGAGGGCAGAGATCAAGCAGTTGGACTTGTCTCAGAACAAGATTTCTGCTGAAATCGACAAGATCGCTTCGGACCCAAAATTGAACGAAAAGAGACAGGAGTTGAGAGACCAGTTGAAGACTATTGTTGCCAAACAGGCCACCATCAAGCAGGAGAGAAGAGCTATTCAGGAGCAGATCAAGAACGTCGACACCAACTTGAAGAGAAAAATCGGTGACATCCAAAAGTTGACTGGCAAGAACAACTACAAGTCTGGTGCCGAGATTGATGCCAGAGTCAAGTACTTGGACGATTTGGTTGGTACAGGCGACTTGAAGTTGGCTGACGAGAGAAGATACGTCAAGGAAATGACTTCTTTGCGTAAGTTGAGAAAGGACTTTGTCGAAGTCGAGAAGCAACAAGAGGAAATCGACAAGGACAAGGCCAAGATTGCCGACTTGAAAAAGAAATTGAATGCCATCGACAACAAAGAGGTTCAACAGCAGTACGAGAAGGTGCAAAAGGAATTGGATGCTATCAACGACGCCAACAAGTCGGTCTATGACAAGAGAGCTGAGTTGTACAAGAAGAGAGATGCCGTGAGAGCTTCCAAGAATGAGAAGTACAGCAAGATCAAGAAGTTGAGAGCCGACTTTGACGCTGAATTTGCCAAGTTCAAGAAGGAGTTGGCAGAGGAACAGAAGAAGAGACAGGAGGAATACAACGCCAGACAAGCCGAGCAAAAGCAGGCTAAGCTCAAGGAAGCAGCCGAGCAAAGATTGGCTGAGGCTTCTATCCCAGCTTTCACCGAGGAGATCAACGAGATCCACACCTTGTTGGGATACTTTGACCCTACCTACGTCAAGCCCCAAAAGAATGCTGTCTTGGATGCCACCAAGTCTACTTTCGAAGAGAAGAAGAACATTAGAGAGGTGGAGATGCCTTCCGATGTTGTGATCTTGAAGAAGGAACAACAATCTTTCTTTGAAGGTTCCAAGACCAAGAAGAACAAGAAGAAGGCAGCTAAGTCGAAGAACTTCACTGTGGATTCGGATGTTATCCTCTCCTTGACCAACTTGTCCATCCCATTGCCAACAAAGTCCGACGATGTTCCTAATACCATCAACATTTTGAAGGAAACTTTGACTGCATTGCAAGAGAAGCAAGAAGAACAGACCAAAGTCAACATCGAAAAGGCCAAGGCTGAGATTGCCAAGCTTGAGGCCCAGGCCGAAAAGGACGATGAAGAGGAGGCTGAAGCTGAAGCGGAGGAGGAAGCATAAATGGGAAATTTAAAATAGGAATTCCAACTTGAGCTTTTTGTTCTTTTCTTTTCACCAGTCGATAAGAAGAGAAAAAAAGTTTATAAAATATATCAACTTATCTATAGATTTGAACGCATCCCAGTACAACTTTCCAGAATGTGTATAACCAACTGCGCGCAGAGATGCAAACTTTTGGAAATTTTCGTTTTCTCATCTCCGTCCCATAGATTTCGAAAATGGCCAAGCCAAAGACAGAAGAAACGGCGAAAGCGACCAGAAAACCGGCAAAGATCCAGAGCTCTACGAAGGTGGCGTTATGTGTTCCGTCTTCTGTGATTTCAAAGTCGAATGCTCGCAATTTAGAACAAATTACCAACATCGCATACCAAATTGCAAAAGCGGCCAGTGTCTATAACGTGTCCGAAATTGTTGTGTTGGACATTCCGACTGCAGACGAGATCCAAAAGAAACTAGAAGCCGAGGCCAACAAAGCCGTGCAGCTCGAAGGTGATAAAGGAAATAAGAAAATCAAGTTCAACATTTCAAACGAAGAGATTGTCGCTGAAGCCAAAAGCGAGGAGGGCCCAGCGGCAGAGAAGCTTGTTGAAAAGGAAGAAAATGAAAATAATGCGCTATTACTTGCCACGCTTTTACAATTTTTCGTCACGCCGCCGTATCTTGTGAAGGGAGTCTTCAGAGCCAGCAAGTACAACAAAAAGTTCAAGTACGCAGAGAAGCTTCCAAAGTTGAGCAATCTCCCGTTCATGAACAATAACGGAGTAATCGAAGACTTCAAAGAAGGCTTGACAGTTCCAAAGCACACGCCCAAAATTCAAAAGAAAAACAAGAAAGTCAGTGCGTTGAAGAAACTCAAGGTCACAAAGTACGTAAATGTCGGCCAGTCGTCTCTTTTAGAGCTCAACGGTACAGAAGTTCCTGTGAACGTGAGAGTTACTGTGGACGTTAAAAATAAGAAGATTGTTAGTCCACAAGAAGCATATGGTGTTACTGGTTCTAAAGCCTCTTTTGGTTATTTCGTTCGTTACGCCAAGTCATTCAGTTCCATTTTCACAGAACTGTCGTTCCCTTCGGGATATACCGAATCCGTATTTGTGCAAGCAGACGATTTCTTTGGAAAAGCCAAGGACTCAAAGCTCGATACAGTCGACAAAGTTGGCAAAGGTGAAGTGCTTTTCGTTGTTAGCAACTTGAAGGATTTGGAGTATAGCTTTTCGCAGGAGAAGATCCCGGGTGTAGAGCAGGTGACAGAGATGTTCGACAGTCAAGTTAAAGTTCCGCCTGGTCTTCGGATAGAGGACGCAGCTTTAGTGGCGTTGGCGAAGGCGCTATAGAAATTTCAGCATCAATACAGCATCTTTAGTGGTTACGTGTAGTTGTCTACAGAAAACGCTCGAAAAGACTGTAAAAATGAACGGGGAAGCGGCTCGCTAAAATCATCATTATAATTTTATGAGAGACTAAACTTTTTGGGACTATTGCCGATCGCAAACAGATAGCAAGTCATAGTTAATATGTTTTCTTTCATAGCGACATGATTATTTTTTGATCCACATGATTTTGCCGTTTTTAAATGTGTATCAGATTGTTGAACCAGCCTGAATTAAACAAGGCAATCAAATGGAGTGTAGGCTGGCGGAGCCCCAGAAAACCTGCATGCAACATACGGGAAGAAATCTAGACCTTCACTACTCCTTATACACAGGGACAATACGCTGCTTCTGGACCTGAAACTTTAATTACTGAAGTTTGTTGTAAAATAACCCCCAGTAGGCACAGGCACCACTCCATATTAGCTTCCTTGTGGTTAAAGAAACAAGTCGGGGTAGACATTTAGTGGTTTATCCTGCATGTTGAAAATGGTCTTTTGTTTACCAACATCACGTGACATACGCTTTAATATTTTCTCCCCTCTCTTCAAAAGTCGTTTGAAGCCTGGAATTCGTATCGCAAGCCGAAGCATGCAATAAATCGGCAGAAGTAATCATAGTGTTCCTCTCTTCTACCGTTGGGAGCTTTCAGAGAAGAAAAGTACGTAGACAAACCAATCCGGGGCGGATGCGTCACGTGCACGGACAAGCCAAAAATAGCCTTCATTTTTTGTGCGTCAAAAAAGGGCCGATTCTCACCTCCAGAAAGAATCTCGCTCTCATTCTTTTACTCCATCACAAACACTTCACTCGCTCAAAATGCAATTCAAGTTTTTGTGTACCATCGCTGCTGCGATTTCTTCTGCTGCTGCTATTGGTGACGTATGTTTTTTTATATTTTTTTGTCCATAGGCCGGCGGAAGCTCGAATGAGGTCGGATGCTGGCGGATATAAACATTTTGGAACGGTTCTCGGGATACTAACCAATCTATAGCTCGGCTTCAACCTCGGTGTGAAGGACAACGAAGGCAACTGTAAGACTGCCGATGAGTACAGCCTGGACTTTTCCAAGTTGGAGGCTTACACGAAAATCGTCAAGACCTATGCTGTTTCTGACTGCAACACTTTGCAAAACTTGGGTCCTGCTGCGGAAAAAGCCGGCTTCCAGGTGATGTTTGGCATTTGGCCAACCGACAGCTCCCACTTCGAGGCAGAGAAGGAGGCTTTGAAGACGTACTTGCCAACTATCTCCAAGGACACCGTCAAGGTTTTCACTGTTGGTTCCGAGGCTTTGTACAGAAACGACTTGTCCGCCTCCGACTTGGCCTCGGCTATTCTGGACGTCAAGTCTTTGCTTGCTGACATCAAGGACAAGAACGGTGACTCCTACAGCTCTGTCCCAGTCGGAACTGTGGACTCCTGGAATGTCTTGGTTGACGGTGGCTCCAAGCCAGCCATCGAAGCCGCCGACTTTGTTTTTGCCAACGCTTTCTCTTACTGGCAAGGACAAACCATGCAAAATGCTTCGTACTCTTTCTTTGACGACATTATGCAAGCTTTGCAAACCATCCAAGGCATCAAGGGTTCCACCGACATTGACTTCTGGGTTGGTGAGACCGGCTGGCCTTCCGACGGTACCAACTACGAGTCCTCTTACCCATCCGTTGACAATGCCAAGCAATTCTGGAAGGAAGCCATCTGTGCCATTAGAGCATGGGGCATTAACGTTTGTGTTTTCGAAGCTTTCGACGAGGCCTGGAAGCCAAACACTTCTGGTACTTCTGATGTTGAGAAGCACTGGGGTGTTTACGATGCTTCGAACAACTTGAAGTACTCTTTGGGTTGCTCTTTCTAAGGCAAAGTGTAACGAATTATACCCTTTAGTTTTATCATGTACACCACCTTGGTGGTGAAAATTTTATTCTGTTTTGAGCAAAACATGTAGTGGTGTAGTCGTTAGGGGCGTTTGGGTCATGTCTAAAAACTTCCAAGAATAGCACCAGAAGCTTAAAGTGTCCAAAGTTAGTTTTAGTCCCTCTCCATATATAAGATGTGCCCTCATGAATTTCTGCGCACTTGCTTCGTGAATTTCTGATTTGCCTTGTCCAAATCTCCACCACGGATTTTCGTCAACGCAGCAATACATGACGAATTGCAAACGCAAGTGTGCTTTCAGCACCTGACCTCTACAAAATTGGCTAAAACCGACAGCAGAAAACTAATAACCTAACCATTATCTATTACCTCTATAACAAGTATCCAAAGAAGGATGCCACGGCCACAATGAGGCTCAAACCTTGGGAGCATGCATTGTTGGAGGATGCGAGAATAGAGCTTGAGCCACTTGGCAGGGCGCTTTTTGTGCTGGTAGTAAAACCAGATTTTGTGGATGCTTCGGCAGAAGGAGAAGCAGAGGTGGCCGATGCAGCCTCAGCAGCCTTTGAAGTGGGAGCCTCGGAAGAAGTAGGAGCCGCAGCAGACGACGAAGGTGCCTCGGACTTTTCAGCAGAAGTGGTGGTTTGCAGGGAAGAAGAAGGCTTTTCAGAAGATGAAGGCTTTTCAGAAGAAGAAGGCTGTTCAGAAGAGGAAGGCTGTTGAGAAGAAGACTCAGACGACGAAGAGGCCGAAGACGAAGATGGCTCCGATGAAGAGGATGAAGAGGCCTCGGAAGAAGAAGAGGCCGAGGATGAAGATGGCGAGGACGATGGCTCAGAGGAGGATGAGGAAGAATCAGACGTCGAAGACGAGGCCGCAGAGTACGAGTTAGACACGGACCCGCCGCTCTGGAGCTTCTCGAAATCTTCCTTTGCCTGGTCCTCGCGGCCCGAGACTTTGCCGTCCTTGGCGTCAATGGAGGTCCAGTCGCCGGACTGGTCGCTGTAGCTATATTCCGAACCGGTCGAATAGTCAGCCACAATGACGGACTTGATATACATCAGGAATGGCGCCTGCGAGTAGTCTGTGGTGCCGCCGGCCCATTCAATGGTGCCTGGCTCATTCGAAGGGTCTCCTCCGGCCCAGGTGCCGGCCATAATGTACATTGGCGTTTGCGGGAAGCCTTGGCCGTTGTCTGGCTTCAATGTCCGGACAAGATTGCCGTCGAGAGACCATGTGACAGCGTCCTTGGTGTACTCCACGGTGTAGGTGTGGAAATTGTCCAAAGGCGAACTGTCCATGTTGTGGTAGACGCCTCTGTCGTAGGTGGTGGTGCTGCCTTTGGAGAACCAGTTGGACTGGAATTGGTAGGCATCACCGCCAAACAATTCGATGTCGATCTCGTCCAAGTCGTCGCTCTGGAGATAGAAGGACGAGATGATACCCTTTCCCTTGGCGGCCTGCATCACCACCTCGACCTTGCCGAACATGATGTAGAAGTTGGACTTGATGGAAGGGTTGTCAAAGCGCTTGGCGATTTTCAACTCCAAGCCGTTGTCCGAGTACGACAAGCCTTCGCTCTTGACCTCGTCAAAGTACTTTGATTTGGAGGAAAAGTCCTCTTTGAACGACAGCGCCAACGCCTTGTCGGCAGGGCACGACGACGACGTTGTCGGGTTGCACGCGCCCAAGACGCTTGCAGCAAAGAACGCAGCACCAGAAACCACAGCAAATTTCATTGCCGGCCCCAAACAGCCGCCGCTGGCCCTTTTATACTTTTATCCATGGGCATGTGGGCGCGGCGCGGGCCGTTTCTATTTTTGAAGCGCGCGCGCGTTTGGTGACTAGAAGGAGGCGCACTAGTGCCTTCGCTAGTGTGCGCACGAATACGCGAACTGGCTCCATGTGCCCCAACGGGAAAAAAAACAGAACCAAAAATAAATACAGAAAATATTATGTGCTGGAGCGGACGAGCAATGTAGAACAGGTGTGTGGGACTGGGTTTTGGCCGTGGACACCATAGGAAATATTTCTGCTTTAGGAAGTCTCATTGGGTTTCCAGACAATGGACTATCTGCTGGTTAGTGCGAACCATGTGTTTAGCCAGCCTAATGTCTAAAAGGGGAAGTGCGTTGATCAGATCATCTGGATGCGAACCATCCAGTTGAATTTTCCATTTGCCTACAATTACTTGATGTGTTCAAAATTTACTTGTGACTCTTGGCCGTCCTTGACTCTTTTCTTTTCCCTTCTTTGCTTTTCTTTGCTTTTCTTTGTTTGTTTGTTAAGGCTGTCAGTGCTCGTAAGCTCAGCCAAATATGACTGGGCCGCACCCCACATGCATCATGTACAGTAGGATCAGACTGCACCAAACCGTTTCTGTCTTAAGCCAGCACTCAGCCATATCTATTTTAATCCTGATCCGGATGGATCAGTGGGATCGGCGCATGGAAATTCCGGCCATGAATCGGATGTGTCTGGATCAGGGAGATCCAAGCGGACCACTTTGCTTTTCCTCATGCAAGTCCACGAGACTGCAATCTGATTGACGACTGCCTTTTAGACGACAAGGTATTACACAGATTACACGACAGGGTATTACCAGCAGATTACACATCAGATTACACGACAGGGTATTTATTACACGGCAAGGTTATTACACGAGTCTCGAAAACCGAGATACTGAGGCTAAAGTTTCCACATTTACCAAGTACAGTTTCCGCCTAAAGTAGAAACACCTGTAAATAGTAGCTAGTAGAAAATTCTCAGCCTTTTTCTACGGCCTGAATCAGATCTTAACTAATTTTTTTCGCCATCCCAATCACTTCTTGCATAATTTTCGGCACTTGACTTCTCAGTCCAGTATAGCCATCATAGTCCAATTCTCAGGATCGAAAGTACACACTAGTTTCACTGTTTTTCGATGGGACAGATGACCTTGAACATCTACGATTCTTCTAATAGTACTATAAAAATAGGCCTCCAATACAGGATCCACAAGCATGAAAATTATGGCTCCCACTTTGACCGGGATTCCCGAACTAAAGTGTGACATCCGTACATCCCAACTATTATTCCATTCCCTTTGCCACCGCAACCGTCTTTGCAAACTTGCACGTCCCTTACACACATTCTAAAACGCCCAGCCACACTCACTACTTCTCCATAATCACCGTCTAATCACTTCCCAGCTCAGTCTAAGGGAAAACATCTGTACATATAACACCCGTACACCACCCCTCGACCTCCATTGCGCGCGGCTACAAACTAAGTCATACTATATAGTTATAGAAACTCGAGAAACTCCAGCATGTTGCATTTTCTTCTCAGAACATCGGTGCTTGCTGGAGCCGTCGCCGGCCACCCGATTAGGCGCTTACCCGACGCTGAGTTTGGCGTTTCGGCGCATTCCGACCGGCCCCGAACCGGCTCTGCCGTTTTTGTCGTTTCCATCGTTCTTCTTTCTGTTCTGGCGTTCGCTGTGCTAGTTGCCGTAACCACTTGCCTTGTGGTCACACGAAGGCGGCGGCGCGCGCTTGTTGGCCAGGAGGACGATAACCAAGCGTACCTTGAGCTCAATCTGGAAGAGCAGGAACTCTATTTCCAGTCTAAAGAGTACCTCGAGGCCAACCCCTACTACCGGGGCGAGTTGACGTTGTCACAGAATCTTTCCATCCAGGAAAAGGGCATCCGTGCGTGGGAGTTTGTGAAGGATGCTATGCTCACGTCCAACGATTTGCTTATTGTGAACAAGTTTGAGCTCAATTTTTTCAAAAACTTTGAGTGCTCGACACTGACCAATCTCCCCATCCCCACGGCCAACGACGTGTACTACTTTGAGAGTAAGATCTACTCCTTGCCCGATCCCGACTCGACCTTAATATCTATAGGCATGGGCGTCAAGCCGTATCCGTGGTTTAGATTACCCGGAAGACACATGCATTCCATAAGCTACGACAGCGATGGATACAGACGCCACAACCAGCCTTTTGAGTTTAAAAACGACCCGCCGTTCCCAAAGCTTATTGAAGGTGACGTTGTTGGTATTGGCTACCGAGTAAACTCAGGCACTGTCTTCTTCACTCGCAACGGAAAGAAGTTGAGCGAGCTGAAAATCGGCGGCCACATTAAAAACTTCAAGATCCCACAGCATGGCCAGCTCTACCCCATCATTGGTGCCAACAACCTTTGTTCTGTGCACGTGAACATTGGCCAGCTCGGGTACGTTTTCATTGAGGGAAACGTGAGAAAGTGGCGGTTTGCGCCTTTGGAAGGTAACGGCCCAGCGCCTCCTGCCTACCAAAAGTTCAATGCAGACATTTTGCTTGAAAGATCGGAGATTGACGAGGATAACGACTTGGCCGACCGCATAAATGATTTCCCGCCCGATTTCTGGGACGTCAACGCAGGAAGGAGCGAGGATCTACTGGAACTGGGCAAATTCAGTTACAATGCCTACAGTGACGCATCTGACGATGAGCGAATCACAATGAATAGCTTGATTCCCCACGAACCTCCAGGGTACGATTCGGACGGTCTAAGTGCAGACTCGGACGAACAAGAGCCACTGCTGCTGCATTCGCGGTTAGAACCGGAAACGGAGGAAAACGTGGCCAACCACGAGAGTGAAGGACCTGAGCCAGCAATAGACAGCAGTGCTGAAAGACCCGAGTCCCCGCTTCATGATTTCGCTACGAACCTGCAACGTAAACATCCGGAAGCAGAGAATATGAATACGAACGCCGGGAGCGGAGAAAACCCCGCGGTTGATCTGCTAGGGAACCGGACAACGGACCCAGTTTTGGAAGACCAGGCTGCGGAGAGCCAGACAAAGGACCCAGCCCTGGAGAGCCACACAAAGGTCCATACAAATGTAGAAGACCGGCCATCGGACTCGGAAAATGCCGGAGAGCAAAGTGGCGGTTTACGAGACTCAAGTGGAACACACACCGAAGGATAAACGCAAAACCGGGCAGTTGGCAACGATACCCCACAGGAATAGAAGTTCTGGTGTTCAATGCAGTAGCGAAGCCCAGTTCAGCAATGGAGAACCAACTGGTTGTGCATAGGCAATGTCTTGGTGATTTAAATAGAATGAGCAAATGTGTGGCTGGCCACAAGACAACACTTAATATATTTCGGCGAACTTTTTTGTAACCCAATGTCTGAAAACAATCGACAATGGAACAATTCAATCTTCAAGACGTGGAAGACATGATGGAACAGTGGAACTTCTCTGGCTTTTCGTAGAGGACACATGCAGTATACCCCACAGAACCAACAATTAATGTGGGCACACTTGCATATTTGCCCAAGAACGCCGCAGGAAAAACGGCGCTTTTTATACTTTCGTCACAGTGTGAGTAATGTGCGGAGAAAAGGCAAAAACGCCGTGTCTGGCACCTGTAGTTATATATCGAGATAAGGCCTGCTGCTATCGCAGGCCAATAAGAACCAAGAATCCCAATGAAGAAATTCACCTGTGTTCCCACTATCGGGGAAGATGTGATTCTTGTAACCAATGGATCACAGGACCAGATCGAGAGAACCCTTGTGCTTTTGAACGAGCACACGTGCAATCTGATTCCGTTGCATGCTAACATCATAATCTTCAATTCTTTCAAAGATTTTGTGACCCACTTGGATCGCACCAGAGGTGACTCGCCTGTGTCCACCTATCTGGGAATCACGGTGTTTATGTTTTTCAATGGCGTGGAGTTTATCCAGGACGTGCTCTGCGGCGCTATAGACTACGAACACCGTTTGCTTGCATCCATGGCTGAAGACGCGGAATCGTTCCACTTGAGTAAGCTTTCCAACTCGTACTTCTACTTTGACGGCTCCATTTCGGTCGATTACGAAAGAGCGTCGCCGGCAAGCTTGCTCCGGGACGGCCACCAGTTTCATGCCTTGATGGCGGTGGCTCACGACATCATGAAGAAGACCAGCTTCATGCTTTCTCGAGTAAGAGGTGTGTTGGTGGACGACATTCGAGCAGACGGAGAACGGGTATATCCGTTGAGCCGTTTTGTCCAGAATTTCCCTAATGTAGACCGGTTGGAGCTTTCTAGTTCGGCGCCGATTTTGATGACAAACATGTTGATGTGAAAACGAATGCATATGAGCTCTTGGGCTCCAAAAGTTAAGTGAATAGATTACGGAATAGGATATTGACGGAATAAAAATTTGACAATGGATTGAAGAGGTGTTCGATTTACATCAACTGTAACGGTTTTGCATCAATAATACTCTGGTATTATAGACCGGCAGCATGATCATTTTTGCATCACTATCAGCTAATATTCACTCTTTTTTGAGAAGCAAACGTTAACACTTGATTTACTAAGGACGTGTATCTGGAATGATAATTTTCGCTTCTTTCCGTCTTGGTACTTTCTTTTGCAATTTCAGAATGAAAGAAATTGATCACAATATAAGTCAACCAATGGACTTGTACAGACGAGTGCTTACGTAATGTATCGTAAAGATTGAAGCTCCGGTAGGAAAAAATTTTTAGGGCTGAAAAAACCGATTGGCAAAATGGAGGAAACGATGACAATTCTTTTTTAGTTGGATTCTTAAGCGATATGCATGATTTTAAAATTACCCAGAAGCCACATTTATTTTCAAAATGCGTTTCATAGATGATGTAAAAAAAAAAATTAAAATTAAAAACATATTTTCAGAACAGTCCAACCATCTTTCACGGGAAGACTAGCAGAAGATCATAATGATGACTAGACAGATACAATAGCGCATATTATATCAATAACTGCTAACGGTTACGCACCTCTATTAGCAGGATAATACGAGGTTACTTGAGTGGGCGCAAAAATCTTTCCGTTTTCCCTAGATTTATGAAAGATGTACGGTACTCAAAAATTAGCGCATGGCTCCATTTGTACACTAATACATCCCCATCAAAGGCGGTCTTGTTTTAGAGGAGGAATGTTACATTATCTATGCATTCATCGCACCATTATGCCCGACTGGTGTCACATCCTGTACATTGGCTGTTAGCGGAACACGATACCCGAAGTGTCTTATCTGAAATTCCGCTGCTTACTTATCTTGTATAAAGGAACGCCATAAGGTTTAAAAGGCATCGGAACGGCTCATCCACACTTCCATATTCAGCCTAATCTTTACATTTAGTCAAATCTTCACCCCGATGTTGCCCCTTGTGCTAATACTCTTGTCGTTGGGAGTCATAGTCTACTACATAGTGACGCTTCCCAAGAAAACGACCAAAAAAGCCGAAACGTGGGTTCCACCTCCGATAAAACCAGTTGATGCAAACTTCAAATTGAGTGAGGCCAAGCCAATTGAGTGGCTTCCCTTTGTGGGGAAAACAAACTTCAAGCCTTCGATGGGCGTGAAGAATATTTCTGCCAAGAGAGAAGAGCTTATATTGGTGGAAAGTACTCATCTCGAAGGAACCAAGTTCCGGAAGGAAAAGATCGAGTCTCACGGCAAATACACCGTCTTTAGCAACAAGAGCGCAAGAACAACGGCTGCTGTCTACGAGTTTTACCAAACGGTTTTAGATTTCCTCCACGACAGGTATCCCATGCTTTTTGACATTGACAAAGAGAAGAATATTTTTGTCAACAAGATCAGCAACGAGGTGCTCTCATACAACCCAGAGGGCATCGACCCAGAGGAAGTAATGAGAATGCTAGGTGGAACCATTGAAGAAGATGTGATTTTAATGCTTAAAGACAACCCCACCAACAAAGATGAAGAGTATGTTGTCCGGGCATCGATAACCGGAACGCCAGCCGGGTTTGATCCATCACATAATTTCGACAAGCCCGTTTCTTTCATCCACAAGCCAGTGCCGCAGTACAAAGATAAGTTGAGGTCGCCCATGGAGCGGTTTTTCAACAAGTTGGAGCCTAAAGATTTGTGGGTTCGTGGGAACTGGCTGATCCAGACCAATAACATTTTATTCAAGTTGGAGGATCACCACGGTAGAGAGGGAGACGTTTTGAGACCATTGAGGATGGACGAGATCGACTTTGAAAACTCATGTTTTGTCAGATCCGAAAGACAAGTCCTCACCCGTCTTCCTAAATCCAGAGCAGTTATTATGTTAGTGAGAACGTACTTGACCCCAGTGAAGGACGTTAAGGCAAGAGGGTTGGGCGAGACTTTAGCACATGCCATCGAATCGTTACCTGACGATCTTGCGTTTTACAAAAGAAGAGAAGTTTGGGGAGATGCAGTGAAGGAATACTTGAGACAGCCATAGAGGATACTAGAGATTACTACAAAGACAGAATGGAAACGAAACCATTCAAAGTACGAAACAAAGCCTATAATGGACAGACTGGATACTGTTTGGCTTGGATTTCTCAAAGAATAAAGACAAGCATTTTCGATAAATGAGTCCATTTTTTCGTTGGCAGGTAGATTGTATGATGAAAGGTTGATCAATCAGCTTGTATCAGATGAATGTCCTATTAATACAGAAAGGCACACTAATTATAGAATGCTAGGATAGATAATTAGCAAGATTATAGAATGCTAGGATAGATAATTAGGCCGTTACATTGCTCAACTCGGATAAATTGTCCATAACGTAAAGTAAAGACTTTGTAGATTGAGACACTGTTAGTGAGTATCAAGGTGAGTCTAGTAAACCAACACGCTATCTTCTGTTGTACTTTCCTTTCGTTACCCTTCATGTTCATCTTGTGCTTTCACCACTTTTTATTCTTCCTCTATCTTTCATCTTTCACCTATCTTTCTTCAGTGCTCCAGTCTACAGTATTTCTGCAATCATGTAGTCGTTTTTTTATGAGCTTTTGCTCTGCTGCTTGTCTATACTTCACTGCAACTTGACATAGTTGGCAGGGAACAAACCAACTTCGCCCGTTTTTGAGTTCTTTCCGGACCACCAGTCCTCATCCACAAACTCGATTTCCACAATCAAATCGCCTTCAGCAAACGAGATTTCGTTGTCCTCGTCCTTTTCGTAGTCATACTCGGCAACTGCACTGTTACCACTAGTAGCTGGGGTCTCCTCTTCTGCAGCTTCTTCCTTTGGAGAAGCTTCTGGGGCCTCATCCGCTTCTTCATCGTCCTCCTTGATCAGAACGTATGAGCCTGGGAACAAACCAACTTCACCTGTCTTGACGTGTTTTCCAGACCACCACTCCTCATCAACGAACTCGATTTCAACAATCAAATCGCCCTCAGCAAAACCAATCTCGTTATCTTCGTCCTTCTCGTAGTCATATTGAGCTACAGCTTTAACACCAGCCTTTGGCTCTTCTTTTGGCTCTTCGTGTGTTCTAGAAGGCAAAGAGGGAGCTGGTTCTTCTTTTCTAGTGGGCAAAGAGGGAGCTGGCTCTTCTGATCTGCTAGGCAAAGGAGGAAGACCTCTTGCAGGCAACGAAGGGGTTGGGGCCTCTTCTTCCTCTTCTTGCTCTTCCTCCTCTTCCTTTACTGCCGGAGCCGGAGGGAGGTTTCTCTTAGGAGGAGCAGCGAAGCTGTTAATTGGCTTGATCACGGAAGGTAAAGACTGTTGTGGCTTTTCTTCTTCTTCTTCTTCATGCTCTGGTTCCTCTTCTGGCTCCTCATGTTCTGGCTCCTGTTCAGGTTCTTCAGGCTCTTGCTCGACCGACAACGATGCAGTCTTTTCTGCCAAATCCTCGTCCGCAGACACATCCTTGTACTTTCCTCTCTTTTCAGCCCACAATTGAGCAGGGGTCTTGCCGTTTTCGGAACCAAAGTTTCTCGAGATTCCACCTGCCGGCTTTTCTTTCTTCACTGGAGCGCCAAAGGTGGGCTTGGCGCCAAAGCTAGGTCCCGAGGAAACTGCAGGCTTGAAGCGAGAAGCCACAGAATTGCTGATTTTTGGTTTGGGCAAAGATGTAAGTCTACCATCGTTAGACTCGTAGGCCTTCAATCTGTCCTTCAATGGCGCAGGCTCGTCTTTCTCTTCGGAAGCCGCAGTGTTGCTCAAAGAAGGCTTTGGTGTCGAGGAAATGGTGTCAGACTTTTGCTTTCTCAAGGAGTCAATGTCCACCTTTGTTGGTTTGTATGCTGAAGGAACGGACTCCAACGGCTGGCGCTCAAAGTCACGTTCTTCGATTTCCTTCTCTCCACCCCACTCGTCGTCGTTGTCCGAGGATTTGGCAACTGTCTTTGTGGAGAAAGACGCTGGCTTTGGAATCACCGGCTTCGGAGTTACCGGAGCAATTGGCTTTCCGGTAGTTTTGGGAACGAAGCTGGCAGGCTTCTTAGCCGCCACAGGAGCCGGCTTGGCCGCAGGGGCCGGCTTCACAGCCGCAGGAGCAGGCTTGGGCGTCGACTTCTGTGTCTTGCCCAAGGTTTGCGCAGAGTAGTTTGCACCGGCTGCAGCAGCAACACGTGCAACGAATTCATCTACATCCAAGTCGTCTTGGTCTCTGGCGGTGATTTGCACGTGGTAACCGCTCAAAACCCGAGACACGTCGGCGAAATTGGACGCAAAAGACATTCTCAACTTGACCGGCGCATTGTCTGGGCACCATCCGAGCAACAAGTTCTTGAAAACGTCAGAGCCAGGCACGGAGACACGGGCCAAGCCGAATTGGACGTGGCCGTCGGTGAATTCTTCGACGAATTCAGACAAATCGCCCGATCCCGAAGCTGTGGCGTCAAGAACACCGTTTTTGTCGACGGAAAAAACGGCATACGTGGTGGAACCATCGCCGCGGACCACCTTGTTGTACAGGTCCTGGATGTGTTTGGAATTGGTGGACAAATCAATTTTCTCCATGTTTGGGAATGGGAAGAATAGGGTTTAAAGTGGATATATGATCAAATGGGGCGGAGGTAGCGGCATGTGTGCAGGAGGAAAACACTAAGTATAGATTGGGGCAAGAAATCGGGCAAGAAATCGGGCAAGAAATCGGGGTTAATGAAAGGAAAGGAATTGAAAGAAAAGGAAAATGCAAAGAAGGGAAAGATGCAAGGAGATAGCTTATATAGTCGGGAAGAGGCGAGTCATCGTTTGATAAAATGCTCAATTATATTTGGGTGGTCTAAGCTGGATATATATACACGCCTGCAGAGGCATATTTCAGAAAGCTCAGGTTTGACGTCTGTCGATAGACTTTGAGAGAATTGAAGTGGCCATTGCCATAATGAGTGCCTGTAGAAGATTCGCGAGGCAAGAACAGATATCAAGAAATTTACCAAGCCAACGGCACCGACAATTGACGATCACTGAAGACACCGACCAATTGAAGACACCCTATCAATTGGCAATATCCGACCAATTGACGACACCAGCAATTGACGACCAATTGGCAATATCCGACCAATCGACGTCCTATCAATTGGCACCAGGACGTACAGAGCGGTAACAAAAGATACTACCACCTAACGTAAAGGATCAGATATGCAACGTTGGACTAACGAACCACATCTCAGATTTGAAAACCACATCTTGACCAATCGTAACGCCTAGTTCACTAGCGCATATGTCAAACACCACAGCATCACATAGCCCGACAACGCCGGAAACAAGCCGTCGAGAAATATCTGGCGCGACGGGCTCTCAAAGTACTTGTCGGCCTCGCCCTTGCAACACTCAAGGTAGAAGGCGAGGTTTGAAAGGGAAAAGGCCACCAAAAAGAACAAAAACCCATAGACAGACTCCAAGTTCAAAATGCCCGCGCTCACACCTAGGGCGAGCGACATCACGTCCTGCACACGCTGTAGCTTCTGCTTGTTCACAGCAATGTTCGGCTCAAAGTAGATTTTGTTTCCAGATTCGGGCATTTTTCGTGTGTCCAAGTATGGTCAGCTTTCAACAAAAGTCTAGTGACAGATGGGAAAAGGACAAAGGCGCGCGATTGCCCTGGCCCTCTGTGCAGTACCGACATGCTAGTGGCGTTGGTATGCGATTCGACTCCAACGGCAAAATCACATATAATAGAGGGCCAGCCAGACAATTGCCGCTTTCAGGTTCCACTTGATTTCGTTTCCTTTCGTCTTTCGCGTTTTTGTGTCTTCTGCTTTTCCCCCGTGCGGCCATGAGCGAACCCCACATCCGGAATCTCAAGCGTTTCTTGATCGATCTACCTTCAGGTCTGAACTACCAGCTCACAGACTGGGCGAAAAAAGAAATCCGCAAGGCGCTTTTTCTTTCTGTGTCGCAGAGCGGCGTGTTCATGGACAGGTTTTTCCCCAAGTTGTTCTCGGAAAACCACGATTCCGACTCGGTCTTGTGGCTTTTGGAAGATGAGTTTCTGTGGCTGCTAGACAACTACTACTCGAAGATCTCCAAGGGCAGAAACCCGAACCAGAGCGTCCACACCAACCACACCCATCACCCGCAGCTGCCGTGCTCGCGGATTTTCCGCCGAGGCGAGCCTATCTACAAATGTCTAACTTGCGGCTTTGACGAAACGTGTGCCTTGTGTTCTCACTGCTACGACCCAAAGTCCCACGACGGCCATGCGGTGCACATTGCCATCTGTCAGAGAGAAAACGGCGGCGTTTGTGACTGTGGCGATCCAGAGGCGTGGGTGCAAGAATTCCAGTGTCTACATGCAAACGACGAAGACGCCGATCTTCTGGGCCAGTCGCTTCCTCAGGAGCTCTGCAACTCCTTCTACCGCACCATGGAGGTCGTCTTGGACTACATCATCGACGTCATGTGCCAGAGCGACTTGCAGTTCTACTCGCCTTGGGACGTGGCCATGTATCCCGAAAAATACTCCAACAACTGCTCGCTCGACCCGAGAAAATACGGCTACGAAGATGTGGACGACTCCAACTACGACATGCCCAGCGACAAGTACAGCTTGATTGCCTACAACGACCAAGTTCGGCATTTCCGAGACGCAGTCCAGAGAATTCATTTGGCGAGCAAAAAAGTGCCTGAGTTTGCCACCATGGTGGCTGAACGGCTCCAGAACCATGGCAGGGCCACGGTGATCCGTTCACGCGACGTCAACCTTCTTTTTGAACGCCAGAAAATCCTCAGTGCAACAGGTCTCTCGTCTTGCATTAGAAACGCTAGAGATGAGTTTCGTGAGGCCATGTGCCACGAGATTATTCTCTGGATGGGCAGCATAACTGAATGCGAGTTTTTCAAAGCCAATCAGACGGTCAAAGATCTCTTTTGCAAGGCCTTCTGTTCTCCGTGGAACAAGGGCCTTCTTACATCGGTCTCAAATAACCACAGCGAAGACTCCCAGGGAAAACTAGATAGCTCTTTCTTCATTTCCAAAATTGAGTACCCAAACGCACAGGAAGAGAAGTCCCACTGGTCTTTCAAGCCTTCGCCTTGGAAACTCCCGCCGCATTTATGCAAAGAATGCGACTACAACTTGGTGACTGACTCTAATACTGAAAACGGAGAAATACTCTCCAGTAACGACGAAGTCTCTAACGGATTGATGACGGCCAATGGAACGAGCGACAGACTAGAGGTTTCCACATTGGAGAAAAACTCTGTACTGGATAAGGGCCACTTTGGGTCCAGATTTCAGTACATGATTTACTTGGATGTGCGGTTTTGGAAATCTATACGTGTATTCCTTCACGACTTATACTCGACTTCGCTCATTACCAATCTCACTTACAAATCTATCATGAACTGTCAGTATGTTGACATATACCCAAATATCGCAGACATGTTTCTCACACTTGATGGCGAACCCGAACTTAATATCATGTCTACGCTTTCGACACAACTTTTCACATGCCCATCTAATTCAACAGCCATTATAGCACATGGCGATGTGTCGAGGTTCTTTGCATCTATCCACAGCTTTTTGCGTACAGGCCTGATCAAGGGCACCGATACTAGTACAGAAACAAACACCATCCTTATGTCAAGTTTAAAAAATCGGAGGTGGGGTCAAATCTTCTTCGATTTAGGCTACGTCTTGAGTCATGGCAAAGCCCATGACATTTTCCTGAGTGGGAATATAATACCCATGGCGTGCGACATTCTTTCATCTTTCCAAGGAAGGCCAGTGATGAAACGAGAAAAGGAGAGTCATGTCGAGTATGAAAGCTCCGACTATACCGCATTTTTCCACGCCATTCTGGTGATTTATCAATATGCGGAATACATTGCTCAATGTATCACGCATCTTGATCCCGAAGCTAAACGGTGTATCTCGCACAATTCTATTTCTAATATCGTGGAGTACTTATTGCGCTTGGAAAGTATGACCCAAGATGGTGCATTGACGGACTATAATGAAGTTGATTACGGACAGAAGGAAGAGGCAGGAGAAGAAAGGAAAGTAAGTTTCCTCCATCCTATTCATTCGTTCTTATCGTGGTTGATTGAATTTGCGAAGTTGGATTCTGTTGAAGACCTACTAGGCATATTCAGTTCAGCACTTGAATCGGCATCATATGGTGCTGATTTGAAACAATGTATCATTACAATTTTCCAGTATCCTATAAGAACGATTGTCTTATCATCGCAAATCAAGTCTGGATTTTGGGTCAGAAACGGTTTCAGTGTGAGAAGTCAATTGCAACTTTATAAGCACACCGGTTTACGTGAACAAGGTTACATGAGAGATATGTATTTGATTCAAGTGTTTTTAGCATGTTCAGAACCGGATGTTATCAGTGAAATCTTTTTGAAAGAATGGCTTATGCTCGATGGATGGACAAACAGCAAGGATTCATTTGATGTGCCTTACGACCCTAATATTTTGCCCTATATTGTGGAGGAATGTCTTAACTTCTTCATGTATTTGCTAACTGATGACCTTTACTTGAAAGGGTTGTCTAGTGAAGAAACCTCATACCTTAAACTAAAGGACGAGATCATACACAATTTGTGCTTTGGTCCAATGAGCTTTTCTAGATTGTGTTCGCAAATTCCAGAGCACATTTGCTCTGAAAAAAGATTCGAGATGATTTTGGAAGAAGTGACCGTATTCAAAAAACAGAGAACGTCGAAGGATACAGGGTCTTATGCTTTAAAGGAACAATATCTCGACCAAGTGAACCCTTATTACTATAATTATTCAGCAAACAAGAAAGACGATGCCATCAAGTTTGTCAAGGAGAGAATTCATAAAGCTACAAACAAAAGCTTTGAAGAGATTACCGTGAGCCCTAAATGTGTGAATGGCGAGGAACTTGGTATTTTTAAATTTATTGGCGATTTTACTACATCGCCTCTATTCATTGACTTCCTCATGAAAACTTTAAGTTATATCTTCAAAGAAGGAGTTCATAAGATGGAAGGCCTTTTGGAAACTACCCTTCACTTGATTCACATCTGCTCCATGGAATGTACTCTCAACGTTGAGAAGAGGGGATCGTTTTTTGAAAAAATCTGTCAAACCTCGGCTGTCTTTGAAACCTCTTTAGCTGCTCAGCTCTATCGAATCTTGTGTGAGGAGGATTTCAAGGATCATCATGCCAAGGTTAGGGAGATATTCAAAGCATTGGACAGGAAACATTATAACGTCATTGGGACGTTAGAACAACATTGCAGCGACTTCAATGCGAAAAAACTTAAGCTAGTTGTTGAGGAAACTACTTGTGAAAGCGAAAGTCAAAGAAGGAAACGCATCGGTAAAGAGAGGCAAGCCAAGCTAATGGCAAAGTTCAAAAAGCAACAGTCGCTGTTCATAAAGAAGAATAATTTTAGCACAGACTGCAGCGACACAGAGATGGAAGATTTGGAGGAGGAAGGATGGAAGTTCCCAGAAGCGCATTGCATCTTATGCCAGGATACGGCGCAAGATGCTGGGCCGTTCGGAATCATTTCATACATATCCAAATCCTCCGAGTTCAGAGAAGTGCCATTCGACGATAAGTATTGGTTTCTTAAATCTTTTTCAGACAGGTCAAACCTTAATGAGAGCGATGAAGATGCCACAATCCCTGAGCATTTTTCTGACAATTGGAAAAACTACATGAAAAAGATTGATGATGATTTTGTTATAGGTCCAGGTTTCTCAAATCAGAGACACGTCAACAGCAAGTTAGTTTCGCTGACATGCGGCCATGGAATGCATTTCAATTGCTACATGCAATTTCTATCCAGCAATAAGGCACGGCTGAGTCAGATCACCAGAAATACTCCCGATAGCGCTGAACATCGCGAATTTTTGTGCCCCCTTTGCAAAGCCATCAACAATATGTTTATCCCAATATTGTGGACGTCCAACAATAGGTCTTTGAAACAGTTCCTCCAACCGATGCCAGAAGCCAACCTGTTTGATCATTTTGATGAACTGGTTATCCACAAAGAAGTATGGTTCAATGATTTCTGCAGGGCCACGTCGCTGGATCTCGAGCGCTTCTCTATATTGGCACCTACGGCGAAAGACATGATTGGTAACAATTCGGATACGCTGATTTCACCCAATCAGCAACAGTTTCGAATGCTTCTCTCGAACATGTTTCAAATATTGTCCTTGCTTACATTCCCTCAAATTTTCAAAGCCGACTCGCCAAATGTTTTGGTCAATAGTTTAAAGTCCACTGAAATCGCCTTAAGAGGAGTCAGTTCGTCTTCAAAATTGCTTGTGCATCAGATTTCAAACAATTCATTGATAAACTTGCGTGCTTTGAACGAATTTCGAATCACAAGTTTACTCATGAAAATATCCAATTGGATTCAGCTACCCTCAAGCAAACCCGATGCTCATGTGAAGATCTTGGCCAACATTTTGACCCTTTCTGCAAACAACTTTAATTCCTCAATTATATATTCAGATTTCTTCGAGTTGTTAGTGAACGTGTTCCCATTGCCCTCTACTGGTTTCTCCTTCAACTCTATTCTCCGCACATGCTACTGTGGTCATTTGATTCAGTCTTTGCACTTAATTGCGTCACAGATCCTTTCGCATGATTTTTATGCCAACGATGGGTACAATATTCTTGATGTACCATATTCAGAAATGATCACTTCTGAGGATGCCAACAGAGCAGCATCATTATTCAAGCAATTGAGGGTTTTCCCGTCGGATTCGAATCTGCATGAGCACATCGTCAACCATCCTAAGTTTGGATATGTTATTTACTCGATGTTGCTCAAGTCACTTACGCCATTTCTTCGACAGGCGGCAATTTATGCCTACGTTTGTTGCAGCAACACAGAGAATGTTAATTTTGATGATATTGAGGAGCTGGTATTTGAAGCAGACAAACTTTGCAGGTTTTTGAACATTTCCAGCTTCAGTGAAACACTTTCAAAAATGGCCGCGAACGACGAAGATGGAGAACTTTCATTTGAAGCGAAAAGGTTCCGGTCATTTGTTTCGTATTTGAAGAGATCAAATGGAAAGGGAACTTCCGATGACCTTGCAATCAGGAAAACTCTTGATTACCCTGGGGTGGTGCGCTTAGTTAATCTTCCAGAAAGATTGGACTATTTCTTCACCAGATACTACTACCTGGACAAATACGATAAACCACATTTATCGATCGAAAATCCAGCAGTATGCTTGTTTTGCAGTGAAGTGGTGGACGTTCAAAAAAACGCTATTGGGTCCAAGTACGGCCAATGCAGCACGCATTTTTTGAAAGAGTGCTCTAACAGTGTCGGAATATTCCTTTTGCCCAAAGAAAGAGCCATGTTGTTGCTTCATAAGAACGGAGGTTCATTCCATGATGCACCATATCTCAACCAACATGGGGAGGTTGGTGGAGAGAACAAGAAAGGTAAGACGGTTTATTTGCTGAAAGAACGGTATGAAGATTTTACAAAGAACGTTTGGTTACAACATAATATTCCTAATTACATTGTCCGAAAACTTGACAGTGTCATCGACGCTGGAGGCTGGGAGACTTTGTGAAATCAATATACTCTGCATTTTTAAATTGTTGTAGAAATTAAGGGTCTTGCTCATACACGGGATGACCAAACATTATATATCCAAATCCTATAATCACCATACATCAAACTCATCTTCAGAGGAGTCGATTTCTTCATTGAAGATTTCCTCCAACTCAACAGGGTCCCTTGGGACTGCTCGGACGCCGAATAGAGACCGAGATGCAAATCCGTAGAGACCTTGATTGAGCCAAAGTTTGCTGAGATAATTGTATCTGAAACGGTTTAATGTAGCTTTGCCAGGTTGTCTCTCCTTCTTGATTTCTCCATGTATAGTCAAGTACGGAGCCGGGATTTTTATACCAATGCCGTTTGCTCCAATAAATATTAGAATTTCCAAAGTGTTGGAGATGGGCTTGAAGAAGATTGGCATTTCACAACATATTTTGGAGTGCTGACCAATATCACTAGATTTCTGGTAACTGCCGCATAGTAAGCAAATTGCGTTGCACTTTTGGTCGATAATAGCGGTATTTCTGTCTGTCACGCAATCTTGATAATCGTCTGGCAAATCAATCAAACGAATAACGCCCGGATACTCGAGTGGAATAAGTGCTTTGTCTGGATGATAGTAAATTTCAGCGAACTCTCTATAATAAGAGCCTTCGAATGGGTGGATCTCTTGATCTTTATACATACAAGCTAAGATATCTTCGATTTTGGGAAGATTCAACGCTTTGCACAATGCATCTGGCGAGTCTGGATACTCTTGATTTTCGATCTCCTCCTTGAGTTTGGCAAACTTGTCAATCGATTGGAATGTGCTCAGGTCAACTTGTTCACTCGTGAGAATGTCTGTGAAAATAGCACATTGTCTCAAAAAAGGCAAAACACTTCTTTCCATGCCAAAAAAGATTGCTCTGGACTCAACATTTTCTTCTTCCTCTTTAGTTAGGTCTCTGGACGCTTTAGGCCTGTGTTTGTTCAAATTTTCCTTTACCCAGTGTAGTTGGTTTTCCGTAGCTTGCTTGTATGGCATGACATTCCACGGTTCTTCTATGATTAATTCTGTATCAAGAGTAAGGAAATTGGTAGCCACTAATTTGGCAAAGCCCATTCTCATCAATGAGTGCCACGAGTAATCTGTTTGGAAAAAGAGAGCGACAATTTCATTGAAGATACTGTCCATGTTTTCGTAAACTGTACGTGGCAACTTCAGGTCAAAATGAGGGCCGGAAAAAGATGATTTATACTTTGCAAATGAAAGAGCACTAAATTGAGCCATTGATCGGATAAGCATCTTTGCAGAGTTAGGGATTTGCTCCAAAAAGTTGGAAAATGCCTTATTCCCTTCCAAACGTGTTGTCATCTCTTGCGATCTCACCGTGTTGGCCAAGAGTGTCGTGAACTCGATCACCCTTTCGTATTCGTGGTGAGTGAAAGCTTGAACTTTACCAATCGTTAAAATTTCGCCCCAAGGAATGACGTCATCGATGCTCTTCTTTAACTCGCCTTTCTCATCCAAATACTCATCGGACAACATCGTTTTAATAAGAGTTTGCGCCTTAAATTCCCCAATTTCCAGGAGAAGCTCTTTGTAAGGTACCCATTGCATCTCGCCATCAAGTGATTCTGCGCCTACAAATGGCTTGGAGTCGATTAGGAATCTAGGAATAAAGTTGTCATGAGCTGCATGACACAATGGACATGGGAATTGGTCATGGTGACGCCGAGCCTCTTCAAAACATGCATAATGCATTCCATGGGTACAACTGAATGCAACAGAACCGTCGAGCTTAACCCTATCCTCTCTCATGAAACTATATGGATATCCGATAGGATAGACATTATCACCCTCAGGTTTCAAAACGAAATCCCAATCTTGGAATGCGTGTTTTGCAAATTTGTGTTCCGGACGTAATTTCCAAAAAATGGAACTTTTGTTGGCGCAAAGCAAAAGACCAAAAGTATCTTCAGTATTCTCGTCTTCGCCGCAAATGACACACTTCAATGACTCTTTTGATTGATCGTCCGTCACTTCGCCTTGGTCATCATTTTCTAACTTATTCTGTTCCATAAACTGTTCTCTCTGCTTGGCAAACTTCTTCATAATCCGCGCCTTTCTGCCCTCGGCTTGACGTTTCTTCTTTTCAGCATCGCTTTCGAACAATCCTACTTTACGTTTTTTGTAGGATTGTACGTGTTCCTCTCCAAAGCAATCAATCAAAGACTCAAGAATACGATTATCTTTAGAAACGAACAGATCAAGCAAGAAATCAGCCTTCAGAACAATGTGAGACGCCATCGTTGAATCTGCCACAGTCATTAATAAATCGCTAATGGGGATAGTGATGAAACTTTCCAATAAATGGTTTTGGCCATTTATTTGCTCATCATCGATTATAACAGCGTGGATCAAATGCAAAATGTATGGCAAAAATTGTTCGTCCTTAGCATCTAAAGAATACTGCAATAGTTTGTAAATCAATTTGGCAAACTCTGTCGTTCGAGTAAACTCACCAATTTTCTTATTGACAAATGACGACTCAGCATAGTAGAAATCAGGTTTCAAAATCACCTTCTTCTCATCAATTTTCTTTGCCTTGGCAATGTTTGAGATCAAAGATTCCATGATAGTTTCGGACTTGCTAGCGTCGAGATGCAAATTAACAGGATCGAGGCTATCGTAAAGCTCTGGCTTCAACCTATACATACCAAAGTCGGTAAGTCCTGTTGGCTCTTGGTAATTTGCGCATTCTAGCAAAAGTTCATCAAAATTATCGACGTCACTCTCAGACGTACTAAGCTCAGTCTTAAGCCTAGAGTATGCCTTTGGGCCCTCGCAAAGCGCGTAACAGATGGCATTTTTCACTCTGTGAGAATTCTTTTTGGTACTGCTGCTGTTGTCGAAGAAGAAACGGTCAGTCAACAAAACGTACAAGAAAATCACGAATTGCGAACACATGAATCCGAACCTCTCATCATAAACCGTCTTATCATGGGATACCTCCCCAGCATACCAAGACAATAACTCCCACCTGTCTAAAAAGTTGAAAAGTGTCACTTTCGGATCATCAACCATTATTGCGACCTGATTCAAGTGGAAATCACGATAATATGCCACGTCGTTCATAAAAGAATCTGTGTAATAGATGATTTGTCTGGAAACGGAAATACCGTTTCGGATCCAGAAACCCACTTTCACTTGCGACACTAGTACAATACTGCGCAAGGAGAAGTCTGACACATGCACAAATGGAAACTTGCAGCTTTTGATTTTGGTGTACACCTCCTCAAAATTACTGTTCTGGAGCAAGTACGAGAAAAATGAGTTTTCTGGGTTCATGTATGAAACAGGGTCTTTGCTGACACGGAAATCAGCGATGCCAGGAGCTTTCATCCGCAAGTTTCGCTGCGATAAAAACTCAAACGTCAAAAGTGCCGCTTTGGTCACACGGTTCTCTTCGACTCTTTCTGTGGTGCAAATATTACTCACAAGCTGATACAACGGAACTGCTCTTTGTAAAAAGGAGTAGAAAGATTCCAACAGCTCGCGTTCCACATGGTCGCCATACTTTCGAACAATCTCCATGGCGCCTTGGAAGTATTTGAGAAAGTTGAGGAATAACATGAGATTGTCATGCATGAGAAAAACGTTCATGATGTCAGTGCAGTTATTTTTGCTCACAATATGGTGGAAGGTGTTGACAGCATCGGATATAACACGCTGGATGGACGATTTTTCCCTCTTACTTCGAATGTCCACTATGATATCGACCAAATTAGGTAGGCCGCTTTCGTTTTTGCGAGCCGAATGTTCTTCGATCAAGGCCGACAACGGACCAAGGATATTTCCCAATTTGCCAGAGGTGACCACCCACATGTTTGTTTTGGGGCATGTGAACAACTGTGTGGCAATTTCGTTGGTAGATGCAATTTGTTCCTCTCGGTCTGAAAGTGCCAAGACTGTCAACACAATCGGGTAGACGTCAATGTATTGTTGGCAAAACGTAGCTTTGTTCTGAGCATCGACAAAAAGCATAGGGAGAATGGATTTGATTAACTTTTTGCGGACATTGGCAACGAGGCGGATCTCAAAGGCCAACAAATACTGGATGCGAGAGCGAGCCAACTGTACCTCGAACGGTGCCCGGAGAATGTTGTGCACAGGCGCCATGATCGACAGCAGCGACACGCCGGGCTTGAGTGTGGTTAGGGCCAAGTTCAAAAGCTCGCCATCGAAAAGCAAGCCGTTTTCGAAGAAATGCTGTTTCACCACGGATTCTGGCGCTGCAATGCGGAAGAACTCTGACGGAATCACCTTGGAAAACTCAAAGCCTGGTTCCAAAAGCACTTTGGGCAAGATGCGCCGACACTCTTCACGGAAACTGTCATTTCCCGAAAAGGCCACCACATCTGCAAGCCAAGACACCATAGCACCCACAATCTGTTCACGCATATAATCACGGGAAGACATGATAGTGGCGACCAACCCATCGACCTCTGCGCGGCGCTGTGGTTTGAGCAAATCGGCGTAGTTGGGCGCAGACCGGAGAATCGCACGGCCCTCTGAGTTGACCGTCATAGCAATGGACTTTGCGGTGCGGTCGTCGACGCCCGATGCGGCACGGATGCCTGTTTCCGCCTCGGGGTAATCGTGATTCTCATCATTCCAGAGAACCAAGTGCCATTCGTCCGAATTGGCATCCACGGCGCCATATGTGGCGGCCGGGAGCGAGCAGAAATCGGAGAGCTGGAGCGATGTCACGTTGATCTCTCCGCGGCTGTTGATGTTGCGATGCACCAAGGGCAACGTGTTGACGGAGAAGTTGGCCACGTCTAGAATGTAGTCCAAGACGACACGGATCGTGCTCTCGATGAGCAGACTAAGCTCCTCCGGAAGCGGCTCTGGCGGCGCCTGCTGGCAGTTGCAATTGAGCGGCCTCACAAACGCAGTCTCGTCGCCACAGTCGCACATTCCCGAAGAATCACGGCGTGACGTATACATCATGACCGAGTGGCCCACATGGTCGGCCCGGTTGAAGCAGTGGACACAGATCACGCACGTGTCGTCGTACCCACACTCCTGGCACCGGTAGACCGGCTCGCCAAGCAACAACGGGCGGCCGCATGTCTGGTTCGGTGGATGTGTGTATGCATGTTTGGCCACGTACTTGTAAAACGGCTTGGAGCGGCTCACTTTTGGCTGCCACAGGTAGTTTTTGAGGTGCTCCAACTCCTCGGGCGGGAGACTGGCAAAGAGAAGCGGCGCATACTTTCCTTGGCCAGAAACGGCATAGTAGAGCGCCTTGTAGACGTTGACTTTGACCTTTCCGTGCTCCTTGAAGTCAAGTGCCGCAGGAAGAGACACGAGATAGCGCTTGAGGTCTTCCATTGAAGAGACGGATCAGCAAAAAAAAAAAAAAACTGGCCGGTGGAAAGAAGAGTCTAAGCGAGATTTGGCGGTGTCAAGCTGGAAAGCAAGATCTAGATGAATTTAGGGTTGGTGGAGTTGCGGGGATACGGGTTTATCAGCAGACGGGAGAAGAGAAAAAATTGGATTCTCAGTCTCGGAACGTCTTTGGTTATTGTGGCGGGTAGACGACTTCAGTATCTAATCTGACAGAGCTATGTGGGGCATGAGATATTGGGTTACGCACGACCGGATATAAGAACGTTAGGGTTAGCAGAATGGCGATGAAGTTGGCCCGTAAGACATGGAGGTGGGTGTAAATGGCTTTTTAATTCTCCGTTCTTGCCTTTATTTGATTTCTTTCTTTTCTTTGTTTTCTTGTTCACTTCATTGTTGCTCAGATATGCAGTGCTACAAGCATTTGGCCAAATACTCCAGCTCTTGTAAAATAGTGAAAGAGATTTCTTGCTGGAGACACTGGCGTTTACAGAAGAATTTCGCTCTGGGAGCAAATCTGAAGTGTATGCAAATCAGTTTATTTTTTGAGTTACAACATTGGATGATTATGCAATATAAATTGAGTTATGAGGTAACAAAATAGATTGAATACTCTGCGATATTGATTCAATAACACATTACCAGTATACTTGGTATGTATTCAATCTTGAAGGACTGTAGTAAAAATAGCATCTGTTATCTCATTTTGAATGTTTTTAAGTCTGGCTGAAGATCATATTTCAAATGTCTATAGCATAAACGACTTGCAATGTACGAAATTCACCAGTAGATTGAGCCATATTTATTGTCACGTAATTTCCAAATAAAAAATCAGCGACGGGTTTCTTTATGGGTGTAATAAGAAATATCTAGGCCATATTTTCGCTTGAGAATCAGGTTTGTCCAAACACCGCATTAGGCTTACAAATTTGGGAGAGATTAAGGCAATATTGAAGGACAATTGAGTAAAGACTACATTTTTGAGACCTAGTAGTGCAATCTGTGAAGACATCAACGAAATCTGATAGGCTACGGACATCAAGTTACCTGTGCCTCTAAGAACATTGTTGCCGTAAGGATGTTCTACGTTCATGGACGTCTTTTATTTTGGATTTTCTTCCCAAAGAAAGACAAGGAACAGTTGTGGGTGATGCGTATGTTCTAAGATCTATGTTCTAGGCTTTGTAACATAAGCGATCATTTGAATTACTCACAAATAGGAATCTCCAGAGTGGCCCTTACTAAATGTCCAATTCTCGTGATTTCTTTTCATTGATGCTCAACATTCTTATGGTGGCCTAGTCTTATTCGCACTATCTAGACATGTTCTCGAACCATGGGTTTTCATTGAGTTAAGACTAAAGAGCAGGAGGTATCAAAAAAAAAAAAAAAAAAAAAAATAAATAAATACATAAATAAAAGAAAAACCAGAAGATGCTATTCGTGACTTGAATGTTCTGATGTTTTTACCTTGACATCTGGCACTTTCCACTGTCGCATTTTGCACCTAAAACGGCACAAATGCAATATCCAAATTTCTTCCCCAAAAACTCAAAAATTGCCCCGGTAAACCCAATCCTCTTCTCGTCTTGACCCCTTTTATCTTCTTTTTCTTTTCCCCCTTCCCGTCCCATTTGTTCTGCCAGACCATGATGCGGAGGTACGGATGTGACTCCCCAGTATATGAAAAACTTTTGATCTCTACAACGCTTCTTCAACAATGAACGCCGAAGAACAATACAACTGGATCACGAAAAATTTGCAAGAGGTGTTGAACCCGCAGATTATCAAGAATGTCTTGGAAAACGAAAAAAGACCGCTCAAAATCTACTGGGGCACTGCTCCAACAGGAAAACCCCACTGTGGATATTTCGTTCCCATGATCAAGTTGGCCCATTTCTTGAAGGCCGGATGTGAAGTCACAGTGTTGATTGCAGACTTGCACGCATACTTGGACAACATGAAGGCGCCTTTGGAGGTGGTGAAGTACCGTGGAATTTACTACGAACGCATGGTCAAGGCGGTTTTGAGATCCATCAATGTTCCAATTGAAAAATTGCACTTTGTCACGGGCTCCGACTACCAGTTGTCTGCCGACTACACGATGGACTTGTTCAAGTTGTCCAACAAGGTGTCGCAGAACGACGCCAAAAGAGCCGGTGCCGATGTCGTCAAACAGGTGGCCAACCCATTGCTCTCGGGCTTGATTTACCCATTGATGCAAGCTTTGGACGAACAGTACTTGGACGTCGATGTCCAGTTTGGCGGTGTGGACCAGAGAAAAATCTTTGTTCTTGCCGAGGAACATTTGCCAGGCATTGGATACAAGAAGAGAGGCCACTTGATGAACCCTATGGTTCCGGGCTTGGGCCAAGGCGGAAAGATGAGTGCGTCGGACCCCAACTCCAAAATCGACCTTGTGGAGGAGCCTAAGGTTGTCAAGAAGAAGATTGGTGCGGCCTTCTGTGCCCCAGGCGACATTGACAATGGTTTGATTGCTTTCCTTGAAAACGTTGTTCAGCCCATCCAAGAGTTGAAGTCGGATGTCGTTGGCACGTTTGACTTCTTTGTCGACAGACCTGAGAAGTACGGCGGTCCAATCCACTACAAATCTTTGGATGAGTTGAAGGCAGACTTTGCTGAACAGAAATTGTCTCCTGTCGATTTGAAGGCTGGTGTTGCCGACAGAATCAACGAGTTGTTGGCTCCAATCAGAGAGTATTACGAGCAAGATGCCGACTTCCAAGACGCTTCGACAAAGGGTTACGTTGTGGAGGCTCCAAAGAAGGAAAAGAAGGAGAAGAAGGTTAAAAACAAGGGTTCCCGCTACCCTGGAGCGCCAAAACCTGAAGTTGCTGAGGCCACCGAGAAGTTGGAGAACGCAAAACTAGAATAGACTGTTTGGGTAGAGTCGATCCAATGAACATTAATACGAATGGCTGTAGTCTGTAAGGTTAGGTCTAGACATGATTACGTTTAGTAATCGGAAATACTGAAGCATTTATTGGAGTATTGGAGATGGCAAAACTACAGTTTCACCTCATGAAAATGGCTTCGCATGCCTACTTAAAGATCATCTGTTTTTCCATTGCTCAAATCAGCAATATCCTTACATCTAATTACTTCCTCGTGGTGTATTTATCTATGTACTATTCTCTGGTAGAACAAACAAAAAAATCTTGTTTAAATAGGAAAGATGGCTATTTGAGACAATTACCAGACTTTCGAGTAAAATTACGTGAAGCCAATTTCAGAACGGAGTCTATAGAAGAAGAGTGAGAGTAAACTTGGTTAGAGAAGGAAAGAGCTTAAGGAAGAGTTTCAAGGTCACAGTTAAATTGCTTTTGTTTCAACTTAGTTCATTTCTTCATTTTGTAGTCCATGGTCTAACTCTTGGACTGGTTTTCTTGTTGAAGTGAATATTCTTCATCTGAAGTTCCATTTTCTTTGTCTTGAAGTCCTTTTTTTTCACGGCTTACCATTATTGATAGGCCTGCTTATTATCGGTTTTCGTTCCTTTTGGATTTCAAAAACGTAAATAGTCATTGAAGTCTCCACTGTTCCTTCTTGTTTTCTTCCATCTCATCCTAGACCATTAATTCAGGCATTATAATTTCAACTTGGTCTGCGAAGCGATCCGATTTTGATTTCTTCCCAGACTATGGTGGCATTGAGTCCAGAGATGGGAATGTCAAGGGCCATGGAATCAAAGCCAACTTATTTTTATTTCCCAAATGGTTTCAGATCAAACTTCTGCACCTTGTTTTCCTGCTCAAGGACAATTTCAGTTTCCCTTCCATCTTGTCTAAAATTTCCTGTTCCATTTCTACAATTTCTTGCTTCAACTTCTTCGAGGAGTTTTTGAAATTATTTTTGTAGTTCGAATTGTAGACAATTGCAATCTTGACTTTTGTCTTGGTAACAAAGTCAATATGGCCTGAACCTTCGGCCATTATTTTCGCTATGTTGTCTTAGAGTAAATTGGGCGGGATATTTCTAGTAATATCAATCATCTTGAAAAAGTGGTAATTAAACAATTTAAGATGAGTTGATCAAAGGAGATAAGATGCCACAATAGGCGGTGCGTATAATTATTCCGTGTATGTTGAACTTCGGAATTAAACCCAACGGGGAAAGACTACAGATAAGGCGGAAAAGAACGTTTAAACCCGTCTACTGAAAAACATGCTGAAAACACGAAGGATATGGTGGCAAATCAAAAATTGATAAGAAGTAAACTGTTCCTCCTCTGGTTTTCTCTATTTCCAATCATTAACCCTTGATGATGTCTCAAACCATTCTAGTTTCTGGAGCTTCGGGCTTCATCGCATTGCACACAGTCAAAAACTTGTTGGAGAAAGGATATACCGTTGTCGGATCCGTTAGATCTACTGAAAAAGGGGAAAGCCTAAAGAAATTGTTGGCTTGCGACAAGTTTTCCTATGAAGTTGTCAAAGACATTGTGCAAACCGGTGCATTCGATGACTTTGTGAAGAAGCATCCAGAAGCCACGGTTTTTCTTCACACGGCTTCTCCATTCCACTTCAATATCACTGATATAAAAAAGGACCTTTTGGAACCTGCTGTGAACGGAACCAGAAATGCCTTGTCTGCTGTGAAAAAGTTTGGCCCTCAGATCAAGAGAGTTGTTGTGACGTCCTCGCATGCCGCAATCATGACAACCTTGAATCCTAGTGAGGCTGGACCATCAGTTGTTGAAACTGAACAAACCTGGAACCCATTGACATGGGAAGGCTCTTTGGAAAATGCTCTTGTTGGTTATTGTGGCTCGAAAAAGTTTGCTGAAAAGGCGGCTTGGGACTTTGTGGAACAAGAGAAACCAAACTTTGTCTTGTCTACTGTCAACCCAGTGTATGTTTTCGGCCCACAAGCGTTTGATGCGCTAGTGACTGAAACCTTGAACACCTCTGCCGAAATAATCAACAGTGTGTTGAAAGCTGAGGGAAGGAACACAGAGATACCTAAAGCCTTTGCTGTCGATGTTCGTGATGTGGGAGATGCTCACATTGTAGCTTTTGAAAAGGACGAAGCAAAGGGTAAAAGATTGTTGCTCAGTGCGGGACCTTTCACACAACAGACCATCTTGGATGTTTTGCATAAAGATTTCCCAGAGAAAACCAAAGACATTCCTGCTGGAAACCCAGGAGGCGATAAAGAAGCCTTTAAGCATTTCCTTACTTTGGACAATTCTTGGACTAAGAGTGTTTTGGGTTTCAAGTTGAGGAGCGTTGAGGAAAGTATTCACGATACCGTTGAACAAATCTTCAAACTTAGGGGTTGATGTATGTTTGGTTGAGCTACTTAGTTTATGGTTTCAAGCTACTTAGTGTATGGTTTCAAGACACAAAATTCTCACTAATAATTGTGCATCTAGTTCCATTTAAGGAAATCAGAACATTAACGACTATTGAGCTTGGTAGAATATCAAAATAAGTAGAATAAGTCAATTTTCAATTCAATTTCGCCATTTGTGGAGCTGATAGTTGATTACCAAACTGAGCATGGAATAGACTATAATCGATACTTGGATTTCTAACAAAATTACATGAGCACCATTCCAATAAATAAGGACAGTAAATAAGGGTATACCAAGATACCAGTCTGAACATATACATGGATGCAAGCCATAGAAATAACTAGAAAGAATTTTGCCTCAAGAAAAACTTGAGTTAACAGGTTTCGGGAATGTGCTATTTTGGTCACTTGGTTAGACTACTACTAGAATAGAATATTGTCCAAAATCCATCGGAATCATTCCCAAATTCAGTAAGAGAGACATTAGCACAAACTGTTTGCGAAATTTTGCTTATTGATGAGACGCAGACAGATTTATGTCCCTCTATATCCCAGACCTAGTCCAGATTATCGGTATAGCATTTCCTATTTGGGCATTATTTTGCAAGATTTGTGATATACTGAGGATTTCATGTACGTTCGCACAATTAAGGAAATAGTCTATGCCCAATGATCATGAACACCCATGAATATGCACAAATCTAAGAAGGAACTACTTTCGAAGATCTTTGATGATCATCAAAATGAAAACATTGGCGTCTGATAGAATCAAAAGTAATCGAAGAGAAAAATTAATGTTCTCGAAAACCGGTGTAGAAGTGTGACATGAACAGTTTTCGATTTGCAAGTTAGAGAGTGAATGAACAACTCAGTTAGACGCTTTCATTAATGCTTCAGACATTATTAGTTCAGGATAGACATAATAGGAAGACTCAATGAGTTCTTCCTACTATAAATGCGTAAAAACCTACTGTTTTGTTGGAATCCTGAATATCACCCTTCCTCATACTCAATATTTTCCTGTTTATTTGCCGCTTATCTTGTTTAGGATATACCCAACATTCTCTATTGCCGTTAGTGTGTTACAGATGTATAATTTTGATGAAGTTGCGAGAGAAATTGCAAAGTGATCTAGCACAACATCCCTTAAATTGGGTGAAAATACCACAGTATATAAAATCCAACAGGTAGAGTATCCTTAGATACTCTATTTTCCTCTACTTTGCATGGTGACGGAGCTACGGGCAAAGACTTCCTTAACTATGGGGTGTAAGGGTTTTTATTTTCTGGTGTATGGGTTTTTATGGTTTATGGTGTACGGATGTTACAAGATGTACTGATGTGTTATTGTGGTGTACGGGTATTTATCCTTTGAGATGTACGGATGTAATGCTTTTGTGATCGTCAATGACTTCTTTTTGTGGATGCAAAATTACAACCCGAGCGTACTACTTTCTTTATTAATCGACTACAGTTAAACTAGTGACAAAAGGTAACTGGCTGAATTTCTCTCACTATAATCAAAGGGTCACTCTATCACTACTCTATCTCTAATTGTATCTCAGGATTTGAGCTCTAGAAAGGAATCAGCGTGATCAATGCTGATGTCAAGCCTATTCTACTTCCTTTGAAGAAAAAATTGTCATAATGGAGATCAGGCAGGTTGTATGAAGTTTCCCTTACATTTCGCGTACACTTCTCTCGTCTGATTTATTTTGGGAACAACTTCTGAACCCAATGGATTGGAAACATCTACAAGCGCACTTACGTTTATTTCAATGTATTGTGAAACGTCGAGTGATACTTTTTTAGACGCAAATGGCTGTTTTCTGCTTGCGACATTTACTTTCTAGGAAAGCTGATTTTGCGACACGTGGGATATTCTAGTCAGTGCCACGAGCTTAAAAAAACAGTGGGTTGTGTTCTCTTTCCTCCGCTACACTTCGTTGTATCATATCGCAAGTTGGTCTGATTAGACAGAAATACTGCACACAAGTGCACCCAATCACGTTTCGCATTATCCACTTTTCAAAATTTACTTTTCTTTATACACCAACTACAAGAAATGGTATGTTTCTCTAGCCGCCACCGTTGATTACTATTCTGTCATGGGCATTTCCCGAAAATACCAGCGGATATTGCAAAGTGTATTTTTTCCCCGCTCCAAATTGAAAATTTATTCGCTTCGACAGTCCATTGAAGGCAAGAGCCATGTTCCACCTTCAATGCTCCCTTTACACGCGCCAATGATTGGATTATTCCGTCGAATTATATACTAACATCCAGCTTTCTGCTTTGTACAAGAGAAACTCCGTCTACGTGGCCACCATTTTCGCTGGAGCATTTGCTTTCCAAGCCTTTTTCGATTCCAGCGTTACCAAGTGGTACGAAAACCACAACAAGGGTAAGTTGTGGAAAGACGTCAAGGGTAAGTTCCTCGAAGGTGGTGAGGAAGAAGAAGATGACGAGTAAACGTCAAAACTATTCCTTAACTTAAGCATCACTACAGTATGTACTGGTCAATGGCATATCACATTTCTGTTACGAATACACGTAGTCGTCGTCACCAAGAACACGCAAGGAATCGTACACGGGGAACTCCTCATGTTTCTTTTCCTGTTGCTGGGCTTTTTCAAGAAAAGTCTCGAACTCGTCCGCATACTTTAGAGAATAAAACTCTTCGATTCCATAAACTTTCACATTGCACAACCCTGTACTTCCTTCATTGCTTTCAATTTCCAAGTACAAGTCCCGTGTTAGGATTTTCAAGTTAATGATGCTCACCGGAAGTTTGATGTACTCCAGGGAGGACTGGCCTGACAATTGTACCTCTTGGATTTTGAAGAACTTGGCCAAATACTTGTTTTTTGGAGGAGCCAAAAAGTCTGGCCGAAACTTGATCAAATACTCTTTCAAATCTGACACTTGCTGCTTCCGCCGAGGCTTTATGTAGATGGAAACCTTCGTAGGAAGATGCAATTTAGATGGTTTTGAAACAAGAGGGTTCTTGAAAACCAAGTCTGTCACAACTATTGGTGTCAGCAAGCGGACGCCAACAGAACACTTTTGTTTTTCACATCGCCAGTAGTCTCCATTGTCAACCAAGATGTTGTTGGCATTATACTTGAGATTCTGAGGGGACCGCAATCCATTGGAGGTCAAGTAATCATACCAGCCCAAAAATATCATCCGAGCGATTGATTTCTCCCGATAACTGTCGAGCCCAGTGCTTGTTAAGTACCCCAAAATTCTAGATCCGAGTCCATACTTAGCATAATTGACTTTAATCGAACGTTTGGTCACAGTTTCGACTAAGTTTTCGAGCATCACGTCATTAGCCTTTTTAAGAGTTTCAAAGCTTGTGAAGTTGCTTGTGAGGTCAACGCTATCTATCAATTTGTTCAACTTGGAGTTGAATGCAGCGCTTTGCTGTGAAAGTCTGTCGTTTAGAGACTTTTCAAAATCATCTCTCGTAAGAAGTTTGACGCTAGGGCTCTTGAGAACCTCATGGATGTACTTTTGCATGCTTGAGTTATTTTCTTTAAGAAATTGGTCCCAGGTCAAATGGAACGTTTCAGAACCGTGTTTCTCGATGAAGGCGTATAGAAATTTTTGGAACTCTGGAAGATAGTGGATTTTGTTGTCTTTGAAAAAGACCGGAACATGCTCAGGGAGTTTTTGAACTAGGGAATCAACTATAGATTGTTTAAAGCCTTCAATGTCATTATGCAACTGCGAAAGGCGGGATAGCCGTTTTGATAAGTCATCTAATCGTGCTTGGAGCTCTTCAGGATTTTCCTTTACTAGTTCCATGTTGTCCACTTTCGATTTATACGCGGAGACTTCCTTTCCTATGCTGGCTAGTTTTTCCGAGCTTCCAGAGACGGAGTTTTGAAGTAAAGAAAGTTGTTTTTCAACAGATTCTAGGCCATGAGAGTAGACATTTATGAAAGCATCTTGCTTGGCTTGTGCTGCGTCAATCTGGCTAGCCAATGCTTTGGAAAGGTCGTCAAGGGCCAGGATCCGTTCTTCTGCTTTCCCAATTCGGGCATTCACGCCTGTTAAATCTTGCGGTTCTGGAGATATGCGATTCTGAGGTTGAAACGGCCATAGAAGAAGAATAACCAACCCTCCCAATAAAAAACCAAGCACTTTCGGGTCGTACAATGAGATCACTGCCGTTTTCTTTGCTGGCACAACAGTGCTTCTATTAATTGAAGGCTGTTTCCGCTTTGGGCGTAGGCGGGATTTCCGCTCCTCCTCAACTTGGGTGTCTTCATCCTCAGACTCAAAAACGTGCCCCTTCTGCTCACTGGTGAACTTTCGGAAATGGTCATTTAGTATTTCTTCTTCCAGCTCGCTTTCGTCTTCTGAAGCATTTTGCGGTTTTCGATTGAGGATGGCCATGATCTGCTGATCATAATTGCGTTTTCGGATCGGTTTGGCAGGGCCGACATGACTATGTAAGTGTATCGACGCGTCGTCATCTGTATCGCCTCTGATTTTCGGTATTTGGGGGAAACCAACCATGACGCGTTGGAATGGGAATGGAAGTGAAAAATTTGGGGCCTAAAAGAGAGATAAATAGGGCAGACAGGAGGATAAAGATTGGAACAGGAGGAGATATTTCGAGATTTCAACTATTTCGAGTTGTTTGGTTATTGTTTCACTTGTGATCTGGTAGGTTAGCGAGTCACGTGATACGAAGGGAAAGAAGGCCAGGACTAGTAAAGGGAAGAGAAGACGAATTACAGTTAATGTGACGATTTTTGGCTCTTCAAAATTCTGGAAATAACAGAGTACGGACCGAAAATGCAGTGACTTCAACGGGTGTGAGAATGTTACGACTTTAAGGTTATGAAAATGTTACCATGTGGAATCTTGATCAGGACAGATATTTTTCTTCATCAAAAGAATGCATTAGGGTGGGTTTGAAAATGTAGGGTATACTTAAACTTGCTCAAGCAATATTATTAATATTGATTGAGGTCAATAATTATCAAAATTGATTGAGGTTAATTTTTAGAACTTGCCTATCGCGGATTAAAAGTGACAGTAGGCTCGAACAATGATAATTGAAATGTCCTCTTTAATGATATGCTCCTTCTTGTCAAATTTCTTCATTCTTCTAAAATACTGGAGGTTATTTACACGTACAATCATTGCATGGTACATGTATGTCCATTACATGGTATAAAGTCCATTACATGGTATAAAGTCCATTACATGGTATAAAGTCCATTACATGGTATAAAGTCCATTACATGGTATAAAGTTTTCATGGTAAAGTTTACAGTATAAAGTCATCATATTGTATATGAGTCCTCTCTATTAATGAACAAACAATGCCAATAACGCACCAAGGAAAGCGCCAACGTACCCTCCGACCAAAAGCGTGATGGGCCACTGCTGCCACGGTCTGTCCCAGTCCAAAGGAATCGGAATGACGCCGAGCCATGTGCCCAAAATGCCCAAAAACGTGCTGGAAAGCGTTGGATGGGAGAAAATCGCCCGGTAGATACACTCGAGCTGGAAAAGAGACAAGAACTTCTCGTAGTCGAGCCTGTAGACAATCATAAGTGGCTGGGCAAGAATCATGGCAAGATGGTAGGACAAGACGTACGTTTCTGGGACATGCGAATGAAGCGGAGCGCCAAAGAGAATAAGGCATGCAAAAAGGCCGTTTGCAAGCACGCCAGCGGCAGCAGTGGCGGAAAGAACCAAAAGCGGGATGTTGGTCAGGTTTTTCTCCTTCTTCTTTTTGGGATCGCCCGCCAACACCGTGGCAAGCAAGTAGCCGTACACAAGCTGGACCAAAACCAAGTTGGCCAAGCCTTTTACCATGGTGGAAAATGCGTCTGTGGTGAGGCCTTGGAGAAACATGCCATAGAGCACTAGCGGAAGCTGGACCGGAAGGGCAAGGACGGATTTTCTGATTTGGGGAACCACAAGTTCTGCGTTCAATTCCCCGCCTTCATTGTCGTCGGCCTGCGTCTGGAACTTGACGCTTTTTCGGGACGTTTTGTTTTTCATGAAAGAAGTCTAGTTGGATTTTGTTATTCGCGAGCGCGATTGTATAGTAGCATCCGGATGCAAATGAATGGATTGACTAAGGGCCAAGATATCAAGTAAAGATATCAAGTAAAGATATCAAGTAAAGATATTAAGTAAAGATAAGTAAAGATAAGTAAAGATATTAAGTAAAGATATTAAGTAAAGATATTAAGTAAAGATTTTAAGTAAAAGATATCAAGTAAAGATATTAAGTAAAGATTTTAAGTAAAAGATATTAAGTGAAGATATTAAGTCAAGATACGAAGTCAAGATATCAAGTCAAGATATCAAGTCAAGATATCAAGTCAAGATATCAAGTGTCAAAGAATCGGTGCATGCTTTAATGTTTCACCACTCAGTCACAAGTAACGGATTTATCCTAATACTAGATAGACGATAACAAAAGCTTTGAAGTCGTCTACAAATGTAGAAATTTACTTTCCTATTCGTATGCATAGAACTCAACCATTATTCTCGTTCGTTCGATTTTCATATTCTTCATTTTGACTTTCCATGTAGGGCTATTAACATGGTTCAACCAAAGTAGCTGGGATTCTTATACACAATACGGAAGGGAAAACAAAAGAGAATCGGAGTCTGATTTCTGGAAGAGTGACAATATTTTCGTATGTCCACTCTGGAGTTTCATCATAACAACGCCTCAGATGCCACATTATCAACTACAGAACCTACAACCAGTCTATAGGTGAGTAAACTCAATGATGCAGCAGAAACCTACCCTCTTTTCTTTTTCGTAGCCTGTCTATTCGAACATACTTCAACAACTTCACATATTGTTCATGACATTTTCAAACTCAATGAGGTCCTTCCAAATATCCACTTGCACATTCTTGGTGCTGATCTTCAGACTCAAGGTGCGTTTTCTGTCTTCATTCAATTTCGAAAACCGCCGTATCAATTCGCAGTCCAACATTGCTCTCAAGTTCGCATAGTTCACCGACTCAATGCGGCCGATTCGGTTCAATCTCGGGTTCAAGCCACAGTGATGATATTCTTTGTCAATGAGCTGCTGCTGCATGATATACATTCTTCGGTATGTGGGCTCGCTGATGGGAAACACCACATACATGGCACCTTCGACTGTAGATCCAACAGTTTGGAAAGGGATCGCCTGGGGATCAAACCATGTGCTTAACTGTTCGTGTTTCGGAACAGACTTCGTACATGTCGTGAGGTAATTCGTCGTGAAAGACGACTTATGCAAAAGTCGCTGTCCGTTCGAGGATGCAGGGTCCTCTGGGTTGTACTGAAGAACGTGTAAGCTGCGGTTGTTGTCTGCAACTAAAATGTAAATCTCTTCATCCTTGACAAGAAAATCTGCGCTGCTGACGTCAAGTCCTTGCAAATCTTTGCCTAGCATAATCATACGGAACGGCTCGGCATCGAAACCAGCCAACCATACACTCTTCAAAGTGTCTCCCAAAACAACGAGATTGCCAAAGCTTTTCGACTCAGACACAAACACAGAAGTGTCCAAAAACGCCACAGAAACAGCACTGTTATCCTTGATATCACGCACAATGATCTTTTGTCCTTGCGCAACAAGGAATCTCCCACTGACTTCACAGATAGAAGTGACAGCGCCTCTCGTATCTTCTTGGGTGAATTCTTTGAACTTGTGGTTTGTTTCGGGTTTTCCCGGTTCGGGAATAATATCAATGATCTCTAAAAGTTTGTAAGAGCCATTACAGGCAAGGTCCTCCAATCGGTACTTACCCGTTCCAACCAACACAAATTCTTTTTTGCTCTTGAATCTTTTTGTTTCGCTACCAACATCTAATGGCATGGACTTCACATGCAAGCCCACCTCGTTATCAGCCAACTCGATATTGTCAATCACTGACCAGTTCACAGGAGAAATCAATTTGATCAGTCCTTTGTACGAAATGGCAGAAGGCTTGTTAGGTTTGATGCCCACAATGGGATTTCCCTCCTCATCAATGCAATTATAAGGAATCTCCTTGAGCGTGGAGACGACCAACGTGTTGGAACCCTCATGAAATGCCACAGACTTGACCGTTTCGCCAATGGACACTTTCCGTATAGGCCAGTTGTAGTCGTAGCTGAATTCTGAAGGAAGCTCAACAATTCTGGCATTCTTTTTGGTATCAAGGTAAATTAAACCATTCTTGATCTTATCTGTTGAGAAGGGCACAAACGAAACGATTGGGATCTTGGAAAACTTGAATACCTTCACTTGCGAATGTCTCGACCTCGTGATCATATAAGGAATGACTCCAGTTACCATAATACAAGTAGTGCCACTAACATCAGGAAAATATATCATTCTCCGCTCAATAGAAGTACCATGCGAATATGCATTGAATGGGGCACCTGTGATTGGAAGGTCATACTGTTTGACAAACTGAAAGTTTTCCCCATCGAAAAACATTTTATACGAGTAAATCTCACCTCCAATAGTCAAAATGGTCAAATGTTCATCTTTCAGATGCACATCTCCGAGATCGTTTAAAATGACCTGTTTGAGAAGTGGATCAGGTTCAGCACCATTGATGTCAAAAAAACCCAAAGTTAAAATGTCAGAGAACTTTTCCACAGAATTCAACTGGAAGCATTTTTCGTTGTGGAATCGGCTAAAAACAACAATACGGTTATCACCAGTAACGAGCACAAACGTTTTCAGCTTAGCATCGGAAACGGCTTTGGAATCAGCTTTCACCATCAGATGCACATCGTCTCTCTTTCTTTTTTGACCCTTATTTAAAAGCACGCCAATATCCTTCAGCACAACATTCAAAAGTTTGGAGTTTGTGATGTAGCCCGTGGTGAGAATAGTATCGGATAGCAACTTGGGAAGCGGGATTTGCGAAAATGTTTTGTTGTATGTATTAACGCTGTAAATGACAACTTCACCAGTGGAAAAAAATGCCATCAAATACTCGTCGTTGAACACACTATTAATAATATCAGCCTCTCCAAATTCCTTCAACTCTTCGTCCAAAGTAGCCAAGCGCTTAAATTTGTTATTGAACAAGATGATGTGCTTTGGCGTGACTTGGAGAATGAATTTGCCGTTGTTTAACTCGTGCATTGCCACCGTTAACTCATTATTAATGAAATGCTTTGCAGAAAACCGTGCGTATGATTGATTAATGTCAAAGATTTCCGATTTCTGATTGGGATCGTCCGAGGTGATGAGATACCTATTATTAATGGTCCATAATCGGTTGATTTGCGAAAATTGAAGAGACGATTTGATTGTCTGTTGGACTGTAGGTGTCATGATGCTAAGATGCCCCATTTCTCCTCCTCCTCCGCTAGCAAATATGGAAATCTCGTTGTAAGATGGATTGGGTAAATTAGCGAGAAATTTCTCGGTGGAATATCTTCCCATAGTGAAGGAAGTGATTGGTCCATTGTTAATAAGCTCGTCATGCGAAATGAGTTCGAGTTTTCCCCCTTCGACTCTTTTTCTCTCCACGGTTTCTTCGTCACCGTAAATATCGTCTTCATCATCATCTAAGGCATTTCCATTTTCTTCGACCTTGTGGTCATTTTCAGATGTGTACCGGAGTTCGACCAAATGTGAGTTGGAGCTTCTGCCGGTCAAAAACAAAAGATTGTTGTCTAACGAAGCAAATGAGGAGGGGTCCATAAGTTTGATTTGAGAGTATGTTTCGGAGGGGATTTCTTCCACCGACATGCGCTTTATCGTCTTTCCGTCAACCTCAAAGACTATAAAGTACATTTCGCCGGTGCGCAAAACCATAAGCAACTTATTATCGTTGGGAATGGGCAATATAGAGCAGTCCTCCAACTTCAAGTCTAAGCTTGTTTGGTCGGCGTAATTTTTGAGCGAAGCGGTTATGTCTTCTGTATATTGGTTGACAGCAATTCTGCGTGTAATTCCGCCCGTGTCAACGTGTATGAGTTCATTGCATCCGATCAATAAACTTCCGTTCAATGGAGAGGGGAGCGCAATGATTTTTTCGAGATCGTAGGGCAAGTTTTCAATCTGGAGCACAGTGGTAGTCAAGCGAGTCTGCATGTCAAGCGACAAGACGGAGAAGATGACATTGTCTTTTGTCTGAGGCAAAAGACCCGCCCATGTGCTCTTCTGCTGCGAAAGAACTGCTATCGTGGGCTGTCTGTAGTGATGCAAGAATTGTAAGTCTATGATGTCGCCGATTTTGTTATCGAGCGCCGACGCCTCGAGGATGAAGCTCGAGCCGAAAATAGGGATGTTGGACGACGCGTGGATGGCGCTGTTTGCGTTTTTCTCGTCCTTCAGAGCCTCGGCCTCGTTGGTATCTTTGGCCTCCTTTCCGTTTGGCTCGATGTTCTCGTCCTTCTCGTCCTTCATCTCCTTCTCGTCCTTCTCGTCGACCTTCATCTTGTCGTCGTCGTCGTCGTCGTCGTCCGGGCGGGCAAAGGGCAAAAACACAAGCAAGTTGTCGTGGCGCAAGCAGAACAGCGCATTTGCCGGCGGCGACACGGCCAATTGCGAGCGCACAATCTTCTCGTACGTCAAGTTCTGCAACGCATGCTCGTAGTAGTGCAACGACGCCGTCAGAATCGTGTGTCGGGCATGGTCCCAGCGGATACAAGACACCTTGGCGGTGGAGGTGGACACAAGCAAGTAGTCCAACGTCGGGTTTTCCACCGTGCGCATGGGCTGGAGGTCTGTGACCTCGCCTTGCAACTTGAACAGGCCAAGAAGCTTGAGCTTGTGGCTGGGAAGAATTTCTGGCGCTTTTGCGTCGGAACTGAGAATCTCAAACACCTGCAAGAGCGTGGTTTTCGCCACAACCAAGTGCTTTACTGTGGGCGAGATGAAGTTGCATCCCAAACTATGTGAGACCACGCTGGGCTCGATGAAGACGTCGTAGGCGTCCATAGTAAGAAGATGTAGTTTGTGTTGAAGATTCACGCAGGTTTGGTGCGGCCCAAGTAGGACGGTGAGAAAATATGGAAGAGGGCGGGCGTCCCACGTTCGAGATTTTGGGGCGGAAGGCGGAGAAGGCGAGACGAGAAGAAATGCCAAAGATCGAAAATATGTCTTTTTTTGGGAAATTCAAGAGGCAGAAGGCCAGCTTATATGGCCATAGACGCTTAGATGCAGAACAGAGGGCAGAGTTTACAATTGTTAAATCTACTAGACATGGGAATTCAGGAAGAAATAAAATCAGGAAGAGATAACAAAATCAGAGAGACGTTATTGAATTGATCTTTATTCTCTTCAGATGTTTATTTTCAGATGTTTATTTTCAGATGTTTATTTTCAGATGTTCTCTTCAGATCTTTATTCATGTGTTGGATGAAGACCCATTAGGACCGATGTGAGCGTGAGAAGACACGAGGAATGTGCTCATAATACTTGACTATGTGTTGAACAAGTGATTTAGTTCCCGTATGTGTTCATTTTTTTATGTTCTTTCTGCAGTGAAGTTTTTTTTTATTTCTTTGACTTTGGGGTGGCATTCGATTTTATCGCATACATTGTTGCCTGTTAGTCTTTGGAACAATGCTACCCGCCCGTAATTTCGAGCAGAATTCTGTTCTGACTTCATTGTCCACATTTACCAATAGTAGTTATGGGTTTTACAGGGTAGTATCGGAATCTTATTGAGTTGGAGCTGCCTGAAACATTTATTCTCTCTTTGGCTTGTCCGTAGTCTAAGCTGACATCTTTTTTCTTCTTTTCCTATTTATGTCTTACTTACTCCGTGCCTCTTGTCTGTTTTTTGTTCGCTATTTTCGGTTTTTCTAACAGTTCAGGATCCATGGGTGAAACATTTATCCAAATCTTTCCCAACTTGCATTCCTCGATTTAGAATTCTTTGGAAAGGGTTCTTTAATTAAACTTTTACGTCAGTTTTCTACTTACATTCTGGTTAAAGCAATTCCTGTTGGTTTCCTTGGATCACTGGTAGTCTTCGTAATATTTCAATCTTTGTATTACAGTTCGTTGGACAAGGATACGGTACTAGTTTGCGTCGTAAAATACTCGAACTCTGCTTTCCAGTGCTAAGGCAAAAATAAAAGAGAGAGTTTTGTCCTGGTGTCTTCGAAGGTAATCTGCTTCTGTGCTCCAGAAGGCACAACTTCTTACCAAGTGTGTCAAGCCTTTACTCTTCACTGATTTACCTTTTGATTTTCAAAAACTCAACAATTATTTGACTGCCAACGATAAGTGATGTAATCATGCCTTACCCATTCACAACACCATTAACCTTGATAGTTTTGATTAGCATTGGGCACAAGTCACTCAAAAGACAAAAAACAGAAAAAGGAAAGCCAAACGGCCGTGAAGACAGACGAAGACGAAGATCTGCCAATAGCAAAGAAGTGACACCGAATATAAAAGTCGAGAGAACTATCAAGTAGGGATTGCAGTGATTGAAACGAGAAATTACAGTTCTTTCATCCGAATGAATGTCTCGAACGTACATGCTTTTATGTATCTCTGGTCGTATGTATTTAACTTTATATTACAATACTTTACATCCAAGGCACATTTAATAATACTTTTCTTATACTTTTATTAATTTAATAATTATATATATTGCAAAGCAATACAAGAGGGCAGAATTAAATGAAGTTCCCTTGATATATATCAGAATAAGGTCAATTATATGAGAGCTACTGAACAATGAGTGATTGAAAAGTCTTCATTCAACGTTTGTAGAACCAGAGATCAAGCCTGTTTCCTTATGCATCGCCAGAAATTGGCATGTACTTGCACGTCCAATTCTACCTGTTAGACTTCTCTAAGGAAGAGGGCCATAGGGCATGAGTCATGGGCAAACGAGGCATACCACGCTACTCTAGTCCGAAGAAGAGCAGCCTACAGTCGCCAGATGCAAATTTTGAAATTAATGTACACAAAGAGCATGCTCCAAGAAATAAAGACCCTACAAAAGCATAAGCAAGGCAGGAACGGCACCCAAGGCCACAGGCGCAAAACGGGCCGCGGCACCCTCGTAGGTGGAGATCAAAGCCGACGACGACGGCTGTGGAGCGTACGACTGTGTGATGATGTTGTTGGTGATGACATCGACAGTGCTTTCTGGAGCGGACGAAAGCGTGGTCACAGTGGACTCCTCGCACTTGTTGTCGGCGCACGAAGTGATGGTGATGACTTGGGTGGAGGCCGAAACAGCAGGAGCAGGAGCAGACGAGACCGCAGGAGCAGGAGCTGGAGCAGAAGAGACAGCAGGAGCAGGAGCTGGAGCTGGAGCAGAAGAAACGGCTGGAGCTGGCGCAGAAGACGCCTCGACCTCACCGGAAAGCGGACAGAAGGTGGTGTACACGCTCTCAACGCCGTTGATGGTGGTAGTCAACGCAGTGACACCAGTGGTGACTGGAGTCTCGGCGCACTTGTTGTCGGCGCAAGAGGTGACGGTGATGACAGTGGTCTGGGCCTTAGTGACGGTGGCAGCAGACTTGGCCTTTTCGGAGGTGGCAGAGGCAGGAGAGGCAGTAGAGGTCTTAGCCTTGGCTTCGGTCTCGGTTGTCTCGGCCCCAGTTGTCTCGGCAGCCTTAGTTTCAGTCGTCTCGGCTCCCGTCAATGGGCAGTAGGTGGTGTAGACGGTCTCGACACCGTCAACAGTGGCAGTGACAGTGGTGACGCCGGTGGTGACGACAGTGGCCGAACACTTGTGGTCGGAGCACGAGGTGACGGTGACAACGGTGCTGTGGATGTTGGTTGCGGTGGCCACTTCGGTGATTTCCGAGTCAGAGGAAGAGGCGGAAGCGGCAGGAGCGGCAGAAGCAGCAGCAGAAGCAGCAGCAGAAGCAGAAGCAGCAGAAGAGTCGGCTGTGGCAGAAGCAGTAGCATCGGCAGTGGCACTGGCGTCGTTGTAGATGGACGTTATTGGCACCGCCGTGACGTATGTGGTCAAAATGCCGTCAACAGTGGCCGTCACAGTGGTCAAGACATTGACGTCGGTGGTGGCATAGCACACATCGTCGGAACAGGTTGTTCTGACCGTGGTGACGGTCTTTTGGTTCGAGACAATGTCTGTTTCGTAGATAACCTGGTCGCTTTCGCTGGAGGCAGCAGTCAAGGACGCTGGCGCAACCGCAGCAGTGGAATCCTCGACCACAGTGGAGCTCAAGGTGTTATTGCTGTAACCCGAGAAACAGGTGGACGAAAGAAGCGTGGAGGTGTATGTGGGGAGGTCGGCTGCAACCGAGGTTGCAAGAGCAAGACCAGAAATGGCCAAAGCGAAAGACTTCATTATTTTTTTTTCCTTGATGGATTATGGAGGTGAACGGGGACAGCGAGCATGTTGCATTTAAAGGCGCGTGCATTCTTCTGGCGCTGCTGGAAGCATCGCTCAAGCAGGAAACTTGCATGACAGCGCTGCTGGATCTGCTGCTGGATCTGCTGCCGCATGCGGGTTCCACTCCTGGCTGCTGCCGCGCGCGTAAATTCCAGCCAGCGATTTGGCGGCGGGCGGGCCTAATTGGGAAGTGGTACTGCAGAAAGTGCCCCGGCTGCAGCTCCGCGAAGGAAGTATTTGACACTAGTCGCCCAATTTAGCCTTCGCCGACAGATCTATAACGCGTGCTGCCTGCACCTCGGGATTCACCTCGTAACTTGTCATTTTTGTCATTTTTGCCTTGTTTGTCGTTTTTGGTTTCCAACCAGCACCTTTTTCCTTGTTGGGACGGGGCTCCCATTTCCAAGTTGAGCCAGCCCAAACTGCTGCTTGCGCAAGCCCCTTTCTCCTTCTGCTTTTGCTGGGACCCAAATTTTCTTGCTGCAAGAGCATGGTTGATGAAATCGTGCCACCGAACCGCATATAAGCTCATATTTCTGCATTAGTAGAAAATTTCTCCGGCGCAGTCTTCTCTGCAGCATCTACAAAGTTGATGACATAAAGTTCGCTTTTCTCGACAAAAAACGGCCTCTTATTTTGTGTCTCATTTGTGCTCACATTTCTTAGTTTATTTTCACAGTTTATCCCACCGCATATTGGCAAAAGAGTTCATGTACCAACGTTTCCGTTGACGCTAGTAGACCTCATGCACGCGGCACCGAATTCCATGGCGTTTGTTCACGGCCGCATCCGGATGCATGCAAGATGGTACGTGTCACGTGCAGTTACATCCATGAGCACGTGATAACTTCATCTTAGTAATTTGGCATCGGATCGAAGTATCGGATGTACGGGTGTAGTAGTCGTTTCGAATGTACTGGTGTACTGGTGTGACAATAGCCGAATGTACTGGTGCCTATTCGAATGTACTGGTGCCTACTTATCTTTTTCATCAATGAAACTTCTATTTCTCCTCTGGGCGCTTCTCGTGGCGGCCAGCCACCGGGACATTTCTTCCACGCAAGAAATCCTCGAGAAACCGTACACTTTCATCTATTTCCATGCCGACGACTGCCAATTCTGTCAAGCCTTCAATCCAGATTTCGAATACTTGGCATCGCTCTATAATGCAAGCAAAAACCTCCAAATGGTCAGGATCGACGGCAGAAAACACAAAGATCTCGTCCAGCTTTTTGGTGTCACGTCGTTTCCGACACTAAAACTCTACGATGCGAAGGAGAAGCAGATTATCTCGTACAATAATCCAAGACTGAAGGAAAACATTCGGCGCTTCATCGAGGAGCATTCTGATGCAGTTGCAACCGAAACAAATCTCGAACAGAACGTCCAGGTGGTGGAGTCTTTGGCAGACATTGATACGAGCTCGAAACCTGTTCTCTTGGCGTTTGTTTCAAGACGCAGTTTGGACTGGAAAGACTACTTCTACCCCAATCACTTTTATCAGCGGGTGGCTCGAGAATTCCCTCAGGTGGATTTCAAGCTCGTGTTCTATGAGAGCGCAGGACCTGAGGTTATGCAAAAGTACCATGTGAGCAACATTCCATCTCTTGTTTTCCTAGACACAAACTACATCAAGGTGTTCAACTCGTATTCCACCAATCAGTTGGTGAACCATGTGATTTCTGAAGACGCTTTGCGGCACTTTATGTTGCATGTTCGCGAGGAGGAGCAGGGGAAATCCTTTGCTACTGAGGCCGACTTGGGCGCCTTTGTAGCGGCGATGGACTTTGAAGGGCACATGCAAAGAAAAGGTGGAATGAATGTGATTGACAGCAGGACTAGAGGAGACATGACGCTTGAGGAGGAGTATTCGGCTCTTCTTGGGAGCATAGGACTTTAAGGATAGAATCAGGAAGAAAGAAGGAAGAAAGAAGGAAGAAAGACAAGGAGAGACGAGGAAAAAAGACAAGGAACAAAGAGTCAGGAATAATAACAAGGAATAAGAGTAAGGAATAAGAACGAATAAGGAACAAGGAATTGATGCAGTGGATGAGAAACTAGTGTTGAAAGGTTAGTACGACTATGCGTCTGCTTAAATGGGTCAACGGACGCTTTTTGCATAGTACTTCAACGTTTGGTCAAAAATATGTCCCAAGGTCCGAGGACAAGTAGCCTCGATAGCTAGAATAGCCAGAATCTCTTGTCAATAGGCTAGTGCCATTGTCATAATTAACGCATCTTCCCATGTTTGTTCTTGCAAAATGCCAATTATGGCTTGCACCGGGATGTTTTCTGCACAATATAGATTCCGGTCAACAATTTAACTACATACTAATAATACAGTAATTGGATTAAATCAAGTACAGCTCCATCCGGCTGCATTCTCGTAAAACTGTACTTGAATATCTCCTTGAGATGGGTCATATTTGAGTCTTTATTTCATTGATCATGTGTATTTCATTGAGCATGAGTCTTTATTTCATTGATAAAGCGTCTTTATTTCATTGATCAAGAGTCTTTATTTCAAGTGTCTATTTCTAGTGTCTATTTCAAGGTCTATTTCAGTGTCTATTTCAAGTGTCTATTTCGTCTTTTCGTGGCTCTTTTTCTTCCTGCCTCCATATTCCAGATGCGTGTCCATAGTGCGAAATCCAGACACATACAAACCCACTCTTTTCCTCCGCCATGAATATTTTCCGGATCGTGGCCGATCTTGCCCATTTGGCCAGCTCGCTCATTCTATTGTACTCCATCGAAACCAACAAGTCCATCAATGGCTTGTCCTTGAAAACCCAGCTTCTCTACCTTGCGGTTTTCATTTTGCGATACCTAGACTTGTTCACCAGCTATGTTTCGCTTTACAACACGCTCATGAAGCTTTTCTTCCTTCTGTCCTCGGCATACACCGTTTACTTGATGGCAAAGAAGTACCACCGCACTATCCGCGAGGACATAGATACGTTCCCACTCAAATTCTTGCTTATTCCCGTTTCCATAGTGACGTTGGTTTTCAACCACGCCTACTCTTTCCGGGAATTGACGTGGGCCTTTTCCATCTGGTTGGAGGCCGTGGCCATTATCCCACAGTTGTACATGTTGCAAAGAACAGGCTCTGCCGAAAACATCACCACCCATTACATTTTCGCCTTGGGCATTTACAGAGCATTGTACATTCCCAACTGGATCTACCGGTACTTCTTTGAAGGAAGCTTCGACTACGTGGCTGTTTTGGCCGGTATTCTCCAGACCGTTGTCTACTCGGACTTTTTCTACATCTACTACACAAAAGTGATGCACGGCCAGACATTTGAGTTGCCCGTGTGATTCCAAATGCTCTGCCTTGGGCTGAATGTATCTGACCATGTGAAAGAACGTAGGCGATTGGCTGTTGAACTTCTTTTGGCGAATCTGGGCATGGTGGATGTGCTGGACAGAATATCATGCAGATTACAGTCTGATTGTATAGCATAGGTGGAACATTATATTCGGCCTAGCAACTGTACTTTAGTGTGATAATTTGTAGCTGGTCAAGTGATTGGTCCACCTCTATACTATTGTCTTGAGGCTCTGGTGTAAGGTCATAGATTCTGTATCCAATATGTTAGAGATTATCGATCTCTGCCGTTTATCTATCGTTTATCTATCGTTTATCTATTTGTTGCCAATTATCTGTCTCTGCCAGTTCTACTAAACAAACTTCTACTGTTACATCTGCTCTAACATTCATTTACTGCTCTGCCTGCTCCGATAACACCTAGACTATTTTGTAACACGCTAGACGTTCGTAGCCCAAACAGCCTTCGCCTGCCTTCGGTCTAGCTGATCTGGTCTAGCTGACCTTCGTCTAGCTCGCTAGATCTTTGCTAGCTGATCTTTGTCTAGCCGATCTTCGGCCTCTCATCCTTTGTTCTCTAGTCCCGTTTCAACGGGTAGTACTCCTTGCGAACGCCGTCCTTGGTGACAATGAAAATCTCCAAGCCGTCACCCACGTAAATGTGGCGTTCTGTCGCCGACGAAAACGCATCCTTCACCAACTGCAACACCTCGTCCAACTTCAAGTAGCGCAACTCCTTCTTTTTCGTGCCGTCGCTGCCCGGCTCGTACTGGTTCTTGAAGTTGACCTGGTTGTCGAGGAACGGCATGATCAACGACGCCGCCGCTCCTCCGGCCCGACACTGTTCTCTTTCGTAAGATCCAACTGGGTCGTACGAGTACACGGCACCCTTGCCTTCCTCGTCCAAGCCCGCGATAAGCGTGCTCACGTAGTAAGGGAAGAACCGCTTGCCGTAGAGCAAATGCTGGATGTAGCGGGCGGCACTGCGGATGGTCAATTTCTTGTTGTTGTGGTCGAACTTGTACCACTTGAACGACGAGCGGAACTGGTCAATGAGCGCGGCGCCGTCGGCGGCAAAGCCGTTGGCCGTCATGACAATGTTGTCGCCCACATCGAAGATCTTGGGCTCGTACCGGGAGTCAATGTTGTATCCAGACACGATTCTGGTGTCGCCGGCCAAAACGGCAAAGTCCTCGCCGGCAATGCCAAGAACCGTGCCTCCGTTGTCGGAGTACGGGTTGAATCTGTGCTCGATGGGGACAGAGCTTCTTTCGGCGCTGTATTCGGACGCCACTGTGGTCATATTTGCTGGGGTTGATGATAGTGAGAATCGCCACTTATGTTTGGTGTGCACGTGAGCACGAAAGGCTGAACCCGAACACTAAGGCAATGTATGAAAAAACAATGTACAGTTGAAAGCAAGGTATAGTTGAAAACAATGTGAAGATGATAAGCAGACGAATAAGTAGAATTATAGTTGGACGATAGAGTTGCCTGAAGTCAAGTGAGACAAGGCCATATGGGCTATGAGCGGCCATATGGGCTATGGGCGGCCATATGAGCTATGGTTCAGTGATCATCCTAATCACGATTCGATTTATGCCAAACATGATTTTTTCCTTTCATTCGTGGTGTAGTCTCGTTATTGCCTATTGTCCAATGGCATGGCTGGTTGTCCTAATTCCGTCAATTCTATTGACACAGTTGACATCCTAGTTCATATGTTCTAAAGTTCATATGCTCTTTTAGAACTACCATCATCCACGTCTTTGAACCATCCAAGTAACTTTCCAACCAGTGAGTATTTTTCATCTAAACTATCCATAACAAATTAACCACTTAGACTGTGCATGAGTAGAAAAATAGCGACTACAATCGTTGCAACTAGACCCACAAACATGTTCATTTACTGAATCTGGTTCCCTCGATTGTTACTGGCTCCTTACTTCTAGTCTATGCGTCATGATCTCATTGATCACCATTGACCATTGATCTACTGAAAATCCGCATCGGCTGTATTGCTATTTACATCAAACCTTCTCCTTCTGGATCCGGGCTATATACGTTTTGGAAATGACGTTCCACGATCTCATGTACTTCTCCAAGCATTGGTTGACGCATCCACTTTGCTGGGGCGTGATCTGGTCCTGGGGCTGGAGAATGCACTTGTCGAAACAGTTTTGGGTGATTTTGTTCACCAATTCCGTGGCATTAGCCACGGCCAACTCTTGTTTGATTTGGTCCTGGAGCTGCGTCTTGACATCCTGGGCCAGCAGAGGTGCTGGGTTCGAGCCGAAAAGTGCCATTTCCGTGGAAAGAGAAAAACGGCGGGCTCTGGTATATGTCTTGGGCCGCACACGACCACATACTTACAGTATGGGAATTGAAGTTTGGCTTACTAGAGGCTGTTAAGATTTATATGACAGAGAAGGTGATTATTTTGTGGGTGCATTGGTCGGAGTTGTTGGTTTTGGGTATTTGCACTTTTCGCAGAATCTGCCTTTGTATTTCGAATGTGAGACCTTTAGTTCTGTCTTTCGCAATTATGCTACAGTAGAAGAATAACCAACAACTTCAGAATTGGTTTGGTCAAAAATTCACAAGAATGGTTTAGATCGTATTATATAGTATCCACTTAAGGCTAGCACATGTATGATTTATTGACTATTTGTATACATTGGGATTGACCCTCTAGATCTGTATTGGAGAGTAGATTCGACAGGACAATAAATAACCAGCATCCTAGTCAACCATCTCAGTTGGGTTCAGTAAGTTAAATTAGATTCCATCCAACAGTTATAAGTCACATTCATGACCTCGATACGCATGCTAATATGGGAGGTCAAATGCCTACCTTCGATCAAATCGGCCATTGGATTTGTCACAAGATAATCACTCCAATGTGTGAACGCCATTACCAGATCCAATAAAAATCTTTGAGATTGCATGTTTGGATTTGTGATCTTCATAAAGTTGAGAGTCCTTTGACTAGGAACAAATATAGTTGAATTAGAGTCTGTGAACGGGTTTCCATGCTTTATAAGCTCAAGGCAATGCTTACATAAGCAAAGACCAGAGATCGATATAATGGAACAATCGAAAGACGTGAAGTACCACTTAAGATGCTGGAGATTTGGTAATGAGCCCATCAAATAGACATGTTATTAAACGTTTCCAGGATCTAATGAATCTCAATTTTATGAATCTGGATTTGATTGATCTGAACTTGATTGTTGATTTACATTTGAATGTTCACTAAATCTGATTGTTCATTAAATCTGATTGTTCATTAAATTTGACTTCTCAGTAAATCTGATTGTTCATTAAATTTGACTTCTCAGTAAATCTGATTGTTCATTAAATTTGACTTCTCAGTAAATCTGATTGTTTATTAAATCTGATTGTTCTTACATTTGATTTTGGTTAATTTGAAGTATCCGTCAGAAAATTCTTTTACACGATTACCCAATCAAGCACTTTCGACACCTATGATTCCTTCATTGTGGATCTATCTTGGTCTTTGCTCAGAAAACCATTTTTCCGTTTCCGAACCACAATGACGACCATGATCGAAAAACATAAAACCTAAACTCTATTGCATTCAATCAATTCCGTCCTTCATATCTACATTTTCACGTGCTAATTGCTCTCGCTTATCTCAGACGTGCATACGCCTATATAAACTAGCCACTTTTCCTCCTCTTCTTTACCATGGAAAACAAACACGAGGCTGAAGAAAATGTTCATCTTTTCGTGCTTATTCACGGGCTTTGGGGCAGTCCCAACCATTTGCAAACCGTGGAAAAAGCGGTGGTGAACTCTTTAGCCGAAGTTTCCGAAGAGCGAATTGTCACACTCAAACCTTCGTCGTTCCGGTTCTGGAAAACATACGATGGCATCCCCAGATGTGCTTCGAAGGTGATTGCAGATCTTTTCTATGAGATCGAGACGTTGAAGAAAAACCACAAGAGCAAAGTGTCCAAAATCAGCATCGTTGGATACTCTTTGGGTGGTTTGATATCACGATACATGATTGGCGTGTTGTACGAGTTGGGTTTTTTCGACGAGGTCCAGCCGGTATTTTTCTCAACGTTTGCTACTCCTCACATTGGCGTCCGCTTTTTCAAAAAGGGATTGTTTGACAAAACGGCCAATATCGTTGGGAGATACTTGTTTGGGTCGACGGGACTAGAGCTTTTCTTGGGTGATTCGGCGCATTTGCTAGAGGAAATGGCCACGCCCGGATCGAGGTATTTCGAAGGCTTGAAATTGTTCGAGATGCGGCTCCTATTGGCCAACATCAAAAACGACCGAAGCGTAGCGTTTTTCACAAGCTACATCACCGAATATTCGCCTTTTGACCAGATGGATTCCATCAATATCAACTATTTGAAGGACTTACCTTCGTCGAAAGTTGGAAGCGCCACCGTATGGCCCAAATTTGTCGATTTGCGCCAATCTCATAGAATCACAGATGTGAAACTGCGCCTGGGAAATAAACAGGAGGCCACCTCTTTTATTAGATCCAACAAACTAGTACGGTGGACGCTTTTGCTTTCAGCTACTGTTGTTCTTCTTCCTGTTTACATCCCGCTAATTATAAGCTTGTCGCTATATGTGTCTGGTTATAGTATGGTGAAGATCCGCTGTCTTTCACCTCTCGACCTTCTGGGCCACTGGGAAGCTGTGAAAGAAGCAGTTTTCCACGGAGGGACCATTGACCTGAAACATGCAGAACAGGGTGAATCCAGAAGACAAGAGAGACTTCATTTGGCCCGCCATGAAAGTTTCAAAGGAGACACCTCAAACTTAACTGAAAACGTGATGGAAAACATGTTGTTGGCTGAAGACAAATTGGCCAACGATCAAACAAATCTCGTTGAGGAGAACGAAGAGGACGAGAATGAAGAGGGAAATAACACGGAAAACGTTGACGATAGAGACTCTGAGGATGATGACAATAATGAAAGCGCAAACGATACAGATACTGCCATATCCAAACAGGAGGAAAGTCCACTTCTTCTGGACAAGGATGGCCAGCGCAAATCTGTGTTTTCCTCCCTTTTCAAGAAGAAACCACTTGTCATTCTGACAGCAGAAAATGACAAGGCCATCGAAGAGCATTTGGCCCAACTCAAGTCGTACGTCCCAGAAGAGTATCCTTTATTCCTGGAAGATGTGAAGTTGCCCGTTTTGGATACCCAGAAACGCATGATTGACAATTTGAACTCATTGGATTGGGTGAAAATCGCCGTGTATCACGATCTGTTCAATGCCCATGACGGAATTGTGGCCCGCAGAGGCGCAAAGACAAATCCAAAAGGAACATGCACAATATACTTATGGGCGTCAATTCTCCGGCAGCACTTGAAAGATCGTTAGACTGGCATGAGATTTTATAGAAGACGCTTGCAAGTTCTTGATAGAATAACATTGAATTCAAATATATACGTAAAGGTATGGACAAGAGAAATCAAAAAAAATTGATGAAAGAGGAAGTTACATACTATAGACATTTCCGAGATCGAATTAAACCTCTTTGAGTCAATGTATTGGACCTTGAATTGGAATTAAATCATAAGCACTCTACAGCATTCGATTTGGATTCTCCAATATTAAGCCTTGATAGGTTACCTTAAATTCCAACCCTCGGAAATATAATCTAATGGAATAATTCCAATATGTATTGAAACATGGATCTTCCAAGCGAGGTTGATGCAGTATGGTCTATCTACTATATTCTGGTCGAATATGCCACACAGTATATAATGTACAATGCCAGATTATTTTTGATAATATCCATTATTTTTGATAAAACCCCCCTCTGGATTTTGGGCCAGAAAAGTGTATTGGATCTTTTCCTTCATTGTTTCTGGCTGTTCTCCATTCCTATTATTGCGCACTATCAAGATGCACTCTGATAGCAACTATAGAGAAGTTGTTCTTTTCCAATGATACCCTTTTCTTCTTCAGGGGCCAAAGCTCTTGTACGAGAAATCGGCAGGTGCCGAAATCAGCCTGTGCTTCGCCATTTCTCTTCTTTTCCAGCCGTCTACAGAAGCCAATTCTCCAAATACGCAACGGCTGAATTCCACAACGAAAAACGGCACAACGGGCATAATTCCCAAAACAAACACTCTTTTTTCGAATCCTTCCCGCCATTGGGCTCCACAAGCATTGGAATTTCTTCGGGAGTGATCCTTTTCTGGCAATGGGATCAGCTCTCGAACGATTCTGATCCCTCCTTCCACAGTCTAAAGCCTGTGGAAACAGCAGAAACGTACGAGATGGGCCTTTATCTAGCATCGCTCAAGGAGGAGGACGAGCTTTTCCAAGAGCACAGACAGCGTAAGTTGCGTGACGGGCCATGGTACTCGCGAATCTTCTATCGCATCAAGTTTGCTCTTGAAGACTATGTGATTGACCCGAGCATCACGTTCGTGCGCTTTTTGGAGCTCGCTGCTATCATATTCCCGTTGATTTTCTCGTCGCCCATCTGCTGGCTCGGACGGAAAAACCATAAGGGCGACGGAAATGCTCGTTTCGGCGCTCGTCTTTGGTATCGCTACTTGAGATGGTCAGCCGAAGTCGCAGGCCCTTCGTTCATCAAATTGGGCCAGTGGGCCGCTTCCAGAACAGACATTTTCCCTAAGGAGCTCTGCGAAGAGTTGTCACACTTGCATTCGAACGCCAAGGCCCACTCTTTCCACCAGACAAAAAAGATTCTCAGCGCCAGTTTCGGGATGCCGTTTGAGGAGATTTTCGACGAGTTCAACAAGAAACCTTTGGGCGTCGGAGCTATTGCGCAGGTGTATTTAGCCAAGTTGTCGGACAAAGCCATCCAAAGGGCAAAGACGGAGAACGAATTGAAAGTCCAGCTCAGCTTGAACCTGGATGCGCCTGAACATGTGCAATTTTGGGAAAATGTTGTGGTTACTCAGCTGGCCAGTCTGGTTAACTCGGGTCAAGAAGTCGCTATCAAAGTTTTACATCCACATGTCGAGGTCAAGGTGCTCCGAGATTTGAAAATCATGGCCTTCTTTGCCAACATGATCGATATTATTCCTACTATGGAGTGGCTTTCACTTCCACAAGAAGTGGAACAGTTTTCCATCTTGATGCGGCTCCAGCTTGATTTGAGAATTGAAGCACTAAATTTGGCCAAGTTCCGTCACAATTTCCGCAAGAGGCTCGATATTCATTTCCCCAAACCGTTTTTGAACTTCAGCTCCAAAGACGTCTTGGTTGAAGAATATGTCAAGGCGATCCCCATGAGCCGAATGCTTTCGTTAAAGGATAACTTTGGAAAAAACTTGCTGAAGGAAATCAGTGACAAAGGTCTTGACTCGTTTTTGCAAATGTTACTTTTGGACAACTTTGTGCATGCTGATTTACACCCTGGCAACATGCTTGTTAGATTTTACAAGAACGAGTTGTTTAAGCACGAGAAAGAGTACAAGATTGTCAAATCGAGCAATGAACAGGAAACAAATCGAATCACAGAGGAGCTACTTGCTTTGGGAAATGACGATGCTGCCTGGTATCAGAGATTAGAACAGCTTTACGAACATGGTTATCATGCCGAGATCTGCTTTTTGGATGTCGGCTTGGTGACCGAACTCAATCAAACAGACCGGTACAATTTTATTGATTTGTTCAAAGCACTTTCGGAATTCGACGGTTACAGAGCCGGCGAATTGATGGTGGAAAGATCCAGAACACCTCTGACTGTGGTGAATAAAGAGATTTTCGCTTTGAAAGTGGAAAAATTGGTTGACCGTATGAAACAGAGAACATTCACTTTGGGCAATGTCAGCATAGGAGATCTTTTGGACCAGGTTTTGGGAATGGTGCGTACGCACCACGTTCGAATGGAAGGAGACTTCATTACCGTGATAGTGGCAATTCTTCTTTTAGAAGGCATTGGAAGACAGCTTGATCCAGAATTGGACTTGTTTGCAAGGTTCGTATACGCACTTTTGTGGGGGTTTCCCACAGAGCAGATGGTGGGGCTTAATTTTGCATAATACTAACAACAAAGCTCTTTGCCTGTGTTGAGAAAGTTGGGCGCTCTGAAGGAGGGGAGAGACATTCTTCGCGATGAAGATTCGTTGAATATGATTAAGGTGTGGTTGGCTCTTGAAGTGAGACAGCTTATCCATGCTTCAGTGCAAGACGTATGTATTTCTTTTTCCTTGATCCGGGACAAGTACTAACCTTCAGATTCATGCTTTGGTGAAAGCAGATATGCTCAGTCCAAACGTGTAAAGAAACGTTGCATGCATTTTGTCATGGGTGCAAAATGAAATTATGAGACGTTTTCCAGGATATGGGGCGGATTTTATCTAGGCCTACTCTCGAGGATATTAGAGTGAATCTTTGTGTAGACTCTATTAGGGTACCAGAGTACTAACACGATAGAGAACCATCCGGAAACGTCAGGATAACAAGTAGATTATGGTTGACCCACGCCAGCGTGTCTCAGTATCTTGACGAGAACCATGGAGCCATGTCTTCGCTGGGATACTGAGAGAAAGAAATATAAGGGACGAAAAGACAATAGCTTCGAAAACCGATTATCTACAGAGACCATACTTGATGATAGAGTTCTAAGGTCACAAAAACGCAAGAAAATGATCCAGTCACCCCTACAATTTCATCAAAAGTCGAGCGAGTTTCGAGAAGCGGCATTTTAAGCTTGCAGTTGCTGTACATCTATGGTGGAGAACGTATTTGGAAACAGTGAGCAGCTTTCAATACAGCCCCATTAGGAAAAACCATAGTCTTCGGAAACCGGTCTTAAAAGAATACTGGAGGTGTTAAGATTGCGTCGCATGGTGCTGAATAAGAATAGAGGGTCTAGTATTTGTTAGATAATGTGAACCTATTTATTATTTCTCTAAATCTGGTAGACCGGGGAATATGCCGGCGAATTAAAGAAACCTGTGATTACTCTGTAGCTTTTCTATAGTTCTAGAGGTTTTTCAAGAAATCCAAATGATTTACATAAGGTATTTGATGATGGCCCAAAATTCCATAGTGGTCAGAATCATGTAAAAAGTACCACAAGATCTGGCCCGGCCCTGTAAAAAATCACAATTATACAATAGTTCGCTTAGAGAATAGAAAAAATTTAAAAAATTATTAAAAAACTGTTCGATCCAATGAATTGATAACTTAAAGTCGCAACAAGAAATACAACGTCTTTCTTCCATGTTCTGTCTCCACAGTAAAAAAAGCGCACGTCAAACTCCGCTGTATGCAGCACCCACATAATGACAGTCTTCAGTCAAACACAGTTCGATACATCGGCAATAGCTTTATATACTCACCCTGAGTACCCAGACCCATTCAATAGTCGGAAACTGCCAAAAACAAAAACAAAAACGAACAGTTCAGGATAAATGACAGCTATGCCACCGCTCCTGCACATAGTACGTTTGCCTCCCCCGGACATATATAAGTGAGGCTTCTCGCCAATTCAGACAAGCGAAAACTATAAACTCACACAATGGCATCCAATCCTCCCGGAAAATGTTGCACTCTTTCTAGCTTCCATGAAGGAACCCCAAAAGGCAAGCACGTGCCTTTCTGCGGCTTGGAAACTTACGTGACTGGCGAAGATTCGGACAGAACCGTGGTCATTTTGACCGATATCTATGGCTCCAAATACAACAATGTGTTGTTGGTTGCGGACGAAATTGCCAAATGCGGATACAAGGTTTACATTCCCGACATTTTGAAGGGCGATCCTGTCGACGGCAGCGTCAGCTTGGACAAGTGGCTTCCCAACCACACAAACGAGATTACCAAGCCAATTGTCGACGACTTTTTGGCAGCTTTCAGAAAGGAGGTCAACCCCAAGTTTTTGGGTGTGATTGGCTACTGCTTTGGCGCCAAGTATGCCATTCAGCAGATCTCTGCGTCGGGCCATGCTGATGCTGCGGCTGTTGCCCACCCATCGTTTGTTTCGATCGAGGAAGTGGCAGAAATCAAAAAACCCATCATTATTTCTGCTGCGGAGGAGGACAGCATCTTCCCACCAGAGTTGAGACATCAAACCGAAGCGAAGTTGGCCGAAATCGGTGCTAGATACCAGATTGACTTGTTTTCTGGTGTTTCCCACGGTTTTGCCGTTAGAGGCGACATTCTGAACCCAGTTGTCAAGTATGCCAAGGAAAAGGCTTTGGCAGACCAACTCCAATTCTTTGCTTTGTTTTAGATATAGATTGGCCTGTTTTGTGAAATATATGATATGGTGTTTGACAATATGCTCAAGTGTCCACACAGACTAGATAAACGTTCAATAGTTCCATATCCATCAATCATGAAGTAAAAATCGTGACAAACAACTCAATTGTGTCAAATTCTGTCATTTAGTGAACGATAAATTGTGTACCTATTTGAGCAACTTCTATTGTTGAAGTTGGCAACTTCATTTATTCTAGTTGATGCGTCAACCAAGATAATGAATCCATAAAATGACTGTATCAGAAGAATAAGATTGTTGAAGCTCACATTTATCAACACTAAAATAATCCGCCTTGAACTGTGATATTGACCTTTTTTTGTGAGTCTAGAATTTGACCGAATCTATAAGTGATTGAAATAATCAATTATAAGGACTTATCTTTCTGTGTTGATTTCCATTCAAACCTTCGTAATGAATGTTTCAATATATACCGTGTTGATCGAGAAGTGACGGATTCACAATTTGAGTAGCGAAATAAAACTGTCGGTAAGATAATCTGTGTCCTAAATACCCGATAGAGAAATACAGAGTCCATTGTAGATGTATGAAAGTCTCAGCATTCTATTTGACCGAAGGTTTTTATTAATCTCTGTTCTTCATTTGACAACGTGCGTACACTTAGGTTTGGATAGACAAATTAAATGTGTGTTCTCCGACAAATAACAACGCATACCCAATACTTCAATACGGATTTAATGATCAAAACGTACTTGCAAAGACCGAAAGATCTCGATTCGAGAACCCGAGAAACGGTTAGATTCACATTTATCGGGAAAATATCGGTTTTTCCGTCTCATCTTGCATAGAAGTCGGACCTAACCGTTTGGTTTGACAGTTCCACGGAGCAATGGTAAATAGGAAGATGTTAATCGAACCAATTTGGCAACTTCTGGAATAGCAGAGGTGGACAGAGCTACGTGCTTTTAATTCTGCCGCATTCATGGTAATTTGTGCTCCAGACTCGAATATTTGGACAAAGCTGTTGGGAAAACTGACAAATAAAACTGCTGACACGTGAGAATATTGTAAAATTGCTGTTCCGTCTCGGATATCAATGTAACGTGAGTAAAATGTGAAATTGGGTCTGGACAAGTGTGTGATTCGGTCATAGCTTATATCCGAGTTGGATCTATCTTCCACGAGATTGCGACGCGGAAAATTCGGTTTTTTCCGCGCGGAGATATCTTTGCTCCACTTCTCCCATCCCACGATGGCGGTCTTCTTGTTTCGAAAAGTCCAGCTTTTCTCTGGATCAAGGGAAAACACCCTATTAGGCCCAAATTCGGACCGCTAAAGCCACAAATTCGAAAAAAACGACATCATAATGTATCTTCTTCGCAGAGACAGAACTGACGTATGCGGGTCCTGCACCAATCATGCAAGGGCCATCGACATGCATTTGCCTATAATATATAAAGCCATTCATCTCTGGCCATGGAAACAGACATTCAAAAACCAATTACTCAAACATGGCCTCTAAAGCTCCTGCCAAATGCTGCATCACTGCTAGTTTCCACGAAGGAACCCCAAAGGGAAAACACGTTCCTCTCTGCGGATTGGACACTTATGTTTCTGGAGATGCTTCTGATCGGGTCATTGTGATCTTTACTGATGTCTTTGGCCACAAGCTTAACAACACTTTGTTGATTGCCGATGAAATGGCCAAGTCTGGCTACAAAGTTTTGATTCCAGACATTTTGAACAACGATCCATTTGATGCCAATGCTGATTTGCTGGCCTTGGGAGCGTGGATCCCAAAGCACACGAACGAAATCATCAAGCCCCAGGTGGATGCGTATATGGAAGCTTTGAAGAAGGACTTGAAGCCAAAGTTCATCGGAGTTATCGGCTATTGTTTTGGCGCTCCTTTTGCTGCTCAACAGATTTCTGTTTCAGGATATGCCGATGCCGGTGCCATTGCCCATCCTTCTCGTGTGTCAATGGAGGAGGTTGCTGCCATCAAGAAGCCAATCATCATCTCTGCCGCAGAAGTGGACCCAGTTTTCCCAGTCGAGTTGAGACACGAGACCGAAAAGAAATTGACCGAAATTGGTGCTAGATATCAAATCGACTTGTTTTCGGGAGTTTCCCACGGCTATGCTGTCAGAGGTGATATTCTGGACCCAGTAGTGAAGTACGCCAAGGAAAAGACTTTGATTGACCAGATCATGTTTTTCGATTTGTTTTGATAGGTCTGTTCCACGAACTCTTTGATTTATTTTAGTACTATGCTGATGTTTGAATATACTAGATAAATTAGTTGTCAGTAAACAGGAATGATGATAGGAACACAAGTAATATCTTCAATCTTAGTCATTTCTTTGTACGAATGAGTGCTACAAAGTCGTGTAGTGCCTTATACTATAAAGCGATTACGAATTGACTAGAAATGGGAAGAATATGTACTATAAATATTTTGGAAACCGAAGATGTGGTTATGTCTTTGAAGAGTCCAGAATACAGAGAAAAATGTGAATAGAAATCACTATACGTATTATCTTAGACTATCCACTAAGAAGTATCTTTTGCAAAATGTAGTTGAAGAACTATATAGGTTACATACTGGAGACATGAGAATACTAAAGTACAAGAGTCTTAAACTGGATCATAGAGATTTACAAAGCAAACAGCTCAAACAGAATGTGATGCTATTCGAGAATCAACTACACAAATTCAATAGTCGAGCTTATGTTGACTCTACAAACCCCCCTTGTCATTTTTGGAAGCTCACATGTATTCCAACGGTAGTCATAGCACCTTATATGAATGTAAAGCGCACGAAAGCTAATGTGATTGTGATAATGTGTACAGATATCTAAAGACTATGAGATAATCGGCCTATCGCCGATGGACCATAGTAAACTACTACCTTACACGTCAAGCCACAATATAAACCGAGAAACCTCGGCCATTATGGATCCGAATATGATACATTCGATCTGTCACTGGTCCACCTCTCTGCAGATAGTAGACGGAGATACAGACGGACATACTTCAGACGGAAATATCATCAGATGGAATCTACGCAAAACAGATGGAGACGATTAGGCGGAAAAATCACGGCAGAAATAATATAGCAAGCTCGACCTCAAAGTCGAACCGCCTACTAAAGAATCATTATGATGATGAAAGAATAGAGGCAAGATCAAACTGCAGGGTCCGAGTCCCGAAGAACGCTCATAACCACACCTATCATATAAAGAGGCCCGTTTCCCACTTTTAACGTGACCAGTTATGTCAGACCAAGCGTATTACAGCAATGGATTCTCCAAAGTGATATCCGATACACACGCATGGCGGAATGTCGAAAATTATGTTCCTTACATTATTCCTTATCTCAACAAAAGCCAAAAGTTGCTTGACGTTGGATGTGGTCCAGGCACAATTCTGAAGGACTTGGGGAACTACGTGCTGGAAGTGATTGGAATTGAGCCTACGGCCGAATTGATTGAACTTTCAAAGGCCCAGGACAACTTGCCTGAAAACGTCCGTTTCCAAATTGGTCTGGTTTACGAGATCCCATTTGAAGACAATTCCTTTGATGTTGTTCATGCACTGCAAGTGATTGTGCATATTGAAGATCCAGTCAAGGCCTTACGGGAGATGTTGCGTGTGTGCAAAAAGGATGGCTATGTTTGTGTGAAAGACGGAGATTTGGCTTCGACTGTGATTTACCCTGAAAAGTATGCGGAGATCATGTTGAATGCCATATCACACAGACCCACTACGCTGATGGTAGGCGGAAGACTGTTGAAAGAAAAAGCGTTGAAGGCTGGCTATCTGCCAGACAAAATTACCATGTCTGGCAAGGTCCAGTACCTCAGCAGCGCCGAAGAGAAAAAGAAAAGGTATGACATGATGCTTCCACGGATGTTACAAAGTTACGAGGTGACAGAGCACAAATACGACAAAAAGACCGTATTGGATACGATTGAAAAGTGGGTCAATGACGATGCTGGTGTGTTGATTTCTGTTAGTGGAGAATTAGTTTACCGGAAATGAGTTACGTTGAGCCAAAATGAATGACTTATGTTTGAGCCACAAATGAACGAGATATTTTTGAGCCACAAATGGTAGAGATGGACATAATTTGAGATAATGTAGATTGATAGTGTTTTGGAGCTATTTTAAGCCATTACAAAGAAGAAGGGTAGTAGGAAGATGTAAGCACAATATTTGGAAGAGGCTGTTTTTCTGCTAAACTTTCAGGCGTTGGAGAAATTGCATGCTTGATTCAAACCTATTATCAGCCGATAGAGGACAAGAAAAATTCAAGATAAGATCATTGGAATGTACTTATGCTTCTTTGTTAATATTTGGAAGAGTTCAGGTGGTAACTAGCATTTCTGCTGCAACCTCAACCATAGAATACAATATGAAGTATAATTATCTCCCAACTACTTATCCACTTCAGTGAATTTTGGCATATAAGACTAGTTAGTCAAAAACAAGATAGAGGTCTTTTAGGACTTCAATTTGCTTACTTTAAACTGAAACAATGGAAATGGATTGACGGGGTATCTGTACCGTTAGCTTTCGTACGATATTATCTTTTGTTGGAAATGATAAATAAAACCACACATTGTCGAATTCCAGTTGTGACGGATCGAGGTAGATTATGCAAAGATTATCTCAAAGAGAAATAAAGATTATCTCAAAGAGAAGTTTTATGAACTGTACTTAAAAAATTGCATTGATTATTCGGTATTTGGTGAAAGTAGGGGACAATGGCCACTTTCGCATTCTTATGCAAGAGAAAACCTCAACATCCATATACGAGATCCAAAGTTCTACAAGTCATTATGGATTGATTGCATTCAAAAATAACAACCAGACACACTTACAGGACTGCAATGACAAAAATGATGTTGAACTTTCACAGTTTAAGAATTGGGGTAAACCTCGTATCAGAGATACGCCGGTGTCACGAAGTGGTAAAATACAGGCAGACTGATTTGGATCGAAACCAGTAAATAGAGTGTCTTGAAAATAGAGAACAATCAATTTACCCGAAACCTTCTTTAAAGGATTGGTAAGGCACTGAGTAATAAGGCAAGAAAAGAAAGTCCGGCTGCTTTGTGATAGTTTCCTCCTGCACTAGAAGAGGAACTTGTTGAGCTGCTGGTTGATTCTGCAGATCCCGTGGGAGCGAAAGTAACAGAACCAGCGGAGTCCGACGCTACTGAGTCAGTTATTGAATCAGTTGTTAAGTCTGTTGAGTCAGTTATTGAATCAGTTGTTGAGTCAGTTGTTGATTCAGTTGATTCAGTTGAGTCAGTTGAGTCAGTTGAGTCAGTTGAGTCAGTTGAGTCAGTTGAGTCAGAAGTTGACCTAGTCGAATATGCTGTTCTTCGAGACTGTGATGACCTGGTAGAACTGATATCAAAGTGGTCGCCCGTATACATGGAGTATGTTGGATGGAGTGATGTTGACACATAAGTTCGACCACTTCGAGTTACAGTTTTCTCTTTCAATGAGGAGTAGTAGAAGTACTTTGCCGCACGGGCCAGAGGAATGCCCGTTGAGATGTTTTGGATCGTTTCTGGTTTGGATTCGGAAACATTACGAGCAAAAGCGATTTCCTCGTTGTCGTAATCCACCACGACATACTTATCATAGAAAAGTGACCAGCCGACTTGGTACTCCTCGGAATATGTGTCATGAATAATGAGATAGCATGTAGTAGATGCGTTAGAGGAATTGCGTTGCCCAATGAGATACGGCACTGGTACCCGAAACTCTTCTCCGCTGAAATAGAATGAAATGTACTCAGTCAGATTCTTTGCCAGACAAGGTAAAAAGCCATCATAATCCATGTCATAATTTTTACGAAAGTGGTCGTACAATGGCTCAGTGTACTGATATGGTAACTGCCACAACTGATCAGTCATCTGCACTGGGATTGGGTTGTAAACCAGGAAATTCGTGCCTGAAATTCCGTCCATGAGCAATGTTGGATGAATTAATCCACCACTATCCTGAGAGGCTTCACTATAATGCTTGAACTTCACCAAAGGCTGCTCGTATTTGCCGTGGTCAACTTGGCCGAATAAGATATCCGTGGCATTATGGACGGAATACGAAAACGACCTAGTGTCAATGTAGCCAGAATCGAACAAGGAATCTAAAACAGAGACTTTCAGATTCGTTGAAATAACACTCTCGTTACCCAGAAGGCAGAGTCCGGCTAGGATGTAATATGGATTGAATGCACGTGGGTCAACAGAAAAGTTTTCGAGTTGGAATCCGTTGAGCCACGCCGGATCCTCTCCAAACTGAGAACCGTTCACAGTCACATTCACATAAGTGTCATCGTCTTTTGGCATGTCCATGGCCGGCCTAGTGACGTTTTCGCCTTCATTCGTAAACATATACGGGGGAATTTCAAAGACATCGGTGTCCAAACTGCCGTAAGTCGGGATATACTTTGAAGGTGAACCAAGGGCAAAGCCTCTTTTCTCTACCTGAGAATCATCTCGTCTATGCATCGAAGAGTCTACACTCTCGCGCATATTATTTGGTTGGCCAAAGATGACCGTAACCCAAAAAAAGAAAGCAGGGAGCATCAGTAAGCAGAATATCAATTAAGGATTGAAAGGTAGGATTGAGCGTAAGGATTTAGGAAGAAATAAAATTACTTAACCAGCCAACACATCTCTCTTTATTAGTTCGCACGGCTGGTTTCGCTATCGCATAGTCCATGCATAAATGCTTATTTAGGAGCAATCTTTGTTCTACACGTGCATGCTAAGAAAAATGTTACTATAGTCATGAAAACTGAATTACGAGAAAGATGGAGGAAGTAGAATTGTAAATAAGTTACAGAGAGAGAAGTATTCAAGTCACCGACAAGGCAGAACCGTTGAGTGAAAGCTCTTTTCAATGGAGTCCAGGAAAAAGCCCTTATAATTTTGTTGAAGATTTTAAGGGGAACATACATATGGCCTGAGTTCGAAGGACGAGGCTGGCATGTGATGAACTTCCCCTCAGAAATTGAAAGAACAACTTTTAGAAGAAGAATCATACGCGAGAACAAAAATCGAAAATACGAGAAATGACGTAAATGCACAATCACGTTTCTTATCTACATCTTTGTTCTATGCATGCAAATGATTGTTTGAAACACTCATATACGAGGAAAAGCATGCTTAACTAGGCCAGTAAATTGTGGTCTCTTCGTTTGCTATTCGAGTTATAATTGAAGAACTGAGACCGATGGAGAGAATGAAAAATTACGACAACAAAATGAAAGACGAAAATGCACCCATCAACCAGAGTTTATAATGCTCCCGTCAAACAGAGCTTATATGACGGGATTAAAGAGTTGGGTATGGTATATGAGAATTCTGGGATACTTTCCAGTTCTGGGCAAATGGAAACCTGTATTAGATTGGCTCAGGTCATACTCGTGGACTTATTGAAGCAAGCACATTACAGTCTTTATCTTCAGCCGAGGTAGGTCGGGTAAAAAGACAGAATGTTTGACCCATGTTTTCTTGAGTTGCTTCAATAATATCACGTTCCAGTGGAAAAGTTGGTTCGCTTGTGACGCAATTTCTGCTTCAACTTGGGTCAGCTCGCTTATTTCGAAATTACTTTCTTATAGCTTACTGGCCAACGTTCTATTATACAGAAGTAATTATCTGGACGTAATTGTATCATTTGCTTATGCTACTAACACTATATTAGTCGAGTTTCTGCTCTATCTTATTCTCGCTAAAGAATCATCAAAGCGCTGAGAAAGAATGTGACAAAAGCAAAGATACCACCAGTTGTTTGGATGTTTCCTGCTGCTTTAGAAGAGGAACTGCTGCCTGTTTTTGTGCTGTGATTTGTACTTTCACCAGTGTTTGTAGATGTTGGCTCTGCCAGCGTGACAGGGGCAGAGCTCGTTTGAGTCGAATAAAATGATTCGGTGGCACTGGGCCCATAACGTTCGCCCGTATAGAATGAATATGATGGGTGATACCACGTGGAATAGACCTCCCTTTCCCCAACTAAATCAGGAGTTGAACATGAATAGTACACTTCGGAATAGGTAAAATACTTTGCTGGAGTGGCCAGAGGAATACCAGTCGAGATAATCTCGATAGTCTGTGGTTTGGATTTGGTTGCAGTAGGAGCAATGGCGATTTCCATGTTGTCGTAGTCAACAACAAGATACTGACCAAGGAAAAGTTCTGCGCTGATTCCCGTAGTAAACTCGTCGATTTGTCCCACCACAAAACCACAGGTGCTGTTCTCATTAGGCACAGTGTCAAAACTACTAGAAGTATCGTTGGGGCTGATAGAAAGACCAAAAAAGCTACCAGCCTGTACCCTGTATTCTTCTCCACTGAAGTAAAAAGAAATGTACTCAGTCAGATTGAGCACCAGGCAAGACAACATGCCATCATCATCCATGCCATAAGTTCTTTGAAAATGGTCAAATAGTGGATAGTAAAGCTCATCTGGAAGCTGCCAACGACCATCAGTTATCTCCATAGGGATTGGATAATAGGCCAGGAGGTTTTTGCCTGCAATTCCGTCCAAGAGAATTGTTGGATGGGAAAAACCTTGTTCATCCTCAGACCACGGATGGTAGCTTTTGAATTTTTTCAACGGTCCTTCGTACTTACCATGGTCAATTTCTCCGAAAAGCACATCATCCGTTGAGTTGACGACATACGAAAAGGATCGGCTTTCAATATATCCAGAACCATACAAGGAATCTATAACGGTAATCACAGGGTTTGGCTGTGAAAACGTCTCAAATAACAGTTCATCTGATATGATGCTGAGACCATATGTAACATAATGAGGTTGAAAGAGCAGATCAGGATAGGGCGGCGAAGTGAAACTGAAGTTCAGAAGTTTGTAGCCATTGAGCCAAGCCGTCTGATTCCCAAGTTGGGAAGAGTTGAAATAATCAAACCTTTGTCCTAGTGGTGGAAGAGTGACATTTTCAAAATTTGTTGTTAACATCACAGGTGGAATGTTTAATACACCGGCGTCGAAACTGGCGTATGTCAAAATTGATTTAGGAGGTGAACCGAAAGAAAAGCCCTTTGATTTTTCCTGTGGATCATCTCTTTCCAACAAAGAAAAGCGCCTACTGTTAGCCACATTTAAGTTAGCAGCAACAACAGCCACGAGAAACAAGAATGCCGTCTGCATGTGTAAGATAAAAGAACGCAAAAAAAAAAAAAAAATTCGAAATTGCATGGATTATGGTGCCCTTTTATGTTTTTATGCACGGCTATTTTTTTTCTGCATGTCCGCCTATTTCGGAGCCGTCTTCTCGCGCATGCCAAGAAAAATTTGAAATGTGTCAATGCCATTCACCGGATATCTCGAATGCATTATCAGACAGAAAATACGGCAGAATGCGGTTGGTAAAAGATCTACAAGTCAATTTTGTTACTATTTTTTCCTATTTTGCAATTTCATCTTTCACGTTTATGTTTACATGCGAGCGATGTTTCGAGCCGGCAAATTACGAGCAGAGGCGCGTCTCCATCCGATTCCATTGTGATTGGGACAGATTAAGACATTTTTTGCCAGAGCAAGAAATGCAATCATTTCTCATGCAAATTAATGTTGTAATTTGTGAATAGAGTAGCTTCTTCAAGCTTCGCCACTGGCGTTATAATGTTGAGTTGGCATATCTGAGTGGCACAGGACATATTTCCTCTTTTGGGTGTGAAGACAATTCTACGCATGGAATTTCAACGGTGGCAAACTTTGAAATTGAGGATCATATCAGTTGTCACTAAAAATATCACCAAAACTTTTTCAAACTGAGAAACACCAAATGAACAGTATTCCTTGACTACTGCACCGACATTATATCAAAGCAGCCGATTCCTGTCTTCCTCATAATTTTTGCAGTAGATGCATTCTGTACGTACATTAAGTAAAGATGAGCAAACTTGCACGCTGTCACATTTCCAATTATAGATATAAACTGACATCCATCGCTTCAGTCGGCTACAAATCGATTATAATTTTTCACGGAAAAAGGCCAACATCCTCTCATAGAAATCTGGCATTCTACTGTTATTAAGAACCAGGAACACCTTTTCAAATATAATCCATATAGTAGTACAGTTTGAAATTGCGGACTAAAAGGTGGACTGATCTGTCATAAAGTTAAGACTTCCTTCGACCCCAAGAGATGATATTCATTGTGATGAAGATTCGGTCGATATTTGGTTTTCGCGTAGTTAGAAATGCAATGAACTGTATTTTTCTAGGACAGATGAGGTGTCTCACCGATGCACAAAAGTATATAACAAAACTAACATATGTGATTAAAGCATCATTAACGCACCAAGAAAGCATGTAATGAAAGCAAAAACACCACCGACGGTTTGGGTGTTTCCTGCAGCCTTAGAAGAAGAGCTGCTGCCTATTTTTGTGCTGTGATTTGTACTTCCTCCAGTTGTAGATGGGGCAGACTTCGAAAGAGTTGAAGAGTCTGTTTCAGTTGCATACGAAGACTCTGTGCTGTTGAAACCGAAATGACTGCCTGTGTTCATCGAGTAAGTTGGGTGAAATGATGTGGAATAGTCTTCCACTCCGTAGCTATCTGTAGTTGTAGTGACCACTACTGAAAAGTACTTTGCTGGAGTGGCCCGAGGAATTCCAGTTGAGATTGTCTCGATAGTTTGTGGTTTGGATTTGGTAGCAGTGCGAGCAATACCAATCTCCTCATTGTCGTAATCCACAACAAGGTACCGGTCTTGGAACAAATACAAAGGGACTCCGACATATTCGTCCTCTTGGCCAAGATCTAATCTGCAAGTCGCAGATTCGTTATAGTAATAGTCGGCGTCAACATACGAATACAACAGCATATTATCATACGTGAAGTACACGAAAGAGGTCACTGGAAACTGAAACTCTTCTCCACTGAAGTAGAAGGAAACATACTCTGTCAGATTCAATATCAGACAGGGCATGTAGCCGTCATCATCCATGCCATAATTCAGTTTGATGTGGTCAAACAAAGTGAAATAGTACTCATCTGGAAGAGACCAGAACCCGGAAATCTCTACTTGAACTGGATTGTAAACCAGGAAGTTTGTGCCTGCCATTCCATCCATGAGCAATGTTGGATGTACAGTGAAATGATCATCCTGAGATTCATCATAGTAGTGTTTGAACTTCACCAAAGGTCCATCGTACTTGCCATGGTCAATTTCGCCAAAAAGGACATCGAAATCGCTATCCACAGTAACAGAAAAGGATCTAGTTACAATGTCCCCGGATGCAAGCAATGAATCTAAAACAGACATACTCATGACATTTGACGATGGTCTGTCATCATACACCAATTGCGTACCAACAAGGCAAAGACCGACATCCACATAATAAGAGAAATTCCCATATGTTTGGAGGGTATAGTTCAGTAGCTCGAATCCATTGAGCCATGCCGTTTCGTTTCCAAACTGTGAACCGTCGATATTAACGTACATAGTATCGGTTGGTATGTCTTTGGGTCTAAGGACGGTTTCATTGTTCGTTGTCTGCATGTGAAATGGAATTCCTAAAAGAGCCGTGTCGAAGCTGAAGGCACTAACGATTGACTTCCGAGGAGAACCAAAAGCAAACCCCAATTGGTCTTGCTGGGTGTTTTCGGAGGAATCCAAAGAACTTCTTTCTTTCAATAGCTGGTGCCTGCTGCGAGCCACATTCAAATGAGCCGCGACAATGGCTACAATAAACCAAAGTGCCGTGCGCATGAGATAGATAAAAAAAAAAAAAAAAAAAAAAGAACGAAACTGCGTGGATTATGGTGCCCTTTTATCTTCTACTGCACGGCTATTTTTTCTGCATGTCCGCCTATTTCGGAGCCGTCTTCTCGCGCATGCCAAGAAAAATATGTACTTGTGTCAATCTCGTTTGCCGAAGTCGAAGATATGATGTTGAGGAAATTGAAGCAACTAGAATGGATAGGTAACTCTGGTTAGGTAGGGTGGATGTTCTGGTAGTCTTGGACGTAGTTATGATATAATGTATGCGAGTGAAGACCCATATCGAATATATACGAACCAAACGCGTGTATATGCAAGTTTGCCTGTCACTTCTTGCTTCAATTGTCTATTTGTGGAGACAGCTGGTATTTTTCTTGGTGAGATTTGGGAATAAAGATTTTTTCAAATGTCCTCTGTATGGACTATCAAGGAAGCTTCTTTTTACACTTGATAAGCGTGTATAATCTGCATTGGCTTTGGACGAATCAGATCTCCTGTATTAAACTGGCACAGGACATATTGCCACTTTAGTATGATGATCGCGTTTCCACAAAGGAACCTCTATTTCTTCTGAAGTGTAGAATTACGATCTGCTATTAATGAATATAGACTAAGCGAGTTTCTGAACTCTTTTATTGAGCTAAACAGTGAAGCATGAATTTCGACCATGGAGAAATTAAAGTCCATCCTGCCGAATTAACTTCCTCTTGTCTTATACCTAGTTGTCTTGGAATCTATGTTAGAGGGCCCCATTGTTTTGTATGTAAATTGCGATACAATTAGTTACGATAATAGCTGCCTTTAGCAGTCTTACTTTTGACCAGAAGTCTTTTTAGCCTGCTTCAAAAATGTGACGATACAGGTCGAGCTTTTCTAGCAATGACTCTGACGCTATTTTCTGCAAAACTGTCGACCAAACGAGACATGTAGATTACACAAAAAACAAAATAAGCCGCCAAGTATTTATCACCTTGACTCAATTTCCATCTTTTTGGTTACCACAAAAATGTCACAGTAGTTCTCACAGAATACGAATTACGGGTTGTCGACAATCAATTCTAAAGATAGAAAAAAAATTACAACAATTCATTTCATCAAAGGTTGCTTGAAGTTCTCGTCGTAATGCTTTTACATGTACGTATTTAGCTGCTATAACTAATTTGTCTGCCACTCTGGGCAGAAACGTCAAAGGTATTATCATTTGAGGGGCAAGATCCATTAAACATAATCATCCTTTTTCCACTCCAAGGCGTCAAACTAACTCCGAAAAAATACACAATTCACCTGATTTTCATTTCAAGGCCCCAATGGTAATTAATAATTCTGGACAGTATTACTTATTTGGTAGATTCACTACTACCGTCATCCCTGCATTCTTATCGGAGCCGCACCGTTTAAATCGCAATCTTATCAACAACATGGGTAACCCAGAACTGGAATTGCCCATCCACTTGGACAAGAAGGAAAAGAAAAAATGGACTTTTGTGTCCTTCTGGCATTTCTTTTACTTTGTGATTTTTGCTCAAACCACTTTCTCACTTTTGAATTACTATCAATGTTTCAAAAGCGAAAAGTCCAACCCAGATTCTCTCTGCCCCATAGTGGAGAAGATCGACCCTTCCAGTTACATGTACGAAAGTGATACAATCAAAACCATCCTTCACAATGAAGACTTCCACAACAGCTCTTTGGAAAAGCTTCTCGGGGCTGTGCGGTATCCGACTCAAATATATGATAAAATGATCAATCCCAACACGGCAGATTCGCTTGAAGATTTGTATAAATTGGAGCCCAGATGGGCCGAGTTTGAGAAATTCCACGGCTACTTGGCCGAAACTTTCCCTTTGGTGCACAAGCACTTGAAACTTGAGAAAATCAACAAGTTTGGGTTGGTCTACACCTGGGAAGGCTCTGAGGCGCTGAAAAAACCAATCATGCTTACGGCCCACTATGATGTTGTACCAGTTCAGCCAGCCACTATAGATCAATGGACTTTTCCGCCTTTTGAAGGTGGTTTTGACGGCAAGTATTTGTATGGCCGTGGAGTTTCCGATTGCAAGAACTTGCTCATTGGGCTTATGGAAACGGTTGAGCTTTTGTTGTCGGAACAGAAGTTTTCGCCCAAAAGAACGATTGTTTTGGCCTTCGGGTACGACGAAGAAGCTGCTGGAACCGGAGCATTTGAAATCAACAAACATCTCGAGGCTAAATATGGCGAAGACTCGTTCTTCCAGATTATCGACGAAGGCAACTCGGGCTATACAGAAGAGAATGGCCAGTTTCTCATTTTGCCAGCCACAGGCGAAAAGGGCCACCTTAACTCCGTCATTGATATTTTCACCCCAGGAGGACATTCCTCTGTTCCGCCAAAACATACATCGATTGGACTTTTGGCAAAATTGATTTCGCTTATTGAGGATCAGGAATTCGAGAGCATTCTTTCCAATGCAAACCCAGTATTGAACCAGTTGCAATGTGTGGCCGAACATTCGACTACCATCGATAAAGATCTCAAGAAAAACATTTTGAAGGCCCATTTGGACAAGAAGGCCAACGCCAAAGTGGTGGAATTCATGGCTCTGAACATTTTTTCAAAGTACTTGGTCACAACGTCTCAAGCAGTGGATATTGTTGAAGGAGGCGTGAAATCCAATGCTTTACCTGAACATGCATCCGTTTTGGTGAACCACCGGATTGCAGTGGAAGAAAGTGTGGCCTCGACGGGAAAGAAGGTGTTGGACCAGATCGTGGACTTTGCAGAAAAGTACGATTTGGGTGTCATTTCCAATGATGCGTTGGTAAGAGAAAAAACACCAAACGGATACATCGACTACAACTTTGTGGAACCGTTGGAGCCGGCGCCATTGACTCCAGTGGGAGATGAAGTTTGGAACGTTTTTGGTGGCTCGTTGCGCTACCTTTACGAAGAGTTGGTTTTCCCAGAGAAAAACGATACGTTTATTTTTGCTCCATTCATCAGCACGGGAAACACCGACACAAAGTCTTACTGGAGCTTAACACGGAACACTTTCAGATATGAGCCGGGTCTTCCTACGCCTAGGGGAAACATACACTCTGTTGATGAAAGATTGAACTTCGATGGCCATTTGCTTATCATTGCCTTCTACTACTACTATTTGCAAGTGGTGGACGGAATTTAGAAACTGTATTGTTTAAGAAGTTGAGTGTACTAAAAAATAGAATGAGACGAGTGTCTAGATAATGTGCTATTGTGAAAATGGATATTATCCAGTATAGCTATTCACGATTGAATAGACTCTTCTGTGAAAGTTTCTGTAAGCTTATCCGGGCTAGCTAAGTCAACTTTAAATATCCTAATTGAATGTACTAATAAACCTTTCGCTTACGAACGTCCAAATGTGAATATTAGAAGTTGTGATATAGTGGACCAAGGAAGACAAAAAAAAAAAAAAAAAAAAAAATAAGAAGATAAAACCGTTTCATTTGTGCTTTCCATTAATACAACGCAGGCAAAACAGATTAAAGCATGACTACTGTTGAGAACTTCTAATCTCTCACAACCTAGTTATATTAACCAAACTATAATGTATTAGTCAAGTCTCTTTCCAAATTCAAACATCATCAGCAAATCCTAAACCCAAAATCGATGATTCTGTATGTCTCATACAATCTCCTACTACTCACTGGCTGCGAAAACCGCCTGCACACAGCGCCTCTTCAAATTTTTCTTCCTCCATCTGTCTTTTTGCCATGCCTACCGAACTCGAAGAGTTAGTGGGTTTTTTGCACTCGCCACAACCTGCCGTTGTCCAAATCGCCCTCGATAACCTAGTGGGCTTTTCCCTGGGCCCGCACCAGCAGGTATTCGCCTACGACAACTATGAGGCGATTAAAGACTTGAAGAAATTGTCCCAGGACACAGGCAAAACCATGGTGAGTCAGTCTGTGACGATCTTGGCCAACTTGTGTGGTGACGAGACCATGCGCCGTTTGATTGTGGAGGATATCAAGTACCTTGAGTTTCTTGTGAATGCGATTATCCGGCCCACCAACATCAACGGCGATTTGATGTGCATTTTGTTGGCCAACATGGCCAAGAGCGACGCCATCACGAAAATATTCAACATCAAGGTCACGCTTCTGGACGAGCAGAAGAAGTTTTTCGCTCTGGAAAACGCCATGGACTGCCTTATGGACTGCTTTGTCAAGGGCTTTGACAGATCGTTGAACAAGTACGCCGACTACGACTACTTGTCGTACTTTTTCGCCGACATTTCCCGCTTCGAGAGCGGCCGCCGCTATTTCATCACCGAACAAGAGTACGACCACGTTGTGCCGATTTCGAAGTTGCTTGTGTTCACAGAAAAGTACGACTCCAAAATCAGACGTGAAGGTGTTGCTTCCACCATCAAAAACTCCTTGTTTGACGTTGACAGCCACGAAAAATTGGTCACCGACGAGAACATCAACCTTTTGCCATATATTCTCTTGCCTGTCGCAGGCCCAGAAGAGTTGGACGAAGACGATATGTTCAACTTGCCAGACGAATTGCAGTTGTTGCCGCCCGACAAGAAAAGAGATCCGGTCGAGTCAATTCTTTGCACACACCTCGAATCGCTTTTATTGTTGTGTTCCACCAGAGCCATGCGTGACTACTTGAGAGAGAAAGCAGTCTATCCTTTGGTTCGTGAACTTCACAAGGCCGCCGATACAGAAGAAGTCACAGCTCTATGTGACAGAGTGGTGCAAATGTTGATGAGAGATGAGGAGAATGGGGAAACTAAGACTGACGCGGACATGGATGTGGATTCGGATGAGGACGACAAAATCGTGGAGATTGTGTAAGTGCATTTAATAGAGCAATATAAGAGGATTATCAATGGCGATCCAGAACTATAGAAGGCGTTTCTTAAATATATATTGTTCACAAACCAGATGTCCCAGTATAGCCAGATGTGGTACTTGGAATTCTTGATCTTTGGAATGAACCATATTTCTATGTGCCTAGGCACTTTCACAAGCAGACTCTCGTGCAAGAAGATCCTTTGAGGTACTTCTAAGAAAGATGCAACAACCTTTTTTTAATAGCGAAAAATGAAAACGAAAAAACTGTCTGTCATGAATCGATATCGAAATAATTATTTATTGAGAAATAATGGAATCAGACAATTCGGCTTCTACGAAAAGTCAGAAAGATTAGCGATGGTATTCAGTTTCATAATACTTTCAGATTGGTTGTCACCACTTGTATGTTATTTTTTCACGACATCAAAGTCCTAGGTGGTTTTGTATTCCACGATTGAGAATGAGGCATTTTAATATCGTGACAAACGTATCCTGATGAGTTTTGGTACTTAGTGAATTAGTGGAAAATAAACTTAATGCCATACTCCACCATAGGCTATTGCCACTACTTTATCGTTTTTGTATTATTCGAGCGGCAAGTATGTTTTGCCCCTATTCATTTGCACACTGTTCCGCTCCTGTGATGTAGATATCACCGGATTTCTTCCTAATGCTCATTTTATTCCTATTGTCAGTCGTCGTACACTTTCGATACTTTATTTTCTCTCTTTATTTTTTTTCTTGTTTTTATATATTTCTGCTTTGTTATCTACGACTTAAGTACGAGCTTTCCATCTACCAACCGAAGGTTCAGTTTCACGATCGTGATTATCCGAAGCTTATTGTCCTTGTGTGCACTGATACGACTCTTGAGTTTCAAAAGTAACTCCTTTGTTGTGAGTGGATTGTTCTTCACGATATCCAACACTTCCGTTGTAGTCACCAACTCGCCATTAGGACCGGGGTTATTCAAATCAGAGGCCTGGCCGTCTGGCACAGGCAGAGCACTAGGTGATTCGATTCTGGGTTTCTTGACACCGGGCGCTTCAAAAGTCTGAGCCCGTTTCTTCGCATTGGGGTTCCATTCACCTTGCGGGAACCCTTGCAAGAACTGCTTTGGCGCCCGGATCACCACATATCCGTTTCCAGCCTTTTTCACGAAAATCGAGCGGCGAAGCGGAAGCGGCTCGACTCCGTCTGTATCTTCGGTCTTTACGGTGATTTCCGGCTCGGACTCGTCTTGACTTTCCAAGTCAGACAGCGACACGTGTGGCAAGAATTCGTCTTCGTTGTCGGAGTCGTACACGCCACCCTCGGTTTTGTTCAACACTTTCTTCAACTTCTTGCCCTCTTTGTCTACTTTCCGGGACTTTTCCACCTCGAACAAGTCGTTGAGGTCGTCGTCGTCATCGTCCACGTCCAGCTGGCCGTCAAAGTGTGCCGCCTTGAGCATCTCCTTCTTGATCTTCTTCTCCAGCAACTTGTTTTCTTCTTCGTCGCCGTCCATAATGGGTGCCTCTTCGTCATCGGCAAATTCCTCGTCAAAATCCAAGTCGTCATGGTCCGAGTCTCGTTCGTTGCCCGCAGACTCGCCTTGCACTGTTTTCATGCGGAAACGGCTGCCGGAAGAACTCAGACTCATAGCCAGAGGAGTGACCGGCGCACCAAACAGGCCATTGCGGCGAAACCGCATGTCGTCCTCGTCCATGTGCTTCATCAACCAACGTGGCGCCGATTGGTTTTTCTCCATTTTCGCCTCGGCCTCTTCCAACGTGAGCGTGGCGTATCTGTTTCTGGGCGTGAACTTGTACACTTTTTCTGCCGGGACCATTTTGAAGCCGTCCTTGTCAAAGACGAAAAGAACATGTGTTGTTTCCGAAGAGCCGGCCTCGTAGCTGCCCACAAACACGTTTTTCCCGTTGTAGTCCTCGAGCACCCACGGATAGTACTCCTCGTACCGGAGCTTTCGCTTTTTCTCGTCCATCATGTGCACCTGCTTCGTTTTCCGCTTGAAAAGGTTGCGCCGGTGTCTTCTGGCGCCGCCGTCGGGGGCAACCTGCGACATGTCGGCCCGCTGGATCGGATTGCCGTCTTCGTCCTCGTAAACCACCTCCTGGGGCTGGTTTTCCGCCGGAATGCCGTTTTTCCGTCTCTTGTCCATCTCCTCCCGCGAGAGATGGAACTGGATGTTCTGCGGATCCTTGCGGTGCAATCTGACTGGCTGCATGAAGTTTTTAAGAATGTCCACGTCCTGTTTTGTTTGGAACCGAATGATGTGGTTGCGTGTATCTTGAAGTTCTGCCTGGGTACACGCTTTCAACGGGATGACGTTCCATTCGCCGCCAGAAGCAGGCCGGGGCGCCGGCGACATTTGCGGCGAGTTTCTGACTCCGTTTTCCGGCTCTTGCTTGACTTCCCGGGGCTGGCTCATGAAGAAGTGGGAGATGAAAGAAGATGTATGCACACTGTGAGAACGATAAAGGAATGAATACAACTAGAGGTTAATATAGCGAATACCAATAAAAACGGGAAACAGAAAGAAGAGCCAACAAACAACTTATAATAATGACCGAAGAAAGAAGGAAAAAAAACAGCAATTCAGTGGCGAAAGTGGCATATATATATTCTTAGTTGTTTCACCGAATCGCACAGATGTATGACCATCTATCCATCGGAATTAACTAGTGTAAATCTCAAAGGCGAAATCACTAGCTAGAATGCTATGGCCCATGTGGTTTTGACTTGAAACTCAGAAGACAAAGGCTCATTCTTTTGGTTTCTAGGCTACTCTGGCTTGACGTATATCACTATGGAATTGAAATGCGGTTGTTAATACAGAGAATCAAATGGTGGTTCCTGTTTTAATCAACAGACAGTATATAACATAACCTGGCATTAGGAGTTGTCTAGGACTTTAGAACACAATGGTTAACCTAGTAGAAGCAGTTCGCATTTATTCGCATCGATCCAAGATGAGTAGCGATCGATGTATGAATGTTCTTCCCAGCTGTAAACCTTTGTGATAGAGCTTCCGGCTTATTCTCAAGGTCGAAAATTTGATGTGAATCTTATTCAGACACCTGTTTCATTTTTGTTCTTATCTGTTCCCCTGTTTTTCGAAATAAACGGCGACTTGATTTGTTGCATCCTCCCAGATCGCTTTGATTAGAAAAAAACGTTTCCTCGGTACTTTCTACTTCTTCTTTCTTTTTTGCCGTCTTCTCTTCTCGTGAAGTTAAGGGCTCCAACGTGTTATGTGGCTTAATGGATCGGTCTGGTTTCCCTGTGAAATACACCAGTGTCATGACTTTTTTTTTTTTTTCGTCTAAATGGTTGTTTTTTGGCTGAGGTAGAGCCTTATATTGTGATGATTGCAATGTCTCATTGATGGGTTCGTTGCACATTAGTTGAAAAAATTGTTCTATATTAATCGTTCTCCTTTTTCCATAATTTCAAAACCTTCTTTTTCTCATTGACCAACTCATATGTCGTACATGCTACCTTGTGTTATGTTTATGTAAATCTCACGAACTTGGACAAGACCAAAGACACTTGAGCATTAGGGGACATGCTATAAAAAGTCGTTTGGAAGTATAGTTAGCAGTTTCTCAAAAGATTAGTAAAGAGAAGCATGAACCAGGGTCAGTTTAAATACCTCTGCCTCGTGCATTATCTGGCCACATTAGGCTACATTTTGGATGCTATAAGCTGTTCTTGTACCTCAACGGTACTACCACCCGGCATGAAAGTTACTTTAGTTTCTTCCAAAAGTAGTTTTGAATGCGTCTGGTTGAGCTTGGTTTGTAAACAATTCTGTGAACAATTCTGTGAACAGAGAAATGCTAGTAGAATAATTACAATTGCATTTGCCGGAAACGTTATATCTAGCAGAAGTGGCTGAACATGTTTGTTGATATCCATCATACATATTTGCGAAGGATGTCACAATTTGCCTATGCTGTAATTTGAAGGCCTAAAATATTTTCAAGAGAGCTTCAGTTTAGATTTCAATGCTTGGTGTGGAAAGAGAATATATATGGCTATGGTCTCCTTTAGTTTTACACGTTCGTTAAATACAGGGATTACCAAATCAGTTCTTAGACTTGGACAATCTTTGATAGACTTGTTAATGAATTGCTGGAACCATGAATCAAATACACTTTCGGAGTGATTGCAAATGGGTAATATTTAGTGCCTAAATTCATACACAGTTATTTTCCACAAGTATCATTAAAAAAGATAAGCGACTTACTAAATTAGAGTAAATTTTAGGCGATCAACCATCTGGTGATCAAATGTGATAAATATGTTCTTAGTATTATTCTTCGGCTTTGACCTCTTGACATCAATGTCACTTTAAGATCCATAAGCTCTCATGAAAAGAACATGCAAAGGATAGTTACATTTGGATCCCACAAAAAGAAAAGGCTATCTTTACAAAGACTGACTTAGATTCAGACAAGAGTACAATCTCGTCAATCTCACATATTAAACTTCTACGACACGGCCACTCAGATTTGCAAAAAATAACAAAAAAAGAGAAAATAAAAAGGAAGAAAAAGATTAAATGGAAGCAGAGAAATATCGAAATATCTAAATAACAGAAGTCGATACGAAATAAAAGAGACCGCCCACTCTGACATTTGCCATGACTAATACCTGCATGCTCCACTATCTACCCCGCGCTTCGCCGGTACCGGCGACATTCTGACGTCTCATCTATCTAGATCTTTCATTGCATCTATTCGTTCTTTTCCTTATCTTCTATTATCTCTTTTCTATTTATCTTCTATTATCCCTCTTCTATTTATTTTCCCTTTAAATTCTCTTTCCTCTTTCCTCTATATCCATGTCCGACGAAAAACACCCGCCAAAGTATCTTGGCTTCATAGCTGGAATGTTTTCCGGAGTGACCAAAAACGCCGTCGGCCATCCGTTTGATACGGTCAAAGTGCGTCTCCAGACATCCGAGGGCCGGTTCAAAGGCCCCATGGACTGTGTTTGGCAGACATTTCGAAGCGAGGGAATTCGAGGTTTCTACAAAGGTTTCACACCTCCATTGGTGGGCTGGGTGCTTATGGATTCGGTGATGCTTGGGTCTCTCCACTTGTACCGCCGTTTGTTGATGGAAAACGTCTACACGGAAGAGAAAAAGCTTCCGTTTGCCGGCCATCTTATTGCCGGTCTTGGAAGTGGATGGACTGTTTCTTTTGTTGCGGCGCCCATCGAACAGTTTAAGGCCCGGCTCCAGGTCCAATACGACGCCAAGTCTCGCATATACTCGGGCCCACTCGACGTGGCGAAAAAGTTGTGGAAGATCTCGCCCCGCACATGGTACGCCGGGCTTTTTGGCACCATGGTGTTCCGCACCAACTTTGTCTTTTGGTGGGGCTCGTACGAGATCTTCACCAACTACTTTGCTGAAAACACTTCCATGTCGCGGCCTGCCATCAACTTCTGGGCCGGCGGGTTGTCGGCCACAGTGTTTTGGATCTTCGCCTATCCTGCTGATGTGGTGAAGCAGGTGATTATGACCGACAGCCCGATCCGGGCAGAGAAAAAGTTTCCTCACTACATCGACGCCGTCAAGTACATTTATAGGGAGCGGGGCTGGCGAGGCTTTACGCGGGGCTTCGGGCCGTCCATCTTGCGGTCTTTCCCGGCCAACGCCGCAGCTTTGGCGGCGTTCGAAGCCGTCATGCGGTTTTTGCATTAGCGATAGATTGGTATAGACAATATTGAAGCATTGGGCTAAGAACATAATTAGAGCTAGATGGGAGGCAGTAATTGCTAATGCTAGTAAGTTGAGATAAGTGAGATGAGTGAGATAGGGAATATAAGTAAGATAAGTGAGTAAGTTGGTAAGTGAGATAAGTTGGTAAGATGAGATAAGTGAGATAAGTTAATATGTGAGATATGTGATATATTGAGAGTAAATGGCAATTACTAAGAGCTAGTGAAGCTAGCGAAACTAGTAGAGAGTGTTGATAGTAAATTGAAAGCTAGTAAGTTGACAGGTCAATAGGCTAGTAGTTGACAAGTCAATAGGCTAGTAGTTGACATAAATAGGTTGATCTAAGAACAACTATTGAGCGAAGGCATAGCGAGATCAAAAGCGGGCGCCTGCGCCATCAGGCTGTGCCCGATGGCTCCTCTTGTGGCTCGGCCTCCGTCTTCTTTTCCCACGGCTTGGTCCGCATCGGCGCCTGCAGCTTCGATTCCTGCCCGCTCAACACCGTGTCTGGAATCTGCTTGATGCCCGGCACGGGCTTGCCCGAAACAATAAGCTCGACCAAGTGCTGGTAGTTGGACGAGTACGGCGTCTCCTGTGGGGCTTCCGGAGCGGCCACGCTGGTCTGGCCGGCATGTTCCAGGCCCAGATGTTCATCGGCCAAAAGCGTAATCTTGCCGCCGTTGTTGCGCTTCCACGCATAGAAATCGTCCAAGTTCAAGATGTGGCCCGTCTGCGAGCAGAAATAAAACAGCTTGGCCTGGTCAACGAGCTGTTGCTTGTCTGCCGGCGGGATTTGGGTGGCATGCGGGTCTTTCTCCTTCAACAGCTCGAGGTGGCCGTCCAAAATTTGGGCAAGGCCCTCCTGGAACTCGGGAAACGTCGCCCAGTCGTAATTGAGAAACTCAAGATACACACGTTCTTGCGGATCGGCCATGCTAGCAGAAGAATGGGTGGTTCTGATAAAGGTAAGACACCCGTGCACCACGGCTTTGGTCAGGGCAGGTCAAGTGGGGCAGTGGCTAGAAGGGCCAGTAGACGAAACTGTCAGCTTCATCGGAGTTCTCCGCGCCTTCTCTTGCCTTTTATCATCGCCAACTGAGTCATCAGCCCGCCCCGACCCTCTTTCGGGACCTTGGGGGCCAGCCCTCTGTGCAGGACAATGCCTTCCCAAAACGGCCCAGCATCACCAGACTCCAACCTCCACTGATGGCATCAACAGCACATGTGCTAATTGCGGGATTCGCGCTCCGAGCGGCGTTTTTCCTCTTTGGTCTCTACCAGGACAGTCACATGACCGTCAAGTACACCGACATTGACTATGTGGTCTTTTCGGACGCCGCCAACTTTGTCTATCAGGGCAAGTCGCCGTACTTGCGCGAAACATACCGTTACACGCCGTTGCTTGCGTGGATGCTTGTTCCTAATGCGTGGGGCGGCATGTGGGTGCATTTTGGCAAGGTCTTGTTTGTCATGTGTGACATTTTGACTGGGGTCTTGATAGCCCGAAACTTGCCTGGAAAAACCGTGGAAAAGCCGGCATTTTTCAACAAAAGAGCCGTTCTCTCGGCCATCTGGGTGCTCAATCCCATGGTCATCACAATCAGCACCCGCGGCTCGTCCGAAAGCGTCTTGACCTTTATCATCATGTTGTCGGTGGATACTCTACTCCGAGACCTGTATACAGAGGCAGCCTTCTGGCTAGGTTTGGCCATCCACTTCAAGATCTATCCGGTGATTTACTTGCCTGCATTCATGTACTATCTTGTGTTGAAGGGCCAGCCTTTTGGGCCACTCAAAAACGTTCCGGTGCTCAAGTGGCTCAATGGCACAAATGTGCGCTTTCTCATTTTGACTCTTTCTTCCGTGGCCTTTTGGAACTGGATCATGTACTCCATTTACGGGCCGGAGTTCTTGTACCACTCGTATTACTACCATCTCACACGCTTGGACCATCGCCACAACTTCTCTGTCTACAACATTTCGTTGTACTATAGCTCTGCTAAAAGCATCTTGACATCTGGCAATGTCGGGTGGGCTGAAGTGGCCCAGGTGTGGACAGACAACATTGAAAAAATAGCGTTTGTGCCTCAGCTTGTCCTCTCGGCAGTTATTCTTCCTTTGCGCTTTGCCCAGTCCAACTTGCTGGCTTGCTTGTTCATGCAGACTTTTGCATTTGTCACGTTCAACAAAGTCATGACCTCGCAGTATTTCGTATGGTTTTTGATCTTCTTGCCTCATTACTTGGCCTCGTCTCGTCTCTGCACCAAAAAACATGCATTACGAGGATTGACCATGCTTTTCTTATGGGTGATCAGCCAAGCATGCTGGCTATACTTTGCATACAAGTTGGAGTTTTTGGGTGAGAGCACCTTTGATTCAGGTCTCCTCTACTCCTCGATTTTCTTTTTCCTTACAAACTGCTGGATGCTAGGCCAATTCATCCAGTGGGTGTAAAGGAAAGGTAAATAAGACCAACTCATACATTCATTTCCTTGGTATGTATAAGCGTACCCAATGCATACTGAGCTAAGACTACTTCTGAAATATTTTTTAAGACTGCTTCTGATGTATTTTTTTTAATAGATCTTTTCTGTGGAATGTTTGACTCAACAGTAAATAAATTGTACAACTTCTGTTTCTTTTCGACCTTTTGAAGCATGATCAATTATCCATGAACAGTAACAACTGTAAGTGTTCAATCTATTACTTACCTTCGAATTATGAGCCATTTGTTGCTTTCACGTGGTCAAGTTCAGTGGGTAAATGATTATCACTCGATATAGTTTTTTGAACTACATTTCTTGACATTTCAAGATCCCATTGTAGAATGGTGACGAGCTAATTTTTCTTATTCGTTATCTTGAATGATAAACTACTTGCAAATTCTGCAAAGTTCATCCTTTCTACTCTTTGAATTTAGGGAGTTTTTATTTGCGATGTAGTTTCCTATTATTTATCAGATTAGAGAGGAAAGATGAGTCTATGAAGAAGAGTGTGGTTTTCATCCGACTTGAAAGAGATTTCCGACATGTTTGGGTCTCTGGAAGAAGGACGAGAAGACAAGGCAATAGCGGAGTAAGACTTTTTGTCTTCGGCCTTTAAAGCTCTTTTCTTCAACTTGGAGTCCATTTTCTTCATTTTCAAGTCCATTTTTTTCATTTTCAAGTCCATTGCCTTCATTTTGAGGTCCATTTTTTTCATCCTCGAGTCCATCTTCTTCTTCTGGTAGTCCAACTTTTCCATTTTCTTTTCTATTTTAGTCTTCGTTATAGGTTTAGCCTGTTCTGGTTCCTTCATCTTTTCTTTCTCTTCCGTTTCCTTCCATTCATCGATCTTAGCAAGGTTCTTTACTGTATTGGGTGAAAGTGCTTGGTTGGAAATAGGAGAGTAGAGAGGTCTCCAGCAGATTAATGACTTCTCTTGAATTATAGTTTTTTTGTTTTCCGTGAATTTATTTGCTGGTTTTACCTCTTTGATTGGCTCGTCTTCGCCAAATCCAATTGCGGAGAATATATTAGTTGAAACCGCAATGTCTGCAAAGTTTTTGGAAATGCTGGGCTTTTCAGCCACATTCCGAATTTCCTTTTTCAAGGAATTTATTTGCCGCCTTCTACCAACGGCAATGAATCCTTCAGAGTCAAGATGCTCTTTGCCCTTGGCCAAATAAATTGGAGAAACCATTTTTACGACGAGAGGGAACGAAAGGGTTGAGATCTGATGTTAAAGCAGGTCAAGATCTAAGAAAGATCTGATTCAGAACCAATAGAGATCTGAAGAATTTGAAGAGGAAAGGAGTGCTTTTGAGATTAGAGATGTTTCACTTCAATATTAGGTGGATCTGTCTTTGGTAAGAAAGAAGAAGCTTATTGAGGTGAAGAAAAAAATACAACTTTGAGGGAAAACGATCTTAATTTATACCTCAGATCGAGATGGTTAGATTTCACTTTTTAGTTATGGAAAGTAAGATTTATGGTCTGCTTGTACCGATTTGGGCCGTAAATTGAAACATTTGTAGTCTGCCGCACATTTTGTGTATGCTGTCATAGTTAAGAATGAGCATACAGAAATATGCATGGAAAACCGCCATACCAAAAACATCAAAAATGACAATGAAAAATTTTAAACAGATAAACAGATTACTGTGGTATTCTTAGTTCTAATCTTGTTTTGGTTTACTTGGGAAACGCTGATTAGGACAATTAAATATTCGTAATTTCTAAGTAATTCTTTCTTCCGAGTAATTCTTTCTTCCAAGAAATTCTTTCTTCCAAGAAATGCTTTTTTCCCACTGAATCTTTCTTCCCATGTTCAGATAAGCCTATTGTTAGAATACGATTCATAGAGGCAATTGCTCAACTAAATTGTGTATCGGGATGCCTTAAGTATGACAGGTCAACCTGGGAACGGTATCTCACTTGTATAAGCCATGGCCGATTACAGATCAGTTTGCCGCATGATACAAGAGATAAGACATTCCCAATTAGACGAGAATACGCCAATACGTTTCTAAGAAGCCTGGCTTCCGTAGTTGGAACCGTTTGATACCTTCGAAGCCGCGAAAGTATTGTTAGACCCCAGCCCAACATATGAACAAAAACACGGAACAGCATAAAATCATTTTTTTCCTCTCTTTTGCCTCTCATCCCTCTTTTCCCTCTCATCCCTCTTTTCCCTCTCATCCCTCTTTTTCCTCTCTTTATTCTCTTCCCTTTTTCTCTTCTTTTCTCTTCATTTTGATCTCCCGGTCTCCTCTCACGTGACCCAACACTGAGATGAGCGCTCTACACCATCTCTAAACCTATCTTCCACATCTATTTTCTTCCATGTCTCGAATGGAACTTTATTCGCCCGAAGGGTTGAGGGTCGACGGCCGGCGATGGAACGAGTTGCGCCGGTTCGAGTGCAAAATCAACACCCATGCCAACTCGGCCGACGGCTCGTCTTACATCGAACAAGGTAACACAAAGGTGATGTGCATGGTCCACGGGCCCAAGGAGCCGCTGTTGCGGTCGCAGAGCAACCAGAACCGAGCGACCATCGAAATCAACTTGAACGTGGCGAGTTTTTCCACGTTGGAGCGGAAAAAGCGCAACCGGACGGAAAAGAGAATGGTGGAGCTCAAAACGACCCTCGAGCGGACTTTCGAACAGAGCATCCTCGCCCACTTGTACCCACGAACATTGATTGAAGTGCACGTGCAAGTGCTAGCGCAGGACGGAGGAATGTTGGCCAGTATCACCAATGCGATAACGTTGGCGCTTGTTGACGCCGGAATCGCCATGTACGACTATGTTTCGGCCGTGAACGTTGCTCTTCACGACCAGACGCCGTTGCTTGACCTCAATACGTTGGAGGAAAACGACATGAGCTGCTTGACCATAGGCGTGGTTGGGAAAAGCGAGAAATTGGCCATGTTACTTTTGGAAGACAAGATGCCGTTGGACCGCTTGGAGGCGGTTTTGGGCATAGCCATTGCTGGCGGCCACAGAATACGAGATTTGATGGACGAGGAGGTCCGGAGACACGGCAACCTGAGACTGGCCAAGCTTACTACATGAGTTCCTAGATAGATAGAATGCAACGTGCGAAGAAAAGGCAAAAAGTTGTAGACGTATGCAAGCACAACATTACAGTGTATGTGCCAGATGTGACGGGTAGCAAAAAAGAGCTGACACGGACAGGAATCGAACCTGCAACCCTTTGATTTGGAATCAAAAGCTCTGCCATTGAGCCACCGCATCTCGCTTAAATGTAGGAACTCATTAGTAGATATGTCCAGTCATGTAAGCTTGAATTTGGTAGGTAAAGATTTCAACTTGGCCGTAAGGTAATTCTCTATAGATGTGACTATGGGTTTTTTAATGCTGATTAACGTTGAATGTATGTCTGTATTGCTAAATCACGAAGGCGTGTGATAGATTTTACTCATTACACAATCTACTTTTGTGACGGTTCAGTTTCCGTACTCAAGTATCCCAATGCAGCTAAATGATGTTTTTTTACGTACAACTAATGGAAAGTTTTGATACGAAGACTTCACTATTTTTGCACAGGCAATATACTGAAAACCGTACCAAGCAGATAATATGGATTGTATAATTCAACCTTTCTCAACCATAAGGTAACTAAGGATACCAGATAGCTTTGCATTTCTATCGAATATTCGCTGGTGAAATTTGTTCTGGGTCTGAATTCTTCAGTCATGTAGTTTGGAGCATTCTCGTGCTCACATAAAATGGACTACTGGTACAGCAATATTTTGGCATGTGTTATTGTAATAGTATTAAAACCATCAGTGGATCTCTCTTTTTGACAAAGAGAGGACATATTGATTCGTGAATATTTTGTCATATGACCATTCGATTGTCCTTGTCTGAATAATGAACTTTCTGCAGAGCCAGGAATTCAAATACCAAAATTAATCCAAGCTGGCTCAAGTGTGCCTATTTCCCTATACCTCAGTAAAAGGAAATTCTGATTGACTCTGTTGTGGACGAACAGAACTGTTGACTGCAATACAAGTTGAGGTTATACTTTTTTGCCGAGAATTAAAAGAAACTCAAAGGTGGGAAAAGTTACAGAAAAATGTAGTATTAATGCCCACAGGCCACCAACATTTAAACATGAAAGTATTCACATTCTAACTCATTTACGAGTTCTTATTTTCATCAAGCAGTTTCCAAGAGTAATAAAGCCATTTGCGCTTGAGGAATGCAAACAAGAACTATATTTCAATGACATTAGCAATACAATTTATCTAACCATCGAATTCACAGCTTGAAAATAGCGGTACTTTGTAATTTCTACCGCAAGTAAATACTATTGCATGTTTTCACCCAAAACGGCAATTTAGCCTCTGATTCTGAGGGGATGAAACCTGACAAAATTACGTGGCCAAAACATACGATTACTTTAGTTTGGCCCTCAAAGTGTTTCCTTTACACTTTCGTAGACGTCTTTAAGTTCTAGTCTCCTGTAGATTCTGAAGCAACCGCCTAATTAGTGAAACGTGGAGATACACGGGTCACGTGCAACAGCAAAGTGGAACGGTAGAGAAAAGAGACAGAAGACGCCAATTTCATCCACTGCATTTGGTGCAAGCTCTGACTTTAGATCTGTGAGGTTGTAACCCTGTATTTGCTTCCCATTTCCTCTTATCCTCCTTCTTTCTCATCCCAGAAGTGCCATTTCTCTATAGTTTCAGATTCAGCGCCTGCATACAGCGCAGATCTCCACGTATGCGAAATCCACCGTACCGCTTTCAGCAGAAATCTCTAGTCTGCTGAGTTTTTCCAACCCGAGATATTTCTTTGTTCTTAAGAAGCCGTGGCGACCAGAAGAGCAAGTAAATTCACGAACAAGGACTAGTTTTACTTCCATTGACTCCCCTGCCGACATTGACGTGATAAATGTCGTACCGTGGCCCCAACCAGTTCAACAACCAGTTCAATTCTCCTCTTGGGAGAGAACCTTCGGCCCGAATGGGCCCGATCTCGTCGCAGCCGGGCGGCTTTGCCAAAGTTGAGTCGTTCACGAAAAAAGCCGAGGATTTTCTCGACGAGTACTTTAGCCCTTTGAAACCATACGTGCCTGCTATCGGGCGTTTGTTTATTGTGGCCACCTTCTACGAAGATGCGCTTCGTATCTTCTCGCAGTGGACAGATCAGGTCTACTATTTGCATGTCTACCGCCGATTCTGGAAGTGGCTTACTGTGGTGTTTTTGTTTGTCAATGTTTTGATGATGCTAGTGGCGTCGACGCTTTTGGTGTTGAGACGCTACCTGACCTTCTCCACCGTCACCTTGTGCTTGGTTGTGTTCTTCCAAGGCGTTTTCTACGGATTGATTTTCGACTCGGAGTTTCTTTTGCGCAACTTGTCTGTCATGGGCGGATTGATTCTTGCGTACTCTGACACTCTTGTGAGAGAAAAGAGATCGTTGCCAGGCTTGCCCATGCTTGGTGGCCAGGACAACAAGAAGTACTTTTTGTTGGCGGGCCGTTTGTTGTTGATCTTTTTGTTTTTGGGTTTCGTCTTCTCGGCCAACTGGTCTTTTGCCCGTGTGGTTGTCATTCTCATTGGTTTGGTGGCATGCACTTCCATTGTTGTGGGATACAAAACCAAGTTTGCTGCCGCCGTTTTGACCGTCTTGTTGTTCACCTACAATGTGTTTGTCAACCAGTTTTGGAAGTACCTGGCTTTCAACGCCAACAGAGACTTTTTGAAGTACGAGTTTTTCCAAACCATGTCGATTGTGGGCGGGCTTTTGATCATTGTCAACGCCGGCGCAGGAGCCTTGTCGATCGACGAGAAGAAGAAGATCTACTAAACCGACGAGAGTGATAAAATGATAAGGTGATGGTCAGAGGTGACTTAATGTGAAGGCATTCACAGAAATATATGAGAACATAGTAATACGTTGGAGAAGAACAGAAGAACTGCGATCGGTAGAGCCGGATCGACCTGCTAATACTTCATCCAATTCATGTAGGTGTGTTGAAATAAAGTCCTGCAATACTTGCTAGATTAATGGTTTAGAGGGTTGGTTTGTAGGATTCGATTCTGCTGGAGACCAGAATTTTCGTATATTGGACATTTTCGTATCTTTGCCGTCATCGTAGTATTCAATTGTGAGATCTCATACTCTTTGCCATATTCGCATTATTATGGCGCTCGCACAGCAAATCACAGAAGACCTATTCTAAGCACTACACAAAGACGAAACTTCACCATAAAATAACAAAGAAATAGATTTTTAACATACTTCCACCTTCTTCTTCTCTCCTCTACCTGTAACAGACCCCAAAACAGCCACTGATAAACCACTTTGGATGGCTGGACCCGTACACCAGGCCCATTACTAGAGCTCCAGGAATACTTCTCAAGACATCATGTCGCAAGATAAGTGCCCGGTAGACCACACGCAAAGAGCAGCGTGGATGGAGAAAATGGCGCAGCCCGCTGAAACGGCCGCAGAAAAGTGTCCCGTGGACCATCTGGCTCGGGCCAAGTGGCTTTCCAGCGTTTCAGTCACAGCACAAGCGCCAGAAGCGATAGAAACCCCGACAGAGGGGTGTGATTCGGCCAAGCTCGCCCAAGAGCCCGTGTACTCCACTTCGGCGCCTCTACCTACGGAGCGGGAGATCAGCTCGATCCCACGGACAGACACACGCAGCCACTGGGTGTATCCGCTGCAGAAGCAGTTTTACGAGGCGATGAAGAGGAAAAACTGGAACCCGGAGGCGGCAGACATGCAGACGGTGGTGCCGATCCACAACCAGGTGAACGAGCTTGCGTGGCGCCACATCATGTTCTGGGAGCAGGCGCATCTTGCTGCGGCGGAACAGAAATGTGGCGGGATCTCGTTGACGTCGTTCAAGGGCGACTCGAAGAAGTTGACGCCGCGGGCGTGGTTCCGTCTGACTGTTTTGGGCGAGGAAAAGCCCTTCGACCGGCACGATTGGGTCGTGGACCGGTGCGGTGTGGAGGTTCCGTACGTGATTGATTTCTACAGTTCGGGCGAAAAGGGTGTGACGGTGGACGTGCGCCCCAAATTGTCGTCGTGGGAAGGCGTCAAGTTGCGGGTGGGCCGTGCTTTGGGCTGGGCATGATGTACATAGTAGCCAATACATGAGAATGAGAGAATGAGAGGAGAGAGAGAGAGAAGAGAAAGAGAGAAGAGAGAGAAGATTAAGGGACGAGGAAGAAGAAGTAAACGACGAGTTATTGAGAGAAGCGGCAGTGGATACAGTCTGATTCTGCCAGATTTGTGTACCACATTGACGTTAGCCTTGCATGGCTATAGACCTCATCGAAAGGTCCATCAAATTCAAAGCAGTAGATGCCACTACAGTAGTTGACAGTATGGAACAGTATATTTACTTGACCATGGCTCTCGCCTGTGTATTTACTTGACTCTCGCCTGTCTACATCCACTCAGCTTACTGTGTATTCAGATAAATATATGTACAAACTCCTACTGTCTACCCATGAACTGGCCGGACTGGCCCAACTTTTGCATGTTCTCGCCCACTTGGACGTTGGTTTCAAAGTATTTGGACACACATCTGTCCAAGCAAAGAGCCTCCTGCTTGTTGACGTCGCCTTCGGCGTAAGACTTGTTGATGCATTTGGCGTGGCATTGCTCAACAAGCGAGTTGAACATTCCCGTGACCATGTCCAACTCGGCCTCGGCCGATTGGATCTTTTGTTGCGAGGAAACTTGAGGGGCACCGCCTAATCCGAACATATTGGTAGTATGGGAAGGGCAAAAGTTCGCTTGCGGTTGATGAAAATTTTGCGGGCCGTGGTGCACGGATGCGACCCCACAATATGGAGTCGGTGAAGTACCATCAAGATGAATTTGAAATAAAGATGAAGGATGAATAAAGAGGAAAAAAGATGTGAAGTACGATAAATAAAAATGAATAAAGATGATGAATAAAACGGTAACATTATATTGATTAAGTCGCAAAAGTATCTGGATGGATACCTCCAAAATTCGCAGTCTTGTCTGGATCGATAAAGGCTAGAAACGTAAAAAGTTTCTATCAAATAAAAAAAAATGGAAGATTCGCTCAAGCGAGCTTAATGTTCTTACTGTCAACAGCAGAGCCTTAGATCTACATGGTGTGCCGGAGAACATCCGAAGGCATAGATAAGACACCTTTGTAATTCTCCATGGAGCACTTCCAACTATTACTCTCATCAAACATACATTAGCGTTTCTTCAACTCATTAGCGAGGTATCATTAGCACATCGTAACACATCATAGATTCTCAAGACTTCAAACATTGGCGTATCTCCTTACATGTTTGGGAATGTCAAGTGGGTGTGGCCACCAAGCAAAACAGTGGTGGCATTCAAATGCTTCGAGATCTTGCCAAAGTCCTCTTTTTTCTCTGGCACAAACTCAACAATGCCATGGCAAATGGTGATTTGCTTTCCCACGAGCGAAAATGCTCCCCCGTGAAAACTCGTTCTTGTGTTCCGCATAAAGTCATTGCCCATAAGTATCTCCATGGCCTGTGGTGTCACACACTCAGAGAGGTCGTAGAAAAAGCGGCTGAATTTCCAACGCTGCGACCGCACGTTGAGCACAGGGATCCGTAGCAAGTTCAGGTTTGTGCTGGAAAACAGAAACTTGGAGATCCGCGAAACATCAAACTTATTGCTCGTGTATGGGGTCTTGTCAAAGTGACGCAAGTAATCGTTCTGGAAACCGCCAAGGAAAAATACGTAGTCAGTCCCGTCTTCTGAATATATGTGAGCACGGTGGTGGCAACTGCGGAAATCTGCTTCAACAAGCTCGGGAGCCTTCACCTGGTTTTCCAATTGGAGATCCTCCGTTTTCTCGTCTTCGTATGGCTGCTTTGGGATATTGTAGTAATCAAATACATATGTCAGCATCGTATCCCATTTTCCTGTCGCAAATGAGTACATGTATAGTTCGTTGAATACTTCATGCTGGTCGTTCACTCCGCCGTGTACCATAAGGCACTTATTCTCAAAAAATGACTCGCCACCTAGCGATTGTGTTGATAACGGTGCAGACTTCTCACTCACAATGTCAGCAGCAGGCTTGGCACCCCATGGGTCAGACAGCTTTTCCATCCATATGTCCGATTTCTCTGCCAATATGTCAGATAATCGATCTCCCGACTCCAGAGTCAGCGCCAGCGCCAGGTCGTCCAGATACCTGTCAGCCACTATGTCACATGTTTCGCTTGGAGAATAAGCGTCTAAAAGAATAGAAGCGAAGAATCCACGAGGGCTAGGCCACAAATCATTTGCGCCCAGAGATATTTCAAGCACCAATGCCTCAGAGTGGAAATTGTTTCCGTTGAGAAGCAACTCGATCTTCAATAACTCATTTGTCAGTGTGAAATGTGGTCTGCCATCCTCGTCCTCAGCATATTTAAACCCTCCAAACTGGTAGACGGTAATAGACACCACGTCAGGTTTCACCGGAGTAGTATCACCCATTTCGCGATCGATGAAGGTTCTCTCGCCGAAAACTTGGTTTTTCTCCGCCTGCTCCTTCTGAGACTGGCGCAAGCGCCGTGGCGCAGGAATGGCCAATGCTGGGACAGACAGCATCGAAGAAGCAGAGTCGCTGTCACCCTTGTCGCTGCCGGTACGGTCGCTGCTTCCTGTATTGGTCCGCAGTGGAGGTACAACAGGTGATTTGCGCAGCATTTGCGGCGATCCAGGTCGACTGAGGGGACTTTGGCCCGGAACAGTGCGGTTATGTTTCACTTGATTGGAGTATGAGCTTTGAATGGGCAGTGGCAGCGGCATCTGTTTGCCCGACATGCTACGATCACGATGGAAAATACGAGTAGACTTATGGAGCATGGAAGTCATTTTCAGCGCCGACAACGGAGGCGAGGATTTTGTGTCTGGCCGTCGCTGGTCAGGCGACACGCGGGGACGGGCAGGGCTATCTTTTTCCTGGCGAACGGGCTTTGGTTTTTCTTTGTCGTCTGGTTTGGAGGTACTGTCCTTGGCCGCTTTGCCGTTGTCTATTCTATCGGACTTTTCATTTTTCTCCGTTTTGTCGTCTTTATCAGACTTTTCTGATCTCTGCGGGCTCGGCGGTTTTTCAGTCCTCTCGGACTTGTCGACTTTTGGAGTTTCAATGCTGTCAATACTGTCCGTCTTGACAGTGGTGTCAAACTTGATAGTCTTGTCGATCTTTATAGTCCTGTCGCTCTTGTCTATCTTTTCAGTTCTGTCAGTTGTATCGATCTTGTCAACTTTTCCTGGCTTTTCACCTTTGCCATTTTTAGCCACTTTGTCGCTTTTTCTAGACTTTTCTCTATCGCTTTCTCTGTCCTTTTCGATCTCTAGCTCTTCCATCTCATCCCCGGGCCACACAGGAGAGCTAATGCCTCTCGAATGAGGAGAACCCACTTGCAGCGGATGTTCTTCGAAACTGTTGGATACCAACGCGCTGCCCAAGCGGCCCACATATCGGAGAGCCAGCTTTGACCGGATATCCACACGAGTAAAGCGAAGCGTGCGCCCATCCATGATGTAGCCGTGGTCGTTGACCACGATTTTCTTCTCGACGATCCAGCGGTCGACGTCTTCGTTATGGGACACCGAGACGACTTTGGCCTCGAAGCCGCCACACCAAAACACTTCGTGCGGCGAAACTTGCGTGCCGGTAGCCTGAAGCAAGTGGCCCGGAAACACGTCGCCAAAGCCTTCTCGGCCATACTCTTGCACCGTGCCGCGTGTCGGGTTGAACAAAATGAAAGACGGGTTGGGATACATCATGGGAGACATGAGTACTTCCTTATTGACGAAGGGAGGCAAGTCGCCGCTCAAATGGACAGAGATGCGCAGCAAGTCAGTCGAGCGGGGAATGCCAAGAAGCCGCAAGTTCGCCGATGGGTCCACGCGTAAGCCTCCAAACATGTGCGTTACTTCGCCCAACTCGAAATGCGCCTGGTAGCAGTACTGCTGCATGCCGGCAGGAAGGGGTCCCTCCGGGGCGGCTGTAGAAAAGGACGGGACGTGGTAGAGCCCGGAAAACGGCGACGCATCGTGGTCCTTTTTGAAGTCTCCCGCGTGCTTGGACACAAAGTGGTCCAGCTGGCGAGACTCGACCGACGACAGTCGCGTGGTGGGCCGCTGCGCCACGGGCGCCATGGCAATGTGCGGCGAGAAGTTGATTTCGCCCAGGTTGCCGTTGATCCAGCCGTTTCTTGAGGACGAGCGGAAAACCGAGTATTGGATCACCGAGTGGATGTTTCCCGGGCCATGAAGCCAGTCTTGTGTGTGCAGCTGCACAAACTGCCGCTCGCGCTCCGTTTGTTTCTGGAGCTTGTAGAACTCCTGGTATTCTGCGGTGGCCATGGGCGGATAGCGGAAACAGAGGGAGGGAGCGCTATCGGGCCAGTTCGAAAACAAGAATTGGCTGCTGCAGGAGGCAGATTGGTTGTAGAAGACTCAGCTGTGGTGGTGCTGTATGTGAAAGACTGGGCTGTGTATGAAAACGTGGCTGTATTCGGAGACTTGGCTGTGTTTGAAACTCCGTCAGTAGAAGGAAACTGGTATACGGATGGGAGCGCTTGGATCTGAGGCCAGGTGCAGGAGAGATAACGGCGTGATAAAGAAGGCCAAAGACTTTCAGAAGAAGAAAGTGGGGGAGAAAAGTAATAGGAGGAGACTATGTTGGCGAGAAAAAGATGGAAACGTTGTGTTTGTTTCTTGTTTCCTGGTCCACTCTCCGTTTTTCCCATCTCTGAAAAATGCGAGAATAAGTGCTGGTACAGGTGGTTGTTAGGAAGACATGCATACGGTGATGATTACAAGTGGAAAAACCCTTCAACAACAAGAGGAATTCGTATCTGAAAGTGACGGCTTTAGCGGCTTCGAGAAATGTTCTGGACGTTTTTTTGACTAACCTTATTTCTCGATTATGCATGTGCGAGTATGAACAATGGGCACGTCATCCAACGGTTCTGGGGTAAAATGCCAGATCTGGAAATGACGACAGTGTAAGAAAGTGAATGTATAGTTAACTGAATTAAGGGTCACGTATACCTCAAGCCAAGCTGACGAATGCATGTATGTTCATAATTAGACCAGCCTCTTTTTTCTTCCCATACCTAATCTAATTAGACCAGCCTTTATTTATTCCCATACCTAATCTAATTAGACCAGCCTCTTTTTTATTCCCATAATCTAATCAGACTTCAGCCTATTCATACCTAATCAATCAAATCAGACTCTGTGTCTTCGGCTTTCCCCCTTTTTCCACCAGCTGTAGTACGTACTCACATATGGCAATAGTCCACGGTTGTATCCATACATGGCCACGCCTTCCATCACAATTGTGCCCATCAAAAAGACGAGTGTGACACACCCAAAACATATAAGCGAGGTTCGTCCGGGAAAGTAGTTTCCGGGCGTCAATGCCACATTGTACGCCGAGGTGTATTTTGTGAAAAGACGTACCATTTTGAACAAAACATAGACCGAGCCAGCAACAAAAAAGAGAACCGTGGTGGCAGAAAGTAAAACCAATTCTCTGGTGGCGGCAAAGTCGCTGGCCACAAGAACAACAACAGTCAAGGGGAGCATGCAGCATGTAAGAACAAACTCCACCGAACGCTTATCTGAAACCATAATGACTAGAAACTGAACCGTGAACCCAACAAAGAAAAAAAAATCAAACACAAGCAAGCATCGGTGGAGCTGGAAATACGAGTAGAGACGTTTGATTTCCACACTGGCACCGGTTTTTTTGAAATTGCACCACCGAAGATGTTTGCGGAGCACAAAATAAACCAATCCACTTTGAACCACAAGTGTCGTGGCCAATACGCATATGGCTGCTATGTTGGCCACCATTGTAGCTGCTTCCCAAGGTGCAGAGAGGTGCAAATGGATCCGGGAAGAAACCTCCTTGTACTGGATCCCCGTATACATAAGCATGCTGGCGTAGAAGAGACAAAGCACAGCTAAAAGAGTAATGTTTTCCGACCAAAGAGCCACGACAACAACCACGGTCTGATAAATGCCAGCGAAAATGAAAAGGGCCAAGAAAATCGACATTTCAAGATATCGCTTGTCGTCCGAGAAACTCTCTCGATGAACATTGATGAGCCCAAACAAAAATGCTTCTAGAGCAGTGACGAAAAAGGCAGAGAGAATGGCCACCACCAAGAAAATCCGCAGACCTAGTCGCCGTGTTCCATCACTGTTGAAGAAAGAACTGTTTTCTGAACAAGAACTCACAGATTCAGCAGGAAAAAGAGCCGATTGGCTAATCTCGGTGTCTGAATCCTTCTCCCCTGCTGGTTGCCAGTGGGAATTGACAGAGAAGGTGCTTCGGTCTGTAGAACATCTGTGACAAGTCGAGATTGGGCTAACTGAGCCAACTGGACTTCCAGCTGCACCAACTGGACTTCCAGCTGAGAATTCGTCTGAGCTTTCACCTGAACTTTGGGGCCAGAGCGACATAAAGAATACTTCAAGAGCAATTGAGCAAAACCATACGCGTGAGGCCAAGGGCTACAAGGTTGGCTTATATGTCGAATATTCCCATGTCAAACAATCGATAGACGGCATAAAGAATTGAGTCGCAGAAGTTGTTCCAGAGAATATTGAGAACTCACTAATAATTTTCCTTCTTCTTAGTCTTGTGTGAACTAATCGAAGTAATGGAGAAATTGTAGTCGACAGATATGGATTGAGACAATTGATAAAAAGAAAATGATTAAATAATCTGGGCTAATCTTTAACAGAGTAGAGTAATTGAGTATAAATTCCTGTGTTCATCCATTCGGATAGGCCATGAAAGTATTGGTGCTTCCTATTCAAGACTCTCATGAAGATAAGTAAACTGGTATCGTAACAATTACCAAGCTTAACTGGGATTGAAATCAAAATCACCGTATTTGATGAATTTTTAATAGCTTAAAATTCCAAGCAGATGCTTGATGAGATAAGTTAATCCATGAGGATATTAGTGTCTATTAATTTTATGTACACATGTGGCATTCGATGCATTGTGGTTGCCAGAGCTGGAACCCGTGGTACTTTTATCTCGGAAGCCCAGCGTAGTCGGCTGGATTTCCCTCTATCAACCCTTCTGCTTCCTCTGCCAAGTCCAACCACGTCACAGGCAAACTTTTCGCCGCTTCCAGAAACTCCTGGAGCTTCTGCTCTTCCACTAGCAAACACACGGCATCGTATCCACCTGCGCCGGGAACTACGCCGCCCAAACAGCCAGGAAGTTCTGTGCACTGGTCTAAAAGGACAGTTTGCTCGGGTGGTTCGACTTCTGCCCCCAGAGACGCCGTGAGCTGTTGCAAACCGGCTCTGATGCGTCCCAAAGCTGCTGCCACTGGCTGCACGTTGCGTTCAAAGTTCTCCCAGTACGCTTTTTCGCCGTCCCTATACTGCAGGTGAAGGTGTTCCAATGCTGCCACAAAGCTGTTGTTTGCAGCATCCAAACTCGAATAGACGCCAGCGCTGGCCGCGTCCAGAGAACGCCACGAGAGCACTTTCGCCACAAGCCTTGGCGTTTCGGAACCGCCGTTCACGTCTCCCATAATCAAGCGGATTCCCGCAGGCAAAGCGCATGCAATGTGGTCAAAGTTCCACGTGGCATCGGCACACTGTCTAATGAGGTTGGGGAACACGGAATCGTCTGCTTCAAGCAATGGAGCAATTGTCGACGGAGGGAAACGGCGGTAAACAATGGAGCCGAAAACGGCAGCCGCCACGTCAAAGCCCGACCCGACTTTGCCCTGCGCTGCGCAGTGGGCCACCTGGGCCACGTTGTGCACAACCTCACGGAGCTCTGCCAAGGGGCGGCCCGTTAGGCGGGCAAGCAACGCCGCCGTCACCACGGTCACCAAGCCAGCCAGCAGGCCCATGCCTGTTTTGGGCACGTGCTCGACGGGGGCAGTGTGGTACAAAAACGTTTTTTTGCAGCCGTCCAGCGTGTGTCGCGTGGTGTTTTCTTGGGTGTGGTAGCCGGGGTCCGAGAACAAAGTGATGGTAGCGGAGAATGGCGCAGATGGCGCCGCGTACGCCACAGCACAGCGGATTGCCGACGCCAAGAACGGATTGTTTTGATTCTGGCTCTCGCGCACGTGGCACCCTTCAATGAGGTACTCCCATTTGCCGCCAAACTGAGGAGACGAGATCGACACGCGAGAGATGTCTGAAACGGTCGAGTCTTCAATGACCGCGTGCATTCGACTGGAAAGTGCCGTCACGTAAGCATTGTATGCCGGGTCTAGAACGAGATATCCTCCAGCCACAAGCGCTTTTCCCGGCGCGCTGAAAACTTGGGCCATAGAAAGAATGTAGTATGTAGTTGGATGTTGATGCGCGCTACACAGTGGAGAAAGATGTACTCAAGATGTACTGGAAAGATGTACTTAAAGATGTACTAAAGATATACTTGAAAGATGTACTAAAGATGTACTTTTATACGGCTTTCGGTCTTAGCATTCACTCTTGATACTTTATATTCCGATGGTTGGCTTTTTGCTACTTATGTTCTGGATCGTTTGCGTAAGGATGGGAAGGATGAGTTATGTCCATAGAAGTACGCAAACTAAGAAACGAAACAAGAATGCTTCATGATGACAATATCAAATAGAGATGTTTTATTGGTTTCTATAAGTTTGGCGGAAAGAAAAAGCTCATTTTGCTTGATTTGGCTAAATTAGAATTGAGTTGTCACAGCGTAGAGCCTGTAAATTGTGAAATGTTTCGAAGAAAAAAAAATGGCTAAAGTTGATTCTCTCTTTCAGTAAGATAATATTCATATCATGAAGGAGGTAGTTTAAGTTTTCGACAGTAGGCATAACGGATCTATCTAGTTAATCTTTCGCTAATTACCTATTCAGTTAAGGACTGTTAATGCATCTCCGTTGAATCTGTGGAACACAAGATAGCCTTTTACGAATATTCCCAACCAAAAATTCGGACTAAAGTACAATTCAACCGACCTCCCTTTTTCTATACGAATGGCTTTTTCTTTGGTGAGAATGACAAATCTTGCCAGACCAAGATACGCGAATGTGTGCGATATAGCGCACAAAATCTCAACCATACTGGTCGGATCAGTCCATTTCCATTGTGTTCAGTCTATTGCCGTCTCCTATACTGATTAACTTCGACTTTTGATCTTCGATTTTTGAGCTTCAACTATTGAACATTCACCGATTGAACATTCACCGATTGAACTTTCACCTTCTTTCGAAACCCAATTCTCCGACCTTCAACTTCTTATTTCTCACTTCTGAGCGTAATTGTGATCTCAGCCTGACCCGTTCCTCTCCCTCATGTCCGTCATTGGTATCATCGGCCTCGGCGACATGGGCGCCATGTACGCCGAGCGTTTTTCTGCCGCCGGTTGGACCGTTGTTGGCCTGGATCGAGAAGACAAGTACTCGGAAACATGCAAGCGTTTTGAGAAGTCCAACGTCAAGGTATTGCCCACGGGCCATCACGTGTCGCGTGTGGCGGACTACATCATCTACAGTGTCGAAGCAGAGAACATTGGCAAGATTGTGCAAGCGTACGGCCCCCTGACAAAAGTGGGTGCTGTTGTGGGCGGCCAAACACTGTGCAAACAGCCGGAAATAGCCGCCTTTGAAGCCTACTTGCCACAGGACGTCGACATTGTGTCTGTCCATTCGCTCCATGGGCCCAAAGTTGATCCCACGGGCCAGCCGCTCGTGTTGGTGCGGCATCGGGCCTCGGACGCCAACTTTGGTCTTGTCCAGCGGGTGGTGGCGTGTTTGCAGTCGAAAGTGGTTGAGCTTTCGGCAGAAGAACACGACCGGATCACCGCAGACACACAAGCCGTGACTCATGCGGCATTTCTCTCCATGGGCCTGGCTTGGAGACAAAGCAACCAGTATCCATGGGAAACGCCACGATGGATTGGAGGAATGGAAAACGCCAAGATCAACATCCTGCTTCGCATCTACGCCAACAAGTGGCACGTTTATGCCGGTCTAGCCATCACCAATCCAGCAGCCCACAGCCAGGTGCTCCAGTACGCACAGCTGGCCACCGATCTTTTCACGTTGATGATCCAGGGCCGCCGCGACGAGCTCGAACTGCGGCTCCAAACAGCAAAGAAGTACGTTTTCGCCTCCAGACCGGGCCGTCTATTGCTAGACGACGCATTGCTCGAGCGCTTTTCTTTGAGCAAAGAGCCTCCCGGATGCGCCCAGCCCAACTCGCATCTCCTGCTTTTGGCCATTGTCGATAGCTGGCACCGTTTGGGCATAGTGCCGTATGACCATATGATTTGCTCAACACCGCTATTCCGGATTTTCTTGGGTGTGACGGAGTATTTGTTCTGCACGCCCGGACTTTTGGAGAAGTGTGTGGACGTGGCACTTTCCGACACCGCTTTCCGCCACGACGATCTCGAGTTCACGTTCGCTGCTCGTCTGTGGGCGGACATCATAGCACGAGGCGATTACCGGTTGTACCAGCAGAAGTTCGAGGAAACACAGCGGTTCTTTGCGCCTAAATTTGCCGAGGCCAACGCCATTGGAAACGAGATGATCAAAACAATCTTGCTGCGTGTGGAGTAACTTTTTGGTCAGATTTCTTGAAACCGGAAGATTGGTCAGTACCGCAGGTTTGCAGTCATAAATGTTGCTGTCAGTCTGTACAGGGTTATTGACTGTGGTTTCGTAGAAAAGGCATTCTTTCCATTAATGCAAAGATCTCATTCATAAAAATACCTGTTTGTAATCGTTGTGATACTAAACGGTTCTGTAAAGCTTCTGTATAGGTTGAAAAAGTCACAGGTCACAGAAATGTCAAGCACTTGTCGTCCTGAGTAGCGACAGCTATTCTTCCTTGTTAATTACAATTACATTGTGCGCCGAACTATGAGGTATGTTTTCAGTTTCCATCACCTGTCATAGGTCACTCTATCAAGCAAAGATCTTACAGTGAATCACAACGTAGATCTCTGATTCGTCGATATACTAGATTTCAAATTGAATATGAAATTAAATTTCGGCAAGTAATTGATAAGACTTCCCCGATCCGTGAACATCAGCACAAAAGAAATGACAGAAATCAATTTAAGCTGAGGTAAATGCGTAAGCACAATTCGATTGCCTCGATGAGACGTCAAGTATTGCATTCTACTTGCTTTTTTCATTACTGCTGCTTGTAATAAAAGTTGTTAGGATTTAGAGACTGAAATTAGATCTTGCAATAGTTTGCTAGGGAAAAGGAATTGTCATGCTGCTGCTGACTTTCAATGCAAAACTGGCCATTTGACCCAACCTACGTACTACGGCGTATCGCCTACTTGTACGCTACAAATACACCAGAATTCATCACAATTACCAATATAGGTTTCGAGTTACGTCGCTTGTCAGCTATATCTATCTGTTTCTTACACAATGCTAGGCTCTGGGCCATCACCTATTAGTTACAGTCTGCTTGTTCAAATAGCAATGCAGCGATCCTAGACTAGATTATCACCAGATGTCCCAACACTAGTCAGCCTGTATGCGTTTCTGTTATGAGAGAGGCAGCTCATGTGGCAGCCCGTGTGGCAGCTCATGTCGCTCACAACTGCTCGTCCTTGATCACATCCATCAACCAGTCCAAACCCTCGGTCAAACCTTCGCCGCGGATGGCACTGGACGCCACAATACTCCAGGACCGATCCTTCAAGTCCGTTAGACTGAGCGCCTGCGACACCTCAGCCGCCGTCAAGGCGCCCGGCTGGTCCTGCTTGTTGGCAAACACCAAGAGTGCGCTATCTAGCAACTCTTCTTCTTTCAACATGGTATGGAGCTCTTTGCCAGCAATGTCGATTCTCTCCTTATCGGTGGAGTCGACAACGAAAATCACCGCGGCGGTGTTGGAGTAGTAGCATCGCCAGTAGGGCCGGATCGACGTCTGGCCGCCCAAGTCCCAGATGTTCAACGTCAAGTTTTTGTACTTCAACGTCTCCACGTTGAAGCCAATGGTGGGTTTTGTGGTCACCACTTCGCCCATTTGCAAACGGTACAAAATCGTGGTTTTCCCGGCACCATCCAAGCCCAAAATGAGAATGCGGATTTCCTTTTGCACCCCCCAGAGCTTGGAGAAGATGTTGGCGAAGCTGAAAGTTTGGCCCATGGTGGGTTTCAAAGGCGCATGCTTGGCTTTTACTAAGGTGGAGACGGTGACAGGTTGGTGCGGGCACGACCCTGCCAAAGGACGCTGATTTGAAAACTTGGAGGATTATGGGGTCCTGGGGGAATGGAAGGTAGTAAGGGCTATCGGTGTCTGTCTTTTGTGTGCCGTGTTTTGTGTGCCGTGTTTTTTGTGCCGTGTTTTGTTTGTTTTCTGCTTTTTGTCAAGGTTAGGCCAACTCCACCATTTAATGCGCGAACATACAAGAGATAAGTAATTTATTCTAGTCAACGAGATGAATTGGAAAAATACGCAAGAAGATCAGTTTCCAAAGACTTCAGTTTCGGATTGCGGATTTTCCGTTTGGATGGCATAAATGGACGAACACGTCTCTGACAGCACATTAAAGGACTGCCTTTGTCGTCTGATTGTCAAAGCAAATGATTACCAATTAAACGGAAGGCTGAATAATTCACCTAAAAGCTGACAGAAGGTGATGCTTCGCTCATCTTTGGTGTCAGTGATCGTTAAGCTACATGGAGTCAACTGTACTCTCATTGCTTGAAGACAATGTAGATCACGTAGCCAATGTCAAAGATGGGTATTTCATATTTAAGTCTCTTTTAATCGGGCCTCTGACCAATGGCAAAGAGGTTGGTAAAAAATGAGTTTCGCGATGACCTTAAGATTCACCAGTAGTACACTTGGATGAGAAACTCTAGAATGTGAGACGATTTGCCGAAATTACAATTAAGTACTTCCAGGCGAAGATCTGTCTAATTGCGATTACGTACTCCAGGTGAAGATCTGTCTCATTGGCAGTACCAGCTGCTTGAAATTTGCCTCTTGCACAGTCAGTTCCTCTAGATATTTTGTCAATCATCTAGACAAGTCTACTCATAAGGCAAGTCTATTAATCCAGGTCTTCATCTTCGTCTATTCATCTAGGTCTATTCATCTTCGTCTATTCATCTGGGCAAGTCTATTAGTCTAGGTCTATTCATCTAGGCAAGTATTCTTAAATAATTCAAGTCTAATCTCATCTATCATCTGTCTTTTCATCTCAATGCAAACATTCTGTCCATCCTCCTACATCAATCCACTCGAATCCTGTCTAATCCGTTCCAGATTCGCATCTCCACAATTTGCATTCTAGACGAATAATAAATTAGTACTGCGATCCTTTGCATATTCTGTCCCGTATCTCTACGACTCTCGATGCCTATCCTCATCCAGAATTAATATTTATGCCATTCGTCTTTACCATTTACCATTCTTGCCATTCGTGTCTTTATCCATTTTGCATCCTCGCCATGTTGCGTATTTTCTTGGTCTGGGTCACGCGGCGGTACGGGTGCAGCTATCACCAGTCTCGCACCAACCCCACATAGTGGCACATTTTCTTTCCAGCGCTTAATCCCAACATGGAACCAAGAGGCATTTTAAGAAATAAACAAGAGGGCCAGCATTCTCCCCACGAAACAACACAGGGCGAGCTAGATCGCCAGGAAGTGATCCGCAACACAAGATACAATGCCCACCTCAAGTCGGAAAGTGCCCAAGGCGATAAGATCCGGGCGCAATTGGCCGAGGCCAAGCACGACGAGAAGCTTCCAGACCACTTGAAGTGGGACGAGATCAACTTGTACAAAACGGAGATGGAAAAGGCGGCGACCATGAAAATCGACGAGCCGAAAACCCCTTATGAGGGAGGCTTCAACCCCGAGGGCGAATACTACCAGGAGGACGACGAGACGATTCCAGACTTCACTTTGGGCGAGTCGCAGCCCCAGGACGAGGTTGTGGACCAGTCTTTGAACGGAGGCGAGCTTGTGAAGGACGAAGAGCAAGAAGAAGAACCAGAGGAAGAAGAGGAGGAGGAACAGCCGTTGCTGGCCGAGGAGAGACACCGCCGTTTCGAGGAAATGAGGAAAAAACACTACCATCATGCGGCAGCGCCTCTCAAGCACAGTGTTGACGTTGATGACGAATGAGTCCATAGTTTAGATTACGGATCGTGTCGGATAATGATTACGGATCGTGTCGAATAGTTTACTCGCATATAGATTACTTATTGGTTTGATATTTGTATTGTCGGGATGGTGAATGGTTTATTGCTATCATTGTTTCGAAACACTGAAGATGTACTTGTTCGATTCGATGTGGTATATTTCAAGAGTCTCGAAATAATAATACACCAGTCTTCTTTCTTGAATGTAGTAACTCGTCCTTTCGGATGCATTTTGTTGATCCACTTCATTAACTGGGTTTGCTGTTCTGATCTACATTGAGAGAAGTGGCAAATGAATAATTTGAGAGGTGGCCAATGAATAATCGAAAAAGTGGCAAATTAGTATGTAGAGACGTGGCAAATGAATGTTCCAGTATTACTTTTCGTTTATTTTAGCACTATCTTGGGCAGATCATCAACTGGATAACAAGAAACATCCAAGACAGAAATAAATAACCAGTTACATTGACACCGCACCATGCATAGTCCATAGATACTAAACGTGAATTCACGTCGAAGAATAAATTAAAGACTGTCTACTTGAGGGATAAAGCAATTTATTGCTTGTTTCTCTTCACTCGTTTCTCTTCTCTCATGTTCATGGTATGATAAATTACTTACCCATGTTAGCTTTAGATCTTAAAAGTTCATGTCATTCTTTTCTTTTCAGTTTCAGCACCAGGCAAACTCGGTCTTCTCTATTCTATTCTGTATTTGACTTTAATAAGTAGAAAGAACGATTATCGTTATGGATAAAATTATTGATGAAATCTAGAGACATTAGTGGATGTTTCTTCGCTAACCTTGCTCCATGATCGGAAGACCAACATATATGTATGAATTGTTGATATCTGTTTTACTACCTTACAACCTGTTCAGCCGAAATTGTGACATCGCTAACAAAAAAAGAAGTACTAAGGAATAAATTTGTTCATAGCTACTTTTCGTGCTACTTTAGTAGCTATATGACACACCATTGAGGTTATGACAGTACTTTCAACTAAGATGTTTAAAGAGGAGTATCACCAAATCCGTTCTTTCATTATGACTAAGCTTAGACCAGCTAATCCATACAACATTCAGTAAGTTGTCTGATGCACCGCATGTGCCAGAGTTATTAAGACAATGTTGAAAGGGAATAACATTCACGAGAATGAGTTCTAGAAGCAATGGAGTGAAGGAAATTCAAATCTCATCGAGCCCTCTCTTCTAAATGAGTTACCATACTCTCCTATCCAGACGGTTGGTCTACAGATGAAAGCTGAGATTCTATATGATCACTGTCTGTTGACTTAAACAGAGACTTACTCTGCGATAAATTTAAAACCGATCAAGATGGCCAGACTTATGGAGAGGAGTTCCCATTAAAAAAGATGATTTAGTGTTTTTACTTTTCCTCTTTATGACTACTGTTTTTGTCGCTCTATTCTCTTGAAAAATACATCAAAATCTTTCTTGATCGTTAATCTATTATCCATGGAGAAAAATTGAAGTCCTTCCCAATGAGAATTTTCAAACAAGAATTTGAAAAGCCAATGCTCAATTGCTAATCTAATGTGAAACTCTTTTTCAATTGAAAAGCCAATGCTCCATTGCTAATCTAATGTTAAACTCTTTTTCACCGTTGATCAATGGAGAAGTTCCCGAATCGATCCCGGGTCATCGAGTATGGGAATAGTCTGTAGTTGCTCTTGTTTGGCACTTGTCTATCAGACCTACCTTCTACTTCTCACCTAGTTTGTCGCATCTATTCTAAAGACCTAGACAAAGTACTTGAAGTACGAAGCCTTGTAGCCTCCGGCAACCAACTCAGACACCGCATTGGCCAAAGCAGCCTTGGCCTCGGCAGCATCACCAGCCACCTTCGAAGCCACGTCCGCCAACTGCACATCGTCCAACTTCTCAAGCAACAACTCGATGTCGGCGTCGATGTCGGCCGAACGGGCCTCGTCGCCAAAGTAGGCCTTGTCCTTGGCCGCACCACGAACAGCACGCTTGTTCTTCTTCTTAGCAGACTTGGCAGCCTCCTTGGCCTTCTTGGCGTTGGCCTTTTGCGCCGCTTCTTCTTCGGCGGCCTTCTTGGCCGCTTCTTCTTCAGCTGCCTTCTTGGCCGCAGCCTCTTCGGCGGCCTTTCTGGAACCAGCCTCTCTCTCCCACTTCTGTCTCTCCTTCTCCTTCTTGGCCTCCTCCTTGAACTTGCGGATTCTAGGGTCCTCGGCCTGCGCACGCAGAACCATCTCGATGATGCGCTTGTTGTCTTCGACCTTCAACTTCTTTCTGTTGGAGATGTTCTTACGCTCGATGTAACGCTTGTGGTCTCTGTTGGCGGTGTCGTCTGGAACGTCCTCGTCCTTGAACTCAAAGGTCTTCCACGAGTCGAAGGCGCCCCAGAACTTGTAGAAGGCATCCACCTCTTCCTTGGAGGCATCAGCATTGCCCAAAGATGGAACAGGCTGCTTCTTGGAGAAGTGCGCCTCGGACTCGAAAACAGGGCCCCACGCTTCGAAGAAGTCGTACTCGGACTTTGGAGCTGGAGGAGCCACAACGGCGTTTTCATCCACAGAGTCGTACTGCAATCTCTTGGTCTTGTCCAACATGGTCTCGAAGGCCTTCTGGATGATCTTGAAGAAGCCGTCCTGGTCCAAGCCGCCGGCAGCAGACTTCTTGTCTGGGTGGTGCTTCAACACCTGCTTTCTGTGGGCTCTTCTGATCTGGTCCTCGGTGGCCTTCCATCTCAAGTGGGAAAGTCCCAACACAGCATACAAGTCGGCAGATTTCCACTCTCTTGGGTCGTGGGCCAACAACTCGGCCGACTGTTCTTCGTCGCCCAAGTCTTCGTCTTCGTTGGTTTCGATCTGCTTGACGTTTTTCTCCGCCTCCAACTTCTCAAACTCAGACCAGGTGTGGCCTCTCAAGGTTCTGGTGGCATGCGCCAAAAAGTATCTGCCGACCGGTTCAATAGGACGGCGGACTGGAGCAGAGTATGGCTTGACAGATTCAAAAGCAGGCGTCTTTGGGCCTTGCAAAGCGGGTAACACGATAGACATGGTGAAGATGAGAAAGAAAAAAGAGAAATGAGAAATGAAAAATAAAAAATGTAGTGAGAAAAGTGTACAGGAGACAGAAAAATGACAGATGGGTTAGTGACAAAACGACGATTTGTAGAACAGGTGGAACCTCAAACTAAGAGCCTTAAAGGCGCTTTACGAAGAAGGGCTTCAGGTTTTAGCAGAAGCTGATTTAGACAAGTTGAAAGCGATCGATCAATATGTCTATGTTGGAAATAAGTATGAGGAAGCAGTGAAAAAGTATATTGAGGAAAACAAACTGCTCAATAACGTGAACGTGAACCTTGAGGACATGGAAGAAAAATCCAAAATGAAACAAGACTCAAGAATGACCAAACGACGATTTGTAGAACATGTGAAAAGCTCAAACTAATAGCCTCATGTGATTAATATGGGTCTATGAAAGGACGAAGTTATGGAGTTGCAGATTCTATGGATGTTAGCAACACACAATGCTTGGAAGAATTTTCTCATTCAACTGTACGCTGTGAAGATGTCTTTACGAAGTCAATGGCGTACATAAAGTACGAAGATCATAATAATGAAGAAGAACAAGGCGCATTGAAGCTATGAAAAGCAGTCGGAATCTTGCCTCACCTTTTTTTATTTGGCTCTTCTGGTTAAGCTTTTTTCAAACTTACTTGCACTGTTCAATTGATTCCGTTTCTCTTTCAATTGATTCTCTTGGTCTTTTATTCTCTGAATTTAGTATACCTCTGTCCTGTTCTCGAATGTAGAACGTTTTCTACCTTTAATTGGCAATTAATTCACTTTATTGAATTATACAAGCAGATTTCGTATTTAGTTCGTTCAATTATCCTCCTCATTGCTTCGGTGTACCATTCAAAAAGGGGAGAAATGAAATGTTTAGCGAGGATGAGAAACGAAAAGAAAGAGAAACATACCATTCAACAAAAGAAAAGAAATGTTTAAAAGCGAGGATGAGAAACGAAAAGAAAGAGAAACATGTATAATTGTTCTTACTTTATACGTCACCGGTGCTTGCATAGTGGGTATGTAAATAAAGATCGTGACACAGCAAGAGTCATCTATGATATCCTGAGGCAAGAACCCAAGGTGAAAAGCAACTCTGGCACTCTGACGACTTGTGGACAACACCCGAAGTGCTGGGTGCAGAAGCCCTTTCGTGTTCAACAACTGAACCGCAGTTCCGTCATTCACACTTTCGCCGGATAGACTTGAGTAATGTAACTCATCTAATCAATGATGCCATAGCTTCGAAAGTGATCAGCTTAAAAAATGCCGGCCCTTGACCAGACGGCATAGCTCGCCTTTATGCATTGAGTAATGTCTGCGCTCATTCTTGCACCGCTGCCATATCCAACACCTCAACTGAACCCTCTCCCTTCTTCACCTGGCCACTCTCGCCCAGCAAAATATCCACAATGTTCTTGTAGTTGGAAGGATCAATGATCGCCACAGCCTCAAACAACTTGGGCCCTGCGTTTTCCAGTTCCACTTTATCAAGTAGTGGCACGATATGCTGAGTGTATGCATCATGGACCCTGGCCAACACTGTGATTTTCACTTTCATCTGTGCTCGCGCAATGGGGATGACCTGTTTGGCTATCAATAGCTTGATGGCATCTAGTGCTTGCGTCTTTGTCGGCTTGTTGGGATTCAAATGGAATTTCAATTGACCCAACGCCTTTTGGATCATGCTGGGTGGATATCTTTTCTTCGACCGGGGATTAAGGCACTTTGTAGAGATCAAATTGAGAAACTCGTTTTGTTTCTGTTGCAAGTTGGCACTGCGTTCTTTTTCGTTGAGCTGGATCTCGCCCTTGTCCAAGATCTCAAGAATAATCTCATCTTGGTTTGTCGTTCCGAAGGCTGTCATCAAATCGTCATTGTTGGCTCCTTGGCCCTTTGAAACATTGGTGAATACTTGTGGAATTTGAAGAACCTCGTCAAGATCTTTCTCCACCTTCAGTCTCCAATCTTGGACTTTATTCTGGTAACAGGCAATCTCAAACCGCTTTTTGCCTTTCTTCATGCGGACAAGTGACACATTGGTCAATTTGATTTGGCCCGAAGGCTGGTTGATGACGGCCATAGCTTATCTTCTCGGGAGTTAAGAGAATGTATAACTTTATAGAGAAGTTGATGTGAGTCTTGCACAAGATGCTCATCATAAATAATGATAGTGAGAGGACTGCAGATGAGAGAATACCAGACTACCTCTACCAACACATAAACTATCATATTGAAATCAATCTGAAAACAAACTACTGCTGCGAGTATATCACCTTGAAAGTGGCGATCTCAAAACCACGCAAAGTTATTTTGACTGAGTTGTCCTGCAACTCAAGCTCCTTCTCACGCTCTTCCAAGGCATTGGCTCTAAACACCTTGTGCACCTTACCCTTAAATTTGAGCGTGCCGCTAGCCAGACCTCCTAAACTTTCGTAGACACGGATTACCGCACTTGTTTCTTTTAATGCCGCAAAATTGTCGTATATAGGCACGCCGTCCGGACACAAAATGCTGCTGTCATCCTCGCCTCTTTTTATAGTGGACAACACCAAGGACTCGTCACCTGATAAAGTGATGGAATCCGTAACGGCATTCACATCCTTCAATGAACCATGCGCACCCAAAAGGTTATAATTGAAGTTGTGTGCCAACTTGACCACGTCAGGCCCCAAATTGCCTTGATGTGGATAAAGGGCGTACGAAAAGTCGTGACTACCCATGTCGGCCTTATCGTCCGGTGCTTTGGCAGAACGAAGAAGCGACAATCTCATCAAGTTGCCGTGGATGGAAGCACCGTACTTGGCATTATTCAATACAGAAACTCCGTAGTTGAATTCAGACAAGTCCATGAACTTATGGTGGCACACTTCAAACTTAGCGACATCCCAAGTGGTGTTATAGTGGGTTGGACGCTGAGTGATACCAAATTGTGTCTCGTACAGCGCAAATTGTGCGGTTTGATACACGTTGGGAACTGAACCTTCAAGAATTTGTAAAACTCGTGCCATTCCACATGACACGAGAACTTCAAAAAGTTGTTTTGAGGCACATGGCTTGCGTCAGTTAAGCCCTGCAATGAAATCGTCGTCTCAATGCTTGACTTCTCGGAAATGGTGTGTTTAACTACCAATTTGGATTCCAATGGGTGATCCGTAACCGAGACAACTTCACCTCCAGTGAGGAATGAAAACTTGTTGAGCGAGTATACTTCGGTATCCCAAGCAGGGAAGTTTAATGGCTCGTCATCAAAAAGAACAAATTGGTTACCCCGGCCCGTAGTCTGTTTTGTTTCGGTAGGATCAATGATTTCTCTGCCAGTGCTCAAATCAATGAGGGAAGAAATAGTACCATCAGACAAAATCTCTGCTTGAAGAAGCTTATTGGACAAGATAAACGAGTCCTTCTTCTTTGTCAAAGACGCTGGATACTTGATATCTTCTTTGCGAAGGAACAGACCTGTCTCTGTAGCATAGCCTAAGATTCTTTGGTCGTCACTCTCGATACACAAAACAGAGTCGTCTAACTGAGAAACATCTTGTTTAGGTAACTTAACCAACTCAACTCTTTGCCATGGCAACGTGTTCACAGCAACAAAATCACCACTTGCTGCTCCAACATGCTCTAACGCGTCTTTAATGAGTTCATCTAACTTTTTAAGGGCTCTTGTCAACATCGGCTTGACTTCATCGTAATAAACCATGCCAATACATGATCCAGGCAATACATCGTGGAACTGGCACAACGCAATGTCTTCCCAGAGACTTTGGATATCTTTGGTAGGATATTTGTACTTGTGGTTTCCTATTGAGAGATGAGTAGCAAGTAATTCCAAATCATGCATCTTAATTTCACATAATCTCATCCACTTCTTAACATCAGCCTGTGTTGTATAAGTTCCTCTGTGAAACTCCAAGTAGATTTCGCCGGTCCATGTTGGAAGCGTGCTGCCCTGTTCAGACTTCTCTAGCACTTCATCATAAAAGTCCTCAACTGTATTTCCAACATGCACAGTAGGGATAGCTGCCAGTGTGTTCGACAAGCCTCTGCATCTTCTTAACTTTTCCAACATTTCTTCTGAGGGACCTCCACCTCCATCACCATGTCCATAAAGCAATAAGCCGGTGGGAACATCTCTCAAATTCTTATGTTGATGCAGAGATCTAACAACATCACCGAAATTTGCAGACGCTGTGTAAGTATTCGCAGGAGGCATATGAACTAACACCTGTGAACCGTCAATTGCTTTCCAATTGAAAGTTGAAAGCGGAAATTGGTTGATGTTATTCCATGAAAGCTTCTGTGTCAAGAATTTCTCAATTCCAACAGCTTGGCAAATTTGAGGAATTTGAGATGAATAGCCAAACGTGTCTGGTAACCAAAAGATAGTAGCGTATGTGCCAAACTCAGAGACCATAGAACGTTGACCCAATAAGAATTGTCTTATCAAGGATTCACCACCCGGCATGTTTGTGTCATTTTCGACCCAACTTCCTCCAATAGGCAAAAACTGATTTGTTGAAAATTTCTCTTTGATTTTCTTCAAGATTTCTGGATGGTCTTGTTTGAGCCACTTGAACTGCTGCATTTGCGAAGCGACAAAGACATACTCTGGGTACTCATCTGCCAACTTCAACTGGGTAGTCCATGAGCGGACGATTTTTCTTCTTGTCTCAGCAAAGGGCCAGAGCCAGGCAGTATCAATATGACAATTTCCTACTGCAGACACATCAACTTTGTTCAATGGGTTCTTGTGATAGACTTCGTCCGAATCGATATCTGGACCCAAATATGACTTGGCAAGCTCTCTGCACTTTTTGATAGATTTTCTGTCATTGGGATTGAATGTGTCCATAATTTTCGTTGCAACTGATGCTGCCTGGTACTTTTGGGGTCCCCCTCCCAATTCCCTGGCAGCATCACCAATAATCCAAAAGTCCCAGAACAACTTGCGAGCCTCAACGTCTGGCAAAACCAAATCACATCTATTCAAGCGAAAGTAGCGGTTTGGATCTGGGTTACCTCCGTCACCGTTGCCAAACATACCATTACAGGCGATTTCCAAGTAGAAAAGTTGTTTCCCTGCCTTCTTAAACTTTTCAGGCAAGATGAAAAGGTTCCGTTCACCACCAGTAAATGCCTGAAGCGGCATTCCTTTTGAGTCGTAAATCAATCCCTCGTTGCTACAGTCCCAGTCAAAGTCAATTTCGCCCTTGTCCAACCAATGAGAAGGAATCTCCCACTCTATCTTGAACCAGAACGTCTTCCATGAGGGTCCAAAATTGTCGCCCTTCTTGGCGTCCTTCCACTCAATTGCGTCAAAATCAATGTCACGAAAAAGAGGACGAGCAGTTTTCCCGTCCTTGTCTGGTACGGCCCAGACTTTGAGGCTGATGGCGTCAGAGGACGAGTCAACCCGCTCGTAATCATAAAACTTGGGCAAGTTTAGTTCTCTGTACCGGCCGCCATCGGTGAATTGCCGTAAACGGTCGAGAAAAAGATTGTCTATAGGCTTGAGCACAGGCTGTAAGTTGAATTGACTGTAACTCATGTCTGTAGAAAGAAAAGAAAACGTGGGGTTCCTAGCTGGAGTTGCAGACTAAGGGGATGCGCGCTGGCAGCACGAGACCGTGTGGGGAAAAAGAGACAAATGTCGCACCTTTGAGGCACTCCACGACATTGCTTACGATTTTACAATTGTCGCTTGTTTTTGGCTTTTCTTTGGATGCGCAAAGCGCTCTATTTATACTTGGCCACTTTTCGATTGTCATGCTTCCTTTTGGGAGAACTGAATTGCAGCCACTTAGGTGCAGGACCAGATAAGGAAAAAAAACATCCATACACCACAGGATATCTACCTCTACAGTTCAGCAGGATACCAGAAATGTGTAGTCACTAAATACTACACAGGCGATCTAAATTTTGGACGCTCAATTGGATAAGACAAAGGAAAACGAAAAGTCCCCATGTGTGTCTAAAGATGCTTCAACGAAATGTCTCTCCAACGAGAAGCGACTGATGGTAACCCGCCATCTATTGGATCTTGACCTCCTTGTTGGCTTCAACGCTCAACACAGAAGGCTCCTTCTCGATGGTTTCGGCGTGAACAAGAGGCAACTCGGCGACAAAACCTTTGATCAAGGCGAATTCATCGACGATTTTTCCTCCGATGGAGGAGATTTGTTTCTTGACAGCAGAAAGATCAGCGTCGGAGGCAGTGTCCTTTAAAGTAACAATGAAAGATTTGTGTTCGGTCATGGGAAAAGAAGAGTAGTAGTGGTGAAGGCAAGAATGTCGCCACACTGTTATAAGATAGCAGGGGCGTACAGGAAAGCAACCTGGGGTTTGTGAGGTCACGTGTATCTTTTTCTCCTATCGCAACATCACAAGGACATCATACAAGAGCCACCATCGACTTTGCTGGACTGACACTTGCCCAATTCCTGATCTAACCGTGCAGAACAGAGCTGTTGATATCTCATTGCCGACATTGACACTTCTCATATTCCGACATTGACTTTTCTCATTTCTCATATTCCGACATTGACGCCGCATTATCTGCCGACATTGACTCCATCCCAAACTGACATCAACATGGCTTACTACCACTATTTCACGCCCCTTGACCGTATTCTCAACAAAATCCGCCGCCATGGCTTTTTCCTATACATAGCCATTGTGTTTGGTGCCGTCGGTTGGACATTTTACGACATGCACCGGATCTCCCGCAGTCTCAAGAAAAAGCCATAACCACCTCAGTACTGGGGTATAAAAGGGACGCCAATCCTAGGAAAATTAAAAGGTCACTGGCAACAAAAGAAGAAAGCGAATTTCTGGGCTAAAGTGAAAACAATTATGAAGCACCAAGTCCAATGATGATTGCAATACAATGAAATGATTGCAATACTATGCAATGATTATACTATGAAACAACTGCAATATTGCAATACAATGAAATGGTGAAACGCCAATTCAAGAAGCGGCTAAGATCACAAAAGGATCTTGTAGTTAACAAAACGACTTCAGAAATATTTTAGCCGCCTGTTGCAAAAATTGTGAAAGCTGCAAACATCAAGCTGGGGTTGAGGTGCGACATATGCGACATTACGCTTGTGCCGCTGCAATGCTACGTCACCGCCAAACGACACGCGCGAAATGAAACACATGGAAGGGCGGGAGGCACGGGTGTGCTCTCCGAGCCCCGGCCCGTCTTCTGGAACAGTTGCGGCCAATTGCTGAGTCAGCCCGCCAACGAGGAGCGGCGCCTGCACACAGACCCGGATACTCGCAGTATATAGAGGCCACAGTGGCCAGCCCCCGCTTTCCTACCACAACATTATTCATTCAAAAATGGTCAAAGCAGGTATGTTGGAACTTTCAAGCGGTCAATTGAGGTGGACCGTTGTTGGCAAGCTCAAAACCCATTGCTTGCATCGAAGCTGTCAAACTGCGGCTGAGCAATTTATTCTGCTGAGCAATTTATTCTTCCCCATATGGTACTAACTTTGCAGTTGCTGTTCTTAGAGGAGACAAGTCCGTTGCCGGTACGGTTACTTTCGAGCAAGAGTCCGAGTCCACTCCAACCACTATCAGCTGGAACATCACCGGTAACTCTCCCAATGCCTTGAGAGGTTTCCACATCCACACCTTTGGTGACAACACCAACGGTTGCACTTCGGCTGGTCCTCACTTCAACCCATTTGGCAAGACTCACGGTGCCCCAGAAGACGACAACAGACACGTTGGCGACTTGGGTAACATCACCACCGACTCTGAGGGTGTCGCCAAGGGCACCAAGCAGGACATTTTGATCAAGTTGCTCGGTGAAAACTCCATTGTTGGCAGATCTGTTGTTGTCCATGACGGCACTGACGACTTGGGCAAGGGTGGCCACGCCGACTCTTTGAAGACCGGTAACGCCGGTGGCAGACCTGCTTGCGGTGTCATTGGTTTGACCGAGTAATCGGCTTCCACGTATGATTTATGCACGAGTGTTTTAATTGGTCTGTAGATTGAGTGTGAAAAGTAGAACTGTGATAAGATGAGCAAATACAGTATGTAATACTTAACTTTCCAATATTAGCCAATCGGCGCAAGGCCATTGTGTTAACACTTTATTCATCAATATACTCAATTCAATATTTACTAGTTATTCGTAGAGATTGTTTTTGTAACTCTACTCTCTTATGATGGATTACATCGTGCATTGATTAGGGTATTATTTTATCTCGCTTCATTTTGATCTAGCTTCCATTTGATCTCGCTTCATTTTGATCTAGCTCCTACTTTGGAATGTACCACACATGCTTAGGACAAGTGCTGTTGGTCAACGAGTTCACAGGCATGTACTCGCCCTCCAACACGTTACCCTTGACGTGGTGGTAGTACCAGATTTCAGAAATGGAGTTGTTCTGGCATCCGACGTAAACATCCATACCTTGATGGTTAGCGGCCAAGGCAGCCTGGACATCCAGCAAAGCGTATTGGCCTTCAGTTGTAGGCACAATTCCAGCACCTTGCAAGAAGGCGTACGTTGGCAAGTCATTCCATACCTCAATGACCTTCTGGTAGTATGCCACGGCGTTCTGGTGGCGGGTGTAGTTGCCAGTGAAACAGGATGGAGCCAAGGTGTTGAAACAGGTTCCATGCTTGTTGAACTCATGTTCCCAGAGACTAGCGGATCCACCACCTTGCACATTAGACTTGTCGTTGTTGATCCAGAATTTCTCCATAACATCAAGCAAGTCACGTCTACCAAATTCGTTGACAAGGAGATCTGCAATGCTCTCCGAGTCGGCAATCTCCAAGTCTGGGTTACAGAATTGGTGGTACGAGCCGTCACACAAGTCGTCCCAGAGACCGTGGATCGTGAACACCTGGCTCACATCATCGTTGTCGGCAGACTTCACAGAGTCAAGACAAACTTGGTCCGAGCCTGCCTTTTTCTTGTTAGGTCTGAGAAGAGTAGGGTTGCCGGCACAAGAGCTGTTAGCTTCGGCAAGGGCGGTGGTGTTAAAGTCCCAGAATTGCGTCTGCATGATGATTCCAAAGTTTTCGTAGCAGCACGAAGTGTTGGAAACAGCCGATGGCGCTTCACATGAGAAGTACTGAGCCTCGCTTGCTGCCGCACAAGATTCGACACCATAAGGTGCAAGATCAAGTCCAGCAACTGGTTGATACGAGCGCTGAGTGTTCAAGAAGGCAATTGGACCAGCGAAAACTGGGGCTGCAGCCACTAGCGACAAGAGGGTTTGCGAGAGCATTGATGATACAATGGCTAAAGATGTGGCAGAGGTTGATGTTTTATCATGAATCTGATTCCTTTCGCATACCACGTGCAAACAAAACGTGCTTCAAGCCATTGGCCTGTGAGGCTTCAACCATCGACAATTTCTGCCCATTCCGGCTGAAGTTCTCGTAAATTATGACGGACAGCCGTTTATGCAGACGAGCTGCAGGATAAGGCACGTGTTGAAACTTAATCAGAGTGGAGTTCCTGTGAAGAAGGAGAAAGAAGCTGCAGGGCATCGTTATGAAATTGCCCCAATGTGGGTGCGTTAGATCCCAATACATTTCGATGCGAGGTCATACGAAGACTTCATGCGGTAATACGAGTTTTTGATTCCGCGGAAGACGAAATTGGTGCCATCCAATAACTCATGCATAACCACTTCCTTGGGGAGTTATTATGCCGCCGCTAAGCAGAAGCCCCTTTTTCATCACAGCAATTTCATATGCATCGTCATCATGTTTATTGAGAACAAGCTGAACTTCTTCGTCAATGTAGCATGGCAGGCTGTTGCGATACGAAAAGCGTTGTATTCGAAGGTCTGGAAGCTTAGTGGCCGCATAATGGAGCATCACCAGCACTAGAAGCGGGCCAGAAACCACAACATCTCGCAAGTTCTCCGATGCACAGTACAGACGGTCATAATGTATTTTGTGCAAGTTGTATGAGAGTGCACTGAAACGCATTACATCCAGGAGCCGGAAAGTACAGGATGTGGAGTCCTGTACGCCATCTGAGACATTCGGGTTTTGATGGACTTCTTGTTTAAGTGTCGGCTGAAACGCTTCGTTGGTGTACATTATAGTTCGTTGTTCGGTCATAACTGGGCTGTCCTTGCATGTGAATGACCGCATGATGGTGACGAAAACACTACTTCCCACGGTTCGGACGTTCCGAATCCGTTCTTCACACCGAACTAAATCGTTTGTCGTGGGAAGAGGGCCCAAGTAGTCTAGTGAGCCTCCGACCCACATTCGTCTGCGGAAAAGCTGATGGTTTTCATCGTCCATTGGTGCTTGGTAGTTGTCATAACCGTCTGATCCAAGAAGAGAGTTGGTTTGGTTGTTGAAAATGAAGTTGTATCCGTAGAGACTTGGCAGCGGCTTTTGAAGAGGTATTATGTCGTGGAAAAGATTAGTGAGATGGTTTATTCCCCCAACTGAGTACACATCATCCCAGACCCATTTTTGGCGTTTGATATGAGAAGCCCATTTTTGTACCTTGTTCATAAGAAGGAATAGTGACGATTAAGTATGAAGAAACGCGTCAGGCCGTAGGCACGGGTCTTCACCGCGTCGTTACACGTTCTTAAATAGAAAAACGTGGCAACATTAGGCGAATTTGGTTAGAAATTTGTGGCTTTAGAAATGATGATCCAACTAATAACATATGAGAAGCGGTGAAAAGAAGAGTCAAGGACGGCGGAAAGAGATAAATGCAAAATATGATTGTCGGTTTGCATACAATCCGAAACTCCAGAAAAGATTAACTGCAAAAAAAAAGGGAAAGGCCACTTTAAATATTCCGAGAATATAAGGCTGCAAAAGTCAAAGGGTACGGATCTCTCTATTGTTGTCATTTTACTAATGGCAAGTTTTGAGGTGAATGTTTGAACGCAGTTATTTTGAGTTTCCATATTGAAACCTGGCACCTTCCTTTTATGGCCAATATCTGGCATATCAACATTCTCATTCAAAATATTTTAGGAAAACCGTATTTCTATTTACAAATCATTCTATATTCAACCTTCTGTAAAGCCTGCAATAAGGACTGGATTATCTAGAGGGCTTAACTATGGGTGCACGGGTGTATGAAATGTGGTGTTTGGGTTTTTAAGTGTTTGGTATATGGATGTTTCTGTGGTGTAAGGGTCTTTTCTAATGGAATGTACGGGTTTTTCTGGTGTAAGGGTCTTTTCTGATGGAATGTACTGGTTTTTGATGGTGTATGGATGTTTTGTGGTGCACGGGTGTGGTTATGAGCGGTACGGGTGCAGTTTCTGTTTGTGTCACCTCACCAACCTCCACATTTAGTGGTACAAAAAGAATTAAATATTTGCAGCTACTTCTTTTTCCCACAAAATTGTATTTTGCCAGCTTCGGACAGGAATGTTCTAATCGGGACGCTAGATTGTTTGTAGACTGCAGTATACAAGCGCTTTTTCAGATGCATTTACACCCAAACTCTTTAAAGACGACCATTACTCATAGTACTAAGAAACTATTAATACTAACAAGATTCTGTGATGACACAAGTCTTATTATAACCTCTTAGGCCTCTCTTACTTGAATTGAAATCGCAATCTGTTTTGCTCGTCGTGACACAGTCTCTGTTATATTAATACTCTGTCTTCACCGGGCTGTCGCATTGCCATTATTTCTAGGTGATTCTTGTCTTGAACACTGAGAAACCTAACCTGAAATCTCATTTCCGGCTTGATTCTAGAAAAGTTTAGGCCCTCTGACATTTGGGTGCCTGAGATAAACTGAATTCCCAAGCTAACTTATACCGTCAGATTTGTTGGAATGTTAAAGATTAGTTGTTGGAATGTTAAAGACACTTCGATGAACATTCTCGTGAATTTCAAGGTTGATGTCTATTTCTACTCAGACAAGGTTCAGCACCTGTGCTTGCTCGATGTAAATGCTTCACTTCAATTGTATGTGCATAAAGAGGCAAACATAAGTAAGTACTCAAAGATTTGCTTTCCTCCTCATTCGGTTCTAAAGCTTTTAGCTTATGCTTTTGGTGACATTTTTCCCCTTACTTCATCATTTCGAACTATTTTCGCCCTGTCAATAATTTGGTTCAGTTAGTTGAACGTAGGTTATAATTTGACCTATACGCATTTGAGTTGGCCGAGTTGATACGTTCCAAATGAGGTTCGGCATTAAAAATGTTGCTGAATGAAGCAATGGCATCTAAGAGAACCTAAGCTAGTATCTCAAATATGGAACTTCGTGAGCTGAATCTAACATTGCAAGTTCCAATAACTGTGTACTCTATGAATATCAAATAATCCCATTGAAGCGGACAAATTCAGCACCATGATACTTCTATTTTGCCATCCACTTTTATTTTCCCATGCTGTCGTTCTACCTTCTCATTCCTATCTACGCTGTCTTTCATTCCTTCTCACTGTCGTTCTCATTCCTTCTTATGACATCCGCAAGACATCCAAGAAGAACGCAAATAACACAATAACATTGAAATACATCAAGCAACAGGAAACTACAAAAAAAGAAAAAGAAAAAAAAAGAAAAAAACGAGAAACGTTTAAAAAAAAATCATAAACAAAAAATCCACACGATATCAAAAGGTCCAAACTACTCTCTTGTGTGCACACCGCAAATCATCAACTACTACTTCTTCCCATGGCATCAGTTTCCGGCGCCTGTGTCATTTCTAAAGTGTCGGGTCTTCTCCAGATCAGGGAAGACACCGTGCCGTCCAAGCTCATGTGGAAGGCCATCGACCAGGACAAGTCAATGGAGATTCCTTTGAACAAGCTTTCCAAGTTGCAAGCGTCTCCCGACTCGTCGCCCAAGATGCTTCTCAAGCTCTTCTACACGACCGCAGGCTCGCAGGAGGTCAAGGACATCAAGCTCACGTTCAACAACCGCCAGACCATGAACGCCGTCAAGGAAACGCTCCAGACCATAGTGGCCAGGCAGAAAACGGTGATTCGAGACAGCCCAGCGCCTGCGACGGAGTCTGGCACGGCGACTCCGGCCGGCGCAAGCGAGAATCTGGCCCGGCTGACGCCGCAGCCTGGCGATCCGCTCGACTTCTCGCACCCTGGCTCCCTCAGCGACGCCAGTCTTCTCAAGAACAGACATCTCCAGCAGAAGCTTTTGCTCGAAGACAAGACGCTCCGCAACATCTTCACGGAGTCGGTGATCAACTTCAAGCTCTCGCCGGCGCTCTTCTGGTCCACGCGGACGGGCCAGCTCCGCACGTATGCGCTCACCATCTCGCAGCACAGAGGGCCCTACAATGTTCTTTCTTCCATCAAGCCTGTGGCCACGTCGGACAACCAGGTGAACGTGAACGTCACGCGAGACGTGATCAACGAGATCTTCACCACGTACCCGATTATTCGGCATGCGTTTGACGAGTTGGTGCCGCACAAACTCAGCGAGGGCGAGTTTTGGTCTCGTTTCTTCAACTCCAAGCTTTTCCGCCGTCTCCGTGGCGACCGCATCAACACGGCCAACACGAGGGGCGACGTGGTTATCGACAAATACTTGTATGTGGACGCCGACTTTGTGGAGGAGGAGAAAAGCCTGGCAGGCGAAAACGACGCTTCCACACACCATGTGGACCCGTTTCTAGACCTTCAGGCCAACGAGGAAGACAATCCGCAGAAGCTCGGCCTCTTGCCCGACTTCACCATGAAGTTCTCGGACGACGACAAGAACGGGCGCGAACAGCGGACGCTGGGCAGAAACGAGAACGAAATGATGATTTTGATGCGCAACATGAATACGCTCTCGAGCAAAATGATCAACATCACCTCGGAGCAAGAGGCGCCGGCCGAGTCGGCGCAGCAGATGCTCGCCGAGCACGAAAAGGAGTTGACCATTTCCGACTTGAACGACGTCGAACAGCCCCACTATGTGCCCTTGGATCTAGACATGAATTCCAGACACGCAACGGACTCGGCAAAGACCGAAAACGCCGACAGCACGCCGCTTCTGCCCGAAGAAACACGCCAGCTCTGGCTTGCGAACGTTTTTGAGCCTACAGACACCGGCATCAATCTCAGTGAAACCTACGAGCGAGCAGATGCCATCGCCAAAGCCAATGCAGACGTCACGGCGTTGGTGAAACACAATTTCCGCGTGTTCAAGCTGGAGCACAACATCAAGGACCCGAGCGCCGCCTTGAACTTCCTCCGGGAAGAAGAGAAGAAAGAGCTCACGACATACAACATGACCATCACCGAGTTTCTTCTGCACTTCTGGAACTTGTTTCTCAACGGCGGCAATCCGGCGCAATTGAAGAAACTTTTCACGAATCTACGCAACTGCCAGTCGCTACTAGATAAGCTCGAGAAGAAAATCACCGAGGAGCTCTCCAACCACGACCTGGTGAAGCTGAATGAAAAACTACGGGAGAAGCTTACGAAAGACGTGGTCACGTGCCTCGCTCCCCTCAACGCCGGTCTCACGAAAGCCTGCAACGAGTACATGGAGGCGTACCGGAAAAGCGACGCCGAATCCAACGGCACTCCCGCCTCTGACGGCAACGGCCCTGCAATAAACGAAAACGGCAAGAGACCTTTGCAAGTCTAGGTGGGAGGAAATGGTCTTGTGTGCAGTCGCGCATCATGGCATCGCGAGAAAAAACCAACCCTAATCATTCTGAACCTAACAACAATTTCTTGCATCCTTCACCATGAGCGACGGCAAGAAAACAGACGAAATTCTCAAGACCATCAAGAACAAGCAGCGGCGGCAGAAGGTGTTTGCCGCGCTCCAGGCGGAGAAGTCCAAGGAAAGACACAAGGCCCGAGCTGCGAGAGCAAAAGAGGAGAGAGAAAACCCGCAACTTAAAGCCGAGCGTCTCGCGGCCAACGTGCCGGAAACCATCGAGTCGAAGCGTGTGTACGACGAAACAATTGCCGACGAGGTGGAGGGAGAAGACGAGTTTTTCGAGCTTTTCAACCGCACGCAGAGAGACCCAAAAGTGCTTCTCACCACGAATGCCGGCGCCAAAAAGAACGCCTACGAGTTTGCAGATATCCTCATGGAGTTTGTGCCCAACGTGACGTTTGTCAAGCGCAAAAGAGAGTACCTGATGAAGGACATGGCCCAGTACTGCACCAACAGAGACTTTACCGATTTGATAGTCATCAACGAGGACAAGAAGAAAGTCAACGGGCTTACATTCATCCACTTGCCCGAGGGCCCCACTTTCTACTTCTCCGTGTCGTCTTTGGTCACCACAGAGCGCATCAAGGGCCATGGCCGTGCCACATCGCACATTCCAGAACTTATTCTCAACAACTTCAACACACGGTTGGGTAAGACGGTCGGCCGTCTTTTCCAGGCGATATTCCCTGCGCAACCCGAAATCCAAGGTCGCCAGGTGCTCACATTGCACAACCAGCGAGACTACATTTTTTTCCGAAGACACCGGTACGTTTTCCGCAATGAGGAGAAGGTAGGGTTGCAGGAGTTAGGACCACAGTTCACGTTGAAGTTGCGCCGGTTGCAAAAGGGTATCAAAGACGAGGTGGAGTGGGAGCATAGACCGGACATGGAGAGAGACAAGAGAAAGTTTTACCTCTAGTCGGCGAAGACTGGACAAGATGCATCATGGGTTTAATATCACCAGAATATTAGGTTATCGTATGAACAGTGTAGTTGCATTGAAATGTGTTTCCTTTGAAAAGTAGGAATGGATTGGTCATTATGTTCCTTGGCTCGTGAGCAGAGATATTTCTTTTCCACGGTATGTCCCAATAGTTCATCACTTTTAGTCAGATCAGCACTATAACCTCTTTTATTTAGATAATTGGTCAAATCTACCTTTGATAACTATTCTTCTACTATACTTTCTGTCTCCACCATTGATGGAAATATATATTCTATAAGCATAATTATTAATAATTGACTCTAATATGTATACGGTTCGGTCAGGGAACCTGATCGGGATTTAAATTTTATTTTTCATTCATTTTAAAGAAGTATTGTCTATAAATATCATTGAGTTGCATTTGTCCTAGTAGACCACTTTTTAGGTTGGGTAGATTTATCTGATACTAGGCAATTCAATACCGATCACTATATGAGAAGAAAAAGATTGGAAGCACTTACTTTAGTGGAATATTCGAGGTCTGTGTATTGAATTATCTGTGCAATAAACGGACTAAGACTACGAACAAACTACTCTAAGCAGAGTCGATTTCGTGAAGGCATGATCTGACGACTGATCTGTTAAGATCTTCGTTCATCGTGTCATTCTCTTGACACGAAGAATCTTCACTAAGACAATCTCAATCAGACAAAATCAGCAATAGTTCAGTTGATCTCAACACTGGCCCAGTAGCAATTTGGTGATTTCTAGAATGAAGACTCTCTAATTTACAATACCTATTTGGCAGGCTGTGCGTGTGATTTCATTTGCAATAGTCCATCATTCTAAGAATAAGAACTAAATGTAACGGGAACTCGAATAACTAAAAGCAATGAAGACAACCATGGTAATCATACTGTGAACTCAATGATATAGTCTAAACTTTACCGATAGCAAGTGAAGTATCACTATTCAATTGAATTATATGGTTCAAGTGAAGTATCGCTATTCAATTGCTAATATGGTATCAAGTGAAGTATCACTATTCTATTGCATGGTATAGTGAAGTATCACTACTAAATTGCTTTTAAGATAGTATCAAATAACGGATACTAATGCAAAAAAGCATCCGACAGCTAGTTGTTTCCAATTTTCATCTTCATCCATCTTTCTACAATAGTGGAGAATTATGTTCGCGTTGGGCTTATGTGCGCAATTTCGCAAATATACGAGCCAAGCGAGTCCCGACCTCCAAGTCAGATCAAACCAACTGTCAATTGCCCCATTGCCTCATTCTCCATTTCGCTCTATCCCATTTTCTTTTCTTTCTATTCTTTCTTTCTTTCTTCTTTTCTTCTTTTCTTTTTTTTCTCTTTCGTCTCTATTCATGGGCGGCCCTACACCCGTGCCTCCTGCCGCGCCGTTTCTAGTCATGGATCAACCCACGCCTCTGCTACTAATCTAAGCACAGTTGGCCCAATTGTGAAACCCAGCGACATTAGACGCCAGCATCTTTCCTTTTCGGGACAGCTCCATTAGTAAACGCAAGAAAAGGCGCCAGTCACGTGGACCCGCAGCCATTGCGTTTGTTTCGTCAGAAAAAGCCCATCCGCAGGTACAGCGACAACAACACCTGAAAAAGGAGAAAAAAAAAAAAAGAAAACACATCCTTATGGACATCAGCGGCGTCAACCAGATCCTCCAGGCGCTCGACGTGGTGCACCAGCCGCGCTCGTCCAACGAGCAGCGCCGCGAGGCCCAGATCTTCTTGGAGTCCATCAAAAGCTCCGAAGAGCTGCCCTACTGGGGCTACCAGCTCGCGTTGCCGGAAAACTACGGCGACAACTACATTGTGCGGCACTTTGGGTTGTCGCTTCTCCAGAACGCCGTGACAAAACGCTTCCACACCTTTGACCGTGCCAAGTCCGTGGCCGTGCGAGAGTGGGTGGTCAAGCTAGCGCAGAAGGTGCGTGCCGACGATCCACACTACTTGAAGGAGAAGCTAGCGTTTCTCTGGGCGTCCATCGCCAAGCGCATCTGGGGCTGCTACTTGGTCAAAGCTCCCGAAGACGACGAGACGAAAACCGTGTCCAAAGACGATTTGCTCGACGGCTGGGCATCCATGGACTCGGACTTGAGCGGCCTCTGGCACCACTCGTCGCAGACGCGTGAGTTGTGCTTGGTGATTGTGCGCACGTTGCTCGAGGACATCTACTTGCTAGACGATCCGGTGGGCAGCAAGCGAACGGCCATTCTCAACCAGCTCTGTGTGCTCATCATCACGCCGGACCTGGTGTTGGACCAGATCTACGAGCCCAACCCGAACCTTGCCTTGTGCAAACACCTGTCGGAAGGCTGGTTTGTGGTGTGGAGCAAGTTTCTTCTCGAGACCTTGTCTGCCAACGACTGTCTGTCGTCTTCGGTGCAAGTGTTTGTGCCCAAGATCTTGAGCACGTTCAAAACGTGCTTGCACTGGATCCAGCCCAGCGTGTTGCGCCACGAAAACATCATGAACACCTTGGTCAACATTCTCACTTTGCCCGACATAAAGTTGAAGACTTTGGCCGTCGACTGTTTGCACATTTTGTTCACGCGCTCCTACACCGATTACAAGGACTTTGAGTTTTTCATCGGCAGCATCTACACCTCCGAGGGCATCAAGAAGCTCTCGCAGTTCTACCTGTCTCTAGAAGTGGACTGTGACGATATCGACGAGCAGGTGTATGCGTTGCTCAAGAAAACGGTCGAGATGATTGTTTCCTTGAGCGAGTATCTCAACATTCTGTTGCCCGTCAAGAGCCGAATAGACTGGGAAAAGGCCGACGTCGACATGTACCTAAATCTTGTGCTTACAACCACCAACCACCCGAGCCTTATCATTTCGGGCTTGTCGTTGCAGATGTGGGTGACCACGCTCCGTTTCGACGAGCTCAGCGCAAAAGAGCCCGTGGACAGGATCCTAATCGACCTTTTGGAGGTCGCCGCAAACAGATTGATCAACTACACCACCATCGGCGAAGACAATGTGCTGAAAAAATTTTTGGAAGTCGATTTCGACTCGCCCATGGACTCGGCGTCGTTCTTATCCAACTACAGAAAATTCAACGAGGACATTGTCCGCATCACCACATGCAAAAAGCCCGAGGAAGGACTCAAGTGGCTTGAAGCTCGCCTCGAGGCGTTTTTCAGCTCGTCTCTTGGTGCTGATTGTATCACCGACCTGCGGCTCGACGAAAAATCGGACGCTTTCAACTACGGCACGTCTCAATTCAACATCATTGAAAATTGCATCCGCGGAGTGTCCAGATGGCGCATCTGGTATCAGGGAGAGGATTTCGACGTGAAGAACGCCCGGCTCAATGGCCTTGTGGAAGACTTGGGCGAGCGCTTGCTTGCAATGCAGTTGGCGTCGCCTCTTTTAATTCGCAAGCAAGTGCAGACCATGGTGCAGTTTGCGCCGCTCCTCAAAGAGGTGAGTCCGCTCATGTTCAAAGTTTTGGAGAAAATACTCACGACGGCCACTTTCGAGTACCCACCTAATATTTCCGACGAGGAGCGAGAAATCATTCGAGACTTGCGCACAAGCTGCGGAACCGAGTTGAACCGCCTCGCCTATATCATGCCCGAGTCGCTCCGCAAGATTTTCGGCGAGTTGGAAAATGTCATATCCAACATCTTGGCCTCCAACAAAGTGAGCAACCACGAAAATGTCGCCTTCAAGTCCTTTCTCTTGGTGATTGCATCTCGGTCGTCGATCGACAACAAGGAAGATCTTTTCGCCAAAATCGTCGATCCGGAGTTGATGGCGTGGTCTGCGCCGGAAACGGAGAAGGGCTTGATGGACTTGCATTGGTTTTTGGAACGTATGGGCATAGTGGAGATTGCGCAGTACTTTCAGAAAAGAAACATCACAGCCACCACCAATCTATTAGAGGCGCAAATGGACGACGAGGGCCGTGAGTTGAAAAACAAATTGAAGGACCGCTGGTCGTCCATCTTCCCAATCCGTGAGACAAGAATCTTTGTCCAGTACAGTATCGAAAAACTTGCACATGACTCGCCAGAGTACTTGAACTTGTTGCGCTTGTGGAAACCAAGAGTAAGACCCATCATCCCTCATGTTCTTCAGCTTCTTGCCCAGATCCAGGCCTACCACAATCCAGACAATTGCCGAGATTTGCCTGAGGCTGTCCAATCTTTCTTGCGTTATAGTCGTATGGAGCGGTTCTGGCAGCAAGGTGTCTCGATCCAGAGCAAGGAAACGTTTATTGAGGAAAGTGTCAAGGCAGCGCTCACACTTCGAGATTTTGCCGACAGCGTGGGCCATTTGATCCGATACACACGAGAGTACGCCTTTCTTACCATCGGGTCGCTTTCTCAACTTGAAGACACCCTTTACGAGATTCCCAACATTGCCACGTCGCTCTGGAACGCCTTGGCAGGAGACACTGTCGGCGTCACTTTGCACAGCTGGAAGCACATGATCAACAGCTGTCTCCGCAGTGTGGTGAAGAACTGTCCAGTCAAGTTTGTGGATATTTTCATGGCAGAGCTTTTGCCCAAGGCTCTCTACGACATTGATAAGCTCATTGTCGAGCGCTGGGATAAAGTGTACTTGACAGGGCTCCAGTTGCAAGGAAATGAAGACGACGCCACGCTCAGCGAAGAGATGATGGAGGAACACATGCTCCGGCAACTCACAGCAACAGTGGTGCGTTTTCTCATTGACATTGTTCCGCAATTCAACGCCAAAAACACCACCGACACCCAGTTTGCCTGCAAGCGTCTTGTGTCGACCAACAAGGAAGTGATGGGCGCCTTCTTGCAGATCTGCTGCCACATCATCGGCTTGAAGGACACAAAGTGCTCGTTCAACACGATTCTTGTGGTGCGCAACCTCATTCCTGGCATCTGTCTCAAGGACGACGACGTGGACAAGTACTTGTGCGATCTGTTCATGAAGGTGTTGTTGAAGGTGGCCATGGACGACTATTTCGTCGAGACACACTCGGAAACAGCCACTCTCCTCACGACCTTGTACTGCTCCTTGCGTTCCAAGAACGACTATCCTGCCCGTGTGCTCATGGAAAACTTGCCCAACATCACATCGCAACACGTGAGCAACTTTGAAACGCTTCTTGTCGGATCCAGGTCCTTGCGGCACCAGCGCTCGGCGCTTTTGGAGTTGATCCGCATTGCAAAGACCAACGAAGAGTCTACGGACGACGAGGAAATCAAGTTGCGCAAGAAGCAGCTTGAAGCTGCTGCACGCAAGAAGAAAACACTTGGGAAAGACCTCATGAACGATCCATTCACGGAAAATGGCGCCTTGAACAATCTTTTTGGTGACGAGTAAGTGGCATCGATCGAAAAAAGCCGCAATCTCAATGTCAAAGCGTTCTCGGATATACCATGCTAAACGTCTATTCTATAGAAACATCTACTTTCTGTGGAGACGCACAATGTCACGCTTCAAGTGTCCCATGTGGCCTATGGTGTCGACTTTCATGGTGTCCGGTTTGCATGCCTCAAGACGATCCACAAACTCTCTGATAGACCCACCGACACCAAAATAATAGTGCTTGGCAGCGACCAATGCAAGATACCTTTCCTTGTCTTTAAGGAGCTGGAGCAACGTGTCTAGAACAATAGGCAACGTGTCCAAGGAATATATGGTTTCCGAGCTGAGAATAACATCGGGACCAAAACCGGCTGCCAACGTAACGAAGTCAGGGCCCCAAGAACCAGATATAAACGAAATTTCAATGTTGCGTGCGTTCAACTGAGCTGAAAACTCTTCAAGCAATGCAGGCGTAAGAAGCAACTCGTCATTTCTCAACGGAATATCAGGAACCATGTATTCGGCCAACTTTTCCGGCGCCAACGTCGACGCCCAGTGAATAATCAAGTTGGGCACGCATACAAGACGTAATACCTCGTAATTAAAATCAGACAAGACCAATTTCACGTTGCGCATAGCCGTTTCCTTTGTGAATAGCATCATTAGCAAGTAGCATGTAGGCAACGCTGTTCCAGCTCCAAGTTCAAGAAAAGACGAAAACTTGCGGATGTCGCCAGCAGCCCCGAGTCTCTCGAGCTCATCGACCAAGTCGTACGAGCATTCCCACAGCTTGAAGCCACCTTCATAAACATTTTTTCGAAGGTCTACGTCATTTTCGGCCCCAGCAGTGCCCAACAAAATCTGATGCACTTCACCTTCATCCTCCTCCGACATGACCTGGTGCTTGATATCGAAGAGCTCGCGCCGATACACAATATTGCCATTCGGGGTGGTGTAATTGTCGAAAGTTAGACGCACATCATGCAAAGTGGAGGTAATTTCTGACAAGGAATGCAATTTCGGCGGTGAAACGACGGCAGCAGTTTGCAGAGTGGAAGGAGCCTCCTTTGTAGGAAGCGGATCCGAGTCGAAATCGTCGCCCGAGAAGCCAAAAGCGAAAGACATGGCGATGGATTAAGGTAGAGATGAGATGAAGTAGATGGGCGAGAAACGTGACCGCGCACGTGAGCCATCCATGCCATCAACATTGATGAATACGATAGAGCAAGAGCACAAAGGCATGGCTGTAATACAATGCACCGTAGATTTATGGTCCACTAGGTTGGAAGCTCGAAAATTTCCAATAAGTCGAAATCCAGAGCGTCGAAAGCTTATTGGAACGGAAACGTCGGTGGAAAAATACGTCACGTGCCGCATCATAATCCGTTTCTATGCGGGGGTCCACACGTGATGATATTCACCAGAGGAATTCTCAATGAGCGAACGTTCCGGCGCCAAAAACGAGCCGCCAAATTTTTCAGAAAGTCCGACTTTGCAGAATTGACAAAACAATCGGGCAACGCCACAAGTCCGAGGCATGAAAGCAAGCACCACGGCTGCGGAGGTACGTGTGTGGCATGTCAAGTAGTTGCGCAGTGATTTGGGGGACTGTCTGCAGGATCGGCCACTACCGCACCACCGAGACACGAAATTCGCAGGCCGGGCATGATCCCTCTTCTTCCCAGTGGCGGAACAAACAACACCGGGTCCGACATTGGAAGACCAGACCCACCAATCGCATAGACATTCCTACTCAGGAGACCCAGACATCTCGACAGACGTTGGAACCCGTACCTCTGTTCTCCAATTGAGGCAACACCATCCCACCGCAGCATCGGCGCAAACATGGATTCTAACCGCCCAAGGGCAAATTCGGTTTCAAACGCAGTGTTGGCACGAAGGAAAGTGCCGCGGCACGTGACGTTCACAGAAATGCTGCAACTGAACCTGGCGGCTAGCGCCGATCCCGAATGGAACGATTTGGATGTGGCGCCTAGAGAGGAAGAAGAAGAAGGAGAGAGCGGGGCAAATGGAAGCGGCAGGGCGAAAGCGCTGCAAAAAGACGGGGCGAGGAACAAGGAGTGGCTGCCAAAGGAGAAATTGCCACAGGGGCGGTGGCTGCCAAAAGACGGGTGGCTGCCAAAGGATCGGTGGCTGCCAAAGGATCGGCGCCTGCCGAGTCTGCAGCCTGCGGGCGGGCTGCTGCGCCTGACGTTGCACGCTGGCTCGCTGCGGCCGCTGGCAGTGCACACTGTGGGCGGGCTGCGCCTGACGCCGCTGTTGCCACGCATGCTGCCGCTCGTGCGCTTCCGCTCGCACCCGCACGGGCTTGCCATGGGCGAGTCGCCGCTGCTTGACGGCGTGCTTCTGCGGCGCAAGAACAGCGCAGCACAGCTCCCCGCCTTCAACAAGCGGCCCTTGACCGACACGCCTGTGGTGTCGGGCATGGCGTCGCCCATCACGCGCGAGCAGTCGTCCGACGAGGAGAATGACGAGTCGGTGCGCAAGAACATTTCGCATCTCAGCTTGGCGGACTTGAACGCCGTGTCGGCTGCTGTGCGCGCCAAAAGCGTGCGCTTCGAGAAGGAAATGGACGCTCAGGACGACCCTGGCTACGACTACACGAATGACAATGAACACGACCACGGATACGGACACGGAAAATACAAAAATGGATACGAAATCAGGCCCCGCCGGCACCACCACAAAAGGGAAAGAAGCAGCGACGACCTCGACGATATCGACGTTGACTCTGACGCCGACTCGAACACCGACGCAGACGTTGATACTGACGCCGCCACAGATGATGACACAGAGGTCGAGCAGGACCCTGTCTCCAGTGTGTCTGGCGCGCCACGCTTGGCTGCGATTGTAGATGAGCGCGAGTCCATTTCGCCTACAAACACTGCAAAGGTAACGGCCGTGGAGCCGCAGGAGAAACCGTCCTTTGCTGTGTCGCCTGCTGAGCAGGAGCAGGTTCAGTCCTTCCGGCGCGCGGTTGAGCCGCGCGAGAAGCAGATTGACCGCGCCTTGGAACACGAGATCGAGCGAGAGCGCAAGGAATCTGTCAAGGAAATTGAGCGGAGAAAGAGCGCTGCCGGTGAGGAAATCTCGACAGAAAAGGCTGGTGCGCCTGAAACAGGCTTGGGTTCTGCGAAGGATGCAGAAGAAGCAGAGACTTCGGCAGAGGCTGCACCTCTACATCAAATCAAGCGCGATCTTCTTCAGGAAGTTCCGCCTGAACTCCAGCAACAGTTTCAGAAAACACCCCTGTTCGAGAAGCTTAAAGACATGTTACTCCTGCGGCCTTTTGCTCGCCTGCAAAAAGCATACACACTCAACATTGCCGGCCAAACATCGCTGAAAACCTCTCCTGATGGCCGTATCGCATCGGTTGACGTTGGTTCTAAATTGGTGATTGTCATGGTAGGTCTCCCAGCGCGTGGAAAATCGTACATCACCAACAAGCTAACGCGTTACTTGAATTGGCTCCAGCATGATTGCCGAGTCTTCAATGTTGGAAACACGCGGAGAATGGATAAAACCAACGTATTAGGGCCAGCTTCAAGACCTTTACCTGACACTGCCACACCACTGCCCCACTCAGGTCGCTCGCCTGCTCTAAATGCGTTGTCTCCTGCCCAAAAAGCATCGCCAGCAGAGCCGCTTTCACCTACATCGCATTCGGCTAATTTTTTCAATCCTGAGAACAAGGAGCTGACTGAAATTCGTGAAAAGTGGGCCATGGACACCTTAGATGCATTGCTCAATTGGGTCATTGATGGGCCTGGATCAGTGGGTATTTTGGATGCAACGAACTCCACTAAAAAACGGCGTCTTAAAGTGCTCAAGCGGATTCAGGAGCGGTCCAATGGTGAGTTGAAGGTATTGTTTTTGGAGAGCATTTGCTCAGATCCAGCCATTCTTGATACCAACATCCGTCTTAAGCTTTCGGGTCCTGACTATAAGGACATGGATCCTGAGTTGGCTTTGAAGGACTTCATTGGCCGTTTGCATAACTATGAACGTGCATACGAAACTATCGATGAGTCCGAGGAACATATACCTGGATTCCAGTATGTGAAAATGATTGATGTGGGGAAAAAGGTGGTGAGTTACAACATTCAAGGTTTCCTAGCATCACAAACAATCTATTTTCTTTTGAATTTCAATCTATGCGAGCGCCAGATATGGCTTACTCGTCATGGTGAGAGTGTGGATAATCTTAGCGGACGTATTGGCGGTGATAGTCCATTGACCAAGCGTGGTCAGCACTTTGCCAAGACTTTGACACGGTTCTTGAACTACCAACGTCGCGAGTTCAGGCGGAAACAATTGGAAAGCTTTTCTTCCCGTCTCGAATTGCGCTACAATGAACTTCTGGACAAAGCCACTGGCAAGACGACTGTTCTGGAGCGGCCAGCTATGCAAATCCCAACAGAAACAAGTTTCTGTGTTTGGACATCTATGTTGTTACGTGCTGTGGAGACAGGCAATTACTTCAATGAGCAAGAGTATAATATCAAGGCTATGCGCATGCTTAACGAATTGGGAGGCGGTAAGTTTGAAGGTATGACTTATGATGAAATTCGTCGCAAGCACCCTAAGGAGTTTGAGAGCCGTCTCAGAAATAAGCTTACTTACCGATACCCTGGTGTCGGAGGTGAATCTTATCTTGATGTTATGGTGCGTTTACGCCCATTGATCAATGAGATCGAGCGGACAACCGACCATTTGCTCATTGTATCACATCGTGTGGTGTTGCGTGTGTTATTAGCATACTTTTTGAACTTGGGCAAATCTGCAATCGTTGACTTGGATGTGCCTTTGCACACATTATACTGCTTGGAACTGAAACCGTATGGCACAGAGTACGCTATGTACGAGTACGACGAATCTGCAGACTGGTTCAAAAAGGTAGAGCCAGAGCATCAGAAGAACGTGCGTGAGGTGGGAGTGAATTTCCGTGAGCGCAAGTACTCTGTCGTTCCTACTGCACCACCAACTTCGCATCGGTCGAAGGAAGAGACGAACCGTTCCAAAGACGAAAAGGCACTCTCCAATTTCAGTTTGAGACAAAGCCTTGCGGCAGCCGATCCTGATCAAGAGAAGAGAGCGAATTTGCTGAGCTCGCGCAAACTTGCGGACTTGAGCAAGATGCGCAAGCCGTAAGCAGTGTGTTGTGTATAGAATTACCAGCTGGGCTGTGATGTGGTATTCTATGGAAAGCTGAAGACGGTATCATGCCGGTGAAGTTGTCGCCAAAGATGGCCATTTTTGATAGCTGACAAAACTTGTCTAATAGACGTTTTCGGATATGTTATGACAAGTAGTTGACTCAGTTGGCGGAGACATAGTCATGGACACATACTAACTACTTTAGCTCAGATGTGATACTGGAGAAGCATTAGTGAGACGTGTGTGACAGAAGCTACGTAGATCTGAAAAACTCAAATGGAAGAGATTCTACGATCTCAATACCTCTAGGACGTAAATGCCATTCATTTACAAGTCAAAACGAAGAACCGAACAATTGAACCCAAGTTCTTACCTATGTGTCAAGGATAAATAAAAATAAGTGGAGATCTAGCAAGATCATCAAAGCAAGGTTAGCCCTGCAGCCGCGCCGGTAGGATGCGCCTTGGCTAAATGTGACAGCAAAGATACGAAGTCTAATGGAATGGGGACAGACAAGTTGATAAGGCTTTATTTTCGGCTAAACCGATTGGTTCTCGAAGACTATGAAAGGCATCCCGAAGCCGACTGTTAAAGGTATTCTTGAAGGATTCTTGAAGGCATTCTTGAACCAATATTCTTCAAGGTGCAATATTCTTCAAGGCAATTTTCTCTTCGAAGCTGTTTTTCTTTTTTTTTTTTTCTTTTTCTTTTCACGTTCTCCGGATCCTTTAGAGTAGCATTGAAAGCAGAAAACCCAAGAAGATATCGATAGGGATGATTTACAGGCATATCAGCCACCTGATTCTTGGACTCTTGCTACCCCAATAAATGGGAGGTACGGGTGTGCATGCAACCCCACTACTGATTCTTCGGCGTCTACGATACGATGTAAGTGGAGGCTGGAAGCGATCGTCGGAGTCGAATGCAATCCCAAAGTGCCCGCTTACGGTCTTGGCCAAATCGGCTAGTCGTTTTCATGTTTTTAGGGTTGTTTCCGGCGAATTGACGGACCGGCAGCCTGCGAAGCAGCGAACCAGGAACTGGCGAGCCGGCGAGCCGTACGGGCCGTGGAATTCCGTCTTATGGCAACTAAACTGATATATAGCCACTTGAGTAAAGGGGAAATGTATGTTGGAGTGGGGCTGGTGGCAGCTTAGACCCGTACACCACGCAAACCCCATGTCTCACACTAGCAACATGAGGCATTGCTCTTTTCTTTCTGGGGCGTAAACCATGAACCTGCGGAATATCCCGAAAAAGCAGGAAATGTCGCCAGAGCCGCAGCAGAATCTGGCCGGGACAGAAATACCCAACGGTCGTGAGACGGGCAAAGCGCAAAACCAAACGTCAAAAGCGCAAAACCACAGACGCGAAACGAATGGAGAAACAGAAGGAAAGGAAGAAAAGGAAGTGAAGAGAGAAGAAGGAAAGGAAGAAGAAGGAAAACGAGAAGAAGCACAAGGTAAGGGCGAAGTGAACAGAGAAGAAAGAAAGGAAGACAGAAAGGAAGACAGAAAGGAAGACAGAAAGGAAGACAGAAAGGAAGACAGAATGGAAGACAGAAAAGATAGACAGCCCGAGGAAACAAAAACTAGCAACAAAGAAGGCCGACAGAAAGAGCAAGAGGCCCGGCCGAAAGAGCCCGAGAGCCGAAGAGAAGAAAAGCGAGCGCGAGATAAGGAGGGTGAGAAGCCCAAGACGGAGGCCGAGAAGCCCAAGACAGAGGCCGAGAAAGACGAGGTGCGGCTGGAAAACGACGCCCGGCCCGACGTGGCGGCAGACTTGCGGGAAATGTTCCCCGAGCCGCGGACCGCAGGCCCCAGCGGCATCGACAAGCAGCTTTTGTCGAAGCTCAACCGGTCGCTCAAGGAAAAACAGCGGAGCGGCAAAGAGAACCCGAAAACGCCCACGACCATCCAGGACCTCGTGGCCAAGCCGCTGGCGCCCAACGGCACGCTGCACAACGAAACGCCGCTTCTGTCGGAGAACGGCGAGGACGGCGAAGACTCGCGGCCAGAAACAGACGCCCGCCCCAAGCCTCGCGGAAGACGGGTGGCCAAACAAAGCTCGACGCGGACGGACTTCTTTGCCGCCAAGTTGGCCAGCGCCGTGGACGACGTGGCGCTGTCCGACAGCGACGAGACGTTTGTGTATGAGAGCACGGACTTTGGGCGGGACGGCGACACAGAAAACATCAACCACGTGCCGCATCTGGTGCAGCTAGTGCACGATACCATATCTGTGGGCAGCGTGACGCCGATGGAGTCTGGTGCCAACAGCCCGCGCGAAGACAGCTTTCGAGAGCGGCGGCCGGAAATGCACAAGGAGCCCACGCGAGACTCGATCCGGGTCAAGGCGAGGCGGGACGAGCGCGAGAAGGAAAGAGAAAAAGACAAGGACCGGGAGAGAGAAAAAGACAAGGACCGGGAGGCTGCGGACAGAGATGCGAGGGAAGCGAGAGATGGTTCGAGAGAAGCCAAGGATGCGAGGGACGGAGAGTCTGGCGACGGCAGAGAAGGCGACGAGGCGAAAGACAGAGACACCAAAGAACGGGACGCAAACCCAAAGGACAGGGACGACTCGGACAGCTCGCGGACACGCGAATCCAAACTGCGGGACCAGACCGTCTCGCGAGACGTGGCCAGAGACAGCCTTCGGGCCGAGTCTGTGCATCTGCAGCTGTCCAAGTGGAACCTTCGCAATACGTTTGGCGCCGGAACGCCAACGCGAGACTTTGCCAATCCGTTCTTCGAGGCGCCGCGGGCCCGCAAAAGCTCGGCCAACTCGCTCTACAGCGACGACAAGCCGCGGTCTCCCGAGTTGCGGGCCATGTACGGCGGGCCGCATGTTCCTGGGGCGGCTGGGCCTGTTTCGGGCGGCGTTTCTGGCGGCGTTACGGGAGTTTCTGCTTCTGGCGGTGTTTCTGCTTCGGGCGGCGTTTCGGGCGTTTCTGGCATGTCTGGCTCGCATAGCGGCATGGTCGTTCCAGGCCCCGAGGCGGCGCTGGTTGGCCTGGCGTACTTGTTTGACGATCTGAGCGAGTCGATCCAATCGGAAACTCTGGAGTTGGAAGAAGAAAAGAAAACGAAAAATAGCAAAACGCCATCGCTGTCGAAGCTTCGTTCCACCACTTCCAAGCTCTTTGACAAGACGGGCACACAGCCGCGTCGCTACTCGACCATCCCTGACGATATCGATATTGAAGATTTCGACGACGAGCTTATTTACTACGACAACAATAACATCCGGTTCCCGCACTATGGTCAACCTGGTTCTAGCACAAACGATACGGCGTCGTTGCTTGGAAATGCCAAGATCCCGCACTATCGCCTGTTGAATTTCAACGGCCGCCGGCTTCCGAGCTACCCTAAGAAAAAACGTTACTTGTCGGCTGGTTATCCGACATCGACGTTGAAAAAAACCGTGTTTCCAAACGAGCACAGCCTCTACTATGACTTGGATGAATACGACGAAGAGGCTGCAGACAAATCGCCTGTTCGTGCTCCTCAGTTAGCACCACTTAATAATTTGTCACTTCCTCACAAAGTTTCGCAAACCAGTCTACGCCGTGGCAGACTTGGGTGTCTTCGAAGCTTTATTTATACGCTTGTGAGTTTTGTGTGCATCCTTTCAATTGGATTCTTCATGGGCTTTTTGCTTGCGTCGACAAAAGACCTCTCCAACATTTCTGTGGTGAGCATTGAAAATGCGCTCGTGAGCCAGGATGAGTTGGTGTTCAGCATTGTGGTTGAGGCGCTCAATCCAGGATGGTTTTCGGTGTCAATAAATGATCTTGAGCTTGACGTCTTTGCCAAAAGCGGATACCTTGGCGATGCCAGCGACTTTGGAGTTGAAACTGTGCTTTTAGGGAGCGTGTATAATTTCGAGTCTGAAATCACGTTCAAAGGAAGTTTCCTTTCCCGGGAGCTTGTGCAACAAACCGGAGAGATCAAACTAGTCGCTCCCGGAAGAAATCTCACAAGTATGTTGGTAGCAGAAACGAAACCTCCTCATCATCTTCCAGGCGAGGGAGATGCGCCGGATAATTCAGAGAAATGGAACATAATATCCAAACATCCGTTTGATTTGATTCTCCGTGGTGTGTTGAAGTATAATCTTCCCATGACTCTGAGTGTGAAGTCTGCGGTGGTGAACAAGGTGGGATACATTGATCCCTCTTTTCCTAACCTTTCAAGAGAGGAGTAAGGAAATGTATTGTGGAGAAAATTGAAAGCAATTTGTCGGATGAACCTCATCATGGATTGAGTTGTGTATTACACGGAGACTTTGCTTTCTTGTCTCTTTCAATTTCACTGATTCCTAATCTAACCACGCTAATTATCCGGAGATTGTCACTAGTTTAGTCTCCTCAAAATCACGTAATGGATTGTCTTAAGCACGGGTTCTGAGTCTGTCAGTTGGCTGAAACCCCATAGCCACTGCTACTAAAAGTATGACCATCTCCAGACATAGAATCACCTTGTCGAATATAGCGCTCTATTGGATGTTAGATTCGTCAATTTATTTATTAACTTACTTTGCCCTTTCTTGTGGTATTCTATAATCACGGAGGCGATCTCTGAGCTCGTCACATTCTTTTCCCTCTCGCGGCTCGAGTCTGACCCGAAACTCCTTCGGCTCGAAAGATGTGCCTGTTGGACACAGGTTCCCCTCGAACGGATCCAAGCACATTTTGAAGCGGGCGTCTTGAGGCGGCTTGATGCGGAACAAGAGAACCATGCGACACAATAAAGTGTGCAATTCTTTCAAAGCCAAATGACTTCCGGCGCACTTTCGAGAGCCTGCTCCGAAGGAAAAATGGTTGGGCGTGATTAAGTTTCCATTTGGATCAAGCCAACGGTCTGGAGAGAACTCGAATGGGCTCTCAAAGGCTGCCGGATCATGGTTCGCCGCATAGTTGTTCATGACAACGATGGTGTTGGCTGGAATGTATAAGCCACGAAAACGGACAGGTTTTGTTGTTTGTCTTGGAAGACCCAAAGGCAAAACAGAGAAAAAGCGCAACGCCTCATGGAGAAGGGCCATTGCATAACTGCATGTGCCATAAGTAGCAGCGTCCCACGCTGTTGCAAGGCTGCCGTTGCTCTGAAGCATTAATTCTTTCCATAGTCGCTCTTGCATGTCCTGGCCATAGTCGTGAGAAAAGTGGCCCATGAGATGGTCAAAAGTCAACGCCGAATTGTCTAGACCGGCACTGACCATGGTTAGGCAAATGCTCTGGAGCTCGCTTTCCGAAAGCGTCATGGGAGAAGCCTTGGCTCGGAGGATGTGTGCAAGCATGCTGTGATTGGCAAGAAACAGCCCGCCGTGCAACTGGACAAGGAAACTCTGGTATAGGCTGTGCATATACGAGTCTCTTTGCTGGCGCCATTTTGCTGCTCTGGCGTCGAACATGCACCGAAGTGGAAAAGACTGGAGGCCCGGAATATAGTCCTGGTAGTTGGCCACAAGCGAGCGCATGCGGATGATTTTGTTTTCTGTGGCGATGATGGTGTTGGCAAGGGAAGCGTCGCGGCCATGGCAGTCTAAGACGATTCCATACGTGAGACGGATCGCTGCAGACAAGACAAAGTATTGAGTTTCAAGCAAAAGCGACGTTTCGGCGGGGTGGGACAAAAGTTGGGCGATGCACTCGCTAGAGCACACGTCGATGTGGGATAGGATCGGAGGAAAACCGCTTTCATGGCCACTGTCTATGGACAGCAGTTTCGGGACAGAAGAAAGATTGGGCGATAACAATGCCCTCTGCGCATTTCCAGAAAGAACCTTCGATTGCACCCTCAGCGCCGAAAGTTCCAGCGACAATGTTTTCTTTTTCCGCCTGTAAGACGCTCCGGCAGGCGTGCTTCCTACTGTGAGCCCGTGGACGGCCGACACGACATTGTGGAACGTGTGCAAAGTGGGACGAGATCCAAGTGCCAGCGAATGGAGAAGCCACAAGTCGTGGACGTCGGCATGGGAATTGACCACAAGCACCGGCGTGCGGCCCAAGTGGATCACAAATAAGGCGTGGCCACAGGTTTGGGCCCACAGCAAAAAGACCCTGCTGGGATTGTGCAAAACCTGGCATGCGTTGCCTACAAGAGGATAGCCTGGAACATAGAAGGCACCGACAATGGGGCGGGGCGGGGGAAGAAAGAAGAGAAGCGCCACGAGAAGAAGTAAGGCGAGCCACATTATCAGAGATCAGAACCAGATCAGAACGAGATCAGAACCGAATCAGAACCAGATCAGAACGAGATCAGAACCGAATCAGAACCAGATCAGAACCAGATCAGAACCAGATCAGAACCAGATCAGAACCAGATCAGAACCAGATCAGAACCAGATCAGAACCAGATCAGAACCAGATCAGAACCAGATCAGAACCAGATCAGAACCAGATCAGAACCAGCTCAGACTCAGATTAAGAGACTTGGATCAGAACTAGGATCAGAACTCAGATCGGGAACTTAGATTAAGAGACTCAGATCAGGAACTCGGATCAGGAACTTAGATCAAGAGAATCCAGATCAAGAGACTCCAGATCAGGAAACTCAGATCAGGAAACTCGGATCAAAGTCAGATCAAAGTCAGACAAAGGTCGGAGGATGAAGAGAAAGGCAAACGAGCTAGAAACACAGATACCCCGCTGAAGCAAACAACAGATGGATTGTTCAGACGGGCGTGACAACTAATACGTCCAGGATTCTAAATTCTGAATCCCCAAGATACCAGAGCAATACCAGAGCAATATCAGAGCAATACCAGAGCAATACTAGAGCAATACCAGAGCAATACCAGAGCAATACCAGAGCAATACCAGAGCAATATCAGAGCAAATTTTCAGGCAAATCTTAAGACAAATATCAGCAAATCTTCAGGCAAATGTCAGCAAATAAATCTACCGAGCTAGCAATATGCGATTAGCAAGCCGGCGGCGACAAATCACGCCGAAGTAGCCTAGCAAGACGACAGAGCCCGGAAAAGTCACGGAAAAGTCCGACCCCAAGACCAGGTGGTGGAGAAAATAGTGCACAAAATGATGGTGCGGCGAAAACATCAAAAGCATGCGATAGCGCAATTCCCGCGGCTTTTCTTTGCGAGCGCGACATGCTATTGTGCAGCCGGATCGTACGTTGGCAACATGATGATGTAGCAGGGTTGAACTTTAGGGGCCATTGTGTAGTTTTTTTGTCTTTGATTTAAATTTTTACTTTTTTTTTTTTTAACTTTTCTTAATCGTAAAAATCAGCTGTTTTTGCCGTGACTCATGGCAGGTTAGGGAGCCCGGTGTATCTTTCTTCTTTCGTAAACGCACCCGTATTTTTCGCGGCAGCAGAGGGAAAGACTTTTTTGCAACTTCCACAGGCAAACGACATTGGGACCCCAATGTTGGGGGGGCAGAAGAAAGATTGGGGGCGGGGTAAAATCTGATTTGCAGGTTGGTGGAGGCACCAGCAGGTTTGTCGCATACTTGAAATGGCGCTTCCAAACGACAGACATGTCGCAAACCAGGGCGAATTGCATGCAACAGCGGCGAAAAAATCCCGTCGCTCCCCCGCTCCATCGGAGTTTTTCCGGGATGCGCCTATCGGGCAGAAAGGCGCGTGTGCATGCGTACGCGGCCCGAATTAAACAATAGTCTCCCGACATAACACTCACATGGCCCAGTCTCTTCCCAAATGTCGTTTGGCTGCAGCGTCTCACTTCTAAACTTTTGACAGCATATCCAGCGCCGTGTAATGCGGCAAAAGTTTCTCACTTGCCAGATCAATTTAAGCGCACCTGTATGCAGGCAACATGCTTATAGCTAGCACCTCTCGCTGCTGTATATTTCTCTTCCCCCACTCTTTTTCCCGCTTCTCTTTTTCGTTCTACCTCGCCGCATTTTTGCCCTCATTGTGTCTTCTGCTGGAAGAATAACCGGGAACCTTTACCTCCAGGTTTTTTTTTCCCTCTTGTTTCCACCTTTCTCCCCAAGGCTGTTTGCTTTTTCTGTGTCTGGGGGCCCATGGCCGCTTCTATTCGCCAACGAGGCGAGTATCTGAAAAATGGCTGCAAAGAATGCAAACGCCGCAAGATCAAGTGTGACGAGTTTGTGGACCCTCCGAAAGGGGTGGCTGCCAAAATCAATGCGCAGGGCCGGCCCCTGTGCTGGCAGTGTACGCGCCTTGGCAAAGAATGCGTCTATCCACGGAGGGGCGAGCGGGTGGCCCGCGTGTCACGCAAGGCGATGATGCTGCAAAGCATGGCGCATGCAGCAACAATGCAAGACGTGGGTGTGATGGCGCCAAGTGTCTCAACCACTGTTGCAGCGCACGCCACAGCTCGAAACGCAGTAAGCGTGCTGCCGCACGTCCCACCTGCCCCGCAGGCGTCTCAGGCACCATATGCGTCACAAGCGCAGCCGGTTACGCAGTCAGACAGCGTAGGATTGCTCCTGAGCGGCTTGAACTTCCCCTCGGTACTGATGGTGCCGGGAAATGTCTCGGGATCCGCTGGTGTCGCTGGTGTCGCTGGTGTCGCTGGTGTCGCTGGTGTCTCTGGTGTTGCGGGTGTCTCTGGTAGCGTGGCCCACATTCCGCCTCTCATCCCTCCGACAGTACCCCATCCCGTGTTCGGTGCGTCAGACTTGACCGACTCGGCGTCCTTGTTCAACATCAGCCCGTGGCGCCCGTATGACCACGGCGACTTGACTGGCTTGGCCACAGACTTAAACAATTTGGTCTCCGAAATGTCCGAACGCAATCACCCGACACCGCCTACACCTATAAGCGAGGGCAGCTCTAGTGAAGAGGCGAAAAGACACCGGGCTCCAGATGCTATCCCCCACAATATCTTGTTGGACCTGATCCAAGTCAACGGTCCGCAAGAGCACATGTTCCTTCAGAGATTTTACCACGAGTTTGCCAACATCATTCTTCCCTTCCAGCTGTATGATCCAATTGCACAATCTTACTTCAATCCCGCCCGTGACATCTTGCTCAAATCTGCTCGTGATGAACCATTCTTGCTTGCAGCCATCTTAGCCCAAGGTGCACGCCTGTGTTATGCTCAATCTGCTTTACCCGAAGATGAAGAGGCCCACTACCATTACTTGCTGCGATGTCTCAAGCTTCTAGGCCCTGCTCTAGGAGAGACCAGTGAAAAAGCTGGTCTGCAACTCGTGTCTAATATCGAGTCTGTCCTTCTTACAGTTCTTCTCTTGGCGTCTTCGAACGCCGCAAATCCAAAGCAAAACTGGCGCCCCCATTTGAAAGGAGCTAAAGACCTTCTCATCAAGCACACAGCCAGTCGTGGTGCTGTGGGCCGATCGAAGGTGCTAGTGTTTTGCAAATACTGGTTTATTCTGTTTGAGATCTTGGCTGGCTTGGGTCTGCGTTTGGGGGGAACCGTTCATCTGGAGCGTGAGCTCGATATCCTTTTGAATTGCTCTGATCCGCTCGAAACACACATCCTCACAGAGCTAGGAGTGTTGCTTCCCAATGGGTTCAACATTCTTGGTGGCTATCACAACGATTGCATCCATCTGTTTCGTGACATTATAAAGCTTCTAAACAAAGCACGCAACAACCCCATGTATGAGCGCTCCGAAACATCTGAATATGTACGCATCTTGGGCTCGCTTCACTCTCAGATGCAATTCGAGTTCCTCAACCGTCTGGGAATTTTTAGTACTTCCCAGCTACCTTTGCCGACTATTCCGCAAGGTCTTTTACTCGAGCGTTTACCAGGTGCTCACGACAATTTATTCATTAGTTGGATGGACACATCCCAGCAGACGTATTTGCTCGCTGCAACCCTTATCATGTTGACAAATTTCTTGTGCTTACCAATGGCATCGCCGCAAGTCCAGCTGTTGACAACGAAGCTCACAACTCTTCTTAATTATGCCACTGTGGCATCCCGCACCCTGACGATCAAGCACGTCATCATGATGGTGCAATGGCCGGCCCTAGTTGCTGGGCTCCATGCTGTAGGTTCCAGCGACAAGATCGTTGTAGGTGACGTCTTACGCTTTGCAACTAGGGTGGGTGCTGGCAGTGCAAGTCACACCTTAGCCCGGTTAGAACGCTTTTGGATGCATGCAGGTAAAGGTGATACAGAACCGGAGGATCACATCGACGTCGTCAACTATTGATCCATTACATGACTTCAGTCGCGGCGCTGGAAGCCGTAGGTAATATCTATAGTTGAACTACAGTCAATCTACGATATATTCCTGACTAAGGTGTACTTTTTTTCGTTTCAATATCTTTCTTTCGATGATTCATGCCTCCTGCAAAATATTATACCAGTTCATATTGTTGGCGGCCATCTCAAGTCTTGTATCAAGAGAATTCGAGGCTCCTCGTCTGTCGTTTTGAATCTTCCACCCAACACGTTCAGCCCCAAGTCTCGCCCCGTCCAAGTTGGCAGACGTTGGACCTATACGAAGTGAGGCATTCTTCCCAACCATATACAAGGGTAAATCCTCGTTCCACTGAAGGTGTTCCGTCAAGCAGGGAAACCCACCAACAACATCGATTGGAAACTCATTCAAAATTGGACGCATGAACTCCAAGCCTTCAATATCTGGCAGCACTCCAGTAGCGCAGCATACATAATCAGCCGAGAGCCAAGACTCTGTATCGTCGTCCTCAGCCCCCATCTCATCTAATGATACATTGTCTGAACTTTGCGTAGACGAGATATCACTGGATACGTATTCAATATTCAATGCCGCTATTTTTTCGGTCATTTCACTAGTAACTGAATTCATATCACTAGTAACTGAATTCATATCGCTAGATAATATGGATGTGTCACTAGTGCAAGGTTTCACCTCGTCAGATGTCGAAGGTTTAGCCGCCTTCAACCGTAACTTCCATCTTCCGTCCACCATTTCTGCTGCATCGATTGTAGTGTACTTCAACATAGAAAGACGTCCTGCTGCACAGTGTTTCTTAAGAAGCATATGGTACTCAGGGTTAACCAGACCACCTTCACGCGCATCTGCCATGAGCTGCAAACGTTCATAATCGCTGTCTAATTGGTAAAAGCTAGCCTTCTTGACATTTTTGTATTTTGTCACCCAGTCCAAGTGGAAATCAAAATGCTTGATCTTCTCTGGACCCCGGAGTAAAAGCGTCGTCGGGATTCCCCGCATGCATGCCACATGGGCCAATTGGGCGGAAGTGAGGCCTCCTCCGACGATAACAAGGTGGGCTGGTGTACGTTGGGAAATTCTCTTTTCCACAGCAGCTGGAGGAAAACGCACTGCTCCACTAAAGATATGCGTCGTATGACAAGTGTGATCAAGAAAGGATTGCATTTCTTCGTCCACCTGGTCAAGAACAGGCCTGAGCACTGGGAGGGGGAAATTGATCCGACCACGGTGACCGCTTGCAACGACACATACTTTAGCAGCGTAGATTTTTCCAGAGCTCGTTGTGACGATGAACCCGGTTTCGTGCATGCCCTTGTCGAAAATGTGCACGTCACCGTAGCAGATGGAAACTACTTCGTCCTTGCGTACGCAGTCGCCCAAATTGTAACGTTGAACCAAGCTCTGGCAGAAATCACAGAAAAAGGGCGTCGAGGGTCTGTAGTAGTCTCGCCACTCGCGCATGTTGACGTCCACTATTCCAGGACGGTCATGAGAGGAAGCATTTCTCGAGGCCAGCAGCGATTTCCGGCGCATGCGCTTTTGCTGATGCTTCAGCAATTCTCGTCCCACGACGTTGGGGATTTCCTTCAACTCGCTTTCGCGTCCCGTTTGGTGTGCCCAAGCGACCATGGCGTCGATGTTGCCCGGGTCCGGATGGAAGAACATGGGCGAGCGCAAGTGCGGAATCTGGCATGCCCCAAACTGAGCATCCCACTGGCCCATGAAGCGGTCGGCGACGGCGTCCAACACCAAAATCTCGTGCGGCTTGAGTTGCGACGCCAGTTCGTACTGGCGCTTGCCGTTTTTCATTTGGCGGCCATTGCGCTGCCTGAGCCAGTGGAACCGCTGGTGCTCGTCATCGGTGAAAACAGCAGCAGGCGTGTTTTCGCAGAGCCGGGCTGCCACTGCAAGGCCACAAGTGCCTCCACCAACAATAATGACCTCGAAGAAGTTATCGGAAAGAATATCGGGAACGGGAGCCATACAGCGGCATACTTCCCACCGCAGCAACTTTTATACTTCCCCATAACCACGTCAGTAGCGGCGGCCATTGCAGTCGCCAAACAGTGGCTCTGTGCTATAACCACAGCAGTACTAGAATGTCGCACTCGAAGAAGACGACATTTGCGGAGAAGCTGCCTAATTGGGAAATCATCAACACCGTCTACTCAGCGGTTGGGAAAAAAAATATTTGTCTAATTTCAAGCGCCTGCACTGCCGAAGGTTAAATGGTTTCTGCGACAGTGCTTGATTCTTATCTATCGTATATGCAGCTGCCTCCGTCGTGCCTTTGTTTGAGAACAATGCGTTCTTTTTCACATTGCCTGATTATTTTTTGTGTGAAGGCACGTCTCTTTATATATGCGCGCGAGATGGTGGCTGCAAAGATAAAGGATGTCCGGGTGTAGACAATAGCCTGGTGCACGGGTGTACTTGTGGTGTACGGGTGTGCTGCTCCAAACACCCGCTGCCACCCTTGTGTAAGGACAGCTGTTGTCGGGTATGCTCCTCCAACGTCCGAGGAGGGCTTTCGGCCAAGACTTTTTCTAGTTTTCGCCTTTTTCTGGTTATTGCCTTTTTCTAAACTTCGGCCACTGACTTTATGCTGTGTGCAGGACGCTAAATCGATTTTAGTGCTTGTGCGCAACAAAAAAACAGAAGTCGAAAGGTGCAGATCGTATATCAAAAAGAAAAGATAAGAATGGGAGCATAAGCTTCAGGCTCAGAACCAACATTGTAAGCGTATGAATAAGCCTTGTCAATCACAATATGCTGCAATGACATTTTATGTAAATGCTGAATAGTCCGCTTATTCTTGCTTCTGGCAAGGATGATTTGTATTGTCGTGTCTGCTATGCTGGGATTTAAGTTGGCGTAAGCTTCACCCCAATCTTTTTCCCAACGTTGGACGACTTTCAACGGGAAAAGTCGGGTCGTTTCGCTGTAGTATGGTGGGATTCTTCAAACTTTTGGGTGACATTACTCCAAAATCAGCTGTCTTGTTGTATTCGAAGAAGGTTATTCCAAATCTTCTCCGTTCCTCTTGGTCGCTTATTCCTTCCAACAAATGACTCCTGACGTGGGGGATATGCACCTCTTGTGAAACCCTTTGGATAATTTCTGAATAAGCAATTTGTGGATATGTGGCTGAACAATCTGTGGGAATTCGCCCATTGCTGTGTATTTTAGCTTCTGTTCTACGTCTCATGATGATCGTCCCGGACGAGAATGAATCCGCAGTTGGGCCCGTTTGGAGAAAATTAATCATCAGTAGTGTCATCTTGAAATTTATTGTCTTGAGAAATGAAATAGGAGCTTGTTAAAATACAGTCTCCTGTAGGCGTAATGCTGATTTACATGATTGAATACGATTTTTCTTACTATTGAAACTTGGTGTGCTAAACGACAAAATCACCATGAAAATCACTATGAAACATTGAGTTTTTCGTGTCACCAAAGTAGTCTTCTCGTCGAGATGGAAGAACTGAACTGGTATACGCCAGCCTTTACCATCTATCAAGAATTATTAAGAAATTAGATTACAAAAAAATTAAAAAAAACACAGATTGAAATTATCAGCACAATACATCATGGTAAAACGATGGATATCATGGTAAAACGATGGATATCATGGTAAAATGGACTAAAAAATAGAATTCCGTCCATACTCAACGAAATGCAACTTATTTCTATTCTTGACTTCCAACTTCTTTCCCCAGTATGCTTTGCCCTACATGCGTTCCTATGGATGTCTATTTCTTAAATCTATCAAGTACCAATAATATTCTGCGTCAGTTCCCCTCTGAATTTCCATCTTAGTATTCTCCGGCAAATCCTTCAATCAACGCCAACAAGCCCACTGCTCCAGGGTCTGGAACACCGCCGGCAAATTCACTCTCGTCGACGTACGACGCCCGACCAAACTTCGCCTCCAAGTTAGCAGTTTCCTCGCATCCGGCACGGGCCGCCTCAACGGCCTTTTTCAAGTCTCCAGACTCCACCAAAACGTCAACAAATGGTTGCAAAGTGTCGACCAACGTACGGCCGCCTTTTCTGGCCTTCGTGTACTTGAACAAACTATCATAGAGCGCCGCATGCAAAGCCTTGGCCACCAGGGCAATTTCGGCGTTCTGGGCCTCCTTCAAGTTCTTGACAAAGCCCGTGAGGAAAATGGCATAGATGCCGCCCGAGGTTCCGCCCATGTGGTCTTCGACAACGTCGGTGAGCGCACTTAAAACCGCCACAGGGTCGTCCAAATGCGGCTTGAGCTCCTTGGAATCAAGCGCCGCCAAAACTCCCTTGGCCCCGCTCTCAAGCGTCTCGCCACAGTCGCCGTCGCCCACTTGCGTGTCGTACTTCGTAATGAGCGGCTCCTTTTCAATCACACGGTTCATTGCCGCCTTCAATGCCTTGGAAAACCGGCCGCTGTCGATCTTCACGTTACCCTGAGGAAGAGAAACATTCTCCTTGTCATTGTGGGTCTCCTTGCGGTCTGCAGCCCACTGTTCGCCGCTGTACAGTTTAGGTTTCCATCCGGGCGCATCTGTAGGAGCATCCAAAAAGTTGAGAATGTCCAGCAGCGAATACTCGTCTGTGGCCGCTTTCTTCAAGTTAAGAAGCGTAAGCGAAAATCCAGGAGCGCTCAAGGAGGTGACAAAGTCTGAAATGTAAACCCGCGTTGGCTTTTTCTCCAAGGGACACCGGGCCACAGCATAATGGGCAATGGCATACAACTCCAACGAAGACGTGCCGCCAATGTTGTTGACCACCAAAACATAGTCGTCGTCCTTGTCGAAGTCCAAGTAGTGGCGCTCCTTGTCGTTTTCGTCCAACAAACGCTTGTACAACACGTCCACCAAGTCGGTGATGGGTGGAATCTGCAACTTTTCGCCGGGCTCGTTGTGGATACCAAGGCCCAATTCGGCCTGTCCTGCTCCTGTGAGCTCGGTCTCTTCGGCCTTGCCTGGAACTGACGTTCTGTCCAAAGCGGCGCTCATGGTGACCAACGCCGAATTGACTTGGCGGCCCAATGCACCCACGTGCGCCAATTTCCCGCCTGCTGCAGCGGCACCACCAACAACCTTGTGCACTATGGCTGTACCCGCCAAGCCACGGCGACCCACCATGGCGTTTTGCGTGCGGCCCACGGCAACATCGTCCGACACAGACACAACCTCAATTGGGTAGCCGTCCCGCTGGGCACGCTCGGCCACAAGCCCGAAATGCAACACGTCGCCCGTGTAGTTTTTTACAACCACCACAGCCCCCTGCTCCTTATTGGCGGTGGCTTTCAATGCCGCCATGATCTGGCGGGTCAGCGGCGACGCGAAAATGGCCCCGCTGACGGCCGCGTCGAGCAAATTCGATCCCACAAAGCCCAGGTGGAGCGGTTCGTGGCCTGCGCCACCTCCGCTAATTACAGCCACTTTTTTACCCGCCTTTGGGTTGAAAACAACCTTTTCTTCTGGAATTATCCCAAGAGCAGGATTGGCCGCTGCGAGCCCGCGCAAGGCCGAAAGAACCAAGTCGTCGTCTTTGGGGTAGATCCAGTGTTTGTGTGACATTGCAGAAATATGATTGTGTAGAAAGAAAAGCGGAATGAAAAAGATCAAAGTTGAGGCGGAAACTTCGGGGCACTAGCAAGTTATATAGTCCGACTTGCGTCATTGTGCGCATTGCAGAAGTATGCGCTTACGGAGAAAGCAAGAACATGGAGGCAAATTCCAGGAGAATGGACAAGATAAAAAAGAGGGTGGAGGCCATTCCACTTCCAGCTCTGGCGGTCTTTTCCTCTTAGAAGTGATGGTTGTTTTCTCTTATTTGGGTGCATGTTTTTCTGGACTTGAGCCTTGAGGTTATCTAAAGCATAAAACAATGCATGAAAAGACAAAACGTTCTTTGGTAAAAATTCATCAATGCATGGGGCAAACAATCTCGAGGGATTATGTACGTCGAAAAGTTTAATCAAAGTTGGGCGTTGTGTTTCGACTGCTTTGGCTTGTACATTGGAGATGACGGATGTCAGGCATAAACTATCTCATATTCCTGTTATCATTACGGATTGTAAGCATTGATTTACATCCCAGTGAAATGATAGTCTAGAATGTCTCCTTTGTTCAATTTGTCATTGGCAAAGTAAGTAGTGCTTAGGCACGATCATCAAGAAACCAAACATGTGAGTGGTTGTCTTGGCCTAGACTTCGATAGGTGTTTATTATCTACTTGACCCATCTAGTAGAGCCTTTCCGATTGTTGAACACCAAGCCACCCATTCATAACTCTTTGTTCTAACCACTTGATGAAAGCTCAGTGACATTGCATCAATTTAGGAACTTTAGTGTGCCGATCTTCTTCCGTGTCTCGCACTGGTATTGTCTATCAGAATCAGCCCAAAAATGAACTTTCTAAGCATCCACTAGCATGCTAATGATCGATTTTTAAAGTCACTCTATTACATATTCAAACTCTTTTCAATGCTGCGTAGATGGAACTAGCAACTACCTCGCCATAAGTATATTCTAGTTACTCTATCAGGTGAACTCTATGATTACTGGGTGGGTTCTACAAAGGCATAAGAAGACACTGTCAGTCGTGTTTGGGAGACTTCCATTCGTCTTCAATGTTCAAGCATATCTGTTTCCAAAACTTTTTAGTGTGGTTCTTCTCTGGGATGTAGATACCAGTAGAGGTTTAGTAGCTGGCTTCAATCTTTGAACCAAGACTCTGTCGAACAATGGCTTCAAGCTGTTTCGTGATTTCCAGGTAGAAAGGCTGTTTAGTGATTTATAGCCGTTTGAATCATCAGTCTTACCGTTCTAATTTGAGATCAGGATAGACATAAAAGCTTCCGAATACTCAATTCCAACGAAGCTGATCTTATTTCTAGAGCTGGAGTTAACAGCGATTGAATTTCCAGTTGCTCTTTTCCACCCTCTTTTGCAATCTACTGTTAGTTCTTCCATATAAGAGAGACTCGTCCTGATAAGAAGAACAAACTTACGAAGCACTATTGCAAAACTCAATGAAATGTGGCAGACAAAAGAAAACTCACAAAACCTCGCCTTTAAGCTCGCCTTTAAGATCGCCTTAAGCTCGCCTTTAAGCTCGCCTTTAGCCTCTGTTCGATTTGTTCTTCATTACTACCATTCTAGTGCATGGACCACGTTTGCGCGGTCACCTGCCGTTTTCGGAAGTCATCGCCAACTCCATCGCCAGTTTCCAAAAGACTCCACTTCACAGCTCTTCTCGCCGTTTCTTTCCGTTTCCGGCTCTCCTCTTTTCTCGCGCCTCCATGGTCTCCCGCAAGTCGAAGACATTCACCGGCTGCTTCACGTGTCGCTCGAGGAAAATCAGATGCGATCTCCATCGCCCACAATGTCTCAACTGCCGAAAATCGGATCTCACGTGCTCAGGCTACGACATAAAGCTTTGCTGGCTGCTTCCAGTCAAATTCACGCCCAATGGGCGCAATCCCATCCAGGGCCGCGTCGTCTTTCCCAAAGAAGACAAGCGGGCCAGCTTTTTCCAGCGACGAAGAGTGTCGTTTGTAGTGTGGGAAAAGGCCTACGAGACGTATGACGACATGGACCACGACCTCAACATGCTCCGGCCAGGGCCCGGAACGACTTTCCAGGGCCCCTTTGGTGTATTCCGACAAGAACGCAACAGTCTTGAAAACGACGCCCTCCAAGCCAAAACAGCACCTACATCGAGCCAGTCGCCTGCCGAGCAGACTTCTGTGGCGCCCAAGGCCAGCCCGAACGGCACGGCGGCGCTCCAGCCGGGCCACAACGTGGGGCTCGCCAACTTGGAGTTGGAGCAGAATTTCTCGGGCGAGCTCTGGCTCTCGACCGAGTTGCGTGAGCACGCTCTTCTCACGGCCGCAGCGCTCAACGGCGACCCGCAGTTTCTTGACTTTGCGCCGCCCGACGAGCAGACCGACTTGTTGGACTTGGTGTTCCACCGACGGCAGGAGCACGCGAGCGGGCCGTCCAGCTTCGCCTTCGCCGAGCCGTTGGAGATCCAGCTCCATGCGGCGCCGCACGATCGCGACGGCGCCCGCATGCCCGAAGCCCTCATGGAAATCGTGCGCCGGCCGCCCGACTTGGCCTTTGACGTTTCGCACCCAAACGGCCTTCCCGTGCCCACCACGGCGTTCCATGTCCAGCCTTTGACACGCTACTTGCTCCACTACTACGTCAACCACGTGGCCGACTTGATGACGGTGCTCCCGTTGACGGACAACCCGTGGAAAAGCATCTACTTCCCAAGAGCTCTTCTGGCCATCGGAGAACTAGCAGCTTTAGGCCAGACGTCGGCAGCGAAAAATGCGCTTCTCAACGCCCTCTTGGCCGTGGCCGCGTTCAACTTGCAGAGTAAGTTTGCCAAGGGATCGCCGCAGATGCGGTTCTACCTTGACTTGGGCATCCGGCTCCGCAACCAGGCCAGTCTTTTCGTCAAGGCGTTGCTTGGGCCCAACGACTCGGCTGCAGGCGTGGCCCGGTGTGTGGCGCAGGAAAAGTACAAGGACGTGCTCTGCGCCGTGATGTCGATGATCTCGGTCGACTTGGTGTGGGGCACCATGCAAGACACGGCCTTCTACTTGGACTGGTGTGGCAAGGTGATCCGGGCGAAAATGGCCCACAAGAGGAAGCTTCTGCCCAAGGCCCGGCTCTTGCACCGTATCTTTGCCAGCATGCGCCTCATCCAGGACCTGACCAGCTTGGACGTGGATAACGACCACGGGTCCGAGGAGTTTTTGGACGGGCCGTTTGGGCTTTTGGAAAAGGGCCGCATCGACTACATCGTGGACGCCACGCCGCTTTTCGTCGACAAGAAGTTGGTCAATGCCGACAAGCACGACGAGCGGTTTGCTACGGCGGCGCTCAACGGGCTTCCGAGTCTGCTTCTTGCGCTCTTTGGTGATACTGTGCGGTTGCGGCGAGAAATGATGCGCCAGAACGCTTCGCCGGCTTTCGCCGACAAAATTCTGCAGTTGCAGTCCCGCATGGACCACTGGACGCTTGACTGGAAACTTTTCGACGACCAGAAACGGTTCCCGTCGCCAATGCACGAGGCCACATACCTTCACATCATGTCGTTCTACCACGCTTTGGTGATTTACTTCCGCCGCTTGATTCAGCAGGTCCCGCCTTCCGAGATCCAGGACAAGGTGCGCCAGACCCTCGAGCATTTGAACCTGCTCCAGAAACTCATAGCCGCAGACGAGGCCCACATCATCCCGCTTTTTTGGCAGGGCTTTATTGCGGGATGCGAAGCGACATCGGAGGAGCTCCAGGCGGGCTTCAAACAATGGGGTGCCGATATAGCGCAGTATTTGGGCAGTTACTGGGGTGCCAGACAGATCATGCTTGAAGTGTGGAGGCGCAAACGTTTGCACGAAGCAGGCGCAGATTGGGTCAGTGTGATTCGGGACTGGGAAATGAACCTTATGCTCAATTAAGCATATACTATTGGGAAATGCATAGAAGTACGAGAGATGCTGTAGTATTTGTCCGCTAACTCTTGATAAGATAATTGTAGACAAGAAAAGTTGACGTTGGTCAAAGCCCAGTATGCGAGCAGGCACTCGGAAAAATCAATGCAATATCGATCATTCAGACACAAGTGTTTTTTTTTTTCAAACCATGTGAAGTGACGTTTCCAGTTTGACTATAGTTCTGGTAATGTTGAGGTTATATATAATGTTACATGAAGACCGGGATTGCAGGTTTGATTACTGACTTCGCATCTTCAACAATTAGAACCCGTCAGCCCATTATACTGATCACGATGATTTACTCTCAAGTTTGGCCATTGTATTCCTGCAAATTTACTGTTTTCCTGACTCTCTGGAGCTTAGGAGTTTCTTTGCTTTTCACCTGTAACATTTCTCGCAACTGTGGTCTCTGTAAAATGCCAAAGGCTACTCGAATGAAATTGGACCCGGGAAAGGACAACAGGAGGAAGAATATTAACTTTATATCCAAACAAAGACAAACAAAAGCGAAGTTTATCCTTTTCATCACAGTCATCCAGATGATATGGTAATTTCTTTGGCAATTTCGTTGGCTTTCTTAGTTTGTTATAGCGCAACATCTTTTATTCTAGACTGATTATGGGAGATGATGATTCATCCTACTCACAAATGAAGATCCCATTACAAAACTCAAGAAGAAGCAGCCCACTTCATATCTATTAAAGTTGAAGGGATATTCCAACTTGTACATTTCAGGCGTACATATTTCTCTAATTCGTGCCCAAACAGCGCATATTTTGCAAACATTATGCTGAGAATAGATTGAAATCTACGTAAGGTTACGAACAAGCGACATTCCTCTGTTCTCACGCAATAATCTATTTGAAGATTACCTTGATCCTTCTAGAAAACAAACAAAACGGTACCAGCTCTAAGGGACCCAATAAACTTCATTGAACGCCTAGATCTTTCTGAAGGTTGGGCTCTCTGCTGATCTTTTCTGTATCCGTGACCATGAAAACATTACTTTCAAGACAGTAATTGCTGATTAGTCATGCTAGGGATCTTTCGGCTTTGATTTCGTCAAAAAAGATCAATGTAGTCAATTCGGAGAAGAATACGTTTGATGGTATAGAAATGATACTTCTGAAAGTGCATTCATAAAAGCTACAGAGCACTTTTTCAGTAGAAGAGAAACATGGCACTGATCATGAAGTTAAACGTATACAAACAAAGTTGCACGAAATCTTGATCTGCCTCTATATGCGGATTGAGACCCATTCTACGCTGAAGCCGACGTCTCTGAAAATACTAACCTCTCGAAAATGGGGGTTTTGTTCGTTGCCCCGAAGAAACGGATCTGAAGATGAGATCGCAGCCTGCGTTAGCATGACATGTGGCTTTATGTGTTGGCAAACGATCAAGAGTCAAATACCACTCAAGTCAATTATCACTCAAGTCAATTATCAGTCAAGTCAATTGCCACTCAAGTCAATTATCAGTCAAGTCAATTACCACTCAAGTCAATTATCAGTCAAGTCAATTACCACTCAAGTCAAATATCACTCAAGTATTTACATGCCTATTATCCTAGTAGTCAACTTTACCGTGACGGATCTCATGGCTATCCATATGAACCATCTAGGCGGATCTGGCAAAGACCCAGTCAAAAAGGTTACGAACACCTCTGGCCAGGGTTACTGATTTCGAGAACGCGGACATTCTCACATGGCTGAACAGTAGCCCGAGCCGAGAGGAGACATACACGGTCGAGCCACATAAGAGCATGTACACCGTCCACGCGAGTCGGCAAGAGCCGTCCTATTGTGTCGCCTTTACAACGGCAAAAGCGCATTCCCCGATTGGTATGGCGTTGTGCCCGATTTGGCCAAGGCGCGCGCGCTTCTGGACCCGCAGCAACGCGCAGGCAGGGGCCCTTCGCTTGCATACAGTCATGTTTGTTTTGCATCGAACGCGCGTGTTTACCAAACACGCATCTAGCCCATACATCTCCACACTTTATACCTGACGCCGTCTCGCCATACGCGTCGTGGATACTCCTGTCAAACGGGCGTGTCTGGTATGCTTGGCTGTGACAGCGCGTTGCGTCTGCTTCTGGACCGAAAAAGAAAAGACGACAGCCCAAAACTGAAAACTATATAAGACGCCCCACCTCCTTCGTTTTTCCAGTCCATTACCAACTCACTTTTACACTCGCTCAACATGAAGTTCGCTCTTGCCTCCGCTGCCCTTGTCGCCTCTGCCGTTTCCGTCTCTGTCGAGTCCGAGTCCGTCTCTCTTGACATTGCCTATGTCACCCACAATGTCACCACCGAGGTCACCATCACCTCTTGTTCCGACAACAAGTGCGACAGCACCGTGGCCCCAGTCCCTCTCACTTCGTCTGTTGTGACCACCACTGTCAGCGGCGTCGAAACCATCTACACCACTGTGTGCCCTGAATCCACCGAGTCTGCTCCAGCTCCAGCTCCATCTGCCCCAGCTCCAGCTCCATCTGCGCCAGCTTCCGCCCCAGCCCCAGCTCCTTCTGCCTCTGCTCCAGGTTCTGCTGCTCCAGCGCCAGCTCCTTCCGCTTCTGCTCCAGCTGCTGCTCCTTCTGCTTCTGCTCCAGCTCCAGCTCCTTCTGCTCCAGTTTCTGCCGAGGCCGAGAACTCGCCTATCCCAAGCGGATCGGATGTTTACGTTGACGTGACCAGCACCCCAGTCGAGACTGCCTCCACTGGCGTTGAGCTCACTGTCACTGCTCAGTCTTCTTTCACTTCGGTCTACAACAGTGCCTCTCCTTCTGCTGGTGTCAGCACTTACGCTGGAGGTGCTAACAGAAACGCAATCGCCGGTGCTGCTGGTTTGGTCGGCGCTGTTGCTTTGTTGTTGTAAGCCTCGCGGCCTGCTTGTAAAATATACGGTATAGGGTTTAAATCAATAAGTTGTTTCATGCGAGTAGATGCAGAAATGTGTCAAGAGTGCACGTAGTCATTGTCGACCGTTGGACTGACGAGCAAAATTAATTCGCCAGACGACTAATCTAAAATAGGAGTATGTTTGCGGACTGCTTCTTTAAACTTGTGGTGGCCATCCGAATTTTACAATGTGAACGCGTCCGTTTTGGTGTAGTCTAGATGGCATTTACTGTTTTAGCTCGCGTTGAAGCTTGGTAATTGCGTTGTTCAAAGTGCTATGTTGGCCGAACACTAAAAAATAGTCATAATGTACTACTACATGCGGTTCTATGGACTGTGAATCGTCGTACACATTAACGCCTTGACGTTTGCTCACATACGCCTTAATTGGATTCTACTAGTTTAGTTTCAATCTAATTGAGAGACGCAAGTTTCAGGAGAAGTTTACAGCAACATAGTAAGCCCTGCGTTCGGTGTTGTTAGAACAAGTACTAGATTTGTTCTAACAACTGTCCTTTCCACCCCTAAACCTTTCCTAGCTTAGGTCATCATTTCATCGAGAGCAAGCTGTTCCCTTCCATCTACATAAACCTACTCGAATCCAAACTTTGTAATCACAATTTCACTGTACGAGCCTAAAGCTCTCTATACCCTTACAACTCATCATCGAGCTGAGTTTTCCCCGATGGGACATAAACTGCCTTACCCACATAAACATCCCAGAACCCACTGACATAGTACAAGGTGAGATCATAAATTGTTTTGGGAAACTGCACGTATGAGTTCCAAATGAAGTGCAAAGCCTCCTTGACGTTTTCCAACTCATCCCAGAAAGTCTGTTGTTGCGTACTGTGTGTCAAAATACCTTCCTGTACCACTACTTTCTCAGGCAATTCATTTTCAGCCTCTGTTTTCTTTTCTTTAGGCTGGAATGCCATGAATGGGAACTCGAGGCCTCGGTCATGAAGCGGCTCATAATCTCCCATCTGCGCCCGCCCTTCTGCAACATCCTGCAAGTGGCGCAAGTACATTTGCTTGAAGTTGTTGATGGATGCAACGGATTTCGAGAGACGGTCGAATGTGTTGAAGAGCGCCACCAACTCAATACGGCGGAACTTCACCAAGTGTTGAATGTCTGGGTCTTCCAGGTCAAACAAGATCTTGAGCGCTGTTCCGTAACCGATCGTCTGCAACTTTCCCCACATGCGGCATCTGTCGCATCCAACGCAGTCCATGATGGCCGACACATTGCGGAAGCGCAGTCTGAATTCGTTTTTCAACTCTGGGTCGACGGTTTGCGGGTCGAAAAGCCTGTGGGCATCGAAAAGCGTCTCCTGGGCCAATTCCGAAGTGATCTCGCCCAACATTTCTCCGTACTGGCGCACATTGACATGCGAGTTGATCACAAGCTGGTCCGAGTCGGCCTTTGCGTTGTTCTCGATGTACGAGGGCACCAGTACCAACTCGGACAACCGAACAATCGCCTGCGATACAAGCGCATAGTTGAAGTAGATGTTGGACAAGCGATCGCCAAACTTACCTACACGGTCCATGAAAACCTGGAGGTTGGGCTTGAACTCGCCTGTGGTCAGGTCCAAGTACTCGTTTGACAAGTGCACGGCAATCGACGCATGGAGACCGGAAATCACACGGTAAAACAAGTTCTTCTCCACACATTGCTCGCGCTCGCCGTCCAGCGACATGGGGCTGGTGTTGGGGAAACAATTCTCCGAGTAAATGGCCTTCCACACATCAAACGACTGCACACCACCGTATCCGGTGAAGCGTTCTGGGTTTTCCACCAAGTCCACAAAGACACAGTTGTTGCCTTCGTCAATGTGGCAGTAGTCCAAATCCTCGCATGTCTCGGCCACGTCGTTGCCGGCAGGCTCTCTTTGGATCAGGCCCAACTGCGCTGGGCTGAGTTCTTCTGACACCTCGGACCAGTTGAACTTGTCCAAAACCTCAACAGCACAGTTGCGGGTGGCACAGAAATGCTGGGCGTTCCAGAACTTGCACTGTTTGTCCAAGTCAAGCTTGAAGTGGCGGAAAAACGGCGTCTGTATGAGTTTCTGGAGCACAGGCCGGAGATGAGCATTCATCTGATCAATGTAGGAGAAGGTTGTGTTGCATGTTGGGGTGATGATCTGCAGACAGAAGTCGGGCGAGTCAAAGGGCGTAACCGAAGCAGCTACAAGTGCCCAAATCAGCACGAACCAAGCGAAAAGAGCAAGTTGCATTGGTGTTGCAGTTTCCAGATGGCGAAATTTCAATCAGTGGGCCGACGGCGCTTGGACGTCACGTGCGCGGAAAAACCGCCACGTCAGTCGTAGAAGCATACAGAAAAACCACGGCAAGATTTGGGGGGCGACCGCATTTTTCCATTTGTGGGCGCTTAATTACAGGCCATTTGTATGAAGGCATTTACAGCTAGCAGGATTGGGCCAGGCTGGTGGTTAGGGGAGTTGATGCTTGCAGCATTGAATCGTGCTTACATTAGCATGCATGGTGCATGGGCCTGCGTATGTTCCATTGTATTGATGCCGCCAATCTTCAAGCTAAATATCCTACACTTGTCAATCTAGTCGGGCACTTTTGCCACTTTAGTCGTCAAACTTGATCTTTTTCGCAGACTTGGTCATGTCCACGTCTTTGTAGAACGCACCATAAGCAGAGTGGGTCTTCTTCTTTGTGTGGCCACCAAACTTAAGCAACTCCTCCGGCACTGGCTGATTGGCTCCACGCAAAATGTTCATCAACGCTCCACTAAGGTGCTTCTCGTGCTCGGTGAAAAGTGTGTGTGCAATTCCCGTTTGGCCAGCACGGCCCGTACGTCCGATCCGGTGAACGTAGTCTTCGGCAGTCAATGGGAAAGTCAAGTTGATGACAACCTTGACGTTTGGAATGTCGAGACCTCTCGCAGCCACATCGGTGGCCAACAACAAGTTGGACTCGCCCAGCTTGAACTGGCCCAACGCGTGTGTTCTTTGCTGCTGCGACAAGTCGCCGTGGATAGCGGCCACCTTGAAGCCCGATCTTTGTAAAAGTCCTTCGACACGCAGAGCCTCTTTCTTGTACAACGCAAAGATGAGCACCTTGTCGTTTCTGTTGCTGCCCGATTGGTATTTTCTGAGCAACTGCACCAATTTTCTTTCCTTGTCTCTTGGGTCGATCACTTCCACAATTTGCGTGATTCTCTTGTTGGCTGAAAGCTCGTCTCTCTCACCAATGGTGACTTTCACGGGCGACGTCATGAACTCCGCAGCAAGCTCTCTCACTTCCTTGGGCCATGTGGCAGTGAACATCAATGTCTGGCGCTGTGCCTTTGCTGGGGTGTGGCCAATAATCTGTTTGATGTGCTCCTCAAACCCCTTGTCCAACATACGGTCTGCTTCATCGAGAACCAAATAATCGACCGACGACAAGTCCACCAATCCATCTTCCAACAAATCAACCAAACGGCCGGGGGTGGCCACGGCAATGCTAGCAGTCTTCAACTTCTCGATCTGGTCCATTTTGCTCACTCCACCGTAAACGGCCACACACGAAATGCCAGTAGCTTTAGTCAAAAGCTCCAAGTTATCGTAGATCTGCAAAGCCAACTCTCGGGTGGGCGAAAGACAAAGCACCTTCAAGCCCTGTTTCTTTTCTTTCAAAATGTTGTTGACGGCTGGAACACCAAAGGCAAACGTCTTTCCCGATCCAGTTTCGGCCACTCCAATCACGTCCTTTTGACTGAGCAAATACGGCCAAGAAACCGCCTGGATTGGCGTAGGCTTAGGGAATTTAGAGATGACTTTTTGCACTTCCGACACCAAATTCACATGGTCAAACGACAATAACGGACGGAGTCCCAAGTTGTGAGGATCTTCAACGGCCACTTCGTTTTCTTCCAAGAAGGCCTTGATTTCCGATTCTGGAACATCGCTCAAAGTCTGCGATTGAGTGTAGAAGTCTGAAGAGCTGTCAGTCAGGTCTTGCAATTTGGTCAGTTCATTCAGTTCCTTCTTGTCCTTCTTTTCCTTTTTGTCTTTCTTTTCTTTCTTCTCCTTCAGGTCTTTCTTGTCCTTCTTTTCCTTCTTGTCTTTCTTTTCCTTTTTCTCCTTCTTTTCCTTCTTGTCCTTCTTCTCCTTCTTCTCCTTCTTGAGCTTCTTCTCTATGTCATCAACAGCCTCAGCCTTTCTCTTTTTGTCCTCTTTGCTCATCTTGAAAAGTTTTATGCGTCTTAAAACTTCGCGGGACAAAAAAACTACTTATGCATCAGCTAATAAACATACAGTATTGGCACATCTGTTCGAAAACTCGTTACTTTAGAGATCAGACGTGCCCATCTTTGATAATTTATCAGCTTTTCCATTATGAAACTATTGTGATTACCCATGATAAAAACCTCTTGTAATTACCCATCTCTATCGATTGTCGCTTTTCCAATCTGCCATTTCTCCACTTAGCATTAACTTGTTCTCTTCCATTCATTTTATTATCTCTTTTTACGGTTCCCTTCAATACAGTTTACTTGTGCCCTTTTAAAGTCCATCGGCTTAATCAATATCTGTTCCAGCAAAATAATTTCTAAAGCATATTCACTGTCAAATTTACGAAGCTCATCTCATCGAACCTGCACCTTTTCTCTTCACTTATCAGCTCCTGTATCAAAGCCCATCCGTATCAGAAGACACCAAGCTCAGAATTGATCCTACAGGCTATTACATTCATATTGTTCTTGATTCCAATATAAATTAACCGGATGTACCTTCCTTTTCCCATCTGAATGTTTGTTCAGTAAAGCCCGTTCTAGTCCAAATCTTTTCTTCGGCCTTCATCCAAATCAACTTGATCGAGGGATATCCACTTGGTTTTGTTTACGAACTTCAAAAACAAAAACAACACAAGGGAAAAAGGTAGCAATATGTAAGCATCAACAAAGTCTTTAGCGGAAAAAGGCTTGAATGTAGACCATCCTTGAATCAACCCCAAGAATACGTTGATTACTACTCCAAAAATGGGAAGGTACGGAAACCACATACCACGAAATGGCAATTCATCCAAGCTGCGGCCCTGCAACTTCCACGCTTTCCGGAACCGAAGGTGATACACATTTACTGCACCCCACACAATGAAGACAGCGACACCTGAGAGATTCACAATGTACAGATAAGCCTTGGCAGCACCAGTTTTCACGTTCATCAAGGAAATTAGGCCAAAAAGATTGAACAAAATAACAGCAAAATAAGGAACACCTCTGCCGTTTACTCTGCTTAGAATACGTGGAGCAGAACCTTCGTTGGCTAAATGGGTCAATGTTCTAGACCCAATGTAGATAGAGCTGTTGATAGCAGAAACGCAGGTTAACAAAATGAATGCGTTAACCAAATGAGCCCCTCCGTCCCAGCCTGCTCGTTTGATGGCCACAGTCATTGGTGACTTTATGGTTTTGTTACCTTCTGTCAAATTTGGATCGTTGTAAGGCACTGTCAAGCCGTAGAAGAAAGCAATGCCCATATAAATGACCAAAATACGGACAAACGTCTGTCTGACAGCTTTGGGAAGCGCCCTTGATGGGTTTCTTGCTTCGCTAGCAGCAATAGCAATAGACTCTGTTCCGGAGTAGAAAGTCGAAGCAAATACGAAAGTACTGACGACTGACTTGAATCCATTAGACAAGCTTCCAGGATTGTGCCAGTACTCAAATCCAAAGGCTTTATGCCCCTTAACACCGCCTGATGCGTAAATTATGGCGAAAAGATAAAACGCCACGATGCCGACAATCTTGCAAAGCGCCAACCAATATTCTGCTTCACCGAAACTCGCCACACCAAGAAATTGGAAAGCCAAAAACGCAAACCAGAAAATTAAGATGTAGCCGTAGAGGGGAACCTGCGGCCCCCAAAACTGCATGATTGCTGCCACTGTATTGTACTCGTTAGCCAAAACAGCGATCCAAATAATTGCATAGTTCCATCCTATCGTGCCACCTATTGCCCTGTCCATGAATTTATTCCCTAATGTGGAAAACACATTCCCCAGCGGATAAAGTGTGGCTAGCTCACCTAAACTTTGCATCATGGAAAACGCAATCAAACCAATCACACCAAAGCCAATAAGCAAGCTTAGGGGTCCATTTGAAGTCGGAAGGGCAGCACCAACCAAAATTCCGGGGCCGATGATACCAGCAAGCGCCAAAAGCGAAATATGGCGGTCTTTGAACCCTCTTTTCAAGGGTAAAGACGATTTTTCGTGGTCGAGAGATTCCGAATCCGAAACTGACTCGAGCTGGTTGTTGATCACGATATCCTCATCTTTCGTACTGGAAAACCACATTTCAACTAAAAGACGATGGAGAAGTTTTTTACTGTGGTTCAATTGCCCCAAATTATATGCTGCAGTTGCACGTGATCCTGCATCACTAGGAACGGCGATGTGCACCCTGATAACCTTGACGGAAATAGACGTCCAGCCAAGAAAGTTGGGGATGCAAGCAAGAACAAAAGAATACAATGGAAAGGAACTTGAAAGAGACTTGGAGACAGATACCTTTCAGACAAAAGCGGTAAAGCCGCATCACAAGTTTCCGTCAGATGCACATGAAGGACCGAAAACATAAAATGTGTGGGGTAAGATACAAGAAGCAGACATTAGAGAAACCAAGAAGTAGAAGCAAAACCAGGAATACAAAGTAGTAGAACAAATAGAGAGTAACATGGAAGCAGAATCAAATAGAATCAAGACCAGGAGACTTTCAGACAGATGAAATGCATCGAAGCAGTCGAAAAGTCCATGGGTTAACATGCTCGAAACCATCAAGTCAGGCTAACACAACTGAGCCACAACATTCAAATATAGCGGCGACTGGCCGACCTGACGCCATAGGCGAAAGATCTTCTAAGCCAGCCAAACCACACGATCCCGCCAAAAGCTTTCGCGAGGTTACAAAATTCGCTAGGCCGTTGTCGGGCTTGTTCTTCTCCATCACCAGAACCTATAATTCAACGAGGATGAATATAGGGCAGAAACAGGAGTGTGAACTACATGTGTTTTTCGTAGTAATGTGTATTGGTGTTCAGAAAAAAGTGGGCGCCCGCGTATATATATGATGTTTTGGAGTTACCCGGATATCATCTGGCCATTAGGTATTTATTAGGTTTATCCGGTCAGTATAGTCACGGATTGTAACTGTTTAGAATATTCATGTCAAGTGAACCCGACGCTTGAAAATCTTTTGAAAATTTACGGACTTATCAGGCGCTCGAAAAATGAGTAACAGTAGCTTATGGCAGAACTTTGGGCTGATATTAATTTGTAGTTGTGAACTGATCTATATTTATGTTGCATTTTTATTCGTCTCTTGTGTCCTAAATGCATGATAGATTGGATTTTCTTTATGGTTGGTTCCGTCCATGTTCTGCTGACCGACATTTAGTTTCTCTCATTACCTGATTCTAATTCTTGCGCTATGTCTTTTACTCATCAATTCTTACTTACTATCATTTTACTATCATTACTGTTTTGATAAATGACCTTGATACTTCACAGAACACAAGCATCGGAAATATTCTTTGTTGAGACTATTTCCGTAAGCCAAGAACAAGTAACGTGGTTTTTCTCTCGCTCTTTGCTTTTGCTGTGGAGAAATAGTTTTCAAAGACCTTTGATGTCTTTGCTTAGAGACCTCCTCATATAAATGGTACTATATCATTACCTTGTGCCGGCCAGACCAGGCCGATCATTACTAGCAGGTTTACATGATCAAAGGTCTTCAAGGCATGCACTGCCTCATTCAATCTCAAATCTCGTCTTATTATCACATATATCCATCTGTCTAGGTAATCCGCATCATATGCGCAACATCGTCTTGGAAAGGATTGTAGCGCCTCTTTCGTCGAACTGAATGCAATCACTTGTGTTCTGGTCTCATGTCCGCTCTTCTAGGAGCCTCCAACGGGTGCAATTGCGCCAAATAGGTGATGGCCCACATCAAGTAGCACATGGCCAAACCCAAGATGATTGAAGATCTCCACACCGTTCGGTTTTCCTTTGGCGCAAAGTTCCATGCCAAAACTGATAAAACCACTGTCAATACTAACACAATAACAACAGTGTAACTAGGCGTTAGTAAAAAGCGAGAAAAAGCTTTGAAAAAAGTCTTGGGGCGAAGATTGTTCCAGCCCATAGCCTGACATACCCGCTCATATTGGAAGTTGAAGGAAAGATTAGGTTGAATTGATAGCGAAAACGAGGTGGGTGGGGCACCCGTACACCAGGCATATTCACCCAATTCTGGATATGGAAAGAATAGGTTTTAGAAAAGAAAATCCGTGGATGTTCGCTCTGTTGTCTCTGTTTCTGTTGTTTCCGGTTGTTATGTCCCCTTTTCTTGGTATTTTTTTGTGTAGCGTCTATACTCTCTTGTTTCGTACTTTTGTCCATTTCAGCCAAATGCCCGCATTTCTGCGCATTGATACCCCAACTAGAATATACAGAATATACATCTACATGCGAATTTAAGAATCTTACCCTAATCTCACCTTAGTCAACAATTCTGTTCGAACAACCTGTACCATTGAAGTTCAGCTAAACCCCACCACCAAAGTTCCAGCATGGCCAAAGTCCCTACTAAAGTGGTCAACTGGCTTTACACGGTGATCCAACCACATTATCTCCACAAAGAAATCGTCTACTCTGACGTCTACCGCTTTCTTGCTGTCCACTTGACGCATGGTTTCCGCATCAGAACGGCCGTGTACACGTCTCCGTCCGGCAGAACCAGTCTTCTAATTGAGCTCTACGGGTCTGTAAGTTGTGCCAATGGCAGTGTTCCCGTGCAAATCTGGATCCCGCAAAACTACCCGTTTGCTGAAGATTCCGCTCGCTTCGACCCCAACGGTGTCCCTTTGGTTTACGTCATGCCTCCGCAAGACATGATAATCCGCCTGGGGAACAACGTTGATCTGCAAGGACGCTTCTACCACCCGTATCTTTCTCTGTGGCACCAGAATTACACGCCTGGGCCCGCCAGAAACGACTTTTCGTTGCTTCTGTTGGTGGGATGCTTGAAAACCACTTTCGAAAAGGAAATGCCTTTGGCTCTTCGACCGGTCACCACAGGTCCAGCATTGCCGCCGAAACCGTCTCGTTCCGAAACGATATCGCCCCGCCGTGAAACGACAGGACCGCCGCTCCCTAGAAAACCGGACATTCCCCTCAAATACAGAGCCCCTCCGCCTCTTCCTCAGCAGGACCAGACTTTGTCAGGGCAGACTACGCCAGACCAAAATATGCGGTCAAGGCATAATCTGCCCGAGAAATTCATGGCCGAGGAGTATCGCACACACGAACAAGGCCGTCCATCGGAGAGAGTGGCCTTTGAGAACTATCGCATGGAAGAAAATAAGAGTAAAGACAGCGACAACTGGAGAGACAGCGACAACTGGAGAGACAGCGACAACTGGAGAGACAGCGACAACTGGAGAGACAGCGACAACGAGAGAGTCAGCGACAATCGGAAAGACAAAGACAATGCGTCATTTGTCCCGCATCCGCACAAGACACCCGAGGTCGAGGATCTTATGGACAAGATCTCCACGGAACACAGTGACGGAAATGTTCCTCGGCAAGTTTTGGAACAGATCGCCCAGCAAATCAATGCTGTCCTCGCAGACCCTGTGGGTGTAAACCACCTGGTACAAGAAATTAACGGCCTTTCTCATAAAGTGGAGGCGCTCCACTCCCAGCTTCTGCACCACAACATGCAAGCAGAGGCCAATAGCAAAAACCTCGAGGGCCATGTTTCCTATCTCCGCACACAGATCCAGGCCATCACCGATTTGAACCGGACTTTAGGCGAATTGGACGTGGTGAATACAGAAGACCCCGATAGAATCACCACAAGCTTGGATCCTAAAGTTTCTGTGCCGTTGGAAGAGCTTGTATCTGCAGATCTGGCGTTGGTGCACCAGCTTTACAATGTGTGTGCTGATATCAAAGCCCACAAAGATACCATCAATCTTGTTGCAGGAAACTTCCGCTCTGAAGCCGAACTTATCAGCGACTCGAACATGGACGCTTGCATCAAGGCGGTCCGTAACCTCGCCCGTGAAGCTTTTTGGCTTGAAATCGAAAGAGCAGAAATCGGCAAGGCTATGGGTTTACAGTAAGTGGACGCATAACTGTACATTAGAAAAGTGTGAGCCATGAATAGGAAACTTCTGGCTTCAGACAGCTACAATATGGAAGACAGGGTCGTATATCCACAACATAACAACAACAATAATGTGAAAGAGAACTTATCGTCGAATTGCAAATGACAATCCACAGCTAGAAGGCAAGGATGCTAAAATGGGACCATATGGCTTATTATTTCACTTGTGAACATAACTACAGCAAATGCGAAACCAGAGGCTAATTGAAGTCCAGAGAAAAATGCCAAAACCGAAACAAGCGATTGAGAAGCCGCAATTAACATGTATAAGAACTGGCCTTAGGTCGAATGTTCTTGGGTGCATGCCATATCACCATTTTTAGAGAGGTTTATAATATACAAAAATTGACAAAAGAACCTCATTATCTTCCATCCCTAACATTTGTCTTCAGTTCGCAATACACTTTAATTTGTATTTTTCAACGTAGAAATAGTCTACGGTAGAAATTTTCTTGTTTCCGTTGGTGTTTTGCTTCTCTATCTATCTGCCTGCACCTGCATATACTATAACTTCTACCCCAAGAAGACCGACCCAAAAAACCCATAAAGAGGAGTACCTCTAGTGATACGACAAGAGAGTCTCATTGGTATTCCTCATTCCTCTGCGAATACATTTTTTTCCTCCCTTTTCTCTCCAATTAATTCTTCAGTTCTCCCTCGTTTTTGGAGTGCGCCTAAAAAGTGCGCGATGCCTTGAGAAAAAAAAACCACCACTTTTCTTCTTTCTCTAGCAATGGCGGAATACATGATCAAGCCAGAATCTGTGGCGCCCTCCAAAGACACATCGGAGTGGCCGCTTTTGTTGAAAAACTACGATAAATTGTTGGTTCGTTCCGGCCACTACACGCCCATCCCCGCCGGTGCCTCGCCTTTGAAAAGAGACTTGAAGTCGTACATTTCTTCCGGTGTCATCAACTTGGACAAGCCTTCGAACCCATCCTCGCACGAGGTTGTTGCATGGATCAAGAGAATCTTGCGTGTTGAAAAAACCGGTCACTCGGGTACCTTGGACCCTAAGGTCACTGGATGTTTGATTGTTTGTGTGGACAGAGCTACCCGCTTGGTGAAATCGCAGCAGGGCGCCGGTAAAGAGTACGTGTGTATCGTGCGTTTGCACGAGGAGTTGGAAGACGCCAAGGAAATGGGCCGTGCGTTGGAGAACTTGACTGGTGCTTTGTTCCAGAGACCACCTTTGATTTCTGCTGTCAAGAGACAGTTGCGTGTTAGAACCATCTACGACTCCAACTTGATTGAGTTCGACAACAAGAGAGGCTTGGGTGTTTTCTGGGCCTCCTGTGAAGCCGGAACATACATGAGAACCTTGTGTGTTCACTTGGGTATGTTGCTTGGAGTTGGTGGACACATGCAAGAGTTGCGTCGTGTCAGATCCGGTGCCATGGGCGAAAACGACAACATGGTCACTTTGCACGATGTCTTGGATGCCCAGTACGTCTACGACAACACCCGTGACGAGTCGTACTTGAGAAAAATCATCCAGCCTTTGGAAACTTTGCTTGTGGGCTACAAGCGTGTTGTTGTCAAGGATTCCGCTGTCAACTCTGTGTGCTACGGTGCCAAGTTGATGATTCCTGGTTTGTTGAGATACGAGGACGGCATTGAGTTGTACGACGAAGTTGTCTTGATCACCACCAAGGGTGAAGCTATCGCCATTGGTATTGCTCAAATGACCACTGTGGACTTGCAATCTTGTGACCACGGTGTTGTTGCCAAGGTCAAGAGATGCATCATGGAGAGAGACACCTACCCTAGAAGATGGGGTTTGGGTCCAGTGGCACAAAAGAAGAAGCAAATGAAGGCTGACGGAAAGTTGGACAGATTCGGAAGAACCAACGAGAACACCCCTGAGTCCTGGAAGCAAGAGTACAAGGACCACGCCGAAGAGCCTGCTCCTCCAGTGCCTGAGTCCAAGTTGGTTGCTCCAGAAGTGATGTTGCCAAAGAAGAAGGAAGACAAGGAAGAAAAGAAGGAGGTGAAGGAAGAGAAGAAGGAAGAGAAGAAGGAAAAGAAAGAAAAGAAGGAAAAGAAGGACAAGGAAGAGAAGAAGGAAAAGAAGGAGAAGAAGGAAAAGAAAGAAAAGAAAGAGAAGAAGAGAAAGGCCGAAGACGACGAGGAGCCAAAGAAGAAGAAGTCTAAGAAGTAACCAGCATATATCTAGTCCGCGTGACACTTTGTACATTGCTTTAACATGTGAATTAACCTGAAAATTGTAGAAAACGTACCAATATAGCTGCATCGCCGAATTGGAGAAGAAACCAATAGGTGAAAGGGTAATCTTTGTTCCGAATGAAAAAATTGGTCCTACAAACAAGACCAGTAGTCCTGTAATTCATGATCTCTCTTTCTTGAAATAATGCTTCAGCAATAGATGCTATATAGGGCAAATAATTACGTCTAATAAGATTACCATCAAACACTGACTTGTCATGAACTACCGATCATGAATCCAAATATCCTATACACCAAATACCCGATACACAAAATGATAAGAATCAATGCAACATAAAAAATAAATCAACCTTAGACTCCGTGTATCTCCGTTCCCTCTTTGTCTCCGTCTTTCGAGCTCTCCGAATTTCCCCATTGCGCGAGCTTAAACTTGGCATCTATAGTATGGTTGAGCTTTTCGATCTTCGTGTCTATCCGTCCAATACGATCACGATCGCCAAGCTCACTTTTGCTCTTCCGCTCTTCTTGAGCAAGCAAAAGACGTAATATTCTGCTGTTGTCATCTTTGCCCGCTGTGCCTTCGTAACATTCTGCAAACAACCGTTTTCGCTCAGTAATGTCCGTGGAAAGACGGAAAGTAACGTATGCGATAAGCGTGGCTAGATAACCACTCTGTGGGGATTTCGCAACTAACTCCTTTATATCTTTAACAAGTTCGGTATTCCGCGTGGAGTCGCCAACAGGGAAACCTTTATTCTGGTAGATGCAAAGCACAGATTTGTAAGTAAGCAAATACAATGGGTTTGAAGTTGCAAAGGTCAGGGAAGATGTCATAGCAGTAGATAAATCTGAATGTAGCAGACCCAAAAAGGATCTAATTCTAGCTGCCTTGGCATGCAGCTTTTCAGAAGTCTTCTCCTGCGATAGTAAGCGCATTTCATATTCGGAAATGAGCAATAGATGGATCGTCGAACACACATTATATTCGTTAGCAGAGTCCAAAGAGACGAGGGTTTCGCATCCAATTCCCAAATTCTTTTGGAGTAACGAAGTTTCCACCAGCGAATCACCATGCGAGCTAGTGAGATTCTTCACACGAAGAAAATAGTACTTTGCCGCTGTCAAATCACCGTGTGTTTGGTAATAAAGTGCTGCCAAGTATAACATGCGTGGGAGAAGTAGCTTGTAGTAGCACAACTCTTCAGTGGTGAAGTTGTCGTGATCAAAATCCCGAATGAAGTTTTGCAAGAACTCAATCCCAGAGAAATCATTCTTCTGCATGAAGTTGAGCCATACTTTATAGCAGTACACAGATATGCGAACAAAGTTCAACCGCACAATTTTCTCCGTCAAAAGGCTCATACAGAAAGCTCTTTTGCTAGGTTTCGCTTGTGTGAGTTCTTGTAGTTGGTCATCTACAGAATCCAAGCATGCAGAAAACACCTTCAGGGCCTTTTTGTAGCTGCCCGAATCCAAAAAAAGCACCCCACTCAAAAAATAAAACATCACTGTGAACTCATCTGAATTTATCCACTGAACTGTATAAGGAATTGTCCCATTGGCAATAGGAATATGGAACTCGAAGCTTCCATCGTCAGTCCAGCCTTTCCAGTCTGATTTCCGTTCCGTAGACACAAATTTTGACACTGATTGAACGCGTTGCTTTACATCTCCGTCTTTGCATTGGCCCATTGACGCGAGCTCGAGTAAAAGAGCCATTCCTTTCATTTGCGAAGGACAGTCGACATTTTCAGTAACCAGTCTAAAACTCTTGAGCAAAGAGCCACATTCTCCAGGAGAACCGCGGTACAAACATAAGCTTACTTGCGACAAAAGAGCCAACGCTCGAATTAATGGCGTAGTATTTTCCAGCACAGACAAAGCCCGAAGTGCCAGAGCAGCCGTTTGAACCTCAGTAACTAAGAGATTATCAGCTCGAACCAACGCGAATAAGTCAGCCACAGGCAGATTGCCGTAGAAGGAGATTTTGTCAAGCAAAAATGAATTCACAAGCCTAGGATTTGATTTCTGGAGGATCTGGGCGTATAGAAGTTCACCTGAAGCACGAATATGGTCCAAGTTGTGACGCACCGCCAACGATATGCCACGGAGAACATACTTGTCTGCGCTTTCCAAGTTTTCTGATTCAGAGAAGAATATGTGAGCCAAACGGATACAAACGACCAGCTCTAAAGCAGGGTCTAGCGATGGCTGGGCCAAAAGAAACAAGAGCGCTTTAATTGCCGTCTTGATATGGGAAAAGTATGATTTTGCTCCCGGAAGGTCATTTGCTTCAAGAACAGAAGCGTGGGCGGCCTCGAGGAAGAAATCCGCCACCTTAAGGGACATGCCAACACAAAAGTCACTGTGCTCCGCGCTTTCTGGATCGGCTATCTGGGATAAAGAAACCTCCACATCCCCGTTTGTTTGATCAGGCTCCGATTCAGTGTTTGGACAGTCCACGCTTTCTGATTCTTTGCTTTCACTTCCCTCAACGCCATCTCTATCCGCGTCCTCTTCCTTCTTTAAGCCTGGATTCTCGCCCTCTCCTTCGCTCAGAAGAGGCTTGAATGTGGCATTTTCTTCCACTGGAAGAAATCTTTGCAAATTGCGCTCGTACTGTTGTTCCAAGCCGCTTTTCGGCCTAGCGTAAAACGCCGACGAAACAGCAGGTGACACCACGGACTGCTTCTGGCCCAGGTTGGGGCGGGACGTCAATATCAGAACTTGGCTCAGGCGGGAATCCAGCAGGCCCGGAGAAACTTCTGGAGCAGTTGCAGGCCGCTTTTTTTTTGGGATCCCATCAAGCTGGACCTCACGTCGAGACGAGGCAAGAACCCTTTTCATTGGGTTATTTTTTCGGTCTGAGTAGGCCATGCTTCATTCTTTGAAAAGAAGGTGTAGTTTCGCGTCAGATATCGCGAAGATGGAAACTCCAATAAATCTGAGGACAAATGATAGTACTAAAAAAAAGCAGAGTTATATGGATATTTCTCAGTTGTTGAGTTTCCGACTGCTTTCTTCGTGTGATTTGAATTCTTTTTTTCTTTTGGGAACAATAGTTGTATCTACTCTAAACTGTTGCAACGTTTGTAAATAATAAACCAGTTCATAAAATGAGGCACTAAACTAAAAGGCTTATTAAGTGGCTCAGATGTGGCTGATCGGAGGATGGAGTAATTCTACTAACCAATTGATGGAGAATCTAAATTGATGGAGAATCTAAATTAATAATCAAAAGTAATAAAGAATCAAAAATAATAGAGAATCAAAAGTAGTAGAGAATCAAATAGTGATTGAAACTTTGAGAAATTGCTCAAATCCTGACCAAAAAGTTAACTTTGACCAGCTACTTAGCTCCAAGGATATGACTGGAAATGTTAAATTTAAGTACCTAAAAATAATAACGCTGCCAGCCTATAATACAGCTATGGGTATCACTAATGCAAATATATTACAGCTGATGTAAAGCTGAGCCAGGCTTCCTTTAGCAAATCTAGACAAGTCTACCCAGCCTTTATAATTGACCAGTATTTTTCAGTAGCTTGAAAGATGCGCATCTTCATACGCTGCTTCGCTGGTCGTCTAAATTCTTGCCGGTAGTTCTCGAAGGACTCATTGAAGTATGGTTAGCTGGTCTCTTTCTGTAGCTTCTCTTCCAACTGGCGCCTTAAATGGCGTTCTTCACTCAACTCAACTTCGTGGCGGTCCTGGATCTCGGAAACAATTTTCTTGAATTCCTTGCGCAAAATGGCAGTGCTCGTATTAGACTTGGTATTGGATCTGAAGGATGACACAGAATGGGGCAGTTGTGTATCGTCATCATCGTTGTCGGGCCAGAAAAGCGAAGGCGAAGCTAAAGTGGAGCTGTTGCGAGGAGATCTGCTGCCCATGTGGTCTATTTTCATGAGGCTGATTTCTTTCCGTAGTCTTGCGATTTCTTTATCTTTGGCATCCACGACTTCGACAGAAGGCTGAGACAGTCGATTACTCTTACGAAGCATGGCAATTTCCTTCTCAAGAGCAGCATTCTTCTTGCGGTAATCCAGAATAGTTTTTAACGAGTTTTCCTTCAAGTAGTCGTACTCCTTCATGAAGTATTGGTGAGAGAAACGCAAGTCGTTCAATGCCACTTTATATTCTGCAATTGATTTTTCTGGAGCCATTTTCGGGCCCTTTGCCGGGCTCAAGAACGAGTGGTCCTGCAAAATCGACGCATCAGGCAGCGTAGCTTCCAGAGCAGTAGATGGTGCTGTGGCAGTTGATGCAGAGGAAGAGGAGGTTGTGAAAAGCGTGTCAATGCATTTTTGCGCCCATTGGATTTTGGAATCCAAAGACGGGCTTGCGCCGTCAAAAGCCGGCAAGTTGACGCCCTTTTGTACGGCCACAGATGCAATATGCGAGAAGAGCGCTTCGAACGAGCGCTGTTGGAGCAGAGATTCCGCAGGAGAAGACTTCTCGCCAAAAGTTCCATTGGAAGACAACTTGACGTCCTCAACATATCCCAAGACGAGACAAGCGAAGTTATGATTCTTGAGGCGGTCCTCAAGAGCTTCGAGCTCGGCAGTGACATCCATAAACTCTTGTTCGAGGCCAATGTTCTGTCGGATGATTTTCACCAAAAGATCCGAGTCGACATCTGCAGGCTTTGCCGAAGGCCCGACGAGGAGGGTATTACAGAAAGAGTTGGCTGTCGAGATGCGCTGCTGCAAATACTCCTTGTGCTCGCGCTTGTCAGCAATTTTTTGTTTCAACAGCTTGACTTTGCCAAGGGAAAGCACCGTGTGTCCAACTTTGGAAACGTCAAAGACCGAATTCTCAATCAAAACTTTCAAGTTGAGGTGGTTTGGCGCCGCAGAGCCACACAATGCCTCCAGCACGTCCGAGGCCGGGGAGCTGGCGCCGGAATCGCTGTCGCGGCGCAGAAACTCGTCATTCTGGCTGCACGAGTCGTCCACAGAAACAGCGCCGGTGCTAAGCGCCGAATCCAAGTGTGCTGCAAACTTTGCCTCGAATTTTTCCTCCATGAGCAGCGGCGCAAGCGACGTCAGCGGATCAAGGCGCGTTTGCTCCTGAAGCTGGAACTTTAGGAGGTCTGAAGTGGTATTCGCCAAGTTGTATGAGTTTGGGTGGGCCCGCAGAAACGGGCTATTTTGCATGAACTGCTCTGGGTCCAACATTGAGCGAGAGGTGGGACACAGAAATCAGCAAAGAAAAAAAAAAGAACGATTCAAATCAAACGGAATCAAATCAATTACCTTGATGAGAAAGAAAGAAAATGACGATTACGCGGAACATAAATCGAGGCGCCAAAATGGGTGAACCTTTTTCGCGAGGCTCCTGCACACAGAACGGGGTGAGACGCGTGTGGCCATAAATGTTTATTGTTCTAGGCATACCAGAGATGCTCGGGTTTAAAAGGATGTGCTATTGTCATTTCATTTTCTTTCATTTTCATTTATTTCATTTTATTTTACTTTTTTTCATTTCTTTCATTTTCTTTCTTTGCTCAAACGTGGGGACGTTCTTATATCTGGCTTCAAATATTTTTTATCTGGGGCTATCTGCATCTTGTGTCAAGATCGTGTAATCGCGCCCCATATGGACAAGGGATCTTGACCTGATGCGGGCGAAGGAAACAAAATGTGCATGTGCAGAAATGGGAATATGCCTATCGAATTCGCAGAGGGAAATCAGAACAAAAAACACACGAAAAAAAAAAAGAAAAGATATCTGTATAAGAAATATTGACTGTCAGTCCAAGTCCATTCGGGCTAAATCAGCATGAAAGGTGGATGATGGAATGTGGGAACTTTCTTGATTCTCGAAGCCTTTTTCCGGATTCAAATACTTTGTTGGTTTGTAAGGTTTACTCACACTTATGGTCTTCGTTTCTGTTTTTCGTGCAATGTTAGAATCTTGCATTCAATCTGGTGCAAGTGAATTCTCTGTCAAAATAGTCACTGTAACAATCAATTTGTAAGACAGATAATAGTCCAGGATCCTCAAGTAGATTATCACATTGATTTGTTGCCTAGATGAATTACGCCTTGATAATTGACAAAAATTGTTGGTTCAAATGATTGTTGCTTAATATTAAGACTCTACAGCTATAACGAAAGAACGTAGGGTCAGAAACTATTCTTCTCTAGCGATGAGAAAAATCGTACTAGGTGCTTCTGCCTATGAGAGTGACCTTGTATGGCATAATTCCGAACTAACAAAAAACTATGTTTCTCGTCATAAAACAGCTATTGAAGGCTACCCATTCTTAATGATATTAATTGAAGGGCGAGTTACTTTATTTCAAGTACTACGAATCTACAGAGCTGAGAGTTGCTAAATACTCACATACATTTTTCGAAATAGTGATCGAATATCCAAGGGCAGTACTCTGAAACCAATACATGTACTGTTTTCTTACATTTGATCCTTGTCTAAAGATTATGCATGTTTGCATTTAGGAACTCAAAAATGCAAAATAAGCGATCTGGCAGTCTGAACAGTCGTGATGTTTACTTGTTTTAATTCGGTGCTAGAGTAATCCGTTTGAGTTGTCAATGTTAGCACCAAGCATTCATTCACAGACTAGAGGCGTGGAAGACTGATGTTCTTACTCTTGACAGAAATCTACAAAGTACTGGGGTGGATTCATTATTCATACATACTACGGCTTCTCACAAGGCAAGCCCGTCAGAGGTTCTTTATAGTTCAAGTGGTAATATTTGCCCCTCTTATCCAGAAGTTACATCATAAAGAAGATACAATCATGAGAAATATGAGCAAAATCCCTAATGAACCAAACAATACGCCACACATGACATAAAGGCCGCGATCGAGTTTCCTTTGATGATAGTTTGGAACATCTGAAACAATTAACACTTCACGTTCTTGAAATAGGTTTTTGATCTCCTCGTTTTCATCACCAATCGCCGACAAACCGGCAATATAAGAACTATAAGAAGTATAAGAACTTTTTCCAATGAACATATGCATTTCTTCCGGAACATTCCCGAGGTATTTCTGAAAAGCCAACCGGCCAGCTTCTGCCACGGTTAAATTCTTGTTGAGAGAAAAGCGCACCGGATATAGAGGAATCTCCTTGTTATAGTTGCCAGTATTCCATATCAAGATCAGCACATCAAGAGGCATATGGTTATCGCCTGGATAAGAGGGAGGCTTTGGACCTTCTTGAATATCTTGCAATGGCAAAAGTGTCTCATGGGATTCTCGCAGAGACATTGCCAGAAAAAGGATGTGGTGATAAGATAAGGAGATGTGAGTTCGAATAATGATAGTGTATATTCTGGTGCGAACTTTCTTTCTCTCATTATAGCCAGCTTCAGAATGTGTAAATACAGGCAAGTCTTATCTTGCCGATGAGCTATTGTGAATATGCGACCAGATAGGTACTGTTTCCTATCTGGATCTTCATGATCAAAGGCTCGAATATCTTCAACCCAAAAGGGTTTCGATCTGCCTCTGCTTAATCTTTTGCATAGAGTAATCTAAGTGGACCAACGGAACTTTGTAATCCATTTCAACATTGACATGCATACGATAAACGGCTTTGTGAGGCCGTGCATTTATTCATTAACTGGTTATTCTTTCAACAGCAACTATTGACTTGAACTCATTACTTAGTTGTATATAAAACTATGAGAGTTACGAATATACTTACCAACGTACAACGGCATACTTCGTCAAGTATCACACGAGCGGTAGACTTTTTTTGATAATTCGGATTATCTGAAACAATCAACGTCTCACTTTCTTGAAAGACGTTCTTGATTTTCTCGTTCTCATCAGCGATCTCAATAGAAGTTTCCTGCCGAGAATTTTTTCTTAGCTCCACATAGATTTCATCCGGAACATCACCAATGCATTTTTGAAAAGCAAAACGGCCAGCTTCTGCCACAGAGGCATTGGTATCGAACATTAACCGAATAGTACCCCGAGGGAATGTTATTATAATTGCGAGTATGCCAAATCTTGAACATTACGTCAAGAGGTATACTCTCATTCCCAGGATAAAGAGGAGGCTTTGGACCATCGGGTCTATCATGCAATGGCAAAAGTGTCTCATGGGATTTTCGCAGAGACATTGCCAGAAAAAGGATGTGGTGATAAGATAACGAGATGTTAAGTTCGATTGATGATAGTGTATATTCTGGTGCGAACTTTCTTTCCCCTGCCTATCATTATGGCCAGCTTCAGATAGGTAGTATATAGAGTCTTATCTTATACAAGGAGATCAGCAAATATCAGGCGAGCCAAGTTACTGTGGACTATCTGGACTTTCGTGATCAGAGGCTCAAATATCCCCAAAAGGGTTTGACCACACTCTGCTTAATCTTTTGCGTAGAGTAATTGTTAGGCCATAGACCTCAAATCAGAATCGAGCTAAGCTTTTGATCATCAGACTGGCAGTCCGAAAGGTGAAATGAATCAATTTTTCTTGACAGAATCTCCAGTGCGCCAACGGAATTGTATCATCCATTTCAACATTGACATGCATACGATAAACGGCTTTGTGAGACCGTGTATTATTCATTAATTCGTTATTCTTCGAATGTTCAAAGCGACTATTGACTCGAACTCTTACTTAGTTGCATAGGCAACTATGAGAGTTATGAATATACTTAACAACGTACAACCGCATGCTACGCCCACTACCAGACGGGCGAAGGACTTTAACAGCGTTTTTTGATAATTCGGAATATCTGAAACAACTAACGTCTCACTTTCCTGAAAGACATTCTTGATTTTCTCATTCTCATCACCGATCTCAATAAAAGCGTCCTGCCAAGAATTTTTGCTTAAGTCCACATAGATGTCATCCGGAACATCACCAATGTACTTTCGGAAAGCAAAACGCCCAGCTTCTGCCACAGAGGCATTGGCATCGAAGATTAACCGGATAGGACGTTGGGGGATGTTACTATAATTGCGAGTATGCCAAATCTTGAACATTACGTCAAGAGGCATACTCTCATTGCCAGGATAAGAAGGTGGCTTTGGACCATCATGTATTTCTTGCAATTCCAAAAGTCCCTCTTGGGATTCTCTCAGAGTCATATTGCCAGAAGAATGAAGATGGTGTGATAAGATAAGCAGTAAGAGGTACTGGTGCGCCATCTGGGTTTATGTAAGTAGGAATCCATAGATATTTCGTGTGGCCTTTGAAATGCCAAATCGTTGTTTCTTCTTATTGAAGTTAAGAGGGTGACTGGACATGCATCATTGGACATTTCTGCCCATGGATTGACTGGTGAAAATCATGAAATTACAATAATTTGATAGGATGTAACAGATTTTGACAAGAGAAAAGTTGAAACAAAAGAGTAAACTTGTCGAATCTGAAAGTACCAGTATGATCCATTCTTTAGAATTGTCCTTACTTGTTATTAAGGAATACTTCTCAGTGTCTATGAAGATGCAATATTCGCACCTTGATGCTAACTTTTCTTTCTCGAAAGGTCACTTTACATTAAATTTAATCAATAGAAACGAAGTAACAGACGAAATTGCTCTTTGCAAAATTGTTTCCATTTAGGGTTCTTAAAGACGATTTCGGTAAGTCTTCAATCCACTGGTCATAAGAAATTAGGAGTTTGGGCCAGTTATGTAAAATAATGGTGAGTTACACAGTCTAATACTATGTATCATCCATTTGCGTATTATTAAAAACAGATTTGACTTAGTAAACAACTTTTTGAATATAGTACTAACTAACATGATTTGATCCAGTGTTTAATCTCCATCGACCAGCACTAGAGGAAAGAGCAAAGAAATGAGAGATTAGATAGCATTATAAAGTGAAAAATTAGTCAGATAAGTCTAAACTATTCAAGATCACAATCGAACTACGTTTTGTAGTGGTGATTTCGAATGTTGAACTAAAATGGCTTTCGAATATAATTACTCCTAGAAATCCTAAAAGAGATCCGATGTATTTTCCATCCACAGAACATCAAAATTATTTCTTAGACTAGCATAGCCGCATTGTTGCTCATTTCAAAGTTCATTTATATGTTCGTCTTCTAAACTACTTGACAGTGCGAATACATGTACCCCAGAAATTCTCACCACTCCAACATCTTTCTTTTGTCTTCTTTATTTAACTATTATTTTTTTTATCTTTGTCTTTATCTTTTTCTATTCTTTTGGTTTCCATTCCTTTCATACTCCTAAATCCCCATTCAGTCTGCCGCTCCTTTATACGTCCCTTGAAAATCCATCTACCAAAACACTTCCATGCTTCCGCCTTTGGACAAAGTTCCACCAAAACCCGCCAAATGTTTGCGTTTCATGTCCTTCAATATAAACGGCGGTAAATCGCTCTTTAATTACCACCCATGGAACCTGCTACGAACATACGACAATCTAGCTTTGGCATTAAACGCCGATATACTTTCCCTCCAGGAACTCAAAATCCAAACAGACGCTATCGCCCACGTGGCTCTGGTTGCAAAGTTCCGAGCGTTTGTGTCTGTCCCTAAGGAGAAAAAGGGGTACAGTGGCGTGGCGCTATATGTTCGGATTCCAACGGACGAAGACCCGGACCATGTTCGCCAGGCCCTAACTGTGATTCGTGCAGAGGAAGGCATGACCGGCCGCTTGTTATCGGCTGAAAAGGTCCAATATAAAGATTTGCAGCCAAACAAAGCCATTGGCGGCTATCTCGAAGCCGAAGAGGTACTGCAAATGGGACTTGACGAAACAAGTCTTCGGCGTTTGGACACCGAGGGTCGTTGTGTGGTCGTGGAGTTAGCTGGAGGAACTGTGGTTTTTCTCCGTATATTGCCCAGCCAACTCGCAAGGATCGGAAGAGGGCCAAGAGTTTCGTATGGCATTTCTTTCTGTACTTTTGAAGAGATGCCGCAAACTCCACGAGATGGGGAAAAATGTGGTTCTCATGGGCGATATAAATGTCAGTATGGATCTTATTGATAATGCAGAAGGAATCGACGTGGCAATCAAGGAAAAACGCGTTGTCAATAATCTAAGAGAAGGTGCAGCAGCTTTCGAAGAAACAAACAAGTCCGAGTGTCTCTTATTCCGCAATTCACAGCCCCATCGGACGCTTTTGAACTCATATGTGATTCCATCACTTGAAGGAGTGTCAAAGAAGGAACAAATTTTCTGTGACACTACGAGACTAATACAGAAACGTCGCCTAGCTATGTATACGGTTTGGAACACGCGGACAGGCGCCAGACAAGCGAATTTCGGGTCTAGAATCGATTTGATTCTTGCTTCTGGCGGAGAATTCATTCGAAATGTTGTTAACGCAGATATTCTTCCTTTTCTTTACGGATCAGACCATGCACCGGTTTTCACAGACGTGGATGTTAGCTATCAACCCCTCTGTCCAATAGAGGCACAAAAAATAGCATTCGAAGCTAGATACTTTTACAAGTTGGTCAGACACCGAGACATTTCCTCAATGTTTGGTGCCATAAACAAAAAACGATCCGTTACTCCAGAGCGGACAGAAAAGTCTCCCAAACCACAGTATGTTAGTCGCAAAAAACCAAAGACCCAGGGCCAGCAATCCATCGGTAACTTTTTTTTCAAAGACAACAAGGTTAATGAAGACGATCGATTGAATCACAATTCTAATATAAAGGCGACTCAGAATTCAACTAACGAAGGTCAAGGCGGAGAAGTAGGAAATGAGAAATCAGGAGAAGTTACTAATAATAACGTGGAAGGAGACTTACACAGTAATGCTGTCGAAAGTACAGTGCATAATACTAAAAACAAAGACATTTTGCATCAGAAAAACGGACACTTATCGAGTGAGGAAGACCAACCACCACAAACGCCAAAGACAATCAAAATCAATTCGGTGCAATCGCTCATGTTACTGATGTATGGCAACCCTCCATATTGCAAGCATAAAGAGCCATGCATCCTCAAAACCAGTCTCACAAAAGCAACTAAAGGAAAAAGATTTTGGTGCTGTCCCAAAGAAAATAAAGGAGGCTACGGTGAAATGGGCGACCATCGATGTGATTATTTCGAATGGGCAAAGCCAAACGCTGGCAAGGCAGAGTAAAAGAGGAAGACATCTGACAGAAACCATGAACCATGATACAGAATGGAAACATACTACATTCATTATTCAAATCCATTTATGAATTGATGGTATGCACGCGATGTATATCGCCCAATAGGGCAGAGAAGAAACCGGGATGGCGAGGGATGAAATGAAATGCAACCACAAAATTTACCCAAAGGCCACTAAAACTAAAAATACACTAACCCAAACCCCAGCACACTTCTCCGCTCGCCAGGCACTCATATCCCTGAAAAACTAATGTACACAGTCTTTTACGATTTACGGAATTCACTCAACACAGGATAGATAGCTTCGAAAGCAGCATAAATCTCCTCTCTTTGCTTTGCACCTGTCAAGACGATCTTTCCGGAAACGAAAATCAAAAGAACAATTTTTGGCTTAACCATTCTGTAAATCAAGCCAGGGAACAACTCGGGTTCATAAGACGAGAAAGTTCCGTGCGAGAAGGCCAAACCTTCCAAACGAATTGGGAACTTGACATCACATGAACCAACAATGTTTTGGATCTTGAAGTCAGTGAATTTGGCATTGAAACCCAACTTCTGGATGATACGTGCATATTTTCTCGACGCCAATTTGGAGTCGTCCTCGGACTTGGCACCAGTGACAACCATCTTACCAGAAGCGAAAATAAGGGCAGTGGTTTTAGGTTCTCTGATTCTCATAATCACTGCGGCAAAACGCTTTGGATTGTACTCGGCATTACGAGCATGCAATGCAATGGTCTTCAAGTCCAAACGACAGTCCAAGTTGACTGTGGCGACGATATTCTGTAGAGTGGGAACAATGCCAGACATAGCACTATCATCGTCATTCTCGTTGGGTTCCTTCACGCCAATCTCACCTTCGTCCTTCTTGATCATTCCGTTTGCATCAGAATCAATCCCTTGGGGAAGAGACAAAGAGCCAGGAGCGGTGAAGACAGAAGCAGCGGCGGCGTTTGTGGGTAACTTCAAAGAATCCATTATTCTGTGTTAGTTAAATGAAACTAAGGTGTAGTATTAATATTTCTGAGACAAAGATGACAAGCTAATGTATCCTTGTGTATAAGAGACGAAAGGTAGACCTTTGCAGGTGTATCGGTTCAATCTCAGTATATAAAATGAAAGGCAACGAAAAACAGTATTAGTTGCAGGAACACTGTATATAAGACGCCAGATGACACAAAGTCCAAAAATTCACCCGGTCAGACTGAGGCGGGAACCCCGCGCCTTATATAGTCGCGCAGTTTCGTCCGGGTAACAGCTATGTTACATCCCCTACTGCACACAAGCATCAGCCTCCATCTCTTGAACTCTGTAAAGCACTTTTATCATAAGTATTCTGCTCGACCACAAATGTAGATTTGGAGTTGAAAATATGATGGTCAAGAATTAAACTGAATTTTTTCCACCGCTCTTTTTGGTTGTGATTTTAGCAAAAAGGTGAAAAACTAAATATCAAATGCGAGTTAGAAAGCAAAAAACTAAACATCAAATGCAAGTAGCCACAGCTTTCTAACGTTCTCTCAAGAGCTTGTTTCTCTTTTCCTTTCTTCTCAATCTCTCCACCTTCTTTGCATGCATCTTTTCGGCGATCTTTTCGTATCTTTCCTTTTCTTCTCTAGCCTCTCTTCTCTTCTTGATGGCTTCGATTCTTCTGTTTCTCTCGTCCTTCTTTTCTTGCTTCAACTCCTTCAACCGTTGCTTGTATTGCTCTTCCTGGAGTTTCTTTTCCTCTCTCAACTTCCAGGTGCTAAGTTTCCGAACACCAAGCGACTTGACTCTGAAAGCGTCTTTTTTGATTTTCCAATCTTTGCCGTTGACACGAGGACCTTCGCCGATATCTTTCTCGGCAAGCGGATCAATATACTTTTTTGGAATGTCCTTGTATTCTTTTTCTGCTGTGGCACTCATTGTGGTATGGAGATTTTTGTACGATGAGCAGAAAAACGATGATTTATGTGCGCGTGTGCAGGAAAAGACTAATTAATGCCCTTTCTCTATTGATGGACAAGAAATATATGGAGGGGAATATGTATGAAAAGTCGTGTAGAATTATCGTAGTTTTTTGTCACTTCAAAGAAACGTAGGAGAAGTGTTCTTGTGAAATCCGGTATGCGTACCGGTTATAGCCTTAACTTTCAGCTGAAATGGATGCGTCTATGTGTAATTCGAGCCGTTTTCACATAAGATTATATGGTCGGATTTTTCTTTCAGGACATTTGTGTAGCTCGTACTTGCGAAAATGCTAAGCTTCTTTCTGTCTGGAATACAGTAGTTGGTCAGTCGGCGAATTGAGATGGACAGACACTGGTAATAAAACAGACACTCGTTATTACATGGCACTCGTAATTGAATATTCGGAATAAAATTTTACATTCAACTATCTCTTCGGTTATTTATATGATATATTCAGCTAATAATAATGTCAGTCTCTTGGGTGTAGAAATTTTATGGCCCACTTATGTGACATAGATAATATGAAAATGTTGAGGGCTTCATTACATCACTTTAGACACACCTTCTGTGTTCTGATTTGATATTCGGCTCCATTGATGATTTATTTTTAAGAAGCATTAAAACCTTTCACAGAAACTGCTAAGCCTACGGGCCACAATACTTAGGGTTTTCGTATAGTCTACAGACATTATTAGTAGTTAGACGAATATGAAATATTTGACACACAAGACGTTAGGAGAAAAATCGGGAATCTTTTACATGCATCTCTTTTTTGTAAGCGAATAAATTGTATACTCACACAATTCAGCATGTGAAGAGTCGAGAAAAGGTAGGAGGTACTGAAGAAAAGGTAGGAGAAGTGGTTCAATTAAGATCTTCAAAACGATATTTGGTCTCTTGTGGATTTAAAAGACAGCATGGATTCCTAGCATCGCTAGCTACTATGAGTTTAGTCCAATCAAATACAACACTATTCTTGAAAATCCGTCTACTCCTATGAAATTAAAACGCAAACGTAATTCAAATGCATTGAGTCTTATGAACCTCATCCGTCCAAAACCTCTGATTGCTTATCTATAAGCAAAATGGCCCGCCGCATCCATTTTCGGGAACGGGTATAACGGGAGAAACCATCCTCGTATTTAGGCATTTCCCAATTAGAGTCGTAGAACACCCAGCCCTCTTTCGATCGGTTCTTGTTAAACTCGGCATCAATTTTCCACTCGTCATCCATCCACTGCCAGCTATAAGTGTACAAATCATTTTCGAAAACAGGGAATTCAAACTCGTCTTGATGTGGATTGGGGGCTGCGAGCATCAGATCCATGTAGCAGAAACTTGATCTTTCGCCTGGGTAAAGAAGCTTGGTCCAGCCAAGCCCCAACCAGCGACGTTCGTTTTCCAAAATATCAAACCGGACAGTTTGCTTGAGTTGTGTGGGCGAAACTATAACTTTGCGGAGAATAGAGAAGTTGTTGATTTTGGCCTGGTGCTGTACTTTCTGTGAATCTTCCTCCACATCTGTCGCTGGGGCCGTGACGCATGGACTGCTTGCCGCTCTCTCTCGGAATCCAGTGTCTGCTTTTCGGCGAGAGAGCCGAATGTCAAGTCCTGTCAATTGATGAGCAAAAATTCTTGTGTAGATAGAACGCCATATGAGTCTGCGAATGGAAAAAGCCCAGGGAGAGTGGAAAGTCAAAAACACGGTGCCAATGATCCATGCAAAAGACCGAGGAGTCAAGAGATTCTGAAGCACAAATACGTGGAGCGGCGTGATGGCCAAAGTGCCCAAGGCCATTTTATAGTAGTTTTTCAGCGAAAAGTGCAAGTTTTTCGCTGGGCGAAAGAAAAGCTCGAAGCGGACAGTGATGTTATGGAGAGCCAGCAAGACTTCCTCCACTGTGGGCCTTTCGCCAAACTTGGAATCGTAAATGACCGAATCGGCTCGCCACACGATAGATGTGAAAAGTAGTACAACAAGAAAAGGAAGAACCCAGTACTTTAAAAAGTCCCAGTACAAGACAAGGATAGAATAACATACCACGATCAAGAAATTCTGGTACGGGTCTTCATTTGTCCAAGTGATGATCTCGAGAAAATTGTCAATGAAAAGAAGATATGGAAATATGTTGGATAGAGCAGACACAAGAATGGGGCTTTCCACTAGAAGCTGGGTGTGCGACGAGGAGACCAATAGCCGAGCTTCTGACGGCTCAAAAACGGCGTGCACCACTTCATCGGACATTTGGCAAGTGTGGAAGAATTAGCGGGTATGAAAGAATCAAAGATAGACAAGGACAGGATAGCAAAGACAAGGATAGCAAGGACAAGGACAGTAAAGACAATCCTTCCAATAACGCAAGTACAGAGAAGTGATTATTCAGAGCAAAGTGATATTTCGAAACACTGTCTATGGAATGGAGAGTAGTGGACAATCCACCATGTTCAAATGTGGAGAAGGCACATGACAGTGCGCAGATGTAAAGGTCTGGTCCGAGGACAAGAAAGATGAAGGGTGAAAGGGAAAAAAGAGAAGGGAAAAAGAAGAAAAACAGCGAAAAATGAAACCACGGGCAGAGTGAGACAGAAACCCAAAGTTTCTTCGCCTCCTTAGTTTGCCCCTGGTTTTTCTACCGCATAACATCTGGTGAGAATATTCACTGCGATTGCGAAAAGGGCCATACGAAAGAAGGGATATGCGAAAAGAAGGGCTGAAACACTATGCAAAAACCAAGCACCACAGTGCTCATGTGACGATTAGAGCTTTTCAAACGGCTAATCCTTCCTTGCAGAAAAGCACGCCACTGGGTTTTTCCGAACAAGGGTTTATCCGAGTATGGGCCCTGCACAATGCCTTCAAATCCTCTTGCATCAGGTACGATCGTATACGCGCAGATAGCGCCACTTTGCTTTTTTGCACCCAATGTTACAGTCTGGCCCGTTGCTGTCAAACATGTCAGATTGCTCTATGCGGTTGGGGGGCATGGGATCTGACAGGAGACAGAAGACAGAAGACAAACGAAGACAGAAGACAAACAGAGAACATTAGCAAATACTAATCGTTCCTGGAACAATTAGCAACTATTTTTCGACGGGAACAAGCAGAATAGTAATCTCTCTCAACGGCTACAATTAATCGCGACATCTTTCTACCTCGTTTGTGATGAGTGTGTATTGAATGTGCTAGTAGTCCCGACTACATACGCTGGCCCTCTCTGTCCTCGATGATCCGCTTCCAGTCCGGCTTGGGAGCAGGAAGCGCCAAGTCTCTTTCCCGGACGCTCATGGCTATGGTGCTCAACAACAATAAGACAGTAAATGCTTGTGCGTACATTCTCGCTTGCACGGCCTTCTGTGCTGTGGTCATCACCCGGTCTCTGCTGACCATGCTCCATGCACCAGCAAGAGACGCGGCCCAGGCGCCCACAATCAACTTGTATCTGTTTTCAGACGCCTTGAGGAAGAGGCGGTCGCCCACAGAAAGCTGTGCAAGACGCTCTCTTTCCTCACGTTTGGTCTGAGTCAAGTAGTCCGACCGGTGCATCATCTCGCTGAACTTGACGGACCCTTCGTCGGCCCAGAAAGCTCCAAGGCCAAGCGTGGGCAAGGTCCACATACATGCTTTGATGGTTTGGGTGTACAGACCGTACTGGACTGGGTATCTTCTCTTGAAAGCTGAAACAAAAACAGCAGAAACACCCAAGCCTAAGACAAGACCCTTGGCTCCCTGTGCCAAAGTGTGCTGCCAGTGCTGGTTCTTGTGGTTTTCGTCAATGAGCTTCATGGTGATGGAATAAAAGAGTACTTGAAAAGATGTGGTGAGAAGAAACGTAAAACCTTGCGGCTCACGCCTCTTTATACCACCAGTCCAGGGGCCACCCCTAAAGCCCAACAACAAAGCCCCTGGGAATATTCTACATCATCAGACCGCATAGCCCGTCGTTTAGAGCAGCTGTGGTCTTGCATTGTGTTATCACCTCATTTGATTACGTACACACCCATTCATGGTTTCAAACCGTATGCAGATACTTCACCACAACAGCCACAAGCGTCGTATTCGCTTACATAGCATGGTTTCAGAACGCATCTGCTTCCCCTTCGCCTTCCGCATTGGGTAATTCTGTCTGTGTTCTTGAAGCTTTGGCATTCCGTTTTTCTAGCATGCGCCGCCGCTTGTTGACGAATAGCAATTCATTGCGTCCTGCGCCTTCGGTGTTAGGCTTCAATATGGAATTCAACGTGCTGGTGGTTCCAGAGTAGTACAAGTCGTTTTCAATCAACTTATCTCCGCCAAGATACAAGATCTTGATGCTGCTTCCAAAGGCAATCGCCACAGACTTAAATCCGTACTTGACAATATAATTAGGCCGCGTGGATGAGAATTCAGCGTCTGTAGGTGCATTGGCTGGAATGTTGTACTCTAATAGCTTGCCGTTTTGTGCAGTGATCACAATACCTTGCCAAAGTTGGTCTATCGTGGGGTGTTTCTGCTCTTTCTTCGCCTTTGCAGATTTCTTCCGGGTTCTAAGCGAGCTCAATCCGTTCTCGGAGCTCAACGAAAAGCCAGACTGTTCAACAGCTGCTTCATCCCCTTTCTCTGACGGAGGAGAAATTTTTCTTATGCCGAGAATCACATTCATATCTGTCACCTCCCACTTTTCGATGTCCTCGTACCAGTACTGCTTTTCAATGGCCGAGTCCAATCCGACACATCTGATTTCCCTTGGATCTCTCTCCACTCTCAAACAGATGTTGTTTCTGGACTTTTTGTTCTCCACCGTGAACGTATGCATTATTATCGTCTTGTCATAAAAGTCTTCGTAAACCAACGAGAGAGACTCGAACGACGCACATCCGCAAAACTTACAATGTGTTGGCTCTGAATGCGCCACTCTAAAAGTGTCTGGCTTGAAGTGTCCAATTCCAAACACTTTGAGGACTGTTCCCGTTTGCACGTCTATGAGTTCTGCCAGCAAGTCTTTAACGCGGACAATCATTCCCACGAAATCAATGGTTATCACTGTGGACTTATTGATGACCTGGTATTTCTTGAGATCCGAAAACACCGTAGTCTCGGCTTCTTGTCTCTGCATGTGTGTCTGTCGTTGCAATTCAAATGCCGTAGAAAAGTCATGCTTGAAACTGATTGCAGACCCTGTACGTGACATCAATGGAGGAGCAAAATTGGCCAAAGTCTTGGTTGATGAGTAATACACATCCAAGTCGAGCTTCTGGAATCTCCACAAGTTATTAACCGCTGTTCCCACGATAATATCATCATTTGATAAATTGCAAACCACACGGTCGTTGACTCTTGCAGTTTTAAGAAACTTCAGCGAGATGATTTTGAGATTGCGCAACTCTGGTTGACCCTCATATAGCTGGGTCAACAAATTGTACACCTTTATTTGGATGTTATGACACGCAACGGTGATCATTTCTCCCGTCTCAAGAACGAGCACAAACTCTTCCTGAATCAACTCTTTATCAATATTTTTCTCGGAATTCTCGCTTCTACTTTCTTCCATTTCGGTGACTGAAGGAGGTGGATAGTTTCCTGTGAGTGGACCTCCTTTATTAGAAGATACGCTGCTGCTTCTTCTCGTGTGCTGTTTCCGTTTCAGCAAGAGTTTTCTGGCAAGGAAGCCAGCAACTGTCTTTTTCCTGAAGAAAGCATTCACCACATGCATTTTCTTTCTAGATTGGTTTAGTTCGCTTGTCAACGACACTTCCCACACATACTTTAGAGACTTTCTTTCAAAACACTTGATCCGACAATGCTTATTATTAATGAGAACAATGTAATTTCCATCATCACTGATCTCAATATGATTAACGGGCCAAAACTCGGCCTTTTTAGCATTGGGATCTGAGCTTTCAAAAAATGTGGCAATGTTTTGGGGCTTCGACGACTCGACTTTGCTCAACGGGGACCAAATCAATACTTTGTGGTCTAAATCAGTAGATACCAAAAATGAACATTTGGGGTTGGATACAAGCTTGAGAATATCAGTTTTATGAGTTCCTGATAAAGACAAGCACTCGAAAAATTTGACTTTATCGTTTTCCACCAACTCTTTGTTAGTCAAACCGGAATCTGGAGAGATTAGGGCGGTTAGGGCATCCAGACCGGCATTGCTATCTTGTTTTTTGGAGTGGGTAAAAATGAAAGTCAACTCTGCGATAGCAAAAACGAGTACACATCCAGCCAAAAGCTCAATAACAAAGAGATAATCGTACCTCTGAGACATCTGAGCCAGGCTTCTGAGACCAATCACCTCCATAAAGCCGACAGACTCATTTGGAATAACAAGCATAATGAGCAAGATGCTGACTGCAGTAAGGCAAATGGTAACAACAGGAATCCACAAACCCAAAAATCTTTTCAGCGACACAGGGCTTACTTTCAAGCAGTATGTTCCCAAACGGTACCTCCAGGTATTTGGCGACGTTGGTTTCTTTTCTGAGACACCCAAAAGGAAAGAAGAAATAGGGTTCATTTCATGCACACCAGAATCGTCATCTGACTCCAAGGGCAGCAGCTTCAACAAATCTGTGAGATCAACTCTATTCAAATCAATCACAATAAGTCCCACAAGATATGTTAACTGCAAAAAGTGGTCAATGAAAAGCGCCAACACTGAAGCCCGCTGAAGAGTGGTAACTCTAGTAACGAATATTTGTTTGTGGTTTTCATCCATGAATTCTGCCACCGTATTTTTCAAAACACACAAAAGAGCATGGAAAGCAGCATCGTTGATGAGAAGGATTACCGTCGCGTTTGGGGATAGGGAAAACCCAAGCAGCAAACTTGTCAAGAAACAAGGTTTCGACGCAAAAAACCTGGTGATCTTGAACACGCCTCTAGAGTTCTGTTACACTATTGTTGATGCCAAGATAGAACATGGATCAAACGTATGGTGCAAATTTTCTGGGAGCACCAAGGGCATTGGTCTCCGGGCCCAAATCGTTTGATGGGTACGAAACTAAGGTTCGGAGAGCCTCATAAGCCTTGATTGAGAGGGAAATATGGAGATGTCCAAAGAATCCCGTATATTACTTGGGCCAAAGGCATGGAAAATAGACACGCCTTGAAAGCGGCCAACAATGAAAAGGGCAGCAAACGCAGATATGAAAACGCTAGTTAGCCAGCCAATAAGAAGGCCGAACGTGGAGCGGATTTTGTGCTGGTTTGCCACAGATAAATAGCAATGGACAATCAAGAGGGAAAAAAGACAGGCCTGGACGGAGAGTGCTAAATAGGTCACAATGTTGACTATAGGGTTTTTTCCTGTGATGGAAGCGTAATAGTGGGAAAAGTCCGCAGACGCTTTTGAGGAATCTCCTTCATGAAGCGCCACTAGTTCGATCATGGAGGAATTGGGCAAAAGCGGAGGAACATCGGGTTTGAAAAAGGCGAAAATGTTCAAGAGTCCCGCCTGGTAAATCAAGTGGTTGCGTTTCTTCATGTCGCCAAAAAAAAGCTTAATCACTTCGGCCAGAAGATGGTGGTTGAGGTTTTTCAACATGAACCGCTCCATTTTCTCTTTGTCGTGAACGGAAAGGTCTGGGTCACACGGGAACGGCCACATGGATATTGGCGAAAGCGCCACAACGCTCTGGGATTCCAATTGCGCCTGGAATTGCTCTATTTCACACACAAAGTCGTACTTTAGCGTGTTTCCCGACGTCGGGTTAGACAAGGAGTATTTCACCATGTTCAACCCGGAGACATCAGGAAGCGGAAGAAAAGACTTGGCGTGGACAGACTTCAAGTCTAGGCCGGTGTCGAGCGTGGTATTGTCGAAATGAGAAACGAGCGGCCCGTTCAACGGACGTAGCGTGAAATCGTACAAGCTACTGTAGGCGCATAGGAATATGGAAAGAAGCGGAAGGATGATGATGCATTTTGGATTCTGCAAGATAAAGGCGGTGGCTCGAATCAACCATGGGTGTATTCTGGACATTTTGGCGTCGCCATGTATAAGAGAAGCAGCAAGCAGTGGCCCGTTTTGGCTGGGGCAGAAAAGACGCTAGTGGAGTCGGGCGGTTTTCGGATTTTGTTCAGATTGGCTCTCGAATATCGAGCAAATTTCGAGTTTCGGATCTTGGGCAAAAGTACGGGCAACACACAGCGGGGACAATTGGAAATGGACAAGTGGAACAAAAGAAACAGTGGCTATGGACAACAGCGGGCAATGTGGGATTGCCGTGGAATGGTGTGCCTAAAGTGAGGAAGCGAAAATTCCAAATGGTCGGGCGTTCCTATACATTACTTATAGTGGGAGAGGCACTTTGAGCGATCATGCACAGGACATCAGAAGATCGCTGCAACGTGACTTTTGTCTGGCTTATTTTTTTTCCGTCCGTCCTTGGCCTGACTTGCGTTTGTCGCCTAACCTCGCTGCGGCCATGGAAGTTCCATGTGCTTCTTTGTGCTTCGTTGTGCTTCCGTCTTGTTTGGCCCCGTTTGACATGGTGTCTCACTTTGACGTCACCCGCCCGCATTTGTCAGTGCGGGACCTCTGTGCATGTAGCCCAAAAGAGTAACGAGTACCACACAAGCGGAACCCGGGGAAAACTGGAGAATCTAGCATACAAGAGAGGCGGGGCCATAACGGTCGAGTTTACGCTGCGGCTGAAGGTTGGGCCGAGACGGAATTTTTACAATTTTTTTTTCCGTCCGTTTTTCGTCACTTGCGGCGGTGGTCATTTTCGACAAAAAACCGTTGCTGATGTTCGCGTAAATCACCTGTTTGGTCATCGGGACTTGCAAGTAGCAGAAACGGGCCCAACGTCCAAACCGGGCCGAACAAATTTAGCTGTATTTTTTCCCGCCTTTGCTGTGGCTATGACATTTGGATTACCAATTGTGGTCATGCCTTGGGGCTGTCACTAATTTCCCACCAGTGTCCATATGCAAGGGAAGACAAGGTAGCCATGATCAGTAGGCGGGTGTATGCATGTGGATACGTCATGACGTCCAAATGGACGGTCCTAGAATATCTATTTAAGCATGTGTAGGCCTTTACATCAAGCAAAGGAGAAAAGAAATCCACATATCAGACAAACAAATAAGAAAAGAAATAAATGAAATCAACAAAGGAAATCGATAGGGGTTCCGAGTGAAAAATCAGAGAGACAGAACCGAAGTCATGGAGATTAAGGCGAACGGCAAAATAGAGGCCGAAAGCTTCGAGAGAAAAAAAAGTTTGGGACACTCCAGAATCTCTTCAGATGACCACAGTAGCCAATGGTTAAGGCGTTCAAAGCAAGAGATTGGAAAAGATAGAAGATCAGCAGATGTTTTTGAAAAGACAGCTTGCGATGTCTACGTTTGTGATGGCATTTTCAAGGCGCAAGATTTTCGTACTTGTATCTACGTAGAATGTAAGAAACACCAGCAAATGAGAGACGAGCTTGGAATGGGAGACATATTCACGATTGAATCCACATGAGAGAAGATTTTCCAGCATCCTTCGCTTTAGAAAATAAATTCAAACTCTAAAACATTCCAGAATCCACCCAGTGTCTAAAGGGCATAAAGAACCCAAAGACTGTTTTCACTTATCACCCATCACTTTCGCCAAGTCCCAGCAAATTATTTCTATCAGGAGAAAGAGACAACTGCTTCAAAACCCATTTATGCACCAAGATCTCGAATTCTAAAGATACCGAGGATCGAAAAAATTCACCACATCAGACAGAGAATAACGATCGAGTATCGACCTTGACCAGATAAATCCTATGAAAAAAATGCATCCCTCCACGAAACCGAAAGCCAACTTGAACAATCATATGCCAACTCGGTGAATAAAATTACCACTTGTGAACAAGCGAAAGTTTACATGACGAACGAGATAGCACCTAGCATGAACAGTTAACAGCGAAAATTCTTCAAAAAGACGAAACCATCCTACAAGCATACACTCAATCATCATACACTCAATCATCATACACTCAATCATCATACACTCAATCATCATACATTCAATATCCTACTTGGCTCCCAAACTGGTGATGCTCAAACTTCCCATTTGAACAAGCAAATCGTCGATACGAGCATCCAAAACTCCGTTGGCATAGTCGTCTCTGCTTTGCTGATCCAAGTACTGTTGTAACTGCGCCAAGCGGGAGTAGCCCTCGGTACAAAACTTCAACTGGATCTTGACCAAACTCTCAAACGACGGATCGTAAAAGGGCACTCTCAAACTGATGAGCTGCGGCAACTCTGTTTTCAACTGCTGGTTCAACTCTTCGAAAATCTCTTTGGAAATGGCCAACTCTTTCTCGGCACGTGGCAATTTGCCTGCGTCCTTGGCCGGCTTGTCAATTAAACGCCTCACTTTGGCCTTGCATTGGTCGTAATCAGTTTTCTTGTGCGCTCTCTTCTTGATCGCCTCGTCAATTTCGCCAAAGTAGTTTGCAAACTTTGTCACAGGGTCCAAAATCGTCTCCCGGAATGGTCCGTCCACCTGTTTCACTGTTTCCTCGTCGAAATCCTTGACACACTGTAAATAGTAAGTACCGATATTAGAGTAGATGGACCCGCCTTGCTTTGCCTCCTCGTACAAGTTCGAAACAATCTCGGCAATTGTCACCTGCGACGCCGTCACGGCTCTCAACGAGTCCAAGTAGGACTTTGATGCTTTCTGCAAGTTTTGGCCCGCCGTCCGCAATGTCTTGTATCTTCTTTCTTCGGTGTCGAAATCCTTGTCAATGGTCTTGTCGACATCCTTGACCATGATAGAGTTTTCCGGCTCTGTTAATTGCCTTTTTGAAGCCTTCCCACGACATTTGTCTTGAAGTTTAGAATCTGGGTATATGTAGCGGGGCTCATACGGATTTGTAATGTTAGCGCTCCCGAACCCAAAAGGTCACGTGCGCTCCTGCCAAGTATTAAGGAAGCAACAGAAGAGGAACAGAAGAAGCAATAAAATAGCAAGGCGAAAAAGAAATTGTTCGGATGCGCCATTTGTTTGTGCGTTGGTACTTTGAGTCGTGTTTATGGATTTTGGTGTTGTGCTCATAACATAGGGCGAGATCCGATTGCGTAATCTAACAATAAAGTATGGATGGAATTGGTATAAAGATGGTACATTGGCTGTGGAAGATAGAAGAAGTCAGTAGAAAGACGTTATGGACAATTTATAAGTGTGGTTGAATAGCTGTAGATACTTGTTAAGGTGTTGACCGTTCTTGACAAGTCAAACTCGTATGCTTGACAAGTCAAACTCGTATGTTCTGGTACTTGTGTCGGGATCTGTGAAATGATGTGAAACATTTCGGAATACTGTTTATTGTACAAGTTTTAGTTGTGTCTAACAATTATCTCATTACTGTTTGTTAGTCAGTCCTTGTATTCTTTCCGCGGGTGCAAAAAGACAAACCACAATGACCAACGACGAAAACACAGTGCCGCCCTTCCAAGTTCCAGCACCTGGAAAAAGAACCAAATCTCCTCTCATCAGCTGCAATGCTGTCAAAAAAGCAATCCCCAAAGCGAAGATGTCTGTTTCGAAGGTTCAAGACCCACCAGTATCCATGAGAGAAACAAAAGTGCCTTACCCTGCTTCTTCGTTCATTTCGGCCAAAAGAGAAGCATGTGGCTTCTATCATCTGGGTGTTGTTTCTCATATGAGCGGCCCATTACTTGACGACAGTGCTCCGTTGGATTTTTCGCCCTTGGAACATCTCAAAGGTTTAGTCAACGTAAAGAGTGCCGGTGTGTTGGCAAATGAATGGGGGTATCCAGGTGATTTGGGTTTTGACGAGGCTGAGTTGCAGTATTTGGCCAATGCGGAAGCCTTCGTCTTGTCGAGCGATGAAGAGGCTCAATAATTTTATATCGAGTGCAAAAGTCATGTCTTGAGAAGTAGCATAAATGCATCCCCCAGCTATGTATTGAGATACTGTAGTTCTTTCCATCCTGCGCCGCTCAACTTTTCTCGAGTGATTTCTTTGTGTTTCCATTTGGATGGGTTTTCTCGAAGTAGCCCCACTGAACAATACAAAGAAGCGCCGGCCCACGCGCCTAAGCATGGTGTTTTCTGAGCTTGTAGCGTTCCGAGTTGATGATTCACTTGTTCGATGATCTTCTCTGTAAGTCCCAGAACCAGAGCTAACACACCCGAAAATAATATGTTCAGAGCGACCAATGGTCGACTATCTATGTCAAGAGCCAAGATTTCGGCAGCTATGCGTGCCGGCAAACCGTCTTTGGAGAATAGCGATTGCAACGTTTCATTCTCAATTGACATTTCCGTCGACACCAGGGCAAAATCTCCATCTTGGTTCATGCTCATTCTTTTGACCATCAGGTAATGAATGGATTCCCCGGAATACTCCAGCAAGGATCTGGATGAGACACAACGCAAGTCGCAAACACAAACCACACAACATTCGTTCCAGCCAAAATGGACTAGCGTTCCGTTTTCGACCCCACCAGAAATGGCAAGACATGGAGACCGGGGAAGAAAAGTGACTGCCACAGCTGCGTTTTGGGCAAATAACGACTCACATAGCAGCGCTTTCTCAACAGCCGCCATTCCCCCGTCTATAATAAAGAGCTTCGCTGAAGCATTGGAGATGAGAAGCAGCGCCAGAATGAGATGTTTGACTAGTCGAGATAGTGCTCTGAATTTATCGTTTTTCCAGCAGAACCAGTGGGTACCGTAGTCCTTGTTGTACTGGGAAACTGATCTCTTTTCGCCTTCGCTCAAACACAGGCGAATCTTGTCTTTTTCCTCGGCCAGCAAGGCGTGTGATCCAAGACCTAGAAACGTGGGGTACCGGATTTCATTGTCGGAATAGACAAATTTCTTCCAAAGCGGCGAAGTTGGAGTAACACAAACATGGAATTGAGGCTCTCCGGCGAATCCTAGAGCGACTTTTTGGGCAGTAAATTCCAAGATAACCGCATAGTACTCATGGGCCATTGGTGATGAGAAATGAGAGTGCAGGCTGAAACTCAGTAGTAGGTTCTCAACAAGCTAGAGGAATAATCTAAAAGACGAATACAATTGGACTATAAACTTGATAGTGACACATCAGAAAAATTTTGGTATTGAAGCATGTTCAAGTAAGTAAGTGAAAGTGTATTCGAATCATCAAGAGTGATGTATCCTTAGATACGAAGACAGATGGCCCCGGTGTTTTAACCTGTATTAGACGTAAGAAACTTGGTCCAAACAGACAAAGGGGAGAGAATATTCATGAGCTCAAATATGTCTCAGACAATTTGTCGTCAAAAATTACCATGGAGTGGACTTGAATACTTTATAAGGACGACGCTTATGCTACATTTTATCCGCTCATATGAACACTATTGTCATTGCATTACCTATAACAACCCCATTATAAAAGATCGAGATCTGCGTCGTCGAGATCCATAAAGTCATCCTCCTCTGCCTCTTCTGGCCCTTCTTCAATCTTCTGTTGCTTCTGCTGTTTCTGCTGTCTTTGGAAGCTTTCAAGCTGCTCCAAATTCCACACAGATACACCTTCCTGGTCCTTTGGATTTGACGGTTGTGCTAGAGTACGTAAAAATTTCTTTGCCGCAGCCAACGCCATATCTGTAGATAAATTAAGGTCCGACTCGAGAAGTGCCTGCGCAATCCACTTAGGAAGCTGGTTTTTCTTGTTTTTGAATCGCCGATCGGCCAAAACCATGATACCGTAGTCGTCCTTTCCACGCAAGACCCGACCCAAACATTGCGCCGCATGTCGCATGGCATCGAAAGAAAGAAAATCGTTCTCTTTGATCTGGTAATGGTCACGTAAAAATTCAAGTCGTGCTTTCAAAATTCTCGATTCAGTATACTGGAACGGAATTCCAATCATGAGCACAGTCCGCCCGTAATGATGGTCGAAATCGATTCCCTCTGAAACTTTTCCACGCGCAACAGAGAGAAGAACGGCACCCCTGCCGTTTGAACATGCTTTTCTGTAAGTTTCCAATGCCAACGCTGTTTCCTGTGCATCGGGGGTTTCAACAAGAATCAACTTGTACTTCCAAACCTCATCTAAAACACCCATGGTCTGCCACATGGAAATAATCGACTCCATATATAAGTAGGAGGGGAAGAAGACCACCATACCATCAGGGGTGATTTTGGAAAATTCTATGAGAAGCGAACCGTAGTTCCGGACCACAGACGGGTCGTTTCTGATTTCAAAACGCGATGATATCGACGTCTGGTCCAGGCCCTTGGTTACAATCATGGGCAAGAATGAACGTCTTGCCAACGTCATGGTATACGATTCCTGGATCACCGTCTGGAAATTAAGCATTTTTGGATACATGTCCAAAGGAGAAATGGTTCCGGAGGTGATAATCACCGACAGGAAACGATCAAAAACAGGCTTGATGGCTATAGATGCATCCAAGCACGTGAAATGCAAAATGGGGTTAGGCACTGTCAGCCCCCTCAGTTTCGAACGGCTCCAAGATAAGTTGAAAACCAGTGTCGTACGTAGAAACCAACGTGGCGAATGTGGCAATATCCTTCAATGCATTAAGGTCATCAACATCGGCTAAGTCTAGCGTCCTCACAAGCAAGGAGAGCCGCTCCAGGCAAAAGCGCAAAGGCTTCCTTTCGATGAATGTGAGTTCTTTGAGATGCTGCAAGAAGCTGACTGGGGTTTCACTGATGACATGAAGAACCTTCATACGTGTTTTCAAATACTCAATAAACCGCTTCAAGAAAGAGAGGAAATGCTCTGCCTTTCGGATATTTCCCGGCACAGCCTCTTCCAAAAGGTCTTGCGGCAAGGCCGGGTTTGCCATGAAAAGCTCTTCGTCTCGTGCAATTTCGTTCTGTCGAAGTCCCTCGACAAGTTTTTCATATTCGTCCTGAAGTTTGGCGCTATCCTGGGCCTTCATTTCATCGACCGCCTCGGCCAACTTATTAGCGCCTCGGCCAGCTCGTTTTAGCGTGTCGTCGGTCAAATATAGCGAGAGCGATTCGATGCACACATTGTCGATGTTGTGGGCCTCGTCGAAAATGACAATGCTATCTTTGCTGAGCTCACGAGAGACACGCTCGGCAATCTTAGGGTCGAGAAGGTAGTGGTACGAGTAGATGATGATGTTGCAGAAGGAAAGCATTCTTCTGACCGTGAAGTAAGGACACGTTCCGGCCTGCTTGCAGTAGTCAAGCAACGCCTCGAACGAATAAACGCCACTGGGAATCAAGTCGTGCTGGTCATAGTCGTACAATTTCTCGTGGAACGAGCATAGCCCGTACTGGTCAGAGTGGTTCCGCATCTCGTCCTGTGAAACGTTCTGTTGCTCAAGCTTCTGCTTCAATTGTCCGTTGGTGAGCCGGCGGCACTTTTCGTCCACCACTGCCCCTTTTCTTTCTTTCGACACGGTCGGATGCAAGCACAAGTTCTTTCTGGATGTGAGTCCAAGGCCCCGGAACTCTTCCACATACCCAAGTTCCAGGGCACGATATTCCATGAGCAGATGCAACTCCACCAACGCCTTTTCAATCTCCGACATTGTCCGCGAGCAGTAGACAATCTTGCGGTGCTCGGGATAGTGCATCTGGTACGCCACGGTAAGAGAAAGAAGCGAGACGGTTTTGCCAGTTCCTGAAGGCATTTCCAAAATGCAGTTTCCACCCACATCCAAGGTCTTTTTGATATCGCACATGTAAGCATACTGCTCGGGGTAGATCCGTGGGTACGGAAAAAGCACCGGCAAGTCGTCGATATAGAACTTCATCTAAGAAAAGGAAAGAGATGAAGTTGTGGAGATCAAAGAAGTGCGCGACCTGTATCTATATGGGCCAGGTGGAAGAGGCAAGATACATTATCAAATACAGAGAGGGAAATACTGAAGGTGAAAAAGACGGTGATGAAGTCTGTGATGAAGGCTATTGTAATAAGGCTATTGTAATAAGGCCAGTTAATTTAATTAGTTGTATGATGAGTGACATCTAGGTTTGAGAGGATGATGTGCGAATATATCATCAGATGGTAGTCTCCTTCTGAAAGCAATCATTGAGGCAAAATAGAGCTGGGCTTTGCTTCAAATTACCAAGCCTCATCTTAATAATTTTCAGGCCCAATTATATGGCTGGAGTGGACTTATGTTGGAAATACATGTTTTGGCTGATAAGTCTGAGAGCTAAATCCTCAAAAGAATTCTACTCACTGTGTTATGCCGAACACTACAGAGACGAGGACTGAATGAAGTTAAATTAGCCAGAATGGAGTAATTGGAAGATGTGCTGTTTCACTCCATTTTTGCGCAATTCATGAATCTTGGGTATTTTGCATCTTTACATTCTTTTCGCCTTTAATAGACATAATTACTTGATGTACTTTCAATAGATTGCACCAAATCACAAGTTCTGTTGAGTTTCGCCAATTTGGCATCTACATAAGTATTAAAGTCCATTGCAGAGAACGTGCTGATCTTACGAATGCAATGATGTGAAGCTGGGTTCCATTCGAAAACCACAATGGTGAATGAAGTTCAACCACTTGAACTAAATACTCGAAAGGGCATGTAGTTCAGTACTCAAAGGCCAATGAAAATAGTTGTTCCCTGGTCGGAATTCATGTATTAGAATACGGAATATGCATCATGGACTTCTATCGAGTAAAATGTGCTCAGCTCAGGGCATTTCCTACCTCCTCCACAATTTTCTTCAACTTCGGGAAAATCTCATCAGAAGTGTCTCCGCTCACAGTGTGCAACACGCCTTGCTGCTGATAAAACTCTCGCAAGGGCACAATCTCCTTTTCATACACATCCAAACGTTTCTGGAAAACCTCGGCTGTGTCGTCGCTCCGCTTGACCAACAGCTCCCCTGTGAAATCGTCGACAAACGGCTTCTTGGGCGGATTGTAATCCAAATTGTATACGCGGCCACTGGCGGCATGGACCCAGCGGGCCTCGATGCGGCGCAAAATCACCGACGGATCGACGTCCAACTCCACAACAAGATTCAAGTTGGCGTTGCTCTCGCGCAAAAGCGGCGAGATGGTTTCCGCCTGGCCCCGGGTGCGAGGGAACCCGTCCAAAAGCCAAGACGCCGAAGGGTTGAGCCAATGGCGTGATTTCAACTGGGTGGTGATAAGATCCGCCATGGTCTTATCGGGAACAAGCTCTCCTCTGTCAATGTACTGAGACGCCTCGGATCCGATGGGCGAGCCGCTGGCAATCTCAGCCCGGAGAGTGTCGCCGGACGATAAAGGTTTGATGTTGGGGAAAGCTCGAAGAAGACGAGACGTCTGGGTTCCTTTGCCAGACCCGGGCGCTCCAAGAAGAAGCATGCGGATGGGACGCGAGAGCGACATGCTTGGAAAAGTATAAATATGAAAGCTGAGAAACGATTCTTTTGCGGGCTAGCAGAACCTCTGAAGAAAGAAGTGTAAATGTGAGTGGACGTAGCTTTTCCGCATATTTTGTGGGGAAGATGCGCGCAGATGGTGTCTGGAGATATGAGCAAGCGAAATTATGCTTGCGATCCAGGAGAAAGGAAAGTTGCTGGTTTTGGGAGGATGTGTTTGGAGGATGGGATGTGTAGATTTGTCGATGGGAGCGTAATGTTGCTGTTTTGCGATTGCTGGAGCCACGGACTTACGGATCTGAGACGATATTGTGTGACTGGAGATGAATAAAGAGATTAAATAATTTACTCAAGAAAATATTGGAAACGACAATGGAGAAGACTGGGAATAATGGACCTTAACGTACCAATGGGCTTAACGTACCGAATGGGCTTAACTTACCAAATGGGCTTAAGTACCAAGTGGGCCTAACTTACCAAATGGGCTTAACGTACCAATGGGCTTAACGTACCACATTTCAGTCGAAGCCAGACCTAGTTGTGCAAAGTACAACTTGAATTAAATATCTATTTCTCCGTTGCCCTATAATATGGTGTCATTGCGTTCAATGCTTAATGGTGCATAGTCCTGTAGACGGTTTGGAGCCTCTATACTGACACACGAGAATAGGACGTCTGTTACTGGCTGTGATAGACAGTCAAATGAGAAACGATTTAGGAGGAAGTATTCAATTGGCAAGGTTCTAAGCTCCGTCGTCTTAGTTGTGGAATCCATGCCATGCACGTTCGGATTACAGAGCCACTACACATTGGAGCTCTTATAGAATATAGCCTCTTGTAGACGAAGTACAAACGTCATACCCACCGCTCTTCTCGTCAGTTTATTGTCTATGAACGCAGTCGACCCCTACTCCTCATCGTCGGAGTCGATGATCCGCCGTCTCTTGCGTCTCTCCTCTTCGTCGTACTTGGCTGCTCCGGCCGCCTTCACACTCTGCAATCTCTCGGCTCCGCGCTCAAAAGCCTCCTCCAACGCATCGTCCTCGTCATCCATCTCTGGCTCTTCGTCGTCGTTGGCCACGAAATCGTCTTCGTCGTCGTACTCGTCGCCATATGTGCGCTCGAACCGCTCGTATGCGGACTCGTTTCGGCCCGGCGCAGGACTCTCGGTCCTGCCCAACTTCTCCTCTTGCAAACGGCGTTTCTGCTCCATCTGGCGCCGGAGCTTGAGGCTGCGGCGCTCGTGCTCGTCGGCGGCACGTTGTTTCAGCATAGGATCGGCGTCGGTGAGCGTGTTCAAGATCTTGTCCTTCTTCTGGATGTTTTTCACGGCCTGTGTCAACTGGCGGTGGGTGGCCGTTCCTGTCGACGCAGGAAGCACGCTGGCGGTTTTGGTCAAGATGGAGTCGTTCTGCAACACCTCGTGGTCCACATGGCTGCGGGCAAGAAAGTTGTCGGCCAAAGGCAAGGCCCGGAAGTCAAAGAGCTCGCTCCCGACTTTCAACGACAACAGGCCGTCGTCCCACTGCACGAAATGGGCGTTGGACTGTTTCACAATCTCGTCGTTGCCCGCATTGGTGTACCGCCAGCGGAGAGTGTTTTGGTTCAAAAGCTTCTCGGCAATCACGTCGTTTTCCATGGCCTTGGCGTCCATGGCGCTCGCGTGCCGTTCGCGGGCGTTCTCGGCCACTTTCGCCTTGAACTCGTTCGGGTCAAACGGGTGGGCGTCCACCTGAAGGAAAACGGGCACTTTGATGATGAAGGTGTCTTCTTCGGGCTTGTGAGACACGGCGTGCCGCGGGAGCGAGAGGTCAAGCGTTTTCTGCTCGCTGTCGCTTTCCGGAGCGACGTTGTCGTCGCCGAAAAGATCTTCTTCGTCGCTCAAACGGGACGTTTCCGAGTCGGACATGTTCTTGTGTATTCTTGTAGGTGTAAAAAAACTCCAGGTGCGACTGCGAAATTGGTGAAAAGCTGGCCAAATCTGAACGGTGACAGATAATGTTAGCCCAAACTTTGTTCACTGTGTTTTTTGGTAGAGGCCAAGAGGACAGAAGGCATCTGAAGTTTAAGGCTAAATCTGAAGTCTGAAGGCTATGTCTGATGGCTATGTCTGATGGCTATGTCTGATGGCTAAGTCTGATGGCTAAGTCTGATGGCTATGTCTGATGGCTATGTCTGATGGCTAAGTCTGATGGCTAAGTCTGATGGCTATGTCTGATGGCTATGTCTGAAGACTGAAGACATACTGAGGCCGAAAAGGTATTCAGTAATTCCTACAAAACATCACGTAAGAAGACAATCACCAGCCTCCATACATGTCATCTCGTATGACTTCATCTTGGGTATTCGATGGAGGTTTAAGTGTTTGAGTAATTGTCTGTATTCGTACGTAAATGCTAGTCAGACGGAATTTGCTTCAATTATCTAGGTCAATGAGAAGATTTACAGCAACCCTGGTTTACTTCTACAGTTATTTGGCATTGAAGAAAAGTGTGGGTGTTGTCATTCAATACCATTTTTCGTGCAAATGGCATTTCTCACCAAAAATTACAATGTGGAAAGTCGAGTATCTCAATGACAATGTACATGATATGAGGTTTGTAGATATGGCTGTTATAGAAAAATAGGGTGAATTTCTCGACAAGGGCTTCACTAAATATGTATTTTTGAATATCCATCATTTCTTACGTGTGCATGGTTATTTTGCCCAGGTGCAACAGTCTACTTCGATCTAGTATCCATGCCTCCAAAGACTAAAGAGAAACAAGTGCCTACATGTATCAATACTCCTTCTGTATAAAACTTCTATAAATGTGCTGAACAGATTGGGAGAAATCAAAAACAGGGTATCCTAGTTCTGAAAGGCGCAGACACACTTCAACACTTTGCAATCTTCAGAAGTCACTACATGGACACGTCCTAAGAATACAAAGCACAAAGGAAGACTCTGTTGGCACAATCAGGGAAGCGAAAGCGAGCGAATGTATTAGCGAGAGACAAGGGTAGGGATGACGGCATGGGCCGAGATACCAGCAGAGGTTGAAACCAAAGCCGGTGAGTGTAAAATATGGACATAAAATGGTGGACAGAAAATGAAAAATTTGCTCCGGATGCTGGCAAGTAATGATTGTTGAGCTTCTATCCCACATTCAAAACAACGCCATGAGGCGGAGTCCACGAATCAGTTTCTGGAATCATTGAAATCATTGTTCACTGATGACTCGGGCTCACAACAATCGGAGGGGGCAGCTCGCCTGTAATGACACCCATGAGATTGGGAGCATTCGTTGGTTTCGGGAGCTGTTTCGGGAGCGATTCAGAGAGGTTTTCGTCATCGCTGCTGGCGCTGGCAAAATCGTGCTCTGTGTCAGATACAGTCAAGCCACGGGCATTCTTCACAAGGTTGCGGTAACCAATCATGTCCAAATCATCAGGATTTGGGCTTGAAAGCGACTGACTGTGGAACCGTTTAGGGTGCTCTGGCTCAACCGGACGCACCTTCTGCGGCTCCTCATTCGGCAAAAGCTTGTATGCGTACTGAATCAAGAATTCCACCACAGCCTGTGACAAGGCATACTCCTCTGGGTCCATGTCATGTTGCGGGTGCAGAAGAATGGACGGTTGAAAAATGGCGGCCAAGTTGCGCGAAGACATGAGGTTTTCATTAGAGTTGTTCTGCACCATAGAAAGTAAATCCAAAATGTAGAATAAAAGCTGTTTCGAAAGACCCGGAAGCTCGTCAAGTAAGTGCTTGTAGTCGTCGATGGCACTGTAAACGTCGCGGGCAAGTTTCTTGTAACTGCGCAGTTTGCGATCGCCAGAAGACGTCGAGGCACGAGTTTCAGCCGCCTCAGCCTCTTGCGGCGCAGAAGCCCGCATTGCGGCCGTCTGATTTCCAGGCTGAGACTCCGGCGGAGCCTGTAAAAGGACCGATGTGGTTTGGGATGCCACTTGCGACGAGGAATCTAGCAAATCGGCAAGCGAGCCCGTAGCAGAGCCAGTCGCGGCGTCAGAAGGAGCTAAAGCAGTCGAAGAAGACGCTGCAACTTCTGATGTGGGTTTCTTGGGCCGCGGGTTTTCCGCCCTGTACTTCATAAACTTGATTATCCGCGGCCGCAGACGCAAAGGATCACGGAAGTCCTCGTAGAGATGGAGCGGAACGAGAGGCTCAGGCAAGGCGTTGAGATAACGCCGAAGCACAGACGCAGCGTCATGCACGTTGTATCCATCCCAGTCAAGTTTGCGGCCGAAATCCGGCGGCGTGTTGAAGATGATTTGAAGCTCGCGGATGCGTTTGGACAGACCGCCCACACGGAAAATGCCCTCGACGGCCAAACCGTTTTTCTTCAAAAACACACCACACTTGGCCACAACGATCGGGATGCGGCCGTAATGCGGCATGTTCAGCAGCGCGTCTGGCGCCATGATCAGGATCTTCACCGACGCCTGCTCAATGGCAGCCTCTAGTGGCACACCGAAATACTTGGACGACTCGTCCACCAACAGATTGCTCTGCAAAAACAGGTCGCGGTGCTGGCGCAAATGGAGCAGGTCTGCCGACACACAGGGCGTGGTTGCCGAATTCAGGCGCATGCGGTGCACGTTGTTTGTGGAGCGGGATTTGTGGTTCAAGATGGGCCGGAGCAATTCTGCCGCCAGCGGATCGGTCAGAAGCAGCAGCCGGGGCGGCGAACGGGGCTCCGCGGGCTCGGAGTCGGAAACGTCGTTGACAGAGTCGCTCAGCGTGAGTGCCTGGCGCTTAAGGTTCTTCACCCAGCCCAAAAGGGAATTGCGGTTTGACGGCGACGCAGGGGTGCTCATAGACGCCAATGGGGAAGGAAATCAACGGAGAAAACAAGGGGCAGAATGGCTGCAAAACAGTCAAGCCTTCTTGGATAGACGAATGGGCAAGTGTGCGGTGGCACGATATTGGAAGTGGAAGGTGCAACTGTTCAAAATGGAAAAAGTGGCTGGTGTACAATCTATTTCTAGGCTTCGGTGGGGAAACAATATGGTCGGGCAGACGAAAAGCGCCGGGAGGGGGAAAGGTGGGAAGAAGCCAAACAGAGCACAGGCCGGTGCTCTAAGGAATAAAAAATCACAAGAGGGAAAGTGCAACGGCAGCAGAGAGGAAAAGGGTCTTAGGTTGGAGATGACCCAAACAAATAGTGGCGGGAGACAAAAGAGGTGCGGGTGGGATTTCGCAGAAAGTGCGCAAAGGATAAAAAGCCCAGCACGCTTTCGCACAGCCGACTGGGAGGCAGAGGGAAAAAAAGCAGAGGGCCACTAGAGCGGCAAGTGGTGAAGGCTAAAAAAAAAGTTTTGCCGGCTTTTGGTTAGATTGGGATAGACGGCGGTGAAAAAGAGAGGACGGAACAAGGGTCCTGTGTGCAGTCTGTTCTTAATATAGCCCGTAAGCGACGGGGGGGCCGTGGCCGGAAGTGGCCGGAAGTGGACAAGCCGAGGGCACGACTTACGGGGTTGCGCGATAAAAATGGGGCGAAGATGCGGGCTTGTCTGCAGGGCGCATACTTTGCGACACAAGCGCGCGTGCAGGAGATGATCGCCCCGCCACATCAGATAACCCTCGGATATGCTTTTTTCCGACGCCGGTCGCGCCCTCGGCCCACCCATGGACTGCCCTCGGATCTCGGGGGCCCGCCCGTCTTTTTCCACATGCCAAAGCAACCAAAGTCGACTAGTCCAGAATCCATAAAGAAATTAACCACGAGGGACGCCCGTGGAAGCAAGGCTACGCCGTGTCCAGACTCGTAGACCACAATAGATAGACCCGTACATCCATGTAGACAAAAGACCCGTACATCATAAACACTATTTACCTACTCAGCAGAGAACCCGTACACCACAGATACTATTTACATACTCAACAGGAACCCGTACACCCACCAACACAAACATCATCATGACCCCAAGACGAAAGCCCTTAAGCCGAGTGTCTGTCAACTCTCGCGTGTCTGAAAAAGGAAAGTCGCTCAGAAACCCGAAATCACGCTTTTCGCTCGCGGATTTCGAGATCGGCAAGACCTTGGGCAAAGGCAAACTCGGCAAAGTCTACTGCGTCAAACATCGGGCTTCAGGCCTAATCTGCGCCATCAAAGTCATGGCCAAGAAAGACTTGGTGGAGTTGAAGCTCGAGAAAAACTTCCGGCGCGAGATCGAGATCCAGCGTACCTTGGTGCATCCTCACATCAGCCGGTTGTATGGCTTTTTCTTTGACGAGACAAACGTGTACTTGATCTTGGAGTACGCTGTCTACGGCGAGCTCTACCAGCTTTTGAAGACCCACCGCCGCTTTGACGACATCACCGCGTCGAACTACATCTACCAAGTGTCCACGGCTTTGCAGTATTTGCATTCACGGGGAATAATACACCGGGACATCAAGCCAGAAAACCTTCTTCTAGCGGCCGACCGGTCGGTCAAACTCAGTGACTTTGGCTGGTCCGTGAAAACCGCGTCGGCGGCCGGAAAAAGGCTCACCATCTGCGGAACGCTCGACTACCTTTCGCCTGAGATGGTGGAATCAAAAGAACACGACTATGCGGTGGACATCTGGCTGTTGGGCATTCTCTGCTACGAGTTTTTGGTAGGGCGGCCGCCGTTCGAGGAAACAGATAAAAACGCCACCTACAAGCGCATCGCCAAAGTGGACTTGGCCATACCTAGCTTTGTGGAAGAGGATGCGGCTGACCTTATTAGGCGGCTCCTCCAGAAGAATCCCCGCGATCGGATTCCGTTGGCAGAGGTGGCTACGCATCCGTGGATCGTCAAGTATCGCCCGCTCTGGCCAAAAGCACATAAATAGCTGCAGACGTGAAAGAAGGACGAAAATGTGCAGGAGAAGCGAAAGAACATGAGCAAGACAGGAGAAAAGAAAATGATCAACTGAAGCAAAATAAAGCAGATTTGGACATGTTTGAGCCAACTGTTTAGATCATTGTGCAATCGACCTTCAGCAGATCGTATCGTTTTTCTGCTATTTCTTACTTTCCATTGGAGCCATTGTTTTCCTACAGTCCTAGCAACTTCTTGTCCATTCCCGAAAACCTATCCAAGACCCATAATAGATGCCCTGAGTTAGTGCTGGCCACTAAATTCCACTTGATCACCAAATTGGTCAGTTTTACGAGAATACAGCATAACGAGTACATTTAGCAGCTCGAATCTCCTTACTTCATCAAAATATGCATTAGGCTCCAAATCTTTGCATCCACTCTTCGGACTGAGATGATTTTCTCTACATGGAATACAAATATCAAGCATTGGCCTATTATTCGGCGTACACTGTAGAGAATTCCCACTCCAATAATCATCCCATTCAGCACGATAGTCAAAACCTACTGCTTTCACCTTCACAGTGAGCTAAGGTCCGTTTTCAATAAACACCAGATTCCAACTTACTCATAGTCATTTTGTACTTTGAAATCCGTTGTGAATTGACATGCTGAATATGCTGACTGCGTACTCACCAGATGTTCAACGGTATTTCCTTCGAAAAACACGATCACAAGTGAACGTAGAGTTGTTTTGTGGATAACTTCTTTTTAGACATTGCCTGGGTCGTGATAGATGAGGCATTAATCATATCACTAAGGAGAAGTGCATATACTCATCTTCGATGGATCCTGTCTCGTCTAATTCTAAGCATCCTGAAACCGAAACTGCCGCTGCTTCTAGCAAAAATTAACCAATAAACGGAAGTATTGGAAAATTACCTGCGATCTTGCACAATGTATCTCTCTCGTAACACAGCCTAAGTTCTGTTTACTGTGACCTCGTAGATCCACCCACTTACAGAGCCTGGGCCAGCACTGCTTGCCCTTGGTTTGAAATCTGTCCCTGGTTCGAGATGTGGCCCTGGCCTTGTCCTGCCTGCTGGCTCTGGCGCTGCTTCATGAGCAACTGCTGCTGCTGAAGCTTCATAACCTGTTGCTGGAAAAGCTGCTGCTGCTGTTGGTTGTACTGTGCCGTCATCAAGATTGCTTTCAGCGGCGCACGCACCTGGTAAAGCTCTCCTGTCACGGCTGCGTATGTTTGGGTGCTAGCAGCAGCCAGATCTACATTCACCAACGCACACCTGCCCTGAAGCCCACCAATCAGCCCGGAGATTGCCTGCGTGGCAAGAGTCAGGTCCAGCGCCAGCGCCTGTGAATCTGCCCCGGCGTTTCCTGCGGTGATGAGAGCGTTGGCATAGGCTTCCCGCATGTATAAGAAACGCAGACGATGGCGTGCGGGGAGAATCACTTTCCGCTCAAGCGGGATAGCGTAGTTCTTCAGAAGACCCTCGAGCACCAAATGCGTTTCTTCGTCCGGATCGAGAACCATGTTCAAGCTGGTGTTTTCGTCGTTGTCCATGCCTGTAAGCTGGGCGTTTTCACGTCTTTGCGCAGCCAACGCATGGCTAGCCGCTATCTTGGCCTGGTTCCGTTTCTGGTATTGCTGGAGTAAAACGTCATACGGTGCACTACGGCCTGGAACAGCCCTTTTGGCACCCATAGAGTGCGTTTTACACGTCAACAGCCGTGCGCAGAACCCACCCAGGGGCAAGGGAACACCACATTGCCGCTCCACGTCCACGGGTCCCTTTTGTTTTAGTCTGCGTTTTCGTTTTAGGCTGCTTTTTCCGTTTCGTTCCCGAAGTGGCTCGAGCAGCAGCAGCTTCGGCGGCGGCAGCAGCGGCAGCAGCGGCATTTGCTGCCTCCTTTTCCTTTTGCATTTGTGACTTCTTGTATTTCTTTTTTGGCCGTCCTTGCGGTGCCAGAGACCCCGAAACAGGCGTATCGGGGGCAGGCGTCGTTCCACGAGACAGATCCATGGATGACGGTTCAACGTCAAGCAACGCATTGGCAGCACGGCCCCTTTTCCTTTTCGATGGACCTGTAGCAGCAGAAATTGCAGCATCGGCGGCTGTACGCTTCTGTTTCATTTCCAAACAGCGGCTGTAGTGGGAGGCCAACGAGTCTTCGCCAATGGGACGCAGACAGGACAGACAGATCTGGAACTGGACCACCTGCAGAAGATAGGACGAGTCTGAGAGAACGTTGGCAAGCACGGAGGAGTTGAACTCCGAGTCGAGACGCCAGGCTAACTTTTTGTCAAGAAAAACGCCAAAATCCTTCCAGATGAGGGAGTTTTTGGGCGCACTGACTTTCACACGGTCAAGGGTTATAGGTCGGGAGCGATCTTTGCTCGGGGACATTCTCTGGGGACGAGAATGCAGAGCCGTTTTTCTTTTGAAAGTTGGTGTAGAATACTTTTGTGTTTGGTGACTGGGGATGTACGGGTGTACTTCTAGCAGGGCATTTACAGGCATACTTACAGTTTCGATTAATCCATTCGAGATAATCACTATCAAAGAAGGGCTATTGTTTTTATCGAGAAGCTTTTTTATGTTTTACTGGTGTTAAACCTGAGTGACTGTGTACTTTCTGTGGAAGTTATGATATGATGAGGATCTGTCACCTCTCTAACGGAAAAACAGAAAATTTCGTTTCTTTACTAAATGGATACTCTGATCAGATGGGATAATTATCATTTAAGGTTTATAGGCTTTTTCAGTGATAAGAGTTTCAGGCATCGATGCCAAAATAGTGAACAGAGAATCCGCACCAGCAGGTAGAAAGAGAGCAATGACGATCTTCTGAATGGAAAACTGTTCTATACGTATTTAGTTATGGAGTAATTACTTATAGATTAGTTAGTTATGGGGTACTTATCATGTTTTTAGGAGCTATCAAGGATAGACCGGTACTTGAATGTTGGTGTGACCATAGATACTATTTGAATTCTCTATATACATGTGAGCAGAAGCGAAATTACCAGTTGGACTAAGAGAGGATACACTATATAGGAATGATATTTATGCTCCCTTTTCCTAATAGGGCACAACGGCACAAGAATTCCGTCTCTCGAAGTTCTTTCTTTCTCAAAAGATATCTCCTCAAATCTGATCAGCCAAATCGACTCAATTTCAACGAGGGTCCCAATTTAGTTGAAATATTGTTCAAGCTATTTCTACAAATGTTCGACTTACTGAATGAAATCGAAAAAATTCCTTATGGTTCTGCTTCATGACAACTCAACTATCTGACACCTATCCTTACATTTTTTCATCTTTTCTTTACCATATAATCCCGAACACCATAGATGATTCTATACGATCATTAAACACAGCCAGCGGTGTTTCTACATTCCTTGGTAGGGAATATGCCATTTCTACTATATTTGTGGGCAAAACCGAAAGTTCAGCCTAGAAAAACAAAAAAAAAAAGCTTTCCTTGAAATCATAAGAGCTTACCTTTATAATAGTCTATTCATCGCAATGCACCACATCAACTGTACTCCTCATAAATGTCTTGGTCAAATTTTGGTGTTTCTTTTTGAAATGGCGGAAGTAGCTTAAAAGAGGATTGGTTTTATTCTTCCAACACGACACCTCCACCACTTGAAAACAAGCAGGACACTGAATTGCTTTGACGGTTCGAGTTTTGTGCACATCCACATTTCGAGTAACCACGTATTTGCCGTAATACAACCCCTCAGGCACCACAAAATTATTGGCATACACGCCGTGTTCCAAGGTCAAATGGGAAAGATAGCTGGAGTTTTTGAATGGCAAGAATTTGATTGCCGGACAAAAGGGACATAGACCGCACTTTGTTTCGTTCACCACTGCACCCCGACTATCCAACTCGTACCTATGTATTTGAGGTTCGTACGGTAGATTAATGTTGAATTTCGACAGCTCCACATACAGAATCAGAGACACCGTGTTTAGAACCATTGAGATGTTGCGGATGTAAACTTTCCTCTGTAGAATTCCAGACACGGCAGAAATTTTATTCCCCGGTGCATCTTGAGGAAAACCCACAAGTTCCATATTCAGACCAGGATCGAAGTACTCGTAAATGGGCTGCAAGCAAAGCTTTTGATGTTTTCTCACATCGTGTTGGGAAAAGGTTATATTGGTGATGTTATTGTTGAGGATTATGCGTTGTATTTCGCCTTGATAGCCTTTATAGTCCAAAATGACATTCAAGCACTGTATGGCCGAAGGTAAAACGTCAACGATTCCAGATGAAACAAACCGTTTTGGGATTGTTCGGCGACTTTGAACTTTGGTGTCCGATTGACGGGCATACTGCTCCGAATTGAAAATTGGCTTTTTGCTGTAGGAGGGAAATGACAAAGAGGCCCTTAAATTAGAAACGGGACCAGTCGGTAGATTGGGAGCAGCAGAAGAGACTTGCATCGGAAGAGAAGAAATGCTTCTCGAATATTCGGAGCTTAAATGGGTCCTAGGCGTTATTGGTGCAAAAACAGAGCGTTCCAGTGGACTTTTGAATTCAGAGGATTTCTTCTTGTGAGCAGAAAGCGAAGAAGTCTTAGAAGGATGGGTGAAAGTTTCTAGCAAAATATTGCTGTGTGAATGGCTGGGACCTGGAATAGCTTTAGTTGAACTTCCTGAAGTTGTGGGGATTGCAGATTGGTACAAAGAAGTAGATTTGTCCAGTTGCACATCATGGGAAAATAATGACATGTCTTTTTCTTTTCCTGAATTGTCTATCAGGTCGCTTGCATTTGGAAACTCGAATGCTTTTGCAGTCTCCGGTTCCAGACCTAAAAACCAGCCCCAGAAAAGCTTATCTTCCATAGACATTGTGGAATTATCTGTTTTCCGAACGCTTTGTGTCTCTACTTTCGTGGTCTGGGTTTTGCTCCGATGGAATTTGGGGCTTAATGCCACCATGCCATTAACACCCACAGGTGGCTCACTTTCGTTCTGGTCGAGAATCGGAGGCTCCAAACTGCATTCGCTGAAATTCTCAAGCGATACCAGAGAGAATGTGTTCCAGTAGCCCTCTTCCGTAGCCCATTCGGCAGAAAGAAGTGTTCCCCCCAATCCTGGAGGCTCCGAGGATTGTTCCAAAGATCCAAAAGAAAGATCATTTCCAGCGGAGCAATTCGTTGCAAGAGAATAATTTCCCGCAGCCTCATGGTCAAAACGTTGATTTGCACCCACATGCACAATTTTTTCCAGACACAAGCCCTGCTCAGCATAATCGTCCCCTCCTTCGATGGCGGAATATGCCGATGGTTGAGAGGGAGCGCCCGAATTTTGCAATGCAGAAAACGGCCCGGAACTATCCAAACCAGATAACACTTCCGAACTGTCCAAGGAAAACCAGGCGTCGGAATTTTCCAAGGCGGAAAAGGTACCAGACCTTTCCAAAGCAGAAATCAGAACACTTTCCAAGCTCGCCAGGAACATTTCAGCCCCGTCTAGGTCCGCCAGGCTTTCGGCCGAAAGCGCCCTTGGAAGATTCCAAGCCCGCATAAGGTCGTCGTCAGTATGAGGTTTCTCGTTCATCCTAAGCCTTGAGAAAACATTTCCAAAGGCTCTGGAACATTTCCTTATATAAGATCACTTGACGTGTTTTTCTATCGGCACAGACTAGTAAAGACGGGCCATTTGGGTGCAAATCCTGCACCTGGCATCTCATCACCGTTTTCTGCCTACTTTTCTTTTACTCCATGGATCTGGGCCCGTTGATTTTAGCGGTCTGCTGTGCCCTTTACTCGCTTTCGGGCGGCCGCTGGACTTTTGTCGCCGCGGCGATAGCAGGATATTTTTTTTCCACCAGAAAAGCGCCCGTGGTTCCTGAGTTTTCTGCTTCTGCTGAACAAAAGCCTCTGCCAATATATGAGGTGGATTTTACCCACTACACGCCGACGGAAAAAAGCACTTTCCCTCTCAAAACTGCCAGAAGAGCCCGCAAAACAAGATCACCCAAAGTTTTCCGTGGTCTGAAGCCGCCTGCGAAAAATGGCGATGCTTCTCTCACCACAGCATTGAAGCTAGTGGAATCTCCAATTTATATTTTCTACACCACGCTAACGGGCTCCTCGGAAAGAATAGCAAAGTCCTTGCATGCAAAGCTCTCGTCTCTCGACGGCCTTTTGCACCAGCCGCTTTTGCGCTCTTTAGATGACGATGTGGACGATTTGGAGGAGTATTTTTTGAAGACACCCAAAAACTCCCAGCCAAACATCTATCTCTTGGTTTTGCCCTCTTACGAAACGGACTCTCCTATTGACTACTTCATAGAGCACCTCACGGACACATTCCAAGATTTCCGTGTGGACAAGTACCCATTGCGAGCCTTGGCCGGTTTCGCTGTTTTGGGGCTTGGAGACTCGGAATCGTGGGGCGGCGCAAAGTTCTGTTATCAGGCCCGCTTGGCCGACAAGTGGCTTGGAAAATTGGGAGCCCGCCGCTTGTTCCCTGTGGGCGAGATATGTATGAAAACCGAAGGGGACCCCAAAGCACAAGACTGGATCAACGGCTTTAGTGAACTTTTGGCGGACGACACACCATTCTACATTGACGAAAATGATGCTGCAGACGACAGTGATGCAGAAAACGAAGAAATTGACGCAGACGACGTTGTTGACGTCGAAGATATGGGCTCCATCATCAAATCGGGGTCGCTAGAGCTCGAAACAAAGGAAATGGTGGCCCAGGACTCACCAACTTTCCGCTCCTTGACAAAACAAGGATACACAGTGGTCGGATCGCATTCGGGAGTGAAAATTTGCCGTTGGACGAAAAGTGCCATGAGAGGCCGAGGCTCATGTTATAAGTTTGCCTTCTACGGCATTCGCTCGCACTTGTGTATGGAAACCACACCTTCTCTTGCATGTTCCAACAAGTGCGTTTTCTGTTGGCGTCACGGAACAAACCCCGTGGCCAAGCTGAATTGGAGATGGGAGGTTGATCCGCCCGAAAAGGTTCTTGAAGGAGCGCTTGAAGGTCACTACAAGAAAATCAAGCAAATGCGTGGAGTTCCGGGGATCCAAATGGACAGATTTCAGGAAGCATTTACTGTTCGTCATTGTGCATTGTCTTTAGTCGGAGAGCCGATTTTCTACCCACACATCAACGAATTTGTGGGCATGTTGCACGAGAGGCACATTTCTTCTTTCTTGGTTTGCAATGCCCAGCATCCAGAACCTTTGGCTCGGTTGGCCAAAGTCACCCAGTTGTATGTTAGCATTGACGCACCTACAAAGAGCGATTTGAAGAAAGTCGACCGCCCACTCAACGCCGATTTCTGGGAACGACTCATGGCATGTTTGGACATTTTGCGCACAACCCAGAGCCACCAAAGAACCGTTTTCCGCTTGACTTTGGTGAAGGGCTTCAACATGGGCGACATTGAAAGTTACGCCGACATGGTGGAAAGAGCTCAACCTTCCCAAATCGAGGTGAAAGGTGCCACGTTCTGCGGCTCGTCCGCTGGAAATGGAAACCCATTAACAATGCAAAATATTCCATTTTACGAAGAGTGCCGTGAATTTGTGCAGAAGTTGACCGCAGAACTCCAAAGAAGAGGACTGAAGTACGAGATTGCTGCAGAACACGCTCACTCATGTTGTATTTTGATTGCTCATTCGAAGTTCAAAATCAACGATAAATGGCACACACATATTGACTATCCACGGTTCTTTGAGTTATTGGAAAGTGGTGAAGACTTCTGTGACATGGATTATGTGAAAGAAACTCCGTCATGGGCCATCTGGGGCTCCCCAGAGGCCGGCTTCAATCCTGAAGATACCAGATACGACAGAAAGGCAGAAAAGTTGAGAAAGAAAAAGGAACGGGAAGGAACGGCCTGATATTTATTATAATCGAAGCATGCATGAGAAGGGGAACAGTGGATAAGTAAACACATGACTACTTAATTAGCTTTACATGTACACTGTATTGACAGTATTGAAATAGTGTAATGGAAAGAATGGCACCATGAGAAGACTGCATTGCGTTTGGATAAGAATGCAGATATTAAAAGTTTCGGCAAAAACAGAAATGAGCAGTTTCATGTAATTGTACTAGTGTTTGTATTTTTAATTCGATGGAAAGTCCCGGTAATTATCTAATTTATGCGATTCCATGAATGGAAAATCGCGTCTTGACTATACGCTGAATCTACAAGTAATGGTATAATCAGTACTCTGAAATTCCATTTCGTAAATTTCCAGGTCCCAACGGAAGATTAACCTTTCATATCTCACTAATATTTCTTATAGTGTTTTCTCTTTCGGTGGCTCTAGTACCAGACATCAATTCTCATCTGACTCCATATGTATTATCGCGCACATACATCTTTCTTCCCATGGCCAAAATAGCATTTGTCCATCCGGACCTCGGCATTGGAGGAGCAGAAAGACTAGTGGTGGACGCAGCAGTTGGCCTCCAGGAAAGAGGCCATCATGTCACCATTTACACCTCCCATTGTGACATGTCCCACTGTTTTGACGAGATTTCATCGGGTGTTCTCGCGGTAAAGGTATTTGGGGATTTTCTTCCCACCACCATCTTGGGCAAGTTCCACATTCTCTGTGCCATTCTCAGGCAGCTCTATTTGGTGTTGCGGTTGATACTAAGCGGCGAAATCCGCGCCTACGACTTTTTCATAGTGGACCAGCTTTCTTTCTGTGTGCCCTTGTTGAATGCCTTTAGCACTGCAGCGGCTCGTGTGTTGTTTTACTGCCACTTCCCAGACCAGCTCTTGGCGAAAAAGGGCGGCGCCGTCAAAAAACTTTATCGTGTGCCCTTTGACGCCGTCGAAGAGTGGTCTACAGGCACAAGCGACCAGATTGTCGTGAACTCCACCTTCACCAAGTCCATCTTCCACAGCACCTTCACTCATCTATCTGCAGTAGACCCGGGCGTGATTTACCCCTGTGTTGACGTTTTGCAGCCACAACAGGACAATGCGCTGGCCGAACAAGAATGGGCGCAGTTCATGGGCCACTCTCGCTATTTCCTCTCCATCAACCGTTTCGAGCGCTTGAAAAACGTGGCCTTGGCCATACGTGCGTATGCCAAGCTTGAAAAGTCGGCCCGGCCCAGATTGGTCATTGCGGGCGGCTTCGATGCTCGCGTGAGAGAAAACGTCGAGTACTTGGCCGAGTTGGAGAAACTCTGCGATTCTCTAGGTTTGGTTCACTATACATTCCGTGGAAAACTCGTGGCGATGCCAAAGTCAACAGAAGTGGTATTTTTGCCCTCGGTGAAGAACTCGGTGAAGAACGCTGCGTTGAAGACTGCGCTTTTGCTTCTTTATACCCCAACTTTCGAGCATTTCGGAATTGTGCCAGTGGAAAGTATGTTACACAAAACGCCTGTTTTGGCAATCGATAGGGGAGGTCCGTTAGAGTCGATCGTTAACTTCACAGGCGAAAACTTGGATAATGCAACGGGATTTAATAGACCGAATGACATTGACGCATGGGCCGAAGTTTTGTCCGAGTTTTCGCTGTCGAGTAAAGACAATGTGAGAGCAAAGCTCGGCGAAAATGGTTGGCACCGTGCCAATGAGCTCTTTTCCCGTGATCAAATGAGCGAACAATTCGAAGCAAACTTGTTAACTGCAGCAAAAGCACCCAAAAAAAGCTTGCTGGTATGGCCTTTTGCGGCGGCGACAGTGGTTCTTGTTGGAATGATCTTGTCCTTGTGGCATTGAAACGTAAAATAAGCATAGATACGGCAGAATACATGAATTCCAATATGGTCTACTTTTCTTCCTTACTCGTAGATGGATATGGGGCAATGGTACTAAATTACTAATACGCTTCAAGTTTTCTCAACACCGTTCACAAACTTTGCTATATAGATTGCTCATTTGTAAGCCTCGAAGTTCATCTCCGTACATCAAAAGCCAATACCTTCTACGCCCAGCGATAGAAAGATTTTAGTGTAAGGCAACTTTTTCCACTCAATCCTGACATGGTTAACAATCATTATTTCATTAAAAGCTATAAGAATGACCAAGTAGTTATGCTATATTTTGAAAAGGTGCTCAAATGGGTCTTCGCCAATATATGTTGCCAACTGCAATTGGTATCCCAGCTGAGAGTGTCAACCTTATCTATGTTCAAGAGAAGAGCAGTTTCACCTGTTTCCACATGCCCGTCCTTTCAGGTTTTCGTTCGACGATTTTTGGACGGGAATATTCCTCTATGAGAGGCTCAATCCGTTCAATGACCAGCTCAAACAGTTTCCTAACCTCATTTGACTCAACTAGTTTCCATTTGTGAAGACTGGGAGAGGGACACTGGAGATTGTAGTTTCTGATTTCACGGTTCAAAGCCGCAACTTTCGTTGCAATGTAGTGACCATGAGTCTTTTCAAAGCGGCCCCGGAACGAGGAAAACGTTGTCTTACCATCAAAGTTTGGGCGTCGCACTTTGACCAATGCCTCTTTATGTCCGCCTAGGCCGTCCAATAGTAGCGTGAACCATTTTTTCTGCAAGTCTCGCCGAAACGTTTCCACAGCCCGCTGTGTGCCTTGCTGGCTCTCGATCCACGGCGGAAGACATTCCTGTTTGGTCAAAATCTCGTTTATGAAAAACGTAGTGTCGTTGCTGTTGGCCAAACGTTCGCGGTCCAACGGCTTTCCACGTACGGACTCCATATCCTCAGACGAGAACTTTCCTGTGCGTTGGTCGATGGCGGCATTGATGCGGGCATCTGCTAAAGTCCCCACTAGGCCCAAAGTAGCAGTGGGCAGAGCGGAATTGATGAACATCGACGGGCCTAGAAGCCGCTCACGGTACATTTCCCGGAACTCGTCTTGCTCGCTTTTCGTCGCCTCCGACTTGCCAACACGGTAGTCCAAGCTCTGTTCGCGGGCGTTCCGAACACGGTCGGGCCACGGAACTGGAGGAGTGATGATTTTCTGCGACTGTCCGGCTCCAGGAAGTTTTCTTGTAGAGTCGTCGAGCATCCGAGACGCGGTGTCTATTAGGCGTTCTTGGCCGTCCCACGGCTTTTGGGAGATCGTGTCCGCAAGCTGCTTTGAAGCTTTTGTTCGGAGCAAAGGTTCGCTGGCCACATAGGCGATTTCTTTCTGGAACTGCCGCGCATACCGGGTCTCCTGGGCCTTGTCTTCGTTCTTTGCGGCCCGAAAGGCGTTATCTGCGTCTTCACTTAACGGTGTGGTGGTGTTTGGTGGAGAATCAACTGCGTCTTGCGAAAGTTTGGACCTATCGTGTTTTGACAAAAGAGGATCACGGCGAATGGCCGACGCCAGCAGCGAGCTGATTTGCTCTTCGAGAATCTGCTGGAACCGCTCGCCTAGGGCCGATTTCAGATACGTGCGGAGAAACCTCATGGACCAAAACAACAAAAGAGACTGCTTGATGAGATTCTCAGAGATAAAGCGCCACCGTTTCCGCGGATGTATGGATCTGCCGGCTGGGCTGCTTTCTAACCAGCTTTGATGAATTCAATGTATTTGGCCTCGATGTAGGTTTCTTTCGGCTTTCTTGCCTGTTCCAACTCATCTCATCTGGCCCGGTGCAGTGCTTTTTGTGTTTTGACTTTGGCCCTATTCGCACTCTAATTAGATACGTTAAGCACCCTGGTCTATGTTCGTGTCCACATTTCTAATAATTTACTTCAACTTCTCATACTCTGATTTCTCATTCTTACTTAAAATACTCATAGGTCTTATTCTCCTTCTCATTCTTCTCATTCTCATACTTGTATTCATATCCTCTATTCAAATCTATTCACTTCAACTGCTTTTGACTCTGTTACTGACTACACGGGACCGTGCACATTTCCCTGTATTGTTAAAGAGCATAAAAAACTAACACACCACACCCTATCACTACTAGCATAAGCACGAGTAGCTTGAACAAGAAGCACATGATATATTCTTTTCTTCCGCCAGCGGTGATGATAATCTGTTGCTCCAAGTCAACGTCGTCTCGGAGATATATTTTGCCCTTCCCACTGGGCGTGTTCTCGAACTTGTCTAGCGTATCTGACATGGAGGATGAAACTGACGAAACTGAGGCCAGGTGGTTTCTTTTGACATCTGGATCGCTCACATATGTCGTTTGTGTGTATGACGCAGACCGGGCTCTGCTGGGATGCGTAGAAATGGACTGTTTTCTTTCATTCATGATGAAGTAGATGCGGATAAAATTTTTTCTTTGATCTGGTCCCGATGGGGTTTTTTCTACATCTAAATATGTCGAGGCTCCAGGGGCGGGGCGTGCACATCCGTACCTCCGTGCATGGGGAAGCAGGTGTCATGTATGTGATAGTGCCGTGCTATAAACAGAAACAAGCGAAAAAGTTTGCTTTGGCTCGAGATTTTGTAATTTTTAGCTTTTTAGTCCCTTTCCAAATCCTAATGGGCAACTTCCAAGTACCCAAAAGCTTATTTCTGGCTCAGTGCGCCTGCAATAAATGTTTTTTTGCATTCTTGGGCGTTGGAGGTGCGCGTCGTTCTATGCGCTGCTTAGGCACATTGGGGCTATATGCAGTGCTGCAACATGCACAATGATCTTATATACCCCTGCCGTACATGAACCCGCGCCAACGTATTTTGAAAAAAAAACCATCTCGGCTATGCTTGTTTTTACAATCTTTCTCGGAGTTTCGTATAGGAATAGCGGCGCTTACGGTAAATGGCGCTGGCTTTTCATTTTCGTATTTGCCTTTCCAGCTGGGCCGCTCTGCAACCCGGATATAAGCCTACCCCGCTAAACTTAATGGGGTGACCTGCACCGAGTAATCTGACTTTAGATGCAACAGATATGCATATTTGGTCACCCGTGCGTCTCCCGATGACATAACAACTAGCGAGAGAAGATCTGACACAAGAAATACCTCGAGCCTTTGATAATGAAATTAGTTCGCCAGATATGGATGTCTGTCGGTTTTTGATCTTATGTGGTGTAATTGCTTCGTGATGAAGTCGCGCCTTAACATTTGTCTCCATATAGAGACTGAAATGCGATATAATGCTCGTCAGCTTAATTTATCATATTTTTTTTGTAATCATTTTGAAATGAGCCCTGTAGCTTCTTCATTCGCCTCTTGGTACACAAGCATTAGTATTTCTGATCTTCAATCGTGTTAATTCTCATAACGTGGGCAATCGAGTGGACCAGGAATTCTTCTACCTTCTTGGGATAATAAACTATTCACTTGTGCGAAATAAGGATCAAATATGTTTGTATAAAGGCCATATTCGTGATGGAGAATGTATACTTAGACTCAAAGTAAATCCATGTATTTATCTATCTGGTTTGACGCTAAATTTTAAAATTATAGACTGTTTGGATTTCCACCAACTAATCATTCCACCATAGGCATTGCTGGATATTGTCTGTGGAGATTACTATGTTTTACTATAGCTTAATGGCCAAACTGCTAGCATACCCGTATATATATAAGTACGACTGTGGCTATAAGCCCGCTTCCCATCAGAGATCAAAAAGAAAAATTTGACTGAAGTGATAACAAATCTCCCACCATGTGAGCACCAGTAAGCTAATGAAATGCAAACAGAGACCTCTTTCCAAGAGAAGACAATAATCTATCTGCTGAAGTTTACGTCATCTCTAGGTCTTAACATAGCTATCTCCTTTGATGAGCAAGCATTTGTGAAAGCTTTTGTAGAAGTATCTACGGCAATAGCAGAATGAAGCTAGAAGTAGATAAATGTAACGCTCGACAAAGCGAAAGCCATATCTTCAAAGGAAATTCCTTGTGGAGCAGGCTGATTTTGAAAATGTGTTGGATGATGTGTTTTCGAGACGGAAGTTTCGGTTGCTTGTATCCATGGAAAGCCTAGAACATAAAATATCATAGGACCAACTGATTAAGAATGGGCTTAACTGGTTATTTGGAAGGAAAGAGTATCTTATAGTTTATAATCCTAAACCAAGGCATTTTGCTATTCGTTTGAGTGTTCTGAGCAAAAAATGGACCATATTCAGAAGCTTTACCGTAATTGGATAGAATCAGCTTGTGAACAGGCAAATACAACCATGACACTGTCAACATTGGTCACATTCATTACCACCCAAGCTTCAGTAATTATGGTTTCCTGTATTTTTTTTCATCCTTGAACGGGAGTACCAGATTCGATCTGGTTGACTATTCAGATACCAGAGTGTCATTTTCTTCCACCCATAAATGCCTCGAGACAGTAGCCAAAACCAATCAAGAAGCGAATCGATCTCAAGTCAAGTGATTGCAGATAATAGATCCAAATTGACTCTAAGACTAAAGCTTCCGTTTACTAGCATGTCAGTGTGCTTGGCCTTGCCGAAAATCCTTAGATAAAGCCTCTGTCTTTCCATAATGGTTCAACTTGCGTCGCTCCGAGCTTATCAAATATGACTGGGCTGTTATCAACAAAAGTGTCACATAATGTGCCTGCTGAGTGGTTTGGCTAACTAAATTGGTAAGTATAAAGCTTCAACCTAGAAAACTATAACTTCCAGGAAAAATGATGTCTAGTATCGATAGGAAGTTTATACGTCTTACGTTGGACTGTTGATATTCTGCCTTCGGAATTCTGTTTTAGCTACAAGGCTGATATTGAGGCACTACAATTTAGCCCAACAAAACCAGCACATAAACACTTTGCAGTGAACAATAAAGCAATAATAAGAAGCCTGCGTGATGCAAAGAACACCCCATTCTAACATCGCAATGGATATCCGAGAAAGTTGGAGCACAACAGCCTCATTGGCCGGATGCACGATGTTAGACAAAGCGCCACATGTAGATGTTGAATCCAGATGCTAATTTCAACTTTAGGCCATATTTACATTTCGTTTCGTATGCGCTTGCAAATTCCAATCATGCATGCCATCTTTCAGATGGACCAATATTGGCAATTGAGCACAAGGTAATTTGCCATAACCTTTTTCGCATTCAGCAAGCAAATGTGTAGCAAATGTGTCTACTCTATGTATTTTTTTTCTCTCCTAAACTCTCAAATACCCATTTTCTCCACCACAAGATGTCGATGTTCGATTCCCGAGGTCCTGTATTATCCGAATCCTGTATTTCCCGAGATCCTGTACTTGTTGAGTGTTTTTGGTACTGTACTTTCAAGCCATAAAGACATGTAACTGGTGCGGAAGCGTATACCCAAGTGACTGCATGTGGACACCACTTACACACCTTGCCGATTAGCCGTAGCAGAAAAGCCGAGGTTGACTTGGCCAGATGCCGATTTCGCTTTCATAGTTTTATGGGCTAGCTATTTTTTTTTTGAGCTACAGAGTCCACGCTTCTCTGACATATGCCTCTACTGTGATTGGTCAAAGGCATGGGCCCAGGTAAACTCGCGGATCTGGATTGTATTGTGCAGTACCTTCCGGCTCCGCCTCTCCTAACTTTCACCGAGATCTTGAGTCCGCGCGCATAATGTGATACGCGCTCACGTGACTATTTCTCACGTGCACACATATACTGGAAGGCCCTTGGAGATTTTCCAACTTGTGTAACCAGGCAGAACTTCCTTCCACCATGAAGTTATCCGCCTTGTTTTCTGCCCTTGTTCTTACGGCATGGGTCTCTGCTGCCGTAGAGCCGCAAGTGGGAAGTGTCGCCAAGGCCTCCCTTTCCCAAGAAGGCTCTCTTTTGGCCACGGATAAACTTTCCCGTGATTCAGAAACACTCACCAAACAGGTTGATGTGGAGGTTGAAGAGGCTCCAGGCACAGTTGCGCAGTCATTCTACATGGCTATCTCCATGATTCTCGTTTCTGAGATCGGAGACAAGACGTTTTTGATCGCAGCGCTTATGGCCATGAAACATCTGAGATGGGTTGTTTTCTCTGCTGCCTTTTCTTCTTTGGCGGTGATGACGGTTTTGCTGGGCATTGTGGGCCACGCATTGCCTACTTTGGTGTCGCAGCGTGTGACGCAGTTTCTTGCGCTGGTGTTGTTTCTTGTATTCGGTTTCAAGTTGATGCGGGAAGGTCTTTCCATGCCCAAGGAAGCAGGCGTGGCGGAGGAAATGGCCGAGGTCGAAGAGGAGCTTCAGGCATCTGCCATGAACGTGCAAATGCACAACTTGGAAGACGCTCATTACGAGAAAAAGCTCCCCTGGTATTCCGAGATGGGCATCCAGATCCGCGACTTGGCGTCGTTCGTTTTATCGCCAACGTGGATCCAAGTCTTTGTCATGACGTTTTTGGGTGAGTGGGGTGACCGTTCGCAGATCGCCACCATTGCCATGGCTGCTGGATCTGACTATTGGTTTGTCATTTTGGGTGCCATTGTCGGCCATGGTTTTTGCACAGCAGCAGCATGTATTGGCGGCCAGCTTCTTGCCACGAGAATCTCCATGAGAAACGTGACTTTGGGCGGTGCCACGGCGTTTTTCATCTTTGCCGTGTTGTACTTCTACGATTTTTACTACTACGACACCTCCTCCGATTTATAGACAAGTTGGCTCGTCCCTATTGCGAATGCATAGTAATATAGTTGTAATCTTTGTGTTGAATGACTGAGCGTCCTGAAGCGTAGTGGATACGTCTACGTATTGATGAAATACCCAATACTTAATTACTGAAAATACAGCGGGTTTGTCGAAAGATCGCTTGTAAAACAAACAAAGAAAACAGCTGGACTGTTCACAGATCTGCCTATTTTTGACTCATCAATTGCAATCTGCGTTGACTACTATTCCCAATTATCTGTATGAATTTCTTCCAAGTTTCCTATATAATCTTCTAGCAAAGAGAAGCAGTATTAGTTGTAAGATAGAGCAGCTTAGAAATTGCTTTCCTATATACCTATGAGCTTGGCACAGCCACAAGTCTTATCAACACTGTATGAAACGTAATGGCCTTGTAATGGTCCTGTAAAAGTGTGAATCTAAATGGCCCTGAGCGATAAACTGACCTCTGGTATTCAGTATGGCTCCATTCTTGTCGATAGGACTTCAGCTTATGCCAGTGGCCTGTCTTTGCAATGGCTTACACGATTCCCCGATGCATGAAACGTAACACTTGGTTGGACGACATTGGAGCTTCTGTGCCCACGATTCTTTTCTCTGCCTGCTCTTTCTCCTTCGCTATTGCCTCCTTCTCGCTCTGCTCCTTTTTACCCTCCTCTGACTCCAAATGGGCCAACTCCGCTTCTGTGTAGAAACCTTCAAAATTGAACGTCTCCTCGAGCTCCTTCACCTTCAGATAGCACCATTCCGCAAAGCTGTCGTCTTTCTGGATGGGCATCTTGAAAGTTGCGCTTTCTGCAATGGCACTTTCTATCCATTCGTCCACTTCTGGGAGAGGCTTTTTCCGTAAAAGCGTAGTCACTAGGCCTTCGTGTTGCGTGGTGGGAAACGAGGGGAGCGGATACGCCGTGCTTGCTCGAAGAATCTCGTCATTGGTGTCGAGCTGCAGAGCGATCGTATGGAGCTGTGTGATCAAAACATGGAACTGGCTTTGTAAATTCAGATATCCGGGCAATCTGGACCGGGGGTTGCGGTTGGTGTGATTGATTTGGTCGGCGAGCTTTCGGAGCGACTGGTGCACCTGGCTGAGTCGGTTTCGAATGAGTTCCAACGAGTCCACAGGAACTTGTGAAGGTGGTGTTTGTTGTTTGTCCATAAGGGTAGGGTCACGTGGAGATTTCTTGGAAAAGTGGTGATGGTGGAGTGCATATTCATTGAAGTTTTACCAGCCTGGATAATGTTTAGTATCATAAAGGAAAACTAGAAGAAGTTTCAAGGGGCCAAAATCTTATAGAGTTTCATCATCGAGAAATGTTGATAGTATTTCAACCTTTTTCTTTTTTGCGGTTTTAGGTCTTTTATCTTTTCCAATGCACGTGTAGAGGCACACTGTAATTGTCTTGTTTTCGTTCAATGTGCTTGTCGCTGTATTTTTTCTACTTTTTCGTATTCTGCCCATAATCCTCGCTTTGAACTCCTTACTTATGGTGGCTTAAACTAGTAAAACTCGCGAAATAGACTTCGGGTACTCAACGAATGGTACAAGATTCATCCAGATTTTTCATCAAAGTTTCAAGTACACGGTCATTCTTGTTGTACAGAAGTATTTATGTCGCTTCCGTAGTTACATAGTAGAGAGAATACCTTCTCACTACGTGAAGCGCTCTAAACAACTTCAGATAAGAAAATCGGAGTATGAATCATTCAATAAAGTACTCATTTATTAGATTTTCAGACACATGACGACCCCCAAAACATAAGTTTTCAGCTGGTTCGAAAGCTCATAGCCTACTTCTCTGCTTGACTACTTGATGTCTTCTTACCACAGTGATTAGCAGGAATAAAATGCGTAGCGTCACCTCTGAAAATTGCACACCAAATTATAAGCATATTCAACGCTAGCTAATTCCAATCGGAAATACTCTCATATTAGTGGAAATACACTCCTATTACTAACTCTCTCTTCAAGCTAATTTTCCATTCTTTTCCAATAATTTTATGCCGGTACATGTCTATACACCCGTGCCTCCCGTGCTTGGCTTATCGCCCAAATGCCCAAATGCGGTAACGAGTGCTACTGTGGCTGAATGATGAAATTGGACCTCAAGTATAAATTGACCAAGACACCCCAAAAATGTAAAGGTGCATAACCAAAAATGGTGTATCCCGAAACTTTTCAGGCCCTTGGAGTTGTGGACTATGATGACTGGTTGCACCCAAAAACATTCGAGTACAAGCCGCAAGAGTTCAGAGATTATGACATCGACATTGAAATTGAAGCTTGCGGAGTTTGTGGTTCTGACATTCATGCAGCCAGTGGAAACTGGGGCCGCCCATATGCTCCGGTGGCTGTAGGTCACGAGATTGTTGGAAAAGTGGTGAAAGTCGGCCCCAAGGCCAAAAGTGGGATTGAGTTGGGAGATCGGGTTGGAGTTGGTGCCCAATGTGACTGTGACAACAGCTGCATTGCATGCGAGTTGAATTTGCAAAGCAACTGCAGAAACCATGTGGGGACATACTTTGGCCACAACAAAGACACTGGTTTCAATACCATTGGAGGAAATGCGTCGCACATTAGAGTCAATTCGCAATTTGCATTCAAAATCCCACCTCTGCTCAAGACAGAACATGTTGCTCCTCTTTTATGTGGAGGAATCACAGGCTTCTCTCCTCTTCTTCAGCATAAAGTCGGCAAAGGAACGAAAGTCGGTGTAGTTGGCATTGGTGGTATTGGACATATGACCATTCTCTTTGCGAAAGCTTTGGGAGCAGAAGTGACTGCTATATCCCGAACTGACTCTAAGAAGGATTTGGCAGAGAAACTTGGGGCAGACCACTATGCCGCCACCTCTGATGAAGAGTTTGAAAAAAAATATTCCGACACGTTGGATATCATTGTGAACACGGGCAGTTCTTTTGCAGGTCTGGCGGTGGAGAAACTTTTGAAAATGCTTCGCCCTAGAGGCAAATTCGTATTTATCACCGTGCCACCTTCGGGTGAGAATCTCGAGTTGAGTCCAGTGCAATTAGTTCTGAACAATGCTTCCGTTCAAGGTTCCTCGACCGGCTCGCTTGAAGAAATCCAATTCATGCTTGATTTTGCCGCAGAGCACAATATTCAGCCCTGGGTTGAGACAATTGATATTTCGGAGGAAAACTTGGGCAAAGCATGGGAGAGAGCTCAGAAGGGCGACGTGAAGTTTAGATTTACGATGGTGGGATACGACAAGTTCTTCAAAAAGAAATAGACTTAGAATTTATCCAATGGATAATACACAGATTACTGTAACATATGCGGGACAAGAACCTCGAGCTCATCTGGCATTTGTAGAGTTTATGAACATTTTACTCCAGCGATCATTATAAAAAGCATGATCCAGATGCATAATTGGGATATATGCTTTCCCGTAGGAGATATATGCTTTCCCGTGGATAAACCGCTGTATATCCAACAGCACCGCAGCCAAGATCCAACTAGTAATTTTTAATTTCTCAGTCTTACCGTGCTAAACCAAGAAGTTGTCTCAGTATATTTCACGTTAAGCTTTGCTATGTATTTTCTTCAAGATGATTTAGGTTTGTTTACAAGAATGTAGGTTCTATGCAATTTATATAGCATTACAAGTTTGTTTTTCCCTATTTCTATCCCCTCCATTTATTTCTTATTTCTTTCAGGAAATATATGTTTAAATTCCTTTATCAAGTACTCTGTCTTTCTATACCAGCCGCGCCTCTATACACACTGGCATCAACTCAACTACTCTGGATGATACGAGGAAACTACAGTTTAGCACGTGAGGTGCGGAAAAGCGAGCAGAAGCTGCGGCTGCGGATCCAGCAGAAACAGAAACATGCCCACTTGCTCGAAAAGCTCCAGCGAACAGACCCGATCCGGCTTCATTTCCAGATCGAGCGCCTTGAATCGGGCCAGCTCGATGGGGCAGGGAAAAAACGGCTCCAGAAACTCAAAGAGCACTGGGCCTTCATGCAGAAGAACGGGCTCCACAAGGAGAAAATACAAGCGTTCCTAGAACAGCAGAGGAAAAAGCAAGCCGAGGAGGAAAAGGCCCGGACCAGACTCTGGGGAAAAGAGTCTGTGTACTTCAATCCAGAATTGAATCCGCTTGGCAAAGTGCCCGATTGGCGGAATCTCGACGGCTTTTCGGAACCGCTTCCCAATGCAAAGAAGCCTGTTCAGCGAGTTGCGGTCGAGCCCGACCCAGAAATCTCTCTTTTGGGAATCCAGCCTCCAGAAGGGGCGCCGCCGAAATTCTACCGAGCAGTGCAGAACACAAGAGTGAAGGAGTAATTCCATTAGCATGTAATCAGGTGGAGGAAAAGGAGATCTTAATGAAAACGAAACGTTTACACGAGACATGTGGAAATCGGGCCGACTAAAGGACAGAAACGTCAGATGGGGAAGGTCGTTCAACGACGCTTTTGAAACAGCCGAGTCTAACTAAATCTAGGCGCATTGGGATGAACTATCTCCCTGGAATACACTACGGGCTCAGGTGAACAGTGCATAGAAAAGACAAACACCATGCACCAACCACTAGCAGCTCTATCGCCGTCCATTATATACAAGAATACCAGGCAAACCGATGGACTTTCCATCTCTATTTCGTCTCCTCTCCCTCTTTTCGTCTCTATCATCACATCTTTTCTTTTCTCTCTTCTCTCTCTCACGACAACATGCGCACCACAAGCTCCCACGTTCCAAACATAATGATCAGGTTGGGCACAGTTCGAAGCAAATGCGGCGTCAAGCCGCCGTACATGCTGGCCAAGCCTTCCTCGCGCGCCACGAGGCGGAAACACTGCACGAGCCCCGTGTACTTGGGCCGCCCCGTTTCGGCCAAGGGCGCCTGCCGCAAGCGCGTGCGCACCACCTCGTGCGGGTAGGTGATGAGCGAGGCCACGAACTTGGCGGCGCCCGCGGCGCCCGACCGCGCGCACCACTCGAGCACATGGTCGCGCGTGGTTTTCTCGTTTTCGCCCCGCGCCTGGCGCGACACAAACGCCTTCATCTGCTCGTACAAGACCCACTGCAACGTCAGCTCCGCGCCGCCCAAGTACGACGCGCTCAAACCTTTGTACAAGCTGAAAAAACCTTCGCGCCGCACAACGTGCACAAGACACTCCCACAGGCTGCGGTAGTGGCGGCCCTTGGACTTGTCCAACTGGAGGCGGGTCTTGACCAACCAGATTGGGTTTGTGGCCGTCGACGTGACAAAGCCCGCGCACACGCCGGCCGCCAAGTGGATCCACGTCGCCTCGGCGCCGCCGTTGAACCGCGCCAGAAGCATCTCCTTGCTGGCGCCATAAGTGAAGAAGTTGATGGACCGCGCCGGGATCACGCCCACCAAGTTGGGGCCCATGCCGCGGAAAAGCGCGCGGGCGCCCTCGCTGCGGTAGATGGTGCGGAGCGCGCCGCCCGTCTCGCTCAAATGCTGTGCCGCCAGCACAAACGGGTTGCTCGACTTGGGCGTGCGGTTGTACGCGCCGTGGTAGGCGTCCGACTGCAACCGTGTCTTGACCACGTCGAGCGGGCACGTGACAATCGCCCCCATCATGCCGCCCACGCCTCCAGCGACAAAGTGGACCCATTTGGGCGGCGGCGGCCTTGTGGCGCTTTCCATAGGCTCCGGGGCGCGTGTGGTGCTGGACTTTTCGTCCGAGACGAGAAACGCATACAGCTGCTCGGCGTCGCGCTCGATGGCCCGGACTCGGTCGATGCGGGCCTCCGATGCGCCGTTTTTATCTAGGCCCATGTTGAAGAAGTAGTTGTTCTTTTTCGTGATGCGCTCCTGCACCATGGGCCTTTGATGGCGCTACATGCACCGCTACGAAGCAGACTGGGAATGTGGGATTACGGTTTGGAAATGCCTTGTATGGTGACGAAGTGATTGAGCGAATGTATGTGCCGTGGTATGTGCTGTGGTATTGCTAGGATATGCTAGGTGGATTGGGATATTCTGTAACTTGCTACATGTTGCTGTCTGTGCAGTATCCAAGAGTCTGGACTGAGATGCGAAGCCTGTTTAGTGGTCTGAAGTGTTGGTCTGAAGTGTTGGTCTTAACTGTTGGTCTTAACTGTTGGTCTTAACTGTTTGGTATTGGTGGTCTTCATTCATCTAACTTCCACTAAACCGTTGAGGACCCATGAATTCTTGATGGATCGCCAGCGCTTTTCCGTCAATCGTCTTGTTGCTCGTTTAGCTGTTGGGATGATTAGGACGGTGAATAGTCAACCTAACACTGTAGGTCCGGCTTCCGAACAGTATTGTACGAATTAATCAAAAGCAGTGTATTAATACAGACTCGTCTGTTTTCTTGACGAACTCAATACCCTCGCCAATTGATATGGCTCCTTTTATGCATTTTGTTCAGCTAGTTCCACACCTTGCCATGACTCGTGAAATTGTGGCCAACGATAATCCAAACGTTGTCCGCTTCTTCGTAGTGAGGCATGGCAAGACTGATGGCAACGTCAATAAATTCATCCAGGGCCATTTGGACTTGGACTTGAACGATGAAGGCCGCGATCACGCTGAAAAAGTGGCACACCACTTGACCTTAACTACATAGTAAGCTCGGATTTGCTTCGGTGTATGAATACGGCACGGGCAATTGCAAAGAAACAGAGGAAACCGGTCGGCCCCTTTGAGTCAACCCGAGCCTTGAGGGAATCCTACATGGGTCCACTCGAAGGTTTGCATTTTCAAGTGGCCATTGAAAAGTACGGGCCCAACTTCGAAACAATGGGCGAAAGTGACGGCGATTTGGTGGCTCGTGTATATCAGCTGTGGGACCAGACATGCAAAAAGGCCGTAGCCGAGAAGCACTCAAATATTCTCTTTTGCACTCATGGTGGCGTGGTAGGAGCCTTTATCAGGCACTTGTACAATGTTAGAGGCTACAAGTTGGCGGACGGGATTGCACCCGAAGATCTCCGTGTCCCTTTCAATACTTCGGTAACTATAGTAGACCTAGACAAAATCTCAGGCGAAGGAGTTGTCCGGGTATTTGGTCTGACAGAACATTTAAGTGGTGATTCTGTCGTGGCCTGATTGTCCTTGCCGATTATCCTAGTTCTCATGATTGTTTGTATCTAAGTACAAGTCTAGCTCCCCATACTCTCTATATTGCTCCTATTTAAGCTTTTTGATAAAGTTGTCGAGATTGTACTCGTCTTCGTACTGCGACTCGTCCCAGAGTTGGCCCAATTCGCCCACTGCTTCTGCTGGAATAAGCCCACCGGTCAAATCTTCTTGCACCTTGTCTTTCTTTTCTTCTTGGCCGTTTGCATCTATCTTGGTAGCAGCCTCATCCACATCAAACAAGTCTAGCAATTGGTTGGTGTCCATTGATGCTAATCCTGCGTTTTGCTGGTTCACGATAGTCGAAGCAATATTCATTTTGAACTTTTGAAGACCCATGATTTTTTCTTCCAATGTAGACTTGGTGATCAATCTGTAAACATTCACAACCTTTTTCTGTCCAAGACGATGGGCACGGTCCATGGCTTGCAAGTCGTTCATTGGATTCCAGTCATGTTCAACGAAAATTACAGTATCTGCTCCCGTCAAATTGAGCCCCAATCCACCGACCTTGGTTGTCAACAACAATACGTCGATAGAGGGGTCTTCATTGAACTTGCGAACAATTGCTTGTCTGTTGCGCGGATCTGTTCGTCCGTCCAATCTCATGTATGTCACCGATGGCATATGCTTTTTCAACAACTCCTCCTCGACAATATCTAACATGTCCTTCAATTGACAGAAAATAAGGGCCCTGTGTTCAGATATCACTCCCTCAGATGAAATGAGCTGTTGTTGTTTTTGCTTGTTTTTATACTTTGATCCCGAGTATTCACTATCACGAACTCCAATACCACACTCTAGCAAAAGTGTTTTCAACGATTTTAATTTTGGTGCATGTTCAATATCCCGAAGATCAGACTTTTTGCTGGCCAAAAAGCTTGCTACTTCTGCAGCTTGAGGATGATTGGGTGAAACTACTAAAGCAGGATGGTTGCACAACTTTCTCATGTACTGCAAAGCTTGGAAAATGTGTGTTTTTGGCGATCCTTCATCCGTTTCCATCGCATCATCTTTCAGAAGCTCGTCCTTAACGACACTTTTTTGTTTGTTTGCAAAGTCCTTGTAAAGTTTCTTTTGCAAGTCGGACAACTCACAATAGTAATCTTGAATAATCTTTGGCGGCAAGTCGGACAAGACATCTTCCTTCAACCGACGAAGCATGAATGGCAACACCTGTTTGTGCAAAGATTCCAACGCTAAAGCACCTGCCTCTTGCTCTTTCGAAGATGTCTTACTATTTCTGCTGGCTGCAATCGGCTTGGCAAACTTCTCCATGAAAATCTTTTCTGTTCCCAAAAACCCGGGCATTAAAAAGTCAAACAAAGACCACAACTCCAATACGTTGTTTTGGATAGGCGTACCAGACAAAATAAGACGGTGTTCTGCACTAATTTTTTTGACAGATTTCGTCAACTTAGATGCAGAGTTTTTGATAATATGGCCCTCATCAAGAACACAGTAATTGAAGGAATGATCCGCCAAAACATCAATATCATTTCTGCACACATCATAGGATGTCACAACGACGTCTGCGTCTGGTATTTGAGATCTAATTCCAGCCCTTAACGAAGGACCACCAGCATAAACAACAACCTTTAAGAACGGAGCATACTGGTTGATTTCTTGTTCCCAATGTCCCGTCAACGATGGAGGACAGATAATAAGGGAAGGAAGCTTTCTAAACTCGTCTGCTTTTGTTTCAGCAAATTTTTCCGCCCGAAGATGGTGGTCGGATGCAACAATACAGATTGTCTGTAATGTTTTTCCCAAGCCCATATCATCACACAAAATTCCATGCAAGTGATATTTGTTCAAGAAAGCAAGCCAGTTGACACCTTCTTGTTGGTACTTACGCAAAGTGGCCTTTATGGCAACAGGAAGTTCAAAAGGTTTGATCTTCGTTGGATCCATCATTTGCTGTATAAATTCTCTTTCACGGTCTCTGCCAGCCAATAGATCTTCAGGCATATCTGGTGGGTCAGGAATACCTGCTTCTAAAGGTACTAACTTGATGATAGATGCAAAAGTGGTACTGGCCAAAATACGGGACATCTTGGTCGGCATCACTCATCCTTCCCAAAACAGGAACAATAAGGAACACAATGTACGGAAGAATGTCGGGACCCATCGTACTGGAAACATGATACACAACCTCAATTGCACCTTGACGCTCTCTGAAATTGCCTGCATTATTGAGCATAGGCAAAACATTCTTCACCAAGAATGGAAACGCTTTAGACGGGAGCACGGAAGATATAGTGGCAAAGCACTTGGCTGCAGAGTATCTGAAAACAGAAAGAACGTTCTTCAAACCGCCCAAAAGCTTTGGCAAGTTTGCTGCGATATCGGCATAAAGCACTGGATCTAACTTGGGAATAATGGCTCTCAACACTCCCAATGCATCGATGATATTTTGGCCCTTCTGCTCATCTTCCAACACTGTTTCTGGACCTAAAGTTTCTAACACATCCAACGGATCAAAAAGAATTTCCTTAAGTTTAGGAAGCTCCGTAAAGAAAGAGTCTTTGTAGATAGCGATAATCTCATCCATTGCGATGAGCGCACCATTTCTTTTGATTCTCGCTTCATGGACTGCTCTTTCATGTGCAGCAATGTCCGCAGGATCAGTCTTCGCTTCTTCTTTTTTCAATGATAATATCGAGTCTTTCAATTTCGCATGATGGATAAACTCTGGAACCTCAGAGGTATCAACGCAAATAAAAGCACACAAGTTCTTGGTAATTTTGTCAGCCGCACCCTTCTTGCCAACACAATTGAGCTCATGAATGAGTTGTGCGATGGCCTTGGCAGATCTTTGCTGCAACAATAACGTTTCTTCCAGTTTAATACTGTCCATCAAGGATCTGATAATGGGGTTAAGTTTTTTGGGTACACCACCCAATGCTAAAACTGCGGCAGAATATGCCGCTAAGATGCTGGTTAAGCGCTGGTTAGATACTAGTTTAGCCTCTTCCAACGCAACAAAGATTCTATGTTTCGAATCTTCCAATGCTTGATTTGCAGAAATACGGTATGTGGCAGACAAAGATTTGATCAACTTTGGATATGTTTCATTAATAAGCTTTTCTGCACTTTCAATGCCAAATGCTCCTGGTCCACATCCCGCTTCTCCTTGGACAATAACCGGTAGTTGTGGAACCTTGTTGGGAGGTAATTTTGCTTTCGTCAAAAGCACATCGAAAAGTTGCAAGCACGAAGTTCTTACGCTCTTCAATATTGGCACTAATTCCCTGAAATAAGGAACACTTTCTGGAGCGCTCAATGTTTCTAACATGGATGTAATAAATTCTTGTGCGCTTGACAGTGGTTGTTGGCCCGCAGACCTCAAAGCCTTCGCATATTCCTCGAGGATAATAGCACCAAAGAGGCGAGGTGTCCCATGCGGAGAGTTCATGCAATTTTTTAAACTGTCAAAGATTTTCTGAAGTGTCTCTTCACTTGACATCTGTGCTAATGCTGTACCATAAGCTTGCGCTGCAGCAGTTCTTGTAGCAATGAAAACGTCGAAACCAACAAACATCACATCACCATTATAGATTGGTGCATCGATATTGATTTTGAGTTCATCGTTGGAAGGTATAGCAGACTTGGGAGGTTCGACTTTCCTTTTCCTTCCGCGTTTGGTAGGGGCTTCCGGGGTTCCGTTTGGTTCCGATATTGGTTCGCTTGATTCTTCTTTTATATGCTCAACTTCATATTTGGACGCGGAAGTTTTCATAAAAAGGTGCGTGTTCATCTGGTAATTGTGTCTAGCGATTCCGATTGGTGTCATTATCAACGTAATCAATGAATGCAAATGAGTAGTGAAGTATGACTCCACCGAATCAAGGTTGGGGTTGGTTTTGATTTCCAAGATGAGCTTGTTGAAAACCTCTTGGGATAATTTTAATACCTCTGCATTTTGCTCAACTAGTAGGTTTTGAAATATCAATCGTAATGCTTTGGATGTGATCCACAACTTAGTAGACTGGTCTTCGATGGACAAAAATTCAAGAATTGTGTTAAGGGATGCTTTTCTCACGTTGGTAATTGAATGCCTCAAAAAGGGGAAAAGGAGAGGGACAAGGTTTTCAAAAGAATTTTCCGAGTTCAAAGTCGCCTCCGACTGCATGATTTCAATGACTTCTTTGTGAGTGCATAGTTTGGAAAGTAAATCCATAACAGAACCGATAGAAGCAGATAAGTCGTCCTCGAAACTTGACAAACATTCCCAAACCACTTCTAGAAGCGAGTGTATCACTTCCTTTCGCGTTTTGACAAACTCGCTTGCGATTGGAGCTAATGTTAAGGCAGCCACAGATTGAACGTCATCCTCGCTCTCCTTTAAGCAATGCAAAACCATAAAGACGACCGAATCTAAGAGCTCAGGGTGTGAAAGAAGAACATCAGTACGCACACTCACGAAGTAACGCACTCCTAACATTCCTCCATGTTTCGCTTCCCAACAACGAGGTATATCCAAGCTATCTGGTTGCTCTTGCAAAACTAAGGATTGCAAAGCAGAAAACGTCTTCAAGATTGTCTCGATATTGAGATGGATCAAGAGAGCTGCCAACGTCTGTGCTCCAGATTCACGTACCGGAGCCACTACAGTATCGTTGACGTAATCTGCAAATCTGTCTAAAGCAAACAAAGTGCAGATTCTGACGGCTAAATCTTCCAATGTAGCAGCATTGTTCTGGTCGTTTTCTTCTCTTGATTTGTTCATTACTCTTCCAGCACCGGTTCCATGAGATTTCATCAACTCTCTCAATCCTAAAGCAGAACCATGGCGCACTTCCCATTTCTCGTCAAACAAGTCATTCAAGAGCAATTCGTACACACCTTGAAATTGCCATACAAGACCAGCGACCTTTGCGTGCTGTGAAATCAAGGGAGAGAGTTCAGGTGCTTTCGTTTCCATAACCAACTTTGATCCGCCTTGTTGCGACGTTATATCAAACTGAGGTGCATCTTCTTGTTTTACGTTAGGGTCGACTTCGCCATCCTCAACCAATTTCCGTGAGATCGAAGACTGTGATAAATCAACAGGCGCAACTTTTGAAGCGTTTGATTTGGCATTGACTTTGGCTCTTCTTCGTTGCATGGCTTTTAATCTAGCACTGGCTGCAGCTGATTTGGGTTCAGCCGGTTGCGGAGACTGCGACGCTGTTTCCTCCCTTTTTAGTTCTGGCTGTCCTTCCGATTTCACCAGCGATACTGGAGAGGGGGAGTATTCGTCATGCTTAATAAGGGGTTTGTGCTTTTTGATTCGGTTGAGGAGAGCATTATCTTTGGACGAGGCGTCGAATTCTGTGCCACCGGACGCTAACAACTTCTTGCCGCTTTTCAAAAGCTCGTGCAAGTTCCACGAGTCAAAAGTAACCAAGGACAGTAAATTCTCGTCGAGTTTCCGAAGCTCCTCATCTTGTTCCAACTTTACTGTGGGCTCGTTATCAGCAGAATTGGCACTTTCGATATTTTGGAGCTGCTTCTCCTTTTCAATCGCTTCCTCAGAATTTGGGTCCCACTGAGGCGCGTGGGCGACGATTCCTCCAAAAGCTTTGGCTGCAGCAATTCGGGTTTCCCACTTTTCAGCTTTTAGAAACGGATATACACGGCCCAACAAGCTGATGATATCTTCAGGATGGCCCTTGGCTAGATCTGATAGCTGGTCAGCAGCTGTGTTTCTTATGAACGGCGTGGATCCTGTTTCCAAGAGAACCACCAAGCGATCTAATCGAGACATGGCGGATGGCAGATGTTGTTTCCTGGAACCAGATGGATCTACTGTTCAGGGGAGGATTGAGCAAATTAGACGGGGCAGTTTTGTCGGGGAAAAAATATTTATCAATTGTAGCACGATTCTTCTTTAAAGTGACATCCAAGCACTTGCCCACTAACTAGGTGCAACAATCGATGGTTTTGGTGCGAAAAGTGCGAGAAATCACCGTGCTTTATATACTTTGGTGATGCGCAGTGTTTTTTTCTGTGCAAGATCTGTGCCTGGCTCGCCAGATGGGAATGAATAAAAGACAAAGATGGCGTTAGATAAGCAAAAGTTCAACCCCTGGTGGAAGCCGGAACAAAACTGGAATTTGGACTCACATGGAAATTTTTGGATCTTTGCTCTTCCTCCGGGCGATCTGTCTATCTGACTGCGCATCTGATGCACTACATAGATCAATAGTACAATCTCGCTTTGAGAACCACTAATTTACTTGACAATTAATTCAATGGACATATTGATCGAAAATCGCAAAAGCGGGTCACAAACGACAGCGCAGATGTCGATATTTCAAGAGTAAATGCTGGGCTATAGACTTGGGGTGTTATTCAGCAAATATCAGCTTTGCGTTTTCGACTAAACTCGATGTGGTGAGATGCCTATAGGTTCCAGTGCTGATACTTGTATGCCTATTGGTTTGTGTTAGAGTCTCATTTCTGCGAGGTTTGTTTTGAGAGGGTAATATTAACGTTGGATAGACCGCGGACATGAATAGAGACTGATCGCCGCATCATGAGCTAGTACTAAAATCTACTACGCTAGTGACGTTGAGAACAGATGTACCTTTTGGCCATCTTCAAAAGATATACCTTTTGGCCATCTTCTGAAGACATCGCTCCCCGTCTGCCTAATCAGATCCTAACCGGTTTAATCATACTATGTATTATCATCTTAGGACTATGTAGTGACAGATTTGCCATACCCAAGCGTACTCTTGCACTTTACGCAAACCTCTTCTCTCTCTTGGAGCGCACGTCGGACTTTTTCTGTTCCACCTCGTCTCTCGACGCATTGTATGTCACATTCGTGTCCTGGTTCATGGGGTTTTCAGGCGACTTTTGGAATTCCTTGAACACCATGTTCTTGATCTGCTGCAACCTCAACCCAGGATTCTCCTTCCTGATCTCGGGGGTTCTTCTTTCTTCAAACGCCGCAAATGCAGCCTTCACTCTTCTTTCAGGGTGTCTGTCTATATCCTTGTTGGCCACACCTCCGTCGCGTCCCGTCAATGCCAAAGCTTCCAAAGCATCGTCAATTCCAGAAGCACTCAACTCTCCCTTGTTCAGATCCCAGTCCAAGAAATCATCAATCTTGCCTGTTCTCTTGGCTGCAACTTTGGCGGCACCTCTTTGTTTTTCTTTTAGAGGCTTAGCAGGCATGGCTGCCTCCTCGGCTGCTAAGAGAGCCTCTCTCTCGGCCTTCTTTCTTGCAGCCTCCTCCTTCTTGAACTTCTCTTCCTCTTTCTTCTTATTGCCCTTTTTGGACCCATCCTCCCAAGCGGCAGCTTCTTCTGCCTCGGCTGCGCTAGCAGCTGCCTGCTTTTTTTTGTTGGCAGCATCGGCTTTTCTGGCATTGCCAGCAGCTTTTTTCGAATTTTCTCCTCCTTTCTTGGCCATGTTCTATCGTTGGTGGTACGCGATCTTCTCCAGTATGATACTCTTGGGTGGTGGGTGTGCACGTGACTTTTTCGATCTCGGAGAAGGCTCTAGCAACAGAAGGAAGAATACAATACCTTGAAGAAATTGGTGTTCGTCCAATGGGATCAAAATAGACCACAATCAGTCGTCTGATGCAGATTTCTCCTGTACTTTTTCCATTCTTGTTCATCAAAGTCTGTGTCTTTTGTCTTCCTTACCTACACTCGCAATTTCTCTGGACATTTCATTTCTCGTACAAAATATAGATCTCTACAATTTTGAAGGCCGTTCGTTTGGAACAAACGCAACTCGACCCACAATCTCGCCCTTGGCCATTTTTTCAAAATAAGCTGGAAGCTGATCCATCGAAGTTGTGGTGACCAATGGTTTAAGCTTACCTAAGCTGATCCACTGTAGCACTTGGGCTTGGTCCTCTGACGTTCCGCCGAAATTGAAAATGTACTCTACTTCTCTTCGAGCCAAGTCGTAGTTGGGGATGTTTAAGCGCATTTTGCCCAACCCAACCAGCAAGATTTTCCCCGCAGGGGCTATGTACTCGACACATCCATCCGAAGTCTCTTGGTTTCCAACAAAATCGAGACAGACCTGGAAAGATTCCGGATCGTGGGCAATTTCGTCAGCATTTGTATAGAACTCTGCCGCTCCAAACTTCTTTGCAATTTCCTCGTTGCCCGGTTTCCGATCCACCACAACTATATGACATCCGAAATTGGCAAGTATCTGTACCGCATTGAGACCCAAACCACCAGCACCAAAAACAAGCACTTTCGTCGTTGGAGCCAAGAGGTGTCTCACCTTCATGATTGCATGGAAAGGCGTAAGAATGGCGTCCGAAGCGGCAGCTGCCTCTGCAAACGACACATTTTCGGGAATTTCCACTAAAGACCGTGGATTCTTCACCAACAAGAACTGCTGGAATCCTCCGTCTTGACTGATCCCATAGGCTTTGTCTTGGTTCCCCAGGCACAAGTTATCAACCCCCTTTCGGCAATTGCTGCACGTCCCACAAGCGTCTGCTATCACCAAAGCGAACTTTTTCCCAATCAGGTAAGAAGCATTGTCTTTGAGCGACGGACCAACTTTAGCAATGGACCCACACACTTCATGGCCCATTACCATTTTTTTGGGTAGCCTGGGGTCTTGCACTATCAAAATGTGGAAGTCTGAACGGCATAAGCCAGCTGCTTCGATCTTAAGAAGAACTTCTCCGGCTTGAGGTTCTGGCACAGGAAGGTTGTCAAAACGAACTAGTTTTTGGTTCCCATGCACAATTCCATACCCAACTTGCAATGACGGAATTGACATTTTAAATCTTTTTTTCAATTCTTGTCTAATTACAGTCCGTCACCAAGTGGTTGTTTGCCTCATCTTATATAGATGCGAAATGCGGGGTGCATTTCTATCAGCCCGAGGAAGAACAGTATGCATATCCAGAACCCAAGGGCTTTTGAAGCCTTTTTAACCATTTGAAGATATACAATGGGAATGGGAAATTACAAGGAGTTGAGCAAAGCTGGATAAGGAACCGGGTAAGAAATTGGATGTGAAGGCTAGTGACGAATTTAATGGATAACAAAGAACTTGGAGGATGCAGGTGCGTCCATTATAGGAGATTTCCTACGGAGTTTGATACAAGTGAAAGAGAGAAGATACTATAGCATTATTAGCCTCGTATAGTTTCCAAGCTTGCATTAACAAAGTCAAATTCTTTGATTATGTCAATTGACTTCGGCAGACGAATTTACGTCGATATGATGTCTACAGGCAATAATTCCGAAAATGTCGAAATTCATAACCAAACTACAAAACGGAAGCAACTGTAGGAAAAGTCATCAAGTCATCGCAATTATTTTCTGGGACTTGGTTAGTAAGTACTGTAAACTATACCACTCGAAGAAGCATTCCAACTACATTCAAACTGGCACTCACATTGATCCATGTAGTACCCAAAAGTTGTTCAAAATACAAGGGTACGACCATGAAGACGACGGGAGAGAAAAGAATGTCATTGTACTTTTATACGAATCTTGTTCATGAAGCTTTATTATTCATCGCAGATTGCATAATTTGGAAACAAGCCCTATTTAGAACCAATGCAACTACGCTACGCATATAAAGAAGTGAAGCTTTATTTTTCGTTTTCTGCATCCCGGAAAACGCTATAGTACACATGACGAAATAAAATGCATGTTTGGAAGAAGGCTCCCGCATGTCGTGACGTTCATAAAGCGCTAAGGAAATCTGGGTAAAACAGAGCCAACCGTCATTGGCGGATCTACTCAGATTTTTGTTTCTTAGCGGCTGGCTCTGCGTCTGGAACATCGTCTGCTCCATTGACAGGGGCCAAGCTAGGGGTGGTCACCTCATAATGGTAATCCTTGATGATGGAGTCCACGTCATCAATGTTCAACTGTCTGACGTCGCCCAACAACTTAATCTTGTGTGTCACCTCCTTACACTGAGCGTCGGTCAAGTGCAAGTTCAACTGGTCAACACGAGACTTGATGGCGTTCCATCCGGTCAAACGGTTGGCAAAATGGATGTATCTGGTCAAGCCAAAGTCGGATGGATTCAAAATCTCATACGTCGAAGGATTGGCCAAGATAGCCTTGGCATGGATACCAGCCTTGTGGGTGAAGGCACAGAAACCGGTGATGGGGTTGTTGAATGGGATGTTCACCTGAACAGCATCAGCCACCAAGTTCTCCAAGTCACGCAACTTGTGCAACTTGTACTTGGACAAGACATAGTCACGGTCAGCCGTGATCATACGGGCCATCAAGGCACCCAACGGCGTGATACCGTTTCTCTCACCAATGCCCAAAACGGAAACGTCAATCAACTTGGCTCCAGCCTCCAAAGCCGTGTACGCATTGGCAATGGCACAGCCAGTGTCGTTGTGGAAGTGGCACTCAATGTCACACGACACGACAGACTTCAAAGTCTTGACCAAGTCGTACACCTGTCTTGGGTTGGCACATCCAACAGTGTCGGCAATACCAACTCTGTTGACACCAATCTTGTCGACAGTCTTGTAAATGTTCAACAAATCAACAATGTCCGAACGGAACGAGTCTTCGGAAGAGAAACGAATCTCAATGCCCTTGGACTTGACAAACTCAATCACCTCAATGGCAGATTGAGCAATGTAGTTCATGTCCTTGCCGTGAGAATACTGTCTCAAGAACTGCGATGTGCCAATAACAACATCAACACCGTCCACGCCGGTCTCCACGGCCACTCTGGCATCGTCCATGTGACAACGAATATGCGTCAAGATCTTGGCCTTCAAGCCCAACTTGCAAATGGCCTCGCAGTCTCTTCTAGACTGTTCCGAAGCAACAGGCGAGGTCAATTCGATGTAGTCCACACCGAAATCGTCCAAGGCCTTGGCAATCTCAATCTTCTTTTCTGTGGAGAAAAAGGCATTGGCAAACTGCTCGCCCTCTCTCAAAGTGGATTCGATAACCTCGAACTTGTTAACGTTCGATAAAAAATCGTGCGGATTAGGTCCGTAAGGATTAGACATTGTGTTGAGAAAAAAAGTGACTTTTCAATGGGTTTCGGTCCGAGTCTCTGGGATCGTTATATACTGGAGAAAATTTTTTCAGTCTACTTGCTCCTTTCTTTTTGTTGCAAGCTTCTTCCTGCACCATTGTCTGAGTGACTGATAAAGTGTGGTCGGCCTGCCTGTATGCACTCCGTTATCGTGCCTTTGCCGTCTGCCTATGACTCATCACATTATCTACTGCTTATCAGAAGCTTTTCTACTCGTTTTTTTTCGTCGGGGCAAAGACAAAAAAACCTTGGTGGAAGGTCAAATGTAGGCTGCTGCTTCTTGTGAGGACATGGCCGTTTTTTCACTGCCCTTAATTTTGCCCTTATCTATCTAATGACTCATGAGCATAATGTTCGGCCCGCTAGTGTATTGGGCCCGACACGCCTGGCACTGACTAATTGCTAGAGAACTTGGTGGGGAATACACGTGACGGTTTCCTCCAGACCACATGCAGAGGATTTCCTCAACGGGAAATAATATGCGTTCATTAGCAGAAATTTGTTAGGCAGTTAGAGAAAGATAAAGTTAGAGCGATGAAGGAAGAGGTCAAGTGATTGATCGAGAAAATAGCAGACACTGAGATAGAGGCAGAACATCAGAATGCGTGACGTAATTGATTGTAGTCAACTGGCGGATCGTAGTAGATTGATTATGGTAAGCGATATGAGCAATTTTCAGACTGCCGTTGCCACAAATGACTAAGCTTGAATGTTTATGCTAGTGAAAAATTTAAAATATCAGCTTATCCACTGTGGTCTGGATTCATAAGTCACTGTTATGTTCCATTAGTCACTGTTACATTCCATTTTTCTTGGTTCGTCTCGGCGCAATGCGAATTTCTCCGAGTGACTCACGATGCACCATTTGAATTATGAAAGAGAATCAAAAGTTAATAGAACTGAATACAAATTCCATACAGTGTTAAGTGCAACGTTCCACACATCGTTACCGTCTCATCTACTGTAGTGTGTCTTACTTTCCTAAATCATTGTACATTATGTTACACTAGACCGTTTTGGTCACCATTTTCACAAAGCGGAAAATCTCCGACTTCAAGCGGATAAGCTCGATGTTCTTGATCATGAGCTTGCCGTTCAACCGCGAAACCAAAGTCTTGACAATACTATTGATCTCTGAATTGGCCAAGCCTGTAATTCCACTCCAGTCTTTGGTAATTCGCTCTCTCGCCAACGAGAGCTTGAAACACCCAACGATAAGCTTCTTCAACCCATAGCCCATTTCATTGTAGTTGGCGAAATTGTTGGACTGGTTCAAGTACCGCAAGAGGTAGATGATGTCCATGTATCTAAACAAGTAGATGATTCCTCTCATGAACATCGGAAGCGTCAACTGCAAACGGCTCACCAATATCATGAGAAATTTGTCAAGCGGCATTTCGTTTGTGTCTCTCGTGCGAGGGCTTTTCTGGAGGAAACGAGTTTCTGATTTTCATAGCAATGTACTTGACAACGATTTTCATCACTTTCGAGCGTTCCAGTTCGAGCTCGCATGAGTTCTCGCTCTTTTCTTCTGAAACCGGAGCGACTTCAGGTTTAAGGGTCTCAACCTCCGGCTCTGCCTTTGGTTGCGCAACTTCGTCTTTCAAAATGGAACGTTTCAATTCACGCACAGCCAGAGAAGGAGGTGGCGTATTTTCGTGATCAAACGGAACACTGCGCTTGGTCGAATGCGAGGCGTCATTGTCTGAGTCCTCCTCCTCGTTGTCAGACACCAACAAAGGAATGTCAATGTAGCGAGAAAAATCCATCTCGCCCTCAGACTCGGCATTGGTGTCAGGCACAGGCGACGCCATCATGGCGGGCGTAAATTGACGGGAGGGAAGGAAAGGGGTTGCAAAAGAAGAAGGCTCTGCCTGTTTGCCGCCACTTAAAAGCTGTGATGCTTCTTGTGGCGAATGGAGCTTTTCCGAGGAGTATATATTATCTTGGATGGTAACCATGTGGGAAAACATTAAACTGGGACGAGTAAACAGGAATTGGGATCCGTAAATCTCTTTTTAACACCTTCGCTGTATTCGTTCTTTTGAATTAGAAGCGAAAGGTTACAAAAACACTCTGTTGTTGAAATAAACACACGTTAAGTATGAACAAAGGAATCTTCGCCGGCAAACTCAATACATGGCGAATTTGGAAAAGAACACGGGAAGAAGGAATAAGGAAAATGTAATGTCAGTTGATGACAGTCAAAAAGGCCGTTGAAGCTTTGTTGGAAAAGGGACTAGGGGAGTGCGCTCTTTTAAAGCTGCGCGGACTGACTCATTTTTTTTTCTTTTTGGCTCTGGCGCCGTCCGTTCCTACGGGAACCGGATCACGTGACACATTGTTCCGCCCGCCCCTTAATCTAGCAGACACGCCCTTCTTTGCAAGACTGTAGTTGACACTACGTTGCTTGCTGTGATATAAAGTCAATCTACACGCCACTGCCCCAAATTCTTGCGGTGTACAACAAAAGCAGAGAAGACAGAAAGCAAATGTCCTGCACACAAGCACGTGGCTATCGCATCCCGAGTCGGTTCAGTTTCCCAAAAAAGCAGAATTTAAGACAGCTCAGAAGCAAAACTCATATTGGTGTCAAAGATATCCCTATGATTTCTGTCTATTGTAGTCGGCAGTGTTTGTACTATGCCTGTTGTCGCATTTGAAAAAAACGCTCAAATTTTTTTTTCGCTCTGTCTGGTCCGCATCTAGCAGACTCAACTTTTCCATCCTCTGATCCTCGATTTCCTTCACTGGTAATTTGAAATTTTCTCTCCAATTCTTCCAATTTCAATCCTGTGCTTTTGGAAAGGCTGAAAGAAGGCTCAGATTAATTCTCCAATCGAAAGCAAAAGATTAGTGAATAAGTGGGAGAAACTGTCTCTTGACAATCCATTTTGCACAAGATCCCAGTCTGTAAAGCCCTGATATACTACTCAAGGACAACCATTTGGAATGACCCAGCCGGAAATGCGAGTTCGGACATACAAAGATGCCATTGCTGCTCTAAACAGCCTACAGTCGAATTTCGCTTCGATCGAGGCACTTAAACGCCAACCCATCTCTCCTCTTGCTCGAAGTGAGCTTTCCCTAGCCGAAGTACACGAGTATGTGCGTCGGATGGGCTACCAGAGAAGCGATTTCAACAAAATGAACGTGATACATGTTGCTGGAACGAAAGGAAAAGGTTCCACATGTGCCTTTGTCGAGTCCATAATGCAGCAGTATCGTGATCAGGGAATCCGGAAAGTCGGCCTCTTCACGAGTCCTCACCTTAAGTCCGTGCGAGAGCGTATTAGAATCAATGGCGCTCCAATTGCCCCACAGAAGTTCACCCGCTATTTTTTCGAAGTGTGGGACAAGCTTTCGGCCACTACTTCCGATGCAGAAGCTTTTCCGACGTTGCAGCCCTGCCACGAGGTAAAACCCATGTACTTCAAGTACTTGACTCTTTTGTCTTTGCACGTTTTCATGTCGGAGGGAGTGGATACAGCGATATACGAAGTTGGTGTAGGCGGCCGCTTTGATCTGACCAATGTGGTGGATCGTCCTACGGTGGCAGGCATCACTGCTTTGGGCATTGATCACACTTTCATGTTGGGCTCCACCATTGAAGAAATTGCATGGAACAAGGCAGGTATTCTCAAACAGGGTTGTCCTGCTGTAGCTGCTCGTCAGACTGAATATCCTCAGGCGGAGTCTGTCATTGAGCAAGAGGCTGAGAAGGCCCAAGTATCTTCCTTGGAGTTTGTTGGGTCTGAAGTGGTTCCTGAAGATGTTCCGTTGGGCTTAGCTGGAACGTTCCAGCGCCAAAATGCTGCTGTGGCCGTGAAATTGGCCGAGCACCACTTGAAGCATCTTGGCATCTCTGTTGACCTCGCCGACGGTCTTCCTGACGAGTTTATGGCCGGACTCAAACATGTCCGTTGGGACGGCCGGTGTCAGACACTCGAGAAAGAAGGGTACGAGAATATCACTTGGTATATTGACGGTGCCCACACCCTCGAGTCTGTACGTGTTGCAGCAGAGTGGTACTCTTCAGCGGTGTCTAAAAGAAACACGACCAAGATCTTGCTTTTCAACCAGCAGAGCCGGGAGAACGCCACAGAGCTTCTCGCAGAGCTCTATGAGAGAACGCCTCATTTTGACCACGCCATCTTCACCACCAACGTCACCTGGGCGGATGGAACGTATAACAGCGACCTTGTGTCGATGAACTACTCCAAAGAAACTGTGGATAGATTGGTGGTACAGAAGGATTTGGCGGAGGCTTGGAGTACACTTGATCAAAAGCACAACGCCAACTCGCGGAAGCACGTTTTCCCCGATATCGAAACGGGGCTTAGGTTTATCAAAAGTTTGGCACTGGAGCGCCTGGTTGAGGTTTTTGTGTGCGGACTGTTGCATTTGGTTGGCGGGGTGTTGGCGGTCTTGGATGGCGAAAAGGATTAATCAGAGTTTGATGCGGTCCTCGACTTTGATCTCACTTGGCCCTCTGTCGTTCATTTCTGATATCTGACCTCGAGGAAAGAGGTGCATTTGTATTAAGAAGAAATAAATAATAGAACGTATGGGATCCCAAGCATAGTTTCACGTAAACATAGATTTCACGTATGCATTGTCTCACAATGAATCTTTCGTTGATGTGGTCGAACAATCAAAAGAATGGTTCTTTAATTTTCTATTTATGTAAAATACTTAAAGTCTTCCACCAAACATGATTCGGTATACTTCTATGTCACCTATTGTTTCCTTTATTTTTCAAGTAAATTCAAGGTCTCTCACCACGACTACTTATCTGTTCTCTTTTACGATCAGGATTACTGCCCGAAATCCATTATTCGATGGCATGAATTGATTGTAAGGATAACACAGAGATACCATGAGAACTGAGAATGGACTCACGAATAAACTTCTATCTTAAGGCTTCTATCTTAAGGCTTCTAATAAAGTCTGTGCTTCTCCCAACTACGTAACTTGAACCGGAACATTCTCCTCGCATTAGCTACCACCTTCCTATAAATTCGCCAAAGATTGTTAGACGTAGACAGATAAAGCCATGTTGTTGATCTGGACTCTAGTTGGCACCGTTGTTGACAATATTTTCCTTTGCATTGTCCACAATCTCGTTAATGTTAACCAAAGATGACTTCCACTCAAGAAGAGCATTTCTAACTGCTTCCCAGTCCTGCGCAAGTTTCTCATCTCCAGCCAAGATGAAACGGTTGACACGCACCAAGTAAAAGGACTCATCCACCTGGTTCAATTTTCCTTCAATGACACCGCCCTTGATCGAGTCGATCAACAACTTCTCGAAGGCTGCAGGAGAAGAAACCAACACGCTTGGGATGTCGCCGTAGCTGAACAATTTTTTGTCTGGGTGGGAAACAAAGAACTTGGCCAAGGCCAAAATCTTTGACTTTTGTGCCACAGATTCTGGCAATGGAGCAGGAACAGCAGACACCAAGTTACCTTGGGTGTACTGGATAAATGTCTGGGCCAAGGCATCAGAGGAGTTCTCGTGCAAAGCTGCGGCAACATTGTTGTTGACCAAGAAGGAAACATCCACAACAGAAGAGTTCAAGGCGAAAATGATCAAGTCATGCAACTCTTCCAAAGAGAGAGTGAATTGCGCTGTGAATTTTTTGATCAATTGCAAAGACTTTTCCGAGTAGGCCGAGTCCAACTTGACAAACAGCCAGAACAAGCGGGCAGTTTCCTCGCGAGAAGCACCTGCGGCGTTCAACCAGCCAACCAAGTTGTCTCCGATCGACAGCTGGATCAATGCAAAATCAATTTGGGTGTTCTTGACAATAGTCAAAATCAACTCCACAAGGTGGATTCTTGACGGCGACGAAGAGGGCAAGAAGTTGAAGAAAGTGTTGAGAATAGACATGATCGTCGTGGGCTTGAGCGATCTTCTGTCTCTCAAAGATGGCTGTTGTGCGGGAGTGGACTCAACCAAAAGTTTCAAAAGGGCAGAGTCTTTTTGCAAAAGTCTCTCGAACGATGCTGCTTCTAGCTCGCTCAAAAGGTACGCAAGTAAGTAGAACGCAGGCTCAAACTCCTTGTCGCTCAACTTGCTCAATGTTTCTGAGGTTGAAGCATCGAGAATTTTCGTGGCCACTTCATTTCTGTTGGTGATGTTGCCCCGGATGTCAAAGTATTGCTTCAAGGAGTCGGAAAACTGCGAGTTTTGGTGGACCGAGTCGATGATCTGACCGTACTCGATCACGGAATTCTTGATTTCGTTTTCCACAACGATAACAGAAGCCATGGTGCAGCTGATGAGTTATGTGGTGGTTTTTTCGTTGAGCTGCGCTGGAGAAATTTTTCGGAGCATGGTCACGTGCGCACATCTGGAGAAGACTACTTGCAAACAAAACTACAATGGCTATAAAGCTTGGTAAAAGTCTCTTTTGTAATTGGCGCTTTCATAATTTCGTTGATCTTTTGGCTTTTGGCTGTTTTACCTTGGAACTTTTCCCGCGATGTGGTGTCGCATACTATAGCATATACGGTAGTAGTCTTCTCTTTTAACGGGTCACAAGACTTCTTGTCTTTCGTTTACCATTCTGGTGTTTCGTTTCTTTTCTTTGTAGCTGCTGACTATGCTTTATTTTCGACGAAACATACAATACCATAGGGCTGACATTGAGTAAAGGAAGCCTTGGGTAAAACAACGATTCTGCTTTCACACTTTCAAAGTGTTATTTCAAACCATATTTCTTGCCAATTTGAACAGAGGCAATACCGTATACATTACCTTCTCCTTTATTTATTCATGCAAAGGGTCTTCTTCAACGGGCAAAGTTTGTTGAGTCGGAGTATATCAATCAAAACCATCTTCCACATACGCACAATGAAAACTGGCCAATAGCCTACGGCTCACTAAGGGCACTTTTGTAATAATACAACTAATGATACATGCGCTGGATGTCACGGAAAATATAGCTACCGATCAGGAAAACAACACAGAAGAAACTCAATCATTCTTCCAGCACTTCCTGCCGCCGCCTATAGGGGCATCCAAATTTCGTCCTCTCATTCTCTGACTCTTCGTATTTCAATGCATCGTCATTCTCATGAATTGACTGGATCCCACGAAATCACTCATTGGGTGAGACAGCAGTAGGTGAATGTTTAAACACACATTTAAACCTCGCTTGGAGCCTGTTCTTCCACCACTAAGCCTTAGCACTTACTCACCACATTAGTCTCCACTCACACCATTTCGTTTTTTTGGTTCATTTCCGGCTCTGAATCATGGTCCGCCTCTTCGTCTTCTTCCTCTATCTTGATGAACTTGTGCAACACCTGCGTTCCGCTGCTAGACCAGGCCTGCGGGTCTACTTGCAGCGTATCATAATTATTTCCTTCTGGCCACCGGAATGCATTGTTATCGCCAGTTCCCATAGGTGGCGAAACTGGCCTGCCCGGCATAGGCATTTTAAAATGACCATTGCGGGCTCGCTTTTTGGTTTGCGGCAGGGGCGGGCGGTCATCAAGCCTATCTGCGATTCTAGAGAGTGCAGAGCTTTCTTCCGATGAGTTGCTTGACACTTGCGACATCAGACTACGTTTCAAGCGAGACACCAGAGAATCAGACATAAGCCGTTGAGGTCTGGGACGTATACGCCGGTACGATAACCGCATCTGCGTACTAAGAGAAGACTCTGATCCATCGTCGAAATACTCGTCATCTGTAGCAAGAAGATCAGCCTCTGATTCGGAAAGCGCAGACATGTGGCTCTGAGTACTGTACTGACTATTCTGTGAGACAACAGATTCAGGACGCCGAGAAAGCAGACGTGCTACGGGACGCAGAATGTCCGCTTCAAGTTTGTTGCGCTTCCAAAATTGAAGGCGATTCAAAAAGCCCCGCCGCTCCAGAGGCCGCTCATAAAAAGAAACCAGGCGAAGCAGCGCCGTACGAGGCCGTTCAAACTGCCGTTCAGGTTTTTGCTGAACAGATCTATCTGTGATATTTGCAGTTGTCTTTTGGTCTGCTCCTTCTACCTTCAGAGTTTCTGGTTCCGATATTTTCAGCTGCCGACTTGACGTTCTTTCTCCTCTTTCTTCTTTATCTGTCTGCCGTGAACTGATACTGAGAGACAGAAGGATTTTTTCAAGCGGTGGCATTGATGCTTGATCGTTGAGCGAAAGAGCGCTCCGCATCCGTTGTCTCTGTTTTTTCAACAGCCGCTTGGCCTCGTAGTAGCGCTTTTTACGCATGTAGCGAGTCTTCTTTTTCTTGAATTCTTGCGCTAGAGCTAGCTCATAGAAGGCCGTTAGAGGGTTCGATTGTCCGCTAAACACAGCTGCTTGGACTCTGTCCACGTCCATGTTGAGCTTTTCCATCTTTTTGAGAAGATGCCGCTCAATCTTTGACTGAAACGGCATGGAATGTAAACGATAGTGCTGATTGATGGACATTACAGACTCTGTATCATTGACCGGGGTTTTGGGCGCCATTTTTTCGTTGGTGATGTCTATCAAAAAAGGCGAGTTGAGGATTTCTGTGAGCGATGGCCGAGCATTTGGGTCTTTGGAAAGCATCTTGCGAATGAGCTGAGCAGCTTCAGGCTGAGGAGGGCCCCGAAACAGCGGTTCCAGATTAATAATGCAATATTTCGTCTTGAGTGCGTCGTCCTCGTCGAAAGGAAGTTCGCCATACACCATCGCATAGAGAATCACACCCATAGACCAGATATCGACGGCAAAACCCGAGTACTTTTCGCTTTTCAAGACTTCTGGGGCCATGTACGCTGTCGTTCCGCACACTGTGGACAAGAAGGTCCGTTTGTAAGGACTAAACTCACGCACAAAGCCAAAGTCTGTCAACTTCACCACCGTGCGTTTTGTGTCGGCAAGCAAAATATTTTCTAGCTTCAAATCACGATGGCAGAGGTTGAGCAGGTGAACGTAGCGCATGGCTTCGACTATTTGATGAAACAAATGTCGACACACATCAATGTCCAAGCGTTTTTGCTCATAAATGTAGTGGTAAAGTTCATTTCCCTCACAGTACTCAAGTACCATCCACAAATGAGTTTCTGTGCGAACCACTTCGTACAACTTCACAATGTTCTTGTGCCTAAGCTGCCGGTGGTAGTAGATTTCTCGCACAATGTTAGGGTCGTCAACAAGGCCACACTTGAGCACAACTTGACATCCAAGAAGAATGTGCTGCGCTAGGTATACTTTGCCAAAAGCACCTTCGCCGATTTCGCTGACAATGGAGTAGTTCCCGATCTGGTTCACCTCGGGAGTTGTCGTTTCAAGATAGAACTTGTTGAACTGCGCCGCTAGTTGGGCCGTTTGGTTCTGTTCTTGCATGCGTGTTTGGGGCGTCATCCATATATAGCAGTTAGACTAGGAGAGACCACGAATTTTTGGTTGATAAGGCAAATTGTGAGTGGAATAGAATATGGTCGGCTGTGGAGTCCAAAGGACAAATGGACTCTTTGGAGGGCCCTTGGTCAATTTCGCTTTGATATATTTGAAGGCTATCTTGCTAGTTATGAAGATTGTTATCTTGGTTCGCCTTAGTTCTTTTGAAAGGTGGATGATGTAAAGATGTAGAAGAGTGTGGCTACTTTTGATGTTCGCGCTTTCTTCTCTGGTGAAAGTATAAGCTTCTGGAAACCGCGACTCGGTTAATTGGACATTTACGAGCCAGAGAAAAAATGACTTCCTTGGAATGTTAGAAGTCTGGCGTCTTGAGTATTGCAATTTTAATTTGAAGTGGGGTATGAATTGCCGTATGCGGAGTGGACTCAGGTGTTACTTTAGACGGAGGTCATTATGTCTGTCATAATTCTCTAAGTTGGTTTTACACTATGTTGCTGGGCGTCTTGAATTGGGTGACCTTTAGGAAGCTGGCCTGGTTCCAAGACAATTGTTGTCGTCGTCGAAAGTGGTCTGGTTTTTAGACAGTTGATCTGGTCCACGAAAGTTGGTCATGCCCAGTAGTATATATATATATATGCCTTGCCTATCCTGCGGAATGATCAGAATACTGAAGACTTTGGAAAGAAGCGATATTTTAAAAGAATGCTCAGTCTGATTTCATATCCTCATATTAGTATCCTAAGTTGAGATACTCATTGGAGTTCGTGAACTTGGACAGTTCTAGTGGTGAATCTTAGCTTAATAGCAGATTTGTGTTTCGTCTGTCGCTTAACTAAACAGAAGAAATGCCCAAACACTAAAGCAATTGCAATACCTTTTCTTCAGTCTTGGGCTTCAAATATTTTATGTTGGAAGCAACAGCTAGGCGTCAGAGAGCTAAACGATCAGTCTTGGACTTATGAAATGATAGAAAAGGGAAGCATAATAAGGATTACCTTTTATTCTGTCACAACACCCGACCCAAGATGAACTACAATATGTTCTACACTTTTCTCACCAAAAAAGTACAATAATATTTAACAAAGGTAACAAAAAAAGGAAGAAGATACTACAGCATCCCTACCAAAACACTTGTCTGGTTTTTAATAGAGCTGTTGTTATTCCAAAGAGCAGGAGCTACTGCTGATAATTCTGTACTCTGTATTTGCACATAATTAATGAACTTTAGTCTAAGTAATGATGTACTAAACGTACCTTCAGTCAGACTGAAAGAAATGGAGCATTTTCTAAAATTTTCTCCTTTCATTCAGAAATGTCGATTTCCAATTGAAACTTCAAAGTTGAATAAGTGGTGCCTAATAATTTCCAATCAACCTGTGTAGAGCTTGAATGTTTGTGAGTGCATGTATACTCCATCTCAGTCCATCTCAGTGATTTAAGATCTTGGTTAAATCAGCTCGATAATTCTCATTAATCTGTTATGGCCCTTCGAATCCTTCGACCGTTGTGCTCTTTTAGGATCGCACATAGTCGAGCACCTTGTCTTTCGAGAGCCTTTTCACTTCATAGATGTCTATCAACCGCCAAAAGTACAGGCGATGACAATGCTTCGGCTCGTGCTTTACAACTGCTTGGCAAAAGCCCGAAGCAACAAATCCGCAACTTTACAGAAGAAGCCCTTTTGCACTTACGGAAGACCGTTTTGGACCGCTCTTTTGCAAGCCCCTACCACAGTCTAGCCAAATTGCCAAAAGCAAGACTTGAACAGCTTGTGGAGGAGTTTGAAACTACATTCAGCGAGAAATGTTCCGCTTACTACGAAAATCCGCTGCTGCATAGTCTCCAACTTCGAGACATTTCCCTAGCAGAATACTTTCGTCCACATCTTGATGCGGCCCCACCGATCATCTTACTGGTTTATTTGAACATGTACCCGACAGATTTGGCTGAACACAGAGGATACAAAAACAAAACGGAAATCGCCACAGCCATTCTCACAGAACTCTTCCATCAACATTGTATTGGCGATCTTCTACACTCTCTTCCAGAGCAGGAAAAAATCGATACCAACTGGGATATCGGCAATCCAGCCGAGTGGTTTCCCCAGGCGAGAAAGATGAAACGCAAAATCATCATGCATGTCGGGCCCACCAATAGTGGAAAAACCCACAACTCGCTCAAAGCTTTTGCCGCAGCAAAGTCTGGTTACTATGCGGGGCCTTTACGGCTTTTGGCCCGAGAAATCTACGAGCGTTTTGAAGGCCAGGGTATTCATTGCAACTTGATCACAGGAGAAGAGGTGGTTCCTTCTTTGGACGAGTACGGTAGCGTGTCCAATCTCTCTTCGGGAACAATCGAGATGATCCCGCTTCACAAGAAGATGGACATTTGTATTATTGACGAGATCCAAATGCTCGCGGATCCTACGAGAGGCTCCGCTTGGACAAATGCGGTTCTAGGTGTCCAGGCAAAAGAGGTTCACTTGTGTGGCGAAGAAAGTGCCGTGGCCCTTGTGAAAGAGATGGTCAAGTCCACAGGCGATGAGCTTGTGATCAAACAGTATAAACGGTTGGGGAAGCTCACCATGTGCCAAAAGCCTGTGGGTCGGCTTGAAAACTTGCAAAAGGGCGATTGTCTTATAGCTTTTTCCAAGCGCAAAATCTTGGAATTGAAGTGTCGAATCGAGCAATCGACGTCTTTAAAGGTGGGTGTGATTTATGGTGCCCTCCCACCAGAAATCCGGTCGCAGGCCTCAGCAAAGTTTAATAGCGGGGAATATGATGTTTTGGTGGCTTCAGATGCTATTGGAATGGGGCTCAACTTGAAAATCAAGCGCATTGTCTTTTGGTCTATAATGAAGTTCAATGGCTCGGATATGGTTCCTCTCAGTGTTTCGGCCACAAAGCAAATTGCAGGCAGGGCTGGAAGGTTTAGCGCAGACCAAGGTGAGCTGGAAGGTTTGGTGACAGCGTTCAAGAGCAAAGACCTTCGGTTCCTTCAGCTAGCGATGAGAGAACCAATAAAGAACGTAGAAAAAGCGTGCATTTGGCCACCAAGCGAATTCTGGGTTCATTATGTGTCGAGTTTCCGTTCGCCTTTGCCTTTGCTGGAAGCAGTCAAGAAGTTTGAAAAAAGCATTGGGAACCGCAAGTTGGACAACTATTTCCTCAGTGAATTTGATCACCAATTAGAGATTCTCGACTTGCTTTTGCGCAATCGCTTGTCAAAGTCCCTCACTATAGAAGATCAGTTGAGCTTGGCTCTGGTGCCGCTCAATCTTCATTTCGCTCCTCCTGTCGTGGTGGAAACTGCGCTCAAGTTTTTTGAGTGTATTCTGCGGTGCGAGTCAAAAACGGTATTTGACTTTGATTTTCTCCACAGCTCCATTCTTCTGATGGAGCCCTCGATAACAGGATCTTCAGAGCGTGTTTTTGACACTTTGCAAGCTTTGGAAACAAACCACAAGTTAGTTTTGGTTTTCATGTGGCTTTCCCAAAGATGGCCAACGCTCTTTGCAGACAAGGAAAGCGCAAATGACATCAAAACACTTATAGAAAAGAGAATCAGCGAGGAGTTGATTTGTTTGAGACGTGTGGCCAAAAAGGAAAAATCAGGAAGAAGAAGAAGATAACATGTACATAGTTCACGTCCGGAAGTGAAATTCCATAATAGATCAACGTTACTTAGCTACTCGTGTATGTTTACTTGAGTTATGGCATGACCTAAACAGTGAATAGTATCAGCTATCAGATTAAGTTTAATGTATTTAGATCACCAAATGTTACACAACTATGTGGATAACTTGTACCGGCGACATAATTTTCTGAGTGGATTTTTTTAGAAACAAGGATATGGTACTTTCAAATAGTTATCGACCAAAGTGGAAGACCAGTACCGTTAGTCAGATCCTACTTCCTACATTTATCTTTCGGTAGACCATTTTGACCTATTGCCTAAAACTTTTGATACTAATACAAGCTCCTTGCAACATAAATAGTCAATTTGAATTTTGCTGTTTGATAAAGAGACTGAATATATCTTGAAATTGGTACAGTTTTTTTTTTTATTTTTTTTTCATTTTTTTTTTTCGTGCCTCTAATCTTCCACGCGAAGAATGTTTCTGACGTATCTTTCATCAGTTTCTTATTTTTGCACCGTCTGAGATAGTTTTGTATTGAACTTCATCTAATCTAACCTCTTCTGTTTTTCCACATCTTTCATTTTTAGTTTTCAATTCTTTTTCGTGATCCACACTATGAATATCCTCCTAACAGGCAAGTTCCCCAGAAAGCCGACACGCAAATTCTTTTTTCCTGTACATACGACCGGCCCCCACCTTCCCCCACGTCTCAAGAGTATAAGTTTGGCCAAACCCCACATTGACATTTTTTCTTACTTTTTTTAGCGATGGCCACAGTTCTTATTGTTGGAGGCCCAGCAGGCACCGGAAAAACAACAATTGCGTCCCTACTAGCCGAAAGCAAAGGATGTACCTTCGTTGAAGGTGACACTTTGCATCCACAGGCTAATGTGGACAAAATGGCCCGCGGTGAACCTTTGACGGACGAAGATAGATGGGGCTGGTTGAAAGAGCTCAGTGAGATTTGCTCCAAAGAAGCCGTGTCGAAAGAGAATGCTACACACACTGTAGTTGCCTCTTGTTCGATCCTCAAAAAAGTGTATCGAGAGTACATTGTCGAATGTGGATTGCCCGAGGTGACGTTCAAGTTTGTGTTTTTGAAGTCGACGTTCGAGCAGTTGATGGAGCGTGTGGCCAACAGGAAAAACCACTTCATGAAGGTAGACATGGTGAAATCGCAGTATGACATCATGGAGATTCCACAAGGCGAAGAGTTGATAGCGAACGGAGGCTCGGCTTTGGCTGTGGAAACGACAGACAAGACTCCAGAAGCCATCTTGCAAGAGGTGCTAGCTGCATTGAAATAGAAATAGACCATAGAATTGCCGAGTTTTGGTGTATGTCGTAGAATCGGGCCGACAGCTCGTGTTTAGGTGGGTTATAGTCTCGTCATCTTGCGTGGATCATCATTTTCATCGTTTTGCATATGAATCAACCATTATACTGTTTTGTTTTAGTATCTTGGCATCATTTAGCCTAGTACATTCGTGTTCAGTTATATCTTTATAGCAAATGTCGCTTTCGGCCATCGCATGCGCAAGATCTAATCGCATGACAATCCAAAACGGAATAAAGTCAGATAATGCAATGAGAACGAATTACAGGTGTCGGATTTCAAATACATGCCACAAAAGCAAAAATGACAAACAAGAGCAATAGACCGTAAATCTTTCATCTCTGCTTTCCTCTTGAGCCATCGATATGGTCTGCTTTTTTTCCATCTGTAGACCAGCAAGCCATGGTTATGATCGTAGATTGCGAATGCGAAAACGCGGAACAAATATTACTCCATCTACATCTTGCTCGCTCCTTTCGTTACAAGAGCCCATTTCCAGGTTTCAAGCTGGTCTGAAATCCCTTCCAATTGCATATTCCCAGTCTGCAGATCACGAGCTGTCAGAATCTCATCTCTCTTCTTTGACATACTGACTCAGAAGTCTCGCCGACAATCGTCAGACAGTAAAGATCCAGACAATTCGAAAAACAGCTCCTACGAGAAAATCAGTTCAAGACTGTTCCCGGCATCAAAAAGGTAGAGCTTTAAACTCGGCTCATCTCTGCATCAAAAAAATAAAAAAGTTATAGCATTGCACGGCAAAGACTAGTCACATACGAAAAAGCAACTACGCTAAAAAGATCTTTGTCGATACAGAAGTTACAGTTCCGGCCAGCCGCACACATCTCAGACCGGACGAGAACATTTCAAGCGTCCCGACAATCCGGACCGGACCCTCTAATTGCATTTATACCCGGATTTGCACAGTCGCCTACTTACGGCACATCTGACTTGCCCTTGACCATTTGGTAGTGACTATTCAATCGCTCACTTGCATCATTCTATCTAACCATCATCTCCGGCCTCGATGTTTTCTCCGTTTGATCCCCAAACGCTTCCGTACCACAATCCGAAAACGGGCCGGCGGACTGCTCTCATCACTGCTGGAAACAGCGGCGTGGGCTGGTATACGGTGCTCCACCTCTATCTTCACGGCTACGTGGTTTACCTCGCCGGGCGCCTGCGACTGCGGTGTAGTGCGCTGATATCCGCCCTAGAAAAACGCGCCGCCCGAATCCGCGCCACGTACTCGCCCGAAGTGACCAAAATGCGCCCGGTTGGAGAACTCCATTTTTTGGAACTTGACTTGGCCCTGCTCTCGTCTGTACTTGCGGCAGTGCGGGCACTTGGAAACTTGGAAAAACACTTGAATCTTCTTGTCAACAATGCAGGCGTTCTTGCTCCGCCGACAGAAACCGTGGATGGATTTGACCTCCAGCTCCAAACGTTATATGTGGCGCCATTTTTGTTGACCACAAGGCTTCTTCCCTTGCTCGAACGCGGAGGTCGAACCGCGCCCGAATCGCCTTCGCGAGTCATTTATGTTTCGTCCGTGGCGCACCAAATGCTTCTTGTGCCCTGCAGTCCCGGGCGAAGACTTTGGTGGCGGCCCAATTTCTTCTTCTCGTGGGTGCGCTACGCCGTGGCGAAAACTGCAGGAATCCATTTTGTCCAGATGCTTGCGCTCCGCAACCCTAGGCTTGTATGTCTATCGGTCGACCCTGGCCTAGTGATGAACACAAACTACTTCAGCTACTGGACACGGCTCCCGATCATCGGAATCATGTTTTGGTGCTTGTTTCAGATCATTGGTTTCCTCTTTGGCGTTTCTGCGGAACAGGCCGCGCACACTCTTTTGTACAGCAGCTTGGACCCAACTATAGGGCAGCGCGAAAGCGGCGCCCACTTTTCGGGGCGACGTAAGGCGCGGCCTTCGCGTGTGGCCCGAAATATGGATCTTGCCGCGCGATCGTGGATATGGACCACGCATCAGTTGGCCAAGCGGAACATCGAGGTTGACTAATTGAAAAACCATCATGATGGCTGCATGGCTGGTATAGAAGCTGGGTATCTACAACTAGCTGCAGTCTGAACTTGGACTCGTGGAAACGAACGCCGTTGTGATAAAAGGTTTTAAATCAAAGATTGAAAATGAAATGAACATGGACATGTACTATGCTAATGATTGATGTGCAATATTTACTCTCAATACAAATATCAACCGTTTTGGTCTTGATGCTAATTTCTGTATTTCATGTTTCATTCGTCGTTTGAGTCGTAGTCACTCTCATCATTGAATTGATCCCAGTCGAACTCGGACTCCAGCTCCAGCTCCAGCTCGCTTTGTTCCTGGTCCGTTCTTTTTCTCTTATTGCGGTGCGCCTCAAGATCTTCGTTGTTGAATCCCATATAGTGCTGGGCAAAAAACTCGACAAAATCATCGAATCCTTCAAGTTCTGTCAACTTTTCAATGTCTTCGTCATTTAGCGACTCGTACATGCCCATATCGGCGGTGGTAATTGCTCCTGGTGACTTTTCGTCTTCTCCAATAGCGCTCTTAAATTCTTTCAAGAGTCCTTGTAGTTTTTCCATGGTATTCTTGTCTTCTCCCATAGGTAAGGACAGATGGATATCATCGGATATGTCGTCATCAAAATTCCACTCCAGCATTTTCTCTTCCATTTTCATTTTCATACTTTCTTTTTTCTTCCACTCCATTTCCTCTTCGGCGGATAAAATAGAGAATGGTCTAGTCCAATCTGTTTGGTACCGGTCGCCCAATTCATGGACCTCAGTGAGTTTCTCAAACTTACAGGGTACCCCAGCTTCCATCAATTGCTTCTGTAGCCAATCCAGCAGAAATTCAGATTCCATTCCATCTTGTGCAAAGCTTGTCTCGTCGAGAATAAGCTTGTCTATATGAGCTTCGCAGTTTACTTTAATACCGAGAGAGACACTCTGCGCTATAGTCAACAGACAATTTATTTTCAGATCTAGAAGGTATTGGGGAATTGCCACTTTCACACATACTTCGTCGTCCATGTTGACAGTATGCGAGAGTTTTTCCGTCACCAAACTTGTGGGATCGCAATCGATCAATGGTGATATGAGCCATGGGTGTCGAGAAAGCGAAGCTAGAAGTTTTCTTGGAATAAAGACCCCGTTTACATCCACAATCTGTGCCTGGGGCTTCTCAAGTTCTATTTTTGCGGTCTTGTTCAACTCCTCTGGCATTGAATACTCTTCATTACAAAGACATTCAAACGCTTCCGTAAGTGGTAGCTCTTCAATCAACTCACCGTGCGGATTGGATGGCGAAAATCCTCTGGTGATCATGTAAATCGACTTGTTTCGAATCCAAAGCCGATTGAGACAGAGCAGACTATCCATATACTCTGGAACAGAGAAATCCCGTCGCAAAGCATCATGTTCGTGTGTATCCCAGAGATGGATCCAGGCATTCTTGGCTAGCAGTGAAAAGTTCCACATGAGATGGCTGAAATACAGCTGTTCCACTGCCGAGGAATATTTCATTTGCACGACAATCCGTTCTCCAGAAACATATTCAAGTCTGACTCGAAGTGGGCTGTACAGATTGATGGTCTCCGTGAAATGCTCAATGGATGAAACAACAGGACTTATGTTATCCGACACAATGATTGCAAAACACGCTCGAGGAGAAAAAAGAAAGGCATTTTCGTCCCGAACTCCGTCCAAAAGAGAAATGTCAATCATGTAGCAGAGGACACTATACAGGTTGCGATGTCACTTATCAAGTAGTTTCTACCTTGATGAACTCTATGCACATCTGCATCGAAGACAAAGCTGACGTAATGAACAAACTCATATAGTATTTTATTTGCAGGGGAAGGATAATTCGACTTGTAAATCACGGAATAGCAGGGTGAATTGTTTACTCTCAAATTTACTAAGATTCAAAAAACTCTTATATATGTATTCATAAACTCGTCGCATTTAAGAAAACTGCGGAGTATTGTGGGATGAAAATGTACGAAGGTGGTACTTTTTGAAAAGCCTTATGATTGCAAAAAAGTCGTTTCTTCCGTTGCGAAAAGTCTTCTGGCTCTTGAGATTATTGGTGGACTTTCATCCTAATTTTCATTAGCACTAGCATATACTCGTCGAAAAGATACTCCACCAGCATTCTACACACCATACTCTTAACTTCTTTCTATATGCTGTTCGGAATAGATCGGCCAGGAAACTAAAGATCTAGAAACATTTCATACGGATTCATAGTAGGTCGTTCGCTTACAACTTAGACTCTGGGTCCACGCGTTCAATAACAATAGCAGAGGCTCCTCCTCCACCGTTGCACACACCAGCAACACCAATCTTTCCGTTTTCTTGCGACAAGACAGAGATCAATGTCACAATGATTCTAGCACCAGAGCATCCCAATGGGTGGCCCAAAGCAACAGCTCCACCGTAGACGTTGATCTTTTCAAGAGGCAAGTTGCAAATTTGTGCGTTGGCCAAGCCCACAACAGAAAACGCCTCGTTCAACTCGTAAAAGTCAACGTCGTCGTAAGACACGTTGGCATGCTTGATGGCCTTTGGAATGGCCAAAGATGGAGCGATGGTGAAGTCGAAAGGAGCTCTAGCTGCCTCACCCCAACCCTTGATGGTGGCGAGAGGAGTCAATCCCAACTGCTTCAACTTGGCCTCAGAGACCAAAACAAGCGCAGCACCACCGTCGTTCAACTTCGAGGCGTTAGGGCCGGTCACAGTTCCGTTTTCCTTCTGGAACACAGGACGAGCGGACTTCAAACGGGCCTCGTCAAGCTTGGCCTGCTCCTCGTCCTCGCTGACTACCGTGTCTGGCTTGCCACGCGTGCCCTTGATGGTGACTGGAGCAATTTCGGCAGCAAACTTGCCCTCGGCGGTGGCACGTTGTGCCTTGTGGTATGAGCCAAGGGCAAACTCGTCCTGCTGCTCACGTGTGATGTTGTGGTCGGCGGCACATTTCTCTGCAGCCACGCCCATCAACTTTTGTTCGTAAACGTCCAACAAACCATCTTGCTGAACACCATCCACCATGGTAGCGTTACCGTAACGAGCACCTGAACGAGCAGAAGGAAGGTAGTATGGCACGTTGGACATGGACTCGGCTCCTCCGGCAACAACAATGTCAGCAGTACCGGTCAAGATCGTTTGGGCGCCCAAGATGACCGCCTTCATACCCGAAGCACAAACCTTGTTGATGGTGGACGCAACAACGGCTTCCAGAAGGCCAGCCTTCAAGGCAACTTGTCTGGCAGGGGCCTGGCCAACGTTGGCCTGCAAGACACCGCCGAAAATGATTTCTTCCACGTCTTCAGGTTTGATTTGTGGAACTTTTTCCAAAGCGGCCTTGACAGCATGAGCTCCCAAGTCGGTGTAAGAGAGCGAGCTCAATTTTCCTTGGAAAGCGCCGATGGGAGTTCTGGCGGTCGAAACAATGTAAACAGAAGGCATGGGGCAAAAAAAATGTAGAAGGAAGTACCTCAAAAAGATGCGGTGGAAACAAAGACTGTTAAGTAGTAAGCGAGCGCTATACGACACGCGTACTGTGCAGGATACATCCATATACTGTAGTTGGCTGTGCCCCAAAATTGAGTTAAACGAGAGTATGATTAGTCAGATAGGAGATGCTTAGTCCGAAATACGAGATAGTACGAAGTGGTCATTTGTTTGTTGTCTTTATTTTCTGTTTGACTTTCTGCCTATGGGGCCGATCTTTTTTTTTTCTTTCGGTGCGCTAAACGGCTAAGCATACGCTTATCGGGTCAAGTGATACTGAGTGGCGGCATTGGTGCAGACCATCACACTTGAATATGAAGAAAAATTCAAGATTCGAAACTAGAATAGTACTATGAGGTAATACAAGCAAAAATGATAAAGCAAAGTCTTCCGAGGATGATCACTCTTCTTCATGAGAAATAAATGAAAAATAAATGCGATAGTTAACTCAAAGAGCAGCTGACTTCAGACAGCAACGGCGTTAAGTTTAATGTACTCGCATTTGGTCAACGTTTTGTACTTTCTTGAATTCTTTCACAAAGAATTGGCGAGACAATGTCAAGATTAAAAGAAAGAGCAGAATAAAAGTGCATTTTTTAGCAATGCTTACTCATGTATTACTGAGCAATTTACTTCGTGCAACTAAACATTACAGTCGCTATCGGGTCTTGCTTGGAAAGTTACAAATGGAATTAGTAAAGTTCACCCTTCATTTTTTACTAATACAAGTAAGTGTTTCCGTTTACGTTAGAATGTATTGAGTTACTTCATAAAAGTGAGACTGACTTTTCCGAGTGATGGAAACAAGAATATGGGGCCTACAATATTGCCAGTCATTTCGAACAGTAGAACTGTCTAACATGAAAGTAGTCCTTGTATGTCATTCCGAAAGAGGTGTCGCCTGCCAAATACAGACAAGTTCAATCGACATACTTCTCTTATTGTAGCACCAGAAATGCCAGAACCGAATCTCGAAAGATTACTTTCTTTAAAGAAGCATCAACCATCACAGACAGAAAAAATAACTATTTTCTTCACCTGTAGCAATTTCCTCCAAGTTCAAAGTTCATGGTTGGAGTCACGTGCGACGCCTCACTATCAGCAATCGTCTTTCCTTTCTGATCTCCATGCTTCTTTTCCGTCCCATTGGTGTTTTGAGGCCACGAGGTCTTATATCTTTCCATTTGAACCGCTCATTTCATGTGTCGCCCCTTTCGTTGTTGTTCAAAGGCGGAAATCCCGCAAACCGCAAAGTTGGAGGTGAAACCGAACCTTTACCCAAAACTGAGATAAAGCCTGTTGCGCCCATTTCTCCTAAACAAAGCGACGCCGCTCTTGAAGAAACATACCGGAAACATCCGATCTTGAAGCGTGTGCCTCGATTTCTCCGGCCCTACACTACGCAGTTTATCGGAGCCCCAGTGTCTCATGTGACTGCTTTTCTTATTCTCCATGAATTCACAGCGATTGTGCCCTTGGTTGGACTCTGGTATGTTTTCCATCAGCATCATGACTTGTTCATGTCTGCGTCGATGGACTTGCCTGCCTGGGCTATCGAAAAGGGGACGAAAGTCATTGATCTGGCCATGGCGAACTGGGACTATGGCAATTACTCATTGAACGACAAGGTCAAGTTTATAATGGAGGGAGCATACGCCTATGTCATTGTCAAGGCATTGTTTCCTATTCGCTTGGTGTTTAGTCTTGTGGGAATGCCTTGGTTTGCCAAATGGTTTGTTTTACCATTCACCAAGATGTTTTCAAGGAAGGCTAAGCCCAAGTCCTCCACACCTGTGCAGACGGTAAAGAAGGTAGAGAAGCCCAGGCTTTAAGGTTGTACCATCTATCAAATTGTACCATGAAGGTGACAGTGTAAAGAACGTAAATAATGCCGAAAATGTTACGACACAAGAATCCAGAAGATTATATTGGAAAAATGAAGGTTGAAAATACTAGACTAAGCTCGAGAATTAAATGGATCATAGATAGACTAGACCTGAATACACTAGAATAGAGAAATACACTAGGCAAGATAAACTCGATTAAACAAGAGAAACTTCAGAATCGTCAATTAAGAAGTGCACCAGAATTGTAGAATAGAAAGCAAAGGTAACGAACGAAAGAGCTAATAAATGATCCGGGTAAAGGACGATCATCTCCAGCTCGTGGAAATACCAAAATCTACTTCAATCATAACCATCACAGCAGTCGGAAGACCCTGCAATGAGGCACATTTGTTATCTTTTGTATTTTGCCTATAGTCGTCATGGTCATGAGTTGTCGCGGTAGTCATGGCTACTCTAATGTCACCCGCAACTCCTCAGGCGACATGGGCACAAAGTCACTCAAGGAGGTTCCTCGAGTAATTTTCAAGCGGTTTAATGCAAAGTCAGGGACCATGGCGCTGTTCAATTTTGGCTCGACAGACAATTCTCTATCGTCAAAATCAAACAACTCGGGAAGCTCGCGCGAATCGGGCTGGCTCGAATACAACTGGTAATTGGCATTGTTCAGGTGAGGGTTATGCGACGATGCTCCGTTGTAAAACTGCTGGCTGAACAACTTTCGGTAGTTTGGAAGTTTGGTGGCCTCCTGCCTCAACTCGTCAAAGTATGGATCACACAAGGCCTCGACGCACGAAATTCTGTCCACAGGAGAGTACTCCAACACCTTCACCAAAAACAGAATACAGTCGTTGGACGTCTTCTTCAAAATCTTCGACAAGGGAATAGGCTTGATCTGCGGAAACTTGTACTCGGTGTAGTTTGGATTCATGCTCTTAATTTGTTCTCTGGTTGGTGTGCCCAAGATCTTGATGATTTCGACCAATTGGTCCACACCTGACTCTCCAGGGAACAACGGCTGCCCCACAATCAACTCGGCCATCACACAGCCTGCGGACCAAACGTCGATTTTTGTAGTGTAATTCGTGGCGCCAAAGATCAATTCGGGCGCTCTGTAATATCTGGAGCAGATGTACGAGACATTGGGCTCGGCAGGATTTAAGAGTTTTGCCGAGCCAAAATCGCACAACTTCAACACGCCAGTTTCAGCATTGATCAACAAGTTTTGCGGCTTGATATCTCGATGACAGATGCCTTGCGAGTGTATGTAATTCAAGGCTCGGAACATTTGGTAGGTGTACAACTTCACTTCCAAAGCAGGCATCAGCAATCGCTTGGACACGTAGTAATGCGACGCCTTGTACAATGTTTCCGGAACAAACTCCAAGATCAAATTAAGGTAGAGCTCGTTCTTTTCGTTGTTGGTGTAGAAATAGTACTTCAAGTCGACAATGTTGCGGTGGTGGACAACGCGCATGATCTGGAGTTCTCTGTTTTTGAAACGCTTGTCCTGGAGAACTCTCTTGACGGCGGCAATCTCGTTGCTGGGTAAGATCTGCGTTTGGAAAACAACACCAAACGAGCCGTGGCCCACCATCTGCGATTGAGTGTACAGGATGGACTCGGGCTCGCCTGTGTGGCCATTTTGGACGGACTCAGTTATGATATCTATTTTGGACATGTTAGTAGATTGAGAAGGGCTTTGATGTGTATTGCAAAACAATGTAGGGCCACATAGAGAAAAGCCGCGGAACGGCAAAGAGGAATGAGGAAACTAAAAACGATAAAGGTTTTCGATGTCGAAACGGTCCTAAGGAGGGAAAAACGAAGTGCAGAGGAAATTGGGAAAAGAACTGGCGGCCGAATGTACTCAAGTCAAAAGAAAAAAGAGTGTCTCCACCGAAACTTTGCTTGAGGTGAATGTAGGTCACGCCGATTTCTTGGGCGTGCACGACGTGCGGGAACATCAAGTGTGAGGAAAATTGGAGAGAAAACGCCAGAAAAAAACGAGCCAAGCCCGCAATGTTCCCAGTCTTTTTGAGGGGCACGGTGCTTCGGAATGGGGATCCGGGCAGCTTTGCCCGAGACGGAAGACGGTGGTCGCTTTGGCGGAGCAAAGTATGTGAACCCCACACTTTGCTGACAATAGGAGTGCAGGCAGAATGTCCCCGCATGGACTATTCGCTTCTGCAGGAGACGCAGAAAGTTGCGCCCAAGCAAGATGGAGTAAGAATGAGAAGAGGAAACAAAAAGAATGAGAAGAGGAAACAAAAAGGAAGAAACAAATAAGAGTAAATAATAAGTAGGACGAGGAGGAGCGTTCAGATAGTCATTAGATGCAGAAATTCAGTCTTCAACATCTTCGACATCTAATCATCAACATCTAATCATCATCTTCAATAAAGGCTGGCCAGTTAGCAAATGGGATACGTACTTGTAGGATCGCTCATGCGGCGCGCCTCGATGGTGGTATGGCGGGCAGAGGTCATGGTCGCCTGGGTCTGGTCGAAGGAGCGCGTGCGCTCCATCTGATTGTTGCGCGGGCGGATCATGAGCTTCAAGCGGTCGGAGAAGCTTGTGCGAGGAAACTTTTCCACGGGCCGCACGCTGTTTTGGCGCGACCGGGGCGGCGCGGCCTGGGACACGGGCGCGGCCGCCTGTTTTTCGGTGTACTTTTCGTTGAACTGGATGGGCGCTTGGACAGGTTTGTAGTTCTGGTGCTGGATCTGCTTGTTTGGTTGGCTGTTCTGTTTGTTGTTCTGTTTCTGGGTGTGTTTGTCGCTCTGATTCTGGGTGTGTTTGTCGTTCTGTTTCTTGTTCTGGCCCTTGCGGTTGTGCGGCGCCTTTTCTGTCGCGCCCTTCGCCTTGGCCAACTTGCTTGCTTGCGCATAGATGGGCTTATCGCTGAGCTCGGCGCGGAGCTCGGGCGTGGAAATGTCCGTGTTGTGGATGAACTGCGGGTAGTACTTGTGGATGTTGTAGTTCCGCTCCAAATAATCGTAGTCTAGCGTGCGGACCCAGTTGTCTCCGCCTCGCGGCTTCATCTTCTCGATGCTTTTGATTACAGTGGTCATGGCGGCGAATGTCCGATAAAAGAGCGTCGGAAAGCTGGATACTCGGGACCTTGGGCGTGGGCAAGTGGAAAGAAACGGGCAGATGCGAAAAAGCCGGCAATATATGTCTGGTTCCCAGCAACGAAACGCCAGCTTTTTCCTCTCGCCCAAAGGTGGGGAGCGAGAGCGGGGAGAGCCGCGCCTTATTTTCCGCCTTGTTCCGGCCAACTTCACACGCTGTGCGCGGAGACAATTCGGCTTTGTCTCAGGCCAGTGGATGACGTCAGGCAGGTATTGGAAAAGAGAGAAGAGCGGCTTGGGACATACTAGAATTGGTTATTGTCTGTTGTCCGTACTGGGATTTTTACTAGGATTTTCCCGTCTGGCATTATGAACTGGACTTGCCCGTCTACCAATGCTGGCAGATGGAGATGGCAGTTCAGATTTTGCCCTACTAGCCATTAACATTTCTTACTGCCCTATTCTTTACAAACCATCGTCGATTGCATTAAAGATTTGAGCCGGTATGGTCGACGCTTACAGGCTATTGAACAATGTGGAGAAGAATGCACAGAACAAAACACTAGACAGGAGAAGACTTGCCAAGAATACCAGGCAGGACATGGAAGACTTAAAACACCATACACGGTACTTTCATGTAGTACGTCTCGCGTATGGATGACCATAATTGCAATCCAGTGTACTTGAGTGTATTTGTACTATTCTTAGTACGTTAAACAACAGCTCGTCTCTTTTCTTGCTTGTCCGAAGAAAAGATGGACAGCCTTGGATCGAAGCGTAGACCCGGATGCAAATCTCCACCATCTCTTTAATTTGTCACCATTTTTAGGTTCCATCGTGGCTCTCAGGAACTTTTGTGAATGACGGTTGATCAGATCAAGTGAATCATCAATCAAGTGGTGAAATATCGGGCTGTTTAAAACTGTTGCCTGCTCAATATAACTGCTAGAGACTGGTACTTGTTGCGAAATCAGAATTTTGCATATCCATCACTGGAATCCCTCTATTTTATCGAAACGATACTATACCTACCGCCAGACAGACATTCGAATACCAGTCTTTCAGGGATTGTGGGGACTTGTTCAACTGGATCCCTTCTCCTCTCCTATTTTTTGGACAAAAGATGCAACTCCCGCCCATGATATTTCGTCAACCACTCAAAGACTCGTGCAACTTCAGCATCGTCGCACCGGGGTAGAAGTTTGTCTATTGGTTTCCGCTCCTGTTTTGAGTAATTGAACGCAGTGAAATGACAATCTGGGTCCGCCAAGCGAGGCCAGAAGTAGGGACTTTCAGAGTTAAAGGCGTCAGGTGTGCCAAAAGCATTGAAAGTGCCTTGGATCAACGCAAGGTCGTTGAGTTCCGCACCGTGGCCCATTTCAGGCTCCTTATAGTAGTTTGCTGGCTTTCCATCCGACGAATATAGATAGCTGATGACAATTCCCATGGCCCACAAGTCTACCTCGTAGCCATAATCTGAAACACCAAAGCAAAGCTCCGGCGCCCTGTAGTAACCCAGGCCGATGTCGGAGATTTTCTCATGAGACGGCTCGCTTATAGACACAGTGGTTGTATCGTATGCAATGCCAAAGTCGCCAAGGACGGGCGCACTCAAATCCTCCAACAGGCTGAACATGATATTTGCCGGCTTGATATCGCGGTGGATTATGCCCTGAGAATGAACGTACTTGATAGAATCAAGAAGCAGCGCCACGATTTTCCGACAGTCGCCTAGCGGAAGCTCGTTTTTCTCTGTGATGGTGTTTGCCGTGGGATCGGCCAAATTGAAGCGAACACGTTTCCTTTTGTGGGACTCCATCACTGAAACCAAGTCTCCAGCGTACAATGGCATCACTAGCACAAAATCTTCGCCTGATTTGTACTCGTCAAGGAATTCAACCACCCCAGGATGCTTTAGCCGCCGAAGCAAGCGGATTTCCTGGCGGAAATTATGGGGCTTTTTGAGGAAGTCCACATCAACGACCTTTAATGCCATGGGCTTGTTGTTGCCATCTGTGGCCGAGTAAATGTCACAAAAGGGACCACTATATAGGCATTTCTTCTTTTCGTACACTGTGTTCGCCATAGAAAGGTTGACTTGAACGTTGGTCTTTGACGGCTAGGAACAGAATGCAACCCTTGAAATTCTGGTTGTCAACTTTGATGATGAGTAACTTTTTACGTGATACATATCTGAGACAAGTACATTCGCGTTTTTTGCCAGAAGCGCGGTGAATCTGTATTAATCTGGAATAACGTTGGCGAAAAAGATTATGCAATGTCCAAATAACCTTAAACTTCGATACAAAATTTTTAGACTAGCCACTCTACCACCTAACCGTATGTTCAACCTTTTATAAATATGCCCAACTGTGTTGAAGTAACGTTTGATAAATACTATCAGATGATACAGGATTTGGTGGGGTGCAAAAACGAGATATAGTCAATGGACCCAATGATGCTTTGATCAAACCTAGATTTTGAAACGTGTCGAAAAAGTGGACAAATCTATTCCGTACCAATTACTTTTCATGCCAAAAACCCTCTTATTGGATTCGCTATAATTTGAGTTAATGGCGCTCATAAAGCAAATTGAAGTCAATCGGTAGACAAAAGCAGTCTATACAACTTGTATTTACAAGCATGAATATTAGAATGATTAATGTAATTAAAATTCCTATGCAGATCTTGGGTCGCTATGATTGTCCATGTATCCTTCTAAGTTTAACAGAGCCATGCTGAGAAAAGCATTAAAGAGTCAAGTCAAGACATGAATCTGTGGAGCACTTCGCTATAGAGCCCTCAATTTCCGTACGTCTCCTCGTTTGTTTGTAAGACCTTAGTGGTTGTGGTTCAAATGATCTACAGTAGCTCCTGTGCCAGATACTGATTCTTCTATGTATAACCTACCGTTGCCTTTTCCGGAGAAGCCCGTCCTCATAACCGTGTCTTTTCGTTCCGTTCATAGCGCCATTGTTCGAAATAATATCGATGTCGTCTGTATAGATACGTCTTTTCGGATAGCGAACATTCATGCCTTCGAACGCATTTTCTTTCACGGGTGGGTGCTCCAAAAAATACCGGTGTACCAAAGCGTCATCGGCCGTGATACGTGAAATTGGGTCGTACTGGAACAACTCACGGAGTAGAGCCAAACATTGTTTGTTTTTCCCGCCAATGTTTTTGAACCACCCTGTGAGGTTTGGTTGGTAGATGGAAGAGCTGTTCAGCAAAAAATGCTGTTGGAAAACGTAGTAGTCCGGGTATTTCGACAAGGTGGGCCACAGCTCCGACGACGGCGTGCCTAAAATCTCGAAAATCTTCTGGAGCTGGTTCTTCTGGAACGGAATCTGTTTCTTGTTGCTCATGTCCATTTTCGCTTCCTCGCCCTTGAAAATGGGACGCAACGACAAAAGCTCGGCCAAAATGCATCCCACGGCCCATAGATCTATGGCAGGAGTGTAATGTCTTGTCCCCAAGAGAAGTTCAGGTGCCCTATACCAGATGGTCACCACCACTTTATCTCCCGTGTAAAGACTCTGGAGCGGATTGTTGAACTTCCGGGCAAGGCCCAAATCGCCGATTTTCACCACGCCATCGCTGGAAACCATGATGTTGGCCGGCTTCAAGTCGCGATGGAAAATCCAGTTCTTGTGGAGAAACGTCACTCCGTTCAACACTTGCCAAATAAGCAGTTTCACTGTCTGCTCTGAAATGGGCTTCACTTCCGGGTGTGAGTGGTAGTGGATGATCTGAAGCAAGTCATGTTCGAAAAACTCGAACACCATGAAGATCGACTTGTTCTCCAATATGATTTCCATGAGTTTTGTGATGTTCTTGTGGCTGAGCTCTCGACAGAGCGACATTTCCCGAATCGCCGACTGCGAGATCCCGGTGTAATGCAAAACCTCGTGCCCGTTGATGTCATGCGGATGATGTCCGCCCGCATGTGCCCCTGCTGCTTTGGAAACCAGGTGGTTGTCGCTTTTGAACTTTTTGATAGCGTAGAACTGGACTTCCTCTTCGTTTTCTGTCCGAGGCGGCTCATCCACGGCCATATCGGAGCTCTCGTCGGAGTCGGGCTTGACCACCTGCTTCAGCAGCGCCTTGTACACTTTTCCGTACGTTCCTGCAGCGATGTACCCGAGAATCAGATACTTCAGTAGCACCAGTTGTCTGTTCATATCTTTTCGATGGCGGTAGGGCCCAATGGTTAGAATCAGGCTCAGAGCCATGATTGTTGGCTGCGGTAATTGCATCGCAAATATTCAAATCGTGCTGGGATAGGCTGTGGTGGGATGAATGTGGGGGTTTGATAAAAAGATTCTGATTAGGTGTGGCACCTATGTGCAGGCCTCCAGTGATGGAGTAGCGGATTTAAGGTGATGTTGAGAATCTGCGGAAGAATTAAAGAATCAAAGTAACCATTATGGAAATGAATAGAAGTGCAAAAGTTGACACGAATTTCTGCTAGAATTAAGCCGTTTTCGCATATTGGAATTTTCAGTCAGACCCTTTTTTGTAAAATATCTTATCCCGTCTCTATAAGCACATGGGACTTTCTTTTCGTAATTAATTGGCTAAATGGTTTATGGATACAAGAAAACTCAATTTACATTCGGTACATCAATGCGCCTCAAATGTCAATTCGTATCATGCGAAGAATGCAAAAGGTATTAAGCAGAATAGGAGTCTATACATAATTAGGGCCTTCTATTCACAAGCCATAGGGTGTTGAATTTAGTTGAGCATGACAAATTCGAAAAAAAGAGGTCCACCGATTAATGCTATCGCAGAGAGCCACTTTTCTCTCTTTTTGGCCCTAACTTGACTCACAGCTGTCGGTTGAAGTCTACTCTCGTAAAATCCTTTCAATACAAGACGCCTCACATACGAAAAATGCCTACTTGTATGGTCTCCTTTGCCATTCAGACACTCTGTTGTCCAATTACAGTTTGAGAAAAGCATAAACACATTAAACTAGAACACCGTTAGACGAAGAAATAATGACCATGTCCCAATTCTCACATGACTAGAATAGACAATCTGCGCTTGGACAAACAGAAACCCACTTGTACACTCTACATAAGCCATGCCTTAACACAATTCACACATCTATAACTAACAAAAAAGAAATGCACCAGGCAATGTTCAATCACGGCTTTGCGTAAACTCTGTCATCGTTTTTACCTTCAAGTTCACCACGGATCACCTCCATCTTCTGTGTTTGGTCCACCCAGACCTTTTCGTCATCCTTCTTGGTGGTGTTTCTCACAAACAAAGTGTCCTCTGGTCTTCTGTAAGAGTTGCCCAATCTGTCCCACAAGGTGGTAAATTGACCGTAGTTGTAGTTGAAGTACAAGTGGTGAACAGTGTGGCAAGCAGTACCGTTCACCACAGGGTCATTGGAAACATAGTATCCGTCGTGGATCATGACAGTCCAGAAGTTGACAAAGGTGAACAACAACAAGTACGACACCTTGTTCAAAGGTAAGAGCATAGGATACAAGTGGTATGGCAAAGATTGCGTGAAGCCGTCCACAGGATGGAAAGCGTGGGAAGCAAATGGAGTGCAAACAATCCACTTGTGGTGAGGTTTATGCAAGCGCTTGTACACGGAGGGCCAGTGCAACCAGCGGTGGAGGAAGTAGATGCCGCAGTCGGTGAAGAAAATGAACATGGGGAACTGCAACCAGAACATTTTCCATCCACCGGTCTCTTCGGTAACGTAGAGATACAACTTGGAGAAGCCGTGCAACTCCAAGAGGAAGAACGGGATGGTGAGCGTCACCATGACGGGGATAGCGGTCATGGCCTGCCAGAGCTCCAAGGAAACCTGGTTCTTCAAGTATCTGGGATGGTTGAAGATCTTCTTGTCGAAAACGAAAACGTAGGCCGCAGACGCCACGAGAAGATACAAGAGCCAGCCGAAGACGGTGGTGATGACAAAAAGCGAGAGGAACTCTCTGAACACATTGCTTCTCGAAAGGAAAGACATGTCGGTGTATTCGGTAAGCGGCAAGTAGATGGGAGGCACCTGGCCGTAGATTTCATCTTTTCTCTGGTAGTTGCTGACGATTTTGGTCAAGTAGGCCACGGGCGGCGGCAAGTTCCACGAGGTGGTGATGGCCGAGTTGTTCAAGACTGGCGCCTGGAACTTTTCCAGGAAGAATTGGGCCACGGCTCCGTCTTTCGGGAAGGCCCGGGCATAGGCTTTATCCAAAAGGAAAGTGTCTGCGATTTCAAGGACGATATCCATGTTGAGAGGACGTTTCTTGTTACCGGTATGGGAGGACAAGAGAAGGTATTTATTGCAAGACTTTTTTTTCTTTTGTCCTGAGGTTTGTTAGTATTATGCAAGTCGTATACATCGCACTGGTGTAAACGAGTATACGAGCGATGGTCCGACTCGGGTGCTGCGCCTCTGTGCAGGTCGTCTATTTAAGCCTTGTCCCTTTGGCGACAGCAACGGAACAACGTCGGAGAAAAAGAAAGCTGCTCACGTGAACAGTATGGCTGTGTCCTGGCGACATGGCTACAGTTGGCACTTTTTCGTTGTCTGTTCCTACGCTTTGGGCAGAGTCAACATGGGCTTACACCCGTGCCTCCTGTCATCAGGTGGCTTCTGGTTTGTGAATGTGTTTTAACTATTTGCATAAGAGTGGGGCCATTACGCCGTTTGAGAAAGGGCTTTACGAGTGTTTACATCGAGACGCGGTCGAGTAACGGTGATGGGCGGACTTAACACCGAAAACAAACAGTAGATAAACAGAAGAACGAGAAGAAGAACGAGAAGAACGAAATGAATAAGAAGGAAAGACATCGCACGAGAAGAAGAACACTAAGAGCAAGAAAAGAGCAACATTAAAGGGGGTAAGAAGTGAATTGTAGACAGTTTGGTATGTGGAGTTTTGCAAGTGCATAATCAGTTACATGGTCGCTTGCCCAATCAAGACACAGGCTATTGCACCATGAATGCACAGTCAATGTCCACAATGTAATGTTATCAAAGCAATTGGCAGAAGGAAACAATGTGACTCTGTTGCCGAATAATGTGAGGACAAAATTGTGGGTGATCTGACAGAGCTTTGCTGGGCCTCACAATCCGATCTACAATCTTAATCTTACAAGTCACAAGTTGCAACCATGGCATTAAGGGTAATGACTTGCAACCATGGCATTAAGGATAATGACTTGCAACCCATGGCATCACGCAAAGCAATAAAACTTGTAATAAAACTTGCAATAAAACTTGCAACCTCACGACAATAAAGTTTAACATGAACCAGACAACTCTTCGATTGCATAGAACCAGAAGACTACTCTGTTGTATTACATAATGTGATGATAACTCTAACCAGTAATGCACCGATTACCATCGATTTGTTTCGTTTTCAATGGTTTATCATGCCGGACAAGTATTGCGTTGACAAAGATTTAATTCGACAATTCACAAATGCTAGAAGTTGTTCTAAGCCATGACTGCGTGACAAATTGATTGGCTATGTACACCAGCCTAAAGAGACGCTAAAACATCGTTTGGCGAATTTCTACAAACGATCGTACCAAGTCTAGACACCCATCAATGACTAATAACCATGACTAATGAGCACCATCGAGTTCGCTTTCATTTTGCTTACTAAAGAAGTTGGTCTAGGTGCGATGCGCTGTAAGCTTACAAAGCATTACTAGCCTTCATCGGCTTAGCTAATGTCGTTTTCGAATCCTATTGTAGTCCACTACGCTGCCGTTCACACAATAACCAGACTTCATTCATTCATAGACATAAGCCCATAGTGCAACACCTGGCCGAGCCCATTAACTATTACAGCTCGCCAAACCTCTTGCTATGTACAGAGAATTAAAGACCCAGAATAAATACCCATAAAGAAAATGCAAGGCTAGAGTTTCTATTCCCCGCCATCATCATATCGTTTGCACCGTAGCTTCTCCACCATCAGCCACGTCGCCTATCACAGGCCGCTGATTGATTTTTTCAAAGTTGATGGCATCCAAAATTTTCTTTCCGCCGAGATGGGTCAATTTCCGGGCCACTTCTTCACCCACGGCTTCGGCCTCGGCCTTATTGTAGATTATGCTAGTGTGTTCTGCCTCCACGGACTGTTTTCCGTCAGGACTTACAATGATTCCCTTGAAGTAAAGCTGCTGTGTCTGCTCATTATAATGCGTTTTCACCCCCAAAGGCACAGAACAGCCTCCTTCTAGCATCCGCATCATGGCTCTTTCAGCATAGCAACAGTACGCCGAAGGAAGATGCTCCAATTTCCGGAGAACCAGGAGCATCACTGTGTCGTCCTTGCGGATTTCAATGCCCAAAGCTCCTTGGCCCACAGCATAGTACATGTCTGGTGCATCCAAGGGAGCTGAAATGCGGTCTCCAAGACCCAAGCGCAAAAGACCAGACGCTGCCAAAATGAGACATGTAAATGGCGACGAGGGGTCATCCAACTTAGACAAGCGAGTAGCAATATTGCCCCGCATGTCTTCGAATCGGAGGTGTGGGTAGTTCTTCAAAAGCTGCGCCAGACGGCGGATACTGGAAGTACCCACAACTGCACCAGGAGGCAAGTCGCTGAGCAGGCGGAAGGGAAGCCCTTTCTTCACCACAAGAGCATCACGCGGGTCTTCTCTTTCCACGATGCAACCCAACTCAAACTCATCCGGCAAGTTGGTAGGCATGTCCTTTAACGAGTGGACAATCATGTCTAGCTGCGGATAGTCGCCAACGGCCTCGAGCAAAAGAATCTCCAACTCTTTCGTCCACAAGGATTTCCCGCCAAACGAGTAGAGCGGCTTGTTTTGCACCTTGTCGCCCAAAGTGTTGAGGGCCAAAATGGAGCACGAAAGCTCGGGGAAGTTGGCTTCGATTCCGGCCTTGACAAATTCAGATTGCACAACGGCAAGTCTCAGTTTGCGGCCTCCGATTTGCACGTGGTTGTTAGGCACTTCTATATGGGGCATGGTGTTGTGAGGCATGGAGGAAACAAATTGATTATTCAGACAGCGAAAAAAAAAAGATGAAAAAGGTGCGGCAGATAAACCGAACAGATAAAGAGACGGTTCTGGGTTGCAGATGATGAGTCAGGTGAAGAAGGCCTGGGCTCAGGGAAGAATAAATGTCAGCGAGACAGAAAAAGATGGAGCGCAAGATCTTCGGATCTTGTGAGTTTAAAGTGTCAGCTGGCCGTTTTTTGATTTCTTTTTCTGTGCATACATCGGCGTTACATATGAAATTGCGTATCGGGCGCGCTATTGGCGGCCGTGCTAGTGGTTGATTTTCCTCGAATGGGAAAACTTCTAATTGTAAGCTGCAGGACAGAAGCTTTTTCTGAAGACTTTTTTTGCAGATTCTGTGGCTGCTTGCATGTCGTCTACCTAGATCTTCTATAATCCCACCTCAGAAGAGGTTAATGAGTATCTAGCGGGCTATAGCACTTGTCCGTGTCGGACTCGCGCACCGAAAGAGGTAATAGAACCCAGTGGTGCACACACGACATTATCCGATTCTTTCCGCAATAGTGCAACAAGGTAAAAAGTGGGAGCCAAGTGCGACATTTTTTTTTGAGGAGAAGATGCGACATAATATGGAGTCGCATGTTGCGACATGCTCAACCTCGGAAGCGCTTGCAGACTTTTCCACAATAGTTACACGAAGTAGAAACGTCAAACCTCCAATGTTATCTCCTTCATCTTCTTGTAGTCCTTCATCTTCTTGTAGTCCTTCATCCTCACAATCTCTCCTCCAACTCGTCTCTTTGCCTTTCTTCTTCTTCCTACATCATCTTTTTCTCACTGTTCTTCGCTTGACTCGCCATTGCTTTCTTCGCTCGCCGACGCTATGCGGTCGCTTGCAAATTCGCTCGCGGCGCTGCGAACGCGGTGCGCCCGGCCCTTATCGTCTCCCGCCCGCACCAAATTCTCCAACTCTCGCAACTTGGCCATGATATCGTTATTGGTTGGCTTCGAGTGCCGCCGAGGCTGATGATTTTTCGGCTTCTGCTCCTTTTCTGCCCGAAGCTTGTGCCCTATGTAATCATCGTAAAAGGCCAGTTCTACCAGGCCGCTACGGAACCCAGCAAAAGTGTTAATGGACTGCTGAGGCGCGAGTCGGTTTGCCTTTTTCGCAGCCGAACTGAGGGCGCCTCCAGCTCCTGCGCCCAAACCGGCGCCTGAATTTCGCCGCAACATAATGGTGCTGACATCAGAATCCTCATCGTGAATGGCCATCATATCGCTGTCGCCGTAAAAGTCATCTTCACGGGTGAGGAATGTGAATGTTTTCAAGTCGCTTTGCTGTTTGCGTGAAAGCTGTCGGTTGTCCTTGATAAGAAGCTCATAGAAGTAAATGAGCAAGATGATGGGCAACTTGAAAAAATTCACAACGTAATGAAACACACGAATGAGCCACATGTGCGACGCCTGCGTCCAATGCAAGTGGCCCCATTTCAAGTAGATGATTAGATTGGTTGTTTTGAGGTACTCAAACTCCTCCTTGTTTGTCTGGCTGACTTTGGCAAACACATTGCCCAAAACAATGGCAAGAATCGTGGCAACGATGAACTGAATGAGAAACAAATAGGCCAACTGAATGGCTCGGCCCAATTGGTTGTAACTATCCCAGTGGTCCCATACAGCAGGGGTGAAACCGAAAAAGAGCTTTAGCATGCTGAACGCAACCTCATACGTAGATAAATCAATGGTGATGGTGATGAAACACAAGAAAAAGCCAAAAATCAAAGACACAAACAAGCAGAACATCGCGATCATGTTCCAAGACATCTTTTTGAATGACACGATCATCATGTTGAAGAACTCGTAGTTGTTGAACACAGATAGCATGCGAGGAAAAAGCAAAATCAGAATAAGACTGAAGACACTGTAATACGTCGAGACACTGATTTTGTCGAATATCAAAAGAAGGCGTAGCACAAATGACGTATCGATAAGAAATACTATGAGAAGATCGAAATATGTCCAGACGATTTTCTTAAGAAACTTGAATTCGATATGGCTCAACTTAACGATGTTGTCGAAATTGAAGCTAAGTGCTAACATCCAGAATAAAACGGAAATGAGTTTCCCCACAAAACTGTTGCCCAATTCTGAAGAGTTGTTCTTGTGCCGTAGAACAAGCACTAGGAAAAGTAATGTGAGCATGCCATACTTTAGATTAATCACCAAAGCCTGATACTTGGGGACAACCTGCGAGCGCACAAGAACTTTCTTCATGGACGTCCGGTTGAATCTGTAGTTGACGACATTTTTCTCTGCTTCATTGAATTCGGCTGAAAAGGAGCGGCCCAAAAGCGGATACTCCCGCGAGTCTTCCGATGGTTTTGCCGACGAAATAAGAAGACTTGCCCACGAGTCATCATCAGACTTTGGGTACTGCTGCTCTTTGATAATGAGATCGCCATTGTATATGCGGTCCAAGATGTGGATCACGACGGGTTGAGACAAGAATTTTTTGGCCTTGGCCAAGATGGAAAGCTCTAGCGTATTGAAACACACAAGATGCTTCGTGTTTTTCAAAAGATGATGCTGCTCGCTTGCTAATGGAGCCAGATCGCTTGAAAGCTGCATGGGGTTGAGGAAAAGAAGATTAATTCGATCCATCGACCGATATTCTCGAAGCATGCGGATCGCCAAAACCTCACAAATATTTGCCTTCGTGGTAAGCAAGTCATACATCACCAAGTGATTTTCCAGCTGGATTTGGTACTCGTATCGAAGAAGAAGAAGCACATAGATGACATTGGTGGAGATGGAGGATTCGGAAACGTTGGAAGCCACAGTGCCATAGGGTAAAGGCGCAAACTGTGGGGTTTCATGGATGTCGTGCAAAGAGGGCTGGAAAAGTGCATGAAGCCGAGCCAAGCTGCTGAGTTGGGTGATCTGCAGCACTAGAGGACGAATGAGAGACATCCGGATTTCTGGCGTCTTCAACTGTTCGTATTTCAAACTAAGAACAACTTTCTGGTTGAGAAGGCTCTGGAGGCGGAAGTAGAGATGCTTGAATTCGAGGTACCGATAGCGGCTTTCGGGCACTGATCCCAGAACCCCAGGCGCCGCATCATTGGGAAACCGAGGCCCGCTAGGATTTCTGTAGCGGCTGGCCATAAGGTTTCTTGATGGTGATAAACATGAGATCGCGGGGCCCAAAACACGGCAGAATAATCGCGCAGCGCAAAAGGGCGCAGGGCGCGAGAAAGGCGCGACTGGGAAAAAAAGGCACCAAAACTTTGTGCGGGGCTTTGGCACGCGCGGCTTTACAAGTTCTTCCAGGCTCTACAACTACTTTTTCCAAGCGGATCATTTAACATGAAGGCGGTCGAAATAGGGAACAGAAGATAATGCTGAAGGCTTTCTCTACGACGAAAGAAAGATAGTGTTTGGTGTCCAGAGAAAGAAAAGTTTTCTAAGACAGTTGGCTTCGTGTCGATTGATATTGCGACTTGAATTTGAGCCCATAGGCTCACCAAAGGCCCTTTCATTTGCTACACGATACCCCGATGATTTGACTCGTTGAGTAAACCTAGAAATGCATTCACAAGGAATTGGGAAGCATCGAACAAAACACGCAGGCATATTGTCGATTAGGCTCGCGGCCGCATGAAGGCTATTTTAGTGAGCATCAAGCCTATGATAAGTCGAAAGAGAACACTCATCACTTAAAGGATTGCCATATTACAATTTGTGTGTATATTCTTGAAGCCTGTCCGGCAAGCCCGGCAAACATATCCGAGTCTGAAGCAACATCAATGTGCCAAAAGTTTGAATGTCAAAAAGTCCTAGGCAAAGGCTCTATTTAGTGAGCTTTCAAGATTGTTGAATATTTTTTTTATAGCACCTATTCTACTCAAGACCCAAAAAATAGTAGACCTAAGAGTAATAGAAGCAGAAAGACCGAAAAAAAAGCAGCAGAAGAGGGAACGAATTAATCCACGCCACTTCGTACTGCTGTTTGCTTGGATGGTCTCACATATGAATCATCATTTTCAATGTGGATATTTTGGGAAGTTAACTAGGCATGTGGCCTGTTTCTCGTTATGTTGCTATACGTCGAAGACTTTCAGATATCAAAGCCGTAGTATAAGGTAAAACTGAAAAGGGCGCTTCATTGGGACCCCAGATTATTATGCAAAATCTGACCGCTGTACTCATGCCAATAACTCATTGGGGATATGAGTCTATTTTTTCTAGACCTACTTTCAAAAAGAGTTGAAACTAGTACAAAAGATATGGACGACAAGGACTTCCATCCCCTGAAAAATAAAATGGGAAGGTCAAAGCAGGAAAAAAAGGGGTTGCGATACTTTCAACGTGATATATAGATTTGTAGGGTTATGATTTAATTGGTTTTTCACCGAAGAAGAGAACGAATAATTGATGAAAGTGCTAACCTTGTTTGCCCGAATGCTACTGACCCAGCAACGACAATTTGTGTAATGACGGGGTATGAGCTAAGATGTCTCAAACTCTTTTGGGCCATGGCCATTGCCAATGCAGAGGTTGGATTTGCGCTTCTTGCTGCACCTCAGAATGCACGCCTCATGCAAATGGAGGACCTGGGTGCATCATGCACTGTTTCATGCAATTCGGTTAACTACATATGCTGGCGCATATCGCTTAAATGCACAACAATTTGTCTCACATAGGCTGATAACTTGTGGCTGATGTACATGTCTGATGTCAGAATGAAACCTGTCCGCAAGGCCGATTCGACGGAATTCTCAGTGGATTCGCTTCTCCACAATACGAGAAAAAAAAAATTCCGCCCACTTTTATGGTGCCAAAATTCTATTCAATGTCAATGTTAGAGAGATAACTTGTGTCAAAGTTCGATTCAGTTTACATAGATTAAGGTAGAAGGAGATACTAAAATAAGGAATTACCAAAAAAAAAAAAAAAAAAATTAGATCATGCAATAAAAAAAAGTCTGACAAAAGGGTCAAACGGTGGAGCATTGATGTAATACCTAGATGATGCATTAAGCACAATAGCTAAAACTTTAGCAATGATAGTTGAACAGTTTTTCGAAAAGTGCATTCAATTCCACAATTAGAACTAAACCACAATACAACATTGACCCTACGACATGAAAAAAAATACGTACTCCTCTTTTCAAATATGTATGACGAACATATCAACAACCAGACTCATCAAGAGACTTCGTGGTTGATAAAGTTATATGCTTTGTTTCCGTTCTCTTCGCCTAAAAGTTCAACGAATTTTTCTCGAGAAAGGCACACTAACTCTGCCATGTTGCTTACCTTCTGAATGATTTTAACGTAGTTGACGGTGTTAATTCCAGGAATGCTTTGTAAGATATCCACTACATCGTCATTTATCATTGGTGGCCCGTCGCTTGTGGTAATAGATGGATTGACGCCTTTAGAAAGTGCTTCTTCTACATCAGGCTCATGCTGTGAAGCCTTTAGCTCAAGAAAAATCTGAGCAGATTCGTAAGGCGACGAGGACCAGAGGATCTTAAGGCGAGGAAATGAAACAAGCAACTCTGTAATTTTCAGCTGGATCTCTTGTTTCAGTATTTTGGCAGAAAGTGGGTTGGTGGCACGGCTGGTCGGAGGTTTGAACTCTGCGAACGGCTCTAGAGAAAACGATTTATTCTCGTCAAACTCAATAAGTAGCACTGGTGATTCGTAATGACGAAACATTTGCTCACATTGTTGGTACAAGCGTCCACTTTTGAAACTCGAAATTAAATCCGGAATCGCCTTTCTTTCGACACAGAGTTTAGGTGATAATACATAATCTCCAACAGTAAGCATGCATGGAACCACTTGGATCCCCACCCGATAGAGCAAATTTGGAAGCGACGAGCGGAATTCTCGAGTGTCGACAATTACACGCATCTCATCGTTTTCTGTCCGGAAAGTCGCGCCGCCAGCAATCCGTGTGTTAGCCACCTGTGTCTTTTTGATCCGAAATTTCCAGTTGTCGGCATCAGAGGCAAAGTGTTTACCCAAGGTAGCCTTTTCTTTGATGAGTTTCGTAAAAGCCTGTTTTTCTTTGCGAATTCGCACGAGATGCCGCTGTTCTTCGACAGAAGTACCGTAGTACATGAAGAAGACCTTGGCTGGACGAGACAAAGCCTGGAAGATTTCAACACGGCGGATGAACGAAAGATCCGGCTCGTACATGATGATATAGGCAGGTGAGATCTCTTGAAGAAGCTCTTCACGGTCTGAGTACGCCGCAATGACAATTTGAGCAGACAGACTGATGTGGGAGAAGGAATTGAACCGGCTAGGATACGGCTGCTCTTCGTCACTCTCATCACTGACGAAAATGGAAGTTGGTCCCGCAGGCAGAGTCTCGGTCTCTTCCAAGTTTTCTGTTTCTTCTTGGTTCTCGCCCTCTTCTTTCACCTCTTGTTCCACAGCTCGTAAAGTCTCTGGATCCACATCTGGAGCTGCCTGGATTTTCCCTCCTCGGAGCAGCTCCACTCGTGCCACGGCCGCATCACCCCTGGTTCTTCTCCTCTTGCTGACAGGGCCTGTCCGAGCAAAAGTTTTTGATACTTGAACTTGCTCAACTTCAGGCTCAGCAAATTCCGCCGCTAGTGCCGCTGTTTTTGCTGTCAACAGCTTCCACAGCACATATTCACGGAGGCGGCTTGCCATATACGGTCTGAACAGATATTGGCCGTTGCCTCTCTTGGCCGACGAGAGAAGATGGGAAAGCTGCTGTGCCGTGCGGCCAGAGGCACACATGACAAGAATAGCACCTTCCGTGTGAGAAAGAGACCGCTCATGTGCAATGTCTTCAATGACCGCAGACAATTGAGCCCATTTCGGAAGCTCCTCCAACATAGGCGAAGACCGGGGAGGCAGAAACTCTGTAGCAGCCGGCGATTCGTCTGCATTTACACCTGTAGTTTGATTTCTTTCGTTTCCGTGTAAATTTCTTCTTCTCACCTCGCTATCGCCAAGTGCCCTTTCTCTCGCATACGTCACGATCGCCGGAGCTTCATCCATCATCAACCACGGACTGGCACTTTTTCCGCTTGCGCCTTCCACCAAGCTCTGTACTCTCTGATAGAAAGCCACCGAATCATCAACGAGCAACGCTGCAAGCAAGTCTGCCAACGTAGCCACGTCGTGCACCAACTGCTTCAGGGTCCACAGAAGACGGTGCCAATGCGGCTCAAGCAGGCGACGGACCCTTTGCGAAAACCCTTCGTCGTGAACATTATCCACATTCCAATACTCGGTATCGAGAGACGGATTGTGTCTTCTCAACTCCCCAAGACACGCCTCAATACAGGCAAGGACGGCGCCCTGAATCTGGGCCATGCGTCTGGTGAGGCGAACATTTATCTCTGTGACATGGAGTGTTTGGCTCTTCTTCTGGCCCTTGTGTTTCTGGAGCAGCAGCGTCACCGCCACATGAAATCGAGGCCAGAGGAAGACGTTCAGAAGCCGGAGCACTTTGAGTCTCAGAGCGAGAGGTGTGAAGCCCGTAAACGCTTCGGGCGAGTCCAGAATCGCTTTGACAAAGCCCCATGCGTTTCCATCGCGGTACAAGCTGACCACAAGCGCCTCTGCCAGTGTTTCTTTCACTCTTTCCGCGTGCAAAATCACCAAGCCAGTGATGGCCGCGGGAGACACCACTCCAGCAAGCAAATCGACCGATAATGTTCTGGCCGGCACCGCCAATAGTCCACCAGACGCATACATGCGCCGTCTTTTCGCTGGCGTGGTCATGTCGCCTGTTTTGAGGCAGAAGTTGGCGAAATCGGCCTCTGTGTCGTTAATGTCCGTGTCGTTTTGCATATCCGTGTCTTTTTGAATGTCCGAGTCTTTTTGCATGTCCGAGTCTTTTTGTATGTCATCATTCTCTCTTCCTTGTTCGCTTCCATCATTTTGTTCGCTTCCATGTTTAACTCCACTCTTTTGTTCGCTTTCTCTTTTCCTCTCGCTTTCCATCTCCTCCATCCACAGAAGCTCGGTCAACACCTCGTTGAGCGCCACAAGCTCGTCTTCCCTCGCATTCAACACCATCACCAATGGGCTCTTGTTGCCCACGCGAAACGATAGAGCATGCAAAACATTGGCAATCACCTGGTCGTGGCCCATCCCATGGCCCATGACTAGTAATCCATCTTTCGAGAGAAGCGTTTCGGCAATCTCACGGTGGAACTGGAGCACTAGGCTCGAGCACAGGGCATGTGGCGTGATGATGGGCCGAGCGTCGTCCCGAAACACGACGGGGATCTCGTTCAGCGAGCCTCTTCTTGCTTCAGCATGCAAGTTTAGCGTGGCATTTGGAGGAGCAGTCGAGATTGTAGGATTTATCACTGGGTTGGCCTCGATGTTATTGGAATTGTTATCAGGAACGTTTCTTGCGGCTAAACTTTCCATTGGACTTGCTTCTTTGCCGTTTTTCATCGGACTCGCTTCGTGGTTTTCATCCTGGACAGGAGAGCCCATGGGCTCGTCAAGGTAGTCTTCGTCATCGGAAACAAAAAGCGACATCTCTAGGTCCCAAGGCTTGGCATATGTCTAGCAAGAAGCCTAGTAGATCAGATATGGGAGTGCACATACATCTAGATGGAATGTGGAGGTCAAATCTTGCATTGATGAATGGAAGATAGAAATACTCATGGTGTAAGCGACCATTTGGAGATATATGGCAATGATATGTAAGCTTTGAATATCACTATTAGTTGAGGTTCAATTACGGTATTCTTTTCGCTATTGGACTAGGAAATTGTGGAATAGCAATCCATCTACTAGTGACCTTTTTTTACATTCAGGTAGACTCGTATTGGACAAATGTCACCAGCTAGCATTCTATTCGTCTCATCACCACTTACATTCATAGCCTTGGTTGAGATCAATTGGATCTAACTGGCAGAAGGGTTGATATTTTGCCTGATGGCTCTAACATCGGAAATTCTTGATCGTACAATCCCAAGCTCATTCATGTTGGCCCGTACGGAATAAGAAAATGCATACAAAAAGTCAGAAACAATTTAGAATACTCTTCTCTGTTCGCTTTCCATTGAAGTTGGTGCGCATCATAACTATGCGCATCTACTTCCACAAACAATTGATAAACCAGATGTCAAGCTAACAAAGCTGGCCAGACAATTCAAACGGGTACATAGTCGGAACGGTCTCATACCAAGCCCATAAGTTTAAAGCCTATAAAGCCCATAAAATCTGGCATATAAAGTCTTTAAGAAGTCATCTAAAGTCTTCAAGCCTTCTAAAGTCTTCAAGTCATCTAAACTTCAAGTCATCTAAACTTTAAGCCAGTCAGTCCAGTTCAATGGCTGCTTTCAACGTCCACGACTACATCAACGTTGAAGAGTTCTCCTTGCCCCAGGCGGTGTCGTGCCACATTCTTCAAATTGTCAACATCGCCGAATCGCGAGAGAAGTCGCTTGAAGAATGGAAGTACTACGATAACCCCAACACCGCTCCGTTTGAACGAATGGAACACGTAGGTCGACCAGTCATCTACGGAATCGACTTGGACGCGACAGAAAACGAGCCTCGGCCCCAGTCGCCAGGCACTTACAAGCTTCTTCTTGATGACGGACACGGGCATCAGTTCTATGCGTTTGAGATGGAAGAGCTTCCGTTTCTCCACCCACGAGAAAAAGCCACGCTGAACCCTTTGCCTGTGCCTTTGGGCGGCCGCTTGGTGCTCCAGAAAGGTACTACTGTTTGCGATGGAATGGTGTTGTTACGAAAACACCAGTGCCAGTATTTGGGTGTCGACACCAGTACTGGTTTGGCGAAAGAACTCAATGCTGGCGTTGTGAAAAAGTACATTCAAATAATGGAGCGGAGTTGAGAACGTTTTAATCAAACTCCTTCTGGAATGTGTGTTAGACGAATTCATGTTGCGGACCATTGGCACTTGTGAGTGATGTTAAAGTGAAGGTCAGCAAAATGCTCAACGTTGAAGCATTGAATGGCTTGCCTTGTCGCCGTTGATGGCCTATGTTAACTCTATCTGTTGCTAGAAACTCAACTTTCTAGAGGAATGCTTAATACATAATTATTCTTTAAGTTCGTTTGGTAGTTAACTGGCACTCAGTCTGAGCTCTGATCATGGTCCAAATTCATGCACTTCTTGTACCTACGTCGGAGAGATATGCATCTTGGCATTCTATAAATTGTTTACTACGCAAGCCGGCTATAGTCCTTGTGATGAAAGAACATGCTTCCGTTGTTCTACACATGGATTCTTCATGGGGGACTGGCAAGGCTTGCGCCACTACCATCATCTCACATGCGCCAAGTACGCCAGCCACGCCCATGTTGCCGTCACTGAAGTAAAGTATCCCATAAGGCGTTTTCGGCAAGGTAATTGTTGTGCACAATGCTTACCAAGTAATAATCCAGATGAATCCCTGCCAAAAGGCGGTACAGAGGAGAATCAGGAGCATAACAACGAGCCCAATCAAGCCACAACCCAAACGCTTCCTCATTCCATGCTTGAAACAGCTGGCGGTCAATCACTGTGGGTTGCAAGACCTCTTTGGAAGGGAAAACACCCCATGTTATAGCAGTCCTTTGCGAAGACTTGTGGGGCATGTTCGTTGTGATTTCACCCTTTGAATTCCCGCAGAAATAAGTTATTGTTTTATCTGAGATATCCTTGTCCATGAGGCGCAAGAGCCGCTCCCATTCTGTTTTAGGCACGAAGAACTCCACAAACAGTTTCTGGAAAATGCGGCCGTTTCGAGGCCCCCAGCCTAGAATAGAGTCACTCGAAGGGCAGCTGTCGACAGCAGGCTGCGACGCTAATGTAAAAAGCCCGCGACTGTTCAATTCGAAAAGCTGTTCCTGGATCAAAGCTGTTTCAGGGGACAATTCCGTCAGCACCCAGGGTAACGACAGGATTTTCGCCGAGAGGTAGTCGATAAAGACACGCGAGACGTCCGCAACACTCTGTGGCGTGCCCCAAACAGCAACAGCTTCCGGCGGCTCGAGCTTCAAACTTGGTCCGTAGCCGTCTATTTCACCGTAGGCAGGCGAGCTGGCGTCACCAAACCGTCCGTTCGGGAAGTCGTCCCATGTGGCTGCTAAAGTGACACGGCGGTCACGGACAAGCGGCACAGAATCAGGCACCGACTCCACTTTCCCGGCGTTTGGCGCGGACGTTTCCAGGTCCGACTCGAACGGGTCGGAGGAGGCGCGCGACCGCGAAAGGCGGGCGGCGCTGCCGCGCAACTCGGGGCAGGACTCGACAATGGCCGCGACGGCGCGCTCCAAATTGAGCGTGTAGAAGTGGAAACCGCGCGCCGCGCTGCGAGCACTAACATCGGCCACAAGCTGCGACAAAACATCCACACCGATTTTTTTCACCTGGTCGTCGTCAACCGCAGCCAGAGATAGTTGTTCTGCCACGGCAGCAGGGACCAGCGCATGCGACAATTTTGTTGCGCGTGTAAACACCTTGTAGGTGGTAATGGGCATGAGTCCAGGAATAAGCACAACGTCTTTCAAAACGGGCGAAGCGCGCACCATCTTTTCGAATGCCACATACTTATCGGCGTCAAAGAACATTTGGGTCACCACAAACAGCGCGCCGGCGGCAACTTTCTCTTCCAAGTAAGGAAGGTCCCGTTTCGGGTCCTGCTCGGCGCCGTCAGACCCATCGACATGTCCCTCGGGATACCCAGCCACACCGATGCAGAAGTAGTCGCCGTACTGGGCACGAATGTACCGCACCAAGTCCACCGCCGTCCGGAAACTGCACTCGGGCGTCCAGTACTCGCGGGTCCGCGGAGGATCGCCCCTGAGAGCCAAAATGTTGCGAATGCCAGCGGCTTTGGCGCGAGAGAGCGCATCGTCGATTATGGCCTTGTTGGTGTTGGTGCAAGTCAAGTGCAAAACGGTGGAAATGCCAAGAAGCTGCTGGCATGTGACAGCCAACTCCAAGGACTTTTCGCTGGTGGAACCGCCGGCGCCCCAAGTGACGGATACGAAAAGCGGGTTAAGGTCTCGCATGCGGTGCAAACGGGCAAGCAAGTTGCGGAACCCCGCATCTGTCTTTGGCGGGAAAAACTCAAACAGACAAAACTTTTCGTCTGGGCCCAACGCCTGGATCCGCTCGACGACAGACATAAGGAAAGTGATTGAGATGGTGAAAGTTTGATTTTCGCGAAGTGGAGAAAAGCGCGAAGTGCCGGAGATGATTTATGACTCGCGAGAAGAGCTGTATAATATTCGGAATTGGCCAGTTTCATAATTGGCATCAAATTCGAGCTGGTCAGCTTTGAATGTGGCGATTGTTTCTGAACTACATTCGACTGAATATGGGGTCATCATGATGAAAACAGGCGAGGATCGATACTAGATACGAAGCTGGTTTGTATAAAGTATATGCATGTAGATAAGTATGAGACTCAAATGACTACTTTTCAGAGCTCATTCTCTGCACAAATTTCATTCGTTCTAAATGATTTTGGTTGTGGGGATGTGGAAAGCCAATGCATTTATTATGAAGAATTAGTGGATCGGACAACCAGAGTTTTTCGAAATTAATCAGTAGCCCATTCAAATCACTTACAAATAGGCTTGCATTCTTTAGTCTCTTGTAGCTTTGATAAGGTATTTACGGTATAATTCAAAGCCTCCTCCATTTCCAGTTCAGAGGATTTGATGATTTGATTTGACTATTGCCTAGGTTGATAAGTTACCGGGCGTAAGGCTGATTTATTTGAATTTTCTTCCTCTTATTCTTGTAATTTTCTTTGAAGTGAGAAGTGGTGGTGAAATAGACATAAAGGAATAGATATATTGGAGCATACTTGAGTGAGCCTCTTCCTCAGTGAATTGGATATAATATAGTGCACCAATGTGATCTCTTTTAATGCCTTCATTGTTCCTCTCGTAATCGTTCAACTCTCAGAAATATTCACTTTAAAGCTCATTCAAGCAATAATTTCATCAGAATCACTCCCCAATTAAAATCTAAAATTTTCTTTTTAAAACATAAGTAGATTCTTAAATTTATATGTGTATTTCTGCTTACTTTCTTTCTTCTTGAAGTTGTAACAAAATTGGTCTGATGGGATGGCTCAATAAAAGTTTGATCACAAAAATGAGGCCAATTTCTAATCTTTCGAAATGAAGCATTGGTAGTATTATGAATATTGCAGTTTATTCTGTCGGTCATAATCGCAAACAATTGATGTGACTTGCCAATCAACTTTCATAATTCCTGTTGCTTTATGATGCATCATGGCTATTTTCCATATAGCTTTCAAATTGAGTCAGGAACTTATGCTGATATCACTTACGTCTGTTCAAAATCCTACATAGCCATCACCAACCAACTAAAATCATTTCTGGAAACGTCAACTAAGATCTCATTAATTAACCAAAAGTTTAACTTGTGTGACTTTAATGTATAAACTGGGTTGCTGCAATTAGCCTTTTAGACTTGAGCCTCTTTCCCTTAGGTAAGCTCTTTAATCTCTCAACTTTGTGAGACTTACCTTCTCAACTCATGTGTCGACTGTCGTGAGTTGTGAAAAATTAGATATTTTAGTAAGTTCTCAAACGGGCAACAAAAGCACGCTTGATTCTTTCTATTCATGCCTTCCACTTACATCCAAAGCACGTGGTAAACACTCAGTCTTGAAGAATGTGGAGAATGGAAAACCGTATTGATGCAGGCCGCATGTCCCAGTAGAAAACAATGGGAAAAGAAACGGCAAGCATAGAGATAAAGAGAGATGAGATAAGTCTAGATGAATCATTACTGGATAGTAGATTCAAAGAGTGCTGGTTGTTCATGTTAAATGACTACAAGTCAATGAGCTTCACATGGATTCCAAGCGATCTAATCTCTAAAACACTTGCAACTTCACCCTTGATTGTGGAATTGGAATTCCGCAGGCATTTTTAGCCTGGCATGTGCGTGGTAATTTATGTATTGAAGAGAGGTGGAGTGTTGTTACACCAAAGCTTGACCATTTATTTCAATGTTTGAACTCGTTTTGTCGGAGAAGTTTACAGATATCCGGCTATGGCCAGCCCATCAACCATTAAGTTGTCCATGCTTTTCCATTGATGTTGATCCTATAGTATATCTCCATGAATTCACCTTCACATGCAGTTGTGCCATGTGTCCATGCGGCTTAGATGTGTATTTACGATGTGACACCAAAAATGGCAAGAATAGTCGCCGTTTCATGTCACAATGGCATCTCTCTCATCACAATGCACGTGGATGCGATAACAGAAGCTGGGGTATAAAAAGTGCCTGGATGGCTTGAACAGATTTGCTTTTCAATTCTCTAATCAATGCTTCCAGTTTCAGTCTTATTGGCCTTAGTGGCACCAGTTTTGGGCGGGCCCATCAAACTTTCTGCCCGGGATCTGACTTTCAGTGTCCAGTCTTGTTCGGCTGCGAACGAGGCCCAATACTTTTCCTGCCAGGCACCAGGCTCTGTTTCTGGCAACTCTTGTTGCTACGAAAACGACGGCTTGATTTTGCAGACTCAGTTCTGGGACTTTGATCTGTCTTTGCTTTCCTCTGTTAGCTCCAATGAAGCCCGCAAGCTTCTGGTTAAGAAGAGAGGGAACTTGGTTGCCCGGGCATCGTCTGCTGATAACGACGTCAGCCAAACTTTCACGATCCATGGTCTTTGGGACGACACCTGTGGTGGCTCGTACAACCAGTTCTGTAACCCTGACTGGGAATTTTCTGATTCAGACAACATCCCAGACATTCTTAGCCTGTTTGGCCAAGACGATTTGCTCAACACCATGCAAACTTACTGGATTAGCAACTCTGGTCTGCCAGAGTCTCTTTGGGAGCATGAGTTCAACAAACACGGCACTTGCTTCAATACAATTGCTCCTTCTTGTTTCACTGGTGATTACCAACAGTACCAGAACGCCGTGGCGTATTTCCAAAGAGTTGTGGATGTCTGGAACACTTTACCTACTTATTCCTTCTTGCTGGCTGCTGGCATTGAGCCTTCCACTGATGGCCAATATGCCTTGCTGGACATCCAAGATGCCTTGTCTTCCAACCACGGAGGCAAAGAAGTCTACATTGGATGTAGAAATGGTGCCATCTCTGAGGTCTGGTATTTCCACAACGTCAAGGGCAACATTTTGAATGGCCAACTTCTGCCAGTGGACTCTGTGACCCTGAGCAAATGTCCTGAAAATGTGTGGTATCTTCCAAAGTAGATCTGTATTCTACGAACTGAAAAATACTAAAATAAAATTTTTTCCTTGTGAAGCATTCGAAGTAGTATCCAAGGTAACCTTAGGCTTTTTTCTATTTACTGGTCTATACAAATATAGTGGGTGAAAAATGAGGGGACGCTATAATGCATTTACTCAGTATCTACCTGTTTCACAGACAAGATGATCGGTAATAGGTTAGTACTAATAAACGGCGAGGATGGGACGAGATATTCGTTGTTTGTTCGGATGGTATAATTAAAATCTAAAATAGTGATACTGAACAACAGTTCCAATCAGCAATGGGGCATATCTTCCCCGTTCAAAACATACCTTCTAAACCTATTAGATGAAGATTTAGTGCATGTTTTAACGATAATGCTTTCCTTAGTTGAAATGCCACTGCTGGATTACACTGATTTTTTGAGTCTAGCTCTCTATTTTACATAGGAATAATACGACAGCTTGCTGTATCTGAAAGATGCAATTGGGATCAAAACATGCTTCTATAATTTCCCTCTGACCGATAACACTTTTTGAAGACAAAAGCACCCACAAAAAGGTTCCTTCAAATCAGTTGACCGAGGAAGTGGATGGCATGCATGAACAGCATCTCGGTACCAGAGCATTTGGCTTGTGAAAGTCAGAATTGTCGCCACATCCCCATTAAACTGCGCTGTACTCGCCACGAGAGCTGTTTCCAGAAATCTTTTCCACAATCTCCCGAATAAAAGCCGGAAGTCCACGCAAAAGGTCCACAAAGTTCTCTAGCACCTCGCGCAACGCCGAGGCGAAATCAATCAGGTTCCCACGGTTATACTGGAACCATGCGCCGCCAATGATGTAAATACTCAAAAAGAGCACCATGAAAATGAAAATCCATGTGAACCATCCCCACGATTCTCCGTCAGCGGACTTCGGTGAGTCAGGTTTTTTGCCCTTTCCTTTAGCACACGCTGCTGCACTGCGGAACTCGCCAATAAACACCTTGCCGTCCCATTGCAGAATAGTAAGCTTGTTGTCGCCGGAAGCGTCACAAACAAAGCGGACTTTGGCATCAACCAAGTTGGTGCCCCAGTTTGCGCCCTTGTACTCGATAGTCACACCGCTTTCGCTGTTGGCGCCATCATTTTCAAACGGAATATACGTTTTCTGGAGATTGGAGTTAAAGCCGACTATCTCCGCCAAAAGAGTCTGTCCATCGGCCTCAATCCGTGTGAGCCCGCACACATCGGAATTCTTTGGACACTGGTCGATGCTATCGACGTTTTTGCACACGCCAATGCTCCAGGTCAATTGTGTTTTTGATGGTGGAGTATCATGTGTTGTTTGCGCTGAGTAAACGCCCTCGATGCTTTTGAAATCGTAGGCCTCAAGCTGTTTTGCTGAACAATCAAAGGCTGTAGTGGCTCCTGCCAAAAGGAGAGCTGCTACGGTCTGGAGAAAATGCATTAGTATATGAAAGTTGATGGAAATGCCTCTAATAACTGGGGCACCGTGGTGCACGGGTGTAGGCGCGCTTGCTCTGATAGCCACAAGACTATCAGTCTAGTAGACTAACAGTGTGGTATAAAGTGGCGTAATAAAAATAAAAGTGACAATATATATGGCTTCAAGGTTTAGATAGATTTGTGAAATCAATTGGTAGGATTGTACTCCCCATAAATTTATTAACCGAGCATTTAGTAAAAAATAATGGATTTATAAAAGACCGTGTGCCGAAGTATTTGAACTGCAAAATATGATTACGAGGGTGGTATGTTCATATTGGTAAGGCTTAGCCTTCGAAACATTTTCTGAAGCTTCTAATCTTTTTAAAGAGTAAATTGCCTTTATCAAATGTCCACTTACTTATTTTCTCGAACAAGCTGTATTGCAATTTACCATGAATGTTTATCTTTTTGAAAATAGTACTGGCGACATGAACTTAGATCGAACGTTGTAGTTATTAATAAAATAAGAGGGATGAATTTTGTCATATTATTTCGAAGCCAGCGGTGTCTTTAAATTCTAATCGTCGCAAAATATGGGTGTACACTTATTGTATTGAGAGAATGGCTGACTGCTGGAGCGTCTCCGATACTGCTACAGAATCAAAATCTACCACACACTCTATACTCATGCTGTATGGTATTACTATTACAGTATTATGGCCTGATAATATTGGCTTGAAGAGGACTATAAGTTGACGAGCCTATGTTCTCTGTGCCATAAACAATACACAAATATAAGTCTAGCTTTTCTAGAACTTTCAAGTCTGGACAAAGGTGCTTCTGATTAATTTTTCAAAGCTACCAAGAGGCATAACTACTAATGAATCATCAGATATTCCCATATTTGTCTTTTTAAAACATTCACCTCTACTCTCCTGAACATCTAGATCCAAGATTCAAAGATTCGTTTACCAAGAATCATTATCCAACTCTCTAAGTTTTATTTTTTCTGCCCTTCCAATTCTTCTAATTGTGCTAATTCTTTAATCATGCCCAGAAAGGAAAGTCGCAACCCCACCATTTTCACCGCGGATGCATGTGCCCATGTGATGCATATTATATAAGGACACTAGGACATCCGATCCACATCAACTTTTCGTGCTACCACTCTCTTTTGTGATCGCGGCTAATTTCTGTAATCTTTGTTCTCGTTGGATTTCAAAGCTCTGTTATTGCTTGCGTTACTTTCTTGCTGCTAATTTATTGCCGGTTTCCTGAAGTTCCGGATCTCTCATCCAATTCGTTCCCATGGTCAAAGTCACCGTTTGTGGAGCAGCAGGCGGCATAGGCCAGCCCCTTTCGATGTTGCTAAAACTCAATCCGCGGGTTTCGCGCTTGGCCCTATACGACATTGTCAATGCTGTGGGCGTTGCTGCTGATCTTTCTCACATTAACACACCGGCGGTTGTCACGGGCCACCAGCCGGCTGCAAAAAACGACTCTTCGGCACTCGTAGAGGCGTTGCAGGACAGTGACATTGTCGTGATCCCTGCCGGCGTGCCTCGCAAACCGGGCATGTCCCGTGCCGACTTGTTCAACATCAATGCGCTGATTGTTCGGGACTTGGTTGCCCATGCGGGCCGCACATGTCCCAATGCTGCGATTTTGATCATTTCAAACCCAGTTAACGCTACTGTAGCCATTGCTGCGGCGGTGTTGAAGAAATTGGGTGTTTTCAACCCGCGTAAGCTTTTCGGTGTCACCACTTTGGACTCTGTCAGAGCAGAAACGTTTTTGGCCCAGATCCTCGATGTACCACCTGCGTCCCTCCGCGGCAAGATTTCTGTCGTGGGTGGCCATTCTGGTGATACTATTGTGCCGCTTGTGCATTTCGACCGGGCTCTCGAGCTGAAAATGAAAACTGTCTCGGCCTCCGACTACGCCAATTTTGTCCACAGAGTTCAGTATGGAGGCGACGAGGTTGTGAAAGCGAAAATTGGGGCAGGTTCTGCAACCCTATCTATGGCTTACGCCGGCTACCGTTTTGCGTCGAATGTTTTGGCGTCCTTGGTCGATGCAGCTGAATACTCTGCTGTCCCAGACTCGGCTTACATTTATTTGGATGGGGCTGCAGGCGGAGCGGAGATTGCAACCACTTTGCAAGACACGCCGTTCTTTTCTGTGCCCGTCCATTTGAAAAAGGGCGAGGTCAGTTCTGTTGTGGATCCATGGCATTTGGTCCGTACACATGAGGAAAAGAAGATGATCGCGGTGGCTCTTGAAGGATTGGAGAAATCTGTTTCTCAAGGAACAAACTTTGTGGAGGGCTCCAAGATATGATCAGCTTTACATATACGGCAACTGGACATGTGATGTAGTCAGTAGAAGAGCTGTTGAGACAGACCGGAAAACTAAAATCGAACAATGCTAGAATTGCCACTAAGAGTATAAAGTATCTAAGCCTGTGAAGCAAGGTATGCCCCAATGTTTGAACAATATCAATGGATTTCTTGTTCTTTTCTTATTCTCTGATACTGTCTATGGACCTCGGGTCTACCCCACATATCGTTCACACAGGACACATAGCCATAATAGATGAGGAGACCATGAGTATATAGTCTGTGCCATTCTGATATTCGGCAGTGAACTGTCCTTTTGCCTTCTTTTTGTTCTCCAAATCCCAAATTGATTGCTTTGGAAAGACCTCCTCTCGTTCAGTATGGATGCCCTTCTACATGAGCTTGTTTCGGAAGATATCAATGGTGTAGTTGCTGGATACACCACTTCTTCAGCTACGCAATACCTCGGGGCACATGGAACAAAGAATAGCCAGACCCGTGAACCGCTCGCTTTAGACACACGGGTTGCTCTATTCAGCTGCACAAAATCCATGACGGCTATGGCAGCCCTCAAACTATGGGAAGACGGCCGCTTGGACTTGGAGCGTCCAGCAAAAGAGTACCTTCCTACTTTAGGAGACATTGGTGTCATGGAGAACTTTGACATGGAGACAGGAGAATATACGCTCCGCAGACCCAAAACAGACATTACGGTCCGCCATTTGCTTCTAAGTAACTCGGGCTTTGCCTATCCGTTCACAGATCCACGGTACGCTGTTTTGGGCAAGAAATCCGGTGCAAACAGCTTCTCCATGCCGCTTGTTTCTGATCCCGGTTCTCGCTGGATCTACGGCCACTCGATGGATTGGGCTGGGCTTGTAATTGAAGCGATTGCGGAAATGAAGCTTTCCCAGTTTCTCCAGCAACAAATATTCTCCAAGGCTGGTATGACATCGTGCACTTTCCAAGTCGAAGATCCGAACAAGTTAATGCCTGTCCACATTCGTCGGGATAGTAGCTTGAAAGTGATGAGGAGGCAGCCGCTTGAGTATAAGCCGAAAACTGACATGGGTGGTCAAGGTTGTTTTGCTACTGTAGCAGACTACCTTCGTTTCCTCCGTGTTTGGCTTAACTATGGAACTAGCCCTGATACGGGGTATCGTATATTGAAGCGGGAGACTGTTGAATATGCAATTCGAAACCATCTTCCGCCTGGTCAACATATGGAGTTTGCTGCGGGCGGAGAGGGCTTTAAGCCAGATGGCTTTACTATGGCCGGATGTGCCTATAGTAACAATCAGTTGCCTACTGGTAGGCCTGAGGGTCTGCTTTACTGGGGCGGCTTGGCCAACTTATTTATTTGGCTTGACTTTAAAAACGATGTGGCGGGGATTTTTGCTTGCCAGATCTTGCCTTACATGGATCCAAAGTGTTTAGTGGGATATCTTCGTTTTGAGCATGAAGTTTACGAAGCTGTGAAGCGAGAGGAAAATAAGGATAGACCACTGCAAAACGGAAAAGGAATTGTGAAACTGAAAATATAAAACTTCACTAGGTGCAACTTGGTATTTGCCCTCGTGTTGTCTGTGAATACGTTTGTCGTCCTTGATTCTGATCTCGGAAACTGTTGGCCTTCGTGTGACGTTCTATTGGTTTCGATACTTCTTCATCCCGCTAAGTATATGGCTATTCTCCAGTTTGAAGCTATGATAGAGTAAATTGCTTTCCGATAGGTCATTCCATCATAGTAGATTATTCTTTTAATACAGAAAAGGATATTGTTTCTGATAAGATCTTGTCGCATCCACTAAACTATATCAAAGAACCATTCCGTTTGGAACAAACATTCACATATTTACCTGCCCTTGGCCTGCTTTTGAAACTCCCTAAAAGAGTTCAATAACTTTGTGTGTTCAGTTGCGTGCCATACCTATTCACAATAAATTTAATAACAATACGACTACTTGAACATCCAACTATGTTCTTCTCATCATTTACCAACAAGCTACTAGTCAGATTATTCTCATTTTCTTCTTATCTCATGAAATATCTATTGGACTATAAAAGCTCATAAACTCGCAATCTGTTGTTCTATTCTCTCCCACAGCATCCCGAAGAATCAACTTGATAACCCAAGTTTATCCATCCGGACTTGCACAGCATTACGGTGGGCCTCTAATCCTTCAACAGCTGCTAGCGTCATTACTGCATTGCCAATACTCCGCAAACCCTGCTCGGTCACTTTTTGTGCCGTGATAAACTTTTGGAATGTCGCCGTGTTCACACCAGAATACTGGCGAGCATAACCATACGTGGGTAATGTATGGTTAGTTCCGCTCAGATAGTCACCGCATGATTCTGGAGACAAGCCGCCAACAAATACCAGGCCTGCGTTCTCGACATGAGATGGGACGTATTTCTCAGCATCTTCCAATTGCAAAATCAAGTGTTCCGGAGCATAGTCGTTCGATACTTTGAATGCTTCTTCCACAGAGTCCACCAAAAGCGTATAAGAGTGAGCTAAGCACTTGGCCACAATGTCTTTCCGGGGCAAAACCTCCGCCTGGCGACGCACGGCTTCTTCGATCTCACGCAACTTGGCGTCACTGAGGGCAATACCAACTAATATAACCTGCGAATCCACTCCATGCTCCGCCTGCGATAAGAGATCACTGGCAACAAAATCTGCGTCGGCTTTTTCGTCCGCCACAACCAAAACCTCAGAAGGTCCTGCTGGCATATCGATGGAGCATAGAGCCTTTGTGTCGTTCTGTACATGCATCTTGGCGGCCGTCACAAACTGATTACCTGGACCCAAGATTTTGTCGCACTTGACTACGGACTCCGTTCCGTACGCCATAGCAGCCACGGCCTGCGCTCCACCGGCCATCACGATCTTCAGCGCACCTAATCTGTGGGCCACATACACGACTTCAGGCGTCAAGCGGCCCGTGGCTCTCGATGGAGGCGAAGCCACAACAATGTTGCGGCAGCCAGCAACTTTCGCTGGAACTCCCAACATCATGGCTGTGGATGGAAGCACTGCAGTGCCACCGGGCACATACAAACCAACGTTTTCAATTGGCTTGGCAAAACGTGAGCAAAACACACCGGGCGATGTTTCAACAGTCATCACCGCCTCTGCCGGCATCTGCGCACGGTGGAATTTTTCGATGTTAGACATGGACAAGTCGATGGCGTGCTTCATGTCTTCGCTGATCTGCATAAGATCGGACGGGAAAGGTGCCTCAAGAACAGGAGACTCCAATTTAACTCCATCAAATTTCCCAGTAAGTTCGAGCAACGCCTTGTCTCCGTCACGCTGCACTTGTTCGATGATTGGAAGAACAAGTTTCATGATATCGGCCGTCGCTTGAACAGGACGAGATAAGGCACGAGTAAAGTCGCCACGAAGCACTTCCATAGCATAGGTGTTCTCTTTTTCTTCTGCCGCAGTCTTTTGGCTCTCGGGCTTTTTCTCCTTCGCAGTTTGTTCGGCTGCATCGGTCTTCTCTTCCGTCTTCGCTATATACTTTTCTTTGGCATCACCCTTGCGCCTCGTAACACGCATGCTTTTAATGTCCAAGCTGCGTTCAATGTCCGCCAACCGCACGCCACTGCGAACACAGTACGCCATGGCGAAATAGAACAAGTCAGCCGCCTCAAACGCTGTTTCGGCACGATTGCCACTGGCCCCTGCCTCAATCAACTCGTCCAACTCCTCCTTCATTTTTGCAACCAAAAGGTCCTTGTCTTCAAACAATCTCTTTGTGTACAGACCTTCTGGGGCCAGTTTGATGCGCTGGGCTAAGGTCGCATCCAAACGGGCCAAGCCAGAACCGTACGAGTCGGTTCCCTCGGCCAAATTGCCATCGCCAAAGCAAGTGTAGTTTTCCTCCACGTGGCAGAAACCGAAACCTTCCCTCAGTGCCACCACAAACTTGACCACGTCGCAGTCACAATCACGCTCAAGCTTCACAAGTCTCTGCGTGGCTCCTGACGTATTACCTTTGTACCATAACTCGTGTGGCCGCTTACGCGATTGAAACACGCCTTCTTGGGTCTCAATGGCTGCAGCGATCGACGCATCAGACGAGTAAACTACACCCAAGGCGGTTCCATTAGTGTCCGCCACCAACGTGGTGTAGAGCCCGTCTGGCCTGTCTGTAGTCAAGGTGGACACAAACACGCTGGCCACGTTTATTTTATCTTGCGAAGTTTCTTGCGATTGTTTGGCAGCCGTTTCCAATTGCTGGGCTGGGACTACCAACACGTAGTTTTGAGCCAATGCTTCAGCTGTGCGCTGGGTTAAGGAGCCACGGAAATACACGATTCTGTTGTTTTTCTGGGCGGCCTGGATCGACACGTCATCCAATGGCGCAGAAACAACAATAGCCGCTTTCAGTTTAAGAAGCGCTTCTGTAGGTTTCGATACCACAACAGCAAAACGAGACAGCGGCAAGCCGGCATCAACCGCAAGTTCAAACTGAGATTCGGCCACAAAAATTTGCGCCGCGCCGACGTTAAGCAACTCCACAATCTCGTCGCAGGATACTATCTCAGAGGATACATCAATATTCACCTTTACTGAAGGCGGGAAAGCTGAAAGAGCGAGCTTCGAGACGGCAAAATCCGAAAGCGGCAACAACACTTGGCCTGCAAAAGCAAAAAGTTCACACTGAGCCGCAGACGAAACTAGCGGCAAAATGGGAAAAGTCATGGCGGATGAGAAATATGATTCAACTTTGCAGTGCGACTTGAAATGCGATAAGGTTATAACTGATTGAGTCATACCTGCACCTCGAAATGCAAAATCGTCCTAGATCAACGACACTTTGTAAGCAAGATCAATACGTGATGAAGGTTCTACTTGTAGATTGAAAAAAAGAAAGAAAGGCATAAATGGAATAATGTAATAAATTAAAGTAAAATTAATAGTTAAAGAGATGCTCAGCATACCATGTCAATAAAGATGGCCGTTTAGTTGATCTTGCAGCTGATACAAATTATTCAAGCGCAAAGAAACTTCTGAAAAAATCGTTAAATTTTGTCTTCGTATGGTAGTGTAAGGACATTCACCGGCTACCTCATTGCTAAACTACGCATCAATCTAAATCAATCGTGCATATTCTTGACAAGTGTAGCTGGAGATGCAGAAATTTCCTATTGCAAATACTTAGACAATAACCGTTACATCAAAAGGTAAACTCCCCGCGGAAATCAGCCAAGTTCATTCCCGGTTTCACTTTCTCAAGAAGATCGCGGCGGTCCATGGCAATAAACGCCCGCTTCAAGGTTTCCATCAACAGCAGCAGCTGATTGTGGCTAAGAGTTTGGGTCTGGCCCTCAACCTCGTGCATGGCCAACCCCAGAAGCAAATGCTCAGCTGCTTCCTTGTAGCAACCAATGTTGATGCACAGAACACCCAAGTTATACCGAGCACGGACAAAGGTGGGTTGGAGCTCCAACGCTTTGAAGTATGCCGTGACGGCTTCTTCTGGCCGGTTCAGATTGGCCAACGATGCACCAAGCCTGTTCCACAAAACAGCATCATTGGGCCGGATACTAAGCGCCGCTCTAAAACAATCAATAGTTTTGTCAAAGTCTTCGTTGGCGTAGAACAACACGCCTAGCCCCATCTGCACATCGGCATCCATGTTCGCGTGGTCTGGCGACAACTGGGCAGCCTGGATGAAAAGCTCCGTCACACGGCGATGCACAGAAAACCTATCCTCGTCCGTGATGGTTGGATTCTTCTCGCGAGCCTCATTAGCAATCTCTGGGTATTTTGTCGAGATCCAGCGCTCCAAAGTAGCAAACGCGGCATTGTCATAGCCTTCGTTAATGTAGGAGATGGCCAATGTCATAAGCGCAGCGCCATTTTCGCCCTGGAGTTGAAGACACTTTTCCAACGCAGCAATTCCAGCCACCTCTTTTTCATTTTGAGTCTGCACTTCGCCAAGTTTGAGCCACGCGTCCACATGGTTAGGATCTTTTGCTATTGCCGCCTCAAAAGCAAGTGCTGCCTCCGACAACCGAGCCCCGCTGGCCATCAACTGGAGTCCGATCTGGTACGGGTCCTGGTCCGCAGGAAGGTCGGTGAACTGGTTAGTTTCGGCACTTTCAAATTGGTACTCGCCAAAATGCGCTCTTGTGGAAGCGTAGCGGGCAAAATCTTTCTCCCACTGCAGCAAGTCTGCTGGGTCTGTCTCAAGATGTGTGTGCTTGAAATCCTCGTACTGTTGGGTGATGATGTCGTTTTCCGTGGCGTCCAGATTCAACAGCTCCCACACCTCGTCAAAGGTCGCTTGGTATTTGTCGTCCACAACGATGTCACTTTCTGCCTCCACCTGGGAGAACTGCTGGTCCCAGTCCACATCTTCTTTTGCAGCCTCTGATACCTCTTGGCCTTCTTTCGTTTCGTGGGCACTGTTCTGCGCCTGTCCCATTTGAGACTGAGGTCCATGGAGCCCGAAACGAGGCTGGAACAGTTGCATCGGGCGAAGTGGCATCAGATGAAGAGGCATCAGATGAAGCGGCTGTGCCAGCTGGAAACCTTGCATCTGCAGCTGCGGTGCCTGCTGCGTTGGAGCCTTTTGTTGGGGCGCCTGCTGGAATGAGGCGTTCTGAAAAGAAGGGCTCTGAAAACCGGGCTCTTGGCTCTGGCCGTTCTGGAACTGGGGAAACTCGCTTGCCCACAGCGGAGACAGGATACGGTTGAGCTCGTGGCGCATGGGCTGGAACTGGAACGTGGCTGGCGCAGAAAACTGCTCCAAATCCCGTTGGTTCACCATCTTGTCTTGCTTGAAGCTCTGGGCTCCTGGCGCAGGCGAGTGGGTTTGTCTCTGGAGAGACCGGTCTTGCTGCGTATGCTTGTTGAGTTGCGCCACCACATTGCCCGTGGAGCATTCTGTGCCGCCAAAGAAAGACATGGTGAGGTTGATAAAGTAGCTAAGCTGGAAGAAGCAGAAAAAAGAGGTGCAAACAAAGTAGAGCACGCGTAGTTGCTAGTTTCTGTTGGTGTGTGCCGGTATCTGGGTGTATTGCCGGTATTTGTTGCCACAATTAATGACTTGGGTAAACTTAACGAGTCACCTGAAGTATCTTATGATCTGTCGAGAATGACTTATAAGGAGAATTTCTAGACCTGAGATTTTGAAATCAGTACGATCCTTTTATTCACGGCTGGCGGTTAGGGATATGAAAAGGTGGGATTTCGTTGTGATGTCAACTGGTGAAGTTTTCTGACTAACGCTACTCCACACAATCCGAGGATGAAGGCGCGGACTGCAGACGGCGGTGGAGACAAGAGTCCTCTGATTATCCACAAGAGAAAAAGTAGCCGCTATCGGTGGCGAAAGAAAATACTGAACAGCAAGATTCGAAAAAAGCCGGAGCTTTTAAATATTCGGCTTGACTGAGCGATTATTAATTTGCTCAATCTGCGAGAATATCGCGCTTGTTCGAACGAGCTATTTGCACCCGCAGGTCTAATCAAGGCAAAACATCCAAGAGGGAAGTTGGGAGTGGTTTTGTTTTGTTTCTGTTTTGTTCATGTAGGCCATAATTGCCGGGTTTTTGTTTGGGGCATCCAGCCACAGGAAAAATACCATTGTACTAACTATTATCAAGTTAAGCATTGTAAATTGACAAATGTACCTGAGATTTTGCAAATGCCATTACTATGTTCTGAACCATAATAACCCCAGGAAACTTACTCATGGCGATCGCTAGAAAAAGCTCAACTTTTTGAACCGAAGTGTCACTAGAACGAACCCAAATACCATCATTATTTGTCTTCCTATTTAACTTGACATTCAACTCTCTGTATCATCATTTCTTATCTTTTTTGAACTAATCTTGGCACATGGATTATTTATTGAGCATATTACAACTAGTTCATAAGATGGACTTGAGCAGATCCACTTTTATACAAAGTCTGCTTTGTTCTCGAAAACTAAGATAACTGAGCTCTTCAATCAATGAACATAATGGCATCATCTTCTAATCGTCTTCAAGATGCATCAGAAAGTCAGCGCATTCAAATTACAAAACATTTATCAATATCAACAACTTTGCATTCAAACCTAACTAATTCAGCTATTGGCGTTCATCACCAATCAATACCAGCAGTCTTTTCGCTGGAAGTGCACTCCAACTTGTTACAGAGTTCATTCAACTCCTTCACGCTATCGTTGAGAGCAGCCTCTCCCAAGAAAGCAGGGTTAACAATCTTGCCTCTCTTCTCCTCAAGTGCCAAGTGTTCCTTGACCAAGTCACGAACCAAGCCTTGGTAGTGCAAAACACCTCTTTCCTTGGTAGGGTGCAAAAATCCAGAACCGTAAATACCCTGGTTCAAGTTCTTTTGTGTGAGTTGACACAAGTTGAAGTCTTCCAACTCAACCAATTGCAAAAAGTCCACAAATTCCTTCTTCTCGGCTTCAGGCAATCCCTTCTTGGTGTAAATGTCGTATTGCAAAATGGTACGGGTTGGGGTAATTGGCAACACACGGATAAAGTACCATGCTGGCGAGTAGCAGTTCACTCCATTAGATGGGAACAAGTACACCCACAAGCCATTGAACTCTCCACCTGGGTTCTTCTTCTTCTCCACTGGCTTTTCTGGGGCCTTCTTCTTGCCGAAGCCAAACCACGAAGACTCTTCATCAGCATCCTTGTCGTTATCCTCAATAGCCACTTCTTCCTTCACAATCTCTGCGTAGTGACGGCAGTACTTTCCCTTAGGCACAACCTTGTAAGTTTCCATCTTAAAGGCAGAGTTCAAGCCTGGGTGGGCAGTAGGACAGTGGTAGCACTCCTGGTAGCCATCCATCAAAGTCTTCCAGTTGAACTGGCCATCCAACTCGTACGAGAAGTGGTACTCGTAGTCGCTGAAGTCAAACTCCTCCATTTCCTTCTCCAAACCGACAAACCAGTCGTCGAAAGGCACAAGTTGCTCAGGGTCATTGCAGAAGTTGACAAAGATCAAACCCTGGTTGGTCACATGAGTGTGGATTGGGAACAAAGAGTTTTCGTCCTTTTTGAATCCCTCCACCTGGTCAAAGTGTGGAGCCTTGGTCAAAGCGCCGTCGGTATTGTAAGACCACCCGTGGTACTTGCATCCAATGACAACAGAAGAACCTTTGTCCTTTCTCACCACAGGGTACGCTCTGTGACGGCAAACGTTGTGGAACGCATTGATCTCGCCCTGCTTGTTCATGATGATGAAAAAGTTGATGCCCACAATCGTAAAGGAAAAGTAGTCACCTGGCTTCTTGAAGCGGCAAGTGTGAGAGCAGAGCATCCACGACTTGTTGAAAATGGCTCTCTTCTCCAACTCAAACACTTTTTCCGACGTCCACCATGATGCTGGGAGAGTGTGTTGTCCAGGCAAGAGCTTCTCTGCTGGGTCATCTGTTGGAGGAGGGGCGGGTTTCGCAACGGTGGGTTGAGACATTTTTGAACTTGTTACTCGATCGCTTTTGGATTCTGCAGACCAAAGTTCAAGACGCAATTATATATATATACTTGTGTTTACCCATATGATGGCTTATCAGTGTATGTGTCAAGGCGCAGAGATATGCACACGCACTTCCTAATGCAGAAACGATTTCCCATGCCATAGATAACGCGGGATGCACGGGTGTACGATGACAGTTGTATCTTTCCCCATTGGGTGTAGGGATTCCTTCCTGTATTTCCAAGACGGGGATTCCTTTCCCTACCTTATCGATAAGATTTAAGCTTTCCGTACTGAAATTTGGCTGATCCTTTTTCCAGCCTTTATTGGTTCAAGATCAAGACACGGTTCCACGGCTATTGGACCTGCGCCATTAAGCCCCGAAAACGCATCACCTCATGGGCAACGTCTGGATCAATTGTAGCTGCTAGGATCGCATTGAGGACGAAGTCGGCCTCAGGCTGAACGCGGTACAAGTCCTTGAACTTTCCTAAATTTTCCTCGAGTTCTGCTGTTCTTTCTGCCGAAAGCTCGTTTTCTGCCATAGCCTTTTTCAAAATCACAACGCTTGCCACTAGAGAATTCACAACGACAAGCGCTTTAAAGCCCACAAACGAGAGTACCCGGTGTTCTGCGGTGCTGCGGGCAAACTTAACCGATTCTGTAATAAGCGAAAATGTGTTTTTCGTAAAATTGAAAAGTAGAATTTGCACGTTGCTAGCAAGCCAAGAGCAGGGAAGACACGTGAGATTCCCATTCACTTCTTCCATTGGAACCAAGTCAATCAACAACTTCGCTCCAAACAATGCTTGCAACACTGTGGACGAACGCTGGAACACAAATCTCGTGGTCTCCACTCCATTGCCAGCATACGCAGTATAAGGAATACAACTCATTAAAAGCATAAAGGCTCGGCTTAAGAAGATACCTTGTCTGATGGCTGTCTCATTGCCCTTGAGGTAACTGACCATCAATTTTCTAGTCGAACGAGAATCTTGAGGACTGATGGTGATAGAGCTGGCGTTTGGGTTGTTTGACGACAAAGATGTGCTCATAGTTCCTGTCAATATAGCCTGGAACAATGCACGGTTTTTCGGTTCACGAACCAAAAGCTTTGTGAATACGTCAACAGCACATGGAAGATAGGTGAACACATCGAAAGGAGCGCTTGGAATAGAGTATCGACGCTCGGGTTCGTCCTCGTGGTCGTCAAGTTTGGGACCAAAAGCGGAAACAAGTAAAAACACCAAAAACGCTTCCTCCAAAGTCTCAAGCTCCATCAAGAATGCCACACGGTCCAAAATCAAGAGGCAGTCTTTGAGCAAACAAAGCCTTTTCCTCTGGAAGATGAACATGGATGGCGTTGTTACTATACTCTTTATAATCCTGAACAAGAATGTTTTGAATGGTTTGTTGAGTACCATATTACTGCCAGCATTTTCAGTAAATGACAAGTTTCGTAAAGTCATTGTTACAGTTATCAATGCATCGACCAAGTAAATACGCTCATCTGTAGCGCTCTTCGTCTGGATTTTGCTGAAATGGTGCTTGTTTTCCTCACGGAACATTTGCAATCCAGTCATAAAATCCGGCATTTCACATGTATCTGTTTCCTCTGGCCCACTTTCCAACAGCTCAGCCAGCTCACTGGTAATCTCTTCTGGTGAGAAAAGCTCGTCTATTTCAATGTCTGAGTCTTCATCCTCCACAATTTCTGCCGTCAACGAATCGACCACAAGTGTGAGATCTTCGCCCTTCATTCCACCACCATGAACATATTTGTTGAAAACAGAATCGATTCCATCATTTGATGAATAACTGATGTCCAGATAATCAGGAGCATTGGAAGGCTTCAGAAGAACCTGATCCAAAATTTTGGACCCCAAGTCGACTAGGGCATCCAAAATCTCTGGAGCATCTGATATCTTGAACAGAAAGTTTGGGTCTGTGGTGGTTACCAAGAGAGTATTGAGAGCAGAAAACGTCTCGCCTGGGTTATGGTGCGTGTAGTTTTTCAAGGACATAACCAAAGCATGGATGTTGAGCGAACCGAGTTCAGGTGCAAACAAGTAAACAGGCTTTGTGAGTTCAATCTCGTCCCCGAGATCCGAAACTGTTTTGAGACTGCCACTTCCAAGAGTGTCCGCCAATACTTTGATAGGAACATACTTTTTGATGGTGTTAGGTTCACCTTGCGGCGTTTCCGGTGCCTGTTCTTGTGGAGTCGCAGCGGAGTCATTAGCAAATCGAGTCGGAATAGATTGTTTCACACTATTGGACCGCGACCCAGTGTTATGAGGCGATTGAACAGATGGTGAAGTGTGATTGGATGCATTGGAAAGTCTATGGGAATTAGCAGATATGGCTGGGCTCGGTTGGTTAGCAGGGCTTGCGACGAACCCTGAAAATGGCGACTGCATTTGAAGACCAGGGCTCTGAAGAGCTTTAGCAGAGTCAAGGTGAGGACTTTGAAAGGTTTGTGCAGATTGGCTCTGAACGTTCTGGTTTTGGAGCAGAGTGTGGCTCTGGTTCACGTTCGGGCTCTGGTTCTGATTTAGATTCGGATTCTCGTTGTGGCCTTGGTTCTGGTTCTGGTTCACGTTCTGGTTGAGTGGTTGGTTTTGGTTCTGGTTCTGGTTCAGCGGTTGGTTCAGAGCCGGAGTATACTGATTTGGTATAGGGCTACCATGATTCAGGCTTCTCTGTGTCTGGTTATTTTGAAACTGGTTCTGGCGGCCTTGTCTTTGCTGGAGACGCATGAACAACTGCCGTTGAAACTGCATCCGCCGCGCTTGTATGTCCTTCAGTCCGTCTTCGGTCAGTGTGTACTGTTCATATGGAAGAATGTACTGAAGGTAGCACAGGCCCAACAGCTTTTCCACTTGCAGTTTTGCCGCAACGTTCAGAGGATCGATGCCTTCCAACAACCCGAGTTTTTGACAAACCGACGTCCACTCTGTGACCTGCAGAGTGGGTTGGTTGAGCGTTTGGAGAAGCTTGAGCACAGCCTGGGGGCCACCAATTTTCCGCGAGAGAATATGGAGAACCAAAAGATTCACCCGCTTATTGTTGATTGTAGGAGGTTGGGTGATGGGAGTGCCACGGCGGGCCATGAAATCGCTTATGGTCATCTGAAACAACTCGTGTTGCAACTGGGCCACCTGAGCCGAGCTGAGTTTTGGAGCGTTAGGGTTTTGGTTGGCCATGTTGGGCATGCTTGGGCCGCTTTGCATGTTCTGAGAAAGGTTTTGCATGTTCTGGGCGTTGGACATGCCTTGCACGTTCTGGGCATTAGACATGCCTTGCATGTTTTGGGTGTTGGGCATGCTCTGCATGTTTGGCATGTTCTGAGACATGTTGCTGCTGTTGGACGGGTTGCGGTTGAATTGGCTCTGGCCCTGGCCCGGGCTGTTGGTGTTGTTGAGCGCTTGGTTCTGGCCCGCATGGTTCTGCTGATTTTGGTTTCCCTGGCTGACCAGACCGACGTTGTTCTGGCCAAGCTGGTTGGCATTGGCCTGGCTGAGGTTGAGCTGGTTTCCTTGGCCCACCAGCAGCTGGTTTCTCTGCAGCATCTGGCTGGCGTTATTGTATTGTTTACTGTTCCGCTGGAGCATCTGCTGATGCATCACCTGCTGGCGCATTTTCGCAAGCTGGTCTTGTTTGGCACGCGCCATGAACTGCTGGTTCATGCCCGGCGACACGGACTCGGGCTGCCGCATGTACATCAGCGGGCTCTTGTCCTGCTTGGCGAAGAGCTCGGGCTGGAAATCCATCATGGGGTCGCCCATTTGCGGCTGTGCTTGTGTTTGTGGCAGCTGCTGCGGTTGTGGCAGTTGCTGTAATTGTGTTTGTGGCGGCGCTTGTGGTTGTTGTTGTTGTCCTGGTGTTTGCTGTTGTTGTTGCCCTGGTCTGGGTGCTGGCGAGTGCTGGGACAATTGTTGGCCAGGGAGATCCGAGATATCGTCGAACATCGAGCCCATCATATCGTTGTCTCCCGGCGGCTGGCCGAGAGAAAAGCCGTCGTCGTTGAACCAGAGGTTAGACATGTGGTGGGAGAAAAGTTGGTGGTGAAAGAAATCGCGAGGTGTAGTACATACAGTTCGCGGACCTGGAGAAGTGGACACTTGAGACTGGAGAACATTGGCTAAAGAATATGAGAATTGAAGGAATTGGAGAAATTGGAGAAATGGGATAAAGGGAGTGATAGAAATTAACAGGACGTCAATGCCAGATGTCGAGAGTGATTACTTTAATATATATAGGCGTATTGGACTTGGTTCACACTTTCTCGCGATTTGAGCACATGAATGTCTGAATGGTTAGGCCACTGTGAAAATACAAATTTGACTGGAAATGAAGTGGTATTATATCTAGCATTTTACGATCTATCAAGTCGTCGTCGTTGAATGTGACAACTTACTCAAGGAAAACTACACCTTTCTCCATCACTACTAAAAATGCTGTATTGCACTATAATCACCAAAGCTTCCACCACTTCTGCAACTTCTTCGACAAGGCCTTGTAGTGCTCCATCTCGCCCCAACAGTCTCTGCCAAACTCGCATCCGGCCATGTTAATGACAAAATCGCCCTCTTGGTAGAAAAATTGCGGGTCATCGGCCTGTTCCGCACAAGCACCAGGAGGAAATGCGTTGATAGTACGCAAGGGCAAGAAGCCGACCCTCTCGCGAATCCACGGCTGCGTCGAGTACAATGTTTCCAATGCATCCTGTTCCTTGTGTTCCCACTGCATGTGCATCTGCTCGTACATGGCTGGGTCCCACCAGATGTCCAAAAGAGCCTCGGACCACGAAGATCTGCGCATCAAAAACGAGCCCAAATTGAAGCCACCACAGTCCTGGGTGATCACCATGTCAATAGGCGCAGTGTAGTCGACGTAAGGCATTTCAACAGGGATCTTGAGCGGGTTGAACGTATCCAAGGTTCTGTATGTAGCATTGTCCAACTTGTTCAAAAAGTGCTTTTCCAACAGCAAATGTGGCTCCATGATGTAGGTGTGCAAGTCCAACCACCAGAACCACTCGGTGTTGGGGAACTGGCGCATGGCCTGCTTCATGAGATCCACCTTCTCCCACAGCTCACGCCATTCGTGCGAGTATCTTTTCTTGATGGTCATGTCCTTGATCGTGAGCCCGTACCCGTGCTTGCTGGCGTACTGCTTTTTGTTGGCGATGGAAGACCGCTCCACGGACCATTCTTGCGGTCCCTTCCACTTGAAAACTCCTCCGCCCTCGTTGGCGGCCAAGATAATCACCACCTTTGGGTCCTTGGGCCCAAACAAATGAGGCACATATGGCACGGACGTGAAGAGCGACAAAAACAAGAGAATGCACACCGCAAACGAGATCTTCTTATGCGCCACCGCCGAGTCTGTAAGCGCCTCTGCCAATCCGCCTAGAAGCCTTTTTGGCGTAGCCCACACATTTCCCTTGGCTGGCTTGTAACTTTTCGAGTACGTGTCATCAGAGAGTGTGATTTCAGTAGCATCGTTTCCATGGCCACGCGAGTGCTCTAGAGGAAACGCCGAGCTGCTCATCTGAAAATTGGTCCGATGGTAAGAGCTTGTTGATAAAAGAGAAAATAAAGTCAACGCTGAAGCGTGCTCCGAGTTTGTGCAGGAAACTGTTACCTGATCTATAGTTTAAAAGAGAAGCAGCGCAAAAGGTGAGAATTGGCGACTGTAAAATTAATTTTGAGACGCTAGATATTTTGTTGGATAGAGTTCTTTGCAATTCTACTTATGATCTTTTTTATTTTTGTCACATTTGTTGTTTTGAATGAGACTTAGCCATGTCTTCTCATGCCGCGCAATATGATACTGCGAAGCATTTTTGTCTCATAAACGTAATCAAGTCAATGCGTGAACTTATCGATGTAATGTCTGACAGACCTAAATTATAAAAAATGTAAAATTCAAGACATGAACGTCTAAGTTTTGAAGGCACAAAAAAGGTATTTTCTAACGGACTGGCCGTCGATTACTAGCATATTTTCGAGACATCAAGTACTAATATAGAGTTCACGAAATGAATTAGGATAAAAGGTTTCTGACGATAAAAATTCGTAGTTCTGGATAGGTAGCCACCGATTATAGTACATAGATAAATGAACCTATCTCACCAATCGGTGACAGCCTCGATTAGAACGCCTACGGTTCTCAGCACAAATATCCACTAATTGCCAAAAACTAAAGTTTCCTAGCTTCGTCAAGGTTCTCCTCGAATATCTTAATCCTTTATCCCAAGTGTAGTCCTCAGCATAGAGGCAATAAGTTCTGCTCAAGACAAACCTGTCGACAAAGAGGACACTCAGGATGGTCTCTGATCCAATCAACTATACAAGACCAGCAGAAAATGTGGCCACAGTTTGCGGCAGCAGGATTAACCATAGGAGAAAGACACAACATGCAGCCACGGGACGACTCGGGAAGATAAGGAAGTTGCTTTGGGTCCAGTAGATCAATGTTGAGACGCAGTGCAAGTTTCTGATCCGAGTCTATGGAGGTCTGCACGCTTTCAAGCTGTTTTACCTCTGTGAAAACGCCCAGAGGCGTTGCTACATCTTCCTCTTGCAGATCGTCTTGGCTTGTAGCGTTCTGGATTTTCAAAAGGAGCTTGACCGCAAACTGAAGCAACATGATACCACCCAAAAGACTATAGTTTCCTGTGCGCAGAAGCTTTTCTGGGTCCTTGTTGTGACCGAAAACATATCTCATGCCGACAGCCCGCTTTGACAAAGAGTAGAACAGCCCTTGGAAGTAGAAAAGCGCCACATGCACATTCAACACCGTGTCCAACAACTTTGGATACGACTGGAAGGTTCTTGAAAGCCAGCTCTTGGAGGTTTCCCCCTGTGATTTAAGCTTGCGCACGACACGTGTCACGACATAGGGGACCAAGGCATAAAGTGCAATAAACACAAGCCGGCGCAAACTACCTGGGAACTTCTTCCCCTTCCGATTGACATACAAAATGTCCACATACTCTTCTCCAAGCGTTCGCGCACCCAAGGCTGTTGTAAGAAGTAAATAAAGCACTTTTGCTCCCAAGGCTATTTCGTCCGGATGCGTATGGATGAACTTCTGCCCCCCGAATATGCCTAGGACATCCTGAACATGAGAAGTGAGCGAGTGGAGAAAATAGCTGTCCTTCTGATTTGCACGAACTGGACGAGTTAGTAAAAAGAAGATCCAAATAGAACGAAGAACATACCTATGGTAGCAGCATCAGCAAATGGCAATGCATTTTCGTTTGCTTTCGACATGGTGAAGTAGTTTCTCCAATGTAGGCCGAGGTATAGATATCGAGCATTTATGTGCACCACTTTCTGGGGTAATAAGTTGTTGGTTCTAGACAAACTTAACGAGAACTTTAAAAAGGGAAAAAAGATGACGATTAAGAAAGTTGACTATGTGATCGGTTGATTTCAATTAGACTGAGACTTTTCAACCAAGATGAACAAGAAATAAGGCGACATTAATATGACTTGAACATTTTTCGATTGTCATGCAATTTTTCTTATGAATGCGTGGTAATATCTTATTGATGTCACTTAAACAATAGTATGACAACACTACACCTTAAAAATCGACATGGAAATTTTCTAGAAGCTAGATGCCAAACTCTCCAGATCTATAATTAGAATCATAAGACTCAGCATTTCCATGCATAACAATGGCCGGTAAACTCTAACTTTATTTTAACTTTATGCAAGTTCACCTGAAAAGAAACTCCAGCTTCCCGGAGTGATAGTCTTTTGTACATGAAATTCAAACATCAATTTTATGTTTCGTCTAGTGCTTTGTAGGAGATGAAATATGAATGCCATGTGTAAATGGACTATAGGATTATAGTAAGAAACAGTGCTTGTCGTTTCTATTCTTTGCAAATGCTAGCGGCGATATCACGATTAGCGATTAGATTTACAGGATCGTAAATGATCTACAATGTACTCAAAAGTTACATGTTGATGTGAGTATTACGTTCTGTACTCTTGGTATATCTTAATAGATATCCGAAAATAAATATGGCATGGGTATCAAAATGGCAAACGGGACTGGCTCTTATCGTCTTTCCCTTTGCCCTTGCCCTTTTTCACCAGTCGTGTTTTTCGAGAGGGCGAGCTTTTCACTTCTTTCGCAGTATCTGAATCTCCATTCAACTTCAGTGAAAGATCAAGTGCCACATGAAAATCGTTGTGCTCGAAAACATCTTCTACTGCAACATTGCATTGTGAGCAAAAGCGAGATGTAATCAATTCTCTCAATAAGGAGTTGGATGTCGGAGGGGCACTTGGTTTTGACGAAGGTATTTCAGCAATCTTACTACGTTTTTTTGGGCTTTCACTCAACGCTCGATTCAAAGCGGTGGATGCCTCAAAATCGCTAAACATCTTCTCCACATATTGCTTGTCCTCTTTGAAACCCGAGTGTGTATTTGGAGCATCGTCTGTCTTTGCTTCTTCCGCTTTTTGCGCCTCAAAATCAGTGAAAAGCTTCCTAATGTAGGAATTACTCCGAGTAGCTTTGACTTTTGATGGAGGTGGTGGGGGGTTTTCCTTGGGAATATTAATTTCATCAAAAAGCCGCTTCATGTCACTTTCTGTGTTTCCACTTTTTCCATATGAGTCAATGAGATTAGCATCGGAAGTTTTCACAAAGTTAGAGACAACCAAGGACAAATTCGCCAAAGACGGAATGTGGACGGTTTTGTCCAAATCCAGCAACTTGAAGTCTTTAAACCGTAGTCCACTATTCATTTCTGATGCTTTTGTCCCATCCATAAGCTCGCAAAACAAACGAAAGCCAGTCACCTCCAAATTATGGCGGAATTTGTCGAGGTCTCGAAGCACAACAATAGATGTTTGTTTGGAATAGCGAGAATAACTAGTAGTAGTTACTTGGATGCTGGCTGTCCTTGGCCGATAAATGTAACCCTGGGCCTGGGATTGAGATGCAGAAAGATTCATATTTTCGTCGTCAAGTTCGACAAGACGACCATACAAATCACCGACAAACACTTTGATCCAGTCAAAGGCGTCGGACAATGTATTTACTGGGTTTTTGGCGGTGAAGTTTTTGCGAGACATCATAGACTTGACGTCCGTCCGCAACTTTAGCTCCTGATGATGGATGCCCCGAACGAGCTCATACACTTTTCTGGCCAACTGTGGTTCGGACGGAAACTGCGCTTCGATTCGGTCCAAGGGCCAGTTTTCGCGGATGTATTCGATGGAGTTACAATCGGGTGGAACCAGAAGCTTCTGAAGCACCAACTCGCCTGTTTTCCCACCCATCATGGTGAAATCAGAAAGGTGGAAATGGGAGAAAAATGCCTTGGCCAGTCTCGGAGGAACAACAGTTTGAAAATCCGGCTTGATGAAGCCACCAGCCAACTTGGCGACAGTTTTGGAGTTGCCGACGCCGCCAGAAGTGGTGTACTTGAGTTCGCTGTAGATGGCGCAACGGGCCTTGTATAGTAGTTGGGAAGCGACAAGGATGCAGACGTCATCCCAGTCCTGAACAGGAGGAGAGTTTTCGGGTTGTTTTGGTTTTTTGAGATCATTTAGACCAAGCTTCTCTTCTTGAACCAATTCTTCGCCGTTAGTCTCACTCTGCGCGGGCTCATCTTGTGCCTTTGTCGTTTCTTCCTCTGTCTGTACTCCTCCGACCCAGTAAAAGTCCAGTGGGAGCAGAGGAACAGGCGGAAGCGGCTCGTCTGGGCCGACGCTTTCCAAAAAAGGGAATGCCTCTACCATCTTCGCATAAACAGCACGTCCAAAGTCCAAGTAACACTCGTCCACGCTGGCTTTCTCCACCAAATCACATTCCCGTTTGAGAACCTTGATGATCTTCCGCAGCTCGCGCCGATACGGGTCGAGCGACACCTTGTGAAGCAGCTGGTCCGGGAGCTTGTCCAAGTACTGCCAATGAGCCTCTCCTTTCCGAAACACCGCCGCATGCCCTACAATCAACCCGGGACACTTTTCTCGAGCACTTTGAAGCGAATCCATCCGGCCTATGCCATACTTGCGCGCCGCATACAGCACGGCAATAAGCGACTGCCACTGGCAGCAAACCACGGGATCGTCGATGGTTTTCCCTAGCCGAATCTGTTCACACTGGGCGAAAAAGGCATTGAGGTCAATGAGGCCAATACACGCAAGGGGCAGGGCAAAAGACGCCAGTGGGTCGTTAAGGGCCGCCAAGTCTCGTCCCACAAATGCTGATTCGGCATTTAACACCAGCGGTGGCGATTTTGGGCCTGTTGGATTTAGAACAGACATGGATGGTGATGCACGTGCGCGAGAACGTGATACAGAGGAGTGAAGAAGGAGGAGGAAGTGGTAGATTGGTAGATTGGCAGATTGCCAAATGAAAGGTTTACCAATTCAATTTGGCTGGTTTAATAACGCCCCAGTAAATGCTTGGTGAAGTCAATTTCACAACCTACTATGTACATATATTCTTATTTACTCATAGGAATATTCGACTAAATAAAGCTCGTATGGCGCAGTGGTAGCGCAGCAGATTGCAAATCTGTTGGTCCTTAGTTCGAACCTGAGTGCGAGCTTCTTTTTTTGGCCATGGGCCCACTTTTGCCACACAGGGCCGGCTAAAATTTCCCATTTCCTATTCGGGGATTTACTTCCACCTACTAGATGGCTCTGTTGTGCTTGTGCTCTGCACGGCATATACGATTTTGTTCTCGTATAAGCAGGTTTCTCGTCACATATTTTTTCCGGAAGAATGTGAAGCAAGATGGTGAGGACATCTATTGTTTGAACATTCTTGGCGATTAAGTTTCTATTCTGGGTGACTGAAAACGCCGATGCAGGACCAGCGTGGCCAATTCCACCTTCTGCAGCCGCATTCGGGTGCATAGTGCATAAAATTTCATGTGGGAATAATCCCTATCTACATATTGTAAAGTTCGCTAAAGACGGCAATACCATGGGCATCACCATATGCACGGACATCACGAATGAGGCCCACGGGTCCGCATACGATAAGTAACTTGTGGGCGTTATCGTCTGTTTCCGAAAAGGAGGCTAAAATTTCACTCAAGTTTGGCCGGCCTGCATGCATCTGTATCCTTTGTTCCGCGCAGTTCACTGCATGATCGTCGGTGAATGGATTGGACTTGTTTTCCGCCGGAATCGGTTCGAGCTCAATGTTGTCCCCTGCGCCCAATAAGCCAGCATCTTCATTGTCAGCATCGTCGTAGGACGATTGGTCAATCTTCCCGGATGTCACATATACGTTGACAGGATTGTTGACGCCCAATTCGGAAAGCACAAAAGTATCCCGCGCATTGGACACACACCAATGGAGATTAGCCAACACGGACAGTTTGTTATCAAAATACTCATAGAGCGGAATCCCGAGTGAAATTCCAGACCCACCACACACGATATGCACATTCTCTGCTGTGCTGAGCCACGGAGTCGGGAGAGATGCATAGGGGCACGAAACGCGATATTCAAGTGACGTGAGCATTTCGAATCGCCGGCCCTTTTTCACAACCAAGTTGAGAGTGTCATTCGCTGGCGACAGACACAAGGTGTATAGATGTGCTGGGAAGACCCAGCTCTGCCAACTCGAAAGAGGCAATCCAACTCGGATGTGCGAGCCCGGCTGCCAGACACTTGGGAACAGATTAGGTTTCTGTAGACGCAAAAGCCGGAGGCTGGCCGCATCTGCATCCACAATGGTCAAGCCGGGCACAGAGTAGCCATTGTACACACGCAGAGCCCCCTGGAAAAGAAGAAGCGCCACAGAAAGGAGCACAAAATCGCTAACTCCGGGGCGAGCATGCCAAATCATCAAAAGAACAAAAAGCGCCACCGTGAAGTTGTGGAAGGCGTAGAAATAGGAGTAGAAGCGGCGGCGAACGGGTCGTGACGACACAATGACAAGAAGAACCGAGAAAAGCGCAACTATTATCCCGGCCAAGTTGGCCCACCGCTTGGCTTTGCCCAACTGGTGGTGAATGGTCCACTTGACGAAAAAACCTATTCCGTGAACAACGCCGGCCAAAATAATCAACCGCAGAAGCCACTTGTGCAACGGCATGAGCTCCAAGTACGACTGGCCCAACAAACACGGCCGCAACGCGAGGGCAAGATCAAGCGGTACCAAACAGAAAGCCAACCGGCCCAACCGCTTAACCACCACCGTCCAGTTCTGCGAAAGATCATGCACGTTGGTAAACGCTAGCCCAACAACAATTGCCGCCCAGAGGAGCGTATGAACCCAAAACGGAGCGTTATTGATGCGGGCCCACACAGATGAACGGCTGGGCCTTTTTTGGCGGCGCCATTGACGGAGCTCGAGGAAATGGGCCAGCGCCAAAAGCAATGCATACAAAACGGACACGCCGAAAATAATGTAGCCATATTTGATGTTCACAGTGTGGCCATGGCCTGCGTGGCGTACACCTATTTTGCTAGTAGTCATGTGTCAAGACCACCATAGAGGCATAGAGGTGTGAGGTGAGGTGGTGGGAGCCGGGAGGCACGGGTGCCTGCCCATCTTATCTCCAGTAGTTCCGAAAAGCATAGCGTAGAGGTTCGGAAGGAGCGGAATGCTCGGATCGAATAAATGCAACACCGTTGACAAAATCGAACGATGGTGGCTTTAGTTGCGATGACTTCATGGCGAACCAGGTTGCACCTACTATGTCTGAAGTGGAATGAACAATCGTCATTCACATGGCGCTGACAAGCCCATTTTGGATTTAGGCGCAGATGCAGATTCCACGCGTAGGAATGCCCGTCATGGAGCGCACGGCGTCATGGCGAGCTGCATTACATAAATTTGCGCCCTCCTCGCGAACATTGCATTACAGCGACTGCAGAGAGGTAGATTACCACTTCGTCTCTAGCATAGTCCTGCCTGCTACGCATTACATCAGCCTCAATTCATGCAAGTGTCTGAAGTCAAATGTGGCGCACCACATCTCTCGAGAGTACGCCTGCGTCCGAGTACATATGCGCCCGCTTATGCTCGTTAATAATAAAAAAATACTTCAAATTACCAACACCAGCTCGATAAAACAGGCCCCGTAGCCTCGTTCCGTGTCTAAGACATAGCTCCTTTCGCCCTTCACGCAAGTTCGAGGACACTCTAGTTTACGAATCTCCTATCCAAGACTTTAGAGGGCAATTCATAGGGCATGGACTGCAGGTGATACCCCGCCGCGTGCATGGAATGGGACCCTCAGTGCAGTTTATTACATGAGAGTGAGGGTAATTGTAAGAGCTAATGACGAAGAAAAAAAATATTTGTCGCTTTGATCTGCGCTTCTAAGGGTCAAGAATGTCGACCCTCGAAGTGTTAAAGAAACTAAGAGGGGTCCCAAAAATAGACCGTGGAATTGCTTATCCTTAGCGAAACTCTATTTGCTCGTCAAAAATTGGTCCAAATGACGTCTGGCCATCTGGAAAAACTCTTTGTACGAAAGGAAATCCGAAATATTTTCCCAGATGAGAGTGAAAATTTTGGCATGAGTAGACTTTAATTTACGAGTATCTTTACACGATAACGGGGTCCATAGTGATTCAAGACAAGAAACAATAGGCAAGGCCCAACGTACAGTCCGTATGCAGTGCTGCATGAGGTCATGCGAAGAATGTCTCGGATTTCCTCTGCGCCCAACGCACGGAATTCCGAAGGCTTTTGCTTTAGGGGATCTTTCTGCTAAAAGTGTGACGGGTATTGTTTCCCCCCTGGGGCAAAAAGTGTCTCAGTTGCTTTAGGTAGCGCGCCACAATGTTGTCGGCCTAATTATAGTTGGGCTGTCTCACTTTTGGAACCCATTTGTAATTACAGGGTGCATGTATTATAGATGAAATGTACTGGGCAACAATGGAATGGGGCGTTAACTAAGATGACGTTGAAAAATAGAAAGAAAATCTGCAGGCGTTGCTTAAATTGAAATTCTCCTCATTAGCCTCGAAATGCATAGATCCTCAAAAAACATGCGGAGAATACACCATATAATGCACCTAAAAGGAGAAACTCTCGGCCCAACTTGAAGTCACCCACCGTACAGCTATTGTGGTGGGTGCATTACGTCAGGCGCTCTTGCGTTAAACTGTGCTGATGCCCACATCATGCTGTATACAGTGGAATGCGTGCAGATGCGTGCTGCACAAGCCACACGAGGCTGGTGCACCTGGATTATCAGGGCTCTAGGCATCATCACCATGTCAAAATTGGGTTATGTTCATCTTCGGGGGTACTGTCAGTAAAAGCGCTCCCGCAGACAAATTTTTCAGTCGTCATCGTTTCATTGTTGTTTGCCATTCTCCACCTCGGAGTTCCTTGTACCCCCCAACCCAACGGCGCTAACCTACTGCTAGTGTCTAGTCCACATGTAGTAATTGTATTTCTGGCCCACACTTGTTGGTCCATCGCCACGAAACCTTACAGGCACAGACTGGTGCGAAAAACCGGAGAATGTCCCTTGAACTCCTGGTGCTTGGGTCTTTAGTCTCCTAAACTTGTTCGCTGCTAGCACTATGATAAGATGCATTCTACAGTATGCAAAAGTTGCCTTAGTTCATTACATCATAACCACATGATGAGCTCATACGGTGGGAACGGAGACAAAAAACAAAAAAGAACAAGATCACTCACAAAAAGGGCTGAGACATTCAGTGTTCACGTACTACGCAAGCGGAGTAAAATGAACAGATCACTGTTTGTCTAAGGTTGAGCCCTGTTGGTTCCATTGTTCTCAATTATCGTCTCCAGGCCATGGAATTCCATGTGGGAGATCTTAGTTTAGGATCCCTGCCCAAAACGGGCCTGCATACAAGCGGTGCATCCCAATCAAGGTATTATGTAAAGAGGGGAAATCGAGAGCCAAACGTGGCATAACGAGGCCAAATAACAGGGAAAAAAATACAAAAAACTAGTTGACATGGTGCACAAGTTCGAATTGGACACACTTGTGGTGAGAGATCGTAAAATTGAAATGTCGTCAAATAAATTGAGCACCATCTCCTTTGGTGGTGTAAGGTGTATGATATGACAGCATATTACATACTGCCCTGCGGCCAGGCCAAGCTTAGGCCGGTTTAGCCGCTGCTGCAGAGGGCGGTTCACAACCAGTGCCTAGGAAATCGGTGCGCATGCACCTTTTGCTCTGTGCATGAATATCGTCTTCCCTTGTTCTAGAAATCACATATATAGATGTGGCATGGCCCACCCAATTCCCTCAATATTCCACCACTGTCTTTGAATCCAATCTGAGACATTGAAGATCTTTCCCCTTACTAGTATCTGAACACCCTTTCGTGATGGTTTACTCTACACAGGCTCTCAGATGGAAAGCCTACCAATTTCTGGACCCCTTTGCCCTGGGATCTTTCCTTGTGTGCAACGCCAAGTCCAAGGTGTTTTGCCGTCCAGACTGCGACGCCCACCCTATTGCGGAACAGCAGCACGAAGTGAAGTTTGTTGACTCTGTGGCCGACGCCACCGAGCTCGGCTTTTCTCCTTGCGACTCGTGCGACCCATTGTGTGCGCCCAAGGTGGATGTTAAGCTTTTGATTCAGGCGGTCAACTCTATCAACGCCAGCATTGGCTTCACCCCACCCCTGGCCGAAGAGCTCGAGGAGCTGGCTTCTCCGCTCTCGGACAAGGGCATTTCGCCACTGGATGCCAACTCGTCTGTGTCCAAGAACGAGGCCGACCACTACCGCTTGGCCGACTTGGCGTGTCGCCACTTGGCCATGGCTGCAGCACAGTCTGTGCTTTCAAGCGCCGAGACGCAGGCCAACAGCCCTGACGCTGGCGGAGAGAAGAAGAGCCGCCGCAGAAGAGGAGGCGTGTTGGGCTTCAAGGAGCTTGCCGCCAAGTCCAAGTTGTCTGCATGGCACTTTCACCGTGTGTTTAAGAGCGTGACGGGCTTGACCCCAAAGACGTATGGAGACAAGTGCTGGGAGTACTTGAAACTGCATTGCGATGGTAGTGTCCAGTCTCCTGCGCAGGCTTTGTCCAGTGTGTCGAGTTTGTCGTCTACAGACTTGTCTGGCAGCATGTCGAGCGGCTTGGCACACCCTATGGCCACCAGCTTGTCCACGGGCTTGTCGAGTGGCATGTCCAGCTCTTCTGCTGGTCTGTCTGCATCTTTGAAGTCGTATGCGACGCCAGTTCTGTCGGTGTCAGCGTCGTCGCCTAGAAAGAGAAGCCACGACGAAGAGTTTATGATGCCTCTGAAGAGAGCATCTTTCGATGCATCTTTCACGCCCGATGTGAGCCCTGTGATGATGGGCTTTGACAAGATGCCCTTGGACCAGAAGTTGTGGGCCACTCCAGCAGAATACTACAGTGCAACACCACAGACGCTATTTACTCACGTTAAGTCTGCGCCAGAGCCTGAATTTTCTCCAGACTTTGGCCAGATGGACGAGATGGCTCCAATGTCGATGATGCCTATGGATATGGCCGCGGACAAGTTCTTGGACACTTTTGACTACGGATTCCCAAACGACATGTTTGTGAACGATGAACAGACACTTTTGCAGCCCGAAGGCGGTGCGTTGAGCGACCCCTTTAGTTTGAGCTTGTCACCAGAGTTGTTGACTTCAAACCCTGTTTAGAACGGACATATGCGCCGTTCTGAAGGCGGGCCTTCTGGAGCGGCCACTGGAAAATTGGCAAGTAGGATATATTAATAGAGGTATTATTTTCTTGGAAAGTACTGAAAATTGTAGATGTAAGGGACTGGGGAATACCCCAAGGCTCTTCGCCAGAGGTGCAGACGAACGCACATGCGCATACTTCTTCAGGGATGGACTATGTGCAGGGCAAATGTTCTACTACGTCACCCGGTCACTGCCGCATGAGGCTGCATCTCCGTCCTTAGGAGGTGGAGCGTCCCACATTCTCATGCAGCGCCATTGTGGTGTTGTTCCAAAGCCACATGTCGTCTTTCCAATTTCCAAGACCGCTTCTAGGCACCGAAGAGGTGATTGGTTAGAAAAATTTTCTGTTCCTAAATTCTCTCAACCATTGCGTACGGGCCAAAGTGGCAGTCGTGCATGGAATATCCTGTAGATCAATGCTGGCAGATAAGCTATGAGTTCATTTCATCAGGGCGCATTCCCAGAACAATTGTGTACACACTTCTCCTTTTTTTACTTTCCTTATTCTTCTTTCGGTTTCCCCAATGGGATTTTTGCCACTCGAAGCTTATTTGGGATATGTGCCTCAACGGGGCTGCTGCATCAACCTCAACACGGCTATGCTTGATGGAATTTCTTTTTCCGTCGCATGAGAGGAGAGCTTCATGCTATATTGCGTAAAGCATCCAACATCTGTGATGTGAGCATACCGTCATTTTTCTCATTTCTCCCGAAGTAAGGGATATGTTTGTGCAGGCGCTTGATCGTGTAGAGGTTTGTCACCGATGGACTTGAGTACAGCGCCAAATCGTCATGTCGGCAAAATCTGGTCACTCACAAGAATTTTCATCTCAACAACGTTTCGGCATCTCACCAATGCAAGGGGCGCTACGTAGTTCCTGTTGTAACTTGTGTGACAAGATGCGGAGTAGCCCATTTTTTTCCGTTACATACACTCCATTTTAATCTGCCCATACTCTTCGTCAAGATCTACTTTCACTATCAGTCCACAATACCATGCGCTTGACACTGCTTCTCCATCTGTGAACGCATGCACCTGTCGCAGTGCGCATAGCCATGCATGGCCGAAGTGGTCGAGTGTCATCGCAATGATGCATCAGAAATTCCGCGGACTAACCCGAGTCTTCATGAAGTCAGTACAGCTTACACTTGCACTCGACCTTTTTTCTTGTATGGCCTTATATCAAGCATTCAAGCATTATCTATGTTGTTGGATTCCGTGTTCGGCTTTCTGGTCAAACTTGTGATGCGACCACCTTATATACTGGCTGAATGTCTCTAGTTTGACGCGACAATTTCGTCAAGATAAAAATATTCGCCTGTTGTGAACACTGGGACTTCCACACGGAGATAAATCTTTGAGGCGTTCTGGGTGAATGTCTCATCGTGGCAGAATCATCGTAATTGTGACTATGGATCTTCATCTCGCTAGTATTATAAGCTCTATGCGAACTTAGTTACTTGTTTGCGAGCACCATCACTTGGATGGCATAGAATAATGACTTGTCGCTCTACGTTGAACTTTACATTGGTGTGGTCACCCTGAAAGAAAAAAAAAAGTTTCTATGCCGTTGGCTCAAAACCAACTGAGACAATAGTTGGTTCAGAGGCTCGGCCAGCTCGCCTTTTAACTCCGGTACACCTTCGTAGCTGTATCCAAGATGGAAAGATCTAAATATTACATTCACAGGACATAAACATACATATAGCGGTGGCATGGTTATTGGTCGGTCTGCTTCGTTGTCTCTTCCGAAGCGCTGCTGGAACTTCCGTCATCAAATGTTTGCACACGTTCTCTGTTCTGCTTTGCCGTGTGCACCAACTGGTGAAAAGCACTAGCTACCGTTTCCTTCTTCTTGCTAGGGTACAACAGTGACATCGACCCATCGTTAGCGCAAATCTCGTCCAACAGTTTGTCCACCTTCTTCCATGAAGAGAGAGAGTTTTTGGCCACATTGTACTTGTTCTCGGTTTCGGTGTTGGGGCCCATCTCTTCTGGCGAGAGTGCCAAGTGCGACAGCGGAATAAGTCCTTCGTCACCAAACAAGTTGATCTCACTTGGGTCGTCGTCATCGTCGGTTTGAATGCTCTTAAGCTTGTTGATCTTGTTGGCCAACTTGACCATCTCAATGGCCTGGCGGAACTTGGCCTTTCCACTGAAATTCTCCTTCAATTGTGGAAGCAAGTCTGCCTTACCGTGCTCATGGGCGACGCTCACAAGCCAGACATCATCCAAAAGCTCCTGTGCTGTCGCACGCTTCTCTGGATTGAATTGCAACGCCTTGATGATGAAACGTCTAGCATCTTTTGAAACGTCTCGCCAGTAATCCGCATGGAAGATAACCGCATTGTTATGGCGAACTTCAGCAATAAAATCCTGGACATTCTCCGACCGGAACGGCGAGTAGCCACACAAAATAGTATATGTCACGACACCCAACGACCAGATATCGCACGGTTTGCCATGGCCTGTGGCCATAATAACTTCGGGCGCCGCATAACCAAAGGAGCCTGCGCTGGTAAGAAGCTTTTCGTCCGGACCTTCAAGTTTTTTCGCAATACCAAAGTCTGCCAACACCACATTGGAGTCTTCTGCGGGACTGAGATAAAGCACATTTTCTGGCTTGATGTCACGGTGCACAATGTCCTTCGAGTGAAGGTAAACAATTGCCTCGAGAATTTGCAAAATGACAAGCAGCGCATCGTGTTCGGTGAAACGGCCCTTTTGCACAATTCGGTCAAATAATTCGCCGCCGGTAGCAAGCTGCGTCACAATGTAAAACTTATCGCGAGACTCAAACCATTGGCGGAATCCCACAATGTGAGGATGGTGAAGTTCTTGGAGAAGCTTGAGCTCTTCGATAACAAACTCTTCGTTCCCTTTCAATGCCTTTTTCAAGATGATTTTAACCGCAACATCTTCGCCAGTGACATTGTTGCGCGCATATCTGACGATACCAAAAGAGCCAGCACCTAGTGTTCGTCCAAAGGTGTAGTTGGCCTTGAGATTGTACAGAGCCGGCTGTCCGCTTAAACGATGCAAAATCTTCTTGATGGAACTACCTGATTCCGTTTCCATTGTGCCTGTAAGTTGGGGGAGAAATGTAATTGAAGCTCCCGGATATAAAGAAATGTTGGTACAGCCCCGTTGATGCTGAATCATGCTCGCGAATATGTGTCCTGCACACAACCCGTAATCTGGCGTCATCCCTTGCCGATTTCAAAGGTAAACAATCGGGTCGGTTAGCTACCATTTGCTGTTTCGGACATTGTTTCTGATCCGCAGTCCGGTTTCTAGTCTCTGCAATTCCTGCCAGGCTCGGTCGGCCTTGTGCTTTCGTAATGCATGCGCAATTTGATTGTGCTTGCTTGTGCGCGGCGTGGCGCATGCACCGAAGCTGCGCAAAGCGAAGAATGCCCTGTGCTGTTTGATACGTCATATATTCTTATTTCAGCGGGAAAGTTTCATCTCTCAATTCAAATTTTGTAAATTAACTTCGGGACATGTTGTGTCCCGCTCCAGAAAAATCGTGTCGCACATGTCAAGCATGAGAAATTTATTGTTGCTTCGGTTTGATACTTTTGCACCCAACGCCAAGAATATCACACAGGGACTTAGAATCCCTATCGAATTAATTACTGGTTATTGAAAACGTTAAGTATACGATTGGGTTCTGATATGGCATTCTAATCTCGTGATACAGAAATATCTCCTCAGTGAACAGAAGACTCAGTAATTTATAGGAATGATTAGGTTTCAACAGGGTAAGGTCGGGAATTAAATACCAGTTCAATTTTATTTAACCTTTCTCTTATAATATGGCAAATGCCACAATTTGCACCCTTGCATTAGGCGATGTTTGAATGAATCGTTATAGAGCAGTCCGACGTCATGTTTTAGCAGAAGTAGCATTATGACCCATCCGTCTATTTCAAGCAACTTAATCACGTAAACCATATTCTGTACTATCAAATGTGATTAGTTGCTTCTTTACCAAAGAGTAACTACCAATCATTCAAGTGTCTTTTGGAAGGCAAAAATTAGACTGAGTGGATTGGATATGATGGTAATTCAGAAGTAAGTATTACAAGTTTGGTCGAGGAGTAAACTGAAGTGCTCACTTGGCGTCTTAATGGTAAAGGCAACTCAATAGCTCTTCACACTGTAACTAATTCCTCCATTTGATCAAAGACGTAGGTAAAGATATGCATTGATACTCACTCAAATGATGTATGCGTATTTATATCAAGTCGTGGTATTGATACTCCTAGGTTTTTCTTTGTATCTGCTTCGGCAGATAAGAAGCAAAAAGTACAAAGAAAACTGGATAGCACCTGTTGGAAGTACGTCTACAAATGAAGTTCCCTTTGTTTTGTGTTCCTGATTACATGAATAGTTCTTCTCTTCCTCACATATGGTGATCTTATCGAAATATGCCTTATTCTGCTTACGTGTGCGAAACTTCGTCTGAATTAGGGCTTGAAGGCATGCAGACACTTATCTTGAAGTCACTACTTTCACCCGGAGGTAATCAGCTCTACATATATAGTTTTCGATCGATGATACATTGTTTGTACTGGCTAAACGAACGCTTCGGATCATAATTGATGGTATTTAATGATGTATTATTCCAGAAATCAGCAGAATATGGATGTATCGGATGGAGAATGAACGGATCAGGAAGGCACAAGAGGCCAAATACAATTCAGGCGAGAGAAGTGAAAGTAGGAACAAAGTAGCTGCAAGTGGGCAGTGGATGGCACTTTGATGGCAAAAGATGCAAAAATACAAGTTGGAAGCGGTCAATTCAGGCGCCAATCCAAGCGAAAAGATGCAAAAATACAAAATTCAGACGAAAGATGCAAATACAAGTTCAGGTGTCATTATAGGCGGCAGGCTTTGCCCGGCTAGGAAGCATGGGTTCTAGCGGCTTATTTGATCTGGAGTCCAATTTACGTTCCTTATGGCAAAACACGTTTCCTTTAAGCTAGATCATAATCTCATCTACGAGTAGCGTGAAAGTTTGCGTGCCCTCAAAAAGTAAGCCCAAGTTTTTTGCAAAATAGCTACGTATCCAACTTCAATGAACAGTTACCAAAAACAAACCTATTATGTGTAAAAGTTCGTCGGTCGAATGGACATCACTTGCCGCAAAACCGGTCTTATACATGACTGTCTTATCAAAGCCATGACTCACACGAACATTGACAGTGACTCAAGCATTCACGTGACCTGCTGACGGGTCTCTGCCCAATCATTGTCTATTTTCCACAATTTAAATTCGCCGTGTGTAGCTCTGATTCAACATTCGGCATTCGGCCTCCGCATGCGCGATCGCAGGCCCGAAACTTCAGCGCGGCTTCCCCATTCGGCATTTCTTGCCTAATCGGGCCACATAATCGGAATCGCGCTTCCACTATCTGCTTGCATATGCAGACTATCAGCTTCGTTATAAGCCCAGAATTCTCCACCACAGAATTCTCCACCACAGAAACTTTTTCAAATGCTCAGAGCCAGGCAAGCCTTCCTTTCTGCTCGCCGTGCTACTTCTTCTGTTGCGGCGGCCTACTATCCAGCCGAGCCTACCCAGCCCAATTTAGTCACTGAGACCATTCCAGGACCAAAGTCTGTTCTGCTCAACAATGAACTTGGGCGTGTTTTCGACAACAGGGCGTCCTACTTCGTCACAGACTACCAAAACTCGATTGGTAACTACATTTCTGACGCCGACGGCAACCAGATGTTGGATGTGTATTGTCAAATCTCTTCGATTGCGCTTGGATACAACAATCCTGAGCTTTTGAAAACGGCCGCGTCTCCACAAATGGCCAGCGCATTGGTCAACCGTCCCGCCTTGGCATGTTTCCCACAAAAAGATTACGCGGCCATTTTGGAGGAAGGTATCTTGGCTGCCGCTCCTCCAGGCACCAATAAAGTATGGACGGCATTGTCTGGATCCTGTGCCAACGAAACTGCATTCAAAGCTGCGTTCATGTACCAGGCAGCCAAGCAACGGGGATCCCAGGACTTCACTGACGAAGACTTGACTTCTGTCATGTTGAACAAGGCGCCTGGTGCGCCTAAAAGACTGATCTTGTCGTTCGAGAAAGGTTTCCACGGCCGTTTGTTCGGCTCTTTGTCCACGACTCGTTCGAAAGCCATTCACAAGTTGGACATTCCAGCCTTTGATTGGCCTGTGGCTCCCTTCCCTCAGTTGAAGTATCCGTTGGAGGAATTTGCTGCGGAGAATGAGGCAGAAGAGAAGAGATGTTTGGCAGAGTTCGAGAATGTCGTCAAGTCTCAGCCTCCTCACTCCATTGCCGCAATCATTGTGGAGCCAGTTCAATCCGAGGGTGGAGACAACCACGCTTCTGCTCTCTTTTTCCAAGGTTTGCGTGACCTCACTTTGAAACACGATATTCTCATGATTGTGGATGAAGTGCAGACCGGAGTTGGTGCCTCGGGTAAGTTCTGGGCCCACGAACACTGGAACTTGACCACTCCTCCCGACATGGTGACATTTTCCAAGAAATTCCAGGCTGCCGGATTTTACTTCTCCAACCCAGAGTTGCAGCCTTCTCAGCCATACAGACAATTCAACACATGGTGTGGTGATCCATCCAAGGCCCTTATTGCCAAGACAATTTACCAGGAAATCACCAAGCACAACTTGGTGGAGAATACTGCAGCAACAGGTAACTACTTATACCAAAACTTGAAGACTTTGTTTGCCAAGTACCCAAACAAGGTTTTCAACTTGCGTGGTGAAAACTTCGGCACGTTTATTGCATGGGACTGTGAAAATCCAACACAGAGAAATGAGTTGTTGTTGAAAATGCGTGCTGTGGGAGTGAATATTGGTGGCTGCGGCGACAGATCCATCAGATTGAGACCTACGTTAGTCTTTGAGAACAAGCACGCGGACTTACTTTTGGAAGCGTTGGAGCATTCCTTGAAAGACTTGTAAAGGTTTTATGTTTATGACAATGGCGCCCGTAAGTAACAGGTGGCGTTGAACTGGAGTAGTTTCAGCTGAATATAGAACTAATACTATGCAATAGTCTTCAAGGCTAAGTTAAGGTGGACGAAATACTGTAATCTGGCGTTCTTGCAGACGATTGAGTTTACACTAGTGCGTCCCTTCTGTTTTATTTCCTGTCGTGTCTTCGAATCTCGTCCGTGTCTTCTCTCTCATTCTCTGCCCATGGAGTTTGAATTCAGCTTTAGTGTTTTCGTCTCAAGAATTTCACTGGCACATTGAAAAACTTTGGAAAAATATGTAGAAATTGGGATTTAAAACAATGCTCTCGCTGGATCTTACTGGACAAGAAAGTCAAAGCTCGCAGAATAGCTATTTAGGTCGCATCGGACTTCAGTTCCCAATATTGATCCGTGACCTATCATCAATCATGATGCCTTCATGATACTTGTTTGTTGGGCACAACTTCGTTTGTTTCGCCGACTACCTTAATAAATACTTGACGGGAGATTTGACACAAAGGCGACGCACAGAAGATTCAACGGCGAGCGCATCTAAATGGTGCGTGCATGCACATTGCATAACGCCCCAATCACGAGATGAAGTGAGCACAAACATCAAACCGCCCATTGGCAACGTTCACGGCCAAGCGGAACTCAAAAACACATTTTCTTTCTGAACCTATATTCACAAGAATTCGGGGATCTACCACACCCACGGGACCTAAACTGTTTTTGGATCCAAGCAACATTCCGTTACCGATCTTGGGAGCGACAGATCTTGAAATTGTGCACCACATTGTGTGATAAATACGAAGCCAGATAAACGAGGCACACCGAAACCTCGCACGCAAGTCCTTCCGAACCAACCGTGAGACTTTGCTCTTCCTGTCAGTGTCTCCATACTTTCTGTTGGCCATCGTCTTGTTCTTTCATAATACTTGCGCAAAGCACCTTCTCCGGACTCAGAAAATGGTCTAATCCATGCTTGGCCGCCTCATAAAATCGAGTTCACCGCAGACGCCTGCGTTTGACGATGCCTACACGCGAGACATTCTATATGCTCTGCGGGCCGTGTCTCCGCCTGTCCTGTTTGACCCAAGACGCTTTCGCCTCGTTGTGGGCCAAGACACGGGCAATCTTCGTGCCAAACAGGTTTTGTTCGACTCGGACCAGAGCCCCACGCAAAATGGCTCTGCCCATATAAGCACAATGCACAACCAAGCGCATTTAGAAAACGCACATGGCCACAGTGTTCATGCATCATCTTCAGCGTCTCTAGCTGGCCTGTACTCGGGCCCCAAAGTCTCTAGCAGCGAAATTGCAGATTACATGTTTGGGCGCGGCATTCCCACCAGCGAACTGGCACCGGCAACAAAGGTCCATGTGCTTTACCTGGCGCAAGGGCGGCCCGCCCTATTGGTGACCAAGTTGTTCTCGCTCGCAGGGCGGCCGGACTCCGAAAGCGCGCCCGATTGGGCGCCTGCGCCCACATTTTCTTCGCGGTCGCACACGCTTCCCGCGCCAAGCTGCCGCTTTTCCGTCGGCGTGGTGATCCCGCTCGAGCAGCCGCCGCACATTCTTCTTTCCACCCTTTGGCCCTCTCTTGCACAACATTTAGCGCAGCTTCAAAATTCTGTTTCGGAAAAACTTGTGGCCGCACTCCGTCTGGCCCCCAACGGCGTCTGCTATGTCCGCCAGCGCCGGATTGTGTTCCCGGCGCATCTTCTTCAGCAAGACATCGATTTGGCTCAGCTGGTTCCATGCTTGGCCCGCGCAGTCCAGGCCACGTTCAATACGCCGCGCCTTGCAAGTACGCACACCTTGATTCGGGCGGCGCGCGCCCCGGAGTCGCCCTTTCGTTTTTTTCTCGTCAGCTGGGCGACCGAAGTGGTCAACTGGCTCGAGTTTAAAGACGGCCGGAAGGCTGGGTTTTTGGCGGGGCTCATGGCTGCCGTGGGTGGGCTAAGAGAAAGTGAAGGCGTGCAGAACGTAGAAGGTGGGACAGAAAATGGCACGGCTGATTCTACAAATACAGACAGTGAACCGAAAAACGACCGTGACCACCTTGACAAAGAGGAAGTGGAAACGGTGGATATCAGTGGGTTTGACTCCTTGCGCATCGCCAAATCTAATGAGCAAGAACCAGAAGTGAAGTCTCACCGCAACGAGACAGAACGCTACTCTGGATCGTCTTCCACTATCACGGACGGAAGCTCTCTGGAGAATTATGATGCAAACAGCTCGAAAGCATCGGTTAAAACTTTGAAACAGTCCCTTTCGGCTCATAAACTGTTCTCATATCTCACGTCCAACATCTCGTCTCGGCTTAATCACCAGGTTTCCGACTCCTACTCGTCAGAAACCGCTCTGTCCCATCCGACCTCCTGCAAAACTCGCGTGGTCATTATGACAGGAAATTCTGCGGTGGCTAAACGGCTTGTTTTCATTTTGAACGCTCTTTTCCCTCAGTCTTTCGTCGCTCCTCCGCTTCTTGACACAGAGTCTCCATCTCCAAAACCAAGCACACCCGAAAGCTCAAGTCCGTCGCTGGTTGTCATGCACTCTCTGCGCCCGATTGCACATTGTCTGGGACCGATTCCTATCCGCTCTAGTCCTCTGGCGGGCTGGGAGATCCCACGGAAGTCCGGTGCAAGCCTCAATAGCACAACATCTCACGTTCCTGTTCATACATCGGCTTCTACTGCTTGTCTCTCCACATCGCTCACTTCCCTTTCTTCGAGTGCGTCGAGCTACTCGTTTTCAAAGCTTGGAGGCAGTTTTTTCGAAAAGTGGCGTCTGGTCCAGGAGCTGCCCGAACCAAGGAGACCTGAGGATGAGTCGGACGGCCGCCCACGGCTTTCTCGAACGCAGTCTATGCTAAATTTGACCAACTCGAATCCTGCCGCTCATAGTGTTCAGCGCGACCGAAGTGCCATGTTCTTGTTTGCCGGGAAGGTTCTGCCCGACACTTCTGTGGATGATTTTAATGCCGAGCGTATTCGCCGGAAATGTAATCTGATCATGGAAGAATCAATCAAGTACACGGTGGACTCGGAGAAAAATGCTCTCTTTGTTCCACCGCCCGGCTCCTCTTCTCTCATCCAGCGGACGCCTCTTTTGCCCAACGTGGCTTTTGTTGACGAGTTTCGTCCTGAATTTTCTCTTCAGGCATGTCCCATGAGCGCTTCGCTCGAGAATCTGGTTATTTCTGCTATGAAAAACGACTTGCTAGTTTACGATTGTTCCAAGACTATTTTTGTGAGTTTGCGGGCACGAGAAGTTAAACTAATCGAAGTGGGTCCCGATTCCACTAGAAAGTTCAACGTCAGTATCCGGAAAATCATTTCCCCGGGCCGTTGTTATTTGGATAGAAGCAAGGTCTCCGGTATCGAGGAGCAATTGCAAACATTAACACGGATTGTTAGTGGAATTAATAATGGCGGAGAAGGTGTGGGCCAAAGCGAGAAATATAACCGTGTGTTATTCGAGACAGTGCTGGAACTTATACTCTGAAGTGAAAAATGGTGTTCTTTAGAGAGTGCAGCCGTTAGAGGAATATTTATTGATGAAAGCCAATAATAGATTTTCTATTTGGTGATAACCTTAGAATGGTTTTTAATTATACACAGATGCATTAAGAGTGCTGTAGCTCAAGAGTATCGTGGCTCTAACTTCTTATTCCAGAGACTTTGGTGTAGAAGAGCAAAAAAGGAAAAGACCCAAGACCTGACTACGGCCAATTTTACCATAAGGAGCCAGTGGGATGGGCCATAACTGAAAGAGAAAATACTCAGAGAAACGTAGCTGAACGAAGTTTGCGAAGAAATACTTCAAAGAACACTTTTTATAGTAGTAGATTTGAAATTTTACCACTGGTTATCTGAAGAAATAGAGACAAAGAGAATTGGCTTGTCTTCTCAAGTTTCTCTAGAAAGTCGTTTTCAAAAGGTCGACAACATCCACGCCCGAGAAATAAAGGAAAAGCAAACAAGTGATGTCCGTCTCATAATTTTACTCTGAAGAAAATGCATCAAGCCACGCTATCGTCGTTGAATGAGCGAGATACTGAAAACAGTTTCCTAAGCAGAATGGGTGGTATGTTTGACTTCTAACCACAACTTGTGCCGCATATTGCATAGAAATCTGGATCTTTGGAATGATGTCAATTTCCGAAGGAATGGTCTTTAGCCATGTGAATAAAAATTGCCTCACCACGTTCCTAACACTCGTCTAGGTTTCCCTCTCGGTGCCCAATATTAAAGTATCTGATTCTGAACTCGTAGTGTTTAGCAATCTATGTTCTTACATGCGGCGCTTGAGCCAGTCCTTATACTAGTCCATACTTTAGTAGACTACATCAATCCTTACCCTAGAACATTAGGCCAGTCCATGCTTTGTCCACTGTATGCGTTTTATCCATGATCTGGTCTAGTAGTCCTTTTCTTATCTTTTCATATCATTGATCCCACTTCAACTCCGCTAGTAATCTTACCTTCATCACGTATACCCAAGAGGCTCCTGCATTCCCATCCTGTATTGCACTCTTTCATACTTGTGGTATCTTCAAGTCTTTTATCGCATTGTTTTTATCCAAAGTCAGCGCGCACATTCAGCGAGGAGAAAAACCTACCACATCACGCCAACCTGGCAAAAAAAGCTCTTCATTAGCTGCATTCATCTCGCAAGGCGCAACACCATTCTTGGACCTACTATCTGCTGCCGGCCATTTCCACTTCCAATTTCAATTCATCTCCGCTCCGCAGCCTAGCGACAAATCCGATCCAATGTCTCGAGAAGCAAGCCCTGTCTTGTTTTCCGATGCGCCAGACAAAACCGCCGAAGCGGTGACCACATTCGTGCCGCTTGCTGAATGTACGTATCTCACCAAGCAGTTGGGCGGCTCGGGCCAGAAAGAAACCATGACCTGCGACTGTGTGGAAGAGTGGAACGAAGGAAAAGCCCAGAACTTGGCCTGTGGCGAGGACAGCAACTGTATCAATCGAGCCACGTCCGTTGAGTGTGTGAACGGTCTGTGTACGTGCGGGCAAAACTGCCAGAACCAGCGTTTCCAGAAGAAACAATACAGCCTGGTGAAAGTGATCCAAACAGAGAAAAAAGGTTACGGGCTTGTGGCACAGGCTGATGTTCCCGAAGGTCTGTTCGTGTACGAGTACATCGGCGAAGTCATTGACGAGAAGACTTTCCGGGCCAGAATGCTTGACTACGACAGAAGAAACCTCCGCCACTTTTACTTCATGATGCTCACCAAAGATGCGTTTATCGACGCCACGGAAAAGGGCTCCTTGGCCCGTTTTTGCAACCACTCGTGCCTGCCCAACGCCTATGTTGATAAGTGGGTCGTGGGCGACAAGTTGCGTATGGGTATTTTCGCCCGTCGGCGCATTTTGGCCGGAGAAGAAATCACCTTCGACTACAATGTCGACCGTTATGGTGCCCAGCAGCAACCCTGCTATTGCGGATCGCCCAATTGTATGGGTTGGATCGGTGGAAAAACTCAAACCGACGCAGCGCTTTTGCTTCCTGATGGTATCTCTGATGCTTTGGGTGTCACTAGACAACAGGAGAAGGCATGGCTTAAGCAACACAAGAACAACAAAAGCAAAGCTGACAAGGACAAGAACGACAAGAGTGATTCTGGTGTGAATGACGAGTTTGTTCGTTCTCTCGAGGTGGAACCAGTCCCACTCTCTGACGTCAATAAAGTTATGGGCGCATTGATGAAAGTCGAAGATGACAGTCTTGTTTCTAAGCTCGTGGAACGGTTGTTCTTGACTGAAGATGCTAAAGTTAACACTGCAATTGTGCGTTTCCACGGTTACAAGACCCTCTCGAAGATCTTGAAACAGTATGGCACTGACGACGAGTTGAGCTTGCGCATTTTGCTGATTTTGCGCCGCTGGCCAACCATGACACGCAACAAGATTGAACTGTCCCAGATCGAAGATGTGGTTAAACAAATTCTGTCCACTCTGGAGAATCAAGATATTCAAAATTTGGCGGCAGGGCTTCTTCTGGACTGGAGTAAACTAGAAATGGCCTACCGTATTCCGAAGAATAATGATGCTTCTGCTCGCGAAGCATCTACTGGATCGATGTCACCTATGCTTGGTAGAAATGCGCGTCTGGAACTGCCCAGAGATAATGACGCCCAAGCCACTGGTGTAGACTTGGATGACGACGATGATCTCCCCGAAGGATGGCAAAAGGCTATGGATCCAAACACAAACACAGTTTACTACTACCACACTGGCCTTGGTATTTCCAAATGGGAAAGACCGTCTTCTGCTGTTCCTACGGGGCCCAAGGCGCCTAGTGCGCCTCAAAAACACAAAAAGGCTGAAAAGCCCAGATCAAAAGATACTAGACCAAAGGATGTTAGACCGAAAGGGCCCAGACCACGCAATTTCTCTGAGGACGAATTCACTCGTTTACAGGAGGAAAAACTCCAAAAGCAAAAGGAGGAACAGTTTAATGGCGTGGTGGAAAAACAAAAACTCTTGCAAGATTTGATTCTCCAGTCTCAGAGAGAAGTGGAGGAAAAGAAGCGACTCGAGGAGAAGCTTAAACAGGAAAAGATCGAAAAATATAAGGAGAGACGGCGGAAGAACGAAGCGGCCCGCTCGTCTTCATCATCTTCTTCCTCTAAAGTTTCCATAGAAACACTTTGGACAAAAACTTTAGCCAAGTACATCCCTAACATGATCAAAAAGTACGAGGCAGATATTGGACATGAGAATATTAAAGGATGTGCCCGAGAATTGGTGAAAATCTTAGCAGGCAAAGAAACAAAAAAGGCTCCCGACACCAAGCCTCCACGTGAACTTGACAATGCTAAATTGAAGAAACTTAAAGAGTTTAGCAAATCGTTCATGGAAAAGTTCTTGGTGAAATACCGTGCAAAACGGGCCAAGGCATAGTTAGCATAATACATGTCATGACAGGAGAAGCTGGTAAAGAAACGAGGAAGGCAAAAAATAAGCAAAAAGCAAATATCATGATGTATTATAGAATGTTTTATAGACTGGATAGAGGGGCTTAAAACAATTCATCGAAAGATTCTATCAAGATTGGAGACAAAGTCTCAATGACTAATAATATGTAGGTATACGGTCTGTATGTCAAGGGAATTGAATAGTTCACAAAGTTGGGCTCGGTGGGAACCTCTGTCAAACGTTACTAAACGATGCGTGTAGATAAATAGGTGGGACGAAGGCACTTAATCGTTCTCCAACAAGAGTGGCAAGTTCTCAATACTCTCACTTCCATAAAGAATCTGGTAAGTAGCCTCAAACAATGGGAACTCGTCTGTCTTCCCCACGGCCTTTAAAAGATCGTGCACTTCACGCGCTGTGAGAATACCTTGAGATGATTGACCATTTAACAACTTTTTCTCGGCGGTTTCAGCGTCTTCGCCTGTTTCCGCCATGTATCTACCAACTTTGACATTACGTCCACCTGCACAGGTTGTGATCAAATCGGCAACACCGGCAGACTCTTTTGTGAATGTTGACTGTCTCAGTTGTGGGAAGAACATTTGTGAGAAGCGGATCGTCTCCAACAAACCCACACGCATGATTGCAGCCTTGGCATTGTCGCCCCAGCCGAGACCTTCGACAAATCCGACAGCCAATGCCACGACATTCTTCAATGCACCGGCAACAGAAACTCCAGCAACATCCTCCACCACGTTAACATGGAAATATGGTCTGTGGAACGCAGCCTTCAACACAAAATGGTCAATGTCCTTGCCCACACCAGCAAAGTCTTCGGGGATCTGGTACGCCACGGTTGTTTCAGACCACTGGCCACGGGCAATTTCTGGGGCCAAGTTTGCACCGGAAAGCGCACCACATGCAATTCCCAAGCGCTCAGTGATGACAGTGCTCAACAATTTGCAGCCATTTGGAGTCACCTCCAAGCCTTTAAGGCACGAGATACCACGGCAAGTGGGGCGCACATGGCCCTTCAATTGATCAAGAATACGGTTCAAGTGCTGGTGGGGCAAGTTGAAAATAAGCAAGTCAGCATCCTTGGCCACTTCGACAATGTCGGGCAAGGCACGCAAGTTGCGGGGGAGCTTGACACCGGGCAAGTAGCGCACGTTTTCGTGGTCCTCGTTGATGATGTCCGTCAAGTTACGGCCATCAACCTGTTCCTGGTAAACCCACATGGGCACATGCCGACGGAACAAGTGGGGTCTTGCAGCGGCGTTTTCGGCGCAGATTTTTGCAACCGTAGTACCCCAGTTTCCGGATCCAATCACGGCAATGCGGAAAGGGCGGACGGGTTTCAATGATTTGGCCATCTGGCTGTCTGTGCCCGAAGACACAATCTGGGCAATGTGCTGCAATCTCTCAAAGGCGGACGACATGGAGAAGGCAGATTGGGATAATAAACTTCGGTGGTCAGATTGATATGATTCTCAATGGCAAGAGAAAGATGGCGGCTAGGATGATGAAAGATGGACAGGAAAGAAAATGAGGAGGTCAAGTGCGAACTTTATATATGTTATCGGCATGCGCGCACAAGCATTTCTTTTTTTACTTCTTGTGCGGCCGCGAAATGGGCCCAAAGTATATCTGCCGAGCATAGACATGGGCCATTTTCCACCAGTTTTTTCTTCTCCGGCAATTTCGTTTTGCCCAGATCTTTCGGCTAGCTTGTGGTATGGCCACGGTTTTTTCCGAATCCCATTGGTCTCCGCTGCCATGGGAAACATGTGCTTGTGCTTTTGGATCGGACCTCGGCCGTTGGCCCATGCAGGCCCGCGTTCGAGTCATTCCACCAATATCGTTGCCTGACTCTGCCTCGGACTTTTTTTGGCCAATACGTCATCGGCCGTAGAATGGAATCGTGCCGTGGATCACAAGACCATCTTGCTTTGACTCCGACATTAAAAGATTGTCTTTGTGCGGATTTGCATTCTGTGGTGGAATCGTGGTTTCCACGTCGGAATAGATAATTGTATGAAATTGGATGTATGTTGCGTTGGAAGAGAGTGGGCGACACTTTTTTCTGCCGTTTTTCAACGCAAAAGTAGTGTTAAGGGTCTAATGGGAGGCGTTAGCCGTTTTTCGGATGCATCTGCGCGGTCCAGTCTTCTGTGCATCGGATTAACCATTCGCACTCTTCCGATTATGCGAGTACGAGTCTAGTATAAAGTACGACTGGTTGAGCTTACTACTCTTGATTCATTGGTGTGACATTGGTGTCGAAGTGTCGGCTTACTATTTCGTAGAGCAAGATTTGGCGTTTGTGTTTTATTAGGTACTGGTTGTTTGTCTGTGTGTGCTACAATTAGTCGTTCGTAGTATCGCATGAAATGACTAATTAGTGCTCTAATGATGTCAGCAACGTGCAAATACAGGATGTCCCGTAGTTCCTTTGGTCGATGCTCTTTCGGACCTAGCCTTGATCTCGAGCCTCGAGCGCATATATGCGACAATCAAGCAAAAGTGAACCATTCTCTTTGCAAAAGTGAACCATTCTCTTTGTAGGTTCAGTTTGCTCTCACGTTGATCTTGCCGACAGATTGCGCAGAAACCACGAATGAAACTTGCGAAAGGTTCCGGCAGAACAATTTCATAACGTTCGCAAAGACGCTGGGAGTCTCCCATACTATGGCTTGACCCCATAAACGCTTGAAATCCATGCGCCGAAAGCAAACTGCCTTTCTCGAAATGGCGGTCGTCTCACTGTCATCTGAAACAATGAGGCTTATCTGGGATAAGACCATCACCGCATTGAAGTCACCTAATGCTCTATTCGCGCAAGTATTCTAGGTTTTTCAGGTAGAGCCGTTTCTCGGCATTTCGTTTGCATGTTAGCGTGCCCGCATGCCGTTTCAAAGCGTCCTTTCGAGCAAAGCCCTTCCCACATTGCAGACAGATATTGGCTGGCACAGAAAGATGCTGTTTCTCGTGGCGCTTGAGGTCCAGAGACCGTCGGAACGACATGGCGCAATCCAGACATGGGTACTTTCGCAGACCACGCTTTTTCTCTGGCTCTTCAGACCCTGAACTCTCCACACTCTGTCTGTCCATTAAAAAGTCCCATTCGGATTCATTTTGCGTTTGTCGGGCACTACCAGTAAACACGTCGTTGCTCAAGTTTGGGAAGCCATTGTAAAAACTCTGGATCATGAGCTGGCCGTTTTCGTTTGCATGGATACTTTCGGATCTTCGAATCGGGTTTCCGTGCGGAGACAGCGCATATTGGAGCCGCTGGAGAAGATCTTGGATCGTGGGATCCACTATTAGGTTGGACTCTGTCGATGTCGCCACTAGCGCTTCGCGTGCAAGTCGGAGAAAACGGGCGTCCTCGTCGGAGTCACTTTTGCGGTCAAAGTTTTTGTCCGGGTCGGCGCCGCTCCGAAGCCTGCTCTGTACGTTATTTTGTAGGTTTGTTTCGAGGTTATTCAGAGCGCCCTTCTCGAAGTTGTCGATTTCCTCGTCTTTTTCTTCCGGAGTTCCCTTGTCTACACGCGTGTAGCTGAGATTCTGTTCGACGGACACAGACAGATTGCGCAGACGGAAGTAGCCCGAGTCACCTCGCGTCTCGTTGGTGAAGATGGAAAAACTCATGTGTGAATAGATGGGCCGGAGAAGTTTGGCCGGTGATGTGAGGAGATAAACACCCAGTAAACAGCGTAGTATCGGCCAAGTAAAATAATCAATACGACAAGCAGGAGACCACTCGCAACAACCGTAGTCTGTAGTAGGTAATCAGCAGGTAATCAGCAGTTGGGTAATCAGCAGTTGGGTAATCGTGGTAAGTCTGGATCGGATTATCGTGGATGAGTATATCACAAATCAGGATTCTCTATTACGCCCTGACACCGGAGGAATATTATTAGTGGAGTACGTCGGCAGTAACCAATTGTGAACAAAAGGGACAATGGCCGGAAGCAGCAGCAAATGTACGGCCTTTATGGCTTCAAGTAACCAATATCCAACTGTGGCGTCTTGCGGACAAGTGTGTGAGGCAAAAAGATGCAGCAGAGCCAGCTCTGGGATGTGCGGGTGTAAAAGGCCCAAAAGTGTCCTTGGCAAGTATCAATGCCTTTGATAGAGGCTCAAAGCAACGTCTCTATGGGCTTTGGAGGCACCTTAAGGCATTTGCCTGAGCCGCTGGCCACGTGACATTTTGCAATCACTGCTTCTCAAGTCGTTAGCGAGCAAAGTGTGGAGCCCGAGATGTCACGTGCACGCACCTTCATGGCCCAATGCCATCATCCGGCCGCCAAGTGGCGTTGGAAGCTTTGGGTTGGGCCGCCTGGTATTTCCTCTTTTGCATTGGTGGTGATCGCCTTGTCCGAGCCACAGTACGCACGTGAGTCTGCTAGATCTACGAATTAATGATTGACATTTGTCTAATTTTGTGTGATTTTGTTACTGTAATTTTGTCACTGTAATTTTGTGTGTGATTTGTCATTGTAATTTTGTTGTAATTTTGTTTGTAATTTTGTTTGTTTGTTTCTAATTTTGTTTGTAATTTGTTACTGTAATTTTATTTCGTGGTATTGGTGTAGTGGGGACATTCGGCATTTAATTTGGCAAGTCGCATTCTATGGAAGGAGCAGGCGAAGCTCTGTACCACTTAGTTGACTGGCAATATGCATAGTTGATTGCATAAGGCATTAAAAATTGCCATACTTTCATACGAAAGAGTTAGATCAACTCTGACCTAAGTAGTCCTAGCCTTTTGGCCGAACATAGTGATTAGAAGCCGGCCTTTAAGTAGGTTGTCTAAAATTACTGTCAAACGGAACCGTTAGAAGAACGGTCAAGATTTTGAAGGATTCGCTCTTATTTGTTCTGTCTTTTTTGATCTCTAGGTGTTTCAAGGTTTGTCTCCCATAATAAGTATCGGCCAGATTTTCACGGAGCCAGATTGCCATGAAATTAGAAAATTAACAACCAAGACTATCCATCAACGAAACTATCCATCAACGAAACTATCCATCAACGGCATTGATGTATTTAAGGGTTGCTTTCAATTCAGGATGTGAATGTTGGGATTCAGTGGATGTTTGGATTCTACTACTTGCGATTTGTTATAGGGAAGACAGTTTGAACATGTGTGATGGCTGTTTGGCTTTCAGCCATTCACATAAGTATAGTACTACGGTTAGAACATCCCATTGAACGAAATCAAGAACTCTGTTACCAAGTCTACTTGTGCATGTTTCGGAACCTTTCTTGGATTACGTTGTCGTAAAAATTCCAGGAGGGGATTTGAAGAAGTTCACCAGAGTTTCTTCCTTATTCTCACGTATCATACCATATCGGGAATATATTGTCTACATGGCCGCCTCTCGCTACCTAGAACTAAAACAGTCTATTTCTCCAGTCTAACAAGGGAGTCTATTACATTTCAATGGTAGTGCTTCTAGTGCTCAAGGAATACGTGTTGACAAGTACTGTTGCCGTTAATACATGCGAGTGAAAGATTTCTCGAATCTCTATGGCAAGGCAAACAGGTGGCCTGGTCTCATAGTAATCAGCACCCTTCATGTTAAAGTACCATAGAATCCATTCCATCTTTACCTTCCACTAAAACACGGCATCAGCAATACCGGAATCACAATCAAAAGTTCCCATATAACTAACTATTTTTTCCCATATCACTAAAACCTTTTCTCTCCCATCATTTTTCCCTCGCCAATATAACGTGAAAGACCCCCACATATGTGCACATAAAGGGTTCAGCCTGCACACAGCGCCCGCACATCACCATCTCGACTACACGTTCCCACCTACCATCTTTCTTCTTCATGCCTTCAGATCTTCCCCTGCGCCAAAAATCGCAGCGGCTAGCCAACCGCAGCAAGGCGGAAAAGCCCCATTATTTTGCCCAGTACAAACAGTCGGCGCGCACCGTTTCATCTGCCAACGAGCTTCTCCCTGGGCTCAACGACATTCTGGACGCCTTTGAAGCGCTTCCGTTGGACTTGGTCAAGTACTTCACGCTTCTCAAGGAGATCGACGCCAAGTGCATCAACACGGTGCCATTGGTGCGCCGCCACATCCACACATATCTTGATTCCTTGCACGATCCCGCCGCCAAGAAGGAAAAAGCCGCTTCGTTGGCGGAACTCGCCCGCATCCGCCGCCACGTCCACGAATTGGTACCGTGCTTGGAAGAGAAGATGCACGTGACCGCCGTCGCCGCCGACGTCTTGGCCAAGCACATGCACCGGATCAACGGCGCCTACCGTGTTGTCATTGGCAACAACGAGATCCCCGAGTCCGTTCGCATCGGCTCGCTCACACACCGTGCCATTGTGTTGGACCCGCTGGCGCAGGACAATAGCAAGCTGGCGCAGCTGCAGCGGTCCGAGAGCCGGCGCGAGGCGTTGGCTGCGAAAAAGGCCGGCAAGGACGGCGACGACGACGACAACAAGCGGCGCAGAGCGCGCGAGCCCACGCCCGTGGAGCGGCGGCGAGACAAGGCGCCCACGCCCGTTGCAGATCGCAAGCGGAGCAAGCCCAAGAAGGAGGAGCCGGGCCGCGGCGGCGGCGCGGGCGAACCCACTTACTGCTACTGTAACCAGGTGCTGTTTGGCGAGATGGTGGGATGCGACGGCGACTCGTGCAAGCGCGAGTGGTTTCATTTGCCGTGCATTGGCTTCAAGAACCCGCCAAAGGGCAAGTGGTACTGTGACGAATGTTTGGCCAAGGCCAAGAAGAGGAGAATATAGTTTCCTAGTTGGCGATATACTTCCTAGTTGGCGAATACAGTTTCCTAGTTGGCGGTGGGGCATGCGCATGTCATGATGGTCTACATCTGGATATTGGTGCAGAATGTTCAAAACACTTCAAACTATTGTGTCTGGTGCTTTTTCACAGACGGAATTGAGAAGCTACACATTGGGCTTCTTCGAGACGCTGGTTCTGTGAATGTTCAATTCGCCATGGCTTGGCGCCCAAAATCTATCCTTTGCATTTAAACTTTTTAATCTAACGGCGCTATCTTGATACGCTTTTTCGCTTTCATCGATTTATTCTTCTACCCGATTTCGTGTCGTTTGGTGATGTGGTCTCTTAGACATGGTATTGTCTGAACATATTGCAGATCGTGTTACTAGTTTGCCCATTTGGATCTCATGCTATTGATGGCGATCCTCATGCATGTATGTTCTTTGCCGCCCATCAAAGCTGGATTATGAATTGTGGTGTTATGGAGGCTTCGTGCGTCTCGTCCAATCGTGGCCTGTCAAATTTGTGATGAAAAGTGCCCCACCTGAGTAAACGGGTGATGGATTTTCCGCGGAGTCTTTCAAAGTGAGTAGTCTTGTCATCCGGCTTAGTCATGGCCGAACCACTGCGCCCATATGTGTGGTTGGAAGAATTTTAGAGGACGAGGTTCGTATTTTCCCAATTTTCAATTTTCATGCTCGCAAATGTAACTGGGATGCTCCAACGGTATCATTTTACGAGATCGACACCATGTACGTTCTCAATTCATCTTTAAAACTCTTGTGCTCTTTTCTTTCGCTTTTTTGTGTCTTTTTGCCTCTTGTGACACGCGCCAGTACGTCTACAATTTCTTTTAGAAACTCCATGGAAAACCAGAGTTTGTGGCCGCTTCAAAATGCAACACAATGCATCACGGGTGTCTATTGCCGCCTGCACATGCGAACGCGCCTCGCTATTCTCCCACACTGCAAGTTCTGCAGTTGGTAGCCTTGTAATGAACGGGCTCTTTCCCAGACATGCATACAAGGCCACGACGTTGCAAAGATGCTGCAAACAGCCCCTTCCAAAGAGGCATTTTCCGCAACCCCATTGCCTTTTCCTGCCAACACAAACACTCCGCATCACCACAAGAAATTGTAGCAAAAGCATGTGCACGCAGGAAGGCGTTTAACGCAAGGAATGCGCAACACGCACGATGCATACGGTATCAAGTGCGAAAACACCACAGTACAAACGGGTGGAGCAGCATGGAACAGGAAACACAATGGGGCCCAATGGCCGAATTGGGCAAGCAAAGGCCACAAGCGAAGCTGATGCGTCTGCAAAACACAAGCAGTGCCGCCTTTCTCGGCAGTCACCTGAGAAGGAAGGACGAGGCGCGCCGCACCCGTGCCTCCCGGGGTGAAAGCCGACGCACGCTAAAAGTTATAGGCGTGGAGCAAACTCGCTCAAGATAAAAAAACACTTCTGCGGATAGTCCAGAAACCACTCGCTGTCATGAAAGAGTATAAGTTGGTTGTTGTTGGTGGTGGTGGTGTCGGTAAGTCGGCTCTCACCATCCAATTGATACAATCCCATTTTGTGGACGAATATGATCCCACCATTGAAGACTCATACCGTAAGGCATGTGTGGTGGACGACCAGCAAGTCATGTTGGATATCTTGGACACAGCGGGCCAGGAGGAGTATCTGGCCATGAGAGAGCAGTACATGCGCACAGGAGAAGGCTTTTTGCTTGTTTATGCCATCAACTCCCGGGACTCTTTGGAGGAGTTGCAAGTTTTCTACGAGCAGATCCAGCGGGTCAAGGACGCCGACACTGTCCCTGTTTTCGTTGTTGGTAACAAGTGTGACTTGGAAATTGAGCGCCAGGTCAGTTACGAGGAGGGTTTGGCCTTTGCCAAGGCCATTGGCTGTCCCTTTTTGGAAACATCGGCTAAGCAGCGCATCAATGTGGAAGAGTCCTTCTACGGGTTGGTGCGTTCTATTAATGCGGAGGAAGCTGCGGCAGCAGCAGCGGAAGCAGAAGAGACCAAGCTGTCTTCGGCACAGCAAAAAACTGCACCTCCGCTGGAATCGCCTTTGCAGCAGGACGCAGCTGCGACGCAACCAGACGCAGCGCAGCCTGCGGGCGAAGCTTCTGCGCCAAAGAAGCCGGCTCCAGCGGCGCAGAAGCGGGCCAACCAAAGCACGGCTCCTACGTCCAAGGAAAAAAGCGGCTGCTGCGTTATTGTTTAAGTAGAAGAAAGAAGAAGATGGTGGGAAATTTAAAACAGTACTTCGTATTCTATAGTCGCATCAATTGATAAAATGGAACACTATAAAGTGTAACATCACACTGGCTAGCACATACTCAGCAAACCCGCGTTCGGGCGACGCCAGCGGGCCGTCGGATCCAGCATAGTGCATTCTTAAACTCACCGTCAACACAAACTGGCCCACGCAGGAGATGAAGCCACCCAAGAAGGCATTGAACGGGAAGTTGCCCACAAGCAACACATATACAAACTGCAAGACGCCTAAGGCAACAAGGAATACCAAAAACGTGTCGATTGTTTTCAAACGTGGCGTCAACGAATCAAGGTAGTCTTTGTATGTCGCATTGATAGCGCCAACGACATCGCCCACAGATGAGGAGAGGGAGCTTTTCACGCGGAATTTCTTAAGAGGCTCGGAATCAGGCTTGGATCCGACCGCGGCCTGGGCGGCCGCAGCCGCTTTTTTGAGCGCTGCGTCTTTTTTGGCCATGGTGGTGGAAATGTCTAGTCTGGACTGTGAACACGTAGATATGCGCGGGCGTGCGCGGCCCATATTTCCAGTTGGCGCGGGTCCATGTGGAAATGTCGGCCCCAAGGCCATGGGAAATGTCGCCTCCCCACGAACCCTTTTCGCAAATGTCGTAGCACAGTGACTTTCAGAGTCATGGCATAATCTTGTAAAGTAATCGTATGTTTTGTTTCTGAAGATATTTTTCCGGCCCGCCTTGAATATGTACTCTGTGCATACTTACTATGGAATTGAATATCGGCAATTTACATGAACCGCATGTGTTGTTCGTGAACTTTATTTACGCATAATCTTAGCGACAAGCGTTATTTTTTGCAAAACACTGCTTCCTTACTGAAAAGTCGTCTATGAGAATCGTTCTCTCTTCCGTTTGCTTCTACACGACATTTTCCACCACTGTATTCCGTAGTCAAATGAATCATCCTCCCAGTAACGATACTATTATTATTTCTTTTCCTTTCTGAATATGAACTTTCTCACATTTGGATACTTCCCGCTGAAACGCTGGTCAGGCAAAAAACAAGCTTTCCGGCATAATTTCGGCTAACAAAGTTAACCTTGCAATCAAAATAGTCTTCATACACTGCCTCGGCTAATTAAATTCATGGCAACTTCTTAGAACTCCGTCACTTTTACCTTTGCTGACTTGGGAGCCAAAAGAACACCAACCACCGAAGATCAGAAAACAGTTGCAATCGCTAGAGCTCTGGGGCTTTTAGTCATTTTGCATGAACCGACCATTTTTTTAATTTATTGTCTTTCAGTGTAGCATATAACGTTGAAAACATACAGATATCCAGAACGTTGCTTTCTCCAATCGTGCTTTTGAAGGAAAAGATCCACCTTGCCATGTTCTCATCTTCATGGTTATGAAACGAAGGGGCATATAAAGCTAAATTTTTAGTAGAGATAAGTGGTAGCCAGCAAAGGGCGAATTGGACCTTTTTTAAGCGAGCTGGTCCTAAAGGTAAACTCAATGAAGATACTAATATTCCCCAACAAGGTAATCTCCAACAGGTTATTCTGACGAAAGACAAACAATTGAAATTCAACTAAACTCGCAAGGTATATAGGGAATGCTGGCAGAGAAACCATTTTTAAATTGGTCCATTGATTGAAAATTGTCCTAAAGCATTTTTCATATCAATGGTTTATTCTTAAGTGTAGGCTAGTTAAAAGCTTAGCAAGACCAAGACTTAATGGTGTGTCCTTCCTCAGGAATGACTTATCGCTTGGACAGATTCTTAATACACCTAGCTAAAACTTCACAAAATCGCTTGTAAAGAATGATTTGTGTAAACACAAACTTAGCTTCATGCCTATGTTTCAGCATCAATTTCTGAAAAGATAAAGTGGCAATCAACTCAATAATCATTCTGCAAGAGTACGATACCTCAACTGATAGCTGTTTAAGACTCGATGCTTCAATGGTGCTGAAAAGCCGCCACATTTATTCAACAAACCCACAAAAGCTTCCCATTACTCAGAAAGCATCCAGATTCTTTCTTTCTTATATTTGGGCCAAAATTTGCAATTTGCAGAAACTATTGGAGTGTCCGTCCTGCATTTGACCCTAATACACCTACTTCACCAGTGGATGCATCACGTGCCGCACCCATATCCCACCGTTCCTTTTCCTAAAAATGTCTGCTTCTCAAGCAGAGCACCTGGTTGATCCGTTGGAAAACCAGCGCCAGATCACGCGTGCTCCGGACCGGCGGATCATCCCACCGCTCAATTTTTGCCCCGTGGAAAAACAGTTGTACCGATCTGGCCAGCCCAGCATAATCAACCAGCTGTTCTTGCAACAGCTCCATCTCAAAACCATTCTCTGGTTGGCCAGTGAAGAGCCCATGGAGGACTTTCTCGACTACTGTCTGGCGCAAAACATCAACATAGAGTTTGTGGGCATGATCAACGACTACAACTACACCAACATCAATCCGTGGGACTCCTTGGACGAACGCACCATTCAAAATGCGTTGGAGTTGATTTGCAACAAAGAAAACTACCCGCTTTTGGTGTGCTGCGGCATGGGCCGCCACAGAACGGGTGCTGTGATTGGCTGTTTGCGCCGTTTGCAAGGCTGGAACTTGGCAAGCGTTTCCGAGGAGTACCGCCGTTTTTCTGGGGCTCGGGGTGGCCGTATTTTGGTGGAGTTGCTTATTGAGAGCTTTGATGTGCTGTCTGTGCTGAGCGATCCGGACAAGCTTCCAGACTTTTTGAAGAAAAGTGTGCACGAGAAAAAATGACGATCGAAGAGAAGGACAAACGAGGAGGCAGAAGGACCAGCAGACGAATGAAAGAGAAGCTAAAAGATGATATCCGCATAGGAGACAAAATAGACGATAAGCTCCCATTATCATGTTCAGATGGTATTGTAACTCTTTCGTAGTGAAAGAATGAGAGTAAGAACTCCGAGCCGATTATAAATAGAAATAGCAATCAGGATTTGACGAGTTCCCACCAGAGAAATGCTCGAATTATACTCCACGGCCGCATATCTGGAAAGGACTTTGTCAGTGTTATTACTTAATTTCTAGTTACTTTGCAGAAAAAACCGAAACAAAAGAAGAGATGGGTTACTGTATTGCAATGGCAGGGTTGAAGAACTTCTCTGATTTGGATATTTTTAATAGAAACGAATGATTTGGAGAAAATACAATAAAACCAAAAGTCCAATTTCAATCCTTCAAATAATCCTCACTTAACATGAATATTTACTCTCTGCTATTTTGTTACTTGCAATCACATTGCACCTTCTGGACGCTTAAATTAATTACGGTACTGATCCATGATATAATTAGTACTTCACAATTGTTCCGACGACTTCTCCAACTGGCGTCAAGCTCCTAGATTAGGAACTAAATACTAAAAAATCACCGTACTTTCAATGACACGACTCACTACTATTCGAGCTTGAATTTTTGGGTCTGTAGACCTCAGAATTGCGATCGTTCCTTATCTCGGCTCTTAACGTTTATTCTCCCATGTAATACGTTTGTCTCCATGCATTAATGCAATCAATACTTTGTCTGGTTTAAGAAAAGTGTGAAAGAACACATTTTTGAAGATCGTTCGACCAATGAAAGCATCGAAGGTAGTACAAATTGGAAAAACTCAGAGGCCCGACTGAAGCTAGCCTTACAAGAATAAAAGAAAAACCGCTCCAAAAATAATTCCCCGGATATCTAGTGTCAATTACTTCCGATGCGCCGAAACACTAGAATATCAACTTGCAAGCACAAATCTGTTGCAGTACCAATGTTAAGACAGCACTCCACCTTTCAGTATTTCGGTTTATCAAAATCTTCTATTCCTCTTTGCCAAATCTAACATTCGGTAGCTTATGGTCAGTTGCACGTGACGATATCCACATGACTCTAAAATCCAGGGATGCGCGTCTGCACTCCTATCTCACTCAGCTTTTGCCTTCTTTTATCCCAGTACCCATCTATTCTTTTCCTGATCTTCCATTCAAGAACAAGTTTTAAGGTTGAGAATATTGCTGACACTCAAAGACAGTTTTCTGCCCTAAGTTTGTGCCTCTCTGCTAACGATCTTGGTATATTTTCTTTTGCCCTCTCCCTGAACATTTTTGAAACAGCAACAATAAAATGGGCAAGTGCATCACGGTTGTCAAATTGGTTGGCTTTTCCTCTTTGGGAATGTTGACTGCGTCATTGACCTACCAGTCTCTTCAATCGATTCCCGAGTTGATCCGCCGCTTGAACAACCAGGTTTCCATCACCAGTGCAAAGGGCGTGTTGGACTCAATTTTTACTAACCTGTTGGTTTCCAAGGCTGCAAATGTCTCCTTGGCGGGTATTGCGACCGCGCTTTTCACCATGGCTTTCAAGTACTCGCCACCGCTGGGAAGACATCCGTACCTCGTGTATTCGGCCCTCGGCGCGCCTTTAGCTCTTGCCGCATGGGCCATTCGAGGCGCTCGCGCAGAGTGTAACATGCTCAAGCGCACCCGTTCGCGTGCACAGGCTCAGGCTCAGGCACAAACGATGCGCGAAGGCAAGAAGACACCCGTGCCTCCCGCTCAAGAGGACGAAGAAGATGCTTCAGCATTGGGCCGTTCTTATGTGCACGTTTCGGACGACTCTACTGCCGCGTCTACTCCCGCCTCCTCCACGCCCGGTTCGCCTCAGCACGCGCCTGCAGAGGTGTTGTCCATTGAGCAAGAGGTTGAAGACGCCATTTTGAAGAAGGCCTACGTCCACGACTTGCAAACGTTGCAGCAGTCGTACTTCATGGCGTCAGCAGTTTCAGGCGTGGGCTTGGCTGTGTGCGCTGTAGGTATGATTGGCGACCTTTTCTTCCTCTAGACGCAACTATGGATGTTTGCAGTGCACTGTGCTTGAATAGTAGCGTACTGCTCCAATGTGTACCACTGTGGTCCCAATAGGCAGTTTTGTTCTAGAATATTCCTTTTGGTGTTCTTGTGCCAAGATGTCAAGAAACGTGACGCAGCCGTGGAACGCCGGTATGAGCGATGGCTTGGGAGCTGCTGGTTGTGGAGCGCATGCCGCGGGCGCGAACTAGGGAGCGCCCTTTGCTAGTCGGGGGCGCGCATTTAGTGAGCGTAGGAATTGGCTGTTTGCTGATGTACAGTTTGCCTTGCGCTAGGGTGATTTTTCTGGTTTGGACCGCTGTGTTTTGTGAAGTTCCGGTACGTAAACAATAAGATTGATGCTGCAAGCCGGTGTGGCACCGTGAGCCGTGGTCCCAAGAGACAACATGACAAATGGTGCTTACGTAAGAGATCGTGCAGGCAGTCTCGGCCCATCTTCAAAAACCGTACGGCTGCAGGACCCATCAGCCCTCCTGCAGGGGTATAAATACTGAAGCAGCTCTGAGGGAGAAGCAATTCCGCAACTGCAATTCCACCACAACCAAAGAAATGTCGTCTTTCTATGAACTCACTCCATCTGATGCTAAGGGGAACCCATACCCCTTTGAACAATTGAAGGGCAAAGTTGTCCTCATTGTCAATGTCGCCTCCAAGTGCGGCTTCACCCCACAGTACAAGGAGTTGGAAGAGTTGAACAAAAAGTACGCCGACAAGGACGTGCAGATTCTCGGTTTCCCTTGTGACCAATTTGGCCACCAAGAGCCAGGCACCGATGAGGAAATTGCATCGTTCTGTTCTTTGAACTACGGCGTCACTTTCCCAGTGTTGAAGAAGATTGAGGTTAATGGCGATAAGGCTGACCCTGTGTACAAGTTTTTGAAGAGCCAAAAGTCTGGTCTTTTGGGACTCAACAGAATCAAGTGGAACTTTGAGAAGTTCTTGGTGGACAAGAAGGGTAATGTTGTGGAGAGATACTCTTCTTTGACCAAGCCCAAGAGTTTGGAGGGCAAGATTGACGAGTTGTTGAAGGCCTAAGCTTGTATATTCATTAATGGACTAATTTCGGAACGGGTCGAAGCGTAGTGGAAGGGGCCAATGAGTGAAAATTTACTTGTAGCACTTCTGATCAGTGAATGCCTATTCATAAGCATCATCATCAATCCACATGCCATTGATCATCCAAATAGTGCATGAGGTCCTACCTTCATCATTTTCCGTTTTGCCTTATATGCTAATTGGCTTTATACTTGGGATTAATGGGACAACATGCAAGAGTCCTTAAACATGGTCCATTGTTTCTCTGTGATTCTGCATCGTAAGACATTACCGACTGCAGTACAAAATGATGTCCTTGGTATTCACTATGTGGGTATTTTTCCTGTTCTCCAAAGGGGTCATTGATTTAGAACATGGCAGAAGTTCAAAGCATGATCTGTATTCGTAATTAGTGGTAGAAATCCACAGAAGCTGAAATTAACTTCTTTTCATTAGCTCATCAATTATTGTCAGTTCTTGATCATTACACACTGCTGCTCTTAATAAGTGTTGATATTATACCAATGTTATCGTTAGACCAATCTCACTATCATCACATGGATATACTTAGTCCATTGAAGACTTGTTCCATCCGTTTCATATCCACATTCTCTTCTACGGCAATTCCAAATACGTTCAGATTCCTTCTGACCACCTCTATAATACATTAACCTGTGCGGTTTAAACCTAGTCAGTCCGCTTCTATAATACAAATCACGTGTGGAAGCCAAAGTCATTCATAAGGCTGTCCACGTCTTTCCAGAGCATGTGGTTGTTGATGTCAAATGCATCCAACTCGACATTATGCGCCGGCGACTCTGATTGGCGCCCGTTGCCGCTTTGGAAGTCCACAAACACCGGCGTGCCGTTTCGAAGTGTCCCCGGTGAACTCTCGCTGCTGATCACTTTGAAAATGGAACTCTTTTTCGCCGGAATAGGCTGCGGGTCCAACGGGATTGTCCGAATAATGCGACGGGCCTTCGACTCGGCATCGTCCACGCCCGAAAGCGACCGTTTCTTTCGCAGACCAGTGCTTCCAGGCGTCGAACCGCTGATTTCAGGCGCGTTATCATCGGAAGAAACGATTGCTTCATCATTGTCGCCCGCTTCGTCTGGCACATTGGGGTCTGTGCGTATATTCAACTTTGCCATGCCCACCTGGTCACGGAGCAACAGCAAACAGTCAAAGAAGACGGATGCAGCCATCCTGGAGCGGATTTTTAGCGCTAATCCAGCAGCGTTTTTTTCGTCGAGCGTTCGGAACAACAGCCACATGTTACGCATGATTCCGCTGGCTCGGTAAGCAATGTCGTGCTTCAACACGGAAGCCTTGGCCACAAGCGAGACGGCAGTGGCGTATATTCTTTTCCCGGCGTCGACATCGAGCACCATCTTCAACGGAGAATGGGCCAACTTGACAATGATACAGGAGGCCAGCCAAATGTTTAGTATCGCCACAGCCGGAAGAAAACGCACAAAGTTGCGGTCTTGCGCCTGGCACCTCTCAACATGGTTGATTAGAGCAATAGCCGCGTTATACAAGCGTACCAAGCCTTTGGAGAGATCTAGCGCAGGCATGCGGTCCGTGTCTAGAAAATAGTATGTGAGTAAGTGCACACGAGCCACGATGTGGCGGAACTTTCTGTATCGGTCGTCGCCGGCTTCAAGCGCGTGCCGCATTTCGAGCTCGTCTAATTGACGAATCAAAACTTTGAGCAACAGTATTCTTTCGCCGACCGAATCTGGGCCGAGCGTGCGGGCCACCTGATCTTCGAAACGTGCAATTTCCATGAGGTGGCGGGTCGCCGGAGGCACGTCCGGCTGGCCAAGCGAATCAAACTGGACAAAAGCAGGAAACCCAAACGCTGTGGCAATGTTCTGCGACACGATGTTGCACACAACCCAAGTTTTCGTGTGCTCTGCGGAAAGAGCGCCTTCTTTGGGCGAGTGGAGCCCGATTCGGATCGCCTGGAAAAGCGCCACGCCAATAGTGTTCCAGGACGAGTCTGCGCTCAAGGAAGAAGTGAGCGGCGGCCAAAGAGTGTAAAGAACGAACGCTTGAACAGAGTAAACAGAACAGGCATTCATGATGGGCTCGTCTTCCTCGGTCGGATTGTACCGCGTGATGGGAGAGATTGTGATTTCAGCAAGGATATCCTTGACGAGCGGCGCCAAGCGCAAAAGAAGTGCGTCGTCTCCTCGGCGGAGGGCGACAAACATGAGAACCCAGAAGAGGGCAGGGCAAAGACGATAGATACGTTCTGGGCCCTTCAGCACATCCACCACGGGCAAAAGCGGGTGGTAACAGCGCACATATTCACGAAACAAACGGCGGATGGCATCGGCCAGAAGCGAAAACCCACCGATGCTTTTCTCCTCGCATGCAAAGTCGTATGTCTCGGAGGAGCCCGAGAATGACGAGAGCCCGCCCAACGAGAGGTCGGGCACGGACCCGGGCGCAGACGCAGTTCCGGAAACCGAGTCGACTTTTTCGTGGCCCAAGGCCGACGGCTCTTTGGCGTACGGGTCCTCGCTGGGGTCCTTTCTGTAGACATCGTTTCCGTAGAGGTCCTTGGCGTAGAGGTCTTTTGCGTAGAGATCCTTGGCGTGTAGATCCTTGGTGTACATGTCTTTTCCGTAAACGTCCACATTGTCGAGTCTGTCGAGTTTCCTGTCCATTTCCATCTTCTCCTTGTCCAGGCGGTCCAAGTCCTGACGGGTTTTGCCCAACATCTCCGCCAAGTTGCCCGCCATCTCGTACTCCCGCAGCAGCTCTCTGTCCGGCGTGGCAAACGATTTTCTCAACTCGGCAAACTGCCGCTCAATGACCGCTAGCCGCGCCCGTTTCTCGGTCCGCTTGAAGTCTGGCCGCAACTCACACGTGAGACCCTTGGCGGCACAGCGTGAGCAGGGCTCTGGGTGTTTTTCCAGCGCATCACACTTGGATTTCTGCTGGCGACAACATGTGCATGCAAGTCGGCGGTTTTTGCGCGTATCGAAGCGGGCGTTGCCCGGTTCTGGTGACGGTTTGGCCTTCTCCTGTTTGATCTGGCGATCGAGCTCGCCAAGCTCGTGGGTGATGTTGGCGATGTGTGCCAAACGGTCTAGCGAAGTGTTTTCCATGTAGATGTAAGGACATTTTGTGCGCGAAGATCATCGCGCTTTGACAGTTGGTCCGACTGACAGATAGAGGCAGAATAGAAGGCTTTTGGTACGGACGTCTGTTTGCTTTGACATTGACACATTAATAGCCGAGACTGGTAATACCTAGACTGGTGATACCTAGACTTGATTCGAGACTTGATAGACAGACTTTCTTACAAAGCTGCATCGGTCCATACTGTTTACTATCCGATTGAGATCGAGAGCCCTTACTGTTTAAAACTGCTTGTTTTTTGACCGAGACTAATAAGCCGAATTTCTGGCAAAAAGACTTTTCAGACAATCCCCAACTTGTCTACACATACTTTGGTCAAACCCTGCTTCCTACCCGTTCTATCCTGCTTTCTACTGGTTCTCTTCCGGCAAGATGAACATTTTCAAAGCCAGCATGGCGACCTCAATGTCGCTCGATGTCAAACTTCTCTTATTCTCTGTGCTTCTTCGTCGTGCTAGTTTCGGCTTGACCAACCAGGTTCTCACGCTTTTCCTAGAGGCCGCAGGCATTTCCAAAACCCGTGTGGGTGTATTTATGACGCTCACTTTGGTTGGTGATACGTTCATCTCATATCTTCTCGCGTGGTACTCTGACGCCATTGGCCGCAGAATGGTGATGATCATTGGATGTGTGTTGATGTTGGCCTCTGGAGTTGTGTTTGCCTACAGCCTGGATTTCTGGATTCTTCTTTGCGCAGCGATTTTGGGTGTCATTTCCACTTCGGGCGACGAAACCGGTCCTTTCAAGACAGTCGAAGAGGCTTGTCTTTCCCATTTGAGTCCTCCGAGGGCCCGAGCACACACATTCGCCATCTACGGTTTCTTGGGCACTTTGGGTGCCGCATTCGGCTCTTCTCTTTGCGGTTTTTTGGTCGATTTCTGGAACATCCGCTCAAAATGGCCCTTGGAGAAGTGTTACCGCGGCATTTTCATCGTCTACTCAGTGATTGCGTTAGCCAAGATGGTTATAGCCTTCTGCCTAAGCACATCTTGTGAGATTGGCCCCGATGAGTCCGTATCGGAAGTTGCTGGGCCTTCTCTGTCTGAGATTTCCGAGAATGCGTCTCTCTCCGAAAACTCTGAGGCAAGTGCTTCTGAAATTCAAGATAGTGACATCTCTGAAGATACTGCTTTACTCTCGAACAAGTCTCTGGCAGCTTTTACGCAAGAAACAAAGCGTATATTGCCACGGCTTCTTGTGGTATTTATGTTGGATTCCTTCGGATATGGCTTCATGCCTCCTGCTTGGATAGTGTACTATTTTAAAACCATCTTTCAGGTTTCGGCTTCCGCTTTAGGAACGCTTTTCTTCTTCACCAACTTGGTTGATTCGGTTTCTTCCATCGTTTCGGCTTTTACATTCCACCACCTAGGACCTATCAAGGCTATTTTGGCTGCTCAACTCCCTTCAGCACTGTTCTTTATGGCTGTTCCTTTCTCTTCTTCTTTCATCGTTTCGGCTGTTTTGTACTTTATGTTTTGCGCTTGCGCTACCATGGACGTTGTTCCCAGACAAATTTTCTTGACTACTGTGATCCCAAAGAAGGACTTGATCAGAGTTATGGGCACTGTTAACATCGGCAAAACTTTTGCTCGTTGCATTGGGCCTATCTTCACAGGAAAATTGGCGCAACACAATGCCCTCCAGTATGGTTTCATTATCAATGGTCTTTGCTTGATTTTGGCCGATACTATCCTAGGAGTCAGCTTCGTACACATGGATACGCAAGTGCTCCAGTTGCACGTTGAGTAATTTTGTATAACCAATACATACTTGATGTCTTTCCAATTTTCTTCTCTTGTACAACTTAATTGATAACAACGACTTGTTGATTACCTACGTCAGCTGTCAATGGCAACTTGAATTATTTTCTTATGGCCAAGAAGCTATCCAACATGTATTCTAGACTCAGAGGGCCGTTAATTTTACGTTTAATGAACAAAAGCCGAAGTCAAAAATGGGAAAGGAAGACATCTCTGTTCAAGTATCACTGCAAGTTCCTAAAATGTCACCAATCAGTTCGTTCACTACAAATCACTTTTTCTATCTCCAATGCAATTTTATCCTATACCCCAAATTTTTTATCTAAAAAAGAACCTGGTACAACTTCTTGTACCATGGCAAGGTTCTAAATGCCATTTTTTCTTCTGCAAGTTCCTGGTTCAACTTCTCGAAATCCGTCTCGCGTCTTCCAGTGTCAAGATCCATGGTTTCAAGGGGCACAATAGTGTTGAGCTTGCGCAGGTATATTTTGTGGCCCACGTAAAACAAGACTGCAATGACAGCACCCAAATAGTTCTCAAAGAAAACCTTAGCGTCTGGAGATTGGCCCAATGGGAACAAAGAAATCCAGAACTGAAGTGCCAAAATCACAATCAAACAGATGGTGGCATACCAGGAGCCCCAAGTTCCCGTTTGAGAGAGATATGGCAACTCCGTCAAAGAACGGTTTTGCTTGTGCATAGCGGCCCGGAAACGGATGTGTGCAATTGTGCAAGAAGCCCAAGTGAACAAGGTAGATAAAGCCGAAAGTGCCACAAGCCAGTTGAAAACTTCAGCCTGTTTAGGCGATGCAGAAACGAATGCAAGGAGTCCCACAATAGCAGAAACAGCAACACCAACCAAGGGTCTTCCGCATCTGTCAACATACAAAAAGATCTTGGGAGCCAAGCCTTGTTCGGCCAAGGACAAGATTGTTCTTGAAAAACCGTAAACGGCCGAGTTTCCAATGGACAAAAGAGCCACAAGAACAATGACGTTGAAAATGGAAGGAAGCGCTTTGATTCCGCCTGCTTGAATGGCAATGACAAAAGGCGACGCCAAAGCGTTGGAGCCACCAACCAACTTAGAATTGTCAGATGCAACCAAGAATGTGATGAGTGTAAGTGTGATCATGTAAAACACAAGAATACGGTAGAAGACCATTTTAATGGCATGAGGCAATGCGATTCTGGGGTTTGCACGAGATTCTGCCGCTGTCATACTGACCAATTCAGTTCCGGCCAAAGAGTATGTTGCAGTGACCAACACACTAACCACACCTTTAAATCCGTGAGCGAAAGCGCCGGTGTGTTCCCATTTCTTTGCTCCAATGAAACCTTCATCTCCTCCACCGCAAATCAAGACAATGGCCAAGATATTGAATCCGACAATACCAAGAAGCTTGATGATGGACGACACAAGTTCAAAGTACTCGAAGCCCGCCGAACCGAAAAGATTCAACACAAGAATGAGCACATAGAAAATGACTACCCACACCACCGAATTGATGTGGGAGTTCCAGAAGTTGATAGTAAGGGACGCTGCAACCAACTCGAGCGGCAACACAATCACCCAGAACATGGCGTAGTTCCAGCCTGCAGCGAAACCAAAAGATGGATCAATGAATCTCGTAGCATAGACAGCGAAAGACCCACTGACAGGGAAAGTCGACGACAACTCGGCAAGCGCTTGCATAACGCAGTAGAGAAACGTTGAAACAATGAACCAAGCGATCAAAACACCAGCGGGGCCGCCCGCATAAAGCGCCTTGCCCGAAACAATGAGAAGACCTGATCCCACACATCCTCCGAGGGCAATAAAAGCCTGGGAAATTGGGCCAATGGTGGATTTAAGCTGGGAGTGTGCCGTTTTCTGCACAGCCCGCTCAAGCGTATTTAGCGAGGCCAAATCCTCGCTCGACGACTCCTCTGCTCTTTTAAATGAGTCTTGAAACCTCTGCCACCGCGTGGGCTCGGTCGTTATAGTTACAATGTCCGGAGACGAAGTTTTTGACAAGTCTGAGCCGGTCATATCTTATGGATAAAATTCTTTACTGGGCCCAGCGGGGCCCTTTTGGCCTTTATATGGTCGCTCCATCTTCTGGCAAAACGCCATTTCTTGTCTTTGCTTTCGCCGTGGGCCTGCACACCAATCGCCGGAACCGGCTTGTTCTTGCGGGGAAGAAAACTGCTTGGAGCGGCGGAAAATTGGACGGGAAAAAAGGCAGGCCCAACAGTTGCGGTGTGCGGAAACGATTTTTTGACTTTGAAAGGCAGTGGGTGAAAACTGGGCCAGATATCGCCGTACTGGTTATTGTATCGTGATGGCCGGGTGCAAAAAGGTCATGCATCTACAAAAAGAAATCATGTGAGCCGCACGCCGAGACCGTTAGATGAGCCACACCCGTACCTCCCCACACCGCCACCGGCGAAAAAGAAACGCCATTCGACATTTCTTGTCTGGCGTCCGGTTTGTCTTTGATAAGAGTCATTTTAGAAACAACTTGACACAATCCGCGTTGCGACTATACCGCTTTTAGTCCGGTTTTCGCCCCAACTCAAATCTGCACCAAGACGGGGACTATGTGCATGAAAAGTTGGTGGAATGTTCATTTCCATTTAAAACACTTCTTGGGCGACAAAGTAGTTTTTTTGATATGTCTGGCTACTGCTCTTTGAGTCTGCTTACGTTTTATAGCTTCTTTTTTTTCCTATTTTGTTTGTTTCTTTCTGCTATACTCGTGTGCTTTTATGCGCATAGAACTTCTGACTTTGTTCGCAGGCATTTAGAAAACCCTAACCCGCGCCGGAAAAATATTTTGCTTGGATGGTTAAAGTAAGCATTTACAAAATTTGAACAGGAAGAAACAGGTAGTTTGGGCAAGAGGAACCTGATCTTCACGCAACATTCAAGTATCCAAATAGTCTCGACATGAATTTAATTGTTTCAATCTGGCTCTTCATATTAAGTCTGGCTTTTCATACTAAGCTAGTCACGTGGAAAATTTGTCAGCGCTGGGGTAAGATGAGAATCTAGAATCAGGTCGTTCTTTCATTATTTATTTCTTAGACGTGGATTCGATTTAAATATTAGCAATGAATCCGTTGGAGAGCAATTTTGCTTAGAAGTTCAGAGCTAAGAGACTCTATGTAGGAGAAATGGACTCGCGTGTTTTATTTCTTTTTCTTTCAGAGTAAAAGAAATAACACGTTTGTATCGATTCAATCGGCCATTAAGGTCAACCAGAAGAACGCAAGAGTATTCACCCAAGACCAGCTCTGTTTTGTCACGTGTCGTCTCAAGGAGCAATGTGTCAAAAGAAGATCTGCACCTCATTCGAGCATAGTTAGTTTTATTGATGAAGCCAACTTAGACCAGCAAATTAGCCGGTCATCTATCAATTCTAGCCATTAAAGTTCACTGCTCATCTTAATCTCAGAATCCTTTCATACCACTCTAATGGTTTGACTGCTCATACACGATTCTACAGGTCAGAACTGTACATACTAGGTTCTGCGAAATGACGTTTTCAACTTTCGAGATCAGCCGATCCAAAAAGCCCCAAAATTCATTCTTTCCTCTTGATATCACTGAAACACTGCCAGTAGAGACATTGATCCCATACGGAAAAGGTTTATTCTTTATCACCGCAACTTTTCAAGCCATTTGTGCGACATTCGGTTCGGAATCATACTCATCCCATCCGCCACTCGTCACACCCGTGCCTCCCAACCCCCACACTCCACCCTAACCTCTAGAATATCCGAAAAATCATATTGCTGTCTTTTTCTGCCATGAGCGACTTCAAATTCAAAAGCACCGTCGACCCGAAACAATTGGCCAAGGTTTTCATGCCTGCGGCCAAACAATGGAGCAAAAATATGCCTGTGGAACAGTTTGCGCAGGTGCAAAGCAAAATCTTGGTGGATTTTGTTTTGGGCGGAAGACCAGGAAGAGCGTACTACTTGGAGGCCCCCAACGGCGACATTGCTGCGTCTGTGATTGTGACACACCACAAGGGCTTTTACAAAGAGCCCACTCGCGGCATGTCGTCAGCCATTCCGGACCCAACTACTTTTGGGGTTTCGCCAGCAACCGGATTGCTCGTCAGTTACGTGGTTACAGCCCAGGAGTACCGGGGCCAGGGGTTGATGCGCAAGCTCCTTGAGCGTGTGATCAGCCATACCGAGGAAGAGCTTCTACAAAAAGAACTCGCCAAATCTTCAGACGGAAAGGACAGCTTTCGGCTGATGGTCACCAGCGAAGGCAAGGTGGACCGCACTTTGGCCAACTACTACATGAGCAAGAAGTACGTGTGGTACTTGTACTCTGGAATCGACCGCACCTACGAGAAATTCGGGTTCAAGGCCTATCCCTTGGACGGATACAAGATTCCCATTTCTGCTGGCAACAGTGAAGTGGGACAGTTGGTGAAGAAGTTGCTTTCAAACTCAGCGTCCGAGGCCGGCGTGGGTAAGAAATTGCGTCTTTTGGACCGCTCCAAAAAGCTGGATCTCGACTTGATCTCGTTCATTTTGCAAGGCCGTGAACTTGACCTTTTGACGGACTTGAACACAGACGATTTCCACTCCGAGTTGAGCGGCGGCCGCAGATCTTCTCTGTCTCTCACCAACATTGGCTCGGCCCTTTTAACTACAGAGAAGGGCTCGACTAATGAGCTTTCCGCCATCAGCGAAAAATTGGAACATGTCACCATCACGCCTTCGTCTCGCCGCAAGTCATCCATCCAGCACATGGCTGTACCCAAGTTTGGTCTTCAACCCAACATGGATCTGTTGGACTCCAATTTTGTCAACGACAAGATTCTTTGCGAAGCGGGCTCCGTGAAAGAATACACCAACATTTGCGGAGCAATTCTCACCAATGAGTTACAGCAGAAAAGCTTCTACATCTTGTGGACTCTGGTGATGATGTCGCAGGTCCATATAGTTGGCGTCGGAGAGTTGAAGCTTGATGTTTTCGGCGCGTTGGTTGATCCGCTCGGCTTGACCAATCCACCCCAAAGACGCCGTGGCTCGTCTTTCACTGGCTTGAACGACATTTCCGGTTTGAATTTGCAAGATCTCGACTTGTTGGTGAGCACGGCGCTTCATGTTGCTAACAAGCGCCGTTTCAAAGGTATGTCGTCCTATGTCTGTGTGACTAAAAACGATCTTCCAGCTACAGTCCCTGCGGCCGTGTTGCACGACTTTTTCATGAACTACGTGAGTCTGGGAGAAAAGTCCAAAGCAGTGGAGTTCGTACAGGACTTTTCGTCCCAGCATATTTTGCCTATGTTGCGCAAATTTGGTCTGTCGAACCCGGAGTTTGAATTAGACTGGACTTCGAACAGTATGCTTTCCTGGGGCTAAAGATGTGGCTACCACAGTAGATTAAAAACCATTGCGCTTCTGCAGAAGAGCGTATGTTCACCGTGTTTTCAAAAGTACATCGATTTCGTTATGACGTATTTTCAATTAAATGACTTTGTACACGTTCTGGGCCTCTGGCTAAATGGCTTGATGTAGGCTTCTAAATTTGATCAGAGCGGGCCGCTACCGGGCGATGCAGTAACCTATTGGGTTATGCATGCGCATGTACTAACAGGAAAGAACGCGCAGGCTGCGGCTGCAGCTGCAGGTCTCTAATGGGAACATGGCACCAGGAAACGTTTCCTAATTGGGTACCCCTGTCAGCTTCTTTCGTTTTATGCTATCCACCAGACCCATCCCGCTAAATATTAAGGTTGAGTAGCGTTCCCCTAACGCCTCTAAAAATAGACAGCCATAAATTATCTCCGTAGCTCGCTGTCGTTTTCCATATGTATCTCTCAATAATACCCTTTTCCCGAACATAGCAGAATTGCGAACAGGAGCGCACTTCATCTTTTCACTGCTGACACTATTCTTTCTGTTTTCTTTTATTTTGAGAGTGAGGTGAGCCTTCGGAAGCAAATATGTATCCGGGCCGACGCTGTAATAAAGGGTCTACTACTATTGCTTCGGTTTACACATTTGACCATTTGACCGAGGATAGTGGCCCGGGAAAAAATGTCGCGCATAATATGCGAGACGTCAAAATTTAACGCTACATTAGCAATGTGCATTCATCGACCAAACATTGCATAGCCTCTTGGCCTTGTGGGATGCCGTGTATCATGGACAAATGTCGCCGCATACATATATACGGGTCGGTTGTGCCACTCTTTCAGCCCAAGGTATATTAGGTCGAGCCTTTCACCCTTCAATTCTATCAAAGCTACTCAGCGGAGGTTAGAAGCACTTCACTCCATTCCGGAGATTGTAACCTTTTTGTACTTCCACAATTGCCAGACTTTCCATCTCATCCACAACAGCCATTCTTTGCTGTTCCGCATATTTTCCACATTCCCTGATCTCCAGATCTGGTATATTTCCCGTATCTTCCATATTTTTTGCATTCAGGGTTCCCTGCCATCACATTAGAATATTCCTTTAAGGTCACTCAGCCCAATCTCAGTGAGTATGCAAAAGAGTTTCTGTTCTTAGTGAGTCCTTGATATTTTGCCTGAACTGCCAATGCTCCCATATCAGAGATTTGTGCCAGATATGACCTACCCTAGGTCTCAGATTCCTCCTTGTACTGCAACCTTAACTCCTCAAAACTATCCATTTCCCTCTCCGGCTCATTATCAAGAGAAGTCGCCTGCTTCATATATCCTACCCACTCGTATCACTCCCGTGGGGCCTCCCTCACTACCATATCATGCAAACCCAAGCCAATATGGTTATCCATTTCCAAGTTCCTTCCCTTCATCACTATTTCCCCCACAGACTGTGGGAGTTCAAGTAGACAGACGACCAAGTTATGCTGGTGCGTCTGTTATTGGTGTTGACGATTCTCCACAGAAAAGCTACGGATTTATAAATCATGGCCCCATCTTGAATAATAACGTCTACAACGTGAACTATGCTCAAACTCCAATTCCAGTGGGGATGGCCACGCAGAAAATACTACCGGCACCTAAATACACTTGTGAAACATGCGGTAAGAGCTTTCAAAAATCCAGTAATCTCAGAGGCCACATGAGAATCCATTCAGCGAAGAGGCCATACAAGTGTCCCATTTGTTCCAAGACTTTTGCCCGTTCCCATGACCAAAAACGACATTACCTTGTGCATGGAGGCGAAAAACGATTCAAATGTGGCGGATATTTGAAAAACGGCAAGAAATGGGGGTGCGGGAGGATGTTTGCCCGATCAGATGCATTAAGCCGTCATCTACGAACGGAATCGGGATCACTTTGCGTCAAGGCTCTTGAAGACGAGGCCAAAGAGGAAAGGGCCAGAAGTGAATTGACAAAGGAACATTACGTTCCAAACTCAAAGCCATTCCCACAATATCTTCCATTCCAGAATGCATTGCATTGATATTATGACGTTAGATTGGTGGAGCTACTTCGTGAAAGACCATTTGTCACGATTCTCCTTAAACGTTTACGAGAGTTGATCCGGATGTACTACTGTATGGTGCAAAATCGCTTACTCATCTGCTTACGAATGCGCCTAGCCTTCCTGTTCCATATACGCTGGCTGTATATGGGCGTGACATTTTTGCAATTACGAGAAGTAGGCTGGGACCTTTTCCTGTATGCACAGGCTCGTGCGCGAGAAATTTCTCTCAATGTGCCAAGACGCAGATTATCATCCAAAGTTAGCCTTGTGATGCAGCTGCGCCTGCAGAAGAGGCTATCGACGAGTGTATGTTGACCTGCATCACCGTGGGACATGTCGCACATTGAAGTCCTTCTCTATCGTCGGTGGAGGACATAGCCCGCCCTTATATGCAGGCATACACTCAATGCTCTTCTTTCAACGACGGGTCATGGAAGTGTCTCACCTCGCATGTAGTGTCGACATTTGTCGTCTGTCCGATGTGGGGCCCACTGCGAATGGCATTATGTGTGGGTGGGCGGAAAACAGTGCGGCTTGTATGCAGTGCGCAAATGACCGACCCCACACGAAATGTTTTCTGGGGTAAACGGAGATATAAGATAATAGTGGGCGCATCCTCGATATCTCGTGTCTTTTGTTTTTCCACTCTGCCATGCACAATCTTGTTGAGCACGACGCCCGGATCCCGAAATTGCCGGTTCCGCCGCTTTCGGCCACGGTCCAGCAAATTCTCACGGCTCTCAGACCTTTGCTTACGCCTGAAGAATATGACGATCTTTTGGACGAGGCGTCTCAGTTTCTTTCTAACGGAACGGTGAATCTCATCCAGCAGCATTTGGAAGCAGCTGCGGCCAACCCAAATGTTCTGTGCTACTTGAACGCCATCAATGGCGAGTCTTACCCTGGTATTTATGGCCGTCTTCGTGGAGACACTTTGCCGCGGAATCCGTACTTGGTTTTGGAGGAGGATCCGTTTGCGAAAACCATCAACCCGCCCAATCAGGCGCAGCGTGCTGCTTGCTTGATCAATCTGTCTTTGAAGTTCATTGTGACCATGAGAAACGGCAAGTTGAAGGAGGATGTGACTCCTAAAAGTGGGAATCCTCTCACCATGAACTGCTACCGCAATCTTTTTGGCACCACACGTGTTCCTGTTTTCGGAGAGCTGTACCACGAAGTGACGATCCAAAAGTACCGTCATATCAACGATTCCCGGCATGTCGTGGTGATTTGCAATAACCAGTTCTACGACTTGGAGCTTTTGACTCCGTGTGAAGATGAATCCGCCGAGAGCACCCACCGCCTTTGGTTTGGCGATGCTGAGTTGGCAGAAATCATCCAGAACATCATCAACGAGTCATCAGCCGTCGACAGAATATCCACCGTGAAAAATGGAGTGGGAGCAATCACCACGCAAACTTACCACCACTGGAAAAGTGCCAGGGCAGAGTTGGCGCTGACAAGCCCGGACTTCTTGCGCCGTATTGACGATGCATTGTTCATTGTGGCGCTCGACTCCAATTCGCCTGTTTCTGACCAAGAAAAGACCCAGGTGATTCTGCACGGCACTTCGGAACTTTTGCGTGGCTCAAATATTCAAGTGGGCTCTTGTGCGTCGAGATGGTACGATAAATTGCAGTTGATTGTGACTGCCAATGCTGTGGCAGGAGTAGTGTGGGAGTCTTCATCCATGGACAGCACTGCCATTTTGCGTTTTATCAGTGACATATTCACGGATCTGATTCTCAAGCTTGCCAAGAACATCAATGGCGCAGAAAACACCCTTTTCGATCCGAACGTGTCCTTTGTTTCGGGCCGGGAACTGAAGCCTCGCCAGAAACTCCTTGTGCCAACGAAAACTCCAGAACTTCAAAACTTGGTGCACTTGTCTGAGACTAGGCTTTCGGATTTGCTCAAGCAGCACGAATACAAGACAGCAACCATCAAACTCGACACGCTGCTACTTGCGAAATTCGGGCTTCTGGCCGACTCGTTCATGCAGATCGGCTTCCAGATTGCCCACTACGCCTTGTATGGTCGCATTACTAACACGTTGGAGCCCATCACCACAAGAAAATTCCGTGACGCTCGTACAGAGCTTATTGCTGTCCAAAATGATCTGGTTGCGGATCTTGTCAAGATGTTTATTACGTCGTCTGATGATTCACGCAAGTGGCTGGGATTTCAAGCGTGCTGCCAGATCCATGCTTCCCAATGCCGTAATGCTATGGCTGGCCTAGGCTTTGAGCGCCATCTCGACGCTCTTTTGCTGGTGTGTCGAAAGCAGGAAGCCGTGGCCAATTTGAACGCACTCAACAGCAATTTGAGCCCAATTCCGTCGGTGGCAGAGTTGAACTCGCAACCAATCCCACTCTTGGCCAGTCCTTTGCTTGAGCGCCTTTCGGGAGCGGAACTTTTGATCAGCAACTGTGGAAATGCCGCCATGCATCTTTTTGGTATTCCTCCTGCTGTGGATCTGGGTTTTGGCATAGGCTATATTCTCCATCGCGACAAGGTTGTGGTGACTGTCTCTTCGAAGTTCCGGCAGACGGAGCGGTTTTTGATGACGTTCCGGTCTGTTGTCGGAACCGTCAAACAGATCTTGCGTTCCAAGGCAGACGTTCAGGTTGAGGCAGCAGATAGCGAAACCCGGAAAACCGAGTTGAAGAAATTGCGCATTGAGCGTGAGTTGCGGAACGTGGATCGGTCTCTTCCTTCCACGCGCCATCCTATCGATATTGATATGGATTCTACATTGGACTTGCAGAAATTGGAGCTCAAAGAAGAGAGTTCAGATAATGAGTACTCGTATTTGGGAGGCTATGGCTATTTCGACGAGGGCGAAGTAGAACTTCGGAGCGACGAAATCTCTCGCAACGATTCTTACATGAACTCTCATTCCAGTCTTGCCTCTGCTCTCACTTCGAAGAGCAACTCTCGCCATCACTCGCACCTCAACTTGCTGGCATTGTCGAAGAATGCAGATGAGCGGCATCGTCTTTCTTTGGGCGACCGCCTCAAGGAACGGTTGGGCCAAGAGGAGCGGTCCAAGAACCAAATCGGCCGGAGTCTCTAGAAACACCTAGACTCTTCGCTGCTTATTATTTATGGGGCTCTAGTCCTCGACTAAATTATTAAATCATATTCTTTGAAAATAGCTGTAAATGTTAAATCGAATCACTTTAAATACATTTTTGTTGTTTGCCACGTATGTTGAATACTTCGAACTATGGCTTCGATCGAACAAGCTCACGCTAGTGGGTATAGAAGTTTCGAACGAAGTATTCGATATTTTTCCAATGGTTTAGACGGTTTACAGTTACAGGCAAAGAATGTTCAAGAACAACTATTTTTATTAGAAGAAGTGTATGCTCTAGGACACAGCCTTCATTATGGATGCCTGATGATATGATAAATGTACCGCATTTCTTTGAAGCTGTTGATCATAATTTTGATTTTATTAGTTCAGACCACTCGATACATTGCTACTTTTCGATGTATTGAACGTTCAACGAATTTCAAGTTGAAATTGTGATGACTATGTGGGTTTTTAACAAGGTAAATTTTGCGATATCATCAGAGACGTTGAGAGGCAGACGAATAAAAGATATTCTGTGCTAAATGGCTCATTAAGAATACTTGAACGATACATTGTCAGAACAGTAAACTTATCAACCTTCAATTGAGAATTGTCGTAGTAGTTTATTGGTGTTCGCAAATCGCAAGTAATCGGTATATTTCTGCTCATGGGCTTGAATAGAGGAACTCAACATGTTTCTGTGAATTTTCCCATCATCTCCATTTAACTAGTGTTCCTTAAGTATCAATGGCAGATTAGATCTTAGTGTGCACATTAACACCGTTTCCTACCGATCGCAAATGCCCTAGTACATATTACTAAGGTCTCTTTACATTTTGGATTACGCCACATCTTGAACCTAAAACACTTTTGCACTATATCCCTGATGTTGTCTGGAATTGCCCAGGTGGCCCGGTCTTATATCCGCATCAAGGGCCCGGAAGCGTCCAAGTTTCTTAATGGCCTAATAACGACACGGCTACTTCCGAACGTCGTCAAGAAGAAACAGCACACCATTAGCGCATCTGAAAACCGTCATTTGGAGCTCCTTAATGTCGACTTGTCGAAAAACTGGGGCTTGATGCACGAAGACATTTATGATCCCGAAAACCGCATCTGGATCAGACGGGACGGGCTCAATTCGATGATTCTCAATTCCAAAGGCCGCGTCGTCCAAGACTGCTTTCTATATGCCACTCCGTTCCACTCGCCGGTTCCTCCTGAACCCAGTTATTTGGTGGAGGTCGATCCAAAGTACAAGTCGCAGATGTTGTCTCTCTTTAAGATCCATCGGCTTAGTGCGGACGTGAAGATAGAAGACGCCTCTAGCATGTCTTCCTATTACTACTTCAACGACACTCCGGAATTTGAAGACTTCTTAGAGGAGCTTCAAAGCACGTACTTTGACACTTTTGACACGGATTCTGCGCTCCAGAACGCCAACGAATTCATCTCTCGCGAGGAGATTTTTGACTCAAGTGCAGCTTCGAATATTGTCGGCTTTGCGTTTGATAACCGGATCCCGAACTTCGGCTTGAAAGTAGTCACAACGCAGCCGGTCGATCCATTGCTACTTTTCTCTCAGCAGTTCATGGACAAGTTCCCGGTGGAAGTAACAGACGAAAAAGCAATCACCCAGAGACGTTTTGCAAACGGTTTGTTTGAGTATGGTGATGCGCCCAAAGGAACCTCTCTTCTACCATTTGAAATGAACTTGGACTACGTGAATGGGCTTTTCGCTAGATAAAGGGTGCTATGTTGGCCAGGAGCTCACTATCCGAACATTCAATGGAGGTGTGATCAGGAAAAGAATCTTTCCCGTGCATTTGGCCTGTGGGAAGGATGTTTCCGGTGTCTTTTCTGGAGTGGATTTGAATGAAGTCAGCATTGCATACGAAAACGAGTCGGAAATGGCACAACCTGCCACTGTTGGAAGTTCACCTTTTGCATCCACAGGGAAAGTGGGCCGCCGTGGCAAAGTGGCCAAGCTTCTTGCGGTGGAGGAAAACCTCGGTTTTCTACTTGCTTCTGTGGACGATGTTCAGCAGGGCAAAACTTTTCAATGTGTGGTGGGTGACACGACTGTGCTGATTCGCCCAAGCATTCCCGAATGGTGGCCTGAGTAGTCTCTGACGGGTATTTATTGGTCTGTAAATAGTTGATGCATTGGTATACTACTGTTGCTTCACGAGTCATGAAGTTTAAACGATCAAAGTAGATGTAGAGTGATTGAAGTATAGTATGGTGATCGTGTGATTGAAAGTGTAAGTGAGAGTGAAAGTAAATGATTGTGAATTGAATGTAAGTAGAGTGATCGTGTGATTGAATGTAAGTAGAGTGATTGTGAGTAAAATTACAGAAGTCTAAAGTGCCACCATTGTGCGAGATCAAAGTACACCGATGCCCGAATCTGGTGACTCGAATCGCACTCCCACAGGATTCAAAACTGGCAGAGCCAAAGTAAACCATGCCAATCTGGACGCATTTTTTCTTTGGTATCTTTTCCTGCTCACGTAACCATGCTTGTAGCGACACTTGTATCTACACTTGTATCTACACTCGTATTGCCATTTGGCTAGTCTCTCTTTGCTAAGACTTGGTCGCACTGCCTAACCAACACAACAAAATTCTCCTCCACTACGTCTGCAATCAAACACATTCTCACACATTCTCACACATTCTCACACATTCTCACACATTCTTTGCCAGTCCAAAGCTTCCAAAGTCTTCAAAATGATATTCGTCTTTGTTCGCCCGGATCATTTGCAACGGCAAAAACATTGTAGCACTGGCACGTCGTGCGCCGCGCACGCTCAAATCTGAAAAAAATTCTCCTCTACTTTCCTCTTCACCAATATGTCTTTTGACGATATCGACAACGCTACACCAGACATTGTGATCGGCTCTACTCTTCCCGAGCCAGAGGAAGACGTCGTGTACGAGCACGAGGTGGAGTCCGGCGGCGAAGAGGCCGAGGCTGCCCCTCAAAAGGAGAAAAAATCTGTCGCCTTTGCTGGATTGGAAGATGAGTACGACGAAGAAGAGGCCCGCCGAGAGTTCGAGGAAGGCGGCGGTCTTCCAGAGCAGCCTGAAAACCCAGACTTTTCTTCGATGACGCCGCTCAGCCCGGAAATCATCAACAGACAGGCCACCATCAACATCGGTACCATTGGTCACGTGGCGCACGGTAAATCCACCGTTGTCAGGGCCATTTCGGGTGTCCAGACGGTCCGTTTCAAGGACGAGTTGGAGAGAAACATTACCATCAAGTTGGGATACGCCAACGCCAAAATCTACCGCTGCAGCAACCCAGACTGCCCTCCTCCAGGATGTTACCGTTCTTTCAAGTCCGACAAGGAAATCCACCCAAAGTGCCAGCAACCAGACTGTGAAGGCCGTTACAACTTGGTGCGTCACGTTTCTTTCGTCGATTGCCCTGGTCACGACATTTTGATGAGTACCATGTTGTCGGGAGCTGCCGTTATGGATGCTGCCCTTTTGCTTGTGGCCGGTAACGAATCGTGCCCACAACCTCAGACCTCGGAGCACTTGGCGGCCATCGAGATCATGAAGTTGAACCATGTGATCATCTTGCAGAACAAGGTCGACTTGATGAGAGAGGAGCTGGCGTTGGAGCACCAGAAATCCATTTTGAGTTTCATCCGAGGCACCATCGCCGATGGCGCCCCTATCGTGCCTATCTCGGCCCAATTGAAGTACAACATTGACGCTGTCAACCAGATCATCTGCGACTACATTCCCGTGCCTCCTCGAGACTTTATGGCGTCGCCCCGTTTGATTGTCATTAGATCTTTCGATGTGAACAAGCCAGGTGCCGAGATTGACGACTTGAAAGGTGGTGTTGCCGGAGGTTCTATTTTGACTGGTGTTTTCAAGATTGGCGACGAAATCGAAATCAGACCAGGTATCGTCACCAAGGACGACAATGGTAAGATCCAGTGCAAGCCAATTTTCTCCAACATTGTGTCGTTATTTGCCGAACACAACGACTTGAAGTTTGCTGTTCCCGGTGGTTTGATTGGTGTGGGTACCAAAGTGGACCCAACCTTGTGCCGTGCCGATAGATTGGTGGGCCAGGTTGTCGGAGCCAAGGGCAACTTGCCTTCCATCTACACAGACATTGAAATCAACTACTTCTTGTTGAGACGTTTGTTGGGTGTCAAGACCGAGGGCCAGAAACAGGGTGCCAAGGTGCGCAACTTGGAAACTGGTGAGGTGTTGATGGTCAACATTGGTTCTACTGCCACCGGTGCACGTGTGGTGGCCGTGAAAGCCGATATGGCCCGTTTGCAATTGACGTCGCCAGCATGTACGGAGGTCAACGAGAAGATCGCCTTGTCGAGAAGAATCGAGAAGCACTGGCGTTTGATTGGTTGGGCCACCATCAAGAAGGGTACTACGTTGGACCCTGTCGCATGATTTCTTCTCCTCTGTATTTATAGTCATAATTGACCATGTGTCTGGAAGGTGTAGTCGATTCGGGTGTCGTTGGAGCTCTACAATGACCGTCTCTTTGTTGTAAGATGCTCGTGATACAAGTAAGCGTAAGGCACAGTCGTGGCAATCTTCGAGCCAAATGCCTTCTACTTAATCTTCTGCCGAAATGTAATCTCTCCTTTTGTATTACCTATATCCCACCATGAATACCTAAAGCCAAAGAAAAGGTCTAGAACACACTTGGTGTACGTTCTGGGATCATCCTTTAAACCCACCTGAGTCTCATGCCTTGTGGGTCTTGATTCCGAGGGCATACATGTATTCTTCACTGCGAATAAACCTTGGATACGAGTCCGTTTCCATGAGCTTGTAAATGGAATGTGCCACTTTAGCAAAAACTGTGTAGATGTCATCGAGGCGTATGGTGAGATCAGCTGGGCTGCCATCCGTTTCTTCTTCTAAAACACCCCCAGGTGGTTTCGCTTCTTGCTCCGCGATATTCTCTCCCTGTTTTGTCTTCTCATCTCTTCCTTGATCATCTTTGGTCTCCCAATCCAATATCTTTTCATATGTCGGCGTTTTCAAGTATTCGGAAACATTATCTGGAACATCCCAATCCCCTCGAATTTGCATAACCTTGCGCACATCTTGACGCAAATTGTAGTCAAGGTTTACATCGCATTCAGATTCCAGGCTGAGATACGTCGAATAGAGATGGAACGCCATTGAGTAGGACGAAGCTGTATGTTTCTCAATGGCTTCGCTGATAAGCGCTCTTTTAGCCTCGCTTTGGCAATTATTGTGAAGTTTCCACAACTGTGAGGTTCGCTTTTTCAGCTTGGCAAAATCAACCAATTGAATATACGCCTCAACATTTTCCCCACTGCATTCTTTCTCAAGATGAACCTTGAACAAGCATCTCATTCCCGGATCACTTAAAATTTGCTTTAAGGACACTTGTTTGCAGCTTTCAGTTGACTCTGTAGATGACCGTCCTTCTCCTGAAAAGTTCCCTTCTTGTGAGGAAACATCAGTGGACTGAGAACCAACAACGTCTGATGCTTCGTATAGACTTTCCCAACGACAAATCTGTCTGCCATTCTCAGTTAGCGTATATAGCGCATCTCTGTGGTTTGTGAAATCTGCACCAGAATCGTCGTCTGTAACAGGAATGATAAGTTCATACTTTACCATGAGTCGTCCAATCTCCATGGCTTCAGGTATGGACAATAACGCCGTACAATCCATGAGCCACTGTACCACGGATTTTCCCGAGAAACAATAATTGATTGTGATTTCTTTATCCTCTGTCTTTAAGGTCCTGTTTTTGTAAAGGCGGATGCCAGTATTGGATTCGTAGTATTGGACATGGGAATCAGACGCCATGTTTGTAAAGTATTTATGGTGAAATGGGCTCACAAATACCTTTGGTGTGTCAATAGTAGGCGGGAGTATATCTTCATTCGAAGAAGTGGGATGAGAAAAAAAATCACACGTTTCGTGCTCAAACACAATTTGTACTATTGGGGGCTTTTGCAGAGGAGACCACACATTTGGAGCATTGGCCATCATGTTAGTAACTAGAATATTGATGACGTATTCGGAATATAGTAATCGATTCGACTCTGAGCGGTCATATTGGAACAAGTTCATGGTGTTAAAATTCGAGTAAACAACGTAGGGCATTTTATCTCGCTTGACACCAAGGCGTTTGCATACTTGCGACACAATTGCCACGCCTTTAGGTGTGACTTGAACTACCGAATCTAGTGACACATGGTTCTCAGTGCGAGCTTCTGGATTATGGAGCAATTTTGCAGAGAAGAACTTTTTGATCAAATTGAACGCCAACTCAGGCTTTATAGTGTACGAGATTGTCGTTGTGACTGTTTCTTGAACGATATTGAGTTTGAGTTGGCTCATTTCCTCAATCGCCTTGCTAACGTCAAAGGAAAAAGGATAATGCTGCTTAGCAAATATGTTGTACTTTTGCTTTGGCGCCTTATCGGAAAGCTGTAATTGGATCACTAAGATTGTGAAAATATCAACAACACTCTTGCTTTGGACGCGAGAGCCAGATTTACCTGGCCTAAAGCTGCGGGGCGCCTCCAGATTTGCGAGATGCGTAGGAAATACACCCATGTGCCACCCAAACGAGGAAGGATTGCTATCGAATCAAAAGCAATTTCCAAAGAGATTGTTCTTTATAAGTATCGGCCTTTGGGAAGATGAAACATGAGATGGTACATGATGTGGCAGCTGCGCAGAATCTGAAACAACAGGGTGCGCGTAAATGCAAAACACGCAGAACTGTGCTTCTATATGCACCGAATATAACCCCTTACAACCTTGTGAGTTTCTTGAATGAAACACTGTCATCTATAAGCGAAGCTAAATCGTCCAATGACGCATCGAGCTGAAGCATTTTTGAATCTTCAATGACAGTCTCTTTGTACATGTTGTAGTTGTTGTTCCCATTGACCTCGTTGTTGCTGGTGATGACATCAAAGAGGATTCCCATTTTGTAGAGATTGGCCCAACAGTCTCGTAAAACTTTAGGCGACCAGATTCTCTGGCTCACTTTGATGCTTGCAAGCACAGTGCTGTCAATATGCGAGCTATTGGAAGAGAGAGTAGTCGCCTCTCGATTAAATGTTTTCATCATCTCCGTATACTCTGCGTAAGCCAAGTTGAAATTCACATGGGGAACCTCGACTCGTTCGATCCATCTTGCTGCAGCAATGACAAGAAGAAGTTCCAAGTTGGAAAGAGCCCCCACTATGGACTGCACGTAGTTGGGGGACATGTTTTGCATATATGTTTCAAATAAGTTTTCGAGCGGGAACGGCTGTGCAATGCTGATTTTAGATACAGGCAACACACACGACACATTGACATCCTTGTAGTTTTTCGTGGTGTAAAAAACTTTGTAGAGGATTTTCTTGAGGACCGAGGGCCGTTTGTAAAAACCTTCTATGCAGTTGTTCCAGAGGGCCGGGTACTCCTTATTTGTGAAGTGGTGGAAGTTCTGGGGGGCCACAGTCAAATTGAGTTTTGCATTGCGCCAAAATTCCTCTATGGTGGTGGCCTTTGTGATGTCAATGATTCTTTGGCTGAATCTGCTTCTCACTCTTTTCTCTAGAAGTTCTCGTGTGGTGATCATAGTAGACACGCCTATCACCGCAATGGGTATTTTTGAGCTTTGTGACAAGTCGAAAATGTTGTATAGCAAAGTCTGTTTGGCGTTGCTGGTGAATTTCTCGATCTCCTCAATGATGATCACTATAGGTGTGGGGTGTTCATTTGCTTCATCGTATTTTCTGCCAGGCGCATTGCTGTCCAACGTGAGAAGAATATTTGTAAACGTATCGCTGATGGCTCTTTGCTCGAACGTGGTTGTTTCTCCTGTCACTGCGCCAAACTTGTTGCTGTTCATATCCAACTGTCGAGCAATCTCACGGAGCGCAATTTTGTCGTCAGAGTGGAGACATGCGTTGAGTTTTATTGTGATGAACAGATCACGATATTTTGCTCGTAAAGAGTCAAGGGCCTTATCCAATATTAGCGACTTTCCGGAGCCTCGCGGTCCAATCAAAAGAGTAGAGTGGCCTTCAAAATCTCGAATCGTATGTTCCATGATACTATGTATCTGGTCATAGGGAGCCCAAAGCAGTGAATTCTCGAGCTGGGGAAACTTTTTTCCTGTGAGCTGGGACATAATTGTACGCCGCATGAGATCCACATCACTTTGCTCAACAGATACAGAAAAGGCGCCTTCTTCGTCACTTTTGTGAACCCCATTAGTAGTGGAATCGCCTGTTCTATTATTGGTGCTATTGTTAAAATTATTGGAATGGGCAAACCCATCATCATTGTTTTGTGTGCTAGACTCAAGAGCGTCGTTGTTTGGATTTTCGATTTCTGCATCCATGGAACCATTTAACTCGTTGTCGTCATGAAAGCTGACTGGCGTACTGTGCAAAGCTTCATCGGCTGAATGCTTTTTTGTACCTTCAGATTCACTGGATTCCGTTGCTTTGATGTCTCTGCTATCTTCTTGTACCTTTTGCGCTTGACTTTCCATGTGTGGGTGCTTCTTGCTTTGAGATTCGTTTGTTTCCGAGCTGAAGACAATCTCCGATTTCGAGAGTTTGCGGGCCCCGGAGGTTTCCTGTGACGAGGAATTGAGCACAGCCTGTCCCGGTTGCAAACTACTTCCTGGTGATGTATGTTGTAGTGAGTCTGGAACTTGCAATTGCAGAGAGACATCCGGTGAATTTTTAGTGCTTTTTTCCTCAAGAAGCCTACGCAATTCATCTGTCCCCGTCAATGCAATTTTTGGCATTGGCTTGGGCGTTTTCAGCAGCTCTTTTGCGTGAGGGAGGTTGCGGAAGTATTCCGTACCTAACAACATAGGAACCTTTCGTTTCTTTGCAGAATGTTCCAGCAAGGGAGAAGGCGAAAGGGATTTTAGTTTTTCTTTCAACTGGTCCGTTCCCAAGAGCAGGATCTTGTGCTTTCTTTTGGGTAGAGGGTTTTGGGTGTTTGGTGTTTGGTTCTGGGACTGCGGATGTTCGGACTTGTGAAGCCGCTTTTCGAGCTTGAGGCGCTTCAAAAACTTGTCAGACTTGAGTTCTTCGATGCTATATTGCTTCACGGGGCAAAATTCGCCTTCAAAGTCCTTGAATTGGGACATGGTACAAGACATGGAATGAAGGTGATTTGTGTAAATCGCGAAGAGTCGCGCACATGTACTAGATAAGATGGACAAGAAAACATGGGTAGGGAATAGGAAAAAAGATGGATAGACGAAAACTTAAATAGGTAAAGGTAAATGCTGATACCTTATGAAGTGAAATCTGATGAAATTAATGAAGTGCTGTAGATGAAGTAGATGAACATATGGAAGTGATTATAGCAGTACAATACCAGAGAATGAGACATGAGTAAGAATACAGACAATGAGTAGGAGAGCCAGCCTATTCCAATAGAAAGGTAGTACTAAGGTGTTCATGTATGCCCTTGACGTGTATTTTAGATTTTTTTTTCTGGTTTCTATAATTGTGTATTTCGCTCTATTTGGAAAAAAGTACGAATGAAGAGATGGAAATGAGAACACCGAATACATTGAATGAATGCATTAAAACAAATACTGTAACACAACTACAGAATACGACATAGTAACCACATAAAAGTCAACAAACATAGTACGACATAATAATCAGAGTAATTTAATAAACATACACACAAACGTGGATACAATATGACGTACACTTATTACGTACATACAAATCAACACATAATTATACAGATACACAAGTACTGCGCATGCAAACAGAACCGTCGTCTGGATTATGCGGAAAAGATACCACGAGGCCTTTGAGAACAGCAGTTCATACCCCGAACGTCCTTTTTGATTGCCTACACTCGATAACTTCCGCATTCATTACAAACTAACATCCGGCGCAGGCGCCAGCGTCTCCCAAGCTACATCCAAGCGTCTAGAACAATGCGTCCAACGTGCAGCACACACACATGGCCGCCAAACAGCCCATCAAACAGCTGTCGTTGTTATTGCTGGGTTTCTGCTGAACATAGTATTGCTGCTGAGGCTGCTGCTGGTAGTAGCCGCCTTGCGGAGGCCCCTGGTGGTAGCCAGGACCTTGCTGGTAGCCTTGCTGGTAGCCCGGGCCTTGTTGGTAGCCTGGTCCTTGCTGGTAACCTTGGTTGTAACCGCCGTATCCTTGTTGTTGGTACTGGGGTTGTTGAGGAGGCGCGTAGCCTCTGGAAGATTGCTCGTTGGAGGCTGGTGCGGGGCCCAGACTCTTGTCGTTGCTCCAGTTAGGAGGAGGGCCGGTGGGAGGATCGAATTTGGACATGGTGGGCAGAAAACAATGATGGAGACGAGAGTTTATATGTTGCGAGGGAAGGTCAAGCTTGGGTGCAGGCCTGGGTGCAGGACACCCCGCGGGTCGAGTCAGGCGTTGAGGCTTAGGCAGGTCATGAAGGGTCGCTTCTTCTTTTCGCTTCTCTTCTTCGTAGGGGATTGGTAGTGCTCATAACATTGTCTGGGGAATTCCGGTTTGGCACGCAGGACAACACAGTGAGGTAAGAAGCGTAGACTGGCCTTCCGCCTCGACCGAGGCAGCACAAGCTTGAGCGGACTAATTTTTCTTGTCGGAGATTACTCTGCGCACCGAAGCACCAACTTCACGGAGTTTGCAGACATGTTGGAAGGCACGCATGTGCTTATCGGCCCGGCTTGTCGCAAGTTGCGTGATGTATATGCAATATTTATCTGAGACAGAAAACGGTCGATCCCTTGGGAGACATGGCCTCCCGACAGACCCTTGGAATCAGGATTTCGCATGGATCATCCTGGTAGGAGAGGAGCCAAGCCCATTGGTGTCTTGGCCGACCAGAATAGTCTTGGCTCAATTATCCAGGGTCTACATTCAGACCCACAGAGACGAAAGATGAGAAGTGCAAATGTAGAAGGGTAGCCCTCTCAGGTTTAAACATATACATATATTTCCACATCGAAAATGTAGTAGCTGAAACTAATTCATAACTAATTAATTGAATAGAACGTCTAGAACCTAATAAAGAGTATTTACTATTAGCCGATCAACAGCTAATAAAGTGCCAAATACACCTATACTACTTATAGCAAAGTTACGACTCTAGGTAGACAATGCTGCCAGATCCGCCAGTGGAAGCCTGTTAACAATTGAGCCTCTCAACAATTGGAAACAATCGAGCTCTCAACAATTGAGCCTCACAACTAGGGCTCGGACAACCCCGATTTGTAAGGGTTGATCGACTCTTATGAAAGTATGTATTGTAAAAGTCATATTCCATGCAGAGGATAGAAATAAATAAGGAAGAAAGACTTGTCACTGCTATCGTGGCTCAAGCCAGATTGATGTTAAAGGAGCCAGAGAGCCTCAAATTACTCCAGCTGAAATATGAGGACGCACTAATCTTACACTGGTGCTTATTACTTGCACACTTGTCTCGCTCAGCCAGACGCTACAATACTTAGTTGCCATTTGAAGTACAGATGCCAAGTCGCTTTTGATGTCGTATTGGTACGCGGAGAAGTTGTGGCATGACCTTTGCGTAAGTACAGTCTATGGCTAATCGATCTTACTTAAAATCATTCTGTCGGATCCTCTATAGAGTAGAAGTTGACTCAGGTCACCACGGATATTTCCATTCTGGAAGGTAGTAATATACAGAGCCAATGATTGCAGTCTTCCGAAAATAGAAAGTTGTTTCCAAGGGCTGATGATCTCCATTGAAACGACAAATAAAAGTAAATGGACCAGTGTGTAAGAATCAATTCTCCATTGATGAATGTTACAACTTCCACGTCTTATCAAATTTGCATTAACAGTAGGAACTTTTTTACTCAAGTTTCAAACCTCTTTCTGGTTGCATGGGTTCAATTATTTAATTCAAACGACCTAGGGTGACCAATTTGATTAAAGTCGATAGTACCAAAGTACCTAATATAAAAAAGAAAATTCACGTTTCAAGAAGCTAGTAATTGGGACATAAATTTACTTGAGGGAAATTGTACCAGGCGCATTTCTTGTCCGAATCTTTTATAAGGTTTGGTACCTCACTTGAACGGTCATTTGTTTCCTGAACGGTCATTCCTTTCCTGAACGGTCATTCCTTTCCAATGTATGTGGTTCTTAATTACTTTTACATTGTGATGAAGTCGTAAACTTAAAGCTTCCCTACACTTAGTCTGTTAAATTTCCATAGTCCAGCCTGATCGTCATCAGTTGCAGAAGCGTTTCTTTTTTTGCTCCTTTCATTTCTCACCATGTCTAATATCCGTGACTTAGGACTTTATGCACTTGCTTATCTCCTTCGCGAAGAGTCACTTCAGAGCACCAAACCAAAAGATTTACGAGAAATTGCATCAAATAGAACTTCGTTGCGCAATTGTGATGAAAAGAAATATCAATATTGTGGGCGATGCAAGAGAAGTGTGAATATCGATATGCCCTGATTTGACGCTCACCAGACCCTTACGGCAAATGCCAGTCGCTCTAACATAAATGCCCTTATTTGCACAATGCACGTGATCAACAATGCCACGGCAATTTTCCCTGGCATTCCTTCGCTGCAGGGACTAAACTGTAAGTCAAAAACAAAAGAGAAACAAGTGGCGCTCTCAAAGCATAGCCAGAGAGTCCAAGGGAGAAAATGTAGAGATATGGACACTTGAAAGATAAGCATGCGAGCTTTGTGCTAATTTACCCCCTGTTCTGTGTTGCGATAAGATACGGCTGAAGTTTCCACATTGACGTGCATAAAGAACAATGCCACAATCAGCATATGAGAGGAGAAAAAAAAAGGAAAAAAATTGACGGCTTCAGCTTTTGTAGAAAGTGTGGATTGCGTTTGTGTGTCTGTGTTTGAATCATGGCCAATGACAGTAGAAATGTGCCAAAGAATGTTTCTTGGCAGCTGTCAAATGGGTGTCTGTCTTGGCCTCGGAAAAACTCTCATGCAAAGACTTTTTACGATGTGCACATGCATCTTGTGTAAAAAAGACCCATCGGAAGTGTGGCGTTTGGGCCTCCCCGTTTCCCATTATTCAAATAGACCTGAAAATCTTGAAGCATTTCCATCTCACAAATTATCATCTCACACATTATCGATGGCTGCTTCTACAACTTCAATTTCGAGCTCTTCTGTTGGAAGCACAAAAAAGGCTCGCTCGCACGACATTAATGTCACCGTTACCCAAAGCATAGACCCTGAGAAAGTTCAACAAGAACTTGAAAAAGATGACTGGCTGTTTCACGAGGGAAATGTGGAAGAATTAGAAAACTCTCCGTATCCAGAAGTCCGTGCTTCTGTCACGTTGGACATTGATATGCATGTCAAGCTCAACCATTGGAGAACATGGTTTTTGACCATTGCGTTTGTCATTGTTTTTTCTGGGGTCAATGTCTTCTTTTCCTTGCGCTATCCCTCCTTGTCTATTGGTTTTATTGTGGCCCAGGTGGTTTCATATCCAATTGGTCGTGGTTTGGCTTTGCTTCCCAACTACAAGCCGTCTTTTTTGCCGGATTTTTTTCAATTAAATCCGGGTCCCTACTCAAAGCAAGAGCATGCCTTGCTCACAATTGTGGTTTCGTTAACCACCTCCACGTCTTATGCCATGAACATCTTGAATGCCCAAACAAACTTCTATAATCAAGACCTCAATGTGGGATACATGATCTTGTTGGTCTTCTCCACTCAGCTTTTAGGTTATGGCGCTGCAGGTTTGACTCGGAGATGGATCGTGTACCCAGCATCGATGATTTGGCCCCAGACTTTGGTGACCACTTCCCTTTTCAATACTTTGCACTCCAACAAAAACGATGTCTTGAATACTATGAAAGCTAATGGCTGGTCCATGTCGCGTTACAAGTTCTTCGTTTTGGTATCTAGCTTCAGTTTTGTCTTCTACTGGCTTCCAGGATATTTGTTCAAGTCCTTATCGTACTTCAACTTCATTTGCTGGATCTGGCCCAAGAATATTGTTGTGAACCAACTTTTTGGTGTCGAATCTGGATTGGGAATCATTCCCATTTCCTTTGATTGGACTCAGGCAACCCAGGCCACAAACACTTCTCCTTTGGCAACACCAGCATGGGTTTCTGCCAACACTTACGCTTCGGTCTTCATTTTCTACATCCTTTTGTTGCCAATCTTGTACTACACAAATACCATGTACGCCAAGTACATGCCAATGATGTCGACAACCACTTACGACAACACAGCCAAAAAGTACAATGTCAGCAGAGTTCTCACGAAAGATCTCGTATTCAACAAGGAAGGATACAAGGCGTATTCACCATTGTTTGTGCCCTTTTCATACTTGCTCTCATATGCCCTTAACTTTGCAGCCGTGATTGCGATTTTTGTTCATTGTGCTTTGTACCACGGCAAAGACATTGTCAGGAAGTTGAAAGACCAGAGACATGGAGGCGAAGACATTCACAAAAGGTTGATGAACAACTTCAAAGAGGCGCCAGATTGGTGGTACTTGGTTTTGCTTGCCGTTTCAATTGTGCTTTCCTTCGTTACGATTTGCAAATTCGAAACCCAGTTACCGTGGTGGGGTCTCATCATTGCTCTTTTGATTGCATTCCTCAATTTCATTCCACAAGGATTGTTGGAAGGAATCACCAACCAGCACGTTGGCTTGAACATCATCACAGAGCTTGTTGCTGGTTACATCTGGCCCGGTAAACCAATTGCCAATATGATGTTCAAGCTTTACGGGTTCATTCCTATGAGACAGGGCCTTGACTTTTCTCGTGATTTGAAGATCGCCCAGTACATGAAAATCCGGCCACGGATCTTGTTTGCTGCTCAAATAGTGGGCACTTTAGTCTCTTGCTTGGTTAACGTTGGAGTCCAACAGTGGATGCGCTTCCACATCCACGATATTTGCTCACCCACTCAATCAGATGGTTTCACCTGTGCTAACGGTAGAACTGTTTTCAATGCCTCTATTATCTGGGGTGCTGTTGGTCCTGGCAAATTATTCAGTCCTGGGAAACGCTACAATGCCTTTATGTACTTTTTCCTTATTGGCTTTTTTGCACCCATTGTCACTTTCTTTGTCAAGAAAAGATTCCCTAAGCACTGGGTGGGCAAAATCAATGCTCCTGTCTTCTTCACTGGCCCAGGAAATATTCCTCCATCGACAGTCTACAACTACTCGTTGTACTTTATTGTTTCCTATGGTTTCAACCACTACATTCGCAAGTGGTACCGTCTTTTCCACATGAAATACACCTACATTTTGTCTGCGGCCCTTGATTCTGGTGTCTCCATTGCCGCAGTGCTTATTTTCCTTTGTGTTTCTTACCCAGCTGGTTCCCTTAGTTGGTGGGGAAATAACGTGTACAAGAACACTTATGACGACGCTTACAAAACCTATTATAAATTGGGAAAGAACGAAACATTCGGGCCCACCACATGGTAAACAGGGCATGATAATCTTGCGAAACCTAATTGTTTAATGAAATAGTCGATGGCATCAATACATAATACTCGAGTCTATATTGTACATTTTTATGTGCGTAAAATCGTAATAGCCAGTACTAATATATGCCCTTTCGAATTCTATTCGTCTTACTTATTAGGATGAACGTAATACCTGTCTCACAAGATACTCGATTTGTCGTTTCGCATGTGAGAAAAGAAGACTCTACTGTAGACTAAAAAAAACTTAAATGATGTCTGTCTTGATTATGGTTCTAAATTGGACTGGTGCGTTACCGTTTAGTTGCAAATGTGCTAAAGTAGTGTGATGATATATATGCGCGTGCCAGAATTTACATTGCCTAATTGAGTGCAACAAGTAAAAACGTAGATAAAATTTTTACGGCTGTGTGCAGGGCCTTCAATTTGCATTCACTGACACATCAGCAAAAGAAGTAGACAGGCTAGCAAAATGGGAAAAATGAGTAAAATATGGAGCAATACAGCAAGAATCCAAACCTAGCATATGGACTCCTTTTGTTTGCCTGCTTTTGTGCCTCTGTTCAGACATTAGCCAAATCACATAGTTAAGGAGACCGGATACTACATTAGGCCCACAAAACGTCCACTTCGTAACTACTAGTACTATCTGCGATCATGAGTATCTAAATTCGCTTTTACCCTCATCAATGGCACAATGTGATGCCAAAATGGCAGCATCTGGATTGGAGAAACCGTTGACGGTATATCACGTGCGGAAATCTAGGGCTCGCGACCTAGCCTCATTGTCCCGATTAGGAAGGTATACTCACAACTTCACTACAAGAAGCGCGAAAATCACACATGTGAGCACGGGCACCTGCACAGGAGCCGCACAAAAATTTTTCACACACCGCACTCTAGCCAAAGCTCTTTTCTCTCTCTCTCCTGTTACTTTTCTTCTCCACCAAAAAAATGTCTGACGTCGAGGAACAACAACAACAAATCGAAGAGCCAGTTGTGCAACAAGAATTGCAGTTGGTTGAGTTGGCCACCCCAATCCCAGCCGATGTCCAAGCTGCTCAACAAGAGATCAAGTTGTTCAACAAGTGGTCTTTTGAAGATGTCGAAATCAAGGACGTTTCTTTGGTTGACTACATTCAGGTCAGAACCCCAGTGTTCATCTCCCACACTGCTGGTAGATACGCTTCCAAGAGATTCAGAAAGGCTCAATGTCCAGTTATCGAGAGATTGACCAACTCTTTGATGATGAACGGTAAGAACAACGGTAAGAAGTTGAAGGCTGTTAGAATCGTCAAGCACGCTTTGGAGATCATCCACGTCTTGACCGAGCAAAACCCATTGCAAGTTGTTGTCGACGCTGTTGTCAACTCTGGTGCCAGAGAAGACTCCACCAGAATCGGTTCTTCCGGTACCGTCAGAAGACAAGCTGTCGATGTCTCTCCTTTGAGAAGAGTCAACACCGCCATTGCTTTGTTGACCATTGGTGCTAGAGAGGCTTCTTTCAGAAACGTCAAGACCATTGCTGAATGTTTGGCCGAAGAGTTGATCAACGCTGCCAAGGGTTCTTCTACTTCTTACGCTATCAAGAAGAAGGACGAGTTGGAGAGAGTTGCCAAGTCCAACCGTTAAGAGGGTGGTGCGTGTATTGTATATTTTCATACTAAAGTCATTTTAATGCGAAGTGTAATTGCTATTAACTGCGTATCATCAAGAGGTTGGAAACTGACAACTGTGGAATTAGAATACCATCTAATTTCATTTATTGTGGCATTTTGCATTAATCTTGCGTACCTAATTGCACTGTGCCACATTTCATAAGACTGAAGTAAGGTGCCAGACAATTAAGCTCACACTTACATAGGCAGGTTCTTGTACGCTTCTTTTATCACTGTGGGCTTTTTATGAAGATGCGGCGAAACCTGGAGTCTCAGAATACAATCAATATCACCTGTAGTCGAAAATATTTACCGAGTAATGTTACATCACCTCCACCAAAAACTATATTCTCCTTTCCATTAATTAGTTCCATGCCCCCATATATAAAATACATAACCCTTTCCAAACCCTCTCACACTCTGAGGGGATAAAATAATCGAAGAAAAAAGCATAGAGGACCGTTTTTCAAAAGCTGGTCATACCGGTCGAGTCTTGCTTGTAAAAGAATACATTCTTCTGATTTTTCATCGTCTTCCGAGAAGTTTTCGCTGTTGAGGATTGTGTTCAAATGCTCCAATGTCTGTCTGCGTCTTTCGATAAAAGTTATCCGAACTGCCCACTCTCTATTAATGAGACCGATTAATAGACAGGCTGTAAAGCAGCATCCTGTAAATATTTGAGCGTTTCGGTACGATTTTGGCCCGTTACCCTTTTTGAGTTTAAGTCCAATCACCTCAGCTGGAAGCGAAAAAAGACCAACGACAATATTTAGAATCGACCAAACAGCAGGGAGTTGACCGGGCTTATCTAAAAGCTCTAAAGAGTCCAAGGCCAAAGATTGGGCCATAGTACTTCCCAAGCCAACAGGGCCACCTAGGAGCACAGCTAACACTATTAAAGATGCATAGGAGGAGGCGTTTAGCCAAAAGGCGAAAAGTAAAACCGCCACATATGCACAGAAAAAAGAAGCCGTGTTATAACGGCCAAAAATATCTCCTAGTTGGCCGACAGTAGGTCTGCCCACAACTTGGGCTCCGTTCAATATAGCCAATAAGTTTGACGCTTGCGTGTGAGATAATCCAACCAGGACAGCGTAGTTCGAGAATGAGTAAAGCACCAAGATGTAGCCAATGAGAATGATGCCAAACCATATTGCCAAAAGTGCAATGGGGTACTCTTTGAAAGTACTGATATCAAGAATGGTCTTGATGTTTGAAAGAATATTTGCTTTTGTTAAATTAGCCCTGTAAGGAATTTTTTGTGGGTTTCTTGGTCTCATGAAAGCAGCTGCAAAGCAAGAAACACAAAATGAAATTATGCCAACCATCCGTAATGCCCATTTTTGGTTTCCTGTTTCTTCAATGACTCGATTGAGCGAAAGAGCAAATACCACACCTCCTAAACCACCTCCTGCCACAGCAATACCCATGGCAGTGGATTTCTGTTTCCGAAACCAAGTGGGCAAGATCAAAGTTCCAGGGATGAAAATCATCGCAAATGAAAGCCCCACCATCACACCTTGGCAAACGAAAACCTCCCAGAACTTGGTGCTAACAGATGCAAGCATATACGCTAAAGTCTGGATGGTGATGCCCAATAAATTTACGGGAGTCTGCCCGACTGTTTTCACTGCTAAAACAGTAAGAGGCGCCAAAAACTGTGCTAGAAAAACAATCACACCTCCCATTAGAGCATAGTCGTACATAGTAGCACTTGGGAAAGCATTAGAGTTCAAGTAGTAGTTCAAAAACACACCAAATGCAGCATTGACACCCCACGTCGAAAACATCATTAGCATCACCAAAAAAGCCTGCCAAAATGCAAAAGGGCCGTCAATGGGGTGGTCTTCTTTTAGAGTTTCAGACTCGGGATGCGTGTCTGCTTGTTTCGAATCTAGTTGTTCCACGAGAGTCTGCTCCGGAAGCCGGTCTCTATATTCTTCAAACTCTTCATTGTCAAGAAGATGGTCGTCCCTAATGGCTGTAATGATTCTTGAGAGCTCTGAGACATTTGTGGGATTTCGGGACAAGTGCAAAGATCTGCAAGAACTGGAATCTGCCAAAGGCTGAGGTACGAAGTCAGAGTCTTGAATCTTCTCCAGTTCTAGCGACGTGGTCAGATGGATCAGCATGCTAAAGAATAAAGAGAGAAAAGGGGGCCAAGACGGCAAGAAATGGGCTACTGTTTAATGTAGATAAGTGTAGGTTTATGTAGGAGTGTGCTAGCATGAGTAATCATCTCCACTTTAACAACCGGCGCGCCGGTTGCTTGATATGCAATATGCATAAGAACTGCAGAAGTACATGTCCTTTGAAAGTTGAATTAACTCCGTTCGCGTCACACGTTTTTAATGAAGTGTTTGAAGCAGTGTGAGAGTGCAACATTCGGATTTGGCTAGTTCTAGCTTGCTCTGGCGGATTGGTGAAAGCGCAATCGGAATGTGTGAGATAATGGAAAAACGCGCCGCACATGTCAGAAGTGCGGCTCGGATAGCTCTACCCGAAGGGGAAATTGCCGAAGACATGACTTTGTCCCGATTTTAGAGAGTTCGGTGTTTGGATCGTGCAATACAAGGAGGAGTGCGTCCAATTCTATTGATTAGTTATTTTAAGATGCATTACGATATGTTGATTTGATTTAAAGCATAGATTTGCTTATCGGAAACCTCAAGGCGAAGCACAGTTTTTGTGCGAAACGGCTGAAAGAAGGGGAAATGAGATCAGCCCCACAAAATGAAGACGAAAAAAAAAATGTTAAAACCAAAAGATGGAAAACTAGACAGTAGAACCACGTTAGTTTAACATTATTAAGCGATGGGAAGCCTTTTGTCTTTTGTATGCTCGGATCGCGGTCCGACCAAAACGGAGATTAACTCCGGCCTCTTGTAATCAAGATTGCAAGTAATTTGCCAATTGAGAAAATATTAGGTAAGAAAAGCCTGCCTTTTGCCATTCCAAAATGCTTAGGTAGGATGATTATGATGGGGAGTGATAATCGATTTAATTACATATCCAACACTCAGTATGTACTTCACTGGGCCGTACCTCGTAAATAACCACAGTAGAGGCTCGAGCATTCTTTTTACTTCTATTTGCTCCCTGATTTAATTCCAGAGAAATGTACAATAATCGAATGGACCATCCATGAACAGAAAAAGTAAGCCACGAGAAACAAGATTTTGAGCGTTCTTCGAACTGAGTCGTATCCTATTTTTTACCTACAATCACCTAACACTAAATTTGTTTCCACGATCTCTTTACATGGTCATAAAGAACGAGGATCCAAACCTGGGAATTAAATTTCTCCCATTATTCACTGAGACCGGCTGGCCTAAAACCTATAACTCCAGAAACTTTTGCTATGGTGGTCTTTTCCGTTCCTTCATCGATGGTGCCTAATGAAGAGTTAGTAAGCGTATAATCGAGCTTCAATCACCCAGTTAGACTCAGCCGAAAAAGGAGGGACACAAATTGGAACACTAAACACCCCGATCATAATAATCTCTTCAATTGGTTCTCTCATTTGGAATAATTGATTACACTCTTTGTCCTACATGCTGGCAACGATAGGGCGCACAAATTACGGTTAGATCTCATTTATCAATAGCCTTAAATATCATTCAAGAAAGCTCTGATTTCCATAGTTTCTTTCCTACTGTGAGCTGTACCTTCAATTCGATTATCGCCCTTTCCACCGCTTGAGTCTTTTCTTAATTTTTTTTCTGAGCTCTGTCTTTCGATTTGCCTCTACTTATTTTTCCGATCACTATCGCACTCCACAATACTCAGGTCGTGCGCGCCTTTTCATCCGCCCCACTTCTTCTTCATGTCTGGGTCGTCGGAATTTCTCCCCAAAGGCATTGATCTCGTGCAAAAAGCCATCGAGGCCGACACAGCTACACGGTATGAGGAGGCTTACAAACTTTACTATAATGGATTGGACTACTTGATGTTGGCGCTCAAATATGAGAAGAACCAAAAGTCCAAGGAGTTGATCAAGTCCAAATTCACCGAATACTTAACTCGGGCTGAGCAACTCAAAGAGCATTTGGAGAAGCAGCATGCGCAGAACGGAAGTGCAGCAGAACTGTCCCTGTCAGGGTCGACCAAGGCGAAAAAAGCCGGTGAAGACGACGAAGACGCCGATACAAAGAAGCTTCGAGGCGCTTTGGCAGGCGCCATTTTGACTGAGAAGCCCAACGTCAGCTGGGACGACATTGCCGGCTTGGACGCAGCGAAAGAGGCCTTGAAAGAAGCGGTCATTTTACCCGTCAAGTTCCCCCAGTTGTTCACTGGAAACAGAAAACCCACCTCGGGAATCTTGTTGTATGGTCCCCCCGGTACTGGTAAGTCGTACTTGGCTAAGGCTGTGGCGACGGAGGCGAACCTGACATTTTTCTCTGTGTCGTCGTCGGATCTCGTGTCGAAGTGGATGGGTGAGTCCGAAAGACTTGTCAAACAGCTTTTCACCATGGCTCGTGAAAACAAGCCATCGATCATTTTCATCGACGAAGTGGATGCCCTCTGTGGGCCCCGTGGTGAAGGCGAGTCCGAGGCTTCGCGAAGAATCAAAACAGAGCTCTTGGTTCAAATGAACGGTGTGGGAAACGATCTGGGCGGCGTTTTGGTGTTGGGCGCCACCAACATCCCATGGCAATTGGATGCAGCCGTGCGGAGACGTTTTGAAAGGCGTATTTACATTGCGTTGCCGGACATTGAAGCCCGCAAGCGTATGTTTGAGTTGAACATTGGCGAAGTGGCCTGCGAGTGTACGCCGCAGGATTTGCGGGTGTTAGCCGAGATGACAGACGGGTACTCGGGCCACGACATTGCTGTGGTGGTGCGAGACGCATTGATGCAGCCGATCCGGAAAATCCAGCAGGCCACGCATTTCAAACGTGTGGATGTGGATGGGGTGCAGAAGTTGACGCCGTGCTCGCCGGGCGACGCCGGCGCAGAGGAAATGAGCTGGCTCAATATTGGCACGGACGAGTTGAAGGAGCCAGAATTGACCATTAAAGATTTCGTCAAGGCTGTGAAGAACAATCGTCCAACTGTGAACGCCCAGGATATCGAGAACCACGTCAAGTTCACCAACGACTTTGGTCAGGAGGGAAACTAGTGACAGAGACTCTTAGGTCAAAGTTGCAGTGCCTTGTGCGTTGAAGGTTGGGTCCTTTGACTTACGTTGAATTCGACATTTCTAGACAGAGCATTACGTCTACTATCTTCTTGAAAATCTTTGAAGAGGCATGTGTGTAATAATGGTGCAGTTAATGCAAGCTGAAAAAAGAGGTAGTAGAAGGTCTATCGAGTCATGTCTGTCAATGTGTCATTTTACGCCTTCCTTTGTTAGAGACTACAGCAATAACAATAATAGATGGAGCTTCCTATCATTCCAATAAATCTTTAAGGTATAACTTTATATCATCCTGATCATAATTCACCAATTACCTAGCTTTCACGCATGGAATTCAAGATGCTCATCTCCAAGCTCTCTACATTTGCCGCAGCAACACTGTTCTACACCTGTATGTCTTCATCACAATCAATTCTAGTAGTACATTCACTAAAGTACAGTGTTTTACTCTCTTGTAGGAGATCTTTCCCGCAAACGCAGGGCAAACAAATCCTCCTCGTCATCTCTTCCCCTCGTCTTGAGTTTACTAGCAAACAAATCCTCGTCGGCATCATCAGCTCTCAGATATTCGCCCCGTCTTTTGTTGCGAGGGACACGAGGCCTGGTTCTATCTGGCTCTCCATGAAGCAAATAGTATCGCGAGTAGGCTCCAGCATTTTTAACTTTTCTGTCCAGCTGGAACGATTGTCTTGCGTACAAAACGACTGCACTATCGTCCTCCTCCATGTCATTCTGTTGCTTCTTTTCCTCTTCAATTTGTTTTTTCTTCTCGCCAAACAAGTCCTGTTCTCGCTTCTTTTCCTCTTGCAGTCTGTGGAAAGCAATGGAAGCACTGTATGGCCGCGTCTCTCTCTCCTGTACGATCGAGGATACATACTCTTGTGAAAAGTCGCTCTTCTGCTCGACGCTGTTGGGCCCAGCAGAAATGGACAACGCATTCAAAGCGAGAATAGCATCTTCGTGTGTTTTGAAGATGGCATTGACATTCGAGTCGTCGATCCACTGGATCCGAAACCACACAATCTTGTCGTTGGCAACGTAGTCGCCGTCCTCTTCTCTGTAGTTCAAGTAGTAGTCTATGAAGAATTTGATGTCGTCGGTGGACAAATTGTCCACACCTCGAAAATGCAAGGCCTCGGGGCGCAAGGTTTCTGTGGTGCCGTTGACAACGACCTCGACCTGCTGTTCCTTCAACTTTTCCTGCTGTTGTTTTTCTTCATCGATTGTTCTTGTCATGAACCCGCCATACGGTGCTGGTTCCATAGTAGTTGGTGGTGGAAAAGGTGTGCATGCAATATATGGGAAATAAGTACGTTTCGAAAGTCTACAACTTTGAGTTCGTTAATGCATTCTAATAGATGGATAGGTTCTTTGTCAGCTCTGACCATAGAGCCGTTGTTTCACTATATAGCTGTTATTTCGTTTCATCTGTGGTCCTAACTGAGCGTGTAGAAGTACAAAATGTGTCAGATGGCTAGAGCACCAGACAGCCATCTAAAATTGTTGGAGCTTCTGACATTCTGGAGCATTAAGATCGTATTTCATTTTTATGGCACTGTGGCTCTCAATAGGTACATGTACCTCTGGTTTCTTTCTATCTTCAAGCTTCCTCGCTCATGGAGTCTGGGTCTTCGCGGACGAAAAGAACGTTGTTGCATCGAATGAAGATCTCGCCAATCTTTTCTTCTCGCTTCCCGTTCTCGTCCCGGATCACTTCATAAGTCTCGTCAAGCTGTAGGTTCATGTAGTTGTCGATGGATAAAAGCGTGCCCTTGTACTCTGTTTTGTTCCATTTCAAACGGACAATCACCTGTTTGTTTAGAAGCGTTTTCAAAAACGGCTTGGGATTAATCGGTTGAAACTGCTGGTTAGTTCTGGCATGGGGGTTTGGAATGGTCGTTTTACGTACGGAAGACATGTTGTGGAAACTGTAGAGAAGAGATGTTGATGGTAGCTGATGATAACAGTGCAGGACTTATTGAGATACAGAGGAAACGTCAGCAAAAGACATGAAAAAAACACAACAGAAAAAATTATGGATAGGAATGACATGCACATCAAACAGTAGCATGCTCTGCTCAGATACCTTCCAATGACACTCACAGAGGAGGAAAGTCACCATTTCTTTACTGGCGTTGGTCCAGCTGTGTGCACTCCCGTGTATTGTATTCCAGATACACTCGTACTTTTGTTAGCATAAACGCCATGTCTCTAACTGCCGTTTTAGCCTCTGGGTTCGCCCTTCGGTTTGCCGTCCCGACGCTTTTGCCGCATATTTCACACTCTTTGGCTGCCACTCCTCAAATCTCCACACCCATAGACTCATTTCGGTCCATTCGAGAAGCAGTGTATTTTTTGCAAAATGGCATGGACGCGTATGACGGCGGTCTTGTTCACCATCCACCGCTTCTAGTGGCGATCTTCCGGGTCCTCAGCGAACTTTTTGGCCCATGGAGTGAAGTTGCGTTCAACTTTCTTTTCGCTGCGGTCGACGTGGGCGTGGCTATCAAACTTACAAACTTGAACCGCTGGTACAACCAGCACCAGTCGAAGAAAACTAAAAGTCAATTCACTGCATTCAGCGATGCGTTAGTGGCGTCGTTATACTTGTTCAATCCGCTCATGGTGTTGACTAACTGGGCCCATTCGACTCAACCAATATCGTATTTCCTAATTGTGGAACTGATTGCCCAGGTCTTGGTGGACAAGAACGCTTATCGCGGAGCCATATCGCTCGCAGTAGCCTCCTACCTTTCTTACAGTCCCTTGTACCTTCTTTTCCCCCTTTTGGCTTTGACATACATGGCATCTGGGAGAGGAAGCTGGGGTAGAGAAGTTGTGGTGCAGTGTTCGGCGATTTTCGTGGCATCTCTTTCGATGTTGATGCTCTTATCTTTTGCATTGACGGCGCTGCAAGACTTTGTCTTCCAATGTTACTGGCCGGTTATGCTGTTTCTGAAAATAGCCCCCAACATGGGTCTTTGGTGGTACCTTTTCACAGAGATGTTTGACTTTTTCACGCCCTTGTACAAGGGAATCTTCAACCTCTACAGTTTCGTGTTCATTGTTCCTCTCACCATCCGTCTCTATGAGCCCGCTTCGCTGCCGAAAACAGGAGACTCTTTTTTAGCAATGGTGTTATGTTGCTTGTGGGTTTCTTTCACGAAACCATATCCAGTGGTTGGTGATCTAGGATTCATCTTGTCCATGCTTCCGATTTTCAAAAACACAGTGATTCCACGCACAAAGTTTTTGCCCTTGACGATGTTGATGCTTATTGTGTGTTTGCTTTTGGCACCTATTTTCTACTACTGCTGGATCGTTTTGGGCAACGGAAACAGTAACTTCTTTTACAGCATGAATCTTGTGTGGGCTGGCGTACATGTTTTGCTTTTCTTGGATCTTATCTGGGGCCGCTTGGTGTACGACTATGTCCAGATAAACCAAGTCAAGGACACTGAAAGTATTCGTTTGACACAAATGTAGTGGCTATAGAAATGGAAGTCGATACAAGACCTTCAAAGAATGGTAATGGGAGTGTCTTCTCTTTGTAGTGAGCTCGCTTTTTCTGGAATCCGTTTTCAATACTAGAGATTCTCCATACTATAGGCAAGCACTATTTAAAGCCACAGATGATAAATTCGCTTCTGGTTATTAAAGTTTAGGCAACTAGCTTTAAAATTGCCTCATCCAAGTTCTAGTCATTTTATAGATGGTCAAGTATCACGAATTAATAATCTTCACTTCGACAATTCCTTCTGTGAGAATTTTTATCTTGATTCAAATTGTAAAGATGAACAAAGCGATTTCATAAATCAACCCAGAGAACTACTATCTATCTTATCTTACTTTGACTTCACTCTTTCGATTCTCATTTAACAAGATACCTAATCTTACGAAATGGGTCGCACTATGTTGTTCGATATGAGCTTCATTTGGTGCTATGACGTCTTCGTTCTAGTGACAACTAGTAGATTGAAAACACAATGAAGCATTTACAGAAAAGCCCAGCCCACCATCAATTTTGTGTTTTCTTGTGTCTTTATTAGTCTTAGCATATATAGTGACCTGCACACAACCCACACATAACGACCACACCACACAACATTCAAGCATACAGACACATGAGCCGAGTCATCTTCAGCTCGAACTCAAAGCCGGACATCCAAAGCCCCACACTGTAACCAGCCCGCCCCTTACAGCTTGAAAACGGCCAAACGGTGGAGGGTGGGTCACGTGACCCACAGCCAATCACACCCGTCTCATTCGCACTACTTCTCCAAAAAAAAATCGCTACACCTTCATTCTCCCCCATGTTGTCTCGTGTTTCCGCCCGTGCGTACAGCTCTGCTCCCGTGAAATTGGTCGCTAGAGACGCGTCCGGAAGTCTCTCTTCCATCTCCCTTGTGGTCAACAACTCCGGCTCCAAGGCCGGCAAAAGCGGTGTGGCTCACTTGTTGTCCAAGTTTGCCTTTCTCAACACCGAAACCAAGTCTGCCTTGCGTTTCACCAGAGAGTCTGAGCTCTTGGGTGGCCAGTTCTCGTCGCACGTGACGCGTGACGCCATTGTGTTGAACGCCAAGTTCTTGAAGCAAGACTTGCCTTACTACGTGGAAGCTTTGGCCAACACCATTGCCAAGCCCCAATTCCGCCCACACGAGTTCACCGAGGTGGTTGTGCCTGTGGCCAAGGCCGAGGCTGCATCTGCCGCCGCCAGCAACGCCTTTGTTGGCCTCGAGGCTCTCCACGCGCTTTCCTTCAGAAAGGGCTTGGGAAACCCCTTGTACTATAACCCAGCTTCCTCTGTGTCTTACGAGGACGTGACAGAGTTTGCTGCACACGCGTACACGGCCGGCAACGTGTCGCTCGTGGCTTCGGGCGTCAACGAGGCTGACTTGGCTGGTTTTGTGGCCGAATCCGCCTTCTCGGACTTGTCTGCTTCTGCCGCTTCTGCTGTGCCAGTCAAGTCCTTCACCGGCAAGGAGACCCGCATCACTGCCGCTGGTGAGTCTTTCGCAGCCATTGCTGTTCCTGTGGCCAAGGCTGACTTTGCCAAGTACGAAGTCTTGTCTGCCGCTGTCGGCACTTCTGTTTTGGCTGGTGTTGACTCGCCTTTGGCCAAGATCCCAGGCGCCGACTCCAAGTTGTACCAATACCAAGACGCCGGCTTGTTCGTCGTTTCTGTGTCTGGTGACGCTGCTTCTGTTGCTCAGGGCATCAAAAACGCCAAGAAGGCTGTCGAGGCCGTCTCGGCTTCTTCTTTGTCTGCTTCTCTCAAGGCTGCCGAGTTGTCTGTTGCTTTGCAAGAGTCCTTCGAGTTCCCAAGAGAGATCAAGATCTCTGCCGACAGCGCCAAGGGTGTCAAGTTGGGCGAGTTCAACTACGTGGCTGTGGGCAACACTGATGTTTTGCCATACGCCGACGAGTTGTAATGCATATTCATAGAGCACATACATAAGACGCTGCTGCCATACGTACAAAGAATGTAACTGAACCGCTACTGAGATTCTAACATTATCATTTTGTATCTGCATACTATTACTAAAGCTTTCAAATCTGTCTTGCACAATCATGCGAAACAAAACACCCGTACATCCCGTTTATTCCCCTCTGGCGCCCCTCCGAAAACTCGATTTATTTTTGTAGATTTAGCCTCTTAAGAGCTTCAATGTGTTCCTGGAAGTGGTTTAAACTCTCCAAACACTCACGCTCAATTTGACGATATGATGCAAGAGATAAGATGTAAACCCTTATGAGTTTAATCCTGCACACAGCCACATACACTCATCTCAGCATTCTTCGTTGACAAATCTTCAACAATCTAAAATCATGTCGGACGCGGAGGAAGCTTACAACGAGGCCCCAGAAAACTTTGAGGATTTCGATGCTCCAGACCATTTTTCAGATGACGAGTTTGCCGACCCAGACCCAGTCTCCCACCAAAACGGCAATGATGCCGAAATGAAAGCCGAAGATGGCAGAACCATAGTCCATGGCGGCTACAGCGAGGCCGATGCTCAAGTAAGAGTGAAAACAACAAAGGAGTTGGCGATCCCCAAAGAGGACAGAACAACGACACCATACATGACCAAGTACGAAAGGGCCAGAGTGTTGGGAACCCGTGCATTGCAGATTTCTTTGAATGCGCCTGTGTTGGTGGACATCGAAGGTGAAACCGATCCTTTGCAGATCGCCATGAAGGAGTTGGCGCAGAGAAAAATCCCCTTGGTCATCAGAAGATACTTGCCTGACGGATCGTACGAGGACTGGGGCTGCGACGAGTTGATTATCGAAAACTAACTGTACATTAATAGATTACCTCTTGACTGTTTGTAGGCAAGCCTGCTGTGCTACTGCTCAGCTTCCTCTGTTTCTGCATTTACTCTAGCTTTGTTTCTGCATTTACTCTTCCTTTGTTTCTGCATTTACTCTATGTACGCCCCGATCCAGTTGGAGCCGTAGAATAGCTTCTTGCCGTCCATCTGCTCCTTCACAAAGCCCTTGGTGAGCGAGTCAAACGCCTGGCGAGAGAGGCGGTGGTCTCCTGAGCCAATGTCGCCTAGCTGCACCGAACAGCACGCTTCCTTCAACTCGTCAAAGTCCACTATAAGGTTGAACTTGTTTTCCTCCGTGGTGAACACTTTCAAAGCGTTGACAATCGTTGTCTTGTCGTCGACTTTACTCAACTCCACAGCAATCACCTGTGAAAACTGCGCAAACGTAATCAGATCCCCGCCGCCTAGCATGTCTTTGAGTGTTTCGTCTGAAGGTAGCTCCAAGCCCAAAGTTTTGTGGACATTGACCAAATCCGAAAGGGTGATTTTTCCATCCTTGGAGTCGCTGTCGATCAACGTGAAGGCATTTCGAACCTGCGTTTTTTGTTCGTTTGAAAGAGTGACAAGTACCATGATGTAGATGTGGTTGACTTGTCATACGCAGGATGTAAACAGACGATTTGGTCTGATACAAACAAAAAAAAGAAAAGAAAGAACAAGAAAGGGACAAAGGAGAGACATTATATTTAATGACTTGGGAAAGCTGGCTGTCTTTGTTGGTTAACGATTGGTCTACTGATTTATATCTGACGTGGTGATATTTGCTTATCAACACACACGCATGCATACTGAATAGACATACGAAGTAGCTTATGTCGACATTCACCATCAAGCGATTGAATAAAGAAGTTGAGCCATGATTGGTTTCCGAAAGACAAGCCATAGTGTTTCAAAGGAGATGTTAGAATAGGCATGACAGAAAGACGATCGTACAGCGGAAACAAGGGAACAAAAGTAGAAGTTTGACATTCGTCCATTCAATTGAGTTGCTTTGGACATACTGTAGCTTGAACAGTGATTACTACGTGGTTCACTTCCAAAACATGCCATAGCCCATTCCTATTTTACTTCCTTAGTAATTTTTGCGTTTTCTTTTCAGTTTTCTTAACGACCTAATCTTCTCATTCAAGATTCTTCCCGGTCAGTTTTCTCCCGTATCGGTTTTCCTTCTTTTGACTTTTCCATCCAGTTCAGTTTCTCAATTCATCCATATTTCTTTACCCTCTTTTATTCTTCGCACAATCAGCCGCATTTTCTCGCGTCTTTTCACATAAACATGGAAGAAGGCGCCCTATATAACCACCCTGTGGTGATAGACAATGGATCAGGCAATATCAAGGCCGGCTTTGCTGGCGAGGAAAAACCAAAATCTACCGGTCCTTCGCTTGTCGGCAGACCCAAGTACCAGAAAATCATGGCCGCGTCGCTGTTATCTACATTGGAAGAGAAGGTGCTGAAATACAACAATTCCGAAGCGTACGTGGGCAGCGTGGCCCAACAAAACAGAGGCTTGCTTCGGTTGAACCATCCCGTGGCGCACGGGGTTGTCACTGACTGGGAAGATATGGAAAGGGTCTGGCACCACACGTATTCCCGTGAGCTCCAAACAGCGCCCGAAGACCACCCACTTCTCATCACGGAGGCACCGTTGAACCCGCGGGCCAACCGAGACCGCATGTGCCAGATTTTGTTTGAGACTTTCAGCGTGCCGTGCGTTTATGTGTCGGTCCAGGCAGTTCTATCTCTCTACGCGTCAGGCAGGACCACCGGCGTTGTCATCGATAGCGGTGATGGCGTGAGCCACATTGTTCCAGTGTACGACGGATTCACGCTCCCGTCCGCCATAAAGCGCATGGATGTTGCGGGAAGAGACATAACAGAACAGTTGGCGCTCAATGTGCGACGTATGTCTGGCGTTGTTCTTCAATCATCATCCGAGTTGGACATTGCTCGCTGTATCAAGGAGAAGTGTTGCTATGTTTCCAAGGACCCGAGCCGGGACGAGAAACTCTACAGTGGCCTGTACTCATATCTTGGAGCCACAAACCACGAGGGACTGGGTCTATTTTCGTCGTACAAGCTTCCGGACGGGCACACGCTCAACTTGGGCGTCGAGCAGTTCCGGGCACCCGAAATACTCTTCAACCCGCAGATTATCGGCGACGAGTCGCCTGGAATCCACGAGCTTGCAGCTTTGGCCATTTCCAAAACCGACTTGGACTTGCGGCCTACGCTTTACCAGAACATTCTCTTGTCGGGCGGAACCACAATGCTTCGAAATTTTGGCGACCGACTCATATCGGAGTTGAAAGCGTGCCAGTACACAAATTCTGGATATACATGGGGATCCACGCCGAACAAGGACAACAGAATGAAAATTAAAATATACGCGCCGCCTGAGCGCAAATACAGCACATGGATAGGAGGCTCGATTTTGGCAGGGCTTTCTACGTTTAGAAAAATGTGGGTTACAGCGCAGGAATTTGCAGAGGACCCCGACATTGTGCATCGGAAATGCATGTAATCTACGTGAGGCTAGCAGACTGGCATAATGAGCATTTGAGCATATGAGAGGAGGTTTAGAGACATTTATATGATAAACATGTGCATAGAGGTGAAACTAACGGATTGACACAATATTTAATGGAGCATAGGAGGTTTAGAGTATGTGCCTGGCTTTACCTTAACCATTAGGTTGGTTGTGTAACTGTTTATTGGATTCCATTCAAGACCCGTTCCATCGAATATTGACGAGCCAATACGTATATACTTCCTACCGGAGAAAGTATCATAAGCGATAGATAGTAAACTCATAAAAGAAGGTGGAAATGATGCAATGTAGTGCTTCTAGGGGAATGTACAAAACACATTTGAGCAATGAAAGTTTCTGCTATCTATCTTATCGATGTGGAAGAAATATCGTACTGATAATTCATCAACTTCATTGGTTATCGAGATTTTGCTGTGAAGAAAGCAGAACACATTAGCAACCTCATCACACCCACTCTTCTATTTTCTATTATGTATTAAGTAAACATTGTACGCAGACGTCATTTAAACGAACAGCCAATGACAAGATCAGATACAGTAGTATCTGTCACCAAAGTCACCCAAACCTGGAACAATGTACTTGTGCTCATCCAAGCATTTGTCAATTCCTCCAGTGATGATCTTCACATCGGGATACTTGGCCTGGAATGCCTCGATTCCCTCTGGCGCTGCCAACAAGTTCAAAAAGAAGATTCTGTCCATCTTAACGCCTCTCGAAAGCAAAACTTCCACGGCCATCATGGCACTTCCTCCCGTGGCCAACATAGGGTCCAACAAAAAGACGTATCTCTCACTGATGTCCTCTGGCAACTTCTCGTAGAACAACTTGGGCATGGCGGTTTCTTCATCTCTTTGAATCAAGATCTTACCGATTCTGACCGATCTACAGCAGTCTCTCAAACCTTGCTCCATCGACTCACCAGCACGAACGATGGAAACACCACAGATCTTGCCCAAGAAACGGGCACCAGTGTATTCATAGCTGCCGTGGCACTTGATGACGGCTTTTTCCACAGGCAACTGGTTCAATCCTTCTTCAACCAAGAGTCTGATGATTCTGTCCGAGTAGAAAACAAAATCGCTTCTTTTGGTAGACTTGTCTCTGATGATGGAGTACAAGCCAATGAGCTGGTTTGTTTGAGGCAACAAGATGACGTTTTTGCTGACTTCGTTGGCCATATCTGGATGTTGGATGAAAGAGTGTGCAGAAAAATTATTGTAGTGCAGATCATCGCATGACGCTGAGATAGCATGGACTATAGCCGTATGATACATAATCTCATGACAATAATGCAATGTCCTTTTCTTTTGCTGATTTTTTGCTGGAGAAAAGCCAAGTACTATTTTTCCTTAAAATGCATCTATCATGTCTCCAATGTTTGAATCACGTCATGTAGCATCAGGAACGACAGATACAAGCCGCAAGAATCGTAAAGGTGCAAATAATCAAAAGAGTCAAACGAAATAAGCATACGAAATTGAGTTGCAGAATCAACTTAGAGCTATAAACCCATCCTAAATGACTGAATTACCGAACACAATTGGAGAGTATCTGTCAGGAACAATGAGAAATCGCAATTCTTTGAGAAGCATGCCTCTGATTCTCTTGAATGAACTAGACCCTAACTGACTCTTTAACTCTTGTCTCGTGCCTGACTTTTGTGCTTCTCTCTAACTTACTTCCTGCTTGTTTTCCTCTACCGTCCTCTCAACTATTCTTTATACTTATACACTCTGTTCCACCGCAAAAGGGTTGGAGATTTCTTCTGTTCCTGCCAACGGAGAAATGGTCAACATCTGCGGACCCCTCACAATCACGGTTCCCAATTCCCTTGTTTTTTCCGTCAACATGGACTCGTCCTCTGGGTCTCTGAGCTGCTCCACCACTTGCTCCAAAACCAAGTTCATCAACTGGTCGTAACCTTTCAAGACGCCCACCACCTGTCTGCCGCCAATGAACTTGACCACCACCTTCTGATCGTAGTATTTTTTCAAGTCCAAGATGGCCTCTTTCTTGGGCCTGTCTTGTCTGGAGTTGTTGGATCTTCGATCGTTTCTGTCCAGTCTATCGTGGCGATCGTTTCTATTTCTGTTTTGGTTCTGGCGACCGCCATGTCTGTGGTTCTAGATTGTTAGCTGCTGCTGTTTTCTTCCCTGAGATGCGAAGTACATACGTTATCCATGTCGTGGTTTGTTTTTGACTTTTACCAAGTTGAACACTTGAAAGTGTATGCGCACTGAAAATGTACGCACTCCAAACAGAGAAATTTACCTGCCAATCTTTTCTTTACAATTTAATTTTTTCTTTGCCTTTTCTTTCTTCCATGGATATCCCAGTCTACTTCACGTCGGACCTCACATCGTCGGAGAGACGTGTGTCGCCGCGATGGACCATTGGCTACTTGAAACAGCGATTGGAACAGATTACCGGAATCGAATGCCAGTATATGGCTTTGCACCATTACCCCAACGGCAATAGCAACGAATATAAAGTGATAGGCGACAAGGACGACAGCACGCTAGCCGAGTACAATATAGCGCCGTACTCGCGCATCCATGTCATGGACTTAGACCCAAACTCGAAACTAAAGCAGCTCAGTCAGGTTTCGGCCACACAAGAGTTCCAGCTCTCAGAGGAGGAGTACAACAAACGGGCCGACTCGGTCTTGCAATGGAAGAAACAGCAGCAGTTGGGCCGTTTCGACCCGGCCTATAACGACAGCAAGAAAAGAGCGCAAGAAGAAAACGAGCAAAAGGCCCAGAACATCCAGGTGGGCCAGCGGTGCCGCGTGATCAACATCGAGGGCGAGAGAAGAGGTGTGGTGAAGTTTGTCGGGCGCATTCCCGAATTGGACAAGGGCGAAAGTGTATGGACCGGAGTCGAGTTTGATGAACCTGTGGGGAAGAATAATGGCACCATAGGCACACTTCGGATTTTCGACGCCAAGCCCAACCACGGGTCGTTTGTTCGGCCCAAACAGGTCGAAGTGGGCGATTTCCCCGAACTTGATCCTTTTGCCAGCGACGAAGAAGAATTGTGATTTGGACCTTTGATTTGGGGCCTTTGGGTCGGACCTGTGTACAGCCGCAACATCTACGGCAGGCGCGGGCAAGTTTATGTTGGAAATTTCTGCCACCGCCACCAGAAAAGCTGAAAATGGACGGATCGGAAACTTCCCAAGCTCCATTTGCGTTTGTCTACAACTATGTCGACAAGGACACGTTGCACAAGTATCTTCGCTTGACGATAATTGTGTGCTTGTATGTTTTCTTGAGATCATACTACTCCAACTACGCCAAACAAAAAGAGATCCAGCGCAAGATCGACGAGGACAAGAGGGAAAAGGCATTGGAAAAGGAGAAGGCGGAAACCGAAGAAGCCGAGACGTTGAGCAAACTTGACGATGAGGCGCAGACTTTTGGCTGGGGAAAAGCCACCAGAAGAACCGTGAAGCGTCAAAGTGCTGCGTTGAAGCAGCAGGCGGAAGACTTGAGAGAGTACCACCAGAGCGCATACGATGCAGCAGAAGACCACGACATTGACGATTTGTTGGAGGATTGAGTGAGATGAAACCATGGCTGGAGGAGAATGGGTGTTGACCGTAAGCCCAACCAAGACAAAGACTATAGAAAACAGTTACCAAATATATTGCTTTGCATTTAGAATTTAACTTCCGTACACAGTCGGTTCTGCTCGTGTTGGAATGATTTCTTTTGTAGTCTAATGCTGAGTGCGATCTGCGGTTCCAAAAAGGTGATAATGATCGGTGATTGCCGAAATTGATTACTATGTGCAATTAGCTTAGCAGTTCCCTAATTGCAAAGCTTGTTTCAAAATTCGAAGATACATTAAATTAAATTTGGAGCGATTATTACAAATCAGTGATTATTAGTGCGCTTTCGCAGTCTGATGGACACCTATCCTACCAATAAGCCAACTTCAAAGAAAACACAGTAGTAAAATATTAAGAGGATTAACAGATTTCATATAGAGGCTCACAGCCAAGCTATTTTCACACTCGAGATACTACAAAAATATGCAAAGCCAAAGAATCGAGATTGATCAACATTCAAACCAAAGAAGAGCATCTATTGAAATTCCCAACCGCTAAGCCAACTTAAATATTCAAGCTAACGCAATGTTTTTCCCGAATTTTTTTTCAGAAGTTTTTCCCGAAAATTGCTTGAGTGGACTGCTGATATAGATTCAAAGCAACTCCCAACCTGCACACTGATGGAGATGCGATGGCCCATAGTCAAAAATTTAAAAAACCCATTATACGCTAGCAACTTAGAACAACATGGCCGGCGACCCGTTTCTCTCAGATCCTTCGAAAAAGAGGAAGAGAAACAACAGAACAACCAGCGTGGCGAAAAAATCTAGATCAGCCACGCCCTCTGCATCACAAGCTCACGATTCGGAAATTTCGAGCGATTCGGGCGAATCTGGCACCGAAGACGAAGCCAAGTTCGAAAAAGAAGACGGCGACCTTTCGTCGGACGAGGAGTTTGCCACAGAAAATGCGGCCGACAAGAGAAGACGACTCGCCAAACAGTACTTGGAAAACCTAAAAGCCCAGGATCTTGAAGGAGATTTCGATGCCGCCGATATTGACGAAGACCACTTGGCCCGGCGTTTGCAAGAAGACGTGGCTGAGACCAAGGGTTACGTCTACAAGTTCTACTCTGACAAAATCGAGCAGCAATTGATGGACGTCTCGCCCAAAGGCACGCGGATTGGCTCCAAAAACTTGACTGGTGTTTCTGTGAAGCATCCATATATATACACAGTTTCCAAAGACATGGAGTTGATCAAGTGGAAAGACACAGGGAAGCAAAAGCCCCAGAGAATAAAGCACAGCAAGGGCGGTGCCCGGTATTTCAACGTCAACACGCGGAATCCCAGTGCAAATCACCACTGCGACCAAATCAACTGCGTGGCGGCTTCGCCCGATGGAAAGTATGTTGTCACTGGCGGCAGTGATGCCCGGCTCATAATCTGGTCCGCCGAAAGCTTGTCGTGTTTGAAAGTGTTGGAAACGCGGGCTGCCGTCAACTCCATCACATTCAGAAGAGGAACAGACCAGCTTTTCGCCGCATGTGCCGATTTGCGTGTAAGAACATTCAGCATCAACCAGTTTGCACAGTTGGAAATTTTGTACGGCCACCAGGACAACATCACCGACATTTCTGCCTTGGGCAAAGAAACGTGTGTTTCTGTTGGCTCTCGTGATAAGACTGCCATGTTCTGGAAAATTGCCGAAGAGTCTCGTTTGACCTTCCGCGGTGGTGACTCAGACAAGAAGAAAAGGAAAGACGCCATCGACACAGATGAAACTTTCTATGCTGAAGGTTCGATCGATGTGGTCTCGATGGTGGACGAAACACATTTCCTTACAGGATCAGACAACGGAAATGTATCCTTGTGGTCTTTGTCGAAAAAGAAGGCTTTGTTCACCGAACGCTTGGCCCATGGGTTGATGCCGCAGTTTGTTCCGGGCCAAGCCAGTGCAGAAACCAACGAAGATCTTGCCAGCAGGCAAATTCCTGAAAGACAGCCGTACTGGATCACCGCCATCTACGCCATTCCTTACAGTGACATTTTCATTACCGGCTCATACAGCGGCGAAGTCCGTGTATGGAAGATTGAGCGGGAGAGCTTCCGTCTGTTTAGTCTTGTGGGCTCTGTTTCGGTGAAGGGTTGCGTGGTGAAGATCGATGGAGCAGAATTGCAAGATGACAAGAAGGTTGTGGTGTACGTGGCCACAAGCAAAGAACACAAACTCGGACGATGGTTGGGTAAGGTCGAGGGCCGGAACGCCTTGACGTCATTGACGTTTGATATTTAGCATAGCATAGAGAAGATGTTTAATGTGGGAGGACTGTAGTTGTACTTATGACTAAAACGAAGATTAGTTGATGTTCAGACTGTGCAAGTTAGTTCAGCTAGTGTCGTCGTCATGATGGTATAAACACGGATTCAATTTAGTAGTACAAATTTTCTTGGTTCTCCCGAGCAACATCTAGAGCGACCATCTCACCTGAACCTAAAACTGATTTTCAGCCAAGGTCTGAACTTTTGTGGTTACAAGTAATGTAAGAATGTCAGAGTACTCATGGCCAAAAAGAAAACCTAAGGCCATAAACAGAAATAGTAACCTCTATATTGGCGTTTCAACTACAATGTGTCCGTGATATCTCCATATCTATAGCCTCTATATTACATCTTAAAATGCAGCTTCGTCGTCGCCGTCGTCTCCCATATCGTCGTCTCCGTCGTCGAAGTACTTCTCCGCATTGTAGTCGTCATCGTCGTCCTCTTCGAATTCGTCGTCTGGATCGTCGTCCTCCGCCTCTTCGTCGTTCTGGTTCGTTTGTGGGTCCGCATCGAGATCCTCGGCTAGACTCTTCAATTTCTCCAACATGGACTGGGCCAGTTCTTCCGTTTCGGCCACGTCAAAACGTGCGAGTCCTCCGTCCGCCTTGTATGACGACAAGAGCAACTTCTTTTTCTTTTTCGTGATTCCCATCACCGAGTACAATTCCTCAGGGAAAAACTCTAGTTGGTATGGGTACTCGTCAACAGAACGGCCCACCTTCTTGACTTTCTTGTACTTGTCGGAATATCGTTGTATTGGAGCGGGGCCGGTGTTTGTCTCTTCATCAGGCGATCCTGTGAAGAAAGGGCCGTCGTACATTAGTTTGGCAAAAGCAAGAGCTTGTTTGGCGGCATTTTCTTCGAATGGGGTCAAAGGCCCATGCACAGGAAGAGGATGCTGGGGTTTTTCCGTCTGCTGGCCTTGCGAAAGAACATCCGAGTAGTCTAGACCAAAGGGCAACAAGACTTTTCCCGACGATCTGTTTTTGAAGGACATTGGCGGTTTGAGAAGCGATGCTTCATCGCTTTTATGGGTGCGATCCGGCACGCACGTGACCACAGTCCCAGATCACTGTAATGATAAATGATGTTGTTTTAGCAGGGTTTGGGTATTATTTGAAGAAACAGTATTAGGAAAAGACAGTAGAGGGTTTGTGACGGCGATTGTAAAAGTAAATTTCCGTATATTATGTGTGTTTTAATATGCGGTTATAATGTCTTAAGACTGCGCAGATATGCATACAGTATGGGAATCCAATTATCTGAATACTAGTGCAAAAGTTTGTGTTGACAAAATCTACTGACAGATCCAGTTAAGACAAGCTTGCAAGAAACCGTACAATTATTACGCGTTAAAGAGTTTTATAACTACTTGTGTTATACTTCGATTCCTCGGGTCAAAGGAAATTGGGATTAGGATGTTGAGATTATTGTTCTGGTGAATTTAATTGGATTTTATACAACTGGATTAATAGGTAAGTCTAGCAGCTAAACATAGACTGAGAGGTGAACTTCTAGTTGAACAAACAGACCATACAGACAACTGCTTTCGCTCGTCTCTAAAAGTTATAATTAATTGAATTAGTAAGCTGAAGTTCAAGAGCTAGTATTGGACTCTTCTCAACGTGCTCATTCATTGGCTTATTTCCTCTTGCTTTCTGTATCTGACAGCTAATTGGAATGGAGAAAAGAGAAGCATGTGGTTGCAGTAGATTAAGGAATTGCCAAGTAGAAATACGTGCGACCAGTGAATTTCTTCTTTTCGGAATATCAGTACTTTCTTCCATCTGTCCTACTTAATCTATTCTAATGCGCTATCTTTCAATGAATCATTCTCCTGTTTGTTTACGGGTATTCCATACTAGAAAAATTAGTGTGAATGTGTTCTTGTATCTTCAAGCAGAATCATCATTGGAAAATAATAAAAAAGGTTCTAGTAGACTCCTGGAAACTTTATGGACAGCGTTAAAAATAACGCAAAATGCAAAGAAAAAGAAAAAAGTGTCCTAAAAAAAGAACCAGAATCAGCCTTTGTACGAAAACGGCAGTGTTATTGATTTCGACCCACCAGCCACCCTGTGTGTTGAGAATCTCTTACATGCAATATGCACGTCAGGATTACTCCAGAACAGTTTCATCGTTATCTTACAGATTCTGAAACTATAGGGCTACACATCGTACCCCTCTCTGTTTTAAGAAAGGTTTCACCTTGTAGTTCTCACGGATATATAAGATCATCTATTCTCTCTAAGATGGATTCCCTTCTCTAAGGATCATCTCTCCATCTCCCGATACATATATGTCTATGTCAATCAAACGTCACTTATCAATGTTTACTCCATCTACTGCTCCTGCTGATGCTATGAAACCATCTGACTCTAGATCCTCACTGGAGGATTCATTTAAGGAATCCTCTGGGTTAGTCTCTGGTCTACCAGCTCCAAACACAGTTGTGTATACAGCTCTGTTTGTTGCGCAAAGCATTGAACACTGTGACCTCCTGCAGGCAAGATGTTTTACGATTCCCAGCTACTACTTCGACTAGTTTACTTTTCTTCTGTTGGACCTCCCAACTTCACGCATAATTTTCAATTTTTTTTTTATTTTAGGTCACTAAAATGAATGGACCAGAAACTGCCGATGGCACACTTGTCGTAATGGTGTGCCGAGCAAAGCACCTTCCCAATCGCCGGAAACTAGATAAACAATGTCCATACGCGCTTCTACGGATCGGAACAGTGGCCCAGAAAACGCCCAGCCACTTTCGTGCGGGCCAGACGCCCGAGTGGACTCATGAGTGTCGTTTCACGTTGTCACGAGAACGCAAACCCATCATGAAACTCGATGTTTTGGACGAAACGAAAAACGATCCAACACCCGTGGGAAACACGGAAATCGACTGCTCGCGGGTATTTCTGGACCCGGCCAACTTGCATGAGGGCGGCAAATACATTTTGGACGCATGGCACGAGTTGCTGTGCCAAGGGCGACCCGCAGGCATGATTTACTTGGAAATGACATTCTACCCCAGCGCACCTGTTCCGCCCCCTAAGGCGAGCACCATGAGCGCTTACGAGCACAGCAACTACAGTCTGCCCGAAGCAGATTTTCTGCGGCGTTCCCACAGCCCGGAAATGCTTAGGCGGTCGGATTTGCATTCTCGTTCAACATCACCATCACATACGCAAGCACCTCCACCTCATGGCCCCTTTGAATCGCACAGTAAGCAAACTCTACCGCGGCTGGAGGTGAGGCCACGGCCACATCTGGTGGCTGATCCGACCACTAGCGTTTTTGTCACCGAGAAAAAGGAGCAGGGCCGTTTTAGTAAACTCAAGTCTCGCTTACGTTCGTTCGAGCCACTGACCTTGTGGGAACCGAAGCCGCGTCTAGCAGAGCCCGAGGGTGTCCCCCAACTCCATGACGATGTGGTTTCTCCTCCACCACCTCCACCACATTCTCCAGAACGTCCAACGTATCCTCAACGGCCCCAGCTGCGTGCATTTTTCCCTGACAGAGAGCACAATAGGTCGTCACTGTCGGATGCACCGCAACGCAGCCCAAAGAGAGGTGGCCATGAACGGCTTACAGAAAGATTCGGCCGTTCAGCACATCTGGATCCTCTGGGTAGCGAGAACCGTAGGCCCACGCGGCGACCACCGCCTGACTTGGCGCCTACTCCCGCGGTGGTTCCGTTCTCTGCTGACACGTTTGGGGCTGATGATTTGCCGGATATCCCCGTGTTTGCCCCAGTGTCAGAGCCTAAAATCTACTCCAACCCACATGAGCTCGATCCGCAGTATTATGCCCCTACACCGTCGCAGCACGTTGCGTCTAAACAGGAGGAGCTGGGCGAGAACATGCGAGTCGATGTGCGCACAGAAAGCACCGGATATATGGGAGAAGGTCGGTGGAAAGTTGACCGGTATTCGCCAACGGTGTTTCTGCGCGTTGTTGATGAGAATACAAAGCCAGCAGTGCCACCGAAAATACCACGCGGGCTTTCGGAGAAGGAGTATTATACGCTTGAACGGGACAGTTACTTGAAGGACATTAATGGGCGGAGACACTGATATGGAGCATGTGTCTTGTATAATAGTACTCTGAATACATCAGATAGGGAAGAAGCCAGACGTAGGGAGGAAGAAGTAAGCCTCGAATGCTAGGAACGGAAGAGGCAGAATGTACAGCTTATATCACCTTTGGTACGAATACTCTGGTCACCTGAGTGAAAGAAAAGCGGTAGATCATGAAGCCTGACTAAATTGAACAGACGGTTCCTTGAAAGAATTAGTATCAACATGCTTTCAGCGGTCCTTGCCATGCTCTGCAATTAGCAAAGAGTTTCCACGTTGACACTGATTGCTTCAGATGTAGAACCGATTATTTGGAACCTACATTGCGAATACTCTGTTTTCTCCATGATCACGAATGCTCTGTTTTCTCCATGCTCAACGACTGCAATCTTCTTGATGGCAAAAGAACGATCGAAGTTTGTTCTTCTTTGAGGTGGTAAACTGAAATTAACTTTACATCTAGTCTCAGAACGAACATCAAGCCTACAACAAGTACCTCGCTAACATAATACAACATAATTGACCGAAATAAGAAACGTAAAGAAATACAGTCAGGATATCACAATAAGTGGGCAGCAACAACCGCAGCCATACCAGCGGCCACACCGATAACAGCACCCCCAGCAGCAGACGACAGGCTGGAACCTTGGGTTTTCGAACTGGAAGCAATCGAGGTGTTGGCTGTTGGCGCAGCTTGTACGGACGAGTTGAGGGCAACCATTCCCTGGTAGGCTGTTACATGCGCTTTTGCGGACAAGGAAGACACGGAAGCTTCTGAAGCCAAAGCAGCGGAAACAGAAGAGACCGAGGCCGCGGACTCCGAAGAGACCGAAGCACCTGAAGCAGAAGAGACCGAAGCGGCCGAAGCAGAAGAGACCGAAGCAGCAGACGCAGAAGCAATCGAAGCAGCAGCGGCTTCAGAAGCTTCAGAAGCAGATGCGACAGACACAAGAGAGGCAGACTCAGCAGACGCAATGGAAGCAGAGACTGCAGCCTCGGAAGCGGCAGAGACCGCAGCAACAGATGAAAGAGACGCAGCGGCAGCAGCGGCAGCAGCAACAGACGCAGACTCGGCAGAAGCAACAGAAGCAGACTCAGCAGAAGCAGAAGCTGCAGACGCAGAATCGAAAGACGAAGTGGCATCATCCCAAATGGTTTCGGTGATGGTCACAGTCGAAGTGAGAGTGGTGGGTTGAGCAGCCACAACAGCGGCAAGTGCAAGGATAGTGGTGGCGGAGAAGGAGAGCATTTGGAAAAGGAGTGACTAGGGTGGGAAAAAGTGCTTAAAGCAAAGGAACGACTGGGTCAGTTAACGGAGAGGCAGACCGGATAAGATATTCAAGCACCAGAACCACGGGGTCAAAAAGGGATATTTCGCAGAAGCAAAGCACAAAGTTTGAGAACGAAAAGGTGTAAGCAAACAGAAAATAGGGAGCGGAAATCGCTTTGGGATGTAGCTATGGCCAGTGGTGAAGATTGATGTTGGGTGCAGGCGGCGATGCTTCAAACGGCGTCGAAAACGGCAACTCATCTGCACCTTGTGCTTACGATTTTCCTATTGCGGGAACCCGATTTCCTGATGCAGCCGCTTTGCGCGTATATGCACTCGGACGCATGCACACTCTAAACTGAAGTATGCCGCTTCTGTCCTCCGCTTAAGTTTGTGCGTCTTTTTTGTCTCCGCGATCCATATGATGCATTTTGGCATACTATGGCGCAAAGTCAAAACTACAACTGCTGCTGTTAGTTTATCTATGCATATATATAGCTGCCTTCACCAGACATTCGCCATTTCCCTTCTCCTTTAGTTTTTTTTTGCGTGTGTTGGCGTTGTTGGCGTTGTTGTCTTTTTTGTCGCATTCTGTTTCGACATTACCCCACAAGGCCTAGTCCTTTGTGTCTGTGGTTACGAGCATATACACGTATCTTCAAATGCACCAAATGATGTCGCGTTTCACCTAAGACACGTTGAACTGTGGGCTTCGTGGCAACAGATAGCAAAAGGACTGAATACAGCACACGACCGTTTCCGAAACAATCAGCTTCGTGACAAATGTATGAATCCGAAACCATCAAATTATCTTGGCGTGGCAGAAAAATATCCACATAACTGGTTGTGACGGTGTAGTATAGAGGCAGATTACTTCCCGAAACGTAATGCCTCAACTGTGGAACCTATGGACAGCGATAGGGAAGCAAATAGTAGACGAACCGAAACAAACCACAGCGACGATGAAATTGCCACAGGAACAGTAATCATGCCGAAAGTTAGCTGTTTGACTATATGAGTACTTACAACAATGAGTATACAGAAAACAATAATTGCCTAAATTACATGGAACGGGATGCATGGAAAGAAATAAGCACGAACATCTTTCGATGTTGTTCTCTAACCTTTTGAGTACATAAAGTGCAGCAGAAATAGCGACTTTCCACAATCAGAATATAGCCTTTTAGTGGTGATGTCAAATCGGCACTTAATAGGGCAATAACATTGTGACGTCAGCAAATCGACAAGTTCTAGCGCTGCCAGTTAGGGGCATACCAAAGAAACACCAAGAGGTACTTTCTTTGTTTATTTGGGATAGGTGGAATATATATAAGTACTGTATTAAATACCTTGGAAAAGTATCAATGCCGTGATTGTGAGGGCGCTCTAAAGAGGGCCGCCTTTTAAGGACGCTCCGTAGGTCAGAAGGAAGATTTAGCTATGAGCGCAATTTAATCTTCAGGTTGACTGGTAGCACTAATAATTTGCTAGGGGAAAATTAGTCAACAATTCGGCTAATCAAACTTGGCGAAGCGTCTAGAATAGTATTGTACTAGCAAAGGAATGCCTATACAGATCAAACAACGATCAATCCAATTTGTCGAAATACAAAATAAGTGTAAACCCAGCCTGTTAGCGATAATGAGGAAAAATGCTAGGATATATGCGACATTTTCTATGCTAGTTGAACTTGGACAAAACTGACAAAATTGACATAATTCATTGCAGTCATAGGTCTCTTCGTTGAGGACAGAATTTTGCTTGCTTTGTACCTACGAACCAGGTCCGTCAAAAAAGCAGAGTATTCACCTCTATTCCCTTACCTTCTCTTATTATGGCCATTATCGCACTCGCATTTCCATTATCGAGGCTCTTGTGACTAGTCGCACATTTGGATAGTTAAAAGCACCAGTCGAACTTGGATATAAAAGCAAAGCGGCGAAAATCTAGCATCAGGCACGTTTCCATTTTCTCCACTGAAACCACTTCCCTCCTGTGGCCAATAATTACTCCACAGTGGTGGCCCATTTGGCACGCGCACGACCGAAAATTTTTGAAAACTTCACTATCGAGCGCTCAAGATTCTTTCTACACCACGATGTTGAGAGCCAGTGTCCGCAGATACTCGATCAAAAACCTTCCCTTCGAGTCCAAGCCAAAGAACAAATACAATGAGGCCCGTTCTGCTTTCAACTTGAAACCCGTGCCCACGCAAGGTCTCATACACAATCCTCCAGCTTCCATGCCCAGCGTCACCGATACACCAAAGGCGTTTTTACCACCCAACGATCCTAGATTGAAATATATGGCCGAGAAGTTCAAGACCTACACGCCAGAAGAACTTGAGGACATGCCTCTCATATGGGGGGCCAAGAAAGATTACTCCTTGACTCCAGACATCATTCAGGAAATCATCACGTTGAGAAACCAAGACCCACACAAGTGGAGCATTGCCAAGTTGGCGGCCAAATTTGGTGTGGCCACAAACAAGGTGAATGTGATTACCGGATTCAGCATGGCCAAGCAGCAAAAAATTCTCGAGGAGTTGCAGGCGGTCAAGGAGTCTTGGTCGGACAAGAGAAAAATTGCCAGAGACGACAGACAACGGAGAAAACAAATGTGGTTGAGAAACGAATATTAGCATGTATATAGTATAGGCATTTCATTGTATATTTTTTCATTCTTGTATATCCACCCTCGCCCGAGCAATAACTACGTTGGTCCTTTGGTCCCTGTACCATGTATACCAGCAAAAATATAGTAATAACAGAAAAAAGAAAGAAAAAATGATTATTCGCTGATGCTTCCTTCGAGACCTTGCTCGTGCTCAAGCTCCTTGAGTGTGAGCGCATCTAGCTCCTCTATGTTCTCTTGCACGTTTAGTTTGAACGAGATAATATAGTCAATCAAGCGCTGGACCGAATCGTGCAAAACCTCCCGCTGTTCCTTGATATGATATTTCCATTCTTGATAAGCAATTTTCAAATTCTTGTGCCGCGTCTCCGCTTCAATAATTCCTTTGTTCACATTAATCTGCAACCCTTGCAATTCTCGGTCAAGTTTTTCGATCTGCGCTGAATAGCTTGTTCCTTCACTCACCATTGTCTCGTAAATCTCCTCTTGAGTAGACTTGTTCTTCGCAACTGTAGCCTCAAGGCTCTCAATCTCCTCCTGTTGGTCGAATATTTTCTCCGAATACTGGTCAACTTGTTCCACGATTTTGATGCACTCCTCCTGAATATTATGCACTTCTTGATTGAGTTCTGTTCGACGCAGAAGAAGTCTAATTTTTTCCTCTCGCAATGGCCTGTTGAGAACTTGCTCATAATCGTACCCCTTTGTGTCATCTTCTATCAAAGAGCTGTTTAAAGTGAGGCGGAACAGGTCATCAGACGAAATCTTGTGCGTCATAAGATTATACTGGTTGACGAAACTCTCTAGACTTTGAAAACTCTGTCGCAAATGACTGTCACTCCTTTGAAGGTTCTCTCTTGCATCTTCGATCTTGTTAGACACTGCATCAATCGATTTCGAGAGTTTGTCCCGCTCTTGGTTCAGCTTATCAATATCGGCGATTGTGTATCCCTTATTGATGATGGAGTTTTCGTATGTCTTTTTCTCCATTTCAAGAGCTTTAAGTTGGTTTTCAGCATTGGTAATTTCGGTCTCCATCTGCTGTAAAATTTCACCCCACTTGGACTGGCGCTCCTTCATTTTGACCATGTATTCGGAGAATTGTCGAAGATCATTCTCTAGGGCCTTTGATTTTGCTTCTGCTTCTTCAACCTCACGATACTGGCGGTTCAAAAGATCGAATTCCTGACGTAGCAACTTTTCCGCTTCTTTTTTGCTTTGCACTTCTTGTAAAACTTCGCTGTTGGCCGACTCGAAGCCACGTTTCATCTCCTCGTAGAAATCAGAGTAATCTTCCTTCTGGTCGATAAAGGCTCTGTAGGAGGAGATGATGTACTTAATAAATACACGATCAAACACGTCGTCAGGTGCGATGAAGTAATCTTCGTTCAAATTCAGAAGAGCCAAGTTCAACTTGACAAGCCAGTAGAGCATTCCAAGAAAAGAAGGCCAATTTTGGCCTCCAACTGCACTGATGGACGATCTGTTTATGCCATCTAGATATGGGTAATTGAGGGTCTTGAGGAGAGCGAACACCTCTGTTTCAATGGAACGGGTGAATTTGTAATTGGGGTCGATGCGGCCGTACAAAAACTGGAATATCAAAACAAAGTCCTTTTGCGTGGGCAGCTGGAGCGTCTTGAGCATGATCGGATGGTTCATTTCGAGCTCAAACTTGTTTGCTGTCAAAAAATCGTAAATCTCTTGCAGAATAAGGCTCTGGTAGTTCTTGTCTCTCAAGGGTCTCAGATCACCTCTTCTTTGTGACGATTGCGAGTACGAGGACGAGAGCTGCGAGTTAGACATTGGCGCATTCTGGCCTCCGCCGCTCGACTGCGATGCAGGTAGCACAGATCCGTTCAAGTTGCTTGTTCTTTTGTTGGAGGCAGGCGTCATCAAAAGAGTGGAGCGCCGTTTCGTGGACTCGAACGAGTTGGATGTGCGGAAACCGGAAGATGCTCTGGTAGCACCTGCCGAAGAAAGCCGCAGAGCCTTTTTGAGAAGCTGCGCCGCCAACGGCGTGCTATGGGTATCTGTCATAGATGCAAGTGGGATTGTTATGTTTGTGTTTAGGCGTGTGTTGATGTTTCGCGGCACGTGCCGTATCACGTGCACAAGAAGCTTTTCGGTGGGACTGGCGCAGAAAATTTTTGCGCGAGGAAAAGATCTTCGTTTGCTGATGGGCAGATGTGCTTACTTTAGGTCCGCCAGCGGGGAGGCGAAAAAATGGAAAGGCGCCAGGCAACGTGGCCCCTTTTGCAAAGACATTTGGCCGCCTGGCGTCACATTCCGGCCTTTCAAATACACTTTTTAGCAGAAGGTTGTTTTGCGTGGAGGGTCATGCGTCACGTGCAAAAAGGATGAGAATTAGCGCGAAACCGCACATTGAACCGAAGTGCTACTTCCTTAAACTATTCTATAATTATCCTCTTGTTTACCATCGGTTTCGCCAATCCGCGTACTTTTAAATCTCAGAACGCCAAACTTCTCCCATTTCCACCAGCGAGTTTCTTTTTCCTCCCCGTCCATCCCGCATCTTTCTTTGCTTTATTTAATTGTGCGCTTGTGTTTGTTATTCTACACGCCAATTCACATAGTGTTTTTGTTCTTGATAACCCCACCACCCCAAGCATATTTCATCTGAAACGATAGTTCGAGCCCATTTCAGCTCCAGATTCTTTCCCCGCGCTACAATTATCAAAACCGCTCCTCCCATGAGTTCCAACAAAACCGGAACCCCAATCACTTCACCTCAGAAACAGGTGAAGCTAGATGTTCCATCCACCCCTCCGGCGTCGAAGGGTAAAAAACATCTCCTGGCATTTCTTGCAACGCCAGAGCAACCTGACGATAACCTACCGTTCAGTCCTGCTTTAAAACGCAGTAATTCTGGAACTTTCAAGTCTCCCGATTACAAATTCAATACAGAAAATTTACAGTCGCCATACTCTTCAAATGCCCTACTCAAGACACCACGAAACTCAGGGTACGACTCGGACGACCGAGACACACCTCGGAGATCCAAAGTATTGCGCACACCACAATTTTTTAGTCCTGGAAGACGCTTGTTTGCTGATGACCAGGGGCAGAACAAACAGGAGCTTCAGGAAATTAGCACTCAGTTGAAAAGCAAGTTAAGCCTGGCCCTCGGCAAGTTGAAGGGTCAAGAGAAAACCACTGCTGCTCCAGTTCAGTTGAATTTCGCAGAACTCTCTTTCACGTCCACACAAGAATCACCCACTAAAAAACACAGACAAACGCACGAAAGCATGCTGCCTAGCAGCTCGTTGCAAAGAACCAATTTGAACTTACAGACGTTGCAACTGACGCCAGGATTCTCACACCCAGAGTCTCCGCCTTCCACGGGTGAAGGTCGACTTTATCAGCCCCCCAAACTAACAGAAACTACAGGTGGACGAATCAGCATCCCTTCACCCGATGAAGAGTCGAGTGCGCATAATGCATTGCTTGCTGCGTTTTCACGACTGAGGCGGAAGAGTGGTAGCCGTTCTAGTATGAGCGAAGACCGTCGGCAGTCCATCATTCAGGCGCTTAACGAACTGCCTCGACGTCAAAAGTTGCATGAGGCGCCACCGATGAAACAGACAGCACTTCCACCCTTGAACGTAGCACTTGACACCAATCAGAACGGCGATTCTGAGCAGGATGCAGTGTACTCACTCATGTCTCTTTCATCACCGCAATCAGTCAAGCAAATGTCAGGCACCCACAGCCGACTGCATAGCCAGAACAATAATTCACCTACTTCTTCGACTTCTTCGCTGGCTCTTCCGGTGCTTCCTCCCATTTCAGGACTAATCAGCAAAATCGACCACGACGAGACCGACGTGGAGAATGCTACTACCGAAGAGGAGTCAGACTGAGCACTGTTCATCAGGCATGGACAGCTGTATTTTATATTTATATAATGGGCGCAGATTTAATAGATAACGCGCCTTCTTTTTCAATAGACGGAACATACTTTGGCATCGATGCCTTATCGTATGCACGTACGAGATTTCATTAAGATCTTAGTCAAGCAAGCGAGGAAAAAAAAAAGAAAAAGAAAGAAAAACAATCAGCATAACTATATCTCCATGCCAGATTGCGTTACATGGAGGAATAGAGCGAATTGCATTCCGCTTTTAGTAAGCAAATTACTGATATCACATTTTCCAGCGAACTTTCTCCCTTATAGCACTACAAGACACAGCTTAAAGGCGCCCCGTCCATCTTGAACTATGAAAGGTCTCACTAGACTTTTTTCAAACGTGAAATTTGTAAAAATGTACCCAGCATACTTTTTCCGTAAACGGGCAAAAATCGCTATGTGCACACCCTAAAAAAAGTGCTTAGTCATTTTCTCACCAAAGATAGAAGAGCACATTACTTATCTCGCGAAACAGCACCCTTTTGCTCTTCTTTGAAAGAACCACAACAAGAAGCCAGTTTGATATTACGCGTATCCATACTCTAGTTCGAAAACTTGACAACTTCCCTTAGTCCCACTTATCGATCCTTGAACACATACTGCGATATCAGATCACAGCCCTATTGCGTTGCCATGTCTGAAATTCTTTTGCTTCTCCATCCTACGGTTGTGACCGAGGAGAGTCTTGTTGAATCGGCCAAGTCCGGCCTCTCTGGAAAGTTCCCCGAGGCTTCTTTGACCCAGCACATTATCGATCGTATAGCAAACGATATGGTCGAACTACCATCGTCCCACTTTGACCACATTCACTATGTGAACCCCAACAAGTCCCACTTGTCGATTCCTCCATCTGTCATGGCCAAACTATTTGCCTCTCTCAAAAACGGAGGCGAGTTGCTGGGAGACTTGCCCAAGGACCAAGATCTCGACGTGTTGATGAACGGATTCATTGTGAAAGATGATGGCTCTTGGTCCAAGCCTGCTCCAGTTTCCACGGTTTTGCTCAGGAAGAAAAAGCCTGCGGAGACTGCGGCAAGAAAAATGCCTACATTCAAAAAGCCCGTTTCTTCTCCGGTCACTTTAACTGACACATCTGCCAACAATACAGATGCAGAGGATGACCTTTCGATGAAGAGAAAACTCGACAGCACGAAGTTGGCGTACTTCAGCGACGATTCGAGTGGTGAAGAGGACGACTTGATCGACGAAAATGAATTGATTGCTGACTCGCACAAATTCAACGTCAACATAGTGGTTCCTAAGAAGTGTGAGTTGCCCAACGGAAAAAAGAGAAAGAAGGCCTGTAAAGATTGTACTTGTGGCTTGAAAGAATTGGAGGAACAAGAAGAGCAGGCTACTCGTAATTTGCAAGACACTTTATTGGGCAAAATGGCCCAGCTGGCCACGTTGGAGGCTATCAAGATCGAGGAAAGATTGAAAAAGTCCCAGGTTCAGTTCTCTGCTCAAGACTTGACAGAGATTGATTTCACGGTGGAAGGAAAGACTGGCGGCTGTTCTTCTTGCGCTCTTGGTGATGCTTTTAGATGTGATGGATGTCCTTATTTGGGTCTTCCCCCTTTCAAACCTGGCGAGGTTGTCACTCTTGATAGCTTCGGGGAGGACATTTGAGCTGTAGGAATATCTTAAAACTTAAACAGGTTGGACATTAGGAAATAAATTAATTACTCGGAGACTCCGGCAATGAATGTAGTAAAATCGAAGGCGCAGTTTAAAAAGTTATTCATCCCAAGACTCCAAGCTTCACAACAACACAAAGAACACATGTGCCTGAGTGTTTGCTAGAAGCTGTTCTTTGGGAAATAAATAATCATGTTTTCGTGTATTGATTATTTTGATTATTGGGACTGAAGCATGGTAGAAGAGCACAAAACTTTTCTCTTTTGAAAACCGCTAGGGACAGCATCAAAATATGTTACTTTTTTCACAATTTTTTTGACCACTGATTGACTAAAGGGATGGCTTCTTATTGATTTTTAAATACTTGAACCAAAGGCCAGATATTTAAAGGAAGAGCTTCAAGTTTTTAATTTTAATTTAAATGGAATTTTATTGAACAATGTGTTTCAACTTCTCCTTTCCACCCTAACCGATCTTTCATGCTACAAAGTTGTTGAATCGTCAAGTCTACTCAAAAGAAAAGCTCCCAGAATAAATTCCAAAGAATGCTATCGGTACCCAACAGAACTTTGAATTACGTCGGCAAGTTTCTACCGAAACTTTTCATCACTCTATTTTGACAGTAGAGAATTCGTCCAAATTTTGAAACAAAATTCAACATACAACATCCTGCCCTATTCCCTAGTCTATAGCATTTAAACTTCTTTCTAATAACTTACCTAAGTTTTCCTTACTTTCATGTTCGAAAGGTTCCCGTTGACACTGATGATCCTCGTTTGTTTTCGTATATTATTCCCTTTCTCTCTTTGTTTTTTTTTTTTTATTTGTTTAATTCTGACTTCAGCAATCAAGAACTAGTTACCAAGACGAATCCAAGCCCACCCCAGTATTCACTCTTATTCAGATTTCATTTCTCTCGAGGTAAAATTCACAGAAATCATTGGGGCTACCAGGACATGTTCTGTCCCTCCTAAATTGGCAACTGGGATCAATGGGTTTCGTGTTGCCCAAAGACAATAGAGGAATATACATTCCAGAGGATCAAGGCGTGAATAATGAACGAGCTTCCAGCAGCAAACCATTGAAGCGCAAAACTACAAAGGAAAGTAGAAAATAAATCTTGCAAGGGTCGATGCAAAGATAATTTTAGGAAACGCAAGCCGGTACAATTTAAAATTGGAAAGGAACACAATGTGTATGTGAGAAACTAGAAACAGCGTATGCGGAGTTCTAGGCAAAGGTGGTTCAATTTATCTTTAGTAATCAGGTCTCTTGGGGATCCCAAGATATCCATCAGACTTGGATTGATGACTGAAATGTAAAAGCTTCCTGCGGCTTCTTAGACTTCTCTTCCAACATTATAGTATATGGCAGTAGGATGTTGTTGTTCGTTTATTTATTCTGTCATGGATTTCTCTTGTCTCTTTTTGCATTTGAGCACAATAACATACATTCTTCAAAAGCCAATTGTAGGGTGTGGAAAGATCTTGAACGGACCCAATTCTATTCAATGTTGATAAGTTTTGACAATGAGATACACTTCAAAGCTTTAACACATGGAGGTTGAAACATGAATATTGTATCATCGTAAGCAAGGTTAAGAAGTAAGGGGCTCTTTCATAGTTTGTTCATCGACCGAGGTAGTTTCAGAACCACGAACAATGTTCCAGTGTTGACTTGTAATTTAATATTTCTCTGATATAAGAAGGAAACGACGTCCCCCCATAGATTTTATTGGAATGGAACTTCGAGGAATCCTTGCTTGAAGGGTGGTACTCTAGTTTCCTTACGGATACTCGGTTCCCAATAACTTATTGATCATGATTTTTTCCCATTTTATTGTCTACTTTGAATTCAGTGCGAGCAATTTTTTAAAACCTAGCAATGAATCACTGGGAGAGAGCCGTTTAAAATGAAGAGGAAATCCATTTTATATGATGAAAGACTCTTCATGTTGGTGAAAGCTCAGAATAGCTATATTCTTAAAGCTAAACTCCTGCTCTTTAAAATGGTATCTACAAGGAATATAATACACCTTCCATAATGGCTATGAAAGCGACTAATGATATATGCGGGTTATTTACGTCGCAGATTTCTTCTGAACGTTCAAGATACATTGACAAACGATTTCATTGCAGTTGAACTCAAGAGATTACCTTAGTCGATACTGAGAGGAATCTGAAATCACAAATTTTGGGAAGGCAGCTTGCACGAGACATTATTGGACCCCAAAAATTGAACTAAGTTGTCGAAGTACGCGCGCATGTCATGCGGTATGCGATGTACGCAATTTGGGTATCCGCGTATGCATGGAGTGCATTGTGCATTGCGCCTAAATGTGAAGAAGCGCCCATGCAACCATATTTAGGTACAGTCTACATGCGCTGGGAGTCCGGTGGACTTCTAAAATAAGCGCCAAATTTGCGTTTCATATTCAAAGTACTTGTATATAGCAGTTCAGACATCCAGAACAATCCTTAAGGCTGGAGACAGAATGATGCCAATCTCCGCCCTCTCTGGGTTACATAAACATCAATCGTGAACAAAGGAGAAAAGCAGGTACGCCTCAGCCGTCTTAGACTTGTTTGAAAAATAAATAATATCTTGAACAAAAAAAAGTATTAGTAAGTTACAGAGAAATTAAAGGAAACAAAAAAGTAGCACATGGCAGACAACTGAAGATATAGAGCACCTTTCTGTTGGTCAATGCTTCGTGTTCAACTTATAATCATAAATGGTGTGTCATCCATTACTTGTAATGCAGGGCTTGGAGATCTGAGACAGAGAAAGAACTGTGCCGCTTCCGCCTCTATTGCTGAGGCATGGAGTACCCGTCATAAGTAGCGTAAGAAGAGCTAGAGGATAAATTATTGTGAGGCAACGACCCATAGCGTTGTTGGTGTTGTTGACTTTGCTGTGCTTGATGCTGCGCCTGATCAAACGCAACGTATTGAACGGGAACCTCTCCTCCGACCGCATACGCCATTCTGTCCGACTGGTAATATGGCTGCTGCAGAGCTTGGCCATAAGCCTGCTGCTCCGAGTATCCAAACTGACCCATTTGCGGATATGGATACATGGCTTGCGTAGACAGCTGCAGATGCAGTGGCAGCTGTTGAAGTGGATGCTGCAGACCCTGCTGCTGCATTTGCGGCTGCTGTTGCTGAGAAGGCGACAGATGGTTGTACGAATACTGCAGTAGTTGCTGGGCAGAATTCAGATGAGCCTGCTGCAGCTGCTGTTGCTGCTGATGTTGCTGTTGTTGCTTTTGATAATTTTGCATGTGGCTCATCCTAAGCACAGGGGCGAGCTTGCTGGGTTGGAGGGTAATGAAGAGATTGCGCCGGGGCAGTCTTGGGGCGACAAACGGCGCAGTTTCTGTTTTTCCCGTTGCGGCGAGGCGTATAACGGTAGTTGGGATACTTTTTGGCGTGGTTTTTCTTTTCCTCCTCGGCCAAATTGTTCCAGTAGTCTCTTTCTTCTGTGGGCAAGGCTCTCCATCTGCGGCCCAACTCGCGGGAGACTTCGGGGTTGGTTTTTGCCTCAGTCGACTCGTCAAGCACAGACTGGTGGTACTTTTGACGAAACAAAATGAAGGCGTTCCTGGGCCGAGGAATGCGGTTGGGGTTCGATTTGCATGTGCATCTTTCTTGTCCTTGGTACTGGCCCACATAATTCATTTGTGGCGATGTCATGTTCGATGACACCATAGAGGACGCTCCGGTGCTGAGCAGCGACCCAGACCCCATCACCGACGAGGCAGTGTAATTGGATCCGGTCGACGAAGGAACAGCAGAGGCAGAAACAGTAGGCGAATACAGGGTTGTTGAACCAGCATGTGACGCCGTATCCGGCTGAGCAACACCAAAGATCGAGTAGCCCGATTCTTGAACCGACGAAGAATACTGTTGCGGGTATTGCTGCTGGTACTGCTGCTGGTACTGCTGCTGGTACTGTTGTGTTGTTGAAGACTCAAGGGCATGATCTGAGCCAACAGAGGTAGAGGATTTGTCGCGTCTTGGTCAGGCGAAGACTCGTGACCAGCACTAGAACTTTGTTTGGAATAGTCGTCAACAGCAAGGCAGTTTTGCTGGTAGTACACTGCAGCTGACATGCTCTTGTGGTCAGGTAATATAAATTACTTGACACAATAATGGTTTCCACTGGGAGAACTTGTCAATGCGGCACAACAAGGTCCAAACAATGGGTAGCAGTAGCTGTGGATAGTAGCGATCGCACTCTGTGATACAAGTGAGAAAGGTGGGGCAGCGCTTTGTGTGGATTGTTTTAATGAATGTGAACCGAGGAAACAGCACAACCAAAAAAACGGGGGTTTGTAAGAAGTTGCTCGGCGGTGGGAAGATTAAATGACACCATTTCCAGTCGGGGCGACTTCACCGGGCCTTTTATTATTTGCACTTGGACGAGGGGAGCATCTGCGAACGTAGCAATAGCACATCTTACAGCGACTTAATCATGTACAATCAAACGCAGGTAATAGAAAATAATACAAGAAACAGCGGGTGCTGCATGTGCATCAATGCGCGTCAGTTGCGTATATGCACCTTGGCGCAGAAGCTCATGCTGCCAGCAACGGGCCGCGCATTTCCCTCCGATGTATTCCATGGAAACACTGGTCATGACTGGTTGGAAAAACATTCATGAGTCATTCGCTGTCCCGCCCCCATACTGGTGGGGGACATGCTACATCTCTCTCCTTCATTTGTGCTTGTTGCTCCCCACGTTTTATATTCAGATTCACCGGCAAACTACTTCCGCGGTCATTGTTGTAAGGTCCCTTTCATGCTCCATATTTTCTTTTCTTTTTTTTTTTTTTTTCTCCTACACAACAAGAATGTAGGGTCAGCAGGAACCAAGATTGGGACGATGGTGCATAAGACTGATACAACCGTTTCTCTCTTTCAAGTCAAGTATTGCTATACCAAATGGTAATCCTACCAAGCTTGCTCAGTACAATGTAGCCCCAGTCTTAGAGTTGGTTGTGAGCATTGAAGTTGGAACTCGGTGACAAAGTTCCAACTTCAACGAAGAAGAGCCCAAAAAAATATTTCTTCTCTGGAGCATCGGAACTTCAACAATTCATCTCGACGTACAAGAGGAACAGCGATACAAGATTGCCCAGAGCGGTTTCATTTGTCATCAATAAACATTCTTTCTACGATTGCCTAAAGCTTTCCCATTATCAAAGTTATAATTGGCATCGTGTAGCATATTTCTAGACTCCGGCTGCTGACATTTACTTCCCCTGATGCAAACGGCTATATACTATCTTGTTCCCCACCGTCCCCTCTTACAATGAAGGATTTTGCCGGTATTCGTGGTATCGCCTAAAAGGCACGTCAGCGCAAGGTACATTAGATTGTCTTGTATCATATTCATTGATGCTCTCGCATCTTGGAATTCTTGCGTTGCAGTCAACAATCAAGACTATCTGGTTGTGATGCTGGGGTTCCTAAGAAAACCAAACCTTCAAAGTATGGTAACGCCCTTTTTAACTTCTGAAACGAAGATACCCACTGGGTCTATTTACTCTTAATTTTTTTGTTATCTTTCGTTTTTCTTTTGGGTTTTCTTTCCTTTGTGGACTCATTTTCTAGAACACAACAGTACTTAGTAAAAGTGCCGTAGATGCCCATCAATGCAATAAATTCAGTAAATGCATGGTTAAGAACTTGAAATCGTGTAATTTCACTTTCCGCCGGAAGCACTTCACACGATGCTGCATCAAACGTTCTTTGCGGCAAAGATTACGAGACGAAAAGAAACAGAAAAAGCTTGGCTGTCACCCAGCGCAGCATAAACTAGCTTCCGGTCTACATAAACGTGCATGTTCATGTCCAGAACTTCATGGGCTTACTAAATGAACATTTATTTATAAATTTTCTTTACTTGTTCTAGAAGTTTGGCAGAAGAGTCTTCTTTCGATCTCATGGAAGCATGCGAGTCATGCATCCATCCATGCACTATTGATCGCGATTGCGTGTTTTCCAGATACTCTGCCATACAGGTCTGGAAGGAAGAATTTCTTCTCCGATGGCATAAACGTAATTCAGAGTAGCCAGACTGGGGAAATGGGGCCGCAGAACCTTCTTCCTTCATATTGGCTCTTTCAAATGGAGATAGGTTTCCACAGCCATGTGTGTGTCAAGCGTGGGAAACAAGGTGGTTAGGTGCGTTGCACATGATAATTCGAGATATAGGCGATGCAAGAAGATAGCTAACAGCGTCGTGAGAGCAAATTTAAGCTGTACGACGTGCGTCTTGCGGGGCGTCTGGTGTATTCCGCACAAGCGATGTGCGCTTTCTCTATTTTTTGTGTTCACATCTGCAATCAATGACAAATAAGCGCTGTAAACACGCAATTTTTGCAGTTCTTGCATATAGAAAGGACTTTCACCCTAAGATGCATTGTATACCGGTTTTTCATGCGCAACTTGCATTCACGAGCACGCTAGGACACTACAACGTTCCCTTCGTTTGCGGTATGGAATTTCACCCTCGCAGCATACGCACCGTAGTGCAGAAGCGCAAATTGAAGCTTAATTCGTCCCTAACATTAAATGATACGACTTTGGGACGTGGCGTCCTCTTCCTATGTGTTCGTTCTGGTTGTGTTGAAAGCAACCAAGGAGTCGTTACCCGGTATGTTTTCTCCTACCCCACTACTAAAGTAACGACATTTCTTCTTTTACCTCTGGCGCATAAGCCTTTTTACTGTGACATGCAATAAGGGGGACTCGCATTATACACAGGACTTACGATGCACGAACGCATAACCTTACCTTAGTGCCTGGACTATTTTCACCTGCCTTGCAGTTTTCAAGTGTTTCTTCAGCTCCACAAGGAGACAGGCCTGCATTGTGCAAAGTTGCCATCTCCTCTGAATATGGTGACATTATTAGAACGTGCCACTAAAATAGGCTTACAGATTGTACGTGCTTGTTAACCCTTATTTTACGGGGCACTTCAGTCGTACACATGATTTGCGTTTCCATCTCACAGCAAGGTGGAAAACCAGATGGACAAAGTAGCCGCGGCCACGAAAGAGTTTCACTTACGGCGAATGAAAAGTTAGAGGATGCATGTGCCCAGGAAAGTGACTGATGCCGGCAGCTCCACAGAATGGATAATCAGCGTGTGCCAATGGAGCAATTAGGCTTGATAAGACATGTCGCACCTAGTTGCATCTGGGGCTAAATGCCTGAGCAAAATCTGGTTTCAGAAGGAACTTAACATTCTATGCGGGCCGCTTATTGTGATGGTATCCGCGCGCTGTTAAATTACATCAGATGCACCGATTGTGTTTCATTGAAGATTGACCCGCGACGGATTATTGCCGATAGCAAATATCTTATTGATTGGTTGGTCGGTTAGAAGCATTGGGTCGCCGCCACTGTTCTGCCTCAGCTCTCGATTCTGCAAGGAATCACGCATTACATAATACTAGCTGCGGCGAAGAATTGGCTAATGATATGGTACGGTGAGCGCGATCATCAACGGTGCTGCAGCTCTAAACGAAAGACGCTCCAGCCTTCACAACCATACCAATATCCCCTGGAAGCGACCAGCATCTCGTGTGCTTTGTTAATTAGTAATCTAATGCTGCCTAGATCCTCCAGCACTGTTTCCGGTACACTGGACAGGAGAAGAGGCGGAGGATAATGTTCTTCCGTAGCGAGATTTTAATTTCTGCAACAGCGCAATTACAGGCCCCCGTACAGCAGCCGGCAAGGACCCTAACGACGCACAATAGCAGTAAAGGAAATAGAATGTGATAGTACAATGGACCAGCGGCGCGCTATCACCATCTCTCCTCTACACTACGGCTTACAATTAGAAAACCGCAAAGCATCGGGGGCTATGTGTTTCTACTCGGTAAACGGTTATCTTGACACTCCATCTCCAAGCGACTGCTAGACGGGACTATTCTTAAAATTCCTCCAAAGGGAAGTGGGTGGGCGCACGTGCGTGCGGTCACATGCGCAGCGCTATCGCAGAACCCACTTCACCGTGTATCTTTCCATACTTGCATTGTCTGGCCGCCATGGATTACTCATCAGAAAAACCAGAGAGCTTCCCGTTCACTCTTTCCATCACAAGAGACGATTTTTCGGCCTCCTCCGACTTTGACCCGGACACCTTTCTTTATACGAAACACCGGTACACGCCGCTCGACTCGCTTCTACAAGACTTGACTGATCTATCGAAAAGCCTCAATCAGGATCTCCTAGACTTGGTCAACAACGAACACACAAACTTTATTCGCCTTGGCCAGTCGATTGAAGGGTGCATGGAGCTTATGAACAACATTTCGCTAGATGTGTCTAAATTCGACACCACATTGACGCATACATTGGAAAGCTTTCTCCTGTCTTCGACCGCAGCACAGAAGGTTCTTCTGCACAAGAAGCGGTTGAACTTGTTGAAGAACAAAATGAAGTTGATTTTGCTTCTCCACGACCAGTGCACAAGCTTCGACACTTTATTAGGCTTGGATGTCGGAGACGTCAAAGCAGACCGCTTGGTCACGAAGCTTTCCACTTTGGCCACATTGTTCTTGTCGGTGAGCAAGATCTTTGCTATCCTTATGGAAAGCGTTGGCGAGACGGAGGAGATCTGTGTCTTTTTTGACAAGATGGTCAAACCAAAAGTGATGACGCTAAAACTCGAATTCAAGCTGTACTTGGACGAGCTTTTGGCGGTGTGTACTGCTGACACGGTCACTTACGGCCATTTGCTCTTGCAATTGCTACATGTGTTAAGGGTCACTGGACAGACATCTGCAGTTCTTTCCAACATTAAGAAAAGGGACTAAAACAGCGCTTTAGCGATTTTGCAAAAATTTTCAGTCATCATATAGGACTCCTTTGCCAACTCCAGCCATCGCTGTTGTCGAATACACACTGAATGGTGGTCAAGTTGGAGGACTTGATGGATATGTGCTCTATTTTACGCGCGGCCCGGCGTAACCCTAGGAACCAACCAGACGGCGCGAAATGGCTACTTTCAGCCATAAGCGTAGTGGTGGCGGCACGACCGCGTTAATGCAATCAGAAAAAGTTCCTAGCCAAACGCTCGAATCGAGCTTTATCCAGCTAATACAACAAATGGTTTTCGGGAAGTTCTTTATCGGCAGACACGAGTGGGAGAACGTTGACAAAAACGAATTGCCCCAGGACATTCCCGATGTGGAGGAAGTTGGTGCCACCTCGGCTCCTCTTTTAAGTGCCGCCTACTTCATTGGCGCTAGATGTAAGCCATACAACGACGACTTCATGATGTGCAAAGACGAAAAAAACGGAGGCACCGTTGAATGTTTGAAAGAGGGAAGAAGAGTCACCAGATGTGCCGTTTCCGTGTTGAAGGATTTGAACAAATACTGTTTTGACGAGTTCAAGTTGCATTACGAGTGTCTCGAGCAGGAAAACCACAGATTGGGCAGCTGCAGAGCGTCGGAAAAGATTTTCAACAAGTGTGTCTTTGACAATTTGAAGTTGGAGAAGAAGATTCCTGGTGTCGAGCAACAGATTTTCGAAAAGGAAAACCCAATTTACACCGGAACTGGTAAGGACAAGAGCACAGCAAAGGCGTTTTTGGACGCAAAGAAGGCTGCCTCGCCTGAGACTACTGCCTAAACCTTCTTTCCCCTTGAGTAGCTGAGGTCCTGCTGGTTCATCCCCTGCCGTTTATTCTCTTTTTACCATCTATCACACATGCATCATCAACGCTTCCGTGGCCTCTGACAGTGGGCGGCTCGGATCTTCTAGCCATAGAATATACAACTGTCGTGTTCTGGACGATAAAATATAACATACGTAGGCTACCGTCAAAGAAATGTTCGACGGATACATGAAAGATTAGAAATCAACATGGAAAGTCGAGTTGTTCTCAACCATAGAATCCACCTTTAATCTAGTTGGAAGAGTATTTCGTATACTTCGACATCGTGGGAATAATTTTGCATATTCACAACTTCTATTGAAATAACCGGATTACTGTTAAAACAAGAACGTCAAAAAATGAATATCTTTTCAGTAAATGATACAAATGAACAACCTTATAATTGCAATAGCCCTCCAGTCATACCCGAAAGTGCAACTGTTAGGAGTCTGAAAGTGTTTTGATAATAATATACGCTCTATCATTCGCATGCCAGAACATTATCATCACATGCGTCCATGATAGTATTTTATGACTTGATGCAATGATGTAATCTTTAATATACATTGAGCCATCATTGCACTGTCGATTATTTTTTATTCGTCGTGGCCAGAACTATGCATAGCCAGAGTCTGTAAAAGTGCTGAATTGTGGTTTTCTATTGAAGAGCGAATGGATTCGATGATTGTTTCAGTTTGACATACGGGTACGGGAACCATAAACCTAGGTAAGTCAGTTTTACCTTTAGTAACCTACAATATCGTACAGTAGATGGCCCAAAGAGAAATTGTGGAAGAAATGTACCTGCCAGAACGGGGACCATATCTTGGTACTATAATTATCAATGCTTCTATTCATAGGCCACTTATAAAAAGATTTCGTCTGCAATTTTTTTTTTTTTTTTCGTTTTCTTTCCATTACGGGCTCAAATAGCCTAAGCTAAATAATACACGTAGAAGCTGTAATGCCGCTTTGCTGATATGTACAACGTCTGGGCAAAAGCTTAAATTCATGCACAAGGTAATTCGAACAAAAACAATCCACACAAATATCCCGAAATCAACCGCATCCTTATCTTTTGGGAACATTCCAATGCACATTGTGCTTCTCTTATTGGTTAGATTACCAAAGAGGGAAAGATTCCAGAACATTGGTGTCTTTCAATACTGTGTCAGCACTTCGAAACACACGTCTCAAAATTTTGCTTTCCTCTTGCTTCCACATCCAAAATATCGATCTTGCTTCTACATCCAAATATCGAATTATAGCTCTGCCATCAATCCGTGGCCCTATTGCTACCACTAATAGACGTACTAGTGGTGGAAAGGCGTGCGCACACCGAAACATCAAGAGTGGTTTTTTCTCTTTAGGCAGTTACCTATCTTGATCCATACACACAGTCTATGTTCGGAGCTACATCTGGAGGCACGGGGATGTTCGGAAGCACACAAAATAAGCCTTCTGCTTTTGGAACCCAACCTTCTTCGGGCAATGGTGGCTTTCTGTTTGGCTCTTCGAATACTACCAATACAAACAACAATGCGCCAGCTGGAAATACTGGATTCTCGCTTGGTGCAAACACCAATTCGGGTGGTCTTTTCGGCAACAAGCCAGCCTCAACATCAAACCTTGCAAGCGGCACTTTTGGAAGCTCCAACAGCACCGGTTTTGGCTCGAATACTGGTCTGAACAATCTTTTTGGTTCTGCCAACACCGGCACTAATAACAACAGCAACACTGGTGGTCTTTTTGGCAAGCCGCAAGGAGCAGCAAACACCACTTTTGGCAACACTGGCAACCAGACAAGCACTTTTGGCAATTCTGGAAATCAAGCAAGCACTTTCGGCAGTACCAACACAAACACTCAACTGGGTGGTTTATTTGGAAACACAAACACGAACAATCAGGCCTCCCTGGGAGGCTTGTTTGGCAGCAAACCTGCGGGCACGACTTCTGGTCTATTTGGAAGCACAAACAACACAACAAGTGCTCCATCTGGAGGTCTCTTTGGCAGTAAACCGGCTGGCAGCACTTTTGGTGGATCAAGCGGTGCACCAGCGTCTGGCGGATTGTTTGGGAACACAAACACAAACACAGCGACTAACGCAAACACCAATACCAACGCAAGTGGCGGTTTGTTCGGCTCTTCAAATACAGGAGCAACAGGAGGCCTCTTTGGATCGTCGAATGCTGCTACTGGCACTTCTTCTGGTCTTTTCGGGGGCCAATCTTCCAATAATAACACTACGCAGCCATCGTTCAATTGGTCAGGCCAAAAGCCTGCCAACCAGGCTCCTGGAGCTTTGAACTTATCTTTGTCGTCCCAGGCGCCTTCCCAAACACAACAAACTACATCCTACACACCAGCAATCAACGACCAGGTTATAAAGTTGAAAGAGCAATGGGACCCATCCTCGGGCAAATGTGCATTGAAAACACACTTATACAACAAGTTCACTGAAGAAGAAATCAATGTGCTCATGCAACAGCCACGGCCTGCGAACGAATCACCAGAAGACTGGGAACAAGCCATGTCGAAAAGACCTGGACCATTGTATTACCCAGTTAAAGTTAGCTCATTCAGCGAGGTTGCCCAGAGAATCGAAGTTCAGCTTGACCATGTGGCCAAGTCCCGCATTCTTCTTCGCAATATCAACGACAAGATGGGCCAGATATCTTCAAAGCATGATTTAGATAACACAACTCGGATCATGCAAGCCAAAGTGAAACACACCAATCTTTCGCGTCGTTTGCTAAGGTTGGCCACAGTTCTAGCAATGTTGAAGTTGAAGGGCTACCCGCTCTTGCCAGAGGAGGAAGAGATATCCAAACAATTCCAGACCCTTCTCGCAAAGGTCTCGGACCCCAACGGTTCTGTTGGCAAGTTGAACGACATTTATGCCCGTTTGGCAATCCTAAAGGGACGGAGCGAAGATTTGTCTTCTCAGTTAGAGTCATCTATTAATAACATGAACGGCGGTTTGAATGGACTCACTCGTGAAAATACAGAAGCTGTTGGAGAAGGTGCCACACAAATAGACCAGGTGGTGGACCTGTTGACGAAACTTCTTTACAAGCAGCAGGTGGGACTCAATTACGTGAACGAAATTGTGCAAAAAGACTTGGATATTGTCAACAAGGCAACTTCCAAGAGGTGATAGCATTATGTCAAGCATAGAACAGAGGCTTAGCCTGGTGTTTTCTTATCATTGGGACCAAAACACTTGTTACCGATAACCGGTGATTCAGACTTTGGATTGCTCTATGGAAATAAGGGATTATTAGATCAGGACAAGTGATAATTATTTCTCCAATATTTCCTGGAAGATTTCCGCGATGTACATTTTTGTATTAGTAACGGTTATGATGGTCTAAGGGCATCACGACATGTCATGTCGTCGTCAAAACAAAAGGGCTTAATCTACATAGAAACAAGAATAAACGAGACCTTGTTTGTATACGCAATATAAACGAAACAAACGCTACTTCACATCTACATTCTTACCATTTCGTATCTATATTAAGACAGCAAAGAGGACTCAAGAACCATATTGTCCGGATTAGAGTACTCAAAACATCCATACTCAATTCACACAAATCCCTGAAAGTCTTTTGTTGGTTTGCGTTGCTCAGTTATAGGTAATTTTTCCTCCAAATTGGCAATGCAAGCCATGTTTAACTCAGCACCTTTATCCACCTTGGCGTTCACGTGTGATTTTGCACCTAAAATACGCTGGAGCCCGTGCCAGCCGTGCTCTATTATAATGGGCTCTATCTTGTGATATTTCTGAAAGTTGTGACGTATGTTGGATAGGATTTCCTTTTGCGGATGGGTTGACTGCACCACTGCAAATGGATTGCTGATTGTAGACGAGGAAAATGAATACTCGCCAACCAAATGACGAGCACCTGATTTGAGCGTATGTTTGAAAGGAACCAGCACTTTCCCGGAAAAGTACAGTTCGTCGTTTTCCACATACGAGTAGCGTGGAATTCCACAGATACTATGTAAGTAGTCTGAGATCTCGCGCTGTCGCTGAAGAAGAGAATTGACTGTTTGTGTGAGAGAGGGGTCTGTTTCGCTGAACGGATCGACCTGGCTTTGGTAAAGGAACGGGTTCAACACAACCGAAACTTCTCTGTTGAAACTATTTGGAGCTGTGAAGTGAGCAGGAGCCACCAGAAAGAAATCTAGCGTGGCCAACTTGGCAAAACTGTCGTGAAGAAACAGGATTTCTTTGGCAGAAGTGGGCGCCGGGGTCAAGCGGAACTTCGCCGCCACGCAAAACTTGAAGTAAAGGGCTCTTCTCGCTTGCAATGACATGATGGGCTCGCCGATAGATAAACAGGGCTTTCTCTCGATCTCTTTTCTTGTCTTTTTTTTCTTTGTCCTTTCTTGGTTCACGTCAAGATTCTTCTTCCCTATGCTTCTTCTCTAGGCGTTTTCCAATTGTTTTATCAACTCTCAGATACTCTTAAGTCACTTCGTGCTTTTTGTTCAAGAGTGTATATGGCCAGACACCCATCGCTTTTCCCCAGATTACCATATTATCTCTTCCGAACATGGGAATTGTGGCTCTTCTCTCCGAAACAATTGCCGCTGACATAAACCGACCCGTGTCGGAAAACCTCGTCAAGTCGCTTGTGGACTTGTACAAGAGAATGGAGTCAAAAGAGCGTTTTGCGCTCGCTTCGAGTGCCTTGGGCTTTTCGCAAGAGCTGTCTAACAGAATCCACGTTTTGATCCAGGATAACTTCAAGGCTCTCGAGGCTGAGTTGGAGTCATCGCCTGCTGCAGATTCCCATATAGTTGCAACTTCAAGTGCCGCTCCTGAGACAACCACAAGTACAAGAAGCGAGTCGGAACGAAAACCAAAGCGACTCAAAGTAACAGTGGCATTTGACGAAGAGGACGACGATGTACTTCTAGCGCCAAAGAAAGAAAAGCCAGAGGTCAAGAAAATAGCATTCAAAAAGATCAAGAAAGAAGATGCCCGTCGTTTGAAGCAAGGTCCGCCTCGAGACATTCACAGCGATACTCAAACAGATATTCAAGCGGTAAGAATTAACGACATCCAGAAAGACACTACGTGGCCGAAAAAACGTACTCTTGCTGAACTAGCGCAGAAGGAAAGAGACGAAGACGAAGCAAGGCCCGATTTGTTTGATGAGTCCGAGTTTCGCCCAGAAGACATTGATGATGTGGAAAACGACAGAGAATGGTATACGCATGAAGATTCCAGCTACGCAGCAGTGTCTCAGTATACAGATCTCGAGACAGAAAAGCCTAAAAGACGTCCTAAAACTCACTATTCCTCTGCCAGAACAGGTGGAGCCTTTGACGAATCCACGGGAGAATACATTGACTTTGACCATGAGGACCTGTCTTCCAATACGTACATTTCTCTAAGTCCGCATTTTCTAATTCCCCCATTTCTTGTGGGTTCTGAAGATAGCTTACTTCTTCAAGTTGGGAATCGAACGTCCCGAAATCTAGGGCCCAGTGTGTCGCCGGTCTTAGATCCCGCGTCCGAGTTGGCAATTGCTGCCCGAACAGGCAGTTTTGTCGTGAAAGACAGAAAGGAGAAAAAGGAAAGAGCTCAACAGGCTCGGGACAGATCCACAGGTGGAAAGTCTGCTCTTTCCAGTATGCTAAAACCCTCCAATGAAGGAGAGAATTTGCTAGAAAAACCTGCCTCGAAATCACACGAGGAAGAAAGATATACATTTGAAGAGATCCAAAACCAAAGAAAAACGTTACCAGCATACGCTGTTCGAGAGGATTTGATGAGGATGATTGCCGAAAACCAAATCGTGGTGGTGATAGGTGAAACAGGTTCCGGTAAAACTACTCAACTTGCGCAGTTTTTGAGCGATGCTGGATACACTAAAAGCATAGATAAAGATGGCTCTCGTCTCATGGTTGGATGCACGCAGCCTAGACGTGTTGCTGCCATGTCGGTGGCTAAAAGAGTGTCCGAAGAAGTTGGATGTAAGTTGGGCGAAGACGTTGGTTATTCGATTCGTTTTGAAGACAAAACGTCATACACAAAAACACGAATCAAGTATTTGACTGAAGGTATATTGCTTCGTGAAATGCTCACAGACCCAAACTTGGATAGCTACTCTTGCATAATTATGGACGAGGCACATGAACGTTCTCTTAATACAGATATATTATTGGGGCTTTTTCGTCAGTTGCTCCGTCGCAGAAGAGACCTCAAACTTATTGTTACAAGTGCAACCATGAATGCTGACCGGTTCAGCATCTTTTTCGGCAATGCTCCGCAGTTTTTCATTCCGGGAAGAACCTTCCCTGTTGATGTTTTCTACTCTAAAACAGCAACGCCGGATTATGTGGAAACGGCAGTCAAGCAAGTCATGACCATTCATTTGGGGAACCAGAAAAGTGATGGCGATATCTTGGTGTTCATGACAGGTCAAGAAGACATTGAAGCTACATGCGAACTAATTAACGAAAAGCTTTCAATGTTGGAAAATCCTCCTCCTTTGGACGTTTATCCCATTTATTCATCGCTACCAGCTGATCTCCAAAAGAAGATTTTTAGCAAGCAAAACGCAGAACGTCGGAAAGTGGTGGTAGCCACCAACATTGCTGAAACTTCGCTCACTGTTGATGGAATCAAGTACGTTGTTGATTGTGGGCTTGTCAAGATGAAACTATTCAGCCCTAAATTGGGAATGGACACTTTACAAATGGTGCCTATATCCTTCGCTAACGCACAACAGAGAAGCGGAAGAGCAGGAAGAACAGCGGCTGGTGTAGCATACCGGCTCTATACTGAAAAAGCGGCCAGTCCCGAACAAATGCATGTTCAGCCAATTCCAGAGATTCAAAGGGCAAATCTCAGCTCAGTAATGCTCATGCTAAAATCTTTGAAAGTGGACAGCGTTATGAGCTTCCCCTTCTTGGATCCTCCTCCCCAAGATTTGCTAAGTTGTTCCTTGTATGATTTATGGGCCATGGGTGCGTTGGATAATAATGGACACTTGACTGATTTTGGAGCAAAACTCACATCCTTTCCCATGGAACCAACATTGGCTAAACTTATTTTGCTTTCTTGTCAGGAAGAGTTCCTGTGTTCTTCCGAGATAGTGACGATCGTGTCGATGCTTTCTGTGCCAAATGTCTTCTATCGGCCGAAAGAAAGAGCGGACGAAGCTGACGCCATGCGGGAAAAATTCTTGGTAGCAGAGCTGGACCATTTGACTCTACTCAATGTGTACAACCAGTGGGAACAGCGGGCCCGCATGCCCAACATGAATCTGCAAAAATTGGCCTCGTGGAGCACAAGGAACTTTGTCCACCACAAGTCTCTTTTACGTGCCCGAGATATCCGCAAGCAAATTTTGCTCATCATGGCAAAGAACAAGTATCCGGTTCTCAAAGCCAGAGACGATCGAGATGTCAGACGTTGTCTTTGTGCAGCATACTTCCAGCAGCTGGCAAAACTTTTGAGATCTCATGGGGGAGGAAGGGGTCAGGCAGAATATGCCAATCTTCGTCATCTCTACATGAAGATGTATTTGCATCCTACTTCCGCTTTGGCTGGTGGAACAGCTATCAGCCCGCAGTATGTTGTCTATGATGAGTTGGTACTCACTACAAAAGAGTATATGCAATGTGCCACAGCGGTTGAACCAGAGTGGCTTTTGAAGTATGGGTACATTTTTTACGGTGTCAGTCCGAGTGTTCAAAAACGCATTGAGAAGTCTGTCGACTTCAAAATCTGGGATAAAAAGGAGTTGGAGGAGTCCTTGAAGGTGCAGACTGAGACCAGTGAGAAAGCTGTTACTCGGCTGAAGCCCAGATCCTTCATGGCGAGACGAGGATTGTAGGTTGTTCTAATTAACCATCATTAATATGGTGGGAACGATGGAGTGACCGCTTGTTCATTCCTAAAATATGCATAGACATGAAGCCGAAAAGCAATTACTCATAGGGACCCAACTTTTTGCTAGATTTCGAAGCTTCACATAGTATATTCCCCTCTACAATGTACACTTTTAGCTCGGGTGTTTAATTCCATTGAGTAGCTACATTTGTCAATCGTCTATCAGTAAGGAGGTCCTAAATTATCTTCAAAGCATCCATGTGTGTGACACTAGTTAAACATGTTATATCACTGGTTAAGATATATAACTTTACAGAAGCAGATGAGCAAGCCTTAATAATGTCCGTATCCTCTAATATTAATTAGCGAGTATCTATATACATTGGATATACATCTATAAAATCTATCGGTTGAAGCACAATGCTCATCGATCTGGGCCATGGCAAACCCTATGTCCCACCATGCATTCACATGCTTCACAATTGCACGTTATCAATGAGTCTAGCCACTCCGCCTTCCTTCTTTGGGACCCTGACAGCAGTAGAGACGGTGGCGCCGACTTTTGGATCCACCTCCTCAAGGTCAGCCAAGGTTTCCGGATGCGAAATGGCAATGTACTCAACCTCCCAGTCTGATGGCATTTTCAGGTAGACACGACGGATCTCTTCCAAAATGAGATTCGAGCTCACCGGACCCTGTGACAGTTCCTTTTGCGTCTGGTAGGCGGCCTGTCCCGCACAAAGACCCTTGTAGATGATGGCACATTGGTCCTTTGTTTCTGGAGACAAGTACTCGTTGCGGGACAGCATGGCCAAGCCGTTTTCTTCTCTGAGAGTGGGCAAGACACTAACCTCGGTGTCGAACAACAAGTCCTTGACCATGTTCTTGATCACCACGCACTGCTGGGCGTCTTTCTGCCCAAAGTACACTTTAGTAGGCGAAACGACATTCAACAACTTGGCCACCACCGTAGCGACTCCACGGAAGAAAGCAGGTCTCTGTGCGCCTTCTAGCTGCTCCGAGCAGCCATGCACAGTCACAAAGGCCCCAACTTGTTTGTGCACGTCAAGCACAATGCCCGAGGGATACATTTCCAGAACTTTCGGCACAAACACCGCATCGACGCCCTTGCCCAGAAAAGACGTCTGCAAGGTCGCCAAGTCCCGTTCCAAGGTCCGCGGGTATGCGTCCAAGTCCTCGTGTGGGGCAAATTGGGACGGGTTGACGAAAATCGAAACCACGGTTCGATGCGTTTCTTTCAAGCTCTGGCCCACCAAATGGCAGTGGCCCTTGTGCAAGGCACCCATGGTTGGCACAAAACCGACCGTTTCCTGGCGCAAAAGACACTGGTGTCTCCATTGGCGGACCTGTTGAACAGTCCGGAAAATCTGGATCGGCGTCTTTGTCATATGAAGATGGTGGAGATGAAAAATCGCGAATACGAATACGAATTAGAGTAGCCAGACGTTGGCGTGGGGAATTATACAACCGAAACAGCCGTTTTGCTCCATTTGCCACTACTAACACGCATGTATCTTTTCTTTTTGTTTTTTTGTTGTGTTGGGTGCTTGTGTTGGCATAACGAAGTCATCTCATCGAGTCGCATCTGACTCAGCGTCGGAGTTCCTCGGTTTCATTCAGGTTTGTTGTGAACGTATTGATATTCGGTGTTAATGGTCCAGATCCAGTCTAGAGCAGTTTTCATCTCTTATTGCGCTCACTTATGGGATTTTCTGTTCTTCTACTTCTATCACGTACTGTTGTCGATGCGCCATCTACATCCTATTCCTGTTCCAGTTGAATAAAACATTTGGTCTTCACTCTTAGTATTCCAATTTATTTCCTTTTCTTACCTCCTTCTGTTTTACCTTTCTTAATTTTCATCTTCTCTCATGTACGTACTTACTTCCTGCCCCACTTTCTCCACATAGATTAGCCTCGGTGCGATATTCCCATGCCTATATATTCCCCACAAAAGGTGTTTCGCACCCATTCCAATTCGCTTCGTCAGAAACATTCACCATGTCATATACGGTGGAGAAAAAAGTCACTGATGCCGAATTTCCTAGAGGCGTGGGCGCCACGCATCTCCCCAATGACCGCTTGAAGATAGTGTACAACAAGTGCAAAGCTTCGCAAGCCATTTCTGCGCCTGTTCGCATCAATATGGTATTTGCCCATGGCACGGGCATGAACAAGAGCGTGTGGAAAACACATATCGAAAAGTTGTACGAGCTCAGCGAACAGGCCAAGGACTGGAAATTGGACTGTGTGCTTGCGTTGGACTGCGCTAACCATGGAGATTCTGCTTGCCTTAATCGCAAGTTCTTGGGTTGGTCTTTTGATTGGCGAGACGGCGCCAAGGACTTGATCAAAGTGGTGAAGAACGAAATCAGCACGACGGGCGATTTTGTTCCTTCTGCTTACAACCGGAACATTGTCGTTGGCCATTCCTTGGGCGGGTTCCAAGCGGCTTTTGCTGGGTATTTGGAGTCCACATTATTTGATTCCGTCATTACCGTTGAGCCTGTCTTGTACTTCAATCCGCAGTACACCGAGATCTTCCAACACCGGATAAAGAAGATTACGTCTATTCTCAGGGACAAGTTCTCTTCTCGCGAGGACGCGATCACTTGGTTCAAGAAGAAAAGCTTCTACAAAATAATGGACAAGCGGGTTTTGGACAGCTACGTCGACGACGAGGTGGCGTTGGAAAATGGGGACATAGTGTCGAAGTCCAGCACCGCAGCCCAATTGGCTACATACATGACGGCTATCACAGACGTTGGTTTTGGCCAAGATGCCTTGAAACACATGCGCATCCCTTTTCTCCACGTCATTGGCACAGAGGCCATGTGGAATCCGCCTGATGCAGTAGAGTTTATTCGGGAGTCCGTTCCACCCCATCTCCTCGAGACGGCAGACTTGGAAGGCGATCATTTGGTACATGGGACTAATGTGGACGGTACCGTGAATCTCATTCTGGGCTTCATTGAGCGGCGGGCAAAGTTTGTGCGGGAAAACAGACTGAAGTTCCCGGAAGTGAAGTACGGTAACGACCGAGAGGCAATCTTCAAGCTGCAGTGGAAGCTCATGATGGACAACGATTTAGAGAAGGCAAACTTCTATGCTTCGCCGGCGAAAAGAGATGCCAAATTGTGATTTGTCCATCTCCATGCACAGGATTTAACATCGCTACCTCGCCGTTGGAATAAGCGTGATCTCTTTAGAGTGCTATTATTTATGTCCTTACGTAAATCGAAACTAAAGCTCTTTTGTTTTGGCTGAAAATTGGATTGGCTTGTTTCTGAAGTTTTTTAATCTCACCTTAATTTCCAGTTTCTGACATAGAACCGAATTTGAACACTGCCATCATTAATTTAATGAGTTTCTACGGAGGCACATGCTTATAATACTTACTCATGTATTCATTTATGACTCAAGTATGTGTTTGCTACTCAAGTATCTATTGGTGATATTTTGTCTGATATTTGATTTTGTCTTTCCTATCCCCAAGACCTCTCCCAAGATTTTCGTTTGTTTTTCTGTCCCCATTAAATATATATTCCATCTTGCCAGTTATGAAACATCGTTATTGCAGATAGGCTATCATGGTGCAGTCTTTCACGTGCGATTGGGCACGCTGAAAAAAAGTTGAAACTCATCTCATCGCAAGCATCTTGTGATCACAAAATGGCCTCCAAAGAAATCATCTTGGCTCATATTGCCAATTTCGCAAAGTCGAACGATGACTTGAAAGACTTGTCCAAAGCTTTGGACAAATACGTCAAGAAAAACAACGTTGAGTTGCCTACTGTGGTGGGCGACTTGGAATCTTTGCTTGCTGAAAGCGATTCTGAAGGCGAAGAGGCTGAAGTCAGCAAGAGCTCGGAAACAGAGTCTATCAGTGAAGAGAAGTCTGAAAGCAGCTCGGATTCCGACTCTAGCTCTTCGTCTTCTAGCTCCGACTCTGAGTCTTCGGACTCTTCGGACTCTTCGGACTCCGATTCCTCCTCTGATTCTGATTCTGATTCTGATTCTGAATCTGAATCTGAATCTGAAGAGAAGCCATCCGAAAAGAAGGAAGAAGCTTCCAACTCCTCGTCTAGTTCCGACAGCTCTAGTTCCGACTCTTCTGATTCCGATTCTTCAGACTCTTCTGACTCTTCTGATTCCGATTCGTCTGACTCTTCTGATTCTTCTGATTCTGACTCTTCTGATTCTGACTCTTCTGATTCCGACTCTTCTGATTCTTCTGATTCCGATTCTTCTGACTCTTCTGATTCTGACTCCTCGGACTCTGACTCCTCAGACTCTGATTCCGACTCTGATTCCGATTCCTCTTCCAGCTCTTCCAGCTCTTCAAGCTCTTCTGACTCTTCTGACTCTTCTGACTCTTCGTCTTCCGACTCCGAATCTGAGTCCGAATCTGAACAGACCAAGAGACCTCAAGAAGCGGAATCTGAACAGCCAGCCAAGAAGCCAAAGGTTACCGGAATCAGTGCTTCTCCAGAGCCAGAATTGCAGCCAGGTCAAAGAAAGCACTTCTCCAGAATCGACCGCTCCAAGATTGCTTTTGAAGACCAAACTTTGATGGACAACACTTACAAAGGAGCTGCTGGAACTTGGGGTGAGATGGCCAACGACAAGTTGATGCAAGTGAGAGGAAAGGACTTCACCAAGAACAAGAACAAGATGAAGAGAGGTGCATACAAGGGTGGATCCATCACCATGGCCAGTGGTTCTTACAAATTCACCGATTAGTCGGCTGCATCTCTTTTTATTTCTGCATACATGTTTAATATAGGATACATTACAATGGTGTAGGATGCAATCGACATCGAGCGATTGTATCTCCAGGTAGAAAAAAGAAAGATATAAAGCAGATACGAGGTTTTCTCTGTATCTGCAAAATAAAATAATAATAATAATAATAAAAAAAAAAAAAAAAAAAAAAAAAAGAGCTTCAAGCAATATTTCTGGAACATAATCTCATGCAATCCTACAATCTTGTGCGGATCCCTCTGCTTTCTCGTAACATGTCCTTGCATAATCTTACTTTTGTCCTATTCTGATAGGTTTAGTTGAAATTTCCAGAAATGCAATTCCTTAATCGGTGTGCCCCCGGGGAAACTTGACATAGAAAAGACAATGGCTTAAGAAAGATAGCTTCGCAATGACCGATATCGGTAAACGTTCGTATACACATGCTTTCCGATACTTGCCTGATTTATTGCCGGATTCTCAAGTTAAGGTAATATGCTCATGCAGACTTAATACGACGTGCTGGGGAATAAATTCGATCTCTGTATTGTTCTTATCCACTTGCGTTGTGCATGCGACTTTGAGAGCAAGAACGCTTATCTTAAAAGACAAAAAATTAACAGACAAAGCACCTATGGCCTCCAACACATGCTCTTTTTCCCTGATTCTGAATCTCGCTACCAGGCGCTTCTAGTTCGAAATCCGCAAGCCGAGGGCCATTTCGTATATGCTGTCACTACGACAAGGATTGTGTGCCGCCCCACATGTTCTTCTCGTCTAGCTTTACGGAAAAACATTGTCTTTTTTGATTGTGTAGCCCAGGCCATGGAACTGGGATACCGTCCATGTAAAAGATGTCTGCCGGAGGTGGTTTCTGGGTGGAACAGGACTAGAAACTGTGTTTTGGGAGCATGTGCGATAATGGGCCAATGGGCGAAAACCAATCACAAGCTTGATGTGGACCTATTGGCACTGACTGTGGGGCTCTCCAAATGGCACTTTTGCCGTGTTTTCAAAATGTACACGGGCCACACGCCCCGAAGGTATTTTGTCTTGTGTGGCAAGGGCCAAGATCTTGGGGGAAACATACCATTGGTGCAAACGAAAAAGTACTTGCAGGCCGTTAAGGGCGGCCAAGAAGTGGACGATGTTACTATGCTCCTTCTGCTTTGGGAGGAAAGTCCAGGACTCGATTTAGGCTCTATGTTTGACTTTCCCATGGATCTCTTTGCGCTACATGACTAGCGAAGAAAAAAAGCCCTTCTTTTAAATTCTATGGTAGAAGACACTAATTCAATTCACTTTACGTCCCAGACCGTCCGTCCTGGTGCCAGATTATGTATTAATGTAGTCATGTGCCTATAGAAGGGAGTGCATGCGCACCCATAGATCAAAGGAATTTGGTGCTTTGTAATTGACTTGTGTGCCATGTCTAGAGTCAATTATGCTGAGCTCGAAAGAGGCAACTTTTCCGACGACTCTTCCGATTCCTTTGACGAGGAGAACTACTCTCGGAAAAACAAGGATGACGACTATGCCTATGGGGGCCCGAATCCAAAAAGGAAGAGAGCCGCTCCAAGACCGAAAGCAAAGGCGCAGAGCAGCGATATTCCAACGGCAGCAGCAAACAAAAGAAAGGCAGACGAGGCCATCGATGTTATTAGTCAGAACCTAAGTGATGACGAGTTTGCGCAAGACCAACTCGTTGAAATCACTCCAGATATTCCTACTGATTATGTCCCGGATGCTGTTTCCAAAGTGTTCAACAGAATGGACTTTCTGTACTTGAAATTAAAACCAGACCACTTCTCACGGCCCATATGGATCTCTCCAGTCGATGGCAGAATTATCTTAGAGTCTTTTTCTCCCTTGGCCGAACAAGCACAGGATTTTTTGATCACCGTTGCTGAACCCAGATCTAGACCATCGCATATCCACGAATATGCCATCACACTGTATTCGTTATATGCGGCGGTTTCTGTCGGGTTGGAAACTGACGATATCATTGCGGTGTTGAATCGGCTCTCGAAAACTCCTGTTCCTGAGTCGTTTTTGAAAATCATCAGAGAGGCCACCATCAAGTTCGGTAAAGTGAAACTTGTGTTGAAACACAACAGATACTTTGTGGAGAGCTCCCAGGCGGACATTTTGCAAATGCTTTTGAAGGATCCTGTTATCGGCCCGTTGCGTTTGCCAGCTCATTCGGAACAGCAACAACATCTGGACTTGATTCTGTCGCTGGCTCCAACACAGGGCGATCTAGTCATACCGGGGGCCAATCCCGCTGCTGCAAATGCGTCAAAGGAAAACGTCGACGATATTTTTGCTTCTGTTGTTGGTAAGAAACCCACAGATGAAGATGACGATTTAGACACTGTCCACTCGTTTGAAATTGCAAGTGAGTCTGTTGAAATCGTCAAGAAACGGTGTGCCAATATAGAATATCCTGTCTTGGAAGAATATGATTTCCGGAATGACGATCGAAACGCCAATCTCGATATAGACTTGAAGCCATCAACGCAAATCCGGCCGTACCAAGAAAAATCCTTGTCTAAGATGTTCGGTAATGGCCGTGCAAGATCTGGCGTCATTGTTTTGCCCTGTGGTGCTGGTAAAACGTTGGTTGGAATTACTGCTGCTTGTACCATTAAAAAATCTGTGATTGTCCTTTGCACATCTTCTGTGTCTGTTATGCAATGGAGACAGCAGTTTTTGCAGTGGTGCACGATTCAACCTGAAAATGTGGCTGTTTTCACCTCGGAAAACAAGGAAATGTTCTCCAGTGAGGCTGGTTTGGTTGTTTCTACTTACTCCATGGTGGCTAATACTCGCAATCGTTCGCACGATTCCGAGAAAGTCATGGATTTTTTGACTGGGCGAGAATGGGGTTTCATTATTTTGGATGAAGTGCATGTGGTTCCAGCAGCAATGTTCAGACGAGTGGTTAGTACGATCGCTGCCCATGCTAAGTTGGGACTTACTGCTACTTTGGTGCGTGAGGACGAGAAAATTTACGATTTGAACTTTTTAATTGGACCAAAGCTTTATGAGGCGAATTGGATGGAGCTAGCGCAAAAGGGCCATATTGCCAATGTCCAGTGTGCAGAAGTGTGGTGTCCGATGACAGCAGAATTTTATCAGGAATACTTGAGAGAGTCAGCCAGAAAGAGAATGTTATTGTATATCATGAACCCGACAAAGTTTCAGGCATGTCAATTCTTAATCCACTATCATGAAAAACGAGGTGACAAGATCATCGTCTTTAGTGATAATGTGTACGCTCTACAAGAGTATGCATTGAAGTTGGGAAAACCATTTATCTACGGTTCGACGCCTCAGCAAGAACGTATGACTATTTTGCAAAACTTCCAGCACAATGACCAAGTGAATACTATCTTTTTATCGAAAGTGGGTGACACATCGATCGATTTGCCGGAGGCTACATGCTTGATCCAGATATCTTCGCATTACGGTTCGAGAAGACAAGAAGCGCAGCGGTTGGGCCGGATCTTGCGGGCCAAAAGACGTAATGATGAAGGTTTCAATGCCTTTTTCTATTCGCTTGTGTCCAAGGATACGCAAGAAATGTACTACTCCACCAAGAGACAGGCATTTTTGGTGGATCAAGGTTACGCCTTTAAGGTTATTACACATTTGAGCGGCATGGAAAGTCTACCGGACTTGGCGTATTCAAGTGCCCGTGAGCGGAGAGAGTTGTTGCAGCAAGTTTTGTTGAAAAACGAAGATGCTGCTGGTGTGGAAGTGGGAGATGATGAAGATACAAACTTTATGCCTAAGGACAGGAGACATGAGATGAGCAGCGCATCCAGAACTGCTGGGTCTTTGGCAGGCTTAGCTGGAGGCGAAGATATGGCATACGTGGAATACAGCAAGAACAAGAACAAGGAATTGCGTGAACAGCATCATCATCCATTGATTCAAAAAATGTACTACAAGAAAAAGAAGTAAGTTGAGAGGTGGTGATGAAGATTCTACGAAGTTATAATATATATAGGCAATACAGTGGTACCACGGGAGTGAGAATTCATGTGTATTCTGTTTATGGTTTCTGTGATACGTAAATCCTGAAGTATCGTGAAGTTTCTTTTTTTTTTTATCATCTTATCTAATTCATTCTTCATCTACTTCAAAGCATCGGGCCATATGGCCCTTCAAATAGCACATATCTGAACGTTATGTCTTGATCTATATCCACCCATGGGGTATGCAACTAGCCAAGTTCTACAGCTGTCATACTTTCATAATGCAGGTTCTATACAACGCAAGAATATGAATATAAGGTCATGTTCAAGCACCATCTTCAATCATAAGAGGCCCCCACGAAACCGCCAAATTCGTCATCGTCAAAATCTGGGGCTGGCGACTTTTCCGCCTCTTCCTGTGGGAGGCGAAGGTTGTCCATGATCTTCTGCTGCAATTCCGAGAGATGCTGGTCGTACAGAAAGGTATTCTGGTAGCTGCGGAAACGTTTGCGGTAGATCCCCAAGGCCTCGGAAAAAGACACAGCTGCATACAGATCGTCGAATTTCAACCCTAGAGCCACCTGGAGAACCAATCCCTTGTCGTTTGACTTGCTATCCAAAGGATGGTAGCCTGTTCCCGGTAGCTGGGTGATGATTTTGTAGTATTTGGAAGACTCGTCCGACATGCGGATGGTATCTTCGCCGTCATTAGCAATGCGATATTGGCTATCCAATTCGGACATGGGATTGTACCAGACCTCGGCCCACGGCACATCCTCCAGCCCCAGCTTTGTCTTGTTGAAAAGCTCTAACTTGAGCCTAAGCCCTTCAAAAACAGCCGCGGACGCCGGGCTTTCCGTCGATTCCTGTTCTATGAGCCGGATGTTTCCCTTCCACACCACATTGGACGAATCCGGGTTCCACTTTGATAGCGACACCGTTCCGGGCGGGATCTTGAATGCGCTGACGCCTTGAGCTTCGAAAAGCGTGTTATTAAGCACGGACATGAGAGGCGCCGGGTTCAGCGATGCACAAAATTCGTCCACAAATCCACGCCTATCTTTGTTGCATGCAAAAGAGAAGGGAAAAAGTAGGAAAAGTACTTGTCTCACAAAAAAAAGACGTTAGTTGAGTAGAATGTGTCTCCGCATTATGGGCCCGCTTCCACAGAACCAGGAGATTGTGTGCTTGGCACGACCGGCGTCTTGGGCCATATACATTTTTGAGAAAGCATTTTTTCGGTTTCTGAAATTCTCAACCGCTTCCACCACCACACCACAAATCCAGTTTACGTTACGATGTTGAAGAGCATAGTTGGTCTTGGTAGCCGGACGGCGCCAGTGCGTTTTTTCGGCGTGTCGCTGCGGGCGTTCAACGACTTTGACGTGCTCAAAAACTCCGACAAGACCCCTCCAAAAAGAAACGCCAGCACTGTTTTTGACATTGACGAGTTGATTGCAAACTCGCCTGACCTCCAGGACTCGGGCGCCCAGCGGAAAAGATACGACGAGTACTCCTTTGGCAGCAGTGCCAAGGACCCAAGAGAAGTGGCCAAAGCTATAAATATCACTGGTCCTTCGAGCGGGCGCAGCGTGGATGTGAAGTTCAACAATGTGGCGTTTGCTATCGGAAACGTTTATTCCATTCTCAAGGCCAATAACGTGAGAGGCCAGTGGCAGGTGCAGAAAAGGTATATGCGTCCAGCCAAGTACAGAAAGGAGAAACACAGAAGATGGTGGAGAAAGCAGTTCGCCAAGGGCTTTTCCGACTTGATGGCGCAGGTCACAGACGCTAAAAGAAGAGGTTACTAGTGCTGCTGGACCTTAATCTTGTATATACAATACACCGGTGAGATGATGGGATGTAGTGTGGGTAAAGCGATCAATGACATTTCTGGAGTCGTTTTCTCTTGCTGTAGCAATAAACTATTCTATGAGCGAGTTTCTGTGGTGTTTATTAAGATGACATGATCTCTGTGAAGTTTGCGAAGCAACTAATTGGATTTCATGTTTGCTTCACTTCGACACCAGCGAGCAGAACGATAGAAGAATGTCATGGATTCTTGACTGAAGCACGAAGAGCTGAAAGAAAGCGTACATTCTCTTGCAAGCTCTGAACCTTTGGAAAGTTGTCGAAGCCCAATAGGACTCATCGCAAGGAAACACAATTTAGTCTTAATTCATTTTTGGTTCAATGAATTACGGTCAAATTGAAGAAGATACTTGTTTTATAGAAAAACAAGAGGCAGACCACTGCTTACGATTAGATATGGTGCTTCACTTTGCCTCGATCTGCTTTACTGCGTTATTCGGTTAATGCGGTTACAGAAGGTATGATGGAATAGCATTAATTCCTTCCTAAGTTCTCTGATGTTACAAGCTTAGCACACAACTTTATCATGCCTTGTTTATTAGTATTTCATCTATTCTTCGTCTACATGCAGTTATTCTCCCCCTCTCCATTAGCTCTTAGGTTTCGTTCCGTTTTTCTTCACCTGCTTCTTATCCTTTTTAGGGTCGGGCTTTCCAAACACTTTTTGCAATCTGGGCTCCAAGTATATTGTGTTGCTGCCCACGACGATCTCCTTAGCATCCAAAGCCTTGATCTGGTCTGCCTTGTTCCGGAAATCGCACAACGCTGTCTTGTTGCTCTTCCTGAAGTACTTGATATCTCCAAACTGCTTGATCAATGCGTTTTTCAACTCCTCTTCTTCCACGTCGATATTGCGAATGTAGATCGGATACCATTCCTCCCTTTTAAATTTGACTGGCTGTGCAGCCGGTGGAGAAGGTTTCTTCACTACAGGTGAAGGTGCTGGCGCAGACTTAGCAGCGATCGGAGATGCAACGGTTGCGCTTTTCGTGGAAACTTTAGGCTCGATAGCTGCAAGAGTGGCCCAAGTTTGCTTTGGAGCATTAGCACTTTCAAGGGTGGCGGGTTTCTCGCTTGGAGTTTGTGATCCCGAAACAGGAGTCTCTGGAAGAGGCTTTTTGGCTTCACTATCCTTAGCTGAGGTTTCTGGTTGCGCTTTGGCGTCGGTTTTTGGGCCCTTGGACTCCTTTGCATCTTGGGGCTCTTTTTGTTCCTTGGTCTCCTTCTGTTCCTTCACATCCTTTGGCTCTTTAGCCTCATTCACTTCCCTTGGCTCCGCATCCTTCTGCTCCTTTGTTTCAGTTTTCTCTTCCGCCTTTTGTTCCTTCTCCACCTCAGTCTCCTCTGCGACCTTAACTTCCTTCTTTTTCTCGCCAGCATCTATTTGGCCGTTGCTTGTTGGCACATATACCTCGGAGTAGTCCACAAAGCGCAAAACGTCGTTGCACACGTCGTAAACTGTCCTTTCTTTTGCCTTCAACACAAAAGTCTGGACAAACTGCCAAAGCATCGAGTCTCCTTTTTTCCAGCAGCCAGACACCACGATCAAAATCCGGTCACTACCGGACCACTGGAAATCAGCTCTATCGACCACAATCTTGTTTTTTTCAGCGCCCTCGGTCTGTTGGGCAAAATGGGCTTTGATGGCCTCCACACCCGAGGCCAGATGCACTTTTTTCCCGCTTTCGGATGGAAAGTCGTCATGAAGAAACGACGCTTCTGCATCGTAAAAGGCGAAAAGCTTACTGGTTTTGCTGGTGTATGTGCTGTAATATTTCTGGATGAACAACCATCCAATCGAGTCGATGGACAAGTCTTTTGGCTCATCGGCCGAAACCGCCGGAGCGGAGTTTGTACGAGTATTTCCCGAAACGGCAGCCTGGACACCTTGGGTTCCGTTTTCTTTGGCGTCGTTTTTCTCGTGGGACATGGCACTTTTCTCCTCTAGTGAGATTTCCATTCGAGAAGCGCCCGTGGTTTTTTCCGGCACATACACCGTGTGACTACAAACATGCAACCACATATACTCAGGCACAAATCAGGTACAGTGGCTAGACTTACCCAAAGGGATGTAAGAGAACGCAGATGAATGGAGCCAAATCTAAGCTAAAAGAGCTGTATCGAGACTAATCGAGACTAATCAGGATGGATCGGGACAGATCGGGCAAATCAGTGTCGTAGATCATACTGCGAAATAATGTAGAGAATATCATTAAGATTGAGAGGGGAAAATTTGTGAGTTGTGCCACAAAATTCGACACGGATAAATTCTTAGGAACAGACCTGGAAGTACGAAGATATCGAAGTCATAAAAGAATCGAATACGAAACCAGAATTTGAAAAGAAGATCATAGAAGATCATACGAAGTTCACGTACATACGAAGTCATGGGACAGGTGTTGAAGGTTTATGAGTATAATCATGCATATCGGGTTTCGGCAGAATGATCTATTCTTCCTCTTTTTTTTTTTTTTTTTTTGTTTGATTGTAGCTTCGCCATATACTTTGGCTCTGCTTCAATATTGATTGGGCATTCTTCATTCATTGAAGTAAAAATACCGTTCATTGTCTTGGTTCACGATGAACATTAGTGGATAAATCTCCTCAGATCGGAAATTCGAAGGACCTAAGATCAACATATGACTAACACCGTGCCCATCCTCAAGGATGAAATCTGCAACTCCAAGGTACGTCTTCTGCAATAAAGTGGACAGAGTTAATCAAATCGCATAAGCACATTGGAGAAGAAATTTATTTTGAAAGTTGCTGGCTTGAATTTGAGGTCTTAATGGTTTGGGATAATTTCCTGATGATTCAAAAAACCAGCGGGTGGAGAAGATGGTATACCCAAAGCTGTTGCTACATTAAATGGAATAGGGAATAGATCTGAATAATAAACTAAATTTATATAAATTACCTTTATCAAAAAAAAAATTATTTTTCTTTTTGCCATGCTTTAGTCCACAACAGAGCTTTCTTTGTCTGAGCTATAGTTGTTTGGGGAAAGTCAATCATGTCTGTGAATATGCCAATTCATTGGGTCATTCTCTCGATGAAAATCCTTACATGGGCCGCCAAAGTAGGCTAGCAAGTATTTAGCGACGTTTATTTCTCCTACTCAATCCTGTATTATCACGGTCGCCTCAATGGCCAAGCGCCGCTAGTTGCTCTCCTTCAACAACTCCTCCAAGATCTTGTTTTCCAACTCCGCACGGTTGCTCACGCCGTTGTAAGACTTGACGCCCATTCTTCTCAAAACCTCAATGGTGGTGGATCTGGCGAAACCCATGTTCTCAAACTGGCTCACAATCTCATCGTCAATGCCGTACAAGGCCGAGTCACGGGGCTGCGAGCTGGCCTCGCTGTCGTCAGTAGCGTACACCTTGGTCCAGTATGCAGCAGTGTCGTCAAAGGATTTCTTGTTGCTGATGTAGTGTTTGGCCACCTCGGCATCTTGAGGATCGTTGGGCTCTGGCGATTGTAGCAAAGACTGCAACGAAATCAACGACGACTTCAAAGTCAAGATGGGCGTCCACGCGTCCTTCAAAATGTCCAAGCAAATGGCTCCAGTGACGGACGAAATGTTGGGGTGGTAGATTTTGGTGGTGAACTTCATCACCGGTGGCTTAAATGGATACTCGTTTGGAATATTAATGTCCACCTTGAAAAGACCGCCCTCGTATGGTGTACCTGGAGGGCCTTTGAAGTATCCAGTCAAATGGGTCAAGTCCGATTCATTCACCAATTCAAGGGAAACTCCCGACTTGGAATCCTGGCGACACTCTTCAAGTTCTTTGGCAATTCTCTTGACTCTGGACATGGCTGTTCTCTTTCTTTGATGGTTTTCTTCTCGGCTATTTTTTTTTTTTCTTTTTGTATCGCTAAGATATCTGGCTGTTCAATTCGGCTTGACTTGGTTTGGTTACTCGATCTGGCACTCGGACATTTTTTTCGAGCGTCGTGCAGTTTCCGATAAGGCTCGCACATTTCGGCGAAATGGTCAAAGTATAATCGTAATATTTCTATTCTACATTAATATACAGTAAGCTTCTTCATGTGCCGCGTGGCAATGCATCGAACACAACCTTCATTTCGGGATTGGCATTTTTCACAAACGGCAAGCTGAAAAATCCGTGTGCGGGGTTGGATACCAACTCCGTCAAAAGTAGCGAGAGGCCCCATGGATGCGGCTTGTTCACCAAATGTCTCTCAATCAATACACGAGTAATGATCTCTTGCACTTGCTGGTGCACCTCACTCGTAGCATACAAAGTCTCGTCGCTGAACAAGTAAAGTGCCAAGCTCACAAACCATTGCGTGTGCATGTTGGGGTACCGCAACTGATTGGCAATGGCTCCAGCAAGATGGTATTTGAACTCCATATCGCCGTATCCCATAAGGTCTGCAAGCAAAGACGCCTGCGACGACTTTCCATTGAAGTGTCTATTGCTGCTAAGCATATTGTCTTCTGCAGCAGAAATGCCAACATGGACAACCAATGCATTGATGAGCTTGACGTTGAAATGCACAACGTCAAAGCCAAAGTCAGCGCTGTCCTTCGGATGGTTCAATTTCATACCGCTGTAGATACTTCTCATCAAAGCAGGCGCCGGAATTCTTAAAAAGTTCTCCACCGGTTTCTTCAATCCAACCTTGGCGAGATCCTCTATTGGTTGATAGAACACATCTGGAACACTCTCGCAGTCAGGAAGCTCATCGACGCTCAGCTTGACCGCCAATGGACTCATAAACTTGCTATCCTTTGGAATTGCAGACAAAACAATGTTTCTGAGTTGGATGTAGCTCGAAGGAACAGCCGTTACCAATTGGTAATGACAATCAATCAAGAATTGCGGAGCATCATGTGCCAACGCCGTGAATATACGGTTGATGGCCTTGAAAATGACATTCATTACATCGTGCTGTGCAGAATCGTCCTTCAAGTAGACGTTTTGGAACTTCAAAAGCGCAGTCAACAATTTGACTGTAACTCCGTAACCTGCCTTTTCTGGAAGCCCTAAAAGCTTAGGTAAAAACATGCGATGAGCAATCAAAGAGATCCATGCGAAGGTGAAACCAGGGTAAATGATTGGTTGGATCGTGTTGAAAATTTCGCCAAGCACAGGATAGAAAAGATAGTCGATGTGAACAGTAGCCTTCGCATCTAGAATGGATGCCTCCGTCCACATGCACAAAACCGAGGAGAATATTTTGAAATATGCTCTTTCGTTCCATGTAGCCTTTGAAGTCTCGTGCTCGTTGACCATAACCACCACTATTATATCCAAAATATTCTTCAAGTACTCGATTGCTTCCAGAGCATGATCCTTCTTGAATCTCAAGATGATGGCCACAATCAACGATGCAAAAGAATCTGTGGTGAGAAAGACTTCTCTCTGTGTGCGGCTTCTGATTTCATGCTCGGTAGCAAACGCAGTGGTGGATATTTCCGTTGCAGCTTTGAAGAACAACTCAAACTTCGACGGATCAGTTAAGATGCCACAGTGGAACAACCTATCAATAAACGCCTTCTGCAACACAACGCTTGCGTCACCATGAGCTATGAGCTTCACCCACTCTGTGAAAATGTAGCCCATCTGGGTGTATCCCTCGGTAGCCCTCTTTTCACTGGTTGGTAATGCAGGAAGATTGGAGCTGTTGAGCATTGCAAACAATTCATCCCTTGCGGCTGCAGCTTGCTTATGCTCATCCGTGTCGCCAGGTGTATATTTGGAGAGTGCTTCTAACGTGTAAGCAAATTCAGATCTCAAGGCAATTGGACGAGCGCCTTCCGAACTGAAGACGTTCAACAACAAGCTCGATGCGAACTTGACGAGCATAGGACTAGAAGACTCTTCAATGAGTCTGCCAATAGAACTGTCAAGCTTCAAAGGTGCAACCAACTGGACCTTCAACAATGAGAAAATCACAGGCATGTTGAACTTGCGCTGATCAACAGAATGCACCATCCACCAAGTAACATCTTTCGCTGTGGAAGGGGAGTATTCGCACAACTTATCCAAAATCACCACATAAATCTCGTTGCTCATAGGGTTATCGTTTGCTTGCGTGAACAAACAATTCACTGCGTATTGAGCAACCTTCAATAACAATTCTGGGTGTTTCAAAGCATTGCTTTGCGAAAGTGATAATGCTTGAGTAAGCGTTTGCAAAATAGGATGATCCGCAGACAATTCGCTCAAGCTGGTCTCTCTCGTACCAGACAATAACTGAATAGCCTTTTCACAAATCAGTGTGATGATGCCGAAAAGCTGGTCCACAGAAACTAGTTCATCTTGCTGCAAAGCAGAGACAGCTTGTTGCGGAGTCAATTGAGCCGCTGGTGGTACAACATTTGCAGGTGCCCTCGGAGCAGCATCTTGGGGTTGAGAAATCTGTGGCCCCGCGAATTGAGGAGTCTGCGACGGACCAGGTACATTTGATTGTTGAGCCTGATCAGTACGAATGATATAGGAGTTCGTACCGAATCCTGTGTAAATATTGAGCTGGCCATCACGTAAGCCATCTGTTGGTAATCCCAAAGGAGGAGGCAAATGGAGCGAATAGTCCGAAACTGATTCATCAATGTATGGCTTTGGTCCGGAATGACGTTCACGAGCGATAACCTGAGGGCGCATTCTTTCCTCTATTAATTCACAAATGTTACTAACTGCCAACTTCTCGACAATATCAACGCACAAATCAATGTTTGCTTGAATGGCCACATTCAATTCTGCCAAGGGCAAATCATTTGGATTAATCTGATTTCCCAACAACTGAATCATTGTTGCCTCGATCGTTTCACTTAGAATCTTGCGGCCGCTGCAAACAACCATACTATGGGCAAGTTGTTGGGCCAAAGTTTGATAACTTTTTCTAAACTTGTTCACATCACCCTCTGTTGCAAAATCTTTCTGCACCAAAGCTTCGGTTGTAGTTAACACTGCTTCCGAGACTCGGCTGAGGATAGGAACCGCGCATTCACGAACAGCACGAGCAAGCGATGCCTGGAAAGCACGTCTCAAGTTAGGGTTTTGGGTGAAAATGCTGTTGCCTTGCAAATTGCTGAAAGATGCATCTAATTGGTTGGAGCCAAATTGGCTGATTCATTGGTTCCTCTTGTCTCATTTGTTGAACCTGGGAAACATGTGGCATTTGCTGTTGTTGCTGCTGTTGTTGCATCAATACTGCTTGTTGTTGCAAATGTTGTTGCATCTGCAAGGATTGCTCAGGACCACCAAGAGACATTTTAGCCATTTCGGCTTGAAGGGAAGCAGAGTCTGGACGGATTCCAAACAATGCAGCTAATGCCTCTGGCTTTGGGTTGTGGCTCCTCACAAGAGTGGAAGCTTCAACATCCTTTATCTTCATTCCGAAGGAGTTGAACAAAACTTCAATTTCGAACTTCAAATTTAACTTCAAGTCGGCACAATCGTAAAGTTCCACTAAAACTTTCATTATACCAAGAATCCATGGGTTTGGAGGTCTAAAAACCTTTGACTCGCTTGCTTGGTCCAAAATCTTGCAAACAAAGGGAATAACAATGGGCAAAGTCTTTAAATCGAACGACTCAACCAAGAGATACTTCAAAGCGATCTGGTCTCTCTTGAGTGGTTTATCGTTTGCCAAGGTTATTTTTCCCAACCAAGCTCCCAAGTTCTTCAAATTAGAACGATCGATTGTCGAGTCTTTGAAGTTTCTAAGCAAATGATCCACCTCAGAAAGAGTCGTGTTCAAGACATACTCGTAGAAAATCGCATCGTCGAACGCGAAAAGGAAGTCTGAGTACAAGCCGTGATTGTTAGGTTCAGTTTTCGCTCTCTCTGTCACAAGATAATTTGCGAACCAGGAAAAGTAATTTTCAGAAAGCAAGTGCTGGATCTCTGCAAGCTTGTCCTTCATGTTGTCCGAAGTCATGTTGTTCACACTGAAAAGAAGCTTGTCAGAGGTTGATTCGTCCGGAACTTCCTGTTGTACGATACCAACTGTTTTCTTGGTTGCTGAAATCGAGTTGTATGTTATACCAGGAGATGATGGGCCAGCGGCATTGTCATGACCACCCGCAGCTTGTTGCGGGTTTGTGTCAGGGCAGGGAATACCATTCGAAGCATCTTTAACAATCTGATACATCTTGGCGTGTGACGAAAGGGATTGACACTTCAAAAGATGTTTGCAATAAATTGGGTACTCATGCAATCTTGACTTGAAGTTATACAAAGACTGGACAGCAAACTTGAAAAGGTGTGAATCTTGCGGCTGGTTACAAGATTCCCAAATGAAGTTAAGGGCAACGGTAAGAGTAGTTCCTTGAATTAAATCTCTTTGCAACAAAGCCCCAAATAACAACGAAGTCGATGCCAAAGCAGTCAAAGGATACTCTGAAAAGAATCTGTACTCATCAATCAAGGAGTGAATCATACAAGCAAACACATCTTGATCGTGGGGAAGATCACTTGTCTTCATTCTGCTGAGCATATCAACGATCTCCTTGATTTCCATATCCTTGTTATACATCTTGGAGTAGTATGCTTTCATTTCCTGCTCTACCTGAGGAGGGAATGCATTAGAATAAAGCTCTTCGTTTTTCAAAATGGCTTCATCATGGCCTGTTCCAAAGTTGATGAGTCTTGGATATGTTGTCAACAACGACAATTGAAGGTTTTTCAATCTTTCGCTGTCAACCAAGCCCTGAGAGCCCTTGATTAGTTCCAATAATGTGTACACCACGGAAACCTTCAAAGGCTTAGAGTTTGTATGAACTTGAGCATCTAAGGACTGCGCTTGTTGCTGAGTAAGCTCAAAATCTTGAGCTGTCCGTGTCTCTAAGATCTCGAGTAAACACTGGTACACTGTAGGACGCAATTTTGTGATCTTTAGGTCGTTCTCAGTAGCTTTTTTGTAGTCAAACCCGAAATTGGACGCTTCAATCGCAAATGTCAAGTACAAACTGTAAGTCATTGAGTTTGCCTTCTTAAGCAATGCGTCAAACAAATCGAAGGATGTAGAAGCTTGAATAACTTTGTTGAGCGATTCGCTGTTCAATCTGTTCGTGTAGTACTCGATCAACTTTGCAATGGCCAACTGAATGTCATACATCTTGAATTTATTCAACACCTTACCCAATTGAGTTATATTTGCATCCACGAATGGTCTATCCATCATAAAAGCAAACAAACGGTCAATGCGGTCCAAGATATAACCATCTTTATCAGCAATTGCCAATGCACCTGCTATAACATGATGTGGTTCACTTCTGCAATGCAAATCGAAAAACTGACTTAACCATGTGTCAAGCTTCTTGTCTCCCTCGGATTGCATTTTGATTTGCTGAGCAGTTTGCGAGTTGATTTTTGCCATCACTTGAACCTCAAGCTTTGCAATATTTATGAAACTCAAAAGCTCGGGCGCATCATCAATTTCTTCCTCATAACAGAGAGTAAGATTTTTCAGATGAATAATGTCAAACGCACCTTGCTGAGTATGCATTGATTGCAACATGTATAACAAAGTCTTGTCAAACCACCATTCATAACTCAAGAAGATATCAATTAGGCCGGATTTGAAGTCAAGACTTGACAAAAATTGTGTCAAGCTAGCAACTGATGGCTGGCTATTACGTTTTGAGGCATCAAACAAGAATTCATGAACCTTGGCGAAAACATTAAACCAATTCACAGTGTGAGCAGGGCTAGTATCTATTGTTTTCAAACATGTTTGCAACTGTGCTCCTTTGGCGTTCGCTTCAGGTAAGTTATTGACGAATGTCAATGCAGTAACACCGCCGTTTGTAGTAGAGAGGCCTTGAGATCCTGGAATTAAAACTTCTGCGAGGATCAAAGCAATTCCTTGGTCTGTTTCCTCGGGCTTGATTAGTAGCAAGCTTGGCAATAGTTTCTCAGGTAGCAACTTTTCTGGGCCCACTTCGGTAATGATTTCCTTGAAAGACATTGTGAGAATGGTACTAAAAAATTCTTGAACAGGCGGGATATCCAGATTGAAGGCGTTTAAAAGTCCAATAGTCAAGATCTTATGGAGAAATGGGAAAGTTGGAGATGCAAGGATGCAGTGGAGGAGAAGATGATACCAAGAGTTATCTGTTGGCGAACTTCTTTCTGCGACGAGCTTAAGAACGGAGGCTGCAGAAGATTTTATGAGCTGTTGAGCACGAAGATCGTCTGGATGCACTAAAGTGGACACAAAGATAAAGGATAAAACAGGGTCCACTGAGAAGCGCTCGAGGAAATCGAATAGGTCTTTTTCTCCTTCAAGTAAAATGGAACGGAAAGCAAAGACGAAGAAATAAACTAGTTCGCAGTCTTCAGTTAAATGGGCAAGTTCAGCCTTGAGAATGAGGTCTGGGCCTGTGAATGGAACCGACTTATCTGCGTCCCAAGATACGGATTTAAGTGTTTGGTAAAGGAAAGAAGAATGGACAATATGAAATCTCTGTTCCGATTCTAAAATGTATCTGATCTGCTGGTGGTGAGATTTCCAGTTTTGCAACGATGATGTCCGGAAAAGAATCAAAAGCTGCTTTAAGATCACAGAGATAGTTTCACTATTGGTGGATTCAGCCTCTTTTTCTGATTTGCTGAGCAATTGCGGGTTCAAAGGCGATTTGGTGGTGAAACCTTGCGGAAACTTGAATTCTTGTTCGTTTAATCTGGTGCCCTTCGGGCTGGCAAGCTGATGCGAAGTCACTGTAATAGGTAATGAGCAGTAGTGTACGCCTGTCTTTTTCGGAGGGAGGATTGGTTTTTTGAGATAGTTGTACAACTAAGGCCACAATGGAAGATGAACGTTTTTCGAAAGTCACGCGCAAAAGAATAAAAGGCTTCTATAAGCGTGTGTGTCGATAAGTTCCCGTCTTTTCAAGCGGTTGAAGTTTTGTTAGCAGTTCAGATCTAATCAGTAGTCTGATACTGGTCCTTTGAAATATGTACAGGGATTCTTGGGTGGCGTTAGTATGAAGCAGAGAAAGCTGGATCCAGCTGGGAAAACATTGAGTCCGTTAAATCAATGAGAGCGAAAACGAGACGATGGATTGTTAATTGAATACATACCCTTAAGGATGAAACTATCTCGATGGTAGATCAATATGGTGGAGTCTCAAATTTTTTGAGAGCGAGCCTCCATGGAGAATCTGGGTTACCCGGCAAGAACGCTACTAGTTAATATAAAGGACACCAGCCTAGAGGCTAAGTAGTGTAAATGACTATAATAAACTGGCGTCAGACACGAGAGTTTTGAAGGCGGGTATATTTTTGTAAGGCCAGTGATCTATTACACGAGTCAATGTGGAAGATAGACTCTTCTTTGCGTAATGACTCGTTCGGTCTCAGATTATAGTCTTCTTTGCATAATGACAAGTTCGGTCTCCGATTATAGTTTTAATTGCATAACTGGACAATCAGAAGTAGTACTATATTGAATCTCTTTGGGCGATTTAATTTGCCAAAACGGTCATGGTGCCATCTGAAATTTTACAGTTCCAATCACGCGTAACCTTCCGCCAGATGTGTCTACGATTGGAATCTCCAAGACGCCTTTTAATGACTCATCTCTTACTGATGTGTTAACTTTCTGATTTATTTTTCATCTTGCCTTCCTTGGAATTTCGGCTTTCATGTCTTCAATGTTGTTTTATCGATTACGTTTGTGTATGATGCTTCCTCTTTATCCATCTGTTCATTACATATGAGCGGTGTCTTCATCTTTTAGTGTGTGCTCATGTCTGTTTTTCATCTGCCTCCAACTCAAGGCAGAAATGACAACATCACGTTAGAATTTCATTGATTGAAAACCGTACGATTCCAACTTTCGCATTCTGTGGCTACTGTGGAGATTACGCATTTCGCATTTGGGTGCAAAACTGTGGTGGACCATAAGATAGCATTACTAATCGACCAAGATAAGGGCGGGTATAAATAGGATTTGGTCAATCGTTTCCCTGGACATTTTTCATCAGGAAAAACAAACACACAACAATGGCTCCTATCTCCACCGCTAAAGAAGACGCTACTGCTGACTTGGACAGTGCAATTGCCAAATTGGCCTCTTTGAAGGTTATTGGCGCAAAAGAGTTCAAGAAAACTGTGAAAACAGGATCCAGTGCCTCTTGGGTTGAAAAATTGCCAGCGCCGGCCAGGGCCAGATATGAAAAGTACGGAATTGACTTGTCCAAGGGTTATCCAAAAGTGCCAGAAATCAGCCAAATTCCAAAGTTCGTGGATGAGGCATTTGCTCTTAGAAATGAGGAATACCCTTACATCGAGAGGGGTAAGAACGCTGATCCAGAGAAAAAGGCTTTGTTCGGTGCAGCTAAGGAGGTCCGGAACCTTACCAAGCACATTGGAACTGAGATTGTCGGTTTGCAATTGGCCGACTTGAACGACAAGCAAAAGGATGAGTTGGCCCTTTTGATTGCCGAACGTGTGGTTGTGTTTTTCCGTGACCAGGACTTGTCTCCTCAAAAGCAGTTGGAGCTCGGTAAATACTGGGGTCAGGTTGAAGTTCATGCGCAAGTTCCAAGAGTGCCGGACACTAAGGACGGCGAGGCTTTGCCTGGTATCACCGTGATTTGGCAAGACTACGCTCGTGAGTTTTATGGAATTCCATTAACTTACAAGAACAGTATTGGTGGAACCGCCCAATGGCACACCGATTTGGTGCACGAGTTCCAACCTGCTGGTATCACCCACCTTCACAACGATACTATTCCTGAGGTTGGTGGAGACACTGTTTGGGCTTCCGGATACGCTGCCTATGACAAGTTGTCACCAGCTTTCCAAAAGTTCTTGGATGGCAAGACTGCCATTTACCGCTCGGCTCACCTGTACTTGGACAGAGAGAACCCATTGAATGGGCCCAAGCATATTGAGAGAGAACATCCTTTGGTTAGAACCCACCCAGCCACTGGCTGGAAGTATTTGTTTGTCAACAGAGCAATGACTGTTCGTATTGTTGGCTTGCAACCCAAGGAATCCGAGTTGATTTTGGAGTACTTGTTCGGATTGTTCGAGCGCAACTTGGACATCCAGGTCAGATGGAACTGGAAGTCCAAGCCAGGTTACGGTACTTCTGCGATTTGGGACAACAGAATCTCTCAGCACAACGCTGTTTGGGACCACGAGGGCTTGGAACCAAGACACGGTACTCGTGTCACTGCATTGGCGGAAGTTCCTTACTTTGACCCATCTTCCAAGTCTCAAAGAGAAGCTTTGGGATTGTCTTTGGACTAGATTCCTTGGTGTTTTGATCTTGTTGCTTTGATTGTACGTAACCAAATACAAAATTCTCTTTTTATTTCAGGAGCCAGTCGTAATTGAGCCTTATGGCCATTCAATCGTTTCTCTCAGGCTTCGAGAATCTACTAGAGACCAAGTTGATGGCAATATGCCAACATTCTTGAACTTGTATCTGTTTCCATTACTTTCACTTTGTACTGGCGATAAGTCCAGTACAAAGTGAAACTATCAGGCATGAGACCCTGTTTTTATGTTATGTCTTCACTATATCCTTAATCCTATATGGTATCCAAATCCACCGCCTGGAGAATCTCATTCTTCAATTGCGGGTCGCTCAACTGTGAGCATGCTTTCTTCAAGAGAAATTTCAACACTTGATTCTCCAGCACCAAAATGTCCATTTCGTTTCGAGAAGCGATCGAAGCTGTGTCCTCGCACGTTTTCCGGCCTGGGACTTTCAACAGGTCAACTAAAGACCGGTGGGTTTCTGAAGAGCATGTGCTGTGAACGTCAGAGTAAACAGAATCCAAGTCTGTCCTTGAAGACGTTGAAACTGTCAGAGATGACCGGTTCACTCTGGTATCAACTATGCGAGAGCTACCTGTGCTGAAGGTGGACGACGCAGAAGAGACAGATCCGGTAGACCGAGGTTCAGAAAAGCCGGATCCTGAAGATCCAGAAGAGACGAGGCCGGAGACTGCAGATCCAGGCCCAGAGACTGTGAAGTTCTTGAACGCGTCAATGACTGTGGCAGTAGCTGTTCTCTTGTGCGTTTTTGCAGGGGCAGCTTTCTTGAAAGTAAATAAGCTGGCGTCCCAGGACGACATGTGGTCAGCGAAAAAACTCGTCAAGCTGTTCACAATGTTGCCCCATTTAGACTCGTTCAAAAGGTGCTGGTAGACAACTTCCTCGTCACCTTCACCAAAAGACATGAGAATTGGTTTGTTGCAAACCAACAAGCCCATGGAGATTTTGAAGATACCGACTTTCCACCCTTCCAAAAGGCAAAGATCAACAATGCGCTGATTGATCCCCATGCCTGGTGAATGGATCAACAGAAAGGAAAGCCACCACTGGTACAAAAAGACTTTGCAGTCGCAGAAAGAGGCAAGATGCTGGGCCAATTCCGGGTCGATGCGAGAGAATATCGAAGAAAACTCGTCGTTCCACTTGTTCAAAATAGACGACATGGTCAGTGGGACAAATATGCCGCGTAGTTCGGGCTCGCACTCCATGATTTTGCACAAGGCGTGGAAAGTGAACTCCTGCTGTCTGAACAGGTGGTATAAAGTGCCAACTAAGAAGAGCAAGCCTTGACAGTAGCCGAGGTCCAAATCATAGTTGGCGTAGACATTTAAAATGGTAAGAAGACCTTGAATAGTATCTTCTCTTTGGAAAAAAGCCACAGAGGGGAAAGTTCTTGATAAGTCCTTGTTGATTTGGTTGGAGATGCTCTTGTTGTAGGAGTGTTGAAAGTTCTTGAACAACATGAGCGAAACTTCGGGAATTTCTGTCTGGTTTGTTTGGCTGATGAGAATCAACCGCTGCCACACTATGGAACGAAGTTGCACAGGCATTCCGCACTGAAGAAAACACATTTTCGTGTAGTTGGGGAGCGCCAAGATGGTTTTGTATGGGTTTTCAAAGAAGGACGTCCAGTAGCTTTTCTCAAACAGAGAACGCAAGCCGAGTTTCTGGTCAGCGACATATGCGCGGCAACAGTCTTTACTGGAAGAACCGACAAGGTTGCCGCAAGAGTAGCATACGGTGACATCGTCAGACTCGTAGTCGTAGTTTGTGAAGAAGGAGAAAAGCTCTTGTTCGGAGAAACCTTTGTGGCCTAGCGACGAGGAGCAAAAACGGTTCAAGTCCACTTTGAGATCGGTGTTGTTGCGCAAAAGCTCGTGGCTGGAGCCTATGCTGGAGAGAGACTCTTCAAATTCCAAAAGAGACTCGTCAAACATGGGAAACCTGGTGGTGAAAGATGTTGGTTCGTGATAAGGAAAGACTGGGGTAGGGAGAAAGGAAAGACAAGAGTGGGAACGAACAATGGGGTTTTCACCAGGTAGACCGAGTGCTCAATGTGGAAATAAAAAGAACAAGGGATTGAGCCAGTTGGGTTGGGCTAGACAGACGCATATATGGAGAAACCGCTTCCTTGCCCGATTGGGTAAGTGCGCATGTATGTGTGCAGGCGTGCCTGTTCCAAATGCTGGCTGAGAAATTACTTGTCTAGGAAATGAGGCCACTGGAGAAAGTAAAAGTAGACGAGGAGAATCTGCTCTTTTGTTTGGTCATGGGAGATTATTTCTGCCTTGACACCAAGGGTATATTCACATCTTCGACGACCAACAATGTTTTTTGGCTCCGTGGTATGCCCTGTATGTATGTGTTTCACGGAAGGATTTGGTGCAGGTCTCGAAGGGTCTTTGCATTGTCGTGTTTGTTTACATACAAACCGTCCCTGATCCACGCTTATGGGCCTTGGCTGGAAACCGCGACATTGCTAGACAATTGTCCAGATATTAATCCAGGGGCTCACTTGTTGGTTTTAATATGCTCGAGTGGTTTTTTGGTGAAGGCATGTCTCAGTTGGAGTAATATTTTTTGGCGCACTGTTTGACGAGGCTAATGATTTGACGGCTTACCGGGCCAATTAAGTTCATTGCGTAGAAATTGCACTAAATTATAGACTGGCAAATACGATAATAGCCGGATTTTTCTATTTGGAATGTCGTATTTACCAGTGTATAATCTTTTGGAGCGGAAAGTGGCGTCTACTGACATCTTCACTAAAACGCCTGGAACTCATGTTCTTATGGTTTCTTCTATGGCATTCGGTGGTGTCTGTCCCTAATAGAAGGTATTGATAACCGATCACCGCTTGAATTTTTTAGATTGTCGGAGTTGTGATGTCTGTGATGCGTTGGTAGATATGGATGAGCAAAGCTAAGAATTGGATATAGTAATGCCGTCTGAGGATTTAGTTTTCTGGCGTCGATCATCTCATAATGTTGAAGCCAGTCTCTAGATTATATAAGTGGCTTACATTGATCAAGAATTAGGTTTATCAAAAGACTGGACTTAAGAACAGAAAGTATAATTTTATTATTGCAATTGAAAATCAGAGAAATAATAAGCACAGGGGAGTTAACTGTGACTCCTTTAATTTCATGTTCAACTCAAGCAAAAGGAGGCTTGATTTCAGTGAAATAAATTAGAAATTGACCATCGATTTCAACGTGTCCACTTTGAAGAGTGCTGAATCCGTGAATGTTCCAATTTGTTGGTTTCACGACTCCAGATTTCACTTCCTTCTTATAAATTGTGTGGAATTGCTGGTGAAAACGTTGTGCAGAGACTGTACTTTATTCTACTTCCTTCAAGCTCGAATGATTTACGCACGGCTTTAACAATTCGGCTTGATCGCAGGTGTTTCTATTGGCCACAAGACTTTCACTACTCTCCTTAAAAATGTCGAAATAAGTTTTTTAAATTGAAATTAGCTTGTGAATTGGCCTATGAGTTCATCATTCTGTTCCTTCTGTAAAAAAGATCCACGAATGCTTTTAGATTATGTCTTAGAATCTCAGTAACAGAATCTCAGTAACTTTTCTCGTAGATGTCACTTTGAACACATCTCTTGGCTCCAAAACCATCTCATATAAAGTCACATTTAGAGTTCGGGTGCATTTCATGTAATTCTTGGAGTTTAATGGTGAAGGATAAAAAATAAAAGCATCATCTTGTAGAGATTACACACGTAAAATTTTTCCTTGTAGAAAAATACAGAAGAAAAAAGAACAAGAAGATATGACTGCTTCTTTAATCAAAAACCTGATTTAAATGTAACAGATTTCAATTTGGACAGCATCGTCAAGATTCAGGAAATACCGTAATGTTTTCCAGAACACAACTCTTCTCACTTTGTACAGTACCCACTTTTCTCCAGCCATGGTCTACTTTTTCAAGGCGAAAGTAACGGACGGAGAGTTGGGCGACTTGGGCTTTGATGATGCCTCTTCGGAACATATCATCTACATGGGAAAAGACAAGTACGAAAACGATCCGTTGATTCGCAAATCCCACCCAAAAAACCTCTGGTTCCATGTGGACAAGCATTCGTCGGCACATCTCTATCTTCAGCTCAGCTCCGAGCAGCAGAGAACTAACTTTGACAAACTAAAGGTGGATGAGGATCTTTTGATGCAAATTGCGCAGTTGACCAAGGCGAACTCCATCAAGGCTAATAAGCTCAACAACATCACAATCATCTATACGCCTGTGGAGAACTTGAAGACAGACGGCCTGATGGACACAGGTACGGTGACGTTTGTGAATCCGCAAAAAGTGAAACGCGTCCATGTGGCGAAGAAGGACAACTCTGTGGTGAACAAGCTCAACAAGACCAAAACGGAAGTTCTGACCGAAGACTTCATTGCCGAGCAAGAGGCGCTTCTTCGACAATGGCAACGAGAGAAGAAGGAGCACGAGCGCAAACTCGAGCAAAGCCGTGCAGCCGCAGCGAAAGAGTACGAACGACAAAAGGCCTTCAACAAGGACCCGTATGCCGAATTGTTCACGGAGGAAAATCTTCGTGCCAGCAGCAACGAGTTCCGAAACGAAAACTGGGTGGAGGACGAGTTCTGGTAGTCTGTATGATAGATAAACTAATGGTAGGAAAACTACAAATGGCGATCGAATATGTGTATTACACCATGAACCTAAATGCTAGTGAAGAGTACTTTACTCCTGTTCAATCTTGATAGGGAACTTGCCAGCTTCTCTCTGGTCGTTCCACTTCTCGACCCAGTCGACAGGACACAACGAGGTGAAGGTTTTCCAAAAGATTTTGCATGGCTCAAAGTCTTCGCCTTTAACTGCGACACATTTGTGGTAGTCGACGTAACTCTGGGCACAGTGCTTGGTTTGGTTTGTGTAAGGGAATCTTGGGTCGAATTGAGGGGTGTCGAACTTGAAGTTTTCTGCGTCCAAAGCCATGGCGAATTGAGGCGGTGTTTTTTTGGTGGAGGAGAACGAAAGCGTTACTATAACAATTTTTTAATTGCGTCTTACGATTTTCCTACTCCAGTGCGAAATGGGTCCATACGATTGGCTGGGTGTGCCTGTGTGCAGGGCATGCCTTCTTCTGTTAGTGGGGCCATAGTGCGGAAACAAAATGCGAAGCATACTACCAAAAGGACAATAGACAATAGCACGATAGCACAATCGAAGCAAAGCCAGAGTTGTTAGTCATGCATTCATGGGCATTGTATCGTTTGCCTAGCTTTTCTGAAGACTCCACCCGCTGAGCCCATTGGCTGGAATATCGGTGTTTTGGGCCAAGATTATTCTTAGACACGGCACGTCGTAGACCTTGTGGCCCCTAATCTCCCGTAGCGCAGCGCTGGCAGAGTCGCTTTGAGACGGCGTGTCGCTTTGGCTGGCGGTGTCGTCGCCGAAAAAAACCTGGACATTTTTCATGCTCTGCTCGGCCCTGTAAGCTGGGTTGATCAAAGACGGCTGGGTGGAGACTTTGTTGAACTGGGAAATCTGAGAGTTGGAAGCGTGTTTGATTTGCTCTGCCACCCCAACCAATTTCTGCAAGTTTCTGCCGCTCGCCGCTAGCAACACCACTTTGTACTTTTGTAATAGTTCGGTGCACAGAGCCACGTACTTTGGCGCAGGCTCATTTCCGATAATCACTACTGCCTCGTCCACTTTCGCCGTGACGCCAAGTTTTTTGGCGGCTTCAAGATAGTCATTGCGGGAGTCGGACGTGAAGGCATCTAGTTCTTCGCTGATGACTTCTAGTAATTTGTCTTTTTCCGAGAGCATGGGAAGATGGTGATGAGAAGTGCGAGCGTGATTTGCATGCACGAAAAGTGTTTTTTCCAATTTGCCAGAGAATCGATGGTGTACAAGCTGCAAGCGAAATTGTCTGGCTGGAATTGAAGAGGAAATGGCTTTCTGGTACGGCTTCTTTTTGTCTTTTTCGGGTTTAGGAAGACGCTTGTATTTTTTTTTCTAGTCTATGTCACTTTGTCCAATTCGCAAATTGCCTACAGAATTGCAAAACAAGTGCACATTGCGTAACTCGGGAAACAAAATGCTACTTCATTCACGCTAACAATAAAGACAGTCACTTCAATGTAGATATACTCACACCGTCGAAGCATCAACCACCGATTAATTATAGTGATCTTCTCGAACTTTTGCCCGTCCCTCCTGTTCCTCCAGAACACCGACTGTTTTTGCTGTCTCTGCTATTGTTCGCACTGTTGTGGATCGACAGAGTGGTGTCCCATTTCCCAAAGCGACCAGACGTCGCCAAGTCCATGAACACATCGTAGTGGACCGAGTCCATCATCTCCGCATGTTGTCGAAGCAAAACCTCTGGCCGCGTGTGCATGCCCGACGGGATCGGCTGGTGATAAAACTTCTTTTGTCTTCTCGGATGGGCAGTCTCCGAAACAGTTACAGGCACAGCGTGGCCCTGGGTATCGATGATGTACATTTTGTTATCGGAATCGAAGACCCTCATTCCTGGCAACACCTTATAGTGGACAATGCCTGGGCCATCTTGCGTCGCAGAAGAACGTTCGTACAAAAGCTTCTCGGTGCCACGAGTGAGCTCTTTGATTTCCAAATCCACTTCTTCTGGCGTTTTTGCTTGGTCCATTGCAGAAACAAGTTGGTGGGTCCATGTGTCTACAAAAGCAGTGTTTGTGTCTGCGAGGTTTCGCACAGCATAATCAAAAAGTACTTGCAACAAAAATAGTATGTTAGATTGAGAAATAAGGGCCCATATTAGTGCCGTCTTTACTGCTTCTGTTTTCTGTCGTTTGAATTATTTTTTTTTCAATGGATTCTGCTGTCTCTCGACCTCTATGCTTGTTGGGCGAGATTAATCAGATATCTGCATGCTGCACCATCTGCATTAGACTACATACAGGCAATACATTGGGTCCCCCCTAGTTAAAATCTTCTATGCCAGAAACTGCAGATGATAGGCGAATAAAATGGCGCTGGGGCGAAAAAGTAAAGTACCACTCTAAACTGCTAGAGGGATTTATTGCTGTGCATAGCCGCACTGCATGAATGTAAACTGATCCCATCTGATTGACAAATCAGCCTTGTCCTGCAGGAACGAGAAAAAGACGCTGAACCACTACATATGCCAAGCCTTTGTGACAGGTTTTTACGTCTTGCCAAGATTCAAGGCTCTTGGGTGCAAAAAACATCCATCCACGCTTTTGCACGTTCTTCTGAACCCAGACACAGAAACCCCAACTATTTCCAATACCAGGAGACTTGAAATTCCACTCCGTGAGCTCCTCCTTGTGCAGATTTTTTCCAGACAGTCTGCTTTTCCAGATGCCGGATTGAAGGGAGCACAGGCTCGTTCATTGGCTCATTATAAAAAAACATGCAGATGGATGCTACGAATACGGCAAAGCACGTCCAAAAGGGATTGAATTGGCGGGACGGGATGCATCATGTTGAAAGCCGAGTCGGGGCTCTCACCAGTATATAAGTGACGCACAGTTCGCCTAATTGTACTTCTCTTCACCAACTCTACCCCCTCCCCCCAAAAATGGTTAACGTTTTCAACGTACAGATTTTTTTCGTTGTGCTTAGAGAAACGTTGGAAGCCGTTATTGTGGTTTCTGTTCTTTTAGCCTTCATCAAGCAAGGTTTGGGTGGAGCACAACAAGACCCAGCCATCAACAAACGATTGACTAGGCAAGTTTGGTTTGGATCGATTCTAGGGGTGGCGCTATGTCTTATTCTAGGAGTTGCTTTCATTGCTGTGTTTTACACTTTGGGCAATGATATTTGGTCCAAGTCTGAGGACTTGTGGGAAGGTATCTTCTGTATTATCGCATCGTGCTTGATTTCGGTGATGGGTATTGCCATGTTGCGGATAAACAAGATGAAGGAGAAGTGGAGAATTAAGTTGGCGCAAGCTTTGCTTAAGACAAAGGAAGAGACTAAGGGCAAGTTCAGCATTGGTCACTTGACAACGAAATACTGTATGTTTGTCTTGCCTTTCATCACCTGTTTGAGAGAAGGTCTTGAGGCTGTGGTTTTCGTTGGAGGTGTGGGTTTGAATAAGCCAGCTTCCTCTTTCCCGATTCCAGTCATCTGTGGTTTGATTGCAGGTATCTTCATCGGTTGGCTCTTGTACTACTTTGGCTCTACTTCCAAGTTGCAAGTGTTTTTGATTGTTTCTACTTGTATCTTGTATTTGATTTCTGCCGGCTTGTTCTCTAGAGGTATCTGGGGTTTCGAGCAGCACGTCTACAATAACCAAACTGGTGGTGATGCAGCAGAGAATGGTAGTGGTCCAGGCTCTTATGATATTTCCAAATCGGTTTGGCATGTGAATTGTTGCAACCCAGAAATCGACAATGGATGGGATGTTTTCAACTCATTGTTGGGCTGGCAAAACTCTGCCACTTACGGCTCTGTGATTTCTTACAATGTTTACTGGTTGTGTCTTATTGTGGTTTTGATGTTGATGTTGTTCGAGGAGACCCACGGCCATTTGCCTTTCACCAAGAACTTCAAGATGAGACAATTGAACCCAATGTACCACATCAAGGGTAAGAAGAAGCACGAGTTGACTGAAGCCGAGAAGCAAGACTTGTTCAACAAGGTGAGAAACCATAAATTGGAAGACAATTCTCCAGACACAAGTGTTGCACTTGAAAATGAGATCTCCAAATCTAACGAGAAGAGTGAAGTTGTGGAGATTCTGAAGGAAGCTCTGAACTAATTTTGAAGGACTGCCGTTTTAATTGTTTTAATGACTATTCGTTGAAGTGACGAAAGATACAGAGTCAATGATGTTGAAGAACACACACACACATACACACACACACACACACACACAACTGACACATCATTGTTCTCTGTAACTTCTCTGAGCTGATACCGTTATATTTCTTTTTCTACAAGTGTTGGGAAAGGGAGGGGGTGGGGGAGTTTCACTGGGGGGTGAAATTTCACAGTCGAGCCGTTTTTTATAACTTTTATCAGCAATTGATTTTGTTTGATTTAATCATCGTAGCATTTAACTAGCTAATATCTATGCTGTTGTAGTCAAGCGGTGTCAACAAAGACAATGAGGCTTTCACCTGAAACATGAGAATTCATTGGAGCTGTCATCCAATGCTTTGGTCAATTTCTCGTTGAGTTCTTCCTGAGTGTAACCTAAGTCTTTGAATATTCCTTCGACTTTTTCAATCTGTCTCACAATGATTTGTACAAGGTTAAGACAGTAATCGTCAAGTTTGAGAGTTTCACCCGCTTCGAAAACTTCCACGAAAAAATCTAAATCGAGCTTGAGGTTTCCCAAGATCCGAACAACCACTTTTTCTTTCTCCGAAACCACCCGCAAGCACAGTAAAAATTTTAGCAAAAATTGGGTTTGAAGTTGCTGTACTATCGTCACGAATGCAGCGTGATCAGTGATCGGTTTGACTATGTGAACCAACTTCACAAAATGTATAAGAGAATCGTAGACGAAAGAGTCAATTTTGACATCTTTGGATTGTATGATTTCCACCTTGTCAAAGTGTTCGTCAAGTCTAGATTCAATCCAAGCCTTTTCGTTTTCGTTTATATCGTCTAAGATCGTGATCTTCACCTTATCGAGATCCGCATAAAGCTTCAAGTTTTGAGTCAGGAGAGACTTATCGAACAGCTGATCAAATAAACGAATCAAGAAAGGAGCGATAGAGTCACCAAGCACTGTGAAATTATTCATGGTCAAAATTTTGTAGATGCTTTGTTTAATATCTCCTTCTAGTACTTCACGAGTGGTTGATTTTTCGAGAGTGAAACGCTTCATAATGGATTCCATTAAGACGTTCAAACTTCTCATGAATTGAATTTCTAAACTGACCAAAACTCTTTTACTTGGGTACGAAGAGACTACCCTCACTTCATCCTCCTTCGTAAATGCCCGTCTGAAAACTAAATTGGCCAATTCATGCAACACAAACATTTGATAGTATTGGATTATTTGCATCATCTTGGTATGAACATTGTTGTTTTGTGCTTTTTTGTCCGACGACCAATCATACTTTTCCCAATTTTCAAGTTCGTAAAACTGCGAGCAATCGTTGACCCAAGTTGCACAAATAGCTTCCATAATTTTCTGATCGATGAGAGACGACGCGTCACGGAACATTTTGATGTGTTTGTTCGTGTCTAGACTGTTGGTTGCATTACCAATCTGGGCCGTGAAAGTCCCAACATTAGTCAATATGGCACTTATGCGCATTGATACATCACTGAGATAAAAAATCGTAGACAAGGAGTTCGCATGACATGGAAGAAAGCTTTCATAGTTTGACGGAGTAACCTTCATTTGGTCAACAGGCACATTTACGTCAAAGATTTTTGTCAAGCGGAATACAAAGCTGTCAATGAATGAAAAGAAGGCTCTGCGAATCTTGAAGTCTGGATCAACATTATACCCATTCGTAGGATTCGCATAATGAGTGTAGTTCTTCACGAATTTCAACACAGCCGTCTCGAAGAATTTCTCAACGTACTTGATGTAATTGGAGATAACGAGCCATGTCTCGTTGATGATAGAGAGATCCAAGTTCTCGCTGCTTTCAAACAGTTCGATAATGATGCGCTGGTTCTCAGGGCTCAACCGAGAAGACTCGAGGGAGGACGAAGCTTTAAAATACTCCTCAACAGTGTCAAACTTCATTCCTATGTACCGGACATAGGATCCATCTTCTCTGTATTCAGCCAAGGAAGTGACATAGTCGGTAAGTTTCTTTTGCATCAAAATGAAGCGGGCTTCGAACTTCTCGCTTTGTTGAACGAACGTTGTCTCTAGTTTCCGGAGCTGTGCATTTAAGAACTCGTAAATTGGATCCAGCAGCAGTTTTTTCTCCATGCGGTGCAATTTTTCCACCAAATTTATGAATTTTACATCCAGGTCAGATGTATTTCGAGACGACACTTCGTGATCAAGCGAGAGCAATTCTTCAAAGGCGCTCTTGCGATATTCTTCAGCGATGCTTTCTATTTCTCGGAAAACGCGGGCCAAAGTTGTTTTCTGAAGCTCAATATCCTGGTGTATGCTGCGAGCGTCTTTAGGATCAGCCGAAGCAAGCGCTTGACGTTGGGATTCTTCAATTTGCTCTTTCTCTTTGATGTACTTGTTATAGTCATCTATGAAAGCCTCATGGTCATGCGATGCGAGTCGTTGGATGAGACTTTGCGGGAGATCAAAGAGAAAGCGATGACTTTGCACAAATTCAATGAGCTTGCTGACTTTGGCCTCTTTCGAGCGGTGATCCATGATGGGCCGAATCATCAATGTCGAAGACAAGTTGAGGTTGTTGATGGATTTTTCAAGCTCGGAGAGCAAGCCCAGGCCATCAGACAAGGACAGGCGGCTCCTTGGGTTGAACACCTTGGACTTTTCGCGATCTTGCTGCGCTTGGGACTTCAGGTTGCGGAAAGCCACCAAAATCTCGTCGATTGTCTTCTTGCACAGAACAAAGTGCTCAAAGTTCTCGTCCAAGACGGACTTCAACTGGGACGTCTGGCCGCGGATGCTCTTGTCAAGCATGTCCAACGATGCCATCAACTGGTCGATTGGTGTATCATGATGTGCCGTCGACAAGAAGGCCAGTGGGCGGAAAGATTGGGAGGACACCAAGAATTGGTTCATCTGTGGATCCTGCGCCGAAGACACGGCGCCCTTGGCCACAAGCGTCCGCACGAGATCGGCGCCAGTCAATGGATCACGGAAATCCTCGTCGGTGAACCTGTAGTCGGAGGCAGAAGTGTTTTCGAGGTAGTGTGCCAAGCGCTCGAGCTGGTCCGAGCGAGGCAATTGAGCCAACGCAGCGGGGTCTGCTCTGGGGCCGCACACGTCTGGGTCGAGTAAAGCCGATCTAGGCGGTTTGTAGAAGCGGGCGAGCGTCTGTGGATCGTCCTCGTATGATAACATGGTGTGGAGGAAAGAGGTGGATGGAGACGAGACGACAAATGGAAGTATTTGGAGTTATGGACTTTACTAGTGAAAGAATGACTAGTGGACGGAATGACTAGTGGATTGTGGTGTAGGATTGTAGTATTGTGTATGGAGTGTAGTATTGTGGAATGGAGTGTAGTATTGTGTGATGGAGTAGTGGAGGATAAATGTATGTGTGATGGAGTGCAATACAATGGAGGAAATGCGTAAGTGGATTGTACTAATTTGCCAAGTGTAATGTCGGCACTGCAATAAATAGATCAGCCAATTCGTCCCGCTGGCGGCCAGAAGATAAATGAAGACTATACGGTGTAGGCAGATCGTGCGCGGCCCACTATAAACCAAGGTGCGAGGAAAAGTTTTCGGGTAACCCAATGGAACATCAACCGGAAATGGGCGCCCAGCCGGAAATCGGCGGGGCGCAGGCGCTTCTTCAGCTCGGAACATCCAAAGAAGATGAGGAAAAGGCTTTGCGCGAACAGCAGCTCAACGATGCGGTGGAGGCCGCAGTGATGCAATATGTTGGTGGCATGGAGCAAGAAAAGCGAAGTGGCGATAAAGACAAGAACGATAAGGCCGGGGCCCATCACGACAATAGTAACGACCACGATAATGACAACAGCAACAGCAGTAATGTGAACGACGATAAGGCGCATGAGGCTGGCAACGACAGTGGCAGCAATAACGGCCACAACATCGACAATAGCAACAACGGCAACGACAACAGCAATACCGACATCAACAACGACAACAACAACAACGACAACAACAACAACGACAACAACAACAATAATGGAAACAACAGAACTAACGGCAATAATGGCACTAATGGGGGTAACGGCAATAATGGCAATAACGACAACGGCAATGGCACCAACATCAACGACAGCGACAACATCAACAACATCATGCATCTCCACGACATAAACAACATCAACAATATGAACAACATGAACAACATCCACGACAGCAACGTCATGCACGACGGCGAGCTCCCGATCGACATTGACTACCCGTGGGACCGTTTTTTGCACGACAAGGGCATCGACCCCGAGCTCGCGTCGCTCGACACAGAGCACGACCAGTTGGTGCATGCGGCTATTCTTGGCGCTGGCGAGTTGGCCAAACAGCTTGCTCCAGCCAAGCGGCCCAAACGGCCTGTGGCGCGAGCCAAGTACGACTGCACCACGCTCGACGGGCTAGTGGCACAGGCGGCCAGCGAGGCGTGTGCGTGGTACAACGCGCAGGCAGATGCCGGTGCCGACGGCCCGCGGCTCTTCTCGCCCGAAGAAATCGCCATTGTCGAGAGCTTTGTCGACGGCTACTGCCGGCTTCACAATCTCTCGCGCGCAGACATTTGTCGGCGTGTATGGGCCAGCGAGCGCACCAAAGATCTGTTCTGGGAGTCGGTGACGAAAGTTCTCCCGTACCGGCTGCGGGCGCTGGTGTACAAGCACATTCGGCGGCAGTACCATGTCTTTGAGGTGCGTGCGCGGTGGACGCCAGCTGAGGACGAGCTTCTTCGCAAGGTGGCGGGTGCGTGCAAAACCAATTGGAAGAAGGTGGGCGAGGCCTTGGGCCGTATGCCCGAGGACTGTCGTGACCGCTGGCGCAACTACGTCAAGTGCGGCAGCAACAGAGCCGCCAACAAGTGGCTGCCCGAAGAAGAGCGCACGCTTCGCACCATTGTCACCGATATGCTTGCGCACAAGGAGACGCCCATCAACTGGACCGTGGTGCTGGAGCGTATGAACGGCGTGCGCCTGCGCATCCAGTGCCGCTACAAGTGGAACAAGCTCGTGCGACGCGAGCTGCTTGCCCGCGTGCTGTCCATGGACGCACGCACAAAGGCCTGGCTTGTGGGCCGCATGGCTGCGTCGCGCTGGCCCGATGCGGATGCCGTGGACTGGGAGTACCTTTCGCATGCGTGCCGCGAGGAGCAGAAGGCGGCATGGTCCGGCGCCGATCTCCGTACAGCGTTTGAGCATATGCGGGCCAGTGTGCGCGACGGCAAAACGCTCCCGCTTGCGGCAGTGCTTCTGAAGGCTTGCGGCTAGCCAAGTATGAGCCCTGAGCGGACCGGAGCCTGACGGGGCCTTACAGCCGAGGCTGCGGCTTCGAAGGCGTGGACCACGGCAACCAGTGGCGGCCCGTGGCGGGTGTGAGTGGCGCACGAGGGCTGAACATTCAGGGAGTATAGGTTTGTGGAGATAGGCGAGAGCCTGGAGAAAAGAGCCCAGTTTGCCAGAATCTCAGATATGGTCAAAGAAGTGTCGTCTTCTGCTCCGTACATTCTCTGTTTGTGTTTTCTACGTGGAAGTACATGAAATAGCCAAGCAGTGTCATAAAGTTCGAATCGTTGAGCTCAGATCTACGTCAATGTGCTGTTCAGGTGAAGTTAGACGTGATGTAATTTCGGTCAACAGACTGGTGATGGCCATTATCCTTCGGTTCCGAATATATGAAAGCTTTCTCAGCTACCTTATTGGCTCATTACAGAAGTCGGGAATGCTAGAGCTTTTGATTGTTCATACTATACTCATGCAGTATCAACATAACATTATGTTGAAGATTGTGCGCAGGCGCGCGGCATCAAAACAAGTCATCGAAACACCTTGTTTCCCAATGGAAACTTCTACCAATGATCATGTGCCGGCGTCGTCGGAAGAAATATACCGGCGAATGTTGGAGGTGGAGCAAGAGTTGATCGAGTTCCAGGAGTCCAGCAAAGAGCTTGAGCAAACCCTCGAAGACGAGCTTCGCGAGTTGGAGTCTCAGAATGATCTCCTCTTGGCGCAGGTTCGAGCGAAGGATGCCAAAATCAGCGAATTGAGCCACACAGGTGATTCGCTTGAACAAAGAACTTGCAACCGTATCTGCAGAATGCTGGCCGCTAGAGACAAGGAAAACAAAGACATCATAGCAGATTTGAAGAAAACTCTAGTGGCGATGGAAATTCTGAATGATGATATGGCCTCTCGTGACCGTGTTCTTGAGCAGAAACTTTCTCTTGCCAATCAGTTCAATAATGAGCTTTTGGAGAAGATTGCTCTCACGGAAAATGACTTGGAAATGGAACGCGAAGCAAACGCCAGGCACCAGCTTACAATCTCAAACATGCAGAACGCAGCCAACACAGGGAATACCACAAGCAGCCGTATTAAGCGTGACAGCACATACCAGGATTTTTCTATGGCAGAAGGAACTATTTTGGACATCAACGAAATGTTGGCCACAGAACCGCCGGTGCCCGTGAAACAAAGAAGTATGCCTCGCTCGGATTCGCTACATAAGATGCAGCAGCTTCATAGCATGTCGGATATTTTGCTCCATAAAGTGGGCGAAATGAACCTCGCCTTGAAATCTCCTTCTACAACGGAAGTGTCGAAACAAAAGGTACCGATTCAAGGTGAAGAGAAAAAGCCAAGCTTGTCCTACTCACCGTCCATCCATAATCTCTCAAGGATACAGAGGGATATGGAGTCACAGCATGAACGAAGTGGGTCGGAAAGTACCATTACGCCTGCTTCTAAACGGGTTCTGACAAGCGGATCGGCCACTTCTAAAAGAGCGCAAAAGCTCAGAGTCAAAGAAAAAGACTAAACTACGAAGTGTGATGAAAAGTTTTTTCGCATAGATTTTAATATCAATACTCCACAATGTTTGCAAAACGCGACCACGTAGTCAGTAGTGTGTTGGGTCACGTGCACAACCGTCCTACACATTCTAAGAGTACGAAAAGTACTCGTCCAATTCGACACTATCTTTGCAATGGCGGTGGAATTTGAAAGTCTCATTTCGCTGTTCAACACGTTCGATGCGTATGAGTACTTGGTAGAGTTGGATTTGGTATTGTGTGGTTCAGCAGGGGAATCGGCCTTGGATCATAATGTGGTCTTTCTCGAGTTGAACAGGTTGATCAAGGTGTTTTGTGATGGAGAACCCGACACTGCCGACAAAAATAAGAACAAAACACAAGAAGCCGCGTCTTCTGAGGCCAAAGAAACAGCCAGCGAGTTTTCCTCTGCTTTGATTAAGCTCCTATCGAGAAACTTGGTGTGTGTTTTGAAAAAGCTTCCCAACAAAATATACGACACTGCAAACAACCTTTTACCTTTCGTGACAGTGGACGAGCATGGAGGCTTGTCAGAAAGTGGGCAGGCTGCCACCATAGTGTTGATTGATGTGTTTGAAAACTTCCCCCATCATCTTTCATCGTTGGTCAACTTTGCCGCAACACAGTTGTACAAAATCCTCAAAAAGAACACTAGTGTCGACTGTAACATTGGTTTTCTCCTCAGTACAGTGCTTAAAGCGGCTCTGAAAACGGACATTGACGAGAAGTTCCAGGCAAAATGGAGCAAGCTCTTGCTTAAAGCCATAACTCTGCATCGTATCGAGGTTCCTGATGGAGAAAGCAAAGTTGCTGAAGACCATTCTGAAATTTCCATTGCCCTCTTAGAGTACTACATCATGTCCATGAAAAGTGTTTTGACTTTGCAAGTTACTTCAAACTATCAACAACTCTTGGAAATATCTGCATCCACGTCCGGATCAAAAATGAAGCCGGAAGCCATCTTATCGCTGCAGAACCAGTTCCAGACCTCACTTTTAGCCACACATGAGAAGTTATTCCATTTCGGCCTTCAGTCACAGTTTAAGGAAGTCCGGGTCGCAATGGTGGACTTGTTAGCAAATGTGCTTCTCAGCTTTGTTGAAACAGGCAAATTCAGCCCAATCGAGTACTTGGTTAACTTATATCCTGTGCCCAACTTAAACTTATGGGACAGACTGTTGGAAAGCAATCTCAGTCTGGAAACAGATAACTTCTTTGAACCTAAAAAGGAGTTCGGCCTCATTTCAAATCACGATAGTCAAAGCATCATCAACTCTAATGCAAACTTGCTTTTGTTGCAGATTGGGTGTATTGAAACTTTGGTGGTCTATGTGCAACTTGCCAGTTTGCAAGATGGAGATTTTTTCCCTTCCTATATTTGCAAGATTCTTGATTACACTTTAAGCAAGTTTAGCGATTTGAGCGCAACGACTCACTTGCAAAACCAACAGTGGACACGTACTTTGGATCATTGGTCAACTTTCGTAAAGTTCCTCGTGAAAGAAGGTGGTGCTACTATTCATGAAATCTTGGCCACTTACATTGTCGAAAAGTTCGCTTCCTCCCAAGATGATCTTGGATCTCAGGAAGACCTCAGCACCGCGAGCATGAAAGCACTGAAAAGACAATCGAGAATTTTCAGCTTCAAACCATCCAGAAAAAGCAAACTTAAAGGACCAAGCAGTTCTGTGATTACACCTTTCCACAATCCTTACCAAGCCAGGCTTCTTTTGAAAGTTATTGCATTACTACTCCCTTTTGGTATAGATTTCAGTTCCCTTGCCCACAGAAAGTCTTCAGACGAGGACTCAATTCAAGACTCTCAGGGAGAAGAAGCAAACGACGAGCTTGCATTACCAGAAGAGGAGGATCATATCACGCGCAAAGGAAGTAATTTCATTCGCGATTTACTCTTCTCATTGCTTGCCAATGAGAACGAGTATATCAGAAATTACAGTTTGCAAACCCTTCTCAGGTATGGCCAAATCAACTTTTCCGAATCTAACATGTTGGCTTTGACGGCGTTTCAAATGGTAAACCAAATGTACAATATCTCCGAGACCTCCAAAGAAGTTTCAGAGAGCGTAAAGGAAAGAAACATGACAACGTCGAATTCCACGAAATTGCTTAGCTATTCTTTGGCGTTGCTGTCGTTGATAAAGCAATCAGACAGTACTGTTTTGCAAAATTCGACCATCGCTAAGATTTTGAGTTTCTGTACTCAGAATTTGAAACATAACAGCAATGTCGCTAGGAAAAGTATCCAGAATTCTGTATGCTGGATCATATTAACGGCTCTTGTGACTTATTATTCTGACTCTGAGTTTGTGAAGTTGAACTCGTCGCAGTTTTTGGTTTTCTGGAAAAGTCTTTTGACCTCACAATTTATTACCTCGGACGTCACAATGGCATCAGAAAATGGGCTGTTGATAGAGATCGTCAACAATCTTAAGTTGAGAAGCTTGAGCATTATATGCTTTATTGAACTACATCAATTCGGTCCACTTGACACGCGATTTGTCGAAGCAACTTCAGTTCCTTTTGGTCAAGGCACATAAGTATTTGCTTTATCTAGAGAGCAATCTCGAAGCGATTGGTGGCATCACTGCGTTCAATCCCCAACAATTCAATGAAAGTGACTATAATCCGAATATGGTTAATAATCTCATTTTCTCGAATTTCAGCCATTCGCGCTCGTTGACAATAGAAAAGCAATTGATCAGCTTGATCCTCTACAACAAGAAGGTGGTTTTGCAAGGCTTCCTTCGTCTTTCAAGCTCGTTGAAAAGCGACGTCAATTCAAGTTTGGTGGTTCTTCTTCTTAAAATTTTTGCTGACGCCAAAGCATTTTCGAGATTACCCTCCACAGATCCTCAAAAGGATAAGTTGAAAGGAGGTAAGAACAAAGTAGCACCTTTCATTCCGGCTCATGAGGACAAGAACATTCTTCTTCTTGATGAAGAGTATTTTTACAATTTTGGTGTGACGAGTAAGTTTGTTTCTTGCTTTTCAAAAGTCGATGATTTGAATTGTGAGTTTGTTGATGAGCAGCGACAGGCTCTTTTCAATTGTGAACTGTTCTCGATACCATCCATCGCTAGATCTGAAGATGTAACCGAATCATCTGGCAATGAAACTAGTGTATGCTGGCTTGATATTTTTGAGAATGGCGTCCATAATGCCCGCCTGTCACAATGTCAATTACGATCCAGCTGTTAATTTGCAGCAAGATTACTCCTCTCAAAATAAGTATCCTACAAATTGA